GTATGTGGTATGTGGGAATTGCCCATATATATAGGGGTGCAAATCGCAAGCGAGAGCTCAGATCGAAACAGCTCACTGTGGGCGGTCTGAGCGAGTCGTCCGAGGTCGAGCAGTTCCGGTCAGGGTTCCCCATTAGATGTCAAGATATCTATCTTAGCATATCTCGCTAAGATATAGATGTCATCTTATCTAGGGGCCGAATATCTTAGATAGATAGATAAGGCCCCGGGGGTTTCCTTAGATATCTTTAAGATATCTTAACTTTTTTGGTGTCTGGTACAGACTCCTGTTGCGCTGGAAGTTGTACTTTCCCCTAAGGAGGTTCTTGCTCCCTAGCGAGGACATCGAATTTATGATCGTATTCGGCTCAATCCCCATGTTTGTGCCCCATGGTTTGGCCCAACCGCTGACCGTGGGTGAGGCGGCACGGCTTGCCGACGGGCCAATTTGGCACCCCTTCAGACGCTTCTGCTGTCAGAGTGCTTCATCAACTAATCGCACAGAGAAAGGAGGTGCAATTGTGAAATTTTGGCAGTCTACCCGCCCCGGTCCTCTTCTTTCGTCGCACACTTGCACACTTGCACACTCGCACTCTCACACCTCGCCGAACGACTATAATCGATAGTCTTTGCGGAAGCAGTATGGAGTCGGACCTCCCCACGGCTGAGGAGGAGCTTGTGAGTACGGAATACGCGGCGCCATCGACAGAGAGGCACAGACTTACTTTGACTGAGAGCCGGCTCTGCAAATGATCTCTGGTAAGCTCGCTAGGTCAGCTGAGAAGAAGTAAAAGTCAAAGACGTCATGGCAGTCGTTCCAGCGGAGGTGGATATTTCGGACGACTCTGACGACACGGATTAGCACAACGATCGGCATCAATGCATTCTCCCGCTTGACTGAGCAATGTTTCGTCTTCCCAGCACTTATCAATACAAGAGAATCAGAAAACAGTGAACAGAGAGCCAGCTTTGCCAGTTCATCCACATTTTGTGATACTTACAATGTCGTACTGGCCACCCAACAGGCTCCTACGAGTCCCAATCGACCGCCTCCAAGCGAAGATATCTGGCATCTTATCTCCTAAGATATCTATCTATATCTCATCTTAACCCACTTAGATATCTATTAGATATCTAGGCATCTATCTAAGATATCTGACTAAGATGGGAGATAGATAGATAAGGGCCAGAGCCCAATTTTTTTAGATAGATATCTAATATCTGCGAGATTATCTTATCTAATGGGGAACCCTGGTTCCGGTCGCGATGGCTCAAGTGAGCAAGTGACATAGCCAGGTACATTCGAGCTCGTTATCGAGTCGTTGAAAGCCGATTGGCGATGTTGAGGGTGCTGCAGTTGCTGAATGGGTTCCGCGCTTGCCTCAGCCGGCTCGGGTTCACACTTCAAGTGCCGGGTCGAGTAAGGTCGAGCCGCATGTACCGGCCAAGTCGTGTTTCACCATGGCGAAGAGGTGTTGCGTCGTCGTGTCTTCGTGCAGTGAGAGAAAAGACGAGTCGAGTCGAGTCGAGTGGTGCGAGGGATCGGCGAATATCGAGTCTTTATCGAGTCTTGGGTGGCGGAGGCAGCAACGGCAAAGATACGAGCTTCCACCATCCTCGACGAGCGATCTATCGCACTGAGTTTGAGGTCAGGGCCGATTGAGAGGAGATCAAAGTCGAGCAGAGCAAGTCCCCCCGAAGAAGTCTGAATCCTCAATTGGAAGAGTCGACGATCATTTATCCATGAGAGCTAGAAACGGTTTCGAGCGAGTCAAAGTTTAAAGAGTCGAGTTAGGCGCAGGCCGGAATGAGACCTGGTGGAGCGAAAGAAGAGTCAAACATAAGCAAGAGGGCACAGACTTGCAACACGCGGTGTGAAGAGAGTTAAGGACGTCAGGTTGAAGGGCCGCACTGACCTTTCGGATGTTTGCTCGCTTTGTGACTGCCAAACGAGTTCGTCGACACCCAGCGAGGTGAGTGCAAGCGAAACGAGAGGAGATGGAGCGCCATGCAACGCCGATCGCAGTTCATGACCGCATGTCCAGGGTTGCCAAAGATTGTACAAACGCGCAAGTCGCCGAGGTGGGACAGTGATCGCACGTATCAAGCTGGTCGAGCGAATCGCCAAGATCGATTGTCGCAGGATCGTCACGATCCAACGCCGAAACCGAGCGCCGAGAGGTCCGGAGAAGCCAGTCGTGATTGTACGGTTCAACGTGCGCAACGGACGATGGACTTTGAGTAAGATGTGAAGCGATGAGGTGGCGTTCCGTGGCCAATCTCGAGAGTTTTGCCGGAAAGTTGATTAGATGGTGCGATCGACGAGGTTGAAAGCCAGCGTGCAAGTCCGATCGATTCGAATGGCGAGGAGGGCGAGCAGGAACGTGGGATGTTTAGCACGAGATGAGACTTAGTGGCTTTGGATGGATGATTCGACGAGCTGGACGACGAGCGCGGGAGGTTGAGTGATTCGCGGCGCAGTCGAGACGGGGTGAAAGTGCTTGTGCCGATGAACGTCTCCGATCTTGACATTGACGAAATCAGTCGAGTCGTGCAACAGATGTTCCAACAAACCCCAAGCTAGCCACGTCGATGAGACTCTTCGACTCGATCAAGAAAGAGATGTGAGGGAATGCATTCGTGCGATTGGTTGACGTTAACGACGCGGGTGCACGATGTGGGGGTGGCGGAGGAGATCGTCACTGGTCGACAGTGGTGTTTGGGGGTGGGGCGACGAGGATCGAGTAATGTTTGCATCGATTGATGACCTCGGGATAGTTGAGCGTCTTGTCGATGGTGCTGATGCGCAGAGTATGACCATACCAGTCAGAGCGGTGTGGTGCGAGGCTCGGATGGCAGCGAGTCGGCCAATGTCGAGGGCGCGATCGGGGTGACCGAGCACGTGTCCGACCGAAAACGCTCGAGCGATGCATCGAGGCAAGCTAGCACGCTGCTGAAAGTGACCACTCCCTCTCAGATAGGATTGCCCATCGTATCGTGCCGAAAATGACGAGGTTGGAGGTGTTGATAGTCTTGTCGTGCGACGTCGCACCGTGCCCGCATCAGCCGGCTTGAAGTGACACGTTGAGCTGTAGTTGAGAGAGATCGAATTGCATCTTGCGGATTGAACGGCGCATGTGACGATGTGAAAGCATGTGAAGTCGAGGTGTGGCGTGGTGCGATCAGTGCCGAGTCCGAGTCGAGGCCAGTGGTGCGAGTGGTGCGAGTGGTGCGAGTGAGTGGGGAGAGGGAAAGGAGCGTCGGCGCGCGTGAAGTCAAGCCAATCAGCTAACCGCGCGAGATTCCGAAGCTCGGCGCACTCGGCCGTGAGATCGGTCTGCGATTGGCTCAGGTCCAGTCAACCTTCAAAGGCGTATATCTGTTTGAAACTCGAAAAGGGGTGCGAGAAAGCCTCAAGGCTAGAGAGAGCGAGTAATTCCGAGTTCAGCGCTTGGCGGCGGGAGTCGTTGCAGTGAACGAGTGAGTCGGCCGGCGTCCGCGGCGAAAACTTGGTCGATTCGTCCAGGTCACTGAGCATGCTTGTACAATTGACATTCCTTTACTGAAGCGCTGTTCTTCGCATGTAGACGAGCTATGTCGGAAGATTTGAGGAAAAGACATCGTATTCGGGAGCACATTTTTGATCCGAGTACGGGCGAGATCATCGCGCGATGGTTGACGAGACTCCGAGTCAGAGTCAGCCGCCGGGCGTGTCCCTGGAAGCATGTCTCACAGGCAGTCTCCCGCAGACCGCACTGCTGTGATATGAATGAAGAGATAATTATACCTGGTAGCGTGAACAGAGCCTGAGATTGGGCTTTCTTTAATAGAACGTCGGTGAAAAGGTCGGCACTTCGTTTGCGCACAAGTTCGGTCACCCGCCTTCGACGATGATCGCAATGCTCTGTGAGGTCGATCTGACGCCTTTTTCTTCCGTGAAAAGGGATTCGTTTGCAAAAGTACAGGGAAATGATGATGGCGCGGAGAAGATCGTCCACTTAGCACTGTCGGCGAAAAGGGGCTCGATCGTCCGGCGTTCATGACTTGCACTATACATGGCCTTTGACGGGCAAAATCACCACTCGAAGATGATTCCTAGGTATTCGTTGATGTAATGAGGTATCAACAAGGTTTAATCTATACAGCCACATGTCTTCTGTCACACTGACTACTTCGGAGCGAGCGAAGCCGCGGCGTTGCAATTGGTCGGATGTGTGCCAACATCTCCTAGCCATGTCCGTACCGCAGACCGCGCGACCGACAAGTGGACGGACATGCGGTGGGGTTGCGGTACGGACACGAGATCTGCGGTACAGACATGACAATTTCGATTCATCATGAGTACTAAAATACCCATGCTATCATGTTCTCCTTGCAGACTCAAAGTGATTCTACTCATATAATTGCTCAACAGCATCAGTATTATCTGATATTATGGACCTAAAATCAAGGGACGGACATGTCCGTCCCCTCATGTCCGTCCCCTAAATCAAGGGGACGGACACGTCCGTACATTTGTTTGAAAGGCACGCTGTCTCGGACAGCGGAGCCTCACTGGTGACCGAAGATGACAGGTGCAAGTTATATGGATTACAACTAGCTTCTGGTGTCAGCTCGATGAGATACGATAGTGCTGAGATAGGGAACACCAGTACTCACCTAGCTTCTGGTGTCAGCTCGATGAAGAGAGAGCTGAAGAAGCTAGGCGCGCGCAAGCTCTATTTCTAATGCCTGTGGCCCGTCGTAAGGCCTTGCCTTACACGCGGCATGACCAACAAATTGACCGGTCGCCGAGCATCGCTTGCAGTGTTTTTCGACGAAAAGGGCCGCCGTGTACTAGTACCTACTTCGAGGAGAGGGCAGTCGGGGAGAAAACGCGCCAAGCGCGGCGAGCCTCGGCGACTCGGATCTCCTTAGCCGGGTCCGGCTGAAGGAGATGTCAAAGTATGATTAAATTTAGTTTGTGTGTTGCAAGTCTGTCATCACCAACCGTTCTTCCCTCTACACCTTCTTCCCCGCAGCCGCATCCTGCTTGAGCGGCGCAATTAAATTCAACACCAACTCGTCCTCCGCCTCGGTCGCACCGTCCCCACCCTGCTTCAACCTCGAGTCCGAATCCAACGCGAAATACGCGACCCTCATCCCTTGGAACCTCACCACTTCCAACCCTTCGACCTGAGGCGGCGCATCCGTGCCGTTCTTCTCCGCCTCCTTCTTCCTCTCCTCGACGATCTCCTTGGCCCTCTTCAACGACTGGTCAATGACCTCCCATATGCCCGTCTCAATCATCGCTCCATCGACGGTCGTCAAAGATTTGGGATCGATATCTTCAATGTACTTGTCCCCCAACGAAGCCGGGTCGTCGGACTTGAACAGGCGCTTGAAAATCCTCGCTTGCTTGATCTTCACGGGCGAGCGCGACGGCGCATGTTCAGCGACCCACTGGATCCACGCCTTGGGTTTGATCGTCTTGCCCAGTTCGTACCGACACCTTACCACCTCGACTCGACCGTTCTCATCAACCTCATGCGACGAATACGTAATCGCATGAGGCACCTGCAACAACCCGACCGTCGCACCGGGACAGAGTCGAAAGAAATCCTTCGAGTCAGCCTCCGCTCTGAAATCGTCAGCGTCGATGTAGAACGTCTTGGTGAACGGAATCTGGTTCGATCCCATCTCGGGGAGTTTGGGATGCAACGCTTTCTCAATCTCGAGGTGAAAATCGTCGTCGACGTTCTCGAGCACGACTTTGATCGGTTGGAGCACCATCATCAGCCGCGGCGTCGACATTTCGAGGTGCTGGCGCACGGTCTGCTCGAAGCGAGCGAGCGAGACGAGTGACGAGTTGGGCGAGACGCCGAGGTGCGAAACGAAAGCGATGATGGCCGCTGGGGGTACGCCTCGTCGCTTGAGGGCAATGAGGGTGTGTAGTCGAGGATCGTCCCATCCCGAGACGTGGCCCTCCTTGACGAGTCGCAGTAGCTTCCGCTTCGAGGTGATCGCGCCTTCGAGCGACAGTCGGCCGTACTCGGATTGACGAGGCTTGTACACCTTGAGCGCGTCGCACAGCCACTCGTAGGCTGTTCGAGCCCCGATGAACTCGGTCGTACACAACGAGTGGCTGTGAAACGAGTCAGCCTCCGAAGACACGTGACCTCGATCGAACTCGACGACTTACGAGATGTTCTCGAACGAATCACACAGGCAATGGGTGAAATCGTACGTCGGATAAATGCACCAGTCGGTGCCCGTACGATGATGCGGTGTCAGCAATACGCGATAAGCAATGATGTCCCACATGGTCGGGTTCGGGCTCGACATGTCCTGCTTCATCCTCAGGGTCATCTCCCCGGGCTTGTATTTCCCATTCTTCATGTCCTCAAAATCTTTCAAAGATTGTTCGATCGGCTTGGTGCGGTCCTTGGAATCGTGGCGCGGGCCATGTTCTTTGCCTCCTCGTTGTGCCGCGATGTCCTCGGCTGCGAAGCGTCAAGTCGCAGAGGTCAGTCTTTGATCATCACACCTCCGCAAGTCGAACTCTTTTCACTGACCCGTATCATCCGACGTATAGGCCAATCCCGCCTTGATCAACTCCTTGGCCAAATCGTACAACTTTTCAAAGTGGTCGCTCGAATGGGTGATCTTGTACGGTTCGTAGCCGAGCCAGCGCACGGCCTCGAGGATCTTGTCAAAGTAGATCTGCTCCTCCGCCTCGGGGTTGGTGTCGTCGTAGCGCAGGTAGCAGTGACCTTTGTTGTATTTGGCGTAACCAAAGTTGACGGCGATGGCTTTCGAATGACCGATCTGGGAACGCGCGGTGCGAAAAGGGAGAGTGAGCTTTCAACTGGCCGCACCCCCACATTTTGCCTCCCTGCGACGAGCCGAGCCCGCCAACTGACATGCAAGAACCCATTCGGTTCGGGTGGGAAACGGGTAAACACCTTGCCTCCCGTCGCCTTGAGATGCTCCTGCATTCGCTCAGGATAGACCTGCTCGTTCCCTCCCGGCTTGTGCAATCGCGCGAGCCATCCTGTGCCAAACATGTCTTCGGGTTTGTCGTCAGAGACGACCGAGGCAGGGGCCGCCGCCGCGGGTATTGTCGATACCTTCTTGGTCGGTTCCTGGACAGCCGGTGGAAAAGGAAAAAAAGAAGAATCAGAATGCCTGTGTAGGCTAACGCAGTGACTTCATCCGGCGACCGACCTTGTCCCCAGCTTTTCCCCCCTTGCCCGCTGCAGCCGCCGCTTTCGGATCCGGTTTCTGGCCGAAAAGGTCGACATACACGGCGTTCAACGCGTCGCGTAGTTGGAGCATGTTGACCCATCGCAAAAAGTCGTCGTTGGGCTTGAGTTGGGCCGAAACCTTGTTGATGCCCGGCCAGCCGAGTGGGGTGATCTCGTCCTTGTGCGCGTCGACGTAGGCCCGCACGGCGGAGAGCACTTGTTCTGGTGTGGCCGAGAAGCCTGCGTAGGTTGAAAGTGGTGGTGGTGGCGAGAGTGGGAGGGTGGTGGAGTAGGCGAGTCAACTCCAGCGCGATCGGGCCCAAAGAGCTGTGCAGTCTCAAGGAAAAGGTGCCGAAACCGAGCACGTACCAACACCACACGCCTTGTCGAACTCTGCTTCATCAACCTCTGATCCCGGATGACTAGACAAGTACTTGACAGCAGCTGTGAAAGTGAACGTAGCCCCCGTATCAGCCACACTCCGCTCCTTCCATGCCTCCCCCTCCTCTCTCTCTCTCAACTCCGCAACTCAACTCACCGGTCACCTGTTCCGCCCTCTCCAAAGCACCATCCTGTACCCTCCCAACCAAATACGCCTGTCCACTCTGCGCAACTTTCCCAGCCTCCTTGACGAGCTGCAACATCAACAACGCCTGCTTGTCGCTCAAATCTTTGCGCTCGAGCGCATGTTTCCTGAAAAAGGTTTCGACCGTCGAACTCGTTTTAGATCGTACCGTTTCGGTAGAGCGCACTTCGGAGAGACCGCATCGTTGAAAGTAGTGGCAGAGATCCTCTTGGGCTGGGTCGAGCGGTGGGGGAGCCATCTTGGACGAGGGGGAAGCGAGCGGCGGCGAGTAAGGGAGCACGTGCGCGAGCGAGTGGGTGCACAGCGAGTACGGGCTGCGTAGCAGAGCGTGCGGCTACGGGTTGAGTAGGAGAGATTCCACTTTCCCGATAGGGTCCCGAGTTGTGCGACGTGCTCGTGCTGATGGACAGAGGAGAAGCGAGCAACAGCGCGCCAAGCGCCGCTCTCGGCTCGAGGTGACGTGCGCCAGTTCTCGACCGAGACTCTCGACGCGCGGAACTCGGCCGAGACTTGGCTAGATCATCGCAGCTTCTTCCAATGCCAAACGGAACCAGATAAAAAAGATCGACCCAAAACAAATATCCGGGGTATTGCACGATAAGCATATAAGAAAGAAAAGAAACCCAACAGACAAAAACGAGCGATCCACTAAGAAAATGGTGGCTTATATAGAAAAACACCGGAGCGCCATCCCTCATCGGAACTAAAAGAGGACACCTTCTCTACTCTTCCGCCTCGAAACTACTCGGCCAACTCACCGCCAACCTCGGCACCGCGTCGACGAAACCTTTATTGAATTTTTTACCCTCGTCCTCTTCCTGCTGCAAGCGCGCGACCCAATCGGTCCATTCGTCCAACGCGTCCTCGTACTCCCTCAAACTACGCACCGCGTACTGATGCAACGTTCGATCATAGACCTCGGCGCGAAACCGTTCGGGGATGGCGGGCACGGGTGCACCCGATTCACGGAAGAGGTCCAATGCGGCGGGGGGCAGGATCGAGATCCGTTTCGAGAAACGCAACGAGACGCGCGGCGAGACCAGTCCGTTCGTACCACCGCCGCTTCCATTCGCACCGGCAGCGCCATGGAGCAACATCGATCGTCGTCGAGGTTGTTGAGGGAACACCGTATCACCCGAAACGATCGATAATCCGCTGATCGAAGGAGCTCCACCCGATCGAGGCATCGAGTCACCGACGATGGGGGGCGTCTCGGCCGCCGCGGGAGCAACGGCAGCACCTTCGAATTCGAACGCAAAGAACGCCGGCGACGAAGGTCTCGGATCCAAAGGCATCGGAGTATCTGCCGCTTCCCCATATTCAGGCGTCGAAGGCACCGTCGCCCAAGCCGGATCGCTCTGCTCGGGACTCGATCGCGCCGCCGAATCGGCCGAGTCGACCGACGAGAGGCTCCTGACCGACGACGCCGACGATCCAGTGCCGTTCGGTTGCCGGGGGTTGCGAAGCTTATTCTTGGCACTTGCAACGCTATCCAGGATGAAAGGATTGATACGAGAGTTTGACCTCAGCTCCTCCATGCTCGAGATGCTCGACTGCTTGCCGGACGCATGTTGCTTCTTGCCGAGACCACCCTTGAGCCACGACACCACGCGAGCGACGGAAGGGACGCCCTTCTTCCCGCCCGAGCCGTTCGCCGAACTGGGGGGCGTCGACGACCCATCACCTGGTAAAGGAGGGAACGACGACGACGACGACGTCAACGCGGGCGACGATCTGAACATCTCCTGCTTGACCTCGTCGTCGTCACTATCCGAATCCTCCGAGTCCTCCGGCAATGCGCCGACGAGCTCATCGACGGTGAAAGGTGCCTCCTTGACGCCGCGCGTCGAGCAGATCGTCGATCGTTTCGGCTTGAACATGTCATCGTCGGTCAAAGTATCAAGAGGTTCGAGCTCGTCGTGTCGACGGCGAATTGCTTCGAGTCGTACGTTCATGAGTCCGAACAGCGCAAGAATCGCGGGATCACGAGGTGCGTCGGGATGTTGCTCCGCATCGACGACGCCTAGACGAGCGAGGCGCCAGACGAGCAGTCGGATAAAGTAGCCTCGGACGCCGGCGTTCCAGTGCAAGTAGAGACGAGGGAAGAGCACCTTGTCCAAAATGATGTTCTCGCACAGTTCCTTGCGATCCGAAGGCCGAAGAGTGAAACTGGGAAGAATCGCGATAGCAAAAGTGTCAGCACACCCGCGAAGCAAAGATCACGCGAACGAGAACGCCGACTCACATCTCAAAATGGGCATAAATGAACGCGATCGTACGCATCACCGTAACCGTATTATCCGCCTCGGCAAGGATGATCCGAATGAACGAAAAGATGAAGGGGATATCAAACATCTCGAGGCACGACTCCGCCGGGCGCGGTACGATATGTTCGTCGTCCATGTTCTTGGACGCCGAAGGAGGCGGGTAAGAGAGTGTGTAGATCATCCCTTCGAGCAGATCAAGAAGGATGAACACCGATCGCGTATCCCAAAGCGACGTCTTCTTGACACAAGCTCGGATCCAAAGCTGCAGCATCTTGCCAAACACCCGTCGGCGCGTCTCCGCGTCCGAATTCGCAAGCGTCGAGGTCGTATCCCCCGGCGGTGCAGGCGACCCTCCGACGATGTCGAGCAAAGTCGCGACGACGCGTCGGTTCGCCAACTCGAGAATCTTGGGTTTCTGACCAAAGCTGAGGTTCGCCGAGTCGTTGGTGTTGAAGTTGCTATTGTTCGGCGTGATGGACGTGACGGACCGAAGGTTGCGATGGATCAGTGCGTCGGTCTTTTCAAGGATCGAGGCGGCGAGGAACAAGCATCCGGGAGCCGTGATGACGGCGGAGGGATCGACAGGAGGCAGCGAGTTGAACTCTTCGCGTGCTTCAATGGGGACGAGCTGAGCGGCGAGTTGACGATGGTACGCGCGGTAGAACGCAAAGGGCAAGTCCGAGTCGGAAGCGGTCCATCGAATAAGCCTGTGCATCGAATCACTCGCTTTCAGTCAGCGTCTGCTATTCACACCCAGAGTAACTCCACACGCACCAATTGCCCGACATGTCAATCACTACCTCGCCATCCGAGACCAGCACGCTAGCGTCCTCCGTCGTCGGCTTCGCCACAGTCGGAAGAAGCAGATTCGTATACGAGCGCATGTCACGCAGACACAGATCCCACAGGTGGGGAGGGAAGACGTCGAGATCGATCGCAGGGAGGTTGTATTCGTCGACGCCGACTTCTTCGAGGATGCGTCGAAGGTACGCCTTTTTGATCGGTGGCAAGGCCTTGAGCAATTTAAGTGCGACACCTTCGATGCGAAAGAACGACAGAGCGAGGATTCGACCGGAGAAAACGAGGGTGTTGGCATACACGGCCTTGTCGTTGAGTTTCTCGATCGCGAACGACAAGACTTTGACGACCGCGGATCGGTACTGCGCTTGCGACGCCTCGTCGTCCTGGAGCTCGAGCGTCGACGTAAAGTGGCACTCAAGGATCGCCGCCACGGCCTCGAGACAGATCCCTCGGTGCGTCGGCTGCATCTCGCGCAGTTCGGTCGTCAAGACGTCCAACCACCCAAACAACACCTGCCGCTGTTGTGTTGCGAGTGAAGGCGTAACGCGAGGGGAAGGTGCGTCCTCTTGAGTCCGAAGGAACGCGAGGATCGTGCCGCTGACGAGCGGGCCGCGATCGCCGCGATTCTCGCGCACCGCCGCTTTGTACCTGGTGAGAGTGCCGAACCCAGCTGTCAGCTTCAAAACGAGATACGGCTTGCTACTCAGACGTCGTTCACTCACGTAGCTAGTGCATCCTCCATCTTGAGCCACGTCTTTGAAAACGTCGACTCGGCGCCAGAGACAGGGGCTACACCTCTGACGCGTTTCCGCCATTTGATCGGGTGCGAGGTCGAAGACGACTGCAAGCTCTTGCCGTTCACGAGCGATGCACGTTCCGCCGGAGTTGATTCTGCCGAGGCGTCGGGGGGCCTCGCAGGAGTCGGCGATGCGGTCCGATATCCACTCGAAGTCGGGCTCGCCGACCTCGTCGGTGCCAACATCGTCGAGCTCGTCCCAATCAGATGAGCGGTCGCGCGCGTCGCTCTGACGGATTCCATGGACCGCGACGGCATCCCCGAAGATAAGGTCTGATGGACGAGCTGCGCGCGTTCGACGTGACCTATCTCCGAGAGGGACGAGCTCGATCCGTTCGAGATGGACGGTAAGGATTCGCTCGACATGGTGGACGAGTAGCTTTGCTTGTTGTGAAGGATGGGAGGGGTTTGAATCGTCGGTCCATTCTGCGCGTGATCAAAACAAAGAGTAAGCCTCTCGCTTCTAGCGCAGCGAACGTATACAACCACCTCCCGGGACTCACCGACAACGCATCCATACTCGGTCTCCTATTCGCCTCCGTCGGCCGATTCAGCACATCAAACGACGTCCGACTGGCCCCTGGCTCAGCACCACCAACCTCCCCACTCTGCGCCTTCTTCTTCGCACCGGCATTGAACCTCCCCAAGAACTCTTCACTCTTCCTCGCCGCGGATAGGGACATGCCCAACAAAGCCTGCGCCGGCTTCTTATCCCCGATCCCTCCGAGCAAGTTCGAGAAACTCTTCCTTCGGACCAAAGGCGCCGAAGGGATCGCAGATGGGTTGAGACTACTTTCCTCGCCCGGAAAAGTCGAAACATCGAATTGACTCGCCTTCCTCTCGTGCGAAATCGAATTCGGTTTGGTGCCGCCTGCGAGCACGCCGACGATCCGTTTACCGAGCGTGGAGGACGAGGTCGAACGAGAGCCGGATGGGATCGGTGGAGGTGGACCACTAGGATACGGCAAGTCGTGGTCGAGCACGGTGTTGGAGCTGAAAGAAGGTCGTCGCTTCGAAGTCGTTGCCGAAATGACCTGAAAGACCGATCCAGTGGTCGAGCTCTTCCCTTTCGGAAGAAAAGATCGACCCGGTCCACTCGCCGCATCCCCCTTCCCCGCTGCTGGAGGCTCATCAGCGAGTTGCGGTCTCGGCGAATTCGAGACCTGTGAGCCCGTCGGCGTAGGAGGCAAAGACTTGTGGACGGCCGAGTCCTGTATGCCCCTGAGGGCGATCGGCCCCAGAGCAGGAGGCTGGCCATTCGTCGACGTTGAAGGACCCGACAGAGAATTCGCAGACGTCGACGTCGACATCGAGGGTTCGGGCGTTGTCGATCGAGAGGTGTTGCTGGAGCCACTGATCGTGTTCAACCTGTCCTTTGAAGGACTGCGATTCAAGATCGAGCCCAACGAGCGTCTCCGTTTCGTCTGCGACGGTGACGGTGCGACAGCGATCGATGCATCGCCAAACTTGACCGGCTCCTGGTAAGGCAAAATGACGGATCCCGGTGACCTAGCTGGTGGGGACAAAAGCGGCAGTGTCGGAACCGAAGCCGGCGCGAACGATGTACGATCCGCCGAACCGGGAAGAAATTCGGTCGAGCTCGCCATCGCGCGTTCCATCTCGAGCTCCATCTCGAGCTTGAGATCGACCTTTGGCGGCTCCTTCCGATTGGTGTACGACGTAGCCTTTGAAGCCGAAGGTGAAGTCGAAGGTGAGGACTCGTTGGTCACGGGTCGGAAAGGCGCTTGCGGCTGCGAAGTCGGGGTCGTCATGTCCTCGACTTCGGGAGAGTTCGCCTCGACGGTGGATTCCGTCGCTTTGGGCGTGATTTGCGACTGCGATTCAGGCGCCAGTGTCGCTCGAGGTGTGACCGGCAACCGATGATCGAAAGAAGGCTGCAAATTCCTCGGTGTCGGCGGCCCGACCCTTTCCTTCTCCTCACCCCTTTCCTTCTCGCTCCCTACGCCAAACACCCCCTCCTGCGTGGCTTTCAACAAGCTCGCGATATCAAACATCGTATCGCTACCTCCGAGATCCAAATCGAGACTCAACGTCGGTGCCGGTCCTTTACCTGAATAACTCGGTCGATCGCTCGCCGAACTTTCACCCGAGTAGCGATAACCCGAATCGGACGAAGCACCGGGTGATGACCTATGATCCGATTCGAACGAAGCTCGGCCCTTGTTCGATTGGCGCGGTGGGGTGCCGAAGGACATGCGAGCGAGCATGCGACTGGCGCTCGCGAAGGATCCGATCGACGAGACGCTACCGGACGCTTTGCGATGTCGACCGCTCTTGGCGGGCGAAGGGGTCGTCGCAAAGGACGAATCCAGCGTTCTGGACGACGAGAGTGAAGTCGTCGATGCCGAGCGACCGGCGTGGTACGACATGGGAGCGATGGGTGTGATCGGCGTGATCGGTGTATCGAGTCCCGAAGCCCAGTCATCGTTCTCGGCCGTGCGACTCGTCGACGCGAAAGGCCTATTCGAACTCGAAGAGGTCGACGATGCAAGCCTCTGCGCCCTCATCTCCGCCGCGGTCAGCGTCAGCGTCCCGGAGACGTTCGGATCCGGCGCTCTCTGCCGCGGGCGATCGACGACGGAAGGTGGAGCCGACACGGTCCGATCCCGATCCCTATCCGTAGACGACGAGCTCTTACGCCTCTGCCGAGAAGGCGTCCGATGTGCGCGTTCGATTTCCAAGGTCGCCGTCGACGCCGAGCTGGTGACCGTCGTTGCCGAGTCGGCTTCGATCAGGGACGAGGTCGAAGCGTTCAAAGTCAGTGAAGCAAAGGGCGAAGTCGATTGCTCCGTGGCTCCCAACCACGCCTTGACCGAGGACCGATCCGACTCGTCCCTCTGCAACGATGACGAAGAAGAAGAAGAAGAAACCTTTCTCGGCAGCGGTGGTACACTCGATCCGTGGCTGCTCGATCCGTGAGGCGCTTCTGGGCGGAGCCACGCATTCTCGTCGACGACCCTGGCGGTGCGAACAGAACCCGACGTCGACTTTGTTCTCGGTAGGGTTTGCGGTCTCGGGGTGGTGAGTGCGACGCGCTGGATGACGCCGAATGCGGATGGGAACGCTCTCGTTGGAGCGGGTACTGCGACGGCCGAGGTTACAACAGGAGCGGAGCCGTTGGTCGCAGCGAGCGAGGTAGGGAGCGAGGCGGAGGGTATGGACTCTCGCGAGTAGGCCTGATGCCCGCGTGTGGTGAGTCCGATCTGGTTGGGTGGGGCCGATGCGGGATTGGCGACGGAAGCGGGGAGGTGAGAGGCCGTGACGAGCGGGGTCGAGTTGCCCGACGGGGTCGTCCCGAGCGGTGACCAAGTCCCGTTGGATTCGGAAGATTGAGAGCTGTGTTGATAGTGACGTGGGCGGTGGGGTATTTGCTGCTGTTGCTGCTGCTGTTGCTGCTGTATCGGCGAAGGACGGGACCAGCTCGGCGCGACAAAGGAAGGCGCATCGTTCCTCATCAACGGTGAGCTCGACTTGCGGAACGAGGCCGTCGTCGTCGACCTTGCGGAACGACGAGGAGAGCCTGTCGAGCCTGTTACGGTGGCAGTGGCATCCGGGTACGAGGTCGATGCGGTGCTCGAACCGGAGGCGGATCGTGGGTTGGAGCTCGGCGCAGCGGTGGTGGGGATCGAGTGGGTCGACCATCCCGACCCGGCGCGATGATGTGACATGACCACCTGGTCGGAGCTGCGGGTTGGTGGCAGGCACAGTGAGAGAGGTTAGTCAGGAACTGTGCGGGCAATCGACTGCGAATGCGATGGTGGTCCCGCAAAGGTCGACGGGTGCTGGTGCCGGCGAGGAGGAACGAGCGGCGCTGTTGCTGTTGAGCGGTACAAGATCCAACCAAGCGACACACCCGCATCCCACTGGCCCGGCACGTCATCTCGTGCGAGGTCAACAAGATGGTCGCACTGGATCGAATCCTGTACCGCTCAGCCATGGCCGTCGTCTCCGTACACTTTCGTTTCGTTTCGGCTTTGGCTTTGGCTTTGGCTTCGGCTTCGACTTCGGCGTCGGCTTCGGCAACTGGCAACTCGCGACTGGTGACTGGCGACTGGCGACTGGCAACTCGGCTCGCAGTACACACAGTAGGCCAACTGCCTACCGCCGCACCGCACACGATCTCAGTCTCGTCCACGGGAATCGAGTCGCAATGCTGCTCCTCTGCAAGCCCAAGATTGAAGCGGGTGGGATGCGATCGATCTCGAGACGAGTGGGGCGTAGACGTGGGACCTCGAGCAGGCAGGCAGGCACACTAACTAGGCGCTCAAGCACTCGCACTCAGCCTTCATGCTTCACTCACCCACTACTTCAACAGCACCCCCCGCACGACCACACACAAGCACACACCCGAGATGTTTCGGATGAGATCAAAGTCGATCCGATCCACCACACACCAGACCAGACACAAGACGAGACGAGACGAAGGGCGAGACGGGGGCGATCGCACCACTGCCAATGAGAGAAGCTGAGTGAGGGTCGTGCTCGTCTCGCGTCAAGCTCCCCAAGTCGGCCGGCCTGTTCTGGCCTGTTTGTGACTGACTAATAGCTGTGACACTCTTGGCGCTACTCTGCGCCCCTCAGTCTCACTCTCGCGCGCGCGCCCTCCCTCAGCTACCCTCTATTGGGCCCGCCTTTTGTAGTTTTATTCGACCAGTGGGAAACCGTTAACTTAGCAGGAGGATGTTAATCGAACAGTCTACATGATTTCAGCGCAGAGGTTAACAAAACACAATACAAAGTACAACAAAGAACCAAAATCCATTCATCCTCCTGCCCGTTGTACAAAAATTGCCTCGGATCGGAACATGAACACGACAGTCAGGTGCGGCAGACACAACAGTACGCTCATTCACCACTGGCGGGCCTCCGGACCGCAACATAGTTGAAAACACAGATTTTAGGTACATTACTTAACTGACACTTTTTTTTGTACTAGTAGGTAGAGGTAGTCATAATAGTAACTCACTGTCTTCAAAGACGCCATGGCCAAGGCCCAACGTACCGCTCAAGCACTTTTCGACCTTATTTCGAGCAAAGTTCTTTCAGTTCTTTGGCACATCTCGGTGAGTCATGGTTGATTGACTCGGAGCCAGACGACGCCTCGTCGCTCATTCAGAGCATCAGTGTTTCTGGTAGAGTCAAACCACCTGCTCCGACGTATGGTGGCGTTCGATCGAACAAGACCGATCGAACGCATCCCTCTTCAAGATGCTATATCAAGATCGCATCTTTGAACATGCCGGCGCAGTCGGACCTGCACGCATCGACCTATACAAGAAGCTTGCGGCCTCCAATAAAACTGTCAAGAGGTATTCTGCTGGTGAGCGGCTCATCAAAACTGTTCCCGAACTTGTCGCACTGCTCCTACTGACCCTCAGCTCATGTGTGATCGGGTAGGGCCCTTCACAAATTCGGTCTTCGTCAAAATCGACAGAAGTCCCACTATGAAATCCTTTTTGCAGCTTGCCTGCATGGCCCAACTCGAACGATCGAACATTCAAATTCACCCACGAGTCCCGACGGGTCATCAGATGACTTGTAGTGTACGACGTGACTGTCGTCCAAATGGCACGCAGGTGCTCCGGCCATGCAGGCAAGCTGCAAAAGAATTTTTGTAGTGTGACTTTTGTCGATTTTGACAAAGACCGAATTCGTGTAGGCTCTACCGATTACACATGAGGGGTCAGTGGGAGCAGTGGGACAAAGTTCAGGAACAGTCTTGATGAGCCGCTCACCAGCAGAATACCTCTTGACAGTTTTATTGGAGGCCGCAAGCTTCTTGTATAGGTCGATGCGTGCAGGTCCGACTGCGCTGGGCATGTTCAAAGATGCGATCTTGATATAGCATCTTGAAGAGGGATGCGTTCGATCGGTCTTGTTCGATCGAACGCCACCATACGTCGGAGCAGGTGGTTTGACTCTACCAGAAACACTGATGCTCTGAATGAGCGACGAGGCGTCGTCTGGCTCCGAGTCAATCAACCATGACTCACCGAGATGTGCCAAAGAACTGAAAGAACTTTGCTCGAAATAAGGTCGAAAAGTGCTTGAGCGGTACGTTGGGCCCTGGCCATGGCGTCTTTGAAGACCCCAGCCAAATCAGGGTCGACCCATTTCATCAAGCTGAGAAGCATCCTGTTGATGGGCAAGAACGAGCGACGAGTCAGCCCGTGGAATATCAGTAAGAAATACCAGGGAGGGTGCGGTGTAGGACTTACAAGACCGTATGTATGTGGGTGAACACATTGCGGCCACGTGTCGTTCTTTACCAGCACGAAAGCCAAAAGGCGAAATACCTCCGCCAAAACGTTGCCGACGGCATGGACAGCCTATTCGATGTTCGAGAGGGGACGACGAAGGCGCGCGGAAACGAACAGCGAGATTCCTGAAGTGACTTTCGTGCTCGGCCGATGGTGCTTTGCTGCTGATCGGCAGTGGAGGCAAGTACGAGCTGCTGATGTTCAGAACTGTGCACGGGCCGGGTCGGACGGCAGTGGCCGGTGGGTCGGTTGGGCAGTGGGTGGTCGACGTAGATGTAAAGATTGGCGCGGAGGTGGCGTGAGGAGTACGCGCAGCAGTAGGCAGGGAACGGTCCTGGCCAGGAATCACCAATGCACGAGCTTGAACTTGCGGACGCGGCGCACCGACGGTGAACGGGTTTGCCTATGCAATTCCAGAAGTAGTCGTAGCAGCGGAAAACTGGCTTGCCGGAGGGTAGCCATACGGTTGAAGGATCGTCGGATTTGACATGGCGGGTGACGGAAGAGCGCCGGTCGAGTCTCTGATGGGGCGTTCAGATTATTGCAAAGGACCCGTGGATGGCCGAACAGGGAACGGAAAAGCCACTCCGCCAGGCACAAAAGGGGGCTGGATCGGTGCGAACGAAGCGGAAAACTACGTGTGGCTGTTGGCAGGATGGGACGGCGGGTGGTGAGACATGGGCTGGTAGTGCGGCATCAAATGATAAAGCGGCCCGAACGCCCGGGGGGGCGTTGGGAACAGGTGCGGTTGGTGGGAATAGTGATACGCGACAGGCTGATTGACGTATGCGTTGTACGGGTGCTGGGGGACGACAGGACCGGTGACCGTTGGCGGATGCAGAACATTGGGACCACTTTGGCCTGATCGATGCCCAAGACGTGGCCGAGAGCGAAATGCCAAACGCAGGGACAACTTGACACAGAACAGCAGCGGCGAGCTTACAAGGCATGGCCGACGATGATCCATTTGAAGGACCTTGCAATTCGACAGGCGGACCTGAGTCAGGCTGGTTCATGATGGTGGAGGAAGCAGTTGGGACACTGGCGACTTTGCTAGTGATGGGCGGGGAGACGAGGTGCAGGAGGGGAAGATGCGAGAAGGGACCTTTGCTGTTTTTTTGTTTGTTTTTTTCCCGGTCACCTTTGCGAAGGCTGGTGTGATTGCCGGCCGGTGTGTCGCAAGAAAGGAGCGGATGAAGTAGCCCGAGCGCGGCTCTCCTAAACGAAATACGCCGGCGTGGGAGGGCGTGTGCACCGGCCGGGTGCGCAGGTGCGCGGGTGCCAGTGGACCGTGGCTTCCTAGTAAGCTGGCAGCAGGTGCAGCAATGTAATGCCGCAAGTACGCACGAAAACAGTAGCATGTCTAGTAACATGTCTAGGCTAGGTTAAAGACCCTAGCGCGCGCAATCTCAGCAGTAAAGTACTCGAGATGCATCGCAGCGTCATTGTGTTGCTGGGGAATAATGCGGATGAATATAATGCTTGAGACATAGCAAAATGAATGACCAGTGATGATGGAATGGGCGGGGCTGTAGTTGTGAGCTGCCACTCATGCGGATGATCCAAGGGTCCGCATTAGATCAGATCACCGCCAGATCAGATCTGATCAGATCTGAATGTTTCTGATTCTGCCTTGATTGATCTGATCGATCTTGATCTGATCTGAACAGACCATTTTGATCCGAGACGTGAACTTGCCTAATTTGGCGCAGAGACTTCTACATGTCTACATGTTGAAATCCCCATCTTCTTCCTCCACAACCTCATCCTCATCCTCATCCTCATCCTCATCATCCTCCAAAGTGATCACCTTGCTAAGCCACCGCTTTTTGGAGGAGCTCCCTGCTTTTATGACTGGATTGGGTCGCATGATCCTATGAGAAAGTGTTTCGATTAGTCAGCACTTGACACTACGAAGGCCCATCAGAGGAGAACGACACCCTGTAGTGTTTCTGTGGCGCGGGGCCGACACCCAATGCGCCGGCGATGCCAGATGGCAGATGATGGCGCGATCCATTCTCTCTCATGATCAGGTGCGCCGCAGTTGGCATTTCAAATCTCAATGGCACCATCTAAGTACCGTCTATTTTTTCTTTCTTTCTTTTTCTCGAGGCTTGATTGATCTTAACTTGATCTGACCCCTGGCAGATCAGATCAGATCTGATGCGGACCCTTGGCTTCACTCCACGTCGTTCCGCGACCTTCCGCGACATTCTATGAACCCCGATTCAAATTGAGGCGCAGGCTTCTCCATCTTTCTCCCTCCTGCTCTTCACTGACACCTTACCCATCGCACCTCATCCCATCGCCACTCATGAAAGAAGCCCCAACACAACCATCTTACAACGTCGCGGATGGAAAACTGTCAGTCGATGACGTCGATCGACTTGCCGCAATGTACGCGAAACAACGCACGACCGTCTCTTCCCTGAAGGCCGACGGCCACGAAATGGTCAAGTTACCCGAAGGTAACTATGGTCACGCGGTCCTTGCCCAGGACACGGCTCAAGTAGGTGTCACAATGCTTGGGAAGATTGTGTCGATTGATCGATCCCTCAACAGGGATGCCTCCCGTGTAGTAAAGTAACGCGAACAGCAAAACGTTTAGGGGAGCAGCCCGTTGATATACCTTCATGATGTCAACCAACCACCCATCCAGCCTTATTAGAGACGCAGATATCGAACGGGTGGGCCGACCCGAACTGTTCTCGAGACAAATCGGCCTCGAAGCTCGCGACACCCGAAGCGGTCGTCGTGGAAGCTCTGCAACGAATACGGGACAAGGTTTCTCGAGGAATGGCTGCCGCATCATGCAGCATAGCTACGCATTCGAGTAAGTAACTTTATGAACTGTGTGCTCTTGGTGTGGGCTTGTTGAGGAGCTAATGGAAAGCTACGGCAAGCGGCAATTCCCTTCAACACGTCTTCTTTGAATGTCTACCCTCGAGTTGTTTTTCTTCACCGTGAGCTGGTGACACTGCATGCGTGAGTTATTACGTGACGTGGCTGTGCAGTCTTAGGTATGACGGAAACTGATATAAAAAACAGACATTGGACTTCAGTGACAGGAGGTGACCCTATCCCCGAAAAGGGGGGGCACCCACCGTGGCCTGCCTGGAAAACGACATTGATGCCGACAGATACCACATGTTCTACAACAACGCTCGCGAAGGAAGCTACAATGGCCGAAATGTGGCAAAGTCTCACGCTACGCCGCTACCTGTATCTGTAGCGAGGGCAGTGAAGACTCACATCTAGTGTCCCATGGACCCGGATTCTCAGCGATACGAAGTCAACCCTTCCGCTGTCTCTACCCGTGGCCTTTTGACTTCGACGCTTTGCCTTGTATCGAGCACGTGACTGCACATACGTCCCCCACCCTTAAAATGGTGTGTGCGTACAGCTCAGCATGCCCGTCAACGTTTGCAGGTAGCGGCGTAGCGTGAGATTTTGCTACTTTTCGGCCATTGTAGGTTCCTTCGCGAGCGTTGTTGTAGAACATGTGGTATCTGTCGGCATCAATGTCATTTAATAAACGAAACACGCAAAAAAAAAACAGGGCTTTGGTTCCGTGAACTGCGGCTCACCATCCCGTGGCGGCTCGCAAGTCAAGCTTGCGAAACCCGTGAAAAGGTCCACACTCGACGCGGGTCTCGACCGGTCTGAGCCCATCATCGGGCTCCCAGAGAACAAAAAGTTAGATGCTGAACCACTCCCAAGTGAAGAATGCCTGTTGAAGCCCCGTACGAAACTTCACAGCGATAAAATGAGGTTTGCTAGCCTCGCAAAAAATGTTTGATTTTCTACAGCAAAAGAATGACCTTGGAACGTGTTCGTTCTCCGGCGCAATCCTCTGGTTAATTTCCAACCGGTTGACGAAGTGAAACGAATGCGAAATGGCTCTCACTTGCTCTTACGACTCTCTTTCGTTTGCCAGCGTTTACGAGAATGGCAGCAGCTTGAGCCGAGTGCCGGTCCGAAGCGCCTCTCGGCCTCTCTCGGCTTCCCCACTGACGACCCGCACCCGCACCCGCATCTCGCCCCGACCACCTCCCTTCCCCCCCACCACCCCCAACCCACACCCCCAACCCCGAGATGACGGAGCAACTCGAACTGCTCGGTGCGATCGTGCGTTCGATCCCTGGCCAGCTCGCGACCCTCCCCGGCCACGCGCACACGACGGTCTCCCAAATCGCGACGAACCCGTTGAACGTCTCCCTGCTGCTGCTCGTCCTGTTCCTCATCTTCACCCTCCTCCCAACCGAACCCACGATCCCCGACCCTAAAACCCTCCCGACCCGTCCCAGCTCGTACAATTGGCGACCGCCTACGCACGTATCGGCGAACGCGATCGTGTGGAAGGAATTCACGCCCAAGGAATTGGCTCCGTTCGATGGTACGGATCCGAACTTGCAGGACGGGAGGATCTTGTTCGCTATCAGGAGGAAGGTGTATGATGTTTCGGGAGCGGGGGGCAGGACGTTTTATGGACCGGGTCAGTTGGGAGGCGCACCGCTCGTCGAGAGGGAAACACCCCCGCTTCTCTCCCTCGCCATCGCAGCCTAAGCTCCACTTGCACCGCTGACACCGCTGACACCACACCACACCCTTCCCCGCCATCCCTACCCACTCGAATATTCTCTCCCAGGTGGTGCCTACTCGACCTTCGCAGGCCGCGACGCCTCGCGAGGTCTGGCGAAACAATCCTTCGACGAGGACATGCTCACCTCGCTCGACGGACCGATCGACCCTTTGGACGATCTGACCAAGGCCGAATGGGATAATCTCAGGGATTGGGAAGGTCAGTCGGATGAACTGAATCGTTTTGATGGATTTTTTTGCGCGTGTCTTTGGGTAGACGGCTACCTCCGCGAGTGATGATCCTGTGCGTGGATCGTGGTCTCGAGCGACAAAACTGATGTGGGGCCTCCCCCCGCCCCCCTCCCCTTCTCTTCACCCCGTAGGCCATTTCCAAAACAAGTACATCATGTGCGGGCAAGTTCCCTTCCTTACCCTCGGTACGGTTCTCGCGTCTTGGTACCGTATACTGACTATTTGGGGCTACGCGACCGGTGTGCATTCACAGCGATTACGTCGAGCCGAAATGAATTGACGACGAGTGGTGTACAGACTCACGCAGTTTGACGTGGTGGATGTGTGCAATTCAACCCCCTTCTTTTACACTCTCACAAAACAAAACAAAAACCCATCAACCTACACCACATCAAAACCCCCCAATCACACAAAAAAAGAAAAGAAAAGAAAAAGCTCATCCCCCGACCCCTCACTACTCATCCTCCGCATGCACCTCGTCCAAGAAATCCTTGTAAACGGGGTTATCCGTCTCCTCGACGTAAGGGTACCTCAACCCATGTAACCACTCTTGAAACTTGGGTTCGTCCTGCTGTGCGACTTGAATTCCCGCGAGAATCTTGCCGACGTCTAGTAGGGGAAAAAAAAGGTGGGGGGGGGGGGGGATCAACTTTGAGCCCCCTTGGGGCGTAACGAAACAACTAGGAACGGGCGCCACCACCGCCAGCGCGGGCGGTCTGGAACTAAACTAACCTCCTCCATGATTGCGATAATGGAACAAACTGATATTGAACCCCGTCCCCATCGTTTCCAAGAACTTCCTCAACGCGCCCGGTCTCTCCGGAAACTCGAACCTGAACACCCTCTCATCGTTGACCTTGCTCCTTCCTCCTACGAGGTACCTCGCATGGTTCTTGGCCATCTCGTTGTCCGAAATGTCGAGCGCGTTCATCTGGTGCGTTTTGAACGTCGCGATCAGGCTCTGCAGTTCTTGGGCCCTTCTCTCGGCGGGTGTGAGGGGTCGAACAGTCGAGGTACCGTTGATGGAAGGTACGGGTTGGGTGGTATTGTTGTTGGCGGAGGAAGAGGCGGAGGAGAGGTAAAAGGAGAGGAAGATGAAAGCTCTTGTGGGGGAGGAGTAACGGTACACGAATTCCGTTACCGCTCGGGGATGAATGACGCTATGTAATTGAAGGAAGCTGTGCGACCGGAACAAAAAAAAAAACCCCAATCACACGTCTCAGCAACAAAAGTAGCGCTCTCCCCAAGTCTAGTTCCTCTCTACTCACGCCCCAGGTGTCTCGGGAATGATGACCCTCATCATCGCCTCCTTGCCCTCTCCCAGTTCAGCCCGATCGGCAATGAATCTCAACCTCGAGAAATTGAGGTTCGCACCCGAAACGATAGGGACGAAGCACTTGTCCTGGCCGAGAAGGTTGTTCTGCAGGATGTACTTTTTCATCCCGGCGACGCCGAGCGCTCCCGAAGGTTCAGGCGCCGATCTCGTATCTAGGCCCCAGCGTTCATGAACCAACACATCAGTTAGGAAACGGCGAGAACGTTTGGCGTGTCCGAACACCTGACCTTCGAAAATATCCTTGATGGCCGCACACAACTCGTCGTTGGAAACGAGGATGATCTCATCGACCAAGGCCGCGCAAACCCTGACGCTCTCCTCGCCCATCTGTCTCACCGCCGTACCATCGGCGAACAATCCGACCTCGTGGAGCATCAACCTCTGGCCCGCTTTCAACGTTTGGGCGAGACAGTCGGCGTCGTAGGTCTCTACGCCGATGACTTTGACGTGCGGGGGTGCGACGGCCTTGATGTAACTGGCGATACCGGCCAAGAACCCACCCCCACCAACGGGTACGAACACCGCATCGAGCTGATTCACATCCGTCTGCCTCAGAATCTCGACGGCGGCTGTGCCTTGCCCGGCGATGATGTAAGGATCGTCAAAGGGAGGGATGATGGTCAATCCGTGGACCTTGGCCAATCGATCGCATTCCTTCTTCGCTTCGTCAAAATCCGCTCCATGCAATACGACCTTGGCTCCTAAGCGATCTACATTCATGTACTTGATCGAAGGCGTATTGAGAGGCATGACGATCGTGCACGCGATACCCAATTCCCTACCCGATAGCGCAACCCCCTGCGCGTGATTGCCCGCCGAACAAGCGACGACGCCTCGCCACCGTTCGTCGGAGGAGAGTTGCTTCATGAGGTTGTACGCACCGCGCAACTTGAAGGAGAAGACGGGGGTCAGGTCTTCGCGCTTGAAGAGGACTTGGTTACCTAGTCGGGCCGAGAGCTGGAAGAAAGGATCGAGATCAAGAGTCAGGGCTCGATTGCGAAGGGGGGGGGGGCACTCGATCACCCAACTCACCGCGGGGGCGACGGTCAAGGGTGTGCCACTTGGGGGAAGGATCGAGTAGACGTTCGAGGTGAGACAGAGGGGGAGGTAGTTGGGAGTACCATCGGGTAGCAACAGATGGGCTGCGAAGTGAATCCGTCCGCGATCACCGACCGATCAGCGCCGTGCATACCAGTCTACACGACCCCATCTGGACCTACGAGGTACCCTCTTGTACAGGGACTTGTTGGGTTCAAACACCGGTCTCGTCACAGTAACTCCGCCAGGCAACCTTATCGTCTTTTTCGGGTCGACCGCCGCGGCCGAGTCGAGCGATCCCGAACTGCGTCTCCGAGCCGGTGTACGAGCACGCCCGTTCGACAACGGCGGCACCGTGCCTTCCGTTTCGGCGATCAGGCCCGAGACCGTGGGCGACGGGAATGTGGATTGGCGTGACATGGGGCTTTGCTGGGAGTGCGGGGCCGTAGCGATGCTCCGAGCTGGCGGGGTCGGGGTCAGAGACGACGAGTCAAGCGGATAAAACCCGGAGCAATCCAGAGCCGGGTTCAAGTCCTCCTTGAACTTTCTCGTATGAGCATTTACTAGCATCGACTAACCTCAGATGGTTTCCTGTACAGAATCAAACACATTACAGTGATGTGACATGGTCCAAAAAGGAGTTCCAAAAAAGGACAGAGCTACATCTCATCACGTCACAAATCTATTATGTCTCCCGGCGGTCCTCGCTTGATCCTCGAGTCTCCGAACTGCAGAGCAACGCATCTCTCCTCAAACTTGAAGGCTAGGGAGCTCACCGATAGATCTCGGGTTGACGTGCACCCCACTTCTCGTCTATAGGCTCATCAGAACGGATGAAACCTCCTCAGCGCAAGTAGTAAGAAGTGAGGTACCCGCCGACCCGAGACTGGTTCAAGGAAAAGAAAAAAGTCCCGGTCGAGTTGTCCGAGGAGAGCGGGTTCGGAGTGGCTCTGACTGGCAGTGAGCGCTGACTCAATGCACGAAAGCAGTGCTTTCCTCATCTCCAATGGTGCGTTCTTGGACCGGAATAGAAACCGACATGTCCCCGAGCAGCTGCAATCTCTTCCGACTCAGAGTAGTAACTCGCATCTCTGCTGCCACTGCAGAGATTTCTCCGAGGCTTTTCGTCATCATCAACCACATTGTACTACCGTAGTACAGTCACATATGCCCATTTATCTCAAACCGAGCTGATGATTCGGAGTAGCTTGACTGCACAGTCATCACGCTTTGTAAAAAGGTCCCAGGCACCAGATCGTTTCAGTGAATGACTCGACTCCTCGGTCCGGGTCGACGGAGATTCCGGCCGGCGACGGGCAAGCGAGCATCGGAAAAGGGGGCCGATCGACGAGGAGGGACTCGGATTCGGAGGGCCGGACATCGTTGTCGCATTGACGGCAAGCGTCATGTACGTGCTTTATTATTATTCCCGTCGAGAAAGGGTCGGAAAATTACGATCGTCAATTCATCCCGTCTCGCGAAGTAAGTGAGGTAAGCGAAGAGCCCACCTCTAGTAGAGATGCCCGTCCCCACGGGCATGACTCGATTCGACTTGGCCTGGTGCACGGGCCGACGCCCAACTGCGCGCGCGCGCGCACACGCTCGATGACGAAGCTGGCTCCGAGATCTGAGATTCTGGTTAAGATGCGAGTCACCAAAATGAGTCGGAAGAGGCCGGTGATCTCTCTCTTTTTCTTGGACAATCTTACGTCGGTTTCGTGGATTGTCCATTTTGTAGACCCAAGCAAGCGGGCTTTCTCGTCCTTCTTCCTCTCTTAACCCTCTTCTTCTCCATCCCATCGGTTTGGACCGGGGGTCCCGGACAGCTCGGCGACTTTTCTCTTCAAATCGGTCGCGGGTTGATGAGCACTACACTACCTGTTACTCGAATCCACGCTGTGATACACGCCGTGGGTTTGGAAAACGAAAGGTGGATTGCACGTCAACCCGAGGCCGATTCGAGGTCAAGTCACGGGCTTCGCGCACTCAGCGGTGAATCGGTTGATCTGATCTATGAGGATCAAGCGAGGGCGAGGGCGCACACGAGGCAAAGGCTGGATCGGATCGACTTCGGACGTCCCGTAGCTTGATCTCAAGCAGGTCCTTACAGAGTGAATACGTGAAATACTATGTTTCATTCTGAGCACGGACTGGCGGTCTATCCTAGGTCTGCGTCAATGCTGAAAATTATGTATATTTGATCAATCGATTGAACACAGCGCTCGACCTTGCCCTAGACTCGATCGCCCCTGACGCTGCCCCTTTCGTCCACTTTCGTCCCACCCTCGCACAGAGCTTTTCATCCGGGAATCCCTAGTTCGTAGAATTCATATGCCATTACCCCATGATGTCGGTACATCACACAAATATCATTCATACCTTTCGCTGATGGCGAAGCTGATACATCTTGAAACCCATCTCGTTCTGAAAGGACCGTCTTGAACGCAGTGCTGGAACGAGCGCTAAGTCCTCAAAGAAGGTATAGGCTAAAGTCTTCCCCACGAAGCACGACGGAGGGGTGTGAGATGGGTTGAGTTGGATAGGTCGATGATGTGAGCCGCTTGCTGGTACGAGACGCTCGGCCAGCTGCTGCGAAGACGATCGAGGTTCGAGTCGGTGGCACCGGGGGTGAGGTGAGTTCCTCAGAGACCCTTGCTGAAAACTAACGCGTGACTGACTCGACTCCTCGCTCCGCGGGTCATCACGAGATGACAATTACTCAGAAGCATACCACCAAAAAGGTGCTGTCTCTCTGACCTGAGTAGACTGAGGGCGATGAACCCACCAACAACTCGGCACACTGGAAATTCCCATCAGCTCGAAAATGTGACGAACGATCCAGCCCCCTTTTTTCGTCCCGCGTTGGTGCGCCGCCAAGTGTAGAGCCGCCGGCCCACGCTCGACCGCGAGTCGAGTCATATGCATGGAAACCGATCGGAAGCCGAGGAACAAGTCTTCTGAAGTTTCGGTATCAATGCTCGCGCTGAATCTGTGTCAAGACTCCACCTCGATTTTCGCCCAAACGTCCAGCCTCGCGTCGTGCAAACGCAAGGTAGTATTTTGGCTTCCCCACAGACGAGTTTTCCTGTGAGGTTTCACTAGGCTGGATTCCGGGAGTTCTTTCTGCGACTTCCGATGGCTGAAATCGATGATTAAGGCTCGAGTGCTGTTTTCGCAAGGTGGACTTTTAGGGGGTTGGTGATAACGTCCGTTGACCTGCTTCGAAGGTACGATTGAGGCTGTGTTCCACAAAAGAAAAGATGGACTTGGAGGTTGCCTCAAGAGGCTGAACGTGCTCGCAAGGACTCTTATCCGGCGTCAGGTAAAATTTCACGGTTCAGTTTTGGGAATACAGGTGTATGTGTGTGTGTGTCGAGTTTCCGAGTGTACAAGTTTTCAAGTCTCAAGACTCTCGTCTCTGTCCGTCCTCGGTGCGGCGGCCGCCACCAGTCAGAGGTGGTTACTGCAGAAAGTGCTCTTGCTTCGCCGAGGCGCGCCTCGAGTAGCGCCGCGGTCGGATGCGTCCGGCCTCGTCCGGCTCAGCCTGCCAACACCCCAGCCGCAGCATCGACCACACATCACCGAACCTGCTCAGGGCTTTCTTTGGACGATGGTGTCGACCGCTTCTGGCGCCCCGCCTGCCAAGAAGCCACGCACGACGATGGAACGCTCACCTCAACTCGGTCAGTAGCTCAACTCGGGCGCGTTTGCCTCGTGCGTCGCGGCTGCTCGCACATGTCCAAACTGCTCAAGCCCACTTCATCCCGTCGACCACAGATGTATCAACCCTCACCTCGACCCTGCGCACACGCCTGAAAGCGTATGCGCAACTGGCGGCCAAGCTGGACACGACCTTGAAGGACGTGAACCAGGTCCACTCGGAGCTCGACACCGACAACAAGCCGATCAACCTCGTCAAGGGGAGGTTGGACAGGTTGTATGATCTCGTTGGCGAGGATACGAATGCTGAGCTAAAGTGGGTCATCGTCGGTCTCGTGGCGCGCGCAGTGGGTCGCGCGTGGGGGAGCGACTGACACGCAGGACTTGATTGGTGCAGACGACTGGATCAAGCGATCGAGACTCTAGATGTGCTCGTCGTCCTAGCCAAAGAACCACCACCGCCGATACGAGCTCCCGCTGTCACGGCCCTCGCAGGCTCTTCCAACGCCGCAGCGACCGCTTCGTCCTCGTTGGCGACGGCGACGGCGCCAACATCAGTCTCGACGCCGGTTTCGGCCGCCAATTCTCCAGCTTCGAGTGTACCAAGTGGGTCCTAACGCACCGAAAGTACCGTCGGATAGATTCGTTTCTGATTTTTTTTTTTTCGGACTCGCAGGCAAGAAAAGAGGGCCCTACAAGAAGAAGGAGAAAGGCGACGGGGCATCGCGAGCCGGATCACCCACGAATTCCTTCACCGCTTCCCCTCTCCCCGCCTATTCGACAGTCACCTCTCCACCCCTCTCACGTCACCCTTCGATTGCTGGAAAGACCTCGGGTAAGACCTCGGGCAAGACCGCCGGCAAAACGGGGGGCAAGTTCTCCGCCGCGATGGCCGCCTCAGCTTCGACCTCATCCATGAACGGTTCGGCTGCGATCCCTTCCCCCGCAAATGCTTCGACGTCCAACACGGGCACACCGACAACGACCAAGAAAGCGACCGCCAAATCAAAGAAAGACTCTTCCGCCGCCCCGACGACCTCCTCGAGCCTCGCCTTCCACGCCCAACTTCCCCTCGGCCCAGGTCGTCAAGTCGCCTTCCGCCAACCAAGCAAATCCGTCGTACCGGGGGAGGAGAAGCAGGACGAATGGATCCTGGCGAGGGTGATTGCTTCGATCGGGGGCGACAAGCATCGGTATCAAGTTGAAGACGTCGATTATGATGTGATGAATCCGACTCCGGATGAAGGGTGAGTTTTGGAGATGGCAAACTCCCGAGAGGCCGAGGCATGTGGTAACTGACCGCACTTTGTGTCAAATTCAGCAAATTCAATACGACAACGAAATCGATCATTCCTCTTCCCGATCGAATGAACAACAAAACCTACCCCAATCACGACTACACACCCGGCCAGGCCGTCCTGGCCCTCTACCCCGAGACCACATCATTCTATCGCGCGATCGTGCAGAGTGGGCCGGTCCCTGTACCAGGGTCAACAGGGAAGGTGAGGATCGAATCGGACCAGATGCCTGCACCGATATGGAATCATTCTGATGCTCTACCATCTTTCATCACAGAAAAAGGACAAGGAAAAAGTCTATCGGCTCAAGTTTGAAGACGACGGCGATTCGGTGCGCGAGATCCCGATCGAGTTTGTGTTGGACATTCCGGACAAGTAGACCCGATGATTGAGTGTTGTAAGACGAGCTTTATGGGTTGCTTGTTCGTATTTCTGCTTTTCATCAAACAGTGTAAGCTGCTCTACGAGGGTCGAGGCTCTCGTAAGACTTTCCCCGGCCTTGACGGAGAACAAAGGAACCAGAAATCAGGGGCGGCCCCGCGCGCGCAGGCGCGGGCACACAGCGCGGGCCCCTGTTCGAACAAGGGCCAAGTTGGCCCGAGCTACACAGCGCCTCTCATCTCAGCACTGACTCTTTGCGCGGCACTGTTGATTGCCAAACGGGTCATGACAAGGGCGTCACTGACCCCACCCACCCGTTCGAGAGCGTCCCCATGCCTCGCGCCCATCCTCTGTCTCAGTTTTCCTCCCTCATCCCCTCTCGGCTTCCCTCTCGTCGTCTTGTTTTCGTGTCGTATTTCTGGTCATACGAGCTGGTCTCATCGCATCTCACATATCTCGCATTCCAACCAGCTTGCTCTGTGAGCCTCGCATATTATCCACCTCCGCTTGCATCCCCCAAGCGTGACTCGTCTCTCGTGCCGGCCGCCTTCCCGAACCCCTCTGCCTCCATCGCGATCCTCAACCATCCGCCATGACATTCTTCAAGAAATCCTCGATCCTGTTCCTCTTCCTCAATGCAATCCGTTTTCTGTCCGTATTGTCCATCATCATGGCCTTCGCAGGGGAGATGATCGTGCTCGTAAAGTGAGTTTTCGTTTTTCGGCAAAAGGGCCTTTGTTCGGTCTTGATGGCCCGTGCGAAAAAAATGCGCTGACCCGGAGTCGATGCTGCCGCAAAGTGACGTGAAGGGATACCAAGCCGCTACTTCAGGAACAACTTCCACATCGTCCTCTTCTTCACCGAATTCCAATACCTTCGCAGGAACGACGACTTACGCCCGACTTGCTCGTCGTTCCGCACGTCCCTTCGGTTCTCCACCAGTTGTAGCCGGCGGCTTGACCGCTCGTGTGGTAAAACGCGACTATCTCGGCTCGCACGGCAGTAGCATCCTCTCGGACGCCAACGACACCTTGAGTAACCTCAGATCCTCCTCTTCCTTGACCCCCTCCGGCTCGTCAAGTGGTAGCAGCAGCGGTGATAACGAGTCATCCAGTTCGACGACCTCGACGGCGTGCTCCTATGTCGGCAACACCTCGATTCCGAAAGGGCCGGGGGGTATTGTGTTTGTGGCGATTTCGAGGATCTTTTGCTGTGAGTTCTCTCGAATTGTGGCCTTGCGAACTCGGAACGCTAAACCTCTTCGATCTCCACAGGCATCCTCCTCTTCTTCATGCTCATCTCTGAAACTCCGCCTCCAACGAAATGGACCCAAAAATTCTGGTCGTACGCGTTCCCACCTTTTGGCGAGAACTTTGGGGTTGGAGTGCTCGGTGTCGTCCAAGTCTACTTGGGTTCAGTCATCTTGTCGCACAAGTAAGTCCCGTCGAACCCACCCATCTCCAGTCCGAAAGCTAGCTCCTAACACCCCCCCCCCGCGGTCCATCTTGCCCCCCCCCCCCCCCCCTCCCAAAAAAAAAGGGTAACGGGTTTCCCCCTCGTCGCAGCATGGTTCCTCTTCATCCTCGGTTTCGTCAACATGCTCCTCGGTCTCTCCTTCGGTTCGCGCCTGAAGAAAATCCGTTCTTTTTCGCCTTATCAACTCGACGATGGCTTGACACCTCTCAACTCGCGTACGTCCGGTCCAACGACGCGGAATGAAGTAAACGAACGACGTGATCGACCTAATCGAGCCTCTAGGCTCGTATCCGGTTTGAGGGCATTCACACTGGGTACTTCAACAACCCCCTTTTGCAACTCGCATGCGCCCTCGACCGAGAACAGTCCCCAACCGGACCGCGGTCATGACACGAGTGAAAAACGTCGAGGTCGACCGATTCATATCTCTGCGCCGATGCAGCAGCAAAACGGCGCCGCCGGAGACTTCGCTTCGGGAAGTGGTACTACTACTACTAGTCCGGTGGTCGTTCCGATGCCGCCACCGATTTATCATGCTCAGATGAGGAGGGTCAGTGCGGGGGAGTTTGGACAGTGAGGAGGAGTTGGAGAGGGTGGGAGGGTATGAAGTTTGAGTTTTGACCGAGGGAAGCGGGACGGACTTGTGCACCTGCCAGTTGAGAGAGGCTGAGGTTGAATAGTACCGCCCGTTCTTCGTTCAGCCGAGCGTACTAGCACATGCTGTGTAAGAGAGGTGATGATAGACACTTTTGAATTTTTTCAATGCAAACTACGTAATTCTAGGCCATGCGACCCGCTTGCCGAACTCCCGTGCATGGATCTCTCTGGCACGAGAAGGCCGTGCATGATCCTTACCGGCCTTGTTCTTGTACCCACCCACGCAGCGCTATGATTTACTTTGACGGGGCCCGCGCACTTGCCCACGCTTTTTGGCGCTTTCTCGCGCTGTACGACCACGAAGAAGGCTCCCGGACTGCTCCCGGAGGCTCACGGAGGCGCGACCCAAGCGCGAGCGTCTCGGATCTCCCCTTCTTGCCACCTTCCTCTCCGTCCAGCTCGCCAACCCACCGACTCTGCACCGCAGCAGGCGCCCACTTTCGATACCCTCATCATCGGGTCGAAGCGCGGGGTATATCCATCGCGTTGTTTGATTGGGATTTTGGGCCGTGACGGGGTGAGTCTGCGTCTGCTGCACACGGCTTCCGTTCGCTCGCGGGCGACGACGGCGTGAATCACGGACGGTCCAAGTACTTTGGCCACACCTCGGCCACCATCATTCCGGTATATGAGAGGGTGGTATGGGCTGGAGCGTGTACGTGCTCGCAGCTCTCGAGTGCGCTGGCCGTTCGAGGTGTGAGGGCACAGTCCCACTCGCCTTCCCTTCACACAACACTCGAGTCGACCACGCTCTATCCTGGTCGATGACGAGCACACTTGCAACTCGAGGACACTGCGCTCCACCTCTCCTTGCCCTGCTCCTCTTGGTCACCGTGGTCTCCCTCTCTGCGCGCCTCTCGTTCGCGCTCGTCGTCGCGCTAACAACCGGGAATCATCGCACCACTGACTGACCTCCACCTCTCCGTCGCGCTCTGGCACGTGACCCGTGACCCTCTCTCAGTCAGCAAATTCTCACCTCACCTCAGAAAGGTCAAAGAGATGGCTGGCCCATCCAAAGTCGACACGGACGACTTTGCCACGACCAGTCTCCACTTTGCGGCCCGACGCAATGCCATCCCCAACTTGAACCGCAACCACACCAGCGCTCGTTCTTCCTCGGCGAACATCATCGATTCCCGCTCCGATGCTCCCGCGCGTAAACGATTACGTCGAGCACGATCGATCGAAGCTCAGGCTCGTAAGCGAAAATCGAGTGAGGACCCGACCTTGGATTCCAACATCACCAGTCCGGCCCCATCGACGGGTTCGGCCGATTCGGTCGACTCGGTCCAGATTCTCACCTCTCCTGGTGAGGTCAAGTCCGGGCGAGATGATGAGGAAGAGAACGTGCAAAACAAGTTGCAAGGGTTCAGGGTCGACTCGGCCGGTCCGTCATCGAGGGCGAGCTCCATGTCGAGGAACGGGTCCTTCATCGGCGGCAAATCATCAACACTGGCGACGAGTCAAGGTCCTTCGCGACTCGGTCAATCCGACGCCAGCATCATCCACGATTCCGAACACGACCACGAATCGGATTCTGAAATGGTCGTTGACGAGACCCAATCGTCGCAACCGGTTGGCCGGATGGGGCAAAAGGGCGACAGAGGAGCGACACGAAAACCTTTCGTCGCTAGCATCGATCTCCAATCTTCGGATTCACCTTCGTCGACTCGACCTTCTTTTCCGACGGCTACCTCAACGACGGAGGACGAACCTCCCCGACCTGGACAGAATCACGCCTTTGATCGATTCGTCACTTCTCTTCATGCTGCTGGACCGGATTTCACGAGGTCGGCCATCTATCGAGCTTTCGTCAAGGCCAAGGGGGACTGTCAACAGGGCATCCGGATGCTCGTCGCTCAAGCGGCGAATGGGAACAAATCGACCAAACCTATCGCATCGGATATGACCGCATCGGTCGCACCCGTACCTAAACCCCAGATAACCCAAAAGGCGGTCACGACGACGACGACGACGACGCAATCCTCTACCGCGCCTCGCGAAAAATCCTCCTCCATGGCCCTTCAATCTCAAGCCGAAGTGAACCGTCGTATCCAAAGCGTGATCGATCGTTTCGGTCCACCCAAACCGGTCGACCAGGAACTGCGCGACGCAGCGATATTCCTTTCCGATATCAAGCACTTTGAAGCGTTTGCCCGATCATGGAAGCACGAAGCGCTCGGTGCGATCAGTGAACAAAGTGCGGCGGCGTTGAAGCAGTACCGTGAGTTCCTCAAAGCGAGATCAAAGTCACTTTCGAACCGATCCGCGCATCATACGACTTCGTCGAACCATAACGCGAATCGTACCGTCGGCAAGAGCGTGAATGGCGATTCCTTCTACGCCAAGTCCCAAGTCTCGACCAAGACCAAAGCTCCCGCCAGTTCACCGAAACCCAAGCTCGTTTCGACGTACCGCAAAGTCGAAACTAGCGGTTCGATCCTCGAACGTCAACTCGCCGCCGCGGCGATGCTCAACAAACCACGCAAGAAGCCCAAATCGCGACGCCGCGACGAAGGTGACGACGAAGGCTCACACGACGAGGGTGACGATGGAGCCTGGAATTCGGACGCTTCCGGTGATGCGGGTTACGATTCGGATGGGGACGCCGCGATCGTGCGTCAAAGCGAACAGATCGCCGTCGAATGGTTCAACACGACGACGAAGGAACAATTGATGGAATTGGCGGGGTGTACGCTCGCCCAAGCGCAATTGACCATCCAATTACGACCTTTCGAGGACTCGGATGATTTCCGACGCAGGACGAGGAAGCAAAAAGGCGTTGGGAACGGGATGTTGGAAGCGTATTTGGATGTTATCGCGGGGATGCAAGAAGTCGATCGCATCCTACGGGACTGTGAGCGCATCGGTGAAGATCTTGCTCAAACGATGAAGATCTGGACTGACGTAGCAGGCAACAAGACCGCCGCTCCCAAATCCGAAGGAAGTGACGTCGGTCTGAACCTCGTCGCCGTCACGGACCAAGCGACCGTCACGCGTTCTTCGGACCTCAAAGTCCGCGCCGCGTTTGATCAATACGTGTGGAAACAGCCGAGTGGTGTGCCGAGTACGATCACGCTCAAGGACTATCAGATGTTGGGCGTCAATTGGCTCAACTTGTTGTATCGCAAGAGGCTGAGTTGTATCTTGGCCGATGAGATGGGTCAGTTTGCTTCCGAGGCCACCTTTGTGGGGACCGCGATTGACGTACCACTGTCTCTTCTGCAGGTCTCGGAAAAACGGCCCAAGTGATCGCCCTCTTATCACACCTCAAATCAACCGGTGAAGAAGGTCCCCACCTCGTGGTCGTTCCCGCCTCAACCCTAGAAAACTGGCGCCGCGAATTCGCCACCTTCGCGCCCGACCTCGTCGTCGAACTCTACTACGGTTCGCAGGACGAACGTGCCGAACAACGCTACGATTTGCGCGAGATGACGAACCTCGACGTGGTGATCACGACGTACGATCAAGCGACGAGCAAACCAGACGATCGCAAGTTTTTGAGCAAGAAGCTCAAGTTCAAGATTGCGATCTTTGATGAGGGGCATATGGTGCGTTTGCGAATAAGTCAACTGATGACTGCGCTGCCGACTCGTTCTGACACCCTGCTCTTTCGTCCTCGTAGCTCAAAAACTCGGAATCGAAGAAGCACAAGGAATTGATGCAGTTGCGAGCGCAGTGGCGCTTGTTGTTGACGGGGACACCCTTGCAAAACAATCTGCAAGAGCTGGTCGTGAGTCTTGTTCGCATTTCTTCTCTCTGGTCTACGCGCCGTGCTGAACTCTCTCCTGCGTTCACAGTCACTCCTCTCTTTCATCCTCCCCGACCAATTCCACGACTCGTCCGAATCGCTCCGCGCGATCTTCAAAGTCGCCGCCGGCCAAAGTGCTTCCCTACTCTCGCGCGAACGCATCTCCCGAGCCAAAAAGATGATGACGCCCTTCGTGCTACGAAGGAAGAAAGCTCAAGTGCTGAAGGATCTCCCGAAGAAGCTGGAACGGATCGAATGGTGCGAGATGACGGATCTTCAACGCGAGGTGTATGACGAGGCGATGATGCGTTCTCGGAAAGCGTTGTTGGGCGCCAGCGATGCCGATCTTGAACAACTTGGTGATTTAGCTGAAGATGACGACACCACGACGACGACGACGACGACGACGAGCAAGAAGAAAAAAGCCCTTCCTCTCGCGCATAGCAATACGGGTCGTAAGAGTGACGCTTCTTCAAGTTCGCACGTCCTCATGGATCTGAGGAAAGCCGCTTCCCATCCCATGTTGTTTCGACGTTTGTACGACGACGATCTGGTGTTTGAGATGTCCAAGGACTGCTTGAAGGAGTTGGAGTTTGTCGATTCGAGAAGGGATTTGGTCGAGGAGGATTTGGGCGTGATGACCGATTTCGAGATTCATCGCTTTTGTCTGCAGTACAAGGTGAGGCTTAGAAAGAGTTTTTCAACAACGCACCAAGAGCTCGAGACTGAGCTTGTTAGCCTTCACTTTACAGAACCTACGTAAATACGCCCTCCTGAACGACGAATGGATGTCCGCGGGAAAGATCCACTACCTCCAATCAACGCTACCCGATCTCCGCGCCAAAGGCGACCGCGTGCTCCTTTTCAGTCAATTCGTGATGATCCTTGACATCCTCGAGGTCGTGCTCGATACGATGGGGATAAGGTACCTCAAGTTGACGGGGCAGACGACGGTGACGGAGCGTCAGGGGTTGGTCGACGCGTATAATAATGATCCGGACATTACGGTGTTTTGTGAGTTCGACGTGCTCGTCCTGCTCGTCCCGATGGAGGAAAAAATGCTGATCGGTTGCACCCTCTCCATTTTTTTGGCAGTGCTCTCGACTCGTGCGGGTGGTCTCGGTCTCAATCTGACGGCTGCCAACACGGTCATGTGAGTCGTCCCTTACCAGCTTCACACGAGCCGATCAGAGCGTTCACCTTGTGATGCTGATCGTTTAACTCCCCCTCTGTCGTTCCAGCTTCTACGACCAAGATTACAAGTACGCATCCTACTCTTCCCTCCCAATTCAATCTCATCCAAAGCTGACCACAATCCCTCCCTCTCGTGCACAGCCCACACAACGACAAACAAGCCGAAGACCGAGCGTACCGTATCGGTCAAACGCGGGACGTGCACATCATCAAACTGATCACGCGTGACTCACTCGAAGAGGATATGCTTCGCCTCGCGCTCAACAAACTCAAACTCGATTCGGAAGTTTCAGGTTCGATTCCTCCTACGCCCACAACGTCAGGGAGTAGTTCTTCTTCGACGACGATGACGACGACGACGACGACGTTGGTCTTGCCTCCTAACGTATCGACGATTTCAGGTGAGGGGGGGGATGGGGTCGACGAAGCGAGTTTGGTCGAAGGGGAGAAGAAGACCAAGACGAGTTTGTTGTCGGGTTTGAAGAAGAAATTCGTCGCGTTGGAGCAGCAACAACAACAGCAGCAGCAGCAGCAGCAGCAGCAGCAGCAGCAGCAGGCGAGTCAGTCGTCAGCTACGCGCGAAGGAGGGACTTTGTCGAGTCCGACCAAGGCATAGAAAGTTTATCATACTCAACACTAGAAGGGGTACTGCTTGTATTCACACACAAGGCCCCTCTGGGTTGGGTTGTAATGTTATTAGATTTATCAACCGCACCTTTGCTCTCTCTCTCTCTCTCTCTGTCTGTGGCCCACGAACGTCCTCAGGAACCCTGAACAGACTTGTGATTCATCAAATTTTTTCACCAAAAACCCTAATCACCTCCGGAAACCCGCCTAACGCACGGGACATAAAAACTCCTTCTCTACTTCACTTTCAAAGCGACTCAAGCAACAGTAACGGGTTCACTTCCCGGTACGACGACGGCGGCGGTGGCTGTGGCTGTGGCGGTGGCCTTATCGGCGTTGGTGTTGGGTAAAGGTTTGTTGGCGGGGAAGAGGAGCACTTCTTTGATATTGGTTTGACTGTGCGATGTTGGGGATGGGCCAAAAATGTCAGTGATGGTTATAAAGGTAGGTCGGGTTTGATGTGAACTGTTCGCGGGTTTGATGAACTGACTCGGTCAAGAACATGACGAGACTGCGAAAAGCGTTCGAAAGCGAATTCCGAATCAGCAACCATTCCGCATCCCACATCACCCGTCGTTTCCACCCACAACTCACCGATCGATGCCCATACCCCAACCACCGGTCGGCGGCAATCCATGTTCGAGCGCATCGATGAAGGTCTCATCATAACCCTGCGCCTCGTCGTCACCCTGCGCTTTTTGCTTCATCTGTTCCTCAAAGTTCTCCTTCTGCACGAACGGGTCGTTCAATTCCGTATAGGCGTTGCAGATCTCCTTGGTCGCGATGAACGCTTCGAACCTTTCGCACAAACCGGGACGTGATCGATGACCTTTGGCTAGAGGGGACATGACTTGAGGATGACCTACGATGAAGCTCGGGGAGATGCATTGATTTTCAATGAACTCGCCAACGAGTTTATCGAGCAACCTAGCGTTCGTACGAGGTTCGGAACAATCGACGTTATGCTTCTGGCACACGCGCCTCAAGAACGCATTCGCCTCTTCACCATCGAGTTCCTTCCCAGTGGGGAACGTTTCCCCCGTTTGCTTTTCGAGTTCTTGGATCATGTCGAAGCGCTTCCAGGGGGTCGTGAAATCGAGTTGGAGCGTTTCGCCGCCGGGTCCGTTGGGGTGGTATTCGATCTTGTACCCTCCGGTCAAGTGGTGTACCAAGCCCGAGATCATGGATTCGGTCAGGTCCATGATGTCGTACACGTCCGCGTAGGCCATGTAGAACTCGCAGATCGAGAATTCGGGGTTGTGGGTGAGGTCGATGCCTTCGTTGCGGAAAACGCGACCGATCTCGTACACGCGGTCCAAACCACCGACGACCAATTCCTTGAGGTACAACTCGGGTGCGACGCGCATGAAGAGGTCCAACGAAAGCGCGTTGTGGTGCGTGACGAAAGGTTTGGCCGTCGCTCCGCCGGCGATCATGTTCATCATCGGGGTTTCGACCTCGAGGAAGCCGAGGTTGTCGAGGAACTTGCGCACGTAGTTGATGATGCGCGCGCGCTTGACAAAGACCTCGCGGCGTTCTTGGTTCATGATCAAGTCGAGGTAGCGCTTGCGGTGCCGTTGTTCTTGGTCCTTGAAGCCGTAGTGCTCCTTGGGCAACTGGTGCAAGTTGGGCGAAAGGAGCACGGTCTGGGTCGGGATGATCGACAGCTCGCCCTTCTTGGTCCTCGCGGCGGTACCGACGACGCCGATGATGTCACCGCGACGGAGGATGTTGTGCACGCCCTCGAACGAGTCGGGTGCGTCGTCGTTGTTCGCCTGGGCCATGATCTGACACCTCTGACCCTCGGAGATGAGGTCGTAGAAACGCAGCTTGGCGCCGGCCTGGCGCATGTTGTGGATCCTGCCGGCGATGGCGACGACGTCGTCGTGGCGGTCGCCGGCGTGGGGGACCAAGGACGCGTACTTTGCGACAAAGGCGGGGAGGGAGATCGTGACGTGGAACTTGTGCGGGTACGGGCTAGGGGTCGTCAAGGTGCGCTCGCCGTCGGGGATCGCGCGCAGCTTTTGGATCGCGCGCGAACGGAGCTCGTAGTATTGCTGTAGTCGACTTCTCGAGAATACCATCAGTCCGGTGAACAAGGACTGGGGGGTAGATCGCACAAGATGACCTACGTTCGGGGTGAGCTCTGCCTCGGCGTCGGCAGCGGCCTCGGCGTCGTCGCCGTCCTTGTTGGCCTTGACGGGAGCGGGGGGCGCAGCAGCGACCTGTGAGAGGGATGCCGAGCGTGTGTTGGAATTGAACAGAGATTGAAGCGTGTGCGGTGGAGGTGGAGGTGGAGGTGGGCGTACCTTGGCCGCCTTCTTGGCCGCGACTTCCCTCGCCTTGATACGCTTCTTTAGTTCGCTGCAGGGGTTGTACGATATTGCCGTCGGTCAGCATCACGAGGAGGCGCACCTACACCCGACCCGTTGCTCACCTCTTGGACACCATCTCTCCCGAGGCTTCATCGAGCAACAACTTGGGCTCGGCGGTCGGAGCAGCGGTTTGGGCGGGCGCAGGGGCTGCTCCGGACATGGTGAACGGGCGCTGATGCGGTCGGAAAGATGTCTTGCAAGGACGGAGTGTTGGGTGTAGTGCAGGCGTTGTTCGGAGCAAGGTGGAAGGTCGTAGCAAGGCGCGCAAGAGCATGCACAGTGGACGGGCCGAGAGAGCGGAGCGGCGGTCACGAGCGCACGAGCACACTGTGGGGGGCAGACCCTTGTTGGGGTGTTGAGCTGCAGCACGCACACCTCGGCTACCGGATCCCCCAAGTTTGACCTACCTGGTTTCGGTCGTGCGAGGGTGTGGTAGGGGGTTCTGTTGGGCGCAAAAGGGAGCAAAGACGAACCGCGCGAGTCAAAAAAAAAAAACGCCCGTCGAGATATCTGATTAGAACCTGAGCAATATGCGCATTAGCGTTGGCGAGCACTATATACTAATCGTTCCCCTCGTGAGCTCGCGCCTGGTAGCGCCGGTAGCGCCTGGCTTGGTCGACTTCGCACTGCACAGCTCACAGCAGCTCACGCGGCTCACTCACGGCCTTCACACTCCATTCTTCCTCCCTCGCTCTCACCCCAACATGGTCCGCCTCATCACGCACAACCTGCTCTCGTGCCCGTCCAAGCTGTGCAGCTACCCGACCAACTTTCCGCTCCAGTTCCGCAACGTCTCGCGGATCGAGCTGATCGACCAGGACTTTAACGAGCACTTTGTCCGCGGCTTCCTCAGTCGGTTGGAGTGGCACGCCTTGTGCACGAGTGCCCAACAGGTCAGTGTATAGATTCCCATCTGGGTCACAAGATCGCCAGACTGTAAGAGGCCGCACGCAAGAGCAGCGATACATACGTCCCGGAGAGAGCCGAGCAACGGTCGACCCCACCTTTCACTTCTTGGACTCGCTCAAATTCATCAGTTGGAACCCATTGGAAAGAATCCCTTTTAGTGCGAGCCCATGCTCATTCCTCCCCCCCCCCCCCCCCCTGCTCCTCTCCCCAAAAGCTCGGCGACACTTCGCTCCCGGCCGAACGACCCGACTTTGACGACCCACAAGCCGTACCTCTCGACCTCATCCAAAAACTGCACCACGTATTACTCGAAGTGAGCAGCCCATCCTGAAGCCTTATCAAAACATGAAAACATAAAAAAAAACCGCTCTGAAACCATTTGACCGAATACTGTTCTCCACCAGATCGTCGTCATCGACGGCGAAATGGTGTGCCCCTCCCCCGCCTGTGGCCACATCTTCCTCATCAAGGACTCGATCCCCAACATGGTACGTCATCCGGTCCCCCCCCTATCATTCATCATTCTCGCTCGCCGCTGATCCTTTGACATGTGCCTGTGGAAACACGGGTTACCTATCACCGAAAAAAAAACAGCTCCTCGCCGAACATGAGATTCGGAAATGATCGATTCCTCGTCGCGCTCGCAAAGTGTTGTTTGCCGTTGCTTTCTCTTTCTTTCCCCCAATGTTGTATTCGAATCCATAAATATTCCCAGCGAATCCTCTCTCACCAAGAAGAGCTTCGTCCCGAGCCGGTGATCAGCTAACGCAAAAAAGCGTGTTGGACAGAGAGAGGCTCTCTTCAACATACCTGTTGGCAAAAGTTGAGCTTCACACCGCAGATCCCAAACGTCTCACTTTGGTGGAAAAAGAAAAAAGATGCATACGGGACGGACGCCGGTACGACCCAAGTCATCACGCACCCACGTACAACTACCTCAATTACGTGAGCGTCCAGATCCCTAAGCAGCTCAAAAAAAAAACCCCTAGGTCCACGAAGGAAGAGGTGGAAGATGAAAAAAGATGATTGACCCCTGCGTGAATCGAACACGCGTTATTCGCGCCACAAGCGAGCGTAATGACCACTATACGAAGGAGTCTCGTATTCGATGTTGGCCACGCGCAAAGCGTCAGATATCAATCCAAAAACACAAATTTTGAAAAATTCAAGTACGCCAGTTCTTTTTCATATTCTCTCTCTCTCCTTCTCTCTCTCATTCGTCTCCTGGGGGGGAGCAACCGCTTGGCTGGGGCACTTGAATCCGAAGTATCGGATTGGTGGACTTGGCCCGTTTCTCGCATCTTGCGGGCGGTTTGTGTTATCATCGTCGACTTCCATCTAGTTTTTCCGTAGGCCAATCAGGGGAACAGGAATTGGGGGCAATATGATGAACGGTTTCTACAAAAAAAAAAAATTCAACGCCTCGGCCTTCGCCCACGTTGCCGGAGACTACTCGGCTTTCCTACACTTCGATGACGACTCCCTATTTCAACGCCCCAACACGACCTTGAAGGAGATTCTACCTTCGAGGATCGACCTTCCCACTCGAGGCATCCCGGTTACCGCCCTTCGCCATGACTATGAGAAGGAGGCGGCTTGCGGTAGGTGCCACTTTGTGGGTCACGTGGGAACCTGCGGACTGGATCAGGAGAGGAAGCGGAAGGAGGCTCACAACGGCATCATCAACAGCAACAAAAACACCATCACCCACAACACCAACATCGCGGAGGCCGAGGCCCCCATTCCTGTGCTGGTTGTTAACAGGATCGCATCACAGAATCACTTCGCCGGGCTCGAGGTCGAGGAGGGACAGGAGGAAGAGGTAACTGGCCAGGGCGAACAGGGACCGGAGGAATCGGGGGAGGAAGACGCTGGTGATAAGGCGGATGACGAGGACTCGGAGGACTCGGAGATGGAATCGGAGGCGGCCGCGAAAACGGAGGTCATCAAAATTGAAAGCGAGGACGAGTCGGTCTTGGAGGACTGCAGCGGATCCGATGGAGAGGTGATTGATGAGAATGAGGTGATGGCGGATGAAAGAGGTGAAACGGAAGGAGAGGTGGCTACGGAGATGGAGGAAGAGGAGGTGGCGACGGAGGTGGGCGATGTGGACGAAGCGAGGGGATCGACGAAAGCGGAGAATGCGGAAGCGACGGACTTAGGGGAAACGAACAGGCTGGACAATGACGACGACAGCGACGCCACAGCAACCGCCGCCACCGCTTCCCGCGAATCGACGCCGCATGAACCAACCCCACCTCTGTCACCCGAAACTCTCGCCAAGTCGCTACGCGAGGGGGAGGAGTGGGACAGGATCAGAGCTAACTGGGTTGAGCAGGCACGACTTGAGCGGGACCAAAGCATCGAGAGGAGGCTCAACGCTGAAACCCCTCTGGTGCGTCACAACTTTGCCACGTGGGACGAGGACGGTGAGATACGCTCCATCAACATCAGGGGGACCGCTGCGAAGTTCAAGAAGCAGGTGATGAAGAGGTCGCAGACTGCGGCGGACCTCAGTGACCCAAGTGACGAACCGACCGACGCCAAGCGAGTCATCATCAAAGGGAAGAGCCGCGTCGTGGTGAAGGATGGAATAGAGGGGCGGAGGGTGACGAGGTCGATGTCGGCGGCAGCGGCGATGCAGGTCGAGGTGACGAAGGTGGACAGAGGGAAAGGAAGAGGGGTAGCTGAGGAAAAACGATGGTCCGACCACGAGCCCGAGGACGATGTCCTGCCCGCCCTTCCCCTCTTTGAGGACGTCACCACCGCCAAGAGCGCCTCGACCTCGACTACCCATTAATGATCAAGCACACCATCATCACCTGGAACGTAAGAAGGGGCATGGGGGTCCCGGAAAAACGACGTAATATCTACACCTACCTTTCCACATTTAAAGCTTCCGCGATTCTCTTACAAGAGCATTTCATCAGACCACAATTCTGGCAGCTCATCAAGGACGAGTACGAGGGCAAGCTCTTCATCAACCAGCACTGCCTGACCCTGATCCCGGCCGACTCGCCCCTGATCGACGCCGAGCTCTTGCGCACCCACTCGGCACTCGACGGCCGGCTCCTCGTCACCTCCTTTCGTCTGCGGGGCGACATCAAAATTCTAGAAATCAATAACCTCTACGCGCCCGTTGACCCAAAACAACGAGCAAAATTCTTCGACAAACTGATCCTCCACAAAACACAGAAATCCCACCTCCGACTCCTTGGCGGCGATCTCAACGACTGCCCGCGCCCAGAAGTCGATCGGCGGAACCAAAGTCGGCGCGGCCACCACTGGCCGATTCTGATGGGCAAGCTCGACTCGGCCTACACGGACTGCATCCGCTACAAGCACCCCATCACCCCATCTTTCACTCGACCTAATCCCAATCGCAAGCGACCCAACTCCTTCTCCCGGCTTGACTACTTTCTCCTACAAAGAGCTCACCAAAAAAGGCTCGACCAGGCCTCGACGATCTACGACTATCCCAAGGATCTTTCCGATCACCGACCGGTCTTGATCGTACTAGCTCTCTCAGACGATCTTGATGCGGCTCTCCCACAGCTCAGCCTACCTACCACATCCGACCAACTACATCGAATCAATACCACAACCTTCAAGACGGTGGAATTTCAGCGGATGATGGAAGGATGGTTGGAAGGGGCAAGCGGGGAGGATCCGGTGCGAGAGCTTGAGGAGGTTCTGGAGGCGTGCAGGGACAGGGGTGGGGAGATGGCGAGGAGGCTGCATCGGGAGCGGACGGAACGGATGGAGTATTTGGTGGGGAGGGTGCAGGATCTGGAGGCGTTACCGGTATGGGGGGAGGCGGAAACGGCAGAATGGACAAGGACGTCCGAGGAACTCAAGCGGGCGGTCGAGGAGCGCGCGCGCCTACTCCGGATCCGAGCCCACGTCCCCGAGATCGCTTCCGAGGAACGACTGTCGCGGCCGGTCCACGCCAAGCTCGCGGCGCGGAACTCGGACTCCAAGATCACAGCACTGCGCTTGGGCAACGGAGAGCTAACGCATGACATTGATGTCGCTCTTGACCACACGCAGGCGCATTTCCAGCGCCTCTACCACATCGAGCCTCGTGATCCGGAACGCGTCGACCGACTTCGGGACGAACTCCTCGTGCCGATCAGGGCGGCACGGACTTGCGACGACCCGCGCTCAGATCCGCTCTTTCTGCGCCGACTCTCGGAAGCGCAGATTGATCTCCTCCAGCAACCCATCACCGAGGACGAGGTCGTGGCCGCGATCGGGACGACGCACCCGGGGAGATCGCCGGGCCCGTCGGGCGTGCCTTACGAACTCTATCAGACCGCACCGGAGGCGTGGTCCAAGGTGCTGACCAAGGCCTACAACGCGATGATCGAGCGCGGTTCACTCTCTCCCAAGCAGGGCCAGGGACTCGTGCGCCTCATCTTCAAGCGCCACAAGAAGAATGCCGATCGCGCCGAACTCTCGTCGTATCGCCCCATCACCCTGCGCGAGTGCGATTACAAGATTTTTACCAAGGTCTACGTCGCCCGATTGAACCAAATTCTGCCCGATCTCCTCCCGCCGCAGCAGCACGGCTTCGTCAAGGACCGCCGATCGGCCGACGCTGCACTACACCTTCGTCTCCTGATCGAGGAACTTGGCGCGCGCAGGACCGAGTTCCCCGCGGCCGCGCTCTTGTCTCTTGACCAATCATCCGCCTACGACCTCGTCGAGCATGACTGGATCTTTGCCATCTTCGACGCTCTGGGCGCTCCTACCACCTTTCTTCGCGTGCTGAGGATGCTCTACTCGGGTGACTCGACCTCGGCGCGCTACATCATCAATGGGTTCCTGACGGCGCCGGTGCGACTGACGTGTGGGCTCGGCCAAGGGGACCCGGCGTCATCGTCGGTCTGGGACATCGTGTTTCAGCCGTTCCTGGATGCTCTACACCGTCGAAACATCGCGCTGAATCTCTCCATACCTGCACTTCATCCGTACCCACAGAGCCGCGCCATTACATCACTTGCGTTTGCCGATGACGTTGTCGTCGCCGTCGCGGGCTTGGAGTCACTCAACTTGCTCGATGACCTCGCGCTCGACTGGAGGCATGCAACGAATGGCCGGCTCAACACGGACAAGACGGTCGTCCTACCGATTGGACGTCGCTGGGACCCTGGGGAACGGCCAATCGTCGTCAAGGCCGCAGGCGAGTCGCTCGAGTGGATCGGCCTCCCCTTCGACCCCAGCGGCGACACCGAACTCGCCTACGCGAATCTCATCGAACGGCTCGAGGCGACGCTGGAAGCGGTTCAGCATCGCTGGCTCACGCACCACACCCGTGCCTTTTACGTCAATCGGTACGCCATTCCCAAGATCCTGCATTTCCTTGCAGCCGACATCCCGCCGCCCGAAGTCGTCAAGAAGCTCGATGACATGCTCGTCGATTTCGTCCGTGGGGGCAAGGGCAGGACCAGCTACGGCAGAGACATTGTGTTCACCGCCAAGAACAAGGGGGGACTCGGGGTGATAAGGATGCGGGACGTTGTGGACGCGGTTGCGGCACGGCTCTGGGACGTTCTTCTCGGCGGTTCCGGCGCGATTTGGCAAGGACTTGCGCGCGCATCACTCCAGCGAGCTCAGCCCGACCTCGACCTGGCCACCGATCTCTGGCCACATCCATCCACTCCCATCCCCAACGACCTTCATCCCCGATGGCACGCCGCACTGGGCGTTCCGAAACTTCACGACGCGCAGGTCAACCCGAGGGCCTTGACCACCGCGAACTTGCTCGCGCTGCCCACCCTGCTCGGCAGCCTCCACACCCCCATCAGAGGGAGACAGACCATCGACGCGGTTCATGTACCTGACTACCTTCGTCTCCAGGGCTACCCGAAGGTGGCGGATCTCTATCGACGCGAGTTGTATGCGGGTGGGGGGTTTCACCTCTGGACGCCGCCGGCGGATGTGCTCGGCGACAACAGCGAGTACGATCGACGCGGGCTCCCGCAGCGACTGGCAATCGCGGCCTGGTACCGGTTCACTGTCGATCGACACAAGAACACCCCCTTGGCGGCGGCGGTGGCGGCGGGACGACTCAACGTGCCTCCCCGGATCGGCACCAGCGCACCGCTCGAGGCGGTCATCCCCAAGCCCGTGGCCCGCTTCGCAATGGAGCAGCGCCTTGCGGACCCGGTGCTTCCACAACAGGCGAGCCAGTATACGCTGCTGAACATGGCTCGACCCTACACAATCCGTCGCATCCGCCGGGTCCTGAACGCGAAGGCTTTCACCAACACGCTCGGGCTCAAGGGACCACCGCAGCCAGACGATCTCAGGAGCTTCTGGAAGGCGGTCAACTCGAAGGCACTAACAGCGAGGGAGAGGGAAGTTTGGTTCAAGCTGATTCTCCGCTTCACCCCGACGCGCAAGCTCCAGCACGAGCAAAAGCATGACACTTCTCCCGCGTGCCTCGTGTGCGAAGCGCCGGTGGACGACACCGATCACTACTTCTTCGGCTGCGTCGACTCGCGGAACGTCTGGACCGCGGCAAGGGGCGTGCTCTGCGACGCGCTCGGATGCGACACGATCGAGGACGCCGAGTACACGACACTGCAACGACTCTTTGGCCTCCCCAAGCTCAAGACCAAACTCAGCGAACAGGAAGGCGCAGGCAGGACGATCGAGATCTTCACGGGGATGGTCTTGGAGATGATCAGCAGTGGGAGATGGAGGATGCAGAAGCACGGGACGAGGATGGAAAGCCTGGAGCGGAGGAGGGTGGTACTGGAGGAGAGGATGAAGTTGAGGGCGGGAGGAGCAAGAGGCGGGTGAGGGCAGTAGAGGCTGGGTTCGATTTCCCCCCCACCCCATCCCACACTCACACACCCCACATCACACATCCTCTTACAAAAACTGTATACTAAATATCTTTTCTTCGTCTTTCTTTTATTACAGGTCTGCCTCCGTTGCTCATGGACCGGCTCGCGTTTTGGGATTGACTCGACGGTGGCTCGCGCTCTCTGGCTTCGGGGTTCTGAGTTTAAGGGAGGGATCAGCAGACACAGGCAGAAAGTCGGCTTTGAGGGGCCAGGGACTGCTGAGGTGGAGGTTTTGAGGGGCCTCCACCGCGTCTTGTTGTGACCGAGCATAGACTTGGGATTTCGCGGGTCAGGGTAGCTGCGCAGTCGCTCTCCTGTCTTTGTCTCGACCGAGTTGGGAAGTGGCGGCAGGGTGGGCCTCTTGTCGTTAGTACGCTAGTTGTTTTCCTTTCTCTCTTTCTCTCTCTCATTCGTCTCCTGGGGGGGAGCAACCGCTTGGCTGGGGCACTTGAATCCGAAGTATCGGATTGGTGGACTTGGCCCGTTTCTCGCATCTTGCGGGCGGTTTGTGTTATCATCGTCGACTTCCATCTAGTTTTTCCGTAGGCCAATCAGGGGAACAGGAATTGGGGGCAATATGATGAACGGTTTCTACAAAAAAAAACGGCGGTTGTGGTCATCATCGTGCATACTGGGCAGCATCTCCTTTAGTTCCGTAGGGGGTTTTCTCGTCTTGCAAATTAGCGATGAGTTTCATACAAAAAAAAAAACAAAAAAAACCTCCCGCTCAAAAGGGTGAATAGAGTTTGAGGTTAACATGATGAACAGTTTCTACCATAAAACCCAATTGTAGTGTTCCGCTTCAACCCGAAGGTGTGCAGGTCATGCGCCCCAAGGCGGAGACGGCACTACTTAAGTACTTAACGGACTTTGTTTGGGGCCACGGGAGCAGCTGAGGACAGAACACCGTCGCTCGCGACTCAGCTCTTCGACCGTGTTCCAGGTTTGGGGGGGACCGGTGGCTTGGGGCTTGATTTTGATCGATTATAGTGTTCTTTCAGTGGGGCTTCGATTTTGAGATGCTGTCAATGGCGGGCTCAGACGAGGCGATCGCGATCTTCCGGGCGCCCATGACTCGGAGAGCTGGAGGTCTGGGCGCTTCAGATTCAGCACTCGACACAGCGCGGCCTGCCCACTGGTCTGTGCGAGCGCGGGGCCCTCACGCTTCGGCTCGGCGCGCAGGCGTTTTGAATTGCGCCATACGAATCATTACAACGTCAAATGGGCTGCGTGTGAATAGCAAGCTGTTTGTATTGAAGGACGCGTCTTGCCCCTTTGCGCGCGTGGCTTTGGTGTAGTACCTACTCCATCCAACCCGGTCATCACCGCCTACAACATCCGGTCGACATCGTGATCAAGCAGCCTGTATTTCGATTTAGTGGATCACGCTGCCCATTCATCTCTGTCGCTTTGACCGACCTCTGCTTGCACGCGTCGCGAGTCACTCAACCCCTCTTCACCCCACGGCGCGCTGCCTGCGCTGATTCCTCACCCAAACAAGCCCGTACTCGGCGCTTCACACCAACGCGATGGACACCCGTCGTCGCACCCTCGCCACATCAGGCGCCAACCCCACCTATCCAGGCCAACCACCACAACAGCAAGGTCAATCGATGATCCCGACTTCGACGCGTAAACCGACGCACGCCAGTCTGCGTCAGTCGATGCTGCCCAGCGCGACAACATCCACCGCCGCAGGAACGACGACGACGACGGTTGGAGGACCACGAGCGTCTATTGCGCCTTCCCGATCCAATTCGAACCTCTCCATGACAGCGCGTCAATCGATGCTCCCTGGTAGTAGTGCGAACGTGAACAACAACAACAACAACAACAACAACAACGACGTCGGCGCCGCTTCGAGCCAAACTTCGTCCTGGGGTGGAGCAAGTCAGGTCTTCTCCCAAGGACACGGTGGTCCACCCGCACCTACGGCACCCATGACCGCGACCAGACCGGGGGCGTACCATGTGAACCCTTCGTTGGGGTCGATGAGCGTCGGTCGACCCACCGGGGGTATGAGGGGCAGCTCCATCTTGGCGAATCAACATCCCGCACTGATGGCACCCAACAGGTATGTCAACTCGCGCCTGCGTCCCTTCCTTCTAAACGCAACTCTAATGACATTTCCAACCGCGTCGTCCCGATCACAGTGCGCGTCGTTCGTCCTCGTTCCGTCGATCGACCATCGGCAACAACCCCGGCGGGAACCCGAGCTCACTCTCGACTCCGGGAGGTCTCAAATCGGCGATGACGACGATGAAGCCCAAAATCGACCCACGCGAAGCGAAGAAGAAATCTTCGGAAACGCGCAAACAATGGGCGCTCGAGATCGTCGATTTCCTGCTCGAGTGTCAGTTCGCCGCGGATGAGAAGATGTTGCTCGCCCCGACGGGGGCGCAATGGCAAGCCATTTTCAAGACCTTGGTCTTTGAATTCGATCCCACCATCACCTGGGAGGGGAAATCGTTCAATGACCAAGTTCCGATCGTATTGAATGAGATCGGGTACCCTTTCCCGGCTAGCATCACCAAGAGTCATTTGCAAAGCGCGGGTAGTTCTCAGAGTTGGCCTGGTATGTTGGCGATGATGCATTGGATCGTTACGACGATCAAGGAATCCGAAGCGGCCTTCAACGAATCGACCGAGATCAAGATGCCCGATTTCGATGCCGTGTTGGCGGGAGGAACGACCGATGAGGATCATTTGGTCCAACATGCTTGGTTCGATTACGTCGCTTCGGCTTATCCCAAATTTTTGGTCTCGGACGAGTTCGAGGCCGATGAGGAGAAGGATTTATTTTGGAAGCGGATGGATCCTGTACGAAGGGTGCAGCGCGATCGATTGGACGAGTTGACGATCGAGTATGAAAAGTTGGAGAGGGAGTGGAAGGAATTGCAGGCCCATCCTGTGAGTACTGCCATTTTCACAATCGTCTTTTGACGGCTTCATCTGGGCTATTCTGATCCCCATTGGCTTTATAGGACCCCTTGATTGAACTCTCGGCCCAAGTCGAAGGTTTCAAGCGCGACGAATTGACGTGCCGCAAATGGACCGACGAATTGACCGAAAAGTTGACGCGTTACACCTCCGAACACGAGCGCGTGAGCCAAGTGATTCAACAAACCGTCAGCGCGAACTCGAACTCTTTGAATGAAATCGCTTCGTTGGAAGATCAAGTGAAGAATCAGGACATGTCGCAGGCCGAGATTGCAGAGACGAATTCGGAGTGTAAGAGGTTGGATAGTACGACGCGGGAGACGCGCAACAAGATCGTTACGACGTTGAAGAGGGTCTTGGAGCAAGAGATCGAGGTCGAGCGTCACTTGGCTTTGGCCAAGAGGTTGGCGGAGGAATACTCCAATATCGTCGGACCGTTGGGGTTGTTGAGGAACGATTTGACGACCAATGTCGCCTTGGCGGGCTTGTTGACCGGACACGAGGACGTCGATTTCAACCAAGAGATCTCACCTGCTTCCGACAACCCGGCACCGGATTGCACGACCTACATCAAGCCGGCCCTGTCGGAGATGAAGGTCAAGACCAAGGCCGAGTTGAGAAAGTTGCAGGCCGATGAAGTGACCAAAGAGGCCGAGGTCAAGATCAAGCAGGTCGAAGAGTCGGATCAGGAGGAGATTTCAAAGCATTTGGTCGATGAGGAGAAGAGGTTGATGAGGGAAATGCAGGCGTTGGAGGAGGTGAGTTTGCAAACAGCGCCGAGAGCTGGCACGACGGAAACTGATTTTTTCGGTTGACGATCGCAGTCGGCCGCGAACGAATTCGGCACGCTCAACGCGTCGATCGCGGCTCTACAATCGGCCGTCGACGAGCTCTCCTCGACGATGGCGCAACCCTTCGCGCAAGCCGAGTACCGTCTCGAACAACGCACGCTCGAGCTCTCCCGTGTGACGAAGGAAGCCTCCTCGCGCTTACAGGAGAACTCGACCAAGTTCGAACAAGCGCTTAGTCGCGCCCTGGGACACAAGGAACACACTGTGGCGTGTATTTCAAAGGGACTGGAGATGGTCGAGGAGGCCAAGAGGACGTGGATCGCACCGCCGGTGATCAAGTTGGAGATGCGAGGCGCGAGTGCGTTGGAAGTGTAAAGGGATGAGCGGGGCAATTTTCGGTTCTTGTATATTGATGTTCTCTTTTCTCGTGGCTTATGTTTGATCATTTTCTTGGTGTTGTGTTTTGAGTTGGTGAGCTGGTGGTGCTGGTGATGGTTGGAATGATCGAGTGCCTCCTAACAGGTGCTTGATGGTGTAGACCTAACTCGAGACAGTTGAGCCGAGTGTCGCGCCCCAGCGCGCCCCGCCGATTGGACGCGTCGAGCACGAGATCGAGTTGGGCGGCGCCCATCTCTCCCCGCCTGTGCGCGTGTGGGCTCCTGCTCGCTCCTGCTGGCTCCTGCTGTCTCCTGCTGGTTCTGGCTCACTCCGAACCGCACCAGCTGGACTCTGCAGCACTGAGCTCGGCTCGAACTCGGCTCGAACTCGGCTCACGCGTGCCCAGATGAGCCACTCGACCATTGAGACCGGTGCGACGAATGCGACAACCTCGACGAGTTGTGGAACGAGCGCGCCGGGCGTCGATACGCGCCTGTTCTCGGGCGTGCGCTTTCGGCTCAACTCGAGTCTCAGGAAGGAGGTTAGGAAACAAGTTGAGTAGTGCGATCGATTATTGGGTCGTGGTCCATTATTGGGTGTGCATGGACTGCGAGTAGCGTCGCTGGGCTTGTGGGTGGCAAAGGTCAAAGCGAACCCCACCACCCGTCGCCGTCAATTCACAAGAGATGTCGTACTAAACTCGGTTACGTCTCTCTCTCTCACATAGCTGAGCCAACTTCTCGTCTCGAACGGTGCCACCGAAGTACCTGCCCCATCCATCGCCGAAGAGAACGAGCTAGTAGATCCGACCTCGGACTCGGACGAGCGCGAGCAAGCCGTCGATCGTTCCCTTACTCACTGGATCACCGACACCTTGGACTTTGCTGAATACGCTCAACTGCCACCTAATGAAGAGTCATCGAATGCGGTCGCCCTTCCTGTTCCACGCGCTGCAGTCGTGAACAACGCTTCGGGCGGGACGGGCAAGATGAAGGATGAAGTCGGTGAGCAAGTCAAGATCGTTACGGTGAGTTGTGGGGAGACAGTTTTTTTTTGCATCAACGATCAAGTCTGAATTGACTGCCTGCTAATCGACGTGAATCCTGTGCAGCCTTATTGGGTGACGAGGTCGTACGACCTGCAACAGCTGCAGCAGTTAGTCCTCATTGGACGAGGGTACTGATCCGGGCCGAAAACTTGTTGACGTTGCCCACTTTTCGCCCGATGCAGACCGCGACACTATTCAGCCGATCCTTTGCTCATCTTTTCCGGGCTTTGTGTATGCTGCGATGGGGTGGGTACCGCTCACTTCTCAGGGGTCTCCTCCAATGTCATGGGATCTGGACTGACGCGATTCTTCCGCCGCCACAGTTGCCCGAGACGGACGCGCAATCGATCGCTGCGGGCGTGCAGTCACTCGGAGGACAATCCAGACGCGAGTTGACCAGAGAGGTCACGCATTTGCTCTTGATGAGCCCAGAAGGGGTCAGTGATGGGCCATCAGTACCCCTTTCGAATCACTGTGGACTGACGCAGCGCACCGACAGGCGAAATACGAAGCGTGGCTCAAGCATGGTGCTGCGGTCGGGATGGTCGCATTACTACCTCATTGGTGCGGTTTGGATACCCCCCCAAAGTTTTACGTAAATGTCCACGGGGCTGACCTGTGGACTTGGGGGAAATTCTGCACAGGTTCGAAGACTGTTTCAAACTTCGACAATTGATCCCGCACGACATCTACGCCTTCCCCGATCCACCTTACATCAACCTACGAACGATCGGTTCGGCCAAATCGTACGACGAGCGACTGTTCGACCTCGTCAAAACGAGTGCTTCGACGAATGGACGGTCGCACGCGGTGTCGGTTGAACAGATGAGCGCGACGAAGAGGCTTGAACTCGCTTTCTCTCGGTTATCCGATAACGAACCGTATCAACGAACAGCGTTGATCGAATTGGATCGATCGCACGTTGGAGGTTCGATCGCTCTTTCCGAGCCTGGCGTCAGAGCAAGGATAGGCGCCGCCACGACAGTCGGTTCGTCGTCCACCATCGGCGGGACGACCAGTCGCTCAACCGCGGCGACTTTGAATGGAAGTTGGCCCCCCGTAACTGGATTGGCGACTTCGAGTGATGCGAGCTTGTTCTCGGGTCATCGGGTCTACTTGGCCAGTGATTTGGGGCTCAGACCTGGTTTGGAAGAGGCGATTCAGAAGCGCATTATCGAGGCTGGCGGAAGGTGTTGGTCGTTTGGTTTGGATGGGGGTAAATCCGGGACGGGCAAGAACAGTCTTTTGACGACGTCGACCGAGGAACGAAGGGGGTCGATTTCAGAAGAAGGGACGAATAGTGCGTCTGTAACCATCTCGAAGCGCGATCGAACGGACGAGTGGGACCGACGAAGAGAGGCCGAGCGAGAGTTGCACAGCTCGACGATCGTCATCACTCGCACTCGACAAGGTTGGGAATGGTGGTTGGCTTACGAGGCGGGCTTATCGACCTCTTCCTCCGTCGACTCGAGTCCGAAGAAGGTAGGGCAGCGTCGACACAAGATGATTGGCAACCTCGCATGGGTGTACCACGTTCTCGCCGTAGGTAAACTCGATCCACCTTCATCAAGGATCCTTCATTTCCCTCTACCGAGTTTGGAAGGCGTGCCCGAACTCAGAGGGCAATTGTGTACGATTTCGAATTATTCGGGAGCGGCGAGGGATTACGTTCGTGCGATGATCGAGGCGTTGGGCGCAACTTTTGATGGCGCGATGTGCAAACAGACCAAGTTCGTCATCACGGCTAGGTAAGTCGGTGTCGTTCATTCCTCATGCTCGAGAGCGCAAGCCAGCCTGACTTTGTCGCCAATCCCCGAATGCCATGCCTTGCAGTGAATTCGGCAACAAAGTTAAACACGCTCGTCAATGGGGGATCCCACTCGTCACCCACACCTGGCTCGAAGCCTGTCTCGCCAAATGGGCCTTCATAAACCCCGCCTTGTCCACTACCTACCTCGTCGAAGGTACTTCCCCGGCGATCGCGTTCCCTCAGATGGTCGGGGAAGCGAGGTTGTCCAAGGCGAATATTGAAGATTGGGTGCAGAGGGATGCGGTCAAGGTGTTGAGGGAAGAAGCGTTGAGCTCGGGCTTGAGCATGAGCATGAGGGAGGTGGTGGTGGTGGGGATGGAAGCTGATGAGGAGGGCTGGGGTGGGAAGGGGGCGCAAGGTGATGTGGTGATGGAGGATGGGCAAACCAAGCCACCGTCGTCACCAAAGCTGAGGAAGAGGATCGACACCAAGTCTATTGCCACGAAGAGCAAGACGACGAAGGGGAAACAAGCTGTCATCGCCGATGAGGATTCGAGCGACGAAGAGACGACGACCAAAGTCGCGCCGAAGAAGAAGATGACCAAGACTGCCGTCCAAGCACCGGCGATGAAGCGGAAACGATCGAGCAGTGGGTTGACGTCGTTGTCGCCTGAACCGAAAGCTGAAGTCATCGTCGTCGAAGAGGAGGAACAAGCTCCAGCATCGGCTACAAAAGCTACCGCCTCAGGCAAGAAAGGTGTTGCCGCTGCTAAGAAGAATGCCGATCCTGCTACTCCAGCTGCTAAGATTCAAGCTGGACGTGGACGGTCCGACAAGTCGTCAACTCGCAAGGGGAAGAAAAAGGCCGATTCGGACGAAGACGACGATGGGTCCTCTTCCTCATCATCCGATTCGGGTCCCGAACCTTCCTTCACCAAGACCTTTGGTCAAATCGATCCGGCCAACATGATCGTCGGGGGATCGCGTCGAGCCGCGGCTGGCAAAGCGGCGCAATTGCTCGCGCAACAGATGCCGGATGCGATCCGGTTCGCGAAGGAGCAAAAGTCGGCCGATAAGAAGAAGAAAATTGTGACAACGCCTGGGCCGGCGGGAACGGCTACGAAGCGTGGGTCTATGGGTCCTTTGGGGTCGGCCAAGAGGGAGGATGGAGAGAGTGAGGATGAGGATGAGGTGATGAAAAGAAGGGACGACGATGAAAAGGATGACGCGCCTGCGCCAAAGCCGAAAGCGAAGCCGGCGAAGAAGAGGAAACCAAACGAAATCAGTGAGCCCAAGGACGACGAGGATGAGGAACACGTTCCGAATGGTGGACAGGCGAAGAAGAGGGCCAAGACAGTGGCGGCGACGGCGACGGCGACGGCACCGAAAGGTGGACGTTTGGCAGCGACGATGGCGACGGATGCGACGACGAGTGGGCAGATCTCGTCTTTTGATGCCCCTCCGCGGGGGAAACCGGCGTGAGTTTGCCTAACTGATGGACCCTCTGCTGTATGCGTTGAGCTGATGAAGTCGAGGTCACATTCACAGATTGAAGAATGGCGGGCGCAAGTTGATGCTCATGTCGACCGGGCTTGGGTTGGACGCCAAGTCACCCGAGATCAAGGTTAGTCTCGAGGTGAGGGTGGGGCTCAGAACGGTTGGAACTGACGACTTTCTTCGTTCGTTCTGCGCAGTCGCTCAAGCCGTTAGGCATCACCTGGACGGACAACCCTTCGCTAGTCACGCATCTCGTCGTTCGTGCGATGCAGCGAACGGAAAAATTTCTTTGCTGTAAGGATTCCACTTTCTCCCAATCACTATATTGCGTCCATTTCACTCATCGAATAGACGTCCCTTGTGCAGGCCTCGGCGTGGCTCCAAAGATCGTGACCAAGGAATGGATTGATGCCTCGCTCAAGGCCAACGAGCTGGTCGGTATGTAGCCCATGCATCGCCTCCTGAACTTTATCGTGGCTGATAGCACGTCCTGCCTCCATTTGTGCGATTAGACGAGGAACCGTACCTTCTCAAAGACACTGTCCGCGAACGTGAATATAAGGATACGCTCGTCGAGATCCTCAAACGGGCGCGCACGAAGCAATTGTTCGAGGACTACACGATCTACATTACCCCGGGGACGCAGCCGGAACCCAAGACGATGCAGCGAATTTGCCAGTCGGGCGGAGCAACGGTAGGTCATCGAAGCTTGCTCCACTGCCTCTCATGAGCCCCACGCTCACGCCCAGTCCATATTCCGCGTTGCAGGTCTCGCTCGCGCGCTTGACCCCGCCCATCATCAACAAGATCGTCGAGAACCGCGAGCGCACGATTGTCGTATCCTGCCCCGGGGATCGAAGAGAATGGGAAGCTTTGGCCCGGAAGAAGTTCCCTATCTTCTCTGTCGAGGCCGTGTTCAACTCCGTGATGCATCAGACCTTAGTGGGGTTCGATACGGCGAGTAATAATCGGATCGATGGGTTGCAACTGGATCGATGAGGCCGCATAAGTGAGGCAGTTAATACCGGGGGCCCTATGTCCAGTCACTGTAGTGTGTTCCCTTCCCCGCGGGTGAATTAATCTAGACTCGGTTCCGTACTACTGTATGAGTTTGTTTGATCTAGAGACGTGGTTGTGCTCGTCAGCTTTGGATGGAACTGGTCCAAGCCCCGAATTGGATCATCGAGTGACCGACAGTCACTGCGCACTGCCGAGTCGCGCTGGCAGTGCAGTGCGCATTCGCAGATGAAAGTTTACAGAGACGATCCGCACTACGAGTGAATTTTCTAACTCAACTCAAGACGGCAGTCATGTCATCTCGGAGTCTTCGATTGCCATGAGCCAATCGTGCGCGTGATCGACGGAACGAGGCTTTGTCATCGGATGGCCGGCAGCGCAAGGCCGTCGGCTTTCGGAGATGTGGAGGGGTGCTGCTTGCTAATTGACCACCGAGGCGAAGCTAGGCGGAGGGCGGGCGGAGGCGCTTCCGACAGGCTGATCGAACGTGAATCTGGGCATCTCTCCCTTTCTTACTCTACATCCCAGACAACGAAACCCTTCTCTTGGTACAGCCTAGCTAGCCCCTCGACTGGTCACCCTAAAGACTCGCAACTCCGAGACTCCACTTGTTCCGTCTCCCTCCGCCTCACTCCCTCAGTTGCCACCTCACATCGACCGCGTGCGCCTACCTCCACTTATTCTGCACGACCTCCCCACCTCCGCTCCCACAACACCACAACATGCCCACCACCTACGTCGTCACCGGTGCCTCCCGAGGACTCGGCCTCGAGCTCGTTCGTCAACTCCTCTCTACTCGACCCGAGAACCGCGTCATCGCTCTAGCTCGGAACCCTTCCATGGCCAAGGATTTGAATGAGCTCGTCAAGACCCAGGAGAACGAGGGGAGGGGTTTGGTGTTCAAGGCGGACGTGACGGATGAGCCAAGTCTTCAGGTGAGCTTTTTGTTTTATTCCTTGGGCAATGGTATGGTATCTATGATCGTATGACTCACTTGGGTGAAATATGCGGTCATGTAGGCCGCTGCCAAGGAGATTGAGGCTTCGTCTTTCGGCAAGAACGGCATCGATGTCCTCATCAACAACGCAGGAATCGCTCAAGGCGCTGGCACCGTAACCAATTCGTGAGTCCGCAGAGTCTATTGCTCTCTTCATTCATGGAAATTATGTTCATTTGAAGCCAAGGCCCCTACTGAAGAATCTGTCTTTTATCCCTTCCCTCTCACAACGTGGCAGCTCGGTGGAAGAATTCCGCGCCAACTTTGAAACCAACGTCATCGGCGTCGTGCAATCGACCCTCGCCCTCCTCCCTCTTCTACGCAAGGGTTCGAAGAAACAGATCTTTGTCATTTCGAGTGGTCTGGGACCGATCGGGGGTGGTTATCAGGTGTCGTGGGCCGCGACGTGTGAGGTTTTGCTTCGTCGGCTGCGTTTTCGGCGAAGAGCCTGCGGCCCATGTCGGGCTCGCGATTGCTGATCAATTTTTGAGTCTTTCCGTTTTGTACGTACAGATTCGGCGTCCAAGACGGCGGTCAACATGTGGACGGTCAAACTCGCACGCGAACTTGAACCGGTCAGTAGCCACAATAGGCAAGGTTTTCATCGCCCGCAGCGTTGCTCATGAAGATCATGCGCGACTGTACAGGAGGGTTTTACGGTCGTCCTTCAATGCCCCGGTCACGTTCAAACCGACAGTGAGCGCAGGATGCATGATCGACGTCTTGCCTTGCCTATGATTTGTCCGCTGACTCGCGAGCTGCCACGCTGCTGATCCATCAGTGGGAGGCAAAGACGCTTCCTTGACGCCGTACGAATCGATCAATGGGGTGTAAGTTTGTTTTTTGGAGGGCCTTAACTGCCGGAGGAGCCAATACTGATATCAAATAATCTCTTTCCTTCCCCGACAGTCTCAACAACACGATCTACAAAGTCGGCCCTTCGGATACGGGCAAGTTCTTCAACCAATCGGGTGGACAAAATCCTTGGTGAAGGGAAGAAATTAGTGACTATGCTAATTGGACAAGGATATTTGGATCTCTTAAATGGTATTGAGATGTAATTATGAACCATGGAATACAGTTGCGGATTCAATGACCCTCCAAGAGCGCCGACTGATGCCTGACCTAGACCAGGTCCGAGCGCACGTGACGTCTTGCCCCCCTGTGTCACGCCGGCACCGTCCTCTGCAGACACTTATTACTCCGGGGACGCTCGCGGCTGGTTCAGCGATGCGCGCGCTCCCTCCTCGTTTTGGGAAACTTGTGCGGCCCGCGACGTTTGGCGATCGTGAGCGGAAGGTGCAGTAATTGGCAAACCTGCCGCGTCAAAGACAACACCCATGCCGTTAGGATTGTTTCCTCCTTGTTCGACCATGCTTGCGATGCTTGCGAGATTGTTGCTTGCTGGCGGAGCTAGAAAGGATCAAAAGCACACAGGCACTTGAGCTTTCGATCGTCGTCCTCTCGTCTCGCTCGTTGATCATCGCCCTACGACTACCAATTCCCCATGTGCATGTGGCCTTCTCTTGAGAGAGTCCAAGATAGGATGATCAGGCTCTGGCTCGACTGTGCCCATGTCTTTCGTCATGATCGTGAGTCGACGGGACGTTCGGTTGGCCCTGGACCGCCGCGCTCCGAAGCCATAGACCTGTGACCTGCCCATCCACGGGGGAGCAGGGCTCCACTCAAACCTGTCGCGACCGGCAGCAAAGGAGACGTCCAGTTCGTGTCTTCAATGCCCGCGCCGGGCTCGTCGCCAGCGCCCAAAACTTCCGCTCGCATGCGAATCATGGCTCGCGAAGTTGACTCGTTCCATGATGCGATGTACAAAATTGTTACGCCGCTTGATGCTGGCGTGTTCGAAGCCAACATCAAGGCACTCGCAAAGGTCGCGCACGTCGCGCCGTACCTGGCCGCTATTCCGAAGCAGATCCGAGAGGGCTTTGATTTCGGCATCAAGGAGCCTCCGTCGGAGCGTCACATCGCGAAGAACGCACCGCTCAGTGAGGAGCAACAACTGGTCATGGACGGCGAGATGGAGCGCATGCTCGATCTCGGGTACATCGCGGGCCCGTACGACAAGGACGAGCTCGAGGCCGCGGTCGGTCCTTTCCGCACGAATCCGATCAGCTATGTGCCGAAGTCAGTAGCGCCCGGAATGCCGCCGAAGTGGAGACAGATCGAAAATATGTCTTACCCGAAGGCGAAACCGATCGATCGAACCACAGACCCTGACGAAGCGGGTGATCCGTCGACGAGAGGGCATGGACCATCGCAACGGAGTAGTTCGTCTAGCCGTCCGAATCTCGTTTCCATTAATGACGACCTGAAATCTGCGGATTTCCCTTGCCGTTGGACGACCTTGCCCATGTTGTACCGCAAGTTTCGCGAGCTTCCCTTGACAGCGGAAGTCTGTGGTTGGGATTTCGCTGATGCGTTCTACCAGCTCCCTTTGCGATGGGACCAGCGATCGAGCATGTGCATCTTGTGGCGCGGCCTCATCTTCGTACGACGAGTCCCATGCTTCGGTGGCAGGACTACTCCCGGTGTCTTTGGGAACGTTGCGGACCTGACCCAAGACTTGGTCGAATGGAAGTTCCCCGGCGTGTCAATCTTCAAGATGGTTGACGATGTTTGCGCGGTCCGAACGTCGGATGCCATATCGCAAGAAGCCATTCTTCATTTCGTACGATCCCTCGGCTGGCGCCTCGCGGAGCAGAAAGGCTTCACGTGGACGCGTCAATTTGTTCACGTCGGGATTGAATGGGATTTGGATCTAATGACCGCGACGGTCACCGATCATTAGCGGCTGCGCTACATTGGCAAGATCGACGCCTTGGTGAAAGGTAGCCGCGCCGATCCGAAGGAACGCTCGGAGGTCGAGTCAGTCATTGGGCTCCTCGAATCGCAGAAGCTCACCAGCCTCACTCCGCTTACACCTCAACACAGGCACAACTTTCGTCAAGTGCGTCTTCTTGGCCGAAACTTTCGGTGTTTTCGGCGCAGTAGTCTGCAAGGTCAAACGCTCTCGTGGCGGCACCGGTATGGTTTTTTACCTGTTCGGTGGTGTATGTGGCCGGTATATGTTCCTTGGGGACGCGGAAACTCGTCCGAACTCACCCAGGTGAGTTTCCCCGTTCGGACATCTCCGAATAAGATAGGTATGGCAGACCGACATATCACTCGGACTTACGTATCTCTCGGACTTAGCGCATGGGTTCGCCGACTGTTTCGCTCGGCAGCGAGCTCCGCGACGGCCTTCGTCGAAGCGGGCTTGATCTGGACCGAGCATAGTTCCCTCGACCTCGAAAGGAAAGCTCGCAAAGTCGATTCCGTTTTCGATCTCGGGATGTGGCCTACCATCGGGGTTTGCCTGCGCGACATCGTCATCGCCGGCATGGCCTCGATTGCGCTCTTCGTGCTCGTCCTCACCGCCCTGCGTTGTTTTGATACTCCTGTCCGATCCGCCGCCGTGTCGCCCCCGCGCCCCGACCGCTTCAGCTCCGGGCGCTCAATGCCAACAACAACAACGTCGACCCCTCCCCCACACCCACCCGCGTGCGCACCGGTCGCGCTCCAGCACGTTCGTACGAGCGAGGCTCCACACAACGAGGCACAAGATTCCGACGACACCTCGGTCGAGCCCGTAGACTCGGCGCGGGGGAGTAGGATCAACCATCTCGGCGACGGCCACACCCCGCGCTGGATGCAGGCCGGAGCAGCAATTGTGGACAATGGTGCCCGGACTCTGGAGGCTTTGTACAAACAAAAGGCCGAAAACAAATTGGGGGCCCCACCTTTGCCAGCTGTGCTCGGCCAGCCTGAGCAAGGCAAAAACCACGCGCCAGACCAAGCTCGCACCGAGTAGTGCCGGGAGTAGTCTAGTCCCATATCATATAACGACAGTTATCTGTTCGACAATCAAATTATACCCCAATAGACATTATCGCGTCTTCATTTCCTTTGTACTAGAAACTCCACTAATCTTCATCATAGACATTATAGTGCCTTCATTTCCTTTGGTAGAGCATTTCATGCGCTGGACACTTTGCAATCACAAGTCTTCCTTTACGCAGCTCATAGCTGTGTAGCACTCGTCCCCTATGGCTGGTTCGTCTCCACAGATCAGGTAAAGTACAACACTGGAATGCACAACACTCGCACAATCTATCTTCGGGTCCTTCCGATCGTTCAGTGATCACGGTCCACCCTCGCGGCCTGCCTCACCCAGCACCTTTACTGACCCCCTCCAACCCAAACGCATTCTTCAACGCGACCCACCTCGCGAAATTAACCAAGTAACCGAGTTCATCGGAATCACCTTGAGGTACCCGATACTCAACCCGGCAAAGAACCCCCTCCACCCATGCGCCTTGTAGATCGTTCTCGCCGTATCCCAAAAGCCATGTCTCGCTCCTCCCCCACCAGCAGGTCCGACTTGCATCCTCCTTCGAATGATGTCCAAGGCGTAAGCGGAGGTTTGAGCTAGTGCGCCGGCTAGACCTCCGGCGGTCAAGTCGATCCAGGTGCGATGGCGTTCTCGGGTGCTGGGGCTGAACATGCTCGGGACAAGATCGGCTTTGAGGAATCCCCAGACGAGGAAGGATACGCCGGCGTAAAGGACGATACCGATGAGGGTTGGGAAGATGCCTCGGTAACAGTGGGTCAGGGGGAACGTTTGCCGATGTTGTTGTTGTTGTGGTGGTGGTGGTGGTGGTGGTGGTGGTGGTGGTGGTGGTGGTAGGGCTGAGGCCAGAGCGCTCAGAGCCCTCACATCGCTCCATCACAAGACACGTTCATGCCGAGTAGTGATGGTAGACGAAGCCGCGGATCCCATCGTGGTTGAAACCCGGTGGCTTTTTCTAGGTGGGCCAAACGATCGCATATCGATCACGTGTTCAAACTTCGTTTCGTCACCCGGGGCAGGGTTGGAATCGAAACGGACACCGAAGGCTAATCGCGATGCAGTCAGCGGACGAGCCTCGTACCTGGAACTATCAGACAAAAGTGCTCCTTTGGCCCACCTCGCAGGTGCCGCTTCTCTTCGTTCGTAAGTGCACCCACCCTCTGACTTGGATCCGCGACGGTGCTTTCTTGGGACTGCAGGCGATCCTCAGCGAGAGTCGCAAGACCGCCGAACGGGGCGAGGCGAGCACAAAGATCGTCGCCCCACTGGAGAGGAGGGTCGAGATTGGGGTGCTTGCTGTTGAAAGTTATGATGAACTTCCTGCGGAGCATATGTATGACTGGTAGGAAGGAGGAAAGAGGCTATCTAAATGAGCGAGCCACGTTCGGAGGCGAACACCGACGATGCAGGACGATGTCTCCACTTACAGACACCGGTCCCGCAGGCATATGGGTCGTACTCGATTCGCTTCTTACGCACGTCCTGAGACTCCCTCCACATCTCGCGCACCTCGGCGGACAGGAAGTTGTAGCTTGTCGGCTGCTGAGAAAGAGAAGCTTCTCTTTGTTTGACGTCCCAAGCCATGGTGTACAGGTAATTTTGGACCTCGATCCAGCTTTGCAACGAGACGGCTTGCCATATGACTTCGAACTCCCAGTAGAACCGGGCCATCGGTTGGAAGAAAGCGAGTTTCGCGAACAGGGCAAGAGTGGGGGGAAGGAAGGGATGCCGGTCGTCGAGTAGAACGTTAGGAGGCACACTCATGACTGTGCTTGTACTGTTGTGTGAGGCCAGTTGATGAGTGGGCGGCGCGGTGAGTATGAGCCAGAGGACACGGCGAGTGTGATGACCAGAAGGCGGCTTGGGAATAGGCAGGCAATTAGGTGGCACCTGCGCATGCATAGGCACTGCATAGGCGGCCCGCAAAAAAACGGCGTTTTTCGACGCAAAATGCCCAGATTTTTCCCGGATTCTGACTGAAAACGTCCAAATATGAGGGCCGCCTAGTGTTGAATAATTTTCAAAATTGCTCTATTTCAAAATTGCTCTACAAGCTGTACAATGCACACAAAACCTTGCGTTTTCGCCGCCGCGCGCGGGATACCTTTATCCGGCCCGCGCGCGCGCATCAAGAGCGCCGCCAGCGCTTCGCTCCACCGCGATCCGCTGCCGCGCTTGATGGGCCAAGCTCTGACAAAGTTTGAAAGCTTACCACACGACCATGAGCCAGGCTGAACCTCATTCTTCATCATTGTTAATGTCCTTTGTCTTGGTCTTTGAACGGCCTCCTGGTGCAAGACAAGCAAGGGGTGCTGCTCGAACTCCTAAGTTGACGTTCGGCAAGAGCCTGTACCGTTTTTCTTGATTGACGACGGATGATGTGCCTGACGCTTCCTTGACACCGTACGATTCGATCAATGGAGTGTAAGCTTCCTTTCTCGGAGGACCATATTTGCCGGAGAAGCCAATAATGATCTTTTCTTCCCCGACAGTCTCAACAACACCTTCGGATATGGGCAACTTGTTCTTCAACCAATCGGGTGGACAAAATCCTTGGTGAAGGGAAGAACTTAGTGACTATGCTAGTTGGACAAGGATATTCGAATCTTTTAAATGTTATTGAGATGTAATTATGAGCCATGGAATACAGTTGCGGATTCAATGACCCAGGCCTCCAAGAGCGCCGACTGATGGCTGACCTAGACCAGGTCCGAGCGCACGTGACGTCTTGCCCCCCTGTGTCTACCTGTGTTATGCTCCGCGTGACGAGAGCGCGACCCGCCGCAACGCTCTGCTCCTTTAGTTCGCCTGTCTCGCACCATATATACCCAGCCCCCCCCCCCCCCCCCTTTGTCGACGATGGCTTCCCCATCATCGCAAGCGGCCCTCACGGAGTTGATCCACCACACTCTCCCGCAGCTCAACCCCGGCCAAGCCCAGCACCGACAACGAAGTTCGCAGGCGCAACTCGATGCACATACTCGAGCGACGGGAGGGTCGACCCGTTCAAGCTATAAGGACTGGTCTACGCTGGCGGATGAGGCTCAACTGGGTAAGTTTTCGGTGATAGTTGGATGATGTTGATGATGTTGTCAGGCGTGAATGTCGAGTGGGGTGGGGTCGACGCGCCGCGGCGTGGGTCAGAGCGCGTTGAATGATGCGTCGAGATAAGCCATGCAGCCACGCTCTTGATTTTAGTTTTACTGACCTTATCAATCTCTGCTCTGCTCGTTCCTGCAGCCCTCAAGAGAGCGGGAAGATCGTCGCAGGAACGGTTACAGTTCGCTCAGCTGTCCGCGAGGCTCCACAGTCGCGTCAGTCCCGCTCGGTTCGACACCGTCATGACCAGGATTTATAATGATATTCACATGCAAAGTTATACTTTCTCACAGGCCGTACCACGTAACAAGCTCGATACCCTGTCATTGCTCCTCTCACTCGCGGGATCGTCCTCAATCCCCCCGACCGCATCGAGCTCGGCCGCAGCTGCAACTTTGAGCTCATCCTCTACGGGGACAACAAGTCGACAAGCACCTCTATTTGGATACCCAACACCACTCGATCGTCCCGCTTCGCGCCCTTCCTCCAGAGCTGCGAACCACGACTCGAACTCTCGGCGCGGCGCCCCCGTTGGCGTTGGTCTGTCCTCCTCTTCCAACCCCAACCTAGCCGCAGCCGCGTTACCGCGTGCACCCAAATTGTCCATGGCCGCCGTTCTGGCTTCCCATCGAGCCCAACTTGCTGCTTCACGACCGATAGCTACGACGACACCACCGCGACTGGCGCCCGTCCCCGAATCCCTCCTCCTCAGGGACATCCTCTACATCATCCAAGGCATCGACGGCCGTTTCATCCGCTTCAAGACCCCGACCCCCTCTCTAGCGAACGCAGGTCCGCGAAGGACGTTCAAACGAGGCGAGATCGTCGTCGACGAGAATTCACCCGCCGATCCCGAAGCGCTCATGCTCGAACAAGGGATCGAGTTCGTGCTCGAAGGGAGTGGCTATAGCTTAAGTGCACCGATGAGGGTCTTGTTGCATACGCTGTCGGAGTTGGGGTGGCTGTATCGCAAGATTGATGGGGTTTTGCAGAGGAGTGGATCGGTGACGACGACTTCGTCTGCGAAGGGAGCAGTTTTCGTTGAATTGGGGATGATCGAACAGAGTCTTCATGCGGCACTCAAGGCGGAGATGACGGAGTACTATCGCCTCGTTGCCATCTTGGAAAGCCAGCTGACGATCGAGGATGAATCGACGAGGACGCAGGGAGGGGCGGATATGAGCATCGAGGATATGGAGGGCAAGTTGACGTTGAGGAGGTTGATGGTTTGGACGGAGGAGGTCAAGTTGAGGATGAGGATGATGGGGACATTGGTCGAAGAGGCTGGGGGTGAGTGATATCTGTTCTGAACCTGACTTGTGATAGGGTCACTGATGCCCAGATCGGCGCTGAATGACCGCAGGCGAAAACGTCGGAGGTGCATTGCTCACCTCTCTGCACGCACGAACCTCGAACGGCGACCCCTTCATTCGCGACTTCTCCTCCCGTCTGCTGCGCACCCTCTCCGTCCCCTTCTTTGCCACGCTCTCCGCCTGGATATACGAAGGCGAGCTGCGCGACCCTTTCGGTGAATTCTTCGTCCAACTCAACCCTGCTCTGAGTGGGGTGGACGAACGAACGGGCTTGTTGAGAGGGAGGTCTACGTTCGGTTTGAATTTGGATCAAGACGACGAAGGTGTGCAGGCGCATCAATTGTGGGAGGGCAAGTTTAGGTTCAAGAGGGTCATGTTGCCCGGTTTTTTGGAGGAATCATTTGGTCGCAAGGTCAGTTGGAGCGAGTGTTCCCTTCTGCACCAGGATGGTTCTGGCTACTGATTCGCTGTAACGACGTCCACATTCGCAGATCTTCTCGACGGGGAGGTCGCTCAACTTCATGAAATACAGCTGCGGAGATGGACAATGGGTCGCCTCGACGCACCAGACCGATGGGCAACGGAGAGGTGAGCCTCCCCTCAACTTCCAAGCTATACAGCCATCACTGATCGCATGACACTTTACTTGTAGCCCTTGAATACGCCGACATCATTGGCCTCGAGCAGTCTATCACCGCCGCATATTCGCACACCTCCAAGCGGTTGTTTGACATCTTTTTCGACAAGTTTCGCCTGATGGACCACCTCAAGGCGCTCAAGGATTACCTGATGTTGGGCAAGGGTGATTTTGTCGAGATCTTGATGGAAAACTTAGGGTGAGTGTTGACGGCATCGATGACCGTGTTGCTGGTCCAGATGCTGACCATCCTCGATGCATTCAGGCCCTCTCTTGATCGACCAGCGAACCTGTTGTACCGCCACAACCTAACGGCGACGCTTGAGACAGCCCTCCGAGGTTCCTCCTCCGGCCCCTCCTCCTTGACCTCTTCTTCGGCGAATCGGTCCTCCTCCGACGTCCTCCGCCGCCTCGACGCGCGCATGCTAGAGTTCACCCAAGGTGAAATCGGTTGGGACGTCTTTACGCTCGAATACAAAGTCGATGCTCCGCTCGATACGATTCTCGACCCCGAATCGATGCAAGGGTACCTCAAGATGTTCAAACACTTGTGGCACATCAAGAGGGTCGAGTATGCTTTGAATGGGGTGCAGAGGAGGTTGATGACGGGGGCGAGAACGTTTTTAAAAGTGCCCGGTGAGCTTTCCGAAACGTTGATAGGGTAGGATCTTTCAAAGGAGGATTCCATAAACTCATAGGACCCATTACCTTACACCTTACCAGAACTCTCGTACGACTTTCACCTCACGCGCATCGCATTACAACGCATGACCTTCTTCATTCGCCAATTGCAGTACTACTGTCATCTCGAAGTCATCGCCTGTTCATGGCAAGTCTTGGAGGAGTTCGCTTTGAAGAAACAGGGGGATTTGGACTCGTTGATCGAGGCGCATCGGGTCTATTTGAGGAGGTTGGTGACCAAGGCGTTGTTGATTCAGCCGAGAAGTTCTCATAGAACTGAGGTGAGTGCGGGAATAGTGGGATGGTGTGTGTGATGTCATTTCCGAAGCTGATGTTGAATTTTGGGTTTGTGGAATAGGAGGAACGCTACGTCGTTTTGGAAGGGGTGAGGAACCTGTTTCAAATGATGTTGCAGTACCAGAACGTAGCCGTAAGTGCTCCACTCCCCCCCCCCCCCCCCCGTACCTCTTTCTCCCCCTAACCTATCACCCTCTTTTGATCCCATCAGGACGCGCTCTGCAACTACGCCCTGTCCGAAGCGTCCCGACAACAAGCTTCGAATCCGACGCTCGCAGCGCGCAGCGCCGACACGCTCGACGGGATACGCCACCGTCTCCAAGACTACGCCACCCAATTCGATAGCGGTGCTAAAGAAGTGGTGAGGTTGTTGGGCAAGGCGAAGGATTTGGATATGAGGTTCTTGGCGGTGAGGTTGAACTTTAATTACAAGTTCACGTCGTGAGGGGATTTTGTTTTATGTGGGGTTGAACTTTAAAGTGGGTATTGGATTGATCTGTTTTGGGTTTTTCTGTGTTCTTGTGTTCTTTGTTGTACGGTTGTGATGAAGTGTTGGGGAATTGTCAACCCAACATGTTTACAAGGATGCGTGGTGCTCGACTGGACACGCCGTCGTCCGAAATGACCCGAGTGGCGAAGTAGTGGCGAGCGCAGAGGCGTAGATCGTCTCGGGTGCAACTTCGCAAGCACGCCTTTTGGACGTTGGCCGATCACTTTCGCCGCCCGTCTCTCACGCACACGCCTCCCACGCCTCCCACGCCTTCACGCAACCACCCCCACCCAGCCACTCACCAGCAGCTCACATCAACCATGGGAGGAGGAAACGCAAGTCGTGTTTTCACCTGTGTGGTCTAAAAGAGCTAGGCGCTGACGGGACTGACTTGCCCTCCTCTCCTCTCTTGTTCGCACGGTGCTCCTCCTCCTGCGCGTCCGTGGCTCCACGTTCGCTTCCCTCAAACCTTTGGACTCCCAATCCCAATCATTCGCACGGAATGGAATCATCAATCCAAACGATCACGTGCAACAGGGAGCTAAATCAGCCGCGGCGCGAGCCAAGGCGCAGGAGAAGTTGGCCAAGTCCGGTCCGACCAGTCAATTGAAGGCGGTCAGTAACACGAACAAGTTGGCCGTGGTCGGGGGTGGGGTGGCAGTGCGTTGGAGGGAAGCAAGTAGGGGTGGACTGACTCTTTGCTTTTATTCCTCGCGTGGGGGGGGGGGGGGGGGGGGGGTGCGTTTCTAGAACGCCGCGGCGATGACGATTCAATGCGTTAGTGAGTACCGAGACAAGCTCGTTGTGCGCTTCGGATCTGACTATTCGACCCTCGATACTGATCATTCTCTTTGTGCAGCCTGCAAGGTTTGTTTGAACCACGTCCTGGGACGCTCCCCAAGCGAACAAAAAAATACGTCTTCGACCCGGGGGACGCCGTACTCACCCTCAGTGCTCCCGTTTCCAATCTTCCACAGCAAACCTTTATGAACACGACCAAGGTCGATGCGTGCGTACCTACAACTCATTTTATTCGCACTGAACAGAGAACTAATCCTCGTCTTGCCCTCTCACACGCCCGCTTCGCCTCCCAACAGGCTCAAGCAACACGCCGAGAACAAGCACAAGAACGCCGCGCTCGCGACCTGCTTCCCCAACGTCGCCGCCGCATAAACACAGTCTTGATGAATTGCGACGTGGAGAGGTTTTTTTGGCTTTGATCGTTCGGACCGTAGTTGCGATGGATTAGTGGAGCGGTCAGACGGCAGATGGCGCGGATCGAGGTTGATCCCCGGGCAGGAGTTTAGGGTAGTGTTTTCTGTGTTGTAGAGCCTCGTTTTCATTCTTTGAGAACCTTATTTTTCTTACCTTCCACCATAACATGGACAAGGAAACGGTATTGAGCTGAAACATTCACGTTCGAGCGTCACATTTGAAATAGCGTCGCACCGGGGTAATAGCCGGCTCATTATGTAATCACGGTACCCCTCCACTCCGCTCCACTTGTTCGAGTTGACCCGGGCGGTCCGCTTCCCTCGCGCTCGCTTCTTTTTACCCTTCTCCTCCACCTACACACTCACCCCCTGAGCACCTAACCCAAGATGACGACCACTTTCGACCCCAAGGTACGTCTTAGCCACCTCGTCTTTCAGAGTAGTTGGCCCTCCCTCCGTTTCCCGACCTCAAATGCCGGCGTGCTCGACTTGGGCCCCGCTTCTCGTTCTCCCGCTCGGATGAAGTATGACGCATCGGTCGATTCTTGAAAGAGCGCGCTCGCACCCCCTCGATCGATGACTCATCCGCGTAATGCATCGCGGCATGCGACGCTGCATACCCAGTAGAAGGTCACTACGAGGGAACTCAGTGTAAAGCACTACATCTACCTTGTCTTCAAAGTCGTCAGCTTCTTCTCATGCCCGCAATTGCTAGGTATTGGGCGAGGGGGCGAGCGAGCGAGCAACGTTCGAAGCGAACGTCCCCAAAAGGGGGTTGCGATCCTGCCCCACCTGGTTCTTCTATTCGAGTCGATCGGCTCGGCTCGGCTCGACTCGGCTCGGCTCAGCTCTAGTAATGGATCACGCATGTTGCATACAGAAACGGGGACCTTACACTGACTCTTAACTATCGGCAATCCATAGGACATGCAATTCAACTACTTTGGCAACACCGGACTCAAAGTGAGTTCTTGCCGGCCTCTGGAAAAGACTCGGCCAAAAAATCAACCGCTGACGAAAACTTTCTTTTTTTCGATTCAGGTCTCGGCTTTCGCCCTCGGTGGATGGTTGACTTATGGTGGAACGGTCAAGGGTGATCCCGTCAAGGTCAGTTTGTAGCATTATCGAAGCTGGAATGAGCAATGCTGAAAAGTGTTTCTCCCCCCTGTCGACTCGCTCAGGACATCATGAAGGCCGCTTTCGAGGGTGGTATCAACACCTTCGACACCGCCGAGGTGAGTTGAACAACGTCTCGTTCCCGCAATTTTAACACGTGTTGACCTTGATCACCATCTGCCAATTAGGTCTACTCGAACGGCCAATGCGAACTCGAGATGGGTCGCGTCATCAAGGAACTCGGTTGGAAGCGCGAGGAAATCGTGCTCATCAGCAAGATCTTCTTCGGCACGGGTCAGAAGCACCCCAACCAGAACGGTTTGTCGAGGAAGCACTTGATCGAAGGTACCCGCGCGAGTTTGAAGCGCCTCGGCGTCGAGTACCTCGATATCGTACGTGTCGCAGGTCTCGACTGGATCAGAGGAGTCGGTGAAGCTCACGCTCGTCTTCTTCTTCCTGCATCCACTGCAGGTCTTTGCTCATCGCCATGACCCCGCGACACCGATGGAGGAGATCGTCCGCGGTTTCAACTTCCTCATCGACCAAGGCCTCGCCTTTTACTGGGGCACTTCGGAATGGTCCGCCGCGCAGATCGAAGAAGCCCACGCCGTCGCCAGGCGTTTGAACCTGATCGCCCCCGTCGCCGAACAATGTCACTACTCGATGCTTCACCGTGAGAGGTTCGAAGTCGAGTACAAGCCTTTGTTCGAGAGGGAAGGTTATGGAACGACGGTCTGGAGTCCGCTGGAATCGGGTTTGCTTACGGGCAAATACGACGAGGGGGTCAGTGGACCTCGTACAACGTCCTTGGTCAGAGACAAGAGTCCTTACTCACGATTAGGTTCCATTCTCTAGATCCCCGACGACTCGCGCTTCAACACCAACTCGGAGTTTTTGTGAGTTTCGCCTCGATGCTCGAAGGGACGGTCCTCGCGCAGTTCAAAAAACTAAAAAGTTGAGCTTCTCCTCCCCCCTTTCCCCTTCAGCCAAACCACCATCAAGGAACTCAAGACGCCTGCGGGTGAAGCCAAACTCGCCAAGATCCGCGAGCTCAAATCCGTCGCCGACGACCTCGGTTGCTCTCGCGCGACCTTGGCCCTGGCCTGGGCCGCGAAGAACGCTCACGTTTCGACCGTGATCCTAGGTGCTTCGAAACCGGAACAGGTGACGGAGAACTTGAAAGCTTTGGAGATCTTGCCCAAGTTGACCAAGGAGGTGATGGAGAAGGTACGCCCACAGGCTCGAACTCTGCTTCTCCAACGTGGCTGAGATCATCCTGACCCTTGTCGATGACGATGGGAACAGATCGAGAAGATCCTCGACAACACCCCGGCGCAACCCAATACGTTCGGTCGCACGCGTTAAGTACTCTCGAAAGTTGACTCTACGACCTTAAGAAAGAACGGAAGCATAAATCAGAATTTTTTGAATAAAAACTGTAGAGCGGAATGAAGGACCGGCGTGTCATGTCAAATGAAAGATGACGAATGAAATTGCGTCCGTGCGTTTCTCGCTTCCCAAGACGTTCTCGTTCGAAGCCGATGCGAGTCATCTTTTTCTTTGTTTTTTTCCACGAGCAACATTTCAAAAGAGAGGTATCTACAGGTTGTGTAAGAGGGACGGGGAGACGAAAAGAGAGCAAGTGCTAAGGAGCTGAGGGAAGTAATAAGAAGACGTGGCGTGTTCCCTAAAGAAAATGCATAAACTCAAGAGGATTGCGGGGCGAGAGGAGGGGGGGTTAGGTGAAAGAAAGGGGAAAAAAAGATAGTGTTTGTCGTGTCAAAAAAAGGCAGGTTCTATTCGAGAGATTCGAGAGGGAGGGATGGGAGCAGTGTTCAAGACGAACGGAGCAAGCCACACGCGATGCAAGGGCATTAAGAACGACTTCGTCTACAGGACCAAGAACATGCCGAACAGAGCGACGATGGAACCCAACACAATGGTCAAGCTGAGCTCGACACCACTGAACGACATCGTCCTTGAAGCCGCACTCTTGGTCGAGGTCGAAGAAGTCGGACTGGCGTTGGAGGCAGTTGTGGACGAGGCCGCACGCGAGGTCGACATTGACGAAGCAGCGGAAACGGTGCGGATACCGCCCGAACTGGCGGCGCCTCCTCCCGAGGCGGTCGAGGAACCAGCGCTCGTCGCGGCGGGGGAAAGAGCGAGTTGAACATCGACAGTCACGGCCGTGGGGGCCGCAAGGGAGACCGAGACCGTACCGGCGACGTATTGCTGTAGGGGACGGGTGGGGGAATGTGTGAGTCGTAATGCTCGTGTCCCGCCCAGAAATATTCGAAGGGGAAGCAAATGCTTACAGCGTAGTTGGGGTAGACGAATTGAGCGCCCTCGACGTACGGTTGAGTGTTGTTCAAGCATACACCGACCTATAATTAAGAGCAGAGACGCGAAAATCAGATACTGGGAAATAGCGCAGCGGCAAGCGAGCGCAAGGAACGTATGATACTCACGGGAACGACACCACCGGTGAAGGCCTTGCGCATCTTGGGCAGGTACGATTGACTGATCGCCATCGTCTCGCCGTCGATCTCGTGGCTGAGCACGATCGGGCCGTACGCGTTGTAGGTCCCGTTGGCTTGCTGCGCGAGGATCGTGTCATAGTTCTTTTGCACGGACGCGATACCGTCGACGTTCCAGTCATAGTCGAACGTATCCGTCTCCCACTGGATGATGCGCAGGTCGAGCTTGGACGCGATGTAACGGATGCGGTCGTCGACGTCGCCGTACGGCATGCGCACGCAGCGCACGGTGATGCCGAGGACGTCCTTGATGGCCTTCTTGGAGAAGTAGAGCTCGGCGAACGCTTGCTCGTTCGTCATCGAGGTCATGTCTGGATGGAGGCAAGACGCGATGAGTTTCATACTGTACCACTGGATGCCCGGAGGAAAGACTCACAGGGATGCGACCAGGTGTGCGAGCAAATTTCGTGCCCATCGGTCAAGCCGCGCTGCGCCTCCAGGGGCCAATCGAGCACGTTGGAACCGATGTAGAAGAGAGTTGCCTTTTGGTTGATGCTGAGGAGGTAGTCAAAGTACTGTGGTAAAGAAAGAGCGTTGGATGTGAGCCGATCGGATACTCGAGCAGTTCAAAACATGACGTAAGGGCGTGCGGGTTGAATGATGGGAGGCGTCGAGGCTATTTTTAGGGGCCGGCGGGAAGGGGAAGGGAGCCCGATTTTAGATCCATCTTTGATGCGCTGACTTACGGCATTGTGGGAGCAATTGGGTCCGTCATCAAGGGTGAAACCCCATGTGTTGGGCTCGGGGCACCGTGTGATATCGGGTTGGAGGCCGGCCAACTTGGGCGTGGTGCAGCGCGTGTCGGTCCACCAGCAGTCCGGGTCGTTGGTCATGTCGTACGTGACGCCGGAGAAGTCACCTGAAGAGCATCGAAAAACCATTTAGATATCATTTCTACTGCAGCGATTTGGCCTGGATATTGTCCAGAAAAAAGGCGCCGGAACGCACCTGCTCGTGTTCCTCGGGGGGCGACGTTGGGGATGCCGGACTCCATTGACTGGAAAAGCGCCTTGTCGTGGGCAGTCACACCCCTACAGAGCCCATATTACCATATTTTGATGTCAGTCACTCGTTGTTACACTGATGGGTGCGTCGGTATTGTCCGCTTTTGGGCGCGCAAACGGAATCGTCAAACTTTAGGATGATCCCGTTCGGGGTCCGAAAATGCGATGCACCCTTCGCGCCTGCCTCAAGAGTTCCAATCCTAGCTCGCGCTCGAGCACGGCCACGGCAAAACAGAAACTCACGCGAATGACAGGTTTGCTGTAGCCCAGATATCGGGGAAAGTGGGCATCTGGAGAAGGACATGCTAGACGTCAGCACATGACCCCTTCCCGGCTGGCGGTGGACCAAGTCGTCGTCCAATGTTCGCGTCGAGGGACACAGCGCATGCGCGGCCGAGCCTAGTGGACGATCGACCGACCCAACGACGACTCTCCGATCCTGTCGGGTAGGAAGGGGGTTGAAGAGAAGAGCAGAGAAGGGGAGAGGACCATACTCACGACATCGGCAACGGGCTCGTAGTAGTAGGCAGCGCACTCGGCTTGCGGGTTCTTGATCGCAGCCTCCTGAGCCTCGTTGGTGCGGTCCGTCGTCGGTACGGAGGTGGCGGTCGTGCCAGCGACGGCGGCCGTCGCCGTTTTAGGGGCGCTCGAGGCAGCCGCGCCAGCACCACTGCTGCTCGCGGCGAGTACGGTCGACGTTGTCAGGGCGAGCAAGCACAAAGAAAGATGCATGCTGGTCGTGGAGAGAGGGGTGAGGTGAAGGAGCGGAGGACGTGAGGAGAGGAAAGGAGGAGGAACTCAATCGGGTGCGAGGGACGCGGGGGGACGCGCAAGGACGGACACGCTCTGATTCGTTCACATTTTGCAGAAGGCGCATTCAAAGGGCAATTGCCTCCAAACGACCTCGCGACACGGGCGCCGCCACCGCCGCCGTCAAAATCGGCACCGCGCTTGAGGCCGCTGGCTGGCTTGTTATTGGGCACCCGAACTGCTGGGCGCTGCAGGCACACGCGCGCCGCGACGCGCTTCTCAGCCGACGCGTTGCCCGCATCTATTTTTGGCGCGGCGCTACAGGGAGCTCGGAGCCTGACAACGGCGCCGAGGTCCGACACAGCATCGGCTAATCTCGAGACGACCGCCATCACAAAAAAAAAAAGCTTCATCGCTTGATCACTCGCCCTCTTTGGCGAAGGTCACCGACCACTTCACCCAGAGCTGCTTCGATCGCAGCAAACGACATGTGGCAAGACATGCCAGAGGTATGAGAAGACGAAATGAGTGATAAAGTAGTGGATTCTAGGATTCAGTCAAAGGACACGGAAAGGATACGTTTATCAGGGTCGAGAACACCAGTCGACACCGACGGACGAAAATTGATTCAGATCTTTGGAAGCCCCTGACGCCATCCGGTGGCACAGCGAGCACGGCGCGAGCAGTTGCCTTATCTGGTCAAGCCCTGATGATTTCCAACACCGCCCGTGGTCAGTAAGTCTTCACTCGAGAAGATCATGAAGAGAACTCGGTGAAGCCACCCACCGTGATGGGTGCACGTGTAATCGAACCCAAGGGTGCATTGCCAGTGAATTTCAGCCCACTCCAGTCCCATTTGCCAAAGCACGATTTATCACCGCACAGAACGTAAACTTTCTGGGCTTTGTTACCCATGACCGAAAGAGTGGTTGTTCGGCCAATGAACTTGACGTTGGAGATCAGGACACCGTTGGTGGCACCTGAAGGGCCCTTGGGGCCACTTTCGGTGTAGTCTGATATGAAAAGGCCAGGCGCCGAAAACCTCATCAGCGACGCCGCCCAAAGCGACCGACGCAATGCGAAACCACTTGAGAAACCCCACCTTGTTCGATAACTACGCCGTAATTGGTCAGTCCCGTTCCCTAAGAGATGTAACCAAGCCTTATCAGCTGCCGCCCATGCCCCCTCGGTCGTTGCAGGCGGATGCTCACCGTATTGCCACTGTAGGTGATGTCAGAGACCGAACCCCTAGTGGCTCCGGAAAGCGTCTTGATGCGGTACCCTTGCGCGGAGTTCTCGACCGCATTTCCCGCGATCAAAACGTTACTGACGTGCTCATTCCTAAAAATCATCGCCACGCATGGTAGATGCTGCGTGTCAGCTGAGCAGAACAAGAAGGTCTAGGACAAAAAGAAGGCTTGCAAAGCGCGCTTACGACCTGATCGAGCCGATCGAGATGCCGTGTCCGCCAGAACACTTGTTCTGGGTGATGGTGATTCTCGTGCCGGAAGTGATTGAGATACAGTCCTGAAATAGCGGAGTCGCCGGGCTGTCTCAGCAACTGTACTGCTGACTAGCCTGGCTTCGTCAACTGTTGACTCACATCCTGATTGATCACCCTGCACCCCGAAATGGTGAGGTCGTATGTGTTTTGGACAACGTTGAAGCCATCCGTACTGTTTTACAAGTCGTAGTTCGTCAGTGAAAGCCAAGTTGGCATAATGGAGCAGCAGCAGAAACTAACTTGTGGCCCATGCGAGCACCGTCAGTGTTGTTGACGAAAATATTGGACAGCAAGGTCTTTCCGGGGGCCTCGACAACGACCGCATTCAGAGGAGTGTTGTGGATAACCAGATTCGAAACGGAGCCTGTGATTAGAAGCGACAAAGCTGGACCAGGTTTTGCTGCTGTGACCATGTAAAAGCGAGTGTCGAGACGGGGTCAGCACAAGGCGAGCCTTTACCACCCCTAAGCTGGCGGCCTCCCAAGCGCAGGGTCGTGACTTACTCCCTAACTATCAAAGGTGAGACGCATACCCAGAAACAATAAGCACGCTGATAGATATCGGAAGCAGTATGAATTTCGTACTCACGGCCCCCTTGCTGTCCCTAAAAACCGTGCAAGCCAAGCCAATTTCACAATTAGGTCAGCAATCAGCCAGGTGCAGTACGACATGGCGCCAATGAACACTCACCAATACCGTTCGCCCTGGCATTCGAGTTTGTGGTTGTTACCGTTGTATGTAATCTGGTCACCATAGACTGCCAGAGTTGAGATAACAGTGCGTCAGAAAGGTGAGCTCGGAGTAACTCGGGAGCTTCGCTGCGTTGGCAGCCATGCGGGACACCGCCCGGTTAATGACAGTTGGCACTTCACTCACTGCTCATCAAGGGACCCTTCCAGGGCCCCCCGTATGCAAATGTGATGTCCCCTACTGTGAGTTGCAATCCACGTTGTGGCAGGTATACCGGATTAGTAAAGCCTACCCCTTTCTTATTGTTTTTCGGTGCGAGGGCTCGAGCGACTAGCACCTCACAACTCACCTTGATTGATCTTCGTGCCCGCCTGAACGTCAAGCATCAGGGTCCGCCCTGCTGGCATGATGAAGGCCTTTATCGTGATCACCGAGCACCTTTGAACATTCGGTATGTCTCTGGCATCGGCGATCGTGCAGGGTTGTGAGGAAGCCAGCGCCACCAAAGAAGACGAGGCAAGGACGAAGACCACGGAGCGCTTGCACAGCATGCTGAAAGCCGTCGAGGTCGAGATGTGGGTTGGAGAGGAGAGATGGGGAGAGACGGGAGAGAGGTAAGGAGAGAGACGGAAGAGAGATGCTGAGAGATGAGACCATTGAGCCAGATTGAGCCCAGCTCACCCCCAAGTCAGGAAGTGGTGCACGGCAGCCACGCGAGGTCACGGGCGCGTGCATGCTTGATGTCTCGCACGCATCTCGCCATCAGTCAGGGGCCACTCAGGAGAAGGTAATCTCATCCCCTCTAATGTTCCCCGCAGCTCCAACAGGCGATCTCGAGATCTCCCCACATACGTACCTCCACCCAGTACTCCGGATTTACGGGGAATAATCGGGCAACTTCGAGCAGGACCTCGACGTCATCAGTCTTAGAAATAGCGATGCTGCACGACGTGCCAATGGACTCACCTGTGCACAGTATTCTCGAATCAATCCAGGATCACCGAAATCGATCAAGTACCAGCTGAAATGGTTAAACTTCCCCGGAGACGACGCTAGGATTGATCGGCAAGCGTTCGTACCTTCACCGCTTCTACTCGCCCCTGACGCACGCGGCTCTCTCTTGACAGCTTCTGCTTTGAGCCTTGAGCGTTGAATCGCGACTAGTACACGTTCCTTCTAGCCAAAGCGCTAGTGGCTGCCCAACCGCCGCTCTTCATGCAACACGTGATAACTACCTTCTGACAATGTTCAGTCGTTCGGGAGAGTTCAGATGTACTAGGTGCCCAGCGGTGCTTGCATGGCTCACGCCGATTCGAGCTTGGGACCCACCCAACCACCTAGCTGTCGAGTTCCTAGCGCCCACTGGCTGTGTTCCCGTAGATGGGAATAAGTCTGAGTGATCTCTTTTGACAAGTCATGTGGAGCGTCCACGTGGAAAACACGGTTTCAGAAACGCGAAGGACTGTGCGGCAGCTACCCGCCGTCCCCGGGCGGTTGCTAGCGCACCGACGACGGTGCGAACTCCATGCAATCACCACCGATCGCCGTGTATTTTGAAGGTGATGATGGCGTAATCCCAGTCGTAGACCAAGTCCACGTGGAGATTGAGCAATGTCGACTCATGAACACTAACTCTAAGTTCGGCAAGTGTGGATGAGTCAAGAGATTCTCCGGCCACTGAGACCAAGGGCTGTTTCGCGGTGAGGCTCGGCTGTACATGTTTGGTCAAAGAACGATGTCCATGCCTTCCCCGGTGTCGCGGCCAAGAGACACATGACAGTTGCGGAAACACCAATATCTCCGCTCTACTGTATCTAAAAGTTATTTTTATTCTTGCTTTGTTTTCAGCAAATATCCAGCGCACCACGTGCGATACCGCAGCACAGGCTCCCAGGAGCACGGGTTCCAGCTCCCGTGGCCGGCGTCGCCATGGCGAAGGGCAGTTCTCGCTGGACAATGCGTGTCATTATCGGCGATGAAGGACATTTAGTTCATTGGCATCATTCTACACGCGGATACTCGAAACCGATACTGCAGTGATGAGACCGGCGATGAGACTGCCCTATATAAGTGTTGAGATGACTCGGGAGCAGGCGCGACCTTTGCGTTATCCGAGCCTCCAAGTTCGACTTGTCTCGGACGCAACGAGAGGCTGACATTGACCGTCCGACCCTGTTTTCTACCGTTCAATCACAATGTACCCCCGCTGTGGTCTCAACGTAGATAGCACTACACACCAGTGTCGCTGTCTGCACCAGAGAGGCGCTCAAGACGCTCTCGAGGAATCAAGCGAAGGCTGATGAAAAGTCGTTGAGCGCAAGCTGAAAATTCAAGGTGATCCCGGTATTCCAATTATAACCACGCTCCAAGGGCAAAGTAAGCTTCACTGTGGCTGGCTATGTCGACTGCAAGAGAGACAAAAGAGTGAAGACCCTTCTAGCCTTGGGGAACAGTTTCGGCACCGGCGAGCAAGCTGCGGCGAGGCAGAGCAGTTACAGGGCTGAGGTGTGGAGTGCGATCAAATACGAGGTGGTAGATCATTAGCAACGTAGATGAAAAGCTGGTTGAGTGCTGCCTCAGCAGGCTCACCAGACTCGGTTGTCCTGACAGCCATGCGATAGACGGGAAGAGACTTGATTCAGACGGGTTCCCGGCACGGGAGCGTAGCGAACAAGTTCCTCGATACTGATGCGGGACATCTGGAGCGGGCATAAGTCATCCTCGGTAAAGTCCAACGACACGCGTTTGCGCTGCAAGCAGGAGGCCGAGCACGCGTCAAGGAATGATACGGCGCAAATTGCCCCTCGTCTTGGCGAACCCAACCTTGCAGGCGAAAGAGTAAGGTCCAAGCGCGGGAGAGAGCTGGGGCATGAGAGACCATGGGATATGTGAAAGGATCGCACATGCACGCGCTGCCGGTCTTGTTGAAGTTGGTGTTCAGCCCTGAAGTCATACGATCCAGACGTCGAGCACGGGATTGACGCATCTCGAGGGCGATTCGCATAGACGGTCTTTGGGTCGTCCATGCGTAGATGCTGGAGCTACACGAGCCAGATTCTTCCCATAACGACAAGTTCCCGCGAGCACGCTGATCACCGATGGTACTTGTTCTGCTCAGACAGGGATCTCGGCTCGATCGCTGGCTCGCTCTTCGTCCTCATCGCCCGACTCGACGACGTGGTACTCGACCTTGCACCGCTCGCTACAGCCTTCGCACTGCACGATCTGCACGCCTTGCTCCAACTGCTCGAGCGTGATGCGGAACTCGGCCGAGCAACGACACGGGTGGGTATATGCTATGGGCATGAGCGAATCTTCAAACTCGGGCTTGGGTTCGGGAGAGTTCGATTCCGAGTAGTGGTAGTGGGCCGTGAAGAGAGAGAGGTCGATCGAGACCGCATAGACGCATGATGAGGTTAGAAGTTCTTGTTGAGCTGGAGAGTGCGCGTGATAGGCGGATCAGCGGGGCCATAATCGAGCGAAAGGGTTGACTGACTCCGCAAGTGACTACTAACCTTGCTGCTGCCTCGCCGATTCGCGATCATACGCCTTCCTCCTGGTCGGATCACCGAGGATGTGCCACGCTTCGTTGAGTGCTTCAGCAGCGTTGGGGCTGCTTCGCTCGACCGCTGTGGCTCGGTCGGGGTGATGTAGTAGAATCAGGGCCCTGTACGCCGCCCGGACGGTGGCAAGGTCCGCCGTCGAGGGGACATGCAGCGTTGCATAGTGGTCGGGGAGAGAAGTCGCCAGTGTTGGGAGATGGACACTTCCTGAAAAAGCACAGTTTGGAAAGCACTGACGCGGGTGTGGAAGGGGGACCGGAAGAGGCTGGTAGTAGGCTGGTAGGGTCAGATGCCAAGGAGGTTCCCCACTTCGTCGGCTTCTTGTCCCTTGTCCTCGCCCATCTTACTCGCTCTCACTCGATACCCGCACTCGAGCTGCGCATCGTTCCATGGGCGGTCCATCCTTATGGGACCTTCCTCCCGAACTGTACGGGACCCTAGCATCCTTCCTGGACCTCTCCTCGCTCATCGCGCTGTCCCAGTCCTCTTCCGCATCACGTCATCTTGTGCTCGACCACCTTGCGCCGAGCCACATCCGCTCCCGAGCTCACATCCCAACCCCGGATCGATTGCGCCTGATCAACCAGTGCAAATGGCTCGGTCACATTGATCGCAACTTTACCCAGGCCCGTATGAGCGGCTTCTCTCTCCCCATCTCGGCCCCACTCGTCGGGGATTCGACCAGAGTCGTGCCCGCGCATCACAAGAGTCGCAACGCGTTCGAGATGCCCTGTTTCCGACTGTGGGTGAGCAACCCCGAGACGAGGAACTGGAGATGCCTCGTCACGTCGCGGAGGTCGACATTACAGCTGTGGCACGTCGGGGCTCCCGGCTCGCGAGCAGAATTGGCCCCGGTTCCCATGGCCCCTAACATCGTTCAAGCAGGAGGCGCGAGCGCGGCATCCTCCTCGAGCAGGCTTGACATCAACGACGACATCACGAGCATAATCCTCGCTTCGGGTCCGGATGGCGCTCTTGGCTCAACGGACCTCATCATCGCCAGGCTATCAGGTCTAATGCAACGCATTCGAATCGAAGAACCGTCTTGGCATGCAACCCAACGACGCTGGATACCAGGTCGGTTCGTCGAAGTAGCGCAGTACTCTCCCGCCCACTCTACTACTCCGACAGCGAACTCGACAACGTCGACGATCGTGCAATCCATCTCGTCCGGTAAAGGTCTCCTCATCTCGGCATCGACACGCAAGCCGCGCCCTTCGGTAACCCCCCAGCGATCTGACAACGTAACGCGAGTTGCAACTCCAATCCCCGAAATAGATCGCATCGCTCTTTCCGAAGCGGTGAAGCGAAGTCGCCGAGTGATCGACGCCTCCACCTCTCATTGGATCACGATCCATTTCCTCATTTCGCCCTGGCTCGAGCCATTGCGTCAAGAACTCCCGACCAAGCCCTGGTCGACCCTCATGATCCCTTCTTCCAACGATCTCGTCGTTGGTTCTTCGGGGTACTCCCCTCTCTCGCTAGGCACCCTCACTCCCACCTCGTGTAGCCCCCTTCGGCCGATCGGGATCCCTCTCTCCCGACCGTCATCCATCTATTCCCTTGCCTCGCCCACCCCTCTATCCCCTCTCCTGAACCCCGCCCATACCGTCCTTTCAGCATACTACAACTCCTCGATCCTTATCCATGACCTCCGTCTCCCTAATTACCAAAGTCAAGTGTTCAAGCTGGAAGACCCATGGTCTGACGATCCGGCTTATTCAGTCGCTTGTGGTGGCGCGGCAGGAGCTTGGGTCGCCGGAGGCTCAGCCAGGAACGCTTCGATCCGTCTATGGGATCTTCGTTCTTCGACCTCTCGAGCTCTTTCCCTCATCTCGACAACTGCACCTCCCACGAACGATCATCAATCGGACTCATCGTCGACCTCAACCCCTCCCGCAACTCGCAGTATACGCCACCGAGATCTCGACCTTCCGAACCCGAGTACCAAAGCCCAAGGCCTCACTCTCTTCTCACCTCATCGGGACGATTCGCCGATATACGCCCTCGAATTCAAACTTTCGCGACTTTGGGCATGTACGGACAAGAGGATCGTTGGAATCGATTGGGATCGCGTCGAAGGGGATCGTGGGAGGGGTTTGGTGAGGTGGGAGGGGGTCGGGTATTATGAGTTTGGAGACGAGGAGGGCGAACCGGGCAAGTTTCGCATGAGCTGGTAGATGTGGCTGTACATTCAGCAAGACACTGTGGGATTCGAAAGAGGGAACAGTCGGGGAAATAATTTTGCAGAGACCGCGGAAATTAGACTTAACCTTGGTCGGGCCATCACACCTGGAGCGGGCATTCGCCTCGCATTTTTCCACTTGCATCCGTTGGAGCAGAGTGGCGGGCACTTGTCTAGGAATTATTCTCTCTCGAGTATCTGAGCAACCAATCTTGTACTGAACCTAATTAAAAGGTCTCTAACCTGGTAATTAGTCACAAACTGAAAATCAGTACTTGGTCACCTGCTCGATCGCTGCAAGTCGCCGCAAGTCGTCAGGCCGGAGCAGGTCAATCGAGCGACGAGTCCCGAGAGTTTGACATCATCCCGCTCTCCTCCTCATCAACCCCTGCCCGGCAGCGATACTCGGCGGTGTACGCGCGCACAGAGTTGCGCCTTCTCCTTGGACCGTGGATAGTGGAGACAAGGTATCGAGGTTATTGGAAGCGCTGCTCCGCAGACGCTCGCTCGCTCGTCCCGATCGTCGCCGTCTATCGTTGTCGCTGTCGTCATCGTCCATCGCTCCCTCGCTCGTTCCCTCGCAAGGACCGCCTCGTAATCACCTCCTACGCCTCCGGACGCATCGAAAAATATACCAGTGTTCATCATCTGACAACAAATCCCTCGGCCCCTAGTCTCACTCTCCGACGATGCGTCGCTCGCTCGCTTCCCATCTCCCGATCCGGATCCCTTCCCTCACCGGCACACCTCATCCTCCAGCCCCTCACATGGAGTTGACAGACTCGACGCGGTTGCTGATCGACTTCTTAAAGCGAAGGAGAGGGAAGACCGTCGTCCTTACCGGTGCGGGAGTCAGTACCGACTCCGGGATACGCGTGAGTTGGCCCGGGGTTCTTTCTCGAGGTCACGTGCGCGCCGAGATCGGTGATCGGTGATCGGAGGCATCGAGGCTGGGAGGCGAGGGTGGGATGACGATAACTGACTCAGTGTCGGTGCTTGGGGCATGTTCCTTCTCGCAGGCTTATCGAGGATTGAATGGAAGTTATACCACGAATGTCAGTCTGACCCCAACCGGTCCCACTCTGGCACAAATGGCCACCATCGTCCCCGAGGCACAGGCGTAGCTGAACTCTCTTTCGTCGCGAACGTGGAACTTCACCGAGGAGCAGAAGAAGCACCGCCCCATCTTTTACCACGAATTTATCGAAGAGGAATCGAAGCGCCGGAGATACTGGGGTCAGTCCTGGACCGGACCCGAGATCACGTCGGAAGAATTTGATCCTGATCTGAGGCCTTGTACGCGTGGATTCGCAGCTCGGTCATATCTCGGATACCCTCCCGTCCGTATATAAAACACTCGGTGCACTGCTTCCTTCATTCTTTCCTTCACCGGGCTGAGCATGTCTATTGATCGAATCAGGTCCGAGTCGCGGAACCCAATCCGACGCATTACGCCTTGGCGGCTCTGCAAAAGCTCGGTCACGTCTCACACCTCATCACCCAAAACGTCGATGGCTTACATCACAAAGCCTACGACAACGATCTAACGACGTACTTGGCTCCTCCACCTATCGCGCCGCCCACAACAGCCACTGCCTCGTCCCCGTCCGGCTCGACCACCGAACCAAAACCCCTACCTTTCGAGCCCGACATCCTCGAATTGCACGGCACGTTGCGCCACGCGCATTGTCTCTCTTGCCAAACACCCATAGGCCGCGACGCGTTCCAAGATCGTCTTTCGGCTCTGAACCCCGCATGGGCAGAGTACTCGCACAATTTGGAAAGTGGCAAGACGAAACCCATCTTGAACCCCGATGGGGATGTCGAACTCGGGAAAGGGGTCCGTTACGAGGATTTCAACGTCCCCGCTTGCGATCACTGCGGGGAATACATGATGAAACCAGTCAGTCCAAATCTGACGCTCTCATTGGAAATGCGTGGATGAGAAGACTGACTAGACTTATTGTAACTTTTCTCGTTCACCCCCCTTTTCAGAAAGTCACCTTCTTTGGCGAATCCTTGCTTCCCCACGTTAGGGACCTCGCGACCTCGTGGATCGAATCATCGACCCAATTACTCGTCATCGGTTCCTCCCTAGCGACCTATTCGGCCTTCCGGCTCATCCGTCTTTCCAAAGACCTCGACCATCGAGTAGGCTTGATCAACGTTGGCGAATCGAGGGGGGATGGTTTGGTTGATTTCAGAATCGGATGGGAAGGCGGAGCTGTAGAGGTTTTGCCGCCTGTGGTGAAAAGGTTGTTGGAGGATGGGCCAGAGGTGGAAGAAGTTTTGAAGACGGAGGTGGAGGAAATGATGAGGAGGGGTAGGATCAAGAGGATTGGGAATGGGGGGACTGCAGCGTAGAGCGCAGGTAGAGAAAGGGGAGGGAAGGAGAGGTTCTCGATTTTTCGGAGGGTTTACGAAGGGGGGGAAATTTGTTGCAAAAATTGAAAGCGAAGCTCCATGTCGACAGGGGGGGTGACCGAAGCAAGGCTTTGAGCGAGTGATCATCCGTGGGGGGAAATGTTGCAGTTGTGCTCCGGCACCGCTCGGGGATTCGGTACGAATCGCTGCCACGAACCGGTCTTGGTGAGGTCGTATGGAAAAACGACCCATGGGTGAGAAGAACGGTCTGCAAGACGTGTCGATCCCGCCCCGTCGCGAGCATGTCCAGGTCAGTCCAGGTCAAACGTAAGTAGCCTGTTCGGGCTTCGAGGTGGTCATGTGCAACTCTTGGCGCGTTCTCATTTCGAACTTCACATCCACTAGTCACCCTCCACGCCGACCAACGCAGCTAATGCAACCCCAGAGGCTTTTGCTACGGCCTCAACTTGCGCGATTTCAATATCGCCTGTCAATGAATCTGACCTAGCACCTCCACCGCCGAAGATGAAGAAGGTCTTGACCGGGCCACTGAGAAAGGGCGTCACCGGCTGTCTTCTTCGAACGGAAGTAATCATGTGACCATGACTGGGACAGGCGTGTTGGCCCCCGTGCTCAGTCTTGGCTTGGTCGGGCTGCGCTCGTTTTTTTGGTGCACTCAAGATGACTTCTCCTTGCAACTGAAACGGGAACACGAAGTACCAAAATCAAGGCTGAGTGAGCCGCGAGTGCACGTATACTCCGAGGGGGAGCCTCACCCTACCGAGCTCGAAGATAGAAAACGAGTGAGACTGGCGACCCTTGCGGCCATGCTTCTATACCTTCCATTTCCCGATAAAGGCATCAAAGACGGCCAAGATGGTCCATTTCCTGCAGGGGTGAATATGCCCATACGAAGAGAGTTTAGGTCAGCTCCCAAGGGTGCGAGCGCGTCTGAGCTCCTCTCATGAACTAACCTGTTCTCGGCCTCCTGAAAGACGATCGATTTCGGTCCATAAAACACCTCGTCATCGACCTCGTACTCGTGCCGAGGTAAGCAATGCATGAACACGGCCTCCTTGTTCGCTCCCCCCCTCTTCAACAAATCGTTCGTGATCTGGTAGCCTTCGAAATCCTTCAACCTCTTCGCCGCCTCCTGCTCTTGACCCATCGATATCCAAGTATCCGTAACGACCACATCGGCATTCTTGACCGCCTCTTCGGGCGAATTCGTATGCACCAATTTACCATGACCTCCACTTCCCGAGCCTTCCCAACCTGATTTAACCCGGGCCAAAACTTCGGGTTCGAGTTCGTAACCTTTCGGTGTCGCGATTTGGAGGTTGATGCCCAAACGAGGGTAGGTGACCATCATTTCGTTGAGGATGTTGTTGGAATCACCGATCCAAGCGACGGTCAAACCGGAGAGGGAGGAAAGGTAGGGGGAGAAGGGACCGTGTAATTCGAGTAGGGTTTGCAGATCCGCGAGAATTTGGGTAGGGTGGTAGAGGTGAGAGAGGGCGTTGATGACGGGTACGGATGAATTGGCTGCCAGGGTCTGATATAAAGAGGGGTAGGGAGGGGGGGAAACTTGGAGTTGAGTCCCGGTTGGATCTCGGTCATACTCTTCCCGTGTAGTCATGTGGGGGGGAGGGGGGACTGACCTCGACTTCGGAATGATGCCCGACCCTGGCCATGATACCATCGACCATACTCGATACGACCCTAGAGGTATCGTACAAGCTCTCGTTGACGCCCAATTGGATATCCCCCGCGCCCAAGAACATGGGATGACCGCCGAGCATGTGCACGGCCGATTCGGAAGCGACGCGGGTCCTCGTACTTCGTTTGGAGAACATCAACGCGACCGTCTTGTGGTCCAAGGACTTTTCGGCCAACGAGATGCGCGAATGCTCGAGTTCCTTGTTGCCACCGGTGCCGTAAGCATCGATAGGGGACGAGGACGGGGAAGAAGAAGCGGCGGCGGCGCCCGAGGAGGAGGAGGAAGAAGAGGAAGTGGAGGAGGTCGGTTCGATTCTACCGGCCAAAGGGACGGCGTTCTTCTTGTAGTGCTTCTTGAACGCGATGGCGGAACTGATGAGGTTCTGGATCTGGCCGACGCTCAGGTCGGCGAGCGTTAGGAGGTGAGGCGGGCGAAGACCCGATTCCGAGGGGTGCAGGGTCGGGGCCGGGGCCGTACTGAGCCGACGATGGCCCTGGCCCAGGACGAGCAGCGACTTGGAGTGTCGCACGAGGTGAGTGGAGAGCATCGTCGGTGATGGGAGCGAACGGGGAAAAGACCTGGACGGAGAAAGAGATGGGCGGGCGCGGGGCAGAGCGAACAGGAGCGAACAGGAGCGAACGAGGGGACGACCCGAGTCAACGCGCGCCTGCCAGGACTCGGCCAGACTCGCGCGCCAGGATCTCGAATCAAATCGCGATTACAACCGACTACAACCGATTACAACCGATTACAGCCTCGCGCGAGTTGTATTCAGCGCGCAGTTCAGAGATCGTGTCGTCACTCACCCGTATACTCGCCCTCGGCCATCCACTGCACTTGCACGCCCGCGTGGTTGCTCACACGGCAAGCAGCCCGAACCGGAGACCCATAGGGTTGGATTGCTGGTCCCTCACTTCTCGTACTGTACAAGCGACCAGTCCCCATCGTCTTGTCTCGGTCGCACCGTACGACCGAACCCCACCCGCCTTCACCCACCAGTCGTACCTCTCACCCCTCGAGCCATCACGACCATGGCCTCCTTCTTCTCCTTCAGTGCGCCCTTGGAAGTCGAGGTCCGCCTCCAAGGCGAGGACGATCGCCAGCAGGTCCAAGTCAAACAGGACAAGGACAAGCGCGACAAGTGTCCGGTCTACTTTGACGGCGAGTCCATCCGGGGGCAGGCGATCGTGCGGTCCAGGGACGGCAAGCCGATCAAGCACGATGGCATCAAGGTCGAGTTTGTTGGATCCATTGGTACGTGCTGCTACCCCCCACGCGCCGAGTTGGGACGCCTCGAGCGGATGCGCCGCCCCACACGCAACACAACCCCTTCCTTGCCCGCGCGGCCAGGCGATCCCTACCTCCACATCACATCACGAAGAACGGTCTTGGTACATCTGATGCTTGGTGTGAATCGCGGTCTGGCTAGGGTATATGTGAAGGCTTCTCTGAGCGGGCAAGGCGTCGCACCACCCTTTCTGGCTTGGCACTGACACCGTCTCAAACGTGTTCCCCTCCAATCAGAGATGTTTTATGATCGCGGCAACCATTACGAGTTCTTGTCCCTCGTACAAGAACTCGCGAGCCCGGGCGACCTCCGAACGGCGCAGGCCTACGATTTCGAGTTCAAGAATGTCGAGAAGCAGTACGAGTCCTATCACGGCATCAACGTCAAGCTGAGGTGAGAGCTCGTGCAAAAGGGAGAGTCAGATGAACCTGTCCATGGCAGCTGAGATTTTCTCCCCGTGTTGTACGTCCAGATACTTCATCCGTGTGACGGTCTCGAGGCGCATGGCCGACGTGGTCAAGGAGAAGGACATTTGGGTCCACTCGTTCCGCATGCCCCCGGATTCGAACAACTCGATCAAGATGGAGGTCGGTATCGAGGACTGCCTCCACATTGAGTTCGAGTACAACAAATCAAAGTCGGTCCCACTCCCCGCCTCGCATCTTGTTGTTTGAAAAACGCGCGGCGCTGACGCATATCTGCCCTCTCCGCACCAGATACCACTTGAAGGATGTGATCGTTGGCAAAATCTACTTTCTGCTCGTTAGGATCAAGATCAAACATATGGAATTGTCCATCATTCGAAGGGAAACGACTGGATCGGGTGAGCCACCACCGGTGCTCGGTATCTAAGGATTTCAAAACTGATCTTGTTCTCGCAGCACCAAATCAATACAACGAATCCGAGACAATCACCAAATTCGAGATCATGGATGGCGCACCCGTTCGAGGTACGTCCTTGTCCTCCCCTCGGATATCCAGCTCAGGACTGATCGGCTCTCCTTCTCCCTTTCGCACAGGAGAAACAATACCGATCCGGTTATTCCTCGGCGGCTTTGAACTGACGCCGACGTTCCGCGACGTCAACAAAAAGTTCTCGACGCGGTACTACTTGAACTTGGTCTTGATCGACGAGGAGAACAGGAGGTATTTCAAGTGAGTAATCTCGGTAGGCGGTCTTGTGTCTCGATGTTGAGTCGATGTTGAATGCCTTTGGCTTCTGCCGCTTCAATGTACATGTAGACAACAGGAAATTACCGTTTATCGTCAAGACCAACGAGGGCAGATCGGGCAACCCCAGCAGCCGGCTGAGCTGGGACAGAGTCTGGAGACAGGCTCAAGGCCCGAGCTCAAGCCTGATCAGGAGTAGTAGTTCCGCGAGTTTGCTCCCCGACAATGGTGACGAGATGATGTAATCTGATGCACTCTTGTATGATACCTGCAAGGGGACTTTTCGGTTTTTCAAAGTTGGCCAGTATAGTAGAGACGTAACAATGCGAGAAAGTGCGCCGACTTTACCGGCTCTGGATACCGGCGGCCTCCGTCCTGCAGTAAGGCGCGGCTGCTTGCCCGCTCGGCACTAGGCGCTTCGTCGTCCTGATCAGTCTGTTATAGAGGCGGTCCCGCATGCCGGAAATTAATAGGGGTACGGTAGATAGGCATTCGACGGCGACAACTACCTTGGTAGGTGGGCAGGAATAGCCTATCTGCCCAAGAGTGACTGCGCGGCCTGAGGCGCGGAGTTTGTTATCTTCCCCACATTTTCTCATTCTTATAAGGTGGTCGTTCATTCAGTCGGGCTATGCCCTTGACCGGTTGATCAGGCACCAGTCGGTCGGAACTCGATCGTGAACGTGACTCGCACTGAGCCAAAGCACAGACTTCACAGTAGTCGTCACTGGTCAGCCGCGCCGACTCTTTCGTTTTTTCCAGAAAGCGATCTGCTCCGACGACTTTTTGAATTTAGGCCAGATATTTAGTCAAGTGTGGTAAGTAGGCAGCCTTACTCTCGAGAAAGGAGCGAAAAGAAAATAACTCAAATTTTCAGTAATAGGCAATAGTAGTCGACACATCGAGAGTTGGCCCGACCATTACTACTGTGTTCCGCGCAGAGTCAAGCCCTGTGCAGTCGCAGAAGCGGAAAATCCGCGAGTCGGGGACCCCCACCCGCTCCCCACCCGTTCCGAACTTCCTTCCCTGATCCACCCTGTTGTTTCCTCCTTCCCCCTCCTCTTCACGACTTTGAGCTCGTTCCCTTCCCCTCCCCCTCCGTCTGCCCAACATGCCAGCCGGTGCGATTGACGTACATCCTGAAAAACACCATCATCAACATGCGTATGATGATGGTCAAGCGAAGACGGCGAGTGGGATGGAAGCGCAGATGCAGGATCAAGATCGGCTCGCTGCTTTGGGCGTCAATTCAGGTTCGTCCCATCGCATCCACCAATCTTTCCCCAAAGTAATCCGTACTGATGATAGTAAACTGGCTTGGTCCACCAGAGTTGAAGCGTGGTTGGGGCTTACTGTCAGTGAAACCTTGCCGCAGTGATAGACGAGATGATGGGTAAACCACTTCGGGCCGGCTCTGACTGATGCTCTGACCTTCCTGCCGCGAATTTCACAGCGAGAACTTTGGGTCGTCCTTTTCTATCATCTCTGTTGTGACGTGAGTGTTCGTCTCTGCTCCCGCTACCCGGGCCTGGGCATAGTGCAGTGGACGGGGTGTCCTTCCCCGCCGGCCTTCGGAATCGAGTCGGGCGCCTTCTTGGCTTATCGCTATCACTCGGCGGGAGCCGTGGGGGAGAGGCGCGGTCCCGTGACCGGGTGAGCTTCACTCCATGGACCGACCCACGATCCTTCGGTTTCGTCGGGGCCCACGACGTGACACGGACGTTCCTCCGTCCGAACACCCACCTCATCATTGACGTTATTTTGTTCCGTACATGAATGCGAAACCCCTTTTCCTGACGCTCTATTTGACCTGATCTTGTCCACAGCGGTATCACGACACTCTTTGCGACCGGGCTCGCTTCCGGTGGTCCGGCAGTAATGGCCTTTGGGTGGATCTTCGTCTCTTTCTTCACCATGTTCGTGGCGGCATCGATGGCCGAGATCGTCTCTGCCGTGCCGACATCGGGTGGCCCCTATCATTGGAGCGCGCTGCTGGCCCCGCCAAAGTACTCAGCCTTCGCGGCGTGGTGCACGGGTTACTTCAACTTGCTTGGACAAGTCGCCGTCACCACGGGTATCTCGTTTGGTCTTGCGGGAGTCATCTCGACCATCGCGGCCTTGCACGGCTATGTCCCTTCGGCGGCCAAGACTATCGGCATCTACGCGGCCATCCTCGTCTCGCACGGCATCATCAACACGTTCGGCATCCGGCTGCTCGGATTTTTCAACCGCGCTTCTATCGTCTTGCAATCCGTCGGCGTCGGCGGATTAGCCATCGCGGTGCTCGCGAAAGCGCCTCGCTTGCGGTCGGGCAGAGAAATTTTCTTGGCCTTCAACGATGGGACAGGTGTGGACGGCGCAGTAGGGTGGGGTCAGCGAGCGAGCAACGCGTACGTCGCTTGCATTGGTATTCTGCTTGCTCAATATACGATCGTGAGTTCCACCAGCCCCCGATCAGCACTTGTCGAGATGGGTCGAGTCTGATTACCCACTCTTCGAATAGACCGGCTTCGATGCGTCGGCGCACATGTCGGAGGAAACACATTCCGCCGCCCGAACTGCGCCTTTGGGCGTCATCACCGCTGTCGGGGCCTCGGCTCTTTGGGGATTCTTCTACCTCATGAGTCTGTTGGCATCCATCCAGAACCTTGAGGACACGATCGGTAACGAAGTTGGCAACCCCGTGCTTAAGATCTTCTTGGATTGCTTCGGCGATCCCGGAGCGACGATTGCTTTCGCGTTCATCTGCGTTTGCATCTTCCTTTGTGAGTGTTATGGCCTAGTGTCCCATAACATCGTGTCACCTTGAGGATTATCAGCTCAATGCGCTCTTGTTCGACACCTCCGCCCCGCCTCTATCTTATTTTTTTGTACAAACAGGCGGTCTCTTCTCCATCACGGCCAACTCGCGCATGATGTACGCCTTCTCGCGTGAACGTGCCCTTCCGGGCTTCTTCGACCACGTCGAAAGCCGCTCCAGCTCACCCGTGCGTGCCGTCTGGCTCGCCGTCGTACTCGCCTTCTGTCTCGCGCTCCCCTCGCTCGGATCGGCCGTCGCTTTCTCCGCTGCGACATCGATCGCGACCATCGGACTTTACATCTCTTACGTCATCCCCATCGGCATTCGCCTATTCGCTCATAAAAGGTTCCTGGAGATTAGGGGTCCGTGGCATTTAGGTGCTGCGGGTCGGCCCGTTGCTGCGGTCGCGCTCGCCTACGTCGGGTTCATCACCGTCGTCTTCGTGAGTCACAAGCCATCAATAGGCTTCTCAAAAAACGAAATGAGGAGTTTTCGCTGACCCATCGTCCACCTCAATTCCAACAGTGCCTGCCCCAACTGAACCCGATCGATCGCGAGACGTTGAACTACACCCCTGTTGCGGTCGGCATCATCGGGCTCTATACGATCTTGTCGTGGTTCCTCTTTGCCCGACGATGGTATAAGGGCCCAAGGTTGAGTGAGTACCCTGATGATTTTTTTTAGCCTTGCTCTCCTTCACTTTGACTTATAATACTACATTCCCTCCCTTTTTCTTTCAGTCGCTTTGGCCGAAGCGGCGTTGGAACCGGGTATGCCCGTGATCGCACAACTTGAAAGTGGGGACGATAAGGACAAGGTGACCAAAGTTGGGGTCGAGAGGGTCCTCACGCAGTAGAGGACAAGCAAGGGCTCTACTTACTCCACGCCTGGAGAGGGGGGACTTGCCGGATATGTAGGTTGTGTAGGGGGATGGAGACCCTTGAGTTTTCATCTGGGGGAGGGTTAAGGTATGGGACTCCCCGACGGTATAGAGGGATGTGTCTTGTTTTGAGGGACTTTATTTTCTATCATTGGCTGCAACAAAGATGTATCGGTCACTTGCAAGGAAAGCGGAGGGCGCGGAAGATGCCACCACTCGCGATGAATGAATTCCCTTCGCGGCATTCATTGCCAACGTGAGAGCTCAGCTATCTTAGAGTTTCTGACCGTTCAGCTCACGCTGGGCATGTCCTTAATCACCTTTTGAAGGTAATCAGTCGTAGTGTTTTGCGTAAACACAGTCATCTAGTGACAGTCATTGTGGTAGGTGATGTGGTTTTATGGATAATGTTCGAGGCGAGGAAAAGATCGGGAACTGAATGGGCGGTCAAGTCCCCCGTGAGCTTGATAAGCCCCGCAATTGACGCTCCACTGCAGAACGCTCCTTCGGCCAATCGGAGCAGTCGAGCGCTTCGACTCCTCCATAGTGCGCGCTGTTTGTGGCGTTTGTTTTAGGATGGAAGAGTCGAGTTGCAGTGATAAGAGAAAAACCCGCACTCCGTAACAAACGGAGGGTTTTCTAAACAGGAGTTATGAACAAGTAGGGTGGGAGGGAGGAGCTCAAAAAAATGGTCGATCGGCTTTGCTCAAAGAGCGCAGGTCCGATTAGTAACTAAAACACTGCAACTGACTTGGGGGATAGGGCATACCTTTGCTCGAAAAGCGCAGGGCGATGGCAGGGGAGGAAGGCGACGCGGTAGGTAGACGCGGCCAAACGAGGTCTGTATACAAGGTAGCCCCATGAGTCAACTTGCCCAACAAGGACAGTCGTGATCCGGAATGCGAACCTTAGCTAGAAACAGCGAGCCGCGATAGTGCGAGTCTCGAAAAGTTCGCCCTTGCTCTAAGCAGTGGGTGCGATACGACCTTGCAAAGCAGCGGGTACGGCGGCTGCTTACAACGTAGTGGCAGGCTAGCTCATCAGTCCAACTGTCCAACAAGGGCAGAGGGCTTACGAGGGATGTTACCCACTTTGAGTGAGTAGAGACTGGCAGGGGGGGTGCCGGAACCACAACACGAAACGCTAAGGCGTGCGGGACGACGAGGGAGAGGGAGAGGAAGGGCCCGCGCGCGCCAGCGGGTGAGCAAGGCGGGAGGCCCAAGGGGGCCGAGAAGAGTGCGTGCAGGCACAGGGTCCAAAGAATGCGTGTTCGAAGAGTGGAGCGCGAGCGGGCCCCGTTAGGCCGAGACCAGCGCGCTTGAGCTGTCCGCGTCAAAATCTTGCAGCAAAGGCCGAAAAGACTATACGCGGCTCGTACTAAGCGCCTCTCCGCTTTCCGCAAACATCTGCAGTGGATTGTGCACAGCAGCTCCACAAGACCAGAACACGCCCAGTATCGTAACCGTCTGGCACTCTTCCCATAGCGAAAGTGACGAGTCTGTGCACGCTTATCACCCCAACGTCGCACGATTTGCAACGCCTGACTCGAGCTCACTTAGCAGCGCAGTTGCCCCACATGACCGCCTCAACGACGACGATCAAGTTGCCTTCGAACGCGGCGCACCCCTTGCGCACGCAGCTCTTCATCAACAACGAATGGGTCGACAGTCTTTCATCGCAAACGTTCTCCGTCCTCAACCCCGCGACCGCCCAAGAGATCGCCCAAGTCTCGTCCGCTCAAAAGGAAGACGTCGACCTCGCCGTCCAAGCGGCACGCAAGGCCTTCAAAACGACCTGGGGCAAGAATTGTTTGCCAGGCGAGAGGACGCGTTTGCTGAACAAGTTGGCCGATTTGATCGAAAGGGATGCGCAGCTCTTGGGCGAGTTGGAGAGCGTCAACGGTGGGAAAGGTGTCAGGGTCGCGAGGGACTTTGACATTGGCGATTCGGTCGCTTGCTTGAGGTACTACGCTGGATGGACGGATAAGGTCGGTTACTACTAGGTCGCTTGCTCTTTGATTCATTAGTAAATTTGGCTCGTGTAGCACGCTCTAACGATGCATTTCTGCTTGCCCAGATCGCGGGCGAGACGATCGAGGTGGCGCCGAGCAAAGTCGTCTACACCACCGCTGATCCGATCGGCGTCTGCGGACAAATCATCCCGTGGAACTGTGAGTCTGAGCGGAGCGATTCTTTTTGCACAAAATGGCCTGCTCACCCTCGCATTGCTTGTCGATCGATTGCGCTACTAGACCCTATTATGATGTGAGAAACTCCCCCGAGTCGAGTGTCTCTGAAAGTCCCAGGTAGCTAAAACATTGCCATCTCCACGCAGGTGGGCTTGGAAGGTCGGACCTGCACTGGCCGCAGGCTGCACGATCGTCATGAAACCTTCCGAGTTGACTCCTTTGACGGCCCTAGCGATGTGTGATCTCATAGTCGAAGCAGGTTTCCCCGCTGGTGTGGTCAACTGTGTTCCTGGGCTCGGTGCCAGCGCTGGTGCGGCGATCGCGAACCACATGGGCATTGACAAAGTAGCATTCACTGGTTCAGTCCAAACGGGACGAACGATCATGGCAGCAGCGGCCCTCTCGAACTTGAAGAAGGTAACTCTAGAGTTGGGAGGCAAGTCACCGAACATCATCTTCTCCTCTGCCGATCTGCAGCAAGCCGCGAACTGGTCCGCAATGGGTGTCTTTTACAACTCGGGTCAAGACTGCTGCGCCGGCACGCGCCTCTATGTCCAAGAAGACATCTACGACGAGTTCATGGGGATCCTGGTTGAAAAGGCTCGAGCGTGTGCGATTGGGGATCCTCTCGACGAGACGACCAGCTTCGGTCCGCTCATCTCGGCGGCCCAACGCGACAAGGTTCTCAAGTACATCGAGTCCGGTGTCGAGGAAGGCGCCAAGGTCGCCACGGGTGGACAAAGATGGCCCCAGAGCCAAGGATTCTACGTCGAGCCGACCATTTTGACCGAGTGTAACCCCAGCATGAAGGTCGTCAAGGAGGAGGTAAGTCGTGGAGACGTCCGCTCTTCACCCACCCCAACTTCGCAACCGAACTGCGCTGCTGGGCCGCCGAGATGGACGCAACTCTCTGATCCAGAATTCTCTCTCCTTTCCTCCTTGTTCCTCAAATCTGCATCCCCCTGCTCGTTGTCATTTTCATTCATCGTTGTAGATTTTTGGTCCGGTTCTCGTCGTCAGCAAATTCAAAACCGAGGAGGAGGCCCTCGAGCTCGCAAACGACAGCGTATACGGCCTCGGGGCGGCGGTGTTCACGAGTAAGTTGGCTCTCCGCCGCCAAGTGCTTTCCACCTGTCGTAGGGGTATACACGAGAAACTGGCGCTTCGTATGCCCTCTTTACTGCACCGCCTCAGGGCGGCAAGCCATTGTTGATGTCACGTGTCCACATTCCCGGGGACATTGGGTCTCATGATTCTCGGCGTTTCACCCCTAGCCGCTTTCAGTCTCGGCTTCGGGAAAAAGAGACTGATTCGGTGCATCGCTCACGTGTCGCTGTCCGCCGAATCATGCAGACGACGCTAAACAATCGATGCGAGTGGCCCACAAACTAGAAGCGGGCACCGTGTGGTGCAATCTCTATGGACTTCTCAGTGAGTACTGTCGGCCTACTGGCGAGACCGGTCTCACGGCGGGGCGGGAGCCACTGCAGGACGAGCCTGGGTGCGCCTAATCCAGCCGGGGAACTTCTTGTGATATGAGCACTTCGGCCTCAGCCGCCGCGACAGGGGCTGGAATTTTGCGCACGAGCCCGCGTCTCACTCGCAGGGGAACGCGACGAACGTTTCCGGCGCCGACTGATTTCCGGCCCGAGAATCGGAGATGTGTTGTCGCGGTTGGGGCTGACCTCTCGGTGCTGTTTCCCAAGATTCGAACGTACCCTTTGGAGGATACAAGATGAGCGGCATTGGGCGAGAGCTTGGATCTGCCGGCGTCAAGGAATATTGCAGTGAGTGATCCATATTTTGCCGCTCTGGTTGGAGCTCCTGGTGCGAGAGCATCGACATCGGCATCGGCATCGGCTTCGTCGGCGACTAGGCGGCGGCGGTGCACATGTCCGAGCTCGACCACCAAGCGCTCAATTGGCGCCGCTTGTTCGGGCTCTACTGAGCCTCCCGCTCTCCATTATTCGGATGTTGATCACTTGCGAGACTTGGACGCTAGCTTTTCATTCTGTGCCTGACTCCTTTTGCTTGAGTACTTTTCTTCTCCCTTAGTCATCAAGAGTATCCACCATAACATCAGCGAAGAGATGGTAAGTAATGTTTCTGTGATTTTTTCGGACACCCCGGCGCGCGTCTATACACATATGTCTGACGCACGGACATCTCCGATCCCCGGCCTCTTCTTTCGTCGTCGGGCAGCCATGGCCTGTCTAAAAGGTGGCGGCTCGCGTCCGCTTTGAAAGTTGTGGCCCCATCTAAAGTCAGACCTCTTCCGCGGTGTCCTTCCATGTCTGAGATGCTTAGTACTGTCGGCCGGGGTTTAATTGAGCTTTTGATCGCTAAGCGCTCGATGACGTAGTATGGCGATCATACCAAGCCCTTGATGCAACTGCCAACCCCAGCGTAACCCTATTACCCGAAAGCCTAGCTCGTCTAGATCTATCTCTCGCCGCGAGGGGAAGCTGGTCCGGAGAGACAAGCGGTCCGTGTTTGTGTGTGTGCGCGCGAGGCTTGGCTGTATGCCCCGAGCGCACCCACCTCGCCCCTTACGGCCGTAGCACGCTCCTGGCTTGTTCGGACTCTAGCCAGAAGCTGAAACCTCGTGCTACCGGCGCTAACGTGCGTGATCAATGATCAGCGGCATCGGCGACGTGAGAGGCTCTCAGGGACCTTTCTCCGGGGAAGCGCGGATAGGAGCGACCATGCCACGGCCTTGCATACGTAGTGGCCTTTCGTCTCTCGTGGACTGCTCGAGAGAGATTTTCTTCTCTCCCTCTCGCATTGCCCTCCTCGACCCACCCTTGCTCTGCTGCCAGTACACATTGCCTATTCCACCTCCCACGATGGCCCAAGTCCTAATTCAGCTCTCGGCTCCTGGCCGCATGAAACCTCGCTTGCCTTCCCTCAGCGAGGCAGGACTCGACCGCTTCATCTTCGGCTGCGCTGCGAGCGATGACCCCAGCACAACGATGCGCCCTACTGCCCCTCCAAAGCTCGTCTTCTTGTCGACCTTGACGAAAACCCATCCCGGAGCTACAGCTTCTTCGTTTACTTCAACTCCATTCCTTGGGCCGCCCGCTACGAATCCTCTACGCGCTCAGGCTCAGGCTCCAGCTCGAGATTCGCTCAGCGTCGAAGCAGGTGCCCCACTTCAACTTCGGCCGTCAGCCCCGCCTCCGCCATCGTGCCGCTCGCCGCTTACCTCACCGCAGTCCTCCGCCTGCTCGAGCCGGTCCGAATCTTCACCAGCACCGACATCCGCATCGCAAGACCGATCGACAGAGCCTCGTTCGTCTGGCATGCGGGCATTCCGAGCGTGCGCTCCCTGTCGGGTAAGAAACCGTTTCCTCTCATGTTCCCCCCATCTCGTTTCTCATGCGCCGCGGGATTTAGGGGGAGTGCGCGGCGCCTGCTTTCCCGATACGCGGAGTACACCTGGGGCGAGTTCCGGATGTTGCCTTCAGCGGGGCACTGCGGTCGAGCTGCACTGTCGCGGAGTGACTCCTCGAGTCTTCAACACCTACGTCACCGTTGCCGCTTTACGGAGCTAGGTACCCCGTGCCCCCCGAGCCCACCCCTCCACTTTACCGATGGCTAGGGTAGAAGGGGTAGGCAACCCTACCTTTGTAGCCGGGCAAAGTATTCCCTCTTATCTGTCGTACCTACGTGGCCACGAACGTCGCTGAGCGCGCCACCACCCCGTGGCTCCGTCAGCGCACAGTCCAGAGGGGCTCAAGCTCCGGGGAGAGCTCCCACGCGCGCCAACTCCGCTCAGTCTCCGGTTCGGTCGACATCTCGGGGATCCGGGAAAACGTGATTTTACTTGCTCGGCGCTAACAAAGTGTGGTCTTCTTTCCTGCTTCTTTTTCTTGTCCAACTCGATGTACGGCTCAGGCGGCGCACACAGCATGTGATCATGAGCGCCCCTGTCGGCGATGTCGTGTCAGGCAGACCCCGGACAGTTGCGTCGATCTCGTGGTACGTGTCGGGTCGGTCTCGGTCTCTTGTCTCGCGGCGGGAAGCCGCCCCCACAATGTCTTACCACGACGTCATCTGACCTTGGTTCCCGAGACCTTTCTCGGAATTTATATATTTCCCCCCACCGCTCGTGTTCAACCCTGTTCACCCGTTCTACTCTTCCGTTCGCCGGATCTAGACGCCGTACCAACAGTACCTCGTCAAGCGCCGTACGCCACACGCCTGCTCGACCCGAAGGACGAATTACCGACGCCAGCACGACGACTCCTCCCTCGAACTATTGACGAGCAAAACCTCCCACGGACACTTCTTCTTGCCTCTCCACTTTCTACACTACTCTACATAGGTCACTTTTTCTCTTGCAAATTGGCCTCTGTTAGACAGCTTCGACGTTTTGTATGCTCCCTCACGCCTTCACCCACCTCTAGTCTTGATATACCCTTTCGAACAAGAGTGACTTTCTTTTCCCCCTTGCCTACGCATACCCCGTTTCTTCGCCCTCTCGTACTGTAATGATCGGCCTTCTCTCTCGGACCCCTTTTCAGACTTTGCCCTCTCCCTTTCCTTACAAAACACCAAAATCCCTTGGGCTCTCTTACGTGCGAGTCGCCTGTTCCTCGGGGTTCTCATGAGAGCGATGAGCGATCTGACTGATATCATTCGTGTGATGACGAATTTCATTTTTTGCTCTCTACCCTTCTGCTTCCAAAAAAAAAGGAATAAAACCAGATACACAATGGCGGGGGCAAGGGCAAGTGATCGAGCGAAGCGGGCACCTGAAAGAGGAAGGAGGATCCCCCCCCCCCCCCCCCCCCTCCCCCCGCCCTCCGTCACGTCACTCCTCGTCTAGGCCTGTACTGTCCTCCCCAAAGTCCCTGTTTGGAACTGCCTCGAAGCGCCGCCACGACCCCCACCTCGCGAACCCCTTCCACGTCCACCACCTCCGCCGCCTCGCCTCGGTCGAGCATCGTTCCCTTCGGTCCGTTCGGCCCTAACTCCATCGGCCCGTTGTTCCCCACTCTGCAACTTGGAATCGAGATAACGTTCCGAGTTATCGGCCATCTGACTGGCCTTATCGGCCAACTGCAGCGCCAGTCGCTGTAAAGCCGAAACCTCGGTCGACTGCAAGACGACGACGCGCGAAACTTGGTCGAGCGAGGCGTCCAACTCCTCGTTCCAAATCATCTTGCTCACCAACGACGTCGCGGTCGCCAGGGGCAATTCGAACGTCGAAGCGAGTTGTTCCAACGACAAGGTCGAATAAAAAGGTGCGTAGGTGAAGACGTAGGTACGAAGGCCTTCCTCTTGGATCTTGCGCTTCAACATTTCCTTGACCTTGCGTTCGGAAGGCATCAGGTTCCATACCTTGATCGAGTGGATCAGGTCAACGCAACGCTGCCAGTCACCCTGTTGCAACGCCTTGGTCGCTTGCATGACGTGGTCACGCTTGTTCTCGGGAGGACCGGTGAACGCCTGTCGGTTCGCGTAGTCGAGCATACGGCGGAACGTGCGCGACACGACGCGCTTACGCATCTCGGGATCGTTACCGGCTTGGGCCATGAGGGGGACCTCGAGCAACATCGACGCGACGAGGTACGCGCATTCGAGCAATTCCAAGTTGATGTGCATGTGGAACGGCAATTGGCGTTGACGTTCGAGTTTGTCCTGTTCGGGCGTGAGCACCGAATAGCGTTGCGCCTGCACGCCCTGCGCGAGCAACTCCTTGACGCGTTGCGTCGCGAAGATCTCCTGCAGTGTCGATTGCGATTCGCGGATCAGGCCCAGGCGGAACGCGCACAAGCCGACCTGCACGACGGTGCGGTTGTAGAGGATCTGCGTGCCGACGTCGGCCGAGCCGACGGTGTCTTGCAGATGCGACATCAACAGCATGTCGCGAGCGGTGTGGTATTGATCGTGCAGGGCGTGGTGGTAGATGTGGCATAACATGGCGCGCGTGCGCAAGAGAGAGTTCTCCGTCTTGTAGAGGTGGATGCACAAGGCGCGCACGAGCGCGACGGCCGAGAAAGAGGAAGCACCGGACGAGGACGCCGCCGTGGACCAGATCTTGGACTGGCTCGACAGCGCGGGCAAGGTGCTCTCGAGCGCCTGCGCGACGACGTCGGGCTTGCAGTAGACGTGTTCGAGACGACGGGTGACGACGCGGTCGAGATGCTCGATCAGGCGCGTTTGCTCGTAGTAGACCTGCGCCTTGACGATCGTCTCGTAGATCGCTCGCTCGTCCTTGAGGCGCTCAATGTATTCGCTCGTGTGCGGGTCGATGTGCTGCAGGCTCTTCGTGAACTCGTCGTCAAGGCGGTCGACAAGGGAGATGACGGAGCCGCGAACGATGATGGTCGGTTCGGAAGCCGACGGTGCTCGCTCGACCTGGTCGTCGTAGTCGGGGGCATCCTCGGCAACGACGTGGTCGCGCTGTTGGACGAGGATATCGAGCAGAGAGTCGAGGTGGGTGCGGGCCGCGGACCAGGCGTCGAGGGGCATGTGGGTGTTGGTCGAAGGGTTGTAGTCGAGGAGGGCCGAGATCAGGGCGAGCAGGACGCGGATCTTTTGGTAAGGCGAAACGGCGACGGCGAGCAGGCGATCCAGAATCTTGGTCTGCTCGGTGCGGTCCGTGTTCTTGCGCCCTCGCGCCTCCATGACCAGGGCGAGGGCCTTGTAGATGCCCTCGGAGGTGACATTGATGGTCTTGCCCTTGCTGCCGACGGTCTGGAAGTCATCGTCGGCCTCCTCTTCTACGGGTTGAGACGCCTTCTTGGCCTTTTTAGGCGCAGCGGCCGCGGCGGGTTGGTCCTCGAGCGCGGCGGCCTTTTCGAACGCCTCGGGGTCCTCCTTGTACTTTTTGATGGTCTCCTCGTGTTCGCGCTGCGTCTTTTTGAGTTTTTGCTTCATCGAGTTGAGCGCCTTGGCGTTGGTCGCGTTCATCTTCTTCTTGGCGCCCTGAGCAGACGCGAGGTGGTCATCGAGCGAGACGAGGGCCTTGATGAAACCTGAAGGGACGGGTTCGGCGACGTTGGCCTGACGCGAGACGAGTCGGACCAGCTTGTCAAACTCTGCAAGAGACCAAGCCGGTAGTTAGTACGATGACTAAGGGATGCACCAGAGCAGAGGGGAAACGCACGATCCGAGATGGCGGACCAATCGTTGATGCGGGCGGCGTTCTCGATCGCCTTGACGCTCGCCTCGACCTCGTCGGCCCTCTTGCTCTTGGCCGATTTGACGACCTTGGTCCTCTCGTCGTCCGAATCCGAGTCGTCGCTCGCCGCGCCCTTCAAGAACCTCGAACCGATCGGTTTCTTAACCGCGGCCTTGTCGTCGTCGGATCCGTCTTGGTCCGAATCGCCATCATCGTCATCGTCCGAATCGTCATCGTCCGAGTCGTCGCCGGTCGATTTGAGGAATCGGGATCCTTTAGGTTTGCTCGAAGCGGTCTTGCCCTCGAGTCCGGAATCGTCGCCGGAATCATCGGAGAGCAACTCTTCTTCTTCGTCCGAGGACGAATCCGAGCTGTCGCTGACGGAGCGAAAGAAGGAGGACACTGGGCAGGGGGGACAAGGGGGATGGGGTCAGTGAATGGATCAAAGTGTGATTTTTGTGAGAAAAGTGTCTGTTGCTGTGGAAGGTGATGTCGTTCGATGGTCGACCGCCGAGTCTTTCTCAAGCCCCCCCTTTCCGCTGACGCTCCGCAGAGGCGCGTGGCGACGGTGCTGAGTGCATACACGCGCTACATCGACGCCCTGCCCGTTCGCCTCGCGGGGTTCAGATGCGGTTTACGGGAAGAGCGTGGTGAGATGGCGAGTCGTGTTTTTGCGTGGTTGGTTCATCAGTCGGGTGGTCGGTTCGGTGGGGTCGTGTAATGGGCGCCCTTGCGGTTTTTACCCCGGTGCGCCTGGGCAGCGAGGCGAGGCTAGGGCGAGGCGGGTACGGAGGGGTGAGGGTGACTTGGCGTGGGAGCACGAGCACGGCGTCGACGGCCGTTCGCGCCCCGTCACAACGGACGTACAGTCGCCGATGGGGAGGCGTGCACCTCTCGAGCTGTAGAATTTAGGATACGGTACTCACTGCTTGGGCGTAGGTTTTGGTACGTGCTCCCAAGGGTTTGATCAGAGGGGAGATCGGATCACAAAAGCACACCCACTTCTCACCTTCGCTGGCCGGCCGGCTCGGTCGCCCATCGCGAGCCATCGCGCGCGCGTGGGAAAAACGACGCTTTCAATCGAGCCTGCGAAATCGGGAAAAGCAGCCCGGTTTTGTAATGGGGAATTGTCGCCCGCCAGCTCCCGCAAGGCGCGCGCTGGCTCGCGCTGGCGGGTTCGCCCCCGTAGCCAGCGATCGATCGTTCGTTCGTCCTACACCTCCCACCCACTCCCCCCTCTCCCCTCTGATCGGTCATCATGTTTGCGTGAGTTTAGCTGCACCCTTCACACGAGATGGGTGCTACCTCTAGACGGTGGCCGCCTGTGGTTGTGGTACGACCCTGCGAGCGCTCCGATGAGCCCCGACGCCCGCCGCAGCGCTCCACCGACCGACCCACCACGCCCAGCCCGATTAGAGCACTTGCGATGGATCAATCACGCCTTGTATGGACCGCACACGAGAGGGAACGGGTTGCGCATAAGACGACTAGACGAAGGGGAGGAGGAGATCTCCCTCTCGGGCCGTCAACGACGCATCCACACTCGACCACGACACACCACCCACTGCAGCCAGATCGTACTGGACATGAACTGACGTACGAACCATGCTTGACTCCACAGTCGCCAGGTCGCTCGTCAAGTGCGCACGTACGCCACCTCCGCATCCACGGTCAGTCGACGGCTGACGGCTGACGCTCCCCCTTCCTTGGCTTTCCCCCGTGCTCCGCTCCGCCGCCGCCGCCCAAGCCAACGACGACCACCTCGCTCAGCCCGAGATCCCATCCCGTGCTGACCCCGTTCTCTTTCCCTCATGAATAGGCACCGCCAATCCAGCTTCATGGTCAGCCTTCCCCTGGTAACTCTCTACAGTCTCAACTCGTTGCTGACGCTCTCTCCACCCCGTTTGCGTCCCCCTTCCCCCTGCCAGGTCTCTCGGGCAAGTACGCCGGAGCTCTCTTCACCGCCGCGGCCAAGAAGGGGTTAGTTTTGATCTCATTCATTCTGGAAACGTGACCGAGGCTGATGGCTGTCCCGGTGACGTGCGCGGCTTCCATTCCATCCCAACAGAGGCGACGCGTTGAAGAAGGTCCAGGCCGACCTCGAGGCCGTGCACAAGACCATCACCGCCGAGCCGACGATCCAAGACTTCCTCTCCAACCCCGTCCTTTCGTCCGGGGACAAGTCCAAGGGGATCGACGAGTTGCTCATGCGATCCAAGGCGACGGGTTCGGACCTGACCAAGAACTTTCTCGAGGTCTTGGCCGAGAACGGGCGTCTTTACCAAGCCGACAAGACGATCGCCGACTTTTTGGAGATCATGTCGGCGCACCGCGGTGAGGTCAAGGTGACGATCACGACCGCGCAACCGTTGGAGAAGGACCTGCAGAAGCGCCTCGAGGACTCGTTGAAGCAGTCCTCGTTGGCCGGTTCGGGCAAGACGCTCGTGATCGAGAACAAGGTCAACGAGGCCGTCTTGGGCGGCTTGATTGTCGATTTCGGTGACAAGTCGGTCGACCTCTCGGTCGCGAGCAAGGTCAACAAGTTGAACGCGGCGTTGCAAGGTCAGTCCTCTCCCGTGAACCTTTGGTTGACCGATCCTAGTGATCTGACTCGGGAACCTCTTTATGATCTCGCCCAGAATCCGTCTAAAAAAAAGTCAGGATATTAATGGTCGTAGGAGAGATGGGCGTGGGGAACATCAATCCAAGATATGTGGTCTGTTACCCCGCCGCAGAGTTTGTTAGAAGGCTCGTGTGTTTTTGTGTTTTTTTCTCCGATCCCATTTTTTTCTTTTTTTCTTTCTTCTTTCCTTTCTGTTTTGGACGGGAGTGAGAAATCAAAAAAGACAGAATTCAAAGAAGCCCAAGAGATGTGCACTGGATGAGAGTGATGCACCGTGCACGTGATATTGAGCAGCCACTCGGATGAGCTTCAGCCGTTCTCCGCGCGGGTCGCGTCCTCTGCGCGCTGTGGCCTGCTGGGCGGCCCGCTCAGGCGCCTGAGCCCGCCTGAGCGTTTAGAAGTCGCTCAACAAGCGCTTCAAGGAACGGCGCGCGAGAATCACGAGTCACGACGCACAGTAGTAGTAGAGAGTGGTGGTGAAAGTAGTAGCGGGCCTGACACTGCCCTGACTTTTGGTGACAAGGGGTTGCTACGGGGAAATCGACCTAGCCACCAACCACTTCCTTCCCTCCGACGCCGACGCCGACGCTCTCTTTTCACTCTTTCTGGGTGCTTCTCTCCTCGCCCACCCCTTGTTACAAGCTTCGTTCATCCAGCAGGCCGACCGTCAACGCGTGCCAGGCAGGCGTGACGGAGGGCGCGGTTCGTGCGCGTTTGGACTCTGGCTTGGGGCGATCCGGACGACGACCGACGATCCAACGAGTGGAGTCGTAGCCCAATACTGCTGAGCAGCTTCACAACAAGGTCTAGTTTATTGTGAGTGGAGCACTGGTGATGATGGATCGTTCGCATTCTGGAGGCGGACAAGGGCCCCAGCGTTCGTCAACGGGTCGTGTCCTACCGCGTGATGTGGTCATCTGCGATACACCGGCTACGACACGGCGGCATCGACGACGATGTAGACGCCTTGTTTGGACTCTGAGACGCGTCGGCGGCTGTCACGGGAGGCACAGCATCGACTGTGCTCGACCCCAATTCGACTTGCCCCTATTTCGCACTCGCGCAAACAACGACCCGCTCGACCCGCTCGACCCGCTCTCCTGACTGGGCTCGGTCGCAGCATCGCAGCCTCGCAGCCTCGCAGCATCGCACTGACAGCCCTACACCCGCTTGGTCACCCCCAGTCCCGACAAAATGGTCTCTTCCACCTCCACCTCCACCTCCACCTCCACCTCCACCTCCACCTCCACCTCGGGTCCGCAACGGATAGCGAGGACCCGCACCCGCCACAGTTCGATCAGCTCGTCGCCGAGCTCGTGGTCTCTGCTGCGTTGGACCACGACCCTCACCGCCTCACTCCTTTCGTTTCCCTCCTCGACCCACGCACAGCAACAGAGCACTTCCACCCCGGCCTTGCCCCAGATCGACTACTCCGCATTAGGCACAGTCGGCGTCGTCGGATCGTTCGCGGGCTTGCAGTTCTACAACTCGAGTCAACCTGTACCGACCTACTCGGAGGCGGTCTCGACCTTGGTCGCTCGCGATCCGTCCGGAACCTTCACCAAGCTCGGCGAGACCAATTCGAACGGATCCATTCAGGCCTTGTGTCAAACGACCTTGGCGGATGGGAGGAACGTCCTCTTTCTCGGAGGCCAATTCACCACGATCGGCGGTCTGACGACGAGCAATATCGCCGTTTACGACTCGTCGACAAACACCTTTTCGGCTCTCGCTCAGGGTTTACAACCCATCGTGACCGCTTTGGCGTGCAATTCCACTCTCGTCATTGCAGGAGGCACGTTCCAAACACCCGTCGGAGCCGCGACTACGGCAGGGTTCGCAGGTCACGTCGCGCAATGGTCCATCCCCGACCAATCGTGGGCACCGCCACCGTTCGCGGGCCTCGATGGGCCGATCGAGACCGTCGTTCCTAGCACCGACGGCAAGAGTATCTTCTTCGGTGGCAGCTTCAACACGACCTATTCGACCGTCACCAAAGGCTCGGGTCCGCTGTCCAACTTGACGAATACGACGGCGGCGTCAAACGCAACGACGTTCGCCTCGCTCGGATCGTCACTCGTGCCCATCTCGCTCAACCAATCCGATTACACGGCCAGTCCGACAACCTATACCAATGGTTTTGGCAAACCGGAGAATATCTTTTGTCCTCGGCATGGGGATGGGGTAGGGGCCAGTTGGTTGCTCGTCGATGGGATGGTCGGGTTCTTCATCGTTCGAACGTACAGGCCTTTACGGGCAAGGGGGATCCGGTTAGGGAACACGTTCTATGGTGGACGAGGGACCAAGACCTTCAGGTACGTTGGTCAAGCGCGTGCATGAGCTTATTTCGGTGAAGGGCTGACCCTTTCCTTTACCTTGCCATCTCGTAGTCTCGTCTCGATCCCGAACAACGAGGTGTTGACCTTGACGTACGCCAGCGATCCTCGGAACGCCAGCTCGGCACTCAGGACGTGCTCGACCAGTTGTCCGCTTGCGCATGACACGGAGGTCCCTTATCAAGACTTCCTCTTCACCGTCGGCGCGAATTTGACTGGCTTCCAGCTCAACCTGCTCGAATTCTATGGCCCCGGCGCTGGATTGCATTTGCTCCAATTGCTGAGCGATGGTGCGTTCGCCTATGCCGTCGAGAGTCAAAACGCCGTCACGTGCACTTCGGGGCTCGGTGCATCGCAGGGGAGCACGGTCTTGACGACGGGGGTGTGGAACGAGACCAAGCTCGTCTCTTCCGAAATCGCGGGAACGACGTCCGACGTCCTGGTCTCGGTTATCAATGCGGGAACGAAAAAGTACCAATCGCCGACCATCACGTGGAAACCTTATGTTGCGCAGACGGGCGAGTACTCGATCTACCTCGATACGCCCGGGTGTCAGGCCCAGGGCAACTGTGCGCAACGCTTAGGCGCCGTTGGCGTTTACGTCTCCCCCTTTGGCTTCAACGTCACGGCCAACACGAACTACACCAATGGCGTCATCAAGACCGAGGTCGACCAGACGAACGCCCAGGACGCCCAGGTCTTGATCTACCGAGGCCCCTTGCTTGCCAGTGCGCTCTCCAACACCTCACTCGAAGTAACGATCTGTTTAGGCGACATGGGTGCGCCGACGAACGGCTCGACGTACGACCTCGTCGCCAACTTGGTCACGCTCGTCGCTGCTTCGACGGATGGGAACGCTTCGGCATTGTCGACGACGGTGTTGACGCCTTCGTATGGGTTGTACGAATACGTCGTTGGCACCGGGCCAGGCGCGTTCGGGGATGCCGTTTTGGCGAACGAGACGCAGTCGAACGCGACCTCGACGTTGACGACGAATGCGACGATCGTCGATCAAATCGCTTCCCGTCTTGACGCCGGTGCGGTTGTCAATGCCATCGTATCCGTGGGTACGGCCGACACGGCTCGTTTGTTCCTCGGTGGTAAGTTCACGTTCAGCAACGCGACGACCAACACGACGAACCTCACTTCGGCGAACGTGATCGAGTACACCAAGACGAGCGGGATCGTCGCTGCTCCGAATGGAGGTCTTGACGGCGTCGTCACGTCTTTGCTCGAGTTGAATGGCGTACTGTACGCTGCTGGGACGTTCAACCAGACGACCGATGGGAAGGTCAAGAGTCTGCAAGGGCTTGCTCAGTGGGCGTACACGAGCACGTCGACGACGTGGGCCGCTATTGGCACTTCGTTGCCTTCGTCGTTCTCGGCGACGATCACCCAGCTCGCGACCATCAGGGACTCGACGACGAACACGACCGAGATCGTGCTCATCGGTCCTTCCGGAATCGCCACTCTCAACCCTTCGTCTGGTGTCGTCAACTCGACCGGAGTTGGACTGGTCGTCGGATCCGTTTCGGCTTACGCTCCTCCGAGTTTTGCGTCCAACCCGAATGGCACGACTTATTTCGCTGGTTCGCTCCTCGCTGTCACGGATGAGACCTCGCCGAGTGGATCATTCCTAACCCGTGGAAGCGGAGAAAGTCCCGAATTGGTTCCTTTCGATTACTCCTTCACGGATGCGAGCCCGACCAATTCGGCGAGCACCAACGCTTCGACAACGACGCAAGCCGCGCGTTTGCGTCGAAGCACTTCCCGAGACCTCGTGGCCATGGCCGCTTCGCTCCTCACTTCCAGGGCCGTCGCCGACGTCGTCACTTCCTTGCCTGCCGATTTATCCGGTCTCAGTTCGTCGTCGACTGCGAACCGAGTCGTCGCTGGTGCGTTCTGGCAGAACGGCTCGACGCAATACACCGTCCTGGGAGGGCATTTCACCACCTCTAGCGGAGCCGTCAATCTGGGGTTGTACAACGCCAAGGACAAAACCTTTGCTCCCATACCCGGTTTGACCGTCGAGGGGACCGTAGGCGCTTTGGAAGTGGTCGGTAATGTCTTGTGGGTTGGGGGTAATCTAAGTACGGGCGCGACGAGTACGGTGGCGTCGAGACAGGGGTTGGTGTCGTATCAGCTCAAGTCGCAGGTGGTGTTGGATCAGCCGCCGGCTTTGACGGGTATGTTTGGGTTCTTATGTCGTTGTCCCTAGTTCATTTGTGGACGCTAATGAATGGTTATATTGGGCCACAGGTTACGCCGGTCAAGTTCCGCTCGTGCGCTCCATCACGCAACGACCCGGCTTCGCGTCCCAGGTCATCGTCGCCGGTGCCTTCGCCTCGGCAGGTGCTGTCCCTTCGTGCCAGTCCATCTGCTCGTGGGATACGACGACCCTCCAATGGACGCCCCTTTCGGGAGGTCTCCAAGGCATCGTCGGCTCGGTCGCTTTCGCCGGCGACAAGGCCGAGTTCCTCTACGCCGGCGGGGACTTTGTCCTCAATGGGGCAACGACCTATTTCGCTCAATGGACCTTCACCAACTCGTCTTGGTCAGCGATTGGGTCGAGTCTCCCCGGTCCGGTCACGGCGGTCTCGACCGACGATTACAATCAGAACAAGGTCTTCGTCGCTGGATCCATCTCTTCGACTGGGGCACCTTACCTCTGGTACTACGACGGTACAACCTGGACCGACATTAACAACGGTACGATCTCGGCCCCGTCCTCCGGCCAAAGTGGGATCCAACAACTCGTCTTCCTCCCCCTTTCGCAAGCCCATTCAGCGAACAGTATCGTCGAGTCGAACCGCATGTTGCTCGTCTCCGGTGCGATGAGCATCAACAACACCCTCATCGCTTCCGCCTTGTACGACGGCGCCAAATGGTACCCTTACCTCCTTGCCACGGCCAGTACAGGCGGTGGGGGATCGATCGCGCAGTTGTTTTATTCGTTGACGTCGTTCTCGCTCGCGATGGCGCATCATTTGAGCGTCGGACTCGTCATCCTCATCTCGATCGCGATCGCGTTGGGAGTCGTCTTCCTCCTCGTTTTGATTGGGTTGTTGATCGCGCTCGCTAGAAGAAGGGAGGGAGAACGTCCGAACCAATTGCACGACGAGGACGTCTCGGCCGAATCCGTCAAACGATCCGGAGCCACCGCAGGAGGAGGAGGAGGAGGACTTCGTCGTCCGACGGACCTCCTCGCGACCGTTGGAGCAGCCACCGCCGTTCTCCTTGATTCCTCGCACGAGAAATCCCGGTCCGCCGCCCATGCGACGGGCCAGCATTCCGACGATGATTCACTGAGAGGTGGAATGGGGGCTGTAGGAGGTGCAGGGGCCTTGTCGTACGATTCGCATGGGTACGATGAAACGGATGAGCCGTTGGAGGCGGATTCGACCGCGAGGGCGAGGTATTCGTTCACGGCCGAACATCCGGGAGAGTGAGTTGCTGGGCAAATGTGCGATTCTTGTTTGTTTTTTTGAAGCGGTCTACTGATGTGATGGTGTTCGTCGCCTCGGTACTAGGTTGTCGGTCTCTGCAGGCGAGGACTTGACCGTGCTCGAGAACGGGGATCCCAACTGGTAAGTCGGATCTCACCTCAACCTCCGCCCATTAAGATGAACTTCATTTAATCGAGTCGCTGCGTATATCCTTTCCACAGGTTCCTCGTCGCCAACTCGACCGGTCAACGAGGCCTCATGCCCGCTTCCTATCTCGCCTAGAACGGCCCGCATCGTATCTTCTATTCGCAGAACTTTTCGTATCGCAAACTTTCTCTCTATCGACCTTTACCACCTCGGGGTTGTTTTCTTTTCCTTCCCTTCGACATTCGGCTTCTTTTAAAACATCTCTTCGTTCTCTTCGACGTTCGCTTCCAAAGCCAGCCCGCAATCAAAGCCACTCTTTCACACCCACCCGTCTTCGTGATACCCGCGACGACACAATATACCCCATCTAGAGGAATCATGCAAGACTCGTGACTCTCTTCTGATTTTGTTCACTTTCTCCGTCTCTTCGTCTCGTGCAATTTCCGCCTAGGTCGACTGCCAGTTTTGTGGGATTTTTTTTTTCTAGAATTTTGCGATCTTGCTTGCCGCACGCGCGTCCGCGTGGGGGGGGGGGGGGGGCGTCTTTTTTTTTCTGGATAACTCGTTTCATTCTTTCCCAGCACCTCTTTTTTTTTGTTAATTTAATGAATCGCACAACGTTTATCTTCTACACCAATTTCAGAAGATGTAAATTTTGATGGGTTTAGCATGTGAGAACGTCAACGCACGGCCATCATCGATCGACGATTGGAGGAGATCGACGATCGATGAGCGATGATCATTCGATCCACCCCCCAAAAAAAAAATCAGCCATGGTTTCGGGTCAGGCTTCAACGAAAGCTTCAACTTCAAATGAACAAAGGTCTTGTAAAAAAAATAAAAATAAAAATAAATGTGACACTCGGTTCGTCCGACTACCCGACACACGTGCGCACACTGACCACGAACAGGGGGGGGCGAGCGGACCTCACGACCCTCGGTGTGCGCGTATCTTCGCGACTCGGCTGCCGGCTGGTGAAAGAGTGAATCAAGACGCGAGAACTAGGCTCGATGGGTGGTGATCATGAACGTTGCAGATAACGAGTAACTGAAATGGGATGCGGTATGTTGAACTATCTATAGGTCATACGAAGTAGGATGAGGGGGTGGGGAAAGTGGACATAAGGAAAGGGGGGAAGCGGGAAAGAGACAGGTGCGAAGGCGACAAGTCTAAAACGAAGGCGCGGGGATAGTCGGGGGTGTCTTAGGCTACCAAACGTCGAGCTCGGAACGCGCGTTGCATCACGAAAGGCGTGCGGCGTTCTGTGACGACGAGTCGAAAGCGAAAACGTATCTACGAGGACTTCTTCGTGTGGATGAAGTACTTGGCGTTGTTAATGAGGATGGAAGGCGCTTGCGACTGGTAGCGCGTCTGGAACTTGAAGCTGCCGTTACCAAGGAACTGCTTTTCACGCTCGAGGATGTGGACCTGGTGGGACAACAATCCATTCGACAAGAAAGGTCTCAGCATCGTGTGGAACGGCAGAGCAGTCTGTCGAGGAGTAGACTCCGATCGTTGGCGAAAATGAAACTCACATTTGCCAGGAGGGGTTTGTCCTTCTCCTCGGGGAGCATGTGGTACAACTCGGGCAGCACAAAAGCCGCGCTGAATAAGCCTGCCCTATTGACGGCACCCAAATCTGTGGCAAACTGGTACGATGGTGTGAAGCAGGTTTAGATCATACCTGGATCTTTGGAGGTATACGAGAGTTTTTCTGGAGCCGGCGGGCCAGAGAGAGAGAGCGAGCGAGCAAGAGAGGGCCCCCGGGGGGGGGGACGGGGGTGTCAACGGTTGAGGCTCTTTACCACTCACGACAACTTCGTTGAGCCCGTTCGCAGTCTTCAAAACAACGTCAATGGTCGCCGTCTCGAGCGAAAAGCGCTGGAAACCTTGGTAGTTCAAGGAGAGCGCATGACCGGCGCTGTAGTTCTGGTGGTCCACGGGGTGAATGGTGATACCGCTCGGGCCGGTGGGCATCGCTTGGGGCTCAAGGGCTGCCGCCTTCTTGGACGAGGCCGAAGTGGTGATCGAGAGCAAGGTCAGCACGAGGGCCGCGGAAGCCTTGAAAAGCATGATGATGGAAGCGAGTTTGAGAAAGTAGACTTGAGGGTGAGAGCTGGTCCGGAGAGATCGGGACGTTGAATGTGGTGGTAGGGATGAGGGAGGGAAGGGAGGAAGGGGAGAGAGGTGGACGGGCGTGGACCTGGCTTTAGTGTCCTTATACTTGGCTGGGCTGGCCTGCCAGACCACGGATTTATCGGTAGCGGTCTGATTCGGCATCTTTGAGACGGGTTGCGCACGAGCATGCGGTCGGGGCTTTGCACATACCTAGAACTATCGAGTTCTAGTTACGACTTGCTTTTAGCCTAGCGGTCAAGAACGACAGATTGTATTTTATGCACATCAGAGGCGCATACCTTACACAGACTTCCAGAGTACCTAGCACTCCTATTTCAGCGACCAGAAAACTGTGGCACTACAGTATAACTTTCAGCCTCGAGTGTCAACCCCTGGCGGCAAGGTTGCTGGCAGCGAGGCTAGAGGGGTCCTAGCTCGCGGCGCGCGGCAGCCAGACACAGCCGAAACGCGCCTCCTGACGCACAAGTGGCGCCGAAGCGCGGCTGCTCCCTTCCTCGTCGGTGGGTAGGTCAACACGTTGTCAAATTACGGTATGTGTACGTTGTTTCTCGTGTTGAACAAGACGAAACCAACTTGCGTCCTACCTGGGACCAAACTGTTGGTGCTACCAAATAGTCCTCGGGATAGGCCAGGGCGAGCGGCGCGATCGAAAGTGATGCCGAACAGAGTGGGATTGCGGTGCTGAGCGACTCAGTCGGGTCAAAATGGCCGAAATCACACTGTTCAAGGCCTGAGCGTTCACGGCCATTACCCGCATCGAGATCCTCAAGAAAGAGATGACGGCATTAATAAGTCCGCGATTGGCAAAGTGAAACCAGCCGTTGGACAACCCCTTTGTCTCGGTCGCGCTTCTCCTTGCCCAGCACGCGGTGAATCAGTGAGGCCCGTCACGCTTCATTGATGGATACCGAACTCGGTACCGCCAAAGCGCACCGCCTCAAAAGGGGTACCCTATCACCCAAGCCGAAACTGCTGTCGCCACTTGGCCATCCAGGAACCAACTGACTCGGAGCAGCCCGATTCTCTTCGTTTCCACCACTCCCCACCCCCGGTCCCCAATCGTCCCCCAACTGACTTCTCAGCCACCTCACTTGGCCAAATATACCATGCTTTTCAAGCTCCCTATCGTCCTCGCCATGGCGCTGCTCACCCTTGGCGCCTCGGCGAGCGAACGCTTCACCGTCACGTCACTGCGCCGACGCGGCCAACCCGGCGATTACCTGCAGGACCGTGGGATCGTCAAAAAACCTTTGGATGGCGAACAGATCAACGTTGGCCAGACGTTCCAGTTGCAGTTCAACGGTATTTGGGTTGGGAAACTACTGAGCACCGTTGCCATCGAAGTCGCGATCGAGATTCCGAGTTTGAATTATACGCGCCGAGTAAGCTTCTTTGGGGCTCGTTTGCATCGGGGCCTGCGTGAGGTGATCTGACCTCGAGCGCGCCTGCTCACTATCCTCCCGCATCACAGCTGGCCAAGAACCTTGCGTCTCCGGGCTTCGACAAGCCCATCATCCAAAATTTCTTCTTCATGCATCCTAAGGGCAGTAGTGTCAAGAAGGGTACGATCTTGCCCGGTACCGTAAGTCAACTCCAGAACAAACCCCCCCCCCCTCTCCCGCCTCTCTCTCTCTCTCTCTCTCTCTCTCTTGTGCTGACGAGTTCACGACTCGTTGCTTTGAAAAAGATCAACGTTTATGAGCTGCAAAGTGGGACGAGGAGAAACGGCGGCGGCAACTACTTCCTGAACAAGAAAGTACCAGTCAAATTCGTCTTCTGAGCTCGGTCTCGGCGACCCTTATCCCCGTTCGGCAACGACCCCGTGACGCTCGTTACCCACCGGGATCGCCCGTTTGGCCACCACGTCCACAGGCTCGTAACGTTCCCCCGTTCTTATCTACTTTATTCTGCACCTCTTCGAGCTACGTCTTCCCCCGTTCTTATCTACTTTATTCGACTTTGCACATCTTCGAGCTACGTTTTCCCCCGTTATCGCAACGTCCCTACCCCGTTCCGTACATCGCGTCTCCTCACGGACGACCGTTCCCAACACCTCTGTTCATGATACCTTGGCTGCTTTTTTGGTCTGAAACCTCATCCGCCGATCATCGCGCGTCGTTTACCCCCCCTTTTTAAGACCTTGACGACATGCCTTCCAAGACTTGCGTCAAGCTTCTGTGTTCTGCCGGAGGTTCGCCCGCACCGAGTTTCAGACGCCTCAAGCGACCGCCCTGTGAACGTGTTCGAGTACCTCCTGTCTGCCGCGCGTTCGGTTTCGCTTTGGGAATCGGTCTCGTGCCATGTGGTCTTGAGCTATTTCGGTCAGGGTCCCGAACAATAAGGCCGAGACAAAGTTTTGCTCCTGCCTTCGGTGGACACAGTTGTCTGTTGGAGTTTTAAGTAGCACGCTTGCTGAGACGAGTCGTGCTCAGCAGACGACAGTGAGACAGGACACGCGTTATTTCCTGTCAAACCTGTCAAAGGCGGCGCCGCTCCGAGGGCCGTGCGTTTCGGTTGCGCTTGGAAAAAGTAAGGTGGTATCGGCGACCGCAGAGACCCGTCCCCCCACGCCTATGTCTCTGAAAGGAGTTCAAAACTTTCGATTTCTAGTCTGAGTATGTCGCAACCCTAGCATTCGGTTGTGAACAAGTGTCCAATTCTCGCTGGATCTCCAAAAAGGGATACGAGGATTTCCTGGTTGTCTGATCCCCTCCCGTGACATAGCTTTCCAATTGACAAAACGTCTTCGAACCCTGCACCAGTTTCATCAATCACCTGATCAACCTCATCTCCCTGAACTCGCGCTCTCTCTCCACCTTTTCCCGTTCCTTCTCGAACCTCTTTCCCAGCGACTCGAGCGCGTACTTCCCGGCTTCGCCCATCTCCCCACTCTCCACCCATGATTGAAGGATCTTGAAGCCGTCCGTTCCTTCGATCCAGTCCCCTCTCTGAACCAATTGCTCAACCAACATTTCTATCACGTCATCATGCTCAAGAGGGAGTTCTTCCCACAGGACCTCGAGCTCGAACCCCGCTTCGATCTGGCTTTTCAACAACTGCAACATCTCGCACCGCAGGGATTCAAGCTCCAACGCAAGCGCGAGACGATACATCCCCGAAACTTTGACGAGCGTGCCCAGTTCCATGTCGAGAACGTGTCCTTCTAAGGTCGAGCTACTCGTACCCATGTGCTCGACCTGTTCCTGCTCCTCCGTTTCGAAATTGACGAGATGACCCGTGCGCAGCCAAACCAACACGTCGCGGTAATCCTCCCTCCTCGCTTCTCCCACTCGAACGATGTGCATAGGATAGTCACAATTTCGCTCGGTAGAGGAAGAGTCGGTGGTCTTGGCCGCTTCGAGGAATCCACCCTGGAGCATGCTTTCCCAGTAGGGCGAGTTGGCAACGAGGAAATCCGCGTTCTCGAAAAGGGGACGAGGGTCGTCTTCGAAGGTGAAGCGTACATCGAAGGGGTGGGGAGTGCTTTGGTGGGCTGAGTTAGGGGGTAGGTTTGTATGAGCTTTAAGGTGTATCGACTCCTTGACGGGAGGAACTGACCTCTCCAAAGCCTCTCGCGCTCCAACAAGCGTCGACATATATCCTCGTCCCATACGCCCTGACCCGACGCCTGCTCGCTCACCATCATCGTCTCCATCTGCCTGCTTGGCAAGTTCCCGAAAGTGACCGTGACTTTGACTTTGCCCCTCAAAGACTTCATCACTTCCAAAGCGTCGGAGTCCCCAGCGAAGTCCAAGTCGAATTCGACCGGCAAATTGCCGTCCATCCCTTCCTCAAAGCCTCGAACTTCTGCCACCAACCTGTCGTCCGCACCCCCACCGACCACCTCGAGCTCGACTCGAATCCCCAACCCGCTCCTCTCCTCAGGGCAGATGTACCTCCAAACAGGCTCCCTCTTCTCCCTCCTGATCCACCTCAAAGAAGGATCGAACGTCCATGAGCCTCGCAAGATGCCCAAATCCCGGGCGACGGTCATCCGCAAGGAAGGGTGGAGGGCGTGGGGCGTTTCATCGTCGAGATGGGCGACCCAGCTGTAGGTCGTGTGAAGGGCTTCGGGGGTGAAGGACATGAGTAAGGGTGTGTACTTAAGGGGAGGGGCTCGTGAAAATGGCGAAGGGTATTGAGTTATTACGAGGGAGGGGAGTGTGTTGCAAAAGTGGCAGCCGGGGCAGTGATGAGTTTGGCCCTCGCATCCTCCTGAAAAGAAGAACGATTCCGGCAAATTGTCGACGAGCCGAAATGCCGAAATTTGCCCGTCAGTCTACGCACGAGTCGAGCAGAGCAGACCAAAAAAAAAAAAAAGGATCTGTGTCCTCAATCCCAAAGTCGTTAGCTACTGAAGTCTTTCACGCAATTCTCAAGCCGGGTGGAAAGGTCAAGAGGACCAACCCCAAGCCTTCCATCCCGAACGCCAAATTCAGCTCTCACAATCTGCTCTCCGCGCTAAGAGAGCTCACCCAACTCTTCCGCCAAGATCCAACATCATCTCCCATTACATCATTTCAACACCGGCCTAACCGCATACCCTTCATCCCTCAACCCGCCCGCCCTCTTGAGCCGATCGACCTCTTTCTGATACTCTGACCGATCTTGTTCGTCCGCGGCGGATGAGGTCCTCGGTTTCTTGGTCGACGAGGTGTCGTGGGTAGATGGGTCGGTGGTGGAGTTGGTTGTTGTGGGTGTTGGGGTCGTCAAGGGTCGTTTGCCTCGGTTCTTACTGTGGGGCTCTCAAGAGGGGGTCAGGATGAGGAAGCCGTTCGTCGTTCGTGTGTGGGGCCGTTCGGCCGGGCCGGGTGCACACTCACAACCTCTCATCCGCGGCTTTCTTTCTAAATATCCCCACCAGAGTATTTCCATCAGTCTGTCCACGATGACCCCCATCGTGAAAGGGAGAACAAAGACGTACCTGAGCAACTGCTGCTGCACGCGCTTCTTCTCCTCGGTCGCGTCCTGTAATGGATCGACCTTTTTGAAGCGGGTCAGGAACGAACCGTCGTTGGAGAAGACGTTGTCTTTGGTTACGTGAAGGAAGCGCGAACAGAGTGAGAAAGCGTAGTCAGTCGCAACCCAGCGTGAGTCTACAGGGGGAGGGACAAAGTGGGGGAGAGGACCGACTGGGTTTAGTGGTGGTGGTGGTGGTGGTGGCTGCTGAAGAAGTCGAGGCCGCTGGCGAAGGGGAAGGGGAATGCTTGGGTTTGGTGGATGCGAGTGGTGAGGCCGACATGTGTGGAAGGGCGAGCTCTGGGTGGAAAGGGGCTTCAAAAGGTGGTGGGCGGGCAGACTCTGAAGACGATCGGCGGCGACTGCTCGAACCGAATCAAAGCTCGCGACAACTCGCGACAACTCGCGGCAGCTCGCGGCAGCCTGCCAGAGGCTCACAGACTGAGCAGCTCGGGCACTCTGGGGCACTGCTCAGCTGGGGCAGGACAGCGCATAGGACAGCGCGCGACTGCGCGAGACTCTGCGAGACTGCGACGGAAACGCGCTTGAGACTCCTACTCCGTGCCCCACTCCCACCGACCCTCCTGCTCGCTCAGGCTTTCGAGAGCAACATGCTGTCCACAAGGGCGACCACCAGACGGATAGCGAGGTGCTGCTCTTCGCGAGCGCGACCGTCGACCGTCGCAGCGCTCACTCGACCACTTTCCTCCGTCGCACCAGCCTCAACCCCCCTCGGACACCCTCCACGGCCTCTCCCTCCTCCACCGACGACGCCTTGCGATCATTGGCTGCTCTGCTCGATCGGTATCCGCTCTTGGGTGATTCTCGCTGGCCAGAACGGATACGACACGCCTCGCATCGGCTCAATGACCCCTCTCAGAACACCCGTGCGACCATAGCCTGTCAGTTCAGCGTACACATCCGATCATACTCCGACCAGGAACTCACACAGCTCATCAACAGTCGCGGGTGATCATTGGAGTGGGGTCTCCCCCATCGTCACCGCCATGCTGGACGAACCGCTCGCGTCGAATGCTCAAGTCAGTTTGGCCCTTGCCGCCCGACATCTCCGGCTCACCGACTCGGAAGTGCTCACCATAAAGTCAGTCCGAGAGCGAGACGGACCATACGCCGGTAGAGCTGTCTCTGACCATTCGCGTCCACCACAGACCAGGCGATGTCCCCCGTGCGAACGTGAGCACGAACGAACTCGAGCTGCCCTCGGCTTGGCTCGAAGCACATCGCGTTCAAGTGGTCGAGTTGATACACGGTGGTCAGTTGGGGGATGCTTCAAGCAAGATGAGCTCATAATCAAGCTCACTTACGACATCGCTTCGTCTTGACAGACCTAGCGCCGAAACAAGTTTCGCTCGACTCGCTCTTCTCCTCGGACGTTGTCGTGCTCGTCCTTTCGAGCGATCGAGCTCTCTCCCCAGCTTCGACACGGTCCTTGCTCAACGAAATCAAGGGCAAACCCAACCTCATCCTCGCACTCAATACGCTCGATGCGTCCCCTTCGAGCGCCGCCTCCTCACTCCGATCCCTCTCCCACCAACTGTCGACCCTGTACCCGTCCTCCAAAGACGAGTCCGAGATCATCGCCGTCTCGTCCGAGCAGGCCTCTTCCGCATTGAACTCGTTACAACCGGCAGAGGCGACATCCCAACCCGACTCGTTCGAACACTTCCAGAGCGCCTTCATGAAATCCGGCGTCCCGTACCTCAAGGACGAGGTCAAGCGACTCATTTCGTCCGTTGACCGGCCGACACTGCACCGCCAAGCGGCCGAGTTCACGCTCGACAAGGCGATCGAGGCCAGTGCGGTTGAAGGCGCCAAGATCCAGGATAGCTTACATAAAGTTGAGACCGATATCGCTGCTCTCGACTTTATCATTGACGAAGCGACCTCGGCCGTGCTGGCTTCCCTCGGCGTCGGCTCGCAAGGGTTAAAAGTCCCCGAGGAACATATGCAAAACTCGATGAAGGCGCTGCGACAAGTTCTCGACCACCAGCTGGCATGGTACGTCCTCCCTTGGAAGACGGACGAGCTCGTCGCGGAGATCGCTCTCGTCACAGGCACGACCTACCTTGTCGATTTCGAACAACACCTGCTCTATTCGACGGGTCGCCTCGATTCGCTCGCCAACACCTTGTCGCAAAAGACGAACGAACTCGTCCAAACGCGCGCATTCCTCCCTCCTCAATCATCGACCTCCGCACCACTCGCTTCATTGCATTTTCCCGTGCTTTTGAACCAGATCCAACAAGCCGAAAAAGAGTCACGCGTTTCAGCTTCGACCACACTGATCAGTCCATTGCACCTTCGACGCAACCAAATCACCTGCCCCGGAGGACCGGCCGAAACGCTGCAAGCCAAAGCGCAAAAACTGGTCGTCGAAGCTTCGTCCATGACGACGGGCTCAATCCTCGCCGGTGTAGGATTGGAGGTCACCCATTACGCCGATCTAATGACGAGTGCGGGCGTCGGCTTGTTGGGCGTCACTTTGGCGGCTTGGGGTTTGCAGAGGGGGTGGGGGAAGGCCAAGATGAGGTTCGAAAAGGATGTTCAGCAGCGCGTGAGGAGTGGTTTGGAAGAGGATTTAGGGGTGAGTTTTTAGAGCGGGCCAAGGGGCAGACGCACCCCACGAGAGATTCGCACTTGATAACCCCTTTGCTCGAGAGGCTTTGAGTGAAGGACAGCTGACTCACTTGCGCCATGCCCATTGATTGCACCAGATCGCGGCGAAGAACCTCGTCGACCGAAGTACGTACATGGCTCGCACGGCCGTCGCTTTATCCTCGAGTCTGCTGGAGCAGAGGAGAAACGAGTTCGACGCGTTCCAACGTGATTTGAGGGCGATCGACGAGCGGAGAAGGGAATGATCTCGAGAGAAGCGAATGTGAAGATGCAATGCAAGAAGTTCGCATACCTGCGTGTCTTTGCGAGAACTCGGCGATTCGGTCAGTAAGGAGGCGATGGGTCCGAAGTAGAGTCGAGGGTTGGAATACCGGGGAATTGGGGGCGGGGGCGAGTCATGGGGGCATGGTCGATCGTACCACCCAAGCTCACCACGAGTGAGGTTCTCGGCAATACGGCCTCGCATCCGGCTTTCGCTTAACTCCGATCAATGGCCCTAGAAGACGACAGGACGAAACGGGGCTAAAAGGTGCAAAGGGCAAAACAAAGCTCCTTCTTTAGACGCGCGCTACTAGATCTGACCGGATAGGAGGTTTGCCAAGAACTCTTTCTTTCCCTCTCGTTCACTCGGGGTTACCATTTCCAGGATCCCTCAACCCTTCCACGCCGGTTTTTGGCTGTGGTCCACAAGGTAGTCCATGTTCCCTATGCCCCTGTGAGACAACTGTCCTCTTGCCTGTGGAACGACTCGTGCTACCTTTTGGCTTACCAGGCTGACTAATTCACGAATGCCTCTCTCCCACATCGAACGAAGAAAGGGAAGAGGTGAGCTCATCTGATCGGGCGATCTGTTGTGTCCAAGAGGGGGCAAGAAGATTCTCTCCTATCGGCTATTCGCGCTCGGAGGTGAGCCGAGGCAACCTACAAAATTCCGAGTGCACGGTCAAGTCCGTCACGCCAGGCCCAGGCCCATGCCCACGCCCACGCTCGACGTCAGAAGTGATGTCCCAGCTGAGAAAGGGGGCCCTTTTTTGTTTTTACGCCGGTGCGGCCTTTTTTTTTCCTGCACGTACCAGCTCTGCTCCCACGGGCTCTTTCGCTTCCCCCACACTTGCGCCCCTCCTTTGGCGCAACCATCCCACACTCAGCACCGGACTTCACCCCAGGATCACGACGCTGGGGCCAAGCCATCATTACACAACGACAAGCCTCAACGATCCATTCCGGACCTGAACACGTTTCTCCGACTCCTCCTACTCGAGCTATGACGTCCACCTCGTCCGAGAAACACAAGCTGGGCGACGGCGACGTCGAAGTCGAGGGCAAAGCCGGGGCGTTCGCGCAGGTCGAGCACTTTGAGGAGATGACGCAGGAGGTGCGCGACGCGCAGACATTTGAGCATAACCTTACCGTGGCCCAGTCCGTGAGGGTGTACAAGAAGGGCGTCGCGTGGTCTTTGTTGCTCTCGATGGCCATCATCATGGAGGGCTATGGTATGTTTGGCTCAAGTGTCCGGGCGGGTTTGCTCCGAGGTTCGGTTTGCCACGCCGAGTGAGGCTGACGTAGCGACCCCGCGCGCCCGCTATGACCACCTTTCGTGTCCACTCCGAGCGGGCCGCCTAGACTCGACGCTGTTGCCTTCGTTCTTTGCTTTCCCGCCCTTTGTCGAACAATGTGAGTCATCACAAACCTTTACGCGAGGCAGAATGAACATCTCCGGGGGGTGAATCATGAAGTCCTGAACCCCGAAAGCTGACGTCGTTCCACAACTTGGCTCGGAGATCGTGCCCGTTTGCAGACGGTACTCGCCTACCGGACGGCAGCTTCACCATCTCGGCGTCTTGGCAAACCGGTCTTTCAGTCGGGTGCCAAGTCGGTTCGATCGTCGGCGTCTTCCTCAACGGCGTTCTGGTCGATCACTACGGGTACAAGCACACGATGCTCGCATCACTCATCTTTATGATCCTCGTCATCTTCATCCCCTTCTTCTCCACCAGCATCGAGGTCTTGCTCATCGGGTTCCTAGCTCAAGGAATCCCTTGGGGTATCTTCTCGACTTTGGCTTGTTCCTATGCTTCGGAGGTATGTTGCACCAAGCTTCGACCCATTTTGGCGACATGGATCAACGCGTGCTGGGTCATGGGTCAGCTCGTCGCAAGTGGGACCCTTAGGGGCTTCCTCAGTCGAAGTGATCAATGGGTCAGTCAAACGTTGCAAATTCAACTAACATGATAACGTAAACTAAGTGCAGTATGCTTCGACAGGCTTACCGCATCCCTTATGCTTTGCAATGGCTCTGGCCCGTCGGCATCTTCACCGCCTGCATGTTTGCCCCTGAATCCCCTTGGTTCCTCGTTCGCCAAGGTCGGGAAGAAGAAGCCGTCGCCATCGTTAGACGCCTCACTTCACCCGGTCAAGGCTCAGGCTTCTCCCCCGAAGCGAATGTCGCTTGGATGTCGTACACCAACAAGATAGAGGAGAGCGTGTCGGCCGGTACGTCGTACCTCGATTGTTTCAGAGGTATCGACCGTCGTCGTACAGAGGTGAGCGCTCATCATCAGCACAAGCGGGTTTCAGAGACGCGCTAACTCACACCGAGTCTTAACGGTTCTTATCAGATCGCCTGCGCGGTGTGGTCCATCCAAAACTTGTGCGGTTCGGCCTTCATGGGTTACTCGACCTACTTCCTCCAGCGTGCCGGTTTCTCCCCCGCGGACTCGTTCAACCTCTCCCTCGGCCAATACGGACTCGGCCTCGTGGGGACCGTGCTCTCGTGGTGCTTGAGTGGGTCACGGCGTTTGATAAGAAGTAGATGTAGAGGTAGTTCAATGACCCACCAAATCGCAATACCGTACCCACAGTGCACACGGCTGGACGTCGAACGATCTACACCTATGGCCTTGCGATCCTGTGCTGTATCCTACTCGTCATCGGAATCATGGGCATCGCGACTAGTCCTGCGGCGGTTCGAGCCGTCGGCGCCATGTTGCGTGAGTTGTCTTCGACTGCAATCACTTCGAACGTCCCCGTCACGGGCTGACCTCTTTGGATTTCTTAGTAATCTACACCTTCATCTACGATGTCTCGGTCGGTCCGGTGTGCTACTCCCTCGTTGCGGAAATGTCCTCCACCCGTCTTCGCGTCAAGACCGTCGTCCTCGCTCGCAATTTCTACAACCTCTTCGGCATCGTCAACTTCATCATCATGCCTCGGTTCATCAGTCCCGACGCTCTCGACTGGGGTGCAAAGTCAGGTTTTTTCTGGTCGGCGCTCTGTTTCTTCTGCTTCGTGTATTGTTTCTTCCGATTGCCCGAACCCAAGAATCGTACGTTCGGCGAATTGGACCTCTTGTTCGGTCAAGGCGTTCCGGCCCGCAAGTTCTCGTCGACGCACGTCGATCCGACCGCGACGCATCATTCGAATGGGGCCTTGTTGGACGCTACCAATTTTTACAAGGGTGTCGGTCCGGAAGTGAAAGGTGTGGCACATGGTACGATGGCTGGCAACATGACCACGAAACCAGTTTCGTCGTCGTCTTCAGCTTCAGCTTCGGTCGGCGTGGTCTGAACATCAATTCGCCTTCTCGGAGACAGGACACTTTCTCGCTCCGTCCTTTTCTGTTGGGCCAATCTATGTAGAGCCCTTTACCCACTCAGCTTCGCAAATCTTTCTCGCGCCCCGTCGACCACCACCCCCCGGCGCCTCCTGAAGTCTGCGCCGGTTTCCGCCCAGATTCCCCTAGCTCCTTCGCGGTGGCAGGAGTTTCACCACGTCCAATGCCTTTCTCTCAACTGTTCATTTTGCCCTCCTACTTGCTCCGTACGATGGACCCTAGGCCTTCGTGTGTGCAGCAAATGCCGATACTCTGCCCAGTGTGAAATGAAACAAAAAAAAAGCTGTTCTTGAGAAATTGGAAATAAAGTTGGCACCGACCGGTACCGACGGATCCGAGTGGTTCGAGGAAGAGGTCCGTGCGAATTGAAGCTCTTCGCCAGGCGCTCGTCGAGCCGGCTGCCCAAGACGTAGCTCGCTCGCCCCTCGCTCGTCATTCCTCCCCCCTAAGCTTCAACCGATCACACCATGTCGCGATCCCTGTTCCGGCTCACCACATTACGTACGGTCTTGGTAGCCCGACCAACATCGGTCTCGGCATTGGGCGCACGTCGTTTCGCCTCGACGCACCACGACGGCCATCATGTCGATCACAACGCGGGTGACGTCTTCCCCGAAGAGGGTAAGGACGCGGTGTTTTCCCCTTGTGCGTAGCTTCCTCACACTGATGGAAATCGTCCACGCTGCAGGTTTCAACGCGCCCTTCTACTCCAAGATCGCCTTCGCCGCCGTCGCCGCTTTCGTCCTGATCCGCATGTCCCCCGCGACGAACCCCACCACGTCCGAATCCCAAGACGAGAAGCCTTACATCACGCGCTACATCGAACACAACCTGACCCCTAGAGCGGGCGTGTTCAAGGAGCACAACCAGCGCCATTTGGAGATGGCCATCGCCGCGGCGGAGGACAAGTTGCTGTTCCAGGAGGCGGAGCGACCGAGGGTCAGAAGGATGAGGAATCCTGGGTGAGTGATCCGAGCATGTTGTCAAGGTGATCCATTTTGGGGGCATCGTACGCAATGATGGTGCTCAACTCCTTCTGATTTTTGACCGCAGCATGTTCGACCAAGCGAGCCCTCACGCGATCCCCGTTGGGTCCCAGGCGGACCTGTCCAACCTCGTCATCAAATCCGAACAGGACGACTTTGCAGAGGGCCTCTAGAACCTTGACCATAGATTGGCGTAGGACGAATGAGGTGTTTCGGTACCATCGCGTTGGGTTGCTGGAAGCGGACTGAGGACTGGGGAGGGGAAGGCGCATCACCCACCCTCGGCACGTGACTTGATTTGTAGTGTATGTGCGCGAAAGGAATGCACGGGTGATAATAGATACAGGTTAAGATTCGATCAAGTCCAGGAATCGCCGAGCCAGCAGGAGAGACAGGACTGACGCTCGCACCGCTGCAAGCCCTGAGTTTGAGATCGACCTCTGGAGTGGGGACACGCTTGACGCTGTGGCAGCGTACTCTTTTCGCTCACCGCCTTCGTTCGGACCTGGATCCCCAGCCACCATTGTAGACCCGACCCATCCTGGGTAGCGCTACATCTGCGACCTACACCGACATCGCTGAACACCTCTGACCCGCTCAAATCGTCCCAACTTCAACCCTCCCAGGACTGCTGTGACATTGCCATTAGGTCGGTGACCTACTTGGTCGCACAAATTATTCGCGGGTACAGAGGTGCCACCACGACGCTACGACTGATCTGGGAGCTCCTCGCTGACGTCAGATCGCCGATCTTTCCAGCTCCTCCTCGATTCACCTCCTCTCGGCCTGTGGCGCCGTTCTCAACCAGCTTCCCCACAAGATCGATCGTGTTCCTCCTAACTCTACCTTGCATGACTCACCACAAGCCGAAATAAATGTCAACCATCAAAAATCTACCTGTCGAATTGCTGGTCCTCATCTTCCGGCTCCATTATCCTGGGACCATTAGTACGGCTGGAATCTGGCGCCGATGCAAAGGCAACCGAGTGGGTGTCATTTCGCCCCAAGTCGAGCTGCGTCGGAAAAGCCTGCCCCGCACGGATACCACAACTCTTCAAGTTACTACAGTTGGGAGTGATTGAGCCACACGCGGTCGAATCTCTCGTACTCAGCGAGATCAGTTCGAACATCGTATCGCAGTTGTTGAGAACTGTGCACGGGGTGAGGTGAAGTTATGCAAATTGCGGCGAGTGAAGTTGAGCGATACGGGGGCCCTACTCGAGGATAAACTGCAAAAAAAAAAAACCCTCTCGGAGGGTGAGTGGAGCACTTTGCTTATAAAACTGAAAGGAATGCTTCGCACTTCACTTGGACCGCGAAACTCGCCCTAGCCGAAAATAAAGCAAAGGGGAGAACTTCTCGGATGCGACCCCACAAAGAAGGGAAACGAACCCCCCGGGGACCTAGTGTCCGCGTCACTCCCTCCCTTCTTCCCAGTCCATTTATCCATTAATTGTTGCAAACGGATACCTCGTGACGAGATCGGCCGGGTTGCTGTCGAGCAAGACGCATCATGGGTCGGCGCTGGCATTGCCAACTTGGCGCGCGCTCGGCCAGCCAACTAACTGAGTGGTGGGTCACACCCACGTCGATGATTATAGTATATGTTTGGGCGGGAGTTGACTTGAGGTCGTATTAGACCTGGTGATCTAATTGACATATCACAATCCGCGGCTTGAGGACCAGCAAGAGTGAGGAGATTTGAGGTGATATGTGGCAGGCGCTGTCGGAGTCAGCAATCGACTCGGATGCCGCGTGAATGTGAATGCGATAACGTAATGTGTTGCACAGGGTGGATCAGAGTAGAGTGGGATGGATGGGAAGTGTACTTAAACAGGGTTACCTCGCTTAGAGTCTTGACGCAAGCCTTTATAGAGGAGCTGGTGGATGGTCTTGCAGCGCCCAGATCCTGGCCGGAATTAGGTGAGAAGAGGGACTCGGCGTCGCGCCGGAGAACTTATTCTCGACCGTCGAGCGCGCAAAGGAGAGGCCATTCTCCCGAGTTCCAGGGCCTGGCAGACGGAAATCACACCAAGTAACGGGTGAAATAATTCACCGTCGGGTAAATTATTTGTCTCCGTGCCCAGGAAAGCTGTTTTCCGCAAGTCGGCTCAAGTTGAAATCCGCCAGGTTGAAGTTCGGCCCATGTTATGTCCGCAGTGCGCACAAGCAGTCGGGAAACTTCGGTTCATTTCGCATCGATTCGGTCACTTCAAGGTGATGTCCATCGAGATGATCAAGCAAATCTCTCGGCATCTCGTTTCGTCCCCGTCCGAGTGAATCTCGGCCTTGGCGTGATCAAGCGAGCCCCGAACAAGGCAAGACCTCCTCTCCTATTTCGGCGACGGGCGAAAGGGGCCCAGTTCGTTCAGACTTGGATCCGGGAAAAGGAAAATTGTTCCGGGCACCTTGTCAAACGTCGCAATATATCCTCTGGTAGTATGACAATTTAGTCGTCGACATGATATCGTTGCGAACTGATGCATCGCCATGCACGGGCAGCTGACGGTGAGTGGCTCACCCCGGGCCCTGGGCTCGGAGGTACGCGGGTCGAGCCGTGGGTCTACGCTGGTCGCGGGTGTACGCTGATGATGCATAAAATTCACATTCAAAACTATCGGGTACTCACCACCCCCCTTGAACAAATTGCGACAATACATGCGAGCCGCAAGTTGGACGGCGAGGATTGAGTCGCGGCGAACGGTCTCCAAAGTTCCGGCTTGTGCTCTGTGTAGGGGGTCACCGACATCGGCAGAATCGTTCCTCAGTAAGTGTCTGCCTATTCGTATTTTTATTTTTTCCTCCATGTCCAAGACGCCTAGCGTCCACCCGTGTGTACAACGGAAAAGCGCTCCGAGATGCAGTTCCACTGCGCAAACCTCTCGGATTTGTTCGACATTAGACTTGGCCGCCACTCTTTAGTGAGCGCGGTTGTAATCGCCGTTCTCCGGCGCGCTTGCTCGCGTTTCCTCGCTGAGCTCGCAGCGGCTGACGAGTCTAGCCCGCGCCTTTTCCGTCCCCCCCCCCCACCTACACACGTGTCTTTCCCGTCCCACCCACAAACACAAGACGTACGTTCCACCGCTCTGCCCCCCGTAGAAGCACCTTCAAAGGCCATGTACTGACTTGTTTTGCTGCTCTCTGCAGTAACTAGATCGAAATGGGGTGAGTGTTGCATCCTCACTGGACTCGGGGCCTTTTGCGACTTCCCGAGGGCCCCGGAAAGGGTTGTCGTCATCAGTGCATCTCTGCGGTGATTACGCCTACTGCGCGGTCTACGTGCACTGCCCTTGGCATCCTACATGTCACCAGAGACAACTTTCGAACCAGGCCGTCCTGCACGCACATCTTGGGTGTGCAGCAGGCTTCATCTTGCATGACCAGCGCTCAGCCCCGCCTCGCCCCATCCGCTGACCGACCACTCCGCACCCCACGCCCCTTCGCGCAGAGTTACCGTCGAGACCCTGCAAGCCGGAGATGGGAAAAATTTCCCCAAGAAGGGCGACACCGTGTCGATGCACTACGTCGGCACCTTGCTGAACGGCAACAAGTTCGACTCGTCGCGCGACCGCGGACAACCGTTCCAGACCAAGATCGGCGTCGGGCAGGTCATCAAGGGTTGGGATGAGGGCGTCCCCCAATTGTCGTTGGGACAAAAGGCGGTGAGTATTGGGATAGTGTGGTGATGGAGTTGGAGTGAGGGCAGAAAGCTGATGCGGGCTCGTTCCCTGTGATCCGAGGTCCGTAGAAGCTCACTTGCACCCCCGACTACGCTTACGGCTCGCGTGCCATGGGTAACATCATCCCCGCCAACAGCACCCTTGTAAGTTCATGCTCACCAAGTCTAATAACCGTGAGGACGATGACGCGCTTGTTGGATTGACTGCCGCTGATTTTCGCGGGGCTCATTGAACCGATGACGCACTCTTTCCCTGCGCTCAGATCTTTGAGGTCGAGTTGCTCAAGATCAAGTGAGTTCGACCAAGGGCCTATGCATCCGTTCACTTTGATGAAGCTGACACGATCTTTTGTTGCAATCATCGCAGCTAAACTTGTTGCACACTTGGCTGAAGGACTTGCCTTGCTCGATTATGTTCCGCTCGGGCGATTACTCGTCTGCGGACGGGGTCCGAGAAGGGTAGACCTTCCTAGTGGGAATGCGGCCATGAAATTCGATCATCAACATCGATCATGACCGAACATCGCTCTGAACTAGTCTGAACAATTCATGTGCCTCTGCGCGCTCAGGTGCGCTCGTGCTCCCCGGCAGGAAACCGCTACAACGAGGAGCTGGGAGGGAAACAGAGCGCACTGTTCCGCCCCTGCAGTCCGTGATATTGCGGGAACTTTTGCTCATTGCGAGGTCATTTGTGTTCCAAAAACTCGCCGGTGCTTCCTGCAGTGGCAGTAGTAAGATCGAACGCCGATGGGAAAACACTTTTCTGAGCGTACCCCCTGGCAGATTGCTTGAGTGGGAAAGAATCAAGGGATCGGGCGAACTCACATCAGATGTTCGATCGAGAGAGATCTGCATGTCGACTGACTGGGCAGGCGATGAGATAACCGTTAGTATTAGAGCGGGCGATAGGATTCAAGGTCGAGTCAGTACCGAGGTTGTAGGCTCAGCCGTCGCTCAGTTGCCATATGCATCTCGTCTAGGACATATCACCCTCCATTCGGTGGTTCAGCGGGTACGGTGTTGGTTCGCTCGATCGGATGTAGTTCAATACGGGTGGTGCGGCGTAAGAAACTCTGTGCTCTGTACGCGGCTCTTCGGCGTTCGTGGAGGCGTGCAGCGTCATTTAGTGTTTGGTGAGAGCGGTCACCAGTGGGAAACAGGGCAGGCCAGTCGAGGACGGTGGCCGGTGGTGTGGAGAGCACTCGAGGCGGGGTGGAAGTGAGACCGGATGCGGCGAGTACGAAAGAGTAAGAACAGTAGCTAACAGTAGCGGGCTAGAGGAGCGCGCATGACTTGACCTTCCTCTGCACCTGCTCTCACCACTTGGCACTTGGCACTTGGCACTTGGCACTTGGCACCTGGCACCTGGTAATCTGCTTCAGCTGGAAACTTGTCTGCATCGGTCTGGACGACGCTGAAGAGGGGCTTTCGCTCATTCGACGCGGGGCTGAGTCGGCGCTCGACTGCGCTTCGACCTTCTTTGAACGATCATCCCATCCCATCGTCTCATCGATCATCGATCAGCTCGGATTGACCCCGAGCACATCATCCTCATCGGCCTCGCATGTCGAATGGAGGGGCCGTACCCGGTGTATGGCGTAGAGCGGGCGGTGTAACTGGCTCGTCCACTTCGAATGCACCCACTCATCATCATCCTGCCCCCTCTCATGGCCGTGGAAGTGGACGAGGTGGGGCCGCAACCGCACGAGCAAGCGGAGCAGCACGCGGTGCATACTCCGCGTCCATCTCGAGCCAGGGGTTCACCACCGCCCGAGCATCGATAGGGAGGAAGGTCGATCCGATGGAGTTGCTGCAGAGTCCGAGTCGAGGGTTGAATGGGCAGGCCGACGGCGTAGAGAGGTGAGCGATCGCAGTCTGAGGGGATACCGTAATTTGGGGGCTGACTTTTGGACGATCTGTTGGGTGTACTAGTCTTCAAGATCCTTCGACCCAAGAAAACTTTTACGACTGGATCCGAGCCAAGATTGGCAAATTCGATACGACCTGGGACGCCGGAACTTCTTCCTCGGGCAACTCAAAGCCGCCCCACCTCTCCCCGAAGGCGCAACAAGAGCTGGGCATCATCCTCTTGGATCTGAGAAAGCTGCGTGAAGGGTTGACGTGTTTGAGGAGGAACGATGCGTTTGCTCTCAAAGGTATGTTCCCGATTGACAAATTCGATCTGGGAACCCTTCCCCTAAGATTCCATTTTCGTTTCCTCAGTGTACGAAACCTCGGTCCTCCTCTCCCTTCGAGGATCCAACTGGTCCGTCGTCGGCACATGTCTCCCTTCCCTCGTATCGATGCTCTCTCAACCACAACACCAACCCAAACCCACCTCACCCGATTCCCTCTCCCTTTCGACCCTATCGCTCTCCGAAACCCCACCCCCACCCTCCATCTCCACCCCACCCGCCTCCTCCCTTCCCGACCCTAAAAGCTACTACACCTCCCTCCATCTGCTCTTCCTCCTCTCCTCCACCAAAACATCCCCTACCAATCCCTCCCTAGCAAGCCAAAGCGTCTCGGACGGTAGAACCGCACCTGATCATCTTACTTTCTGGACGACGTGGCAGAGTCTGGAACCTCAAGTTCGACGATCGCCTTGGGTTCAGGGTGTGAGACAGCTCTCGGGTCTCTTGTTACGAGGCGATTATATCGGATTTGGGAGGATCCTCTCCTCCTCAATTCAAGGACCTTCGGAACATCCCTCCAAGACCGTCTGGGATCCCCTCCAACTCGTCCTCATCGAACGCTTCGTCCCTTTCGTACGAACCAAGGCTTGGGAGAGGATGAGCAAGAGTTACAAGCTCAAGTCGGATTTGGAGGATTGGGGTTGGTTGAGTAAGGTGTTGTTGTTCGATTTGGAAGGAGCGGAAGGTGGGCAGGACGGGAAGGAGTGGTGTCGCAAGTGGGTGGAAGACTTTACGAGAGGCTGAGGCTGAGCTTGCCCTAAAGCAAGGGCTCGAAGACATCGGATAGAGGGTTTGCTCTTCTGTTGTTGTAATGCTCAGTTTAACCTACGAATCGATTCACAAGCGTCTGACTTGGGTAATTTACATTGCATCTGCACATCCTGTTCCATCCAGCCTCGGGAGGAAGTCTCATGGCATCGACGATGCATCAAGATCAAGCAGACACAAAACGATATAAAAGAGCGAGAAACCAAAATTGAAAATACACGCGCGAGCACAAATGAAAATAGTACCGCCATAAAAAGGATAAGAGCGTCATATACTATGGTGAGACGAATCACGTATGGGACCATAAAGAGGGGTGAAGCGCCCCCGAGTTTGATCCACGCATCGTCGTTGTCGTCTGGGCCGCTGAGGATGCCTCGTCGTCCACTGTGGAGGAGGAAGGTGTAGCCTTGGACAAGAAGGAAGGGGCACCCAGCGAGGATGAGACCATTGGAGCTTCCTCTTCGACCCCTCTGGAACGTTGCATCACCAATGTTCGCGCCCCTTCCTCACTCGGTCTTTTGGATCCCCCGACAACGGTGCCATCACCCTGCTCTGCCATCACCTTGTCATCAACGACCTCGCCAGATCCTCGCTGCTTCATCTTCCGCCGAGTACGTATCCCTCGAACAAGTTCGATCAAAATCCACACGAGGTCGACGATCAATAACGCGAACAAGGCGATGACGATGACCGCCTCGACGACGATGATGACGGCGCCGATGACGACTCGGACGATCTCGTTCAGCCCTATCGAGCGATTGAACGAGATCAACGCGCCGAAGATCGCGCACTTGAGAATTTGGAGCAGGATGCGGAATGCGTTCGATGACTTGTCCGTCCAGGGTACGGTCGTGCACATGAGAATGAGGATGAAGAGCTCGATGACGAGCATGGCGACGGATTGGACCCAGCCGCGGTTCTGAGGTAGGCGTCGAAAAGGATCAGAACGTCAGCACCGATGGGGCATAGGCATACAGCAGTGCCCTTCTATGACTTACCTGAGCAAAAGCGACGAATGCCACCTCAGCAAAGGAAGCCACGAGAAGTGGAATGAAGAACCACCACCTCGCGGGCTTGAACGGGTTCCAGAAAGGGGTGTAGGCCGCGCCACCCAAGACGAGCAGCTTGTCGGCCGAATGCCGGCGAACATTCCGGATGCAGAGGAATGCGAGGCCGACGAGAGAAGCTGTTGTGGTAAGGAAAATAAAGACGGAAAGAATGATAGGTGCGTAGGACTGAGAGACAAGGAAGGCTGGCTTGGATCAGTAAAGAGACTCGCTTCCCAGAAGCCGAGGGTGGTAGGGCTCACATCGGAAGAGCCGAGCTTCCATTGGAAGAAGGTAAACAGTGTCAATGGAAACCACGAGATGAGAAGCTGCAGAAGCGACGACGAGGTACAGATCAGTTTTGAGATCTGTATTGTGTATTGCGCAGCTCAGTGGACCACTCACCACTCGTAACGCAGTGGAGAGGAAGAGCGTTGAAGCCACGCCGTGTCGAATGTCGAGGCTACGCTTTCCACCGTTGCGCTTGGCGGCCCTCCACGACATCAAGCCAAAGGGGATCGCAAGGATGATGGCGACAGCGAGAAGGAACGCGAGAAGGAGCAAGAAGGAGAGGAAAACGGTCATGAAGGCATTATAAGGTGAGATGTGCCACTGGAACACGAAGCGAGGGATACCAAAGTCGAGCGACGAGTAGGTGTCCTGTTCGGTCACCTTGGGAACGGCATAATCTGCGGCCGTCGTCGCCCGATCCGTTCCATTCAAAGCCCTCTTCTTGATCGTCGTAACCGCATGGTCCGCAACCTCGGCCAGCCGAGTTTGCAAATTGCTAGTCCACGGTCGGCTACCACGTGCATTCCATGACGTTGATGTGTTGAAGGCAGCAGAGGGGCGTAGGCTAGCCAGCATGTCGGAGAGAAAAATTGAACGCCTATCCAGGTTTGGCGCCTGTCGACTCGAAGTCGCGAACGAGACCTGTCGCGCTTTTTCGGTCCCACCTACGAGGTTCAGCGACCCCGCAAGACGGGTCAAGTTGCCCCCTGTTCGATCACGTAGGTCGTCGATCGACTGCTGGAAAGGCTGGATATAGACCAGGCCCAAGGCCCATGCAAAGTTTGTGGTGAAGCTGTTGTAGATGAGCGGGTAGTCGAGGGAGAGCAAACCCGAGACGGCGACAAATTGATACCAGCCAATGATCTCAAGCAGCCTTTCTTTCGTCCGACCTCGCTGCATCGCTTCGGTGTCACCTTGCCAAAAGTTCACGAACATCCGTAGCAGTCCGAGTACGATCGCACCGAGCATGAGTCCAGCGGTTGCCCACGATACGCCTGCCCATCGCACCGACTCGCCGTTGCTCAATCGCACCCGCAGGCAAGTCGCTTCCGATCCGTTCGCGACGCTCAGAAGCCGAACGGTTGCGACGGCTTCCAAATCGGGTATCCGATAGCCAATCGCAGGGATTTTGACCTCGTCTTGGATGGAGGTAGGGAGCGGTAACGCTAGACAGGAGGGAAGACAACACACCCCATCGACTTCGAGGTCAGCTCGATCAGCATCGATCGAGTCGTTGCCGGAAAACTCACTCGCGCTGGCGACGAAGTTGTACTGCGGCAGGGGACACATGACACCGCTGAGGGTGGTGCACAGGTTGATGCTCACGTTGACGGCTAGAGGTAGAGGTGTTGTCGTTCAGCTTGGGCGTCGCAATGAAGAGAACCAATGTCTGGTGTCCGGCCAAGACGGTGCCACCGATTACAGCGCCGAAGAAGGAGTCGAAGGATATGCATGATCGGGCTGCCGAGCCCGCGAGCGAGCGAGTGAGAACGTACCTTGGATCCCATAGGCAGTCAACTGCAACGAGATGATGGCTCTAGTGTCGGGCTCAACACTCGCGGCATTGATGTCGAACGATATGGTCTTGTCGATATCTGCGGGGTGTTGATAGAGGAGGTCAGTCTCAGAGTTCATTTTCGCAGGCAGAACCGAGACACGCGAGCTCGTCAACTCCGAGGTCGGGGCGCCGTCCCTGGCGGGCTGGGCCGGCCAACTCAACGACCGAAATCGGACAATGGACTCACTGTCGTACTGCAGCAAAAACTCTTTAACTTCGATCGCTCGAGCTGCAGAGCAATACGAGACCGCACTGGCATCTGCACGGCCCAGTAGGGATCCAGCAGCGAGATGATGGCGAGGACGATCGAGGGGGATCGAGGGGGATCAGTCGATACGAAAACGGAGCAAGCAGTGTCAGTCTCAACTCGGTGCCACGATGTCGTCGCGGCTCGGCCGACGCGACCCCGGCGTCAGTGCCAGCTTACAGAACACTTCCGACTTGGCGACAACATTGGTAGCGAACAGTGCGACCCAGACGAATCTGATTGTTGATGACCGCCAAATCATGATGGCGCAATGCCCCAGCGCTCGTGAATAGGTTGAGGGTAGAGGTCCAAGCCAAGCTCTCCTCCCTTTCGCGGCTGCCAGCAGGGCCGAAGGGGCTCGAAGGGCTCGGCGCGAGCTTGCGCGGAGTCTGCGCGAGTCTGCGCGCAGCCGAGCCAGTCGATGACATCAACGCGGAATGGTCGACCGAGGTTGCGCCCGCGCGTCCGCCTCCGAGTCCGCATTGACATCGAGTCAAGTACCGCGTATATCTGAGATCGCGTAATCAAACACAACATTAGAATATCATCTTTGCCTAAATGGATTCAGGATTGTGGCCATCATCTTGACCGGCTCAGGACTGCAGCCCCTGTCCAAGTCTCGTCCAGGGTCCTTCCCACGTAACACTTCACGAGTTGGCGCGAGCTTTTGCACGTCAAAGCGTTGCCCACAAAGTCATGGGTCAGGTATCCGTATTTTGAATTGCAAAGTTGGAAACAGCGCCAGGTGTGTCTTTTCATTAAACCGACAGAACTTGAAAACAGTACCAGGTAAGTGTTTTCTTAAAAAAAAATTAGATCAATTACAGACGGACTCCATCCTCTCTTCCACTCAAAGATGAGCCTCAGGGTGGGTCAAACTAATGATCGAAGGCTGTCCTCCGGCCTTGGACAAGACCCTGCACTCGTCGACGAAGCTGGTGAACATGTTGATCGTGTCGAGCGGTCCACCGGCCGACTCGGGGTGGAACTGCACGCCCCACACGCGCTTGCCCGAGGCTTCGGTCGATTTGATGCCTTCGACCGACGCATCGTTGGCGTTGAGGAAGAAGGGTTCCCAGCCTTTGGGGAAGGGGTCCACGAGTTCGAGCGCATATTGGTCTATTGAATTCAAGCAAGTCCAGAGTAGTCAGTGTGTGCTCTACACGTCAGAAGAGCACACGTCAGAAGAGCCCGTCTTGACAGGACAACTCACGGTTCTGCGAGGTGACGTAGACGCGACCGGCCTTGATCGCACCGGACGAAGCGAGGGCGAGCACGGGCTGGTTGTGGCCTCGGTTGCCGAAGCGCATTCTGTACGCGTCCAAACCGGCGGCAAGACCGATGATTTGGTGACCCATGCAGATACCGAAGACGGGCTTCTCCCACTCATTGATCGTCTTGCGCACGTGCACGGCCGCTTCCATACAATGTTTGGGGTCACCGGGACCATTGGATAAAAACAGGCCGTCGAACTGATCGCGCACGGTGTTGAAGTCAAAGTTCCAGGGGAAGACGGTCACGGAAGCACCACGACGCGTCAACGAGCGGAGGATATTGGCCTTGGCGCCAAAGTCAAGCAGCGCGATCTTGACATCACCCTCGGGGTTCAAGGTGTAGACTTCCTTGGTCGAGACCTGGTCAACAAGGTTCTCAATCGATGGATCCCAGAAGTAGGCCGCAGCGGGCACGACTTCGTGGCCCTCACCAGTCGAAAGCTTGGACAGGGTCGAGCCTCGGTTACGGAGCAGGGTTGTAATCGCACGCGTGTCGACGCCGGTGATACCGGGGACCCCGTGGCGATCGCACCACTCGTGCAAGGACTCGACGGCTTGGTAGTGCGAGTACTTTTCGGCGAGGTTGCCGACGATGACCCCGGCGCATTGCACGCCGTTGGACTCGAGCAAGAGGGGGGGTCCGTTGGGGTCCTGGATCGAGGCGTTGTTGGGAACACCGTAGTTACCGATGAGGGGGGTGGTGAAGACGATGAACTGGCCTCGGTACGAAGGATCGGTCATGGACTCGGTGTAGGAGGTAATGGAGGTGCTGAAGACGGATTCGCCGTAGCGGGAGATCGGAGCACCAAAGGCTTTTCCCTCGAAGCGCTCACCGGTCTTGAAGTGCAGCGACGCGGGGCGGGTGGGGTCGAAGAGGTTAGTGCTCTTACCCGAGGTCGGGGTCATGGTCGCCGAAGCAGGGCGTTGCGCATGGGTCGCCAACGAGCGGAGGGAGAAGCGAGCGGCAGCAGCGTTACGCCAGAGCGAAGAGGGTCGAGTCGCTGCGGCGATCATCGTGATCTGAGTGATATGTGGGGGCAGATAAAAATTACGATGGGGTCGAGGTGGTCTCGATCAGTCTTGAGACTTGTGGATGATCGAATCGAGGTAGTCGTAACGAGTCTGGTTGTGGTAATGTAACCGGGGCGACGGGCGTAACGGAGCGGATAAGATAAGGCGGCGAGGCAAGCGAGCCGGTCAGTCGAGCTCGAGTGCGAGTCCAGTACCAGCCACAATGGCTCACCTCTGAGCCAATATAGCCAGCTAGCCTGTGGTATCGAGAAGGGCGCAAAGTTGCAGCTCGGGAGTCAGTCACTGCTGCTACGGGCCGCCCTCGATCCGCGCCCGAGTCGTGCTGGTGCGGAACCTTGGCTTGACTCGTCGGCCTCGCCGCGTCGTTCGCAAGCCAGTCAATCGCCGCCGGGTGACGGCGCGAACGCGACACAAGCACGTCGAGCTTACATGAAACAGTGGGCAGCACGGCGGCGGATTCCAAAGTGGTAGGGTTCAAAGTAAAGGGGCTTCTGTCGCGAAGTAGCGGGTGCAAAGGCGGGCAGGCGTGTTGGGGTGCTGAGCTGCTGGGTGTCGGTGGGTGACGGAGGGAAAAACGCTCAGGCCGGGCAGCCGCCCCCACCCTCGCGGCGCTCCTTCGTCCAAAAAGGCCCAAAAAGGCCCGAGAGCAGCCAAAGCCAAGAGCGTCCGAGTCGCTCAGGGGTCGGCCGGGGCCCTTCCTTGACATTCTCAAATCCATAATATCCCCGTCCCCGCTCTGCTCCGCGGGTAATCTGTGGGCTCTTGCGATCAATCCACGGGTAGAGACTTTGTGGGCTCTGTTGCGACCCGTGTCAGAATCACGAGCTCCCACTATGATTCGTCGAGCCAGCGCCACCGATTCGGACGGGAACATGCTCCGAGCGCGCCCCCGGCTTGTTTAACCAGGACCTTTGGCAAGAGTCGACGTCGAAAATATGGCTACATTTGATGATTTGCTCAGCTTCGTCTGTTGCTCTGAGACCTTCCGGAGGTTGACATAATGGTGAACCCTGATGCAGTGGACCGAATCCTCCTCGCACACGGTGCGCTGCGTGTGAACACTTCCCGCCTGGACTGGACTCAGTGATCATTGCCTGCCACGACACTTCGCTCATCGACAGGATGCTATGGGTTCCCGGACGGGGGCTCTACAACAATGAGCAGCGTGGCCCTGGGGCATAGGCATCTCTGTAATCGGGAGTATGGAGTTTGGACTCGAAAAGTTCTACATGGTCGCACTGTGTCCACTCGGTGGGGCGATCGAGCCGTTGCACCCTCATTGCTTGGACCTCACCGATTTAATGGCTCGATCTAGCTTATCGTCCTCTCGCGGTTCCCAGTCAAGAGTATTCCATGGGAAGATCTCGACGGCAACCACAAGACGACTCGACCTCTCGACCATCTTGTCCTGAGGAGAACACGAGTTTCAACTCGATGAGCTTCTATGATACATGGCCGGCGACTTCGGAACCCACTACCACAGCTCAGGCGCATCATGCGTCCTAGGCGTTGACCAGCCCCCACTTGGTGTTGGGTCTGCTCGATCTACAGGTGACCGTCACAGGCGAACAGATCAGATCGAAGGGGCTAGGGTCATCGCGCGAAGCCGCCGGGGATTTCTCACGTTCCAAAATTCTCCAAACGTTCCATCCCAAGTCGCTTTGCAAGCCGTTTCGTCTGGCGAGTGTCAGTTTGCGATCCTCGGGGCTCGTGGATTGACTTAGCTACCACGCAGCACGGTGTGGCGGGCCGAATGGGTGCTTTCGGGTCTGCAAAATTACTAGGAGTTCGTTGTCGGCGGGAGTCCGGGGTTCGTCGCCAAATTCGATCGCGAGATAATTGGAGGGACAGAGCTTCATTCCCGGGCTTAAAGCTCTCTCGTGTATGCTAGCGGGCTTGACAGTATCCCGAAGAGTTCACTCGAAAAGGCATAGGGAATGGAGAGGGCACAGCTTCCTAATGAATTGCCAGGCTGAGGCGGATCGTATCAGCGGCGGCGGCGGCGGCAGTGGCGGCAGCGGCGCGTCAAGTAAGGGAGTAGTAAGAGAGGTTGACCTCGTTGGGTAATCGGCCTAACGGAACTCTTACCGCTCCCCCGCCATGAGCAACTCCCGCCAACCTCTTGCTCCCGAGTTGCTACCTCACACAAACGAGGAATCATGCCAACCGTCAGATGAAGTGGGCAACCAATCTGGCTTAACTCAAGCGGTGCAGGAACAAAGGGCGGCATCTGCGCAATCGTCAGCACATCTCACCCGCAGCGTGACCGTCGCCTCACCGCCATTTCGACCCGCGCTCGCACCGGCACCGGGTAGCAGCCATAGTAAGCTGTCGCAAGTCGATCCGTCCCTCTTCATCAGCAGCTACGACGGCGCCAGCTCGCTCCCAGACCTCCAACAACGCGGGATCACGCACATTGTTAACGTCACTTCTGAGTACGAGGATTGCTTCCCGTCGCACTTCGTCTACCTCCGCCTTCGCGCGAGGGATAAAAGCTCGGAACGACTAGGCCCCTATTTCGACCAAGTCGCTGAGTTCGTGATCAAGGCACAACATGCACGTGGACGAGTGCTCGTGCATTGCCAAGAAGGAATTTCGAGGAGTGCGACCTTGGTCCTCGCGGTCATGATCATCAACGAGAGGCAGACATTGGATCAAGCATTCGATGCTCTTCGAATCGCCAGACCGGTTATTGAACCCTCGCCAAACTTTTTGAGGGAGTTGAGGGCACTCGAACGTCGCTTGTTTGGTGTTGCAAGCACGAGACGTTTGACACCGGCCGAAAAGGGGTCCACCGACGACTTGGAAGCGCCCGATAACATCGCCGAAGAACTGACCCGTCTGACCTCGATGGCCGCCATAAGCGAGACGCGACCGTCAACAGAGGACTTCCGGACCGCCATCGCTCTTGAGCGCGGCATGGATAACACCAGTGCATTACCCAAACTCATCAGCGATGCGGTGTACGTGACTTTTGATGTCTACGCGCGGCGAGAAGAGCGCGACCTCCGAGCACGTGCCGCATTGGCTCGGTTCTTCAATGCCTTCGTCGATGCAGGAATAATCGACCGCGCCGACTTGCGGAAGATCTTGCAAAACATCTTCACCAGCGAGGCATGGGAAGATTTTGCGATGGAGGACGTGCCCTATGCCGCGGGATATGCTCGCGAGTTGCTAGCGCAGTTGACCTGAGTACAGATTCGGATTCCATCTGTGGGTGATCAATGAGTGCCACCGCTGAGGTGGCCCGTCACAAGCCGCAAGCCGCCGCGAGGCACCACATTGCCAAGCTGGGACAGCCGAGCCTTGGCAAGTCGAACATCACAGCGTCGACAATCTTGTCCCTACTCGTCTTCAGTGACCACGCAACATCATGCTTAAACGGCCGGCCAGGAGGCTCCCAGTCCTCACTCAACTCGCTCAGAGGAAATGGCACGCGATAGATCATTTCCGGTTTTAACGGATGCAATAAATAAATAAAAAGTGATACACATAATTTCCCCTAAAGGAAATAAGATTTAAGAGATCCAGTTGGAGGATCTAACGTTCTCTACCAGGGAATTTCCTCGCCCTTGGCGTAGTTGAGGAACTTGGCGTTGTCGGCCTTGGTGACCTTGAACACGATGTTCTTGAGGCTGGGGATGCGAGGCGGAAAGTTCTAGTGAGCAGTGTACCGCAGACGTTGCAATCATTCCTGGACAACTCACATGTGCTCGATGGCGAAAGGGGTGCTGATCTCGCCTGAGCCGTTCTCACCGCCGTTCACTGGGAAATGTTGATAAACGTACGAATGAGCACGCGGCACCTGGAGGAAGCATTGCAATCAAATTCAACTCACTGTCGGTGTTGACGTATCCGGGGTGGAAGGAGACGACGGTGAAGCCCTCCTGTGCATGCCGTACAAGAGGTTCTTGAAGTCAGTCGTCACTAATGCTGAGTTTAATCAGCTCGGAGATACGATCTTACATCAGCGAGCTCTCGGGCGAGCTTGACAGTCCACATGTTGATAGCGGCCTTGGAAGCGGAGTCTGTAGCGCGAAGGGAATTTGAGGGCACGTTAGTCGAAAGTCTTGGTGGTTTCGAGCCCGTCCTCGCAGAGACTCACAGGTGGCAGCGACGGGAACCTTGGAGAGGTCACCTCCAATCGAGCCCAAGAGACTCGAGACGACGAAGATCTGCTTTTTGTTACCCTTCCTCAACAAGGGCAGGAAAGCCTCGGTCGCTTGGACGACACCGAAGACGTTGGTCTCGAAGTTGTCGCGGAGGTCCTGGACGGTGCTGTGGAGCGCGAGTAACGGGATGGGTGGGGTCAGCTCTTCGTTCTGTCTCAGGTGGGGGCGCGGGTTGGGAGAAGGGGCGCCGTGGGCTGATTGCGAGACCCGAGGTCAAACGCTTTTCCAAGAGTGATTGCGAGTATTAATTACCTCTTCGTGGGAGAGTTCCAGCTACCGTAAATGACACCGGCGTTGTTGATGAGGACATCAATTCCACCGTTCTCGAGGAAGCTCGATCCTTCGAGCTCCTTGGCAGCGGCCTGCAGGGAAGAGCAAGAAGCAAGTGTCGAAAGGTCAACATTCATTTGATTGGCAATAGATAATTGCGAAGCTCAAGGTCTGATCACGCACCTCAAGACTCTTCACGTCAGTGACGTCAGCCTTGAGCACGTGGACGCGGCCGTCGAACTCTTTGGCAAGCTCGTTCAAGGCGGTCGCGGTGGAAGGGTTGCGAGCGGCGGCGATGACTTTGTAGGACTTGTCGGCTTTGAGGATTTGGCGAGTAAACTCTTGACCAAGGCCGCGGGAAGCGCCGGTGATGAGGTACATGGTCGACATGATACGGGATGAGTGTGGGGGGGCGGAACCGGAGCTTTGCAAAAGAAAGCGGAGGGGCTGTTGGTTCTGGTGGGGTGGGTAAGTTTGATCGAGAGGATCAAGACTGGTTGTGAGAGGATGGAGTGAAGTGGTGAAGAGGAAAGCAGGAAGAGAAGGGATGCATCCTCGCAGGACATTCGACTGCGTCTCATCGCACCATTCTCATTATCTAATCGCTGACGAAGTCCAGTAGCGCGATCGGCTTCGTCAGCAGCCTGAACGGGTCGGCGGACTCCGACGCGGTCCCGCCATCGGAGATGTGCAGGCTGTGGCAGGCTGCGGCCAGGCCGGGAAGCCGGGCCTCGGGTCCCCGGGCCACGCACGTCGCTTACCACTTCCAGGTTCGTGTACACATGCGCGCGCGAAAATTATGGAGGGCATAAGGCAGCTTTTGCCCTATGGGGTCCGTACGACAAGTTTCGGGATTCCATAAGGCATTTTGTAATGCCTCGATAAGAATAAAATCCTTAAGGCCCCCGTAGGGCTTCCCTAGCGCCTCCCTACGGCGGGGCCATAAGGATTTCCCCTAGCGCGCGCATACGGTCACCGTAGTGCTTTCATACGGCGGCCATCGGGAAAATCCTTCAGGCATCGGGGTTGAGGAGCCCTACGGCGGCCGTCGTGCAGCCATATGGGAGCGATAGGGATCGTTTTATGGCTCTATAACGACGAGCCATATGGCACACGCAGGGATGCCATACGGGCTCGATGAGGTCGCACTACAGTAGAATAAATTTGCTGCCATACGGAAGCCATGGTTGTCAGCCCAAGAGTTGCGTTCGGTCACAGATAGTACTCCGGGCTACAGGGCTGATCATAGTACAGTGGGTTTTCACCCTTGTGTCACACGACTATGTTTTCTTTCATTCTCAAGCTCAAGGTCGCATACGAGGCCGAGCAGCCTCCGAGCGGCGACTCGGAGCTTGTCTGCGGCTTGCGGGTGGCTCCGGCCGTGCCGGGGGCGGTGGCTGAGACCGACCGGTTGTGAGAGGAGGCGAGAGGAGCCGAGAGGAGCCAGCTGGAGCGGCCCTAGCGCCTTCGCGGAGCCCCACCCTCTCTTTCCTTTGCCCATTTGACAATCCCGGGCACAACACACCCCTCGACAGCGAACACGATGTCCATTCAGTCGAGGGATTTGGAACAAGTCGTGGGGAATGGTGGGTGCTAACTACGTCATGGTTCCCGGCCGACCTGGGTGGTAGCACTGACTCCTTGCGGCACTCGGACCCACGCCCGGCCGCCGGTTCGCAGTCGCGTTGACGCGCACACTTTCATCATGTCATCATCCTCATCGCCATCATCCACAGACTTCATTTTGGAATGGTCCTCTCAGCGAACTTCTGCCGGCTATGTGTGCCGGTACTGTGGTGGCGAGCGCATGTGGTATCGTCGCGCCGTTCGGCACGCCACGACCAAGAAGCACCTTGACGCGTACAACAGTCGAGCCGCTGTCAATTGGGCCAACCGATTACTGTAACCCACGCCTCAGGCGCTCTCGAGCAGCGACGAGGCCGACTTGGTCGATTTCAATGAAAATCCGGCAGAGACCGGAACAGTAGGCCACTCTCTGCTTGCTGTCGCTGGCGAGATCATCAAGTCGTCTGAACGCGTGCCTGCTTCCAGTCCGTCCCCGCCAAGTGATCAGGAGGATTCCGCTCTCAACCACGCCCTCTTCGTTCCAGAAGGCAATTGCTCGCCCTATTCCCAGGGCACTGGCTCCAAGTCCGACAGCGAGGTCGAGATCGATGGCGAGGCGGAGGAAGATGAGTCGGATGACTGGGTGCAGACTTGGGCCACCGCGGGCTCCACCAGTGAGCGGGGACGAGCAATGATGCAATGCCCCTCGTGAACTTCCCACCAACGCAAGTATTGCCCACCTTGTTGTCTGTAGCTGTGGTGACAGGCACCCCCGCGATGTGGACACGGCTGAGCGTGCGCAACTACACAAGCGTGCCCGATTCGTCGCATCCCTGGTATCCCTTCCCCAGTCAGAACGTGCGCCGATCTACTCTCGTTGCTCCGGAATCACGCGATCGGCCAGGAGCTGACCCCCTTGTGAACATAGCTGATGATCATCGTCGTGTTTCTCAGATCCCACAAACGCCGGGTCGGCGTGCAAGAGCTGGACGACATGCTTGCATTCGCCAAGGCCTTCGGCGTGCAGGGTCTTCCTGCGGCGTCTTCCGTCAAAAAGTTTCTGGCCAACTTGGAAAAAGAGATTCCGCTCTTCAAGCCCCGCCAGTATACGAAGGAGGACTCACGGACGCTCCCTTCACGTGGTGTCGCCTCGCGATTACATCGCTGCGGTAGGTCCCTGCGATTCTGTGTCAATGGTCGAATGCCTTTGACTGAACCGTTTCCGGCACAGCAATTTACAACGCCTTCATTGACCCCTCTCGTGCGAAGCGCGGAGGAGAATCCAAGACGCGCTCGAGTGGATGAAGATGGTCGAAAAGAAGTGCGTAGTCGACGAATTTTACATCAGCAAGGCTAAGGAAGCACTTTTAAACCTGCCGTGGCACGAGTTACCGTGCGTGCCAGCCTCAGTGGGCAACTTGAACGAGCTCAGCTGGGCATAAGCGACTTGTGAACTTGCTCAGTAAGTTCACCCTTCTCACGCCCACTCTTACTCATCTGATGTTCAACGTTTGCTTGGACAATATCAGTTGGAATTGTGGCTTAGCCGACTGGGCAAGGCACGACTGCGTCGGGATCGCGAGCACCGCCCAGTTCATCAGGGCACACCCCGACTCGGTCTGGTTTTTGCCAATCTGTGACGAAAATCACTGGTTCCTGGGAAGGATTGCTGTGAAACATGGAGCCTGGTCCATACACATTCACTTTCCTCAAGGAAGCTCACGGTCGCCGCTCTAACTTACGCTCTGGACGCACAAGTTTTCAAAGTACTTAGTCTCAACATCGATGTGAATCACGGTACGACGACAAGGGCACCTTAACAACAAGATACCTTCTCGTGCGGTCCTGCCATTGTGAATGTCGTCGAACACGAACTCGTACACGAGAAGGCGTTTGATCCAACGCACGCGGCTCTATCGCGAATCCGTCAATTTTGCCGCGCTGTCGACATGATCGAGGCCCAGGAGCCAAAGATGCCCAACTTGAAGAGCACACAAAAACCACTCATGACGATCGTGATCCAATGAACCCGTCGTACGTTCCACAGTTCCACTAGGCGTCAGTCAAACGGGTTGCAGCGCCCGAGACCTTCGATCGGGCAGTAGCAGAGCCTGCTGCGACGCAGCGGCCTGCGGGCTGACGTCAGGCCTTGCGCTAATTTTGCCCGGACGGCGAACGTGACCTCGCTGATTCGCCTCTTGACGTCGTGCCATCCACTTCCGATCACCCACAGGCGTCTTTGCGCTCGAGGCGCTGCCTCCGACATCATGGTAGGTCCTTTTCACCGCTGTGCTTCAAGATCATACCCCACGTGCTCCATTCGACCTCTTCTGGCGCACTCGACTTGGGTCGACACCGGCTGACCGACACGTCCACTCCAGCGTGCGCCTGCTCGACGACCCCAAACGACGCAACAGAAGGTGGCTGCTCCCAAGACCACGGGCAAATCACTAAAATACGTGATCAACGAAGACCCAGCCAAGAAGTCCCAAGATGAGCCTGCGGACGACACTACCACTACGTCGACCCCACCATCACCACGCCGCGACTTGGCGTCCCCACCCCTCACACGAAGACCTTGACGGTTGGCACCACTACCGCGAAAACCAGTGCCTCACTTTTGTTTGAGCCGATTTCGGATGGAAAGAGCCATGTCGCCGATGTCGGCCCATCCGCTCGCCACGCGGCCTCCACGCACTTCGAACCCGAAGCATCGCATGGCCTTCACCTCGAGGACTCGGTGGTATGTCGCGCAAGCTGAGAATACGACTCTGTGATCTGGTTTAGTCTCGGCTGACGTCCTGTCGTTTGTTCAAGGTGCAGCGCAAACAGGCTCCCTCAGAGAACGGAACCAAGCGCAAACGTGCCTGGGGAGTTGCCGACGAGGTCGATGAGGTCAATCCAGAATCAGAGGTAAGGTCGATCACAGATACTCGTCTAAAAGCTAAATCTCCCAAGCTAAACCTCCCGCCAATCAGGAACGCCTGGACGTGCAGAAGGTCGATACCAAGCCCGACTCATCTTCCTCTCGCTTGAATCTAAGCTCGGAATCCGACGTACGTCCGAGCCCGGCCTGGCTTTCCTCTAGTCTAGCAGTAAGACGACACTGACGAAGTGTAAACCCGCACAGAGCTCTGAAGCTTCTGGTGACGGGGACGGCAGTGATAAGGATGGCAACGTACCATCCGAGACGGCCTTAGGTGAAGATTGGTCCAAACTAGCCAAGACGAAGGTCGTCTGCTCAGACGTAGACGACGAACCCGACGACACGTTCGAGGTGCGCTCTTGTGTGCCTTGAGAGGAATCCGCATCCTGCTGACTGCCATTGCGTCTCCTGCAGGTCTGTTCTCGCCAGTTGAAAGGCACCCAAGCGCATATGGATAACCCTTGCAAGGTGAGCTGTGACCGATGCGATCATCCGCCACGCCTCGCGCCACTGACAAGAGTCATGACCCACTGCTCTCTGGCATCGACCGTCGGTGGCCTGCCAATCTTACAGTCCTCGACCGAAGAACCCGATGCCAAGAGCCTTGAAGATGAGCTTGGCCAGATACGGCGCGACCTCCAGGCATTACGCGCCATGCTCGAGCCAGTGATCACGTTCATCAACACGCAAGCATCGACCATCTTAAGGTACGTGTGATCTCCACGCGTGAGGACGCGAAACATAGATTCAACTGACGAGACGTATTCCACGACCATTGGCAGAACCGACTCCCCCCCGTGGTAAAGATCTTTGTGGCTACCCTCTTCTTCTACAAGCAATTGGCCTCGGCCGGTCTTTTGCAGTACGTGACCTTCACTTCGGTACCAGCGCACGATTGTCTCATACAGGCTTCATCACCCGCAGATGGTCTTGACGAAAAGCGGCATCGTCCCGGCGAAGCGTACAACAAGAATCTCACGTTCCGCCATAACCTGCTTTCGAACATTCCGGCTCTGTTGGTGCAGGGTCGTAGTGATCTCCGACACGTGAGCAGACGCCTCGCGTCTTGTGGTCTCCGAGCGGTCCTGACAAAATTATAACTCTTCCCAGATCAATAAAGTTCAAAAGGACAAAGCTACTCTCGGCCGTACCATGCAGCAATGGTACAAAGGCCAACAGGTTGCCATAACCCAAGGACACGTCATCTGGTGGAGTATACTGGTGCGTATATATGAAGAGCTCGCCTCCACCCTCGATCCTGACCTGCGCTTGTAATCACGATACCAGTGGCAGGCAATGAAGGCTCCAAACATCTTCGACCCAAAAGACTCCAAGGCCAACAGCTTCGCGAACAAGCTCAAGCGCTACGGTGACAGCCTCGCCAAAGACGCCGCGACAGCACACCTCGCGGGCGGCTACAAGAGAAGTGGGGGGTTTGATCATCAAACGTGAGCTTCGTGCTTCATGGTGAGGTACATGGCATGATCGAATATGCTGACACTTGGCGACTTTCTTGGCGCGTACAAGGTTTCTCTTCGACATGGTCACGGTCAAGATGAAGCGACATTCCGGCATCCGCACGGCAGGCCAGAATACGCTCAGCGAACACACGATACAAGCGGTCTGTTCTGAAGTTGTCGATGATCCCGCCAACAACCTCAGCTTTGCAAGCCGCGTAGCGGTGAGTGGCGCCCTCAGTCGACCACATGCCGAACTTGGACTGACGAACGATCCCCGGAGCGAACACAGGACGCAGTCCAGGAGATGGGTTTTGCTTCAGGAAAGGCGAGGAAGACGAAGAAGACCAAGACCACCAAAGATGAGAAGCAGATCGAGGACGGGCAACCCTAAGCAACGCGCTATCGAACAAGCTCTCTGAAGGATTCGACGTGTGCAAGGGGACTCGGGCGCGACTTGGGGTGGAGTCGGGGTCGACCATGGGTGGGGCTTTCTGTATAACGGGGTTTTTCAGACTTGTATTAACATGTTTTTAGTGTTTGCAATGAATGTTGCTTCGTGTAATAAGTCTACAGGAGCAAGAAGAGAGCAATATGTACCTACAGCACCTGGTCCAGCATTGCTACAGCGTCCACCTGGTCTCCTCATTCATACCCTACGTGTACCACATTGCGTCCATGCTTCTACAGTAAGGCCACCCTATCGTCTCACTATGGCTTCCTTCGGGGGGCTATATCAAGCCGCCCTACGGCTGCCATATGGCTCGCACGTATTCGTGCCCTATGGGCTGGCCATATATGGGCCATATGGCTATTCGCCTAAATGATTAGGAAGGCCGTATGGCGGCGCCGTATGGAGCCGTAGGGATGCCTTAAGGGTGCCATAATTTTCGCGCGCATGTGTAGGCCCGTAGGTCTTGTGGACGAGATTGAAAGTATTAGCAAGAGAAGCTTGCTCTCGCAATTGGATATTGGAGTGCTCCTTATAGAACTCGGAGACGTGACGCCTAACCTTCGTGTAAGGGTTTCGCCCTACAGAAGGTCGCGAGGACGGTTGTAGATCGAAGTCGATGTAGTAACGGCCGAGAGAGGATACTTGTTAAACGTCTTTACTGGGTTCCAGCTAGAAGTTAACTACCCAGAGAGAGGAAAGAGAGAAAGAGAGATATGGGGAAGGGCGTCCCTATTGAGGGAGGCCGAGGGTCCGTGCGCCAGTGTCAGTCTTGACGTCGGCTACGGGGTCGAAGGCCTGGTCTCAAGCTGTCTCAAGGGGGGCGGCCTTACACCCTCCCCTCCGAAATCCTGTCTGGGCTTCTCTGATGTGTTATCCCCTTCTGGGGAACGGACGGTAGACCCCCAGGTTTCCAAGCGGGCCTGCGTAGTCGCGGATCCGTCCGTTGGCCTCGAGCCAGCGTTGGGTGAGCTCTTGCGTCTCGACTTCGAGTTGTAAGAGTGCGTTGGTTCGACGACTATCGTCGGCTCTTTGTTCAATCACTCGGAAGGAGCGACAGGCTCACCCAACGCTGGCTCGAGGCCAACGGACGGATCCGCGACTACGCAGGCCCGCTTGGAAACCTGGGGGTCTACCGTCCGTTCCCCAGAAGGGGATAACACATCAAAGAAGCCCAGACAGGATTTCGGAGGGGAGGGTGTAAGGCCGCCCCCCTTGAGACAGCTTGAGACCAGGCCTTCGACCCCGTAGCCGACGTCAAGACTGACACTGGCGCACGGACCCTCGGCCTCCCTCAATAGGGACGCCCTTCCCCATATCTCTCTTTCTCTCTTTCCTCTCTCTGGGTAGTTAACTTCTAGCTGGAACCCAGTAAAGACGTTTAACAAGTATCCTCTCTCGGCCGTTACTACATCGACTTCGATCTACAACCGTCTTCGCGACCTTCTGTAGGGCGAAACCCTTACACTTCGCCTGGCTTCCAAGTCCGCAGTAAGCGATTTTTTCGGAGAGGACCCCTGCCCCGAGACCAAATCTTTGAAGAGAAGCTGGCACTCTGGATACCTAGGTACGAGGACAGTATGATAAAGAATTATAATAAGTGACTTTGCACCAGCTTTTCTGGTAGTCGACGGCGGTAGCATCTTTTGGGAGTTCGCCCCGTCCGGCCGAGCTGAGAGTTCGGACACTGGCACTGATCCGCCGCCATGAGCGATATAGCCCCAGATTTTGAGTTGAGTAGACGAAGATGAGTGAAGCTGGCCAATTCGTTTGATTCGAGCAGCTACGAGTTCTCGTGAGGTTAGCCAGAGCAGCCGACGGAGTGTCCGTCGATTAGTCGCCGGACTTGCCTCAAAGGGTCCGTGCGCGTGACCGGGCCTGGGAGGAAGCACAATCGCACCCCTTATAGAGCTCAGAGCGCTCAGAGGCGCTCGACATCCTTCCTGATCCCCGCACTAGCTTCCGTCGGACCTGTTCAGACACAGACCCTCTACCGCCCCCGCCTTCTTTCCTCCCGACGCCCCTTCTCTCCCAGAACAAGGAACACACTAGCGCATGTACGCGGCTCCCCAACCAAGTGCCACTCCTGGAGTCAAGCAAGAAAAGCCCAACCTCGTCGGTCAGTCCCTTCAGAGCTCTCCGCACCCCATGTTTGGTGTGCACAGTCCTACCCCATCTAGCCCACCGTGCTAATCCCAGTCATGCTGATCTGCAGGCGTCCGCAACAAGCAAAGGTTCGTGCTGATGTAGCCATCGCTGTCGCTCGAGGCCCGCCTGATGACGCGACACAGGCAGCGTCGACGACCGTTTTCGCGCCCAAAAGCGTGGCACCAGAGGGCATACACTGATTCGCCCTGCTCTCCACCTCGGCTACCCATAGGAAAGGCGTTCAAAAGGCCCAGGCCAAGTTTGAACCGCTTGCGTTCCGTGATCAACTCATCAAGCACCTCGAATCCGTCCCAGAGCACGACTTTGACGCCGTAGCCTCCAAACTCGATGTTCTAGGCAACCAGGTCAGTACTGCGTGGCCTCTGTACAGCATCTCCGTTGCTATATGCTGACCAGTCTGCGCTTCATTTCCCTGTCGCTTGCTGCGCCGCTGCGGTCCCCTCCTCTCCGCCTCGACGCCTGACTCGACACACGACCCGCGCCGTGACCCCACGCCACTCTACAATCTCCCTCGCACCAGCTCGACTACCGCAAGTATGAGCAACAGCTTTTCGAACTGCTGCTCGTCGGTGGGCTTCTCGCACCCGGAGGTGGATTCCTCGATGATGGAGCGGCCAAGTCGACCTTCTCGGTGACGGGCTCGGCCAAGGAACCCGTCGAGGTCAGCGACGTAAAGTCGATCGTCGACGTCTTCAACAAGTTGACGCGCAGGTACAAGTACCTCCAAAAGGGCTTTGAGGAGACCGCGCTACCGAGCATCCTGCAGTACTCGAACAAGTTCTCGCAGATCGACCAGGAGAAGCTCGCTGTCGCGACCGCCCTCTTTGTCGCCGTCGGCCTCGTGTCCGCGAGCGTCGTCCTCAGTCTCAAGAAAGACCATTTGGTCAAAGATGGTCAGTTGATTAGGTGCACATGACGTTGGCCCCCGCATGCCGCTCATACACTCACTGACGCATTCCCCTCACAGGCACGTCGGTGCGAATGCTCACGAGCTTCCTCAAGGCCTTCCTCGCGACCGAGTCGATCGAGCAGCTCTCGCTTGCCCTTCGCAAGGGTGGTGTCACCGACCTCGAGGCCTTCTTCCCGCCTTCCAAGCAAAATGCGACCGAACTCTCAACCCACTTCAAGGGTGCCGGATTGTCGGGTGTCGTCGACTTTTACATCAAGCAGAAGGCCGGCAAGGCCAAGGAGGACACTCTGGCTAGGCTCAGAGAGTACGTCTCCGACGAAGCCGACTATGACGAGGTGAGTTGATAGTGGCATTCGAAGTCATTTGACTGGGGTGGTATGCTGATCGAAGTGCCCACGAACGCCTACTAGATCATGGGTTACCTGGAAGCTGTTCACAAACGCGGCATCCTGTCCGAGCCCGAGTTCATCTCGATCGCTTGGGCCGGTCTCACGAGTGGGATCGACATGGGCGCCAAGCCCGAGCTGTTGCCCGACCTCGCTGTCAAGGAGATCAAGTCGATCGCTCCCTTGCTCGAGCCCTTCAACAACAAGCCTGCGACCGAGGTCGCATTGATCAACACGATCCAGATTTGGTGCTACGAGAACACCAAGCTGATGCCCGCGTTCGCCAAGATCCTCAAGGTGCTCTACTCGCTCGACGTTTTGTCGGACCAAGCTATCCTCTACTGGCACAGCAAGGGGTCCAAGACGCAGGCGAGGCAACACTTCCTCGATGCGGCGGGGCCATTGGTCAACTTCCTCAAGGAGCAGGAGGAGGAGGAAGACGAGAGTGATGACGAGTGATCGACGTGTGTTGTTTCCATGGTGTTGGGATCGGACGAAGACGATCCAATCGATTTCATGCTTCTCTCCTCTCTTTCGAATCAATTGTCGGGCCGTGCTCTTGTGTTTTGTCCTTTTCACACCCAAACCCCTTATGCGCTCCGCCAATGCAATGCATCTGCGCACTCATGATTCAGACCGCGACCGTATTCTTCAGAGCGAATTGGGGTGGGCATTCTTCATTATTGACCGTTTTCATTGGCCCATTGCCCTCGCTGCCAGCCGTCCCGTCTCTACCGTACTAGACCGCACTTTACCTTCGCGTGGATAGGCGGAGATCAGCGCAGCTTACCCCACATTTCCGGTTCGTTTTCGCCCGTCCTTCTGTCGCCCGTCCGCTCCATCACCGGGACTCGAGGGTACGGGGGCGCGGCGGCTTGGCCTGAACAACATGGACTACTTTGCCCAATCTCCCTTGTCGTACGACTCGCCGCCACGCGCGTGGGGTACGGGCAAGTCGTCGCTCTCAGGTTCGTCCGCGAAACCGATCGTCTCCCCCTCGTCGTCGACTGCATCCCAGCAACTCCCTTCGGCGCGTCGTCATCGCCACAGCGCATGCGTAGATAAGGCTCTGGTGTTGTGTCGGGAGATGGCTGCGGAGGCGACGACATCGGCTATTGCTGGCGAGGATCAGGTACGTCCACGAGCCAGCTCATTCAGGAGGTGTTGCTCGAGCATCACCCGCGTCAGCTGAGACTTACAACTGCCCATGCATCTCAGGGTATTATCCAAAACCTCGAATCAGCAGGATGGGCCTACCACACCACCACGGAAGGCGTGCGCATCTTTTCAAAGCAATCGACCGAGTCGAGCTCGCTCAATGGCGTCAGGGAGAACGAGTCGCTGCCGTACTTTCGGGGAGAGGGATGGATAGAGGGGTCCTGGCAACTCGAGGATCTCTACGCGACCATTGTATCAATTGGTGCCAGATCTGTCTGTGCGTACACGCGTCGATTGGGGATGGAGCAAGCTTTGCGCTGTCGAGGCAGAGCTCTCCTGATAGCCCGGATAGTGGTCAAGGATTCTGACCGGTGCTGGTCACCATGTCTCCTTTTCGCAGGGGATTCGAAGCTAGAAGCAAACGAGTCATACGTTGCTGCATACTTGTCCGAGACAGATCAACTATGGAAGAGTTTCGTCAGGGCCGAGCTCGGCGTCAATCGGGAAGCGGCCCTGGTGTCCTCGTATGCACTCGATCCTCTTTCGCCCAACACTGCCTACATCATCTCAACCTCCGTTGAAGACCCGCTGTTGATCCAGAAATGTGGTCGAGGGCATGTGCATCTCAATGGTGTCTGCATCCGCCGACTACCGCGGCAACCTCACTTTGAGCAACCCCCCGGGAAGGACGAACCCCCGCCGAACTCACTCTCTACTCGTCCCGGTCATCGAAGAACCAAGAGCTCGGCCATCCTCCCGGGGAGTGGTGGCGGTTTACTAAGTCCAGGTCTGGCGGGACCGAGTTCGATGCCTCTGGCGACCTCGGATGGGCTGCAGCCACGGATGCCCTTCTTTGGATCTTCGCTCGCCCTACCTCCATCCCTGCCTGCCCTGATCCATCGGTCGACCTCGCTCGGGTCCTTGTCGAACAACACCGATTCGGAAAACAGAACACTTCCGCCTATTCGTACCGACCTTTCGCCGCCATCGGCGGAAGCCTCTCCTGTCACGGGTCGGTCGTACGATGGCCTGCTGTCCAAATTCGCCAGCCCCAATGGCCTTGGCCCACCCTCGGCAGTGATTCCGAACGATGACCGGCCCGGGGTACATATCTCCCTCATCTTACACGCAGCTCCGGGACTCAATCTTCCTCAGACCACCGTGAATCAGCTCTCCTTGCACTTGCCTCTTTCAATTCACGCGATCGGTCGCTACGTCTTGGCGCACGGGTTCGCACCTCATCTGATTCGAACACCCGGTATCGAAGTGATGGAAGAGGCGTTTGATTTCCCTTCGACGACCTATCGCGCTATCTTTCGTCGAACCAACAACATCCCTGCCTCTTCGAATACAGGGCCCGCAATGGACCAGCCGACCCGTGTCCGCTTCTTTGGTTCGACATTCGCCAAGGGTCGGTTCGATATCGAGGTCTCCTCATCTTCGTCCGATTATGACCCGACCTGGTCAATCAACTACGATGTCAGTCCGATTGTCGCACCGGAGATCCGTCGCTTCAGCGCAGATGAGGATGCCCATGTACGACCTCGCGTGGCGGGACCTCGCAAGAGCTCGCTTTCGATTCTCGGTTCACCGACTTTACCCTCTGCGACCGGGACGACGAGGTATGCTCAGACGACAAGCCCGACTTTGCAAGATGGTGAAGGTGGGAATAAAGAAGAGGAGAAAGTTAGTGAACAGGATTGGGTCGATCCGGCGCTCCTTCCCGGTCCCTTGGGCGCTTGTACGCTGCTCTTGCCTCCTCCACCGCCTTATGTCCCCATCACGATCAGCATCACCAAGAACCTTTCCCTCGTTTCCAAACCCATCGGAACGACCTTGTCGACGGCGTTGGGTCAAGCGGCGAAAAGTGATGCTGATTTGGGGTGGGATTCGGTCGAACATATGCTGGCTGCGACTGTGGTGGGCAGTGAGGCTTGGGCGGAGAGGAATTTGACCAAAGCCAAGAAGGTGTTGGATGTTGTCAAGGTGGGGAAGGAGGAGGAGCATCAGCTGAATGGGGGAATGGGGTCTGGAGAAGATTGATGAGCTGGAGGGAGAAGGGACTGGGCGGAGGGGAAAGGGTCTCGTCACTTAGTCGTCGGTCGTCGAGGGTTGTCGCGGGGAGGAAGGGGAGCTTTTCCGATAGGGGCAAGTTGGGGTTGGGACTGGACATTGCTCGGGGAGTTGTGAACTAGAGATTTATATCGGATGCATGGAGGATTGTAGGACTTTGTGTGTTTGCCGTATTCTTATGCAAATGGGGCTTGGGGCCATACTTCTGGACGGACTAGTCCGCATGATGTGGTGAGATCACTGGATCAGAGACCGTAAGGTTCTCAACATGGTAAGGCAATGCTGATCACTTTGGAACAGACGAAAAGAAAAGAAAATGTATGAGAAATCGCGGTGGAAGCTAAAGTGACCGAGTACCAACTGCGATGCGAACCCTTTGCCACGTCACATCATCGCTCGGCGGACTGGAACTCTCGAGCGAACTGCCCGTCAGCGCGCGTTCGGGCAACTCGGCCAGCCTGCGCTGCACGATCTGCGAGACCGAGAATTGACATGCCGCAACGATTACGGCTTACGCGTCCGGTACGGCACGTTGTAAAGCAGTGCCGAGGGCGTTTTGGTGGTGCAGTCGGCTTGGGTTCACTGATGAGTATCTGGGAATGACTTGGGATAAGACGCACAAGCGGTGTAGGGTTGTTACAACGCCGCCGAATGTCGACGATGAGCTCGGGGGTGTCTGCGTCGGCGCGCCGGTTGGTGTGAATTGGTCAGCACGCGCGGTGAGGTAATAAATCGGCAAACGGCGCGGAGAGGTGTAGAGAGGCGTGAGGCGTGAGGAGGCGTGTGCGTCAGGCGCGGGCTGGCGCGGGCGACCCGGGGCCACTGCGCGGTTTGTTCCTTTGGCTTCGACCACACCGAGTCGACTCTTTGTTCGAACCAACTGAGCTCCCACTCGAACCCAACACGACCTCTCCAACTTTCAACAAGCTCTCCTCCACCTCGTCGATTGACGATCCGGTGTTGATCATGGACCAGTTTTTGGACCTGGACGCGATCAACGCTGCCATGGGCGCGGGCGCGATTTCGATCGTCGGCAGCAACGGCGGCGGTGGTGCTGGTGGTGCGGGTGGTGCTGGTGGTGCGACCTCGACGAGTCATCTCGTCGGCGCGTTCGATGACCAGTTCAACGACATGTTCCAACAGTGAGTCGTGTCTGCAACGTTCCTATGGCTTCATGGCAGATGAGGGGTCGCATTACTACGAGACTCGGTGTCTCCTGACTGGGTGGCTCGGTCCGTGGGCTCGCTCGCGGCCGCCGTTTCCCTTTCTGCGGCGATCGGGCATGCTCCTCGTTCGCTCCCAGCGAGGCCGCGCAGGTGTATCATGTCACCACTCTGGTTCATTGACCGAGTGGCTGCGACCCATCGAGCTTGACCAACGCATTGCACCTTCACCGAGTGCTGCGATCGCCAGCTCCTTTGTGAACGCCGAACCACGATCGATGTTCGGTCGCGTTCGATACGCCACCACCCGCTTCGCGCCATATCGCGCGATATTGGAGCACCGCGCTATTTGCAAGACGGACGTCGCCGCGCACGGGCCTCGCCAGTTGCGAGGCCCGTGTGTCGTCGTTAGCCTTGGTCTTTTATTCGAGACATTGGGTGTGCTCAGGCTGGCTGGCTCAGAATGTCATGCTTTGCACGTCGCCATGGTTCTAGACTGCGACTGCGGGATCATAGACTTGGCCCGATCGCCGAGTCGTCGTCAACGTGTCACCCCATAGCAGAGGACCTTTCTGCCTCTGAAACATCACAGCTGACAATACTTCCCGCTCGTAGATTCTTGGCACCCGAGTTGACCAAATCAGCCCCCATGGCCGCAACCCCGATCGCCTCCACCTCCGAGCTTCCCTTCGCCGCAGCTTCGGCCGACGCCCTGTCCTTCTCGAACGATACCCTCGACCCTAGGACGTACCTCCCCACCTTGCCTGGATCCCCAATCGGTGCCTTCTCGCCCTCGTCGGACAACTCGGGTGCTCGATTTAACAGTCTCAGCCCCTTGAGCTTCTCCGACCTCGATGGGCCCGCCGACTCGGGCGCATGGGCGCTCGACCCTGCCATGTTCGGCGGCGAACCCGTAACCGACATGATGCCGTCCCAAGAGGCCCCTGCTTCGCTCTTTGGCGATCTGCCCGCTCTGCCCGACCTCCAAGTCGAAGCGAGCTCGGAGTCCATCAAGGCCGAGTCCGTTACCGCCTCGTCGATCACCGTCACTCCGCCCGCTTCATCGGCCCGTGCTTCTCGTGCGAGCGCACAGCAGGCCAAGCGTCAACTCTCGGAGGCGCTCAGAGAAGAAGAGAAAGAGGAAGAAGAACAAGAGGACGATGAAGAGGACGAGGACGATGCCGAGGATGATGACGAGGACATGGATTCGGACCACTACGAGGCACCACGCAGTACTCGAGCGAGCAAGAAGGCGCGCACCATCTCGTCCAACAGCAAGGGCCGTTCCGGCTCGAAAGCTCCTCGATCGGTCGCCGTCTTTGCCACCAAGGAGCTCCACCACACCAACACGCGCAGCAACTTGCCGCCCGTGCCCGAGTGGACCGACAAGCCCGATCCCGACACGTACAAGAAGCTGTCGTCCAAGGAGAAGCGCCAGCTGCGCAATAAGATCTCGGCGCGCAACTTCCGCCACCGCAGAAAGGAGCAGCTTACCACGCTCGAAGACGAGATTTCGTCGCGCGACAACATCATCTCGCAACTTCAGGAAGAGGTCGGTACCATGCGCACGGAGAACTCGACCCTGCGCAGCGAAGTGTCGATGCTCAAGGCCAAGTGGGACGAGATGATGGAGAAGATGACGGCGTTCCAAGCCCCTCAATCGGCTACGGCGGTGTCGACTGCTACGACTGGTCTGGGCGTTCGACCATGTCTGGTCGTTGCTTCTCCCACGGCGGCGTCTTCGCCCTCGGACAAGACCACCGACGACGACCTCTGGGCTCTCGACAGCCCTCGAAGCACACCTTCCCCGCTCCCCGCCGTGGCTTCTGGTTCCCGTCGTGGCACTCGGGCTTCGAACGGCATTACCAAGCCAAATTTGTCCAAGGATGTGGCCCCCAACATGGGCGGTCGTCGCTCGACCGGCAGCTGGGCGACGCAGGGTTTCGGTGGTGGCTTCACCTCTGTCCACACCACTCTCCTCCCCGATCCCGCCGCCTTGCTCAACGCCAAGTCGTCGCTCGCCAACTACCCGCAACAAAACTTCAACCCTGCTCTTAACAACATCTCGGCCTCGTCGTTGGCTCAGTGTACGCAGCACCTCCGCGAGGGATCGCTGGCTTCGGGCCAGCAGCAGGCTCCGGCTCCTAGGAGCACATTTGAGGACTTCTTCGGGTCCAACCCATACTGGCTCCGACCCGATCAAGTCGAGGAGTACCGTGGTCAACTCTATGGCAAGATCGCCAATAACACTGCTGGTCTGATCGCCGCCCAAAAGCTCGGGTCGTCGCAACCGACGTCAGGCTCACACCTCCACATGCCCAATGGTTTCCGACCTGCCTTCTTCACCTCCCCTTCTTCGGCTCGTTTCGCCGCCCCTTCGATCAACGGCGGCAAAGAGCCCCGCGACGTTGGCCCGTCTTCGGATCTGCTCGAGTTCCAATCGCCTCGCGCCGCTTTGGCTCAACAACAAGCCACGGCTCTCGTCGCGACGTTGGCGACGCAGACCTTGTTCTCCAAGATGGCCTCGGCTTTCGTCGACGCCTTCAACGGCTCCGATGGTGGCAAGACCATGGACGCCAACAAGGTTGCCGACGTCCTCGCCGGTCGGTCCAAGGTCCAGCTCGTGCCTCAGCAATCGCAACAGGCCGTCGTACCGACCCCTAGCATCGAGTCCTTGGGTCTGTCCTTGAGTTCGCTCGACCTTTCGAATGACGCGAGGTCCCCTTCACCTCGACCGCATTGCTCGTTCAACAGCATGACCAAGAAGTGGTGCAACTAGATTTTGGCAACGCCCTTCGTCTCCGTTTTCGAATTTCTCCCACTCATGCCCTTATTGTTCATACTACCGTGTCTTTTCAGTCCACGAGTCTTCGTTTTACGTCGGTGCGGTTTCACTGTTGTCTCCTTTGCGTACAAATACATCCCAACTCGAATTTGTTAACACATCAAACGGGAGCGGGAAAGCTGCGAGCACTTGAGAGATGCGAGAAACCAAGTTCGCCGCGGGAAACTCTTGATTCCACTTCCGGGAGCTGCATTGGTCTTGGAAACGCACGAACTCGAGAAATAAAGATTGCATCCATACACCTTACTGACAAAGCGTCCGGCCCTTACAACCGAAAGAACACTGACTGAGACAAGCCCAGGCTGCACACTGCCGGCGGGAGTTCGATAGCAGACCCCGGGGAGTTGAAGACGGTATGTGCAACCATCCCGTATCATCCGCCACGGATCTAGCAGAACATCTGGGTCGAACCGTTGTTGAGTGTTCTGCAGAACCGCCCATTGCCGACATGAAGCGAAAGGCTCCAATGTCGACACGAGATCACCGAAGTGATGACGACTGCCAGGGCCGATCGAGCAACGCCGCTCGAGCTGCGCGAACGAAGTGAACGTCTTGCGACGACGAAAGAAAAGTAAAGGGGTTGAAAAAAGGGTGGTGCATGTTCGCAATCATCCATGTTCCAACATGAGCGCCATGCCATCCTCGTCCGCGGCGTCCAAACCCCTCGCCTTGGCCTTCAAGCGCAAGTTGCGATCGAATGTGACCAACACGACCTGGCTGACGTCATTCGTGATAGGTGCTCGAGCCTTCTCCGGATTGAGCAACGCAATGCGGTTCGAGAAATGTTCTTTTTGCCACGAGACGGCACGAAGGATGACGTCGTCCATGGAGCGGGCTGAATCGTGTGAAAAGCCCGGGCCGTCCGGTCGGTCTTGGCTTGCAAAATTGATCGATTCGGCACGGATCGTTAGGTCCGAGAGGTAGTTGCCGCGCGAGGTTAGGACTTTAAGGAAGCGTCCGTGGGTGCGGATCGTCGCTTCGAGGTAGCTGATCGCTTCGCTCGCGGCGACGCCCAAGGGGGACTCGTTGCGGCGCAGACCGTCGAGTTCGGTGATGACTGTGGCATGGGCATGAGAGTGAGCACTAATGGCATCTGAAAGGGCAAAGATGATGGGAAGTAACTCACCAGCAAGAGGTACAACGATTGTCCACACTTCGGCCTCGACAAGGTCGCGGAAGAGCTTCATCGACGACAATAAGATGTTGGTATCGAACACGAGGACCGTATATCCAGGCAGGACCTTGAGCAGCGTACGCATCGAGCCATTCGACTTGGCCTTGCGCTTCTTGTTCGACGTCGCACCACCCAGACGACGGATCGAGGTCGGGGCTGGACCACGCGTCGCAAGTCGAGCTTGGCGAATGACAGCTTTGAGGTGTCGTCGACGAGCCTTGAGTTCGCGCACGGTCGGAGAATCGTTCTCGTCGTCTTCGACCTCTTCGTCATCGGACGAATCGCCGTCCATGTCGTCGTCATCCTCGGTTTCTCCTGCACGTTGCTTCGCGGCTAGGCGAGATTGTCGTTCGGCCTCTTCGGCTTCCTTCTCCTCCTTCGCCCATCGTCGCAGCTTGGAGTCCAAAGCACCAGCAACGATGAAGCGTGGCGCGCCGACAGCGGCGGCGTAAGCATCCACGTCGAGACCGGCGACGTTGCGCGCGAGCCATCCAGCGACGGTAGCGGTACGACGCCAGCGCATCGATGTGAGATGCGCACTGGCAGTTGCAGGTGGTCCGTCACGCTCGACGTCTTCGTCGACGAACTGGTCCATGGCGGAGAGGTCAAAGGACAAAGCCTCCATTTCACTCTCGACCGTCGCACCGGTGACATTGCCGACCAGCCCCTCGATAGGCGGAGGAGGTGCAAACTCGTCGCGCCTTCCTCCAGCGACGACGGTCCTGGCTTTCCAGAAGCCACGCGAGAAGAGGTGCTTGCCGGTCCAGTCTTGGCCTCGGATGCACCAGTCTTCGGGTAAAGGACCACCCGTGAGCTTGATCGGGGCATCGGGGCGCACATCGTACGTCGATGGAATGTGGTTGAAGAACTCGACGAGCTTCGTCCATGGGACAGCTCGTTCGAGGTGGCGCAATGCAACGGGGAATTGCGATACTTGACCCAGGAACGTGAGTATGAGGATGATGTAAGGGTTGACGACCGCTGAGTCACCGACCATGCGGGTAGGATGGCGGAGGGCGTGTTCGAGCAGCGAAAAAGTGAGGCGTTGCGCCAAGCGGAATACGAGCGGAGCATCGTCATCGGCGGCGGCGTGGAGCTGCTTGACGACGTTCGTCGCTTCCTCGGGAGAAGACTGACTGATCTGGAGGGTCGTCTCGTCCTCTTCGGGTGGGTCCTTGGCCTCGCTTCGCTTCGTCGACGTCGTATTGATCATGATCGCTTGAGGCATCTTGGCCTTGGCCGCCGCGGCTGCGGCAGCAGCGCGCGAGTTGCCTGGATGAGGCTGAGCCTCCTTGGACATGGCCTTGTTCAACACCCCATCTTCGGCACCGTACTGCAACAACGCCGAGATGTTGATCACACCGATCATGAACCACTCGACGTCTCCGAACGGAGCCGACGCGTCTGAGCCCAATGCACTCCAATCCCCATCGGCCATGCGGATGACGACACTCTCTTCGCGAATCTTTTCGAGCAAGCGTCCAAGCGTTTCATCGAAGTCGTCGAGCGAGATCTTGGTGAAGAGCATGCCGTGAATGTGAACGAAGAGCTCGGCCTTGCGCACGTCCGACTGAGTTCGTCGGGCTTGATGCTCCTCCTCGAACAGAGGCAGGATTGATTCCCGAGCGCTGACGTAGGGATGAGTCGCCGTTAAACTGAATGAACAAAGTCAATCAGTACCCGCATCTCCTTTGAATTCCACGGCACGGCAGTAGAGCACCACTCACCTCTTGGCATAATGGTACAAACCCCTCATCTCGTCGCCTTTACTCAGCAACGCCAAATGATGATGCAACCGCCCCGTCCCCGGAGCCTCAGCGATACCCTGACCATACCAATCGCGCGCCATGACGCGCCACGTCTCTTGTTCCTCCAGATCCCAATCGTTGAGAGCGGGGACACCAATACTCGCCACTTCAATGGGTCGCGCGTCGCTCGAGTCGAATTTCGGCGAGGCGGGAAGGGTCAAACTCGTGCCATTCGTATTCGCAGAGGACTGGGCGGCGGCTGCCGAAACTCGGGATGCGAGACCGGCGACGGCCATGCGATATCGAGCCAGGTCGCCGAGTTGCTCGATCCAGGCCGAGCGGAAAGCGCTGACGGTCGGGTCCTCGAACAGTTGCGAATAATAGCCATAGGCGTACTGGATGAACTCGACGAGGTGTTCCATCACGTTCGCTTCCGTGTTGCTGGATGGCGTATTTGAAGAAGAGGGAGGACTGGCCAGCACGGCGTGGCGCATTCGCTCAAGCAGTTGGTGGAACGCCGTTTGCCACAGCCGAGTCGGAATGTTGTACTTTTGCGGTAGCGAATGCAAGGAAGCAGGCAGGTGAGGGTCCAAAGCCATTTGCAAGAACGAATAATGAGCGTCTGCGAGTCTGCAAATATAAGAGAAATTACTTGAATCAGCTTTGGAGAAACGGGAACCAAATGCAGATCACCAGGACTCACTGCTTGTGACCCGAAGCCAGCTTGACCCAATACTCGTCATCAAACTTCCTCCCTTGGCCCTTGATGCGCACCCCAGGCTGATGATGCGGACTCGCTTCGTCCTCGCGCTGCATCGCCGCCAACGCGGCCTTATTCTCGTCCTGCATCTTCGTCTCAAGCTCGACGATCTCCCTGTACGCGCGCTTGAGCTGAGCGACGATCGGGTTCTCCGAAGGTGCGGCCGGTGGTGCAGGTGCCTCTTCGGGCGCCGAGGCGCTCGCAGCCGCCGTTTCATTGGCGGTCTGGTCCGCATTCGTTTGCGATGCAGTTGAGCTGGCGACCGAGACGAGGCTCCTCGAATCGGTGGCCCTAACGGCGTTCTTTCTCGACGAAGCGCTCGGCCCTCCTCCACCTCCTCCGGCAGCTCCAGCTCCCTGCGCGAACTTGACGGGATCGTCCCTGCGAGGGTCGAACAACTGTCTCGAAGAGCCCGTACCCGGTGCATTCGAAGTCGGGGTCGCTGGAATGGTGCCTAGACTGGATGTGCTTCCCACGGGGTTCAGCAAATCGCCGTCGTCCCCTCCACCTCGTCGCTTGCCCGAGCCGCGAACGTCGTCCCTCCGACTTCGCCTGGGTCTTCCCCCTTCCTTGGACGCCCTGCTTGCTGACCTAGCTCCGCTGGTAACGCTGTCCTCGGATTCGATGCTGTCCTTGCTCTCCCCCATGACCCTGCGCCCCAAGTCGAGCGGATCGACGACGTCCCTCTTGCTCCTCTGCTTGCGCGAGGCCGAGGCCGAGGTCGTCGAAGCCGCGGTCCCGAGGGAGGTCGTCGAGGCGATACGATCGTCCCCCCTCCGTCTCGCTGTGTTCGAAGTAGTCGAGGACGAAGGAACGGGTTCGTTGGGTGCATCGGGGTTGAACAAGTTGCGCGCCGCAGAGGAGGTGGGGCCCCGGGAGGGCGTGCCTCGATCAAAGTCGGCGTCGTACTTGGGCTCGTGGTGGTGGTGCGGCTGCGGCTGCGGCTGCGACGGGTGATGCTGGTTGTGATGGTCCCGTTTTGAACGATGGGAAGGTCCAGGAGCCGGAGCCGAGCAAGAAGAAGCGGTGGGGAGTACCGGCAAGGAGACGTGCGAGCCTACGGGTCGAGACTGGCGCTCCGAGTGGGGGTTGGGGTGGTGGTGAGGGTGGGTATACGCCGCGGATGGGTGAAGAGACGAGTGGTTCAGATTCGAAGAGGACGAAGAGGGAAGATGATGAAACTGTTGGTGGTGGTGGTGGTGCGGGATGTGGTGCGGATGCTGCGAGCCCGGCTGGGCGAACTTGGCGCCTGCGGAGTGACGGTGGAACGCTGCTCCGAGAGGCGGCGGAGGCAGCGACGGATTGTTCGAGTACGAGTGCAGCGACGACATGGTCGTGGACGGACTGGCGGGCATTTCGAACGATCCCAGTGATGCGGTCGACGAGTGGGGTCTGAGCAACAGCGACTGAGCCGAAAAGGACGCCCCCGTGCCGACGCTCGCATTCGGGCTGGCTAGCGCCGTCCGTCGCGAAACCGCAGCACCCGCGAGACTCGGAAGCCCATTACTCCCATTCGAGTTGACATTCCTCGGCGAGCCTTTCATATTGCGATCCACGGTCGGCTTGGGTCTCGAGGAGGAGAAGGCAGAGTGCTCGTCACGCTGTGCCTGGTGTTGGTTGTGGTTCCTGTGGGTCGCACCAGCGGCACCCCCTCCTCTGAGCCAGTGATCGGCGACGGCGACGACGGCCTTTGCTGCGCGTCTCCTAGGTCCTGTACCACCCGCTTGCGACGATGATGTTGGTGTCAAGTCGACAGCATATTGCGTCATCGATGGTTGGCCATACTCGTTCGAGTGGGGATGCTGGGTGGGCTGGTTCGAGCGCAGTGGTCCCGGTGGTGGAGGTGGTGCTGCTGCTGCTGCTGCTGCTGCTTGCGTGGCGCATTCGAATGGCACGGCATTGACCGACAGGCCACCGACCGCGTTCGCAGACACGTTCGCCATCCTTGATCTGGACGTCGGGGAGGGACGTTTCACCGCTGCATCACCTTTGGGTCGTGTTGACGTTCGAGCCGAATCGGATAAAAGAGAGCGCGCAGTGGATGACGCGCAAGAGCAAAACGGAGCTCAGCGCGAGACGGGGGAAGTTACTTCGGACCCGAGCGCTCGAGCTAGCTCGAGCTCGCACACATACATGCACACACACACACAAGTCAGCCGCGCCCCAAGTCAGCGGCTGTCGCGCTGTCCCCCGGCCCTGGGCAGCCCAGCAACCGGCTGTCTGTCAGGCGCGCGTGCGCTTTCGTGCCGTCGCCACTTCGTTTCCTGAGCTGGCTTGCCCTCGCATCGCCCAAGTGCCCACTCTGCCGGTCCCATCCTCCCATGCGCAGCACCGCGTTGTCACGCCTTGCCCGCTGCCGAGCGAGTCAATTGCCCTCCGTTTAGAGTTCTCCCTTGAATCGTAGGCTGTCGTGCTAAGATACGCGTAGCTCTTGTGCGAATCACTGAACTATAAGTGCCTAAACTCTGACATTAGGTACTGTCCATTTTGTTCGATTCCAACCGACCACGGCCAGCAATTGAATGTAGCTCGCCCCCCGCCTCGCTTGCGCGGAGTCCACCTTCCACCGGGACCGGCGCTGATCAGCCTGATCTTGAGGCGGTCCAATGCCGCAAGTCGTGCACCTCTTCAAGAGCTTCTTTAGCCATGCTGCAGTATATTTGAAGCTCACGCAAAACGACTTTCATTGTCTGGAAAAAAAAGGCTCTTGGCACGCACCGCCGGCCAGGGTCGGAGGAGCGCGATGCGTTCTCGATCCGCAGCAACTCCAAATCAATTCTCCACTGCTGTCGGGGCTGCGCTGTGAAGAATCTCTGCGCTCTATCTCATCCCGTTACGTTGACCAAAAGCGGTAGTCAGCATTCCCAGTCATGGCATTGCATCTCGGCAAAAGCCGGTCACCCGAGACGTCAGTGACGTCGACTCCAGCGCTGGCTGCGGACTGCCAGAACTCGACCGTCCCGCTGTGCGAGCGGCACCATCGAACCGAGATATCGGACCACTTGGAGGGATGACAGCCAGGTCTCGATGTTGATTCAGGCGCAATCTTACTGGATCAAGCACACCTCACGGGACAATGGATGCAGCTCCAAGAAAGGAAGTCAGCGTGACGTGCCGAGGCCCGAGTCTGAGGCTTCGAACGTGCCTTGATGGAGCCCCACATGAAGCTGTCTCAGCTCATCCTAACAGGGCACTGGAATAGCAGCACTTTCTCCCATGCTATTGCACCTAAACCGCTCTTCAAAACCTTGCAATGCAGACTGATCAATCTCCATCACTTCCAACTCCCCCAAGCAGCAGAGTAGGTACGAACAAGGCCCGATATCGGGAGCTCATCGATCGCGTGCGGCCTTCGGGCTCCGGGGATCTGCGATTGCGTTTCGGTCCCTTCGCCTCCACGTGGTTTGATTAGGACCCATCGTGGATCCCAACGCGCTTTCTGCTCTCTTCTTTTCTCCTTCAAGTAATCCAACCTCGCGCACATTGGACCCCATCTCACCATCCACCACCATGCCCTCAACTTTCCCCACCTCCTCAGCATCAAGCTTCCCCGGGCCTTTTCGAATCGCCATCATCGGCCTAGGCGGCATCGGTTCAACCTTTGCCTTCCATCTCTCCTCCAAAGGACACCATGAGATCACCGCCATCGTCCGTCCCAAATCAAAGCGCTACGACCAACTTTCCACTTCTAAAGCCATACTCACTACGTCCAAAGAATCAGCTCCCTTGAGTTCAGTGGAGCAGGCTCTAGATCCGACGATCGAGTACGATCTCGTCATCGTCACTTTATTGGCTCATCAAGTCCAAGGAGACGTACTTGAGGCTCTACGACGATCCAAAGCTAAAGGAATTCTGTTCATGTTCAACCAAGTCGATCCCGAAGGATTATCACGCGCCGTACTACTCGAACCGACCTCGGACAACTCCTCTTCAAACCCGTCCTCCGCACCTCGTATCCTCGCCTTCGGCATGCCCTTCGTCCAAGGCTTTCTCCTCCCCAGCGGCGAACTCAGCCACAAGCTCGGGGCAATGGGCGCCCAATCTCTCCTCTCCCACCCCCCCTACGTAACCCTCTTCAACGCCTGCTCCCTTCCCGCCTCCCACGAACCTCAAATGAAGCGATGGCTCGAATCCCACGTCCCTCTTTGTATCGCCTTCGAATCAATCTCGTACAAAGCCATGTCGAACAATCCACCCAAAGGAACTGGAGCGACTTGGGCTCAGGCGAAGCTTGTAGCGAAAGGGACGAGAGCCAGCTTTCGCCTCGTCGAAACCGTTCATGGGAGGCCGATTTATCCCAGCGGGAAGAGATGGTTCTCCTTTGCGCCGGTTTGGTGCATGGCAGGTGTGTTCTGGGGGATGTCGAGGATTCCTAGTGTTAGGGAACTGTTGGCTATGGGCGTGGAGGAGAGCAGGCGGTTGGTCGATGAATTGGTTGAGAGGGGGGAAAAGGAGGGGAAGGAGGAGTTGTTGAGCGCTGTGAGGGCGATGAGGGCCTAGAAGAATTCTTGAACTGGGAAAATCGCTCTCTGTTCGTCTTGAGTGAAGTTTACAAGTGTTGCATATCAATGTTCTTTCGAAATCGGGCAGAAGGTCCGTCAGGAGACGATATTGTGATGTGATTCCTCTCTCTTCCAGACCAGCACACAATGTGTCTCCTTAATCCATCCTAGCCTTTAACCACCTCTGCGTGACCTTGTCCTACATCATGCGCAAGCCAAACCAAGTATCAGTGAACCATTCTCTCGTCACAAGCCCCTCTCTCTTCGCAAGTGATCAAAAGCAGACGCACCTTCTCAATCAACCACACCTTGGCCCCCCACCCGGAATAAGCATCGCGGTCGATCGCGTTCAACAACGTCTGCGAAATCGTCTCGAACAAATCCTCGACCTCCAACTCGGGTTCCCACAGGCTCTCGGCCATGCCGAACAGCTTTTCGGACGCCGTGCCGGCGACGACAAAGTCCTTTGGAGTTTCGTGGGCGGGAGAGGGGTTTGTCAGCATGGCCGAGGGGTGGATGCAAAAATGGGGAAGTGATCATGAAGTACCTTTGCAAAGTTGATGCACCCGATCAAGTCCATGGCGCAGATGAAGGGCTTGTCCTCGGCATCGAGGCCTGGTGGGAGGGAGGCAACGCGAGGGGGAAATCAGTGCTAGGTTGCATCTGCCCGATCCGCATCTCGTTGGCTTGCTCACCTGCGATGACGGGTTCGATAAAGAAGGGCCCAAATCTGTGCATCGGGTACACCGTTACGCGGTCGTGAGCACACTTGCACCACACCGCATAGTCGTACCCCACCTCCCCCTCCTGCTCCCCCTCCTCACCGTCACGTATCGGCTGCAACCGTTCCCTTCTAACTCACCTCCGCTCGTACAAGGTCGAGCTAACCAAATGCGCGAACGTCTGGGGTTCGATTGTCCTCTCTTCCTTCATCGTGTAGAGGTTGATCCTCTGACGCAGCTTGTCCCGTACGGTGAACGTATCCGACGCCAAGCCGGGCAGACCAAAGTAGGTCTTTTCGGTCGCTGCAAAGACCTGGGGGCGGAGATCAAGGTGGGGTTGTTAGTTTCCGATCGAGAGCGAGGGGAGAGGGTGTTCACAGGGTACCTTTTCGTGGTTGCAGGCGATGGTCAGGGCTTGATTCCCGAGTCGGAGGTCGCACGCGATCGCGACGCAGTCCTTGCCGACCATGGCCAGGCACGAGCCCTAGGGGAACAGATCAAAAGTCGGTCAACATGACGTGAAGATGAGTAGGCGTGGGGGTTTGCAAGAACGAAGCGTGGAAGCAAATGAGGGACGTCGAGTGGGGGATGACGAAGCTCCCCTCCCTCCCCCGCTCCTGCTCGTCCTCTTTGCTGCCCTCAGTGCCCGTTATCACAGCTCGAGCAGATACTTACGCCGTTCAGTTCCATCGCACTCTGTTCAGAATATCCAACGCAAGGACCGGTCAGTAAGGCTCCTGCGGATGACGAGGCGCAAAGTGACGTGGACCACTGCACTGACCATGATGAACGAGGGCTTGGGAGCGGGTGCGAGACGAGCTTAAGAGGTGAAAGAGCAGGAGAGTGGGGTGGTCTTGAGGTGGTTCGCTAAAGGGCGTAGGGCAACCTGGTCGTGCGATGGGATCGGGTGAACACAGACCGCACGAGAGATGGATTCGACGGCTGCCAAGTGGCCACGGCGACGCGCGTCGATTTCACGTCGGCCGCTCGGACCCCGTCTCAAGAGTCGAACTCGGTACTCAGGGCACTCTCCGACCGCACTAGTCCTCAACACCGGCGAAGAAGGAGGGAAAATAATACGGGCACTTTACACAGCATTCTTACAAACTCAAATACAAGAGTTACCACTACGTTCTCCCCTCTATAAACGGCTCTCATCACCGAGCCCTTCTCAGCGTTCACAATCCGATCATCCCAGAGCCGAATACCCTGACCGAGTCGAGCCTCGCCCTGCATGGCAAAGACATTTGACCCAGAGTCAGCGAAGAGCTCTTCAGACTCTACATCCCACGCTGCTGAGTACTCACCCTTGAACAAATCCCCAACGACATAGGGCAAATCCCGCCAGACATCTCGGTGAGGGATCGCGTCCCTGTGCGACGACCCAAGCGCGACCCAGCTTAGCTCGCGTGCACTCGAAAATGATTCACAAACGGGAATTCACTCAACGAGCAAACTCACCACCCGGTCGCTCCGTATTGGGTGTAGTTGTTCCATGTTCCGAGGGCGAAGTAGGCCATCGTACCGAGGAAGAACCTGCGAGCAAAAGATCAGATTCGATCACTCAGCTTCCATGGCCCCGCCAGTCTTCCTCTCACTCGCTACTAGCCCGAACACACAATGTAAAGATCCACCCAAACCACCCCATCCTATCCTTGGGCGGCGGTGCAGACCCAGGAGGTGGGGTCGAACCGGGAGCATCCTTCCCGTCGCCCGGTGTGGTCGAGCACGCTGCGTCGGTCGTCCATTTGAGGAACAAGAGTCCTTGCAGTGCATCGTACGCTTCAAAAGTGGGCGAGGTCTAACCGCAAGAGTTGAACTTTGGTCAGTGGTGATGATCGTGGGTCGCTTTCCGACTCTTTTTCTCACCCCCTCCAAGATTACGCTTACCTCCTTGGCCGCCGGATCGCAATGCATCTCGAACCTCGCCGTCTGTTTGACCCCATTATACTCCCCACCCCTCATCAAAAGAATCCATCCCTTGTCTGTATTCGTTTCCCCCTGCAAGAACTCGTAGGCAAGCGGTTCGTTCGCTTTGGCGATGGGAATGACGGAGAGGATGACGTCGTCGTGGGAGGGGCGGAGGGCACGGGCGATGGTGCATATCGAGGTGTCGGGCGGACAGCTATCACCTTCTTGGGCGGGTGGATTGGATGGGGGTAGAGCACCGCAGATGGAGATCGAGTAGGTCGTCTGCGGGTGGGAATGAGCGTTAGTGATGAGAAGCGGATGGAGGCGGTGGACGGAGGGGGCCGCTAACCTTTGTGGTGGTAGGGGGTGTTGGGACCGAGCTCTCGAAGGTCCGTTCTCCCGAGAGCTGTAGACCGAATGAACGGGGTCAATCGTGTCGCCTCGGCCAGCGCGTGACATGGGACTGACCGTGGAGAGATCGAACCGATCGGTCCCTAGTTGCAGGGGGCTGTGGCAGTCGGGCACCTGTTGAGCCGCGTGGGATACGCTTGCCAGCAGCGAGACGATGAGCGCAAAGGGTAGCATCTCCACGGGCAAAGTGGCGAGCGGCGGCAGGCAGGCAGGCACAAGTACAAGGGCTACTGAAGGCAAGAGATGGCCAGCGCAGGCCACGCCAGCCTGGCCCACGAGCTTCGATCGATCGATCACCGCCCGAGCCGAGTTCAGCCTGCTGAGCCAGTCCGAAATGCCCGAAATGGGCCATCATCATTGGCGCAGCCTGCCCAGGAGGGCGCAGGGCTCCAGCAGGCTCCAGCGGCGCTTCGGTCGTGAATTCGTGCTTGGCAAGCTCTCCTAGGCTCTCCTTCGTCGATGACTTTGGAGTCCGTCTAGCCCGGATTCGATCTTCTTTCATCTTTGCTACCTTCCGATCACGTGGTCCGACGGTTTCGCCCAGTCGGACATAGTACTCGACCGCCGCAGAAGCAGCCTGGCAGCTGAGCGCTGATCCGTGACACCCTCCCGTGACGATCACCGCGGACTTTGTGGGGCCATTCGCCAGAAACCGACCGACGAACCTCGTCACTCCAATCGCGGAGAGGGAATAGCCGGGTCGATTGACCTGGACCACACGCTGCACCGTTATTCTCTGGCACACAGGACCTCCACCACCGTCGCTCGGGCTGGCTGGCTGGCTTCGAAGAACATGCGCGCCTCCACCTCTGCCAACACCTCGAGCTCGACCTCCAACTCGACTGCGGCGACTACTTCCACCGCAGCGGCTTCTACCAACGGCCCGCTCGCCTCACTGGGCGCACCCAACACATCAACTCAACAACAACAAGCTGCAGACTTTCTCCTGCGAGCCCAACAGGGTCTGCTCACGTTGATCCACAAAGGGAACCTCGATGCGCGTCCGTCAAGGCAGACGATCCCCCCACCCAAAGTTGGATCGTGCACGCCCTGTCGCGAAGCCAAGGCTAAATGCTCGGGGGGCCAAGTGTGCTCGAGATGCATGAGCAATGGTTTGGCCAGCAGTTGCGAGTACCCCGTATTCAACAAGAGGGGGAGGAAGAGGGTTATGACTGCGTGAGTTTGGTTTGGCCAGTCGGCGAGCTCCCCGAAAGGAGCTTCTATCATCGGCATCCGCTCACCTTTGAATCCCACGTGATCCATCCACAGCAACATGATCCTCCTCGAATCCATTCATCGTGACATCCAAGCGACTCAAGCACTCCTCGATACCGCAGCCAAATCGCCGGCTCATTCGCACCCCGGAACCCTCGAAGCTCGTCGCGACTCGGGGCTCCACTCGATTCAGAACGATCGACCGCGACGATCCTCTTCGCTTTTGGGCGGCGGTGGCTCGAGCGACGGTGGGCTCATGGACGACGACACGGACCAGTCCCATGGTCATGAGGACCCGACTGATCGGGACGAACCTTTGGTGACGGTTATCGAGAGCCCACTAGCTATATTGGCACAGTAAGTCCGGACAAATACGTGCTACATGACAATTTCACTAAGCACTCCCCTTGCCCACTGCCAGCATGGCGAGCATCAAGATTTCCGGGACATGCGAGGCCGATACGGGGACGAGTTCGGCGACGTTGGAAAAGCCCAAGGATGAAACACCTGCAGCCTCTTACTTCGCCACTGGTCAGTCCGCGCTCACACTCGCTCTGCTACAGACCTCGCCCCCGACTCCTGACCCATTCCTCTGCTCGCAGGTTTCTATCAAGCCCGAACGGACCGCGACCCACTCGTCGACCCCGTCAACCTCGGTCTTCTAACCGAATCAGAATTCAACCTTCTCGTCAACTATTACTTTGACCACCTCCACGCCTTTGCCCTCCACCTCTGTCGCGAGATCCACACCCCTCAATTCATCCGCGACGTATCGCCCTTCCTCGCGACCGCCTTGGTTTATACCGTTTCGGCTTTCGTACCTACGTTGTCCCATCTCTCGTCATCACTCGAGACGCATGCGCTTTATCTGTCGGAGAGGATCTTTGCGCAGGGATACAAGACCCTCGAGATCGTGCAAGCTTACTGTCTGCTCTCCACCTGGTCCCCTATCGAACCCAACTGGGGCGACGATCGACGATGGTCCTGGATAGGTCAAGCGATCCGAATCGCGACCGAGATTCGGTTGGACAAACCTCTGACGTTGAGCATGCATGAGTTCTATAAGAGTGTTGGGAGGCCCGAGTTGGAGTTGGGGAAGTTGAGCGAGGATAGGGCGAGGAGTTGGACGTTGTTGTTCGTGGCGGAGACGGCGTGAGTCTCTTTCTTGATTTCTTGGAGCGAGGAGCAAATGCTGACAATCCGGCTACCTCCGCCTGCTAGATTATGTGTTTCCACCGGTCGTCTAGGAGCGATCCAAGGACCGCACCTGACCATGTCCTTCCGCTCCCAAGTCCCCTCCGTCGAAGCCAACGATCCGCGCTACACTGTCTGCGCAATGGAACACCTCCACCACATCTACGCCAAGGCGTTGGCATTAGCTTGGGTGCTCAAGGATGAAGCGACCAAGGGGGATCAAGGGTCGAGATTGAGGGATACGTTCAATGAGAGTTGGAAGAGTGAGATGAAGGAGTGGGAAAGGCGGTGGCCGCATGCCAGTAAGACTTGACCAAGAGGGGTCTCGATGAACTTCTCAAAAATTGCTGATGCGCAGGAGCTTGCTTTCTCCATATAGATGGCTATGTCCGATTGACATATCGACACAACTATACGATTCTCCTCTCCATCTCCCTTCGATTCAAAGGGGGCCCAACGCGACAGATTTTCGAGGAATGTCGTGCCTCGGGTTTGGAGACCGTGCGGATCGCGACGCAATGGCAAGGTGATTCGCTCATGTACGCCAACAACTTTATCTGCGTCAACATCGCCTATGCTGCGACCTTGGTCGTTCGAATAGAGGGTATTTTGGAGGCGACGGGTTCGTTGGACACGGAAGGGAGGAGGGTGTGCAAGACCGCTGCGGATCTGTTGTTCGGTATGGGGAGGATGAGGCCTACGAAACGGACGTTGCATAACCTGCATGCGACGAGGTTGATGACCCTCTTGGAGGCGACGCAACCCACGAATCATGCTTTTGAATTCGAGCCGAATCCGATGATGCAGAATCAATACGGGATGCACTCGACCGGAACGATTGCGGCACCTCCGATCTTGCATGCCGATCCTGTGCAACTTGCTCATGCGTACCTTCACTTCGGAGGCGGTCCGGACCATCATCACCACCACCAAGCAAGCCACCTTCATCTCAACCATCGGTCCTCCCCACCGACTGGAACAGGAACAGGCACTCCACCTTCCTTCCCCTCTCCACCCTCCCTCACCCACCAAGTCTTCATCGACCAAGCAGGCCCAACCACAACGACGACCGCAGAGGATCTTTTCTCCGCGGACCCGCTCCTCTCCTCCTCCATGATCCCAGCAGCGATGAATTGGGATCTATTGACGATGGGTATTGGGATCGGTTTGCCGAATGAGACGAGTCCGGGGTTGTCCGGTTCGGATTGGTTGTATTCGATGGATCTGTCGACTCATGCGGGGGAGGGGTAGGGGGTGTCCTGAGCGCGTTAATTACTGATCGGATCGGTATCATTTTGAGCTGTCTCTTAGGATGGTCTTCACTCTTTGCGCTGTTGCTATAGTATGTTTTAAATTTCGAGAAGCTCAAAATGCATTCCATCAAGCTTTTGGGCACTCTGACCCATCAGAGCTGGACACCCACCCACCTGCACAAACGAGCTCATTTTGCTTTCCTCAGCGTCACCGATATCATGAGGTCAAAGATCAAACTGCTCTACTCTTACAACTGCATCAAAAACATAGGATCGCTAAGCCAAAAGCATGAGTTCACTGGCCCAAACTGGTTATTGGCTGAAGCCTGATGATGCTCAGATTGATAAAGCGAGCGCGGCCCCCCGGCCCTTGTACCCCGGGGAATCTCACCCGCGATTTCGACACCGCCCATTTTGCGCGTGGGCATACAAGTGGGGTTGACGTGCGGAGCACGTCAGATTGCGGGTTGGTTGAGTTTCTTCCATTAACTACATCTACCTCTTGGTTAGCAAATAGCTTTGGACGGTATGCCTCACCAACGACACTGGTGGAAAGAAGGGGTCGTGTATCAGGTGAGTGACCTCCCCGCTTCCTGCAGTGGACCCCCACTCGCTTGATGAGTCGTGTCGGATCGATCAAGAGTTCGCCTGGGGCTTGGGTCCTATCCTTCCTCTCAAGTCAACGCAATTTTGAGTGTATCCTCAGTGCACCTGCATTATTCGTCTCCTCTCATTTGCCAGTAACCCTGCGTACCAACGCACCTGAACCCCCGCCGCTCACCCGCCGCTCATCCCATGACTGTCTTCCCCTCTCACTCCCGCGTGCCAGATTTACCCCCGTTCCTTCCTCGACAGCAACGGCGATGGAGAAGGTGACATCCCCGGCATCACCGCCAAACTAGACTACCTCAAACACTTGGGTGTTGACATCTTGTGGATCAGTCCTTTCTTCGAGTCGTACGTCACTCCTTCCCGCCGAAGATTTTCTCCCGCCTGGAGTTTGGGATCCTCGAAGATTCTTCCTCTCGAGTTTGGCCGCGAAGCGAGAAGTTGACTTTGGTCAATATGACTCGGTTTCAATTATTCCCCAGTCCTCAGAAGGATAACGGATACGATATCAGCGATTTCAAGAACGTGCACGCCCCTTTCGGCACCGTGGCCGACGTTGAGGATCTCATCAAAGGCTGTCACGATCGAGGGATGAAGATGTGAGGTGGAAGGGACACGTTCATATGTGTGACCATCGTCAAAGGCTGATACAACTCTCTCCAAAACTAGCCTCTTTGACCTCGTGATTAATCACACCTCGTCCGAACACGAATGGTTCCGACAAAGTCGCTCGAGCAAGACCAACCCCTACCGCGATTACTACATTTGGAGACCGGCCAAGTATATTGATGGCGTTCGACACCCTCCCAACAACTGGAGGGCAGTTTTCGGAGGTAGTTGTTGGGAATGGGATGAAGTGACCGAAGAGGTAGGTTACACCTTTTGGATGGCCGAAAAAATATAACCTACCCGAACACGTTCGGCGTGATCCGAGACTGATGCCCCTTCGTGCTACTTTATATCAGTACTACCTCCATTACTACGTCAAGGAACAACCTGACGTCAACTGGGAGAATCCCAAACTCCGCCAGGCCTTGTACGACGACGCGATCAAGTTCTGGCTCGACAAAGGCTGCGATGGTTTCCGCGTGGATACGTGCAACAAGGTAGATACTGCAGTTTAGCCGCCTTTATTTAGCGGCTGATTTGGCATGTAACTTTTTTCCCTGCAGTATTCCAAATTCACCGACTTCCCGGACGCCGAGGTGATCGAACCGGATGCGCCTTATCAGAACGCCATCAAGTTTCTCACCAACGGTCCGAGGCTCCACGAGTTCCTTCGCGAGATGTACGATGAGACGTACGCCAAATACGAGTAGGTCCTACCAGAGCAGGTTTCTACCCAGGAAGAAAGAAAGCTGCTGAGTCGAGTCCTTCCTCGTGCTGTCCTAAGCTGCATGACAATCGGTGAACTCGGCTCGACGCCCCTAATCCAAGACGTGCTCAAGTTCGTCGCGGCCAAAGAACGCAAGTTCAACATGGTGATCCAATTCGAGCTCTCGCGCCTTGATCACGGCCCCGCAGGTTCGCGCTTCCACCTCATGACCCACGAGTGGAAGTTATCCCAATTCAAGGAGATCACGGCGAGGTATCAGCGGTTGACGGAGTGTCAGTTCGATGCGTGGGGGGTCACGTATTTGGAGAATCATGATCAGGGGAGGAGTGTGCCGAGGTATGGCTCGGACAAGCCGGAACATCGGGTCAACTCAGCCAAAATGTTGGCCACGTTCTTGTTGACCGTTTCGGGGACGCCGATCATGTACCAAGGAGGTGAGTCGTACCCTGAAAGCAGCAAGGTTTTCGTGTGGAAGTTGAGCCCCGTCATGTCACGCAGAGGAGCTCGGTATGATAAACTGTCCCAAGGAATGGGAGATCGAAGATGAATACAAGGACGTCGCGACGATCAACCAATGGGCCGAAATGAAAGCCACCGCCGCAGCAACGAACGATACGAAGCTGCTCGTCGACGGCAAACGAGGGATCCAGCAAACCGCTCGGGATCATGCCCGAACGCCGATGCAATGGAACGACGACAAGAACGCGGGTTTCTCGACAGCCGAGAACACGTGGATGCGAGCTATGGATTCGTATAAAGAGATCAACGTCGCTAAGCAACAAGGAGTCGACTCGTCGCCTCTGGAACATTATCGTCGCTTGCTCGCGCTAAGGAAGGAGCACAAGGACGTCTTCGTCTATGGTCACTTCGAGCCTTCGATCGACGAAAACAACGATCATACTTATATCTACCTCAAGCGATCCGAGGACGGATCCAAGAAGACCGTCGTCGCGCTCAACTTCAGCGACCAGATACAGATCTTCCAAGCTCCGGAGGGATTGACGTTGATCGAGTCCCTTAAATTCGAGGATGGAGGTAGGAAAGGGGTCCTGGGACCGTTCGAGGCACAAGTTTATATGACATGAAAGAGAGCAAGAAGAAGTAAAGAACAAGGAGGGGGGTTGCAAATCATCATCAAGAAAAGGAGAACAGCTTCCTCGCCGAGGAGGGAGAGAGAAGCGTGGGCTACACTGAGTCGGGAAAAGGATCGTGAAACAAATGAGACAAGCGAAGAGCAATAATGAGGCGAGAGCTAACATAGAGTTTTGAAAGAGCAAGTGAAGGCACCGCAAAGGATGGAGAGGTAAAGATTTGAGGGCACAAATATGGAAGTAATCGAATAGCGGCGATCGAGGATGCAGTGAGGCACTCCGGATCGGTCGGCGTCGGGTCGATTTGGTAAATGATCATTCGGAGTGATATACGACGTGGGCGGCACCCAACCTGTGGTGGCGTGAATGGAATGCGAGATTCGAGGTTGAAGAGTAGATAGACGAGATGTATATGGACGAATGCAAGAAGGTATGGGTGGGGGTGAAATGCGAAGGATGCGTGAGGGTGTCGAAGCGCGGGAGATTGAGTCGATTATCAAAGGTCGAGGGACGAAAAGGCACTTTCGACTTCATCGACGAACTCGTGCGACTGGTGAAATCCGCGTTCTTTGCGAAGCGGACCATGAAGACCAAGATCGAAGGACTGAGCGAGACCGCGAGGTCGCTGGTGACCCAAACCCGAGCGAGCACTCGCATGGCCGCTACCGCTGGCGATGGCACCAAAGCCGCCCGAAGCGCTCGCGGAAGAGCCATGCGAAATCTTGGGAGCGACGTCGGAAGGGGAGGGGTGGTGACGTGCGACGGGGACCGCTGAACTGGTTGCACCCTCCGTTTGCGCGAAGCGAGACGCTGAAGACTTGGGGAATCCAGAGCCGGAGAACGCTGACGACGGACCTCCAAAGGTCGAGTTCGATGACGCGAACGGCGACGTTCGAGAGAGTGCACCCCAGCCGCGATGCGATGTCGTACTGCTGAACGAGGACGGGTTCGAACCAGGAGGGGGTGGCATGCCTTGACCTTGCGATTGGCTGGTCGGGAACGCAGACTCCGTGTTGGTCTGAAGTGACGAGGTCGGAGGGTAGAATCCAGGGTAGTCTTGGTCTGCAGAGCGGTATACGAACGAAGCCGCGTTGCGAAGAGGTGACTGGCCAGGGGCGCCATACGTCGTGGTACTGGGTGCTTCAAAGATAGACTTGATGTTGGGCGACGAAGCCGCAAGGCGCAATTTGTGATCGACGGTCGAGCTCAGATCTCTCACTGCATCGCTCCTCGAGGTGGCCAAGAGGTTGCTGTTAAAGAACGAGAACGAGTCGTTGAAAGCGTCGGGGCGAGGCCGCAACGAGCCGGGGTAAAGTTGGATCTTGCGCTGGACGAGGTACTCTTCGACCAGATCGCGAGCCGCAGGAAGGACCTCGATGTTGCTGCGATTGAGGTAGAAACGGATGATCGTCTCGTCACTTGCACCCGAGCGGTCAACCCACGGCATGATCGCGACGTTGAAGTTGCGCTTGATGTGTTCCGTCAACCCGACAAAGTCTTGCGAAAGAGTCAAGGCTGCCATCTCGGCGCTGTGGGGAATTCGGTACTCGCTTCGCCAGTCAAAGCAGGTCAAAGGTTAGGGCAAAGCTGGACACATAGGCTCGACCAAATGGACTCACGCTTCGAAGGGCACATGGTCAAGAATCATCTTGGCCGCGATGTGAATTTGCGCCTCAGGTCCAAAGATCGAAACGACATCGCTAGCCGTCTCCTTGTTCGGGAAACGGACCGTTGAGTTGGTTTTGGTCTCGATATCGTGGATGAAGATGCTCTTCTCGCCGAGGAGTGTTCGATGGTAGCGCCGCGGGATCGCCACCGTCTCCAAACAGAAATCCTTATCCTTGGGAGGGATCAACTCCATGACGGCTTGCTTGAGGTGCTCGAGGTTGAGCGCGTTCTTGGCCGGCGTACGTGCGATGACGTTGTCCTCGTTGTCGGCGTAGCCACCCAGAAGCGCAAATTCGTCGGCGTTGGAAAATTTAACATAGACACCGTATTTTTTCATGATGCGTTGGATGTTCTTACCGCCGACACCGATGATGCGCTTGTGATAGGCTTCGGGAACATGGAACGAGATCTCGGCCGGCAGCTCTTCTTGCAGCATCGTCAGGCCATGCAAGGCCGAAACGTCATGACCGGCGATATCAATGAGGAAGTTGTAGTCGTTGAACGTCTCGAACTTGATCTTGACGTTGGCGGACTTCATGATCTTGTTCAACTTGCCGTTCTTCTTGCCCGAGATGAACTCGCGGTGCTCGTTCGCGAGCTCAATCTGGAAGCGAACCTCATGATGGAACTGCTGGAGGACCACAAAAAAGCCGCGGAGTCAGCTAAGATCGCCGAATCATCTCTCTGCGTGCAGCTCACCTTCACAACGTCCGAGTCCAAGACAATCTGCACGGCCGCTCGGACCTCGGATTCGAGACCGTGGAACTCGAAGCAGTTGCTCTTGAAGACGACTTCGGCGCCTGAAACGACGGCGATGTGACGGAGGAAGGGCTGGATCTGTGCCGGATTGAGGGCCGGAGGAGCCATGAAGGCGTCGAAGGTGATTGGAAGGAGCCAGAACGAAGCGACGTAGAATTCGCAAGCCTGTACACGTTCAAGTGGGTCTCGTGAGCGACTTGCCTCTCAGATGTGCAGAGATTGCGAGAGCTCCGAAATGACTCACCAGGCCCATAATCGCGCGGATCGTGCGCTCAATGTGAACGCGGTGATCACCATACACCGAGATCATGCTCGCCTGACTGCCAATGGGAGGGAAGTTGATGAAGGTGCCGTTGTCGTGCATGATCTGCTTGAGGTCGTCCAGTCGAGCCGAGAGCATCCAGTCGACTTTGCGCGGCAGGATGGCCGTGTCACGCGAGATGACACACTTGCTCTGTGCGTAGCGGCGGCGCATGAAGAGTCAGCCTAGGGCATGCCGACTGCGCACGATGAATATCGGGCGCCGAAGCCACAGACCTTGTGCATGGAGATTTGGAACAGCAGGTCGCGAGCTCGTTGCACGCCAAAGAACTCTCCAGTGATGTGGACAACGTTCTGCTTCACCAAGAGACTCGGCACCCTCTGACCAATGACACCCGACAACGACGTAGGGAAGTAGATGTTGGTCGCTGTTTCCTCCTGGATCTGTTGGATGACGCAGCGTCTACGACCGGCGATGATGTTGTGTAGCTTGTAATCGATCTCGCACATCTCATGGTGAAGTCCGCCCTGGGTCATTGTCCATATTGAAAAAGAGATCAATGAACTGATCACAGCTGCAGATGCGTTGGCTCAATACTCACCAGCTCATCCAGAAGCACAAGCAGCTTCACCCTTGCATGCTCGACACTCTCGAAAGTGCCCGTGATGACGATCTCTACATTGCGCTCGGCTTCGAGGCCGAAGCCGATGCTGTTGGCCGCGTGGCCAACGATAGCCAGGTGGGCACGGGTGACCGAGGCGATCTCGTCGAGTCGGCGTCGCATTTCGGTCTTGACGTTCTCCTTGCCATCGAGAACCTCGGAGCGCGGCACCTTGACGATCGACTTGCGCTGCGGTGAGAAAATATCGAGGGGACTGTCAGCTCGAGAGAACTGCGAGGGTACAGCTTCATCGACAGTCATGACTCACTTTGAAGGGACTGTCTCGCAAGAGGTTGCCGCGTGCGCTCATGACGTGCTGATAATCACCACTGACGTGGAAGTTGTACTTGCAGATCGCTGCATTCGTCGGATCTGCGAGCGCAGCAAGCGCTGGCCAAGATGGATCGTCCAATGGGGTGAAGGAGACGAGGCACTGGTTGGCGGTCATCGCATCAACGCAGAGCTTTTGCATGGCTTCGTTCAGATCGGTCGAATTGGCTCGAGTCATCGAGAGTGCCGAAGAGGACGAGGCCGATCGAACGAGACGGACCGAGCTCGAATCGCCGCAAGACGTGCCGAAAGGCCCGTTCGTCGCTGTTGTCTCTGTCAGAATCGAAGAAGCTGCTGTCGAGCTCCTCCTCATCGATGGGCCGCCTCCACCTTCGCTTGACGTCGACTCGGCCGCGGTGCCATCGGACGACGACGAGAGCGACGTGCGGGGGTTGTGCGACGACGAAGATTTGGACAGGGAGGGCTGCGAGTTAGTTGGGAGCGGCCCGCCGGGACGTTCCTCGGAGAGAAGCGGCGATCTTTGCACGATGGAGCTGACAGTACGACGGTGTGACGCAGCACTGGTGTTGTTGGAGCTGGTCGGAAGTTGCGCGCGAGCCTGGGGGCCCCCGGTATGGTGATTCAAATCCGTATCGAATGAGGCCGACGGCGAATGCGACAGAATCTGCGCTTGGGCTTGGTGGTGGAGCCCCTGCTGGGGTAGATTGAAGCAGGTAGTGTAGATATCCTGTAGATTGAAAGGCGTTCTTCGAAGATCAGTTTATGCCCTAGTCCGAGCCAGGCCCGGAGATCTTGACGCAGTCATGGAAGGGACGGACGCCCCCGACCAACCAACCGCACGCGGCCGGACGCGCTGCATGCACCGCGGCACGCGCGCGCGTTGGCCTGCACACGCGCCGGCGCTCAGGAAAGCGGTGACGACGTGAATCGGAGCTGTGACATAAGGACTGACCATGATGGCGGCGGCGGGTTGCCAGGAAGGATGCGGAATCAGGACGGCTACACTGGTATGGGTCCACGTCAACACAAGTGGGTGCTGGACGGGGTCGATATGGTCGGATGGCAAGGGGAGGTGGAGTGCAGAGCCTATTTATAATCGGACGTTTGTCGAGGAAGGCGTCAATCGTCGTCGTCGTGTCGTCGTTGTCGTCGTGGCGTCGGTCGCACCGATCGAGTGCCGTGCGCCTAACGGAAAGGAGGTCGGATAGCTGCGCCGCACGGATCCGAAGCACTCGTTGTGCACCTCGAGAAGAAGGACCACACGATCGACCGTCTGCGAATGTAGCGCCGTTCTGAGTGCCCCCCTCTTTTGTGGTGTGGGGGTTCCTCAATCGGACCCGGCGCAGCGGCTCGCAGCGGTCGAGTCGAGGCGAGTCGCTCCGGACCCTTCGAAGGCGGTCTCGGGTTGGCGCGTCGGCAGCCTGTGGCAGCTCGGTCGTCGGTCGTCGGTCGTCGGTCGCACTCGCCGTCACTGATGTCTTGTCGAACACGCCGACAGGGAGCAGAGATGACGACCAGACTCGGTCGAGAAGAAGCAAGGATCTTTGGTGCGAAGGGTATCACGGTCCGGCCGAGTTAGGGGAAGCAACACAGGGGGGTCAGGGGCAGAGTGCAAGTGATAGAATCACGAAGCGAGACACGACCCGTCGACTGAGCTCGAAGGAGCCCGCGCCGGTCCCGGGCGCCCAGGGCTAACTGAAATGCCGCATTTGGGTCCTCGATCAACTTAATTTCCGTGAATTTAGCAATGCAGAATCAACTTGTCAGACTGATTTCCGACAGGCTTCAGTGCATGCTTGGTCGGTGACACAGGTTCAGGACGCCAACTTGCCAGTAGTCTCACAAAGGCTAATAAAGTAGCGCTCGGCGTTTTCCAAGTGGGGGTACGTGTCACGACAGAAGGCTCGCGGACTTCGGGATCTGCTTACATAACCATCAGTGTGACGCACTCGCTACTCAAAGTATTATCGTATGCACTCATTGAAAGATCAAATCTCCTATCAGTCTTTTTGATCCCAACTCTACACCAATTCATCACGTAGCGCTCCGCGCATATTGGCTCGGAGCCAACTATTTTTGAATTGGATCAGCCTCTCGGACGACGTGCATTGCATAAGTTCGACTTCACCACCGGGTTGTAGCAAGAATTAAGTCGTCGTGATGTCGAGTAGGGTCTTGATCTTGCAAGTCTCAATGAAGTAGGGGCTACTACGCGGCGGAATTCTGGTTCAATTTCAGCTCACGCGGGTGCCGTCTCTCTCTCGAAGAAGATGGAGTCATAACCATACGAAGGTGACAAGATTTAAATCGCAACGACATCTGCACGATCGTTTTCCCAGTCGAGCATCGTTAAGCTGCGGAGCTGCGCATCTGTATCCTATCCGTTGCAAGGATTGCGAGTCGAGCAAATATGACAACTTGAAGTTGCTCACGCACAATTACTACGTCGCCACAGAGCGCGGCCTGCCAGCTCGAGTCTTTTCTTGCCTTGGCGGGTGCGTGTGAGGTGACTCGCGCGGGCGGGGGCGTCGTCGGTTGCTTCCCCTCCACAACCCCCTTTCCTACCCAACAACCCTCAAAAACAAAGTCAGTAGCTTCGCCCCGAGTATGTTCGCAGGGCTAATCCAACCGACACTGACGTCCTGATTGCGCTGTATCGCCTGCGTCTGCTTTGGTGCGACGTCCACCCTCTACCCATCGCCGCGTTTCTGCTCCCCCTCCTCGCCCTCCTCGCCTCCTTGCCTACCACGTCGACAGATGTCTGCCAAGATCTGTGAGTGATCAGATGCAGCACACGATGGGATGGAGCTGTACTGATCGTTTGGACGCCGGCTTGACGAGCGCTTGCAGACTGGTACGTGGTTCGATCTGCACCACTCGACCCGACCGCCACGCCACGACCCAACCTTAGCCAGCTCCGGTGCCGCCAGCGACCAGCACGCATTCGTGGCACGGTGCCAGCTCGCCCCCCCCCCCCCCGTCGCCGCATTCTCAACATCGGACCTGTGTGACTGACTTGATTTTGCTTTTCTCTGTCACCCTCTGTTGCTACTCCTTTTTCGTGCCACCAGCGGAAACCTCTCGTGGTAAGTGGTCGTTGGCCTTGGCTCTCGTCGTAGCTCTCTTGTGGCTGTGGTCACGCTCACGCTCGCCTTTGTCCTGTGCCAATGTCGCCGGCCTGGCGCGCGAGTGTCCACTCCCGATTTTCACGCGCTGCGCTGCGCTGCGATGCGGGGGCCCTGACCCGGCACCCAGCTAGCGCATCTTTACAACGCGGCCGCGGTCTTGAACAGCAGCGGCTGACACTAGGTTTCGATCTGTGACCTTTTTTTCTTCAGGGGAACCAACACCGACTCGTTGCGTGATGCCTTCTCGCAATTCGGTCAGGTTCTCGACTGCATCGTCATGACGTGAGTCTCTCCGGTCTCTAGCTGCCCAGTCCATGCGTGTGATCCCGTAATCCGTTCCTTGTCCGACTTCACTGACGTTTCGGCTTTTATTCACTTTCACCTTGTTCAGCGAGCCCGGAACCGGCCGCTCGCGTGGTTTCGGCTTCGTCACCTTTGGCTCGCAAGCCGAGGCTGATGCCGCCATCGCCGCCATGCACGAGCAAGAGCTTGTGCGTACCTGTTTCCCACCCCGCTCCTCTCCAGTACTGCACAGCAGCGCGGTCGTGGATTCTGAGCACACATCTCGACTCCAAGTCCGGTTGAACGGGCACTCAAGATCTCGGCACCGGCACGGTGCGAGGTCCAGGAATAATCCTAACCCTATCTGCGGCTCTCCACACTCCTGTCGACGCGGTGTGGTGACTGTCAGAAGCCCTAGCTGCGACCATGTCATCACTCCTCGCCATGTCCATTCGGCACCGACGGTGACGCCTGCGACGCGATCCCTAAACACCCGATCCCATGTTCTCGTGTTCCCGGTTTCCTGACTCTTCCTCGCGCTCTGCGTTCTCTCTCTCCTGTTCCTCTTCTGCCTTTCTGCATGTCTGTTGGATTCGCTTTCCCTTCGTTCTCGGATCGTGTCTGTGCCCGTGTGCCTTTCCCGCGCCTCGTAATCGTTTTCGCTTGCAAATTGCTTCGTTTACTTCGACTATCGTTCTGCACCTGTTCTGGGTTACTAACAATCACAGGGTAAGTCTTCCCTGCTCTTTTGCTTTGATCTCTGGCCCGAGCGGATGGCTGATACGGAATGCATACATTCTGCGCATCACAGACGGTCGACGCCTTCGCGTCAACATCGCCAACCAACGTGGTGGCGGAGGTGGAGGTGGAGGATGTGAGTAATATCTTTGCTCTTGCTCACTGTGCCGTCGTTGAGCGGGGCTCATGCGATACGTCCGGGTCGTGCTATAGACGGTGGGGGAGGATGTTAGTCACTCCCCTTTTTATGACGCTCTTCATTGAGTTCTCATCGTTGTCGAGGAGGTCGCACGTTCGGCGGTCTGGTCTCGTCGTGCGGCCGCTCGAGAACTCGAATACCTGATCTCGGGTGTTGAGCTCTGTTTCAAGTTCACATCGCTAACCGTACTCACTTCCTTGTTCGATTAATCTTAGACGGTGGCCAGGGTGGCGTGAGTGTTCACGACACGTTCAGTTCACATCGGTGCATCAGCTAACCTCTTGCCTTTCCTACCCGACTTCACACAGTACGGTGGAGGAGGATGTAAGTCACCTTTGACACTCATGGCATCCTCCTACCCGTCGTTGTCGGCAGACAAGCTTCAAGAGCTTTTATGTTTCTGTCGAACACGCACGATTGCTCTGTGCTCGGGGCATTGGCTGACCTCGTAACTCGTCCTGGCTCCCACTAGACGGTGGAGGATACGGCCAACAGCAGGGTGGCTACGGCGGCCAGCAGTCCTACGGCTCGGGCGCCCCCTACGGCCAGCAATCTTACGGCCAAGGTGGCTACGGTGGCCAGCAAGGTTACGGCCAACAACAAAGTGGCTGTGAGTAGATGTTGTCTAGTTGATGCTTGACTTGCATTACTGATGCCTACCTGTCCCTCGTGCGCTCGTATAGACGGTGGTGACGCCCAGCAACCGGGCGGCTACGGCGCCCAGCAGGGCTACGGCGGCCAACAGGGCGGCCAGCAAGGCGGCTACTAGAACAGCAACGTGCCGTAAATTTTCGTGCCTCATCTCGTTCTCTCGGATTGACTTGTCGTTCCCAATTGTATCGAAACACGTCTCCTAGTCGTGAGTTTTAGCCCCAAGCTCTTTGCGTGAGGAGCGCTTGATGTGGTGCTGATCGTGGGCCGCTCGGGTGATCAATCGCAGTCGTCTGCTTGCCTGGTCTCGTCTCGGTTCTCTTCATGCTCGATCACAAATGACCACCCCCTTCGATCTAGTCAATCTCTCGCTCGCCGCTCTGCTTCCCAAGGCTCGAAATTACTTGTACCCTCTCGTCGCTTCGCTCTCGGTTCCTGATGATGCTTTCTCCAAAACGTCTCGTCTTCCCTTTGCATCTTCGCCCTCCTCTTCTGCTCCCCTCTCTCCCGCCGATTTTATTCGCGTGTTTTGCACTTTCCAGTCGCTGTTTCGTTGTGTGGGGGACTTCTTTCTCTTCGGTTGGGCCAGTCTGGGTAGGCACCATCTTCCTCGTCTTGGTTTTTCGGAGTTTTTGGGGTCACTTGCCGTGATGGTTTTCGCGGAATGCAAAGAATAATTGGTCCTCTATATTCTGAGGCCCTATAGAGAGAGAGGGTAGAGGGAGTTTTGTGGGTCGACTCTTGGCAGTTTTTCTGGGAAGACCGTGGCGCCTCTTGTCTCTCTCTCACTCCCTCCGGCTGCTCCCCTCGAACTCGCCAGACTCAAGCCTTCAGATATACCACAAGATGGTCTTGGCCGATCTCGGACGCAAGCTCAACCAGGCCATCTCGTCCTTGTCGGCGTCGTCACCGATCGATGAAGCTGTAAGCCCCTTGTTGTATAGCATTTCCAGCGGCGATTGACCCACCCCCCACTGCGCTCCTCGCCCCTCCTTCCCCGACTCCATCCCCGCTCCTCGTGGCTGCCCCCCCCCACGAACACCCTCCCCCCTCCCCTTCCTCCAACAGGCCCTCGACCTCACCTTGAAAACGGTCTGCACGGCGCTCCTAGAATCGGACGTGAACGTGCAGCTCGTCAAACGGCTGCGCGACAAGGTCAAGACGATCGTCCTGCCGCCACTGGTCGAGTTGCAGACCAGAGATGGTAACCAGACCGATGCGGTCGCCGGTCAGAAGGGGAAGCAATTGATACATAAGGTGCGTGCGCGGAGCTGGTAGGGGCGTCGGGGGCTGTGGGGGACGTAGAAGAGGCCGAGACGGCGACGGAGACGGGCGTGAAGCCGAGCAGGGAGGGCTGACCAGACGTTCCGAGTCGTATAGACTGTGTTCGATCAACTCGTCGCACTCGTCGATCCGGGAGATGATGCACCACCGGCGTTCAACGTAAGTCGCAAGTGGCCCATCGTCGAGTCGCGCACTGTTGGGAACACGCTAGCTCACCCGGCCGGCCACCTTTCACTGCACGTCCGTAGCCCAAGAAAGGTCGCACCAGTGTCATCATGATGGTCGGACTGCAAGGTGCCGGTAAAACAACGACATGTACAAAGGCGAGAAAGCAAGATCTCGAGAATGCTTCGGCCCGACCTCCCCCGAAGAAGAGCTGACACAATCTTCATCACTCCCGTCCCGTTCAGCTCGCGACACATTACACTCGGAGAGGATTCAAGACGGCGCTCGTCTGTGCCGATACGTTCCGAGCCGGTGCTTTTGACCAACTCAAACAGAATGCCGTCAAAGCCAAAGTACCCTTCTTCGGCTCGTACGTATCCGGCGAAAGCTTTTCCCTTCCCTTCGAGAGCTCACGCCTTGGGGAATCCTTCCCGGCCACTCACAGCTACACCGAAACAGATCCGGTCTCTATCGCTCTCTCGGGTGTGACCAAGTTCCGTTCTGAGCGCTTCGAAGTCATCATCGTCGACACGTCCGGTCGGCATCGACAAGAGAGCGAGTTGTTTGAAGAAATGGTGCAAATTTCGGAAGCGGTCGAGCCGGACATGACGGTGCTCGTGTTGGATGGAGCGATCGGTTCGTGATCCCGTGTTTGCTGGAGTACAGTGTCATATTTTGACGATGGACTGTTGCTCTCACAGGTCAAGCCGCCGAACCACAGTCGAGAGCGTTCAAGGATGCTTCCAACTTTGGTGCCATCATCGTGACTAAGCTCGATGGACATGCCAAAGGTGGAGGAGCCATATCGGCGTGAGTGGCCCGAATGGATCCGAAATCAGGTGTTTCTCGATAGGAAGCTGCTGATTGTGCTCCCCTCTGCTTAGCGTCGCGGCCACCAAAACACCCATCATTTTCATCGGCACAGGAGAGCACCTCCACGATCTAGAGAAATTCGCCCCTCGACCTTTCATCTCCAAGATGCTCGGCATGGGTGATCTTACGGGTCTCGTGGAGCATGCGCAAGAGATGGCAAAGGCGAACCCTCAACGACGGGAGAACCTGATGAAGAAGTTGGAGAAGGGCGAGTTCACGATTGCGGATCTGAAGGAGCAGATGGCTACCATCACGGGGATGTGAGTATCAGGACCACACTTCACAATTTGCAGGGTCCGTCATCTAACCTCGTTGCGCTCCATCACGCCAGGGGGCCGTTATCAAAACTGACATCAATGATACCTGGAATGGGGGACATGATGGGCGGTAACGCCGACGAAGCGGCCAAGCGAATGCGTCGTATCGCCTTCATCTTTGACTCGATGACGCAGGAAGAACTCGCCTCCGACGGGAGTCTGTTCCGGCCATTGAAGAAGGGGGAGAAGAAGAAGGAATCGACCAAAACCAAGGCCAAGTTTTCAAACGCGGCGACCACATCTCGATCCGTTAAAGGCAAGGACAAGGAGAACGCTTCTACCGTGGCGAAAGAAGAGAAGAAGGTCGAAGAGAAGGACTTGCCCGAGATGGCGCCGAGGGAACCGAATCCGAGGGTGCTGCGCATCGCTCGAGGGTCGGGGACGACAGTCGATGAAGTCGAGGAGTTGTTGGCGCAACACCAGATGTTCTCTGGAATGGTCAAACAGGCGGGTGGGAAGACTGGGTGGGCTTCGAGAATGCAACAACAGCAAGCAATGGCTGCTCGGAGAGGGGGAGCGGGGGCAGGGATGGGAGGGATGCCACCGATGGGTCCGGACGGGATGCCCGATTTGTCCAAATTGACGCCCGCGCAGCAGGAGCGTATGAATCAGATGATGGGACAAATGAATCCGGGGATAATGTCCCAGATGGCGAGCTTGATGGGCGGGGGAGGCATGCCGGGGATGGGCGGGGCAGGGGGAATACCGGATATGTCCAAGTTGATGAGCATGTTCGGGGGTGGAGGCGGGGCGAGATGACCCTTGCAGCAATATATTCCATTCGACGTGCGTGAAATTGACTCGACACCTCGATGAAACACCAGAATGAAAGGCAGGGACGTAGCAGGCGCTGCTCAATCGGAAGCGCAACGACGGACCATGCTAGTCTCGAGATGGAACTTGATCTTGCGCTCCTCACAAACGTCCCTCACGCGATTCCATCCCAAGTCATCAATCTCGGCAAAGCTCGCATCATACACGTGCTCCCCGTATCGACACAGTCCGAGGTGTTTTAGCGAGGGTGAGAACGAGCCGGTTTGCACGACTCGAAGGAAAAGCTCTTCGACTTTATCGCGGCCGACTCAGCCGACCCGACTTAACCAAAGAGAGCGCCTGAGCTTCGTCCTTGATCCGATTGAACAAACAGAATAAAGCTTGTGCGACGTCGAACCGGATTTTATGCACCAGAATAAGATGCAGGAACGCCGAAACGCCTCGGAGCCATAGTGCACGTGACAACGGGCTGCGCTTCGGCCTACTTGGCGCAGAATGCGGTACAGCAACTCGACAGGCAGCTCATCTATGTTGATCGTGGGGAGCGCCATAGAGCGTGAAGTAAGAGAAAGAGCCTCAGTAGGGAGGGGGTTGTCGTGGTCGAGCAATGGGCTTGCTGGCTCAGATTGCGGCCGAAGTCATGCTCCCGGCCTCCAAGTCATGCTTCACCGGAAGCTCTTGGAGCTCTGCTGCGCTCGTCATGTGTTCAAGCGGCGCTGGCTCCTGCAGTCATCAAGCAGTGAGCGAATTGGGACCGACGTAGACAAGGACGTACACTGAATCCGAAAAAACCACCTGTCAAAGGCGGATTCAGGGACTGGTCTTCCACTATCCGCGAGAGCGAGACGGCCCTCACTAGATCTCCTATCTCGAATTGCCCGTGGGCGGGGTGGTCGTCTCGTACTATCTATCGCACACACACCGAAAAAAAAGATTCACGAAGTGGATCCGCACATGAACACACTACGATGGACGGTCACCTTGCGCAGGGTTGTCTTAAAGGAATCTATAAATTACCGAACGCCGAACGGGAAAACGAAGGAAGGGTGTGGCACTTTCCGACACCGCCCCAGGAGCAAACCAGAGGGCGACCGACGGTGAACAAGGAAGACTGCGAGACGCTAGCGTGCTAGAGTACGACGAAATGGTCGTGGGGGGGGGGGGGGGTGATTGGAGCGGAATAGCTACGAGACGTAGGTAAATATGACCAAAACATGCCTCACTGATTGGTGCGAGAGTGCATGCTAGGTTTGTAACCCGACATCTTCCGCAGGCTCATCGAATAGCGCGGGCTCATCGAATGCGAAGAGGAAGCCTTGCGCCTTGAGTTGCTCCACACAAGCCTGTCCGACATCGCTTCGGTCTGTCAATATAGCGAGTTGCTACGTCAGTTAAAGATTACGTGGACGCGAACCATCCATGTCGAAGCACGTACGATGTCGTTGCAAGGCATCGAGGCGAACAAACTCTCTTTTGCAAGGCTCGCAGCTGTAACGTCTGCGTTTTCGAAAGGACGAGCGAAACAGGTGATAAGTAAAGGAAAGCAAAGCAGAGGAGACCAGATTCATGAGCAACACACCTGAGATTGAGATGCAGCAACTCGTGGCGCTTGCAATCGTGCGACCTGGCAAAGGCCTTGTCACATCCAGGGTGGTGACACACGAACGGCTTCTCATTCCGATGCGCCCGCTGGTGGCCACGGAGATTGTAGCGTCGCGTGAACGTCTCCCCACAAAGATCGCACATGAACTTGGCCTGCACGCCGGGATTGCGTCGCCGCATCGCGGCTTGGATTGTGGCCATTGTCGTCTTGCTTTCGAGAGAAGGTTGGGTGCCCCTTCGACGCCCTTCAAGCGAATGCTGGCCTCCACCATCGCTGACCGAGCTTTGGCTGGACCGTCGTTCCTCGGTCCAAGCTGATGGAGACGCGACGGGGGACTGATGGAATTGTGGCGCATGCTGGGGCCCCAAAAAACTGTTGCTGGTCGAAGACGATCCACTCGCGGTCCGTTGCGGTCGGTAGTCTCCGCTCCTTTTGCGTGAACTGTCAACGGAGGAAGTCCTCGACCCACGTCCTGACCCGTCTCTCGCCACCGCAATTCTGGCCAGAGTAGCCGCATCGAATGCACTGAAACTACCCCGTGATGCTTCCGCGGATCCATCCAAGCCATCGCCTTCTTGGCCAGGGGACCCGTCGTGATAACCGGTATGACTTCTCGATCTCCGATGGTTGGCCCCCGTTGCCCGGGCTTCGGCACGGGCGGTCTGGTCGAGCAACCCAGCTTCTTGGTACCCGGGCGTGCCCACGAACGGCCTCCTGCCACTGACGCTGTGGCGACTCCGCTTGTCGAGTGAATGCTGTCGAGCGGGGTCGGGGGTGAAGTCATCGAAGCCGTCGAACACGGACGTATTCAGATAGTCGTGCATGGCTGGTGGGGCCACCGAAGTCTGGAACGCATCGAACGGATTCATCGCCATTGGTGGTATTGTCGTGGACTGGGGCCAGAACATTGGTAGCGGGGCCGCGCTCATCGTTGGACCCGGCACGACGAACTGGCCTTGCCCACCGGGAACCAAGCTCGGGTAGAAGTATGCGTAGGGTGCAGCCGTAGGCCCAGCCCCAGTTGAAGCGGGAATCGACCCCCGGATGGGGAATTTCGAGGCCGGAGGGTAGGCGGAGGTCGGTGATATCGCTGGATCGGACTGAGATCGCTTGCGCATCGGTGGGGGTTGGTACGGGGCGAGAGATGGACGAAAGGACGAGTTGTTGGGCGGCTGGGGCGAATATGACAACGGTAAAGTTGAGGATCCAGCGGCCGACGAGGACCGGGCGAGGGACTCGGCTGCTGCGGCACCTTGGTCTGCAGAAGCTGGCTGAGTCGGAGGAAATTGCCGGGTCCCAGGTGCAATAGGCCGTGGAGTAAAGTCGGAAAACGAAGCGTTCTGTTGACGAAGACACAAAATGAAGCGCAGGATCCAGGTCAGTCCTCAGATGCCCGAACTGGACCGTGCGTTTCAAGTTTCGGGATGAGCTCACCTGATCGGCCTTGGCGGGCCATTCGTTCATCCCCAACATCCTTTCAAGCTCGAGAGTGGGCTGCCCTTTCTCCTTGGGTCGAGCCGTGTGAGGGGTTGGCTGGGTGATGTTGAAGGAAGGACCGTCACTCGGGATCGCCAGTGGTGTCAAGGCCGGAGGGGAGAAGCGATAGTCGGACATCGCGCCCGAGGCCGGGGGCGACTCTGAGAGCATCCCCGAAGCGAAAAGCACGCCGGGGGAGGCCTTACCCCTGTTGAAACTGCCGGTCCCCGATCGCGGTGCACTCGAAGGCCTTCTCGAGGTCGCAAGCACGGTCGCTTGCTCACGTAGTCGAGTGAGGTCGGCCAGCTCCGTCTCCGTCTCCTGACGTGTGGGGCCCATCGATGAGGAAGGCCGAGAGCGCGAGCTTGCACTCCCACATGCGCTGGCGTTGGCATTCGCACTATTACCTGCGCTGCCACCATACTGGAATGGCGACTCGCTCCTCGTGCGGTCTGCGATGACGGGGTCGAAGTCAAAGTCAAAGTCCATCTGGGACCCCGAAGCCGGGGCACCGGATGCGGAGCCTGCGACCGAGTCACCTGCTTCACTCGGTGCATACGATGAAGCCGCATCGTCATGGTCCGCCGAGCGATCGCGGTACTGAAATCCGGACGATGAGTAGGCCGAAGTCGGGTCGTTCGGGGTGAGGAAGGGGAGCGGCTGGAAGACGTCCTGGTTGCTCAACTCTTGCTGGTAGTAGTAATCAAACGCCGAAGGTGGGCCACGCCCTTGCATAGCCGAGGTTCCCGGTTCGTTGTTGTAAGACGAGGGCTCGGAGAAGTGGTCGTGGTTGAACTGAGCCGACGACTCGTAGGATCCGACGAACGATCCGGCATAGGACGGCGTGCCGAACGCGTAGGCGCTATCGAGCGGGAACGCGGCATCATCGAATGCACTTAGGTCGTACTGGTGCTGCTGCTGCTGCTGCTGCTGCAGGTGTTGCTGTTGCTGCTGCCGAAGTTGGTGCTGGTGCTGGTGGTGCTGCTGGTGCTGCAGCTGGAACTGTTGCATCTGCTGCATTTGCTGCTGCTGGTCATGCTGCTGGAGGCTGTACTGGTGCAGGGGTATCGAGGCCGGGCGCGAGGAGGACGGGTCCGGGGAGGACGTGCTGGCGAACGAGATTGGCAGAGGCGAGGAGCCGGTCGAGCCGTTGTTCCCGTTGTTCGACGACGACGACGACGACCCCGCCGCGGTCATGTAGCTGGTCGACGACAGATCTCCGCGGCGGAGCACGTTGATAATGTCGTCCGAGGTCAAGGTGGCGCCTCCGCTGGTGCGGTCGGGCTGGGCGAGTGACGACAGCGAAGGGAACGAGAGCGTAGGCCCGACCTGAGGCGCCCCGTGTGCTGCTGATGCTGATGGGTGAGCGTGCTGCTGCTGCATCGACGACGAGCTACCGGAGAAGGCCGGGTTCGCTTTGTTTATCATCATCGCGTGTCGAAGATGCGACAGCTCATCATCCGGGCCCATCGTAGCAGTCTGGCCAAAGTCACGCAGGTGGCCCCCACGGATGGCGATCGAGAGAGTGGGGACGGGGAACGGCGGCGAGATGAGGAGGCGAGAAGCAACTCCCTCGCGCCGACCCGGTCCCGGTAGCGCCCGCTCGCGCTGTCGCCTGCCGAGGACCCCCGAAAGCCCGGCCTGAGGCGCGTAGGGCCCGACTGGACAAATTTTGGGCCTCAGATGGGCCAAAATCGCCAAGGCGCGTAGTCGGGGGTGGACAAATCAGGGTGCGCCGGTGTGGGTGGGGTGCTAGGCCCGTAGGTGTCAGTGGACAAATCGTGACCCATTTCGGCCCCATTCGGCTTGGAAGGCCAAAGTTTGCCGACCCTCAAGGACGTGCGGGAGCGCGCGCGAATCATTCGGGCTGTACCAAATTCACAACAACGGCTCTAATTGATGTATTTCTTGCACTTATAACCTCTTGGCTGGTTGAACGAAGCGTTTGAGTGCGCGCGTCTCTTGCCTTCCCCGCCGCGTCGCGTCGACGTCGTCTGTGCCATCATCGCCAATATCCTACATTCTCGGCACGACTTGCTTCGATGAAACGTATCTTGAGATCCGGAAATCGATCTCCTTGACGATATTCTTGAGCGAATGGCACCCCTCATGGACGTGAGGGTGTCTGAGCCTCTCGCCTCCAGCTTGACAAACCAGACACCCGGATACAGCTTTCATGGTCGACAGACAAGTGCTACTCTTGCTAGGCCGCTCGATGCTTGGAGGGACAAGTTGAAGGATCGTGGAGCAATCATTGCGACACGTAGGCAAGGCCACCAATCTATCACTATCGGCTGCCTTTCGGTGTCGAATCTGGCGGCATATAGATCACGCCGAGCGCATGCGTTCGGTTGTTATCAGTAGCCAAGAGCTGGTGAAGTTATCTGCGTGTCGACATCGAAGATCAACGTCTCATCGTTAGAGCTCCGGAGGTGATGCCTTCACTGCTCCTTGAGGAGCAATTACCCCCTCAATGATCCTCGGGGTTCGTGGATCTCACGGTAGCTAGCTGACTGCTTCCCAGAGTGACTGCAATCGATCTTACCTCTCGTAGTACGTTACATGTATACTATGGCCACGTCAAATCATAGGCAAAGAGGCAGGCAGTAAGTGCAGGTGAGGAGCCCTCGGCGAAGCAGAACCGAAACGGCTGACGCGCGCGCGGGCTCCGGCGATTCGGTCCGGGCGAAAAACGTTCGGACGGCGTTTTCGCGATTTTTGAAGATGTTTTGGAGCATTTGAAGCAATTCTAGAGCTATTTTTGGATGCGCGTAGATGGACTGGACATTTTAGGGGCTTTTTTGGGCGAAAAATCCAAAAAATGGTGGACAAAAGAGGTCCAAAATCCGGGATTTTGACGGATTTTACCTACGCGCCTCAGGCTGGGCTTTCATGGGTCCTGCCTGCCGCTGCCTGCCGTAGCCTGCGTCGCCAGTGGCCTGCTGCCTGTGGTGCCAGCCAGCTGGTACGCTGGTGCCAGAGGGTGGCAGACTCAAATCGGGCCTGCGGGCTTGGGCTGGGGTCCCGTCAACGACTAGTAGCCGCGCTGTCGGGCAGGTCAGGGCGCGAGCAGGCACAGCTGTACCGAGCCTTGAACTCTCTCGAAAAGTACAGCAGTAGTGTCGCCAGTGCAACCTAAAAAGCTCGCAGAAGGCGGAAAATGCTGCCGGAGCTCAGGAGGCAACTTGGCCCCTGGCTTGGGCATGAGCGCAAGAGCTGAGACCCGGCTCGTGGGCTATTAACTTGTAATTATGAACATTTTCACCGATTGCTGTAAGACCGAACTTGGACCGCCTGGCTCCTGGATCAAAACTGACTAGCTGCCGTAGGTGAGAATGTAGGTACATCCCCCTGCAGCATTGCCAAACGTTGAAAATTCCGCAATCGAACGGCCGAGCCGAGGGTCCCCTTTGACTAACCGCCCGCTCGGACCCATGAAAGCTGCACTCCGAGTCCTCTTGCGCTCTGCAGTGGGTTGCACGAGGTGAAATAATGAGGAAGCCGGTATCTATCTCCTTAGGTAATTAATTACCCGAGAGCTGCTCTAGCGCTCGCCCAAAGTCATCGTGGGTTGGTAGACATAGCAACTAGGTATCTCGTCAAAGAGAAGGCGGATCACGTGCACACGAATCGCTTCCGCGGGCCGCGCACCCAAATATATTCAAGGCTGCTCAAAGCGGTGCAGGACGTCGTTCCAGTCGGTGCTTTTTCCCATCGATTACCGAAGCGGGGCGATGGGAACTCCCCTTTCCGAAGTAGCGTAAGCGAAGCTTCTGCGGGACCTAGATAGTATACTAGCTCGAATTTCACGTTACTCGTGGCGACAGCTTTCAGCTCAGCTGCCCGATGGGTCGCGACCGATCACCGATCCATCGAAGCGTTTGGGGCAGTGATAAGAGACCACAGGCTTCAATATGGCTGTGGACGCTCGGTAAGAACATGCGAACCAAGTATACACGATGTGGCGATTGCGAATTTCAGTAAAAAAGGCGGGTTCGGGGGTGATGCTACAGCGGTGCGTCAGGGACCCTTGAGGACCGAGCTCGCGCATGTGCACGACATATCGTTCAGAAGACGGCAGGCTAGGATGCTGAGGCAAACAGGCCTAATCCGAATCAGTACAGAACCCGTCGTCCTTCACCGCCATGCCTGGAACGACGCCGCGTTGCCGGACCACGGGGCCGCCTGGGAAGGAGAGAAAGGTTTTCGGTCAGATCCAGAACCACATCACCCGTCAAGAAACGCTGTCAAGAACCAGTATCGCCCCCTGGGGTCACTGACCAGCTTGTGGGGGCATTCTTCGCTTCTTGGGGGAGTCGCTGAGATCTTTGGATCGAGCCGAAGCCGATCGACCTTCTTCATGGAGTTGTTCGATCGTGGCTTGACTCTTGCTCAACTCGCTTCGGACCCGATCCAGCTCCGCTCTCAGCTTTTCCAGTCGCTCCTTAACACGTGCACATTCCACAGCGTCCTTCGTGACCTAAGTCAGAGCCCGGGCAAAATTTTACGTTAGAGTATTGAGTTTCCAGCGAAGCCAACTTGTACAATCGCCTCACCTCGAGTCCAAAAGCGACAAAAGAGAATGGCAGCGGTGGCTGCTCGCAAGGTTCGAGGTCGACGTAGACGGCCAGCGAAGGAGTGATTTGGATTGTGAGCTGTAGGATGAGGCTTTAGCAGGGCTTTATCAGATGGAAGAGATGATTTCGGATTGATGTTGCTGCCACTCGCCTTGATTGTACCACGTGAAGAGGCAGTGCTCCGGGCAGCCGTGTAACCGTCGACTTTGAGCTCCCCGTCGACGAAACTCGTACGGATGCGGGAAGGCATATCATGCGCCGGGACTGCTGATCCATCAATCTAAGGGCTCAACGATCCCATCAGACAAAGAATATGTCACGTCAGTGCCGAGCGAGTTCCCAGTCAAAGCCCAACAGTCGTCGGGGACAGACCCGCATGGCCGCCTTGGCTTCCCCAGCTGTGTACACGGCCTCCCACCAGAGGTCCTTGCCTTCCGCAGATCCATCGCCGTCTCGTGTACCTGCTACAACAACCCATTCGGCATCCTTGCAAGTTCTCTTTGGACCGACCGTTCTGTTGCGCAACGTAGAGAGCACGAGAAACCCCGAGTCTTTGCGCTCCGAATAGCACGTCTGCTTCAGATCGCCAAGATCGTCCAACCTGATCTCGGGTGACGAAGCAGACATGGAGCGTTGGGTCGATGAACCCCACGATCAAAGGGGTAGACTATGCCCAGAGTGGGACGGCCAATCGCCCGTGCTTCGAATGTCTGTGTAAGGCGAGCGCTGAGCTCCAAGTGGCACGCGTCGCGCGTCGCTCTTGCAATCTCAGTCACGTGACTCGGTGCGTGACCCGGAGTACGGTTGTTAATACGGAGGACTCGCAGCGTCGTGATTTTAGGTAGAGTTCTTTCTGGAGAGTTCTGCTCGACTACCAAGTTCATTCCTATCGTAGACCTGTCTTAGCGCTGCGAGAGATATTTGGAACGATGTGCAGTGCGTACATAGATTCATCTGGTCCGCCGCCGGCAAGTTCGGCCGCTACTACTACTAGTACTGGACTCGTTCTAAGCCCGAAGTAGTAACATATTCCTATCCAGGCACCGAATGACCTACCTCCCTTAGGTACATATCTGCGCGGTCATCTTTGCCACAAAACGAGCTACGATGCCTATTGCCGAGATTTCCGAGATTTCCGAGCGCAAACAGAAGCCTGGGTTCGGTGATCGATGGTCCCGACGGTGTCGACGGCACCCGCGCCTACTGCCGATTGCGATCAATTCCCACCGAACGGGTAACCGTCCCGCCGACGATCTTTCCAATCGGCACGACGCAGGTTGCCCGTCGCATGGATTGCGACCGAAGTGAGGTAGCTCACTGGACGAGCACGGGAGCTATACAGGCTGTGGCAGGCAGGTACCTACCCAGGTACACACGATAAGTAGAGAACTAGGTACTAGGTATGCTGAAAACTAGGTCCTTCGGACTCTCGACATCAATCTCGGGGGGCCTCCGTGAGCGTTTTGTGCTGGCGAAACGTCCTCTTTTGCTACCGTCCAATTCGCAAGGGTGTCAATCGGGTACTGTGTAGATCGCGTGTGCCATGCCACAAATTTTCAGAAGATTGATTAGTTACCAGAAGTCATGAAATCACCACAGACCGGGAAGTTAGGAAACGCGTTGCCGCGCTGCGTCACACCCGCGATTCTGACAGGGGCCAGCAACGCTCGCACGAATCCTCATAACGATTCTCTGCAAGTTTTCCCTTTGACATGTGTGCTCAGCTTGAATATTGTTGCCTGCCTAAGGTGCTGAGATCTGGGTAGGCACCTAGATATAGATAGGTATCTAACTTGTACCTGTCTAGCTCGACTGACGCCTGAAGTGGCTTGATTTTCGGGCAGCTCTCGCCGCCGCCGTCGCTCCGCTCCACCCTGGCCGCTGTCGACTTATGTCCACCGGCGGCTAGGTCTTTCTGTTTGCTTATGCTATGCTTAGGTGCCGATACACCTTTTTAGAAGTAGACAAATCACTCAGGTGAACTCGGAGCGGCTGCGGGTGCAACAAAGTTCTTTAGTCTTCGGCGGATCGTGTGCTGTAGAAAACGACACTAGTGGAGAGGTGGGAAGGGCTCAAAAGTCAAAACGTAGAAACCCGGCGCGGCGCGTCGAAAACCATAAGTAAGATACCTGTAAACCTACCTGCCTAGGTACTTAGCACCAGTGAAGATTCCCGGTCTCTTACATATTACAGGTACCTAGGTTAACAGTTTGGCAGGTAGGTGGTACCTAGGTACTCACCTGAGGTTCCGTGGGCTTGCGGAGCGACGCCCCTGAAGGACGACGTCCCCGTGTTGGCGACTGCTCCTCTCCGGCCAGCGTGAATGACCGTTATATATATATATGACCGGAACTCTATTTTCTGCTGAAGTTGTCCACACGGACCAAATTTGTTCCCATTCTTGAAGAACCGGCACACCCACACGTGGTTGGTCAAACGCGCTCCTGCCGTGCTCCACCCAAATTAAAAACCTTCAGGGAGTCGTCAGTATTTTGAGTTCCTTCGTCGGCAAAGGCTAGGCACCAGTACTTACCTAGGTAGATACTCAGGTCAGTAGGCGTCGATAGTGCAGGTACTGACCTATGTAGGTAGGTAGATACTCCATATTCTGCAGAGCTTCCAAGTCCCGGACTCGCCTCCTTCGCAACTCATAGTCATTAGTCATCGATCATTTCGGCCGAGTTGTGGCCACAAAAGCACTCGGTAGCCCGGATTCGTTCTTGGGCATTGTATGTTTCGCATTGACTTCACATGCTTGAGTTATTACTCACCATTATCGGCGATGTCAAGTACCTAACTACTCCGGTACTGGGCGGCCGCGTCAGAGACCGAAGAATCCAGATCTCCGAGCGCTGCCTGTTCGATGCACTGCCTGGGCGCGCAGAGCTGCCAACTCTTTTCACGCTCTCACGAGTGGTGATTCACGGTCTTCAAATACCCTCTCGTGAGCGAAATAGATTTTCCGATTTTCATACGGTAAGTTACATATCTGCCTCCGAGTACGTCTTATTCGCTGTTCATCTCCGCTTCGATGGCTCACATGATGACCATCACGTGTAGCTCGTGAGACTATCATGGGTTGTCAATGTCCCGGCTTGCTCCGAATCTCAAATCAAGTATTACCTACCACCTAATACCTACCTACCGGACTAAGGTACGGATCAACATCTACGACAGCACCGAGAGCGCGTGCCCCGCGCCAAAGCTGACAGTCAATTCCAATGCCACGGGTTCCGGACCCCGAGCCCGCACACACATTCCTCATTTGCTCGCGCTGGATTGACGCAGGTAAGTTGGCGGCGCGGCAGCGCGCGCCCGCCGCAGTAGTGCCTGATGCGCCGCACTATTATTGTCGACGACCAAGCGCCGTCGAACGTCGAATTGTCGGACCTTCCATTGATGACCTCTTACTTTTCTTGCCGGCTTCTCCTTCGCGTGTCCAGAACAGTGAGACGCCGTAGAGCATGGGGCTCAACAACCCACAAACCGGCCTGCTGCTGGCGTTCTTGGTTGCTACGATTACCGCCAACGCATCGTCGCCGCTACGACCAGCGTCCCAGTCGCGCGAATCGCCTCAGCAACCAGGTCGATTTCGATGTCACAGTCAAGCGGTCTGCGATCAACTGCGCCAACCCACATCGCAAGGTGCGATGCAGGTACCTGTTAACTCCGAATGCGTCAAGGACTATCGTTCAGGAGGCTCCTTTTGTGGTTTCTCTGGTGCCGCGTGAGTGCATACTTGAGATCGTGCGGTATCCCCCCCACCCTGCCGCGCTCCGGACCGGGATGCTGCATTCAGCGTCGGCCTCGTCGACGCGCGGGGTCGGTCGGTCGGTCGGTCGGTCGAAGCTTTGAAGCTCTGAAGTCCGGTGCTGGCCGATCTTTCTCGGATCCAGCGCTAAAACGGAGGTGCCAGCCTGCCAAGCCAACTCTGCACTAATCACTGACCACATGCTTGAAACCATGTAGATGCTCGGGCGATACCCAGTGCGATTTTGGTCGTTGTAGCGGCTCGCTCGAAAGGCGTGGCATCTGCCTGTAAGTGTCTATCCTTCAAATCCGGGGCCTGGACTGTGGGGCCTCTGGCGCTTTCCCGATATGCCGATCCCTTTATTAAGGGATTGGGCGTGCGCCGACTCGCGCGCAACCGCCGACGGCCCCCAAAACGAACCCGTCTTTCCCTTCTCAGCCGAGTAGGCTTTACGTCGCGGTCGCGCGCGTCCGGCCGACTCGAAATACCCAACATTATGAGAGAGGCTCCACCACCTCCTACTCGCCATTCTGCGTGTGCGGCTCGTGCAATCTATACTGTCTCTACGTGGATTCCCGCCTCGTGACCGCCAGCGATTGAGCCCTTGCGCGCGCCGAATCAACTCTCTGACCAACCCCAGTTCTGCGACTGCGCAATCGCTGACTGCGTCTGTTTCTGCTCACTCGGTCCTGCTCGGACGCGCAGTGGTGGGCTTGGCGACGCATGTGAGGGATCCGAAGGTCCTGACGATGCCATGTGCGCCGGTAATTTAGGTTGCTCGGGCCAAGCGGGCGACGGTCGGGCTGTTTGTGGTGGCATTGGCGCCGAGTGCCTATACTCGGGTCAATATTCTCCAGGAGACACGCCGAACAACGCTGCCTGCGTCAGTGGTGAGTCGCGCGTGCCTTTGGCTTTCATGCCATTCGTTATGCCGTTCATAAGCTATTCAAGCTGACTTGATGGTGAGGGTGACAGGTTTCTGCCATCCGGTCTCGCTCGCATGCGAAGATCCCGACATGGCCGCAGGCCGATCTGGCTCCAATACCGCCGGTCTTTCGGATGAGGACAATGCATCGCAAGAGATCGAGGCTCTGGGTCCCGTCATCGCGAAAGAGCAACAGCTCCGAGACCCGTCGGCCGCATCAAAGCCCGTGCCCCCAGCTCGAGTCCCGGACGGCATGACTTGCCCTAAAGGGCTGTCCGCCTGCCCACTTCGCGCCGAACGCTCGTCGATCGGTCACGTCTTTGGCTGCGTCGACACATCATCTTCCGTGAACCAATGCGGTGGCTGCAGCCCCGTGAGCGTGGGGCAATCTCTCGCCAACGAAGACGCGTGGCGGGGGGTAGATTGTCTCGCCTTGCGAGGCGTTGCCAGTGTCGCATGCATTAATTCTGCATGCCAGATCTGTGAGCCCCGGGCTTGTTTGCCTTGCTCTCGTTTTGAATATACGCTGATTGTCTTTGACCTCACATCCATCTCCGGACAGTCTCTTGCGCCCCGAACTTCGAGCTGGATCGTCTCTCAAGATCTTGCCGCCCCACACGCTACTGGTAGATGTCTCACCCCACAACCTTTGGGCCCCACTCTAATCGACAATTTCTCTACCACCGTCGAACTCGCTTCGTCGCGCGATTACGGATGCACCTCCTTCACCGTACACAGCTTCCGCCGCTCCACCTCGTTTGAAGCCTCCATTCGTACTGGATTCTTTTGCGCAATTATCTTTGTTGTATAGTGAAAAGTTAAACAAGCTTCGGATGTCGTTGCATTTCCTTGGCTCGGTCTCGATGCCTTTCTTTATACCAGGGTACAGATCTGTTGTCTGTGCTCGTGTACATATATTTCCTTTGGTGTATTGTTTGAAGTGCAACAATGTCCAAATCCCCGTAAGAGAACTCGCGGTGCACGGCTCTGTAAGGACACTTCGCGCTGATGGAATGCATCGTGACTCTCGCCAATGTCGCCCCCGGTATTTGATAAGAAAACGTGCCCATGATTCATGTCTTGACCTTTTTTCGCGCCGCAGACGCGCCATCTCGGTTGCTTGGGCGACCCCTTTTGGCAGCCGGTGCTTTCGCCGCCACGATCTGCGCGATCGGCTCGTCCTCTTCGTCGCTATCGATCACAACGACTTCGGGCGGATCCTTGCGTTTGGCACTGATTGTGGCGGAAGCGGAAGCGGAAGCAAGGGCTGCAAGGGTTTCCTCCCGCTTTTTGGCTTGCGCAGATGGTGAGATCGCGGTCGAGGCTTGCGGGGCAGCTGCTGAGCCAGATGGGGCGCCCGCCGCCGGGCTGTGGGCTGCAGGAGCAGCGCTACCGGTATTGTTCGGATCGTACTTCGAAAGTTGCGCTTTGGCCGCCATTAACGTTCGACGGTGATCGCGCGCGGCGACACTCATGGCAATGCACGGGGTTTCGAAATCAAAATTACTTTGGCGACCCCGCTCGAACGTGGCTTGATGCCCGGTAATAGCGTGGACGTGCGCTGCTGCGGTACTAAAGGGTGTTGCGGCCACCGCGAATCTGTTCCCGTTTGTCATCGTGCCCGAGCTCGCCGGGCCGTTGTGTACGTCCATAGCCGTAAGTGGAGGAATGACGGTCAATATTTTCGCATCAAACCAGGCAAGGTCAAGTGGCCCGCTGTTGTGACGAGTCGTCTGAGGCGGTCCCGGATCGGCATGATCGACGAGATCCCACGGATTCGCAACAGGGAGAGTCGAGCCAGCTGCGTCGAATAGACGTTCGAGACGCAACAGGGCTGCTTCTGGCAGCGAATCCAGCTCGACCTCGGGCGCGATGATGGACTCGATGGACGGTAGCCGAAGGGACGGGGCCAAATCTGTCAGGCCGAACAGCAGGTGGGAACAAGTATCAAGTAGCACGGACGATAGCTCGACATCGTTTGGACAGTCACGACAAGATAACTGTCACGAGGATAATTTGGTTGTCTCGTCAGCACGAGCTGAGGAAGGCATAGCGCTGGAAGCAAGATAGACCCGAAACTCTGACCAGAGCCAAGACTCCCCGGTAGACTTACAGCTGCAAGCTTGGCACACGGTATCAGACATCCTTTGAACAAGTCCACGGTCTCGGTAGCCGCTGGAGACACGGTCGTACTGCACCGGAGAGCGATAGCGAGCAAATGGGCTGAATGCAAGATGGCTTCTCGAGATGAATTGACGCCTTCATCGACGAGCCCTTCGAGGCAACAACGGATCGCCGTCAGCAATTGGCGCAGTGGAGTAACCTGGCTCGAAGCGGAACTGGACTGGAGTAGCGTATTGAGCAAGCGCCCTGTACAGCGTAGCGTTGTCAAGCTGTGCGTGCGCCGCTCGATCGAAGCGGTCCTGGCGAGTCCATCGACGGCCTCGGCTAGACGGCTGAAGGCGACGCTGACGAGTTCATCTGAAGCGTGCCCGTGGTAACACTTGACGATCTGCTCTCCGAGGTATGTATGTCCTTCGCCCGAGCAGACACGATCGAGGAAGTGGCGCGACAAGGTGTTGAGTCCTTCCGCTTTCTCGGCGTCGGAGATGGTATGGTCGAGGTCGAGGCGCTCGAGGCAGGCTTGCACCTCCACCTTGGACACGGCCAGGCGCCAAGTCGTCAAACCAGAGAGGAAGAGATCCCAGTCCTCGGTTGAGACGAGACTTGCCGGAATGGCTGTGCTGCTGTCTTTGAGAGTCAACAACAGGGCTGCGAGTAGCTTGGGACGATGCGCATTCGTCGCGAGCGGGGCGGCCCCCACGGCTGCGGTGTCGAGGACCGCCGACGCAAATACCTGAGGGTCGCGAACCACCGCGGTCTGAAACGCGGGCCACGAGTTGAGATGCACAAGTAGCATCCCCGTTGTTTGAGCACGTTCGTGCTGCCCGAGAGTAGTCCAGAAATCTTGTTGGACCGCAAGCGACGCGACGCACTTACCGAGCTCCGCTAGAGAAGCCTGGGTGAAGAGACTCGCGCATCGGCTGTCGCCTCTTTGACGTTGGAGCAGAGCAGCGGGCGTGTTAGAAGGGTCTTCGGTCGATGCAAAACCTCCAATAGCATGCGAAGACCTCGTGATCAGACTTCCAAAAATATGCGTAATCGTATCCAGGGCTTGCAACAGAGTCGCATCGAGCGACGGACCTTGGATCGGGGCGTGCGAGACGGGATTGGTCGGCGAGCTTGCGGCGTTGAGCAGCGTCCGCCAAACAGGGAGAATGACGAGCGTGATGAGTGCCGAAGGGGAGAGAATTCCGCCTGTGACGAGTTCTAGCAGTAAGATTGCGACGCCTGAACTCAGATGCGCTCCAAACGTAGCAATCATCGAGTAAGAGGGCATTTGCGCGATCCATTTGCCGATCTGCGCCTCCAGTCCGGTCGGCAGTCGTTCGTTGATCTCCCGCAAGAAACGAACAATTGTCGATGCCGAGACACCCGCGAGGAGCTGCACACTGCTTTCGATCGCAATGACGGCCCAGTTCTCGAAGGCGTGGTAGCGGTACCAGAGGGTCGTTCCGAGTTGAGCGATAGCCTGAGGGGAGCTGTCGATCAGCAGCCCCTGCAGCTCGGGGAATCCCGCTGGCAGGCTCTGCTGTTGAGGGCGACTAGTCGAGAGAGACTGTCGAGACAAACACAAAGAGGTCAGCCCAAAGAGCGAGTCGGAGTTCCTTCGAGAGAAGAGAATCCACTCACGAGGACCAGTTCCTGATAATCTTGCTCGAGCTTTGTCAGATTCAAGGCGTCCAAGCATTGCGCTCGCCCAAACTGTCGCAGCAGCGCTATGAGGCGCCTGTCGTTGATTCCGTCCGATTTCAGACCCTCATGAGCAATCAAAAGAGCCTGTCCAAGGGTTGGCAGAGCGCCCAATGCCGTCCAGCAGTCGAGGTTGCCTTCAATCAGATCCAGCACGCACGACAGCACATCGCGGGTTGGAGCGTGGATCAACACTACGAAAATGTATTGGAGCAGTCCGAAGTAATCTTCGACAGCAAGATACGTCTGGGTGAGTATCGCATGCTCCTCAGCTGTGAGAGCCATGTGTTCGTCTTTGGGCCGTAACAGTCGAGCCAAGCCCACCGGGATGGTGTCGCGCTGCAAGACAAGATGCATGCCGTTCTTGCCAAGGCCTGAGATGGCGTCTAGTAGCGTAGTGCAGTCACGGTCGCCCAGTAACGCTGCAAGTGGATGACCTACCCGAACATGCTCAAGCGTGAGTCATCAAAGCTCCAAAAAGAACCAAGCACCGCAAGGACTGACTTTGTCCATCAACCAGGGAGGGCACGAGCCGGTATAGCTCTCGGGTGGCATCCCCGAGCAAGCGCTCACTCTCGCTCCGACTAGCGGAGCTCACCTTGAGCGCCATGCGCTTCTTGGCTAACGGTCGACCAGACCCATCGTGTAAGGCGACAGTCTTGAGCAGTTTGATATGTATGGACGACGACTATACATCGAAGAGAGGTGGGGAAGTCAGTATACGTAGGTGCAGGAATGAAGAGGGGGGGACTAGGCAATACATACTGGCTTGGAGGCACACGACGCTTCCTCAGTTTCGCCTCTCGCTATCATGCGCTGCAGATACGACGAGTATCCGATAACATTGCATCGGATCAGCTCCTCGAGTAAGAGCCGAATCTCGGCGTCCTCATCGCTAGCTTTCCTCGCCCCGCCGGTTCGGGCACCTGAGTCGATCCAGTCGATGAAGACTCGCTCGATGTCGACGCGAGGTTGTTCGTCCACGCCCATGTTTTGCTTCTCCATAGCAATCAAGGCAGCAACAGCGTATCGCCTGTATGGGCCTGCTCGATCCCCGCATGTCGCCCAGGTGAACATGAGGGGCAGCTCGACCTGCAAACCACGCTTTCTCCGACGCTTGTGGAACAGAGACTTGTGAACCTGCGCCAAGAGCGTCGGAAAAGCGATGGAATCAAGCAATTGGATCGTTTCGTTGTCGTCAGGCTCGGACGAGTCCTCATCTTCAGTTCCTTTTGACGCCGCCTCTGACCGAACCTTGAGATCGGACATGTCGACTCGAACCATTTGCACCAATACGGGATCCTCAAGGCCGTCCAGTAGTTTCGTCAGGGAGGAAGCGTACTGCGACCACAATGGTGCAGCTATGAATGCATCCGGTAATGCTACAAATGTTGATCGGATCAACGAGGTGAGGGTTGATGTTGTCGCGGAATAGATCGAAGCTGGCGTAGTTAACGACACAAGGCTGTCCAGCCGCGCGAAGCAAGCCGCTATAAGTCGAGCAGAGAGAGGCTCGGATAAGAGCAATTCACCCAGGTATTCCTCGGCAAGGAAGAGGGCGAAAGGAAGCTGGCCAATGTTGGAGGAATCGATCTGATTGACCAAGAAGCGGAGGAAAGAGTCGCTGTCGAGTAGATGCTCCTCGTACAGAGCTTCGAGCAGGCGGAGACTGTGGGCAGCGGCGGGTTGGCTCGAGGTTCCTATTCTCACTTTTGTTCATACGAAGAACGAGACTCACGTGTAGGAGAACTTTGTGGTCCAGGCATTCCTCAGATTATTGTCCAACATGACGGGCTGCTTGGCCTGAGCTTTGGCACTGAGCGTCGTCCGCAGAGGATGCGTAACCGTGGTCGGTGAGGTCAAGCTGGCTGCTGGTGCCTCATCAGTGGTAATCTCGGCAAGCTGCTTGCGCACAAACTCTTGCACGATCAGAGTCCATTCCAAAGTATAGGAGGCGACTGCACTAGGTGCGCTTGCTGGTCGTTTCGCGATGTTGTTTTGCTGCAGGGATGATTATGACGATTGAGGTCAGTCCCACGAAATCAGATCCATTCAAAACCGGGCAAGTTTGCTCACTATCTCGAGTGCACCGAATGCTCTGACGAACCAAATCGCTCTCAAGAATGGCACCTTCTTGGAGTAGAACATCTCGAGGATTTGTTGTCCACGGTAGCCGTGGGGCACGATCGAGAAGAGTTTGGAAAGGGGCACGGCCGGATTGGACAAGTCGGTGAACCATTGCTCCCTCTTGGTATCGGTGACAATATTGCGTTTGGGAAGCTTGAAGGACGGAGGACTAATTGCGGAAAGATACACGAAACATTCAGTTTACGATAGACGGTAAGTGGCCCGGACCGGTGAGTACGAGAGGAGAGACGAGTGACGGACCCGTAGGTGGGGACCAGCTGCCGGGCCCGGTCCCTAACGGCGTTCGACAAGCGGGATAAATTGCCCAAAATGTCTTCGGATTTGAGTTTTTCGTAGATGAGCTGATGAGCCGAAAAGGTTTCGGTCTGTGCCAGTACACAAGTTCGATCAGCCCAAGACCATCTGCCGTACAACGTGTTGGGCTTGGGGGTCAAGGCGCCGAGCTGACATACCTGCACAACGTTTTTGCCCCCAAATCCTGTCTTGACAGCGGTTTCGGTCAGTTGGTCCTCCTCTTGTCCGTCGCACGGTGCGTAGAACTGAGGGTAGATGGACGTCGACGCAGCAGCTGCTGCTGCTGATGAGCTCGAGCTCGAGGTCGAAGCTCCTCCTGGCCCACTCCCACTCCCACTTCCAGCTCCACCTCGAGCAGGTAGCCAAGGTGGTCGCCATGAAGGTGGTTCAAGGTGATACCTAGTCAGACCCTGTTGGCGCAGCACGTGGTCGAGCGGGCATGGCTGGAACCGATGCGAGTTGATCGGGGGCAACGCCGAGTTGGGATTCTGGGTCAGCGTCGGTGGCAAGGACGAGGGCAAGTGGCCACGACTTCCCAGCCGAGTTGTCATCGTTCAAGAAGTGCGACCAGCCCTCGATCCAACGAGCCCGAGAAGAGAGAAGGAGAGAGAGACGGAGAGAGACGGAGACGTCGGTCGTCGGTTGCACGAGCTAAGGGAGAGGAGTGCAGAAAGAGAATCCGAGCTCGAGTTCGAGTGTGGGGTTCAGAACGTTCAGCCCGACAGTGAGCTGCAGTGAGTGCCTGAGCTGGCCCGCTTCGGTCCGCTTCGGCCTGCCAGCCTGGGCCCGCCCGCAGCCCGCCCGAGCCCGCCCTAGCCCGCCGCGCCCGGCCGACGTGCCGTTGACGTGATCGAAGACGAGCCTCCTTTCCACCCCCACTCTCGCTTTGAGAACCTCCTGTCTCGCGCATTGCGTCGTACGCGTACTACCCAGTCCCACGAGGTCACTCGGCACCATGTTCCGCCCCACCGCGATCCGGTCTATCCTGCGGCCGACCTCGAGGCTGCTCTACGCCGAAGCCACCTCGTCGTCGTCCTCATCTGCAAAGTACCCGGCGTTGCAGCCACACGCGCATTCGTTACCCGTAGATGGCTTCGTCGGAGCGGTCGGCAACACGCCCTTGATCAGGATCAACTCGCTTAGCGAAGAGACTGGATGCGAGATTCTCGGCAAGGTACGCCTGGTCTCTTGATAGCTTGTCTGCTCATTGATCAATCCGCGTCGAATGTCGTCGCTTACCATTCATTGCGCTCACGGTACGACTCATCTCAACTTGCCTTCTACCCAGGCCGAATTTATGAACCCCGGAGGAAGTGTCAAGGACCGAGCTGCGTTGGGACTGGTGCAATGGGCAGAAAAGCAAGGTGGGTACATCTTGGCCCGTCGTGGGTCGGGGTCGACGGCCACACCAGCCCAGCCGCTCACGTGACACGACATGATTCTCTGCAGGTCTCATCAAGTCCGGAGGAACGATCGTCGAAGGAACAGCTGGAAACACCGGGATTGGATTGGCGTGCGTGACGTCTACCCTGATTATACCGTCGAACGTCGTCTCTTTGGGTCACCGAGACTGAACCAGCTCTCTCGACCTATCCGTGCAGACACGTCTGCCGAGCTCGAGGCTACAAGTGTGTCATTTACATGCCCAACGCAAGTCCACCCCCCAATGATAAACGATATGTTCGTATAGAACATACCGTCTAATCGTGGCTCTAATCAACACACCCACAGACCCAATCGCAAGAAAAGATTGACCTGTTGCGCATGCTCGGCGCAGAAGTCTATCCGGTCCCTGGTGAGCACAAGCTGCCCCTGTTTTGGCGGAATGCCCATCTATTGACCATGCATATACCTACACCAAAGCCGTTGCATTCGAGAACCCTGAAAATTACAACCATCGTAAGCCTACTAGCGCTTGACACGAGGCCCAGTGCCGCAGCTAACGTCCGAGTTGACACCATTTTCTTCTGCAGAGGCAAAGCGCCATGCCGAGCGGCTCGACAATGCTGCCTGGTGGGTCGACCATTGTGTGATTCAAGGCACTTACTGTTAGACTCGCACTGATCCTGACTTTGCGACCTTGCGCGCAGGGTGAACCAATTCGAGTTCGTCACTCGCCTCCACTGATCATCCAAGCGGAGGAAGCTGACTTGTTGCAAATTCACCTGCCAGCAATTACCATGGTAACCGACAAGCACACATTGACACGAGCGGCCCCGAAATTTGGGAGCAAACCCATCTCCTCCCGGGCGGTCTGCAAGCCTTCATCTGCTCCACCGGAACCGGCGGAACGCTCGCCGGCATTACCCGAATCCTCAAGGAGAAATCCGAGGGCAAAGTTCAATGCTGGCTCGCCGACCCTCCAGGCTCGTGTTTAGAATCCTTTATCAACCGAGGAACGCTCGATCGTGTTGGAGGCAGTATCACAGAAGGGATTGGACAGGGTCGAGTGACCGATAACCTCAAGCAGGACATCGACTTGCTCGATGGGGCCTTGTTCATCCCCGACGAAGAGACGATCAGGATGATATACCATCTGTTGGACAAGGACGGTTTGTACTTTGGCGCTTCGACCGCGCTCAACGTCGTCGCCGCAAAGAAGCTCGCGCAAAAACTCGGCAAGGGGTCCCGAGTCGTCACCGTCCTCTGCGACGGCGCTTACAGGTGCGTTGCAGTAGCGGGGAAAAGTTTTTCCTTTGTCACGCACATGTCTGATCCATCTCAAAAACGCTGCAGGTATCAATCTCGACTCTTCTCAAAGAAGTGGCTCGAATCAAAGGGCCTCCTCAAGGAAATACCGGACCACTTGCAGAAATACGTGGTGCTCGAATAGAGGGATCCTGCTTGCCAATCAAAATTTTGAAGAGTTCAAGGGAAAGGAAAAGCAGAGATTGCATTGCGAGTGGGATTTACACGTGTCTTAAGTAGGGTAAGTCCGTCACACAAAAGAAAGAGGACATAGCTGTCCACGAAAGCACAATTTTGGCCTCTGGGTTCACGGATGTTGTGAAGTGGGCGCATAGGAGCTCGGAGGCCGCGAATACTGGGAGGGGTACTGCTGCTGCAGCATACTCTGGTGGGGGTGCGGGTACTGCGGCTGCGGTAGTGGGGCCGAGGAGGAAGACAAGAACGGTGCCGGTGGCTGCCCGTGCCCATTGCTGTATACACCGCGGTTGCTGTAGTCACGATTGTTCGACGTCGATGACGTGGGGGGGTAGTGGGAGTGATGACTTCGATCATGATCATTGGGCCGATAGTCTCGAGAACGGTCTTGGCTTCCGCCGTTGGAGTAGGAGCTCGTCGAATACGGTTCTCGCCCCCGCTCGCGATCGTAAGGCCTAGACGGAGGGTACGACGACGAGGGGGAAGCCTGATGCGAAGAGTGGTGCGACTGCGATTGCTGGTGAAGATGTGGGCTACGATGTCCACCATTGCTCGCGCGAGGGATCGTCGGCAGCGAAGCGACCGAACTCGGGGTCGCTGAGGGACGCGAACCAGAGCCGCTTTCTGACAGTCTTGGCTTCTTGTGACTCGGATCGTCGTCTGTCGACTTGCGTTTGATCGAGGGCAGACCCCCACTGGCAGAGGGGTGTGGCTGGGTGGAGGGGGCCGAGGTTGCTGCCGGTGCGTTCGAAGTCCGGCCCGTCAATTTCTCGTACATTGATCGAAGGCGGTCGGTTTGGACCCTCCGAGGGAAGAAATGGGTCGTCCATTTCCCTGTGATATAGGCAAAACTCTAAATCAGCGATACTGCATCGAGCCGAGTTGATCCCGCGAAGAAATAAAGGGCTCACAGAGGTGCTTGCGACGCTTCTCCTTGCTGCGACTTGATTCCTCGAGGTTCGCAGTGTATTCAATCCGCTGACCAATCGCCGAAAGGCACTCCTTGAGGTGCGCAACCTTTTCGTCGCGTGAGTAGTCTTGCGTATCCAACTTGAGCCGCTTGAGCTCACGCTTTACGGGTCGCAGGAGATCTTTGCACTCGGCCTCGTCCATACTCGCGTAGACAGAGTCATCGTCAGAACTGGAATCGGGTGCTACAGGTTTCTTTGGCTTCGATGACGACGAGGTTGACCCCTTGTGTGGCTTGGGGACTTTCGACGACGTGGTTCCCAAGCTGTCTCGTATGCGATCCCCAGCTGCAATCTTGGGGCGAGGTGCTCCGGCTGATTTCGTCAGCAGAGGGGTCGACGACGAATCACCACCTTGTCGGTTGGCCAGATGCGTCTCGAGCAGGAGATGAAGTAGATAGTCGGCGCGACGGACGAGATGGATCGCATTGGGCAGTTGCCGCTTCGCGCTGTCCTCGGCTTTGATCTTAGCATCCTCGAGGAAGAACTTGCCTTGCAAGCCCAACTGCGGATCGTTCTCGATCGCTTCCCACATCCCATGCCCGTGGCGCCAAACTCCAATCATCAACTTGGCGTCGTCGGCGACTCCCCACTCGCAATTCCAGTTAAGCGTCGCTTTGGTGTCTTCGATCGGGAACACCCACGCAGACGGGTCGGGCAAAGGGTTAAGATCTGTTTGAGCAACTGTTCTTTAGCTGTCAGGCCCACAAAATCGCAAACACTGCTGAATCACTTGCATTGATGCAATAGCCTGAGCTCAGCCGCGCGCTGCAACACCGTCTCGGCGTTGATGTTTGTGATAGATTTGTACGACACAAGCACTGCCTTGTTTTTCATCGCCACAGTGACCTCCTCGCCCGCCAACCGTTTCGTCTCCAGCAACTGCCGCTTCTCCTCGATCGCATCTTTGCAAATCTTGACCACGTCGTCAATCATCTGCGTCACGACCGTGCGGTTCTTGTTCTCGAGTCGAGCATCTTTGACGATCGCGTCGTACCGATGTCGAATGTCGCCGAACCTCTGCAAAGCTCGCACGAGCATGCGCAAATCACGATCCTTGAGCTCCATCGCTCGCTGCGCCTCGGTCTTGCGAGGGCCCCGCTTCTTTTTCTCTCCTTCACCCTTCACCGAATCCTTGTCCGAAGCAGGAGATGAGCTCCGTGAATCTGCTCGGGAGCCTTGTTGGCCTTGGTACGCTCCAGGCGCGACTTGGGCTGCCGCCCTCCGTTGTGTTTGCGCCGCGATCGCCGCTTCCGTTTCTTCCTTGACGCGCTGCTCGTCGGCCTCGGCACGGATATCGGCGGGAATGATGTCTTCCCACGACGTCATGTCGGCTTTGACGTCCTGTACCGCAAATTGATTCAGAAACTCTTCGCCGCCGAGCGAGGTCCCCGTTGCTCCCGTGGCGGTCTCGTACGCCTCGGCTTCATTGATGACTTCGTCGAGATCCATCTCTTCGAGCTTGGTTTGACCGGCATCCTGCTTGAAGATGTTAGCTGCTCCAAATTTGAGAATCTGAGATAGCTCGTCGCGCGTGTAGTTGTCCGGTCGCGAAGATGCGGCCGCGCCAAGATTCGTACCACTCGTGTCTATCTGGTTGACGACTGCGCACGTGAACGGATTGGTGTCAGCCCACATACACCGGGCACAAGGAAGACAGATCGTAGAGCGAACCTACTAGCATATTCAAGCACCATTTTCTTCCGAGCTCTTTCCAAGACATCCTCCTCGACTGTATCCTTGGTCACGAACCGATAAACGTTGACATGCGATTTCTGCCCGATACGATGAGCGCGAGCCATGGCTTGCAGATCGTTCTGCGGGTTCCAATCGCTGTCAAAGATGACGACCGTGTCGGCGGTTTCCAAGTTGATGCCTAGGCCACCGGCGCGGGTCGAGAGCAGAAAGACGAAATCGGGGGACTCGGGCGCGTTGTAGTGCTCGATGGCCTTGCGACGCGTCTCGGATGGCACGGTGCCGTCCAGCCGTTGGTACAAATAGCCTCGAAGAGCACAATAGTCGGACAAGATGTCGCTGAAGAACAACACGAATGAGCGATCGTCAGCACGTACGACCCCAAAAATAAGTAGGCTCCGAGTCCACTCACAGCATTCGAACCATCTGGCTGAACACGAGGACACGATGTCCATCCGCCTTCAACCTTGCCAGCAACTTGTCGAGCAGAACCATCTTACCACTGTTCATCACCAGCCCTTTGAGTGTCTCCTCCCTGACATCCGACCTGATCTCGGCGCCTTCAAAAAGGAACGGATGGTTCGACGCCTTTTTCAGCTCCATCGCGATGTTGAGCAACGACACACCCGGATTCGAGCTGCTCAATGCCTGGTAGTTGCGGGTCAAGATGTTTTTGTACCACCACATCTGCATCGTGGACATCTCCACGCGGAGGATGCGTTCGCTCTTGGTCGGTAGCTCCTTGATGACGTCGCGCTTGAGTCGGCGCAACATGATCGATTCGAGCTTGCTGTGCAGGTCGCGGATCTTTTCCTCCTTCTCCTCGTCATTGAGATCGAAATCGCCCGCGAGTTCAAACTTGTCCGGCGAAAGGAAGTGCATCAACGCGAGAAGTTCTGTAGACCGCTCACGCCAAATTAGCAACGAGCCCACGCGCGGTCAGCGCGATTAGGCAGTCACGGCCAGTACGGACCTTTGACGTTGTTCTGGAGCGGTGTCCCCGTGATGAGCAGCTTCGCGGCCGCACTAAAGCTCATGAGGGCTTCATAAAGCTGCGACTCGTTGTTCTTGAGTCGATGCGCTTCATCGATCGCCATGTACTGCCACTTGAGCGCGCCCAGGTCCGACTTGTCCTTGAGCACGAACTCGTACGTCGTCAGCAAGACGTTGAAGTTGGGCTTGCGACGATCGCCAAACTCGTGATCGCGGATCGTCTTACGACTGGGCCCGTTCCCCATGTAAGCGATAACGTTCAGATCGGGGGACCAATGCGCCAGCTGCATCTGCCATGCCGGCAGCGTCGACAGAGGAACGACAACCAGGAAGGGTCCGTACTGCTGTCGTTCGTGGAAGAGGTATGACAGGAACGAACATGTCTGCACCGTTTTCCCAAGTCCCATTTCGTCGGCTAAAATACCGTTCTCGCCCCTCGACCATAGATACGCGAGCCAATTGAGCCCCGTCATCTGGAACTCCTTCAGCGTGCCGCCTTGAATATAATCGGGTTGCTCGACCAGTTTCCTGAACGGCGGTCTTGATTTGCCGTAGTGCGTGCTCTTGTGAGGTAGATGGGCTGATCCAACGCGTTCGAGGAAGGACTCTATTGCTGGCGCAGCGATCGACCGAACGCTGTCGTGGTCTTCCCATGTGCACTCCGAGTAAGCCAAACCCCACCACTTGCAAAGGTATTCCAGGTGTTCATGATCGATGTCGGCATTGGCGGGGGCGTTGCGTTGCGCCACGATGCGCTCGACCCGCTTGTACCCTTCCAGCTGCTCGGCCTGACGCTCCCTCTCGATCTCCAGTGCTTCGAGGTCCTCGCGGTTCGTGGCCGGGTCGTTGAGGATGCGCTGGCGGGTCGCCCACACCGTCTTGATGAAATTCTCGACGCGCTTGAAGCCCTTAAAACGTTTCAGATATTCGTAGGTCTCCCAGGTGTTGTGAATGTGTGAGTAACCCTGCCACTTGACCAGGAACCGCAGATTTCGACTCGGCTCGTCTTTAGGATCGTCCTCTGTTTCAAGACAGCCGAAAATCTGCGATTAGACAAAGGCTGCACAGCATACGAAGACCGACCAAGCTAGCACTGACCATGTTCGCCATCCCTCTTGTATGAGAACACACCATCGATACCGTCTTCGTCGTCTAGAGGCGACAGCGGCAACGGAAAAGCTCAGTTCACGGCTCGCGACCACCTCGGTTCTTGGTAGCACGACTCTCTTGACTCACTTTTCCCTTCAATCACATAGCCGTGCCCCACATCGAAGTCATCATCACTCAGGTCAACTTCCATGTGCTTCTCGTTGTAGTTTGGTAGCGCTTTTCCATTCCTCGACGAGATCCTCGGCATGTCAAAGTCCGAAGTCGATCTCCCCTTCCCCTTGGAAGCCTTGGTGCTCTTGCTTGTCGTTCTCCTCGAGGTGGGCGCTGTGATTCGGGTCGGTTGTTTTTTCTTGGTGGTGTAACCCTTGTCGTTCTCATCGTCTTCCTCGGATGATGACGACGACGACGACGACGAGCTGGCCGACTGGTCCTCGGAGGTGCTTGCAATGCGAGACGTGCTGGAGATTGCTTTGCCTGAACCCCAATCAAGGCAAAGACGCAAAAGTAGGGCGAATTGATGAGCAGCGTTCAGTGATGATGGTGGTGGTTATATCGACGTACCTTTCCCTTTCCCTCTATCGCTCCGGCTCGGTGGCTCGGCACTGGACGAATCCTCGTCGTCGTCGGGGACCTGCACAGAGACGATCTTTCGGCGGATGAGCAACGCAGCTCGGGCGACTCTCCTTGGGGATGGCAGCTGATTGACCTTGATTGGCAGTGATGCGCGGCCCTGAAGGTAAGCAAAGCAAAGTCTCAAGTTCAGTGACAAGTTCTCGCCAGGGAGAAGGGTCAGATCCCGGAGCGAGGGCTTCGGAGATGGAGGGGTTCCACTTTGGGGCGCCGGCGTTACACTGGCGCGGGCTGCGGAGTACGGCCGAGCACGAGGCAGAAGAGACAGAAAAGAACAAGCACTGACCGATCTTCTGACGCCATACAGTTCAGGATCATAGTCTTCGGGTAAGTCGAGTCTTCGAGTTGGTTTCTGACCGCCCGTGGTGGCGCCGAGAGTCGAGGCCGACGTCGTAGCTCGAGACCGGTCCCTTTCTCCGTGTCCTGCATCGTTGTCGTCCTCGTCGTCCTCGTCGTCTTCATCGCCGTCATCATCACCCTCCTCGCTTTCATTGATCGAGAGATCTTCATCGTCGTCGTCCACGCTCATGTTGCCATGCCCGTCTTGTGGTGCTATACTCGCCAAAGTCGGAATCGGCTGAGGCGCGCCGACGAGCACCGACGAGGACGACGAGGCGGTAGGCGCTGCTGCTGCTACTACTGCATTCGACGGCACCTCCACCCCGCCAGATACGAGTGGCACGGGCGGCGTCGGTGGCCCAGCAGGCAGGGGTTGCACCCGCATGTTCGTAGCCGAGTCGAGTCGTGGTATAGTTACACCGTCGTCGTTTGCAGTGTGGCCTACCGGGTACAAGCTCCCAAGCTGCAGGTCAGGTCGTCGTCGACTGATCGGTCGCTGGTCCGGCACGGCCGATCGCGTTGAATTGAGCCGCTCCTGCTCGCTGGGGCGCCTTCACGTTTCGGAAAAAGGCCAGGGCTAAAGGGTCGATCAGGCCGAGGCACAGTCGGTGTGAAAAACCTGGTATCCAGAAGGTCGAGCCCGGCGAGGGAGATGGGGGGGGTTCAGAGCAGAGAACAGGCTAGCAGTTGCCACGAGAGCCAACTTGAAGGCACTATCGAAAAGGTCCGGGACAAGCAGGGACAAGCGCGCCTCAACCAGTGAGCAGCCCTGCTCCTCCCTGCTCGACGACAGCTTTGCGTCCTCCAGTGGCACCCGACAGTTCCGGTCTAGGCCGGGATTCAATGTCTCCGCGCTTTGGCAGGCCTTAGTTTGGGTAGCGGATGCAACAACGCACGAAGCACAGGTCGTAAAACAAAAGGGAGCAGCGAGGCGAGGCCCTGATTTGAGAACTCCGAGGAACGAGCAAAAGAAGGCTACAATAGCAACCCTCGAGCCTTCACTGGCACCGCATCCTTGGAGAAATTCGGATGTTACAGGCATCGGCGGACCGCAAACACGCAGGGACACTGAGCTGGCCGGGGTTTGGTATCCAGAGACGCGGCCAAAGAGAGAGAGAGGAACGGAAAGCGGTGGAGTGGAAAGGGGATTACACAATTAAACACGATGCCGCAACTCGAGGTGGAGGCTCGGCGCAGGATGTCGTAGCTTGGGAGGAAGACGAGTGTGGAAAGCTATAGGATCCATGAGTGAGTCAAAGGGATGGCGATAGTGCGACAACAGGGAACGACGAGCGCTGTTTTGTGGAGTCGAGGAAGGCGGTCGGAAGAGCCGGACCCGATCAAGCCGTGACCTCGTCTTGAGGTGCGGTGGTGGCGGCGTCGTTCGCGGGAGAAGCATCGGCAGCTTTTGTACTAGCAGATCCGTTGGTACCGTTGGTCTCGGTGACGCCCTCCATCTTGTCTTTGGATTCTTCGGCGGGCGCGCTCGAGTCGTTTGGTGTTTCTGTCGAGGCGGCGGCGAGGTCCTTGTGCTCCTCGGGTTTGGCCGTACCGTCTTCTTTAGGCGTGGCTTGGCCAGACGGGTCGGTGAGCGAGGCCCACTTCTGTGCGAGTGCGGTTGATCGTTCACGGAACTTGTACGTCTCCTCGTCCGGGATCTGGTTCGGGTTCAGTAGTACGATGCGCTTCAGCACTTTGGCGAGTTTCGATTCCTGCGCGAGGGCCAAAGCCAAGCAATAATTAGTTCTCCGACATTATCAAAGCAAGAAGGAAAGACGAGTCCCGAGGGATCGTAGCACGCACAGCGAGCCATTCGCGCTTCATGACGAATGTCTCCATCGCGTCAAAGTACTCGCGGCACTTTGGCATCTCCTGTGGGTCAAAATGTGGAACCATGAGCTCGGTGGGATGACGAAGGTTAGGGAGGTGGCTATGCTGTAATGACTGACATCGGCGTTCAGAGGGACTTCGTTTTTGTTGCTGAGGAAGACTTTTTGCAGCTTGTGGCGCCAATCGCGAACCTGCTTCAAGCCGGGATCGTCGACCTCGACGGCTGGGGTTGAGGGCGAAAAGTGTCAACCAAGCCAACATTCCGAGATGCCGGGCCATGGGTTGGGACTCACGCGCAGGGGCAGGAGTCGGCTTGGACTTCTTCGAGGGAGGTGCGGCCTCAGCTTCTTCCTTCTCGGCCTTCTTGGTCGATTTGGGAGGCGCCTGAAGGGGGGGGGGGGGGGTGATCAGATATCCGGAAAAAAAAATCAGCGTTCAACGACCCGTCAACCGTGTGACACACATGAGGGTGCGTTCGATTCAGCACATCCGTGTGCATGAGTTAGTTGTGATGTACGCACCCTGGTCTTGGCCAACTTCTCCAGCTTGGCCTTTTTCGCCTTCTTGTCCTCGACGGGGTCCTTCTTGGCAGCAACGGCCTTGCGCTTCTTCGTCGTGGCCTTGCCCTTGCTACCACTAGCCTCATCCGCACTCGCGAGCATGTCCTCGTCATCATAGGCCGCGACGGCGTTGGCCTCGTCCTCTCGCGCCTTCAACCATGAGCTCGGGTCTTTGGCGATTTTGTAGGCTTCGAGCAGGTCACCCTTCTTCTTGCTCGACGACGAGACGTAGGTATCGATCTCGTCCTTGGTGAGGGACGAAATATCGCGCGGAGCAGTCCAGGCACTGTGGAACGATGCAAACAGGACCAAGTTCAGTCACAGCACGAGCTTGGTCGTGCCTCGGGAGGCCGACTGCTCCACGCGTCGTCGCCGATGACGGGCGCTGAGCTGGAAACCGGTTCCTCGGGGAGGCCGACGTACTAGTCACCTGTCGGGAAGAAGCGAACGAGGTAGGTCTTGGACTTGGGAGGCTGCTGGCTGCGAACATTGACAGGCGCGTCCTTGCCGTCGGTGATCTGTGATGATGCGAGGCCGTGTGGTCGAGGCGCGCAGGATCGACGAGGTCGAGGCGCCGGATGAGCCGAGGCAACCGACAAAGAGAACGATGGGCGAGACGCGCGTCAAGGCGGAGGGAAGAGGGGGAAGGGGGCAACGGTCAGCAATGGGCTCGCCTGTCTCGACGACTACACGTCTCGCGAGTCTCTTGAAGAGATCACCCAGGTTGCAGGATGCCATCGGGCGAGGTGCAACGATGCACCGCGTGCTGCCAGGGCCACTGGTCGCCGCGCCAGATCGCGCCAGTCGCCGTGACATCCTGCGAGAAGGGGCATGGAGGCCGTGCGTTGAGAGCATGGAATCGGATCTTACCTGACCAGGCCACGATGGGTATCCCTTGATCTTGGCGAGCACCTACAAGTGCCAGTGATCGAGCGCGAAGAGGGAATTGGTCGCACCGGGAGAGCGCGTCAGTCTCGATCCGACACCCACACCCGGACCAACGGGAGACCGGCACGCGACGACATACAATATCACCCGCCGTGTACGACTTGTCCACTGACGGAGCAGCACCTTTCTTGGACATGATGACGACGACGCTGGTCTACGTGAGGGGTTGGCCAAAAGAGAGAAGGGTGAACGGTGAACGGGGTAAGGGGGGGGGGGAGAGGGGCAAGACAGGGCGATCAACAATCAGGCTCGAGGCTGGGGCTGGGTGGGAGCAGGTGGAAGCAGAGGGGGCGAACGCGACGGGAGGACCGACCCACGGCGCGCAAGCCCGCACCCGATGGACAGGAGCTCGAGATATGACCCGTGCTGGCCAATCGAGAGGACCTACATGTGCGAGACGGGTTGCGGTCGGCGGCAGGCAGCGCAGTGATTTGACGTCGGTAAGGGCAGGTGCGTGAGCCAGGCCAGGCCGGCCGCCTTCCATTTTGGGCCGGGCTCGCGGCTTGCTCCAGCAATGCTTCAGCTGGCTGCTGGGCAAAACTGCCGGCCGCTTGACGCGGCTGGCGTGGCGCCGCCTCGCCGCAGCCGAGGGGCTACTCTCCACGGCGTGAGCCCCTCGTTGGCACTGGTACGACGGTGGTTCATGCGGGTGGAACTGATTCCTGTATCGAGCAAGGGAGATGCTACTGAGCTCTCAATTGTTTCGCTTCCAGTACTACTTCATACTACTTCGCGGACTATTGCGACGACTACTTATGTACGCCGCACGTACTTCTAGGCTGAGTTGGTCAGAGACGTCCATGTCCACGTCCAGAAGCAAACTGACGATTGAGCTTAGACGAATGAGTTCGGCTTTGTCAAGGCGGGCCACCGTTCCACTGTTGGCCTTGGCGAGGTCGATGCCGATGTTCTCGAGCAGAGTCGATGGCGAGCTCGCGTCGACAGGGGTGGTGGCGAATTTGTGCGCGGGCGTTCGCAGCTCGAACAGAACGTCGGAATCTTCAAAAGAGCGCCCCTTGGGTTCGGACAGTCGGAATTAGCAGTATACGGTGCACAAATAGCAGATACTCGGTTGAAACAAACGGCAAAGCTGAGTTCCGGTCAGCGCTCAAAATGTCGACTTGGTGATCGTCCGAATCTCGGTCGTACCGGCAGAGAATAATCCACTGAGTGAGACTTATTACAATCTTCCACGATGTTCGCGGTCGACATACGGAGAGATTAGCAGATGCCGTTCTTGTAGAGCCGTTTCGCCTTTCGCATGATCATGTTGTGATCTGCGCATCACTGCACGCGCCTCCTGCGTCAGTTCTTCCACTCGACCTGGATATTGCTCGATCGCCGCTCAGATCGCTCGAGGAGTCAATGATCGCGGTCGACGTCTGGGTCTCATCTTTAGCGTTGCCTTTTATATTGATTTTTGTTCTGTTGGGGGTGCGAGCTGTGCGACGCCAGGTCCAAACTGTGTCAGCGTCGCCTTTCCGACAATCCCCACGGGAGACGAGAGGGGAGGAGGGCTCGGTCGCCCAACCCTGGCCACCGTGGTCATCACATCCCACTCACTCCTTTGTGCACGTGCAAAAAACCATGGGGATAAGAGCTAAAAGATCGGGCCAGAGGTGAGAGTTTGGTAAGCAGGAAAAAAAGGTTGGCTCCTGCCCGGGTGGGGGGGGGTCGACAAATCGGTGGGGCAGTCCATGATGTGCATCACACTGCTGCCGCTAGACCGCGGTTTCAATCTCATGGCATTATTTACAACGTCTTGTTAGAAGACAGAATCCAATAAGCGCTAGATCCGCTAGTTTCTGCCTCCTATTTCCTCTAATCGGCTCCTAATCGCCGGCTCGTGATGACGCTACATCCGAGGTTAAATTGAAGTAGCTAGCACTTCAGCCAGTGATAGGGGGTGGGACCGCCGAGGGAGATACTTATTGAGCAGAGCAATCGATTTCGCTCACGCCTTCCGTATCCAAGATAGTTTTAGTTCTCCAACAACCATTTCTCGACCTCCCACGCACCTCCCCAAGGCACGGGAGTGCACTGCAACGGGCTTGTCTCCTTCTCGCTGATAATCCTCCTCGACAGCTCACGGTACATCCTCACCAGCGCAACATCACCCCTGTTGGATCGAGGATGACGTATGTCAGCATTTCTCGTGATACGGCCCGGATTACTTCAGCTTTGTAAACGCACTTCCGCAGCCTCAAAAGCGGGCAAAAGTCATTGCCTCCATCTCCAACGTAGACGACTCGGTCGTACGATTCCCACCCTCCGCTGCGAGCCATGTACGCATCCAGCTCGGCGCCTGTAGTATGCAAAGCCATCTCAGCTTCTGTTGATTATTCGCATGATTCTCGGCATAGCCCCAACGAACCCTTGCACATATTCGGGCTGCAGCCAACTTTGCAGCCGTGCTGAGGCCCGTTCGGGTCAACTCGTCGGCGCAAGTCGAGGAGATTTCCCTTCCATTCTGCTGGGTTCGTGATGATTTCCTCAAAGAAGTTCTCCATGTTGTGGTGCTGTTGGATGTTTAGGGATCGAGGAACATGAATGAGCTCGGAGATTGGAGCTCGGTCAGGCCGGTGTCTCGAGGTACCTTGAGAATGGTGTCGATGTAGACGCTGTTGCTGTTAGACAAGCACAGGAAGCGAGTCTTGGATTCGGTGCGAGCTTTGGCGGTCTGCACTCCTCGCAACATGGCGGGGTGCTGGACGACAGAATGAGGGTGCCCGACATGTCAGAAGATTCGTTCCACCGAAGGCTCCCGTAGGTGTTCCCAACAGTCGACGTACGACGGGCAGACCTTGCAACGACTCGATGATCTGTTGCTTCGTCGCACCCTTTTCGTTGAGTTTACGCAGGTGCAATGCTCTGTGGAAGCGAGAGTGACGGGCACATGGGGTGAGCCGGACGGTCGTTGCAGATCAGTAGAGAACGACACGTTCTCTTCGTTCGGAGAGGGGAAAAAGAGGGAACGCACACGTTGTCGGTCCATTGAACGGTCTTCTTGTGTTCCCTCAAGCTTACTCGCAACTTGGGATCGAGCACTTCGAGCACATATCGATCCGTGTCCTGATCTGTTGAAGGCGAGCACGAGCTGGACTACAGTTAGATGTGTGCCGGAAAGCTAAGATTCAGAGCTTACTGACCTGCGAAGGACCAGTCAAAATCAAAGACGACTAATTGGTTCTTGACGACCATGATTTGTAGAGTGTGTGGGTGAGAAAGACGGATCGGAATGGGATCGGGGAAAGCGGAAGGAACTCGAGCTGCGATAGGGTGGGGAGCGACTTTGGGCTAATGCGGGCTTTCGCACCAATAGTGATGGCAATTGAGCGTGTTTCGCACGGGGCGAAGTGTCGTGGGCGCGGAGGAGTGCGCTCGCTCAACTTTCGCCTTCTTTCCGCACTGTATACGCCCGCCTTATTACACTTATGTGAGTGGCCGCGTGTCCAATCTCGAGAGAGTACATCGTGACTGATAGTCTTCCTTGTTAACGTCCTTCGACCGCACTCTCGGTGACTTGCGACTGCCTGCTGCGATCTACTTGTTTTCGCACTCGCTCCGCCGCAGATATCACAGCATGTCTCTCATCCTCGGTCTTTGGTAAGCCGGAGATGGACTGCATTTATACATGATATGTCGGCTCTGACCCGGAGCTTGGTCCCATTCCTCGACGTTCAGGTCTGTCACTCTCGAGCCGGGAAAGACCTACTCCCAGAACACGACCCCCGTAAGTTCTTTGGCTACTATCCGATTCCCAACGGATTGCGGAACGTGTACTCACTCGAGAACGGTTTCCTTCACAGGCTATCCAAATCACCAACATCTCGGTAAGTATTATTTGCTACCGGAGCCCATCGCAGCTCCGGTATCACATTCCGCCACTTTTGCCTCGCTCTTCCCGCTTTCCGTTCTCCGCGGAGAGCAGTCCCAGTCCCTTCACGACTAACATGTCGTCTCTTCCTGCCCCTAGTTCGGTGCCGAAGTCAAGGGAGATGCTCGCACCGTCGTCAGCATGAAGTATCCCGATTGGGACCCCGAGGATTCGGATGAGGAGGAAGAGGACAAGGATGAGGATGAGGATGAGGATGACGAGAACCCGGTCGAGTTGCCCAAGCTCATCACCAAGGAGACCGTCCTCGCCGTCTTGAAGCCCAACGGCACTGAACAGGTCCAAGTTAACATCAACTTGGTCGAGGACGTAGAGGTTGTTGAATTCTCCATCACCGGACCCAAGTAAGTGTTTCTACTGTAGCCCGCTTGCCCGCTCGACGGTGCTCGGAGGGCCCACGTGGGGTCGGGGTCGCTCGCTCTCCGGGATTTCCACCCAATCTCGCGTTCTGACTCTTGCTTCCGCGACTGGTGTTATCGCATCCTCTCAGCCCCGTTCACTTGCTCGGTCACTACATCCGCCAAGAGGACTTTGACCAAGACCCGTACTCGGACTCCGAGTACGACTCGAACGACGAGTCGATCCCTTCGGACCTCGAGGAGGACGAGGACGAGGACGAGGACGATGAGAGTGACCTCGAGGGTCTCTCCGGTTTGATCGACGACGACTCTGAGGACGAGGATCCCGAGGATGAGGAGATGGACGAGTCACGCTTCGAGGAAATCGCCCAGCCCAAGGCCGCGTCTAACAAGCGAGCCGCCGAGGCCGCACCCGAGGCCGGTGACGAGTCCATCTCTTCGACTCTGTCCAAGAACCAGAAGAAGAAGCTTGCCAAGAAGCTCAAGGGCGCCGATGGAGCTGCTGCTCCTGCCCCTGCCCCTGCCCCTGCCCCTGCTGCCCCCGCCGTGAAAGAAGCCAAGCCCGCTACCACCGTTGAGAAGAAGGAGGCTCCCAAGAAGGTGCGTCTAGTCCATGAAGCCAGACTTCTATGAATGCCAGCTGAACGCAGCGCTGCTCTTCCGTTGAACAGTCCACCACGCAGATTTTGGCCGGAGGTCTCCAGATCATCGACGCCAAGAAGGGTGACGGTCCCGTCGCGAAGAACGGCAAGAAGGTCGGCATGAGGTACATCGGTAAACTCGAGAACGGCAAGATCTTCGACAGCAACACCAAAGGTACCCCCCTCGTCTTCACGCTCGGCCGTGGTGAAGTCATCAAGGGCTGGGAGCAAGGTCAGTCCGGTCGGGTCACGGCGTCAGCGGTGCGACACCTGCAAGCATGTGCTGACATGACAGTCCTCACGTTTTGCAACAGGTGTCCTCGGCATGGCCGTCGGCGGTGAGCGCAAGCTCGTGATCCCCGCTGCGCTCGCGTACGGCAAGAAGGGTACCCAAGGTATCCCCGGCAACGCGACCTTGATCTTCGACGTCAAGCTCGTCTCGGTCAAGTAAACGTCTCGACTCGGACCGCGTTAAAGCCTCGAGATGGGTTGGATGAAAAGCCGAAGGATCATGTGGGGGGGTGGACTACTTCCCCGGATCACAACAGTAAAACTATGAAGTGAAATTTATAGAATCAAAAGAAGAATACTCGGACTGTTACGCCTGTGTATTTCAGCTGTGGGTTCTGTTGCTCGTCGTCGTAATTTAGGAGTCGAGCTCGACTTGGAATGTGCTTCACCAGGTCTGAGGGCGGCACAGACTAAGCCCAATAATGTAGACTTGAGCTAAATCCGAAAAGAAACAACATTTTGAGATACAAGGCACAATTTAGATCGGAGGAAAATTGCTCCACATTTTGGGCGAGACCGGCAGAGACCGGAGGAGACCGGCGGTGCGTTCAAGCAGGGGCGCTCGCTCGATCGCCCGATTGCTTGTTACCCACTGCCCCCCACTGCCCCGTGCCATCACAGGCCATCACGCGGATACGAGTACGCACCGCGGCGACAAATACAACCTCCTCATTCACACCAACAGACCGCTCGGGCTGTTCAAAAACTCTTGGCGCTACTCGCTTCCGTCACAACGCGGGTCAGCTATCCGCAGAGACGTCATCAATCTCCAGCCGTCTGATCGTATACCGACCTCCAGCCACATCTACCTGATTGAAAATCATCAGTAAGCTCCTAACACGACCTACTCTGCTCCATCATGATCATGGACGCCGTACACCGCTCGTCCGGCTCATCACTCAGCCGAGCCCCTGTGCACGTCACCCTTCCCCTGCATTTGCTTTGGCGTGCTCACCCCGTTCATCGCACCTTCGCAGTGTCGGCACGCTACACACAATCCAAGGCCGAGGCAGCCAGGCATCAAGAGATCCTCCGAGCTATGCTCAAGCAACCCGAGAACAAGGTTCGTGTCAATGCACGCCCTGGTCGCCTGGGTTGTCTATGTCGCTCATCCCTCGTGACTGACCATCGGCCATCTTCACGAATACCGCTCGCAGCTCTGCGCCGATTGCAAAAGAAACGGCAAGTCTGTCACATTCTTTATCGCGTGTTGAAGATAAGCGGATCTAATGTTTTCGATCGGTGCCATTCACAGATCCTCGATGGGCGTCGATCAACCTCGGCTGCTTCATGTGCATCAGGTGCTCTGGTATCCATCGAGGAATGGGTGTTCACATCACCCGAAGTAGGTCCTCAACATACATCTTCCGACATGTGAAATGTCGCTCAACTCCGCTCTTTGTTGCTGGCCACAGTCAAGTCGGTTGATCTCGACACCTGGACCCCAGAACAAGTTGCTGTCAGTATTGAAGAGCGGTAGACCATCAATCCTTGCGCTCCGAGACTGAGTATGTGCTTGATCTTGCTTCAGCACGTGCAACGATGGGGCAATCGGAGAGCAAACGTATATTGGGAAGCCCACCTCAAATCCGGACATCTTCCGCCTGAACAGTAGGTCAACATCATCCGAGTAATTGACTTCTTGAACTAGGCTCACTCTGAGACTGTGACGAACCGAATAGCAAAATGGAGTCGTTCATCCGATCCAAGTACGAGCTGAAACGGTGGGCCATGGAAGGACCGATTCCTGACCCCGAGACCCTGGATGACGAGACGCCCACTGCGACTGCTCCCGCACCCGTGTCCTCGACTCGTCCCGCTGCAATTCGAACAACCGCTGCTCCCACCGCGACTCGCAAGGCGGCACCCACAACATCGATCGATCTCCTCGCTGGTCCCGGCGATTCATTTGCATCCGCTCCGTCTCGCTCTTCCTTGAAGCCTGCTGCGGCGCCCATCCCGGCGGCTACCTCCGGCGGAGGCCTCTTTGACCTCGACATGGGGCCGACGTCGACCACTTCGGCGCCTGCTGCCGCCCCTGCGCCCAAACGTGATGCCAAAGCCGACATCCTCTCTCTCTTTGCCAGTGCACCGCCACCTCGTCCCGCTCAGACGCAGGCTCAACCCCCCAACTCGGGCTCGGCGGATGCGTTCGGTGATGTCTCGTCGAGCTTCAGTAGCCTCAGCTTTGGTGCGACACCAGCGGCGGGTCCGAGTGCCGGCTCGATGACGGATCTTTGGGGAAGTACGACTACGGCGACCCAGTCGACGATGCCGGTAAGCCATGGCGGGTTTGGAGGTGGAAACGATGATGGGTTTGGCGCGTTCGGAGTTGCCATCTCGAATGCTAGTAGCCAGCCTGCCAAGGTGAGTACCCCTGTCGGGCTAGAGATCAAGTTGTGGGCTACTTATCGGTCTTGTTACACTCTAGTCCTCGAACGACTTTTTCGGAGGTGCTTCATCGAGTGTGTGGGGTAGCAATGCCCCTGCGCACGCACCGGCGCCGGCGGCTTCGAACGGCAACGACGGCTTTGGAGACTGGGCGACTACAACCACCTCGACAAGCAACAAGGGCTCGTCGGCGGATGCCTTTAGTGACATTTGGAAGTAGACAAAGAAGAGTTCGGGCTGTTCTGCTCTAGCTCCTAGTCGCTTGTTGAAACAGTTAGACTCGAGAGAGTCGCCTCAGATCGATGCGCCAAGGGGTCCGTGCGAGTGACTTGTGGTGAGAAAGTCGACGACCTACGAGCTCACGCGCGCTCAGCGCTGCTCACTAGTGCTCACTGCTCGCGACGCCTTTCACGACGCAGCGACGGAGTGACGGCGTTCTGCGATTCCTGTGCCAGCGTTGCTCATCGAGACCCGTGGTGACGATCTCTGTTGGATACAGTTGTCGTGTTCGTTGACCGTCTCCGTGCGAGGCCTCGGCTCTCCCCCCCTCTCTCCTCCGTTCCCTGCCGCTTGCCGCGTCGTCGTCAGAGCCAACCCCCTGCAGGCTGCTCCCTCCCCCTCTGCTGCCATCGACTCGGTCGCACGACACACCCCTCCCCACCCGGCATCCACACCCACCCCTGCTGCGCCTAGCCGACGCCCAGTGATCTCCCAGAGTAGGCTCGGATCGTAACCGTGGCGGTCATCGTGGCAGTCCAGAGGATGAACGGTACAGAAGAGACGAGGTCGCCCGCCGCGGCCTTGTCCTCCGCGTTGCCGCTCTCGTCGTCGTCGTCGTCGCAGGCGCTCGCCGCTCGCAAACGATTGACGCCCGCGCTCAGCACGACCACCCTCGACGCCACGTCCAACAAGAAACCCCGCCTCGACTCGGCGCTCACTTCCAACGTCCAGGACGATGACGAGGACAAGTCGGAACAGGAGATGCAGCTCGAGGTCAGTTCATCACTTCTTCCTAGTCCGCGAAGGCTTCGGAGGGGCGTCGTGGCGAATGCGTTGGAGAGCACACTCGACTGCACTCCCCTCCCTCCCACAGACTCCAGCCATGAACAGTTGAGCGCCCCTTTTCTGACCTACGCGATTCTGTGATCACGTGTAGAGCTTTCGCAAGCAGGCCATCTGGCGCGAGATGCGAGAATATCGACGCCGGTTCGAGCACGCGCAACGCCAGGTGGAACAGTTGACGCTCCAAAACGCTCGTACCCAAGCTCGTTTGGCCGCAGTCGATGCGAGTTGGAACTTGGTCAGTCTGAACAAACGAGGTGACGTTGATGGACGTGCTACTGACCACAGACTGCTGTCGCTAACTGTCAGCTCGTGAGGGAGGCCGATCTTCTGCTGCCTTCGACTTCGACCGCTTCGAACGGTCACTCTTCGAATGCTGGTACGTCTTTACATCGCACTCATTCAAAATACGCCGTAGATCCTAAGCCCACACGGAGTATTCTCACAGCTCTCACACCCGCCGTCTCGGATCGATCCTTGACCGAAGAGCAACTCGACGAGGCGCTCGCACTCCGCTCGGCCGCGACCAAAGCCCTGCTAGGGCGATTGCAGACTTTGCATCCTTCCAACGCCTCCACATCTGATGAAAAGGTGGCAGATCTTGAGAATCAATGCCGTGAATTACTCAAAGAGGTACGCTGATGCCGAGTCGACCCTGGCGTTCGGTACTTGTGGGGCTCGGGAGCTGACATTCAAATCTCGATTTCACCACTCAGGCGACCCGCTCGCAAGAAGCTCTTCGACTGCTCCGACAACAACACGAGCAAGTCGTTGAACAGGTCGAAGATACGCAAAAGCGACTCGCTCGCGCCGAGAAGAAGTTCGACCGTGCGCAATCGAGCACCGTCACCGCCGTCGAGGGACGAAGTGGACCCACCAAGGGGACCGCTTCCGGATCGTCATCCCCTAAAATCGGCGCCAACCCCAATGGAATTGATCCCCATGGACCGAATAGCATCAAGGCCGACTCCGCCGCCGCCGCTCGACCAGCCTCACCTCTGGGTCCGCGCCCCACCGTCATCGATCCCGAACTCCTGGAGGAGCTGCATCAGTTGCGCTCGATTGGACAGATGCGCGCGCAAGAGCTTGACGAACTTCGAGGGGAGAGGGTTCGCCTTCGATCCGAGGTCGATGCTTTGAAGACCCGACTCGTCGAACTGCCGGAAGATGTCGTATCCGAATCGACGCCTTTTAAACTGATGCAAAACTACGTGCAGCATCTGACGGTCGAGATCGAGCTCCGCCGTGGCGAGCTCGAAAAGCTCGTTGCTGAAGTCGAGGTGCTACGTGAGGGGCAACAGGGGTTTAAGGCCAAGACGTTCAAAGAAGCGAACGAGCAAGTCGAAGATTTGCAGAAGCGCATGCTGGCCAAGGAGCAAGACCTATCGAGGATCCGAGCGCAGCGAGAGGACCTGCGAGCCGAGGCGAGCGAACTCAAAGCGAGGGATACGGAAAAGTTCACAAGCGTCAATGACCTTAACGTCTTGGTCAAGTCGAGGGAGGACCGCATCACGGCCTTGCTGTCCGAGGTCAGGAGGCTCAAGATGGTCAAGGCGGCGAGCGAGGGGGATGCCAAGCGTGTCGAGATGCATGCCGCCGCTGACGAAGAGGATCTCGTCAAGGATCTGTCCTCGCGGATCGAAAAGGCCGAGGCTTTGCTGCTTGCGCTGAGAGACCAATTGCACTCGTACGCTGCTGCGGCCGGAGCCACTGCGAACGGTGCGATCGACGCCTCAACGATTGTTCAATCCGAGATGGATGCACGCAAGGAACTGAGCGAGGCCAAGGCCCAGCTCGCGAAGTTTGAACCGTTCTTCGGTCCGGGCCCGGAATACTCGTCGGAAGCTGTGGCACGGAAGATAACGGCAGCGACGGAGAGACTTGCGGTTGCCGAAGCGCAAGTCCAGAGCAACGAGCTCGCTACGAATATGCTCTACAGCGAGATCGATCGGTTGTCGGCCGCGTGGTCCACGTTGGATGAGCAGCAGTCATCCAAGGCGGCGCAGTTGCATGCGCTTGAGGAGAAGGTCCATCGCTCGGCGACCGAGAAGACCAAAGCGGACAACCGGTACTTTCAGACGATGCGACAAAAGGAGGCGCTTGTCGCCGAAAACGCCGTCCTAACTAAGCTCGCGGACAAGCAGAACCGAGCCCTCGAAGCGGGTGAGGAGGCTCGACACGCGCTCGGTGATCGATTGGCCGCGACCGAGAAGGAGATCACACTGCACCAGCGCAACCTTCGCTTGCATCAGGATCAACTTGCGCTGCTCAAACGGGAGAATGTCGACTTGACGCTTAAGCACGACCAGCAGGTGAAGGTCGTTGCCGAGTTGCAAGCCTTGCTGAACGAGCGTGTTGCCCAGGCCGAACACGAAAACGCGGGCAAGCGACGAGCCGAGGAGTCCGTCCAAAGGCTCGAACGGGACCTCGCTACGGCCAAAGCCACAGTCAAGACTCAGTTGTTGACCGGTGGAGGCGCCGGCTCTTCCAAGGATGAATCCACCCAATTGCGCGAGCTCAAGAGCTTCAATGACGACCTGTCCAAGATGCTCAAGTGTTCGACGTGCAACTTGCGCTTCAAGAGCGTCATCATTGACCGATGCCACCACCTGTTTTGCAAGGACTGCATCGATGCGCGTCTGTCGAACCGGCAACGCAAGTGCCCGACATGCGGAGCGGCTTTCGGCAAGGACGATGTTTCGACCGTCTACTTCTGAGAAAACCTCTGCTTCGGTGTCTTCGTCATGGCTGGGCCATCTCCGTTCCCTTTTGTCGCCGGCTTCTATCGGCGTTTATTTCAGACCCGATCTTCCGATGGGACCGCATCGTCCACCCCCGCTTCGAAAGCTGTATGATGATTTATTGTATACAATGTAATCGAGTGCCTGTTCATTATGAGGATCTATGTTTACATTACAGATGTGGGTACGATGCCATCCCAAGTGAGAACTTCCTGGCGCGCGAATCGATGTTTGGGTTGCCTCCGTGCCATTCATCTCAATAGCCAGCGTACTCCTGGCTTTGCCTAACACGACCTTGACGGAGAAACTGCATTTCGCACGACCAGTGGAACTCGGATCCAAAGCCTTATGCACGACTTCTCCTCGTGTGACGTGATGCTCGTACGAGCTGGCTTGTCGATCGTCATTCCAATCTTCACCGTCGAAGCATTTTATTCACTCTCCCCCTGAATCAATGACATGGCATCCGCCATCGCGTTCATTCGTGATCGCGGCTCGAGCAGGTCATAATCGATCTAGAGGTTTCCATTGGGATCGATGGTAAAGTCTGAACCTGAACACAGAGTCGAAGCTATCACGTCGGTGTTGGCCGGAGCCAGAGCCGCTCTGGATTCGTCCACCACAACTTGAAGTCTTCGAGAGCCGTCGTCTTGTAGCTGATTCAGGGTGGTACGGTCAAAGACGAGCGGGCAGAGCGACGAATGGATCAGATCCTGGGTCTGCGTGTCCGACCGATTTGAGTATGCAGTGGCTGCTCGTAAGGAGAGGTTAAGTTCAAGCTCGCCAGACCGTGCCAAGTGGCCGAATGAACGTGTCGGCTATGAGCCATCTCGAGTCGTAGACCGCATCGTCACCCGCCATCTGAGAATGCGAGAAGCTAGCAACTGTGAGTCCCGTCGGTGGTCAAGATAGGTCCAGGTTCTGTGACGGGTACAGCGGCGATGACACGCTTTTTCCGAATCGAGAAAGTCCACGAAACGAATCATAATTCCTTCCCCGCCCCTAGTGGACTGATGCGATGATTACACGTGGATACAGCACTTAGCGCAATGAGAAAAACTACCAAGTGTACGCGTAGAAAAAGGTTTCGTAGACACTTCACAACTTCATCCCACCCGACGAAGCGCCGCCCAACCTCATCCCGACGGGTACGTTGCCCGGTGTGCCCAACTCACTCAGTCTTCTCATCGTACCCGGATACCCCGGTCGCATCCACATGGTCGTCGAGCCCCCCATACCCAATACACCATTCCCACCCAATTCCTCATCCGACCCCTCGGAATCACCACTACTCGCATTGCCGATCCCCACACCGCCACCGACGGCCCCCATTGCTGCGCCTCCCATTCTCCTCGAAATGAGTCGATTCACATCCATCATGACGTGGTGCATTTGCATCCTCAGACCGTGGGTTACCGCTCGGAGAGAGGCAATCTCTTCGCCTGTTCGGATTGAGTCGTGGTGTATCGTTTGAGAGAGGCCGGCTTCGAGTGACGAGTGAGAGGATTGTAGGGAGCCTAGCTGGGATTGAAGCGAGGATAGCTGCGTCGAGAGTGTAGTCGAAGGAGTGGCCAAGCCGGGTGAACTTAAACGTGAACCGACAGAAACCGACAGAGGAAGGGCTTCGAGCAATGGTGTCGAGTCGAAGCGTTCGGTGGACGAGGTCGCATCGACTTCTGTCGGTTCTGGAACGCTTGATGGTTCAGGGGCGACCCAAAATTCGCCCATACCTCTCCTGACCCCTTCGAGGACTTCCCGCATCTCCCTCATGCCTTCTTCGAGCTTGCCAACTCGTTGCCGCAACCACCAGTTTTCCCCTTCGACGCGGTCGATGATGCCCTTTTGTTGATCGAGATAGGTCTTGATCGGTTCGTAGGGACATGCGACGTCGAGGTGTTCGTCAGCCATCAGCGAGCGGGCGACCCGGGTTGAGCAGCCATGGGCAGCATGCGGACATGGTATTGGGATCATAGGACAATTCTCGAGGTGATGGGACGGTAGTGCTGATCGAAGGAGCATTGTCGAGCAATAATTGCAGTTGACCTCGGCCGAAGGACAGGTCAATCCGTGCGACTGAGGACGAAATTCCAAAACGCCGACCGACGAGTTAGACCGACGCGCGTTCCAAATCTGGGGCAGGCGAAGGGCACTCACCGAGAGATGACTGGCGAGCAAATCTACGCGACATAGATCACATACGACCCATATCTCCTGGCCGTTCTCGTCAACATTCGCCGAATCCTCTTCGACGTTGCTGGCGGTGACCTTGGCCTTGCCCTTCCCCTTGGGATCCGCAACGGTGACGATCTCGCGCTCGTATCGACACTGGTCCTTGAGATGAATGGACAACCAGCCCCTCTCACATTCGATATCGCATCCTTTGTCCGCGTGAGGACACTTGACGCTCAGTTCATCGACGAATTGGTGCACGATGCGAGGCGCGTCGATCAACTGCTGCTGCAGCAAGGCCGAGCGGTCGATCGGGCACGTCGACGACAGCGAAAGGGCGCGGCTGATGCAGTGATGACAGAAGATATGTTGGCACATCGGTGACATGACCGGGTGGATGAACGGGTTGCTGGTGGACGACATAAACGCGAGGGGTAAGGTAAGCCATGTGGAACTGGATGACTGGCCCGTGCCAGTCAGACGGAAAGCGGGGTGACACTCACCGACATATGGCGCATTCGAGGGATGCGTTGACCTCGCCCACATAGTCGTATACGTTTTCGGGTTCCATCCTGACGCAACAAGGGTGACAAACCGGAGCAGAAGCGAAAGCCGAATGCGCAGAGGCGAGCCTGACGCGCCACTCGTACGCCTGCACACACCCTCACACACCCATGCACACACCGGTCCGGCCGAGTCGAGATGCCGAGTCGGATTTCATGAGGCCACCAAAAATACTGAACTCGACAAGCATTTCGGTGAGGCAATTAGAATGATGCTTTGATTCAGCTAGATCCGACTTGGAAAGCTTTGACCGCGTACCCAATATCACTCGAATCTACACAAAGCTGCTGACAGGATGCCCACTTTCGCACAGACTTTATTCTCGCAACGGCGTCCCATATACAAGAATGAAGAGGGTGCAAATTTCTTGAACAAAGAAAAGCAGCTAAAACAACAAGAGGATAAGTCAGCTTGACCGCTCCGGGTTAACCCAAGCCAGTCCTGCGACGAACCTTCGTGGCCCATTGGATCTCCGCGATCTGCCGATGTCGCACGTGACCGCGGGACGCGCCTCAGCAACTTCCTGATCGTCTACGCATTCTCTCCCTCCTCCCCTCCGCTCCTACAGCTCTCAAGCTTGGAATGCTTTCCAGCCAATCAGAGCCGTGACACCAGCTGCGGCACTACTCTGGATCGCATCGTTGGCGGCCATGTCGCCGTGGTGATAGCTGAGGTACCCGATGCCCACATCGAGCGCCTCGGTAAGCGCGACGAGTTTGACCGTCGTCCTGTACTCGGTGCTTCCACGAGGCGTGGCCAAGAGCATGACCCCAAAGACGATGTTTCGGACGCCGATGAGACGCGAGAGGTGTAGCGTCGACGAGGTGATGGAAGTGAGGTTGAACGCGGCGCACGTCGCCTCCGGGAGGAAGGTCAATCCGATTCCGGGGCCAATCACCATCAGCGCGAACAGGTACGACCACAGGAGCGAGCTAGTACGAGCGGCCATCATTGGGCGTCTATGAGCGGCTGGTTGGTAGTGGAGCAGAGGAGGTACTTGATGGACAACAGCAACTGTGTGAGCAAGACGGAAGCCAGACTCTTTCCCGACGGGTCATGTGGCAGAGTCCGAGCGCTGCCAAGACTTCTTTGAATGTCAAAAAAATCGACCGTCAAAGCGGTCCGTGCGCCGCGCGGGCGAGTTCGGCGATATGATCAGCGCGCCGCGGCGGGTGAGCACGCCATCCACCAACGGCCTGTGCAGTGTGTGCACGCGAGATTGCACGGCCCTGCGAAACGCGCCTTGGCCCGCCTTGGCGACCTCGACGGGGTTCGCTTCCGGCGCTTCTACTGCCAAACCTTTCCTCCTTTCTATACCTCCACACCCCCCAAAACCTTTCTCACTAGATATGGTAAGTTGCCTCCGTCACCTCGACCCGTGGTCTCTCGATCCTCACGCTGGATACACGCCTCGGCCGAGGAGTCCGTTCCGGTCGGATATCGACCGCATCCAAGCTGACCTCATCATTCACTCGATCCCTCCTCTGCTCCCTTCCGCTTCACCTCGTCATCGCGCCCGCGCGTCACCTCATCACCATTCTCAATCACACCATCACAGGCTAACGCTCCCCACGGTGGTGTCCTCAAGGACTTGCACGTTCGCGATGCTCCCCTGCAGCAGCAACTTTTGGCCGAGGCCGATGCGCTGCCCGATCTCCTCCTCACCGAGCGCCAGCTGTGCGATCTCGAGTTGATCCTCAACGGTGGCTTCTCCCCCTTGGAGGGCTTTATGAACCAGCAAGACTACGAGAGGTCAGTTGAGTTTTATTTCGAACAATTTTTCGCGTGCCGTGATTCTTGGGCAGCATCAGAAAGGCTGACTGCGCAAAACTGAATGCGAACCCTTACGCGCGTGTCTTGGCACATTCGTCGACTCGCTCGTCCTCCGAATCGCGTTCCATCAGCGTCGTCCAATCGCTTCGACTTGCGGATGGCACCTTGTTCCCCATCCCCATCACCCTCGACGTCTCGGACGAGAACATCAAAGCCTTGAACATTGCCCAGAACGCCCGCATCGCTCTCCGTGACCCCCGTGACGAGCGGGCTTTGGCCATCCTGACAGGTAAGCTTTCGACATCTGGGAAAGCCGGCGTGCAGCAACGCAGTCTGATTCATAATTTATCATCCATTAGTCTCGTCGATCTACAAGCCCGACAAGGTCAAGGAGGCCGAACTCGTCTTTGGTGCCAATGACGCGACCCACCCTTCCGTCAGGTATCTCCAAGCCAGCACCAAGGACAACTACATTGGCGGTAATGTCCAAGCCATCCAAGTTCCCCAGCACTTTGACTATGTTGCTCTCCGATGTCTGTTCCTTTCGAATCGGAACTGCTCGTGCTGGCGGAATCACGAGCTGACATTTTGTCCCTCTTTGTAGACACCCCCGCGGAGTTGCGAGCGTACTTCAACAAGCTCTCGTGGCGCCGAGTGGTCGCATTCCAAACCCGTAACCCGATGCATCGAGCTCATCGCGAATTGACCGTTCGTGCTGCACGTCAGCAGAGGGCTAACGTCCTTATCCACCCTGTCGTCGGTCTGGTGAGTGATGTCCTGGTCCACAGCGATCTGGGGGCTCGAGGCTGCCATGCTGACGATGTCTGCTCTCTTGTGCCTCGCAGACCAAGCCCGGAGATGTCGACGCCTTCACCCGTGTCCGTGTCTACGAGGCAATCATCCGCACCTACCCCAACGGCATGGCCGCTCTCGCTCTCCTCCCCCTCGCTATGCGTATGGGTGGTCCCCGTGAGGCCGTCTGGCATGCCATTATCCGCAAGAACTTTGGTGCGACGCACTTCATCGTCGGCCGTGATCACGCCGGACCCGGCAAGAACTCGCAGGGTGTCGACTGGTACGACCCGTACGGAGCTCAGGACCTCGTCCGAGAGTACGCCGGCGAGTTGGCCATTGAGATGGTCCCCTTCCAGGTCAGTGCGACTCAATCTTCGGAGATCTTGGGGGCTCGACAGCTGATCCCCTAGTTTTTGGCATCGCGCAGATGATGAGCTACGTCCCCGCCACCGACGATTACCACCCCATCGATGAGATCGCCAAGGGCACCCAAACGCTCGACATTTCCGGCACCGAGCTCCGCCGCCGACTGAAGACGGGCGCCCCCATCCCCGACTGGTTCTCGTACGATGCCGTCGTCAAGATCCTGCGCGAGTCCTACCCTCCCCGGAACAGGCAAGGTTTCGTCATCCTCTTGTCCGGCTTTGTCAACTCGGGCAAGGACACGATCGCCAAGGCCTTGCAGGTCACCTTCAACCAGCAAGCCGGCCGAACTGTCTCGCTCTTGTTGGGTGACCAGGTCCGATCCGAGCTCTCCGCCGAGCTCGGCTACGCCCCGGGAGAACGCCACAAGAACTTGCAGAGGATCGCCTTCGTCGCGGCCGAGTTGTCGCGAGCCGGTGCCGCCGTCATCGCTTCCCCCATCGCTCCATTCGAGCACTCGCGAGCGGCTGCCAAGCAATACATCCTTCAGAACGGTGGTGCCGGTGGAGGAACGTTCTTCCTGGTCCACGTCGCTACCCCCCTCGAATACTGCGAGGCGACCGATCGTCGTGGTGTGTACAAGAAGGCCAGGGCTGGCACAATCACCGGCTTTACCGGTGTCGACAGCCCCTACGAGGTCCCTAACAACGCCGACTTGGTTGTCGTAAGTCATATGCATCGGACACAGCACCTGAGGGGATCTCGGATTGATGTCGTCTCGTCTATATACAGGACCTTTCAAAACAAACCCCTCTCGAGGTTGTCCACTCGATCGTGTTGATGCTCGAGTCCGAGGGTCTCCTCTAGACGCGCCCAGTGTAGAAAAAAGACGGTATATAGAGTATGTTCTGATGTAGGAGAAAACGTCGCTTTTTTGCAAAATGCAATTCTCTGATGACGCAAAACATGATGAGCTAAACATGACATGTCGTCCCGAAAGAGGGTCGGGACCGGGACAGTAGACCAGGTGCAGCTACAGTAGTAGTACAGTGTGCCATTCAAGCCGAGCTTGGAAGTGTTTCCTCACTCGATAGACAGGTGAACTCCCACCCATATTCAACCTTTATACGCCCTAGTTGATAATCAAGTACGGCAACTTTGGATCGATAGTCAACTATCGCAAGTATGAGCGGTGGTGCGCGCACGCGAGACTGAGCACCGGCTCGTCAGCGGACAATGTGTTTCCTGACTGTCTGCTCGCTCCGAGCGGGCTTTTCGGGCCCAAAACCCGGGTAAGTAAAGACGCGACGCGACGCGTCGACGTGCGCAGCACTTCGTCGTCAAGGCCAAAGCACGGCCGGCGGGGCAGTCGGCCAAAAGTTTTACCTGACTTCCTTCCTGACAGTTGACTATGATGGTAACCTAATTGGTTATGTTCCTTACCTACACATAGCTAACTAGGTGTGTCCTGCTCGGAGAACGGCGCGATGGAGCCCTGAGTGAAGTTCAAACTTTGCCCGAAGTTCCGCGCGAGCATCGTGCGCTCGGACTCCGACGGGCCGACAAAGTTGTTGTTTCTTGTTGTGTATCATTCAGGTCGTTCCGACCACCTGCTGGCATACTTTGAAGTTGATCTGAGGGATCTGAGGTGAGCTGGAGGTCCGAGCGGCGAGGCAGAGGCAAGGCACATGCAAGGTCATGTACGTTGTGCATCATGGACTCGAGGCCACAAATACTACGACACCCCACTGCAACGGAGATCGGACTTGGCAAAAGTAGTCCTGTCGGGAAGATTCTGCTCCATCGCCACGGTGACTACTAGTCTAGTAATAGCGTCACGGCGGTTCTTCCGGCGGACCGAACCAATTGATCTGGAGTGATCTTGCCGAGCTCGAGCTCCGAGCGGCGACCCAACTGTGTGGCATAAGCTTCGTACATGCAGAATCGAGTGACGGCTTGTGCCACAGTTACTAGTGGTTCAAGGTCGGGCAAAAGTTCCTGCGGAAGTCCGATGACGACTCTCCAACAAGTGACCAGGCAGCACCCCCTGCGAGAAAATTCTCAGAGCTTGCTACATTCGAGCGATTATTCAAATCGTTCGCGCCCTTGAATCGAGTGCTACAAGTCCCACAACTCAGCCGATTGGAGGGGGATCGACAAGACGGGATCGAGTCTAACCTGTAAGTGATCTGATTTAAATTGATCCGAAGTGATCTGGAATAATCCGCCTGCGAAATTGACCGCGGACAGGCTCGATCCGGGGTCTGCCTATGTCACCTGCTCCTCCCGACCCTCCCGACCTATAAAGCGAATCAGCGCACTCGGACACTTTGGCCAAGATGCAGTCCTTGGTCGACTATGGCAGTGATTCGGATGACGAGACACCAACTGGGTCAGCTGTCTCAGTCACGGCATCCATCAAGTCAGGCTCGTCGTCGTCGTTCCTCAATCTGCCACCTCCCAAAGTATCCACAGCCTCCACAACACCAGCTACTCTATCATCGTCGAAAGATACAATAACAACCAAGAAGCCTCTGCCAGCGTTGCCACCGAAGAAAGCTAAAGGCCCCGTTCGGATCCTGCTCGACCTACCGCCTCCGTCTACTTCGTCGTCGTCGTCCCCTTCCGCCTCCACGTCCACACCGTCAAACAACGACAATGACCACGACGGCCCCGACGGACCAATCAAGAAGAAGCCCAAGCTCACACTAGGCGGCTCATTGTCCGGGAGCGGTGGTGGATTGGCCGCGTTGTTGCCCAAACCCAAGAACCAAGCTCCACCGCCGATGCAGACTAGCGGATCGTCGACTAAGCCGCTCAGTGGAGGAGGCCTGATGGGTAGGTTGCCACCTCCAGCCTCGTCTACGGTACAATCGAGCTCGACGGCCGTCGATTCAAGTGAGGGTGGAAAGACAGGTCCAAGTGGAGGATTCTTGCCAAATACGTTGGCTAACAAAGGCAAGGCCAAGGCGACGAATGGCGCGGTTGCAGAGACGAAACCAGCTCAACGAGACCCTGGATTGGACTTCTTTGGACTAGGTGAGAGCCCCAGAACAGTTGGTGTTCATGCCTTGCTCGAACTGACCCTGGGTGTTTGCGATTCAGGCTCGGTGGCCTCATCAGCGCCGTCGCACCCGTCGGCGACCTTGTCCTCGTCGAGATTGAGCAAGCCTACGATGACGATCTCCTCCGCACCAACACCCATAGCGGTACCAGTAAATTCAGCATCCAAGACACCGACGGCTTCCGATCCCTACCCGGGTTTCACCCAGCTCCCTTCCGGAGAATGGGTCGCCAAAGATCAAGAGACGTACGATCTCTGGGTACAGTCCATGGTCACGCAACAGCAGCAGGCACAAGAGGTGCCGAAGGAGTTCATTGATGCGACTCGACAGGGTAAGATTCTCGATTTGCACGAGGAGCAAGAACGGGCCAAGAAGGCTTGGGCCGACCGACCGGAACAGTTGCCGAGTCAAGAATGGCAAAAGAAGGGGCAAGACGAGGAGGCCCAGGCTAAAGTGGTGAGTCGAATGGAATCTAGGGATCTTTTTCGGCACATCATTAACATACCCCTGGATTCTTCTACGCGTCAAAGCCACTCAAACCGGGGCAGTATCGAGCTCGGCAAAAGGGCCAACTGTCGGCCTTGCTCGCCGATGCGGTCGAGAACCGCGCCGAGTTGGAGGAGAGGATCGCGAGGGGGAAAGCCAATAGGAAGGCTGCGGGAAATCGATATGGCTTCTAGATTGCAGACTGGAAAATATGTTGTTTGTAGATGGTGCGTGGGGAAGATCGTCGTACCACCCTGCATATCACGACATTCGTACCGACTTCCGTGTGTGAGGAGCCGAAGGCGCCTGTGTGCGTCGGGTGAGAGCTGGTGAGAGCGCGTGGAGGAATGATCGCAAGAGCGGAGGGGTAGCTTGGGGTAGCTTGTACTGCTTGCCACACCTCTCCGAGGGAATGCCTCCCAAACCGCGGAGTGGAAGGTCGCCCAAACATGTCGAACGACATGGCAAGGACGAGGTGAGAACAAAACGGTTCCCTCCGAAAGCCAGCGGAGACGTCGCTCCGCCATCTGGGGCACCACACTCGTCACAGGCGTCGCCGTCATCGGTGCTTCTTCGTAGCCTCTTCCTGTGTCTCCCCTACCTCACTTCCGGAACATCGACGACGCTGCTCAATCCTATTTTTGGATCTACTCCTGTCGAAGTCAATACGGAACACGTCGTGGTCTACCCCGTCGTGCTGGGTGTAGTCATTTCGTTCGTCTACTTGTCGAGTAATCACGGCCGGCCAATTCCATGGACAGCATGCTGGAGCTTCACCGCACTCTGGTCCATCGCCTCCGAACGCATCGTGAGAATATGCTCGGGTTGGTTGGTCGGACAAGGTCTGAGGCGGGCCGTGAGGTGGGGCTGGTTCCTCTTGAGAGGACCGCCGGCGATGTTGAGAGCCTCGTGGAGGATGGGACTCGTGAATGACCTCAAGGTGAGCAATCCTCGATCCCCGCAGATCATTCGCTCATCTTTTTAGTAATTCCTCCTCCGCATACAGACCGTCAAAGGTCCGTGGTCTGCCCTCGCGACTCTTGCTGGTGCCATGGGCATTGCGCTCGCCCTCGAAAGTTCTTCCCTCGGTAGCTTCAATAACCGATGGCTGCCCTACACCGGAACCTACCCGACGCCGGTCCCGGAAACAACGGTCGTGAGTGCAACAAGTCGGTGATCAAGGCTTGGACATACTTGAGCTCACCTTTCGAACCTTGTCCGCACTCACAGATGAATATTCACTCGCTGGCTTTGATCTTAATTGTGCTCGTACCGACACTGCGGCGCCAAGTCGACCCTCCGAACGGCCTTTCAACATCATCAATATCTACAAAGTCGAGCGTCGTACTTGTGTTCCTCACTGCATCGGCCTTGCTCGCATCGACCTTTTCGTCGCCGACTTGTCACCTCAAACCCTATCTACCCTCATTCTTCTGCTCCAAGCCGATAGCAACCGGCCCAGTTCGAATTCTGGCTTCTCAGCAATCCATCACGGGCCGAGTCGTTGTTGGAGAGACTGTGGTGCACAATCTTACGCTGAGGTATCTGCGCGTCGACCATTCGTTGCTCGGAGGATTGTGGATGATGCCTGCTGAACAGGAGGTGGCGACGGGTCGATCGAGCCGACTAGCTGTGAACGATGCGGAAACGGAGCTAAGAAGAGCCGAAAGTATTTATGTGAGTGATCCGTTTCCTTGCGACGAGATCGGGCGCTGTGCTGCTGTGCTGGGACAACACGACTTTAACTCTAGCCGATCTGTCACCCTCGGCGAGATAGTCAACCTTTATATTACAGGAGCTAGTCAGGCTAGCGAGGCCACCGAGAACAAAGGGTGGAGTCCAAGAGGAAAAGGCTTTAGTCATGTGAGTAGGCTAAAGCCCATGTATTCAATCCAGATTCGATCCGTCGGCTCATAGACCGCGCCGTTTCTGATCGCAGTGGTTTAGGGGCGGGATTGATCGCTCGTTCGCTCGAGCAACATGGGATTGTGACATCGCTCGTCGAGATTGACCCAGTCGTCTACCAATATGCACGTGACTATTACGGAGTGAAAAATATGCGCGGCGAGGTTGCTCTCGAGGACGCGATTGGGTTTCTCTCGAGGAAGCAAGGACAGGAGGTGAATTCGGGCGGAACTCAACACAGTGGCAAGCGGCCGACGCTTCAGGAAGGCTGATTTCGGCACCGTTTCGCATTCACTGCCAGACATACGACTACATTATTCACGACGTCTTCACCGGTGGCACGGTCCCTCCTTCGCTTTTCACGATGGAGGCCTGGGCACTGGTCAAATCCGCTCTCACCCCGGACGGTTTGGTCGCCATCAACTTTGCCGGCACAGTCGATTCCCCCACCAGCCACGTCGTGCTATCTACGATTCTCGCCTCTTTCTACCATTGTATCGTTCTAGGTGATGGAGGCCTGACGCGTTCTACCTCGGGGTTCAGTAACCTCGCAATCTTTTGCTCTGCGCAACCGGGTCGGAAGGTCGTTCTAAGACCGGCCGTAGCCAGCGATTATCTCGAATGGCCTTCACCCAATCTACGACGCAAGATCCTGGGTAACTTCCAGGACTTTGTTCAGGATCTGGATGAATTGGTTCCGAGGGACAAGTTGGAGGACGTGTTGAGAGGGAAGAAGGGGCGGAAGAGGTTGAAGGATTTGCAAAGGGGTTCGGCAGAGTTGCACTGGGGTTTGATGAATGGGGTGCTGCCGCTGGAGGTATGGGATGTGTATTAGATCAATGGCTTGATTGGATCTAATTCAAGTTCCTTGCTACGCCAAATGGAATTGCGAGCCTCTCAGAGACTTCAAACACGGTCGTGGCTGCCCGGCGTAGGGCCGACGTAGTGCCGCCGGTGTGGGTTAGTTGCTAACAAAGCGTGCTGTCGGTGGCGCCTGCCGGCAGGCAGCAGCTGGTAGCAGCTGGGCTGGTCACGCCCTGTCACGCCCTGTCACGCCCTGTCACGCCTTGTTTCGCCTTGTGGCGCTCGCTCACTCTTGTCCGCTCGCCTCGTGCGTTGACTCGCCTCGACGTTCTTGGGCACATTAGCGCTGCTGGTCACGCGTTGGTTCTCCGTTACACGACTACACGTGCCCCACTACGCTTCACTCTCGCACGGCGGTTGTCGTCTGACCGGAGTGCAGTGGCTAGCAGTGGCTCCGAGTCGGACGAGTCGTGTCGCGCGCGCCCACCGACTGCACGACCCCGCAGTGCCCGCACCCGAACCGATCACCAATTGACCCGATTGACGGGTCTCAAGCGATCGATTGAGCCCGGTGCACCGCCTTCGCGACCGTCGCTGTCGACCCCTTTTTGGATCGTCAAGGCAGGCTCGACGTTCAAAGTACACTCCTCGCGTGGAGTGGCTTCTCGACACCTGGGCTGCGTCGGGTCGGCTGGGCAGTGGGCTCGAGCTCCGTACGCGCATTGGTCGTACGAGCATCGCCATCGCACTCCTCTGGGGCTTGCAATCGGGGCCAAGTCCAAATCAGACGTGGACTGAGGTGGGTCCGGCTTCCCCAGGCGTGCGCGTGTTGCTCTCGGAGGGTACGACGAGCACTTGCTGCGAGCGACGTGAGGAGCGCCACGAACCACACCACTGCACGCGTTCTGGCGCGTCATCGACAAAGCGGAACACCGACTTCCGTTGGATTTCTTCCCGACGATAGGAGCTAACAGTCCACTCTGATTCTCTTCTTCGCAGTGCTCTGATCCAGCCAAGAGGTGCAGCAGGCTCGTACGAGTCCTCGTGTAAACCGAAAGCTTCCTCGACACGCCCACCTCGCAGCTCGCACCTCGCAGCTCGCACCTCGCAGCCGTCAGCGAGCATGGCCTACAACCAGGGCAGCGGCAACAATCTGTACTATGCACCACCACCATCACTACAGCAACAGCGCTCCATGTCCCCGGGGCAGCTGTCCCAACTGCGCGCCCCGATTCGCACCACCTCGAACCCGCCGTCACCGTTGACCGTTGGTGGCGGGTTCGCCTTTCCCGGACCACCTGGGCCGTCGAACCTGTCGGCGTCGACACCGGCTTCGGGATCACCCACACTTGCGAGCGATGCTCACCCCGGCGGACCTAACTCGTCCCAGTCGGGCCCGTACCAAGGCACATCGCGCTTTCACCAAGCCTTCGCTGCGTCGCGCCATGCCTCGTCGTCGTCCGTCTCGAGCGACAAGTCGTTCGCCTTCGCCAACCCGAGCTTTGACGACAGTAGTTTGAGCCCCACGGGCGACCGCACTTTCGACATGTTGCATCGTGAACTCATCGGGGGAGGGCAGAACGGCTGGAATCCCGAGGGGCCAGACTCCAGGGGGCCGAGTCCGAGATTCAACGGGACGGCACCTGGAGGGGCATGGGGTGTAGCGGCACGGGGCGGGAGGGTGTTTGCCGAACCACTTGACGCGTATAATGGCATGTCGTCGGAAGCAACGGTGCGAAGAGGAAGCGAGAACGTGCGCAGCAATGGCTTGTCTCAAGCGACGATGTACGGGGTCGAAGCCATGCCGAACGCCGACTTTGGCAGGCCCGCTTCGATGATATACGATGGCGGTGAGGGCGAGACTGGGTTCGAATTCTTGCTCTCGCCGCCACAGACTGGGTTCCAGAGCGATCGCAGTGCCACGTTCCCGACGACTGCACCTCGGTCGACCAGCTTTGGCGCCAATCTTAATTCGCAAGGAGTAGGGGACGCGACGCCAAAAGCGAAGGACCGGTCACGCGATCGCACCTTCCCGGCGCCCTTGTTGCTCAAGACGAATCGAAGTCGACCCTTTGCTCAGCCCACGACAAACCCTGCATTCCCTGGTGTTGCCCAAGCCTCTCAGCCGAGGAGACCGTCGACTTCAGCAGGTTCCTATTCGGCGTCCAGCGTCCCCACCCTCACCACCCCACTGCCACTAAATACGCCTGGCGCCACCAGCTATGCCGCTGCGAGACCTGGTGTCGCAGCCGCTGATCCACTACCGAGCAATGCACCATTGTCGAGGTCCGCGTTTCCTTACCAACGCCATCGCCCTTCGGCCTCGTCGACTTCCTCCATCAGCCACACCCCGTCTCAACTGAGTATGACGCATTCACCGAACGGCTCGGGTGGATCTTCGTCGATGACGGGACCGCCGTCCTTCTCTTTTTCGAATCTGCCGTCCCAAATGCCGCCGCTCACATCCTCCACCTCCGCGCCTTTATTACCCGCCCTGTCAACGCCAGCCACCACCACACCACCCTCCGATCCTCCGATAGCGCCGCAGGCGTTGTTGTCGCATGTGCAGTCTCTTCGATCGCCATCTTCGTCACCAAACACATCTGCCTCACCGCAGCACTCACTGATCCGATCCACAACAGGCCCTCTAGGGACCGCCGTGTCCTCATCGACCGTGACCCCGGAATTTGGTGCAACTCACCAGAGAATCACATCCACCGGGTCGACCGGCTCTGATGGTGCATTAGCGGCCACACGTGAGCGGGTTTCGCAGTCACCGACCCGATTGATGGTTCGTCCCAGCACAGCGCCTACCCAAGGATCGCCTTCCTCCAAGTCGACCCCTGTCAAACTCGAAACGGTCGACCTCTCGCACAAGCGGATTGCCGAGATCCCGCAGGAGGTCATTGACGAGCTGCGAGGCGAGGTCGAGAAGCTGGCGTTGGGTTACAACTTGCTCAAGGAACTGCCGAGCCAATTCTCGACTCTGGGTAATCGGCTGAGGTATTTGAACGTGAGGGTTAACATGTTGACTGTGTTTCCTCAAGTCGTAAGTTGACAAAGTTTCAAAAGGCAGCTTTGGGGTTTTTGGCTGCCGAGTTGACATATGTACATCCTGCTACAGTTGTGCGAGATGCCCTCACTTGAGATTCTCGACATCAGTCGCAACAAGATCAAACGCTTGCCTCCCAGTCCCGGAACTCTTGTCAATCTCAAGGTGGGTGGTATCTAAGGGTGGAAGGGCTATGGGTACGTGTCTTCCAGGCTCTGATTACGCTCTTTTTTCCGGCTTCAAGGTTTTCTCAATCGCCAAGAACCGTGTCAAGCGCCTGCCGATTTGGTTCTCCGCCTTGACGCATCTCAAAGTGCTCAAGGTCGATCACAATCCTCTCGAGTGGCCGCCAAAAGACGTTGCCGCTTTTCCGTCCTCGAGTGCAACAGGTGCAGGCAGCAATAGCAAAATCGAAGATGCCGAAGAGATGCAACGCTGGCTACCGATGCTGCTCAAATGGATCAGGGACAATTCGAGCGCCGAAGCACTTCGAGTGTCGAAGAACGCCATCGAGGAGAAGCGGCGGAGACCGTCGGTGATCACGAGCGAAGACGATGAGCGGTCCTTCGACTCGTCCCTATCCGGGTCCAATGCCCAGAGCCTGACTCGCACGCCGGCCATGACGAGAACCGAGAGTGGACGACTAGTGCTCGGTGGTTCGATAACGGGTGCCTCGGGCGCTAGACCTCGCCTCGCATCCCCATCGACTTCGGCCGGGCCTGGCAACACGACCTCGACGGACGAGCGCCGCGTCTCACAGGTGTTGGACGGCGACGATTCCAGCGTTCGACATGGGCGTAACGCTTCCCATTCGACCACGCAGACCCTACAGTCGAACGGCCGGTCTGACCTGCGGGGCAAGAAGTCACTGCCTGATCTGCGTCAGAGCCATGCCGACATCCTGGCCGATCGCAGAACGGCGACCACCGTGCCCGAGTCCGAAGCGCAAGCGACGGCCGCGGTCGTTGCGGCCGCAGGCGCCGGAGCCGCTCTGAGAAGGCTGAATATGGACCGAACTACCCCTGGCACATCGCAGCCTAGGCCGAATCGAGCCGCCCTCTTCAATCGGTCCCGCCTCGAGGACTCGAACCACAGTTTCGACTTCTCGGATAACGACGCAACACTCTCCCGTTCTCGTCCCGGCCCCATATTCACCCACGGTGCTACACGGTCAGGCGACAACGACGCGACGCCTCTCGCATCACCGCTAGGGCACGACGTGGAGACCCCTCGGACACGAGCGATGCGAATAGGACATACGGTTGACCCGCGAGGCGTCGATGGACTGGATCACAATAGTGGCGCCTACTTTCGTCGACTGTCAATGTTGCCCGCCTCGACGATCTCCAAAGCCGTTCCGGCGAATCTGCTCAAGTTTGCCGACGCTATTCGAGGTTTGCTCTTCGCTCTGTCGCAGATCTATTCGGCTCTGCGGCAATTCGTCGTTTTTGCCTCGCAGGACCGGTTCCCGGCCCCGATCGCGCGGCTGATGTCCGCTGCCGATGAGTCCATGACGAACCTGATTAACGCGCTTGATCGGTTCGACTCGCTCTCCCGTCGCGCAGCACCGAGCTCGGAAATCGTTCGCGACATCTTCACCAGCTGTCGTGACAACGTTGCGACCTTCCATGAGCTTGTGCAAGCCCTCGGACCGCATCTTGGGGCGCTGATTGGGACTGCGGATGTGCGCTACACACGCACGCTCCTGCTCATGCTCTATGGCTCGACGGGTGAGATTGCGACGTCGTGGGCGGCGGTCGCACCTATGTTGAGTGGCATGGCCAGCATCGTCGACGACCCGTCACTTTCGACCCTCATGTTTTCGACCTCACATAAACCAAGTCATTCGACGAACTCGAGCGGCTCGACTCGTCTACTCGTTCCTGGCTCGACGGCATTGTCCCGAACACGGAGCAAGTCTCGACGACATGCTGGCTCTTTCAGCGTCGAGGATGTCCAGCTCGGCGCCGAGCTCGCGCCGTCCCCGGTTCATGAAAGCCAACCCTTTCCAGCCGAGCTATCGAACGGAATGCTGTCAGCTTCGTCGTCGACATCGACGCTTGGTGGTTCGACAGGAGGCAGCGCGACCTACGCAACAGTCCGAGCGCTCAATCGGAAGGGACTTCGGCCCGTGGGAGGTATCACCGTTCCGCCGGCACAGGGATATCGGGAGATGGTCAACGACGCCTTCAAGAACCCCATGACGCCAGGACAGACTCGCGAACTGCTCCTCGAAGGAAATGCACCCTCGTTACCGAAGATCGATACAAACCTCAACATGTCAAATCCTGCGCTCCTCAGTACCAGTTCGCTTGCATCGGCTGGGTCAGGGTCATCGAGTGAAGTTTCGGCAGGGCTCAACAGCTCATCGTCGTCGATGAAGACGTTAACGTCTGTATCGCATGGACGCGGCGGAGACTCTTTCTCTTTGCCCAGGAGCGAAGGCGGACGACCTGTGTCGACAGCGAACGCCGACGCGACGTTCGTCGACATGGCCGAATCGACGGTCACCATTGCTAGGTCCATTTACGGCATGCTGCTCGACGCGTTTGACGCCTCGGACCCGTCCTCAGCACCCGTCGACGATGACGGTGCCCGGCTCATGCGAGCTCTCGGACCTCGCAAAGTGCAAGAACTTGCCGATCTCTGTCGCATGGGAAATGAGGCTACGTCCGAGTTACGATCCGCCCTCGGTCGGGTGCGGTCCCGTGATTCCAGGGGTCCCCTCAAGTTCACGCCAGCCGACGCGAAGAAGCTGGGTGACGATGCTTATGCTTTTGTCCAGGTAAGACTCTGTCGGGCGTCTTCACAACATTGCGCCTTGTGCTGACGTCGATTACCTTTACCCAGACCGTGATCCGATTCGCCAAACTGGTCAAGGCTATCTCGCTCGAGCACGGCTTCGCGCCCCGAATCCGCGAGGGCGTCGGACAGCTCACGATCGCGACGCGCGAGTTCGCAAAGACTCTGAGCAACTCATCGTTCAACTTGAGGGAGACGAGGGGACAAAAGTCGATCGGGAGCAAAAACTGATGTGTACTACCTAACCCCGATGCTGTCAATTGATAAATATTCTCCAGACCGCATTCCTACGGGCTGAGCTGGAAACTCTGAAGTCGCGCATATAGATCATTGGCATGGATTGGTCCAGACCTCTGGCGATCTGTGTATTTTGGGCATTTCACGAGTGGGGCCCCGCAGTAGGCTCTCCGGACGGACGTCAGACACCTTCACCTGAGATTTCATTCCTATAGCAGGCATCTTGTTCAGGCTGCCGCGAAAAGCTGCTATTCGGGTAGGCAACGTGGTACGTATGCGTGCTCGAAGTGGCATTGAGGCCTCTCATTCACAACTCGGCTCCGAGTCCGAGGCCTGCAGTGGCAGGCCAGAGTGACCCTCCCGTTTGCTACCCTGACAACTTTCATGGAGGACTGGTAGAGACTTGCAACATTGTGTGCGACTAGACCTGACTAGTCTAAGGGAAGGTGGACCGATGGCGTGTGCGGGTCTTGTGCCATTCGGTGCTTGCAGGCTAAATAATCCACGATCCACGAGGGGCGAAGCGCAAGCGCGCAGCACGCACACGCGAGCTAGCATGACTCTCGGCTTCATGGTCCCACGAAGTCCAAGATGACAGGAAACAAATGCTCTCTAGCGCAAAGCTCGGCCCCGTCTCCCATGGTTTCTGTTCTTCTGCAGCCCCCTTTGTCAGCCTGCGGTGCTTACAATTCGAAATGTAGCCTCCTTCATGCTCGTTCGTAGTACCTTTCCAACTTGGAAGTTTGTTTCGGGGTTCGAGAGAAAACCCGACGATCTTAACAATCTTGTCCCTAGTTGCACGGCATACCTAGTCATTTCCCCGCGACCAGATGGGCGGTAATTTTGGGCCGAATAGACCCCTCCCAATCCTTCTACTGTTCCCGGCTCCCAAAAGTTGTGCAAGGTGCCCCATCACATGTGTATGCAGAGGCCGAGCCGACTGCCGCCACGGCGGGCTCGTCAAATCGGCTCTCGTGCCTCGATGGGAAGGCTCCCGGACGGCTCCCGGGATCCGGGCCAGACCGCGGGCAGCCTGCCAGTCCCACGCCATGGGCTCGTCCGCTTCCCTCGCCTGACATCACCGTCATCTACGCGCGTCGTCGTTCGCGTCCGAAACCATGGACCGAGCTCGAATCGACGAGGCGGTTAAGGAATGGCTCAGATTGGAGTGAGTAGCAAGCTGACCGAAGCTCTCACAACCCGTCCGATATGATCGCTGACACGAACGCGCTCACACGCTTACAACCTTGTGCGCGATTGGCACTCCGCCACAGTCGGGTGAGCCCCACCTGGTGCACCACTCAGGGGCCAATGCCAGCTCGGCAGCCTCTTTGAGAGCTGAATACAGCCTGGCTGATCATCATCTCGAGGCATCGATGCCCAGAATCCATACACCCGCCAAGACGTTGAAGCACTTCGAGATGCGGGTGACTACACCGAGCTAGCGAAGCGCTTCGACACCCGGATCGCCTTTGGCACCGCCGGTCTACGAGCTCGTATGCAGGCGGGGACGTCATCGATGAACGATCTCGTAGTACTGCAAGCGACACAAGGTCTCGCTTCTTACGTCAAAGAGCATGTTCCGAATGCGCTGAGCCGAGGTGCCGTCATCGGATACGATCATCGGTCCTTTGGCGGACTCAGCTCAAAGCGATTCGCTCAGCTGGCCGCCGGGGTCTTCAAGCGGGGAGGCTACAGGGTGTACCTCTTTGAAGGCCTTGTACATACACCCATGGTCGTAAGTAATCGACGATGGCGGTGACTAGTCCCGCCCCGGCTGAGCCTTCTCCAAATTTGCCGATTCTTCTAGCCTTTTGCGCTGAGCAAATTGGGCGCTGCTGTGGGACTCATGGTCACTGCTTCCCATAATCGTGAGTCGTTTACGACTCATAAAGACACTTGATTATCACTTATCATGCCGTTCTTCTGAAAGCTGCCGCCGACAATGGCTACAAAGGTATCGTCATCCGCCAAGTCCGCCGAGCTTTTTAGCACAGCTGAACGTCTTTTCTCCGTTCGCTTGACAGTCTACTGGGAGAATGGTGTACAGATTATCCCTCCCCATGATCATGGTATTGCAAAGCGTATCGACGAATCTCTAGAGGTCGACGCGGCGGCTTGGGATGTCGACCCGGCCAACTTCGAGTGGAGCGACACCGAGGCTCTGAAGGACGACTACATCGCGATGACAACGACGCTGATTGATCCGAAAATTAGCAGTGGGGCAAGTACCGGGATCGTTTACACAGCGATGCACGGGGTGGGTCGACCTTTCGCTCAAAGAGCATTCACTGCATGCGGATTCGACCCGAGGGACTTCATCCCCGTAGAATCGCAGGCAGAGCCCGACCCAACATTCCCAACAGTGAAGTTTCCCAACCCTGAAGAGAAGGGGGCACTCGACGAAGCGATGAAGAAAGCGGATCAAGTTGGATCGCAGATTGTGGTAGCCAACGACCCGGACGCCGATCGATTCTGCGCAGCCGAGAAAGTCGGTGCGACATGGAACGCTTTTACAGGGGATCAATTGGGCACCTTGCTCGGCGCTTGGGTGTTGCACAAGTACAAAGCGAGTGGAAAACCAATAGGTCCGCTTGCTTGGCTGACCCGAGCTGTTGTCGAGATCGAGGCTAACTCTCAAAAGTGGGGACCACAGACAAGCTGGCAATGTGCGCTTCCGCAGTGTCGTCCAAGATGCTCAAAACGATCGCCGAGAAGGAAGGCTTTGTTTTCCGCGAGACCTTGACGGGCTTCAAATAGTGCGCAGCACTTCTTCGGTCGTCCCGAACCGATCGTTGTAGATGCTGACGCTGAGTGGCATCTTCCGCACAGTCTCGGTAACGAGTGTTTGACCTGGGAAGCCAAGGGCTACGAGCCGCTGTTCGCGTACGAAGAAGCAATCGGCTACTTGCACGGATCCGTCGTCCGTGACAAAGATGGTGTTACCGCCTTGGTGTCGTTTTGCGAATTAGTGGCTTACCTCGCCTCGAACGGCAAGACACCCTCGTCATGGCTTGACGAGCTGTACAATCAGTATGGCTTCTTTAAGACGAGCAACTCGTACTTCATCTGTCGCGATTCCAAAAAGACGGACCGGATCTTCTCGAAGTTGCGATTCGGCACCGAAGCGCCTCCTACCACGACCAAAGAGATGAAGGCAAAGTTGAACCTACCCAAGATGATGTCTGGGTACCCCGTCGTCTGGTTCCGAGATCTGACGATCGGCTACGATTCGGCCAACGCGCCTTCGTTCGAACCGAGCTTGCCCGTGGACGAGAAGTCTCACATGATCTCATTCAAGATCGGAGGCGAGGACGATGTCGAGGTTGTTGGGACGGTCCGCACATCTGGCACAGAACCCAAAATCAAGTTCTATCTGGAGGGGAACGGGGCCGATCGTCTCTTGGTTGGAAAGAAGCTTGAGCAGGTCCGAGAAGCACTCGGTGTCGAATGGCTCGGTGTCGATCCGGCAAGGATCAACGATGCTGTCGTCGACCTCACGGAATGATCGGGATCACGTGGAGATTACTAGGAAGAAGATGCTTGCGTTGCAATTGCATAAGATTTACATCCAATATGTATATATATATAAGGCCCTGTGAAAGTTGCTTCAGAAAACCCCTGCTCTAAAACATGGCAAAGGGGGAGGTATATTCGAGGTCCTCAGAGGAAGCCGCTCTCGCTGAGCAGGCGAGCGATCTTTTCGTCGTCTCGCTCGCGCGGTTCGCGCAGCAGACTAAGCTCGTAAAGGCGTTGATCATCGGTCGCAGGATCGGCGTGCGAAGGGAAGAGGTGTTCGTCAATGTACTTGGCTAGCGAAGGGACGGCGGCGAGGTTATAAGAGGTCGCTTGGTGCAACTTGATCATCAGGATCAATTCCGACGCCTTTTGGCGCTTGTTGAAGTTGATCTGATGCGGTCGTTCACGAAGCATGTCTGGGTTGCCGTCTCCAATAAAGGTCCAGTCGGTAAGGTAAACACCTGTAGTCGATGACAAGTCTGTCAGGACATGCAAGCGAGATGACTGGCGCTGGGATCGACGCTAGGAACACTGACCTAGGAACGGGACGCAGGGCGGAGCGACTTGGCGCAGCTGCTCGCGATACTCCTTGTAGTTCTTGTCCGGTCGCATCACATTGTTCATGACGCCGAGCTGATATATTGATTTCTGACTAACTTGCTCCCACGTCCGACGGAGGCGATGGATTGGCGTTGAGTTGAGTCCGGCGATGATGTGGATCAAGGTCGAAAAGTTGTTCAGAGTGAAGCAGCGCTGTGAAAATGGACCGATACCATCAGCTTCATACAAACATGCCCGTTACCGATGACTCCTTCTCACCTCAGCCACGAGTATAAAATGCTTGACGATCGACGCTCGTTTCTTGAGGTCCTCTTGTAGCAAGATCGTCTCTGTCACCCACCGCGTCACGGCGTTGGACATGTCGATCATGGCACTGATGTTGGGAGCGTCGGAACCAAACTCCTTGGGCCAGGCTTTACCGAGACATTCTTGCGTTGTAATCTTGGCGAAGAGACGACTGTCCATGATGGTCAGTTGTCGAGCTAGCTCGAGCGGGTCGATGTCGAGGAAGCGGAGCTTGCGGAAGCTGCGCGGGATAATCGACGGAGGGAGGGGCCCGGGAGCTAGACTACCCATCGGTCGAGGAGCTTGGCCCGAAAGCTGCGTCAATAAGAAGGTAGGTAGTCTTTGGTTAGCTATCGCCAACACCCCCTGTAAGGCTTAGGTCACGTACCCGTTCATCGACGACCTTGATGATCTGCGGGGACTGCACCGGATCGCTCATCGTGACCGACGCAAACGTGGCAATCCTTCTCAAAAGATCCGGATCCTTCTCGTCATAGTCCATGTACTCGCGAACCCATGACTTGATCAAATTGGCGACACGGGCTCGAATAGGTTTGAACTTGCGCGTCTCCCAGGTCTTGTGCTGCTCCGGTGTCAACCCTTCGGGTACTGGCACCCTGTACCGCTCGATGAGGAGGTCGAGCAACACATGCGAGGTGCAGAACGTGCGATAGGTCATCAGGAATGCTGATAGGTAGCTACCATCGACTGGAGTAGATGGAAGAGAAAACATGTGAGCAACCGGTGCTTCGAAGTCAGATGTGCACCCTAGGAGTCACTTACCTCGACCCTCGTGACTCGTCCCGGCAACGATCAAAGCGCGGAGTGTGGCCCCTCGGATCTGGCCCTCCATATTGTACGACACCTCGTCGGGACCATAATCTGGACCAAGCCAAGGAGGCACAGCCTCGGCTACGCTCGCGAGCGAGCTCGAAGTTGGATAGGACGACTCGCCCGTAAGCTTGGCGAGCTTGGACATGGGGGTGGAAGGTGTCGAAGGTTTGGAGGGAGAGGATGGAACGGTGGCTGTTGGGAAAGGGCACGATCAGTCCCATACCATTAGGTGGACCCCGCGTCATCACTCGAAGTACTCACATCTCGGAAGCTCCTGCGAATAGTGATCCGACACACTCGTCGCGACCGATCCTCTCCTCAACCCAGCACTGGTCAAAAGCTGCTTCAACGACGACCTCGTTTTGCTGCTCGACGTCCTCCCCGTCCCGGCGTTCGAACCGGAGAAGAAGAAGTCGCTATCGGCACTCTCGCGACTGTGCATACTCGTCGCTTTGCTGCGTCGGCCCATACTGAGGCCGAAAGTGTCGGGGAGGATCGAATGGCGTGATGAAGCGGGGCTCCGCGAGGTTACGGCATCGAGCTTGCGAGGGGATTGATGCGGCAAGCTATCTTGGAATGAAGAGCCGGAGATGGACGCCGTGTCGGAATCCAGTGGCGTCGGCGAGCGTTGCGTAGTACGATTACGCCTCAAGCTCGGTGGTGCGGATGACTGGACTTCGGCGATGGCGCTCAAGGCCACGAGAGCAAGAGTCAACTTTGTGACGGCGGTACCGAGGTCGTCAAAAATTTCAAGCATCGCCTTGGACCCTGTTGCTCTAGCAGGCGGCGATGCATACAACGAGAGAGGAGCAAGTGACGAAGGCTGCGGGCCAGAAGAGGCAGCGGGTGCCGTTGCCCAATCTTCCTCGAGCACAGACAGGCTCTGCAAAGCGCAAAGCAGTCGGGGCGGAACATTGTACAGCGTTTGCTTGCTGACTTCAAACTCGGCCAGCAGCGGCTTGGCCTCGATGACGCTCGCTCGATACGGCCCCGACGACGGTGCTTCATCCTTGCCCTCGGCCGCCGACTCGTGACCACTCTTGATCGACATCGAGTCCTTGGCAACAGAACCGTCGGTGTCGCTGCGAGAGATTGGCCCCGCATCGTTGGCGAGTTCGATGTCGACGCCGGACGCGATGTCGATGTCCTCGACCGACCTCAAGAACGATGCAATCCCGCCCAATAGCTGACCCGCTTCTTTCGTCAAATCCGTCAAAGCAGCTTGATCCAGAGGGCGTTCGACGGTTTCGACCAGTGTACGCAAAGCCTGGGACTTGGATTGAATCGTCATCGACTCCTTGCGAAGAGATTCAACAGTCTCGGCCGAGATGGCTCGGACGGGATAGGCGTAGACGAGTCGAGGCGAGGATGATACAGGCTCTGAATTCGGCGTCGTAAATGGACTCGGCAACGTCACAAACCCATTCCCACGCCAATTACCACCAAAGCCACCACCAGGTAGCAATAGTGCCGCCGCGTTCGTCCTCAATGACCCTGTCACGGCTTTGGGCGCTCGAACGAGGGCAAATGGAGCCCCTTCCTCGTTGACCATGTTGGATTTGACGATAAGATCGTACTCATTCAAGAAGATGACGACGTTGGCGTGCACCTCCTTCGTCGATACCAAGACCTCGTGACGCAGCTTGTTTTCGATCTCGTGCCTTGTCTGCCTTGCTCGCGCCCAGTCGGCGATCACCTGCTGGCGGAGTTGCTCCTGTTGGGCCAGATCGTCCGGCTCGTCGGCCGAGGCGGCGATGACGTCGTCGACGGCGAGGACTTGATCGGCTGGAATCGTTTCGAGCAAGCCCCAGACCGCTCGGACGGCCAAAACTAACTTCGAGAGTGTGGATGTCAGTCGTCGAGTGGTAGGCTTGAGCTCGAGTTGCGCTGCAGTGCTCAGGACGAGCTTGCGTGAGAAGCCCCCTCTGATATCGTTCGCGAGGCCCTGAGTGGTCGAGGCCGATTTATTCGATGCGGCCGGATCTGACAGACGAAGCACAGGGTGCTCCAGAATACCGCAAGCGTGTAGCAAGTTGCGCACGGCCGCGACGATCTCATCGCTATGCTGCGCCAGCACCTCGCGTTCCGGCCCAGGACCAAAAAGTGTTGCAGCTACGCCACTATCCGCTGCCCCTTGCTCGCCGACGAGTTCACTGAGCTTCGATAAAGCCTCCATGATCACCGACTCAAGATGGCTGAGCAGCGGTGGTGGTGGTGGTTCGAGCAATTGCGCCGTCGATACGGTCCTCTTGGAAGGCCTCTTGGACGATTTGGTCGAGCGCCTCTTCTCCAGTTCACGCGTCGCTTGTTCCAAAGCCGCAGCGATCTGTTCCTCCATGGCCTTGGCATCGAATTCGCCCTCTGCCTCCAGCCCGTCGACTTCGGCGACAGCTACGCCGCTCGCAGTCGTATCGCGCAGGCTGCGCGCAGTCGTCTGCCGTGAGCGTTGCGAGTAGACGCTCACACGCTGGGACCCATCGGAGTGTTCTCCATCCTCTGCAAGAGAAGGGCGTTCCGTCCAAGCCGACAAGACAGAAGCGTCACCCATCGAAGTCCTATCCCTTTTCGAGGTTGAAAATGAAGCCGCACCCAAGGTCGAACCCCACGTCGCACTGTACGTGGTCGAAGAAGGTCGTCTCCCAGTCCTAGGTTTGGAGGGTGTAGACTTGGCGGCTCGACTCTTGTTCAGGGTGTTGCGTTCGTCATCGTCGAGAGCGAATTCTGAAGGATCGATGCGGGTCCCGTCGCCTGTTCCGTCGACGGGCATATCGCGCGAGGTCTCGCCCGTCCTCGAATTGAAGTAGAACAGTTGGCCCCGGTGCGTGACTTTGGGGACCCAGTAATCCTGCTCGTCATCATCACCGTCGACCTCGTCCCCCTCCTCATGCTCGACATCGCCATCTGAACCTTTGGCATATCCGTCCGCTCTCGAACTGGCCATTTTCCGTGCTCCTCCCACGCCGTCGCCAGCGACTCCGGCTCTTGCTGCGGCAGCGATTTCCGAAAAGATGTCACCCCCTTCCGAGAAGCTCATCGTCGAGTCGTCGTCGCCGATCGAGGCGCGAGCCAAGAATTCTTCGATCGAAGCCGCGGTCGAGGTCGAGTTCTTCCTTGCGTCCAAGAAGCTGCCAGAGTGTGCCTGCCCAGGTCGACGTTGCTGCTCTTCGACGTCGTCGTCGGATTCGTCGCCTTGCCACCAGCCCGACATCTGTTGCCTCGCCCATCGTGCGTCTTGTTCGTCCAACCGTTGCACGTAGTTGGAAGGGAACCAACCCCTGATCTTTTGCTCGCATAACACGCCATCCCACCAGCCTGAACTCAACGTCGACAAGACCTCAATCACATCCCCCGGCCGGAACGAGAGACAAGACGTGTCGCCACCCGAATAGGCGTACAAGGCCTGAACGTAGAAGGAGGACGAGTCGTCGGTCGGGTCATGTTCCGAGTCGCTGGATTCGAAGTTTCTTGAAGAGGTCGAGGTCGAGGCTTGCACATAGGACATTGGGGAGGGCTGTCTTGGGGTCGTCGCTCGGGTGACGGGTGATCCCCTTCTCTCTCTCTCTCACTCTCTCGCCGAGACTAGCGTAGGGAGAGCGAGACCGAGACGTTCAGGGGGAATGAGCGAATCGTCGATGTTTTTTGTGGTTGGTAGGGGCGATGTGAACGCACGCAATGGTGTCGCTTTGCGGGAGGAGGATACTACGCTCAGCCCAGAACGAGTAGCAGAAGGGCAAGGGGAAGAGGTCCCGGCGTTGATCCGGATATCGCAAGCAGACCCGGTACGACGCCCGATCACTGCACTGTCAAGAGGAGAAGTGGAACGTGAAAAGACAAGCAGTACGGGGGTCAGCTATCGAACCGTGTCACTATCTACTGCGACCGTATGGAAGCGGGTCGATAGGGCCTAGAATCACGAGGCGTCCCGAGCCCGGATCTCCTGACCTGCGCCTCGTCAGCGACGAGGTGTCGGTGGAGCGCAGCCGACTCCAAAAGTGGGTGACTGTGGCGTCTACGATGATCCCCACACTCCCAATGCAGAAGTGGACAATGTGCATTCCTCCGCCCCTCTCGTGGATGAGTTCGGAAAAGGAGGTGGCTGTATGCGGTTGAGGCTGAGGCATTAGGCGTGGCCAGTCAAGCGGCGGTCACGCGCGGGTCTGCGCGGGTGGGTTCGACGCCGCGACGGGAGGCCGAGGACGAGAGAGGCCACGACCTCAACAGACCTCCACTCGACCCGACCGAGCGACGAACCACGATCCCACGCTACCTAGGGCCGACCTGCCATGACGATCACGGCGACTGTGGATGTTGCTGACGACTCACCTTTTGAGACGAGGTGTGATGCGAAACGAGTGGCGTGGTCAAGGACAGAGCCGGCGAGAGTTGTCACTCTCCAGACTGACTGACACAAAGCCAACTTGCACCCCGGCACCCTCACACCCAGGCACCCCCAGCCACGGCCGCAGACGCAGGCAGTACGCAGGCAGACGACGGCACTCGATTAGAGAAACCTCGGCGCCAACTGGCAGTCGCGCGCCAAGCCCAGGGTCAAGGAGGTCGAAGATAGACGCCTTGCTCTTGGAATGACAATGTGTCGTATCTTGTCTTTGGGGCTTCGAAGCAGGAGACTATTTCCCGTGTTACTCAGTAAAAGGAGCTGCCACACCTTGTCAAGGGGGTTACAACTTTGCTCGCAGAAAATGACAGGCCTCGAGTCTAGAATTCGATTTCATTATTTAGTCGGTCATGATCGAACGCCTCCTTGTTTCGGGTTAATGGTCTCAGTGGCCCTGTAGGTAAGCGGTGTGTCGGAGCCCTGAGGTCCTTATTACCGATGCCTAAGCTTGTAGATCCCTGCCTTCAAGGTTGGAGCTTGTCATCTTCCGGTCACTGCAAGACCTTCCAAAGAAAGGAGGAGTCGCAGCAGCAGGGATGAAACCTGCTTCGGCGGCAAGCTCAAAGGCCTCGAGGGTGATCTCGGTTTTTTAGTCGATGTCTCAGGAGGCATAGTGCGCGCAAGGTCGCAGAGTCCCTGATCAGATCAAGAAGGACTCTTCGCCTTCTGTTCCCACAATTCGGCTTTGGAAGAAACCTGATGTACATGATTCCATTCGCACCGAATAATAGAACCTGCTTACGAGAACCCCCCTCCCTTCCAGAGCCGCCGTAGCATCCCCTTCTCCTCCTTAAGCAAACACGCTCCTCGTCTCCAACGGTTTCTCGGGCCTCGATTCCAACAGATCGCTCTCCCTCGTCCTCCTCTGCTCCTCCTGATCCTTCCTCCCCCTGTACTTGCTTGCCCTGACCAATTTTTGCCCCAAGTAAGCCTGTTGACTCGGGACGAATTCCTTGTTCTCGTACAAGCAGGCACCGTTGAAAGAGCCTTCAAAGATCTTGACGGGGGTCAGGACGAAACGAGGACCGATTTCGTTGAGAGACATTTTGGGACCGTTGGCTGCGGCGGCTTTGGTGGCTTTGGTGGTGGATACAGTCGAGGAGGTGGAAGGGAGGGTCGGGTCGGCGGAAGGGTTGTCGAGGATCTGGGGGGGGGGGGGGGGAGGGCGAGCAGAGAACCAAGATCAAGATCATCAGATCAAAGAAGACCGCAACAATCCAAGTTGACTTGAAAACGCACCTGGTACTGTCGGAACCAAATCTTGCCGTCGACGATGGAAAAGTTGATGACGTGGTCGACGAAAGGTTTTGCTCTCCTCGCCGTCTTTGGGACCGCAAAGATCTGATAAGGGAGGGACACGAGAGGGTTAGTCCATTGTTCTGTGATGCTCAAGAGTACGAATTTGAACGTACATGGGTCAACATCTCCTTCATGATCTTCCACTGGGGCTGCGCATCGGGTGCATCGAACTGCTGATCAAACACAACCAACGGCCTGGACCCCTTGAGGCAGTTGCCCGTCATCTTCATCTCGTCCATGGTGTGGATGTTGAGCACGTGGAAACGGATCGAAGGACCGTTGGGGGCTTTGGCGGCCCAGAGGTAGAGATCGTTGTGCTTGCGTCGGGCCTCAAAGAAGAGCGCGTTGTTGCAGTTGGAGAGGTCGCACAGCTCGTTGACGAGCGCGAGTTGATGCTTGGTATCCAGTTTGGCGTCTTTTCGCGATGCGAGGGACGTTCCGAGCACGGGAGAGAGTCAGGATCAGTCCCGGCTGAGTCCATGAGGGACAGGGGGCACACTCAAGACGACTGACCCTTCTTGGCATGAGGCAACATGGCCGTAAGATCACTCATCAAATGACGCTGGCGCTGACTGATACCTCTTGAACTGAGCACCAAGACGCGTTGCTTGTAGGGGCGTGCAGCCGTCGTGGTTGATGCGGATGCTGCTTCATCGTCGTCCTGTGCGCGCGAGCGTTTGCGCTTCAGGTCCTTGGTCACCGCGGAGGGGGCCATGGTTGGAGAGGAGAGGCAAGGTCAACTTGAAGAGGATGCGATGGACCGTAGTGTGTCTTGGCGACGGGCTGCGCGGTGGGATGAGGTTGAGGCGAGAGGCGAGGCTGCGCTCCGTCGTCGTCGTCGTCGTCGTCTCGGGTGCTTTCACTCGCTGCGAAGCGCCGTAAGTAGCGCCGTAAGCCAGCGTAAGCCGCCGTGAGAGGCGGCCGTAAGCGACTCGTGAGCGCGCGCCGGCCAACGGCAACGCGATGAAGCGGTCCGTGCGTCAATGACGAGTCGGGCTGACCGTTGGGCGCTCCACCGCTGCTCCCCCCTACACCCATCATACACCAACCAGATCTGGCATCGTTCCCAACTCAAGATCTGTGCAATATGGTCCGTCCCTTCCCGTCCCCCCCCCCCCCAGTCCTATCCAGCTCCTCTTGAGCCCCTCCCTTTGAAGCCGTCCTTCTCCAACTGACTCGACCCCGTATTCGCGCCCCCCCACCCCCCTCACAGCCCGCCATCAACTACGAAGAAGACACCGAATTCAACGAAGCCTTGCGCAAACACGGCATAATACCCCCCAAAGCCACCGACGGCACAAGCTACCGTTCCCCCTCCCCCCCACCCGCTCCCACGTCCCCCTCCCTCTCCGACGTCGACGACCTCGATGAGCTCGATGTCGATCGCGACGATTCCCTTTCCCGCGACGTGGTCGAAAAGTATAGGGCCGAGAGGATGGCCAAGATGAAAGTGGCGGAGCAGAGGAGAAAGTTCGGCAGGGTCTATCCAATTGGCAAGGTCGATTATACGAGGGAGGTGACCGAGGCGAGTAAGGCGATCATCGAGGGGGAACCGGAAGGCTATGGCACGGGGGTGGTGTGTGTGCTCTACAAAGATTTGTGAGTTTCGTGGCGGGGCGCAGGCACGCTTATGCTCGGGCATGACCTCAACATTGTTTCGCGACCCGCAGCCTACCAGCATGCAAGATCCTCCTCCCCCTGCTGGACCAACTGTCCCTGCTGTATCCTTCCTCCAAATTCGTCAAGATCGTTTCGGACCATTGCATCGAGAACTACCCCGACAAGAACTGCCCGACCATGATCGTCTATCGTAACGGCCAGATGATGGGGCAGATCGTCGGCCTCGGAGCGATGGGGAATGAGAAATGCAAACTCGTTGGTGAGGGATCAGCCTCAACCGCAATCGCAATCGAGCACCTGACCTACTTGTGGGGATCTAATCCGCGCAAAATTGTTCGCCTCACAGATGTCGAAAGGATCTTGTTCGCGTTCCGAGGCATCGACTTTCACCTCAAGATCGGCAACGAAGCCCGCGGATCGCAATTCTCATCCAAGACCTCTTCCGCCGCCGCACCCTTGGAGAAGAAGACCGCCAACACTTCCTCGAACAAGTCGAGAACAGGGAGGGATGAGGTCGGATCGGATGACGACGGGGAAGCGGACGAAGGCTCGGATGAGGATGATCAGACTTTTGTGGGCGGGGGGAGGAGAAGTGGCATTCGGAATGGCACGAGGGGGAGGAAGAAGGGCGAGAAGAGCGATGATGACGACGACTTTGATATTTAGACTCGTCTGTGCAGATTGCTGCGGTGGCCCGAGTTTCTCTGAGCGCGTGTCGGCGTAATAGGGGCTATGGCAGCCAGGACCCCCGGAAGCCCAGCCTGAGGCGCGTAGGTAAAATCCGCTAAAATCCCGGATTTTGGACCTCTTTTGTCCACCAATTTTTGGATTTTTCGCCCAAAAAAGTCCCCAAAATGTCTAGTCCATCTACGCGCATCCAAAAATAGCTCTAGAATTACTTCAAATGCTCCAAAACATCTTCAAAAATCGCGAAAACGCCGTCCGAACGTTTTTCGCCCGGACCGAATCGCCGGAGCCCGCGCGCGCTTCAGCCGTTTCGGTTCTGCTTCGCCGAGGGCTCCTCACCTGCACTTGCTGCCTGCCTTTTTGACTAGATTTGACGTGGCCTTGGTATACATGTAACGTACTACGAGAGGTAAGATCGATTGCAGTCACTCTGGGAAACAGTAAGCTAGCTACCGTGAGATCCACGAACCCCGAGGATCATTGAGGGGGTAATTGCTCCTCAACGAGCAGTGAAGGCATCACCTCCGGAGCTCTAACGATGAGACGTTGATCTTCGATGTCGACACGCAGATAACTTCACCAGCTCTTGGCCACTGATAACAACCGAACGCATGCGCTCGGCGTGATCTATATGCCGCCAGATTCGACACCGAAAGGCAGCCGATAGTGATAGATTGGTGGCCTTGCCTACGTGTCGCAACGATTGCTCCACGATCCTTCAACTTGTCCCTCCAAGCATCGAGCGGCCTAGCAAGAGTATCACTTGTCTGTCGACCATGAAAGCTGTATCCGGGTGTCTGGTCTGTCAAAGCTGGAGGCGAAAGCTCAGACACCCTCACGTCCAAGAGGGGTGCCATTCGCTCAGATCATCGTCAAAGAGATCGATATCCGGATCTCTACGCAAACCGTGCCGAAAATGTAGGATATTGGCGATGATGGCACAGACGACGTCGACGCGACGCGGCGAGGAAGGCAAGAGACGCGCGCACTCAAATGCTTCGTTCAACCGGCCAAGAGGTTATCCCTGAAGCTCTCTAGAGCTGAAGGTTTGTTCAAGGAAAATTGGGGGGCGCGAGCTGGCGAAATTGACGAGATTCTCAACATTACTAATTCTCGTTGGCGGGGGCGGCTCCCGCACAGGCCCGCGCGCAAGGCCAGCAGCCGGCACAGACCTGCACAGACCGGCGCGGAACGGCGGCGAATGGCACGGAGTGCAAAGTCCTGTAGGCGTGCGCGTCGGCCCTCGTCTGATAGCTCTGTCCGAACATCAACATATCAGTAGCTCATGGTACAGCCCTCCTCCACCGTGGAGTAGTTCATCAGTCACGAACGGTGCTCAGTCGGTCCGACACACCCACCAGTCATTGGTATCAAGTGGCATTTGTGTCCACCCACCCTGCGGCGATGTCGATCTCTCCCAGTTCACGTGTCATAGTCGACATTAGACAGCATCTCGGAGCTTGGCTTGACAACAGGCAGTCGCTCGAGCCAACATGGTGAACGAGCACAGTACGCTTATTATGGACCGAACAGAGTTGGCGCCTCACAGTCGCTTGACGACGATCGAGTGATCAGGTGCTCATTGCGACAGCTCGTCTTGTCCAACGTCGAACTTCGTTTGGAACAACTGCAGATTCTTTGTCAGACTCACAACTTGCAAGGCTACTCTCTTCGGCGATCAAGGGCTAGAGAACTGTTTTTGCGCATTCTATTGTCTTCATGCACTGAGAGTTGTCGAGCATGTGAGAATGGCTACATCTTCAAGCGAAACACAGCCAATGACATTCTGGTCCCCAGACGGCATTGCGTACCCCGCCACACGGTCTACCGGCACAGAACATTGGAGTCGTGTCAAGCAGAACTGAGCAAGAAGATTTGTGAACGAGGGGAAAGGTCATTGACAGAGAATGCGACTCAGAACAGACGACGAGCGGCGACCAACAATGACAGCCGCGCTGACGACGACGACACACGGCTTCGCCGAACCCCTCAAGCTTCGCAGGCTGAGCGGTCCTCGCTCTATACTCCTGCGTCCGCCCGGCTCCAAGCTGAGATCCGTGCCGAATGGAAGCAGTCCTTCAGAGATGCCAATTTTCGAGTTTTCTGCTGCTTGGTTTGCTCTGAGAGGGTCTTCGGGCACGAGGCACAGTGGGTCGCGGAGAGCGTTCTCAAGTGCAGAGATCGCGGCATCCTGGAAGTGCTCGCAGATGTTCATTTGCGCTCTCTGACATGCGGCCTACAACATATGATTTCGAGGAATGGCGTGCTGCAATCATTGATCCGCGTGGTCTACATTGGCGGAACGACCTAGAGGGCCAGTCCATCTACTTCGCCACGGACGACTCAGTCCTCCGTCCAGTGTTCGCTTTGCCCCGGCTGTTATCAAAGTCTCTGTACCTGTAAAGCTGCGCCGACTAAGCCCGCTCGTTCATTGAGTAATCGTCTTTACCGGGCCCGATAGGAGAGAGGTAGCGACGCCGAGAAGTCAGGACCACTGTTCGAGAATCAGTCCGCGAGCGGCAGAGAGGCCGACGACGAACAAGATCGTCGTGATCGAAGAGACAGGAGCAAACGTCTTGTGGTAGTCGATCCCCAGTCGTGGAGCAAAGCTTTGGACGACTAGACGAGCCTTGTATCTGATGATGTTTATTGAAGGTGTTAGTAGACCTTGCACTGATATCAGGGGCCGGATAGCTTAGAGGTCAAAGCTTTTCCGATTAATGGAAGCGACCCAGGTTCGACTCCTGGTCCAGCCATTTCTTCTTTTGTTGATCATTTTCGGAATCATTGTTGATTCCAACAATGTTGCCTTCGGCGTCTTCCTACCAAGTAAACACTCAACAATAGCCCAGTGCACGAGCCCCAGTGGGTAGCCTCGAAAGCTTGAAAAGCTTGTGCAAGCCCATGGAGTTGGGTTCCTTGACGGACGCAACGTACCACGACTCGGCCTCGGGCGAAGCCATCGCGTCCTTGAAGGTCTTGGAAAGCGGTGGGTGACGAGTGGAAAACGACGCGACGAGCTCTGGTTCGCGACGAACGATCTTGCGCGTGGACACAATACTGAGGGCGGCGACGCGACACTGAGCACGCGTGCGAACCGGTAGAATGTTGCCCTCGTCAATGTTCTCGAGCAGACCGGGATTGCGACCGACACGATAATGCCGGTACTCGTGACCATTGTCAGGAGGTAGAGGTGGAGCACGCTCCGCAGGGTCGTCATCTTCGTAACTGTCGATAGCCTCAACAGCCTCCTCGCGTCGATGATCGATAGGCTGCTCTTCGTCTTTAACCCCTTCGGCAAACGGGCCGACAGCTGGTAAAGGAATAGGAGCAACCTCGCCATCGTCCGCACGTTGAAGACGAGGAAGTGGAGGCAGCGCTGGCGATACAGCCACACCAGGCTCGGGAATGAGAGCAGGCCGTCATGCCCGACCCGCCTCAGGGATGGGAGCAGGCCATAAAGCTTGATTCTGCTCCCAGCCAGGAAAACGCAGTTGAGATACTAGCTCGTACTCCTGTAGAGGTTCGACTTCGTACATGCGGGGCTCGTCAGCCGAAGATGAGTCCGCCTCACGCGCAGGCGACGGCGTCAATGACTTCGGAGGGTCGGCAAACTTTGGCCTTCCAAGCCGAATGGGGCCGAAATGGGTCACGATTTGTCCACTGACACCTACGGGCCTAGCACCCCACCCACACCGGCGCACCCTGATTTGTCCACCCCTGACTACGCGCCTTGGCGATTTTGGCCCATCTGAGGCCCAAAATTTGTCCAGTCGGGCCCTACGCGCCTCAGGCCGGGCTTTCGGGGGTCCTTGGCAGCCTCACGATGCGATTAGCACAACTTTAGGGGCACCTGTTGAAACATGGTTCATTCAGCTTTGTTACCTTACCTTCCCTTACCCCACCCCCGAACCGATCCGATATAGAGTCTCGCCAACACGAGTACAGCTACCTCAACGAAATGCACATCAGGCGCCACGTGACACCTGTTCTCGCAGCCTATGCGGCGACCCCTCGACCCCACCCAAGCCTCGATGGACCCCCCTCCGGCCACGCGACAGCTCAGGAATCCATACTCAACAGCATTCGATCGTTCCCCAAGGAATTGAATGGTCTTTCTATCACACATGGCTGCGAACCATGACACCTCCCCACTTCCGTTGCCGATTTAGCGATGGTAGCCCCCAGCCGAACGGTGCAGACAGAACCTCCTCTAGAAGCGGCGAGTGCTATCCCTCTCCATTTTATTGCCTAGAGCTCCTCAGCACTCTCATGAAGCACGTGTACCTCTTTCTACATCACCACTTGCGTTGCACACCCATGCTAGCCTCCAAGCCGCTCCTCCTAATCCGACGAGCTTCGCACGGACGCAATGCTTTCCACCAACTACCGAACTGTCCAACCACCCTACTAACTCACCTCGACAACCTCAGGAATCTTCATTTTTCCTACACTTGGACTACCAAGGAATTTCTCACAGTGATACGAATCCCCTACATCTCTGAAAAACGTGAACACCCTTATCGACCTGACAGAGCCGAATGACGAACTATTCATTGCAATCACCCCATGTCCTCGGCACGCTTTCACTGATTCTCTTTAGTAGCTCCTATTCGAACACTTATTTTCCCGCCGACCTTTGCTACCCCAATACTTTGCCTGACACTACCACGCAACCCTCTTACTCGACACCTACAATACTTTCAATTTCATCTGTTGAGGGATGCCAACTTCCCCATCCAATGTCAAACCTGAGACCCGTCACCCACTCCTCTGTCTCTCCTAACCCCGTCTTCTATTTACCGGCGGAACTTTTGGCCGACTTGCCTGAGAAAACTTACCCCTGTCCGACCCCGAACTCGAGCACGCCATACCAACAATCGATCACGTCATCAGGCGGAAGCGACTGGTTTTCGACATTCACGCACTTTTCCGGAATACGGCCGCTGACATGAAACCTCTTCCGAGCCTCGCTCTTCCATCTCCCGCTCTCACTCGGTCTTCCGCAATTCGACTTCTCGCGCACTCGGTCTTCCGCAATTCGAGTTCTCGCGCTCTACAATGGTCCCAAAGCCTTTCATCGAGAATGACTGCACACCGATCCGAAACACCCAACCACTACCACACCGACTCATCGGTTCAGACCTTCCCGCCATTTCCGGCGACATAGCGAAGCAAACGGCCGAGGCAATTGATGGAATGGGGATGTTGATCTTTGCACAGAACGTGGATCGGTCGTTATCGGTCTTGTTTATTTTTTCACACAACGTGGATCGGTTTTTGGAGGCAGTGATCTTGTCCCCCATGCTGGAGCTTGCCAATCGAGTCTCCACCAGGACCTTGCATTGATCGTGGCGTGTGCTTGGATCGGTGTTGATTGATATGCATGATTCGCCAGGGGTGTCGATCATGTCTTCCAAGTGCTTCAACTTCGAGGTGGGCCTTCACCGCCTTGCGAATCAGATCCTCGGGAGCTCGCTCGATGACCTCGAAACCGTCTTTGCCAGAGTGTCATTGAAAGCCAAGCGAACATATCGTACAACGTCGTTCGCTTTCCTGTTCGTGAAATGAGCGAACAAACGAAGCCACGGCTTGTTATCCCCGTCACGCAGTGGGGACGCACGCATTCCTCAACATATCATACAACCAAGATACACGCATTCCTCAACGCCAAACCATACCTTGAGTGGAACAAAGTATCGCCACGTTTCACCCCACGAGTTCATCTCCTAACGGCTCATTTCTTGAATCGAGCATACCCGTCGACGTTCGCGTCCCCACTGCGTGACGGGGATAACAAGCCGTGGCTTCGTTTGTTCGCTCATTTCACGAACAGGAAAGCGAACGACGTTGTACGATATGTTCGCTTGGCTTTCGATGCGCAACGACACTCTGGCAAAGACGGTTTCGAGGTCATCGAGCGAGCTCCCGAGGATCTGATTCGCGACGGACCTCCGACCCCCGACTTACGATTTTTCAGCTTCACGGGGCGCACTCATCCGTCCCTGCCGTCTTCATCGGCCGAGCGATTTAATTGATCAGATCGCGTACTCGCCCACGAATAACACGCTTCAGTGCTCACTCTGTCCAGACTGCTTCAAGCGGTCGTTCCCTACCACAGGGCCACCGACTAAGCCCCCTCGGTCGTTGAGCAACGGATTTTATCGCGCACTGGATCACGTCCCCGCTGATGTCCGAGATTGCTTCTCCAACGCGAGTCAGCTTGAGCACCTCGTCACTGTGCGCGCCAGAGCCTACAAGATCATGTACAAGCTAACTCGTTTCGGAGATTCCAAAGCTCAACAAGAATTTAGGCGCGGAAACATCCTTCACCACACCTAGCCAGGCCGTCTCGCGCCCAAGTCGCTCCCGGAAGTTTCGATCTCTCAACGTCAACTGAAACCACTTCTTATAGCCAAGTTCGGTGAAAGGGCGATGTGGGTCCCCGGCGCTGACGACCACATGCATACACAAAGTTGGAGTCGGACCAGACACGGACTGTGGCATGGGCGATGTCGAGTGATCTCAACTTATGCATGTACACCCCGGCTCTGGCTCGATCTCGTCTTGTCTGCAATGCTCATTAACGTTTGGCACACTTACATGCCTCATTCATGTGAACCGAACTGACTCGCGAACTCGGTGCTGCATACCCGATCCATGGCACGTTCTTAGTAGTAATACTAGCTGACGCTGTCAGTCGGTGTTACTCCGTCAGAGGTTCAGGGACCCGTCGCCCCCTCCGGGGGCGCGTTAATTATAAGATAAGAGAGAGCCGGAAGTGAGCGATTGATCAGGAATTGGCCTCTCCTTCGGCGTTCTTGTTGACGAGCCGCCTGCTAGAAGAGTCCGAAATGCCCCGAAACAGCCGAGAAGCGAGCACAGGAGAGCAAAGGCGGCGGTTGACTGACACGTTTTAATGTTTTAATCCATATATTCCAGCTAGTCTTGTTTAAAGACAGAATCTAACAAATTGCTAGATCCGCTGGACCACCATATTCATGTCACGTAGGCCGTCACCTTGCTGTCACCAGGACCGATGCCCCCCATTCCAGGGCTTACATCAGTCTTTCCCTCGTCCAGCTCAGCGCCCGCCCTCAAAGGCAGGTGGGGAATGCCGCCACCACCGCCTCTGTCACTAATGCGAATTCCTTTGCTCCGTGTTCCTTTGCAGTGCCCACCACTTCCTCATTCTCGCCGCCCATAACCGTCCGGCTCCCTTTATAAGCTCGTGATGCCATGTCCGATCCAGCCGCGTCCGAGATCGCTCATCGAGGGCCCAGTAGATGTCAGGTTTTGGGATCATCGGCATCGCATACCACCATAGATGTCCCGTTACTAGCCCTGCAGCGAATTGGAAAGCTCGTATACTTGTGCTCCCGTCCATTCGTGGTGTCTCATCTCCAGTTCCCTACGCGTCATCTGAAACAAGTCCTGTCCAATTCTTTCCCGCAGTCCACGACCTGCCTCGCACTCCCTGAAAACATGTTTCTCTGTCTCCTCTGCCAATCCACAAATAGTACACAAAGACGACGTACCGAATCGTTCTGAGCATCGCGAGGCGGTGGGAAGGATGTGTGCCCGCAGCTGGAGTTGTGTTTGCGCTGCGTACGTCGAAATTGCGCGAAGGTAAGGATACCGTCCTGCGGAATGAGCGACTTGGAGTAGCAATTGAACGTCGTTACCGATCTTCTGGGGCAGCGATTTGATTTGCCATGCTTCTTGTAGGTCGTAGATTTTCTTGATCACATCACCCTCTATCCAAGCACACCCTCTATCCAAGCAGTTTGCTCGCCAAGGGATGCCTGGATTGTCCATTGTGGGAGTGCAAAGTCCGGGAAAAGCACGAAGAAGTCAGGTTGAGTGTGTGCCGATTTCGCCGCCTCATCTGCTCGAGTGTTTGCACGCGATGCTTCGTCTCCGCCACCCGTATGGGCTTTAACGTGCCGTATCTGTATCGAATCACTCGTTCTCAGCAGGTGTTCGAGCCAAGTGTAGTGTGCAAATGCGGCCCTCGGTTTCTTTGGTGCAACTTGATCTTTCTTCAGATTCTCAGCGAATTTGACGGAGGTAAGGTGATCTGCGACAACCTGAATTGCTGACCCAAAATGTGAGGTCTCTAAGTGTGAGGTCAGTGCCGCTATGATCAGGGCTGTCACCTCTGCCTGCATGATAGTCGCGCCCGCCGGTAGTGCCGCACGAGCCGCCGAGTATGGCCCTACAACCGCTGCCGCCGCAGATGTGAGTCCTGTGGGTAACACGATGAGTGAGCCATCCGTAGCCCAAATATTCTGGTCTTGTTGGCCTCGAAAATTTATCAGGGAAAGGAGTGTGATTTTGATCTGCTGCTCGGCGTCGTTTTGTCGCTGTGCTCGCGTCTTCAACAACCTAACCGGCCCGTCCGCCAGTAAAGTTTCATCAAAGCGATTAGACCATTGTCGCACCAATCTCGTGTTCGGGTGCAGCCATCCAGCAAAGAGGTCGGGTCTATCGCGCTGTGGGCCTCTCCGTAGCACTTGGAGGTCCGTCAGGCCTGCTGGAAGCGCCGCCATGGCTTTTTGTAGTTGCGGTTCGTTTCGTTTGGCCCCTCCGCTTTGGAGGTATGCATGTTCCGCACTAATATCTGAGTCGGTGCGATTCGACTGGTCGGTTTCGAGTACTCGGAGGTTCCCGCAGTGTTGTAGCGCACCTAGTGCCGTATTCCAGATCTGAGGAACCATCTGCTGCGAGTGCTTGAAAGACAGGGGCTTAGGGTTCAGGAGCGGCGATATACAGCCATGGTGTTGGCATTGTAGGTCGGCCAGCGTTATTCTTTCCATCTGTGCGAAAGCTGGAATATGATGGTTCAGGTCTCGTAGTAGTCCATCGACTGCCATAGCCCCGTTCAGTCGCCACAGACTAGTAAGCTCGAATCCAAATTTGGTGACCAACTTAGCGCTCGGTGTGAAAACCCATCCATAGTACTCTTTGATCCGCATTGCTATAAGCTGGTCTAGCTTAAGGGCATCGTCCGGTCGGATAGGACATAAAGCCAGTCGTGGCCTCAGCCTGCTAATTAGTTGTTGTTCGATGAATCGTCGTAATGCCGAGAGCGGGAGTCGCCTCGTTGGCGTGCTCGGGAACCCGATCGATCGCACAATACTTTCCAGCTGAGTGTATTGTCGGTCCGGCGCAGCGAACGGTGTTTTGAGAAAAACGTGTGCTGGGTCGACAGTGACCTGTCGTCTCCCATGAGGAGTGGCAACTTGGACTGTCCCTGGTGTATCAGACTGGTTGCCGAGGCCCATTACGATGGCTCGAGTCTTTGTACCCCAGTCGGTTTGGGCTCCGTAGGCTTCCTGGAAATGCTCCATGTAGAGAGTCATCGCTGCCAGCGTCCTTTCACTCTTGGCCAGTAGTATGGTGTCGTCCATCGCAGATACCTGAGTAATCTTGAGGGTCAGTTCATCCGCTTGTGTATGGTTGTTTGAGCGTGCCCTGTTCTGTGTTGTGATGAGTAGTGGGTCCTCGAACGCTTGTTCGTCCAGCCAGTAAGAGCCCATAGCCATGGCCAAGGAGAAACGAAGAGGATTCGGGGGATCCCCTTGTTTCATCTGCCCGTCCACTTCGAAAGGTTCCGCGAGGCCGTACGGTGTCTTGACGATAAAAGCGCCGTGTGCCAATCGGGCTCGGTCAAAAGCTTCTGCGTTTGGGCCAAAGCCGAAAAAATGGTAGGCGTCATACCCAGCTTCTGGTCTGAGCAGGTCGAAGCCCTTCTTTTGGTCTCGTACTAGCCCGTAGATCGGAGTTTTGGCCCGGAACGCCCAGGCTTCTAGGTTCGCTAGGAAACTTGTGAGGTCGCGCTGTTGTACACCGCTCTGGACGGCCACCTGTGTTTCTGGAATCATGTGGTGTTTCATTGCGTAAGCTTGCGCCTGACTTGTAAACCATCCAGCCGCTGTGACCGCCAAGAAATTGCCAAAACAGACCGCTCGGTAATTACTCAGTTGGGAAGACAGTCCGCGATTTTTGAACATCGGAAGCAGATAGTGGTCGCGCAGCTTGTCGAAGTAGTTGTGCACCAGTACATAGTTCAGGAGTGCCAGAACAACAGACATCGCTTGGTCTCCAAGTATCGTTACTGTCCATTTCTCCCATCGGTCCGGACCGGGGGATGGTTCCCTATTGCCTTTGCCGAGGAGCGCCCGGAGGTCGCTGAGCATCAGGGGCCTAGGCCAGACAAATGGGTCGCGTTGCGTAGCCTCCCGAAACTTCCGGGAACTTTCCGTATTCATCCAAGGTTTGTCTGTCAGAGCATTGTCATCCTCTTTTTGGAATAAAGCGCTAAAATACTGCTTACACGTGTTCCGTACCTCTGTGGGGTCAGCGGTAAGATTTCCATCCACAGTTTCTACCGCACGTGGTTGTATCAGTGACGTACGTGGTATCAGGATTTTCTTCACTGAACCTCCGTTGATGACATTCTGTATCCGAAAATTATCAGACCTCTGTGCCAGTTCTTTACGCTCCCGCTTCTCTTGTGCGTGTATTCTTTTGCAGAGTTGGCGGCGCCAGACAGTCGCGGTTTCTAACACTTCATCCTCGGGGGGGTACCACACTGCTCTGCCTGTTTCTTGTTGGAGACGTTGCAATGTCGCCGTTTCTAGGTCGGTATGGAGCTCCTCGAACCATCTTCTTGCGTCCGGTTTGTTTCTCAATATATGAATGGAGTTAGTCTTGAGTGCGTATATATAGCGATTCATATGGTGACGGTCCTGACTCAATTGTCGTAACTCTGGCGATCCGACAAACTCGCGTTTCCCGACCGCTGGCGATCTTCGTTCGCCGAATATTTGGAGGGAAGTGTTTACTATTAGATTGGAAAATCCATCGTAAGTCGCATTCCAAGCCTCTTGTGAGGCTACTGTTCCATCCTTGGCAACTCGATTCAAAGACTGCGAATTAGCAACGCCCTCTTCCATCTCTTGCCGAAATTTTGGCCGAGTGTCGCTATTCCGCGGCGGAACTTTAACCCTCCGAGGTCCGTCGTCGCTCGCCTCCTCAATTGTCGCACAGAGACCCGGGAACCATAGTCTGCAATGAATTGGTCTGTGATCAGTGGCCATAACCTGACGCAACGTATGGATATCCGCATTCCCCGCCGGCGCTGACGTTGCGAGACGGTCTATGATGCTGATGGTTTGCGCTTCCCCGTATGCCTTAACGTTGACAGGCTAGTCGCGACGTGCTTCTCTCTCCTCTTCCGCCGACAACGACGCCGAAATGAACATCCTCACAATCCGAGAAGCCCTCATCAAAAATTCCTCTTCATATCATCATGGTCTCATTCCCTTCCCGGAATTTGAGGATCGTCATGGTCAACTCACCGCCGATCCTCAATTCGCCCCCTATCGCGCCGAATGGGACGCGTATCGCAAGCACCTGGTCGAACTCGAAAGGGATGGACCTCTCCCACCGGTAAGTTTTCATTTACATACTGATCGCTTGCTGCATTGCAGACCTTCTGATGATGTCTGTGGCACCTTCACAGCCGCCTCTGAAGCCGTGCCGAGAGGAGTCGGGCGCACGGGCCGCCGCGAATGAGGTCACCATGCTCGACCTGACCTCGTCGCCTCCAAAAAAATCGCCAACAAAGCGAATCCCTCAAGCCCTCTCTCGACATACAAAGGGCTCGACTTCAGCCTCGACCTCGTCTCAAAAGGCTAAGCCCAAGCCTCAAAAGCTTGGACCGCGCGGCGACTACCGCGCAGATTGTCAAGGTCCTTGACTATCAAAAACGGCACAAGTTGACGCTCACGGCCACCGTCAAGTATTTCAACAACTCGCCAAACCACTGAGACATGCCGATCTTGAGCCAGCCAAAGCTCACGCAATGGCGCAAAACGGAAGACGAGCATCGCGCCCTTCTCGAAAGCGGTCAAGGAAGCATGAGGCGCAACAACAGCGTCATGCACCCGAACCTGGAAAAGGCGCTGGCAATCTGGTGTACTCAAGCTCTCGAGCAGAACACCACCATCATTACCGATGTATTGCGCCTGAAAGGTCAACAACTTGCCGACAAACTCGAGATTCGGGATTTCGCCTTTTCGAACGGCTGGCTTCAGGGCTTTAAGATAAGGTACTCGCGTGATTCTTGTTCCAGTCAGCCGTTCTACATTGTCTGGATTTCCTCTTTGTGAATCTAGACACAATCTTCGCTCTTAAAAGTTCCATGGCGAAGGCGAGAAGGTCGATGCGAAAACGCGCGAAGAGGAGCGCAAAAGAGTCGTCGATCTTACGAACAAGTACGACCCAAGTGATATCTTCAACATGGACGAAACCGGTCTCTTCTACGCTATGCGTCCGTCTACGGGCCTTGCTCGGAACGGTCGAAATGGTGTCAAGATGAATAAGACTCGCATCACCTTCGCTTTCACGGTCAACGCCAACGGATCGGAACGGCTCCCTCCCTTCATCATTGGTAGCACGGCGAAGCCTCGTAGCTTCAACAAAAAACCACCCAGCTACTACAATCATTACTATCGATCGAACAAGAAGGCGTGGATGACTGGCGAACTTTACGTTGAATGGTTGAAAGCCCGGGATCTCGAGCTTCGCAGCAAGGGCCGAAAAGTGCAACTCTGGCTCGATGTCTTCTCGGGACACACGAGGGATGTTGATTCCTTCACCAACATCGAAGTTCATTACTTTGCACTCAATATGACGTAAAACAGTCTCAAACCTCGGAACTCACCTTCTGCGATAGTTTGCCTTGAAGTTCGCAATGATTCCTTGATCGAGCGGCTGGATTCTTGACGTCATATTGGGCGCAAAGTAATGAACTTCGATGTTGGTGATGGAGTCAACATCCCTCGTGTGTCCCGAGAAGTTATCGAGCCAGAGTTGCACTTTTCGGCCCTTGCTGCGAAGCTCGAGATCCCGGGCTTTCTTCTCGTTGCTCGTAACTATGCCCTTTTCGACCAGCTCATCGTTCGCCGTCTTCAGAGCGTTCATCACGTTGATGATGCCGCGATCGCCATTGAGAGGCCCGCGACCGTTGGGAAGAGGTGTATGGTCGGTCGATCCTTTGTTCTTGCGATCAGACAAGATTTGAGTGTGGCGCCAGCAGTTGGCAATCGTCTCGGGGCGGATGTCGTTCCACGCCTCATGTCTCGCAATGATGCGAGTCTTATTCATCTTGACACCATTTCGACCGTTCCGAGCAAGGCCCGTAGACGGACGCATAGCGTAGAAGAGACCGGTTTCGTCCATGTTGAAGATATCACTTGGGTCGTACTTGTTCGTAAAATTGTCAACCGCCGCCTTTGCTCTCCTGTGCTCGCTTCTCGGCTGTTTCGGGGCATTTCGGAGAGAGGCCAATTCCTGATCAATCGCTCATTTCCGGCTCTCTCTTATCTTATAATCTGACCTGTAAACCCATGGGCCATAAATTATAAGGTATAAGATTGGACAGGTTCTGTCAGCCAAAAAAGTCGGGAGATTGAAAAGTCCATTTTGACAAGATTCGGTGATATAAATTTTCTCGGGTCTGACTGTAGTAGTGTGACGAATAGATGGCTCTAGTAGTGGATCGGAACGTTGGAATCCCTAGGCCTCACCGCCCCACCGTGTTACCAACCTCATCCCCGATCACTTGCGAGAAATAGCGACTCGATTACCCAAGGCTTCGGTACTTGAGTGGGGCCACACGTCATCGACCATCACTTGCCTCGACCGCGGCGGAGTTCCCACGCACCTCGCAGTCGGACGTTGGACGTTGCGGGAAACGGCTCGGTACGCGTCGCTTACTCCAGTCGGCCGAGGTCGATTCGAGTTAGCATCCCATTGACTGCGACTTCGAGTGGACAGGAAACGATCCGGTGACAACAACGTCCCCGCTGGATTCCAGGCAACTCCTCCAAGTGCCCAATCATGTCGATCCCGCCGAATTACCACGGCCCGATCAACGCGAACCCGAGCAGCGGCGAAACGACCATCTCCATCTTTGGCTACATACCATCCCGCGCATTGGCCAGCATCGCCGCGATCGTGTTTGCGTTGGGTTTGTTATGCCATGTTGTGTATCTGATCCGGTGCGTTTGCGAGGGCTGGATGGGTAGGGTCGGGTAGGGCGTGCCAGAGCTGCCGAGCTGATCCCGAGCACCGCACGACTCGTGATCTCGGTCAACGACGTCCCGCCCGACCAGATTACCGGGGACGAGGTCATTTCAGTCCTTGTTGGCGATCGGATGTGTAAGTGAGCCGCGGCTCTTGTAGGATTGATGCAAGGACTGAGCCATCATCTTGTGCCTCCCATAGGCCATGGAAGTGGGAGGGTCAGTGCTCTCCGCTGTCTCTCGTCATCGGCCAAGACGGGCACACCGCATCGCAGTCCCCGCGATCACTGTCGCGGTCCACAGACCACGTTCAACCTCTGACAGCCCTGACATACGATCATATAGGTATATTGTCCGCATTTTGGCGCATCACCACCCCTTTCTGGTATCGTTTTACGTCGCGCAATGTGAGCACTTCCGAAGCGCGCGCTCACGTATCGCCTCAACCATGGTCACGTGAGCTGAACATCCGATCCGACTTGTCTGTCTCCAATGTCGCAGACTTTCTCATCGTCGTGGCCCCATGTTGTAAGCGAAAACACTTTAACTTCATCGACGTTAAGAACCTAAATCTTGCCGAGACTGACCAGTGAAATCCGCACCTCTACAGTCTTTAGTGGCGCTTTCGTGAGCTCGAGCACATGAAGGTATCGCGTGGTCCGCGTGCGCACTGTTCTTCTGACACCTTCATCGGCCTTCTTCCTCACAGTATCTTGCCCTAGGCTTGGCGATCAAGCGGCTCCCTGTCACATTGGCCCATGGCCTACTTTCCTTCCCCCCCAAGATCTTTATCATCAGTACGTTGAGCTCCGCTCGGCGCCACCAAAGCAGTTTTCTCGGTAGAAAACGCTCAACATTTTCTCTCCGCATCCTTCCCCACGATCATCAGTCTTAATCATCGCGGATATCGTTACAACCGCGATCCAAATCACCGGAGCCGCCTTGATCGGTGCCGCCGAATCCTCCCGCACGCCCGGTTCCGTCCCTACAGCCATCACCTCCGCGCAAGCGAACGACATCCTCCTCTCCGGTCTGGCGATCCAATCCGTCTCCTTCCTCGCCTTCATCTACATCCTCAGCCTCGTTGCTTACCGTTCGAACCAAGTCCGACCGCACGTCCTCCCACCTCGTTTCTCCGCAGCGTTGATCATTTCCTCCCTCCTCGTCTTCCTCCGAACCGTCTTCCGTCTCGCCGAAGTAGCTCAAGGCGTTTTCGGGTTCGCCAGTACGCATGAGGTCCTTTTCGGGGTCTTGGAATTCGCTCCCGTCGCTTTGGCGATGAGCATTTGGGCCGCGTTGAGTTTGGACGAGTTGTTACCTCTTGCGAGGGCGAATCATGAGATTGAGAAGTGGGATGGGAAAAGGGCGAATTATGGAGGAATAGAGATCGTCAATACTGTCACGAAGGGGAGTTAGTATCCGCGTTTTTTCTTTTCCTTTTTGAAGATGATTACGGGCATAATAGTTGGTTTGTTGAATCTAGGCGCCCACTGCGTGGGATTTGGCTCAAGAAAGGAGTGCTTGCGATGACTGCGCAACGGGCCGATGAGTCCACTTCGCGTACATGTGTATGTAGAAAATGAGATAATATGACAGAGAATGAGAGCAGAGAGGTGATATCCTACGATCCAACGCATACCTAACGCTTTCTTTACACACCCAAGAGACAAATACAGCTCACCTCTTGAACACCCTAACCTCAATCGACCTCAACACGAAATAAGCAACCAACGACAACCCGACCGACATCTCGAAACCCAAATCACCTCCAAAAACCGGTTCGACCGCTTTCGCGATCGGACCCGTATAATACGTTTGCGCCATCGCAGGCACGATCCCACCGATCGCGATCGCGATAGCACCCACACAAGCGAATCCAGGTGGAAGTCGTTTCCAGTCGTTGAAGCTATCGAAATCGGGTCTTCCCAAAGGTCCCGAGGGCCTTCGGAACCATTCGAATTCAAGCAAGAGAATGACGATGAAGAAGGCTGTCCAGTACGATAAGATGGAAGCGAAGTTGGCGACGATCTCGGAGAAGTGTTCCCTTCCTACGATGGAGGCGATCAAGTAGATGGCGGTGAAGAGGACGACGAAGAAGATACGAGGAATTTTGAGCAAAGGTGGGGCGAGGGATTGCATTGCGAGCGAGCCGGAATATGTGTTTGGGGCGTTGGAGGCGATGGTGGAGAGACCGAGCAGGACGAGGAGGAATTTACCGAAACCTCCTATGGGACCGAGGATCGCTCCGACGATTCCGCCGAGGGAATCGGATTCAAAGGCGGCGATGTAGGAAGGGTTCTGTAGGGCTCAATAGTTGGGAACGTCAGACATGGGTCCATGATCATTACGCTACTCCCGCTACTCACGGTGATGGTTTGGAACGTTGCCGAGACGGTGCAGGTGAAGACGATGGGCAAGAAGGTGCCGAAAAAGGTGAAGAAGAAGACTCGCCACTTGGGCGTATCGGCGGGTAGCGTGACATTGTCTGACCCGATGCGATCCACCGTATCATAAGCTTTGCGACTCGACTGAAGCAAATCTCAGTAGATCCACGCTACTTACAATCTGCAGCGATCACGCCCCACCCCGAAGCGACCGAGAACATGATGCCAGCAAAGCTCAAAATGCCCGCACTCAACGACTTGCCCGTCGCCTGTTGCGCCGTCAATCGATTGACATCATAACCACCCCTCGTCCCCAATCCAAGGATGATGCAGTAAATGATGAAGCAAGCGATCCAGCAGTATCGAGCGAAGCGGTGGACCCAGGCAAGGCCGAAGATGGACAGGACGAAGACGACGGAGGAGACGACGACGATGCCGACGATGAGACTGAGGGAGTGGTTGATGGCGTGGAAGGCTTGAGCACCCGCAAGTGCGTTCGTCACCGAGTACTGTTGGCGAGCATAATTGCGAGTCAGGAAAGGAGGCCGGCGTGCCGGATTTAGGGAAAATCTGTCCTCACCGAAAGCTGGGTCAAGACATTCAACAACGAGCAAATAAATGTCCCCGGAATACCGCCCGCGAACCTAAACAAAGCCATCGTCCTCAACCCACTCAAGCCCAACGTAGCAACATAAGCCGTCGCTAAACACCCGACGACGGCCATGGTCCAAATCACCGCGAGCGAAGTGCGGAAGTCGAGGCCAAAGTATTCACTGCCGAGACCGCCGACCGCGAGGGAGGAGAAACTGAGGTTCACGCTCATCCAGAAGAAGAAGATTTGGAGACCCGACTGGAGGAATTGCAGTCGAAAAGTTAGTGATTTTAATCTCTGTGGACTGCCTTCGACATGATCCCTGTCGAAAGGGGTCTATACTAGCCCCACCCGGCGCGCTTGCCCGCCCACAGATCGCGTGTGGCGGCACGTCTTGGGCCGGGGACAGCGCGGCCGAACGTCGTCGGACTGCGAAACTCACTTGAGCGATGCGTTCATCCTCCGGGACCCGATCCAATCCACGAGCCTCGACACCTCGATCCGCAAGGTAAGTCATCACTTTGGCGAAAGGGCCATGTAATGCAACAACTGGTCAAACCGTAGCCCATAATCAGCCTTCCTGAGCCTGGTTGAAGGGGTCAAGCGAGCTCGCAAAGGGCTGAGGACTGACCTTGACCATGCGCGGCGACGACCTTGTCCGAGGAAGCATCCTTCGCAACGGGGATCGACCCCGTCTCGGCTCGGGACAGGACGTTCTTCTCCTCTTCACCAGAATGGAACGAGTGGCTCATCTTTGTGAAGAGGTCGGAAAGGACGATGCGCCAAGATGGGGAATGGGAACAGGAAGGCACGCACACCGTAAATCGGTAGCTCTCGCTTCAGGCCCGACCGAATAACTTTCCAGATCATGCCCGACTTTGACGATGCTGGGTGCTAAAAATGGATGAAGGACTTGCGATAGGCTGCGCGCGCGGCACGACGACGTTGTTCGCCAAGCGGCCCGCGTGGTCCAATGCGGGGTAGCGCCGGGCCAATCCCGAGCCCGGCGGGGAGGGACCAGGCTTCACTACTTTATCACCACTATCGCTGCGAAACCTTGGGCTGAGAGGTAAACACTTGTGGATTGACATGGACACAGCGTGATAAAAACTCGGGCAAGGAGGCTCTACTCGAAGATGGCTTGAATGCGAGCCTCGAGTTGATCCGCGTCGAGCTTGAGATACTTTTCAGGATCTAGTCGCGAGAGAATCAGTCCTCGGTCAGCCATCTTTCGAAGAGAACTCGAGATAAAAGGGTCTTCTCCACCCTATCACTCACTTTTGGAGAAATCGCCATTCCTATGCTTCGCCAAGAACTTTGTATAAGTCGGCACGATCATCCTCTCGACCTCGCCCTTCAACCTCTCCTTCAACTCTTGTTCCCCTTCGTCCAACTTGGCCACGGCATGCAGATTCTCCACTTCTTGCAAACCATCCCCGAAACGCAGGAAGCGATCTTTGGTTTGAGCCCTTTCGTTGCCTCCACCTCCACCTCCTTTGACGGCGGCTTTGATCGCGCCTGCTGCACCGGATTGTTCCAAGCCTGCGTCCAACAAGGCTGACACGAGTGGGGACCAAATTTCCAGATACGAGGCCTTGGTCGTCCTCATCAACTTGTTCAACGCGTCCTCGCACGCTTCTCCCAATACATCCCCAACTTGTGACGACAAGACCTCCCTCCGGATGAACGAGACATTGTTGAGTAGGAAGATCGCCGAGATGCCCGATCGAGCTCTCAGTCCTTTGGCGCGTTGGTCCAACGCAGCGAGCAGAGTCTGTAGTACATCGTTGAGGTATCGGGTCAAAAGGGATTGTTCTTCGTCGCCGTCGCGTGTCGACACAGGAATTTTGGGTCCGCCCCAGTTGCCCGGACCGAGCACGTTGAGGAAGCCTTCGACGACGGTTTGGTTGTCCGAAAGTTGACGCATAAAGTTGACGACCTAGGTTCAAGGGAACGGCAACGAGTCAGCATGTACTTTGATAAGACGGGTCGGGGAGCCTAGACTGACATTGAAAGTGACTGTGCCGACGCCAGCTCCTGATTCACTCGCAGAGATTCCTCGTGCTCCCCATTGCTGCGTCAAGACCATCACAGATTAGCCCCAGCCACTTCCATCTGTGGGCGGTCAGCTCCAATGCGCTCACCTTTGTCGTATCAATCATCGCCGGTAAACTAGTCAAACAAGTACCCCTGAACGCATGCAACAGCTCGCCCAACTCGTTGTCCTTCCTCGCGGCTTTGATCCGTACCCACTCTTCGAACTCGGCGATCTGTTCTTGCAGTTCCGAGAAGGTCGAAAAGGCGATGGGGACGAGCGCATCGAGCGCTTTCTTGACGACGCCGTTGAGTTGGGTTCCTGTTGCGTAGAAGAGGGAGAGGGAAGGGGGGAGAATGTTGGAGTAGATCTCGCGTCGGGTCGACGGTGGGACATTGGCAAAGACGGTCGAAAGGAGCGCGTATTCGGACTGAGCGGAGGGGAAGACAAAGAGCAGCTTCAGTTCTCGTGAGGACGACAACGCGCGAAGCTTCGCTCACCTTGAGCAACCCAAACATGACATCCAAGAACCTGCCCAAGCTCCTCCTCATATCGCTCGCCGAGAGCATCGGTGTCGCATCGGTCAACACATCCTTGGACGCGTTCGCCAAAGCGGCTTCGACGAAGGAAGCCCGTTCTTGGCCATAGGCGATCTGCAAGTCCTTGAAGGCGCGTGGCCCGACTTCGGGTAGAGCTCGGATGTAGGCGATCAGAGGTAGTGCCGAATCGACAAAGGTCGGGGTGAGGGTCGGAAAGGGTTTGCCTGTACAGGAGTGATGACTTGAATCAGTGAGCTTTTCTGAGGGTGGTCCGACACATACTTTGGATCCCGCCCGTCGCCCGCATACCTTTGTCGTACAACGATCCGGCATCAATCTGGGGACTGGTTTCGTGTACCCATTGCCTGAAGACAGCGACGAGCTGTTGAGCGCCCGATTCTACCAGGCCCGCCTGCGATGAGAAAGATTCTGGATCAGTGCCGGTGGTGGGATCGAGAGTGGCTCGCTGATAGCTCACCATTTGACCCAGCGCGCCGTTCCCCTTTGCATCCGTTTTGCGCACGGCTTCGGTCGCGATCGTGAGACGGTCGATCGCGTCCAGGTAAGGCTTGAGGTCGTTTGGATCGGGTCTAGTGGGGAGATGGATGTCGTAAAAGGACTATGAGTGATCGTGACGAAGCGGTGCCTCGTTGAGCCGTTGAGCCGAGGTTTGGACGAACCCGACTGAGATGAGCTCCTGCTCGTTCGTGACGAGGTCGTGGTGGCCCAACAGTCCTTGGATCGACTTGAGCGTGCTTTCGAGGTCTGTGGGTGTACATCCAATAGGGTCCGGTCAGTTACCGCGTTGAGAGCCGAGACACGCTGGGCTACCCAGCAAGGTGTCCGCCAGGTTGACCGAGGGGGGGTGCCCCACATGCAGCCCCGCGGGTCGTCGTCGATTAGCTTTGGCCGGCCTAGGCGTGGCAATACACTCACTCTTGGACAGCCTCGTCAATCTGCCCGTCTGCTTGTGGATCGGGACCAAGCTCTTTTCCAATCGTGCGAGGCTGAGATATCGGAGAGCAAGTCAGCCTGCGCGGTTCCTCTTCCTTCGGAGTGCAAGGCCGTACGCACCGATCATCAAAGTCGCCCAGCCTCGAGGTCATCTTGTCCGTGATACGTTTGGATTTGGCCAGCGACTGGTTCAACAAGGTGAGATCGGCATTGCTCTGGACGCACACCGAGGCGGGGGCACCACTCGGCGGCGCGTGTCAGTTGGGTGAGAGGGGGCAAGGGGGCAAGGGGGGAAGGGAATACACAGACCACAGACCACAGACGACAGACCACAGACGACGTACCTGCTCCAGAGCTATCGAGGCCGAGTTGGACGTCGAAGCGGTCGGTTGAAATCGGGTGTACATGGCCATCGTGCGCGAAAGCAGCGGTGGTGCGACCTAGTGGGGATCAGACTCGCCCGGCAAAGTGATCCAAGTTGAACTCGAGCTGATCGAGGTGGAGAAGAGACCGAGAGCAGGGCAGCCGAGAGCGGAGGCCAGTGTCGATGCTGGTTGCCGCGTGTGGTTGCTGCGTGTGGTTAACCCAATACTACGCGGCTCCCACCTGCAGCAGTTGCGCACGAATAATAGTCTTCCGGCGCGCGCTTGGTACCTTGTGGTCCACTGCGAACTCCATACGCGCCAGTACGGGCCACAGTCTGCCAGAGTCTGCCAGAGTGGGGTCAACATCGCGGTCGCACGCGTCGAGTCGCGCTCGGACCTCTCTTCTCTCCTCTTCGTACCCACTCGGCTTCTTCCCCCTTCTGGGCTCTCTCCGGGTCACCGCTTCGACCCGAGTCTGGTCGAGATGCCCTCCTCCCGTATCCTCTTTCCGGCCCGCATCACCCCCCGTCAGCGCCTCCTCAACCCATCGCACCCCTGTCCTTGCTCCTGGCGGCTCTCCCTGCCCTCCTCTGCCTTACCAACCCAACATCGATCGACCAGTTCCAAATCGTCCTCCTCCTCGCAATGGCTTTCCCGCCAACGACGGGACCCCTTTGTCCGCTCACGCACCAACACCCTCCTCGACCCGTCCGCCTCGTCCTCGCAATCCTACGTCGCGCGATCCGCTTTCAAACTACTCGAATTGCATCAGTCCTCGATCGGTGGGCGGAGGAGACCTTTGGTGAGGAAGGGGATGACGATCGTGGATTTGGGTGCGAGTCCGGGCGGTTGGATACAGGCGTGTAGGACTCTGGTCGGCAGTAGCCGATCGTCCGGTCGAGCGACACGTGGTGCCCAAGCTCCTCCTTCTCGAGCGACCCCTCGAGCGGGTGCTTCAACCCGGATCATAGGTCTCGACCTGCTCCCCTTGGACCGCTCGCTCGATTCGGACCCCGACCTCGAATTCCTCCAAGGCGATTTCCTCGACCCCTACATCCAAGCCCAACTGTCCGAGCTACTCGGACAAGACCATGTCGATCTCGTTCTGTCGGACATGCTGAACAACCAGTCCGGGTCGACGTTGAGGGATTCGCAACGCTCGATCGATCTCTGTCGTTCGGCTTGGGAATTCGCGAGAAAGCATTTGAGCGTTGACAAAGTACGGCCAACGGAAAAAGCAGGGGACGCGGCAAAATCTTGGCCGAGTATTCAATTGGTGATCAAGTGCCTGCAGTCGGATTTGGCGATCGAGTTGGGCAACGAGTTGAGGGGTGATTTTCAAAAGGTCAGGTGGGAGAAACCCAAGAGTTCGAGGGCGGACAGTCGGGAGGGGTATTGGGTTTGTTCGGGGTTCAAAGGGCGAGGTGGTGCGGGTGCAGGAAAGGAGTCAAAGGAGGGGAAAGGAAAAACGGGGGCCGGAACAGTCGACGAAGGAGTAGAAGAGAGTAGTGATGGGCTCTATTTTTGATTTTGACTGCAACCATTCAATGAAAGATCCCTCCCCCTCTTGCAAACTCGAAGCGGTCCGAGCTCAAACTCGCCTTGCGCGCTGAACGACCGAATGATGACGACGCGTCACCGCGTCACCCATCGGCTCCCTCTCTCTTGCTCATCTCCCGGCTCCCACACCTCCACCAGCACCTCTTTCTCGCCGCACCGCACACCCTCTTCCTCCCTCTTATCTCCTCTGCCAACCACGCCTGCTGCCCTGCCCCATGGCGCCCAACATGGACGTGGATCAATCGGATGCGAGCGTGTACCTCACCCGACAACTGAGCTCGCCTTCGCTGCCCCACGAGCTGAAGCCGTTCTACGAGGCATTCGAGCGGTTCTACAACAACAAGTAAGTCAACGGGAGATGACTTGCAGCTGTGAGGTGCGAAGTGGGCTGCCTCACTTCTCACTTGGCTAGCTGGCGTGAACTGGCGGGTCGTGTGGAGCTGCTCCGTCCATCCCCGTTAGCTCACATCTTCCACTTCACACTCACATCCCTGCTTCTCACCTTCTTCTCAGGCTCTGGTACCAACTCACAAGTACGATCGAAAACTTCCTCCAAGTCCCCTCGTCGGGACCGTACCAGATCGAGTTATGGGAATCGTTCGTCTCGACTTTCGCGCAGAGGATCCATCAGCTCAAGTTGGTCACCATTGGGATTAGTACGGCGAGGCAGTTCAGTGGTCAGTTCTTGTGATATCGTAGATGATATGTGGGGGGACGGGCGTCGTCGAGCGTCCGGAGTGGGTGCTGCTGAAGGAAGCGAATCGAGCTGACGTATCCCCTCCCCCTCCCCCTCTCTTCCCCACCCGACTCCACGCACGACGTGACTCAGACGGCACCCAAGGCCTCGAATTCCTGACCAGGCTGGCCGAAAAAGTCGACACCCCCGAAACACGCGAGGCGTACGTACTCGCGACCATGGAAGCGGCCTACTTCAAGCTCCTGCTCGGCGACAATGAAGGCACCAAGAGCGCGATCGATACCTGCGCCAAAGTGTTGGACGCGATGGACAGTGTTGATTTGGTGGTGCATGCGAGTTATTACAGGGTTGCGGGGGATTATTACAAGGTAGTTCTGGTCCGGGTGAGCACGCAAGGTGAACCGTGATATGACCGAGCTGACAACTCCATCTCGGCACTTCGCTCAGGCCAAGGCCGAATACGCAGACTATTACAAGAACTCGTTGCTCTACCTCGCGTGCGTCACCGTCGACAAGGACCTCACTCTACCGGAACGAGTACAACGCGCCCACGACCTCGCCATCTCGGCCCTCTTGGGCAAGATTTACAACTTTGGTGAACTGGTCCGTCTTTGTCGTGTCGGAGAGGTGGTCGGGCGATCAGGTACTGATGATCGATCATTGTCTGCGTACATACAGCTCATGCACCCGATCCTCGATTCACTGAATGGGACCGAGTACGCGCCGATCAAGAACCTCTTGTTCGCTTTCAACGCCGGTGACATTGGTCAATTCGAGAGCCTGTCCCATGCGATTGCCCAAGAGGTGAGCTTCATTCACCCCCTATTGGGCCTAGAGACATGCCCAACTGATCTTACATCTTTATACCCTCGCTTCCCTGTAGCCCATCCTGCAAGAGAATTACAGCACCTTGCGCCAAAAGATTTGTTTGATGGCCCTGATCGAAGCCGTGTTCCGAAGACCAACGTCCGAGAGGGTCTTGCCTTTCAGCGTCATCGCCGCCGATACACGGTTACCGATCGACGAGGTCGAGCATTTGGTCATGAAGGCTTTGTCGTAAGTTTGAAACCGTCTGTACCGAGTGGATGGGCCGGAGGATGTTCAGCTAAGTAAGGAAGGTTACCCCCTCCCAACGCTCACAGACTCAAACTCATCCGAGGCACCCTGGACCAAGTGTCTTCCACGACGTCCATCTCATGGGTCCAACCGCGCGTATTGGACAAAGTACAAATTGCTGGATTGAGGGATCGATTGGCGGGGTGGACGGATCAGGTCACCGGTGTGGGGGAGTTCACGCAGTCGCAGGCGCCGGAATTGTTTGCTCAGTAGGGGCGCACGGGATGGGCTGGTCGTGTATGAGATGACGAATGAAATGAAACTGCATTGACTTGACTGGTGCCGCTCTTTAAGATGTTCGTCAGAACGGTTTCCTGGGCGGTGAGACTCCCGAGCCAAGTTTCATTCTCATTCTCGAGGTACGTCTGCCTTGCAAGGCAGATGCTCAGACTAATCCGCGTTCTTCAGTGAGTCGGTCGATCAAGATTACGAGGCCTCTTAGTTCATGGTAGGCAATGACCGACCGATCAGGTGATCTGCTGATGGCCCCTGTTGTCTACGGTCTAGATTCCTTCTTCGTTCATAGCGCTGCGGTCCCCCAAAGGCGGGCCCGCCCCGTTACGGGTTGATTCGCCTCTCTCATGGTCTCTGGTGTCTTGAGAGAGCTTCCTATTTTCATCCCGCTTCGTCGCTTACATGGTGAGGGGCATGCTGTAAGCGCAGCAGCCCCTGTGTGGACCTTTCCGCCAGCTCGTCGCCCAGGCGCGGGCAACGGTGGCATCCCCAATTCCCTGAGGAACTGACACCTAGCCTCGTTCTATGTTCTCGCTTTGGCACGCATCTCAACCGCAGTCTCGTGTACCCGTCTCCTCAATCAGCATCTCGATATGGAGCGAACTCGAGGCAGTTCGGAGCGATTCCCAGGTCGACCGGAGCCCTCGTGCAGGTCCCTGAACCATCGGATCACACAGACTCGGAGCCGACTCGGAGAGCCGATATCTTTGCTTATGGTCCACTCTACCCGCTCTTGCTGCCACATATTTGAAGCCGTCTCTCTGGCTACAACGCAGAGAGAAAGCATTGTATTGACATTGTAAACGCTATATAGAGCCCGAAGTTGCTCCGGGGTTCGATACGCTGCTCCACAAGTGTACTAGTGCTTGTTAAGACGTGTCGCTTCGGCGGATACAACTTTTTGGACCACGAAAAATCGGCTGACCAAAGTGTTGGACAATCCCATGCGCTACAAGAAGGTCAGAAAGGTGCAAAACAGGTAGATGGAACCAGTGTTCCCTATCCGTGGTACAGGTGAAGTGGGGTTTTTTTATACCCAGATTAGGGAGAAATGAGAATGATAATTGAGTTTCCAGCTAGCCCTACGAATGGAGGCGACTCTACTTAAAGAAAAGGCCCCATCTCCGATCGGCGTAAATGTCCTCGACACGGCGGGGGGAAAGAGTGGATTGCGCACGCGCAGTGTGGTCCGATTCTCCGAACCTTAGAATTGGGAGCCGCCACCCATGCCCAGGGGTTGCCGGCGAAGCGGAAAAAGAGAAATAAAAGAATTCGCACTTGGCGCGTTCTGGGACACCGGCGCGCTTCGCCAACCGCGACCTTCAATGTGACATCAGCATAGTAGCCATCGGCGTCGGCTCCCAGTGCAAGCCCTGCTCGTTCATTCAGGGTACTCGCATAGTTCCAATACGATATGGCTACATTCAACGACTTGCTCAGCTTCGTCTTCCCCTCTACAACGTTCATGGTCGACACAAGGGCCGAGCCTGAAGAACCACCTCCGCTCACGCGGCGCGGTCCAGCAGAACACGTCCCGCCTGGACTGGACCTGATCAGTGCATGCCACGACTCTTCGCTCATCGACAGGATTCTGTCGGGTCTAGGACGAGGTTTCGACAAGAGTGGCGGCCGCGACTCGGATTTGCCTCTCCTGATGAGCTCGTACATCAAGCGCGAGGTCTCACAGCGGGGTCGTGTGATTAACAGCGTGGGGGCCGGGCTCCAACAGCTCTCCCGGATGACACTGGGAGTGGTCGATTTCATGACCGAATCGATCGCGCACGAGCCCGTTGTTATGATGGAATCAGAGACGGACAAAGAGTATGCCTCTCACTCCGTTGCCAGTCGGAAGTTCTACGTCGAAAGATCCCCGCCCGGCCCCGAGGATAACACTAAGATCAAGTTCCACCCGGTTGTAATGCAAGGCTACATGGCCAGCGATCTCAAGTCCCACTACGACGGTTCACCAACTGTCCGAGGCGTTTTCAAACCAGGGCTCGGTGCAGATCTACTCGACATCCGTGTGGTGACTGCTACAGGCGAACTGGTCAGACTCCAAGGGGCTAGGGCCATCGCTGCCAAGGTGGGGCTTATACGCATGCGCGAAAACGCCCGAGCGCATTGCAGTCGGTGGATGGTCCCGTTTCTGACCATCTAGCGTCATTGGATCCCAGGCTGCGTTGCAAGCTTGCTCGTCTGGGAAATGTCGCTTTGCGATCCTCGGAGCTCTGCCGTACTTTGTCGTCACCGAACTGGGTCGGTATAATTTCCTCCGAGCCTTCGCTGGCCAGGCCAAACTCGCTGACCTCGTTGCTTCGCTTACCTTACCGCCTCTCGTAGTCTTTATCGATGGAAAATGGCACCTACTGATCAGTGACCTGTGCTCGGCAGTCGTCGAGCCCGAACAATCGACTGTCAAGTCTAGATCGCTCATGGGGGTTCTTCTTGGCATCTTCATGAATGACTTTGACGACTACCGTGTGGAAGGTCACTCGTCGGAGGTGGAACAGCGGATCCGTGATTACGTGAAGCAGCTTGATGAATTGGCTGTCGTGAATGAGGTTCCACCCGCCAAGGATGTCCCCGCTCGCGATTCGACGCTCGACCATTCGCCTCCCGCTCAGACCAGCACTGCCCCGAGCGACGAAGCCGCAGCATCAACCTCGATTCGCCGACCGGACGACACGTCCGACTCTTCAGAGGAGTTGAAAGCCTTTGTCAACCAAGGTAACCAGACTGTGATGGCCTGCCATTTCCCAAACCAGGCGGTAAGCGAGTTCGGCCAGTCGTCTGCGCTGCCTTTGACTCCGAACTCAAAATTGACCGGTCTGTGAGTTCTGTGCGTAACGTGTGTCGGAGGGTAGATCGTGTGCGACGCGCAAGACCTACCAGAGTCTCGAATGGCGGCGGTCCCGATCAAACTCGAAGTGGGCACCGCACCACCGCTCAGGCGCCAGTCACCATTGGCAAAGAAGATTCGTCTCGACTCGGACGGGCCTCGACCGAAGCTCACCAAAACGCTGCCCCTTGCGATACGGCAATTATTCTCGGTCGACCCACGCTTCACCAAGGCCGAGAGTACTTTTTCGTCGCCTGTCCTTTCGACGCTTACCCCACGACTGGATCTGGTCCATCGAATTGGCCGCGGGGCGAGCAGCAGAGTATGGCAGGCAGAATGGGTGCATCAAGGTCCGAGTCCGAGTTCGAGCGCTTCCACAGGAATGAGGTCTCCCATGACAACCGCTGCCTCGTCAACGCCTACGCCATCACACGAGACAGCGGCCAACACATCTCCACGATCGCTCCTTGATATTACGAGCACTTCTCACTCCTCACCCATCCCAGATCTGCCGTCGGCAATGAGTGGTCTTTCCTCGACAGGCATTGGCGGACGAGGGAAGCTCGTGGCCAAAGTCGTCCGGGAACGGTTTACCCCCTCGATCGCGCGAGAGTACTTTGTGTACACCTCGATCGTTCCTTTACTCTCGGTCAAGGCACAGGAGTATTTCCTCGCCTTTTATGGGCTGTACCGAAGTGGCAACGAGGGCCAGACCTACGTCTTGCTTATGGAGGACGCAGGCTCGCCGATCACGGAAGCTCAGTTGGAATCGGATGCCGAGTTGAAGGCCAAGGTCGAGTGAGTCCGGATCGTGCGTAGACCGTGTGTGGACGTGTCGCAATCCGTGTGTCGCGACTCGATGGAGCTGATCTGTAGATGCCGACTCGACGTTCCTGTGCGTGCAGTTTCGCACTGAAACTCATTGCTGACGAGGGTCTCCATCACAATGATGAAGGAGCGCGAAATGTCTTGCTTCGGCCCGACGGTCGGATCTGCCTCATTGATTGGGGCGAGGCACAGGTGAGGTGACTGGTTGGTGCTCGTGTCTGGGGGCTTTGTTTGTACTACGTTTGTGTTGTAATTACAAAGCGCACTGTTCTAAAGCTACCAGCAGTGTCGTCTCCTTTTGTGGCCTAGCTGGGGTTTCCATTCCTCAAGTTTCGGCCCCTTTCGGCCCTTCCCTTGCCTTTATCCGCATCACCACAGACTATCCCCTCGACACCGCCGGGCTCACCACTTGATCAACCCCATAGCTATCGAGCATGTTCGTGTCACGCGAGACATTTCTGGTATGCGCGTCAAACCTCGCTTGCTCGTGAGCTGTTCCGTCCGCTCTCGATCGTTAGGGCCGACGTCGAGGCGTCTGGGTCATGGTGGCTCATCCCCGGGCCACCTGGCGCTTGCACGGGTCGACGGGGACGATGCAGCATCGACGTCACAATATCTAAAACTATGCTGACATAACCACCTCCTCTCATGCTGATGGGCCCCTTGGTAACTTTACGTAGCTTCCTAGCATCGAGGCGCAGTGAGCGACACGTACGAACGTTGCGGAATTGATGACCACGTCATCGGAGGCTAACCCGAGCTCAATTGGCCGAGCAGCCGATAGGCACGGGTTAGATCAAGTAACACAGCTACTCGGATCTGATGGGCGTCTGTGCACCTTGAGACTGATGCGGTGGGTCCGTTGTCTCTTGGGCCGGGGCTTGGTACTTCTGAGGTTGTTCCCAAGGTAGGCAGTGACTTCTTGCTCAGCGCTGAGCGTGCTCAACATGTCGCAATGTCGATCGCTGACCGATACAACTCGGGTCAACAAACGGAGCTACTTAGACCGTTCTCCATTCATGGAAATCTACATACTCTGATCAGCTCCGAGGAAATGGGTTCGCTCGACTTGGTGACCGAAGTACTCGGCCGCGACCCCCACATCATCACCGACAATGCTGGCACCGCCACGGGGTTGCATCACTTCAACTCCTGTACCGCAGATCAAGACTCGACCGTGAGCTGGACTCAGGTCAGGGGTGCCGTCGCGTCATGGCTATAGAGGGTGCAACAGGGTGCGATCTTTGTCCAAGGCCCGGCAGCAGCGAAAAACTTTGTTTCGCTTACGATGGTAAGTCAATCCGGGTTCCCTAAGACCTCGTGTCGAGACAGGAACAGAAGCTGTTGATTTATTCGTATCTCAACAGCCTACAGGGCCGACGTGGAGGGGCTCAATCCCGGAGGTGAAGGCTGGGATTCGCCTCGCCTGGCTCCCTCGCCGTGGTCAACCGGTCAGCACCCGATCGCTTCTTGCAGTGGCGCACGCCGACTTCGACCACATTGAGTTGCGCTATCTCTACGTTGGCGCATGCCGCCGCGAAGAGCTCAATCATGCAAAGTGCCATTTCTGACCGACGCCATTGCCATCATTGGTCTGCTGTTCTGCTATCGCCGGCCGGCGTCCAACCCCGAAAGAACAATGTCGGTGCCTCGATGTTCTCGAACAATAAAGCACCGCCGGCCATATCCAGCAGCCTACGTCTGGCTCGATTTTTCCGGCTTTATCGGGCATGGCACCAGCGAGGACGACGACGACGTAGCCGCCTGTTCGCCGACCCGAACCGATTGGGACGGGAGGACGGCTTCGTCGGTGATCTTCGGTGCATCCGAGAATGTCTCTCGGGGACACGTGAAATGGCCCAGTCTGCCTCTCGCACAGTGACAACTTCGACGGGAAAGAAGGAGACTGAAGCTCCTCCACTAATTCGACAAGACAGATTCTTTCGCCGACCCTCCCCGCGCAAGCCGCAGCTCGACAGTTCCACACAGTCATGGGCACCTACCTCGGGACGTCGCCGAGTTCCGACACCTGCATCATCAGGAACCACGGCGATTCCACGCATTACCGACACCAATAACTCGCGACCGGTGCCTCTCGCCCGATGCGTGCGCAAGCTGCTCAAAGGCCCCAACTCGGCTCGCTGCGGGGTCTGCCGCCCCTGTCCCCCGCCTCGCCGCAAGGCCCGTCGACGAAGCAGGTCCCCTTGATCGGGATTCCGAGCAGTGGGAAGCTATGGCGACTCCTTCGAGCCGAACTGTACGAGAGGCTAAGGGTCATTGGCAGCGCTTTGCCAACAGGCGTCCGATCTGGAGGACAGTTTTTCTCCTCCCCCCCCACGTAATCCGGGAACGAAACAATCCACGCGGCGACAGGGGCGGAGCACTGAGGTCACTCGTCGCTCGCCGCGGAGGCGAATTGGTCCTCGCCCTCGGCGAGGTTCTCAACTACATGTGTTGATCTTATTCGATTTGGCTGACTACTTGCTCGTGACCATGATATCGACGGCGTCCCGAAACATGGAAAGCTGCCAATGTCCGCGATTCATCATTTCCCGCCTCTTCCTTTCAAAGAGTCATTCGGCCCCCCTCTGGGTGTCCTTTCTTCTTACTCGGACGATTTATTCGTACAGTTCCATCTCGCTTTCTCGTTATGTGCCATTGTTGAGCTGCATCGTGTGAACCGCCACCCTGTTCTCCTGAGTTTGGCCGCTATTTTCACTTGATGATCCTGGCACTGCGAAGCACTGATGCTCAAGCGTTATCTGCCTGCTTGGTCAACTTCAGTTTGTGAACATGATTGAGATCAGCGACTACTGTATTTTCGCATGCGGTGAATGTTGTTCAGGACATAGATGTGGGAAAAAATCTGGAAGAAGCGTCGGCTCCTGGAGTCCCGTGGCTGACTGGTCAATTCGGCTGTAGCCTGCTGTAGCTGTCGGCTCGGTGGTCCTAGTCAGTAACGTCAGCCACGCCAGAGCGCATCTTGACTTGGCCCCCCCGCCCCACCAGATGTGGGAAAAAATCTGGAAGAAGCGTCGGCTCCTGGAGTCCCGTGGCTGACTGGTCAATTCGGCTGTAGCCTGCTGTAGCTGTCGGCTCGGTGGTCCTAGTCAGTAACGTCAGCCACGCCAGAGCGCATCTTGACTTATGCTCTACTTACGTATCTGTTTGATCTGTCAATCTTACAGTTTAGCACATTTACGCCATTATGCTGTTTTTAGTCTTACATGACTACTTAGTCTCCTTCTAAGCTATATGTACCTATAGACCCCTCCGGTTTTATTTTGGAGGGTACCGTCCCAGTGGCCCCCCCCCAACCCCCACACCACCACTTACCTGCAGCTCATTCGACACCCGTTCAACGGTGCATCCTGTGTTGCGTTTCGATAACACATCTTTGTCATGACCGAGCGCAAGGCTCAAGACAGCGGCCGAGTCCCCCCGACGTTCGAACACTTGTACGACTTTGTGCTCTCCTCGATTACGTGGACTGTCCGGACAAAGGAGGACCACGTCCTCAAAGTTAAGCCTCTCGTACGAAACACACCCGGACCTACCCGAGCACCAGTGGTATCTGCCTGCCGTGAGTTGGTGTGTTGGGAATGAGAGACTGACGAGCGTATAATCCAACCGTGGAGAGAAGACAACGGTTGGTGCGCATCGCCAGGTACGCATGTTTAGCTTCACAGTCACTTCCGTTGCAATTAACTGACGGTTGGATTACACGCTCGTCAGTCTCTCATTCCGTGATCGATCGCTGGTGCCGGACACCGCCGTAAGGTCACCGCAAACCGCCGCCCCTACGGATCTGATAACCCAATGTCCATACGGATACTAGAACGACCGCCTAAGGCAGCCATAAAGTAGCGTTGCTCTTACGGGAGCTCTATAAAACCGCCTTACATAAATTGCAACACCTCCGTAGAGAAGACATAAGGCGGGTCCTGCCGTAGGAAATCCATAAGTTTCGCGCCCGCATGCGTAAGCACCATTATGCGATCCGTAGATAACGCCGAGAGGCTAGGAAAATACGCTGAGCGCTCCTGAGAGGCTAGGATCGGCTGACGCTGAGTCAGGATTTGACTGCACGGATGCGCGCTTGAACAATGAGCGTGGAACTATTACCGCTAAAGCTGAACAGACAGCACCGCTTAGAGAGGCGCTTAAGCGCGCTTAAGGACGCTTAAGGACGCTTAAGGACGCTTAACAAGACGTCGTCGAGCTTAAGCGCGCGTGCCCATTTTGCTGATACAGTCTTTCCCTCTCCGTCGAACAGACTTCGCCTTTCCTTCGTCTTCGACTTTGTCCGTTTCGTTATGCCACCGAGCATCTCGTCAAATCATGAACGCCCTTCAAAATGCTCTTCTCATCAATGATGGGCTCCAGGTGTCAGAGTTTGACCACTTCAAGCTTCATATCATACCCTTCCATCTACACGTGTTACACGTGTTACACGTGTTACACGTGTTATTCTTCTAGGGTCTTGAGAATCTTTCGCGGGTTTGTCTGTTTGGCGCCGCCCCACTTTTAGAGGTTTCTTTGCTTCCTGCTAGCAACAGAGTAACGTTCCTTCAAGTTATAATCATCAGGTTGACCTTCCTCGCTCAACCTGCCAAGAGACCTGGCAGTGTTTGTTTATCACGTCGGTCGGTCTGAAAGTCGAGCTGCCAGTCGCCCCGCCAGCGCCTTCCCCTCAGTCCTCCTCTCCACATCTCGAGCAAACCCCATTGGAAAGCATCATGGCCCGATCCCCGAAATCATACGACCCTTCCGAACCGCGGGATCCGAAGAAGGCTCTTCCGTATACCTATCCGTATTCGGATAACATTGTTGCCGGTGAGTTTGGAACCTGGTTGTGGGATAACAGGAGAAGGCAGGAGGGAAGGAGAGGTTCCCCACATAGCCCGTCAGACGTCAGCTGCTGCTCGTTTGGGTGGTTGAGAGCGGCTTGGAGGAAGGGAATCTCGTCCCAGGGCTGAAGAAGCGTATTCGACCCCCGTCAAAGACTAAGCTCACTCCCTTACATCTCTCCCAACCCCCATCCACCGCACCAGACACCCTCGCGATCGTCGCAGCCATGTTCGCCTCCTTAGCCGTGATCACCCGTTACCCCGTCTACATCTACTTTGGCTTTTTGTTCTCCATCTCGGCCATCAACACGGGCAAGAAGCTGGACAAGAGCAGGAGAGCGACGAGCGTTTCAGGTCCGTCTTACGCTCTCAAGGTCTTGCGGCTCTCCGGGCTTCATCTGCTCACTGCCTCGCTCGTCCTGTGGTTCATAACAGGTTGGAGCGGCCTTCTCTTCGTCCTCACTGCTTTTTTATCCGTATACTATCCTCTCGTCTCCGGAGTAGCCGTGAAAGCGCCGTACGATTTCTGGTCCAAACCTTTCCCGCTCGGATTGGGTGCGGGCACGATCCCGGCGCCGAGGTTAGCGCAAGTCGTGGAAGGGATCTAAATCGGGAATAGTCTGTGTGTCATTGTTGTGCAATTCATAGTATCATATCTACATCAAGTTCTTCGGGAGAACCACCCACTCAATCGAATGGGATTCTCCTCAACTTGCCCCCACTACCTTCCTCCTTCCTCCTGATCGCCTCGGCAGCCGCAAAGGCCGAAGGGATCGCGATCCCACAACAATCGCCAAAACCCTCGCCCCTCACATGCACATGTCCGTGCGCATCCAAATGAACGCCTTCCTCCCCCTCCCCATTCCCTTCCAACTCTTCCCCATCCGGTGGTAATGGGAAGGGGAGGAGCGTGCCGAATAAAAAGTGTTGAGCGACGGGTAACTTGGCGAGTACTTCGGCCGTATACATTTTGAGCATGCCGGAATTGACTTTGGCCCAGGTTTTGACACCGGAAATGTCGTCCAGCATCGGGGAGTGCCAACGGAGAGAAGCCGTTTTGATCTAAAATCTCGGACGGAGGTTGGCTCAGTAAGAATGAGAAGATTGGTCAAGGAAGGGGGAACTGAGTCTTTCTTACCGAGTTGATGTACCGAACGTAGGAAAAGTACATGTAATCCTTGGCGAACTCGTCCAAAATTTCGGGATCATGAATCGCCTTGGGTCGCAAATGCTTATGATTGCGCAACTGTGCCGAGCCGAAAACTGTAGCACACAGGCAAGACAAACAGAGTTCAATCAAGCCGAGGAATCTATGTCTCGCGGAGTGTATTTTGTGGGACCTACTGAAGACGGCAAAGTGATAATCGTCCAAACCTTGAGCACCGTGCGACCCGGCGGGTTCGAGCCAATATTCAGTTTGCAGGAGACGCGCGACCGTCATGTACCTGAGATGGTGGAGATTGTCAGACGTTCCCAAGACTTTCGCAGCTCTAGTGCGGACAGGGAGACCCACCTCCAAAAGAGCTTGATCACGACCGCTCGGTCATCGTCGGGGGTCAAAATCTTCAACTTGTCCAAACACAGCCTGCTCGGCCAACCATACGCACGATGGGTAAGCCTTTGCGACCAGGCGATAGGATTATGGGGTACTCACAACCAACAAATGAAGTTCAACTCCATACCGGATCCATAGTCGACGCGGGTGCGATTTCCCCAGCTTTCGGTGAAATAGCCGCTCAGCTCGGTCACGTGCTCGGTTGGGAGATTCGGGATCGACCGATGCAATTCAGCGGATTGCTGTGAGGTTGCGGATCGATGGGGCGTTGCAAGCCGGGGGATTCGAGAAGAAGTGACGGGACGATGATGTCCGGATCAGCTTTCGGTGGATAGCCCGAGTGCACCGAGCCAGAGAAGCGAGGAAGGGAAGACCGACCTCGACGACTGTGTCGTAAAAGGTCCTGAATGCCGGATTCCCGAACCTGCTCTTGCCGTTATCGATTGGTGGAGTCTCCTCGGCGATCTTTTCGATCCGTTGCAAGACGCTCAAGAGAGCATCGACGGCCTGCAGAGAAAAAGAGGATGTCCGAAAGTTGGGGTCCCCCCACACGCAGATGAGTCAGCTCCGAGCACCTAGCTGTAACGGTCATGGCTCGGCAGAACGAGTACTTGCGGGTGAGCACTGGATTGGATCAGTCAGTGTTACGCCTACCACGGCCTCGTTGAGTCGTTCGATGTAGTCGATCACGTGTTGGTGCGTCGGCGAGTCGAGGAAGCGCTGCAGATGCGCGCGCGAAATGATTCGTTTTGCAGGGGAGGAGGGGGAGGGAGGAAAGTGAGAGTGGGGGTCAGAAGTGGCAGACATGTGCTCGGGTAGTAGTGTGGTAGTGGAAGCCATAATAGAAGCAGCGACGCGGGCGAAGGAAGGGAAAGGCGGTCATCCGTGTCCCGCCCAGGAGCGCAAGCGCTAAGGCGGGTACAAATGCGCATCACTGATCCGGCTGACCTGTAATAATTCCCTCATTACACATGCGCGCGCGAAACTCATGGAGCCCATATGGAAAAACGCCGTATGTCTGCAAAGACCAAAGTTACCTTGCACCGTGAACGGCTCCCTTCTGATTTCAATCAGCATCGATTGAAATTGTTATTATTTTTGCCAGCCCCTTCACAACTGGACTACACAGCCAAAAAAGCCAGCAATTTCAAGCGATGCGGAATCCGAAGGGAGCCATTTAAGGCGCAAGGTAACTTTGCGTGTAGTTAGTTGTGAAGGGGCTGGCAAAAATAATAACAATTTCAATCGATGCTGATTGAAATCAGAAGGGAGCCGTTCACGGTGCAAGGTAACTTTGGTCTTTGCAGACATACGGCGTTTTTCCATATGGGCTCCATGAGTTTCGCGCGCGCATGTGTACGACTCGTAACTGAACCTCGCGCGTCGCTCTCGACTTGACGCCGACGACACGACCACTCGCACCGACTCGCACGACCACTTTGCACGACCACTTTGCACGACGACTCGGACTCGGACTCGAACTCGGACTCGGCATCGCAACTCGGCCCCGATGCCACCTCCGACACTCGTACTGCCCAAGTCCGACACCCAACCCCCACAACCACCACATGCTGGCCATGCTGGCCATCCTACCGGTCCCTTGCCCGACCTGCCACACGAGCTGTTGATCGCTCTGGGCCAGGCGATCGACCGTGACGCGCTCGACTCGTTCGTGCTCAGTAGCAGTAACAGTAGCAGCAGCAGCAGTCGGTCAGGCGCATCGGGCACAGCGGCCAACGGTGGTGGAGGGCCATTGCGTGTCGAAGAACTGCTCAACGAGCTGATCCCAGATGGTCAGTCACGCGTGCTCGTTCACAAACCAGAGCGCTCGTCCTGACCCCGCGACCTCGTCTTGACCCCGCGGCGACCTCGTCGGACGACCCAGAACAAGCGATCGCTCAAACACCGCTCGTGTCGCTGCTCTTGCGAGCCAAGGTACAAGACCTGCGCATCGAGATACAGGGCTTGACCCTCCTACTCGAACAAGATCAATCACCGGACAACATGACCCTCATACAGGAACTCATAGGCGTTGAGTCCGCCGGCACTTGGGAGATTTCTTCCCTTCCCCCCCCACCCCACTCACTCTGCCCCTCGCCCCCACAGGAACTGCTCAGTCAGGTCACCGCCATCAGGGACGCCGCAACGGAGAGTGAAATGGTCGTCAGGGAGATTACCAGGGACATCCAATCGCTCGACTTGGCCAAACGCAACCTCGTTGCTTCCATCACCGCTCTCAAGCGATTCCAAATGCTAGGTCCGTTCGGCCAACACGTGCATAGATCAAGTCACCCGTGGAAAGCTGATCTTTTCGGTCAAAATCCGAGACAGTCAACGCTTTCGATCAACTCAATCGACTGGCCAAATCGCGACGATATAGAGAGACCGCACAGGCCTTGGGCGCGGTCAAGCAGCTTTCGTCCTACTTCAAGACCTACGGCTCGGTCGATCGAGTCGCCGCCGTCAGTCGGGGCGTCGTCGATGTGCAAGGCGTACTGAGAACGCAGGTAATGAGGGACTTTGAAGAAGCGTGAGTGAAATTTTTATCAGATCACGTCCAAAACGTACTCACAGTATCTGGAGGGCCAACTTCACAGATTAGCGAGCGAGGCATCGAGGGTCGGCAAGAATGGCCAACTCGCCGATGCGTGTCTCGTCATCGATGCGCTGGGGGAAGAAGCCAAGTAGGTCCTGCCTTTGTTCAGCCTATTTTTCCGAGAACTATTGATCCGATGTGCATTCTCCCAAACAGGAACGGTCTGTTCAGTTGGTACACCGTCCTCCTCCTGCGCGACTACCGCAAGGTCTTCGGATCCAACTCTGAAGCCGGCCAACTCGACAACATCTCGAGGAGGTTCGCATGGTTCAGGAGGATACTCAAGACCCACGAGGACGAGAATGGGACCATCTTCCCTTCAGTCTGGAGTGTCGGGGCCGTTTTGGCCGGGGGATTCAGCGAAGTGACAAGGTGCGCTCGAATCTGTTCCTGTGACGGGTGTCAGCCGACTGCAGCTGATTGGCGCGCTCGATTCGATCGCCCACAGAGACGACCTCAAGAGCGTCCTCCAGAAAGCCGCCCCAGGTCTCCAAGTTGGCCTCTTGCTCGAAGCCTTGGGACAAACTGTCGAGTTCGAGCGCGAACTGTCGCGCACATTCACGCTCCCCTTCGACTACATCGCCTCGCTCTCGGCCGTACGCTCGGGTCGATCAGGCCCCACGGCACCCATCTCGGCCGTGTTCGAACCATATCTTGGCATCTTTGTCGACGCCCAGGACAAAACCTTGTCGGAGATGATGGGCGCCTTCACCTCGTCCCGCGTGTCCATCTCGCCCTCTGACAACCCATCCGCAGTGTTGCCCTCTTCGACCGAGCTATTCTACTTCTACCGAGAGGCGTTGGAGCGGTGCGCCAAGTTGAGCGTCAAGCAACCCTTGTTGGATTTGTGCAAGGTCTATCGCAAGTGGCTCAAGGTGTATGCCGAGGACGTATTAGCAGGGGCTTTGGTCAAGTGAGTGGAATGTATCCGGGGACGACTCGCACAGTCTGAGTGGGGAGGCTCACGACTAGTCTTCCTCATTTTCTTATCCCACAGAACCGATCGAAGATCAGTAGAAGGGCGAGGTCCCTCCTTGCACGAGCTCCAAACGGCCTGCCTGGTCCTCAACACCGCCGAATACTGTCTCGAAACCGCATCCCAACTCGAAGAACGCCTCATCGAGAAGATCGACGCTGATTTCAAGGCCCAAGTCAGCCTCGAACGAGAGAAGGACCTCTTCGTCCAAACCACCTCGGCGAGTTTGTTGGCCATTTTGAAAGAGTTGGAAATGAGTTTGGAGGGACCGTTCAATTTGATGTTGAGGAGTCCTTGGAGGGATGTCGAGTATGTTTCGAATGAGAGTCCGTATGTAGCGGATTTGGTCAGGTGCGTCGAGACGGTCGTTACTGTCGTTAGGGATGGGGTCGAGCAGAAGAAATTTGTCAGGAGCGTGTGCGATAAGATTGTTGGGTGAGTTTTTTGAGGACTTTCATTGGGTCTGGAGGAAAACCTCGCTGACTACGGGTGCTGCTTGTGCGCAGACTCGTGTTGGCCAAGTTCACGCAGACGATCGTCCGGTGTCGACCGATTGCTCAGATCGGGGCAGAGCAGGTGCGTTTGTGTTGGATCACGGTAAGCATGGTTCAAGTTGGTAGCTGACTCTCCCGTGACTCTGATGCAGATCCTGCTGGATCTACAATCCCTCAAGACGTGCTTGCTCCATTTGGTCCTTCCTCCTGGCGATACCTCAGCCGTGCCCATGTCGTACGTACGATCACGGCGTACGAACTGGGCTCTGCACTCACCATCTCTTCTTACGATCTCTCAGATATTCACGCTACGTCTCTCGAAGCGTCACCAAGATCGACACGTTGCTCAAAGTCATCATGACGCCTGAAGAGCCCGCCGAAGAATTCGTCAAGAATTACCTCGTGTTGGTGCCATGTCAATCGTTCAGCGATTTCCAAAAAGTCTTGGACCTGAAGGTGGGTGCACAACTCAGGATGATCTAGCGTATAGTACTGGGCGCTGATTGCTTAATGTTTTGGCGGAGTCTCAGGGAGTTCGTCGAGCCGAACAAAACAACCTGCTCGACATCTTCCTCGCTCGAACTTCCACCGCAGCGGGTTTGGACGACACGTCCTTCCTCACCTCGCTCGATATGGACCCGAACGCGGCGATCAACTCGTTCCAATCTCCTTCTGGGTCGGGAGTTAGCTCGCCTTTACTCGCTTCGTCGAATACGAACTCGAATGCTCTAGGTGGTAGTATGGGCGGAGGAGGTGGCTTCCTCAGCTTGGGAGCCAGTCCTTTAGGCGGCTCAGGAGGCGGCTCAGGAGGAAGTCGAGAAGGTAGTCGGACGTCGACGCCCATCGGTGGATTCGGACGTGCCGGGTCCTTGAACGGACCTAGTGGTGGTGGTGGACAAGGTCAGTCCGGTCCGGGTGGGGGTAGTGAGGGTGGGCATGGGCATGGTGGGAAGGAGGCGTTGGCGGAGTTTAGGAAGTTTGGGCAGAGGATCGGGATGGCGTCGAGATTGTTTAGTGGGAGGGAAGGGGCGCATTAGACTGGTTCATTGAGGTTCGGCTATCGTTTTTTTGTCTGTGCTGGTGTTCAGATGTATTCGTCTACTTGCAATGACTGAGGTTCAAGGACACGGATCGACACGAACACGAATTTGGCGGGGGCGGGGTTTATGGGTGCTTGAGTTCAAGCCGCCAACATTTGAACACGCCGCCGCATCTATAACTTTGCCTTACGGACAAAAAAACTCTCGACCTCATCCCCTTGAGCTACCTCATAAAGCCTCTCCAATTGACGTACGATAGCCTCCGCAGTATCCTTCGGACGTTCCTGAACGAGCAAATGACCCGCACCCTCAAAGGTCTCGTGCGTCGCCCACGGGATGAGGTTCAGGAGCTTCGTAAGTTCCGAACCCAGTGGAAAGATCGAATTTTCGGCGATGATGAGATGGATAGGAAGGGTTGGAGGTATTGAAGGGAGGCGAAGGGATCCGCGGCAGACGGTTAGGCCTTGGACGTCGCAGAAGACCAGCTGGGGAGGGTGGGCCAGAGACAGTGTGAGCGCGTGAACGTCCTTCCGAGAGAGGGAGGCGAGGAGTTCAGAACGTACCGCTTCATCCTGGGCCCGACATTTCAAACCCACATCTCCGTCGGGAAGATACTTGCTCCCAAACTCAACGTACAGCTCCAAACACCTCTCATCCCACTTTCTGAAGAAATCCTTCTTTAACAATCCCTCCTTCATCCCTCTCTTGGAATCCCATATTTCTCTCCTCCCAAGAGCGCCCTTCGTCAAGCCTTCGCAGGAACAAACTGCTCCTGGCGGAGGAAGAATGGGTTCAAATAATACGAGAGAGCAGAACAAGGAGGGCTGGGCTGTTGCTGCGTAGGCCATTCCGGCTCCACCTAGGGAGTGACCGATCCCGACGATGAGCCGGTTGCGGAAGATTCGGTGTGAGGGGAGGGGATGGCCCGGGATCAGCGGGACCGTATCGAGGGCTTGGAGAAGGGTCGTTTCGGGTGTGTGGATGAAGGGGAGGTGCGGTGGGGACAAGGAGGGTGCTAAGGCGTCGGGTAGATACGAGATCAGAAAGTTGGCAATATCGCGGCCGTGGTCGGACCAGTCGACTGGAGAAAGGAGATGCACTGAGCATCTATCCGATGGGCGTAGGTGAGTTTCCGGTACATACATGTTTTACCGAGTCTTCCTTGGTTCAAACACGCAGAATCGCCCTGATTGAAGGCGTCCAAACACCACACTTCGCCGATCGGCGTCGCCGAGTCCCACGCATCCAGCACGTCCGAAATAGCCGGTTCCCACGTTTCTGCTCATCGACGACCTAGATGAGTGACACACCGGCTGCCAAAGACAACGTCTGAACCACTCACCTTTGTGCAATCCATTAGGGTGAGCGAAAATCAGCGTCAAGAGAGGCTTATCCTTGGAGGGTCTAACCGCCGTGTTCACATAGCGATTCACCGCGATGAACAATTGCGCTTGATTGCAAAGCTCTTGTTCATCGTCGACCGAAACTTTGCCTTGTTTCAACGCTTCGAGCTGATCGGCACAAATCTGTATGTACGCCTCGTGGATGCTGAATTGAGTCTTGAGCGGTTCAGTTCGGCCTTTGGTCGGTTCGGTCGAGTTCGTCGGTGGATCCTCATTCAGCGCGTTCGGGCTCGACGCCGGCGACGTACTAAGCGTAGCAGCGCTGTTCTTGAACGACCTTGGAAAAGCAGCCGAGACTACGAAAGTGTCGACTCTCCAAGCTGTGTGCTTATCAGCTCCGAACGGGTAGTGCCTCGACGAGTCATGCAGTGCCACGTCGCGTGAGATGCGAGTTGGATAGGAGGCTTTAGGAGCTAGTAAGGGGACGAGAGGTCCTTCCGGCGCTAATGAGCGGGCCTGGGCTTCGATTGAGATGAGCCGTTCGTCGGGAGTGGGCGACATGGGTGCAAGGACTCTGGCCAGCTTGGGAGATGGAGAGGAAGAAGGAATTGATGGGATCGTTCATGCCCGCCGCGGAAATGTCGACCCCGACTCCTGAAATCTCCCACGTTCGGTCGGCGTTTAGAAGTCCCCGTCGGTCCAGGTTCAGCTCGGCGCAATACGCCAGCGCGGTGACGTCATGTGGAGCAGTGAGTCCGCGAGAGGACTTGGCGCTTCTGGGGCAGTGAACTAGAAAAGATGAGGGCAGCGCAGCTAAGACAGATTTAGGGGTGCGTTGTTTCAGAAACGCGAATTACGATCCAGGCCGCGATGTCGGCCTCGGCTGAGCACAGGGCGCCGAGGGCGGGCGGGCGCGGGCCGGTGCTGGCCGGTGTGGGACCCGAGCCTGATTCAATTAGCGTCGAATTGTCTGACGCGCCTTGGCCTGGGACAGACGCGAGCGGTCATCCTTCCCATCCGGACCAACACACGCAACAACCACCGGACACAACCTACGAGCCCTACCTGATTATACACAAGGTCTCACGTGCATCCTTGTAGTCCATCAAATTCAACGCCCGCACTTGATCTCGAATCGCGACACTCCGTCGGACGACTTGGCTCTTTTTGGACGTTGACGTCGGTCGGCCATCTCACACAATCGCCGTCCTTGCAGTCCATTCGCACGTCGAGGAAAGACGAAGACGATGCTGTTACCTTCCACGATCCGTGCCTTGGTCTTGACTTTGTTTCTGCCATATGCCTTGGCTCAAATCTCCAACCTCATCGTAAGTAACACCTGATGCTCATCGACCGTCGCGGAGAGATATATGCGGCCACGGCGACCGGCGTCCGACGAGGGCCGTTGTGTGCTTGCCTGGACGCCGGGCGCGGCTGGGGGCCACGGCGAACAAGAGCCGTCGTCGAGGTCACGAGCGCGGGCCAGTTGCTAGCTAGCGCGCCATGATTGCAGTGATGCGCGTTGGTTGTAGGCCTTAGCCGACCCTCAGTGCTCAGCTGCAGAATGCAATCTTCCGATTTACAAGTTGACGAACAGATCGACCCCCGATTCCGCGCTCGCAGTACACTTACGAGGGTCAATCCGCGCCGGCGAGCGTGCTCCAGGCGATCTCCTCGGCCGCCGCTCCCGCCCAGTCGATCCTCAACAGCCAAGGTGTCGACACGGCGACAGGACTCGTAGCTGCCTTCCCGACAACGGCGACAGTACTTGATACCGTAACCGCTCCCGCCGAGACAGGAGCCCCGGTATTTTCGAGTGGCTCTCCGTGAGTACATAAATCACTGGCCAGTGGGTCGCGGCTCGGCAAAGTGCTCACCTCGAAGACCCTTTCTTCCGCGATGCGCAGCGGCTTGAACACAGCAACCGTCCCACGATCACCCTACGTCGCATCTGGCACAATCAATCTCTCCTTGGCCACTTCATCGTCTGCGAGTGCGACGTCAAAATCTCCGGCTGGACGAGTCTCGCCGCCGAGTGGACTCACGTTTGGCTTCTCGACAAGCGTCCTGACCACCGTCGTGGGAATGTTCCTCGGCCTCGCCGTCACTCTGTGATCCCGACTTTGATGGTCGCATGGACACTACTTCCTTCGACATCCTGTCGAGTTATCACCCAGGATTTTTGCTTGTTTCGATTCTCTTGTTTGTATGACCATTCATAATTAGGCGTCTGCGGAGGAAATGGCAGTCATTGCTTCGAGTCAGTCCGCCACAGGAATGGACCACATATACGCGAGCATGGTCCAACTGCTCGTAAGCAGACATCGATAGTTTATGCGCATGACACTGCGGTTCCGAGTCGGGCGAACCAAGATAATCGGTGCCCGCTCCGGAATATGACAGGAGGTTGATGTTTCTCGAAAGGAAAACGAGTAGGGAATTACCTGGCGCAAGTCTTTGAACCTGGAAGTGAGAGGAAGATGCCGTGTTATGCTGTGCAGGAGAAAAATTTCGCTTGCCTCCAACTGCGTCGCGAGTCAAAGCGACCCGTCGAGGTCGCTGAGGCCTCGACCAAATGCCATGCGATTTGCATTACGTCACTGCGTCATTCACGTCGCGCGCGCGGGCGTACACGCCTCTGCCGTCGATTGATCGGCAGACCCTTTTTCTGCTGCTCGTGATCTACATTCGGTCAACTCTGGCTGGCTGCCTCCTTTCTTCCTTGTCCCTTGTCCCTCGTCCTTCAAACTCCCCTTCTAACTTCCCCCCCATACCTCACCCACCATGAGTGCTCAAGAAGAAGCCAAGAAGCCCGAGCAAAAGTACCGTACGGCCAACTACAAGGCCAATGCCGTGAGTCGGCGTCGTCGTCGTCATCATGAAGGGTCACCGAACCAAGAAGGCTCTTTATCCGAATCGAGCCGACAAAGCTGACACGTGTTTCCACCAATGTTATCGATGCCATCCGTTTAGCGTGGCCTCGGTCGGGAACATGAGGAGCCTCAAAACTACACCATGATGCAGGGTCAGTAGTCGCAGTCTCTACAGAGGCGGCCTGGCGAGTTCCGCCCTGGAAGTTGCGATTGGGGTAAAGATGATCGGCCTCCGGAACTGGGAAACTGATCGGACACTCCATTGCTGGACACCAGGTTTCGAATGGTACTCCAAGGGTGGCGGAAAGTTCTGGAACGACTTCAAGGAAAAGTCCAAGAGTCTTGCCGACATGGGCATCACCGCGGCTTGGCTGCCACGTACGTCCGATTGCCTATCGCTCAGGGAGAGCCTTTCAGTCGTCGAGCTGCACAGCCACGATGGCTGATCTGCTTTGCTCCCCCTTCTTTTTAGCTCCCACCAAGGGCCAAAGTCCTGAAGACAATGGCTATGGTGTCTATGATATCTACGAGTAAGTCGCAATTAGCCATCCAATCCTTCGGATTCGCTAAAGCTTTTCCGCCTCGTCTCGCTCTGCAGCCTGGGAGAATTTGACGCCAAGGGAGGCAAGGCGACCAAGTGGGGGACCAAGGAGCAGTACATTGATTGCATCAAGACGTGCAAGAAGAACGGCATCGTCGTGTACATCGGTCAGTCTTCGACTAAGCTCGAGGCTTTCTCCTAACCGAGCTGACTCGTACTCTCTGCAAACTCCTCTCAGATGCGGTCTTGAACCACAAGGCCGGTGCCGACGAGGCCGAACCTTTCATGGCCACCGAAGTTGACGAGAACAACCGCAACCAGGAGGTTAGTGGAGCTGTAAGTTTGCTCTGCTGCAGTCGAGATGAGCTGGAAGCCAGGATCATGGGTGCTGACCTACCCGGAACTCGTCGACACAGTACGAGATCGAGGGTTGGACCAAGTTCGATTTCCCCGGTCGTGGTGACAAGTACTCGGATCTCAAGTGGCGCCACTACCACTTCACCGGTGTCGATTGGGACAATCGTGCCGAGAAGAAGGCCATCTTCAAGATCCAAGGTGAAGGTAAAGGCTGGGCCCTGGCCGTCGATGGCGAGAAGGGCAGTTTCGACTACCTCATGTTCGCCGACATCGATCACAACCACCCCGAAGCCCGCGAGGATATCAAGAAGTGGGGCACGTGGATCATCAAGGAGACCGGCGCCGAGGGTATCCGCTTCGATGCCGTCAAGCACATCGACGAGGGCTTCATCTCCGAGTTTGTCCAACACATTCGCAAGGAGTTGGACAACCCTGACTTGTTCTGCGTCGGAGAGTTCTGGAAGGACGACATCGGAAGCTTGACCGGCTAGTGAGTCTGGATCCCTGACTTGTTCTCTGTGTTGGCCTCTCAGCTAGACCGTGCACTAACGACGATCTTACACTCTACTCTTCTCAGCCTGGATCGCTTCGGTGACCAATTCAGTCTATTCGATACCGCGCTCCATTACAACTTCAAGGAGGCGTCGACCCGCGGTGGCGACTACGATCTTCGCGCCATCTGGGATGGCACCGTTGTTAAGGACTACCCTATGGATGCCGTCACGCTCGTCGACAACCACGACACCCAGCCCCAGCAGGCGCTCGAGTCGTGGATCGACCCGACATTCAAGCCCCTCGCGTACGCCTTGATCTTGTTCCGCGGCGATGGATACCCTTGCGTCTTTGCCGGTGATCTCTACGGCTGCAACAGCGAACCTTTCGTCGAGCCCATGGTAAGGCGGCCACGACGACTTCAACCTGACACCGCTTGTGCTCGAAAGCTGATAAGCTTAGATGTGTGCATCCACAGTCGCAACTTGACGACTTCATCAGGATCCGCAAGTGCTTCACTTACGGCCCGACCCGAGATTACTGTGCGTCACAACCGTGCCTGAAAGTCCTCCTGATCTTGCGCGTGCTGACACCCTGACCTCACCATTCATCACATTACATATCCATTCTTTTGGTGCACCACGAATCATCTACAGGGGACCATCCGCAATGCGTTGGATGGGTTCGCGAGGGCGACGCCGCCCACGATGGCTGTGCCGTTGTAATCTGCAACGGCTCCGAGGACGGCAAGAAGCGCATGCAGATCCCTGACGGCCACGCGGGTGAAAAGTGGACCGATGTGCTCGGCTGGTACCAAGGCGAGGTCACGATCGGTGATGATGGATGGGCCGAATTCCCGTGCCACGAGCGATCCGCGTCCGTCTGGGCCAAGGTCGACGCCAAGCATCGTGAGGAGTTCAACAAGTGAGCGCACATGCGCGTACCCCTGCACCTACTGGAAAAGAAGCCATGTCGGTTGCGAAATATATAGAGCGTTTGGTTTCTTGACGTGCTAGACCCGTTTGTTTTCTGTATTCTTCCTGGTACCACAATAGATTTGGCTCGTAATGCTTTGGGGCTGTGCTGAGCCCTGCAATAGAAGGTCTCGGACATGTGAACGGTTCCTTTCCTTTCTGGGAGAGGGCAGGAGCCCCTTTTGCTCGGGGCCTGCGGGGCCGGGGCTGCAGGCCGTGCAATTGGCCAATGCACACTTAGAATCTTGAAAATCTAGTAAGTGCAGGCCTAAGGTCGACTGGTTCGTGGTTACCGAACTCGGGCGGCGCTCACGGCCGAGCGACCGCGAACTTGAGGCGGGCACACTTGCCTCGAATGGTAAGCGCCGCCGCGCACAGCCTGAGTCGACTGTTCCACCTGGGCAGGCCCCCTCGTGCTGACGGCGCTGATGCTGGCCGAGCGCAATCAAGCCCCGGGGATTACTTGTTTTGGAGTGTCCGATCAGGAAACACTTGTTGCGCCTTGTGTCCAAGGGCTCACAACTTTCGGGTATGGTCGTGTTTGCTTTGGATCGAGCGACGCGACAGTGATTAATGTGCACAATCAATTGAAGGCCCCCTCCCCCCACACGGCCCGCAGCTTGTGACGACCGACCGAGCCCTGTCGCGCTCTCGGCGCCGCGCCGTTCGCGCCCCGGCGACCGGCATCAGCCCCCTTTCCTCAGGCCGCCGGTGCGCGGGCGACGCGACTTCGCCACAAGGTGCTTTCGCTTCGCGACGTTCAAATGTCTCAGATCTCACCCTTTTCTGATATGCGTCTCGGTGCACGAGTAAAGTTTAAATACGACGCTTTCCAAAACGATCCCGACGATCAAGAAACACTTTGGATCCGATCTGTTACATCCTGCCGCGACACCTTTGCGATCCTAATCGGCCGATGCGCATCCCACCTGAGAGCTGGGCTATAGGCAGCCTGTTCACACATAGGGGGAAGTACGTACTCCACCCCTGTAACGCACTGTTACAATCTCGATGTCATCGCCTATTTCACGAAGCCAGAATCGGAATTTGCGCGCCCTGCTTTGGCAGATGAGAAAGGCGCCAACGTGCTGGTGAGCGAGCTTACGTCAGGCGCCACTCAGGGGCTGGGGTGCAGCGCCTGGAGCAGACTGCCTCCCTTCCCTCACAATCACATCCGAAAACGGGTCCTTGACCAGTTCAGGCTTGCACATCATTTTCGTAATTGCATGGCTACTTCTTTCAAGTCCAAGATATAAACGTTAACAACCCGAGCAGCTTGTTTTGGGGAAAGAGGCTACGAAAACCCGAAACGAAAGCTTTTTCTTTTCCCTCTTCTAAATACATTCCTTGTTCCCCCATTACATGGTTCAAAGACCACTTTAGACGTCCGTGCACTTGAAGTCAAGCTGGGAAGAGGGGTAAGGTAGTATAAGCTTCTTGTTAGAGTGGAAGTACGAAGCAGAGCATTTGAGGTCGTGTCACACTCACAGGAGTCTCGTCGCGGATGTGGGTGCAGTTGTAGACGGGCGTGACACCGGCGAACTTGGGTAGGGGCAAGGTCAAGTTGGTGCCGGTCGCACTGATGGACGTGCAGAAGTTGGAGCAGTCGAGGACACCGACAACGTTCTTTTGCTTTCCACTGGCGGTACCAGTGACATTGATGTAGGTGACGTCGGAGATGGTCATCAACGAAGGGTCGCCTCGCAGAACGGCTGCTGGTAGTTGTAGCAACTCGTGATGATTAGGGGAGCGTCAACATTGTTGTTGACAAAGTTCTTGAAGGTGATGTTCTTGACGAAGCCAAGACCTCCACCACTGGCGGGGTCAGCGAAAGGGCTGTTGGGCCAGACCTGTTACACAGAGAATGAAAGAAAGAAAAAATCGCCAAGTTGGTCTCGCGCGCCCAGCCCACGCCTCTCGGCCCGGATCCCACGACCACAAGCAACTCACCTTGATGCGGGCACCAGCCTGGGCATTGGACATGGAGATATTGTGGATGTTGACGTTCTGGACGATGTCAGTTTGGCCCCTGTATTGTCCGAGCGATCCAACCGAGATACCGTGCGAGCCGTTGCAAACCATGTTGCCGATCTCGACCTCGGTCGAGTTGGGCTTGAGTGACACGCAATCGTCACCATTGTTCACGTTCCAGTTGACGAGCTTGACGCTCGACGATCGGTACACATCGATACCATCGGTGTTGTAGATGAAGTATTTGGACGCGGACACGGCGTTGATCTTGATGTTCTGGATCGTGACGTTGTGCGAGTCGCCCAAGAAGATGTTCCAGAACAGTCCCTGCAGGAGACTGAGATTCTCGACGATCATATTGGTCGAGTTACCGATCGCAAGCATGATCGGTCGAGCAAACAAAGGTCCCACAGTGGTGTTTCCGGCGGCCTTGTCGATGGCGAATTGATTCCACCAACGCTGCGCGCAATTCACGCACGGACAGGCTAAACGAATTTCAGTCATGGGTTCTTCGTCACAGTGCTACGCGGCTGCACTGCATTGCACTGACCTGGCCGTTGCCCAAGAAACCGGAGTTGGGGTACGCGACGTTGTCACCGTGGAACCAAACATTGTCACCGGAGAGCTGTTTCGAGAACCAAACAAAGGCTGTCGAGTCAGAATCGAAGTGCTGGAGGTCCAATCCACTTCCATTGCTACTCACCAAGAAGAAGGTCGTCGCGTTCTGGTAGACCAAGTTGTAAGAACCGGGGCCAGCGGTGTTGAAGGTAGGGGTCGACCAGTAGGAGAAGTCGTCGCTGTAGTTGACTAGAAGGAAGTAAATCCAAGCCAAGCGCCGCGCCATGTCAGCAATTAGCTTGTACCCATTTTTGGTCGGCAAGGACGTGATGTGGGGGCACGTGACTCACAGGCACCGGCCAGGCGGATCTCGACGTTGGACAGGTGAGGGGTCACGAGCAGGGTCTTGATCTGGAAATAGCCATCCAGAAGAATCTAGTTGCGTGAAGGGAGTTTGCGGTGACATTGGAACATCAGCACTGCACCCCAAGACGCGCCGCATGATCATGACGAGCCTCGCACGGCAGACTCACGACGGAGTCCTTTTGGCATTCTTTGAAAGCGGCGAGGAGCGACGGCGTCTGATCACCGTGTCCACCACCGTGGACACGGCAGCGACCTGTCCTCGGAGGAAGAGCTGCAACTGCTCGCTTGTCGATGGGAGCAGGGGCGGCCTGTACCGTAGCAGCCAAGAAGGACGCGACGAGGAGGAAGGTCGAGAAAAAGCCCTTCATTGCTTTTGGTCCTTGGCCAGGGCGGGTCGGAAAAGAAAAAAGAGCGAGTGATGGAGAAAAGAAGAGAAGGAGAAAGAAAGAGAGGGCCCTCGAAAGACCAGGTCAATGGAATGGAAAACTGACACGGAACGGGGTGTGATCACTAAAACTACAGGTGTGGAGCTCCGGTCACCCCGGAGACAGAGCAGGCCAGTCGGCTTTGCGGAGACGAAAACTGGAGAAGGTTGGTGCTAAAAAAGGGGCCTCGGCGGCGCCGGTCCGGGCGCCGTAAGTTTTGAAAATCGGACGCAGCGCGAGTCGACCAATCCCAGGCCACAGTCGCGCCATCGCGGGCATTTTAGCCTGGGTCACGGATCGAGGCGTGGTTGACGTCGATCAAGTGGGCTCACCGGGTGCTCAGTCTTGAGTCCGGACTCTGGGTCGTTAGGGCAGTAGGGCAGCATTCTTGTCTAGTTGCCAGAAGGGCCTCCCCGACACCTCTGGCTAAGCCTGTACAGACGCCCGGGTCCTCTTCATGGGCCGGAACCCCGACCCTGAACGGGCCGACGACCGGCGCGCGCCATCGCACCTCGGATGTGATGGCAAATGTGTTGGAAGAAGTGTTCACACCGATTTGAAGCTGTAGTACTCATGAAATCATGGAGGTTGTCCAGTTCCTTGAAGGGAGGATGTAATCGCATTGAAAAAGAAGAGAACCAGAGATCGCTGCGAATCACGATTTTCCGGTGGTCACGTTCTTTAAATTTTCCACTTGTTTCATACAGCGAAACAACGGCTTCGATTTTAACGGACTCCTGATCCCGTCGACATTCGAAGAGCGTGGGCGGCGGTATCAGAATAATGGTACAAGAAGGTACTTAACATCTCCTTGTAATCTATTCCACCTAAAAAACTACACAGGGAGAGGAAAATGGGCCGTGTGCACTTCACTTGGTCGCCCGGCTAAGGTCGACGTTCGCGAGCTCGGGAGTTCGAAAGACCCACATGCCAGGTAACAAGTCCTCCCCAATTCTTCCAAGTGTACCCTCCTCTTCGACAACGGTTTCAATCGTCGCTATCCCCAACTTGGCCGCTTCCGACTCGATCCTCCTCCGCTTTGGCTCTTGCCTCTCCGCTTCAATCTCCCACAGATGTGGCACCTCATCAACGACCACGGTCTGGCTCCTCGTCGCTTGGGTTTGTTTCCACACATGAGGGATGTTGGTCTCGGGTTCGTAGATCCCTCGTAGGGGATTGTAAACCCTGACCCTTCGCCTCCTCTCAGGCCCAACATCCATCCTCTCTTCAGCCGTCTCCTCATCGCTAGGCACATCTTCCTCCACTTCCAGCCATGCATCCTCTTCGCGATCGCCAATCAACCCACTAGGGTTCAAATGCACCTGTCCGACATTCGCTCGGCGGATATTGCTCAGTTCGACATCTTGGCGTCGTACAGCTTTGGCGTATTCGAGCATCCAAATCTCCATATTCAGATGAGCTGGCGGTCGGGCCTTTTTAGCCGTAGGGTCCCACGTCTTGGCGAAAGGTTGCAGACCGATCCCGCCGAAGGTCGTTCCACCTCCTGCGATGGAAATGTATTCGTCGCGTGGGGCGGATCGCTTCGTCGAGGTTGAAGTCGAGGTCGTCGTCGTTGCTGGGGCAGCGGCCGAGGCGCTGGCGCTGGCTGCGGCGGTTTCGGCTTCGGTCGGTTCGACTGGGTCGTTCGAGGCTTGTTCTCCAGGTTGATGGCCTTCGGCAAGGGCCTTGTCCTCGTCTGTAGGGCGAGGGCAGCAAGGTTGGGCCTGGGTCAGCTTTCGCCCTGCCTCCAGAGCTTGGACGCTTTCGAGGCTCACAATAGTCGTCGAATACGTATTTGCCGTCTGTGAATGAGAGCAATCAAGAACCAAAAGATGACTACGGCACTCGAAAACCGGGCATCTCATTGGTTTGCTCTACTCACTCTTGATGAACTCTGCTCCGAGGACCTTGAAGACGTTCCGCGCGGTGACCATGGTGACGATCCTACTCTTCATGCTCAACGATAACTTGCCTTCAGCGATCAGCTTGTCCTTTTCGGCTTGGCCGATCGTGATTTTGTGGACGGTCGGGTGCCGACGGAAGAAGTAGAGCGAGTCGCGGAAGCCGGCGGCGCGCGCGGTGTCGATCGAGAACATGTAGAGCTTTTTGGGATTGGGTCGCATCGATGAGGTGAAGGCTTTGGTTTTGTATTGTCGACCTGCAGCGCCGACGGAATGAGATGTGAGATCACACCTGTGCTCGTGTCCAGCGCGGTGGGACTCACCTCCGAGCAAGTTGCCGAGTGCGTCTACTTTGGCGTCACCTCTCGGGTCATCATCGAGCATCAACTCGTCGTTCGAGATGGTGTAGACTTGGCCCTTGATGACCTGCGTGATCGTGATCGTGATCGTGCCCGAGCGTTAGCCTGCCGGTCGAGGGGAACCGCCAGATGAGAGCGCGTGCCTCATGCTCTTGAAGGTGCACGAACGCATCAGTACCGACCTTTGTTTCGAGCTCTTTGCGCTTGTGGAAGTTGATCGCCTTGCTCCTTCTGACATTGTCCGACAGGGCGGGGGTAGCTTGACCCGAGTTGATGGGGTCAAGATCACTATCGTTGATCTCGGCGGGCTCCTCATCGTCCTCATCCTGATCGTCATCATCGTCGTCATCATCCTGATCATCATCGTCGTCGTCGTCGTCGTCGTCGTCGTCGTCATCGTCATCGCTCGCCATGGGTGTAGCACTGTTGGTCGTGGTCGTGCCGCCGGTGGTGACCCTCAACGAGCGACGTTGGTCCGGGTTGAAAGTCGAGGTTGAACGTTGACGAGTCGAACGCGAGCCTTGGTCGTGGGTGGAGGTGCCTCGGGGTGTGTACGATCCTGCGTAGGTCTCGTCTTCGTCTTCTGAATCGTAGACGGCGGGCATGCTGGCGGGTAGGCGCACGGGTGGCGGGAGGCGCACAGTGAGGCGGCAGTGCGGTGTGATCACTAGAGTGGGAGAGCCGAGGTGGGGTGTGAGGTCGCAGAGTGGGTCTTGGGTGGTGCACTCGTCGTCAGCTCAGACAAAAAGAAAGGCACGAAGGCAATGAATGCGTTTGTTTCGACGACGGGGCGAGCGGCGCGTCGCGTAGCAATTTGACGCGCTTCGACCACGCTTCGACCTTAGGAAGGCCCCGCTACAGCCCGCTAATCTAATACTAGTAACTGGCCCGCTCGTAGCCGCTCGTAATAGCCGCTCGTCCAAATCGCAGGACTCGCCCAGACCGTGCCCAGACCGTCGTGGGCTCCACCACCCGAGCCTCGAGGTCCGACTCTGGTGCTTTGACCCGTCCGCCTTCCTAGACATCCCTCACGATGAGTGCTCGGCTTTGAAACGCTGACTCGGTCGATGGGTCCCTTTAGCAACCCTCTGCGGTCGCCGCATGGGGGTACTGCCTCTACCTCGGCAGCCTCAACATCAACGTCGCTCAAGTCGTCATCGTCGCCGGCACTGGGCTCACCGTCACCTTCTTCGTCGACTTCGGCTTTCCAGCACGAGCAGCACCACGCACGGTCTGCATCGTTCTCGTCGCCTTCGTTGGGGTGGATCACCGGTAGATCACCTACCAAAGGGGAGAAACTACCCAGTGATCAACTGCTCGAGCTTACGAGGTGCGTGGCCATCAGCTCGGATCGTGGAGGTCGTGGCCAGTCCGCGCCGGTTCGAGGCCATTCGGTGATCTATCTTGACGAGCTTGATCACCGAACGCGCCTCAAAGGACTGGCCATCTCGTACTGACTCCGACTTGATCTCGGGTCCGGTAAACAGGTTCGCTCACAAGAAAGTCTGGATAGACGAAAAGATCAACGTCCGTCCCATTCGCACCCATCACCCATCATCCCACATCACATCCACATCCGAGCTGACTTTTTCATTTTCGTCCATGTCGGAGCGAACAGTTTCTCGCTTCTCTCCCGCCGATCAATGTCACGGCTCCTGCACCGCCAGAGCCCTCGACGACGACGGCTGAGCAATTGGAACAATGGTGGACCGAACATGATCGCATAGAAGAGCAGGTGCAGCAGTACGATATGGGTGATCTCGCCCATCTCAAACGACTCGCCAAAGGTCGGTTCTTCTCCGGGCGCTGAGCACGTGGGGAAGTCACTTTCGCAGTGCTGACGGCTACGAAAGCATCTTTGGGCACGCAGAGGCGAGTCAAAAGGCCATGTCACCCAAAGACACGGACTTGCTCGAGATCACCTTGACCACGCTCTTTGCCGTCGACAAGTTGCTCAGTCTGCTCAAGAACCGGAGAAAAGCTTTGACCTTGCTCGATCATCGTCTCCAGTTGAGTTCTTCGGTCGTTCTGCTGGCTTGGGGGGAACTTTCACCGACATCATTCCATCACATTTACCCCACAGATGGGAATTCCAAGTCCAGCAATGTTGGCAGTCGCATCGAGCGATCCTCGCGGACGTGCCTTCCTTCCTCTCCAAATCGCGCTGGACCGTCCCACCGACCTCGGCACCTGCCCTCGTATCTCCGACTTCACCGACCACCAGCTCGTTCCCGCTCGACCGTCGCTCCTCGATCTTTCTCCCCTCTTCCCATCCTTCCTCCTCCTCCCTCAACCGTACCCTCCGAACCGACACCCTCTCCCTCTCCCTAGCCACCTTCAAATCCCGTCTCTACGAACTCTCGCACCAACTCCTCCCCGAATCCGCCTCGACACTCGATCAATTGATCGATAATACGCCCGAACCTTTACCGGATGGTTTTCTGGACGAACAGGATCGGTTGGAGGATCGGATCGAATTGGAGACGCAAGGGTTGGAGATGTTCTTGATCGAGATGAAGGCGCAGTGGGTGGTCGCGGATTCGATTTGGGACGGATTGGGGCTCACGCTTGGGATGTTGGAGAAGGCGAGGGAAGGCGTACTTGCAGCTGCGGAGGAGGGGGAAAAGATGGAAGGAGTTGAGGAGCTGTTGAGGAACGCTAGGACGGGGTGGGAATTGGGGAGGAATCGATTCCGCGGCGAACTCATCATGCCCAATCATCCGACCGTACACGACCAAGCGGACGAGAACAAGAGGTTGTCGCGGACGTTCGAGAGAGCGATTCGTAAGATCGAGGCTGAGCTTTTGGAGGTTGAGACATTGGTGGGGGAACATAAGCGGGCTGTTGAGGTGCTGAGGAGGGCCGATGAGATGGGACAAGAGCTCGAGCGGGTCACGGTCGCGTTGGATGCCTTCGTGGAGGCTGAAAGGGGTTTGAGTGGGAGACCGGATTTGGACGATGCCAGGTGCTTGGATCTCGATGCGGCGGGGTTCGAAAGGGTTCAAGAAGGGTTGACGAGCAAGGTCAAGGTCGATTTGCTGGATCCGTTGCCGACTTTGGTCCAAACCGCCAATTCGATCATTGTGGATCTAGGCAAGTTACCGACAAGGTTCACCACGTCGAAAGAGGTTCGTAAGTCGGTGAAGCTGCGCTTGAATGAGCTCATGGAGGGTCGGACTCGAGTCGAGAAGGTTTTGCGACTGGCGCAGGAGAGCAAGAAGTGCTTGGAGGCCGCGCAGAACTTGAGCAACGCGACAAAGGAATGTATAGCGCTCGTCCAGGGGGTCAAACAGAGGTTCTCGAAGAGAATAGAAGACGTCAAGTGGCATCCGTTTCGATCGTCCCCTTTGTCACCGAGCGAGGACTCTGGCGAGTTGCGTCTAGCACTTACGCAGGTTAACACACAAATCGCAAAGCTCATTCCGCAGCCCTTCGAAGTCGCGCGAGAATGCCTCGCCACGCCTCATCCGGGGCTGTACCAGCACCTCGCTTCCCTCGTCGACGAATTGCACGATCGATCGGATGAGCTCAAGAACCTGGATGCGACGCTGGAGAGCGTGGAAAGCCAAACGGCTGCGGCCGAGGGGATCGTGCAAGAGTTTAAGGAGGCAGAAGCCGAACTGGAAGACATTCGAGTGGAGATCGCTTCGCGGGGGAACGAAACGAACGTCGAAGAACTTGCTCAATTGGAATATCGACTGGGCTCAGAAATCGATCGAATCGAGCAGCGTATCGTAACCACTTCGGATGGGATCCACGAACGAGTCACCTTCTTGTCGACCCGGTATGAAGCGAAGAAATTAGCAGAACAAGACTCACTCGTGCGGCAGGGGTTGAACGAAGCGGTCCTGCGGAGTCGGGCGGCTGTGGTGGAGGTACGGGGGAGGCTGGAGGTGCTAGGGCATCGACGTGAAGGCTTGATATGGGATGGGCAGCATGGGAAGGCTGCGGGGGATTTGGCTGCTTTGCGAGTTCGGCTCGATCAAGCGCAACGGGACTTCAGTGCAAGAAGCACTGATGACCCAGGTGGGTGTGCAAATCGCCCTCGTAATGATTGGGATATTTAGCTGATCACGCACCTTTTGACGGTACTCAGATACCTTGGATCAACACACTAAACGTATTGCCGACCTCAAATCACATCATCAGTTGCTCCGTCCCGTACTCGATGATCTCACGTTCTCGCATTCGGCCCTCAGTTCGACCAGGCACGCCGAAGCACGATATCCTCAACTTGAACGGACCAAAGCGCACCACGACATCATTGGCAGCTCCATCACCGAATTTGAGCGCTCGATTGAACAAGCTGGGGTCGCGTACGAAGTTCGACAAGCGGCTGAATCACAAGCTGCCCTTGAAGCCTCGGCAGCGGCTATGGCGGCGCGTCGGGTGCAACTTCTTGCTGAGGCGGTGAGCTTGAAGTCTGAGGCAACGGCGCTCGTTGAGGATGCTACAAAGGTGACGGCGAAAACAGAGGAAAGGGAAACGACGACGAAGGAGCAGCGTACGATGTTGCTCGCGTCGCAGGACTTGTCACTCGAGTCGGATGTCGATCCGAGTTTCGTAGAAGAGTCGGAGCAGCAATTGGTCGAACTGCAAGCACGCCTGGCCGAGCTCGAGGGACGAAAAACTGCGCTACACACACAACTTGATCAAGAGTCGGGAGACGAAAGTGATGATCTGGTGGCAACTCGATTTTTTCTGTCCGAATGCGATACTCAGGTGGACTGTTCGAGTACATTGCTCGATACGCTGCAACATCACGTCGAAACGAGTCGGCTGCGACAAGGCGATTGGATTGCAGCTCGACAAGCTCGTGTCGAGGCTAGACAGCGATATTCTAGCCTCCAAAAAAGGATTGAGGATGTTCTCGCTGGAATGAGCCGAGATGAACAAGAGGTCGAACAGTCATCGACGGCAAGGAGGCTCGCTTTGGATAAGGTCGTCGAACAAAGGGCCAACTTGTCCCAGGCTCGGCACGACCTCCTTTCTTCGTCTGACTTCAACAACTCGATCCCTAGCCCGGCTATGGATGTAGCGGGTGAGAAAATTCATCTTGAACAAGATCTTATTCGACTGGAACAGCTCCGACAACGCGCTGAGGCCAGAATACGAGCGCGCCAGGCCATCGTCGAGGATTTGCACACGTTGTCGAGTGACGGTGAGGAGGGAGTCGAGCCGCTTGTGTCGCTAACGGAACGGTCGCAAGCCCTCGATAAGCGATTGGAGGACCACTCGGCGTCGTTGGCCGAATTTACGACTGTCTTGAGAGGCATTGCATCGGACGAGCAAGACTGGTCAGAACGACGTACGGCTTTGCATGAGGAGCAAAGAAGACGGAAAGAAGAGGACCAACGTCTGGATCGGGAGGCACGGACGAAGGAGCGCTCGACTGAGATCGTCAAGATGGAGCAAATACTCGAGCAAGTGGAACAGAAGCTGCGAGAGCAGCAATACGCGATTGCTGAATATAATGTGAGTTGAGTGCGAGGTTCTTGACGGGATTTATTTTGCGTGTGTTGATCATTCGAAAACAATCACAGGCACTCCTTGAGGTTCCAGCGCTGGACGCTTCACCACGAGACCTGGCCAAGGCAGTCGAGGATCTCCAACGAGCGGATGTCTTCGACCTTACCAAGAACGATCTGGCCACAATCGAGGATCGTCGCACGGCATTGCTACTCGCAGCACGGGAACACGAGGAGGAGAAAGCAGTGACCACACAACTCGAGCCCCTCGACGATCGTGTTCTTTTGACACATTCAATGCTCGAGTCGGTCCGTTTGGGGTGGAAAGCTTGCTTGGAAGCGTTGAGCTCGCGCTTGTTCGAGGTTGAAAGGGTGCAGGAGAACGCACGATCGGGGACGACGACCTCCACGACACGTTCGCCCTCCGTCGCGCAACTTCGTGAAGACGGCTTGCCTCGGGTTAGAGAGGAGCACGCCGAGACCAGCGATGCGGCGTCGCATGGAACGCTTCCTGGATCAAGTGGTCGAAATCTCTTTGGAGCGCCTCAGCATGTCGTTGACGTCTTTGGAACCAAGTCTTCGGCGCCGCCTTACGAATTCGATACCACGCCTGAGGAGTCATTCGAGGTCATCTCGCTTCGAGAGCAGCTCGACGCAATTGCTGTCGACGTTTGGTTGGACTCGAAGGCCGCTCAGCGACTCCCAACAGCGGAAGAAGTTGTTCAGATCAAAGTGCAGGTCTCACGAGTCGACGCGGACCTTCATGCGTTTGAGAGCGATACGAGTGGTGCGGGTGTGTGGGCCGATCTCGACCCATTGAAAGAACAGCTCAAGCGCAAGACAAACAGTCTCGGCCAGGTCGAGAAGCTCGGTCACTTCAGTAATCTCGTTGTGCAGGCGGATAAGACGCTCAGCAAGCTACTCATCGTTATCGACTCGGTTACGATGGAATCCGCCGACTTGGACGACGCGAGCTCGACGTCTTCCCTGGCTAGTGATGGCGATTCTCTGGCGACGGCGACAGAGTACCCCGTTCCCGAGGCGCTGAGGCTGGCTGGTGAAGCTGTCACGCTCGTGCGCAAGAGCGCAATCCCCTTTATCGACGACGATCGCGTGACCAAGAACGTCGAACGGATTGAAGAGACGTACGGCGAGATGTCGTCGATGGCGATGGACCTCGTGCCACGATCGCCCTCGCTGCCGAGCAGCAGTGGAGACGGCATGTCGGACGCTGGAACCGAGCATGCGGCGCACGTTGCCAAGGCCCTCTCCAACAGCACTCGATCCGCGTCGTCCTTGAGCTACGTCTCTTCTTCGGCTTCCGATTCGTCGAGTCGAGCTTCTTCGGCACAGTCGAATGCCTCCACCACGAGAACCCCCACGCGACCCCTGCGGCTTCCCTTCATGGGAGACCCCGAAGCGACCCCTCGTCGCCGCCCTTTCTTGCCCAGCATCGATGCTTCTCCTGCTTCTGCCAAGTCGGGTGTTCCTCCTGTACCCTCGTTTGGCTCCTCCGTCAAGGCTCGGGCTACCCATCGATCCGTCTCTTACAACCCTCCCTCTACGACGAAGCCGGTATCGACATCGCGCCGATCCAATCGGCACGCCTCGAACTCGAATACGTTCGACAGCCATAGTATGCCTCTTTCCTTGGATGCTCCCCGCGGCAGCACCAGCTCCCGCTCTGCGCCTCGAATGTCGCCGCGTCGTACCTCCAAGTCCTCCGCCCGGCCTCCACCACGAGCGCTGTTCGATCAGGCGTCGACGTCGAAGAGCAAGCGCAAGTACCGTGCCAATCCATCACGACAAGTTGATGTCGAGGTCGGCCGAATCGTCAACGAGCTTGATGTAAGTCGAGTCGAAAGCCCGTGCCTGACAGGATTTGTCGTACTCACGTTGACTCGGTTCCTGCAGATTGATGTACCGATTCAAGCTGCCGAAGACGCCCAGGGCTCGGACAGTGGACTGTACTGGATCGGAGATAGTGACACGGGTCGGTACTTCTACTGCCGCATCTTGCGCTCCAAGACGGTCATGGTTCGCGTTGGTGGGGGGTGGGAGAATCTTCACCAGTGAGTCCTATTTTTTTTACCGGCGTCGCCGATTGCTCTGATTTGCTGACGATCGTCTCTGTATTTCTCGTCTTAGTTTCATCGTGACTCGGTTCAATTCCAACAGCGTGGTCAATCTGTCTCCTCAACTGTCGCCCACTTCAGCTCGACAGCGGAGCCCAGAGCCGAAGTGGATCACGGGTGGCGGCAGCGAGCGCGAGTCCGGCAGTCTCGCCGGTCGCACAAACCTCACACCTTCCCGACTGGGGTCGAGTCGGCGCGTCTCGGAGCAACACCTCTCACCTCGCCTGTCGAACAGCTCGAAGCTTGCTTCATCGCGATCGTCGTTGTTGTCCGTGTCGGCTTCTTCATTTACCGACTCGCTCGCGCTCGGAGTGGCGACGGGATCTTCGTCGAGATCGCGTCGGAGCTCGGTTTCGCATCATTTTGCTGGCGGATCCGAGTCGCGTGCTTTTCTCGCGGCTGGCTCCCCCAATATAAGTGGTCTTGTGCATGGGAGTCGTCCGACCAGTCGGAACACAATGTCTTTGAGTACGAGCGGGAGCAGTGGTACGCCAACCGTCAAATCGCCATGGCGGCCTTGAGGCTAACCACTACACTTACACTTACAAATTTCGACTTATGAGTTTGTTTCACCTTTGTATTGAGTACCCAGTTTTCTTGGTTATCGCTGTCCAGTGCTGTTTTGTTCTTGGTACCTCGGATTTCCTCCTTATCGCTAGCATGTTTTCGCAATACCTACATCCTGTCATTCTGTTCCATGTCATTGCTGCTGCTGCAAAGTTGCTGGAACCATTTGCAAAGTCTTATTAGCGCTATTATACATCTAGCTCGCGCTCTAATTCCCTCCGCGCGCCTGCTAATAGCGCGTGCTGCCCTCGCCCCCACTTGTGGCTCGGGAATGGGTTGGCCTTCCTTTTCGACGCGCATCATACATCATCATCGATCATCGATCATCGACCATTTCGCGGCACCCGCCTCCTCGATTTGTCAAAGAAGCCATGGTCTCGACGGAACCGATGGTGCGACCGCCGCCGGCACAACGACGCAAGACGCTCGTCGGTGATCATCCGTTGTGCACCTCGGCCAGCATGGAGGAGATGTAAGTCGTCGATTCCATCGTAGTAGGGCGCTCCCCCGGCGGCCTGGGCGGTGGTTCAACGTTCAACCCTGGCGCGCGGGTCGATCGGGCGTCACTCAACTTGCCGAATCGGGCAAGTCTCTGCGTCGGTAGGCGAGGCTGATCATCGTTTTGGTCGGTGTGTTGTGATCTGACGATAGATACGAAGCCGGGGATGTGATTGGAACGGGTAGCTTCGGGTAAGTAGTCCGTACAGCGGCGCCTCTTGGGTGGTTCCGAACTGCGGGCAGGCTCGCTCCCAGTGATCGTTCTACGCTCGCGCACGTTCGACGTCATTGACATCGGTCTGGGGGGCCATCGTCGCGTGTTTGACGCCGTTTACAGTATCATCCGAAAAGTGACACGAAAAGTCGATGGAGCTGTAAGTGCTTTGCGCCGCGGGTCCATCGAGGCGGCCGGCAAGTCGGGTCCGGTGGGGTACTCACGCCGAAACTGCGATGCGCATGCCAGGTCTTGGCTCGAAAGGAACTCAACTATGGTCGAATGGACGAACGTGACCTGAAGCAACTCACCGAGGAAGTGTGAGTCATGGGCCGGCGAGGATTGATCACTGTCGATCAATGTCGGCGCATAGTTTCGGTTCATTGATCGTCGGTCTACCCGACCTCTCGTTCACTCAGCAACATTCTCGAGCAACTCGGCTCGAACGACAACATCGTGCGCTACTACGAGCGTTTCGTCGACAAACCCAGCTCGATGTTGTACATTCTCATGGAGTATTGCGAAGGAGGCGACTTGGCAGGTGTCATTCATCGTTGCCGCAAGACTGGGTCAGTTGAAGCACCGGGGTCTGTTCTTGAGTTTCTTGAGTTTGGGATCGGTGGAGCTAACTCACAGCCTATCATCTGATGGCACATAGGACGTACCTGAGCGAGGATGTCGTGTGGGCCTATTTGACGCAGATCACGTTGGCGCTGTACGACTGTCACACCGAGGTTGACACACGTGGTCGAAGGAAGCAGATCATCCTGCATCGCGACATCAAACCCGAGAACGGTTCGTTTGCAGACGAGGCTCTCTCATTCCTGCACGACGAGCTGACACCTGGCCGGTTGTATTCTACTGATGTTGGTCGCACAGTGTTCCTCGACAAGGAGAACAATCTCAAGTTGGGCGATTTCGGGTTGAGCAAGGCGATGGCCCAAGCAGCGATGACCCAGACATATGTTGGCGTAAGAGAACGTATCTCTCTCGCCGAGTTGTACAAGGCTGACATTAGGTATCACACAGACTCCGTACTACATGTCGCCCGAGTTGATCAATGGTCAACCATACGATGTCAAAAGTGACATTTGGGCGTTGGGTTGTCTCATTTACGAGCTCTGCGCTGGACAGTGAGTACCCATTAAATCACAAACACTGCTTTTGGAATGATCTACTGACAAAGCGTTTCACGTCCATCTAGCCCTCCCTTCCATGAAGCGCGGACCCAACCTGAACTCGCCGTCATGATTCGCGAAGGCAAAATCCCCGATCTGCCCAAGCCTTACACCGCTCACCTCGGCCAAGTCGTCAAAGCGATGCTCAAACAGAGTGTAAGCCGTTTCCTCAGGCGGATCGAAATGAAAGGTTTAGTTGACCCTTTCTACGCGTTTCGCCCGCCTAGCCCAAACACCGGCCCAACACATCGCAAATCAAAGCGCTCGACAACGTCAAACTGCAGATTCGTGCCCTCGAGCTGCGCAAAGCGACCAAGGAGTTGCGCATGCGTGATCACCAAATCGGGTTGCGAGAAGCGGATCTCTTGGCACGTGAAGCGGCGGTGCTGCAACGTGAAAAGAACGTCTTGCATCGCGAGGCCATGGCACGCCAGGCGGCAGAACAGATCAAGGAAGGGGAGATGGCGCTGGCGGCGAGGATCGCGGCGGCGAATCAGGCGGCACAACAGATGAATGGAGGATGCGATGATGATCTTTCGAATGAGAGGGAGAACCAACGGCCTGTAGGTGGGATCGAACCAGAGGTGTTCAAGCGTGTCGCGAGTCGGCCGAGCTTGGTACCAAGGAGGCCATTGGATGAGAGGCGAGCAAGGTGAGCAGTTGCCCTGTTTCCAAAAGTCGGGAGTGGTTCACTGACGATCTGTCCGATTGATCCAGTGGTATCGCCTTCCCGCGGGTTTCTTCGGTCTCATCGTTAATGTCACTCGACGAGACGCCTATCAAGGTCACCGCCAACTCCGTGACCCGTCGTCGACTGGCCTCCAAGTCGATGCACAACCTCGCCTCGGCGGCTGGGTACGCGTCCTCGGTCAACTCGACCCCCTCGCGCCCCGCTTCGTCGGCTTCGAATGGGTCGTCCTCGTCAATGGCACCCTCACCTCGATTTGTTCAAAACGAATTCCTGTCCGCTCGGCGGAGTCAAACCGCCGTCAGCCCGAGCCGTGGAGCAGGTCTGAGTCGATCATCCCATGAGCGAGCCTCGACGCTCACAATCCCGACGTCACCTTGCCCCGCCCCTTACTCTGGGTCTACGATTCCCCCAATGCCGCAATCACCGAAACGCTCACACACCGCCCCGGCTGCTACAAACGCCTCGGGACTGCATTCAAACCCTTATGATGACGATGGGGACGTTCCCTCGCCGTTTTTGAAGAAGGCCGATCCGTCTCGATTCCCTCTTCCCCCTCCACCTGCTGCGGCAACTGGGCGAACGTCAGCGACGGTTTCAGGTCGAGGACCGGGTCGAGCCCTAGGTGCAGGAGCGAGTCGTGCCAGCTTGGGTGGTAAACCCGTCTCGATGGCTTCCAAGCTGTTGAGTGCTCGAGCTCAAGCGCAAGCCGGCGTCGATGAGGTCGGTCGAAGATTGAGTGGGTTGACCGCCGGCCGAGCATAAAGTAGACCCGTGGTCACGCTTTTCACGGTGACGTCGTCGGCGCACACACGCTATATACCTCTGACTCCATCTACTGTATTTTACCTGTACTACCGTGGGGTTTTCCAATTCCTTTGTTTCTTATCATCCGGGACGTGCTAGGTCCTGTTTTGCAGGGCGGCGTGACCATTACTTCTTGTTCTTTTTGTACGAGCATCGTCGATTTCTTCGCATACCTCAGCCCAGCTGCCTTGGCTTTGGGCACACGCTTTTCTTTATTCCTGCTTGCAATGAGCGATCTTGTGGATGATTTCTTTCTGTTGTTGTTGGGAGATGAAACGCAATGCTGCGTAGCTGATGCAAGTGCAGGCGAGCATGCTAGGCGGGCGGCGTGGTGAGCACGCTAACGCGTCGCGGGACTGTCGCGCCCCCCCCCCTGGCTCCCCTTGGCCCCCCGGAGGCTGACTCGGTGCCTTGATGAACGACGGTGCCCCGTTTGCCTCCTGCCACTTGTCACGCGTTTGCCCAGGTTCATACTCCCCTACGCACGCTTCAACCACGTGACTCGTGAGTATCAGCGACCTGTGAACGATCTGATGCGTATCACCTACTGACTGGACCAGTTCCTACCGCCTGCAGAGCACGTCCCCCACTGCGAGTCCGACTGTCCGAGTCGACTCCCCGTCAGCGGCTCCACTTGCTCAGACTTGCTCGCGTCCGCTGCTCGTCAGCGCGTCAGCTGCTTCGCTCAGCGCCCAGCTGGGCCAGCTCCAAACCCCCCCTCTTTCTTGTTGGTGGCCCACCGCAGTAGTCTCGGTGCAGACCATGGCCGCCGTGGCATCCAACTCGGCTTCGACGTCCAGTCTCGGCCAGCAGCATGGCACGCCCCGCCAGCAGAAGAAGCTGTTCCGCTCGATTTCGAGGTTCCTCAGTGGCGGGCGTAGTCGACCCAAGCTAGCGCCCGAGTCGAGCCCGGGCTCACGTACGACCGTCCCCGCCGCCGTCGCGCCGAACCAACGAACGAATGCCCCACCTCCACATGCCACCGCCGCAGGCACATCATCCCCCGCTTCCGCAACTGGACCCCGCACCTCCGGAACGGATAGTGCTCAGTCCAGTCCGCGTGCGAACAATGGTGCAGCCACGAGCAGTGCACCGTATGTCGACCACGTGCCCATGGAGTACGTCGGACGAGGCGCAGCAGCGGGACCACCCCCGGCCTTGGGCGCCCGCACGAGTCAAATCACCGCCAGTTCGGGAGGCTACGACGAAGAGGACGAGCTATATCCGCATTCGAGACGGTCCATGATCTCGTCCGATGCTCCAACGCGCCACTACGACGATGACGATGACGACGAGACCGACAACTACTCGGTCGGCGCCGACACGGACGCTTCGATTCGACCCATCTCACCAGCATCTTACGCCCCGTCCTCGATCGCCTCGTCCTCTTTCGCGCCGACGCATGCGACACATCGAAGCTCGACATCGACAAAGCCGACGACCCATCTGTCGATCGACTCGGGGGGAGCAAACCGCATCGCCGTCGTGCCTGGGACGGGCATGCTCTTCTCCGGCACCCCAGCCCATGCGGGTCTCTTGTCGGCAACAGCGCCTTCCTCGAGTCCCTTGGCGAGCGTACCACCTGTGAATGCTCCTCAACCCGGCGACACGGTGCAGGACGAGCAGAGCACGATCTCAGCCGCCACCTCGGCCGGTCCCTCGACGCCGACTCGGGAGATTGCCGAGCCTTCCCTGACCCATCTGGCTCCTAAAGGATCTCTGGCACCCCACGACGCGTCGATTCTAGGTGCTACTCACGCGTCCAACGTCCCCGGTCATACGCTCGCTCACCCTCGCAACAACCCTCACCCGAACGGACCCCCACCGGACAACGCCTCTATGATCACGCTCGCTTCCTCTTCTTTCGCACCTTCCGTCTTTGCGCGCGGGCCGGCGTCCCCGTCCATGCATGCCGTCTCGGGGATCCAGAGGATATGGAAGGAGGGAGGTGGAGCACCCTCGGCCTCGGGCGTCACCGCCGATGAAGATGCTTCCGTGCGAGCGCTGGCGCCGAGTCGGAGAGCCAGCGACGAATCTTTAGGCAGTCGCAGTACGTGGTCGGCTGCGGTCGGGCGAGTCGGACTTGGCGGCCCCGCACTTTCCATCAAGGGTCGAACGCCGAGCATCAGGACGACAGGAACCGGTGCCGAAGACCTCGAGTCGGCCGGGCCGGACATTGAGACCGAGGCGCAGAAGGTCGTTCGAAGGGAAGGCGCGAGGAACGATGCTGTCGTGGCCAAGTTCGACTCGTTGTCAGCGGCGAATGCAGGTGATGCGGGATCCGTTCGATCCGCACCGTTCATGCTTGGTTCGGGTGGTCTGAGTCGATACCTTTCTGCGTCCGACTCGGTCAAACGCGGATCACCTTCGATCTCATCGTCGTTGCGCGGGATCGCGCCGGCGCCTAGCGAGAAGGGTTTCGGCGATGATGAGGACGACGTCGGCTCTTATGTCGGCACCGAAAGGGACGATGAGGATGCCACAACGACGGGGGAGGGGGAAGAGGCTGACGAGAGAGAGTTGCCCAGTCACGCTGCTGCGGAACCGGATACCATAATATCTACCATGCCGGAGGAGGCTCACACGGATCATGTCAACAACCAGGCCAGCGAGACTAATGGACAAAGACGACAATCACTGTTACTGTCGACGAAACTCGGAACACCGAGACCGGGGGAAGCTGAATTGGTCACGCCGAGGGTCGAGAAAGGAGGCGCCTTTTGGAGGGGCGATGTCGTCGTGCCATCGTGAAGACAGAGGAGCGTGGTCCCTCTATCTCTTCCTTGATTTGCCAAGACCAGATCGTGTTTCTTCTTGTAATTGAACACTTGGTGTTCCATGTTCATGTGCGACTTCGTGAATCAGCAATCGAGTGAAGACTGCATCGTAGTAATTGGTCAGGATATGATATTCTCAAAGAGTGAAGACGCGTTTATATTAAATACAATACTCGACCGATCCACTACACTACATCAAGATGAAGATGATAAGGATACGAACGATCAGGGAGACCGCCGTGCCTCGTGAAACAGGACGGTGCGAGCAGAGTCCACAGAGCTAGTGGTACAACACCCAGAAGTACAACAGCTGAACTTTCGTGTTAGAAAGACGGTCCTCCTAAGCTTGTTGGACCATCGTTGGCTCGAGGGTCGTCGACGTTGGCAGGACATACTGCAGCCCATCCGGTACGACCCTAGCGTCGATACCGGCTCCCGTCGGCGATCGCCCCCTCGCATCTTGGGTTGGGTAAGGCGTGCGAAGGTTGTTGTTGGACCTCACTTTCCTCGCCAGACTGGCGTTCGAGCCTCGTCGCTCGATCATCGGTCCAGATTGGGGACCAGCGCCTCCTAACCATTGGCCCTGATCGGGTGAGGAAGTTGCAGGCGCGGGAATGGAACCCGTGGGTGCCATCGAGTAGGCAGGGTCAATGCCGCCACTTCGTTCAGGAATCGAGTGGAGAGATCCACGCCTTCCGTACGCTGCTCGATCGACCGTGGGAAAGTAGTTCACCGCGGGCGTCGTCTGAGGCCATGCGCCATAGACATATTCCGTCGTCGGAACGGAGGACGGGGCAAAAGCCGGTGCAGCGTACGCGGTGCGAACGTCGGCGCCGACGGGCGATTGCGGCGCCGCGATACCCCCGATACGCGTCGGCGACGTCACGACGTTCGCGTTGGACCCGTTAGCAAGGTTCAGCGTCGCGTCAAAAGCTTGATCTAGTGCTTGCACGGAGCCGCGATGTTCGGCCAGTCGGGAGTTGTTGGCAAGCTGGGGGTCGAGGGGGAGATTGAAAGATGAGGTCGAGGGGTGGTGGTGCGAAGCGATCGAGTACGTGTCGGCTATGTCCTCGTGCAGGTCCGAGCCCTCGTCGTCATCGCGTCGACTGATGTAGTCGTACTCGCGATACACGTGCGTGAGCTGAGGATCGATAGGGGGTGTCGCGTAGGGCAACGAGTGGTGGCCCTCTGCGGCACTGTGATAACTGTTCTGCGTTCCTGCCCCATCGTAGGCGGGCAAGGAGAACCGTTGTGGTGCCTGCGATGTGACGTATCCTTGTTCCGTCACGCCGTCGGTCAAGCCGGCCGGGAGCGCATCGAGAGGGGATTGATTCCGGAGCGATGTTGGGGTCGGATACCCTCCTCGGCCCGTCGGTTGACCGTACACGTTCGTCGAGGCGTGCGCAGGAAGAGCGGTCGCATAGATGGGCCCACTCGTAGATGGCGGCCGCCCGGATGGGTCGTAGTAACCATCGGGTGGGGACTGCGAGCTCTTACGATTCGGGGCGTAGTGAGCAGCGCGGGAATCGAAGCCGTAGTCGGGCTGGTGAGCGTAATCGCCACCATTCGCTGCGTAGCTCTCATAGTACGCGCCGTGCTCCTGCGCGTTCTGGCCGTTGGCGTGCGCCCAGTATTGCTGCTCTCCTGTGCTCGCATCCTCCGGGTGCACTCGTGCCGATCCGTCGACCGACGCAGGGTCGATTCCGTCCTTCACGGCCTTCTCACGCAGCTTCTTGATTTTGGCGCGACGATTTTGGAACTACAACAGAAATGCATAAGCGCCAAGGCCCCGAACGCAAAGTATATGGTGCGATGCTCGAACTTACCCAAACTTGTACTTCTCGAGGGGTCATCTCGAGTTGTTCCGACAGCGCCTTACGAACATTGACATCAGGCTTGGGGTTTCGCCCAAAGTGGTGCTCGAGAACCTTGAGCTGCTGCGGTGATGTCCGTCGTCGGTGTTTGACACTGTCAAGCCCATAGCGCGCACAAAAGTCAGCAATCAGATCGGCGTTGTTCACCATAAATTACCTTGATCAGCACTTACCGAAGGGGATCGTAGCTGGCCGGGTCGTCATCACCATCTGGCTTGTCGTCATGGTTCATCTCTACTTCTTCTCCCGGTGTTTGTGTTCGACGAGAGCCCGACGCCGATCCAGCGGTACTGCCGGCTCCACTATTGGGAGACGCTTGCGAGGACGCAAACTTTACGCCGTTCATTTGCTGTGTAGCCTCAGAGGCGAGGTACTGAGATTGGTGATTCGGGTAGCTCTGGTGGAACCCTGGAATTGAGGTGCCGGTAGGAAATGAGCCCGGTTGCGATTCGAGGTAGTGGGGTTCCGACGCTTGGACAGAGTGGAGCGACGCCGAGGTTGAGGAAGGTTGCAGATATACAGGAGGTGAGATTGAAAATGCAGAGCTCATGGCTGTGCAACCCAAGCAAGGTGCCGCGGACGGCAGAGGAGTGGAAAGTGAATTGTGCTCGACGAAGCGAATGGTAGCGGTGTGAAGTGTCAGCCTTAACCTTCTGAACGATAACAGGCAGTGGATCCCCATCCACGGACAAGCTGCGACGGTAGATGAGCAACGCAACCCCGGTCTCGCGTCGATGGGCCTGTTTGCAAGGTCCACCGCGCCCCCGGGACCCGGACAGGGCGCCAACGCGCCAACCCCTCTCGCCGCCCCGCGCCCGCGAGAGCAATCCACGACTGAGATCAACGGGTCCCAAGAACGCGTCGTTGCGAATGCAGCAGGTCGACCACACAAGGGCTCTAACCGGGAGTCCACGTCAATACCAAAACCCTGCATAAAACACCGCACGACGCTTATCACCGACATTGGGTGCAACACCCGACGGTCGGGATCGGTGGGTTTGGGCGCGCGCGCCGTGCGCCAGAAAGCTGAGGCGACTTCCGGTCCGATGCGAGTCGAAACCCACCGACTCGCGCGAGCGACCAAATGCTGATCGAAATAGACCTGGCTCGGGGAAGAACAGCCCAAGAGTTGCCAAAAACTCACCAGGTTCACGGAAAAAATGTGACCGGAAGTCGTTCCTCAAGTGGAACAGCGGCAGGATTCACGAGGCCAGTGCAGATCCCGAAGGTTGTACGTCTCAAAGAAAGGTTTCAGTTGCGGTGGTGGGGCGACCCGTTGGACGGCAGCGCGTGGGGCGCCGAACGGTGGGCGATCGGGCCTAGTGCGCGTAGCCTCGCAAGTGATCGCTTTGGTCCCCAAGTCGACTCAGGGGCGACCCTTGGAGGGTGTGAATAGACGGAGCGGCTGAGGAAACGACGGTGGGTGCTGCTGCAGGTGTCGACTAGGCCGCGTACAGAGGTAGCGCACACGAGTCGTTACGCGATCGCGGCAATCGGCGAGAGAAAGTGGCGGTCCTGAGCCCGTCGCCGTCGGAGTACAAGTGGAGCGGCCCTCTGCGGGCAGGGCGGCTTCGGAGCACTGGGCAGTGTCGGACTCGACTGGGGGTTTCGACGGTGGGTCGTCGATACGGAGCTCCGAGGGACCGTGAAGGAGGTCGGAGTCGATGCAAGGAGAGAGGTGGTCGAGTGCCGTCGACTCTGTGCGTGGGTGGGTGCAACCCAAAAGTGGTGCAGTCGATATGGGGGGAGATGAAGCAGTGAGCCTGAGTCGAGGACTGGGTCGGCTTTCGGGGCGTGGGCGAGGAACCAGGATCTCGCTCGGGAAGGGGGAGGGGAGGTGCCTGTGCACACGATTTGAGTCTGACGAACGCAGGCGCCGACAGGTCGAACGGCGGGCCAATTGGATGCAAAATCCTTTCAAGTTCAGCGGGTGCCTATGTTGTGAGCCCGCGGAACATGGGTGAGACTTTGCGAGTCGGAATCCGAAAAGGAAGCATCGAGCGAGCTTCCTTGAGTTCGGAGACCTGCTCCAACAGGCCCAGACAAGAACGGCGGGTTCGGAGACGAACAAAATTTGAGCCCAGCCGAGCGTCGAGATCCCGCCTCGGTCTAGGCCCCACCGCGCGTTGGCCATCGCCAAACAGCCTGCGCAGCGCAGGCCAGACCGCCGCGGTCCTGCCCAACTCGCTGTGCATCAGATTCGGCTGGGAAGTGGCACCAAGTCCGACCGCACGACTGCAAGAAAATTCGTAGTTAGGGTAAGCAGGTACGCACTTGTCATTAATAGACCCATGAAAATTATACAGTGGTGCCCAGGCGTCTGTGCCACGGTTCAGGCGGTGTTCAAAGCACCTGCCGGTCAGATCTCCTTGTAAGGCTCGGTTGCCTTACGCTATTTGACTACCCTTCTGATTTCAATATACATCTATTGAAATCGTCAGTCTTTTGGACCGTGTAACCTAGTCGTGAAGGGCCTGGTGTATTACACTCCTGACCGACCGACGATGACGCTCGTGAGTCGTGAGCCCCCGCTCCGCACTACGTGAATCGCGCTTCCCGCAAGTGGTAGCTCAAAACAAGCCTCGCCGCCTACCAAGAAACCCCGTGGAAGATCTGTTCCCCAGTTAGCCTGCTGATCTCAGTGCCTAGGTAAACTACACGGGCCCCGAAGGAGGTAGAAGCTGACTCGGCGAAAATGCCCGCCCGATGTCTCATGCTGAATGACTTCCGCAACGCTTTGTGGTAAGACTTGCGCTAGATCTTTGATGTACGAAAGAGTGCCCTTCAACACTGTTGTACGGGTGCATTATCACCCTACATCCTGCTATGACTTTGAACCCGTTCTTGGGCACAAAACCGATCGATCAACGAGCTCTTGTGACCCCTGAATGCAAGGCTAATAGGTATTCTCACTAGGAAGCGTTATAGTTATTTCCTCAAGCGAATACCTGTAAAGCACACAAAACAGACAACTGGAATGATCTCTTCCTAGTCACTATAAGAATCCGGGGCCCGGTGGCACGTAGGCAGAGAGGTACTGTGCAACGCGCGCCCGCGGTCGGTCGGCAGGCTGGTACTAGAATATCCTGGACACGACGGGGACGTCGCCGCGGCCTCGGCAATGCGGTACTGCTTGGTACCTAGGTATCGCTCAGTTTTCATACGTAGTCGTAACTCGTAAGCGAGTAACCTGGTACCTTGTGCCCGCGTGGGCTCCATGTGAAACGGGTACCTTGCACGGGGAACAGTCGAACCCGCACGCGATGGGTACCTGACGAACTGCCTCCTCAGACTTGCTGATGCCGAAAGCTCGAACCTGACCGCTTTGGCGTCGCACTTACTTATACTTCAAGCTGATCCGGTTCGGTTAATGTGATCGGTCAAGAACCCCCAAGAACTTTCTTAACGGCGAGCAACAACTCTACGTCAGGTAGTTTTCCGGCGGTGACAGGGGTCACGTCGGAGGGCACGAGCTGAATCCGTGATCCGTGCGGCGTGCGCGCGCCTGGCGCCGTCGATCGTCAAGTGACAGAAGCCGCCGAGCGGCACTCCATATGCACTTCTGTTCCGTTTCAATTTCTGAAAGCTTCCGAGTTCGAATTCCAAGGACAAGACATCGCACAGCACGGGTTCCCAGCCCAGTCAACACTCTCCAAGAAATCGTGAGACCACTCCATGAGTACCTACATCTCCGTGTAGCGACGCGGCGGGTTCAAAAATGACCTCGATCCTCAAAGGATATGGCTCGGGGCCCGGGGGGCATGATTAGCAGCCCTAGCCCAACATAGCTCAGCCTCGGCGCGCACCTTATGGCTCCCTAGGCTTACCCACGCCGGTCTCATCTGTGACGTGCATGTTGCAGGCCCTCTTGTTCTCTTCTGGGGAATCAGCATCGTGCTTTAGCCACCAACTCCTTTTGTGAGGGAAAGGTCTCCGGTCTGTGATGATTTTTCAACTTGCCTCTTGGCTGAGGGATCTTCCGCTCCTTCCATGGGCTCGTACTCGAACGAAGCCGATTCCGCACCACCAACGACGAGGACTTCCCTGTGCCAAGTACCTGCTGTGGCACTACTCGCAGTGCGTGATGACCCACATACGCGCCATCGCCGTCGCCGAGTGAGCACGATCCGCAACGCCCGTGCGCAGATGCGGATGCTGACTTTACTAGCCTACGGCTACCCTTCAGGCCTCGGCCCGTGCACCCTGTAGATTAATTCGTCGCCCTTCCTCCCTCTGATGCCGCGTCTCTGTAATTTCGCCGCTTTAGCGCTCAGTTCTTCGTGTTCCTCTGCAATCCGCAATTTTGTCCGGTCCATTTCACTACGTAGTACTAGACTCGATTGCTCGGACCATCTATGATGATGAGCTCGATCTAGAGAAAAAGCGGTGCCCGGCTGCCCCGTCTTTCATAGATTCGATACGTCCTGTTCTCGTCTTCTGAGTCGTGGCGGTCCCAACTTCGTCGAACGAGGTCCGCCGTGAGGCCACGAGGGGCCTCATGTGGGGCGGCGCCCTTTTGACGGTGGACGGAGCTGTGGCCTTCGGCCCTAGATTTAGGGCAAACAACCCAAGTCCACTTGCACTACGGATAGGGGAAAGAACTCTAGCATATTTCCCATGCAATTTGAGAGGTGTACCATTGACCTTGTATAGGTTGCCGAACAGTGAAATGTAATGTTGGGGCCGGAAGTTATGAAATGGACGATACCCCTTTAAAAAGTGATGTTGAAGCCGACCAAGCTCGAGCCCACATCACCTCATAAGCCTAGATTCACGGCACGGCGACAGCTCTTCCACGTTACCAGTCGTCTCGCGATCCTCTGAAGCAAGCGATATCTTCCTTTTGGGATTCAAGCAGGATCAATGTTGTCGTCCTGGTCGTCACGACCAACGATCGGCGAGCGAGCGAGCTTGTCTCTCGGGTCGTCGGCCGGGTCGCGGGCTGGGAAGGTGGAATTTTAAACGGCCGGATTGCGAGTGGTCTAACGAAACGAGGCGCACCAGACAGAACACCCATAGCCTGCAAAAGGGATCGCCAATAAGTACCCATCATGAATCCCCCATTCCACCTCAGTCATGCCCAAACTCCGAGCCAGAGCCCCCAGCTAGATCGTAACTAGCTCATGAATCAACACGAACTCGTCAGATCAAGAACACCTTTTTGTTCAGTCACGAGAGCCAAGTGGTGGGTGTCAATGGAATACACCTCGAAGCCATCTGGTTGATCAGGTAGGCACAGAAAGGTGCACCTAAGTTCGAGACGAACGCGTCGTTATAACCGCTGCTCGATCACAGAGCGAAGTTGCCCGCGACTTTACTCCGCCATAACTCTGCATAGATGCGCCGTCGGTTCTGGCCCATCTTTAAGAGCACCTGCGCTTCGTTACGCAGCTTGAGTGCACGCAGGAAGTGGCTGCAAGTAGGAGCACGATCAGCCTTTACTCCGCCTTCAACCACCTTTTGCTCAATGTTGAAAGCCTACCTTAATGACCGCATCAAAGTTGGGCTCAAAGAAGAAGAGAATGCTGTTCGGTGTCCAACCGGGGGTCCGAAAAAATTTGCGCAGTCCCGGAATGTCAGCCCACGAAATCACCTGTGAAGATTCAAGACGCGTCACAAGTCAAGACTCACGAGATGCGATAGTTGGGGCTTTCATGTAGGACCCGATGTATTGTCGCTTTGTACAGGCCCGCGCTCCAGATCTCCCACATGGAACCAATACTGCACAGAGCGCAAGAAACGATAACCGCTTCGGAGCGTCAACACCGACATCGCGCGATCTGAACGCACAGGAGGCCTCACTTCACCACAAAGGCGTCTTGTATAGGATCAGCTGGGATCCAGCTTTCTCGCACACCGTTCTCCTCGCTCGCACCCTGTTCCGAAGGCAGGAAGACTTGCAGGGCCCCGGGAGTCGAGTCGGTGTGCAGCAGGGTGTAGCAGCCTATTTTCCGAGCCGCGTAGAGGTGGTCAATAAGAGCGGCGGTAGAGCGAATCTGTCCGTGACGAGAGAAGGGACAATACTGACCATAATCTGTTGATAATGAAACAGGTCAGACAAGGTGCGATCATGCTTCCAAATCAATATGTTGATGAAACTGACTCTTGTGAGCACCTCACGAGACGCCTTTGGCGTCCTTGGGAAGAGGAGGATAGCCGATGCATCTGTTGATGTATATGTGGACCACGAATGTCGGTCGCAAGCCCTTGGAACATCCCCACGACGTCTCCGGCCGCCGCTCTCACCTCATCACCCAGAAACTCTCGTCCACGGACGCTCGGAGGTGCTTCCACTCGTCGCTATCGAGGGCCATGCCCAGTCCAAGTGCGGTGGCTTGCATCAAGGCCATACCGATGATCTGACATTTTTCGATCCACCTTTCAAGCGTGGGACGGAAGTTGGCGGGCTCGACCGGCCACGGGTTGTGGCCGTGCAGCAGCTTGGTCGCATCAGGATTCTTGACTGGCCGATCTGAAACAGAAACGTAACTTGCGGTCAAAAGGTGACTCCTAGAACGTGGAGGACGCCAGACTCACAGAGATCGTACCCCTCGTGGTGATTAGCTAGTGTTGAACGAGGAGAATGGCAAGAGTCAGGTTGCGGCGTTTAAGGCCCGGGCTGCACCGCTAATATGTGGGGGTCACGCGGTCACAGCCCGCGCAGCTGCTCCGTCGGACCCCGCGCTACGCCAACCGAGGCGCAGTACATGGGCCAGAAAGACCACCGAAGCCACACGGTAGTGGCTTTTATGCCTAACCTTGGTACTGCGTGACGTTCTCGCCCAGCTTCTGCCACCCTCTCGCGCCGTCGCCGCCCTTGTCGATCCGCACGCGTTGCTTAATTGGCTCTGGCAAATCAAAGAACTGGCGTGCGACTGCGAGCGAGCTTTGTCTTTCTTCGCGACTGATCACCGAGTCGAGGCCGGTAACGTAGAAGAAGCCATAGTCTCGACAAGCGGCGTGGATTGACGCAGCTACCGCACTTTGCCGGGATGTGCGGTCCGGGTCCGATGCCGCGGAGGAGTGAGAGTCGCCTGCGACCACACCGACCGAGATCGAAGTGGTGTGGAAGGACCGGGTGACTTGACAGGTAGGAGCTGTGAGCGAGTGAAGCAACGATCGAAGCATTCGGCAGGAAGGCAACGAGCTGACCCCGCGGCGCCCGGCTATTTAAGCTTTTAAGGCCGACGAATCCCCGACCTCAGTGCGTCACAAATGATCAGGTATACACCTGCAAAGTTTGCAATCACAGCAGAATCAACGGGATGCTATTAAGAAGTACTGCAATTATATTGTAAACTGCCTTCCAAACTGTCCATGTCATGCAATGTACAGTGATGCAAAACAAATGTCCGTTTACTGCGCTGCCAGAGGTAGATTAATCGTGATGGACAGGGTCCTAGTCACTGAATTGGAAGGCGGCACTGAGGAACGAGTCATAGCTTGACTCGAGCCCAGGATCGGCGTTCAGTCGTAGGGCCCTGTGAAGGATGTAGTTGTTTATATCAGCATGGGGGCTGGTGGGATTGCTGAGAGTGCAACTCACCGAAGTAAAATTCGGGCCGGTTGACCCGTGGCGAGCTGCTTCGGCAGGCTGCTAGCCCCTAATGAATCAAGAGTGGCCGGCGGGATCCCACCATTGAAGCTGATTTGCCGGTCATTGGTTGGCAAATGGTCCCGATCGAGGAGGTCGGTCGTATATATCCGACCCAGAGTGGAGGTTGCGTCGAAAGGTCGTCTATCCTGAGAGGGTTGCTGAGAGGAGCCTGAAAGCCTGGTCGCGGACGCTGGTAATCGTCGACCGGGAACGATCGAATATTGAGTCGTGTTGGCAGAAACGAGGTCAACATAAAGCGCCCGAGTTGGCACTGGGGAGTAGAAGGTTTGTTGGGATCATCTGAAAGGACTGAAAACACAGGAGCCTAGACTCACGAAGCAGCCGATAGACGATCGTCAGCCCATCCGATCGCTTGCAAGTCGTGACATTCGATCCTTGGCCCCGCCCCAACACAAGAGCATTCGACGAAGGATATCCTACAGACACGAAGGGGTACCTCAAACCCTCCGAGCCATATCGCGAAGTGCTGGCCAAGCTAGTGCTAAGCACGGGTGCGTCGGCCAACTTAGCCGCGAGACCAAAATAAGGCACTTGGAAACGTTGCTGAGATGGGTCGTCACCTTGGATCGAGATCGTTCCGCTGTAGAAGGGAAAGTGGTTGCTGTAGAGCGAGCTGGAGGTGATGGTGACTTGGAAAGATGCGGACCCGGCAGCAGGCACGGTGAGCTTCGTCGGGCTGAAAGAGACTCGCGCCGACTTGACCAAGCATGGAGGCGAGGCAGGAATCAAGCTGTCGGAACTGACGCTCTGTGGAAATCAGAAGTGTGTTTGACGAAGTTGCTCTCCTCCTCAAAGTTTAGAAACGCTGAATAATTACTTCATTGAAGAGTGCCAAAGTTTCTGCCGGTAGGTTCTTGAAGACGTACGTCACTGCCCGTAAATTGTGATTCGTGAGCTTGATCGATCTCGTCCGTTCATGGCTGGAGGAGTCGTTCATAGCCAGAAAGTAAGGCTCGACCAGCGTTTTTGCGTCGAATACGTGTGGTGCCGAGACAAGACCGCCTCCTTGGACGAGCACCGAAGCTGGTCGACCATCGCCCTTCGTGCTGCCACCCATCACGGACTTGGCGGTCGTCGCGAGCAGCGCTCTGAGCTGGTCCGAGCTGAGCCCCTTTGTCGACGGGGAGGAGAGCAAGAGCGCTGTTACACCGGCGACGAAAGGGGTACTCATGCTTGTTCCCGAAATGATACCGATCGACCCCATGCTCATGGGGAAGGTGGAAAGGATCGATCCACCAGGAGCGACGATGTGGGTTCCGGGACTGGCGAGCGAATTGGAAGGGCCGTGGGACGAGTAGGCCGAGATGAGGCCCCCTGTGCTAGGGTTTGGAAGTGGCGCGAGCGGCATGCGCGTTCGGAAGTTGACACGAAGACTCGGATCGGTTTTGTAGTACGAGAGCAAGCGTAGACCATCGTCCTTGGACATGCCAAGAAAATACGTCCCTTGGTCAATTCCAGGAACGTAGAACGATGCGGCTGCCGCCGGGCTGTTTGCAATGTCGTGGACGATGACGTAGCGGGCGTTGCGAGCAGTTAGATGAATTTGTAACGATGTCAAATCACATTGCGGTGTCAACTGCACCACGGTGATCTTTTGAGATAGATCTTGAATGGTCGCGGGAAGAGAGGCGCACGCGGGGTTGTTCAGGTCAAGCTTTTCACTCTGCGTCACGAAGTAGAGCGGCATCGAGTCGTTGAGCATGATCGGCAATACAGAGAGGTACCCCACCGGTTTGAGGCTCGAATTGTCGAAACTGAGGGGGAAGACGCGGGCGAACGCAGTGACATCGACCGATCCCACCGAGAGAACGCTCGAGACGATCGCGGGATCTTGTGCCGAGAACAAGCCGGCGGCCCCACTATTGCCGCTCGAAGCGAGAAAGATGATCCCTTTGGCAGAGAGACCGTTCATCACCGTCCTTGGAGGGTAGTCATCTCCCCAGTCCGAGTTGCCGGCCTCAAAACTCATACTACCAGTTGGATCACGTCAGTATTTGCTCAGACGCGAAACTACCCCAGCTGCAGGTGAATACTCACGAAATGACCTGGCACCCGTCTGCTTCAGCTCGTAGCATAGCCTGAACGAGAGTATCGTCTTGTCCGCCCTGTTGGCGGCAAGCGAAAATCCTGATGGCATGTGAATGGCGCTTCAGATCTGAACGACTATTGCGTCGAGCGCGGAAAGGCTCATTCTCACCTGTACAGGCCAAGCGTAGCTTCGGGCGCGACACCGAGAAAGCCGTACGGATTCTCGTTGGCTCCGATGATACCCAAGATGTGCGTCGCGTGCTTGTCGCATTCGGTGTATGGGTCATTGCTGGGGCTTTGGCCGTCATCACCAACAAAGTCATAGCCGGTCGTCAACTTGTAGCCGGGACCAAAACCCCCTCCGAGGATCGGGTTCTTGTAGTCGGCCCCTGTACGAAGAATGCCCGATCAGCTCTCTATGAATGATTTCCGAAATACGAGGTGAAGTGTGAATCGTGCGCTCACCAGTATCGATTACGCAGACATGGGTCCCTGAACCACGGGACAGACGATCAGAATTTGTAACAACTCCCGCGGATCAAAGCGCAACGGACCACTCACCTTTACCCTTTACCCCTCGTCTATGCAAGTCATCAACACCACTCATGGCATGAGGAGCAAATACAGTTGTACTTTTATTTGCGAACCCAACGTCCGGCTTTTTCAAGCGTTCGGTCGGATTTTGACGTTTCAGCAGAGTCTTCAGCGGTGCAGGCATCGAGTGCTCGGGATGAGGTATCTTTCCAACAGGGATGACATGCTACATCCCACAAAACGAAGACAGAATATCAACATATGTTTCATACGAGTCCAAAGGAAAGGATGCTGACCTTGACCCCTCGAGTAGCTCCTAACTCCTCGGCCGTAACATTCCCCTTGACGACGACGCTCAATCCTTGAAACCACTCTGAGCGAAGTTGGTGAACGACCTCTACGCCCGTGGGCATCTTGGAAATGATGCGGTCCAACGAGGCGGTGCACGTCGACTGGTTTCGTCATACATACATATGCACCAAGAGAGGAGTCAGTCTCACGCCCCCGCTTTTTCCTTTTTTTTCTGTCCTTCCGTGTCCGGTGACCCTAACGAAAACAACGCGCCCGGGCCGGTCTGAAAGACACCGAAAGGGGCTACCGGCTGTCACGCGCCCCAAACGAGTCACTTCCCAAAGACCTTTGGGAAGTTGAGTGAAAGGCCGAGCAAGTGCCCAAACACTGACCAATTGAACATCAAAAGACGAGTTCGAGGATGCACGTCCTGCTTGTGGTGGAGGGTGTGCGACGATGAAGTATCGATTAGGTGTTGCTCCCGATCCGTTGGCAGCGTCGGATTCTTGAGACGAGTCCGCGGTGACAGCGGCAGCGGCGCGTGCGAGACCGAGAGCCCGGGCCTGCGAGCAGAAATGCGCTAGACTGGCCAGGAGGATGACCACAGTCGGGACAAAAGATCGCATGCGTGCAAGACACGTAGGGTGATGATGAGGGGAAAGGACAGTGGATGAAGGGGGAAATGACCTTGCGGAAGGGTAGCGTATCGTATCGGAAAAGCTGAGTACGGGTCTGACGGGCGCCGGGTAGATCAACATGGAGGTCAAGCGAAGTCGCGACGCGTTGCGACGCCTCGGCGAAGGTTGCCGACCGGCTCTCGAAGCTCGCTAAATTCTAGTCAAAGCCTCGGGACACACTAGGCAACGGATGTTCTCAAAAACCAGTGGGAACCCGTTAAATTAACGGGAGGATGAAATTCAAAAAATAGCAGGATAATCGAACAGTCTACATGATATCAGCGCAGAGGTTAAGAAAACACAATACGAAGTACAGCAAAGAAACAAAATCTATTCATCTTACATTCATCGCCGAAACAGCCTGCATGTCGCTTGTTGCCGGGCTTGGCTTCAAACACTCGTGCAATGAGATCCGGACGGTTGCATGCTTTATCGGCCCCAGTGCAGCCTTGATTTCCGGTGAGTCGGGGTCGTACGTCATCGTGATGAGCAGCGGAGGCTTTCCATGTTTGACAACGCACGCCATCGCATCCTGGTATCGCTGCGTGATGTCGCGATTTGGTTCGGGGTCAAGCCGTTGATGCCTTGGGTCGTGGTGAGGTGTAGGTTCTCTTGATGCAACCGGATGTGTTGAGTCAATCGATCTTGACTTGGGAGTACATCCGTAAATCACAAACTCCAGGAAGGGACGTTGGGTGCAATGCGGGATTGAGAAGTACTTGTCGCCTTCGGCAAGTAGTGCGCAAAGAATTGTGAACGCGAGACTCGCCACCTCGACCTCGACCCCTTTACTTGACCTTCGTCCTAGGTGTTCAAAAGTTCAATGTCAGTCTGTGCTTGCGCCTTAGACAGAATGGAACATCCGAGAAAGAGCCGAAGACGCGTACGTTCACCATCACCATTCTCTTCGTCCCCTTCCTCGCCGTCTTCATCCTCATCGTCGCGGTCTTCGTCCTCCTGTACGTCTTCGTCATCCAGACCGAGACCGGCAAGTACCTCGCGCAATTGGACACCATTGTCGATCTGCTCTCGGTTTCTGGCGATTGGCGGCCCGGCTTGGTGGAACCCGCAAAGAGGAATGTTGGGGTGGAAGCCATCTTCCCCTGCAGGAAAAAGTAGTGGGTAACGGAGAGGCATCGCGGACGGATGGAGCGAGCTAACGACTTGGTATTTGGGCCGACCCTCGGGACATCGATCACCGTGCACCTGGAGAATAAGGTCTTGACGTCCATGATCTCCCGTGTTGGTGTCGGAATCGCAGATGAGTATCGCCATTTCCGTGCTCGACGTAGGAAGGTTGTGGGTGCGTCGGTCTCAGCCTGGCGGGAGGCAGAGGCGCAGGATCCATTATTTGGCCGTATCCCAACCTGCACGAGCTTTGGTCAACGCAAACAGCCTCACAAAGCGATTGTTGGTACGCAACTTGGACTCGAGCTTGGTCAACGTAGATCTTTGTATGCGACGGTCTGGGCCGTTGGGTCCAAGTCGAGTGTCGGTGGCCTCGACCGGGTCGATGAGCCATGTCTGAGCAAAGGCTGGGCGTTGATTCACGGCGGGGATCAGGGCACCGAGTCGATGATAGAGGTGACCGAACACGCGAACACGGGGGTCCTAAAGTGCCGAGTCGTATCTGGTCGAAGTGAGCAGCAAGCGAAGTGAAAGACAGCGCGTTGTTGTACGACCGGGCATTCTCGCGGAACGCCGGAATGCCTTAGCTTCTGTGTAGGTGGGTCGCACAGTTCAGCATGTGGGCCTACTACAGACGAATGTCGTTGGACGGAGCAACTGACCGCTATCCGAGCCTTCAAGTAGCTATTGATACTCGGGATTGGGCCGGAGAGAGGAGGTAGCTGCACCTTACCCTGCAAGCAGCACGTGCTGAAGTGTCCGGTTCGTCCTTTGCACTCCCAGTGTCGAGCCTTGCAGTGGGCACACACGGCCATCTGGGGCCGAGGTAGTCGCGGATGGGAACGTGGGGCTTGAGTGGTTTGAGCTCGATTCGAGGCCTTCGCACTTGCATCTGCGCAGGAAGAGGTGGTGGTGGGGCGAGCTCAGCGTCGGATCGGCCATCGGGTCCTCGCGCTGACCACGCTGTTCGTTCTACAAAGCTGTACGGCGGACGCTTATACGGGTCGTAATATCAAGATCGGTCGAGTGGTTGTCATCACGCGCGGGGAGCTGATTCTGTTGATGGGAGCGGGACGAAGAGGAGAGTCGAGCAGCGGGCCCTCGAGCAACCTCGAGCAGTAGGACGGTACGCTATCGTACGGCGCTACCCTCGCGCCAAAGACTTGGCGCGGTTGTCACGAAAATTCGATGAGAGCGAGAGTCAAGAAGCTGACGCCAGGGGCAGGTAGATGGATCTTATTGCAAATGTCCTTATGAAGCGTGGTCGCCGTCAATTTAGCGGCGAAAGTTTTTCCTGCGAGCGAGCTCGCTTGTGATCTTCGCCATGCCTTCGATGTAAGCTCTATGTGTGGCAACATTCTGCGCTCCTTCGCACGATATCCTCGATGCGGCGCGGAAATAGTAGTACAACATTCATCCCTTTCTCGCTTGCTATGTACAGATCTTCGCCTTTACCGGGACTTCACCTCCTCTCCCGAGCTCGCGCTATCTTTTCTTCCAAGAGTTGTCGCTCGCTCCTGACGTCATCGTCGCGCCCCGTATCCGGCGGAAGCTGTTGTAGCTTAACCATCAACAGTCTCTCGTATTCCTCCTGATCCAGTTTCTTGACCGGGCTCCATCGGGCCAAAGTCGTTTGGAAGGACCAGTAGGATCCCGTTAAATTAACGGGAATATAATTCCAAATAGCAGGAGAATTGAACGGTATTATGACGAAAGACAGCAGAGAAACTATTTTTCACTCATCGCGGCCAAGACTTGGCGAGGTTGCGATGGCCCTCCTTAGCGACCTTAGGACCGGGACATAGTGGCGAGGATTTCTCCTTGAATGAGTGTCACAAAATTCGATGAGAGTGGGAGAGAAAAAGAAAAGGTTAGAGGGAGTGGCGCGGGTTTGTTCACGGGGCGTGATTTGTTGTTCAGCACCTAATGCCGCTGGTCGGCTGCCGGAACGACACTGACACCGCTGGCGCGCCGCATCACGTGACAGACGCCAGCCCTCGCCCCGCCCGTCGGGCGGAGCTCTGCTGTAGAAGCATTGTCATACAAAGCCACGCGCTTGCCGCCCATTAAATACAATATAAGTGCTCGCAGTGTTTTAGGTCAACGAAAAAGTGAAGGAAAATACTGGGAACGCTGTAGCTTCGTTCGACTGGCGCGAAAAATACAAAAGGTGCCACAGAGCTTGTACATGACATCTGATCGGAACATGGACACCACGGGCAGGTGCGGCAGACACAACAGTATGCTGGTACACCCACCACAGGCGGCCCGGAGGGCCTCCACCTAGTTAAAAACAGTGATTTTAGGTACATTCCTTAACTCACCTTTTTTTATATATAGAGGTAGTAAGGTAGTAATGTCCAGGCCGAACTGAACAGGCGATCGGATCACGCGGCAAAGGTTTCCGTCTTTGGGGTCCCGAGTGGTCGAAGAGTTGGGGTACTGCGCGTAATAGTCGTTCCTGTCGGGTGATGTTTGGTGGACTGAAACCGATGTCGTTGACGAGGGTGTCGCGGGTGTCGCGGGCACGGCTGGTGATGTTGTAGGGGCTGGGGTCGATGGTCGCTCGGACAATACTGAAGCCATCTCCTCGTCGACTAGTCGGGCCCTCTCTCTCAGCTCTGATCTGAGGACCGCCCTGATCCTCAACAATTCGACCTCGTTGAACACGAACTGGAGAGTCGTACATCCCAAACTCAGCGTGACTCCAGCCCGGACGGAAGCTCGACTCGTAGCCCTCATCACGTAAGAGAAGAAGGAACCGGCCGTGAAGCCAGCGAGTGAGGTGGGTAGAAGGTTGTAGAAGTGAGGATTCCACGACGCCGAGGCGTCTGGTCGAGTGGGTCAGGGTGCAGTTGGTTCACGGTCAAGATTGGGATGATGGCATATTCCCGTAGAGCTGTGGGAGCAAGTGGAGGATGTCCAAATGAGACCGTCGCACGAGTAATGGGGTCCCTTATGCGTTCACGGAACTGACTAACGAAGGAAAACGAAAACATGCCCGTGTTGATGGCGGTGGTAAATGCGGCTGGTAGAGCGGGCAGATTCCGAACGACACCTATCGTAGACCCTGTGACTCCTCCCAACAGAGCTGTAGGTCGATCCCGATGCTGCATCAGCTTTCTGAAGGTAAGGGTCAGTGGGGGCCACTCGCTCAGTGACTGACCGAAGGTGGTGGTGCCTTTGAAAACATTCCACGGAGCTGTGGTTATCGTATATTCCATTAGTGTTTTGGGGGGTGCTGGAGTTGCGGATGAGCTTGAAGCGACGGCTGGATCCGAGGAAGCCATTCGTGAAGACAGCCCCGCATGCGACAGCTGCGAAGTAAAGAGCTAGTTTGGGCGTGTGATGCTCTCTAGAGGTAGCGTAGACGTGATCTCGGCTCAGGTTCGTCCCAAAAGTATGGCCTGAAGCTAGAACAGGCGTGGACGGGAGAAGGGCCAGGTGCAGGTCAAAGTGAGAGCTCAACAGCTCTGAGCTGATCTGACGGAAGTTCCGCACAATCCCGGCCGCGCCGAACCTGCCGAACCAGAATGCTCCGCAATGGCCGCATGACGAGCACGATGACGAGCGGAACGTTCCCCGTGTGGTTCGCTCTCTTCCCGTCTAATCTCCGCAATCACAGCTTCAGAATGGAACGTCATGCTTCCCTTTGCACAAGTTGGAGGCCACGCCTCAACCATCACCTCCACCGGATCCATCATCAACAAGCCTTCCTCGGCGCGCGAGAAGGCGTTCTACACCCAGCTCGCTCCCTCGCTCCTGCCCGGGTTCATTGGTGAATGGACACCCGAATTCTATGGTACCCTGTCGCTGCAGGATCAGATGGGTCAGGATGGACAGATCACACCTGCTACTGAGGGCGAACTGGGTACGAAGCCCAAAGAGGTAAGTGGGCTACGCAAGTTGGAAGGCTCGTAGAGAGACGAGTGACAACGACGAGGTGCATGTGGGGGGGGAAGGGGGTTCAGACACTGCTCCCGACGAAACCCGTTCCACTGACCTCTGAGCCTCGTCGGCACCGATGTTGCACTGAATCCTTGCGATAGATGCTCGTATTGGAAAACATAACCTATCGATTCCTCAGACCCCCTTTTTTTTTTGTTTGTAGAAACCGTTCATCATATTGCCCCCAATTCCTGTTCCCCCTGATTGGCCTACGGAAAAACTAGATGGAAGTCGACGATGATAACACAAACCGCCCGCAAGATGCGAGAAACGGGCCAAGTCCACCAATCCGATACTTCGGATTCAAGTGCCCCAGCCAAGCGGTTGCTCCCCCCCAGGAGACGAATGAGAGAGAGAAGAGAAAGAGAGAAAATGAAAAAGAACTGGCGTACTAACGACAAGAGGCCCACCCCGCACCCACTTCCCAACTCGGTCGAGACAAAGACAGGAGAGCGACTGCGCAGCTACCCTGACCCGCGAAGTCCCCAAGTCTATGCTCGGTCACAACAAGACGCGGTGGAGGCCCCTCAAAACCTCCACCTCAGCAGTCCCTGGCCCCTCAAAGCCGACTTTCTGCCTGTGTCTGCTGATCCCTCCCTTGACTCAGAACCCCGAAGCCAAAGAGCGCGAGCCACCGTCGAGTCAATCCCAAATCGCGAGCCGGTCCATGAGCAACGGAGGCAGACCTGTAATAAAAGAAAGAAAGATGAAGAAAATATATTTAGTATACAGTTTTTGTAAGAGGATGTGTGATGTGGGGTGTGTGAGTGTGGGATGGGGGGGGGGGAAATCGAACCCAGCCTCTACTGCCCTCGCCCGCCCCTTGCTCCCCCCGCCCTCAACTTCATCCTCTCCTCCAGTACCACCCTCCACCGCTCCAGGCTTTCCATCCTCGTCCCGTGCTTCTGCATCCTCCATCTCCCACTGCTGATCATCTCCAAGACCATCCCCGTGAAGATCTCGATCGTCCTGCCTGCGCCTTCCTGTTCGCTGAGCTTGGCCTTGAGCTTGGGGAGGCCAAAGAGTCGTTGTAGTGTCGTGTACTCGGCGTCCTCGATCGTGTCGCATCCGAGCGCGTCGCAGAGCACGTCCCTTGCCGCGGTCCAGACGTTCCGCGAGTCGACGCAGCCGAAGAAGTAGTGATCGGTGTCGTCCACCGGCGCTTCGCACACGAGGCACGCGGGAGAAGTGTCATGCTTTTGCTCGTGCTGGAGCTTGCGCGTCGGGGTGAAGCGGAGAATCAGCTTGAACCAAACTTCCCTCTCCCTCGCTGTCAGTGCCTTCGAGTTGACCGCCTTCCAGAAGCTCCTGAGATCGTCTGGCTGCGGTGGTCCCTTGAGCCCGAGCGTGTTGGTGAAAGCCTTCGCGTTCAGGACCCGGCGGATGCGACGGATTGTGTAGGGTCGAGCCATGTTCAGCAGCGTATACTGGCTCGCCTGTTGTGGAAGCACCGGGTCCGGAAGGCGCTGCTCCATTGCGAAGCGGGCCACGGGCTTGGGGATGATCGCCTCGAGCGGTGCGCTGGTGCCGATCCGGGGAGGCACGTTGAGTCGTCCCGCCGCCACCGCCGCCGCCAAGGGTGTGTTCTTGTGTCGATCGACAGTGAACCGGTACCAGGCCGCGATTGCCAGTCGCTGCGGGAGCCCGCGTCGATCGTACTCGCTGTTGTCGCCGAGCACATCCGCCGGCGGCGTCCAGAGGTGAAACCCCCCACCCGCATACAACTCGCGCCGATAGAGATCCGCCACCTTCGGGTAGCCCTGGAGACGAAGGTAGTCAGGTACATGAACCGCGTCGATGGTCTGTCTCCCTCTGATGGGGGTGTGGAGGCTGCCGAGCAGGGTGGGCAGCGCGAGCAGGTTCGCGGTGGTCAAGGCCCTCGGGTTGACCTGCGCGTCGTGAAGTTTCGGAACGCCCAGTGCGGCGTGCCATCGGGGATGAAGGTCGTTGGGGATGGGAGTGGATGGATGTGGCCAGAGATCGGTGGCCAGGTCGAAGTCGGGCTGAGCTCGCTGGAGTGCTGCGCGCGCAAGTCCTTGCCAAATCGCGCCGGAACCGCCGAGAAGAACGTCCCAGAGCCGTGCCGCAACCGCGTCCACAACGTCCCGCATCCTTATCACCCCGAGTCCCCCCTTGTTCTTGGCGGTGAACACAATGTCTCTGCCGTAGCTGGTCCTGCCCTTGCCCCCACGGACGAAATCGACGAGCATGTCATCGAGCTTCTTGACGACTTCGGGCGGCGGGATGTCGGCTGCAAGGAAATGCAGGATCTTGGGAATGGCGTACCGATTGACGTAAAAGGCACGGGTGTGGTGCGTGAGCCAGCGATGCTGAACCGCTTCCAGCGTCGCCTCGAGCCGTTCGATGAGATTCGCGTAGGCGAGTTCGGTGTCGCCGCTGGGGTCGAAGGGGAGGCCGATCCACTCGAGCGACTCGCCTGCGGCCTTGACGACGATTGGCCGTTCCCCAGGGTCCCAGCGACGTCCAATCGGTAGGACGACCGTCTTGTCCGTGTTGAGCCGGCCATTCGTTGCATGCCTCCAGTCGAGCGCCAGGTCATCGAGCAAGTTGAGTGACTCCAAGCCCGCGACGGCGACGACAACGTCATCGGCAAATGCAAGTGATGTAATGGCGCGGCTCTGTGGGTACGGATGAAGTGCAGGTATGGAGAGATTCAGCGCGATGTTTCGACGGTGTAGAGCATCCAGGAACGGCTGAAACACGATGTCCCAGACCGACGATGACGCCGGGTCCCCTTGGCCGAGCCCACACGTCAGTCGCACCGGCGCCGTCAGGAACCCATTGATGATGTAGCGCGCCGAGGTCGAGTCACCCGAGTAGAGCATCCTCAGCACGCGAAGAAAGGTGGTAGGAGCGCCCAGAGCGTCGAAGATGGCAAAGATCCAGTCATGCTCGACGAGGTCGTAGGCGGATGATTGGTCAAGAGACAAGAGCGCGGCCGCGGGGAACTCGGTCCTGCGCGCGCCAAGTTCCTCGATCAGGAGACGAAGGTGTAGTGCAGCGTCGGCCGATCGGCGGTCCTTGACGAAGCCGTGCTGCTGCGGCGGGAGGAGATCGGGCAGAATTTGGTTCAATCGGGCGACGTAGACCTTGGTAAAAATCTTGTAATCGCACTCGCGCAGGGTGATGGGGCGATACGACGAGAGTTCGGCGCGATCGGCATTCTTCTTGTGGCGCTTGAAGATGAGGCGCACGAGTCCCTGGCCCTGCTTGGGAGAGAGTGAACCGCGCTCGATCATCGCGTTGTAGGCCTTGGTCAGCACCTTGGACCACGCCTCCGGTGCGGTCTGATAGAGTTCGTAAGGCACGCCCGACGGGCCCGGCGATCGCCCCGGGTGCGTCGTCCCGATCGCGGCCACGACCTCGTCTTCGGTGATGGGTTGCTGGAGGAGATCAATCTGCGCTTCCGAGAGTCGGCGCAGAAAGAGCGGATCTGAGCGCGGGTCGTCGCAAGTCCGTGCCGCCCTGATCGGCACGAGGAGTTCGTCCCGAAGTCGGTCGACGCGTTCCGGATCACGAGGCTCGATGTGGTAGAGGCGCTGGAAATGCGCCTGCGTGTGGTCAAGAGCGACATCAATGTCATGCGTTAGCTCTCCGTTGCCCAATCGCAGTGCTGTGATCTTGGAGTCCGAGTTCCGCGCCGCGAGCTTGGCGTGGACCGGCCGCGACAGTCGTTCCTCGGAAGCGATCTCGGGGACGTGGGCTCGGATCCGGAGTAGGCGCGCGCGCTCCTCGACCGCCCGCTTGAGTTCCTCGGACGTCCTTGTCCATTCTGCCGTTTCCGCCTCCCCCCATACCGGTAACGCCTCCAGATCCTGCACCCTCCCCACCAAATACTCCATCCGTTCCGTCCGCTCCAGATGCAGCCTCCTCGCCATCTCCCCACCCCTGTCCCTGCACGCCTCCAGAACCTCCTCAAGCTCTCGCACCGGATCCTCCCCGCTTGCCCCTTCCAACCATCCTCCTTCCATCATCCGCTGAAATTCCACCGTCTTGAAGGTTGTGGTATTGATTCGATGTAGTTGGTTGGATGTGGTAGGTAGGCTGAGCTGTGGGAGAGCCGCATCAAGATCGTCTGAGAGAGCCAGTACGATCAAGACCGGTCGGTGATCGGAAAGATCCTTGGGATAGTCGTAGATCGTCGAGGCCTGGTCGAGCCTTTTTTGGTGAGCTCTTTGTAGGAGAAAGTAGTCAAGCCGGGAGAAGGAGTTGGGTCGCTTGCGATTGGGATTAGGTCGAGTGAAAGATGGGGTGATGGGGTGCTTGTAGCGGATGCAGTCCGTGTAGGCCGAGTCGAGCTTGCCCATCAGAATCGGCCAGTGGTGGCCGCGCCGACTTTGGTTCTGCCGATCGACTTCTGGGCGCGGGCAGTCGTTGAGATCGCCGCCAAGGAGTCGGAGGTGGGATTTCTGTGTTTTGTGGAGGATCAGTTTGTCGAAGAATTTTGCTCGTTGTTTTGGGTCAACGGGCGCGTAGAGGTTATTGATTTCTAGAATTTTGATGTCGCCCCGCAGACGAAAGGAGGTGACGAGGAGCCGGCCGTCGAGTGCCGAGTGGGTGCGCAAGAGCTCGGCGTCGATCAGGGGCGAGTCGGCCGGGATCAGGGTCCGGCAGTGCTGGTTGATGAAGAGCTTGCCCTCGTACTCGTCCTTGATGAGCTGCCAGAATTGTGGTCTGATGAAATGCTCTTGTAAGAGAATCGCGGAAGCTTTGAATGTGGAAAGGTAGGTGTAGATATTACGTCGTTTTTCCGGGACCCCCATGCCCCTTCTTACGTTCCAGGTGATGATGGTGTGCTTGATCATTAATGGGTAGTCGAGGTCGAGGCGCTCTTGGCGGTGGTGACGTCCTCAAAGAGGGGAAGGGCGGGCAGGACATCGTCCTCGGGCTCGTGGTCGGACCATCGTTTTTCCTCAGCTACCCCTCTTCCTTTCCCTCTGTCCACCTTCGTCACCTCGACCTGCATCGCCGCTGCCGCCGACATCGACCTCGTCACCCTCCGCCCCTCTATTCCATCCTTCACCACGACGCGGCTCTTCCCTTTGATGATGACTCGCTTGGCGTCGGTCGGTTCGTCACTTGGGTCACTGAGGTCCGCCGCAGTCTGCGACCTCTTCATCACCTGCTTCTTGAACTTCGCAGCGGTCCCCCTGATGTTGATGGAGCGTATCTCACCGTCCTCGTCCCACGTGGCAAAGTTGTGACGCACCAAAGGGGTTTCAGCGTTGAGCCTCCTCTCGATGCTTTGGTCCCGCTCAAGTCGTGCCTGCTCAACCCAGTTAGCTCTGATCCTGTCCCACTCCTCCCCCTCGCGTAGCGACTTGGCGAGAGTTTCGGGTGACAGAGGTGGGGTTGGTTCGTGCGGCGTCGATTCGCGGGAAGCGGTGGCGGCGGTTGCTGTGGCGTCGCTGTCGTCGTCATTGTCCAGCCTGTTCGTTTCCCCTAAGTCCGTCGCTTCCGCATTCTCCGCTTTCGTCGATCCCCTCGCTTCGTCCACATCGCCCACCTCCGTCGCCACCTCCTCTTCCTCCATCTCCGTAGCCACCTCTCCTTCCGTTTCACCTCTCCCATCCGCCATCACCTCATTCTCATCAATCACCTCTCCATCGGATCCGCTGCAGTCCTCCAAGACCGACTCGTCCTCGCTTTCAATTTTGATGACCTCCGTTTTCGCGGCCGCCTCCGATTCCATCTCCGAGTCCTCCGAGTCCTCGTCATCCGCCTTATCACCAGCGTCTTCCTCCCCCGATTCCTCCGGTCCCTGTTCGCCCTGGCCAGTTACCTCTTCCTCCTGTCCCTCCTCGACCTCGAGCCTGGCGAAGTGATTCTGTGATGCGATCCTGTTAACAACCAGCACAGGAATGGGGGCCTCGGCCTCCGCGATGTTGGTGTTGTGGGTGATGGTGTTTTTGTTGCTGTTGATGATGCCGTTGTGAGCCTCCTTCCGCTTCCTCTCCTGATCCAGTCCGCAGGTTCCCACGTGACCCACAAAGTGGCACCTACCGCAAGCCGCCTCCTTCTCATAGTCATGGCGAAGGGCGGTAACCGGGATGCCTCGAGTGGGAAGGTCGATCCTCGAAGGTAGAATCTCCTTCAAGGTCGTGTTGGGGCGTTGGAATAGGGAGTCGTCATCGAAGTGTAGGAAAGCCGAGTAGTCTCCGGCAACGTGGGCGAAGGCCGAGGCGTTGTCCACGCTGATAACGCGCAGAACCTGCACAAGTTGGCATGAATGTCCCTTGGCTGACAGGTCTTGCACAAGTGATTGGAACGATTTGATGATGGCATCCATGGAGGGCACTCCTTGAACACCGACGTTGATTCGAAGCTCGACCATGTTATGGTGGAACCTGTGAGACTTCGCGAAGCGGGCCTTCGCCGATCGCCAAGTGAGAGCGGGGGGCGTCGTGAGCGCCGCGTCACGTGCCTCGCCGGTGACGAACCCAACCGTAACGCGATGGTGAGCCGCCCCATTACGCAGGATTGACGAATGTTGTACGCCTAAGATCTGTGGTTGATAAGCCGCAAGATGGTCCGGCAGAGGAACTCCAGGCTCAAAGCAGATAGGAGAGATGGGCGATAGCAGCCTCGTGATGCAGGCCACGAGATCGATCTTGTCGGCATGAGTCGCTCGCGAGGCGCTCTGGTGAGACAGAGTCACTTCAAGGGCGTAATCGAAGATGTTCTCGACGGACCGGTTCGCGTTCAAGGCCGAAAATTTCAGCGATGTGGCGGTGGCGACGGGGTAGAGTTCGGCGAAGTAGATGGCCTGGACCCAGCGATCCATGCGGTTTTCGGGTACAGCACCCATGGCTTGTAGGAGGCTGCCCAGAGCCTTGGCACGCTGTTGTTGTTGTTGCTGTTGTTCAGGTGTTTGAGTCGCCATCTGACTCGCAGCGGCAGCATAGTTGGGTGCGGCGGTGGCGGGGCCCGTGACTTGCGTCTTCTTCGAGCTTATCGGGATCCGGTCGCGGGGGGGCTGGACGCTGGTGGCGGATACCGGTGGTGGCGGTGCCGGCAGTGGGGACCCAGGGTCTCCGGTAGACATCTTGTCGGTGTATCACTTGTTAACTCGAGTATCGAAGGCTGCAGTAGGGCGATTGTGAAGTGAAGTGAAGTGAAGTGAAGTGGATGTGTTGAACTTCGCTCCATCTCACTTCTAGGACAATATGCGCTCACTGAAGTAGAGGTGCCTCGCCTTTTGGTGCAGTGGTATATTGTTCCTTCATACAATGTCCTCGACATCAAGCTCGGCACCCAGCTCTACGACGAGGACGCGAGCGAGGAGAAGAAGCTCAGGATGGACGAAGCCGCCAAGGCCACAACAAGTGCAGCGACCGGGGTCAGGTTGACTGGATTCCAAGTCAGTCCCTTCAAAAATGACCTCATGAATTGTCGAGGTGTCGCTTGTACGTCTACGTTCTGACCACTCGCTCGGCACTACTCCTCGGCGCACCCAATGCTCGACACCGCCAGGTCTGGGATGACGCTTCCAAAGCCTACGTCGTCACACCCAAAGACTTTGGCAAAGCCATCACCGTCCCCGAACTCTCAAGTGGCATTGCGCGCTTCTTCTATCCACCCCTTGGGGCGGCCTACACACCACCGACTCCCGTCGTCTCGACCCACGCCGCCGCTGCGCCGAGGGCAGCCATCGTCCCAACGCCTCTGCCGCTCGAGTTGCTGGTGCCCGTCTTGAACGGCGTGCTAGCGAGGCTACAAGAGCTACTGCGTCTTTTGGATGTCACGGAGATTAGGATAAGAGGAGGATCATTGCTGTTGGTCATCGAGGGTGATGCGAAGGCCTTACGGGAAGCGGGCGCGCGATCGGAAGAAAGTTCCCCGTCGGCCCGCCCTTCAAAGCAGGACAGAGGGGGTGAAGGCGATGTTGGCGACACGGAGGAAGAAGAGGACGAAAGCGAGACGGAAAGTGTTTCGACCACCGATGGGGAAGGAAACGCCAAGGCACACACTCGGCTACCTTGGGACTTGCGACTAATTGACTTTGCGCACGTGAGGGCTGCACCGGGGGAAGGCAAAGATGAAGGATTCCTCAAAGGGATCAAGACAACGGTGAGGTTGATCGAAGATCTGAAAGATCGGTTGGAGATGGAGATGGAAGAGACTACAACTCGGGACATATCGTAGAACACCCGGATGGGGTCGGAATTTGAACCCACCCGCATGCGCGCCGTGCACAGTCAATGCTGCCCAATCGGCACATGGCGACGCGGCGATGGGCCGAACGACACGAGTCAAAGCAGCAACCATGCGACTGAGAGGCAACCAATGCTGACAGGAGTTGGCCACCGCTTAAATGCGCTCTAGCCCGCTTAAAAAGGTCACTGCCCAGCAGTAGTGTGTAAGGCGCCGCTCCGCTTACGCCTCACGACGACCTCGAGCCAACCTCTGCGGCCTCACGCTTGCCCTCGCGCGCGGCGCCGCCGCGTCTCTTGACCTTAGTCCTTTTAGTAGTCTTTCTTCGCCTGCGAATTACACCGTTTGATCCTTTCTGTTTGGACTCGGAATCAGTGAGGCTCGAGAGCAATCTCGTGCCTTTCATAGTGCTGACAGCGGGAAGTCTATCAGGTCAGCTAGAGATCCAGGAGGAAAGCGCTCTGCTGCTGGCGATAAGATAAGCGGGCATTCTTCTTGGCTGCGCTTAGTGAGTGCGCTTTCCACTTTCCGCCATTGCGTTTGGTGTTTATAGCGTGCGCAGTCAGGCCAGTCAGATGCCCGAAGTCCGTTCCGGGTCTTTGCTGATACTTCCTGAGATCTCAGCAGAGATCACATTGTCAATTATCAGGCTCCATTAACCCCTACTCGAATTCTAATGTGTGTTTGAAGGAAGGCTGAACTGGTCCCATACTCAATCTGGTTTTCGGTGCTTTTCAATGGTGTTGTCTTGGCCGTTTTAAGCCACGCAGCCACTAAAACAGTTGAATGTTTGCGTCGACACTGGACTCTCGGCATTTCAGATACATGACGACGGACTCAATACCCCTAACCGGAAGTTCGTGTATGATCGAACTCATTTTAGTTTGATAATGAGGAATGAATTTGACAATACACCCATAATCTCTGTCCCGTTTGCTGAGAATCAGGTGACTTTGATGCCAATCACACCTGCGCATTTCATGTGCTCTCTGCCGTGTGACCCGATCCGTTGTGCACTCTCACCGGTACATGTACTACAACCGCGTAAAGGCAGAAGCTCAGAGTTATATATGGACTGAACAGTGGGGTGTGTACTCCTGAACGAACATCATCGAGTCAGAATCACGATGTTGTTCTTCGTACTCTACCATTCCTCCTCGCATCAGAGTGCACGAGTGGCCTGCGAGCTATTGCTGGCCTCCGATCGTTTCTACTGTCGACCAACGTAGCCTTTGCAGATCACACGTCTGGTGGTATCTCAATCGGTTTCCTCGGTTCTGTTTGCTTGAAATCTTCTTTGCAAAATCGAGGGTCCTCACCAAATCTTCTGATTCTATTTCTGATATGCTAAACGGAAGATATTCCTGCTTCATAAATCTTGCCCTGGTCTTACAAGTAATTAGCTTGTTAGTATGTTTAGTGCGCCCCCGCTCCCCCGCCTACTCGCTCCTCCCACCCGCTGAGGGGTGCACTACAGTCTCGAGGCAATAGTCACACAATATGATGATGTGATGATCTGTGTTCTGAATAGCACCCTATAACTCGTGCAAAGCGTACGTGAAGAAGACAAGACGGGGAAAACGTGCCTAGGGATCGAATCATGAGGCGACGAGGCTACCAACCAGAAAAGAACTTCGATGTGCGATTAGAGTGTCATCAGGGGGAGAGGGTGTTCATCGGTGGGTGGAGCATTGAACAGGCAGCGACGGTGGGTTCGGACTCACCCTCAACGGTGCCTAGCAGCGAAACCAACGCCTGTCGCACGTCTTGATGCTGACCCAAAAGGGCTTCCGCAACGGTGAGGAGTTCCCGGCCGAGCAGTTTGTGTGCGTGTGCGATCGTCATGGTCGGTGAGAGATCGAAATATGAGGGAGTGAAAGGGTAGTACCCGAGGTGTTCGTCGCGTCAGACGTGAACAAGTTGCGCGTGACGGGGACCGGCGCGCTCGTGGCTCATCAGCTCGATCTTCTGACCCCTCAAAATGACTCCGAGCCATGGACGGGCAGCACAAGTAATGGGTCGTTCGGACTCAGAGTAGTACGAGCAGATGCGTTAAAATACGAGTCTCATGTTACAACCATCAAGAACACTGCTTTTTTCATTGTTGCTGCTACAAATCAGGTCGACTTGGTGACCTCGGGTGACTGAGGGGTCTCCTTTCGGAAGACCGCAGCGCCAAGGGAGCTGCGATGCCGAGCGGCGGCGGCGCGGGCTAGCGTCATTGGCACGGATGAAGCAAGCTCGTAGAGCTTGACCTCGAATCACTTGATAAGCGCCAAGCCTGGCCTCGGGGCGAGTATAAAAGCGCCCCCCCTCTCACCCCTCTCTCTCTCTCCTTCCTTCTTCGTTGATGAGTACCTCTCACATGGCTCCTCCACCACTGGGCCGTAACTGACTAGCGCATCGACGCAGCACCGAGGCGGTAGGTGGTGGAAGTCGGCAGTAGTGTACCATCAGCCACCGTGAGTTCACCCCGGGACAGGTCAGACTCGAGGATGGGGATGATGGAGAGGAAGTGGGGATGTGTGGGGGTTTGCTGTGTTTGCTTTTTTAGTCTTTTTCTCACGTGCACGTATCAGGCCGCGTTGCACAGCGACTCCGACTGGTGTCCTCTTCTTTGTTTTCTCATGGTTTGGGTAGAACAGAGTCCGAGGATTCACCGTACTGGAATGTCGACATTTTCTCTTTCAGAGGTCGATCGGCACCCGCCGCGCTTGGACTACCACCAACGTCACCGGAGCCCACAGCGCCGCGCGCCGGCACAACCTTCGCTGGAGCCACGGGCGAGCGCCGGTGGGCCCAGGGTTTGGAAGGTTCTGGACTGCTTCTGTGGGCGCCGGCTGCCCGCACTCTTGACTGCATACAGCCTCCTCCACTTGCGGGCTTTACGATGTCTAAAGATGGAACTTGCGCAAATCCCGACGTATTCGCTGACACAGCGGTCGGGTCTTGAATAAGAATGAAGCTCCTCGAATCAGGTCAAGTATGGACGGTTTGCGATGCAACATGCCGTACCTACGTCGTATGCGCGGCAAGTTCGGAGTGCGGATCTCGCAAATCTTGCCTGAACTGATTTGTTACCCAATGTCTGCAAGCGCCTTAGCAAGACCCTAATCAGCACCTATGCCAACAGGTAGGTAGACGATTGATCTTGCGAGCGCCGAGTAGCTGTCAGGATTGATGGTCTGCTGATTAAGAGATGCTTTGAGATCGGCGGATCGCGGTCGATCGAGTCGGGCCTCGAGGGAGCGCTGACAGGGGCGCTTTCCCACCAGCTGCGAGGTCAAGGCGCCTCAAATGCCCCCACACCAAGTGATATCCTCAAACAACGTCATCTTCATTCCGTCATACCCGCCTCCAGGCTGGCTTCTAGCTGAACACCACCTTTTCCTGCTGTAACGAAACCCGACTTTCGAAATGTGAGCTGGGCTAATGTCCCAAGGCTAATGGGTGAAAGGTGACTAAGTGCGTAATTGACTGTGTCCGCGAAGCACTGGCCTGAACTGGTTCGTGCTCTGGCCGCGATCCCCTCATCAACTACGCCGACGCCCACGCCAAGGGCCCCACAGCAAGGCCGGGACTGGGCACCTACATCTCGAACCATGACGTCCAAGTCATCGGTGCTGCACCAGACGTTCAAGTCGACAGCCTCGACTCGTGCGCCGTCTTCTTACGCCTCCGGCTCGTCTTCCTCCTCGTCCGCGCCGTCCTTCTTCCCCCTCGCCTCATCGCACTCGGCACGCGTCGTGCACCCACCCACATCGTATTGGTACACCTCTCGACCATCCCTGAACGCGACCTTGGCCTCGCTCGAACGCACGCTCAATCAATCGCGGACGCACCTCTTCAAATGCGGTCTCTTGCGCTCCATCGCGACCCCTCTCTCCAGTTCCGAGTTCGCATCCTCGTTACCCCATCCTCGTGAAAGGAGGTGGAAGGATGCCAAGGAGATGGGCGTTTATCTGCGCAACGGAACCGACTTGCGCACGAGCGAATACCGTCGCTTGACTGGTGTGCTCGCCCATCTTGAGGGCCTCCTGCCTTACGCCAAACTCGCCGATGAACTGCCACCCCCTTCGACGACTTCACCTCAAGGTATCAATCGATCGGTCCTACCACCTAGCCTGGTCGTCGATCCCGTCGCGGCGAACCAGGCGCTCGCGTCTCGCAGCCAGCAGAAAGACGCACCCGCCGAGTCCGCCGAGCCCGAATCCGAGCACCAAGACGTCGATTCTTACCGAGGCAGTGCCACGACCCTGAGTGAACAACTCGACGTCCTCTTGTCGCGCTTCGTAGCCCCCGCCGTACTTTCAGCCACGGGCGCGACGCTCGAGCGAGTTTCCGGAGCGGCTCGCCGTTTAGGTCGAATGGACCACCACGGTCGAGTCAATGCCGTGGGTCGACGCAAGGAATCCACCGCAAGAGTTTGGATCATCCCCGCGAGCAGTGCAGCGACCGAGTCGACGGAACAAGACCCAACTCCTGGACGAATTCTCGTCAATGCGACGTCTTTACCCGAATACTTTTCCGTCGCTTCGCATCGATCGGCCGTCGTGCGACCTTTGACGCTCACGTCCAGTTTGGGCGTCTTCAACGTGTTTGCTATTGCTGAAGGTGGCGGTATCGCGGCGCAGGCTGAGGCGGTGGCGATGGCCATGGCGAGGGCGTTGGCCGAATGGGAGAGGTGCAAGATTGAGCAGGGCGAGTTGCAGGAGGGTGAAGTCACCTGGAGGGAGATTTTGAAAAAAGGTCAGTCTCACTCTGCTTTTTCACCCTGAATAATATCGTCACCAGGTGTTGACTCCGTCAAACTTGCGTTTTTGCAGCCAACTTGATCGACCGAGATCCTCGAATGGTCGAAAGGAAAAAGACGGGTCAGGCCAAGGCCAGGAAAAAGTTCGCCTGGGTCAAACGATAGAAGAGAAGACCTTTTGTCTCCAATGGCTTTCGCAATACAAGACGCACGTCATCCGCAGCTTCTGTTGCACGTCATGCCTTGAGATATAGAGAGAGTTCACCCCGCTAGGTTCGTCGGCGTGCCAAGAAGTACATTTCAACAGGATGAAGGTGCAGATGAAAGAAGCCAAGCAAACGTATTAAGCTACATCAACAATCAAAGGTTCCCTCACCGTCCAGGCCTTATCCGCCTCCGCACCTTCCCTTACATCCTCCACCACGCACCCCAACTCGTACCTCCCCTCGGCCAGTAGACAAATCGACACTTTGACCGTCTCCGACTCCCCTGGTAACAGCGTCCTCACAGCGACGGGGGAGACTCCTTCAATGATGATATGTCTTGCCAAATGAGTGAGTGACGAAGCGACCGTCGCATCGGGGGGTTTGAGATCCAACCTCAGCGCCAATTGAACGGCCAACGGGGAATGATTCGACACATAAGCACATACGTCGATGAATTCGTTCGGTTGGGCAGCGTAGACGAGGCGGTTCCCTCGGCCTTTGAAATGAAAGGCTTCGGGGGAGGAGGCTTCGTTTTCGACCAGTTGCAGTTCGACTTCGACTTCGTCACCTTTGAGGACGTCCAATAGGCTTGAGGAGAGCTTGAGGGAACGGAGGGAGATGGTGCCCGTCCTCAAGGAGCCGACTTCATTCCAGGTCGCTCGGATGCGGCGAAGGAGTTCCTCGCGGAACCAAAAGAGTTCACGGGTGGAGCGTTGTTCGGCTGCTGAGACTTGGTGCTTGGAGAGGACGAATTGACGTTCGGATAAGGCTGGGATGGGACGTTCGGCTTCTTCGGCAGGAATGTTGATGCGGTCGATGCGAGCGAGCATGCGTAGGGTCGCCCCTGGCTCGAGACGTTGGCGTACTTGGAAGAAACCGCTTTCTGTTCACTCGGAAATGAAGTGGAATCAAATCAGCTTCGTGCAGCGAACAATCCCAGCCTCTGCCTCAACTCACCGTCCTCACACCGCTCAATCTTGACCTCGAATGGCTTCCCATAAGCATTCATCACATCAATCGACACCAAACAATGTTCTCCGTCGTCAACGTCCCTCAAGCTCTGTTCAAGCCTTTGATCCAATGCCGCACCGCGTCTCCCTAGATGAGCCACACTCGCCGAACGACCATGGGCGAAAGCAACGTGCTCAGGAAGGGCTTGTAAGCGGAGGATATCGAGTGTGTGTGCGAGCAATGCGCGATGGACGGTCATGAAGACGTCGCAGAGAATTTGACGCGTGTGGAAGACCGTTGTTGGATCGGTCATGGCTTCCGAAGGAGGCAACGTCGCATAATCGATTTGGATCGTCCCGCTCCCGCAACCGACTTTTCCCAAACATTGGACATCGAGGAGATAGGTCTGACCCGGTTTGATGCGGGGCACTTGGTCGACCGTCCAGGAGAAGACCGGTCGATCTCGATTATCGGCTTCGATCTCGTACGCTTCGGCAGGCGGTAACTCGTTTTCATCCACGTAGGCTTGCGTCGTCGTCGTGTGCAAGTCAGAGAAGGTCAACTTGACGAAATCGACAGGTCGCGTCGAGACGTTCTCAAGGGCGATCCGAATGGTGGATGTTTCTCCATCGTACAACATCAATGCCCCATGCGTCAACGACGTCGAACGCACACACAACAACGGCATCTCTCGCACGACCGTACATTCCAAGAAGCGGAACTCTTGCTCCGTTGTCGTCGTCGTCGATTGTTCGGCCGCTCCTTGACTCGCCTGACGATTCGTCACAAACGCCGTCAACCCCGTCGTCTTGATCCGTTCCCTCGCCGTATCGAGCAAAGCGACTTTCTGCCTCTTGTCCTCCTCTTGATCATTCCAAACGGGCAAGAGGAACTCTCGACTCGTACACCCCGCGAGAAGGATATGACATCCTCGAATTGTCAACCGACCCGGAGCTTGAGGCGTCCCTGATAATCGAACGGTATGGAATGATCCGGCGGGAACGATCGTCGACAAGGCGTCGCAGATGAAATCGACGCCAGTAGTACTGAGTTGCATCGATTGGATCTCAAGGTCGAAGCCGAAGGGGTTCTGCAGCGTCACGAAGACTTCGGCGACTTCGTTCGTGATCAATCTTGGACGGATGCGTGACGATACATCGTTGGGATCGTGGGACGCGTTCAAAGAGCTTCGTTGTCCTCCTATTATGAAAGGATCCTTCTTGGCCAGAGCAAAGTTGTTGAACGTCCCGTTCGCTTCGGCGTCTTTGATCGAGTGCTCGATCGGTAATCGATTCGGTGTAAGTCTATGAGCCATGGGTCTTTGAAGCATCAGCCACAATCATCTTTCGCATGCTGCTGATTTGCGATGATACCACTCACGGTGCCATCTCTAGGGACATGACCAACTGCGTCGGACCCCAATACTCCAACTCAAAAGCCGCCCCCCTTCTCGTCGCCGCCGCAAAGATCCTCGGGATGTTCCGACTCAACTCCAATTGATCCCAAGCTGGCATCGTTTCGGCGAACGCCCTTAATGCAGTGACGGTGAACCGAATGGCGGCTTGATAATCTGGTAATGCCTCGGCGACGGAGATAGCATCCTTAAGAACGCCCATTTGTAGATGCGACCAACCAAAAGGACTAGTCGAGGAAGAGAGCCGGTAATCTAATTCCAGGGGTCGTCCTTGTAGAAGAGACTTTTGCCTCAAATGATGCCCCGATGCCGTATTGGGGGTGGAGGTGTCTCTGGCTATCCGAGGAACGACGACGATCCCGAACGATTCGCACACCTTCTCGGCGATGCGGATAATGGATTCGTTACCTGCCGAATCCGAGGTCGTGCGGACGATCGAAGCGGTTCTGTCATTCATGGCAGGTAACAACTGGCCTCCGCTGACCTTGTGTCCGTCCTTGGTTGCTGAAACGGGACTTGTCGGACTAGTGCCATGAACGGCAGAAAAGACTTCGACGCCTTTACCTGCGACTCCTTGACCACACAACGCTGCGAGTTCCCTCAAGACAAAGCCTTCTTTCCTCCGATACCCGATCCGACCAAAGAAACTCGCGATCTCACCCGTGACCCTCAACCGTGTCGGAAGGGCAAGTTGACCCAGATGAGCGCTGTATGCCATACTTGCCCATTGAGCGATCATCGACCTCGGTACGGGATTTGAAGGGGACAATGACCGCCACCGAGCTTCTTGTGCTTCGTCCTCGCTATTCTTCGTCCGCGCGGCAGAGGTCGACGTCATGAACGTCGAGCCCTTGCGCAACGCCGACGAAGCCGAGCAATTCGAAGGAATGATGAGCTTCTCGATCGCTCGTTCGATCTTGCCCCTCGCTTCATGAACGGCGAGGAGGAACCGAGCGATACGGAGACATGCTTCGGCGTAGATCAAGGGATGACAGCAATCTGGGTCCGGAGGAGGTGGTGTTTCGAGCGAGTTGGCCAGGGCTAGATTGGGAAGCATCTTCTCGTACAAGCCTACAGCTTGACCTAGTCGATCAGGGATGGAAGAGAGGAATGTCGATGGGTCGGCGGCGTTCGAAGCCAAGGTCGAAGTCGGGGTCGAGGTTCCATTCGCCGTCTTTTTGGATATCGAGTTCGTCGATTTGGATATCGAGTTCGTCGAAGCATGCTTCGCCGTCGCAGCTGCAGCAACAGCAGCGGCGGGGGACGGTGGTCTCCAAGCTTGCAAGACCAAAGCGATCGTCAACCCTTCCAGCGCGGAAGCGTACCAAACATTGTCGGACCAAGTCAACTTCAACAAAGCAATCGCCTCCTCATAACAAGCGATCGCTTGCTCGGTCCGTCCGGCCAAGAGCCACATGTCGGCCATCAACTTGCGTTCCCTTCCCGCGACCTTTTTTCTCGATTTCGAATCGACCAGAGTCGAGCCTGGAGGCGGGGAAGGTGCAGCGTTGGGTGCGACGTTGACGTGGGATTGGATGGAGCGGCCGTAGAGGAAACCTTCCTGATTGCCCGAGGAGGATCCACCCCAGAGACCGAGCGAGGTGCGGGATTGAGGGGGTGCGGCGAGGCCGAAGGCGGTCAAGTCGATTTTGGGCGTTTCGTTCGATATGATTCCTCCTCCCTTGGCTGCTCCCGCGGAGTTGTTGAGGTGGCTACTACTTGCTGAGGCATTCGTGCTGGTGCTGGTACTGTTGTTGGGGGTGGTATTGGGGGGCAAGGAAGAGGAGCGAACAGCGGTGGGGCGCGTGGCTCCCGCGGTGTACGAGTGAATCGTCGATCGCGCATTCGGTTTGGTCGGAATGAAGGTAAAGGGCGAGGTCAGTTGAGGTGTCTCCTGGGGTGTCGGTATCGAGGTCCTCGATTCGAGTTGAGCGGCCTGCATCATGCGTGATTCAGGTCAGTCTTGTTCGGTAGTGGGGCCCAAGGATCGCGGCAAGTACTGACCAGGTTGGAGAACTCTCTCAGTATGTGCCCCGCAAAGTCGGCGAGTACGGTGCCGAGGAAGAAGGAGATCTGGGTCGTGGCGGGTATGAGCACCAGCCCATCGTTCTCGTTGATGTGCTTTTGCGCCTCGGTGAGCTGGTGCTCGCTCGGGTGGAAGCCAAAGAGTTTGACGGCGAACGTCTTGGGCAACCTCCTGAGCGCGTGGTGGAACTGGGCCAGCGCGTGCTGGAGCGAGGTCGAGTTGTCGGTGTGTTCCGAGGCGTCGAATATGCCGATGATGCCGTGGACCTGGCGGTGGAGTTGGAACTCGGCGAGAAAGGCGAGCGGGTGCGCCGAGGCGTAGGTGGTGGGGGTCAGGTACTCGAACAGCAGTTGGCCGGTCGTTGTGGGTGAGGAAGAAAAGATGGCTGGGGTTTATGTTATTATTGAAGTTATGGTCATGTCCTTGTCAGCGTTGTGCGCCCATCCCCCGCCCCCCCACGACCACACACGACAGGACAGGGGTTCATCGATCGATCACCCTTGTCCCCTTTCCCCTCGCCTCTAGCCTCTAGACTTACCTCTGTCCCCCCTGTTGTCCACAGGTACCTGGGACAGTTCTATACTATCGAATGCCCTGATCTGATCGGCATACTGTTGGAACCGAGCGCGCTTGATCGGATGCAACGGCACGAGCAGCACGCCGATCCTCGCCGGTGCGACGAAAGCGGACGGGTCCATCACCGCACACTGAGCGCGCTAGGCTCTGGTGGGCTGAGTGGTGTTTGAATCCTTCGTCGTCTCCTCCCTCCGGCTGCGCTGCGTGCGAGCGTGCGATGCGGTGCGGTGCGGATGCGATGCGGGGCCAGCAGACTGGTGTGTGTGGGGGGGGGGAGGGGCAGGTGAGGAGGGGGAAAGGTCGAGACTCTCGGCGACTGTTGGGCTCGGCTTTCACGGTCTGTGACAGTTCTGTGACTGTCTGGGAGGTGGCCAAACGGCGCGCCACGACTCGCACGGACCCACCCACAAGCACCCACACGCACCCACCACGCGTCACGGCTCACGCGCTCACGCACACGCTCGTCTTGGCTTTCAGACTCCGGCACCTTCTTGCCGCTCTCTCCCTACTCCCCACTCGCCACACTTGAGCAATGACCGTCTACTCGTGAGCAGCTCTCTCACCACCTCAGACCCCCGCGCTGCCCTTCCCACTCCCCACCTCCCACTTCCATTCGCAAGCTAACCTCCCCCACCCGTTCCCTCCCGCAGTCTCTACATCTACGACCGCCAATGCAGCTGCGTATTCTATCACGCATTCCCGGGCCACACGCCCCCACCTCGACTAGGCCACTCGACCTTACCCAACGTGTTCCCTGCCCACACTGCGGGGGCAAGCTCGAGTTCGGGCGTGCATGGGGTGAATGGAAGTACCACGAGCACATCGATCGATGGGAGAGCCACGACAACTGCTTCAGGCTCGGGATCGGGATCGGGTTCTGTTCGGCCACCTTGGGAAAGAGGGGAACCCACCCGGCCGAACGAGGACGATCCGAATGCAGGTGGGGACGGCACAGCAGCTGCAGCTGCTGCAGCAGAAGCGACTCGACTCGCCGCATCAGCCGCTTTACCCTTTGATGAAGAGGCCAAGCTCGTGTATGGGATCGTCTTTTCGCTTCGAAACCTCGTCAACAAGTTGTCGCCCTCGGGAAGGTGAGTCCTCTTGCCGAAAACCCTGGTCCGACTAACCCTCTGATACCTCCTCCTTTGTCTCTTCCCAACGACCACCCAAAGGGACTCCTCCGACTCGTTCCATTCCTACTCGACCTCGCTCTACAAACTGCACTACCTTCATACCCCCTCAAACTACCACTTTGTCCTCGTCTCTTCACCGCGTCAAGATTCCCTCCGACCACAACTTCGGGCTTTGTATCAAGGCGCGTTTTGGGAATGGGTCATTAGGAACCCGATGGTCGAATTGGATTCGACCAAGGGGACGGGAATTGATAATGTCGCTTTTAGGAGTGCGGTCGAGAGGACGTTGGAGAGTGTTTGAACTTTGGCCCGCGCTTGGGCAATGGACTGTAGGAGATTATATACCCAAGCATATCTACCGCGGAGAGAAAGAGCGTGTTGTAAACGAGTGTGAGGATGTAAAACGAGTGACCAAGGACCAAAGACACAGAAAGCAATGCAACGGACCAAGGGAGAAACCAGAAAAAAAAAAACTGTCCAAGAATCACGAAGACAAGCAACCAAGAATAGAATCACTTGAACGATCTGAGAAGGAACTCAAAACCTCGTCTCCATCATCATCAAACCCCTCCTCTCCTTGGCCGGTCGCCCCTCCCCACCATGCACATCCTCCATGTCCTCCACCAACTCCTCTAAACCCTCTCCACTGTCGTCTCGATGCCTCATTTCTCCACCCACAATCATCTCCGGTAACCTCGGACTCTTCGCCTCCTCTTGATCCTTTCCTTCGTACAAGCTCAAAGGCCCATGGAACCCTCTTTGTTCCCTTTGCTCCCCTGCTTCATTCTTACTCGACGTCAAAGACGGATGGAACCACCTTCCCCAAAGACCTTTCCACCCACTCGAATTCGATGATCTTTTCCCCCCGGGACCGATTGGCATAATCGTGCAACCAGACGATTTCGGACTCCTACCCTCCTTCCCACCCTCACCACCTCCCAAACGCCAAAAGTTTCGATCCAACGACATCGTCTTGACGTGCTTATGACCCCGACCCGAATGAGGATTCGGTGAATCCACCACCACCGTCGGCGTGATTCCATGCGAAACTCCAGGCCCAGGCTTGGCGAGTTTCCGAGGCGTTCCTCGCACATGTCGATGACGGGCGATACTTCCTGAGTTCGAGCTTTGCAGATGAGCGTTGTTGGATGTCATGGTGTAAAGGGAACGGTGCTGACGAGTTTTGAGGCTTTGTTGAGGGTCGAGGGGTTGGAGAGAGGGAGTGGGTTGAGAGAAGAGGTCGGGTCGGAGCATATCTTGGGTCGGTGTGGTTACAGGGGTTTGAGCACGATCCAGGTCGGACGCACGTTCAAGGGGTCGAAGCGAATCCCCCTCGGAATCGCGTCTCGTCCCCACCTCCAGAGCCTCAACCCCCTCCCCCTCTCCATCAGGTTCACAAAGTCTGATCACAGGCGTAGAAGCCTCAAACATCGGGAACCTGAACGACCTCACCAGCGGCGCCTTCTCCCCACCCAACGAAGTGAAACCCGGGTAACTCATCCTTCGAGCTTGTAGACCACCTGGGAGGTCCGCGAGGTTGTTCATCTCGGTAGGTAAGACCCCTCCGACGATCTCGTTCGCGATGCTATCGTACAACGAAGGGGGATGAGGCTTCCTCGCGTCGTTGGAAGGAAGATCCGACTCTGTTACTACCGAACGATTGATCGAAAGTCCTTCGATATCGTGCGATCCGAATGAACCATAGTAGAACTCGACCGCACTTTGCGAACGACCATGACCCGTCTGTTGCTGTGTTGATCGTTGATAAGGACGTTTGGGCGTAGGGAACTCATCAAGACCGCCGAGCGATTTGGGTTCATCAAATTCGAGGAAGGGGAGACGGTAGGAGGAGAGTTCGAAAGACCGGTTTGAAGAGCGGGCCTCTTGGATGAAGGATGAATTCAGACTTCCAGGGATGGAAGCTGTTGCAACCGAGTTGAGAGGTGAGATGGTCGCGTGATCTAGTTGTAAACCCGTGGATTCGTAGTCGTCGTGCTCTTGGTCGACGCGTGAGTCCGAGCGACGGTCAGGATTGACTCCTTGATTGGCGGTTGGCGAGCTTGAACGATCGTCATTGGGTTCGGATACGACGATGATACCATGTTGACTCGATTGAATCGAATGACGAATCTCGGAAGGTAACGAACCAATAGAGAACTGCGCCGAAGCAGCCGGTGACGCCCTACCACGGTTCTGACCCTCCGCTCTTTCCTCTCGATCAGCCCCAACAACGACGAGGTGTTCACGACTGTGACGCGCTAGGGGTCCAGGAACGAGGTGCGCGATCAGTGGGGTGGGTGAGGTTGTTTGAGCTTGAAGAGGATTCAACGGTCTGTGGAGATCGAGGAGGGACCGAGAGGAGAGGAGTTGATCGGAGAAGTAGACTGAAGAGGAAGGTCGGCATTCGCCTTGTTCGTCTAGGAGGGTGGAGACGAGGAAGAGTTCGTTCGCTGCATCGACGTAGGGCTCGGGGTTCTTCTTTGGGCTTGAGGTGGATTCGGGACGACTGGCTGCGATAAAGGACTGGAGTTTCTTGTATTCCGGCTCGCCAAAAAAGGAACTGTGTTGCGATGAAATGCTCGAAGCGCTGGTAGCTGTGGCTTTGTCGTTTCCGGTTGAAGATGATGATTTAGCCTCAGAGATCGAAGGTTGAGGTCCGATCCTCGTCGACTCCCACTGCATAGCCACGTCGATCGCCTCGGCATACCTCGTGGTCGACAGCTCGAGACGATGTTTGAGCTCAGCATAGTCGTTGAAGCACCTGTCGTTAACTCTCCATTGAGTAAGCACAAGCCTCCTCGGACACAAAAGCTAACTCAGACAATGCACTGACTGGATGAAGGCCCTCCTCTTCGCCCCATCTTGATCATGTATCCCGGCCTGAAAGAAGAGTACTTCCAATTCTTGCACCATATCCATCACGAATTCCCCCCTTCTTCCTTTCTCACGATAAGTCCGAGCAACGAGTTTCTTGTGCGCCATCGTTCGCATCAGCCTGAAGGACATTTATTTTCGCACAAAGATGAGTCAGCAAGGGCGGTGTGAGTGTTCATCCTCACCATACAGGTCGTCATACAGAAAAGGGGGCTTACCTCGTCCTCGTCTCGTTCACGAAATAATTCGTCAGCCACCCAACTCCTTTCTCGTACGTCGATCGCTCCGAGCGTTCCAAGCGCTGATACACCAACGCGGCGTAACCCCTCAATGAAAGCAAGAGACAGTCGGTCGCTTGGGGCGAATCGAGAGAGATCGAACGTATGCGGAACCAAGCTTCCAATCTGGGAGGGATTGAGAGAGCATCGAAAGGGTCGCGAGTGAGTTGATGAGCACGGAAGGCGTGACGAAGCGTCTTGTGAGGTGATGGAGGGTGACTGACCTGAGTTGATGAGAGGGCCAATCTTCGACGAGCGTACCTCCGAAAAGTGGGAGAGCTACACCACCACCATCCCCACCACCCTCAATGTCGTGGGAGATTAGGTCGCCAGGCATGACCGGATAAGGATCCAGGATTTGTCGTTCAGAAGGGATGCGCGACGCGTCGACCAGCAAGGTTGAAGTGCCGTTTCGTCACCACCGTGGGCTGCTGGGTATCGTCAAATCGATGGGTATGATTGAGTAGCCAATGGTCAGATGATGAAAGTGAATATCGGGATCAGACCTCCATCTTCCACCGGAAGCTCGAGATCGTCCAAGAAGAAAGAAGAAGGCCACACACCCGACTCGAACCTCGCAACTCGTGAGCGAGAATTCACCCCCTTCCGCCAAGCCCTCCTTCTTTCTAGTGCGTCTACACTTCGGGGCCGACGGTTCGGAGCCCCTGAAAATCACGTGGTCAGACTGAATTACGCCTGGAATTTTGGGCTCGGTTAAAGTGCCGGTAGGCAACCACCCGGCGTGTGACCGCGGCCGTCCTCCCCCTTCTCGCGCGATTAGCGCGGATATTAGAAAGGGGTACCTGTCTCAGGGGGTCGGTTGGGTCCTGCGGACGAGAGGCCGAGAGACAGATCCACCTCGAGCTCGGTGTCGAGAAGCTGTCGCCCTTATCAAATGACAAGCCAGAAGTGAGGAACCGCACTACAGGCTTTCTTCCAGGCAGAAGACGAAGACCCGTTCAAGCTCTGTGTCAAAACCCATATAGCTCAGTCTTCTCTTTTGTCGAGGTTGCGGTGTCGCGCTTGCAGTGCTCGAAGATGTTTGGGGAGCCCAGAAGCTGCAGAGTGTTCGAGGAGAATGAAACTGTCGGCTAAGATAACAGTAAACGCATCCCTGCTGGCTTCAATGCGGCGGCTGTCGATGAATAAATGTGTTCCCAGGCGAAAGTGCGTCAGCCTAGGGCCGGCCGCGATCAAGCTGCCTCCTTCGAAGCGGTCCGAGCGGCTGCGGGCGGCTGCGGCCTGCCGAAGCCAGATCCCGCGACGCGCCTCGACGCGCCGTGTTTCAGCCCGTCCCTCCGTGCTTCCCACTCAGCCGCCAAACCACTCACTAGCCTTTCTTCAACAGCTCAACCCTCTCCTTCAATACCACCATGACAACCGAGTATATTCCCCCCTTGACTTCCCTCTCCGCAGCCGAACAACGCTCGATCAAATCGTCCTTGTTGACTGAACACTTTCAATTCCCTCCCGAGACGTTCGCCCGGAATGGCATGGATCTAGCGAATCAGACCATTTACGCGGCAACCAAGATTGTGGAGGACAGTCTGATGACGATGACGAGGTTTCCGGAGGAGGAAGGGGACGAGAGACCGTTTGTTTTCGAGGGGGATGATGTGCAGAAGGTCAGTTGGAAAGTCGGCTTGGGCGGGCGAGAGCTTGACGAGGGTGTCAGAGAGCAGGAAGGGACTAGAGTGTAGCAGGTTGTTCATATACTGAGCCTCTGTATTGCTTTCACAGGGCGTGTACCGCCTCGAGACGTTGTTGGAAGCCGCGGTGGACAAGTACTTTGACCTTTTCGAGCTGTTCGCGCTCCGCAATTCGTTCAATGTCCCTTCCGAACTCATCCCTTACATCGTACTATCCCATCAAGTGAGCACTGTTCTATTTGCGTCCTTCCCTGACGAGCTATCTCTAATCTGCGCGTCTGTCTCGATCAGGAACGATTGGACGATGCGCTCCTAGGCCAAGATCGAAGCGCGATCGAGGAATACGAACATGAACTCGCATTGTACGAACAGACGTTACAGAAGGAAAGGGCCTTGAAGTGCGTCGAGGAGTTGGGACAGCGCAAGTTGGACCGGATCAACGCGATCGCCAAGGAGGTTGGGCAAATGTCGTCGGCGGGTCAGTAGTTAGCTGCTCCTTGACGAAGGCGTTTGGATACAGCAAAAGCTGATGCTGTACTTGATTTTGCTCCAATAGAATCCATCTCCACCCGCATCGAGCAGCTCTCCTCCCAACTTCCCCAACTACACCAAACCCTCTCCGTCCTGCTCGAAACCCCTTCCCCATCCTTCGGCTCCACCCTCCCCTCGTCAATGACCACGACAAGCGCTCATGAACCGTGGTCCGAATCAAGGAGTGCGTTCGTGAATTGGGCTACGAAGGCAAAGATCGATGCTTTGCCGAGCTCCTCGACTTTGACGGGACCGGGTCCGAGTGGGTCGACGGAGGATTCGGCGCTGGAGGGATTGAGGAGAGGTATGCAAGAGACGGGGGGAGGGGCGGAGGCTTTGGTGAGTTGACTTGGGACTACGGTAGGGATGATGCACCGTTGGTGAGAAAGGGTCGGCTGACGGGTACCCGTGAACTTATTCCTCGCAGGATCTGATGAAGAAGCTCTGATCGGATCGTCGGAGTCGAAATGTATGACAAGTGAGGAGATGATTCTGCGACGAGGGTGTGTGTTCGTTGTTGTACGAGTAGGTACGATCACAGGTGTATTCTATCGGTTCGTGTGGGTCAACGTAGCTAAAGTGAAACAAGGAAGAATGCTGCGGGCCGAGTTTTGCCCCGCATGCTGAGGAGTCTGAACTCCTGGCCGGGCCATTGCGAACCTACGCGAAAGATATGAATACAACATCTGGTTCATCACCTCTAAAAGCAACTCCTGCGTGACTACCCTAACCATCTCACGCGCTACGCTCCCTCCCCAGCACCCGATCCAGCACGTTGATCAAGCCTTTTTCGACCTCGAGCCAAAGCATCGGATCCAACTCGCCATTGATGGAAGATGAACTCGCTGCAGCTGAGAAGGAGCCGAGGTCCAGGGAAAGGTATACTTGGGTTTGGTAGCGTCTGGCTTTGAGTTGGGTGTGAGGAGGAAGGAGGTGGGGGTCAGCTCCAGCTTGGGGCAACCGGGCGGGGCTCAGGGGAGAAGAGCTGACCTAGTTTACTGGAGAGAAGAAGTGATTGGGGAGTCGATCTCGAAAGAGCAGTCGCTGTTGTTGAAGTGGATGTGCTCCCTCGTGGCTGTAAGGACCGTGATCGAGAAGGCCCTAGCCAGTTAGTTTCCCGACCGTTCGACCGACATCGGTGTGGATTGCGGAGCGCCTCACGTTTTTCATAGGGGGAAGGGCAACGCTGAAGTCGGACATGAGGGCGTAGGAGGAGGTGGAGGAGGTGGGGGACCCGAGCGAGAGGAGCACGGATTGACGGAAACGGGTCACTTGGACGTACAGCGGCGGGAGGGAGGAGTGGGGGGTGTTGAGTGGGAGAGGGTACGATTGGAAGGTGATGCTACTTTTTGTTGGTGGCGTGTTTGTGGGGATCGTGGTGGTGGCCATGCTGTAAGCTGGAGCGGATGGGGAGAGCACACAAGAGAGGTCCGCGCGCACGGGAGCCGTCATCATTAGGGCTGACCCCCACCTGTTTGTAATGACCAATTGCCCATTTGAACTCCCCCGAAGCGACTTCGCACGCGCGCGCGACCAAGTCAAACGACTCGTCACAACGACTCGTCACTTGACTCGTCGCTCCTCCTCCTCCGCCGCTCTCTCTCTCCACCCCCACGCCCCAGTTCTTGCTCTCAGACCGTCCCAACAAAAGATGGCGCCGATCGCATCCACGTCCAAGGCTCCGGCCGCGGTCAAGCTCACCGCCGCGGAGAAGAGGCTGATCGAGATTGGTCTGGCCGCTCCGAAAGGCGTATGTTCATCGTCGCCTTGCTCTCCTTGGGTGTGCGGTCTCACCCTTTTGGCTTCGATCAAGACTGACAGCATCCTACTTCTGTGCGAAACGCAGCAAATCACCCAAGCCGAGCTGTTGGCCAAGTCGAACCTCACCACCCAGGCCGTCGCCGATGCGGTCAACTCGATCCTTCGAAAGGTCCGTTGATCCTTTTCTCGTGTGGTCTAGCATCGCTGACGAGAAGCAACTACTCTTGATCAAACACAGAACCTGGTCCAACTGCTCCGCACCTCGACCGGTTCAGTCGAGTTCCGCTTCATCGCCAAGGAGGAAGCAAAGGCGTAAGCTCTGCCAAAGTGAAAGGCGCTCGTCTGCACTAGCTCAGTCACTGTTTTTACACAGAATGGGCGCGATGGACTCGGATGAGAAACTCGTCTTGGATCACATCAAGGATGCCAACAACAATGGTGGGTTTTGTTCAGCGAGTGGGCGGATGGACCATCTGCGGAACATCTAACGTGAACGAGCAAATGTTGACACCAAACTCCTCGTTTGAACACCCCAGGTATCTGGACCAAGTTCTTGCACAACAAGACAGGATTGCCCCGTACGACCATCAACAAGGTGCTCAAGACCTTGGAAGGGAGGAAGGTCGTCAAGACTGTCAAATCCGTCAAGGTGAGTAGCCGATGGCTACTCCTATCTCTTGGTGAGGACGACGACTCGACCAACACTCCTCTCCTCTCCCCGCGCCCTCGCAGCACCCTACGCGCAAGATTTACATGATGAGCAACGTCGCACCTTCCGTTGAATTGACGGGAGGTCCCTGGTTCACTGACAACGAGCTCGACATGGAGTTTGTCGAGGCGCTCAAGAAGATCACGCTCGCTTACTTGACCAAGCAGGTGCGTAACCCGCCGAGGCTCAAGCTCAGAATGTCGGAAGAACACCAAACTGATCCTTTGTCGTCTCCTCATCAGACCCGCCCAAGATCCTACAAGAACAAAAACGCACAACCGAACGAACTGCCTCGCTTTCCCCTCTGGCCCGTCAGCGCCTCCCCGCGCCTCCCTCGCGTGCGCGACGTCTTGGACTACATCACCGAATCCGGCATCGCCGTCTCGGTCGAACTGAACGACGAGCACGTCGAGTCGTTGCTGGAACTGATGATCTACGAAGGGACCGTCGAACGCATCTTGGTTCAAACCCCGGCTGATCAAGGTGCGCGTAGGAAAAAGAAGGACGGAGCGGGTAAGAAGAGGAAGAGAGCCATGGTGTCGAGTGATGAGGAGAACAGTGATGGAGGGGCGAGGAGAAAGAAGAAGACCAAGAGCAAGAAGGGGTTCGCGGGACGCCGTCGTGCGACCAATGGCAAGGCGAGGAAAAGGTCGAGGTTGGATTCGACGGCTTTGGATGACGACGATGATGATGATGACGACTCGGATGCTTCGGCCGATTTTGATGAGGATGAAGAGAGAGGGTCGGATGCCGATGATGATGCGGGAAAAAGTAAGCGCAAGAAGAAGGTACGGACCAAGAAGCCTCTACGCCAGGTCAAGCCTGAAGACGACGACGCGTCGTCCGTCACGAATGATTCGACCTCTGAATCATCGGCTTCGGATCGCGATGAGGATGACGAAGAGGAGGAAGAGCGATTGGCTGCTTTGCGTCATCAACGTGAAGGAGGTGTCAACGATTACGTCTATCGCACCATTCGGGAATATCACCCCGTCATCGGATGGACCGACATGCCCTGCGGCAAATGTCCCGTCGAATCGTTCTGCTGCGAGCCACCTCGTCGATTCGCTCAAGCTTCAGCTGTGAGCGCCTCTCGTGGCTCTCGTCGACCTGGCTTCCTGTCTTCGGGTCGACCCAAGATTGGGATCGAGCTCGAAGGAGGCATGAAAGGTGTCGGAATGATTGGTGGTGCAGGCGCAGCGATCGGCATTTCGACGGCCAAATGGGGCGAGACGAAAGGGGTCGTCGGCAATGGCGTCGCACCCGTCAACCCGAGGGATTGTCAATACTTTAAGAAGTGGCTCGACTTTTAATGTCCCGCCTGCTCTTTACTCTTCGGAGACTTTCATGAATTTTTTCCTTTTGGGGGCTTGGGTGGGGTTATGCAAAAGGTCCTGGATCGAAAGACGCCCTAGGAATCTGCAATGCACACCAGTGCTACCAAACTATCCCATTACAGTGCTCGGCATCAAGCTACCATCCACCTCAAGAAAATTCTTTTTCAAGGTAGTGGTAACTCTGCGAAAAGAAGCCATGGTGCGTGCAGATTCTTCGGAAAGATGGCCCGTCTAAGAAACGCTGTGGCGAGCGGTGCGGTCGGACATTCCTGCGGCCGAGCAAATCGTTCGACCATTCAAGAACGATGATGCCAATTTTCGCTGAGAGCGCATAACACTCACAAAGGGGTGCAGCGTCATCTCACGGAGTACAGCCAAAGAAAGACTTTCCTGACGCATCGAAAACTTGCAAGACAATATACTTATCTACACCCCACCTACAGGCCCATTGACAAAAAAAAGACTAGATATTCGACGAAGAGGAAGGCGCTACGCAGCCGCGCACGGCTTCCGAGCTTGGATCGACGGCGACGGCGTCCAGAGGAGGCACACGCTAACGCCGAACTTCCCCCGTGGTGAGCCGGGGTGACTGGTAAGCCGGCCCCATGGTGCACCCAGCCTCTATTGCGAAACCTTCCCGTTGCTATATTCTCCGCTCGGTATCCAGATTCTGGGCCAAAGAGGCGGGTGTGGATGTCTCATAGAAGCGGCTATGGGGAGAGGAGGCGAATGCCGATTCTTCCTCCGACGCCTTTCAGAGACGCGCGGCCGCGGTGACGTCGACGGCCGAGCGTTGAAACGTTGATGGCCTGACTCCGCGTACATCTTCCATTGTCCGTGATCCTTTTATCGCTTCAGCCTACGTCCCCTATTAGTTAGCCCCTGCTCGGTTTGATATCCGCAGAGACGTAGAGAGGGTCGACCCGCTTTTACGAGGAGGTCAGATATCCCTGGGGGCGGAAGAAACGTGTGCATTCTCGGGCTATAAGCAGGGCGAAGCGGGCCTCCTAATTGAGCTTGACGACGCCACTTTGCGAGCCAAGCATTATGCGACCAAGCACGTTAGGTCGGCCTTAACAATGAGTCCTTGTTCCAGGACAGTGGCAGGCATTTCCGTTTGCTTTCATTGAGTCAAGGCTAGGGTAGATTGTACTGCTGGCAAACAAGATCAATCAGCCTTCAACTAGCAACGCGGCGGGACAGGTCAGACTCGAGGATGGGGATGATGGAGAGGAAGTGGGAATGATATGTGTGGGGGTTCGCTGCATTTGCGCTTTTCTTTTCTTTTTCTTTTTCTTTTTTCTTTTCGACGTGCACGTGTCAAGCCGCGTTGCAAAGCGGCTCCGACTGGTGTCTGTTCTTTGTCATCTTATTGTTCGGATGTATGGGTAGAACGGATTCTGTGATAACCGTACTGGAATCCGCAAATGGGTTGGTGCTGACCGTGCTGGCAAGAGGAGGCGAGTCAAGCTCGCGCCGACCCCAGCCGCCGGCGCAGGGATTGCAGGCCTGCGTACGACGAGCTGCGACCCCTGCTCCGCCCTCTGTAGACCGCCGACCCAGCTGCCGGCTGTGCGGGCCGACGCCGACGACTTCATAAACGAAGCCCGGAAAAAGTCCGACAAGCTTGCGAAGCTCAATCACTAAACGTCATTGAAGCCCAGGAGTCAATTGGCACGTGGTTTGCTTACCCCGTTGTACGAGGGAACGTCCCTGCTCAGCTGCCTATGGGCAATAAGCGAGATGCCCGCACAGCCCGCACAGAGAGAATTCTCGGTGCAGTCATCTCGGGCCCAAAGGCCGACGCGCTCCGCTTTGGGAAGGAGAGGGGGGCAATCACCCCTGCGGCGCGCGCGGCGGCCCTGCGCACAAAGAGCACACCCAGTGGGGCTCACACAATCGCCAGCTTGCCACAGAAGGAAATAACCTCGAGTGCGCGGTACCTGGGCGATCGGTCAGTGGTTGTCTGCGCGACGCCAGGGCGCGGGCCGGTCATCTCGTGGCAACAGTGATCGTCAGCTGGCACAAATGCCTGTCGGCGCCGGTGCCCGAATTCGAGGGCCGTGCCCGCACCTTGCTCCTGAGACTTTCTCTTCTAATGCAGCATGAAGTGCACCGCGGTCTGAGCTCTCGCTTTCGCTTTCCACTCTTCACCCTCACGACTATCCATCTTTCTGCTGTGGACGTAGGTGCTAATTTTGTGGACTTCAAGTCTGCTGCAGCAGCATCTCGTACAACTCGACAAGGCATCCTATTAGCTATCGCGACGAGTCGCAATTTTAATGTTTTAATCCATATATTCCAGCTAGTCTTGTTTAAAGACAGAATCTAACAAATTGCTAGATCCGCTGGACCACCATATTCATGTCACGTAGGCCGTCACCTTGCTGTCACCAGGACCGATGCCCCCCATTCCAGGGCTTACATCAGTCTTTCCCTCGTCCAGCTCAGCGCCCGCCCTCAAAGGCAGGTGGGGAATGCCGCCACCACCGCCTCTGTCACTAATGCGAATTCCTTTGCTCCGTGTTCCTTTGCAGTGCCCACCACTTCCTCATTCTCGCCGCCCATAACCGTCCGGCTCCCTTTATAAGCTCGTGATGCCATGTCCGATCCAGCCGCGTCCGAGATCGCTCATCGAGGGCCCAGTAGATGTCAGGTTTTGGGATCATCGGCATCGCATACCACCATAGATGTCCCGTTACTAGCCCTGCAGCGAAATTGGAAAGCTCGTATACTTGTGCTCCCGTCCATTCGTGGTGTCTCATCTCCAGTTCCCTACGCGTCATCTGAAACAAGTCCTGTCCAATTCTTTCCCGCAGTCCACGACCTGCCTCGCACTCCCTGAAAACATGTTTCTCTGTCTCCTCTGCCAATCCACAAATAGTACACAAAGACGACGTACCGAATCGTTCTGAGCATCGCGAGGCGGTGGGAAGGATGTGTGCCCGCAGCTGGAGTTGTGTTTGCGCTGCGTACGTCGAAATTGCGCGAAGGTAAGGATACCGTCCTGCAGAATGAGCGACTTGGAGTAGCAATTGAACGTCGTTACCGATCTTCTGGGGCAGCGATTTGATTTGCCATGCTTCTTGTAGGTCGTAGATTTTCTTGATCACATCACCCTCTATCCAAGCAGTTTGCTCGCCAAGGGATGCCTGGATTGTCCATTGTGGGAGTGCAAAGTCCGGGAAAAGCACGAAGAAGTCAGGTTGAGTGTGTGCCGATTTCGCCGCCTCATCTGCTCGAGTGTTTGCACGCGATGCTTCGTCTCCGCCACCCGTATGGGCTTTAACGTGCCGTATTTGTATCGAATCACTCGTTCTCAGCAGGTGTTCGAGCCAAGTGTAGTGTACAAATGCGGCCCTCGGTTTCTAATTTGCCGGGATCCGAAGGGCTCAGCCTTGCCCCTCACCGAGTGCCGATCAAGACATCAACGTCACGACGTATTCCGCCTTTCGAAAGGCGTCCGGTGAGCACTGCCCTCAGCTCGCCCCTCGCATGGGGCAGTCTCTCCGACTCGTTTACTCATCTCTTTCCTCACATGCCTTCACATCACAAAGTTCCAACACCCGGATCAGTGCCGACGTCGCCTTGGCGGTGCAACGAGCTTTCTGCGGACGGTCTTTCCTTTGTGGGGCCCGCGCGCGAAACGCCGAGCGACTCGTAAGTCCCAACACGGCGTGATGCCGCCTCGCCCATAGCTAAGCGCCACCATGCTCACATGCGCAGCACTTTGTCTGTTCAGTCCAACTGACCGATAGAGTGGTTTTTGTGTTCTTGGGGCTGCAGTAAAACAGAGGACCAATGGGTCAGAACGCATCCACACTCCAAGCAGCGCCGACGACGGCTGGGTCGCCTTCACTGAGCAAGCACAATGGGTTGCCGAGGGTCGAATCCGGTTCGACCACACCAAAACACCCCGGGACTTCCACACCTACACCTCGAGCTCTGGGGAAGAGACTCGAAGTGTCCAGATCAGTCGTCAAGAGGCAAGGTGCTCCCGAATCTCTGCCCAACGGCCGACTGGTTGTCACACCCGAGGCGCGCTCCAAATTGTCGCCGATCACTTTAGACGGCCTGAACAAGGCGGCGCACGAAGGGCTCGAGATAAATAAGGATCAGGACGAGGTGGAGTGCTTAAATGATCGTATCGGCCATTCTATACCATGCGAACCAGCCCTTGCGTCGGTTCAGGAGCTCGCCTCTTCCAACTACCCAAGCCGGCCGAGCCCTATCTCGCACTGGTCGACGTCCACGATTGGAGACGGCGACTTTGACTCGAGAAAATCTGTTCGATCTACACAACTGATACCTAAATCTTCCCACAAGACCAAGTTGCCGTCTCCCCCGCTGTCAACCCATTCTACCCGATCACCCTTGGTCGATTCTCCTTCCGTTGCCAAGAAGCTCGGTCGACACCTCACCAACGGGCTCAAGTTCCGCCAAGAATCGCCTCCCAGTCCACGCATCAAGGGTCCCATCGTCATTGTGGGGGGTAGCCGGATGTCGGACAGGCGCTACTCGGCGCTCAGCAAACGCAGCAACGGTTCGACCAGTGCTGCTCCTACGATCAGGACTGCTACCGATAAGAATGTGACACTAGGAGCATACTCCGAGATGTTCGGTGGTCTGGACGAGGAAGACACCGCGGGCGAGAATTTTATTGGCGTCTCATTGTCATCGGGAACCCAGACCCCTAGCGACTCCTTCGAGCACTCCCCCAGACTGGATCACGCGGTGACGAAGGGACCGCGAGCTTCGGCCCCAGCGTCTTACTACGGGTTCTCGGCACCTTCCAGCAGCAACGGGGACGACAACTCTCTTCGAGCTCCTCGCATCAGCCAACCTCATCTGCTCGATTTCAGACACCGACAGAATAACAGCGTCGTCTCCGCGGCTTCTAGAGCGAGTTCTCGTCGATCGTTCCTAGACTCGCTCACCCGTCTCATGGAGGACGCCGCCGAGCTTCTCGACGTCAGTGTTGACGACGAAGCTGATGCCCCCCCTCTTCCTCCCAAATGGGAGGGGAGCTCTCAGCGACCGTCCCTGCAAGTCATCACCAATGAGGTGATCGGCAACTCCAGCTCTCGGGCAACGTCGCTGGGTCGAGCGAGATCGTGCCCCTTCAGAGGCGCGGACCATCGGCACCCACGTCGCCACTGAGCACTCGATCCCTTCGCATTGGTCTTGCCCGTCGACCATCCATGGTCTCGCAAACTTCTTTCCCAAGATCCGTCTCCGGGGACGTAGTGGGCGAGCGACCGACGAGCCAGGTCTCGCAGTCAGCTAGCAGCGAGCTCGGAGTACCCGTCTGGCTGCCCAAAGAGCTCGACCTGGACGCAGAGATCAGCTGGGGCCCTTACTCGATGCAACCAGCGGAAGCACCTGTGGGGACCATGTCGCCAAATGGACAAGCGGCGCAACAGTTTCCAACGGTCGCTTCTATATCGGCCGCTTCGACCTCTCCTGCTCGAGCACCTTTCGTTCCTCGCTCTTTGCAATTGAGTAAGAGTCGACCGCAGAGCCGAAAATCGGTCCAGTCTAACGCATCGACGCCGAGCATGAGCTCTTCGTCGTCTTCGATCAAAACGACCCCACAGGTCGTGCATGAGATCCATTTTCCCACCCGCGACGTCGACGCCACCTTGGACAATCCGAGCAAGACGTTGCAATCGTTCGGTCATACGAAAGACTACTCTGCGCTGCCACTCGCCGCCAGTGCGGTAGACTTCGAATCGGCACCGCCGATCGACATTCTTGGGCCGATGGAGCACGTCATTGACAGTCCGACCATCGTCACCCCTCCTGTTGTGCCTCTGTCGACCGCAGTGGCGAATTTGAAGACACCGACGTTTGCGCACTTTTGCCTCAAGCCAGCTCAAGTGACGCAAGAAGCTGCTGCCCCTGACTCCCCCGCTCGACTGTCACCCATGACGATGTTACGCGATGGTAGCGGCGTTTCTTCGACGCATTCGACGCCTGAACAACGTCGACAGGGATTCCTCTCCTTCCTTCACCTCGAGGCCTCCGCCGAAGAAGGCGCACAACAATACCCAGTCCTCGTCAACCGATTCGATGGAGTCGACCAAGGATCTTTTCGCCCTCGTTATTATTCCGCCGAGGCGTTGGCCAAGCCGATGCATGATTTCGAGCGCGAGGAGTTTGAGCGAAGGGAGTCCGTCCCGAGGTGGACGAGGCCGATGATTGGGAATGCGGCGTCGGGACATGATTTGAGAGCCCACCAAGCTGCTTGGGATTCGCTGGCTAGTGGAGGAGCAGAAGCGGATAAGAGTCGGAACACGCTGGATGGCAAATTGAGGTTGGGCAAGGGGAGTAAGCGAGGTTTCGATCGAGGCGAGATCAAGGGTTGGTTGCAGGAGCAGGCGCTTTGATCTTTTCAGTTTTACGACGCAGCGTTACTATAAGTTAGCGAAAACAAAGGTGATCCCCTAGTAGTACTGTCTTTTCATTAGTATGGCCTTTTCAAGTGCTGAAAGCCACTTTCACTTTCGTACAATTCGGTCCCGACCTTCGCGAGATCTGTAGAGAACGAGCGATGCAAAATTTCACAGCCAAGTAATACTGAAAACACACAAAATTACCATAGGGAATGACTCTGTCGTGCAACACGAGTACAAAGCGGAACTACTATGGCCGATACCCTTGACCTTAGTGTCCGTCTAAGCTGGGAGCGACCCTGCTCCCTTCACGGATCCCGGTTGCGGCGCAACGATCGAAGGCTAACCAATGAGGACGCCATCATCCTGACCTCCCTCCACACCTTCGCCGATGGATTGTTCCTCACCCCCTGCCTTCGACAGAGATGCGTCCGACCAAGTCTCTTCTTCAACGGCGGGGATGACTCGAGCTTCGGCTACAGCCTCGTCTGTACTCTCTTCTTTGATCCAATCGTCCGTAGATTCTTGAGGATCCGAGCCGAGCGACGGTGGTGTAGGTGCGCCGTCCCTCGTCTCGACCTCGTTCTCTTGCACCGCCGGACCGGATCCGGTCCCTTCGTCGGACTCGATATCCCAATCATCCGGTTCACTAAACTCATCCGCCGAAAGCACCTCCACATCTTCCGTCGACTCCTTCGAGCCCTTCCCCTTCCCCTGTCTGCTCCCCTCCTTTTTCTCCTCCCTCGAAAGCGTACTCCCCCCACCCATCGACTTCCTCATCCAAGCAGGCGGCGAATCAGCAATCGAGAAAATCGGCTTGTTCTCCCTCGTCAACCCTTGCGTCCGTTGTACGAAATCGTCCCAATCCTTTTCGTCTTTAATCAAAAACCCGACCAACATGCTGGGGTCAAGGGAAGTGATGGCCATCTTGCGTACTTTGTCGCAGTGGTACGTTGAGAGGGAAGGGTCGGGGTAGGCGGTGAGGAAGTACGTTGAGAGGGACGCGGCTTGAGGGTCTGGTCTGGCTAGAGTGGGAGGATGGACGGAGACAAATGATTCTGCGTCCACTGTGGTGGGGGTCGTGGGCAATGGCGCAGAGGATGAGATGGGGATGGACTGAGCCGGCCCAAACAGTTCCGGCGGTGGATGGCGCAGCGGTATTGAAGGTTTCGGATGATGCGGGTCGATATAAATCAACGAATTCGCCTGCGCCCCAACAAAGTAATAAGACGACGAAGGTCTACCCCCCGCGATGCCGACGGATTGGGGGAAGCGGAATATGGCTTTGATCGCTTCGTGGTAGACGGGGTTCACGCCTTCGATTCCTAGCCTCAGACCTAGGAGGACGAGAACAGGTCGCTGCCACGGCTTCTCCGGTGTCGTGATCTCGGACGTTGGCGTCGAGCTTGGCATCGACGAAGCGGCCTCAACTTCGGATCGATAGACAGTCCCGTCATTGACGCCTACGACGCTCAGTCCAGCGGGAGGGAAGTCATGCACGAGGGATTTAATCGCCCCCATCGCCGTAGAAGGGCCGAACCACTCGCCCACTTCCTTCCCAAGCTGTTTGCCCGTCAAAGCGAAGCGATGGACGGAGAACGGAGCTAAAGGTGAAGGATCGTCGATGAAGAGCGAAAGGATGCGAGCATACGTCGCGAACGAGGGGGGCAAGTTGACTGCCGGGGCCGATGTCGAGGCGTGGGTCTGCGAAGGCGTCGTCGGGGAAGGCAGACCTAGTGTTGGGAGGGGTCGTCGCCAGTCTGTCCAGGACAGAGAAGTATCAGCACAAGTCTTATATTCCTTTTCCCACGGTCTCTCTGGTAGCTCACCTCGACCCAAATGAACAGCCATCAGAGCATTCGCCAGCAAACTCTGACCCGTCCTAAGCATGCAACCCCAACCCGTATCGCTCGATAGCCCATCCGCCGTTCTCCCATTCGCACCCCTCCCGATGCTCATGCTCAACGAGTTGAAAAACCCTCCACCACCGGCGTTACCCGGAGACGCGCATGGGATCGGAGGGAAGCCTGATCGGTACGTCAGGGCCATGCGGGAATAAAAGTCGTGGTAGAATGTCGAGGGCCAGCCCGAGGTCGTGGAGGACGAGGGCGCAAGGTTGACGGCTTCGCTGTCGACAGCCTCCTCGGAAGGTCGACTCGGTCGAGGACTCGTCTTGCCACCCTCGTTGATGGATGATTCTTCGCTTTTGGCCGCCTGGTGACAGACACCGAGGACCCAAATCTCGTCCTCGCATTTATCGGCGTGACTATCCGAGTCAAAGAGGAATTGCGCCGTCTTGTCCAAGAATCGATCAAAGGGTCCCAGCGATCGTCCACCACTACGGTTAGTGTTCAAAGCCGTCGCACTCCCTCGCTTCGGCGGTGATGCTCGCGACGGACTCGACGAGGCTGACCCCGGTGAAGTTGATTTCGAAAGCGGAGGTAAAGCCCGGGACGTCACCATCGGGGAAGGCGGGTCGTTCCCGGCAGGCGAGGTGGAAGTCAACGTCTCATTGTTGATGATACTGTTGAACCAACCGCCTATACGTCCACCGACCGAGGATTGAACCTCCGAGGAAGCTGAAGGTGCGAACGAATCGCTCGCTCGAGGGTTGAAATCAGGGTCGAGACAGGCTTCGAGTTCCTGACTTCGGCTCAGCGACTCGGTAGACCACGTCGCGGATTTCTTCCGCACCATACCCAGGTTTGATGCTGTCGAGGCCTTATTTACGCGACGAGTAGGAGAAGAAGCGACGAGTTCCTCCGGGATCGAAAACTCGCGCTCGTCTTGCGCCTCGGGTCGCCCGAAGAGCTTGGATCGAGTCTTGCGCAAGCTGAATCTCCCCACGCCATTTTTGGGTGGTGGCGGTGCATCGACCGAGGGCTTACTGGTTGTCAATCTCGGCGCAGCCTGCAGGCGCGCATCAAAGGGCGAAGTAGCTCCATCATCGAAACTGGTTTCGGCCCAATCTTCGAGCTCGCCATCATGAGCGCTCGCAGCAGACCCTTTGCCCTTGTTGCGCACGTTCTTGAACGACAAGGAGCTGAGCGCCCTCGAAGTGGCCGAGATCTTGGACTCTTTATCCTTTTCAGACGAGAGCGAGCTTCTTAGCGTTTGAATGGGTGATGCGGACCGCGACGAGGAGGGGGAGTGAGCCGAACTCGAGGAAGAAATGGAAATGGTTGGGTGGACCAGAGCGGCGCGAGGATCTTGGGTCGACGAGGTGGGGTGGGTCGCACTTGCTCTTCTTGTAATCCTACGTGCGTTCTTGATGCTGCTGGACGAGGTGGAGGATTCGGTCGATCCGCGCGAGAGCCATCGGGTGAGTTTGTTTGATGACGAGCCCGCCGACGAAAGGTTGGGGTCGAGCTGGAGTGATGTGTCGTGACCGGTGTTTGAGCTGTGGTTGACATTGTCAACTAAGACAATATCGTGCTCTTGTGGTTTCGGTCGATCGCCCTGCCGTGGGACAAGGACCGCATTGTCGCCGGCAGGAGGAGAGGGCGAGGTTGCCCAAGGCCGAGGTGGGGAGGAGGCCTGAGCGGGTGGTCGAGGCAAGCCAGCTCCTGACTGCGTTGACTGCCTGAGAGGTGAAGTAGTGGCTGCTGGTCTTTCTATCGCAGCCGAAGGAACACTCGCCACCGGTGGATCCGTCGACACGACCGGAGCTGCTGCGGCTTGCGGTGTCGCAGCCGAGTGCTCTGGGCTGGTAGTGGTGGCGGTCGAGGTTGGAGCATCCTCCGCCATCGTTCCCATTTAGCGGCGGCGGCGGAGCGCCCCTACGGAGGATGTGAGTTGATACACCACTGCCAGTATAGAGCACGAACCCTAGAGTCAGCAGGGCTCAAGTAGTGCAAGGTTACGCGGTGTAGAACAGGCAGTGGATCGGCATTGGAGTAAGCGAGCGGGTTGAGCCCCACGTAGCACCTCCCGGCCGTTCGGATAATCTGAGCTCGTAGTCGATTGTTGTCCAGTACAGCCCGCGTCCGTAGGTGTTTCTGTTTTCGCCCCCGTCGGTGTCGCAGCTATGCGCAGTTTTGGGACGGTGCGATGGCCGAGCCAGCGGGGGTGATGACGCATGACGCGAGCTCCGACTGCCACGGACGACGGCTACCCGTTGACCGAGTCACGTGGAAGACGTCGGTTCGACTTGGGGGATGGAACGAAAAGTCACAAGCCGGAGCTCACCTTGATTGACAGACAGACACACACACCGACGTGGCTCGAAGTGCGGCGTGGCAGCCTCTGAGGCCGCGTATTCGAGAGCGCACAGGAGATAGCGAACCCACCTTCATCGCCAGCCGGCCCGCTGCCGCGCTGTCGGTCAACGCGAGACTGAGTCAGACCGTCGAAGCCCACTGCAACCGACGACGAATGCGGTCTATGCAAATTTGACCCGACCAGCAGCAGTAAGTAGCACAAAAAGCTCAAAATATCAGTACAAAAGATTGCGGCAGAATCACGAAATATCTCGATGATTACTAATCCTCGGGGCGAAGGATCACATCCACAATGAATTGGCAGGCCAAAAGTAATTTCAAAAATGAATTTGATTCGACCGGGGGCAGTTGGAGCCCAGATTAGACGTGCGAGGACGTGCGCGCCAGACACAGGGAAGCCATCGCTGTTCGTCCCAGTGGCCGACGGGTCAGACTCGTGGCCCTTGTACTTCCACTACAACCCGGCCCGACCTCTCCAGAAACGATCGCTCCCTTTGGATCTTGTCCCGATCTTGCTTTCCGTGAACCCGTTTACGCCGTGCACACGATGTAAGCTGACTCGCCGCGCGACCGTGCCTTGCGTTCACACGTCGAGACGCGAGACGCGCCTACGCCCAGCTGCAGGCCCACCCCGCCTCGTGTGGATCATCACGCGCGTCGGCTCACCCATCCCGTACGTACTGACCCACCCATCCCCCCCTCTTCAATCGCACGTGATACGTCATGCAGGGGGGGAAGTCTATCCAAAACATTAAGCAAGTCACCCTTTCCTCGTCCCTGTGACTGCGCTGCCAGATCTGACCGCGTTCATCTCCTTCCGTTTCGCTCTGACGCTGACGCTGACGCCGACGCTGACGTTCGCACACGCGCCCCTTTGCCTTGTCGTCTGGGCTCCGCTTCAATCAATCAACTCGCCGCCCGGGTTCGTAACTCCTTCACGACCTCACTCAATTCGGTCTTGGTCTATATCATACTGCACCCTCGATCACGACAGGCAGGATCTTTGGCAACAAGGAGATGCGCATTCTCATGCTCGGACTCGACGCAGCGGGCAAGACCAGTCAGTTCACGCACGATCAACAGTCCTTACTTGGACTATCGGGTGCTTTATGGTTTCCTAAAAAACTCGTAGGATTGAACCGGAACTTTCTCTCGCCACAGCCATTCTGTACAAACTCAAACTCAACCAAAGCGTCACTACCATCCCGACCGTCGGCTTCAACGTCGAGACCGTCACCTACAAGAATGTAAAGTCAGTCCGGCGGAACGATCGCGTGATTCGTTTTGTTTGACCATCAGAGGCTGATTCATCATCGCTCCCTTTACGCTCAGATTCAACGTTTGGGTTAGTAACACGACTCTTTGGTCCGGCTCGGCCTGTCCCCCGAAAATCGTGTCTCGATCGGGGAACAGAGCTCCAAGCACCCTCGACTCACACTCTTGGTTGCCCCTCTCCAACAGGACGTAGGAGGCCAAGACAAAATTCGACCCTTATGGCGCCACTACTACACCGGCACCCAAGGCCTCGTCTTTGTCGTCGACTCGCAGGACCGTGATCGTATCGAAGAGGCACGAACGGAACTGCACAAGATCCTCAACGATCGAGAGATGAAGGAGTGTCTACTTTTGGTGTTTGCAAACAAGCAGGATTTGCCGGATGGTATGTTTTTTCCGTGATTATGAGGCGGGGAGAGCTTCAGTGGCAGAACCTGATCATCGAGTGCACTTTCCAATAGCCATGTCACCAACAGAAGTGACGGAGAAGCTCGGTCTCTTGCGGATGAAGGACCGAAGTTGGTACTGCCACCCTTCCAACGCCCTCGATGGAGATGGACTGTTCGAAGGTAGGTTCATTTCGGTGTTGATCACGCTAGCACGCCAAGAGACCATGCTTATGTCCACTTGTGTCCCGTCTCCTCTTTGACCCACCAGGCCTCAATTGGTTATCGCAAAACATCAAGGCGCAGAAGTGATCGCTTCGATGACCATCTTTTTGTTTCATTGTACATGCCATACTTCCTGCACACCTCGATCCAGTTCCTCAAGAAGGAGATTCTTCTTGCATACCCCCCTTTTTTCGGAAAGGTTCTGGTCCGTCGTCGTAACGATCTATCCTTATTCCCCCCGTCACCCGCATCCCTCCGGCCATCCGGCTCTCCGGCGTTCCCGAAGACCCCTACCCCATCTAGCTCTCTTCCATCCACTCTCATACCACCCCATCTTTTACTTTCGGTCCTTCCTTCGGCCATCTTTATCCCATTCTTGCGCCCTTGGGTTCCTCTCCCCTTCCTCCTTTCCTCTCTTTGTTCCGTTCTGTTTTGGTTGTACTGGTCGTTTGCGCGCGTGTCACCGACCCTTTGCTTTCGTAATGAACCCTTCCATATACTTTATGCGTCCACATCCGCTTCGGACGAGAAAGGATGATCAGAATCAGAGAGACTCGAGGGCAGAATAGAATATAGTTCCGCTTTCGGCCCCTATCAACTCCCTTCTCTTGCTCTTCTCCACTCTCGTCATGATTCACGAGCAGGGAACTCGGCTTTGAAAATCCAAAATATTGTGAAAAATCACAAGCTTATCATGTAAACAGGACGCACACGATGCTTGGTTTGGTTTTTTCTACGCCAAAAACAGGAAAGAAGAATAGAAGTGAACCGCGTTCTTACTTGTTGTCGTCGCTAGAAACAGAAAGAAAAGGACTCCCGTGTGACGTCTTCCTCTAAGATTGAGGAAGAAGTTCTCGAGGAAAAAAAAGGGGGGAGAAAGAGGCCGAAGAAGTAAAGAACGACAAAAGGACGCGTTGTCAGCCCCCCCCCCCCGAACGTGGTACGGCACCCTCAAACACTCTCATCCAAATCAATCGCCCTGACATCCTCCTCCGAACTAGTGGTCATCATATCCCCCCCATCCGTACCCTGGATCGGAAGGACCGAATCCCCCAATCTCAACAACGGAGCATTCGTCGTCGATCGATGAGATCTGGGACGATGGTTCATCCCTGTTGATGGGCCACGACTTGATTGGGACCAGTGGAAACGGGAGGAGGGAGCGTGAGGGGACCAGGTGTAAACGGGGAGGTTGAGCGAGGCGAGGTAGTCCGGTGAGGGCATGTGGACATGGGAAGTAGGACCGGACTGAGGAGGTGAGTGAGAAGTCAGTACTTGAGAATGAGATCGACGCCAGAGGGTCTCTCGAATGTAACTCACAAAAGTACTGTCGATCAAACTAGCGCCATCAGCTTGTGAAGGTTGCCGAAGCAAGAGCGGGATACCTCGCAACGGCAAATCGGCATCGGTTTCGTCCGACGTTGCTCCCCCGTTCGAGCTCGACGAGGAGACGTGCGACAGACCTTTGCGCAATCGAGGGCGCACCGAGGAGGTCGGCGGATGGGGGATCATGCGCGTGTCCACGATTTGGTGGCGTTTAAATCGAGGTCGTTTCGTCGAGGGTTCACCCGTGATGGCGGCGTCGGGCCTCGTCCTCTTCTCAATCGTGGGTTCGGGCAAGTCGTCGAAACGTAGGGTGACGACGATGGTAAACGCATCCGCAGGCGAGACGTCAGACATGCCGCTCGTCTTGAGGCCTTGCAGCTGCCCGAACGAAAGAGGCTCGTTCGCCGATGTGTTCTTGCTGGGCTGCATCGCCACACCATCATCAAAGTGCAACAATCCCTTGCCATCGACGTCCATCGCTTCGTCATCCTCGATGGGCAAAACGACTCGAACAGCTTTGCCGAGAATCGTCGCTCCGTCAGGACTGGGTGAACGCTCAACCGAACCCTCCTCGCGAGGTCGATGTCCGAGAGGTCGAGGGGCGTTCCGGTCACTCGGGCATACCTCCGAGAGCGGCTCCTTCGACAGATCGGAACAGAACTTGGCGTCGGCGTAAAACAGCATCGTGCCCGTGATACCGATCTCGTCGTCGACGGCCTCGTCCTCGTCAGCCGCGACCACGCGCTTCGGCTCGGACCCCGATGCTTGTGCCGACGAGTTGCCACCCGCAGTTGAAGCGGCACCCCGGCTTGACGCAGCTCGACTCGAGCGAACGAGGACATGATCGCATCGAGAAAAGAAGGGCAGGTAGGGTGTGTGGGTGCTGACTTTGATCGGTGGCGAGGTGCTCGATTTGGTGGCGTGAGACCCGGGTGAGTTCTGTGTGCGACGACCGACCGACGAAGCAGCGGCCGCTCTGACCGATTGCACCTTGCTCTCTGAGCCCAAGGGATGAATCTGCGACCCAGGCGAAAGGCCAAGGCGCTGTACTGCGGCAGTCGTCGGGGTGTGCCGTGTAATCTGGGATGGAGCAACGGTCGACGCGTTCGCACCCTCGAGCTTGCAAACAACCGAGTCAGGGTAAAGAGAGGTGGCGGCGGTCGAGGCGACGGGGCCTGATCCACTGTTCCAGCTTCGCTCACGATCACCAGTCATGTCCGAATTCGACGAGTCCAATCCAGTACTCGATGGTGCGTGCCATGAGAGCCGACGTTGGTCCAAAGCTCGCTGTCGATCGGCGTAGGAAGGGACCATCGCATTGGTGAAAGGACCCGTCACAACCATCGGCGTCGCTCGATCCTCCTTGATCGATCCCCCGGTCTGAGGCTTGAACAAGTCGGGTCCCTTCCACCTCACCTTGGCTCCCGAGCTCGAGACCTCAAGTCGGGTTGACAAGGTCCGGATCGCGCTCTCGATGAATGGCATCGTCACGCTGAAGCGGTGCGTCATCGCCATCGTGCACACGAGCTTGAGGTAGACCCAACCGTTGGACAGGAAGTCCTGCTCGAGCAACTCGCTGAGGTACTCCTCGTTCGACCGCGTCCCCTTCATGCCCTTACAACGCGCTTCGAACGAGTTCCGGAACAACTTTTCGATGGAGTTGACGATTGCTTGCGCAGTAGACATGGACTTGTCGTCGATGGTCACTGAAGGGCGTTGGGTGTTCTCGCGAGTGGCCCATATGGCGGTAGGTTCGTCCTCTTTCGTCGGCGTCGTCTCGCCCGTGTCTCCCGAGGTCGTGGCTGCATCCACCGCCTTGCTCGGCCCCTCAATATCGTCGGCATGTGTGTGCTTGCGGGCCTTCTTATGCTTCTTCTGCTTGCGTTTCTTTCTGTCCGAGTCACTCGAAGAATCAATTTTGATCCCCGCGCCAGTCCCAGTCGTCGACGTCGGTTCGAACCCGAAATCGCTGGGGCCGGCCAATACATCGCGTTCTGACGAGGCGCTCTTGCGCGATCGGTGAAACTTGCGGTCGGGGATCTTGGGAGGTGGAAGCGAGGGAAGCACAGTAGATGCAATAGAGTGGGATGAATGGAGAAGCACCTGTGGTCGATGCTCGGCCGTCGTCGATGTGGTAGCAGCAGAGGCGACAGCTGGTGAGGGTGTTGATGTGTCGTGCAATTGGGAGATGCCCTGAACGTAGCGCGTCAAGAAGGTTTCGAGATCTTCTCGCTTCTCCCTGTGGACAGAAGGCATGGATTAGCAAATGAGACTAAACTGCGGTCTTCCCGACTGCGTTCCCTCGTCATTCAGGCACCGCACACGTACTCGCTGAGACCTTCAAAGTATCGAATTTCGAACAATCGGTCCCGTTTGAGTGTGGCGGGAACACGAGCGGCTTCGTACCGTCTCAGCTTAGCTTTCAGCGCTTGATCTGTGAGTGCATTCAGATGCAAAAGATCAGGTCCCTCCTAAACGGACGCCACGATTCGGGCCACCGCGAGACTCACTCTCAAGAGCCAGATCGTCGACGATGGTCCTAAACTCTTCATTACTCGCCCCAAGAGCCTGCGATATTCTCCGCGTTCCTTTGGCCTTGCGAGCCTCGAGTTCACCCGCCGAATCGAGCGACGACGTCCCCGCAGTGATGCCAGCTTCTTCTCGATCGTCGCTTATCCCCTTCTCCTCGCTCATCACGGCCTCTTCCATGTTCTCGTCCCCGTCCGAGTCATTACTCGAGACTGAAATCCCAAGTGCTCCAACGCGCCGGATCCGGATCATGGGGTCTCTCCGAATTTGGACCAAGCCCTTGGGAAGCTTCGTGCTCGTCCGCCCTCGATCTCGATGACGCTCTGTCTTGACGACCTCGAAGGCCCCTTCCTCATCATCATCCTCTTCGTCGTCGTCATCATCATTCTCATCGGATTCGTCGGTCTCGTCATCGCTCGTATCGGGTGGCAGGCTCGCTGAAACGGAAGGGCGCAACGACGCGTTCTCCAACGAATCCTTGTCATCGACGCCACCGACGCCGTCGATCGCTCGACCTTTACCCTTGTTCGAACGGGGGATCACGTGCGCCCTTCCCAACGTATCAGGCAATGGTTTGCTAAGATGGGTCCAAGGAGCATGGGTGAACCCTGCTATTGAGGTTGAGGTGGTCGGTCCGTATTCGAACTTGGGCCCGTCAAAGTCGGACGCGCTCGATTCTTGCCGAGACAGGGGATGGCGGTGCGAAGCGTGAGAGGGCGCGTGACCGTGAGAATGGCCATCCTGGGTTGAAGGGTGGTGGTGGTGGTGGTGATGGCGATGGTGGTGGGAGGATGATCCAGCTGGGTACATGGTGTGCTGTTCGTCTTCTCGAATGAGATCGAGTTGAGAATCAACTTTGGGGTGGGATGGGTGCAAAGGCCATGTCGATGATGACGATGACGAAGGCAGGCCCAGCGCACCGCTGCCAGCAGTGCTCCGGTCGTCGGCCGCGGCTGGCCAGGGCGCCCTGGAGTCGGCGCCGCTGGGGGTGGTGCTGGTGCTGGCCCCGGGATCGACGCTCGAACTGGCTTCTGTGTCAGCTCGATGTCCGCCACGACTACTCCCCCCCGTCGTGGTTGTCGTCGTACTGTGACCACTCAGGTCATTGTTTGACGACATCCAACAACGGGTGAATGGTTTGCTGTCGTGTTGGGTAGCAGAGTCTCGGGGTCAAGCTCGCGGAGTTGTGGAGTTGGTGGTGATGTGTGTGCGCGCGTGCGCGTGTTCTGTTCGCGATCGGCCTAAGAACTCGGGAAGATGAGTCCGACGACGACTCGACGGCGGCTGATCCGAGGTGTAGAGGGGATTGATGATGTGCTGACTGTGTACGTCGGAGGGAATAACCTAGACTTGTAATAGTGGCAATAGAGGGAAGTCGAAAGGGATGCGTCTCGTCGATTAGAACGAGGCACGATCAGCTCTAAAATGACAGAAAACGACTCGTCACTCCAGGCATAAGAAGCTTGTGCAAGCTCCGGCCCCCAACAGCTGTGCCTCACTTGCGTGGATTAATGGATCGAGTGCCGATCGGCGGTGTGCGCGCGCACACACCCGCCTCCGGCCTCCCCCACAAAAATCGGTCTCGGACTTTCTTTGCAGGTTTCAGTTCAGGCCGTTGTCTCTTCTCTTCCGGGTTGAAAAGGACTGCGAAGATTTCATTGTAGAGCAGCATGGTTCGAGCAACCCTACAACACAGTCGAACCAACCGCTCGCTCCAAGAGAACCTGTACGAACGCTCCTTTCCGGGCAGAAAGATCGCCACTCCGACGGCCTGCCAGTGGCGCACGGGAAAAAGTGGCAGCTGCGGGAAAGTCCGCGACGGACCGACGGTGGCCGCAATCTATTTCACCGGCGTGGATTTAGAGCCAACTTGTCCTGCTTGACGATCATTCACTCAGAACAAAAGATGGGAATATATTACTCGGGCTACATGACTCGATTCCAACCCTACATCGATCGAGGATTCTAAGGCTTTAGATCGCGCGTTTCGAGGCTTGACATCAATGCCAGATTCACGATGACCCGGCGATGGATCGACAATTTGATCGTTCGCACAGGATGATGGTGATGCATTTTCATGCGCTCATCAAGCCAGACTCATCATCAGTATATTCGGAAAGCGAGAGAGCGATTTTTTGATGGGTAAGAGGTACATTGAAGACATAGCGACTACATACAAAGAGAACTCGGAGGTACAAAGCAGAAGCTTATCGGATCGGAGTGGGCCGGCGGATGAATGACGATGTCAAAAGATCACGTGACCCGATCGGCGATCGTTCTAGCGCCAGGCCAAAGCTTACGACGCCACTGACTGCGAAACCTCCGCCACTCGTCAAATCCTTCTGAAAAGCAGACCCCTCCCTCTACATGGGCAGCACCTCCTCCCCGGAGAAATCCGCAGTCGGATCAAAGTCCTGTCTCCTCGACTTGCGATACGCTTCCATCTCTTCCTCCGTCACCCCACCCAAATGCTTCTTCCGATCCGCTCCGTCGGTCGCCTCCTCGCCCGCTTTCCTCTTGGTTCCTCCCGCCGCTTTCAACTTGTCCTTCTCTTCCTTGTCCTTATCCGCTTTGATCTGCATCAGAGTCTTGGTCGGTGCGGCGTTCGAAGGGGCTTTGGCGGATAAGAGGCCCAACCCTCCTGTAGCTTCGGCTTTGGCGGCTTCGATCGAGGCTTGTCCGGCGCAGTACGAGTTTTTGACCGACGAATGACAGCACGCGAAGCCCCATTGGCCCGTGAGGGTGTTGTACCATGAGCCCCAGATTGAGGTGTGGTTGCCAGGGTAGACTGTAGGCATCAACGAGAGGAGATCAGCTCCTTGTGCCCGCCACACTGAACGAAAAAGCGCTGAGAGCACCCACCATCCTCGTCGTACTTGGACTTTGCCTTTGCCCTCTCCCGTCCCTTGATGACTTGCCCCGTCCTCGAATACTCGACATAGTTCTCCGTCTGACCGCCCAACAACTCCTTCGGTGCCCTCTCCAGATGTTCCTCCCCACCATACCGTTCCAAAATCGACGCCGCCGACGTCTCCTTGAGTTTGTCCTTCTTCTCTATGAATTCCTTGTGTACGAGAGCGGATTGGGTCGGGTTCGAGTTGAGGTGCACGTCGTTACCTCGGGATTCGGATTGCCAGGCAAAGAGTTGGAGTTTTTGCACGTCCATCGCGCCTCCCGAGTGGCGAGCAAAGTTGTCTCCCGCAAAGACGGCCTACCGGAGAAAGTGATGTGGTCAGCTCAAGTCGTTGATGAACCCATGTAGCGATGTCCACGTACATCTTCCGGCCGTACACCTGCAATGGGAGCCTCTCGCATCGAACGCGTCTTGGGGTCGTAGTAAGCCGAGTCGATATCGAGGTTCATCAAATACTTTGCCGTGTCCTCACGGATGCGCAGGTTCCTAACCGTGATACGCGTCTTGGTATCGACCTTTTGGCCCGCCACATCCGCGCCCTCAGCGTACTTGTCCTCATCGTCCCCTTCCCCATTATCGGCCTCTGATTCGTCGGACGACCCAAAATCGTCGTCGTCGTCTTGCTTCTTCTTGTTGCCTTTGCCCGCGCGAGCGGCCTTCTTGACGGCTTTATCATCGACCGCTGCCGAGCCTTTATCGATCGCCTCTTCCCTCAACTTGCGTCTCGCCTCTTCCAAGGCCTCATGTTCCTCCACCACAGCGCGATGGGAAGCCGGATCATAACCATCCCATCGATCCCTCTTGGCATCGAAATCGCCCTGTCCTTCGAGACCGTTGAGTCCGACGCGATCGTTGTGAATGATTTCGTCGGCGGCGATGTTCTTGCCCGTGTAACGGGCGCCGACTTTGCGGGGTCGTTCGAGACAGTCCTTCTTCTTGTGCGTCATGGCACCACAGTTCTCGCAGGCGCCTTTGCGGAACTTGTTCGCTGCCGGGGCCTGAGGGATGAGTGGAGCGTAGGGTGAGCGTAGGGTGAGCGTAGGGTGAGCGTTCGTTCGTAAGGGCAAGTCACCCAGCTCGATTGTGTGTATGTGTGCGTTACTCACCGCTCGTTCACCCCGTTCATATCGTGATTTTAGTTTACCCGGATCACGATCATTACCCCTCGCGAGCATCTGTTGAGGTACATTCCCACGTATAGAAGAAGCGAGTCAGTACCCTACGCGATGTGGCTGACTGCAACCACTCAGCGCATGCGCGACGCTACGCTCACCTTTTGATGCTTCAACGACGGTCCCTCGGTTTGGGCCATGTACCAAGGAGCTTTCGACATGAACTCGGGGATATGAGGGTTGATCGCTTGACCATCTTCGTCGACGGCGGGCGCGGCCGTACCGGCTTTACGGGCCGCATCGAGATCCTTTTGACGACGGCTGTTTTTTTGAAAGGGGGAGAGGGGTAAAAGGGGTGGGTGAGTAGGGGTGGGGGGATGAGGTACGGCGCGAGTGTGGATGGTGTACGGGTACTTACAACTCTTCGCGGGAGAGTTTGGCTGAACGGGGACGGGAGCACACGACGGAGTGGATCGGTCAGCAATCAGCCAGACGTATGACTGAGAGTTGACTGTCGATCCGGGGGAGACGACGAGTGGGTTGACTCACCTGACATGATGAACGAAGTCCTGGCTGGGATGGGGGTCAAGAGAGCGGAGGTCAAAGAGGCGCAGGCGCTGTCACGAGCTGCTCTCGCCCCGCTCGGCCTCGCTCGGCTGCGCTCGAACCTGCTCGGACCCGGCGGACGCGCCAACCTGCAGGCGCAGACTCGCGCAGACTCGCGCAGAAGTAGGCACAAGTGCTCAAAAGTCACAGCAAGTCAGAGAGAGTCCGAGCAAGTCACGAGCTGCCGCAAGCGACGCGCTGCCGTTCTTCTTCTCCTCACCTCGCCCTCTGACTCCCCACCCCCCCTTACTTGCGCACACTCGCAAGCTCAACCCCTCGTGCCAGCTTTCGACGGCGGGGCGAGACTCGGACCGGCGTCGTAGTCGTCTCACCCACACTCACGCCATGTCGTCCCTGCCAGCTGCGTCAAGCGCACCCGGGCAAACGGACCAATCGTACAAGGCGATCGTCGACTACCTCACCAAACGAGGCCACCTCAAAGCCGTCGCCGAACTCCAAACCGACTTGGCCAACAGCAACACTTCCGCCGCAGCTGGCAACACCACCGCCGGCAGTGCCACCGGCCCCGGCAACCCCTCGACTTCGACAGCGCGTGCAGGCGCAGCTGCCTCGTCCTCTTCTTCCCATCCGCCTTCCCCCGCTGCTGCTCTGAACGGAGGCGGTAAGGCGGTTGGATTGGATGATTTCGCACATCGCAATGCGCCTAGTCAACCTACCAGTCGAGCGCAGACCGGCGGCGCTGCCGGGGAACGCAGGGGTCCCGATCAGGCCGTCGCGGCGGGGCAGATGTTGGCCGATCCGCCGAGTTGGGAGAAAGGTTACGAGGGCTTGACGGCCTTTGTTCATAACGTGAGTGTGCACCGTGTGATGTATGAACCGTGGCTGACACGAGCGCGCTTCGCTCCTCTTTCCCCCAGTCGCTCGATATCCATCGACCGGAATTGCAGCCCATCCTCTTGCCCCTCTTTGTGCATGCCTACCTTGACCTCGTCCTCGTCGGGTACAGAAAAGCCGCAGACCAATTCATGAACCGGTGAGGGACCATTCCCAACGAGCGAGAAGTCTCGCGCGACCGCCACAACACTAACCTCCTTTGGGTTCATTCACAGCTTCGGACCACACCATACCCCTTCCGATCCACACGTCGTCCGTATGCTGTCCTCCATCCGTAACGCCGACCACGTCAAGGAATCCGAGGAAGCGACGAGGTGGAGGAAGGAATCGTACAATATCAGGCTGTCCGAACGAGGATGGGGGCTTTTGTTGGGTTGGTTGCAAGGCGGTGGGCTGGCCTTGAGTCTGGAAGGCACGGAATCGAGGGGGAGGGATCGCGTGTTGGCGATCATCAACGAGAGGGTCAAGGTGGATGGTTAGTGCCGCATCCACATCGAAAAGGATTGGATGGGGTTGCTGAATATCGCTTTTCCAACTCCACAGCCATGCCGGGACCTCCTTCCAAAACACCGACAGGCTACGGCCTCTTGTCCGACTTCGCGGGCAAAGAACCCTCCTCTAAAGCACTCGACCCTCTCAAACTTGGTCCCGCCCCCGTCGACCCCAATCTCGAACGAGAAGTAGCACGACAGGTCAAGGACGATGCCGCGCAGGACGCGATGGATACTTCGACGCCTTCCGCGAATGGCATCAATGGATCGACATCGACGAGTGAACCGAAGGCAGGACCAGGCTCGACCCCTCTCGCGATCGATTTCGCCGACGCGTCACCTCACGCCGAAAACGTACCTCTCATCAATCCGGTCCCAAGTGACATGCTCCCCATGCCGCAAACGTTACGAACGATCGACGTCATGCGCGAAGTGGAGAAAGTGAGGGAAGCGAGGAAGAGGATCAAGTTGAGTGCCGAGGCATACGTCGCTGTGCCTGCGACAACGACGATGAATGGTGCGAATGGGGACAAAGTCGGCGTTCCTTTGGGTCAAGTCACTGAGGCGGCCAAACCGAGCGTGTGTATTTTCACGATCCATGACGCGGGAGACAGGTGGGTGCCCGAGGCTCCATGAGTATTCGTAGGGTACGAGCTTGTACTCATGCGAATCAGGTCATTCTACCCCAGTTTGACGACGACAGCTTTTTCGGACGATTCAACCATGATGGCCGCGGCGTTCTCGGATAGTTATATTCGGTTGTGGAGCCTCAAGGGGGGCAAGTTGCAGGCGTTCAAGAATGATCTCAATCCCGATGAAGTCAAGGAGGGTCAGTGCCAGTTAAATTTCATTCCACGAGGTACAACCAAGCTGATTCCGAATGTTGCTCTCGCCACAGTAAACGACCTAAAAAAGATCCGAGAAAAAGCCGCCCCTACATCGCGCAAACTGATCGGTCACTCCGGACCCGTATACGCCCTCTCCTTTGACCCCGTTCCCGGACCCTCCGGCCCTCCACGCTACCTCCTCTCCGCATCCCAAGACGCGACAGTCCGTCTATGGTCCTTGGAAACGTTTACGAACCTCGTTGCGTATCGAGGACATCGTGAGCCGGTTTGGGATGTCGAGTGGGGTCCGAGAGGGATTTATTTCGCTACGGCTAGTCGGGATCGGACGGCGAGGTTATGGAGTTCGGACAAGACCCATGCGTTGAGAATTTTTGCGGGGCATTTGAGTGATGTCAACGTGAGTGCTGGTAGTGAGATTGCTGCCGACTACTGCGGGGAAGACACATCGGCTGGTTCTTAATCGTTCGTGCGTGCATGCACAGTGCGTGCGTTTCCACCCCAACTCGTTGTACATCGCCACCGGGTCGAGCGATCGAACCTGTCGATTGTGGGACGTCCAGAAGGGGACATGCGTGAGGGTATTCGTTGGACATCGGGATGCCGTCACGTGTCTGGCGATGAGTCCCGATGGACGATTCCTTGCTAGTGCTGGTTAGTCAGATCCCTTCGAGCCCATCATAGACTAAGCCCGTACTGACCTTTCGTACGATCCCCCTTCCACAGCCGATGATCTCACCATCAACCTCTGGGACCTTGCCTCGGGCCGGCTTATCAAATCCATGACCGGACACACCAGTTCCATCTACTCCCTCTCCTTCTCCGCCGAATCGACCGTGCTCGTTTCAGGTTCAGCAGACGCCACCGTTCGCGTATGGGACGTCCTGTCGAACCCTTACGCAGCAGAAATGAACGGGGAGCTCATTCCTGGATCGGGGCGGAGGGCTGGGATGGGAGGAAGTTTGGGTTCGGTGACGAGGATGAGTTTCGAGCAGGTGAAAGGATCGGCGAGGAGGGCGAGTTTGGTCGCGTCGGGGCTGGGTGGGGGTGGAGGAGGGGGAGGGGGTGCGGGAGGGAATGGGGGAAGTGCGGCGGCTGGGGGGATGGGTTCGGGGGGTGTTTTAGGGGAGGGGGGTAAGGGTCAGTGGGTGAAGGGTACGTTGGCGGAGAAGGAGGCGAAGGAGAGGTGAGTTCATGGGTGTTCTGCGTCAATCACGTTCTCAGGCACAGAGGCACTGATTCGATGTTCCTCATCCAGCCCCGATCTCTTGGCCACGTTAGCGACGAAGCGGACACCCGTGCTCGCGGTCAAGTTCACGCCGAGGAATCTGTGCTTGGCCGCGGGGCCGATGCAGGAAGTAGAGTAAAACACAGGTGCTTTCGAGTTGACAATGAACTCTGTCTTTCTAGCAATTTTCTGGGAGAGTAGTTGTGGGACGTGGGAGGAAGTCGTCGGATCCCGATCCGAATGGGAACTTAGCTAAACGCGTCCCTTCTAATGAGAACGCTTATGAGAACGGCGGCCACTGAGCGCGTGCTGCTGCGTGTGCGGTGTGGAGCTGCGGCCGGCGTGCGCTGTCGCTGTCTCCGCCTCATCATCAGCATCCGATCGTCGCGACCAGCATGCAGTTGTTCGCCACCTTGTTGCTCGCGAGCACAACAACCGTCGTACTAGCCGCTTCATCCTCGACCGCTGCACAACTTCGACTCTCACCTGATCCTTCCGCCTCGACAAGAGGAGCGTCATCTTCGTCGCGTGGTGGTGAGGCGGTGGCGTTGACGGCTCAACAAGCCAATGCGGTCCTAGCCCATCATCTAGGTGTCGCACAATACGAACGCTTGCCTTCCTCTTCTTCAAACAAGGGGAACGTGGATGACAAGTGGCAAGCGGCGTTAGGTGTAGGCCCGCAATGGACCACGGTCGAGGGGCAAAAGGTCGTCATCGTGCTCGAGTGTGGACAGTACGGGTGCCAAGGTCAGTGGCGGGACGGTCACATCAGCACGACGAGGGGATACAGTGTATGGTACTCATCTCTTGTCGCCGATCGCCACTCCGCTGACAGATGCGATCCCATCCGAACTGAGCCAATCGCAACCGTACGAGCTCCCTTCGTTGCCCGTGCACTCGTGGCTCTCGGCCGTATCCCTTCATCTTCATCGCCTCGCAGCGTCCCTCGGGATCGATCCCAAATCATCGAAAGCCGTATTGGGTCTCGAGCAGTTGACGGAGAGCATCAAGTCCGTCGCTGGATGGGCGGGGTGGGTAGGCGACGAATTGGGTAGTGCGATCGGGTGGGCTCCGCTCAAGGTGAGTCGTGGTGGGACCCTGGCAAGATGATCAAGAGATGATGAATATGCTGATCCGTACGGTTCAATTCACAGCACAACTTCAAGGCTGCTGTTGAGCCCGTGCGATCGTCGCTTGGACTGCTCAGTGACGTCGATCTTCTCGACAAGGTCCGTGCAAATCACTTGGACCAGGATTGTACAATGCACTGATCTAGACTGAATTTGCGTGTACAGAGCTCTGCGACGCTCGTCACCGAACTCGAATCGCTTTCCAACATGGTCGAGAGCCTCGCCGCTTCGGTCCAGTCGAACGACAACGGGCCCCAAGCCGAGAAGCCCCAGATCGTTGCCCTCCACCTCAAGGGCCTCAAGGTACGTAGACCAAAGCGTGATCGGAATCTACAGTCTATGATCAAGTACTGATCCACGTTCGAATGGCCCAACCTACAGGAAGTCGCCGCCGCGCACTCTCCGTCGTCCGAGACGTACCAACGTGCCGCGACGTTGCTCCGCTCGACCCTGAGTGCGACCCTTGCGGCCTTGCGTCAAGACGCTGCCACGGACGAACAACCGACCGTTCTCCTCCTGACTTTACCGCCTTACTCTCCCCCCTTGTTGCGTCGAAGAGCCCCCTTCCTTGCACCCTTCGCTTCGTCCCCTGCGATCCCTGGCCAAGTCGCACGACGAGGAGCCTCGATGCATCTCCCCCACCAAGTCAAGCGCGCCTCTGTCTTCGTAGACCACCCCACCACCCAAGACGGTCGAGTCAAACGCGCCCCTTCGGACTCTGGGAAACCTCGTCAACCCGTCGTCCCCTCGCATTACCGCTGCTTCGAATCCGAAGCCGAACTCAATAACCTCACGGCGTCATGTCTTGGACGTGGAGTGGGAGTGAAGGGCGTTTCGGCTGCTAGAAATGGAGGTACGGCGGATTGCTGGGTTTGTAGTTGTGGGAAGACAACGGAAGAGGGCAAGACGAAGTCGTGGGCTGGACAGGGGTGCGAGAAGGAGGATCTTTCGGGGTCAGTGGCTTTGGCCTCCTCCATCTCATCTAGGACAGTGACAGTCCAGAAACTGACTTTTCACCCCTTTCGAATTCCTAGCGACTTTGTCCTCCTCTTCTTCAGCGGCGTAGGCCTCCTGGGCATCCTTTTCGTGAGCGTCGGCCTCTTGTACGGCGTCGGCAACGTCCAGTTACCGGGTACGCTCGCGAGCGTCAATGGTGCTGGAGTCGGTTCCAAACGTGATTAGAAGACGAAACAAGGCTTTGAGGATCCTTGATCGCATGTTTTCGTTGTTATATGGACTCTCGCGCCTTCGACTTCCTTTTGCTAGCTTCATGTCTTTCTTGTCTCGCTTTTCGTCCTTTTTTTTCTTTCTGTTCTTTCTCCCCCCTTGTGCTTTGGAATGATCGACCTGTTTTAATAGAGAGATTGTACTTGTGTTGCCGTTGTTTGAGAGCTGATGGCCTTTCGTCTCTTGCACAAGTTTACGCACAAGAGGGATCGTTGTTGCACTACTCGCTACAGACACAGATAAAGAGCCAGGCCCCCGACAGCGTTGCTGAACTTGTTTCGTCTTGCCAACTCGCCTACACGACACCCCGAGAAGACCGGGGCTCAATTTTTGACCTCGTGCGCGCAGCATGACTGGCTGCCATGGTGCGCAGTTCACAAGGTGTCAAAGGAGTCGTTCCGATCTCCCATGGACGAATCTGCTCGTTCCCTTGGTACGACGCGAAATCAGTTAAGAGTGCACCTCTCGAGTCTCCTCCGCCACAACGTACATCATCGCCCCCTCTCCAACCGGGTGGGGCGCCGTATCATCTTCAACCTCCTTTCCACATCATCGAGGAGAGTAAGGCTTGCGCGACCAGGAGCAGCATCACGACCACGATCGAGAGGGAACTGAACTGGAGCCAGCTTGTCATCAAGGCGTCCAAAGTGGAGGGTGACGAGGTCGATGAGTATGTGCCATCTCCTGACGCTGGTACATGTGGGGAAGTCGACTGCAGTGACTCACCCTGGTGGTGCAATCAATGTTTTCGAACAGACCACGGAGCATCTTTGGGCGTTGCTACATCTTGAATGAGGATGCTTCGACTCTGACGCGGTGTTGGAAGTAAGGAAGCTGGGCCAAGATTCAAGAAGGTGCGAAACTAGTCCCAAAACAAGTGGAGCTCCTCACGACTGCGCAGGGGCCTCTGTTTCGGGTTTTGCGCCGTCGTCGACTGATGACGGACGGACACTACGCTCTTGAGACTGTAGGGGCGGGGGGGGGGGGGGGGGGCACATACCTCCTTCCGCCGTGGAAGTCTGGAGCTGTATCGATTTCCCAAGACTGAGACACCCACAGTGTGGGATCGCCCAACACCTCGAGTCTGCCAATCCAAGCGGGGTCGCCGGGTGAGGCGGCGCACCGAACGCACGCACCTCTTCCCCTGGCACAACGCACACATCATTCCCGTCCTCGTCACCACCGACGAGCAAACCGACCTCCCCTCCCTAGACGGCATCAAATCCCGCGGTTGGATCCTCAGTACCTTCCCTTCCAAAGCAATCGAAAAATCCTTCGGGGAAGGTTGAAAATGGGCGGATTCGGCGATCGCCCAAGCGATTTAAGTTTGGGAACTTGGAGGGGTTTCGTCGGAACGAATAATAGCCAAGTTAGTCAGTTGACGCAGTTGAGGATCCAGACGTACTATCATCAGGATCAAGCACCGACGAGGATTGTTGATAAATCGGGGACGTGGACCTAGACTAAAAGATACTTCTCACGCTCGTGAAAGGTGGCCGGCGCAGTGCTTGGTATTATATGATCTTTCACGCAATGGGGTTTCTATGTTTTCCGAACTTAGTAATCTAACATCACGGGATGCAACGGAAGGATCGGAAAAAGAGAGGGTAGAACGAGCTACAATATTCAAACACCTATGAATCCAACAAGCACGGGCGCTTCAAGCACCTACGAATCCAAACACTGGCACTTGTCCTTCTGGTGCACATCGTCAGGACACTGATCCGCGATCATGGGATCCGTACAACCAAAAACGATCGGCCAACTGCGTTCGAGATGATGTCCTATTGCAGGGTTCGAGGACCCGCCTGAATTGTTCGCGCCCCATAGGTCGTGGATCCAATGACCGTCGCGGGCTTCGAGTAGGGATGAGACGTGGGCATAGCGCGCGTATTCGTTCGCCATGATTCGTCGACGTGAGACGGCAAATTGCGCAGACCATGCCGACTGCGACGGAAAGCATAACAATTATCAGTCTCGATCATACAAGCTCACCACAGCGAAGCAGATGGAACTTACGAGTTGACCCGTCGGGGGACATATATTCCCCGTGAAGATGCTATAAAACGCCTTAACATACTCGTACGTACCACGCCCTCTCCCATCAACTCCGCAATCAGTCCTTAACAACGGACCAAAGTGGGCAAACCCAGTATCAGGTCCAACGAGGTCAATGCGAGGTTTTGCGATCCAGTGCCATGCTAAGTGGGGCTGCAGGAAGAAGGTGTGGTCGGCGAGGACTCGGTGGGCGTCCCGCGGGGCGATGTGCTGCGCTGCGGCGCAGGTGTTGATCTCCGCGTCGAGGAGGGCGACGGTTGCGTTATAGTGTCTCAGAACGTGCTGTGTGATGACCGGCAGCAAGAACTGATCAGCAAAGGCTAGTTTTAAATCGCGCTTCGCACTTGTGGGTATCGTCGAGGAGAGCAACTCACCTGGAGATAGGTAGCCCCTTCGCGCCCGACATTCGGCAAACGTATCACCTCGTCATGCAACAACAAGCCCAGGGCTTCCCTCAACGTGTTCTCGTCATTTTGTCCCTTGTCGTACACCAGGACCTTGTGGTCCCGATCTTGAACGAATGGAACAGCCCGCATGGCTGCAATATGTTCCTTCGCCGCTTGAGTGTCTTCCTTGTAGTAGGACACGACGAGGTCGACCGAACGAGAGGTGATGCCGTTGATTTTGGGGACACTGCAGAGACTCCCACGTGCGGTGGCGGGGAGGGCACGACAGGCCATCTCGAGGCGGAGCCCCGAAGACGGGTGCTGAATGATGAAGTAGAGTGAAGGGAGAAGGGGTAGAATGGCGGCACGGAGCGAGATCGAAGTCGAGTGGGACGAGGAAGGGGGGTACTGCTTCTTTGGACTGAGCGACGGTATGATGGGTGAAGAAGCCATGGGTATGTCGGCGGAGGAGGACGGCAAGTGCGAGTACTTGCCTCGACTTTGAGTTACAGGGTGGACGAGGCGTGTCGCACGGGTGGCAAGGCACGAATAGGAAGCGACGGTATCGGGATCGGCACAGAGAATCGCGAACGTGCCGCAGGCGAGGACGATGGCCATTTGGGACCAACTGGCTCGAAGGGGTACGCCATAGCGATCCATGGTCGACAGAATGAGGAGAGAAAAATTGCGAGGGAATAATGCGATGGCGGAGTACAGGGCTGAGGATGCGTATGCGAGCGATGCCAATAGAACAAGCTGAGACAACAGGTACCACCCAGAGAAAGCGAGAAGGTCGGAAGTGGATTGCGGAGACCACACGTCGTGAAGTTGATCGAGTTGGTGGATTAGCGGGACGATGCCCGGGATCAGAGTGGTTACAAAAGCGACCTTAAGTCCATTGAAAGAAACGATAAGGTCAGCGAACATGTTGATTGAGCACACAAGGAGAGCGCGGGCCACTCACGGAGGCTGCCCCTATCAGCATTTCCCCCGCGTGGTTCGGGTCAAGCAAGGCCTCGCGGAGGACTACGATGCGAGTCGCCTCAATGGGAACCCTTATTAAAGCCGCGGACAGGCCGATAGGGTCGGCTGGTGCCCCGATCAGGGAGAAGGCGACGAGGAACGCCGTTGAGATCGCGATCGTCGACAGGGTCTGATTCGGCAGCCCGGCGCGAGTCGAGTTAGGCAAGAGCGAGTTGAGGGGTGTCGATACCGCGAGCATGAGCATGAACGGGATGATCTGGACCTGTAATAATGATAAAACGACGACAAATTCAGCACTCTTCGGGTTCTGAAACTCTAGGCGCCTTCAGGATCCCGTACCTCTACCGCAGCCGAAACTCGGCCGTCGAGCAGAGACACGGCTCGCATGCTCGCCATCAACGACATGGAACTGGTCAATCCCAACACCCGACTCGTCCACACTCGACGAGAGTCGGTGTGGATGCTGCCGACGTAAGGCATGACCCACATCCGCCAAGGTCGAGCGAATGGCGATTTGTCGGACCTCACGCGACCGTGCACGCTCGCCAACAGTCCCAGGACGAGAAAGTGACACAGCGGTATGGTCAAGCTCGCCTCGGGGTGGTCGAGCACGGCACTCGGTAATTTGGTCGTCGAGATCGTGTTGAAGAGGATGTACAGCAGGGTGCTGCCTACTGCGATGGGCGAATGGGCCCAGACCGACGATGCTCCCCCACTTGGCGACGGAGGCCTCTCGTGGTGGTGATTGAAGTGGGACGACGGTCCCGGCGACGAGACCGTCGGACCGTCCCACTGCGAGCTGCGTTTGAGGTTGGAATGCGCCTCAAACGAAGCGGTGCGTTTGGCCCAGTCGTCTGGGTTCGACGGGTTGGTGTGTTGCACCGCGGTGAAATCGCCGACGTCGTGAGAGTCCGATGCGATCGCCTGATCGGCGCCGGCGCCGCCATTCGCAGCAGCATGATCCGAGCCTGTCTCCGCCGAGGAGGCCGACTGCGAGTTTGACGGACGGACTCGCTTGTTGCCGTTGGGGCTCAGTCTCGGAGGCGCGTTCAACTCGGCCTTGCGTCGCATGTCGGGACTACGATGGGTCCTACTACCGTTGCCCGTACCTGTGCCATGCGCCGAACTGCTCGCGGTCGCATGCATCATGTGCGGGTGATGGGTAGGGTGGTCACGCTGCTGATCACGCTGAGATTCACGGTCGAGATGGAACGGGTGCGCGCCACTCGCCGTCGTCGGAGAGGGCGCCATGCTCGGCGACGACGGAGAGGGCAAGACCTCGTCGTCGGCCTGAGCCTGCGCTCGATCTTGGGTTATGTCCGGATGCGATGGTGACAGCGACGATGGCGACGGGGGCGGGGGTGGGCAACCAGATGACAGCGAAATTGCTGCCGATGCGGGTGCGCGCGTCTCGCCCTCAACAGAGCCATGGTGGTCGTCGTCGACCGTCCGGCGAGGCAAGCGGTCCGAGCCCGGGCGAGCGAGCGAGTCGGTCCCAATTTCTAAATGCCGATCACCCCTTGGGACGTAGCCGTACATGCTCCAGGACTCTGTAGAAGGCTGACGGATGAGAGAATCGAGAAGCTCGGTAGAATACTCGAGAATACTCGAGAAAATCGTACAGATGAGCTAACTTAGGAGGGAGAGGGAAAGCCGGGAAAGGGTCTGAGCTCCAAAGGAACTTGGGGAAACGATGGACATCGGACACCGTTGCGGAACGTTGAACCGGGCTGACGGCGCGGGCAGCTGAGCAGCAGGCAAGGCGTGTGCGCACCCCCACCAGAGGCATTAGTACGTTAGTCACTCGGCTCGGCTGCGCAACGGCGCGCGCACGAGAGGCCAGCACTGCCAGCAACTGCCAGCAATTCGGGCCGTTGCGCAGCGTCGCTTTGGACCGCATACACCCACCCTCTCGTTCGCTCCGTCTCGCCACGAACGACGGTCCGATTCAATCGACCGACCCCTCGACGACCATGAGCCAACGCGACGACATTCTCACCTTCCTCAACCCCTCGGGAGCTCGCACGTCTGCTTTACCCGTTGATTTCTGCATCCTCATCACCGACACGTTGCAATCGCCTGGACTGTTTGTCGAAACCCACTTTATCCATCGCGCGCTGCGAGAGCAGAGACCGGTCCTCTTGCTGGGCTTGAGCCAGGGGTTGAACCACTACAGCTCCATCTTAAGGAAGAATGTGAGCAGGATGCGAAGCGTATGCTATTCAGAATATGCTACTCACCTAGACCATCGTCTCGCAATCGAATAGGGCATCCAACTTCAAAATGAACAACGGCTCAATCGATTCGCCTTTGTAGACGGAGCTCGACACGCCAATCACAACGACTTGGTCAAGCTACTCGAGGCGACAAGAGAAATGATACAAAAACTAGGTCCCCACCCCCTGGTCCTCGTCGATGACTTGTCCTGTCCTCTCTGGCTCGGTAACTCGTCGAGCAAAGTAGCGACGTGGTTCATGGCTCTTCGGGCGGTGGTAGCAGAGGTGAGCAGATGATCGCTCCTTCATCTGAGGTCGGATTAAGAAACCAGTCTGATGAGATTGTGTGCGTAATCCTTTCTCAGGCCCAGGGATCCCTCGTCGTGCTCCTACACGGCGACGATACCTCCACCCCTTCACCGAACGAGGACCTTCACCTCTTCCGAAGCGTACTTCAGCAATCCGATCTATGGCTTCAAACTACCTCTCTGGCTTCTCAAACGAGGGGAGAGGTACGTCGTATAGTGCCAGTCTTGAGCCGGGGAGACTCCCACTTCTCACGTCCGTCTCCTTCTCCCCTTCCGACGCTCAGCTCTCCATTCACCGAGGCCCAGCCCTAGTCGAAGACTACGGCATCATCCAACGCAGCGGTCCAACAGCTTGGCATTACAAACTAGACGAATCCGGTGCGACCTTCTCCCTCAAAGGCCTCGGGACCTTGCTATGAATGCGGCGAACGGTTCTACACTCCTACAAATTGATTCCCAAACTCCGAAAACAAGTCAATTATGCGATACGATCCCAACGAATTCCATTAGTATGCTCTGTATTGCCTGTACAAGGATCGAAGGAGGTACATCAGTCGTCTGCGATTCCAAAGAAGCGGGCCGAGCAAACTTTTGAACGTACCAAGACTGTTCCTCCTGCGGCGGCGGCGGCGGCGCTGACCACCCCGCATCCTCGCCGACCGCACCTCCCATAGGTCTCGAACCCGGACCATAGTAAGCGTTAGGTTGCATCGGCAACGGCAGCCCAGGATTCATCGCCATTTGTCGCGGTAGCAGTTCAGCAGCAACGCCGGGATTGGTCGAGCTGACGCGATAGTCGAAGCCGTTGGCGGCGGCGGCGAGGAGGGAAATTTCCCATCCTGGGGGTTGAGCAGCGCTCATGGGGACGTACTTGATGGGCACGAAGCGGGGTTCGAATGCTATGTTCGGATTGAGCAAGTTTGAGGATGAAACGGGAAAGTTGGCTTGCACCTCGGCGCCGGAGACCGTGAGCGCTGATTGCTGATTCGGTAGCCTTTGCTGCGCGGGAACGATCTCGGCATTTGAGTTGTGTTCGCTTGGAGGAGTCGCAGTAGCTTCGATATCCCTGATCAATTGATTCAAGAGATGGAGCGCATAGATCGGAAGACTTGCCCTACCCCTATCGAACGCTTTCGTAGCTTCCAGCGCCTGTTTCAGAGCGTCCATTGTCTGGGTCTTCTGGTCGTGTCGCATGTTGGGGTAGTTGCTCGCGAGCCAGATTCCACACGAAGCCACTCCGATCCACATGCTGTCGAAGGGATACCTGATCCTTGTTACTTCTGCGACGAGTTGCAACAAGACCGAGTGGGCCGAACGAACACATCGCGCGAAGTCGAGCACCGGTGCCGAGGAAGGATCTTGAGCTCGTTCCGGCTCGCCCATCTCCTTCGCCTTCACGAGCGAGATAAGCAGACGGACCTCATCCGTTTGAAACTTGGTGAGTGCAGCCAAGAACCTGCACAACGATGCGATCGGCGGTGATAGCGGGAGCATCGTCGAGTGCTCGTCCTCGGGAGCCCAGAGCTGCATCCAGTTCTTCTGCGTTGTTTCGAGGCACGCCAAGACCGACGGATCGGGCGTCATTTTTTCGCCGATGGCGGCCATAAGCGCGCAGTGAAGGTCCGACATGGGGTAGAAGCCAACGAGGGGACCGTAAAGCGTATCGGTTGCAAGTACGCCTCGGTTGCGGTTCTCGAGGTACCACTGGATCGCATCCCAACGCCATTCAGGCTTGATGAGGCGAGGCAAAGAATGCTGCGCCGACACTCTGCCATCCGCGACTGCAGGCAGAAACATCACATGACCAAATATTCCGAAATACCTTCATTATATCTCCCAAATCGGTGGGCGAAGATGACTCACCAACGAGGCACATCCAAGTCCTCTCGCGGTTGAGAATGAGCCTGACCTGAAGGTCGTCCTGAGGCAGAGGCCGTGGCGCTTTGGTGTACAGTTGTATCTCAATTGCTGATCTCGTCATGTAAGAGTTTCTTCGAGCGAGAGTGCGAGGCGTCGGATGAGGCCATTGCAGCGAGATCGCCAGCGCCTGTATCACTTCGAGTGTATTCGTCCCATACTCGAACGCCTTGCCGAACAGCCAGTTGAGGTGTCGAGCGCAGTTCATGTAGACGTCTTCCGAGAGCACGCACTGGGCCGTGACCGTCAGTACGGCAGAGTACAAGAAGGCCGAGCGAGATCGACAGAACCTGGATGTGTGCAGGACCGGATCCAAGATCGAGATCATCGGGTTGAGATGGTCAAAGAAGTGTATCCAGAGCTCCTCGACTTGTTCCTCGCGGATGAGGCCGACCTGCACGACGTCCAGTACCTCGGTCTCGCGATCCTTTGCGCACGGTGGGAGCATTCCAAACTCGGCATCCTCACTGACCGCCGATATCTTGCGTTTATTTTTGTGGCCGAAAGCATTTGCAAAGGACCATATATCCATCGTGTCCGAGCCCTCAGAGGGGTCATCGTGCGCCAGCAGACGGTCGAGTGCGAGGCCCAAGGTACGCGGAACGCTTGGCTTGGGCACCGGTGGTTCGACAAAGTTGTCAGGTACGTTTGCGGGCGAGACACCGGGACAAGCGTAAGTATCACTGCCGGAGGCCGTACTGCGAGACGAGCTTGGTGGTCGTTCAGGTGCGCTCGCTTGCTCGAGGCGCGACGTCGAAGCAGAAGCGGTTCCCCCGTTCGACGATGCTGCCGTGTGGTCGTGTGCATGACTTGATGGACCGGCGTGGGGTACGTGTTGAGGTGGCTGGTTTGAGGTAGGGCCTGTTTGGATGATCAGGAAAAACAGACCAGATGGCGCCCTCCTCGATGAGCAGTCGGTTCAACGACGCCTGGGATCACGTCGGCGCGCAGGCGCGCCTTTGAGTGCTGCGGCACACTTTCTCGTCAGCACTGACCTAGCTTCAGGTAGTAGTACGTCGAAGGGGGTGGATAAGATGTCGTCAACTGGATTTTCACGTCTTGAGTCGCTTGGCTGGCTTGACTGCTCTCTGCTACTGTCGTCTCGCTCATGGAAGGAGCGCTCGCTGCGGAGTCTCGCCCACTGAAGGTTTGATCAAAGGAGTCCCGTTCGAGGTCACGCGTCGGCGTCAATGATCCTTCTCCCAGCGGACGCCCACACAGAAGGGGGAAGAAGACTGCACCATGATAAGAGTCGACTGACCTGTTGAAGCTGCCCTTGAATGTTCGGACGCGTTTGCGCCCTCGCTTTTGCTGCCTGTCATGCGTGGGTGTTTGGGGTGTTTTCTCGCATCAGTGCCGATTGCCCCATAGCCGAGGGAGCCCCCGAGGAAGTTGCTCCGGGCAGCGTCACCGGTCTGATCGTCGCGACGACTGGAGCCGAGATGGCCCAGGCCAGGCTGAGGCGATCCAGCTCCCGCAACGCCGAGCGCAAGAGTGGCACAGCCGAGGCGCTGGCCGCTCACTCACGTTGGAGCCCCTGCCCGCCTGTGCGCGCTGACTTGAGCTCGACAGACCCAGCTGGTGCCCGGGACCGTCTGCCGCAGCCGGCGCCTAGACACGCTAGGGGACACACTGCACTGCACTGCGACGTATATGTGCCACTCACTTGAAGGTGCAGTCATCCCTCTTGAGTCGCTCGCATCGAATGCACGCTGCACCGGTCCCAGGATGGGTGCACTTGCGCTTGACCGCTCGACACGCGACGCCTTGTGCGCCGTGGGCCCGCCCGGGGGAGAGGGGGGCACGATCATTTGGAACGCGGAGGTTGTTAGTCAGTCAGACCTGGTCCAGAGCTTTGCGCGTAGGCGCTACAATAGTGTACGCCAAGAATGAGCACTCACATGCTTCGTTGAGTGGCACCTGGCTACTGTCCATGAGCTCGACGTCGGGCATGGCCCCCGGTAGTTAGGCTGAGCGGTCGACAGCAGCTGGAAGTGGGGATCCGGTGTCAATTGCTGACAGCGAAAGACGAGACGGAGGGCTTGTCTGACTCGGTGACAACCGTGTTTGAAACTTGTTACCGAAAGGTAGCTCACGCCAGTTTCAAAGCCACGCCTAGCCACGCGCGCGCAAGGGGAGGTCCGTGCGCATTCATTAGCCTGATAATCGTCGCAGGTAGAGGGAGGCTAATGATTCGATTCACAAACGGCAAAGCTGGAGCTGCCTTCGCTCACATTGTGGTCCGCTCCGACTGTCCGCTCGCGACACCTCACCCGAACCGTCGCCGATAATCCATCAACAGTACGTTATCGCTCCTCGTTTCTCCCTGCTGTCGGCCATGGTTGCTGACCTTGTGTGCTCTCTCTTGACACGACCCACTCCTCTCTGGCTGCTCGATTTCTTGGTCTGGATCGCCCATCGCCCGTGTCTGCGACTCGCTGCTCGCGAACTCGCCATCGTGCCATGCAGTGCCGACCATCACTTGCGATCGAGCGACGTTGTTCCGCAAGCTCGGCAGGAACTACAGTACGTTACCTGCCATCTCCGACCGCGGCTCACGACTCGGCTCGCTGGCTGGATCTACCTGCTCGCCGAATTGACCCTCTTGACTCGTTTCGCCCTGCTGCCCAGCCTACCACGAGTTTGACGAACTCCTCTTCGAATACGGACTCGAACTGGATGAAGATGTAGGTCTCTGAAACCGTTGCCGGACAGGCGCTCCTCTGATGTAGCTATACCGACTGATTCCTCCTGCGCGACATTCATTCCCTTCGCATTCTCTCCCATTTGTCTCACCGACCGCGCGGCTCCCATTCGATAATCTGGGTTCTCGCAACATCACCAGACGACGAACGATCCAAATCACCCCGCAAACGAGCCCCACCAGCTCAAGATCGAGGTCCCGGCGAATCGGTACGATCTCTTGTGCGCAGAAGGGATCGCCCGGGCGTTGGCCCTCTACCTGGATCCGACCCGTGGCGCACCCCACTTTGTGCTCAAGCCGGCGAAGGAGGTTCGTACATGACTGTTGGCAGGGGGTCAAGTCAAGGGACTAAACGGACTGCGGCCGATATTCGATTGGTACACAGGGCGAGGAGAGGACAGTGCACGTCAAACCTGAGGTCCGTCTCCTCTCCAATGCGGCCATGCCCGGTCCTCCCACTAGGCAAAGCCCGAGTCGCTGACGTGACCTGCCTTCATCGTGCTCAGACCGCTCAAATTCGACCCTACTTTGCTTCGGCTATCCTGAGGAATGTATCGTTCGATGCGGTCTCGTACGCGTCCTTCATCGATCTACAGGACAAGCTCCACCAAAACTTGGCGAGGAAGAGGACCCTCGTCGCTGTCGGAACGCATGATCTGGACAAGATCGATGCCGGAGATATCACTTACGAGGTAGGATCGCTGAGGGTGTGAAAACACTAAGCGGAGGGAGGGGACTGATGAGATGCCACTTTCATACCAGGCCCTGCCACCAACCGAGATCAAGTTTGCGCCCTTGAACAAGGAGACCGAGTACACCGCTGTCGAGCTGATGCAACTGTACAAGGTTGGTCCTGTGCAGTCACAGGTTCCTCTCTTTCTCAGCCTATACTGACCATTCTATGGTCACAATCAGGACGACAAACACCTCTCTCGCTACCTGCACATCATCGAGGACTCGCCCGTCTACCCGATCATCTACTCGAGCACGCGTCAGGTCCTCTCCATGCCGCCGATCATCAACTCGAACGGCACCAAAATCTCCGTCGACACCAAAAACATCTTCATCGATGTCACCGCGACGGACGAGACAAAGTTGCAGGTCGTTATCGACATCCTTGTGACCATGTTCTCCGAATACTGCTCGACCCCTTTCGAGATCGAACCCGTCAAGATCGTCTACTCCTCAGCCGCACCGGGTGGTGCTCGAACGGTCATGTCCCCCGTCGTTGCGCCTCGTCCTTTCGTCGCTCGCACGAGCTACGTCAACTCGTGTACGGGTCTCAAGCTCAAGCGACCTGAAGTCGTCACCTTGTTGCGCAAGATGGGCCACGAGGCCTACGAGCCTACGCCGGAACAGATCGCCTCGTACAAACCCGTCAACGCTCGCGAAGGTCTGAAAATGGATCCAAACGACGTCGTTCACCTCCTCGTTCCTTCGACTCGCCCCGACATCCTGCACGAGTGCGACGTCATGGAGGAGGCTGCGGTCGCGTACGGTTTCAACAATTTGAAAAAGACGTTCCCCGTCACCAACACCGTCGCCGTTCCTTTCCCGATCAATAAGCTCGCCGATTCATTGCGACGACTCTGCGCCGAAGCGGGATGGACGGAGGTTTTGCCATTGATCTTGTGCTCGCACGATGAGAACTACAAGTTCTTGAACCGCGTCGACAACGGTGACAAAGCGGTCGTCTTGGCCAACCCGAAAACGATCGAATACCAAATCGTTCGAACGTCCTTGTTGCCCGGGATCCTCAAGACGATTCGAGAGAACAGGAAACATCCCATACCTTTGAGGGTCTTTGAAGTGTCGGACATCGTCGTCAAGGATTCCAAGGAGGAACGACAGGCGAAGAATGTGCGACGACTGGCGGCGGTGTTTTGTGGACGACGAGCGGGATTCGAGGTCGTGCATGGTTTGTTGGATCGATTGATGTTGGGCCTCGGGATCAAGAATCTCGGGAGTGAAAGCTCGACCGGTGATGAGGGTTACTACATCAAGTCCTTCAATGGTGAGGGAACTCCATAATCGTGCGGGCCTTGGTCTCGCGACTGACATTCCCGCGTCCTTGGCTTCGATTCACACAGACGCGACTTACTTCCCCGATCGATCGGCCAAGATCTATTACCGACCCTCGGCCACGGGAGCCAAGAACCTCTCCTTTGCCCCGGTTGCATCAGCCGACGTTGCGAACGCTTCGGGATCCCTTCGAGGACCGAAAGAAGACGTCGCCACGCCGGCCGATTCCAGCAGTGGTCCGTTGGACAAGATCAAGGACGCCCTTTCCTCGGCTTTGCCCCATATCGGCGGAACAAAGCATGATGGTGAATCGAGCTCGACTTTGAGGGATGTCGAGATTGGTGAGATTGGTATCCTGCATCCTAGTGTGCTCAAGGCGTACGATTTGGACTACCCTTGCTCGGCGCTCGAATTCAGTGTGGAGGATTTCCTTTAGAGCGGTTTTGTTCTCTAGGGTTTTGGGGTGGAGTGAAACCTATCTTGATACCTGATCTGGCTCTCATCGTCTAGGCGCATCTCGGAGAGACTATCATGCTCGTCTGCCCAATTCTGAAGCTTCATTCTAACGTGCACCTCGTTCCACGAGCGACCGAGCTCCTCTACTTGGTTACCTCGAAAGCCTTCTTCAACTTGTCCAGCACTGTCTCACACTCCTCCCTCGTCCCGATCGTGACCCTCAAACACCCCTCACACCCAATCTCATTCCCTCTGAACCTAACCACCACCGCCTCTTGCTCGGCCATGAACGTATAAATCCTCTTGGCTCGATCATTATCGACCTTCGTCTGATCTTGAGAAGAGGCGATTTGAACCATGAGGAAATTTGCGTTCCCCGAACCCAAGAGGCCGACGACTGGAGGGAGTTTAACGAGTTCCTTTGCGAGGAATTCCCGATTCGCACCGAGGGTGGCGATCTTGTTCCGAAACGTTTCGAGCGCTGGTTCGGATAAAGCCCTCAGAGCCAACGCTGCGGTCGGTGTCGAGACGTTGTAAGGCGCCTTGATGTTGTTCAACACCTGGATGACCTCTTTAGAGCCGTAAGCGACGCCCAGACGAATTGCGGCCAACCCGAACCCTTTCGAGAGGGTCTGCATCACGACTAGGTTATCGTAGGCCCCTTCTTGGGACGTGGCGAGTGAGACCGCCGAGTCGGTCGAAGGGGACGGACAGAAATCGATGTAGGCTTCGTCGACGACGACGAGGCCGGTGAAATGCGGGTTGTCGAGGATCGAACGGATCGCGGGGAGGGGGATCAGGGTTCCGGTCGGGTTTCCGGGCGAACAGATGAAGACGAGCTTGATCGGGTTCGGAGTCGACGCGGCGGAGGTGATGGTCGAGTTGATCTGTGGGTTCAAAAAGTTCTGGTGCGAGTCAAAAAATGCGCAAAAGAGGACAAAGGAGGAAGGGGGATGGAGTGCGAAAAACGGACCTTTTCGACGTCCAGTTGGAATCTGCCTCGTTCACACTCCAAAGGCACCTTGATGACGTCGACATCGTTGATCTGAGCGCAGACCGCATACATCCCGTACGTAGGCGGACAAATCAAGATCCGATCCTTTTGCGGAGCGCACGTGATTCGGATCAACAAGTCGATGACCTCGTCCGATCCGACGCCGAGGAAGATGTGGTCCGTTGAAGGGACGTTGCGGAGGTGGCAGAGACGTTGTTTGATGGGGATGTGCGTAGGGGAGGGGTAGCGGTGGAGGTCGAGAGCGTCGAATTGCTCGGTCGGATCTTCTTGCTGGGGCTGATTCGGGGAGGAAGCGGTGGAAGATAGGGAATGACCGAGCGAGTTCTCGTTGGCATCGAGAAGGATTCCCTCGCTGTAGTCGTCGCGGGCACAACGGTAGGGCGTCAACGCGAGGATGTTGGGTCGGATCGCGGCCGAGAGCGTAAAGTGGGGTGGGTTCGCGACCATCGTCGTCGGTGCGGCCGAGTGGTGCGGGGGAGAGCGGCGGGGACAGAGAAGGAGACGGCCGAGTTCCGGAATGAACGGGGAGGAAGAGAGTGCGAGGAGGTAGGGGGGAAGAAGCGAGTGAATCAAGTGCTCGACCCGGATTGCCACGACTTGGCGACTTGGCGTTTGACTCGACGCGCGGCACAAGCGGCACAAGCGGCACAAGCGGCGATCGCACCGCACCCCGCCTCTCTGGGCCTCTCTGGGCCTCTCTCTCTGGCTCGTGGCGCTCATTCGTATTCCCGAGCCGGACGCATACAACACCCCCGGTGCGACGAACGAACGATCTCGGCAGCAGACAAGCACCATGTCGATCCAACCCATCGCCACATTGCCGGGTCACACAGACCGAGGTAGGCTCCTCCGCTCGATCGTTTCGCAATCGACCGGCACCCGCTGACGCTCCCCCACCCCACGTCCTCCGCACGAACCGACGACGACCACAGCTTGGCAAGTGGCATGGTCTCCGTCGACCCCTCTCCTCGCCTCCTGTTCCTCGGATAAATCAATCCGGTTCTACACGTACACCCCACCCCCCCCATCGACCGCATCCTCCTCCTCCTCCTCCACCTCCTTCCCACGCTTCACCTTCTCCAGCTCCATACCCTCCGCCCACCCACGCACGATCCGTTCCGTCTCCTTCTCCCCCACAGGCCAAACGCTCACCACCGCCTCCTTCGACTCGACCGTCGGCGTCTGGTCCCCATCGACCGACCGGGACGACAACGAACAAGCCTCGACCGAATGGGAGACCGCCGGCGATTCGTTGGAAGGGCACGAGAGCGAATGCAAGAGCGCGCAATGGTCTAGTGATGGGAGACTGTTGGCAAGTTGTAGTAGGGATAAATCGGTTTGGGTGTGGGAGGGTGAGCACGCGGGTTTGGGGGCGAGGGTGGATCCGGGCGGCGGAGCTGACTCTTGCTTGGCGATCTGATGGCGTTCCTTCTGCAGCCGTCAGTCCGACCGAGTTTGAATGTTTGGCCGTATTGATGGAGCACGAACAAGACGTCAAGTCCCTCGCATGGCACCCTCAAGACGAGGTACGTTCCCTGCCGAGCGAACTATCGGGTCGAGATTCTCCACGTTGACAATTTACTACTTCCCATCGCCTACAGCTACTCGCCTCGGCCTCATACGACGACACGATCAAGCTCTACGCCGCTGATCCTTACGACGACGAATGGTCGTGTGTCTACACGCTCGTAGGCCACACCTCCACCGTATGGGCCATCACCTTCTCCCCCTGCGGCACCTACCTCGCTTCAGCAGGGGACGATCGAACCCTCAAGATATGGCAACGAACACCCAAAGCATCTGCTGTTGAGGTAGGACAGCTTGGGGAAGCCAAGAGGGAGGAAGGGGGGAGGATGGGCCCTTGGTCAGCGGGTGGGGTCAGGATAGGGATCAAAGAACGGTGGGAATGGAAGTTGGTTGCGAGTTGGGACGATGGCTTGCATTCGAGGACGATCTACAGTTTGGATTGGAATCGGAGTGGGGTCGAGGAGACGCAGGGCGGACTGGGCAGGATCGTTACGGGTGGTGGGGATGGGGTCATCAATGTTTTGCAGATGGTCAGTTCGAGTCGGTGCTGGTCCTTTGCAGCTAGGGGAAAGACGACTAATCGTTCTGAACTTTACAGATGAAGCCCTCAACACCCGAAGGAGCGCCTTCGTACAAACTCATCAGCTCAGTCGAATCAAGTCACGGCGTCTCGGACGTCAACCACGTCGCGTGGTGCAAGCTATCCCCAGCAAAAGCAGCAGCAACGCTCAAGAAATTGGAGGGTGGTCAGGATGAAGAAGAGAATGAGGAAGACCAGGAGATGGAAACTGAAGATCCGTCGACGGAAGAGGACTCGAGGTGGAAAGGGGTCGAGGACATGTTCGCTAGCGCTGGCGACGATGGGCTCGTCAAAGTTTGGTCGGTGCGACCCACTGCCGCGTAGTTTCAGGTAGTAGACCGATGTGTATAAATCAAATGACGGTGAATACCTAGGTCCCGTCATAGCCCCAGTGGCTGACGTAAATCAGGACCGTGCGATCCATGCTGTGTACCATTGGAAGACGATTTTTGGGCGGCGTCGAAGAATGACGACGGAAGGAGTCATTTTGGGTCAAGACTTTTTTATTTTATTTTAGACTTGCCCCTAAATCTCCGGACCGGAGTTGTTTTTCCAACCCCCGAATTTCCGCGCACGTCGTCATGAAGAGGGTCATGCAAGGGTCAAACCCTAAAGGCGAATCACGGAAGCAGGTACTAGGTAGGTCAGAGGGGCGCTGCTTGTTCGCGCAGACGATATCCCTTTCTTAGGGATTTTGGTGGGCACCGTATAGCATACCGCTGATAGCACGGGAGGGGAGTTAATCCTCCCACCTCGAGGTGGTGCACTGGTAGTGTCAATGTCCACAATTAGCGTGGAATCGCAAAATGGATCGTAAAAGAAAGAAATGAAGTCCTTTCTGTTCTAGTGGGAGTAAACCTACAGGAGTTGAGTCTTTGAAATGAATAAAATGACAAAATTAGAAACCATGGGTTTACAGCATGTTGTAACAATTGCTGGCACACCGTCAGACGAAACGTCTGGTGCCTTGCGCGCGGCGGCGCGACGGCGGCGTGTCGCGGCACGCAGCGTCGGATGCTCGCAGCCCGTCTGTCGAGGCGGTGCTATCACCGCCGCGCGTCACCGACGTTCGTATTTCTTCGGATGAAAGAGCAGCGCGAACAGGCTTTTGTCGCAGCTTGTGGAGGCCTTCGGTCGCTTTGCCCAGCTCGTCCCCCGCGTTTGGGCTGCCTCTCCTTCTAGCTCTACCACCTGACCTACGTCGCCCCAAGGAGTTTTGTTTCGTTTTCTCGCCTCGACAAACCCGAAGCCGAACGCACACGCTGCACAATGGACAGCAAGACGGCTGGCGGCGACTGGGACCACCTGCTCGAACACGGCGTCATCGCCTCGGACCTACCCAATCGCGATCCAATCGCTTGGACCCAGCAGGAACGAGCCCAAGGCGCAGCGGCCGCGCGGGTCGGTGCACCGTCGCCGCCGCAGACGTCGTCACTGGGCTTGACGCGTCTGTGCAAACAGATCGGTGGTCCGCAGTTGACTCGCACGCTCGCTTGGGGGACCCTGCTCGTGCTTGCTGCGGTGGGATTCATGACATTGGTTGGGTTCGCCCACGGTTCGCTGAACTATGTCGATTATTCGTGGAGGGATATTCATCAGGCGGGGTGGTCGAGGGTCCCGGCGCGGATCGATCTTGGCGCCGAGACGTCGATTCCGCATACCGACCCGGATTCATCCTCCTCCAACTGGAGGGCGGACCATGACCCGATCCGACAACAACAACAACACAGCGACACTCTCTGGAACACTCACGATCTTTCAAAGTCCTCGGCCGAACCAGACGCTCCTCTGACACCGCCCTCGACCTTGCAAGCCGCCACCGCCGCTTCGGACTTGCACCTGCTCATCCTTACACCGCTATCGACTTCGTCGTCCGATTTGAACCATTATTTCGCCCTGCTCGACAAGATGGTTCATCCGCGGTGCAACACATCGCTCGGCTTCCTCGTCGCAGATGAGCAAGACGACACCGCTTCGAGATTACAGCAGATGCTGCTCGACCGACCTGGCTTCCGCGAAATCACCTTGATCAGGAAGGATTTCGGAATTGAAGGGCCGACGCGCGGCGCACGACATCGCCGATGGTGGCAGCAGCAAAGAAGGTGAGCAGCGATCGCACATGAATTCTTAAAGCCGAGTTGACTTCAGGCAAAAGAAAAACTGACGATATTCCTTTAATTCGTGTGTGCTTATTCCAGGGCAATCATGGCCAAAGCACGAACGGTGCTCCTCATGTCGGCGTTAAACGCTTCGATCGATTGGGTGCTCTGGCTCGACTCCGACGTGGCCGAATACTCGCCTTCGCTCTTTGAAGATCTCCTCCTTTACGGTGGCACCGGTGTCGTCTTCCCCAACGCCTCACAACACCGCGATCTCCCTCCCCTACCATCCGAAGGTGACATCCCAGCCGATATCGTCGTCCCCAACGTCTTTATCTGCAAACACCGCACCCTGGCCCCTTACGACCTAAACTCATGGGCCGAGACCACTCGCTCGCGCCAACTCAAAGCCAGCCTCAACCCATCGAAATTCATTTTCGAGGGCGGAGGAACGAATCTCCAACGAGCCCATCTCACAGATGCCTTCGTTCGTCCCTCGAAGCTTGTTTCGACTTACACCGCGTCGCTGTACCCACATTACCGGCCTGAGGGTTGGGAAGAGTCGGATCTGTACGACCGGAATTCCCCGGCGTTCGTCGGAAAAAGGATGGATTTGGACGGAGTAGGAGGTGTGGCTACGCTCGTTCGGGCCGACGCTCATCGCATGGGGGCCGTTTTCCCAGCTTTCTTGGTCGATCATCAACTCGAGACCGAAGGGTTCGGAGGTGAGTGGATGAACTTGTCCTAGGTCTTGAATGCGTGGGACCAGCTTTGTTGATATTCCTCCCTCATCACGTGCGCAGTCCTCGCCAAGGCTTTGGGCGCTCGCATCGTCGGCTTACCGAACTACATCGTTGTACACTGTGCGTGGCCGCACATCAGACCTACCTACACGCGCTATTCGTCAAGACTGACTCTGTTTCCTTTCTACACAGCCAATCATTGATCCCCAACATCCCCCTCGTTTTCTCTCTAACGAAACTTTTCCGTTACTCAGTGACATAGTCTCACCCCCCCTCGCATTTCTAGATAACGTGCTGTTTCCTTCCCATTCTAGCAGTCCCCGCAACCGTCGTTTACAGCCCCTTATCGCACATTACTAGTTCCCTTCTAATACTATGTCGTCCAGTTGCTTCGAGAAGTCCAATATACGAATGTTCACTTCCATTCGCCTCCCATCACGCTGCGCCAAAGCAGACTAGAAAGTTGAGAGATTTCAAGGCATAGCAGATACATTCAATATTTTACAACAAGGTAAGGCGAGAGAGAATTCATATAAAAAAGTGGTGGTGGGGTTGGTTGATATGAAAAGAAACATGCCACAAGAAAAGATCAAAGGACGGTCCTCTTCCTTGACGCCTGAACGAGCGTCGGTCGTCGTTCGATCTGTCCCTCCGTAACCGTCGTGGGATCCATCTCCATCTCACTGACTTTCTTCTGCACCTTGGGTCGTTCAACCTTGATCGGTTCAGCCGACACGACATCCCCTCCATCTTCCTCATGCTCCGCGAACCCATCGGACCCTTCCTCGCTGTCCGTCTTCTCGATCTTCTTCGCTTGATCTTGCAACAACCTCTTCTCGACGTCCGCGGCATCGATCATCGGCGGTCCATGGCGCTTAAGTTCGATTTCGCTCTTGTTCCTTCTCGGCACTTGACCATCGACACCTTCTTCGTCCTCTTCGTGGATCGTCGGATCCAGAGGCAACTGCAAAGGAGTCTTGGTGCCCGACATAGGCGAAGGGGGACGAGATTTGGCCGTGCGCAACCAAGGGTGTTGTAAAGCCTGTAACGCCGTCATGCGTTTGGTGGGGTCGACTTCGAGTAACTTGCGGACGAAATCTTTGGCTTGCGCCGAGACGGGTCTCCATACGGGCGGGAAATAGAGCTCGGTCGTTCGAGCCTCGTGCGCGAGGGCTCGTGGTTCGGTCGCTTTGTAGGGGAATCGACCGCCCATCATGGCAAAGACGACGACGCTGCAGGGTTAAAGGTGGGATGGTCGAATTAGTTCAAGTCATAGGAATTGATCAAGTTGATGAGGCTTACCCTAATGACCAGCAATCGGCGGCGAGGCCATAGCCTTCTTCGGAGTACATCTCGGGTGCCGAGTAGCCTGCGCTACCGGCGATGGTGTGCAGCCGCTCGTTCGGGTTCACGACGGTCGCGAGGCCAAAATCGGATAGGACGCAATCGTCGTGTCCTGCGCCATTGTGACCTGGAGGGTCTCGGTATAGAACCTGAATGAATGGCGGAAGAGTGATGAACCCGTAAGCATTACGCAGAGGGGGGCTTCATCACGCAGAGGGGAGCTTGCTTCGACAGCGGCCGGCGGCGATCGGTGACGTACATTCTCGGGTTTGATGTCTCGGTGAAGCACGTTGTGCGAAGCCAGGTACGTGACGGCGTCCTAATCAAATCGATGATGTTCATTAGCATTTGTGATCATGTCAAATTCGATAATTCTTTTCTGCGAGTTCACCAAACTCACACATAGCGCGTAGGCAACCTCTTTAGCCTCGTCCTCGTCGAAGCGGCCGGCGTCGATAAGATGATCAAACAGCTCTCCGCCTGCAGCGAGCTCGAATACGAGGTACATCTTTTCCTTGGACTCGAACCATTCGAATAACTTAACAATATGAGGGTGACTATAGGGGGAAGATAGGCGGGTAGTGAGGGTCAGCTCACTTTGAATGCTGGGCCCCAAGTCTAGGGCTCCCGGGAAGGATGGAGATGACCCACTCTAATTTCTTGAGATCGTCCTGACGTTTCACTTGGATCTTGACGTCGGGTATCTTGGTCTTGAGAATGATCTTGATGGCGACCTGTCTGCCCGTCGCGAGTTCGGTCGCTTGCTTCACCTCGCCGAAGCCCCCGCTGCCAGGATAAACGACATGTCAGTGTCAGGGAAAATGAGAACAGAGTGGATGCTGACCACCCACGTTCCAAGATGGGCGCCAATCTTATAGGCCTTCTTGCGCTTGCTGTACGCGGATTGACCACGGCGGTCGGTCAGCCAAGCGCCCGCGACAAATGCGACGAATTGACGAATTTAGCCTCGTGGCCTCCGGAAACCGAGCGGAGCGAGCGGTGGTCCGCCGAAAAAGCCACCGGCGGCAGTCTCAGCGCGGAGGAAAACTCACTGAGAGGAAGGTTGCAGGTGGAAGAAGGAGCTCATCTTGTCGTTGAGTGTGTCGCCGATCGTCGTAGTCGAGGGCGAGGGGTTGGACATGATGCAGGCGTTTCGTTGTTGGCCGGATCCCGCGGATAGCAAAATGAAAGAGTGGGTCGGGAGGTGAAGGAGTGACTCGAGTTCGTTTCACGCTCAAGCACACGTCGGCATTCGGCGCTGTAAGAGCAGAAGCGCGAGGCTTTTGCGAGGCTCGCCTGAGTCGCCTCGGCACATGTCAGCAGCATCAAGCCCGGTCACTTCCGAACCAAGATAGGGCAAGCGGGTGTCAGCTGGCAGTTGAAACACTGGGCGTCAGTAATAGGCCGTACTGATGCAAAGTTGGTCAGCTTTTCGTAGCCTAGTCTCACGCTTGGTCATCGAGGAGCGAACTACTTTTTGAGAGCCCCCTCGTCTTTGTCACAAGGCGATCAGGCTTTTCGAAGCGATTAGGTAAGCTGGGAATGAGCACCCGGGCGACCGGGTAACCGGCTGCCAACGACGTCACTTGCCAGACGCGCCGGCTTGAGCCACGCCGTGCCAGAAGCGCTTGCCCCCACCTCCACTTCGATCCGTGACGACCTCCAGATCGACCCTCCCCACATCCCCACAAACACCTTCGCATCACCATGGTCCACGCAGCATTGAAGAAAGGGAATTCAGCCGTCATCACTGGAGCAGCCTACGGTGGGATCGGTTACTCGATCGCCACCCTCTGCCTGCAACGCTACGGCATGCGAGTCCTCCTCGCGGATGTGTCCACCTCAGCCCTCGAACGTGCTTCCCAAGGCTTGATCAAAGCTGGCATCCCCGAAGAAAGCTTCATAATTCATCCGTGTGATGTTTCGGACTTTGGGGAGGTGCTCAAGTTAGCCGAGGTCGCGTATGCTTCGTTCGCCAAGGTCAATTTCTTGGTTCTCAATGCTGGGGTGCAGATGTCGACCAAGGACTACTCGGACGATCCCAAGATGAGTATGGAGGCTTGGAACAAGACCTTGAATGTATGGATTCTCTTCTCGTACTTGCTCAACGGTAACTCGACCAGTCAGCTGACCAGCTCGGGCCGATCCGATGACCGAACAAGCAGGTCAACCTTTTCGGTGTGCTCCACGGTACCCAAGCCTTTGTCGATCGCATGGTCAAACAAGACTCGCCCGCTGCAGTCGTCGTGACCGCATCCAAGCAAGGCATCACCCAACCTCCCGGGAATCCAGCTTACAACGTGTCCAAGTCGGGTCAGTTGTGTTCTGTTCCAGCTTAGAGGAACGGCCACCAGCGCTGACTCTTCGGCTTTTGAACACCAGCCGTCAAATCTCTCACCGAAGCACTTTCTCACTCCCTCCTTTCGACGCAATGCACGGCCCACCTCCTCGTCCCAGGATACACTTGGACCAAGCTCACCACCAATGACAAAATTCTCGACGAAGGCGCGCAGAAGCCCAAAGCGGCTTGGACGGCCGATCAAGTCGCCGAGCAACTGTTCGATCGCATCGAGAATGAATTTTACATCATCTGCCCTGATAGTACGTCATCAAATTTTCGGAAACCCTCTATGTGCTCTCTTCGTTCCGAGCTTGATGTAGAAATTTGCTGGGTTGGTGCAGATGATGTGACATGGGAGCTCGACCAGGCTCGCAAGCGATGGAACTTTGACGACATCCTCGAGAAGCGTCCCGCTCTTTCCCGTTGGCACCCCGAGTGCAAGGACGCGTTTACCAAGCACATTGAGCAGAGCACGGCGGGCAAGAGGTAAGGTGATCGACCAGTCTGATTAATGATGGAGAAGGCGGCGCGTGGACGGCCATGCCATTCGGATTCAGGAAGAGGGTTTTCAGATTGTGCTGCATGCATTGCGAATGGAATGAGATGTACTTCATAAAGAAAGATAAAGCAAGTAGAGGTGTGACATGTAGCGAGTTCGAAATGCAAGCTGCGAGAGGAGAAGGCAAATTTTGCGAAGAAAGGTACTGAAGTGCACAACGAAGCCCACACACAATCGTATGGAGAGGAAGGAATGCATGACACTCTCCGGGAGATTCATCACCTCGCAGGACTAGCACCAAAGAACGAGCTCGGGCGAGCAAAGAAGCCGCTCGTGGCTTTGGCGAGCGAACTCGACGAATCGACGCGAGCGGGACCCGTAGCTGCCCCAGCCGCGCCTCCGCCTCGCAAAGGTTTGGCGATCCGACCGAAGCTGAGCGAGCTGTTGAGCGTGGGCTGCTGTTGTTGCTGTTCTGAAGACCGAAAAAGTGGCGGAAACGCCTCAGCTTTCTTGTTCGCGAGCGCAAGACGGGAGACAATAGGCAGGTACAAGGGTTTACCTTTGGCGTGATCGAGACGTGCCCGCACGAGCCTCAGCTTTTCCTCGAACTTGTCCGACTCGAGCGCGACCTTGTCCTTGGCCTCTTGCAAAGCGACTTCAAGGTTCCGGATGTGCTCGTTGCGCGCGATGAGCTTGCGTTCGGCGACGGCGCAACCCTTCTTGAGGAGCGAGTTTTGTTCGACGAGCTCCTTTTGCACAGCGGTCAATTGATCGAGGTTGCGCGTGAGGAAGTCCATCTTGCGTTGTTGTATCTTGCTGTTCGAGTTTTTGAGTACATTCTTGTACTGTTCCTGCGTCTCGTCCAGCGAAATTTCGAGTTCGACGACCTGAAAGGGGTAGAAAGTTGGAGAAGGTACCCCATCCCTCGATCAGTCTTTGGGCGGTTTCAGAACTACGAGAACGAGTTGCTCACCCTTTCGCATCGGTTCTGCAAGTCCTTCATCAAGTTCTTCTTCATCGTATCGAACTCGGCCAACTGCGCCGCCATCGACTTGCGCACCCTCTCCATATCCTTGGCGCTCTCGGCCAAGCTCTGCCCACCTTCGATCCCAGCAGCCGTGATCTTGAACGCTCGTTCGAGCTCGGCATTCGCGCTCCTCAGCGACTCGGTCGAAGCAGTGAGTGTCTTGACCTCGTTCGACTTCAGTTCGAGCTGTTGGCGTAGGTCAGAAGCATCGTGCACGGCCGCTTCGAGCTTCATCGCGTACTGCGTCTCGAGCTTGTGCTTGATTTCCTGGACGTCCGCCTCGGCACCTCGCTCGTCCTCGATCAGGGACTTGTCGAGTAATTCTTCGTACTCCGCTTCGAGGCCGGCCAAGCGCGTTTCAAGCTCGTCCTTGCGCCGTGTCAAGATCTCGTTCTCCTCTTGCGTCCGCTTCGATCGCTCCTGGTGTTCTCGCACAAGCGAGTGGCTGTCTTCCAACTGGCGCCGCAGAGTTGTCAGATCCTCTGCCGACAAAGGCTGGTCTGCAGTCGACGCCTCGTCGAGTCGAGCCAACGAAGCTCGGATCTCGGCTTCCTTCTCCGACATCCCCCCCGCATCGAGACCGGCCATCATCGCCGCCATCTTCTCGGCCTTCTTTTTGTCCTTTCCCTCCTGTGTCGCGCTCTTCTGCGTCACTTTGAGTTCGCTCATCGTTTTCTGTAGATGATATCTCTTTCTGCTCAGTCATCGCACTCGCGTCGACCTGTTGAAGAAACCTTTTCCTTACCTTGAGCTCCTCCAACTCGGCCGACAATTCGGCATTCTGGTCCTTGAGCGAGTCGGTCGTGATCGCACCTTCCTTGCTCTCGTATACGAGACGTTCGACTTGTAGCCTCAAGTCCGAAAGTTCACTCGCCATCGACTTGTTCTCGTTCGCGGCAAGGGTTTCTTGTTCCTTGAGCGTTGCCAATTCGTCGCGCAGCTCGCCGATCAGTTTCTCTTGTGATGAGAGTTGCGATTCCTATGGGCACCAATTTGAAAACTCGATATTAGTTTCCATGCGGCGGGCACTCCTCCCATAGCTCAAGCCCTCACCGTTTTGGCCAATAGATCCCCCAATTCATTCTCCCTCCTCAAAAAGTCGTCCCTTTCATCCTGGCCCAACGGTGTCATCGGCCGACTGATGTCCCCCTCCGCCGAGCTGCCAACCCTATCCAAAGCCGGTAATCTCGGTGTCGGTGTGACCTTGCCCGACAAGGTCCCTGTCCCCGCCGGACTGATGGCTCTTCCTGCCCCACCAGCCAATTTCTCCAATTCACCTGCGCCCAACCCCAGTGCCTTCTCCATACTGGCCCACGCGTCCTCATCGACTTTACCTCCGCTTCTCCATACATTGATCTCGGCTTCCAACAAAGCGATGTACGCTCCCGCATTGGCCGTATCCCTCTGCGCCTTCTTGAGCAATTGCTTTAATTCGGCGGGTGACAACTCGGCGTTGACTCGGGCCTTGTTCTTGATCGACTTGGCCCGCATACCGAAGCGTAAGGTCGAGATCGTCTCGTCTTGGTTGTACGCCGAGGGGGAACAGTTGATGATGAGCGTCGTGCGCGAGTTACCACCGAGCGATTCTTGTAGGATACGCGTCAGTTTCGAGTCGCGATAAGGGACGTGGGACGACTGCGCTCAACATATCACAAAAAACGTGTCAACTTGAAACGCTTTACCGATTCCACCTTTGAGGGGAACGATCTGACGCACCTTCCCATCCGTCAGGGCATTGATGACCATCCCGAGCGCACTCAAACTCTTGTTGATCTTCTTGGCCTCTTCCAGCGTCTGGCCCGAAGCACCGGTCTTGCCCACTTTCTCACTACCCGCCAAATCAACGAGGTACAACGTTCCGGTCTTTTGCGTCCCCGATTCGACGTTCCTCGCTTGGATGGTGATGACGAACACGGAGTGAGATCGCGATGATTCGGCGTTCATGTTCGTTGACGAGACGGCGCGGGCATTACCACCTTGTCGCATGACTTCGAACACTTCGGCCGAATTGGAGACGTAGAAATCAGCGAGACCTTTGACGTAGACACCGTGCGCTTTGTCCTCGTGAATTGGCAGGTTGTCGTTTTGGGCTGGGAGAGGTCCAAATGCAAGTGTCAGATGATGCGCTCCTAGAGCCCAAAGAAGTTCATTCGAGTACTCACGGGCCAATAGATCTCGAATGCGCTCCATGTAGATTTCCATATACGAGACCTTTACCAAGTACTCGATGTTGCCCGGCGAGGCCATGATGCTCTGGAAGATCTGTTCGGTGATGCGCGGGATGATACCTTTCATGTCGTCGTTGTCGATGTCGGGTCCCTGTGAATAAGCCCTGAATAACCTAAGAGCTGGTTCTCGTCCAGTTGATCTAGCTTGGCCTCGGGACCCACCATCATGGTATGGGACTTTCCCGAACCCGTTTGACCGTAGGCAAAGACCGTCCCATTGTAACCGTCCATGACATCTGGGCGAACGGGACATAACTTGTCAGTAATTCATCCACAGTCACATGGCCAAGATTGAGTCTTTCAATGGCCCCCAGTTCTTCGCCAAGGCCCAGAGACATGATCAGACGTAAGCGAAAAACAGAAGTCGAGTTCCGCCCATTCCGGGAAGAATACAACCCCATGCCATCGCCCTAAACTCTTAGACTTCTCCGCTCGACAATCAAGTCACTCGGAGGTTGGTGGTGTAAAGGAGTCATCATCAAAAACCCGGGGTCCTTGCTTTCGAAGGTCGACGTTTCGAGTCCTTTGTCTCTGCGGGAACTTGTACCGTGCACGGTCCCTCCCCAACTTGCCGAGACTCGATGCGCTCAGAACTCCGGTAAGCAGGAAGGACACTGACCATCGACGATACTCTTGACGCCATACTCAAACACCTCGACCTGCTTGGTATCCATCTGGAACGCGCGATCGAAAGTGAAGCCTTGGGCATCTGCACCACTCAAGCCTTTGATCTTGACATTCGTTCCTTCCTCGTCGATCACGATGATAGAATCGCCACCGGTTTCACGAAGCTCGAGAGCATTGGGTGGTCGAAACCTAGGGTGTGGCGTACAGGAACGCAGAGAGGGATTGGATCGTCTTAGCAAGGTTGCTGCGACACGACGAGGCGCGTGGCACGCCGCTTCCCAGACCATCGCCCACCCCCCCCCCAGTCCCAGTCGAGCGGCATGTTTGGGCACTGGCTTACCGACAGACGACTTTGATGTTGTTCGACTGTTGGAGCGCGAAGATGAGGATTCTCAATACCAGGGCGAGAAGGATGGTAAAGCCCGGCCTACGCACCATGATGGGCTACACTGCGAGTCGGACGCTCAGGGTTGAGCGACAGGAGAGACCTCAAGGCCTGAGAGAGTGGGCACGCGGCGAGGACGATCTGGGCGGGCCAGTCGAGCGTGTACCGTCGAAAGTGGTTCGTGTATGCAAGGGGATGAGGAACAGCCGCCAGGTGCAACGGCAAAGGCGGCAGCTTGTGGACTTGGGAGACTCCGTGCGGTCGGTGGGCTGGAGCGGCGCGTGTCCACCACCGAATTGACCCGTGCACTAAGTAGGGGAGGGTGAGAACTCAGAAGAACGAGGTCGAAGCACCGAAACAATCAACAACAACAAACGACGACTGAACTGAGTCGATTCGAGCCCGGGCCACAGCAAAGGGCTGTTGATCGAGCTCGTGCTTGAAGAGGAGTGATGGAGGGAGCGCTACAGCGAACAACGTTGACGTCGAAAGGGAGACAGAGCACTGCAAGCTTGCGCGTGTTAGAGCATCCCCTCCTCAAAGCCGAACTTTAGAACTCGATAAGCGGATTTTGGCCTTCCCCTCAGTATATGAGACGGGCATATTACAATGTCATATTTTTGAAAAGAAAGTCCTACACCAACAAAAAAACTCGAAAAACCCGTACTCGAAAAGACCCGTTGATCTCGACAAAGAAAGAAGTATGCGCCTCCTTCACCCCTCAACGACCTCGTTCGCCCTCGCGACCGTTCGCCTCAGCGCGTCCCACACACCCCCCTTGAGCGACTCCTTGACCGTTTCCGAGCTCAGCGCCTCTTGCACACCCTTCAAAGGACCCACAACGACGAGCTTGAGTTTATCGATCTCGTCCGATTCGATTCGAGCCACTTCGGATCCTCGCAAGGTCGTGATGATTAGGGCACACAGATTGCCGATCATCTCGGGTCGCACAGTCGAAGCGAGCACGTCGGCAGACGAAGTCGGTTTGAGTGGTGCGCTCAGCGCTTCGTACTTTTCGGGGTTGGAATAGAGGGACAACCACCCGGCGGCCATGAGAGCGGCGCTGAAAGGGTCGCCTGCTTCGGTGAGCGCAAGCGACTGCTTTCGGCTGGGCGAGAGAGGAGAAGTGGGTGAAACGACTGCCGAAGGATCGGCGCTCGTCTGCGCTGGAGGGGCGTGGACGGTCGTCAGAGACTCGAGAACGAGCTTGGCTACAGGGTAAAGTCACCAGAGGACGGTCAGTCAATTAACTCGAGCGATCCCAGCTCCGACGCGGACGTACCTCCAGCCCCACCGGATCCAGCAACGAGCGTCAAAGCGACGACCGCCTCATTGATCAGCATCGGGTACTTCTCACTCAATCGAACCATCTCCGTCAAAGCCTCAACCACATCCTTCCTCAAGACCCTCGGCCTCCCCCTCCGCTTCAAGCTCTCCTCCGTATCAACACCACCGGTATTCCCACCACTCGAAGGCAGTCCACTGTGGTTGCTCTGATTCATCGAAGGGGTGATGGGTGACGCCGCAGCGAGATTCGAAGGGTCCGAGTTGACCCTGGTCGAGAACAACGATCGAACGACGTTGGCCAAGACCCGCGTTGCCTCGGAGCGCAGTCGAACGTTATCAGTTCGCTTGATGCTCGCGACCAATAAATCCAAAGCACTCAGAGGGGTCGGCAACGCCGGTTGCGATACAGCTTCACCCCCATTACTAGGTGACGGGACACTCGAAGGCGTCGAAGATGCAGGGGCGCCCAACAGCCGAAGCGAGTTGTAGACGTTGGAAGCAGTGAGGTGCTTGAACAGACCGACGACAGCGTTTTGCAACGGCGCGACGAAGTCGAGGGTCGGCACGAGCAGCATAGATACGATGGTGATGATTCCCGTCTCGCCGATGATGGACTTGTTGGAAACTGCTAGCGCAAGAATAACGTCAACAAGGCGCTCCGTCGAGCGTGCGCGCGCTCCCAGCACCCACCTGGGATCGACAAATGTCGCAATAGGGAGATGACCCCAAACAAGACCTGTGTGACTTCACCGCCCGGTTTTGTCGATTCCTTCTGGAACTGCTGCATAGCTTTCCGCCTCGCGATCTGGGCTAAGGGGGCGGCGACACCGTACGTCTGGACGAGGGCGACGCAGTGCTCGTCTGAGGTAGATGCAGAGTCTTAGCACGCAGAAGTAAGCCACCACGAAGTCCTCGAGAAAAGGACAAACCTTTTCGCCCTATAGCCGCCAACATATGACTCGCGCAGACCAGCAAATCGTCCCTCTCGCCCGTCTGGCCCAACTCCAACCACCCGATCAATCGCTTCACGAGCCACTCCTGGCGCATAAAGTCGAGCATGACCTCGTCATCATTCGGAGCCTCAACGACCGCTCTGACGACAGCAGCTTTGACCATCGCAAACGCCTTTTCGACATTGACTCGCTCCGTTCCCGCAATCGTAAGCCACGCGTCAGGCAGTCGAGCCGACTCGATGAAATCGAAAGTGAGGGGGAGCAGGCGCTGCTCAGGCACATAGTCGGCGAAGGCGAGCTGCTTCTTGACCGCGACCAAGTCGATCGAGGTCGCTTCGAGCAATGCGGCTACGAGGGTGAGCAACTCGATATCAGAATCGACAAAGTCGGACGACTCTTCGGCCTCCCAGATGTAGTACGGTGGAACCTTGGAGTCGGTGGGTGGGAGGGAGTTGACGATGGAGAAGAGCGCCGCCGTCGCTTCGGGCGGAAACGAGTTTTTGTCTGCGGATATGAATGTCACCTGAACATCAGTACGGCTGTACGAGACCCTGACAGAGGCTTTCTAAACGCACCGTCTGCCAGCGCATCCTCCAAGATGCTCATGACCCAACCCGCGATTGTCGAGCCCAACTCAATTCGCTCCGTCCACTCGTCCTCATCGGTTTGACCGGGGTTCAACATCCACGAACCGACGACGTAGATGGGTGCAATCGCTCGATCGGGCGTAGTTCGGGTGTCGAGGATCGCAAGAAGGGTTGTCACGGCAGCAGGAGAAGACAGCACCTTGCGGATGGGGTCTGATTCGACAAGGAACAGAGTATGATCAGTGACAGGTCGACGATCGGTAACGTGAGCATCAAGCACCGGCACACACCATATCTGAGCGAGGCATTCAACAGAGCCCCAATGGCTGCGCGGACAAACTTGAGCTCTGCCGTGCTGAGTGCTCTGGCATTCCCTGCCGAGGCTTGCGTGACTTTAGAAGACGAGGTCGACGAGGTAGGAGGAGCAATTTCGAGGAGGTTGGCGAGCAGCCCCAGGGTCGACTCGGGACCTGCTCCGGAATGGGTTTGAGCGCGATTGGGGTCTGTCCGTGTGGAGACGAGGATCAGCGCATTTGCTCCACCACGGTCATTCCAATTCCAGTTCGGGCTGCGGACTGCGGACTGACCGTTGTCGAAACACATGTTGCCGATCAATCTGAGCAACTCGGTTCTTGCCGCAAGCACGTCCTCGCCATTCGAGGCATCTACTGATGTTTTGAGCAGTAATGTCGCGCTCTTGACCAAGGAGGTGTTTCCCAACGTCGTTCGCAGCTCGGCTGTGGAGGAGAAGGGAGCTGACGGTTCAGCCTTGGAGGGAGGTCCATGCGCCACCGTCAAAGTCGAGTTTGAGGTTGGATCCGACTGGGTAGGGGCTCAGTACTGACGTGTTTTGAGGGAACCGGCGATCGTCTTGGCATGCTTCGCTACGTCGCTCCACTGAGTGGTCGTGGTGCTTGAGGCGGCGGCGGGGTCGGCTAAACGCTCCAGCTGGTCGATGGCGGGCGGGAGGTGGGGTGGGATCGCAGCCGCTGCAGCTGCGCGGGGCGCAACGATGTCAGCGATATGCTTCACACAATCCAATTCAACGAGAAGCTGTTTAAGGTGATGGTGGTGGTGGTGGGGAGGTGCTGCATGGCCCATGGACTGCAGACATGCGAGTCGCTTTGGCAGCAGCAGCAGCCGCAGCCGCAGCCGCCCTTGCCTCCACGAGCCGGATGGACTGTGGGAATAAGGAAACGCACCTGTTCCGATCTCGGTCATCTCTGGCTCGTTCTCGGTCGACATAGCCTATTTACGCCTTGGGTTCAGAAGAGTGAGTGCGCTAGCTGCGTTTCACACGATCGCGAGTGAGCGCGGTCAAGGGTCCGAGCTTTTTGGCCCGCCTGCCCGGAACGGGTCGTCCAAATAGGTCCCAATCGGGGTACCGGGGCCTTACGGGGCCTTACGGGGCCTTCTCCGCGCCCATTAGTCCGGCGATTTGTAATCAGCGCTATCTCGATCAGTTGAGGCCCGGCAGTGATCGACGCTTCTTGGTGTGAGGAGCATCATCGAGAACGACCTAATAACCGGACTGTCTGGGCGTCCTTTGTTCTTGAACACGTGTCGCACCATCAACCTCCATCCTTCCACGACTGGACACCATGACGGAAACCAGGGCCCTCTTCAAGGCGCTCAAGATTGGCAACGTCGAGCTGCAACACCGAATCGCCATGGCCCCACTCACGCGGTTCCGAGCGCAAGACGACCACGTCCATTCCGGTCAGCGCAGCCCGGAGACATCTACTTTTGCATGTAGCAGACCTGGAGTAGTACTGATGATTATGATCTCTTACTACACCAATCAATTTGTGATCTACCTCCTCCCCAATCACTGCACACCCTCGCTCTCTCCTTCAATTCGACGACACGAACTCGGATATCGCCCCCGAATTTGCCGGTACGCGATCGCTTACTCGGTCACTCCTTCCACCTCGCACAACCACCGTCAACTTCCAGCCCTAGCAATCGAATACTACACCCAGCGAGCAACCCCAGGCGGTCTCCTCATCACCGAAGCGACCTTCATCCTCCCCCAAGCCGGAGGGTACCGCAACGTACCCGGGTGCTATTCACCCGAGCAAATCAAAGCCTGGGCCAAGATCGTCAAAGGCGTGCATGGCAAAGGCGGAATCATCTTCCAACAACTGTGGGCTTTAGGGCGTGCGGCACAGGGTAAGGTCCTGCAAGAGGAAGGAGGGTATGATGTTGTTAGTGCTTCGGATGTGCCGTTGGACCCGAATGGGAATACGCGCAGCAAGGACAAGCCGAGACCCCTGACCAAGGACGAGATCAAGGAGTACATTGCTGGCTATGCTCAGTGCGCCAAGAACTTTGTGCAGGGCGCTGGAGGGGACGGTGTCGAATGTGAGTGACCGACCTGAGGTGCATTCACTCGGTCAGCTCTTATCCGACGAAGTGGGCTGACACAACTTTCACCCTTCCTTCGCGCCTCCAGTACACTTTGCCAACGGATACCTCGTGGACCAGTTTACGCAAACGAATTCGAACAAGCGTACGGACGAATACGGTGGCTCGGTCGAGAACCGCTGCCGATTCGCTCGAGAGATCATCAAAGCCGTCGTTGAGGCCGTCGGTGAAGGACGGACGGCGCTCAGGATCAGTCCCCACTCCCCTTTCCAAGGTCAGTCCGGGATTATTCCCGGGATAGACTCACGACGAGACTGATCCTAGTCTCGATCAATTACGTCCATAGATATGAAGATGCCTGAGAAGGACATGATCGAGACGTTCTCGTATCTCACCAATGCACTCAAGAGGGATCACCCCGGACTCGCGTACTTGCACGTGACCTTGCCTCGGGTCGCCGGTGGATTCAGTAACGACAATGTGAAAGAAGAAGAGAACATCGACTTTATTGTCAGTCCTACTCCAATAACTTCCACTTGATCCGCACTCGCTGATGGCTTGCCTTTCCTTGATCTCTCTTCTGTAGCATGACATTTGGGCCCCTCTGCCCATCATCATCGCAGGACAATACGAACCCGAATCCGCGATCGCCGACGCCGAAAAGTACCCCAACTCCATTATCGCATTCGGTCGCATGTTCATCTCCAACGTGAGCATCCCTCTACATGCTGGGCCATGGCTCCTCTCGTCGCTTCTCTCGACCGTGCTTTGCTGATGCCCCGACGCTTTGATGTTCATACAGCCCGACCTGCCTTACAAAGTGAGATATGGAGCGGAGTTGACGCCTTACAATCGCAAGACGTTTTATCTCTACGGACCTGATAAAGCAGAGGGTAGATACTCAAAGAAGTTCGTCCACCCTGATCGTCCGGGAGCTGATATCGGTCCTTTCGCTCTCGCTCCAGGCTACACGACGTACAAGCCCTCCAAGATCTGGGGCAAGCTATGAAAGTTTTGAACGAATGAGATTTTTATCGCACATTCGTGGAAACGCGGAAGATTGCCACCTTTTTCAGGATTTTTTTATTCGTATAGATAGAGATTCAGTTTAGAAGCGATTTCAACTTGTCGAAAGTGGGCTTCCGTACAACTCGTCCTGGGTCGCCAAGCCCAGCGTTACGCAATGACCCTTGGTCAAGGTTAATGTAATGCAACATCTAGCAACATACTTGAGAGCGATACCCAAAAAGACCTCAACAATGCGGACACACGAGAACCTGGGGGTATTGTAACATGTGATTTTGAAGGCCCGGACACTCCGTGCTGTCAATACGCCGCCGGGATACCGTTCTTCCTCGAGTCGGATGTAGCAAAGAAGCGGCCGCTCGAATCACGCATCACGGCTTGTACTTCGGCGATCCCAAGATTGACATCAAAGACGCTGGATAGGCCCAGGGAAGCAATTGGATCAGCTCCAAGCCAACACAAATCACTCATGAGGTCGCTCATCAAACTCACGTGGTATTATGGCCTCTCTCTTTGAGAGCCTCGATCAGATCCTCCCTAAACCCACTCTCGATCGAGACGTAAGCCGGAGACAGCTGATCGTGCACTCGGGATTGTTCAACGGCGTTCCCAAGATCGTATCCAAAGTCCAAGTTGAGCAGAACTTGAGCAACGGCGCCAAAAATGCGAGATCCACCTGATCCACCCAGCGAGAGCCACACTTCGCCGTCGGGCGAATCCATGATCACCGGCGCGGTGGACGATAAGGGACGCTTACCCGGTGCGGGGTAATTGAAGGGAGAGGCTGTGCGACGACGTCCCAATAGTTAGCCTCGCCACATCTTAAGGTACTCAACAATTCTGCGGCCACCACTCACGTCTTAGGCCGAACGCATCCTGAATTCCCGGTGTGGCGAAATCGTCCATCTCGTCATTCATGATCACACCCGTCTTCTTGTCCATGACCCTCGATCCAAAGATGAGGTTGACCGTACTCGTCAAGCTGACCGAACTGCCCCACCGATCAACCGTACTAAGGTGCGTCGTCCCGTGGTCCTCCTTGATGTCGAAGTGAGGGTGGTAGTACTCCAGGGTGTGCGTGCGCTCGTCGGTGATGTTGGCGCGGACTCGGTCGGCATATCCCCGCGTCGGGATTTCGGACAAGCGGTGCGAATTCTTGGTGTACGCAGGATCACCGACTTCGGTTCGGGCACCAAAGGCGACTACGGCTCGTACGAGATTGCGAAACCTTAACTTAGTGTATGTACCAGTTTCCCCAAGGTTCTACTGCACTCACACTTGAGAGCCTCGACAAACCGATGCGTCGACAACCCAGTTCTTCCTTCATCGATGTATTTCGGGAATCCCTCCAGGACGTTCAAGAGGTGGGTGATGATCGGCCCCCCCGATGGGTAGTGACCGGTGTAATAAGTCCGGTTACGATAGGTCTCCTGTCGAGCCGGGAGGACGATAGCAGAATAGCTACGCATGTCGTCGACGGTCAAGATGCCGCCTGCGGCTCGTACCGAAGCAACCATCGACTCCGCAAACTCGCCCTGCTCAGAAGAGGAAACCGTGGTCAGCCTCTCAAATGTAAAGCTTGGTAAGAGCCGAACGTAAGGAACGCACCTCGTAAAAGACTCCTGCTCCCTGCTGGCTAATTGTCTCCAAGGTGTTGGCATACGCCTCCCTCCTCAAAATCTCTCCCTCCTTGAGCAGTTCCCCGCGCGGTGCGAAGATCGCTCGCCAGTCCTCCTCCTCTAGCATCCAAGCTCCCATGCTCGCCCCACCGAACGGAGCCGCGTTCAGTCGTCTCGCCAACTCCCTTCCTACCTTGGACTTTCTCGCCAACTCGACCGAAGGTGCGAACAAGCGTTCCCAAGTGACACCTCCTCCACACCGCTCGTAAGCTGCCTCTAGACCGCGCAGTTCACCGGGTACGCCTACGGCGAGACCACCGATCTTGGACGCTCGGGCGGCATCGAAGCTCGGGTCGTCCGGTCGCGGGAAGAACATCGTCGCAGACGAGCCAGAAGGTGCCGTTTCACGGAAGTCGATCGCGATCGGTTCAGTGCACCGCGGGTTGAAGTTTGCATGAGACGTGGAAGGGCGGATGACCATGAATCTGAAGGGGACATGTGGGGCACCAGCCGCGTGACAAAATCACGTCAGCGTCGCTACAGCAGCGATTAGAGGAAGTGGAAATTGGCCTGGGCCATGGCTACTCACCCTCCACCACCGATGCCTGCACTGAACATGTTTGTGACACCGATGCAGATGGCCGAAGCGATCGCCGCGTCCGTCGCCGTTCCATTCTCCTTGAGGACTATCGATCGCGAAGAGGGGATGAGGAAAGAGAGCAGATTGAGCGTAGGTTCCCTAATGGTATGACAATCGCTGAGAGGTATGGGCGTACCATCGACGCCGATGTTGGAGCAGATATCGACCTCGGTAGCAACAGCGCCGTTGCGGCCGCTGACGAGGTAGTTGGCGTTCCTCAGCCCCGGTTTCGCAGGTGGCAATCGACTATAGTCGGGTGTATCATTCGGTGCACCGTCCGAGTCGCCCGAGTCGCCCCTCGATCCGCCCAGCTTGCCCTCACTTCGGAGAATGATGAGCACCACCCCGGTCACGAGCAGCACGAGACCGAGTCCACCGACCGCGACTCGGGTCCAGTACCGATTCGAATTGGACTCGACGACGATCGATTTCGAAAGCGCTCGTTTGCGGTACGATGGGCGTTGGGGCAAGGGGGCCCCCGAGAGCAAAGGGGTGCTCTCATGGGCGTGTGGGGCCGATCCCGATCCCGATCCCGATCCCGATCCTGATGCGGAGGAGGATGAAGAAGCACGCAGCCGTCGGGCCGGCGAATTGAACGACGACGCCAGCGAGTTGACGCGCGAAGGTCGAGTCGTCGAGGGGCCTCCTGTACCTTGTTCCAGATCGGTCATGGTAGGGAGGGAGGGAGGGTAGCGGCTCGTAGCGGATGCGAGAGAGCGCGCCGGAGAGAGAGAACCCGAGAGCCGCGAGGTGCCAGGGCAAATCAGCCGGCGCACCACGCGCTAGCAGCCCGACAGAAACTGCGATCAGCCTAAAGTAATCAGCGGCCCCGAAATAGTAACATCCAGAGGAACCGGTCTGCTAGTCATTATTATCGCAATCGGTAAGACAAGTGAAGCCAAGAGCCCCGATCTGACCGCCGAACGAACCCATGTGGGAATGTTCTGCTACTCTACCAGCCAAGCAGCAAGTTCTTCAGCAACTTTTCCCCACTGAGCAAAGTTGTTTCACATGGGATGTGCTATATTCTCCTTATCTGCCGAAGTCGTTCTTGCCGAATGACAACATAGACAGCAAGATAGGTCAAGAGTGTGTGCGCGCTCACTGGGCCAACAAGACAGGGGTCAGTCACCCATGCGGGCTGCTTTGCACGCCCCACGCCTTTCCCCTCTTCCCTTCAAGTTGGGCCTTTGTCTCTGTCTCATCATAGCCCAATCCTCCTGTAAAAATAAGACCTCCAGGATACATACCAATTGCAAGGTCCGGTACGTTTCAGCTTTCGAGTTTATGAACGTCAGTCGTTCTTATCGACGTCACACTCCGATTGCCTGCTCCGATCGAGCGATGGCGAACCATCCATGCCCTACCTGGGACTTCTGAGAATCTTGACCCTCTTTAATCCTCTTCCAGAACAACGTCTCTGTCCCCAGGTTGCAAAGAGTCGTGCGTGATCGTGGATGGTCAGGATAGGTAGGTTCAGCTCGTCGTCGAGGGGGGGGGGAACGAAAATTCCGCTGCGATAGCTAGCATTGCGACTGACTTCCTGGCAGATGACTGAACCAAAGCCGACGATGCCACAATCGTTGTTCTGCATAGAGTTTCGATAAACTTGTATTCCCGGTCTTGAGTGCCGAGCTGCTACCTATCGACTCGCGTACCTACCAAGTAAAGCTCGGTGACACTGCATTGTGTTCAGCTTTTCGACTTTCGATCGGGGCTACTTCGATCGGTTAAATCGACGGCGCCGCCGATCACTATGATGCCTTGAGCGCGTAAATTGCCCGTCCGAAGGCTGTGCGTTCGTCTTCGGCGCTGCACTCGACAAAACCGAACCAACACCTCAACATGACGTTCATGGATCGATTGCTGCATGGACCTGAACGACAGCGACACGTCGCGCCGACCGATAACCGTCGACGAGCGCAGTTGCTGCTGTCGTATCTGCCAGGTCAGTTCAATGTCTCTCAGGCTGCGGGTGCCAAGAGGATGAGAGGATGAGCTCCGGTGAACGGGTGGGCTATGCGATCCCACGTCCCAGCACTGCGACAAATGGGACAACTTCCCTGAAAGTCTACTTGTCGATGGAAGCCATGTCGTCATCAATCGGGTGTCCAGACCCCGCCAACTCGCGACGAGCTCGTTGAAACGGATGCCCTGGCGAGCGGCGATCCAAATCGCCGGGGCGAGCCCACCATAGCGCCTATCCCTTTCGTCTCCGTACCGTGACGCCGGACTAACGTCCGCGCAAGCTCGTGTACCTCAACTGCGTGCGCTCCATAGATTGGCTTCTCACCGTCATTGTGCTCGTGCTTATCGCTGTTTTGACCGAACACTCGGGTATGTCCGATTCAGTGCTTCGGCGATGCTCGGACCCGCAAACTTACCAAAGACTCCGCAGGTTACAAGCGCGAATTCTCCTTGACGGACACGTCGATCCAACACACTTTTGCGGTCAAGGAGAGGATATCGTTTGGGCTCGACGTGAGTGCTGAGATCAGCTTAATGTGAGAGGCTCAGTTTTTTGAGGCAACACCTCTGACATTTCTCGTCCCATCCTATAGATCGGACTTGCAGCCGGTGTCCCAGCGGTGATCATCATTTTCGTCGGCCTCATCTGGAACCGTTCCTTCTGGGACGTCCACGCCGGTCTGCTCGGTCTCTTCCTGAGCTGCTCCATCACGACCGTCATCACCCAAGTGATCAAGATCTGTGTCGGTCGACCCCGTCCGGACATGTTGTCCCGTTGTCTACCCATCGCCGGAGCTGCAAATGCCGAACCTTTCGGTCTTGCGACGATCGCCGTTTGCACGGTCCAAACAGGCCACATCATCGACGACGGGTTCAAATCGTTCCCTTCCGGACACTCCTCCTTCGCGTTCGCCGGACTAGGTTTTCTCTCCTTCTACATGGCCGGCAAGATGCATCTCTACGACACGCGTGGGCACGCGATCAAAGCTTGGATCTGTATCGCGCCTTGGACGGGAGCCGGTCTGATCGCGATATCCCGTACGATGGATTATCGTCATCATGCGACGGACGTGATCGCGGGTTCTTTATTGGGTACCGCGATCACGGTGTTGACGTACCATTTGTACTATCCTTCCATCTTGAACCCTTCGTGCGACTTGCCTTATTCGCCGAGGATTCCGAGGACCCTGTTGGCGAGCAGTACGAATCGAGTTGGGAATGGGAATGGGAATGGAGGGATCGAGGATGATCAAAGTCCCTGCGGGAATGACACCGAGACCGGTGGCGAACAATGGTAATCTGTATCAAGGGGCGAACACGCATGTAACGCCTGAGGTCGCTTTGGAGGAAGGGAGGATTGGAACGGCGGGGAGAAAGTACGATCGCGTTGCGAGTTCGGATACGTCGGTGTTTTGATCGGAAGGGGGGATTCGTGATGGAAGCGCGGATGTTTCAAGTAGCTCGGGTGGAAGGTGGCCTTCGATGTATACGAGGAATTTGTTGGCACGCAATGACGGATCGACCTTGGCTTGCATGATTTAGTCTTGTAATGATGAAATATACGATATAATTTATGAGGTGGAGACAGAACCGAGGATAAAGATGCCTAACTTGTATCATGGGGATTCACCAACGTAAGACAAAGAGCTGCGCTTCACCCCAGCATGGAAACTGTCACGGACGAGAGCCCATCATTACCTCGTCGAATTGTGAACACGTGCTTGACGTGTACTTTGACGTGATCTCTGCGCTGCTGGTCCATCTCACCGTCACAAGACCACACCGACAGATATTTTTTGTATTTACAGAGCCGCGCAGGGGGCCCAACCTCCACCGAGATTCCCCAAAAGACGATCAATTTTTTCCAATCTTGCTTCTCGATGATCACTGCATTCACTTGTTGCCCTTCTTCCCCTTTGCCGTCTTGGCCGGACTGGACCCCGACTGCGCACCCGTTGCAGTCGCCGTCGCCGTCGGCTTCAAGGTTGCCGATTTACCCTCTGCCTCCCTTTGAGCCTTCTGCTTCTGTTCCAACAACACCTTCCTCGCTTCGGCTTCCCTCTTCTCCGCCTTCTCCAAGGTCCATTTGCGCGTGTAGGAGGACATGGTCAATTGGGCGATGAGGCCGATGAACGGGATGATGAGGTGCGAGTAGTTCGAGAGCAGCGAGGTCAGTTTGGCGTAAAAGGCTACGACGGCGGGAGTGTTCTGTTTTGGGTTTGGGTTTGAGAGGTTGGTTGGGGAGTGTGGTTGAGTGGGGAGGTGTTGCAGGGATGGGGAGTGAATAGAGGGGGTGATCGATGAGGCCGGGTGGGGGAGTACGCCGAGAGCACATGCGCGAGGAGCAGGCAGAACATGAAGACGCGAAGAAAAGAACACAATGCATCAGTGCCAAACCCCCACAAGTCTTCCAACCGACCCACGCTCCCAAACGTACGAGCAATTGGACGACCTGCTTCGCCAAGACATTGTCGCTATGGTCGAGGAAGACGTAAGCGTTGTGCGGCGCCTCGATCGCCTTGGTGAAGAAGTCGGACAGGGCTTCCATGCTTGAGTTGGGTGAAGTGGTGTTGAGCGTTTAGTCTGTAGTGGGTGGGGCTTGCGTGCGTGTGGCGACAAAGTGGGGCAAGCGGGGGGCAGAGGGAGAGCCGAACATCCCAGCGCCTCCCACACTTTGAGCCGGTGCTGTCGTCGCTGTGATGTCAGGTGCGCCATTCAATTTAGCGCTGACGCAAGCCCGCGCACGGACCGCTTTTGGCCCGGCTGACAAAATCCGTCCCCCGATGCGCTCGGGGGAGATGTAATCTGCAGTAGTGATGTTTCGATTCTTGACATTGCGGAGTTGATACACTACACGACGCACCCTACTCGAACAGCCCTGTCTGAATACTCCTTCGTCGGGGCCGACGTTTGCACGGTCCAAACAGGTCACATCATCGACGACGGGTTCAAATCGTTCCCTTCCGGACACTCCTCCTTCGCGTTCGCCGGACTAGGTTTTCTCTCCTTCTACATGGCCGGCAAGTAGGAAATGTATAATGATTCTGCTTCACACCCATTCTTTTGGAATTCCAGAGAGCGACGTGTCCGGCGACCGCAGTTAGTCTTACGAGATCGTGTAGCCGTCAGATGTCTTGATCGAGTTGGATTCAGGAGAGAAGGACTCGACAGCGGCCGAATAGTGCTTGACCCCGGAAGGAATCACATCCTGCAGAGGTTTCCGGCGGGGTGGTCGAGGGACGACGCGAGGAATTTGGCCACTGGGGTGAAAGTTGATGAGCTGGGAGCAGCGCGGTTTGGGGAGGGATTGGGGAGGGGAGGTGACGACGCGGAGAGCAGAGCAACCACACCTTCTCACAAGGGCACCGCCAGCAAAAACGTTGGTCCAGATCTTGGAGCAAGTGAACGCACAATTAGCGACGACGGTCAAACTTCTCTTCCGCGCGGAGGGGTCCGAGCTCACCATCTGGTCGAGCACGGGGGACTCGGGCCCGAACGCGGAAGCTCAAGCTCAAGCTTAGACCGAACCTAACGCCAGCCTGCTCCTCCCAGTCGCCTCTCTCCCTCCCACCACCTCGTCGTTCGCACACCACCTCACCGTTCTGCCAGCCCAACTACACTCGGGTGAGTACCCTCATGTTTATCTCTGGGTCCCTGTTGCCGTCGTTCATGGTAGTACCCCTTGCTCTCGAGCCCCGATCATACGTGGCGGCCAACCTGCTTGTTCGACGGCACTCCTAAGGCAGGATTTCCGGCCCAGAGTCACAGCCAGGCTGGCGCCCACAGTGATGTCCCGACTCGGAGCACAGCGCTGAGGAACCACCATCCTTGATCTTCCTCTTCTGCTCCTCCAAGTAGCCCACACGTAGCCAATATGGGGGTTCACTACGGTCCCCAGTACATCAGGACATCCATCAAGCAGAATCCAACAGCCCTCCTGGCCACAGCCGATACCATCGAGGATCTTTTCAACAGCGTGCCGTCTGAGCAGCGCAAAGGTGCGCTCCAACATCTGACCTTTCTGGTGGCACATTCTCGCTCGTGCGACAATCGCTGACGATCTACGATCCGTTGCTCAACGTGCAGCACTCCTCGTTGACGTGTCGACGACTGAGCGCGGTATCTGGGCCACCACTCGGGGCAAGAAAGGAAGCGTCGAGCACGGACGCGCTTTTGTCAAGAGGGTCGCCGCAAAGTACCATCGACAAGCTCAAGCGCACGGGGGCAACACCCATGTGTTTGCCATTGTCGACAACGAGCTTTGGCGACCAGAGCTCAAGCGGCAAACGGTCAACAGGCGCAAGGAGATGGCGGTGGATAGTGGCATGAACGTCCGTGTTCGCCTGGATTCCTTCACCACCGAGCCGAAGTTCATCTCGACGGCGTCGCTCAAGATCCAGTGTGACACCTTCCCTGATCCTACCTCGTCAACCGTGGATCTAAAGAAAGCCGATGGCATTGTTGTCTGGTCGTTGACGCCTCGGGTAACATTTGTCATGGCAAAGTCCGAGGCGGACACCCTGGCGTTTCTCGTCTGTCGTCAAGGGTTCCTGTTACACGTCCCCCTCGATCCTTCGTCGACTCTTCTCTACTCGAAGGATTCTGACTGGATTTTGAACCTTCCGCCCGAGTTCTGCCATCGTCGCATCTTCGTCGACATGTCGATTCCTGACTCGTCCCAAGACCCGGCCAACAAGCTCAACATAGCTCCTCGACGGGGCTCGGCGCGGCCACAATGCTCGTCGCTCTGTCTTATTGATACCATGGTGCTCGGATGGGACGGCGAAAAACTCATCATCGCCGGGATCCTTGCGGGTGGCGATTACTTCCCCGGCGGTCTGCCGTCCGTCGCGTTCAAGAAAGCGTTCAATACGTACAAGGAATGCCTCTCCCGTAAATTTTGGGAGGGACAAGAACTTGGCGTCGTCCTCGGGCGCTTCCGAGCCATCAACCAAGTCGAAAAGTTGAGCGATGCGTTCGTCAAAGCGATCGAAGAGCTTCGAAACAACATGCCGGCGATCTTTGCGCTACTGGAGAAGGACGAAGGCGAACGGTTCAACAAGTTCGACTGCGCTGGCGACCAAGCATCTCCCTCGGACCATTCCGTCCCAATCAAGTTCCCCCCCAAATCACGTCGCTTTACGAGAGGAAAATCGCCCGGGGAGCAAATATTCCCCAAGGGCACCCAGGTCGCTCCAGCTCCTCGATCCCAACCCCTGTTCGAGGTGCCACCAGATGCTTGGGCGCCGCCGAGCGAGTGGTTCTTTGGCGACTCGGTCTATCGACCTCCTCGAGCTCAGAACGCCAAGACTCCGGCCCGACAGTTCCTTTCTCAACCAAGGGAGAGCATCGCGTCGCTCAAGTCGACCGAGGATGCCATGGTGGGCCCAGGGAAGCGCCTATACGAAAAGCGCTTCCATCGACTTGTCAAGCTTCGGCGCAAGGAGAGTCGCCGAGTCGTCCGAGCCCCTGCGAGCGTTCAAAGCGACGTTCTGGGCTTCCCCTTGTGGGAGTCGTTCGACTGGAACAAGCGTCCAGAAAGGGGTCATCCCCTGCCGACTCGAGCCGCCGCGCCCCCGGTCGAGCCGACTCACACCGCCACGAGCACGCAAGCCAAGCCTGCTCAAGCCAAGAAGTCGTCGACGTCAAAGCTCACACTAGCGGGTAAGGAGTACTCCGGGCGGATGCGTCGTTGCGACTTTACCAAGAGTTTGCGCGAGCAGCTCCCTCCCTCGCCCGATGGCAAGAGGAAGCACAGGTCCGCCAAATTCTTCTCCGACCTGATGCGCGTTCAAGTCGTCATCCGGTCCATCGAGGCGAAGGTGTATCAGCCTTGCGTCCGAAATTATGTCACCCTCTTCACCGACAATGATTGGAAGATCATTGCCGCCTCCAAGTTCGAGAAAGAATTGAGGAAGAGGGTCACGGGCGTCTTTTCGGGGTTGCACCTCGATCCGGATTACAGCACCAAGGCCAAGCGTAAAGACCAAGGCTCGTTCACGATAAACACACCCAGCGACCCCGTGAACATCTCGCCCGACACCCATCGAGCTTATGCTGCGGGGTACGCGAAGGCCGCCAACCCTCAAGGCGGCCCTCGTTTCGCTGGGGTGAGTCTTGGGCACTGTTACCGTGCCGCCTTGAATGCGGCTTTGACATGATCCGAGGCCAGAGGGTTTGACCAAGCCAATCTCCACCGTTTGATCTGCGTTTCATTCCAGGCCACGGGGGCGTTGATGACCGCAGTGGACAAGACTCGAGCGGCGGGCCTGACTCTTGGTGCGCACCCTCAATTCGGGGTGCACTACGAGGGCGTGGTCAGATCGATCGTTCGCGCTATCCTCGGCTGGAAGGACAAACTCCCCTACGTCCTCGCCGAATACGGCAAACACCTGCTCAAACCCCTCTTGAAGGAGCAAGGACTCCTTTCGGGATTTCATTCGGACGACGTGCTCGTGACGGAGAAAGGGCAGCAGGTCCTCCTCGATATCGTGGTCTCGGCACTTCGCGACACGCCTCATCACGTCGCCGAGCACCAAGCAGAATTCCAGAATTCCCTCGAGCGGGTCGACGCGCTCATCGGCGAAAACCCTGACGGCCCCCACGCAGCCTTTCGAACGGTCTTTGTCAAGCAGGTCTATACAGGCTGCGGGGTCTGAGACATCTATATCCCATGGGCGCTGCCCACGGGGCAACAGGGGACGTTGCGGGACCTCGTAGGAGTCAAGTTGACGGACTTTTCTGCCAAGCACAAGACTCGCGGCGGCGGCGGGAGCGGCGAAGATGACGATGACGACGATGAGGACAACGACGACGACGAGGACGAAGAAGAAGAAGAGGGCAAGTCAGAGGAGGGAGGAGGGTCCAGGGTCCAGTTCCCAGCGGCTGCCCTGCTTCCCCTCATGCACCATCTGCTTATCAGGAGCGGCCATACGAACGGCATCGTCCCCGTGAGTTCTGCTAGCCCTTATTCGCGCTCAGGCCGTGCATCTTACTTACCCTGTTCGTTCCCCACGCAACATTCATATCCTATAGACACTCGAATCCAATTTCATCCAGTGCACCCCCGGCTACCTCGCCACGATCCTCTCCAACCCAGTTCGCGTTGTGAGAGACCAAGCGAAATGGCTGTACAGCATCGTGCCGGCTCTCGTCACTGACCGTGGCGCACCTGAAGACCGATCCGCTCGCTACGTCAAGATCGTACGACTTCTCCTCGGCGCTACGGGGGACAAGATCTTCGACTTTGATCAAGCCGATCTTAGGGTGAAGCAAGAATGGAGCGACGATGCCCTGGAGAGTGTCCGTGCGATTCGAGAGAATTGCTTCGGGTCCCACGTCGCCAAGTTGGAGCATGGCCCGGATGCGACCTTCTTCAGGTCAGACGACTTCAGGGCTTTCGGGTTTCGTCTGGCTGATGTCTTATTTAAAGTCGAGAGCATCCTCCCCTTCCACGAGATCCCAGCGGGCTCGTGGCAGACGGATGGCGTGCACGTGCATCTACGCGTCATGGATATCAGGAGAGCGTCAGAGGACAGTCGAGCGGCGGGACCTCCGAATTGCGGCGCGTCGAACTCGATCCGGGATAGCCTCATTCGAGCCATGAGGAAGGCCAAGCAGTGGCATCGATTAGGGAAGCTTCCGACCACGCAGGGTGGACTTTATCGATCCGCACAAACGCCGTGCCAGCACTACGTCGACGGTGTCAAGGAGACATTTTTGCTTTCCTGTGCCGAGGGTTTGAACAAGCCGCGTGTAGAGGGGAAACCCCGCGACCGCATGGACGCTCTCGAGGACAGGCTCAGGGAGGATGCAACCCAAGCCGGAAGAAATGCCGATGACGCTGTTCAAGTGAAATTCGTCCCTTGGAGGGAGCTGCAAGACGTTCGGATCGTCGATGGGGAAATTTACGTACCCAGTCTCCGCAACGACGGCGCGTTCTGCGAACTGCTCGAGACGCTGCAAGGCTTCAGCAACAAGAAGTTTCACACCAACGTGAGTGATATAATATGCCTTGCCTCGGGCTTCAGACGATTCCACGTCCGAGACGTCTTGGCGGTCGTTACCCGTTTACTCGGCCTACTTGAAGTCATCGATCGAGAGAGTTGGTACTGATCGCGGTGCCCCACTACCTGGGCTACACAGCACAGCTTCAAGAGGGATGATCTCATCACCGAGTTCAACAAGCGCGAGAGCTTTTGGCGCGACATGAATCACGCTCTGAGCCAGTGTATCCTCGTAGCCAGCGACCTCGGACACGAACGCCCCAACACCATTGTCGCCCGCGTGTTTGACCGCAACGACGTGCCAGTGCTACAGACGGTTATTCTGTGCAAACAAGCGCCGAACAGCATTCTGCGACGGGGCGCCCAACTGTCGGCGGAGCTGCGGGAAGCACGGGCAAATCACGTCAAGACGACCCTCGACAAGAACAAGTTCGAGTGGTCACCCCTTGCACTGGCTCGTGGGTTCCCTGAGGGGCGCACTACCGCTTCTATGAAACTGCGCTCAACGACTCGCGAGGCCAGAATGACGGTTTTCGAACAACACGCAGAACATGTGCTGCACGTCACAGGTATCGAGAATATGCGTGAGTCCTCGTCAATCGGGGGAGACTCTATCGATCGCCGCTTGGTGCAGGTCAGTTGTAATTGTGGCCAGTATGTGCTGACTTCGTTCTGCGCTTTTCCACATGCAGGTGCCCATGCACGTCCGCATGCCCAGGAAAAACAGGTGACGATCGAGCCGGCGGCGCTCCCAGAGCTCGCCAAGCCATGCCATCTGTTTTCGAGCGAGCTGCGACCAATCATCTACGTCGCCGGCGACAGTTCGAGCTCGGGTCCGAACCCGCGAGGCGTCTACTTTGGTCCGGCCGCCTACAAGTCGATGCACCGAGCCTTCAAGGGACTGAAGAAGTCCGGACTCGAGGTTCATCTCTTTACCGTGGACGAGTTTCGCACATCCAGTCACTGCTGGCATCTTGACTGCCGTGACGACCAGGAAAGGCGTAATTGGTACGTCCGTGCAAACCGAGGCAGACATTCGCTTGGCTCGATAATGACACGAACCCACGTGCTGTACTTGTTGCAGGGTCAAAACCGGTACGAGCGCGGAGGGATGGGCCATCCATCGGGTCCTACTCGGACAGGGCACCTGCACCCATATGCCTTCAGATCGGGACATTCTCGGCGCTCGCAACTGCGCGCACGTCTTTGAGCATTTCTTCGCTCACGGCCTACATCCGTTCCGTCCAGAAAAGGGGGAGGGGTACCGCGGCGCTGGGACCCGAAGGCGCGGAGGAGGGGGAGGGAGTGGAGGAAGTGGGGGAGGTGAAGGAGGCGGAGACGATGAGGAACATTGGGATCATGAGGGCAAAGGAAGAGAAAGTGGAGGAAGCGGAGAATGTGAGGAGCATTGGGATCGTAAGGGCAAAGGGAGAGAGATCGCTCCCGACGTGCAAGATGAAGTGGAGGACACTGGAGATGAGCAAGAGGAACAGCAAGCCGAGTATCACACTTTTGAGGATGAAGAGGAGCTTGAGTATCTCGACTATGAATGACGCGTTGAGAAGGGCAGGGATGAAGGGGAGGGCCCACTCCGAGGCGGGGGACTTGAGCAACTAGTATCGCGGTTTAAGGGTTTGATTAGTAGCTGTACAGAGGTGGTGCCATACAAAACATCCAGGTTTCCGATGTGATTCTTCATACTATCGATGGCCTTACAACTTGTAACTAGCTTGTTATTGTGCTCAACTGCATTCCCTCTGTCTTTTCCGAGGATTTTTAGGCATTAATATAGATATGCTGTTAATGAAATATATTAGATAAAAAAAATGTTATTGTGTTTAGTGCATGGATAACACTTTACTTCTTGGTCTCTTCCCCGTTCGCTCTCGCAACGGTGCCGACTGAAGTGACATTCAGTGCGAGATACATAGCGTCCCTAACCCGGCGCTCGGTTCATGATTTATCAGGTAGGTCGGTTCAAAGTCGTCTTGATCGCAGCAGGTTCTCCATCCTGCGGCGGCAGGACTCGGCCCCTTGCCGGTCTCATTGGCTCCGCTGGGGCGGGTGGGACGCGGGCGACGGAATTGATATAGCTCGCAAACTAGCGAACACAGATTCTAGGTATGATTGGGTGTACAAGAGGACTCGACCTCCTGAATCCCTCGCCGTTCGGCTCTGGGTAACTTTGAGCCGCCCTCACCCACCAAGTTGACGGCACTGTGTGTGGCAGTGGAAGCCGGTTGGGGTCCGTCCCCTGTCAAACTTCAGACGATCCCGCGCCCGGGTGCATGGGCCAGCGCGTGCGAGGCAGTGCGAGGCAGAGCGGGGCCGAGCATCGAGGAGCAGCCCACGCTCGCTGCGGTCAGACGCGCGGGACTTATATACCCTCTGGCAGCCCACCACACTGCTGCAGTGCCGACTGCCGTGGTACGAAGCTCTTCGCTACTACGACACCCAGCACCGCCGATACCATTATGGTGAGTCACTTGATCCCCTCTCGGCTCTAACGTTACGACAGTCGCATTGGACGATGCTCCGAGTGGACGGTGCGAAGCGATCGTGTTTCGACAGGCCGCCGCCACGGCGCGGTGACTACGTCCATCCGTCGCCCCCAGTGCGCGAGCGGTCAAAGTCACGCACGCCGCCGAGGCCGTCAGTGCCTAATTTGGGTGTACCACCAGCGGCAGTGAGTGCGACGAAGACAACGACGACTTGCTTCGAGTGTGTACCACCTGCAATCGAGTGCGTCTACTGCAGAACGAAAGCAGGCAGTCGCCGTCGTCGTGGTGCGTGCTGACCCCCTCTCTTTACCCCACGGCCCCCGAAGTGCGGCTGTGGCCGCCGTGCCTCGTGTGACGACTAGCTGGCCGCTCTACGAGTCGGTGGCGACAACTCGAGTCGCTTTCACGCCGGCGTCGACAAAATTTGCGGGTCCCAGTCCACGAGCGGGGAACGTTTACCAATCGTCGGTTCGTAGCTGACCGCGATTCGTTTCTTGCACCTCTCGTCAAAAAAACAGTTGCCGACGAATCTGCGATCCTTCGACGAGCTCCAGCAAGAGATCGATGTGGTAGGGCGTGGTCGACGATTCCCTTGCACGCCGAGCGGCAGTGGTGACCTTGCCGGCTTTTTTGCAGGCACGAGACTGCGAGGACGTATCGAGACCAACATTTGCGTTGGTCGCGAAGGTATGGGTTTCCGTGCAGTTGATGAGGGATGAGTTGCGGGAGTTAGTGGAGCAGAACAAGGAGATGATGGAAAAGGTTGAGGATTTGACCGAGAAGGTGGAAAAGTGGAAGAGCGGGCAGGGCATGATGGATGCACAGCTGGAGCGAGGAGCGTCGACCTCGGAGAGCGGTGGTCGGAACGGGGCGGGCGCAAGGTGGCCCCCAGGCGGAGCAAGGCGCAGTGAGTTGCCTTTTGGGTGTGAACATGATCACTGCTCGATCGCACCATTCCACCCGTCTTGAATGCATGTCGTCCACTGATGCTCTCGCGGTCGAATCTCCCCCCTTACACCTGCCCTCGCCCTCTCTTCAAGCTACAGGACTTTCTGTCACAACTCTCATTTCAGACGACGCCGTCCGACCGAGACATTGCGTTCGCGGTGGTTTCTCATCCTTACCTCCTCGACCACAAGAATCACGCGCTTGCGCTCGCTACGGTGAGAACTGCCGTCATCGCCGGCCACCGGGAACGTTCCGGTCGTGCGTCAGAGCCGGCCACGCACGCACTGCAAAGACCGACGCTGACCCTGCGTTTGCTGTGAACACCAGCTGGCTCATGCTCGCCTCGTGCAACTCGGTGTTGCCGACAACACCATCGACTTGAGAAAGTTGAAAGGCGCCGTGTCGAAGGCCCGTTCGGAACTTGGCAAGCATGTGAGTCGCAGCTTTGCTGGGGCATCTCGGTGTTTGGTGGTGTGAACTCTTGCGAACTTGCGCCGGCTGATGACATGCCCTTGGCGGGCTGGCTCCGACCCTCTTCCTTGCACCCCTCGAATGCGCAGGCCAAGGACGCTGTTGCAACGAGCAAGCATCCTCATACCGCCGCCATCGAATGGTACAGAAAATCGCAGTGTCCGGTAGGAATGGGAACCCCGACGCAAGTTTTCGTCGGCTACTTTCGTCTTTTGGTACGTCACCGGGCGTTGTAGCCGACCGCCGCCGATGGCTGTGCTCGTCAATTGATCCTCGGCGGCAGGGACTGACGTAGCACCTGCTCGACTCCCGCCTCGGGCCCCCGCTCCCACCCGCCGACTTCCTGGTGGCCGTAATAGATGACGATCGCCGTAGGAAAGGCCGAGGAACAGACCGTCTCGGATGCGTACGGCGCGTGGGTCGAGACGAAATCAGAGGCCGTCGTCGAACAATACGCCAAAATGGTGGCCGAGAGTCACGGCAGCCGCAAACCTCGCTTCGAGGAGTGAGTGTCCAGCGTCGGGTCCCATTCCCTACCCGCGAACGATGGTGCCACCTGCATCTCTCGGCTCCGCCCCGATGTTCACACCCACTCACACGTCGCCCGTCGCCCATGACGATATTTTCCCTTTCTTTCTTCTGCCGATAGGGTCGTCGCGGGATTGCTCCCCGGCGAACTGATTCGTCACGATGACACCGAATCGCTCGTCGCTACAGTCGGGCAGCTTGACCCTGCGGTGTGGCCTTTACAACGAGCGATCGACGATATCGCTCATTCGGACGGCGCGATTCATGTTGCTGGCATCGACAAGGTGAGTTCTACTAGCCGCGAGTCTGATCTCGGGTGGCAGAGCTCGGCTCCGAGACTGTACGACTCCCAATGGAACCAGTAGGGCTCATCTCGAGAGTGCTTGCCCGTCGCAGCCTCGAGTCCTCGTTGCGCTGGTTGAGAAACACGGCGTTGCGGAGGCGACGGCCAAGATCTGGCTTGACCTTGCACGAGGCGGTACCCCTTCCCCCACACAAAGGTTTGTCTCTTCCTCCAGACTCGCATTCCGCCCACGGGAGGGGGGCGGTGATCCCTCGAAGTCCCCTCCAGATGATCGTCTGCCATACGCAGCTGATTAGGCTCCGTTCGTCACGCAGAACAGACACTTTCGATAACAGAATGTACATCTCCCAAGGTCACATTCACTTTTGCCTTTGTTTTTTCCACCATAACAACGCCCCTTGTACACCACTCGACGTGCTTTCGACTAGTACAGTACCTGCATCGTATCCACAGCTCTGCCGCCACTGATCCCGGCTGGACTCCAAGCATCATGCGCCTGCGTCTGAGCCCTCCTTGATCCGAAGCGAGCATGCGAGATTTTTTTCGCTACGGTATGAAATCTAGCTCTCGTCCTCCTGTTAGGTTGGGAAGGATCACTGGGTGTATGGGACATGCTCGATTGATAGCTAGGCGAAGGTTGGTGCAACAAAGCAGAACGAGATGGAAGCGAAAAACGGCGCGATCAAAACAAAAACAAAACGACTCGAATGTCTCACATTCACACAGAGACGAGATTCAAGCAGATATATACCGAAAGCAAGCCGACACGAAGAACTCGAACGAGGGCATGACGGTCTCCTTGTTGATCGGCCATGGGACCGATTCTCCAGGGCGACGATCTGGTTTTGCCGCGCGAAGCGATCGAACAGGGACTGGCAATAGCTCAAGTCAAGCCAGATCGGCGCCAAGACGATCAAGGTCGGGACGTCCGTACGGAGGTCCAGCGAGCCATCCGGGTTGACTTCGATGGATCGGTAGGAGGTCGAGGTCGAAGTGGATGCCGATGGGCTTTCGGGTTCTGCCCATGTGGTGCCCGGCCCAGACGGATCTTGTTCGTCTCGGCGCGGCCCGTAACTAACCCAATACAGTTCGATCGAGCCGGGTAATGTCACGTAAGACATAACGTGTCGAACCAACTAATGGCCCTCTCAATGGTGGTGGAAGAACAGAAGCAAAGCGATGGCAGTGAGTAGTTCAAAGGACAGTGGCCACGGCGGATTAATAAGCGAAGTGCTTCATTTATTAATTAAACGCGATCGGTCAGCCGAGAGTGCGATCCCGAGATCGAGCGTCCGCCGCAGCCCAATATCGTGTACGAGGAGTCTCGACTCGCCTCTACGACGAATTATTTAGATACTGCTGTTAAAGCTGCTAATCGGAAGCCGGTGGGAGCCAAGCATCCTTCAAAACTGATGCTTTGCAATCAAGCTCGACGAAATCTTTGCCCATCTGCGGTATGACTCCGTTCTGGCAGGAACAGCGCAGCCGGATCAACGAACCACTGGTTCAGTGGTTCACGCGTGCTTTCCCATCGGCTACCAAGTCAAAACGGTGCGACGCCATTCCAGGACGAGATAGCTGGCCCGCGTGCAGTGGGTACAGCACACGGTTCATCGGGAATGCCTTACATGAGTGCTACATGCGCCTTGCCGAGGTGTGTCCACGGCGGGAGGATAGGATGGGATGTGCAAGTCAGAACGCGTGAAGTAACTGTCTGCTGCCTGCGGCCGGTGAGTCAGCCCAGTCGGGGTCTGTCGGGGTCGCGTGATCGCGTTCGCGCGTTCCCTCCGTGTCTCATTTTTTTTTTTTGTATCAAGCCTGATTAGATTTCACATCTTCGGTTATGTACGCAAAAATTGTGCGCGACGCCGAGCTGGGTCCGTGCACTTTGAGTAGAAATTTGAGCTCCCTCCACTGCAGGACGCTCGTGTCCCTATTTTATTTTATTTTTGCGGCACTGCCAACCCTCCTTCCTGTCGCATAGTGTTGGACAAGTCGCAAAGCTGAAAGAATGGACAATAGAGATTACAAAGCGAACCTGAAAACAAAGATGGAGACGGTGGCCAATTAAGTTAGGGATCGCGAGCACCGCAAGCAAGCACGGGCCGGGGTTGGTGCAGTGGGACGCAAGGAGTCGACATTTTGCCAGACAGAGCAAATGGGAGCTCCTCCTAAGGTATCGACGACCGCGACGGATCGTATGCTGGAAGAAAGTAGGTGAATGACTCCTCGAGCTCGAGCGTGCGCCTCGTCACCACAGACGGGGTCCGTGCCCGACGAGGTCGAGTGTGTGCCGCCGGTGCCATATTTGCCTATGCGGTGCACACTGATCAACCAGTCTCAGGCACGAATACAAAGTCGAATATGTCGGCGCCCATACTGCTCCGGTAAAAGGTGCCAGAGTCTGCAAGTGTGGTCTCAGTCGACATCCTCGGCACCGTGCTTCCCGGCCGCCGGTGCGCCGCCGCGGGCAGCTACGAGTGACGACGAGTCCATGTGGGAGCTGTGTATGGATGTGCACTCGGTTGTAAAGGCAAGCATAAACGAGAGGACAACCCCCATCTTCCTAATCCATGTCATACCGGTACGTGCACCCCCTGTGCACCGCTTTGTACGAGCCCCTTAGAGACGTCGCTACCGCCCGATGCGGCGGCGGCCACCACGATCCACAGGGGTCAGCAGTGGTCCGCAGGCCCAAGTCGATCTTCAGCATTGGTGCATTGGGGTGCAAGGGGGTGCATCGAGGTGCACCTATATGCGTTTTGATCCCCAAAGTTTGGTGTATCAGTTTATGTGAAATTCAGATCTATGCACATGCTTGCATCCATGTACACAGCGGGGTGCGGTGGGACGGCGGCCTCCTGGCACAGCTAAAACGCTGCGAAGTGCAAGCGCACCGGTCCACCAACGACGGCCAAGCTGAGGCGAGTCGAACTCGACCACGCGCTTGCATTCACATGCACGGATGTGGTATTGCTATGCACGAACGGTTGTTGAAGTTTATCGTGTACACCTAATCAATACATGTGCTCTCCGAGTAGTGGGTCGCAGTGCACCCATTTTCAAGAATGCTCCGGCGCCGGCCAGCAAGCGTAACGCCGGTGATGAGTCACCGCGACGCACCAGAATCGGCATGCATCGGTGTGCATTGGAGTGCACACACCGGAAATTGGATCTGTACGGTTTCATCTTCATTTTTCAAGCAACTGCACTGATGTGCACACGACTGCACGCTCATGCACATGCCTCCGACTCGGATGAGCCCGAATACCAAGTCCCTGGCTGGCTCGCCTCGGTCCGCACCGGCGCGGCATTGATTCAGTCGATGTCGACGTGCACGGGTGTGCATCAGTGTGCATGGGCGTGCACCGACCTTCTTTTGGGCCAAAATTTCTTGTGGACCAACTCGCAAGCGTATGCAAGGATCTATGCGTCTGTGCACGGACATGCATACCAGCCCCTGGGGCAGAAGTGGAATGGCTAGTGTGCGTGTGGGTGCACGGGCCTGCATCAGTGTGCATGGTCGTGCACTTGCATTATAGCGGCAGAGCAAGGTCCTGGGAATCCACTGGATCATGTGCAAGAGATCTGATCCATGGGGTTAGTACGTTTTTGATGACTGCAACTCCACAAGTACTTTCACGATGGATTTCGACTTGGAGCAAACATGGATTCCATTCTCCTGGGCAGAGCATGTATGGCACGGCCAAATTTAGATATACTACAGTATTCAAAAAAATGATCTATCGAATTCGAGCCCTCTCACTCCTCCTTGCTCTTCTTCTTGCTCCTACCCTTGCCTTTGCGTGGTTCCTGTGCTCTCACCAACCCCGGTTGCAAGGGGTCAGCGGTGCCGCGATCGAACGAAGCAGGGGGGCCGAGTCGACGCGGTGCGCGTTGTGAGCTGCGGCTTGACAATGCTTCCGGCACGGGCTGGGCTGTGGCCGTCGAGCTGGACGCTACGCTCTTTGCCGCCTTTCGCTTCGACAAAGAGGCCATTGTCGGAGTCGTGAAATGAGGCGGAGGGGGAGGCGGACGTTGCGCAGGGCGACTCGTCGAGGAGGAGGGTTCTGCCAAACGCACGGTCGGATTAGCCCAAGGACCGAGTGGAAACATAAAACGCTGAAAAATAGAACTTACCTCGGACAAAGCCAGAGGCGCAAGCGGAGGTGGGCGCTACGGCCGGCGAAAGGGTGGAGCCCGAGGTTGAAGCGATGACCGGGTCGAAGTCGGAACGAATGGCCATTCTGGCTTCGTCCTCGGTGCACGCCACCGTCATTCGCGACTCGATGCGCACCGTTTTGGTGTAAAAACGGTGCGCATCCTGATCTGCGAACTTCAGGTATGCCGGGGGCAGCTCTTGTACATACACAATCCCGGCTCGGATCCTCTTGCTGCCCGCCGAGTCCACGAAGAGGTGGCGGTTGCGGCGGGGATCGATGTCCGGAGTCTCCGCAGGACCCGCTTCCGCACGGTCAAGGTGCTTCTCAAGCTCCTCCGCCGTCATCGGCCCCGCGCTCGACGCAGACAGACAAGGGAGGGTGGGCAGGAGCTGACGGGGGGAGAGGTACTCCATGCCCCACTCTGGGTCACCTTCGGCGACGAGTCGCGCCTCGCTCCAGTCGACGGACGGGAACTTGAGGTGGAGATTTTTGTTTTTGAACTCCACCGCGTCGAAGCTCCTCTCCGTGGTCCCCTCCATCTTCGAGGGGCGAGAGTACGGCATCCAGTCCGAGTCGGTCTGGTGTTCGGGTTGGGACGAGTGAGACATGGCGCAAGTGGCGTCGTCGAGGTGGGGTGTGCACACAGACTTGCAAAGGTGTTGGCCGTGAATGAGAGGTAGTAAAAATGGTAAGGGCCCACCAGTGCGCCCGGTCAAGTGCTCTTGAGCGAGTGTGATGTCCCTAATACCTACCGAGTGTGCCACCCCGCGGCTCGACCCGCGCACCTCCGAGCGGAGGAGTAGTCGACTCTCCACCGCCAGCTGCCCGTGCACGACGGTGCATCGATGTGCAACGATACCATCCCAACGTCCGAATCACCGAATTCCCCCAGAGGAGACATTGCGCAGTTTGACAAGGCTATCGGAACTATTTTCTTCTTGCGGATCCAAGGGTGAGTGCGCCGGCCCCACAACTGGCCCGTCGCCGAAATGGGAAAGGAGGTCTTTCTTTTGTTCGGACTTCGCTTGACCACACCGGGGTCAATGACTTGCTGAGTCACGCGGACGGGGACAAAGCGGGATGCCGAAAGGCGTGATGGAGAAGCTCGATGAAGATCACCTTGAAATAACCGAATCGATGCGGAATGTTGGGAAGAGTCCCGACAGCTCGTACGTGGCCGAACCGGGAGAATTCGAGTTGAGCCGACATCCGAGTTGTCGAACTACATTCTAGCCTGGAAAACCAGGGACATCGGCTGTTCTGGGCAGGGAGAACAAAGAAAAAAAAAGACGAAACTAGCCGACAGTAGAATAGTCACCCGTTGCTTGGCGCGATGTACGTTCGGTGATGCCGCGGAACTCGGGTGCACATCACCTCATTGTCCCCCGAAGCGGGTCCGTGCGCGCAGACAGAAGATTAGAGCATGACCTCGCTGGCTCGGCCGGACCTCTCTCTCTTTCTCTTTCCTCATCGAGCTCGTAGAAAGGCCCACTGCCACCCACACTTCGCACCCGCCCTCCCCTTCGTGCAATGTCGCTGTCAATGGTCCGAGTATAGAGTGATGGAGTTGGGTGAGTTGGTTTCTGCCTCGTTGCTGCGTTTGGATTGGCCCGGTGCGACCTCGTGCGACCGAACCCCCACTTGGCTCAGAGACTCGATCGGCTGACCCTCGCTCTCCTAACCCACCCCTACCCTCTATTGTCAATGTTGCCCTCGTTTCGATCAGACGCCAAGGGCGACTACAAATCGGCTCCATCCGGTCGCCCGCATCAACCTTTGTGTCTCACGCTTTGTTCCAACATTGCCATCGTTCCCACCCCTCTCGGTCATCAGTAAGTCACGCTTTCCTCGCTGTGGCTATCCGACAAGCAGCCCAAGGAGCCTGCTAACATTCGGCAACACGACATCCCTTGATTCTTCTCACTTAGAACAACGTCTGTGTCGTCGTCGTCTTCTGCGTCGCCGTCATCGTTGTTGGATATCAAGTCACGGGTTGGCAGGTCGCTGGGGATGGAAGGATAAGGACGGCACAACAGCTTAGAGAGCGGATGGTGGGATGCAATACTCCCACGGCTTGGGTATAAATAGTTTTGTTTGGGCTAGGTAGATTACATCGCACACCAGTGCGGGTGGCATTCAAGAAGCTTCCCCGGGCTGCACACTCGGTGCGCCGTCGGATGTTGCAATCTACGGGGCCGACCTCGATCATCCTCTTTGCCCATCGACCCACCATTCAGTCGTCGGTCGACGTTGGAAGTCTCGATAGCACATCCACACATCACCGCCCCAAATCATCCTTGGTCGCGACTTTTATCCCGCCCCACCCATGGAGGGGTTCTTCGGCCCTGGCTTGGGCGAGCATTTCGACGAGGCCTTCTTTGGTCGGGATCGCGGCCTGGGAGGATCGGGATACGAACACGCAGAATCAGCTCCATATTTCAACAATGAAGCGGGGGGTTGACCCTGCTCTTTGAAGAAAGATCGTTCTGCGCCCCCTCCGCTCGCCGAGCCGTGGATCATCCTCGTCCTCATCGTGCGACGTCTCTTTCCACCCAGTCAACGTCATTCCTCCGCTCTTTAACCGAACTCACCGTCAAACACTCTTGATACTCTTTATAAACGGTCGCACAATTTGTATCGTACTCGTCCTTCTTCTGCTTGATGAGCCGATCCCTCTGTTCCCTCTCCGTCTTTCCCTTGGGCGTATCGATGGGGTGTTGTAAGGGCGGGGAAACGAGCAGGAGGTAGGATTTGAACCAGTGGTTGAAGCAGGTGTCGAACGCGTGCTTGGACGGGTTGCAGGTCGGGGAGAGGGAGGACGCCTGCTGCGGTCAAAATCAAAAGTGTGTGTGTGTGGGGGGGGGGGGGGGGTTAGCCTTGTCGATCGTACGGGGTGGGCATGACCGTTGCGAGGTGGAGAGTGTGCTGGGGACTTGCCATGTTGGTGGCGCAAGAGAAAGTTGAGGGAACAGTCGAGAGTGCACCTGATGGGTCAGGACGGGGAAGCGGATCGAGAGAGATCGAGAGTAAGCAACTCTGTGGCAGACTCTGGCGCGAAAGGGCGCGAAACGTTTCTCTCGCGCGGAAGCTCGCCGAACGCGCCTCGACACTCGCTTGACCTTAATAACGCGCCACTTATCCTAACCCCCATCCGGGTTCACCAGACCATTTCGTCGGTGGAATAGCTATCGACCTCCTGGGCCCGGTCTTGGCACGGCTTTGACTACGCTTCGTGCTCGTTTCCCGCTCAACGTCGGGATATCATCATACCGAGCTAGCCTCCGTAGCCTCCTCCAACTCAGCCTGTGGGCCAGTCTGACTCACTGCAACATGTGAGCTCCTATTCCCGATACGTGTTCCCACCCCCCACAGTCTTACCCTCGTCTTTGCTCATTCCCCTCACTCAGGTCCTCCACGACGATCACCTTGACGACCCCTGCGACCGCGCTCCCGAACGACCCTTCCTCCCTCGCCAAACTGATCCGTCAACGCCACCTCGTCGCCCTCCAAGCCCTCTACGAACAACGCACGCTCCAACACATTGCCCAACAAGAACGATTGGCTCTGCAACGCCGGCAGAAGAGGTTGGCCGCTTTGGGTGCTGAGGAGGGGACGACGACGACGACGACGACGACGACGACGAGTAGTAGTGAGGTCGAGATGACGGAGGAGGTAGAGGAAGATCCCAAGGTAGCGGAGGCGAGCGATAGGCAGACCGTGTACAAGGCTTTGTACTTGTCCGAACCTACCTCTTCGACCGCATCCACCACCGCAGCATCAACAGCCCCGTCAAGCTCCAGCTCCAGCTCCAGCTCCAGCTACAGCTCCAGCTCCGCCTCCCTCCCTCCCCCACCCATCGACCGCCTCGGCCACGCCTATGATTTCGTCTACCACCTCGCGCCCAACGGTTCTTCCGACGCCTACTACCACGGACCTCACCCACCTCCACCTTCCAAAATAGTCAATTCCATCATCAAGGCCTACAAGAACCCCCCCTTCTTCGATCCGACGGGTTTGACTTCGAACCAATTGTTACCGAAAGCGACCGAATTGTTCCAAGCGCCCTTTCGAAATACTGCTTCCTCGTCGTCTACTACCACCCCTTCAACGACCACTTTGACTACTACCCCCGCATCAGCTGTCCCACCAACGGAAACGATCGACGTCGTCGAAGCGGAATTGATCGCTTCTTTTTCGGCGAGTTGCGATGAACGCATCGGCGAAACTTTGGCCAAGATGGAACAACCTGATCGGGAAGTCGCTTTGCAACGTAGAGACGATGCGAGGTATGCTATTGGGGTCGCGAATGCGGCGCAGTTGCAACAACTTCAACAGCACAGGTCGGGTGCGCAGATGCAGGTGGGCTCGTCGGGGGGAGTGCAAGGGTCGGTTGTCGGACCGCAGGGGGCGGGAGGGTATGGTGCGTGGAGGTGACCGGTCAGGGGTTGTAATTCGTAGTGGTACAGTTTGATGTAGTGTATGTACTGTGACATCACCGTGGTTGTTCACCTCTGAAAGCCGAGTTCGAGTGAGGGAGAAAAGTCCTCCCCGACGCTTAGCGCAAACATGACGAGAGTGGGGAGTGGGAGCCATCTCCGTCGTCGTCTCGTGCCCAACAACTTGACAGCCTACAACCTATCTCATCGTCTCCACCGAACAATCACGCTGATACGCTCTCTCTCTCAACGCGACCGCAATAATAGTTTTTTTGGGTTTCTCTCATTCGCCCCCAAAAAAGTTGGTCATTACCAGAAACGACTTGGGGGGACTACAAGATCAAAAGTGGGGATGTGCGTTAATGATGAAGTAGCCCCCTTTTCTCCTCTCCTCCTGCAGCTCTCTGCAAACTGCTCTCTCCTCCTCCCTAACCCCATTCGAACCGCATCGTATCGCAGAGGCTATGATTTAAGCCTCATCACGACGCGGTCGACCGGCGCCGACGACGTGACGACGTTGAGGGCGACCTTCGAACGCGGAAGAGGGAGCGACAACGTTGACGGGGATCGAGTCGAAGCCGAGCGAAGCCAACAGGTCCTTGGTGTCCGGGTCGACGTCGATCGCGGCACCTTGGTTGTCCAAAGCCGAGACCTCGGGGACGTAGTTGTCCTTGCGCTCTCGTTCCTCCTCTTGCAACTTGAACGAGATGCCTCGGACCGGACCACGTTGGATGCGCTTCATCAGGTGGGTCGTGAAGCCGGCGATCTTGTTCCTCAATCGCTTGGAGGGGATGATGGCGACCTCGTCGCAGATCTTCTTGTTGGTGTGGCTGTAGAGGGAGAGGAATTTTAGGACAGGGTTCGATAGCTGACTACGGCCCCAGAGTAGAGGAGGACTCACAAGTCAAGGGTCAATCGAGGGTAGTACTTCTCGATGACGACTCGCGAGGCTCGCTTGACGGTCTTGGTGCGAACGCGTCCCCTGTGAGAGCGTGTACGGAGAAGCAAGCCAGGCAAGGTCAGTCACTACTGCCCCATCGAATCAGGTCAATCCGAGCGGGTGTCGTCGTAGGCTGAATGTGATGGGACGGGTGGTTGGTGTGGTAGGTACTGCATGGGTCGGGGTCGAGTCGTCGGAGCCGAATTGCGTCGCGGGTGTCGGCCACGCCCGTCACCGCCAATCCCCATCGACCTCGCATGGTGCTACAACCCTCAAGTCCCGCTTCCTTCCCACGACTCCATTCTTGATTCATCCTATTCATCAACGCTCTACTCTGCGCTTCCTGCTCGTCGTAAGAGCGGTCGTGGGGTCGTGAGGTCGCAGGGTCGACGGTGCCAACAAGGCGTGGGCAAAAATCGGTGCGAGGCGCCTGGGCGGGAACGGGCGGATTTGGGGGGGGAGTGCGATGCTGGTTGCTGAGGGCGTCGGGCGACGGGTCGAACGGGCCCTATCGTGGGTTGGCGTTGGTGTTGGTGGATGGTGGTGCTATCGTCCAAAACCGTCGATCGAGGATCAACTGCACGGGGCATACTTACATGATGAATTGATAGTCGTGAGTGGTGGAGAGGGAGGTCAGGCGAGGCGAGGCGAGGCGAGGCGAAGCGGACGAGGCGTTGGCAGTCGACTTTCGTGAGCTTTCGTGAGCCCGGCGCCCGCTGCCCTGGGGGACTGTCCAATCTCTGGGCCTGAGCTGGCACTGCGCGCAATTTGAGGCGCGTGGCCGAAACTGGTCAGAAAAAAATCTTGGGCTTGGGACGCGCGAGCCTGAGCCTGAGCCTGAGCCTGAGCCTGAGCCTGGGAGCGCCTGGACCGGGGTGTCGACGTCGCTCGTAGTCGCTCGTCGTAGCTCGTGGTCGTGTGTGTAGTCGAGAGCGAGGCGTGCGACTCCCTGCTCCGTTCTCCACCACACACATACTTCACCCTTCGACCCCTCCTCGGCAGCTTCCTTTTCGACAGGTCAGTTCTCATCACATCATACATGTCCTCGAACAAGGACCACACCATACACGGCACACCTACACCTTGCCCAGCACCCTCGTCGCGCGTGGCCCTTTTTCCTGCGAATCCATCCCACGCCTACGCCTGGCCCTTGGCCCTGGCGGTGAATGACGCTGACTCTCTCCCTTCCGTTGCTGTCTACAGGAACTCCTTCTCCGCCTCAACTCTATCATCCACCAAGCTCCTCCCCCCGATCACTAATCGGTACGCGAGAGTGATGCTTCAGCAACCTCCCCCTCCCTCGACCAACCTCAAGCTCTAGGGCCTTTCGTCTCTACCCGCGCTCTCTCGAATGCGATGCGTTCGCGCGCCTGCGCCCGGCCGGAGCTCAGCCTGGCTCAGCTCCAAGGTCGGCCCGCTTGTTGACCACGTCGCATCGCTTTCGAAGGAGTGAGCAGGAGAGATCTCCCGAAAAGTTAGATGGGTTGGCTACCGAGGGAGTATGGGAACATCAAGTACGAAAACAGGGAAATGTGGTGTATTGACAAGACGGTATCGGCCCCTTCCTTCTCTTTGCCCACATATCCTTTCATCCATCCCCCTTGGCACCTTTGTAGAAAATGCGTGTCTCCGTTTTGGTCAGTCTCTATACAGCATCACAAGTTGGGGTGGACTAAGTGCTGACCGTTGCTTTGTTTTGTTCCCTCGCAGGCCGACTGCTTGAACAACATCCACAATGCCGAGAAGCGAGGCAAGCGCCAGGTCTTGATCCGACCTTCGTCCAAGGTCATCGTCCGAGTTTTGACCGTCATGCAGAAGCACGGTTAGTCATATCCGCCTTTTACTTGATGCCACTGGATGACTGATGCCGCTTCTTCCTCGTTGATCCAGGCTACATTGACGAGTTCGAGGAGATCGTGCGTTTGCCTGTCCCAGGGCAAACTAGCAACCCGAACCCCGTGGGAACTGACCCCCCGCTCTCCCCCGCTTCGAACTCTTTCATAGGACGACCACCGATCGGGCAAGATCGTTGTCCAATTGAACGGCCGCATCAACAAGTGCGGTGTCATCTCCCCCCGCTTCTCCATCAAGAACGCCGACATTGAGCAATGGGTCACCATGCTCCTCCCCGCTCGTTCGTTCGGGCTCTTGATCCTCACCACCGACCAAGGTATCATGGACCACAACACCGCCCGTCGCAAGCACACCGCCGGAAAGATCTTGGGCTTCGTTTACTAAACGCCGACTCCAAATACCGGTGCTGTCGTTATGGGAACGGGGAGGAGAGGAAGGGAAACACGTGCAGTCTCAAAAAAAAGGATCGACCTGTCAAGGGGGTCTGTTCCTAAGATGGGGGTTTTGAATCCTCTTCTGCCCCTTTTTTTCTTTTTTCTTTTTGTTGATGGCTTCGCAACTTTTTTGAAAGAGATACACACAACATTACCATCGCACACAAGTCTGAAGTTCGGGAGGGGAGTTGGAAAGGATCGATGCCCATGGATTCCGATGTCATACATTTTTATCAGAGATGGGGAACATGATAGACGTTCACCAACGCGATGGGAGCGTGTAGAGGTGCTCAGGTCATGAGGGAATGCAGAATCGCTCTGCAAAGGCACGTGCGCCGATCGGGTCGAGATTATAGAGCCGAGATTTCTCTTCCGGCTCCACTGGGAACCATTGAGCTTTTCAGCAATACAAACCGAGTGCAGCGAGAGCCTACACGATTGCTTAATTTTTATTTTTATTTTCTGATAAAAGCCCCGACAAGTTCAACACACCCCGAGGTAGGTACTGACTAGGAGTAAACCAAGATTCAAGTCCGACGTCCCCGTGTCCGAAAGGTGCCGTTGCGGGTATGGTCCTCTCGGCTTTGGCTGCAAGAGTTCGACTCGAGGACTTTCAGCACGCTCGACCTCAAACCCGCCATCGTTGCAAGCCAAGCCGTTTCTGTACGCATTCCTCCCACTGTAAGCCGTGCCTGCACGCATTCCTCCCGCAGTGAGCCGTGCCCGCACACCTGTCTCAAGCCTTGATCCGTGTGAAACGTAATGCCGGGATAAGGGAACTGTAGAAGGAACTGCACGCAGAGGGCGTGCCCCCACACATCGCCGCTGTCAAGTGCAAGTGTCCAAGGTTGTAAGAGGCGTCCTTCGACCATCGCCGGCGGTGAGTGGCGAGTGGCGAGGTGGAGGTAACAATGACGGTAAGCCTAGTATATCGCCGTCTTTCGGCAAGGCGTGCGCTCTCCCATCGACTGTAACATCAAAATCGGGGGTAGCGCGATCATCGAAGTGAATGCCACCGCGTCCTGCCGATCCACCAGCCGACGATATGACAGCACGGTAAGTCGGGAAGCAGGAGGGAAACGTCAAGCCCCTGCAGAGACTCACTCTTGACATGGGCCAGGGCGTCTTCGAATAGTCCGGAACATCTGGCAGGCTCAAATCCTTCACGACGGAGATAGGCTACGTAGTCGCGCTTGAACGAAGGCAGCCCACTGAGACGATGGGTGAGCTTGTCAGATTGTCGAAGAGGGGGGTCGAGCTCTGGGTGCTTCGCGTTGAACTGCGATATGTATTTCTCGCGGAGGAAGTGTATGGCTAGTGGAGTCGTTTTCCAAGAGGCGATTCATGTGAGCTTGAAGCACCAGGTAACGCTGCATCAAATGCAGTCTGAAGAACACACACCCGGGACGAACTTACAATAGCCAGAGTGACGTACGATCGCACGGTACTCAGTCCAGAGACTGTCCTTCCCGTAGTAGAACTGCCACGAGTCTCGCCACGCCGCGCGTGCCTCCGAAGTAAACATGTTCCAGCTCGCCCGTTGTCGCAGTCGGATTTCGATTTGGATACAGCGCTGTCGTATTTCCTCGATGTAGTTATCGAGCTCAACCCACGTCTCCTCGGAGACGGCTTGCCAAATGACCTCGGCTTCCTTGTAGAAGCGGGCTGTGGGTTCGATTGCGGTTTGCTCGAAGAAGCGCGACATATTATCGGGAAGAAAGTGGTCGCGTTTGTCGAGCAAGAGTCGTAGCGGGATGCCCGTGGCACGTCGCGAATCGCAGTGGGGTTGAACTGGCCGGTCGAGCATCGGTGTGCTGGGCGCGGTGGCTGGGAGTGACAACACCGCTGAATGCATCAGTGGCAATCGATTAGGTATTGAGATCAACACCCGAGCGGACGAGCAGGCGTTGGATGGCCCAGGACAGCTAGAAATTGAGAGGAAAGGTTCTATAGGGTAGTACCGAGCACAGGTGGTGAAACAACTAAGACGGAGGCACTACCACGTCCGACCTCTCATGACCTCCCGAGACCTCCCGCGGGGCGTGCGGGTCCTACCGAGTTGAAAGGCGAGCGCGGTGTGAATTACTCCCTCTTACTAGAACCAACTACTTTCGCTAGCAAGATAGTCAGTTGCTCGGTCGGAACGTCGATTGTTTTTTTTTGCTTTCCCGCCCCTACCCGTTTTTGCCTCTTCTTGCTTGTTGGCTGGCTCTGACTGGCTCTGGCTAGCTCTGGTGGGGAGAAGAGAAGTCTGGGGAGATGGGGCGGGGAGCTCTGATACTCGCACCTGCTTCGTGCAATCCGTCTTCTTAGAGGAACATTATCCGTATCTTATCACTCCATTCAACAACGTGTGCTGCTCAAGAAGCCAATAGGATCCAGCGGTGATCCCGCCTCGCTAGTAGGCACTGGGCGATGATCAACACCCACCGCTACCCTCGTTCTCACTCTGGCAGCCTCACTGCGTCAGGCTGGCGATAATCTTATCTGTAAGTTGAAGCTGCCTATTGCACGTTTCATTACCCCCTGATGCTCTGATCAAGGTCCGTGATATACGAGTAACCACGGGCCGTCGTCCCCAGCCACGACAATGGGCAACGGCGGCTTGGTAACACGGCGACGCGTCCGTCGCTGGCGAGGATCATGTCACGTCATCGTCCGCACCGACCACACCACGGACTGCACCGACACGTTGGTGCATTTCTATCACAAGTAGCGCACCCAGCTCTGCGCGAAACTAGGTCGCCACGCAACTCGCAAGTGACGTTGGAACCATGGAGATCACATCTGCGACTCGGAGCACCCGTCGCAGCTTCCTTCGGCCGGCCAGTCTCGTGTGCATCCGCTTGTCGCCATCTCGTACCGTCTTGTCATCCCCTATCGTCTTGTGATTCCTGAACGAACTCGTAGCTCTTTCCTCGTGTCTCGTTTCTTGTTGATTCGAGCAAGACACGCGAGTCTGTCCCGTGCCGTCTATCATCGTGCCACATCGCGGCGTGACGAGTGTAGATCATCGTCGCGGCGCTAATCGTGATGTTCTGGCAATGATGTGCGCTCGGTGCTGTTCCATATGACGGGGCGATCTCGTTCGATGCTCCGGCCGGGTCACCTCCACGAGGCCACCATCGTATCAGGCGGTATCCAGTGGCCGAGTCCTAACTCGGGGACCCATGCTTTTGCTCGACGGCCGCGAGTGCACTATCTTGAGGCCCTGTCGAGCATTGGCCATCACCCTGAGCTGAGTTGGATTTGGATGCCCTGGGCGTTATTCTAGGTCGTTCTTCGCCGTGACAATGTCTACCCGAACAATTTCTTGCGATTCTTCGTCGAGCCTGGTTGATTCATCGGGTCCATGTTGCGTTCCATCCGCAACTAGACCAAGTGTAGCTCGAGCGTATCCACGAAAGAGAAGTTGAGGCGGAGAAAATTGACTCGAGATTGGTCTCCAAGCCTCCGAGTCGAATCCGCCATCTCGAGAGATAAGACATGCGCCAGCCGACACGTCCATATTACTGCGCAATCTCGACCACTGGCGGAATCTTCCACTGCGCCTCGTTGACGGCCACTTCAACGCAGGCGAGAGGCTACAACCATCGTATGGCACTGTAAGCCCCCTTCGTCAAAGACACCGATGCGCACAGGCCGCCCGCCCGGCGCCAACTCACTGCAGCGCTGAGTTCGAATCGGGCGCCGATGCCGTTTCAGCGGTCATCGTCTGCCAGTGGTTCCGCTGCCACACCTCTGCCTTGTCATACGACACCCCACATTGCGGTGTAGCCGCCAGTAGGTCCGGATCATTCCCGATCATCTCGGATCATTCCAGATCCTTTCAGATCCTTTCTTGGGGGGCGGGGCTCGGCTCCGTCCTTTCTCGCTTTCAAGCTCGGTGACGCTCGGGCTCGAGATCGGGGACTCGCCAGCCGCCTCGAGCAAGCTCCCCTCTCCACACATGACGTGTGCCCGTCATCGCCAAACTGGCCCAGCTGTTTGCTAAAGTCATTTGCAGCTCGAAACGACCTTGTCATAAAGCCTTGATGGGCAGTTCAGAGTTCAGTAGAAAGTGCTGCCCGACGCCCACTTGGTCTTTCTTGACTGCGCCTCGTCTTCTAGTGGAGGACATTGCCATCAAATGATCTTCGAGCGGTTAAGTCCCAGGGAGAACAGCAGAGCTCTGACCCCAAACCCAATGGCAAGGCATTCAAAGCCCTCCCCTCCAACCCGCGCTCCCAACAGTCCAAACCCGCTCGTTGAATCGTCGTAGCTCAGCTACGCTGGGAGCCGCTGCTCGCGCTCTCCCCCTCTTCCTCCTCCACCCCGCCCCATTCCTCACTGACCTAGCATGGTGAACCTGGCCGGCTTCGCAAACCAAATGTTGAACGCCAAAGGTGACTGCAGTGGGCGCAGCAGCGTGTGCGCCGCTTTTCTCGAGCTCAGGAGGCTGCCACTCAGGTGCTGACCTCAGATCGGGGACTGACTACCAATTCTAGACGGCAGGGGGTTTTATCTCCTGTTTTACGCTTTGGTGTTGATTCTGTCTGTCATGTTCACAAAAACATCGACAGATAGTTTCTTCAGAGGAGCTGGACCTTTCCTGCTCGGCTGGTGCGTCATTGCACGCTTGACCAGCTCGAGCAGTGGACCCTACAGGCTCGACCCTTTCAAAAGTGAGTCGACCCGAGTCACCGTATCAATAGAGACCCGAGCTGCTCAGCAAAGCTGTGCGTACTCTGGTCAAAAGTTACGTTCGGCATTCCCAGATGTGGCACTTCATGGGGTCGAGCTTGTAGGGTGGATCTCCAATGCTGAGGCTGAATAAGCGCCGAGCGATGACGCACCAGCCGAGCAGGAAACGGTCCAGCTCCTCTGAAGAAACTATCTGTCGATGTTCTTATGAACATGACAGACAGAATCAACACCAAAGCGTAAAACAGGAGATAAACCCCCCGTGCCGTCTAGCATTGGTATTCAGTCCGAGTCCCCGACGTGACTCGGAGGTCATCACCAGTAGTAGCAGCCTCCTGAGCTCGAGAAAAGTGACGTGTGCGCCGCTGCCCCCACTGCAGGGTAACGATGGACTCACCTTTGGAGTTCAGCATTCGGTGTGCGAAGCAGGCCGGGTTCATCATGCTCGATCAGTGAGGTGTGGGACGATGTGGAAAAGCAAGAGGGGGAGGAGCAAGAGCAAGAGGAGCAAGAGGAGCAAGAGGGGCGAAAGGAGCACTGCAAGAGGGGCACGAGGGGGAGAGCGCGAGCAGCGACTCCCAACGTAGGTGACCTACGACGATTCAATGAGCGGGTTTGATCTTGTCGTGGGAATCATGTAAATGAAGAGGGTCAGCGGTCCAGAGGGACTTGTGGAGTTTGGGAGTAGGTGCGCGTAAGGCGCGGCACTGGATCCTTACGGGAAATCCGCGCAACCGCAGTTAGACCGCGGTCGACTTTATAGACGCGACGATCGAGCAACCTCGGGCACTGCGATTTCCTGTAGGGACTGAATGGCGGCAGAAATGGCTACTAACGCGAGGTGTAAACTACTATCTAAGCTAGGCTTTGGCCTCGTTCTCTCTCTCCCTTCTTTAACACACACTCGATATCTATCTCGCCCGTTCGCCCTTCTACAACTGAAGCTGCAGTGATTACCCTAGGCTATACTCTATCTCCCAATAGATCATCTATCAACGACACGTAGCGCGTGCGAATTTTCATTCATTCGGTACACCAACCCCGAAATCACAACAAGTTATGAGTCATCGGCTACCACCAATGTATTGAACGAAAGAGAAGTCAAGATCGCCAAGCTCGGCCAAAGACAACTTGTGAGTCCGAGCTGTGGTCGATCAGGGTCGATGCGTTCCTCGAGGGCCGTGGCTACAGTGGTAGCCGATGACTCATAACTTGTTGTGATTTCGGGGTTGGTGTACCGAATGAATGAAAATTCGCACGCGCTACGTGTCGTTGATAGATGATCTATTGGGAGATAGAGTATAGCCTAGGGTAATCACTGCAGCTTCAGTTGTAGAAGGGCGAACGGGCGAGATAGATATCGAGTGTGTGTTAAAGAAGGGAGAGAGAGAACGAGGCCAAAGCCTAGCTTAGATAGTAGTTTACACCTCGCGTTAGTAGCCATTTCTGCCGCCATTCAGTCCCTACAGGAAATCGCAGTGCCCGAGGTTGCTCGATCGTCGCGTCTATAAAGTCGACCGCGGTCTAACTGCGGTTGCGCGGATTTCCCGTAAGGATCCAGTGCCGCGCCTTACGCGCACCTACTCCCAAACTCCACAAGTCCCTCTGGACCGCTGACCCTCTTCATTTACATGATTCCCACGACAAGATCAAACCCGCTCATTGAATCGTCGTAGGTCACCTACGTTGGGAGTCGCTGCTCGCGCTCTCCCCCTCGTGCCCCTCTTGCAGTGCTCCTTTCGCCCCTCTTGCTCCTCTTGCTCCTCTTGCTCTTGCTCCTCCCCCTCTTGCTTTTCCACATCGTCCCACACCTCACTGATCGAGCATGATGAACCCGGCCTGCTTCGCACACCGAATGCTGAACTCCAAAGGTGAGTCCATCGTTACCCTGCAGTGGGGGCAGCGGCGCACACGTCACTTTTCTCGAGCTCAGGAGGCTGCTACTACTGGTGATGACCTCCGAGTCACGTCGGGGACTCGGACTGAATACCAATGCTAGACGGCACGGGGGGTTTATCTCCTGTTTTACGCTTTGGTGTTGATTCTGTCTGTCATGTTCATAAGAACATCGACAGATAGTTTCTTCAGAGGAGCTGGACCGTTTCCTGCTCGGCTGGTGCGTCATCGCTCGGCGCTTATTCAGCCTCAGCATTGGAGATCCACCCTACAAGCTCGACCCCATGAAGTGCCACATCTGGGAATGCCGAACGTAACTTTTGACCAGAGTACGCACAGCTTTGCTGAGCAGCTCGGGTCTCTATTGATACGGTGACTCGGGTCGACTCACTTTTGAAAGGGTCGAGCCTGTAGGGTCCACTGCTCGAGCTGGTCAAGCGTGCAATGACGCACCAGCCGAGCAGGAAAGGTCCAGCTCCTCTGAAGAAACTATCTGTCGATGTTTTTGTGAACATGACAGACAGAATCAACACCAAAGCGTAAAACAGGAGATAAAACCCCCTGCCGTCTAGAATTGGTAGTCAGTCCCCGATCTGAGGTCAGCACCTGAGTGGCAGCCTCCTGAGCTCGAGAAAAGCGGCGCACACGCTGCTGCGCCCACTGCAGTCACCTTTGGCGTTCAGCAACATGCCCCCTTTCTTTCTAGGTGCTCCCCGGTGGTCGTATTTTTGCTCCCGATCCTGGGATGTGAAGCGGCAGCAGACTCACCGCTCGTTCGAGTCCGAGTTAGCTGCTCGGCGGGTTTTGATCTGTGCCGCGCTCTTTGCGCGCAGGGGTTTGATTTCACCCATCTGCTCGTCGTCACTGCTTAGAACATCTTTAAGCTGACTTTGTAGTGGTCCCAGCCAACCCGAAGGATTGCAATTTATGAGCCCCGGTAAAACAAAACACAATCAAGGCCCCCGAGCGCGGCGCGGATCTGCAGCGAGATCGCGGACAGGGGACCGATCGTGCACCCCACATCGACGTCAACGCTCCACCCCTCAGAAAGACCGAAGACCCTGCCGATCAAGCTATTTCGAGTTCCAGAACAGAAAGTAGGGTAAGCTCTGAGGCTCACCCGAGATTGCCGCAACCGATACAATGGCTGTTGCCCCACCAGCTTTGCTCGAGCTGGCAACGACCTTCCCCTCCGAGCCCCGAATTCCGACGCGGAGCCGGCTCGCTGGGCCGGCTTCACATGAGAGCTCCGACGCGGCGAATCAAGGCAAGCACAGATAACTAATACTTTCTGTGTACTCCAATACAAGGAACCATTATCGAGTTTTCATCCTCGGAGGTAAATCAGTGGCTCAGCAGTCGAGCGCCACAAATAGTATCTCGATTTTCCGACGAAACCATGGTCGTGGCTGGGCATGAATGACTGTGCGTCTAGGTTTCATGTGTCATCTAATTGAATTGCACGGGTGTGTACTATCCTGTTGGGCCATGCACGAGGGGGGGGGCATGCGCTGGGAACCGGATTCAAGTGTCTCGCGGTTCGAAGGGTTCGCAGCCGACGGCGCCGAGACTGCGCGGCGGTGCATACGAGTGCTTCGCTGTGAGTCAATGCGCACACGTTTGCATTGATATTTCCGGGCGTTTAATAGGGTTCTAGTCGAGTATCGACTGGATCCGGATTCATTTCAGCCTTCTCTGACGGCGTTTGGTCGTCCAGGAGCCTTGGCCCGTACGTGCCCTTCAATCGATTCACTACCCATTCCGTGTTTCTGCCAGCTATCCCACAGGCGTTCTCATTCCGTAGCTGACTCGAAATGCCGCCTACTGGGCCTCTGATCACTCCTCATGCAATACTTGGCAATGGGTTGAGATCCTCACCCTGCTCCTTCTCCACATCGGATCGACGTGCGCTCGGTGGTGAGTGAGATAAATCGTAAGGAAGCAGGTCGCGGGAGGTCCGGATTCGATCTGTGCAGGAGAGTACATAGCTGTTGCGGAGACGCTTGAACGAGACATAAACGAATATGGCAATCCTGTGCACCTACATGCACGCGTATGCACTCGTATGCAGGCGCGACAAAGGCCGTACTCGGCTGCGAGCATGCCAGCGACGGCAACTCCGCGATCCGGGCTGGGTTCGCACCGAGTGGGGGTGGGGGCTGCAAGTCAAGAGTGAAAGCGTCGGCGAGCTTGCTTGAAGATGAAAAGAGGGTGGGCACCTTATCGAACGGGTTTGGACGTTCGTAGTTGAGTAGATGTTGGAGCTCGGTGATCCCTTCGCTCGATGATCCTTGGGTCGATGATTCGAGTACCATGCCATGTCCAACCGCCAGCGATATGAAAAAACGATTTTGGCGCGGGCGAAAACTGGCATAAAGGGTTCCTGTGGACGTCCCCGATGCCCGCCCGCCTCGCCGCGCTTGCCGGGTCGCATTCATTGCCGGGCGGAGCGCGGGAAGAAGCACCCCGGGTCCCCCACAAGTTGCACATGCCTCACTTCTCTCCACCCCCACCCCCCCCCCCCCCCCCCCCCCTTCCATCGCTCAATTTCAAACTCACTCCAAAAGGATCGATATGACGGGCTCCATCTTCAAGGACGATTTGTTTAAAGGCAAGGTCGCTTTCGTGGTGAGTCCTCGAGTTCGATGAGGCGTCCGTTCGGCTGGGGTGGGGCTCTGGATCGGTGCTCGAGCTCGGGACGAGCCATGGGTCCTGGACGTCGGATAGGCCGAGAGGTTCAATCTTGCTGACGTATATGTATGCTTGTGTTTTGTGAACAGACCGGAGGCGGTAGTGGTATCTGTTATGGCATGGTCGAATCGTTGATGCGCCGTGAGTTCGCCATCCCGCTCGAAAGCTCGGAGATGCCGAGCCACTGCTCCCGAGCCAGCCATATGTTTGAGCACCACTGACTCAACCCCAATAACTGTCCATCTGATTTACTTACCCCGCCCTCCTCCCTCTCCAGACGGCGCCAACGCGACTATCCTCGGCCGTCGCGAACAAGTCATCACCGAAGCCGCTGCAACTCTTTCAAAGGCAACGGGCCAACAATGTCTCGGCGTTTCGGGCGATGTGAGGAAGCCTGAGAGTCTCAAGGAGGCGGTGAGAAAGACGGTCGAGAAGTTTGGGAGGATCGATTTCGTGAGTTCTCGAGGTTCGAGAGGCGATTTCGAGGTGGGATTAGGTGTGTGGGGGAAGTTTTGCTAATCCGCAGAGTTTTTCGGGGTTTGCTTGTCCGGCGGGTGTAGGTCATTTGCGGAGCTGGTCAGTTATTTATGTTCGCCTTTGTATAATCGAACGGAGAATCGTCAGACTGACATGCTCGTGGTACTATCCATCCAAAGCCGGCAACTTTCTGTCGCCGATCTCGGGCATGTCCGAAAACGCTTTCCGAACCGTGCTTGAAAGTCAGTTTCGATCTCGCATCCGCAGTAAGTTACTACTAGCGAGATGGAAGCTGACTCCTACCAGCCGTACGCATCCGCAGTCGACTCGATGGGCACGTTCAACACGTTCAAAGCGACGATCGACGAGGTGAAAAAGACCCAAGGCGCCTACATCGCCATCTCGGCGACGCTCCATTACAAAGGCACGGTCATGCAGGCCCACGTCTCGGCCGCTAAGGCCGCGATCGATTCGTTGTTTAATGTCATCGCTGTCGAGTATGGTCCTCTGGGTGTTCGAGCGAATGTACGTCTTCCTAGCCCCATCGCTAATTGATGTGGGGCTCCCAAAACTGACCACTTCGAAACTTGGGTTTCCGACAGATCATCGCCCCCGGTCCCATCGACGGTACGGAAGGTGTCGCCCGCTTGATCCCCAAGGAGATCATCGAAGAGTCCAAAAAGTTGATTCCCCTCGGTCGCAACGGCACGATCGAGGACATTGCCAACTCGGGCGTGTTTCTCTTCTCCCCCGCGGCGAGTTACATCACAGGCTCGGTCTTGGTCGTTGATGGTGGACAGGTGAGGGAGACGAGTTCGATGAGACGATGTAGTGTGTGCGTGGAACTGATTATTGTGATTTTTCCGTTCTGCAGTGGCACAACGGCTCGATGAGTCGCTCGATGACCTATCCGGACTTTTTGCTCGAAGGCGGTGACACCAGGTCCGCGTTGGCGGCCAAGTTGTAGTTGTCGACTTGTGTGTGTGTGTGCGGTATGAATATTTTCCGTGAAATTTAAATGATAATTACGGTACCTGGTTACGATGGGATGGAATGGTTCGGCAAGTGATTAGGCAGGGTGCGCAGTATTCTCATCTCTCAGTGAAAGTTTGTTCAGGTCTCAGACTCTGGCAGGGACGTACTCGATCTGATCGGTCGTGAGGAGCTTAATATTCACGAAAACCCAACCATTCGACTCCATGCGAGAGCTCAAGCTCCCTTCGTGGATTCGGCGTTTCAATTCTGACGGCGGTAGTACCGTGGCACGGGAGTACGATGGGCAGAGATGGGGAGTTTCCAAGAGAAGCCGCGGCTCACGGCTCTCGGGCCTTGGCTCTCGATGCCTTCGCCTTTGCCCTCTTCCCACCAACTGGGCTCCGCACTGCAACATGTCTTTCACCGGCTCCGTATGGGACGGCTCGTCCTCGCCCGTGCTCTCGCGCGTCTACTCGGCGCACTCCTTCTTGACCAACAACAAGCCTCACCCTGCTTCGTACGTCGTCACCCCTGCCGCTAGCTTCTTCTCTGACCTCATGGAACGCACGCTGATACTCTGATGCAACGAACAGGCCCTTCACATTGTTCGCCATCATCCATGCGGTTAGGATCGCGTGTGCTTATCGTGGGGTCGCTCGTGCGGGAGGGTGGGATCATCGTATCGGACGTGAGTTCGCGAGACGAGTGGGGAGGGGCGGCTGGGAGGCCGAGTGACGTGATAGGCCTGCCTGTCGTCGGTGGGGCACCATCCAGCCGCCCCAGCTCCTCAGGGCTGTCGAGGTTCGCCGATCGCACACCCGTCACTTGGCAGATGTTGACCACTCTATTGGGGTCGATCATGCAGTGTTCCAAGCGTTCACGGTCCCCCTCGTGTTGATCCTCGGTGGAACGACCATCACCAGCATCTTGATGGGCGCCGTGCCGGGCTGGTTGATCTCGCCTATCCCCGTCGCAACCTATGGGTGAGTCGGGATCCCACACAACCTATCAAGTCCACCAGAAACACACAACCTAACCCCGATGCCTATTGCGTAACGTAACCTCCAGTCTGATCCCCTTGATCGCCTCCGAATCGGGCCTCGTCTCCTTCCTACTCTCGACTCCTCGTCTCCCGCGAGACCTCCTCTTCTCCACCGTCGACGGTTTCTCCCGCGTCGTCGGCATGACCACCCTAGGCGTAGACACCGTCCTTGCTCACCCCAACCCTGCCCTCCGCAGCTCCCCTTGGGCCATGGTTTTGGTTGCTACGATCGCCGGAGGTGGTGGAGGGATGCTGGTCCCGGCGATGAAGATGTTTCATGCCGATTGGGGCTTTGATGCCACGCCCGCTTGGGTGCGCGATGGACCTGGGGTCGATATCTGGGGTGCTACCGTGATTGGTTACGTCTATGCGTTAGTCTTCCTCCAAACTCGAGCATGTTTGGACACCCCCGGGGAGAATCTGCTGACAGCTCTGATGTTCGCTTACATGACCACAGCACCTTAATCGACGCCCACCCTTTCTTCCGCCTCTTGCCCAAATACCTCCTCACCATCTTCCCCTTCGGATCTTACTGGTTCCACCTCCCCAAGAGTTACTACGTCAATCCTTCCCCCGTCCCTCTTTTGCCGAACCATGAAGCCAAGATGTAAGCTCGCTACTCAACCTCGTCAGTTCGGCGACGGCTGAACTGACCCTGACCCGTCAATTTTTGGATCGCCCCCACGCAATAGTTTCTGCTCCGTTCTCCTCTCTCTCATGCTCTGCACCCGTACTCTATGGCCTTACATCCAATCGAACCGAAAAGCAACGACCTCAATCTCGAACAAGAAGAACAAGAAGATCACCTCGACCTCAACTTTCACATCTTCCAAAGCCGTGGCAGCGTTCGCGGAGAAACCGAGTTCGAGTTCGTCGGCTGTAAGTGCGGATGAGAAGAATAAGCAGGGGTTGAAGGAGAGGAAGTCGAAATAAGCGATCAAGTGGGAGGAAGGAGTGGTAATGTGGTTAGTGAGAGAACGGAACGGGTGAGGGGTTTGGGAGCTGGGTTACGTGAGAAGACGAACAAAGAGGATCCCAGAGGGTAGGGTGGGGGTGGGGGGGTGGGGGGGCCTTTCGTCCTGTGAAAAATCGAGTTTCAGTAGTTGTCGTTTGTGGCACTTACCAGAGGCAACGAGTGTCCCGTGTTCAAAATTACTTGTGTGGTACCTTGCGAATTCAAGTCCCAGTCCAAAATGCAAATGCACTCGGCGACCATGTGCCTCGGTCGTTGTGGAGCAGAAAGGAAACCCGTACGGCGCGAAGGTAGCCGACATGAGAGTGGGGGAACCGGGGGAGCTTGGGTTATTGCAGAGGTCAAGAAAAGGTGAAATGAGAAACGAACTACCAATGATTCAAAGAGAGAAAACTAAAAAAAAGAAGATTGAAAAACGATGATGAAACGGCGACGGGTTGCGCTTTTAGGTAAAAAGAAGAAAAGTTTTTGCGAAGACGAAAGTTGAAACCCAAGAACGACTTTGGCGTTTGTAATAGAATATGTACAGCGGGAGGGTGCGAGAAGGATAGTTGGTGTGAAAACCCGAAAAGGAAGTAAAAGGAACGAGAGAAAAGGAACTAATGCGACGTTGGTGATTGACGAGCGGTGATTTTTTGCGTGAGGGGAACAGTCTTGGGATGGCTCGGGGTACTGAATGCGAGGAAGCAAGGGTTTGAACACAATTTGGAAAAGCCTTGAAATAAGACGTAGATGAAGCAGATATCTTGAGGACCCATAAAAGGCATGCGAAAGCGAGAGCGACGACAACAGAAGATTGGGAGGCGAACCCGTGTTCTACGGTCGCATGCGTTCGTTTTGAAGGAGTTTCTCGACTGCAAGTGTTCACCAATTATTCCCAAATTAGATAACGCTTCCTTAGGCTAAGAATCCTGTGCACTCACTCGTGGCAAGATGCTTGGAGTACGTCCCCGAGTAGTTGCGCAGGTTTGCGAGTTGCAACGTCGTCTCCTCGAGCACACGCTCACGTTGAGCTCCTGTCGACTGCGTGATGATCTCTGCAGACGTTGCCAAAAACGAGAATCAGTAGCCCGCTCAACAAAACCCGGAGACGTATGCATGAGACGTACTCTGCACAACATAGTTTGCGAAAGGATGTACGAGCATCGAGCGAATCGTACTCGTCCCGTCGGCTTGATACCTCAAGATCTCCTCGATCAACTTCTCACGTTCCTCTTCATTACCGTGCAAGAGACACTTCTCGACAACGTTGGATGCGAACTTTTGCTGGGCGAGGTGGTAGACCGAGCCATAGAGGGAGGAGATGACGCGTGATCGATCGGCGGCGTCACCTTTTTCGATGACCCATTGTACGACGTACTGCGATAGGTGAGCCGCAGCAGCATCAGTGACATTCTTAATTGAGTACGTGTCATATATAAAGACCGACTCACGTTCCCGTACTGATCTTGGATCAAATGCTGCGTGCATGTGTGCAACTCGTCGAGCAACGGTCTCGACCGCGCTGAGGGGCAATGCTCGAAGATACGTTGCAGAACGCGACAGCCGTAGGTATGCGTCGCGAGCATGTGAACGTTCGTCAAGCATGCGTCCGAGATGAAGGCGATCTTTTCGCTTGGAACGCGCTCGATTGCTCGCTGAAGGGAGAGGAAAGTCGCAAAGCGGTTAGGAGTGAGAAACGTTACGTTGGAGGAAGGTAGAGGACCCACCTGGATCACATGGTTGGCCTGTGCGTCACGCGCACACTTGAGAATCTGGCCATCAAGTTCCTTGACCAAACGAACTTGCTGGTCGAGAAGGAGAAATTCGATGGCCTACAACGCAGTCACAAGAAGATGCAGTCAGACGGTGCCCGAAGGAGGACTCCATCGCCGCGCACGACGCACCTTTTGAACAACACGACATCCGTACATTTGAAGTGAGAGTTCCAACACGTGTCCTTCAAGTACATTCGCCATCGCAGTCTTTTGCAACTGGCTTCCTTGCTCAAAGAACTTTTGTACGACGTCTGCTCGGCGAGACGGGCAATTTCGCTCGATCATGTCAGCCACCGAGCACGGTGGAACAAGTCATCAACGTGGAACAAGTCATCAAAGGTCCAACTCACAGTTTGCAAACACATCCGTAGACAACTGCAACAAGTTGGGCAACATTTCTTGGAACGACATGTCCTTCTCGTCCGGCGAGGCCGTCTCGAGCTTGTTCTGGATGAACCTCGACCCGAGCTGATCGCCGGAAAACTCGACGATGTGACCCGAGATATTCTATGAAAAGCAAGAGCGAGCCAACATCAGGACCACTCAGGCAATCAAGCCATCGACGCAAAAATGACTGACCGACAACTCCCAGTGCTTGTGCTTGGCGTTCCTGAACTCGTCCAACAACTGACTCCTCAACGCGCGACCCATCGTCTCTCCTGCACCGTAACCAGCACCGTACCCAACGCCATAAGGTCGAGCCATATCGTAAGCCATGATCCCCTGCGTTCCCATCCCGTTCGAAATGAGGTTAGATTGCAAGCCGTTGCGAGGACCGGGTGCGATGTACTCGGCGTTCGAACGCAATTGACGACCGAGGATGATCTGGTGTTGTTGCGCGGGCTGGAAACCGTTCGCGGCGCCGACGCCGTTAGAGTGGTGATCGAACGCCGTCGAGAGGTGGCTGCCTGCACCGATGTTGTACGAGTACACCGAGGGCTGGGGTGACATCGCGGGGGTGTAAGGGATCGAGAACGAGCCGTGGCGAGAGACGGCGGCGCTGTTGGCAGAGGAGGCATAATCCAAGGCAGACATGCCCCACGACAGAGGCAGGGATCTATGGGACGTAGTGCAAGCGAGGACAAGAAGACAGAAACAGATGAGCATGGAAGCGAAAGAGGAAAGAAAGGGGAGGCAAGCGGACTGACTCCGAGTCCCGACGGCCCATGGACGGCTCCGCTGCTTGGGCGGGGTAGTAAGTCGCGTCCGGCTGGGTGGCGTAGTAAGCGTCGGAGGAAGAAATATAAGGCGTTGTAGCATAGTAGATACCGTAAGGCGTCATCTGAGCGGTGCCGAGGCTCGTGTTGAGCGCATTCGGGCCGCCGTTTGTGTCCCCATTCGCGAGCGCGGCAGTTCGCCAGTCGGCACCGAGCGAGACAGGAGGTGAAGCGTAGGCGTCGAGGCGCACTTGTTGCGACTGCAGCACCGGAGGATGAAGTTGTTGCGACGCGCTGTTGGTGTTGGAGGAAAGGCTCATGTTACTCAGACCAGTGACGAGATCATCGGGCGACAACGAGTGGGTGGTGGCCGGTCCCGTCGAACTGTGGCGCTGCTGCTGGGAGTGAGGTTGCTGGTGCTTGTAGGAGTCGAATGCGCTCAAACTCGGCTGAGCCCTCGACCGATCCAACGAACTGGGGTCGGCACTACGGATGCTCGGCACGTTCGGCACTTTGGTGTTGATATAGGCGGACGTATTCTTGCCGCTCGAGGCCGAACTGTAAGGGACGACCTCCGACGCTCCGCTCGCGCCGGCGGCGTTGCCCGAATTCGATGCAGCCGCCGCCGAAGCGGAGACGGAAGGCGAGGTCGCAGAAGTGGTGATCGTGCCATGGTAGTCGATCCCACCCGGGAACTTGAAGAATGATTCGGCACTTGCAGCCGACGAGAGTTGGTTGACGCGACCTTCGTGCTGCTGATGCGGTGACCCCTCAGCGGCGCCGCGCTGGGCGTCGTGACCGCCGTGCGGTGCTGTGCCACTTGCCGCTGCCGTCGCGGCAGGCCTCGACGCAGCGAGGGGCGAGGTCGACCTAAGGTGGCTGCTACGTTCGCCGAACGACAAGTCGTAGCGGGGCAAGCCCGACTTGGAGCGGGGCACCGACGGTCGACTCGAAGTGAACGAGGACGTGGACGAGCCGTTGACGAGGTCGTTGTCGAATGGGCTTGATTTGGCCGAGCCGGATGCGGACGAGGAGAAGACGCTCGAGCGCAAGTCAATTGATGACCCTGACTGCTTGATTGTCGGGCGCGTGGTCGTCGACATGGTCGTCACGTGGTTGCTGCTCGTCGTGTTGAAGTGGTGATTCTGATACACGACAAAAGAGGGGGAGGGGGGAGGGGAGGGTAGTGCACACACACACACAACACAAAGAGGCAAGGTCCAAGTTGTTGACAAGTGGCCGAAAGCGGGAATACCACACCGCGAGCAGCACAGACACGCGAGGAGCCAAAAACCAAAAAAAACACAAGTCAGAGTGCGGTTCGAGAGACAAACAGTAGCTTGGGGCCGGCGCCGGCGCTGGGAGGGTGAAGGGGCGAGGGGGCGGTTTTGCCCAAAAAGCGGAAAGGCTGTCTAATAGAAAGGCCAGGCGTAGCACATCTCGTCCCGGGGAGTCGGCGACTGCGAAACCGGACAGATTCCGCCGCCCGCTAGCGCGGAAATATAACCTCGGAAAGGAGAGTGGCGGTAACGTCGCCGGCTACTGCGATAGGGGGCGCGACCGGGGGCACGGCTGAGACGCCTCCACTGCCCCCCCTGGGACCCTCTGTTCTCCCGAATCGACGAGGCCCCAAAGCCGAGACATCGTTGCGGTGTTTTCTTATCCCTCTCGTATGACACCGTTTTGTTGGAGAGAGAAGAGGAAAAAAAAAAAGAGGCGATATTCACTCACCAGTCTGTCCACAGAGTGCCGTGACGACAGTTGATTCGGTTCGGTCGGCCACCCATTCGCGGGCGCCGCGACCGCTACAGTGGCCGGTATCGGTGTCGTCGCATTCGACGCCGAATGCCCGTCAGAATCCTGGGGTAGCCTCGTCGTCGAATCGAGCACGACTGCCGCCTCGTCATCGCCGTTCCACCTCGACTTGACGAGCGATTCCTTGCTCGCCGATTCGCGCACCGTTTTGAACCCGAATACCTCTTCACCAATTGCCAAGCTGCTCCCGCCGGGCGTGCGTTGCCCCTCGTCGGCTATTCCATTCGAGCGCGACGAAGTAGGGGTCGTCGGTGTCCTGGGTCCGGAGACGCTTCGCATCGAGCCACCGTTCGTCCCGTTCGGCAAGCCCAATCTGGAGTTGGGTCGCGTGGCACCGACGAACAGATGAAAAGAAGAAGCTTCGAAGGCGGGAACGCTTCGTTGCCCGGGTCCGAACCGATCGAAAACGGGCGAGGGCAACTTGCCGAGCGAGAGCGACGACGCTAAAGTGGACGAGGTCGACAAGGGTTCGAACGACTGTCTCCTCGGGAGTCCCATCGGTCGAGACATGGCGTATATTCTGCGATGTCAAATGAAGCACACTGGATTAGTCGCTGCGATACCTCACGATGCAACCAACGATTCGACTCGAACGGCCACAAACTGGTTGCTAGTGCGTCGTCGGAACTTGGCCCGGGACCGAGCGCGCGCGCGCCTGCCAACGTCACGCTCGAACCTCGAAAGCTCACGACAAAGGTTCGAACGGGGATCGGTCAAGAGGAGTACTACTTGAGCGTATTAGAAGAGGTACGGACGATCCACTTGCTTGATGTGTCAGGCTTGAAGCAACAGTGTCAGGTTGGAAGCGGCCGAGTCCGGAGAGATGCGAGATGCGCTAAGGACAAATGACCGAACTGATCAACGGACGAACGCTGGTGTCCAAGCTTCCTTGAAAGTCGAAGGTGGGGAGAAGAAAGAGGCCGTCGCAACACGTCGTGGTGAGAGGCGAGGTAGAGAGATGAAGAGATGGCCCCTCAAACAAGAAAGTGAAACACCAGAGTCCGACACCGCCGTCGCCCTTTCCGATGCGAGAGAGGAGAGACACGCAGGCGGGTGTCGAAAGGGAGCAGCTACGCGCGTTCGAAGTGAGATCCGATCTTCGAACTGCGAAGTCGACCGCCGAACACGATGCAATTGCGGTCCTACAGTGGAGGAGGGCTTGCGGAAAAGGTCGCGGACGAGAGAAGCCGAGCCAATCCGATCGATAGTAGCTTGAGCTCTCGTAAGAAGTCGGATCCAAGCCCAGAGCTGCGACGCACACCGGCTAGCGAGCTGGCTGAAACGGGGCAGGAACGAGCAAACTCAAGGAGCCTTCGCGCTGCGTCGCGGAACGCCGACGGCGCCAGGCGCGGCAGAATCGCGGCCTAGAGCCACGTCATGGCATGTGCTACGGCTTGTATATTTTTGGGACATTTGGAAACAGCACAATGAGCGGCATCGAAACAGAGATGAAGTGGAGCGTGATTCTTTGAGGACCAAGCGCATTTTCCGTTTTAAGTTCGTCACTTCGGGGCGTGCCACATGGCCCCAATGTCGGACTTGCTGGTTGCGCACAGAGCTTCGCCTGCTGATCTGTGCACGCCGGGTCCCCTCAACCTTGAGCTCGGAGCTCCTAGAACCTGATTGCGACACGGATGGGTCATTGCTGCAAGACATAATCGAGGGGCAGGCTTAATGCAGTGCCTTTCTCTCGAACTGTGGGATGATTTTGGTGAGGAATAGGTGGGTCAAAGCCGACTTCCATTGCTTCTTCATCGCTATAAGGTGTCTACTAGGGTGCAGCAGCAGTCGCAGCCTTGGCGCCAGCGGCAGTCGAGGCTCGTACCGTCGTAGCTCCCGACTTGGCCATACCCACGTTCCAACTGTAAGTGACGAACGAGTACACCACCAAGTCAGCTTGAGTGAAAAGGAGGAAAGGGAGATGAGCTCGGCGAAATCGCGAGACTTACCCCCAGGATTGCAACGTTCGGACAAACTTGGGTGTAATGGCGACCTGGTTGTAAAAGACGGAGCAAGTCAGTACGCACAGAGAGTACGGTGGTACCCGACAAGCCACGAGTCATCTACCGTGAGCCCGACCCGTACGGGCAAGAGCAACGTCTTGTGGATCGCATACGCTAAAACGGCAGTCGTCGCAATCGCCGAATACCCATCCTGGTTCTTCCCACTCGCATCAGTCCCAACAACACCCTTGACGCCTTGCGCGCGCCCATCCTGCCCCTGCTCGACCTTCTTCTCGTGTTCCTTGTGGCTCAACTTTTTCCTCGCGCCTTCGACGAGGTTGCCCGCTCCGGGATGTCGTTCCTTCCAATCCTCGAATCCGACCTTGAGCTTGCCCGGTTCGCCCGTATCTTTTCTTCGCCAGCCCAAGGCATCCAAGACGTAGTCTTCGGCGATGCGAACCTTGTCGGCTCCGATGGCGTAGATGAGCAGGAAGGTGAGGGAGAAGTCGATGGCGGAGAGGAGGAGGTAGATTGATAGCGCAGACCAGCCGTGGGTGCGGAACAAGGTTTTCAGTCGCTGCGAGAGCGACTCGTTCTTGGGCTTGGGGTCCGGGTTGGGGGTGGAGGACGAAGACGACGACGACGGCGAAGAGGATGCCGTAGACGCGTCAGCGAGCGGCAAGTTGGTCGTCTCGGCATTCCGCAGTGGAGAGGAGGAGAAGGTGCGGAAAGCGATCGAGGGTGGGGAGTGCGCGAATGTCGAACGCTGTCCGAACCATAGCGAAGGTTTTGAGGAGTAGGATCGAACGAGACGCAAGGGGAACAGAGGTGGTGTGGGGGTGGCCGTCGACGCGCGGCGCGACCCGATTCGGCACGTTGCTGGCGTGGACAGTGGGGCTGCATGTTGGGGGAGCTGGGCGTGAACCAGCTTGGAAGCGATGTTCCGTCGTGGGAGGGCAAGCATGGGTGCGAACACTGGGTAGACGTAGTGCTGGTAGGAGGGAAAACGAGCTATGATCCTTCTCCGCGGCAGGCGCCTCCTGCGTGCCCGATGCCCAATCCAATCTTGCCCAATCTTGACCAATAATCCGCTCCCGCCTGTCCAATCGAGCGCTGAGGGACCGCCCAGCGAGGCCCAGCGCCTCCCAGCGCTGCCCAGCGTTTGCCGGCGCCATCAGTCGGCCAAGCCTGGCGAACGTCTTGCTCTCGCCGATCCGTTCGCCCCATCGTTCCCTCCTCGTTTGCTCCTCGTTTGCTCAACCATGCGTCTCTGGGCTTTCCTTTACCTCGCCTCCATATCAAGCCCTGCACTCTTTGCGCAGGCGTCCTTCGCTCAGCAACAGATCCCACTCGAGGCTCCCTTCTCGGCCCCCTCAACCTCCTCGTCAACCTCCGGCGAGGCGAATGTGCTGCATCGCTTGACGTTCCCTTCCCGAGCAGCAACTCAGGCCGCCCGAGATTTGCTGCAACACGACTATGACGTATGGAAGGCGACCCCATCAACGATCGACGTCCTCTTACCAACGTGGACCGATCCATCCGTTCCGTTCGAGTCGTGGCTCCTCGACTTGGGCGCCACGTCCTCCTCCATCATCATCCCTTCCCTCTCTCATCTTCTTCAAACCTCACCACCACTAGGCTCATCCTACAACCGCATGTTGTCCTCCGCCGCTCTCGCCAACTGGACCTCCCCGTCGGAAGCCTCAGCGACCCCAAGTGGGGCCTCTCCGCAACGCCGCGCTCTCGACGCCTCGACGATCCATGACTCGTACCACCCCATCGAAGCCATCGAGAACATTCTCCGATCGTTCGAACAGGATTTTCCGGGCTTTGCCAAGGTCGTCGTCATTGGCGCGAGCAGTGAAGGAAGAACCGTCTGGGGTCTCAAAGGTACGTTCGGGCAGCAGATCTTTACCTCGCCAACTGTGAACATCGAGCTGAACCTTCTATATCCTCACACAGTGACCAATTTTGCTTACCATCCCGAGTCTGCGCCGTTGCATTTGGAGGAGACGACGATGGACGAATTGCTCAACAAGCGCAAGAACAAGAAGAAGAAGAAGCAGGAAGACGAACGGCCTGCAGGCAAACACGGCTTTGTCGTCGTCGGAGCCCAACACGCCCGCGAATGGATCGCACCCGCTACAGCACTGTACGCGATCCACGACCTCCTACTCTCAAGCCTGCCCGATGAAGCCTCGGACGAAGCCTCGGACAACACGCGACAACTGCTCGACGAGATCGAATTCACCTTCATCCCCGTCTTGAACGTCGACGGCTACGCCTACACTTGGACCAACAACCGCTTGTGGCGCAAGAACCGTCAACCCGTCGGACCCGACTGCTTCGGCCTCGACCTCAACCGCAATTGGCCTTATGCCTTCTCCTCCCCTCGACCGAACCCCTGCTCGGACGCTTACCCTGGATGCGAACCATTCCAATCGCCCGAACTGCAAGCCCTCTCGGCGTACCTAACGCAAGAAAAGCACAACATCAAAGGCTTCCTCGACCTGCACAGTTTCGGCCAGTTCATTCTCTTCCCTTACTCGTATTCATGCGACCACGCCTCGCCGGACCAAGAGAATCATTTCGAAGCCGTCGTCGGAGCGCAGAAAGCCCTTCGTGCCGTTCACGGTCGATCGTTCGACGTGGGATCGGTGTGTGAAGTGTCGTTGACTGCGCCAGGGGGGTCGTTGGATTGGACGTATCAGACGGCGGGGATAAGGTGGTCTTTTGCGATCGAGTTGAGGGATCAGGGCGTGTTTGGGTTCCTTTTGCCGCCGAGTCAGATCAGGGCTAGTGGGGAGGAGACGGCTGAAGCGTTCAAGGAGTTGGCGGCTTACGTGGTCAGGAAGGAGGCGGGGGGAGGTTCAGCTTTGATGAGGAGTAAAGGAGGTCTGTTCGTTGCTCTGCATCAGCCGGCACGTGTGTCTTTGTTCGTTTTCGGACTCGTTGCCCATTTTGTAACTTTGCTATGTTCATGTCTAATTGCAGACTATTCTCTTCCTGCCTGTGAGCGCACGGCACGACACGGAACTCGCTGTTTAGAGTTTGCTCGGTACCGGTTGCTCGGCATGCCGGCCAAGACTAAGCTTGGATCAACGGCGTGCCGGGCGGCCGGCCCCACTTTGGTTCTCGCTTTCGGGTACTCGCAACCTCACTTCCTTCCTCGTACTGTCGCCTCAAAACATGTCACCCACTCCTGACGTCCCCGGAGCTCTCAATGCCGTCCACTCGACCTTCTCCTCCTCCCAACTCTCTCAAGACGCCCCGACCTTGACCCAATTCGGCTCGACCTTCGGCTCGTTCGCGCCCCCCACCCCACCTCTGATCATCGTCCATGCCGAATCGACTCAAGACGTCGTCGCATGCGTCAATATCGCGACAAAGTTCGGTATAGTGATCATCCCCGTTGGAGGGAGAACCTCGCTGGAAGGACAGTTCCTTCCCCCTTCCATTCCCGAGGCTCCATCATGTTGTCATCCACCGCTCGAAGATCGAACTCTACCCCGAACCGTCGATTCCGGAAAACCGTCCGGCACCCCATTGGGAAAACTAGAAACATCCCCCCCACCATCACCATCACCACCACCCACCCTCAACTCCTCCCGTCCAACGATCCACCTCTCCCTTTCCCGAATGGACACCATCCAACTCTTCCCCTCCGATTTCAGCGCCATCGTCGGTCCAGGAGCAGGTTGGCAATCGCTCAATGAACGTCTCGCAGAAGAGGGGGTCAAGCAATTCTTCCCTATTGATCCGGCGCCGAGGAGCGAGTTTGGTGGGATGGTAGGCGTCGGAGGTAGTGGTACCAATGCGGTGGGGTTTGGGACTATGAGAGGCGAGTGGGTCGGGGGCATGGAGGTGAGTTGAGAGCGAAGTGCGCGAGGGGTGGGGTCAGGGGGGGGTGCAGAATTTTTAAGCTGACGAGTGAGGCTATTTGCGTGCCTGATCGTACAGGTGGTGCTGATGAGTGGGGAAGTGATCAAAACCAAAGGCTCGAGTAGGGCTCGTGAGTTGAAGTGATGTCATAACCGTTCGGCGAACACTTAAAAACTAATCCCACCCTTGACGGCGTTGCTCCTCCATATCAAGGCAAATCCTCGACGGGGTGGGACGTTGGTCGTCTCTTCCTCGGCTCGGAAGGCACATTAGGCGTGAGTGCAATACAAGGTGTGGCTCCTCTGTGGAGAAACAGCCTCTGATAATCATGACTTCCCCCTCCTACCTAGATCATCACCTCCATAACGGTCCGGTTGGCCCCACTCGTCCCCCTAAAAGTCGCCATCGCCTCCTTCCCCAGCATCTCCCAAGCCGTCCTCTCCGTCGTTTCCATAATCCAAGCCGGTCTGAACCCCACCTCCCTCGAACTTCTCGACGGTCTCTCCATCAAAGCGATGAACCTAGCCGAAATGATGCCGAAACCGTTGGAAGAGATCCCGACGGTGATGATGAGGTTCGGATCACCCTTCCCGGAAGCGGTAAATGGGGCAATGGAGAAAGTCGAGGAGATTGTAAAGGGTTTTGGATGTAGGGAGTTTAGGGTCGCGAAGGATGATAGGGAGAGTGAGGTGTTTTGGAAAGCGAGGAAGGTAGGTACTAAGTGGCATGAAGATCCGACTCGTCTCTCGGACAAAGATTGATCCCAAACTCGTTCCAACTCGCAGGCACAATACTGGTCCCAACAACTACTCCTTTCCCCTTCACCCACCTCAACCCCCTGCCGTACCTTGATAACCGACATCTGCGTTCCCATATCCCAACTGCCCTCCTTCATAACCCAATCCGAGGCTTTGGTGAACCCTCTCGCTTCGAAAGGGATCCTCGCTCCCGTCGTCGCGCACGCAGGCGATGGCAACGTTCATCGAGCTATACTGTACCTCCCTCACCCTCAAACGGGGCTCGCTCCCAAAGAAGTGGGCGAATTGGCAGAGGCGTTGAGTTCGCTCGCTTTGGAACTTGGAGGTACGGTCGCGGGTGAACATGGGATCGGGATGACGAAGAGGAAATACCTCAGGAAGGAATTGGGGGAAGGGACGTTGGGATTGATGAGGAAGGTCAAGAGCTTGTTGGATCCGTTGGGTTTGTTGAATCCGGGGAAAGTGATTTACGAGACGGTGGAGGAGGAGAGGAGGGAGAGTCGGTTGTAGATTGAATGCGGGAGCAACTGCGATGGGGAGTAGAATTTGGTAGAATTGTAAATCCGGGGGGAGGTGGTTCTTTCTTTCTTCCTACGATTTCACTCCTATTTTGGTCGCTACAACCCAAAAATCCTAATCGCACCATTCTCCCCCGCCGCATACGCCATGATCGTTTTGCTTGGATGCCAAGCCAAGGCCTCCACCGGTTGAGGTGTGGAGATGAGGTGTGCGCGGGAGAGGGAAGGGATTTCCGACTGCGAGAAATGGAGACGAGTAGAGGGTGGGGTAGTTGGGTGGGTCAGTATGAGCAATGGAATGGTGGTGTAGTTTGGTAAGCGGCTCACGATGATGATCTTGTCATCGGACCCTGAAGCGGCTGCTGAAGTGGCGAGGTATTGTCCATCATGGGAGAAACGACATGCTCGGATGGGATCCCTATCACACAAACGTGGGAGAGTGAAGAGGGTCAACGAATGCCCTTCTGAACCGATGAAAATGTAGTTGAGACATTAAATTACTCATGAGCGCCCATAGAAGAGACGCAACAAAATTCGTCGGTCTCCCACAATGTGACCAGATTATCGTTTGAGCCAGCAGCGACGTATCTACCTCCCCCGTTCGACAAAGTCAGCCTCTACTCCTTTATAGCACCCCTAGGAAATAGCAAGCGCTGCAACGTACCTGCCTCTCGGATCCAGATCCAAAACGGTCGTCATGGCGGGTGATATCCGGACTTGGTGGATCTCGTCCTCGGAAGGAAAATCGGCGATGTTGAGGTTCCCTTCGATGGCAGTCATGAGGATCTTGCCGTTATGTGTGAAAATGGGCTCGTTGGTCTGTGATGTTCGGACCCTTTATGGCTCAGAAAACGCTTTTCTCCTCGTGAGCGAACTGAGAACAATTTCCCCTCTGCTCACCTCGGTGGGCATTACTTTTTTCTTGATGATCTGATGGGTCTTGACGTCGATCCAAGTAACGACGTCGTACCGACTCGAGAGAATGATCGTCTCCCCATCCGGTGACCAAGTGAGGTGGATCGTCGAGCCGTCGGTATCGACCGAGTTGGTGGGTTTGTCCTCTATGTGAACGAGTGGGGTATGGGTGAGGGCAAGTTCATAGAGTGGGAAGAACGGGGGCAGGAAGCCATGTCGTACGTCTCATGTCCCTGTGCGTTCGAACCGTTCAAAGAGGTAAGTTTTTGTATGGCCCAAGTCGTGGATAGTGTTGACTGACCAGAAATGCAACTGCTTATCGTCCTCTGATCGAAGGAGCGAACCAGCGAAGAAATGTTCAGTCTCGCCGAGTGCTCGGAGCGGGTGTAAGCCAGTCGGACTCACTCAATCCACTGCATGTCGCCAATCGTTCGGGATGGGTTGGTTCCCACTTGACGCACGATACCTCTCCGACATGACCTCGATAATCGACGGAGGTTTTGAGGTCTGTCGCTCGCCCCAAAGTGGGCGAATAGTTTGAGCTCGGACTGGGGTCGACGTGCTCTCGTGCTGCTGAAAATCTTACCTTTTTCAGGTACCCATACCCGGAGTGATTTATCGACGGATCCTGAAGCCAGCCTCCTCCCATCGGCGTTCCCTAAACTTTGAGAATCAGTTGTGAAGATGGTGCAGACCAGGCAAGGGGGGAGAGGCGAAACGAACAAGCCAATGAGCGGACGACGGCTCGATGGCCCAAGAGTCGAGCGGTGGGCAGTTTCGAAAGAGGGTGTGCGGAGGAGGTGGAAGGTCCAGCAGCAGCTGCGGTGGTGGTGGTGGTGGTGGTGGTGGTGGTTGTAGTTGTCGAGGGCAGAGTACCCGAGGTGGTCGTCGTCGTCGCTGCCGCTCGACCGAGCACATTCACATTGGGTGCCGAGGATCGATACGAAGGTGTGGCATGCGTCGGTCGACTAGGAAGAGAGCTCTGGGGTTGCGCTCGGTGATACATGATGGGTTGCGCAACGTCCGAGCGATGAGGTGAAGGGAAGCCACGAGCGCGAGAGAGAGAGACGAGATGAACCGCGCGAGGTCCGAGGTCGGCGCTGGTCGGCGGTTGAAAGGGGGAGAAACCGGGAGAAAGGGGGGCCGCGCCGGGGTGATGCACCGCTCTGGCTTGCGTTCCCTCCTGCACTTGGCGCACCCCTCCTGCACGACCCGACGTAATCGCACCGCTTCGTCCTCGCCTAGACTCATCCTCACTCGCACTCCCACCCACGTGTCGACTCGGTGCTGCTTCTGCGCGTGTGCGTGCGTGCATCCTTGCGTCTCCCCACACGCAGCCCCTCGGTCCGGTCTGCCTCCCACCTCAAGCCTGGGTACGTCACAATCGCCGGCTCCCTACAGAGTACATGTCACATTGCTTATGCACCTGCTCCTCCCACAGAACTTTCACCCTTGAACGGCCACCGTAGCTCCTCCTCGACCTTGGGTGTGACATCATGTCCGGCTCTCGCTTGGCCCCCGTCGTACTCGACAATGGAACAGGTTACACCAAGATGGGGTCAGTCGCAACTCCACCAGTCGTGTCTGAAGCTGTCTCCGGATCACATCGAACGAGGGAGCGGTAGTAGTGTTGCGCACCCGCCCCACCATCCTCGAGGCAGACGACCGCAGCCCACATCGTCACCACCACCACCACCACCACCACCACCACCTCCCCCTCCTCCGTGACGCTCGGTCCAGTCCACCACGAGCTGCGTGCGCCCCGACCACCCAAGCTGACCCCATACTCTCGTCCGTCCTCTCCACAGCTTCGCCGGTAATTCGGACCCATCTTTCGTGATCCCGACCTGCATCGCAACCCGTGGCTCTCCCTCCGGATCGGCCTCACGAGCGCCCGCGGTCCCCTCCAAGCCGTCTTCGCTCGGCTCTCTCGGCTCCGGCTCGTCCAACATCGCTTCCAAGCGAGGCATCGAAGACCTCGACTTCTTCATCGGCGACGAGGCCTTGGCCAACAACAAGACCTATGCCATCAACTACCCGATCAAGCACGGCATGATCGACAACTGGGACCACATGGAGCGCTACTGGGAACAGTGCATCTTCAAGTACCTCCGCGCAGAACCCGAGGACCACTACTTTCTGCTGGTAAGGGGTGCACAGCATGAGCCTGACTGTATACGTTTCCAATGCTAAATCCCTCGCTACGGCCCTTCCACCCTAGACCGAGCCCCCTTTGAACCCTCCCGAGAACCGTGAAGCGACGGCCGAGATCATGTTCGAATCCTTCAACGTCCAGGGTCTCTACATCGCCGTGCAGGCCGTGCTCGCCCTCGCCGCATCGTGGTCCTCGGCCAAAGTCACCGACCGCACCCTGACCGGTACCGTCATCGACTCGGGAGACGGTGTGACCCACGTCATCCCCGTCGCCGAGGGTTACGTGATCGGGTCCTCGATCCGTCACATCCCCATCGCCGGTCGCGACATCTCGTCCTTTGTGCAGCAGTTGCTCCGTGACCGTGGCGAGACGGGGATCCCTCCCGAGGATTCGTTGAGGGTCGCCGAAAAGATCAAGGAGGATTATTCGTACGTGTGCGGCGATATGGTCAAGGAGTTTTCCAAATACGACAAGGACCCGAGCAAATTTTTTGGCCTCTTTGAAGGTTTGGATGCGAGGACGGGCAAGGTAAGCACTCAGTCACGGCTCATAGGTGGGAGGGTTGATGCCCAGAAGTGCTAATATCGGAGCGTCCCATGGGTCTGGCAGAAATACTCGGTCGACGTCGGTTACGAACGTTTCCTCGCGCCCGAGATCTTTTTCAATCCCGAGATCGCTTCGTCCGATTTCCTGACGCCGCTGCCCGAAGTCGTCGATTCGGTCATCCAAACCAGTCCCATCGATGTTCGTCGAGGGTTGTACAACGTGAGTCGATGGAGCCCCTTGAGAGATCTCTGTTCGACCCCAAGAAACTGAGAGGTCTGAGAGGTCTTCTCCTTCTCCCTCACAGAACATCGTCCTCTCCGGTGGTTCGACCATGTTCGACCATTTCGGCCGTCGTCTGCAACGTGACCTCAAGCACCTTGTCGACACGCGCATCGCGACGTCCGAAACCTTATCCGGTGGACTCATGCGTTCGACCGGAGTCAACGTCAACGTCGTCAGTCACAAGAAGCAAAGGTACGCCGTGTGGTTTGGCGGTTCTTTGCTCGCTTCGACGCCCGAATTTTATGGGTATTGTCATACCAAGGCCGATTATGAGGAACATGGACCTAGTTTGGTCAGGAGGTTCGCGATCTTTGGCCAGAGTTAGATGGTTTGGGAGGGGGAACAGAGTCGGAGAAGTTTATTTCGGTGTTTGCAATTATATAGCTGGGTCATCGAAGGATCGTCCAAGGAACACGTGTCGCTGGAACGGACAGTCCGGGATAGACAGTTATCGAGCTTGCGATCACAAATGCACAGATAATCTCTCGGCGTTTTTAACCCTGGATCACATGCTTGTGAACCTCGGCGATCAATCGTTGAGCCAAGACCGCCCCCGACATTCGGCAACCACGTCTTTCCGCTTGCCGAGGGCCGCCGGAAGAGGGCGATCGGGCGGTTTCAAACCGTTTGAAAGCGACGTCACTCTGCCGAGCCGGACTTGAAGCTCTCTGCGGCTCTTCTTCCTTCGTTCGACTCGTAACCGGGAACCTCATCGCGCTGTTCATCTTGGGACCTCGCGACAAAGGAGTGACGATATGCCTAATCTTAAGCAAGCGCTCAAGCTGGAACGGGTCGAGTCGTCGGCCCAGGAGGGGCCGTTCAGGTTCAAGGCTGAGTTGTCGGTGGTTTGGACTGTTGGTGGGTGAGTGATGGGACCTGCGAGGGTGGTTGATTTTACAGGCAAAGATTTTTAAGCTGATTCAACCTGGTCACATCTTCCCGTGCTCGACTACATTCCTTCCCCCACCCCCTCTCAATCGGAATTTTTCCCGTCCGCCGATCGGCGATCTCAGCAAACCGCACGGCGGCTACCTCCTAGCCCTCATCACATCCGCTTGTTCGCTCGTCATGAAAGACTCTACCACTCCCGATCCGGCGCAATTGATGACGAGTTTCTTGATGGGGTGTAATAATGGTGCGGCCGAGGTCGTCGTTACGGTCGTTAGGAGGGGCAAGAGTTGGACGAATTTGGAAGCGAGGATCGTTCAGGATGTGAGTACGGTGATTGCGTGTTCGTGGCTAAAGTATGTGAGAGAAGGTGTACTGACCAGGTTTTTCCCGCCATTCGTTCATGCCCGATCGTGTGCAGGGCAAAACGACCGTCGTTTCACAAGCGCTCTACACGTCCTTCCCCTCGCTGCCCACTTCTTGCCCCCACCCACCCTTCTCCACCTCGAACCAATATCTCCTCCCTCTCACCCCCTCGCCCTACGCGAAACGCATACCCCATCTCACTCACCCCTCCCTCTGCGATCCCCAAGCCGCCCACGCACGTAAACACGACGAATTCGGTCGCCGTTGGGGCAAGAATGAGAATTCGGCCATGTTCATGATCGCTGAAGGGGAGATGGAATGGGTTGAGGATGAACAGATCAAGAAGAGGAGGGAGGAGGGGGATGAGAGGGGGAGGAAGGAGTTGGAATGGGCCAGTTGGGTCGAGTTCAAGGATTTGGACGGGGAGGCTTTGAACATGGATATGATGCCTGTGAGTAAAGGGGTAGTGGAGAGGCAGGCGTGAGGAGATCATCGGTGGCTGGGGAGCTGACTATTTACTTCTACGTTGTCCTGGGGGCATTACTGGTTCGGCTCACAGTTCTTCTCAGACATCATGTCTTCCATTCCGGAACTGTTGCCACCGGGTGAAAGGGTCGACCCTCAGTGCGTGTGACCTTGCAAGCCGTCCGACGAGAAAGGCGAAATTCTCTTCCGAGGAATGCTGATCGAATTTGCTTCCACACAGCTACTATCCAACCTTGACCATGTCGATTCATTTCCACACCAAACTCCCCTTCCCTTCCAATTCGCCCTACCTCTTCTCCCCCAAAACCGTCGGCGTCTATTCAACAGGCCACCACATTAAAGCCGGTCGACACGAACAATTGACCGAGGTGTGGACCGCGCCTTCCGCATTGGGTCAGGGGGATGTGCAACAAGGGTGGAGGGAAAGGAGCATGTTGTTGATCACGGGCACGCAGTTGGCGGTTAGTGTCGATATTCAGAAGATCTTTGGGGGCAACTTTGGGAAGATGTGAGGAGGGAGGGAGGGTCACGTGACTTCAGACTTCTTTCTCGTGAAGGTTGAACGTTGATCGGCGACTCACGTAGCAGACGAGATACTGAAGCGGAGGACCGGGACTTGATTCCTTCATTGTAGAGGTTGGACATAATATTACTTAGATCGAAGCCCTTTCATGATCCATGGTCTCAGTCATAGTGAAGTAATGGAGTGTGATGTGAAGAGGTCCGTGCGCGGGGCGAGAACTGATTTGTCACGGGCCAAAACTCCGACGGTGGTCAAAGAGTCGTACGATCCAAAACCCCGGAGAGCAGCGGAGAGCCAATCTCGCGAGGCGCGTCATTCCATCGTGTAATGGAAACCTCCTTCTGCTCCGCAATCACCGACTCATCGATCTCCTAAATATAAACACGGAATCCCTCCGTGGTAGGCTGCTTCCCGACCAGGATGCTCGAGTCGATGTACGCCCCATCGCAGCACGCGCATACGCACAGCCATGGGCAGGGCCACGCCACGACGAGCGGCGACTTTGGCTCGGGGAACGACCACCTCGATGCGATGCTCGCCGACTACAACGACACCTACCACAACGGCAAGACGCTCTTGGACCAGGAGTACTACCAGCCCATGACCTATGGCCACGACGACGACGTCATGACCTTCTTATCGAACCATCGAGCTGAGGACGGGGCGCTTGGTGGTGGCGCCGTGAGCTCATCGAACCCGAACTATGACTCGTCGTTCGGCACCACGACCAGTAGCAGTGGCATGTCGACTACCTCGAGTCTGTCCAACATGGGTTCACCGCAATATTATGCCGCACCTTCTTCGACCGCTTCGAGTGGCAGTCACGCGTTCGGATCGCATGGCAACGCCGCCGGAACCACCACGGCGCCTTCGCCGAGATCGGCACAATCGACCTTTGCTGCCGAAAACCCGACCGCGAGTTCCTACGCCAGTGCGTCCCCTCCTTTCGGGCCCGACTCTTCTGAATCTCAGGCAAGCGACGCACGGTACCCATCTTTGCCGTATGAACAATCTTTGGAGTACGCGAACGCGTATGGCACCGCTCGGGGTGTGACCGGTAGCCAACTCGATGCCTACGCTCAGGGTCTCACTGCCGCTCATGCCGACTCGTCGAACTCAAACGGAGGTCTATCATTGAATGCACTCAACAATAGCAACGATATCCGAGCACGCACCGCGGCGTATAGTCAGATGCAGAGCGGGATCCCGTCCTTCCAACCGGCAGGGTTATCTTTCCCGAGCCAAGGCCAGGCGGATCCGAATGCTAATACCTACCTCAGTCCGGACGCACAAGAGCAATTCGTCTCAGCTGCTCATCAGTACAGGCTCTATTCGATGGCCCAGGCTCAAGGCCAAGCGCAAGCACAGGCCATTGCTCAAGCGCAAGCCGTCGCGCTCGCGCAGAATCATCAGCCTGCGCAATCGTTCGCGGCGGCTCAACAAGCGGCTCAGCTTCAAGCCACGGCATCACTCAAGAGTCGCATGGCGGTCAATTCGATTCCGATACTTGCCAAGACGGATGGGACCTCGGGTCGACCGACGAAGAAGTCCTCACCGGGCAAGAAAGCGGCCGTAGCTCAAGGAGGTGCCACTGGCGGAGCTGCTGGAAGCGGCCCAACGGCGGTACAGCCATCGTCGGAGGCGCCTCGACCTGCTCCCGTCGCCGTTCCTACCTCAGCTTTCTTCAACTTTTCGTTCCAACCCACGACTGGCAGTGGCACGTGGGCTGCTGGAAGCGATGATGTGATGAATTTGATTGCGAATGCAGGGACGTCGATGGCGCGAGCGTCTTGTGAGTCCGCTAGCGCAAATGACCGAAAGCGTGTCAAGAAATGCGACAACTGACTCAACTCGCTCTTCTCAGCTGAAGCTCTGCGAACTGGCCTGAACGCCAAGATGAGTGAGGCGACGGTGGAGGCACAGATCAAGGCCGAACAGGGTAATGGGACATCCCCTACCTCCGACGGAAAGGCCAAGAAGAGCGATAAGGGCCACAGTGAGTTTTTGGGATCTTGTCCAGGGTGTGCTCGCGATACTCATATCCACACTTATTTCGGATCAGATGCCGTCGAGCGAAGGTACCGCAACAACATCAACAACCATTTGTCAGCTCTCAGGGACGCGATCCCGGCCCTGCGTCACCTCAAGCCTTTACCTTCGATGCCCGTGTCTCGTCGCCGCGTCTCACAATTCACTCTGACGACAGGACATCAACTGCCAACACCCGAGGGCCTGATTGACGGTATCCCTGCGGCCAAGACGTTGTCGAAAGGAACGGTCTTGGGAAAGGCGATCGAGTACATTCATTACTTGCAGCATGCGCGATCCGACGGCCAAGAGGATGTTCAGATGTTCAAGAAGATCATTCTGGAGATGGTTGGCAATGGGCAAGCCTTGGTCGATATCTTTGAGGCGCGTCGAGCGATCAGGAATACCGAGCGCGCGGCATTGAGGGAGAAGGAGAGGGTTGAGCAAGAAGCGCTTGATGAGGAGGACGATACGGGCAGTGGCGAGGACGAGGCCGACGAAGCCGCGGCGAAGAAGGCCAAGGCCAAACCGACGAAAACGTCATCCGCGTCCAAGAAAGGAGGGAACAAACGTGAGGCACCGAGCGACATGACGCCGAGGCCTGCTCCGGCCGCTGGACTGCCACCTTCGGTCGTGTCCAACTTTGCACAGCTTCGTCAGCAGCAAGGCACGTCGACGAAGGCCCGTACGGCCTCATCGTCCGGTACGACTGACGGCTTCTCGCCCTCGTCGATCTCGTCGACGGATGACTTCACAGTCCCGGACATGCGTCAGGATCAATCTGCGCAAACCTCCCCGAGCGGTATTCACTCGGCGCATTCTGGACGGCCACGCGTCTTGCTTGCGAGCTTTTTAGGTCTCAGCTTCGCGGGTGGGCTCGGGTACGATTGGACCTACTCGGATGCTCCCGTCGCGCAGGGTTCGGAGACGGCTCGGGCATGGGCCGGCCGTCTGGTTGGTCGTTCCCTTTCGACGCCGTCATCGGGAAGTGCTGTGCGATCATCGTCAATCATCTCAAGCGATGTTCTCCACCCCGGCATCTTGTCGGGTCTCGTCTTCCTCGGCATCGCATCGATCTGTGTCGTCTTGTACTTTGTCTTGAACCCCAACGCCACTCGATCCAGCTCGACCAAGTCGTTTCCCATCTCATCTTCCGAAGTCGCTCAATCTCGCAGTGTCTACCGACAACGGCGAAGGGCACAAGCGCTTGCTGCGCTCGCGAGCTTGACTGAACAAACCTCGACGATGCCGCTCTCGTTCGAAGCCGAATGCCGAGCCGCTTTGGCCGCACGTAAGCAGCTGCTCAAGTTGGTCGGGGCTCCTACTTATGCGCTGCTCCCTAGTTTGGCGAAGGAGACGCTCGCTGCGCTGTTGAGGAAGGTGACGACCATCAGGGTTGGTTCGTTCGCGAGGTGGAGTGAGAAGGATCGAGTGGAGGCGGCGGTGGCTTGGGTCAGGATTGCGGAGATCGAGGCCACTGTTGGTGAGTACATTGCTAAAGTATGGCTCCCTTGCGGACATCGGCTTACCACTTCTTGTATCGATTGCAGGTGCCGATGATGTCAATTTCCTCGCACGGTGCTATACCTTCCTTCGCCTGTTCAACCTGTCCCATTCGGCTTCTTGGCCCGAGACCACACCTTCGACAAACCGAGCGTCCGTGAACGCGATCCTATCGGTCCATTTGCTTTCACTCGGCGAGCCTCTTTCGGCTCATGCACTCTTCAACAAAGCGGTCCGCCACATGGAACGAAGTCGCAAAAAGATGGATGCGCGCCTCCACCCCTGGGCCGAAATTGCGCTCGCGACGGACTGGTCTCAGTTCCGACAGATCGTTCGCGATGCCTCGAACGAGACCGTGGATGGATCTGCTCGTCGTTCGACGCCGTCCGACACATCTCCTTTGTTGCAAGTCGCCGAAGCGAGGTGCAGTGCCGCGTTGTTGGAAGCTTGGGCTAAGATCTTTGTCGGCGTAGTGGCGACGACTTGCCCTCCTCCTCCTTCAGCGTCGCGAGCTCCTGTCGAGCGTTTCGCCGACTTGGTTGACCAGCCTTTCCTCGAGGAGACCGTCGCACATGTGCTTGACTCCACGGTCGTTGGCTCAACCGTTCACACCATGGCTCAAGTCACCAAGACGGTCTGCGCCTTTTACAACGGCGACCTTGCCCTCGCCAACTATCTCATGCACCCTTTGAGGCTCGAGTACAATGCCCACGGTCCCGCGAGGGACATAGCCAGCGTCAAGTTGCTCTTCAAGATTTTGCCTTCTTCATCTTCCCTCTCCTCGTCTTCACTTTCGTCTCAAGAGGATTCGTCGTCGACACCTTCGTCCCCCACGCTCTCCTCCCCTTCGTCCTCCCTTTCCGGCGAGCTCGATTTTGACTCGAGCTCAGACGACGGATCGACCCCCTCCCTTGGTTCAAACGACGTCGACCACCTCGCTTCCATCGTCCTAAATTGGCTCCTCATTCGTCGCCGGCTCTCCTTCCCGATCGATAAAACCCCGACCACTTCCCCTAAAGCCGACCCAGCCTTACATCGCGATGCGCTCGCCGTGCGTCGTCAATTCGCTCACGCGCCCTACCTCAACTCGACCTCCCTTCGTGAATTTTGCGAATCCTTTGACGGAGGAGACGATACCACGAATTCGGTCGGTCGATTAAGTCTCGATGCTGCCGTCGATGCATGCTTGGAATCGTTGACGAGCGTGACGAGAAGAGCGGCCGGTTTGAAGGCTTTTGATTTGGAGCGGTCGGCTTGGGCTGATGGGGGGGATGATTCGGGCGTCGAACTGGATTGAGTCGCTCTTCATGTACCTCACCCTCATCGATTTGTATCACCACCGTCCACACCTCTGTTGACACTCTTTGTCTTTGTTTCGCATGCTCTGTCTACACTTGTATCAAATGTGCCTTTGTTTTTCTTGTTCTTCGTGTAACCAACTCCTGTCCGTGCAATCAGCGTACTCTCATCATAGATCGCGTACAAAAAATGATTCGATTTGGTTCGTCGCGAAGGGTTGTTTTGTCGTTGAATTTGCAGCAGAGTAAAAAAGAACACCGAACCAGGAGAAAGAAAAGACAGCAAAACTCTCCCCATCGATCGAGCGAACAACTACTTTTGGGCCAAAAGAGTCCTTATCAAGTAAGAGGGCAAAAAAGACTTTATTCGGAGGGAGATGAAAGAAGAGGCAAGACTGGCAGGAGGGGACCAGGAAGGACTGAACTGAACAAGAGTGGAAGAATGGAGGGGTAAGACGAGGAGCTTCATCTTTGACCGCACCTAGATATTAGGGAATGGATCTTTACGATTGCTTGCACCTGAAAGGAACGGACGCGGGAGAGGTCAGTATACTAACTCGTGCATGTATTGACGGGGGCGACAACTTACTCTTGCGGATCCTGTGCCGAAGCAGGGGTGACGCCCGAAGGCGGGAGGGGTGCTTTCCTCGAACGACCTCGACCAACAGGAAGGCCCTCATCATCCTCATCCTCATCCGAGTCCAAATCCTCATCCTCCTCCTCATCATCAAACTCATCACTGTCGAACTCGTCCATCTGCTCGTGCCTCAACGCCGAACCGTCAAAGTACGACACCGCTCGGGGCACAACGCGCTCCTTGATGTCCTCGCCGATCTGGTAGTCGAGCTCGAGCTTCTCGTCGATATCCTCATCGATATCGTTCTCCGAGTCCTCGTCCGACGGCGGTGAGGGGGGGCTGAAGAAGCTGAAGAACGAGTCCGTGGGAACCACCTTCTTGACGATACGGGTTTGGTTGGTGTCTATTCGGGCCAAGAAAGCGCATTAGATTCAGCATTGCGCGATGACGATGCCTGAAATAGTCAAATGCAGGGACTGCTCACTCTTGTTTCGCTGCTTCTTGGTCTCGACTCGTGTAGTCAAGTCCTTGCCATCGACCCATTCGATCTTTGTGCCGACGGCGTGGTCGTAAACAAAATCGCCCTCGTATCCAACCTCGTCCTGGTAGTAGTAGGTCTTTTCGAGCTTAGTGTTCGAGAAGAAGGCCTTGGCGCCGGCGGTGAACTCGAACACGAGCGTGAAGCCGGGCTTGTCGGCCGGGTAGGCGACTCGGATGTCGGCCAAGAATTTGAGCGCCTCCTCGTCGCGCTCGGTGATGAGCTCCGACAAGCCGAGGTGGTTCTTGAGCGCGGTGAGCCAGAATTCGGGGATACCCTTGGGGGCCTCGGCGAGTTCCTCCTCGGTAGGCTTGGCGAGTCGCTCCTTTGCGGGCTTCTCCTCATCCTCATCGTCCTCATCGTCCTCATCCTCATCCTCATCCTCCAGGGCATCCTCTTCAGCGTACCCCTTCTCGACCTCTTCCTCGGTCGGCTCGGCGGTACCGTCGATCAGGGCGCGGCGTCGGTCGTACAGGGGCGCGTACTTTTCGGCGTACTTCTTCTCGAGCTCAAAGATCTCCCTCTGGAACTCGGCCTCGATCTTGGAGTGCTCGGCTTGGACACCCTTGAGGCCGGTGATGCGGCGGCGGACGGGCAGAGGGAGCGACTCGATGTAGCCCGAAGACTGGCCGACGAGACGGTCGAGCTTGCCCTGGACGAGTTGGGCTGTGATGTAGGGTCAGGATTCGAGCCAGGCGGAGGCGGCGCGGTGCGGTGCGGCGTAGAGACCATGATGAGTGTGGGGCGGAGGTGGGGAGGCGCAAAGGGAGAACACGCGGGAGAGGAGAACAGACAGACGGTCGAGGTCAGCGATGCTGCGAACGGGCAGACGAGTGTAGGTAGCAAGAGGCGCGAACTGACTGAAGGCGGGGTGGCCCGAAAGAGCGGCGAGAGCACCGGATGCGCCATCGGTCTGGATCGTGGGAAGGTCATCGTCCTCTTGCTCCTCGGACAAGGTCGAGGGGACTTGAGGGCGGCTGGAGATCAGGATCAGAAAGAACGGGCAGACAAGGCGAGGTCAGCTACAGAGTCTTGATGTGGGTTCATGCCACCAACGGGGATGTATGGATGGGATGACGCCGAATGAGGTGGGTAGGGCAGGGCTCGAATGCGGATCGAGTCGAATCGCGCCGTCCGGAGGTCAGCTGAGCGGTCAGTTGTCCCCCAGGCGGCAAGCGTTCTGACGTCTGCCTGGCAGGCCACCGGCGCCGCTGCCCTCGGGCCGCTCGCTCGCTGGGCTGGCGCGCGACTTTTCCCTTTGGGGGGAAGGCGAGCGCGAGCCGAGGAGAGCCTCCAAGGGGGCCGCGCCTCGAACGACAGAGAGCCGTCAGGCGGCCGTGCCCGCTCGAGGTTGAGCGAGGGCCGGGAATGTACCTGTACCGCGCAAGAACGACACTTACGACATGACCGAGTGGGACAAATGCGCCGCAGGGGTGTCTGTAGAGCGCGAGATGCGAACACGGCGACAATGTCAGCACTGCGAGAGCGTCACACGTGCGATCGCGACGAGCGGCGTTGGGTCCGACACTCGGGTCTCGAAGACGGGCGCGAGGGTGCAAGGCTCATGTACGCACTTTGAGGTGTACTGTGGGAAGAAACGAGATCGAAGAAAAGATGGGCAGGTGGGAATCACGTGTCAGTCAGTCTGGTCGCCGAAATGGTTGCGACCTCGTTCGGGTGGTCCAGTCAATCAATCAGTCGGTCGGTCGCACGAGGCTGTTCAGCTGCTGCCACCGAGCGGAGCGTACACGGCACGGGATGAACGTGAAACAGACTGCGAGTGTAGACGAGATCACTCACGGGGCAATGCCACCGGGGACGTCGTTGCGGTTGGGGATGTTGGTCGCCGACATGATGACTTGGGACAGTGGCTTGTCGGATGCAGTGGGATGCAGGGTGGGAAGCGTTAGACTCGCTCGGTGGCTCTGGACGCGCCTCGGTTGAGCTTGCGGGGCCACCCATGCAAGACCATGCAGCTACTTGCAGGCCTGCAGGCGGGCGACGCGCGAGCGACTATTATAGCCACGCATTACTAATCAACCCGCTGTTCAGGCGGCGCGCCACTAATCGTAATCACCCATTGAACGGCCCATGTGTGCCTTCCGATCCAAGAATGGGAGTCGTGTGGGAGCGTGTGGGGGTGGGTGAGGTTGGGTGGGACCCCGTCAAGCATCGTCACCTGCACCCGCCTTGCTGCTCGGCTCTAGCCGCTCAGCTGTACCTGTCGCATGTCGGCGCACTCGAGAGGAGGTACAGGCAAGGGTTCAGGTGGAGGTGGGATGGGATGGAGTACACCCGAGACCCTGTCGCCACGAAGCTACAGCCCCGCCAAGCCGACGTACCCGTCCTCTTCGGCCACGAGCTCACGCTTCAATTCTCGCGCGGGCTCACCGATCGCGACGACCAACATGGCCGCTACGAATGCAGGACCGAATCATCCATTGCATCTCCCACCGACGCCCAAGTCGGCCCAGTTTCCCTTCGCTTCAACCTCGACTGCGACGTTGGGCTCGACGATGACGAGCTCGACTTCGACTTCGAGCTTTCGGCTCACTCCATCGTCCGACGCGGCCACCGCGGCCTCGAGCTCGACCGTGCTTGGTGAAGGCGGCAGTGGTCAATCCACCGTACGCATACGACGCGGTCATTCACCGAACCCATCCGTCAACTCTTCCGGGGTCTTCGCCACCACCAGCATCGACGCGGATGTGACGCGCCCGAGTCTGCGCCGACTGACGAACGAGACCTCGTCGAGGGTCGCTTCTCCTTCAACGACCGCAGGAGTCGCCGCGTGGAGCGGCAACGGTGGTCCTGGTTCGGGAACAGACTCGACTCGCGCAAGCTTGGACAACCTATCAAGACCTTCTTCTTCCTCGAGGAACCCTGCTGCTGAAAGAGAAGTTGTCGTGCACAAGGTCAGCCCTTTCCTCCGACCGCACTGGTCCCCTCGATCACGCGCCTCGACGTGCCGGCTAAACTCGTCGGGATTTTCCATTACTGCGCACAGCTCGTCAAGACGGACACGTTGGCATCGATATGTCTCAAATACGGCATAAGTGTGAGTGGATGGATTTGAGTGAGTTTTACGCTCAGACGCGACTGTGAAGCTCATCGTAAAGCGCCAATATTCGTGCAGGCCCAAGCCCTTCGGTCTTCGAATCGGCTATGGCCTTCGGACCCAATCCATCTACGAGCGACTCTCAACATCCCTCTGGATCAGTGCCACTTGTCTTCCGCATCTGCCGGGATAGAGCGTATCGTGCGCGAAGAAGATGGCAACTTGGTCGTATGGGAGAGGGATCGGCCAGCCTCGACCTCGACCTCGACCCCAACTTCCGAGCTGCCTTCTGCCTCGGCGTCGACATTGACATCCCCGTGGTCGACCTCCAACACCATCGCTTCGTCGAGGAACGATATCGTCAGCCCTCGAGTCAGAAGAGTTACGTCAAATCTTCACGAGGTGAACGATTCTGCCAGTTCTTCGACGGCGGACCTGCTCAACATCTGGAACAATCCCGAACCTCCTCACTCGCTGCTCGACGATCTCGACGAAGACGACGCCAAGACCATCTCGCTACATCCTCACTCGAACGACACGGTGAATGGCTTTGGAAAAGGCAAAGGCCGAGCCATCGATGCTTCTCCCGCCGACTACCTATCCTTGACCAACAATCCTTTCGCCTCGCCGACTTTCCAAAACAAGCTCATCTCCATCACCCCTGACCCACCGATAGCTCGATCACGGTCCTCGACGATGAGTTCTTCAACCTCATCAGTCAACCCTTTTGCCGTGGCTTCACCACCGACAGGATCGAACGGTACCGCACCGGATGGTCTTTCGAAACGAACGCTAACGATCGAGCGGCTACCCTCCTCGGCGCTCTCCTTCTTTCCCCCTTCCGCCAACCACAGCTCCCCCGATAGAAAGGAGTATCTCTCATCACCGTTCTCCTCTCCCCAAGCATCCCACTCCATACCCTCCTTCGACCCCTGGTCAAACGGCCACCGCACCCCCGCGCTCTCCAAACGGAAATCCTCCATATTCGGTCCGCTCGTCAACACATTAGCCAGACTGACGACATTGGAAAGTGGGGAGGAGTACGCTCGGAGAAGTAGTGCTTCTTCGACTCCTGCTGTAGCGATGACGGGAGCGAAGAATGCATCATCGTCGTCGTCGTCGTCGTCGTCTTCGGCGGGTAAGCAAAAGGCACAGCGTAAAGGGTGGGATTTGACGTATTTCGGGCAGGAGGAGTATGCTTCGAAATGATGGAGCCGCGGGTAAGGATTGGACGGCGTAAGCTTACGTTGCTGTGCGAAGGCATTTTTTAATACAATTTTGGAATTTTTGGTACATGGTAGAACCTGGAATTTACACCTTGTTGAGAAGCTCCGACGCGTGTCGGTGGGTAAGGCGGCACGCTCGGCGAATTTGCTTGGACTTTGAGTAAGGGGGATTTGCTCAAGAGTTGAACTTAACGACTGGCAAGTTGCTCGTCGAGAATTCTCACTGGTTGAATGTTTCACAGTCGCATCAACAAACACCCGGTTCGTTTTGCAAGTGCTTTGTTGTTATTTTGGTGTTTTGTAAGAGCGCATACAATCACCCATGTTTTGATTCTCTTGGGTCGGTCGCGGCCGTGGTTGGCATGCCACAGAGCGCGAGCGCGGGTGCCAAAACACCTAGCGCCAGTCAACCAAGCCCCACCAAGCCGGCCGAAGGCGCTTTTGAGATTGAACGAAGCCCGATCGCCTCCTTTTGTTGCTCATACCCTTTCGATTTACCCGGACCAACCTTCCAAAGCCGTTCTCCACCTACTCGTTCGTCGACTCCGAACCTCAGCAGGAAAGAGGTGTACCCGCTCCCATCTTTCCTCTCCGAGCTCGTCGATCGCCCAGCCTCTTCTCGTCATTGAACGCGTCGGGCGCGAGGGGCGCACACGACGACCGAGCGTCAGCGTGCTGCTTAGCACTGGCTGGCTGAGCAACCGACAGGATGTCGACTTCCGTCACGAACCGTACACCCAATGCACCGACCTCTCGTTTTATCAACTATGCGCCTCCCAAACTGGCCTCCCGCGTGACCCATTCTCGAACGGCGTCGACCTCGAACGCGATCTCCAACACGGCCAACACCACCAGTACGACCCTCGCCGCTGCAGCTGGTGGTGCTGCTGGCGCGGGCGGCGCGACGACGGGGACGATGACGGCCGCGCCGATCGGCACCAAGCGTCGATCCCATCTACATAGTTTCGGCGGATTGATCAGGGGGGATACACCGCGTTTCAACTTGGAAGGTCTGGATAGATTGACGAATAAGAGGGAACGGAGCTTGGTCGATGAGGACGATCAGGATGCGGTGCTCGTCGTGGAACCGCCGACGACGCGCGCGGCGACGGGCACAAGTTCACTGACCACGATGACGACCGCGACGACGACGACGCGTGGCGGATCAGCATCGGCCACTCATGCCCAAGCACCACCACCACGAAAACGACGCGTTCTCGTCGACACGACACAACAGGATGGGGTCGTCGATCTGACCCATACTTCGATGACGCCGGCCGAAAGCCTCGCGAGCGCAAAGGCACGATGGGAAGCCGAGGAAGATGCCGCGTACCGTACCATCTTTGGACTGGATGATAACCCCTTGGTGTCGGAGGATGAGAATGGCAATCTTGTGCTCAGTCGTCTGAAAGGTCGTCCTTCGACAAGACCTGGCACCACCACGGCCTCCACGACTACCACCACGGGCACCGGGACTACGACCACGACCTCGACCACGACTGCCGCGACGACGGTGTTAACTTCGTCCAAGCGATCGAGGAACGCGTGTCGCCAGACCATCGAGGAGATCAATTGCGACTATGAGATCGCGTTCAACCCGACCGGTCCGATCGCCATGAAAGCCGCCGAAGATGCGCGCAAACTCGCAACAGCAACGGCCGCCAAGACCACCCAAGTCGGTGGCGGCGGCGGAGCGACTAAGGACCACAAAAAGTCGATGCGACAGGAACGAGCGGAGAAACACGACAAGCTCGTCCAGGAGTCCGCGACGTGGAGGAGCAAGTACAAGAAGGCGTTCCCGTCCTTTGTCTTTTACTTTGATGCCTTGGACGTGTCGACCGAGCTGCACTTGATTCGACAAGTTGAGCGACTCGGAGCCGTGAGTTACTCTGAGCGGCTGCGCGACGGCGCTGGAAGACGTTTTGAGCTGAATGTGCCTCTGATGAGATCCTTCACAGTCCGTCGACAACTTTTTCTCCAAAAAAGTGACCCACGTCGTCACGTCGCGACCTGTGCCGTCGACGAACAACAAGGAAAACTCGCCCTCCGTTACCGCCGCTTCAAAGAGTGCATCGGCCGCAGCCCATGCCACCAACAATCCTGGTCCCGTATCGATGCAACATGACTCTACCGCTGGACCATTACGGACGAAGAAGTTGGCGGCCTCGAACAAGAGTCCTACGACGTATGCGCTGCCGAACGGCCAAAAACTGAGACCGTGAGTCGCTACCTCTCTGCCTGCGCGGGCTGAGGATTCTACCGCTGAAAGCCAACTCGTCTGACCTGTAACTCATCCATCTTGCGTGACAGATTTGGCGAAGGGCTGGACAAGAACCCCTTCATCGATTCCCAAGATATCCTCTGCAAGGCTGTCGATTTCAAGCTCAAGATCTGGCATCTCGACAAGATCCACCTCATCCTCACTCGCATCAACTCGCACTCGCCTTCGAAGAACTCCGCCGAGACGACTCGTCCAGCAGCGGGGACCCAAGGTCTTTCCCTACCTTCGTTGTTGCGAGATGAACAGCTTTACGGGACGCGAGAGCGCGACCCTTTCGTTCCTCGATCCGATATGTACTATTTTGGTCCCAAGAGCGTGTACCTGCTCGTCGAGGATTCGACGGGCGAACATCGACCGATCGTGACGAAAGAATACGAGCGACCTCGACGACACGAGGATCCGGCTTGGCCTGTATTGTGGGGCGGCGTTGAGGGCAGGGGAGGGTTCTACCACTTTGAAGGGGAGATCAAGTACGAACGACGGAAGCCACCGGCACCCAAGCTTGATCCTTCGACGACGTCGAGGAATGGCAAGTCGCTCAAGGCGATTCAGGCAATGGGTGCCACAGGAGGTCATGCCGTGGCTGCGAATCGAGCAGTTGGCGTCGCTGGTGGTAACGCGGGTTCGGCCCCGAATCTGAGGCGATCCCTGTCGCTCCAGGCCATGACGAGAGGAGGCAAGACGGGACTCGTCGGTGCCGACAGTCGAGGAGCGAGCGGTACATCGAAGGAACCGGAGTACCTCGCCGCTTCGGGCAACAGTCAGATCATCACGTCCACGACTGCAACCTCGACGCGTTCGGGTGCTCCAGTTGGTCGACTTGGCCATGGCGTCGTCGATAAGCGATTAGCAGTCCTCTCGCAACGTACCGTCACCTCCCTCGGGGGAAATTCCACCTCCGGTGCTCGACCTGCCCCCGCTGAATTCTCAGCGACCGGATCTTCTCGCCATCTCGCTATCCCAGGCGCAGCTCTTGGCGGAAACCTCCAAGGCAAGCTAAAGCGATCCGCCTCCGTCGATGCCGGTCTAAACGCCCGCATGCCCCCACCTCGCGACGAACCCAAAAAACCAGGGTACTGCGAAAACTGTCGTATGAAGTACGAAGACTTCAAGGACCACGTCGTCGCGTCCAAACATCGTCGATTCGCGCAAAACCCCAAGAACTGGTACGAGTTGGACAACCTGCTCAGTTTGATTAGTCGACCTTTGGCTGTTCAATCGAGTGAGGATGAGGATGAGGAGATGGAGGAGGACGAGTGGGATGAGAGTGATGCGGATGCGCAGTTCGAAAGCTCTCAACCTTCGTCTGCGGAGGACTTCTTGGACGGGGTCGGGGATGATTCGGGCTTCCATGAAGGGGTCGGGAGCGATAGTTGTGCTTCGGATCAAGAGGATTAGAAGCTAGAGGAGCCCTTGCCATTCGTTCTTGTCAGTACGCAAAGCATCTTTCTCCTCGACAATACGCTGTCTGCAGAGCTTGAGAAGTCAACAAGATACCGAGTAAATTAAGCCACTGTGCCCGAACTAAGCTGAATCTACACTAAAACGTTCAGCCGTACACAACCCCACCCGATGCCCCTCTCGTCGACTCTTCATACAACGTCATCGTCAAACTCGCCAAGAAGCCGGGCAACGATCTTCTATTATCGAGCCAAAACGCGATGCTTCTCCTGACCTCCTCATTCTTCATGATCTTCTCGTCCGTCGCACTGACGGGCTTGTAAGGCATCGGTCCACCGGGCCATGGGTCGAAAGCCAACGAACGATCCTTACTCGGCGCGTACAGGGACGTGATCCTGATCCGCCCCGATTCCAAGAAGGCGAGTTGGAAGCCAAGTAGGTCTTGCACGGCGAGTCGAAGGGATTCCGTCTTTTCCGCCATGGCCGACGAAATGCGCTTCAGCATCGTTTCCTTCTGCTGCACCTTCAGTTTGAGCGAGGCGATCGTCGCTTCGGCCGATTTGAGGGACTCGACGGGAACGAGCGTTTGAGCGTCACCACCATATTTTTGACCCCCAGAGGAGAGCTCGGATATCCGTTGCACCAATGCGTTGTTCTCGTTCCTCAGCAACTCGAGCGTCGACGTCCTAATCGCATGTTCCATCCGATCCGGACTGTCGCTGTACTCGAGCACGCGCGTCGTCTCGGGGTTGAAAGCGCCTTTGATCCCATGATCGCGCTCAAACGAATCGAGTTGCATCTCGAGCGCTTCCAACTCCTTCTCCAACAATTCGTGCGAGTTCTTGAGCTCACCCATCTCCTCGCGCAAAGCCTCGTTCACCCGGAGCTGTTCCATCAGAGGTGTGTTGCTGGACAGAGCTGAAGACGTCACAGTTGTAGTGGACCCTTCGACCTTGACGTCGGCCGCCTTACTTTGCGCCACTTCTTGCCAGTGGTTGAGTTGCTCGGTCGTATCGGCAAGTTGTGCTTTGACACCCTCCAGCAACTGCTCGAGCTCTTGGACCCGCGCGGTCTTTTGGGCATCAAAGTTGCCAGCTTGCTGGATTGCCTCCTCGGTGTTGTAACTATCGAGATGGCGCTTGAGTAGATCGATTTCCCGCTGTAGGAGCCGCGATCGACCTTGTTCTTGTTTAAACGCCGCCTCGGCTCTCATTACGGCGTTCTTGCCCTCTTCGACTTGCTGTTCCGAGTCCGCGACCCGCTTTTCGAGTTCGCCGATGATCGAGTCGCGCGATTGAAGTCCGTAGGCGTGCTGCTCAACCTTTTGACGACAAGCGGCATTTTCTATCCGGGTGGCTGCTAAGGTTCGTGTGATCTTGCGAGGAGAAGAGAATTCTGACGTGTCTGACGGGGTCAAAAATGCAGACCTTAAGGATGCAAGTTGGTGAGGAATTAGCCATCGGCTTCGTCTGGAGCATGCGCGCCAAAGAACGCTTACCAGTCCAACTTTTCCCGCTTCAGTCCTTCCAGCTCGACTTCTTGCTCGGCAACTTTCTTGACCAACTCATCGACCGCCTTGACTCTCCGCTCCAACGTTCTATTGGCTTCTTTTACCACCTCGACGTTGACATGCTGCTTCTCAAAGACCTCTAGTCTTCGAGCGAGCCTCTGGTTCTCCTTCTCCACCGCTTGCATGTGCGCGACTTGTCGATGCAGCTCCTCCCTGATGACGGCAGCGGACGCCAAAGATTCTTCGGTGCCCGACCGCGTGGCTTTGATCGTCTCGACGTCTTGCTCGGCTTTGATCCTCGCTCTCCGCTCCTCTCCGAGTCGAACCTCTTTTTCTTCCAAAGCCCTCTGCAGCCGTTCGACCTCCGCCGTCAAAGCTCGCTCGTGATCGAGTGCGGCCTGTACCTTGCTCCTAGCCTGCCGTTCCGCGAACGTCCTTTCCCTCAAATCCGCCTCGACCTCGCTCAATTGATTCTGCACCTCGACCAACTCTTTCCTCGCCAGCCTCTCCAAACCCTCGGCGTCCCTCCTCCCCCGATCCTGATCATTCTTACTCTGGAAAGTCTTCTCTTCGAGCTCCCTCTTCAAGTCCAACAAAACGGCCTTCTCCCGTGTCGCCTTGTCAAGTTTGGCGGCTTGTTCTTCGAGTTGGACCTCGAGCTTGCGTTGGGCGGTGGTGGTGTCCATCTCGAAGCGGGCGTGCAGCAGACGCAGTTCCTCGAGTTCGGATTGGGATCGATGCAGTTGGCGTTTGAGCGAGGCGATCTGGTCCGGATCTGGTGAAGGGTGGGCGGTGATCGTAGACGGTGTTTAGTTCGATGAAGAAGACATTGATGTCTAACGATGTCCAGCTAACTCACCTTGGGAAAGCCCTGCGCTGGAGGAGCTGCGCTTGAGAGAAGCGAGTCGTCGTGCTGTCGAAGGGGGCGCATCTCCATACCGTTCTGTTCGGGGCGAATCAAACCATCATGTTAGTGTTCCCTCTCGATCGGAATGAGGACGGGGTATGGCGTACCTGCCGAGCCCAACGCGGAGGAAGGTCGAGCGAGTCTGGAGCCCATCGAAGGGGTTGCTGATGATGGAGGATGATTTCTTCAGCTATCGTTAGTCTCTTGCACTATGAGCCATCTTGTATGCAGCTACTGACCCAGTATATCGCCCAGTCTAGCCTGTGGCGCCCTGCGTGCGACACTCATCGGGATCGCTGAAGCCCCACTCGTCCGATCGCCTAAATGAACGCACCAACCGCACAGCCGAGAAAGATCATCAGCCCCTCTGATCACACGGTCTCTTGCGAATCCTGTACCCCCTCCCTCACCGCTCGTCAAGGAAGACCTGGAGGAAGAAGGGAGAGGGATTCGACCCGCTTTGGACGTCGACGCCGCGGTCGCAGCAGCGGCCGAGAGCAGTGTCCGCGACGAGACCAAGGGGGTCGTCAACGAGTCGGAGCCATACCGATCCGACATGAAGTCCTCTTCTGGTCGGGCCAGAGGTAAGGGTCGGCCAGGCGATGGGGAACTCGTGCAACGGTGGGCCGCGATGAGCGGTGGAGGGTGGGGGTTTGGACGCTTACGTTGAGCGAGCCGCTCAATCACTGGTCTGAGGCTTCAACCGAAGAAAAACTATTAAGCATCATTCACTCTCTCCTGGGTTCAAGCTGGCGCGAGCCAAACTGCACAAAAGGATACCTATGACATATGGTAATGCACATACAACATGCTTGACTACTTCACCGGTCGCTGACCACGCCCTACACACCTCACATCCATCTACACCCCATTCGCAAAGTTGACGAGCAAGTCAAAGTCGACCGAGTCCAACATCTCCTGAAACCTTTGCCCCTCGATCCCCAACTCCAAAGGGTTCACGACCCCACCAAAAGTCGACGTCGCCTGCAACGTTGTGGCCCCATGGTCCGATCCCAACTCGGACAACGACCCATCGGGGACAGGGATCGAGGTCGTGGTTGAAGCGGTTGCGACACCGATCGGCATCTTTTCGACGGGTCGGAACCCGAGCGCGTGATGCTTGAGGTCGTTCTCGGGCAGGCAATGGGACGGGTTCGCGAGGAGGTATTCAAGCGCAGTCGAGGTCGAGACGCCGAGGCCGGACTTGTACGCCCTCATCGCCGAGAGGATCATCGTCACTTCCGATCGCAGTCGGGTTTGCCCCGGCACGTCGACGTTGCGCTCGATCTTGATCGCCAGTTCTCGGACGAGCGTGCGGCCCGCCACGGCCCATACGAAGTTGGTAAACGGCACCAAAAGACCAATCTCGAATGACGAACCTGCGAAAACTCATTCAAAGTGAACTTTCCTGTACTTCCTCACCTATGCTGTCACAGTCGACTTACTGTAAAGGGTGAAGATCGAGTTCAAGATCGCCTTTGCGGACTGCGAGCATTTCTGCATCGAAACGTCGTCATCCCGAATGGTGCAAAAGGGCTCGTGCAAGAGGATCAGCGCAGCGTGCGGCAGCGCAAACACGAGGTACATCCTCGAATCCGGATTGGGGTGTTGATACAGCTGCTGGTACTCCCTAGGAACGTGGGTTTGGTAATCGACGATCATTTGCTCCAGTGCTTGGAAGGCGAGAAGGTCGCGAGGGTCGGTCACCCGCGCAGGCGCATGCAAAAAAGCCAGATCGTTCGCGAGCGGCCCATTCCGGAGTCCGAGTCCGATCGAGGAACGTCGCAACCACGTGCTGACACGTCCTAGCAGCCAGACCGCTTTGAGGTACAAACCCATTGAGTCGACCAACAGCGGCGGGTTGTCCATGAGGAACCGCTCGTTGTGGATCGAGAGCGGCGACGAGTTGAGCGCGTTCACCAGGTACCGCGCACCACGGGACGGCAGCAAAGTCGTGATGTCGTTGTCGTCAATAACGTTGGCCCATCCCGTACTTGCACTGCCGAAACGGTCGCATGTGAATCCAAGCCAGAACGTCGCAGCTCGCTCATAGAGTTCATCTTCATCTTCCGTTGGGCCGAGCATATGTGTCTTGAGATGCTGCTTATCTGGGGGCAGGCTGGGCGCACTTCGTATATGGTTGAGACCGAGAGGTACGGAGAGACGCAGGGCTTGTGAGACCGCGAGCCATACCTCGCCGAATCGGGCGGCCGAGTAGGACAGGAAACACACCAGCACGGCGGTTTGAGCGACCTGTAGAGGATTCGCATCGCTGATCCATGATGCCTCCAGCGTGTTTTTGGCGACGCGAGCATGCGAATCGGAAGGCGTCTCGAACTGTGACCAGTACCGCTCCTCACCAGCCCAGTAGTCCTCCGAGACCATCATGGACGCAGTGGCAATGATGGCGTGCAGGAGAGGGGTGATGGGGAACCGAGCGTGTGAAGGCGGCAGCTGAAGGGAGGCGAGGAATTTGCCTCGATTGATCATGCCCGTACTTGTGTGGATCTTGTTGAAGTAGACGTCGACCAAGCGTGAGACGAGCATCGGGGACGGAAGAGTCTTGGGCCATGACGGGTGAACGAGATGGGATGAAGGGGTGATGAGCGGCATCGGCATTGGGACAACGTGCCGCTGCACAAAATGGGAGCGATGGAAGTAGACATTGGGGTCGATCGGTGGTGGAAGTTCGCTGTCGAGCGCATGAATGGATACGTCGATGAGGTGCTCTGGCGCGTGGTCGAACGAGATCGTGTTGGCCGAAGAAATTGACGCTCGCGAGGTGGAGGCGACTGGGGCACCATCAAGACTGCCCGGCGAGAGGGAAGCGGTTGGTGTCTCCGATGTCGACGGAATGACGGATGCGGTAGATATCGGTTTGGTGTTGTTGCTGGTGAGGTCAACGATCTGCTTCTCCAGCTCGGCGATCTTGGCCTCGAGCGCGTGGACCCTGCCCCCACCGACGGGCCGCTTCCGTTTCTCTTCGGCGTCGTAGTCGCACACGATTGCGCAAGGCTCGCTGTGAGCAGGCCACGTTGAAAGAATCAAATCTCAGCAAAAGGTTCAATCCCGGGCTGGCCATCGAGTCCCAGCCAAGAGTCGAGGCCGGTCGCCGGAGCACCAAAGAGCAGAAACTCACTCTCCCTTAGCCCCGGCCGACTTTCTACACGGCGAACAAGTTGGTGCAATCCCATCGCACTTGACCTTGCGCGCACGACATACCAAACCTAAGCAGGGAGCACAACAGCAATAACAGAGATGTCAGCCTAGGTGTAAAATACTGGTCGCGTGCTCGGCGTCATGACGTACAAGCGCGCCCCCTCTCGAGCGAGGTGTGCTTCAGCCCGTGGATCGAGAGCGGCCGAGCCAGCAGCGACTTGTCCGGAGTGGAGCTGGATGCCGCACGGTCTGGCGGCATGGTGTATGCCGTGTAAATGGGTCGGTCGCTGTCGGTCGCGCAGATGTGTCGCCACGAAGGCCTGCAAAAGAAAGCAAAGAGGCGCGAGTCGGGAAACGCGAGTCGAGCGCCGAGCGGGTACCCGGGTATCGGCGAGCTTTCACAAGCGTAGAGTTGCGCGCGGTGCTCGCACCGGGGCTCAAGCTCTCTGCGTTGAGAATTTCCGTGACTCGGCGAAAGTCTTAGGCCGGGTTTTCTTCGAGCACTGATTAAAGGCGACCATCACTCAATCTTGCATCGACTGATTACTTTAATGAGTTCCATCTCCAAGTACTACCGGCTGGCCAGTTTGAGCACTTTGCAGAAGTGCCTCCATCGTTCTCATGGTCCTCATCGCATCGCTCGCCGAACATCCCGGTGCCTCTTGGCCCCTACACACCCCAACAAAGTTCTTCAACTGGCTCGTAAAAGGCGGTACATCCTCCACCGATGCCCTCTCCCCCTTTGTCAACTCGTCGGTCCAACACCCCTCGTCCCCCTTCTCGTAATGCCAAACGTTCAACTGAGGTAGCTCGACACTGCCCTTCGTGCCAGTGTTGTGTGCCTCGACCCGATCAGGCCCGCGGCTCCGACGACGCAAATTGAGACTCGTTCCGTAGCCATTTGTATCACTTGAGGTGGTGTATCTCGTTGATAGGGTTTGGCCGCTTGAGAGGTATTGGGGAAAGAAACATGTGGGGCTCAGGGCCGCCACGAGAGATGCGGAGACCGGCCCGGGGGCGCTTTGATCATTGTTCCGCCGCGGCCGCGGCTCACTACGTCGCCCTCGATAAGGCTCGGGTCAAGATCGCCTTTGCCAAGGTCTCAAGGGAAACTGAATACAATTTTCTACAAAAGTTGCAAGATGCGATATGGAGCTAAGGTTGACATAGGTACAACGTGGTGCTTTGCACGCAAGAACCAAGAGAAAGGTTCGGAGGCAGCTCATCGGAAATTGAGCTTGACCAAAAAGCTGCAAGTGGTATCGAGCATGATCAGGGGATGCTTCTTGAAAGGATGGCAAGCTGAAAGAACCTACAGGAGCATATCCATCAGGACGTGGATACTGGTCCAAAAGCACGCAACGACCAGTTCGGGCTGTCAATGAAAGACAGATGTGCGTGAGCGACGGAATGTCTGACCATGGATCCTCGCAAGCATGTGTGCTCCAACTGACCAGCTCTCGAAAAGCATCCAATCCAAGCTTTTTCCGATCCGAAGGATTGATACGTCAACCAGCGAACAGAGCGTACACCTGCTCGTCTCCTACTCACGTTCGTCACATCCAAACCGTAGATGATCCAGATGACTTGGCGAGCAACGAAGCTCGCTGCAGACAAGGAAGCATGCAGATCTGTTAATCCCCAGGGGTGGTCCGAGTTGACACTGCAAGACACGTACATCCAAGTTCGGTCGCCCAGATAATCAGCGATGCGGTCGCGGTGAGTTCATAGGTATACGAGTCGTCCGTGGACTCGAAGGAGAAGTAGGGGTAAATTTGTTTGTTCGGGCCGAAGTGCAGGATGGTGAGCTAAGGAATGGCAAGGATTCGCTACGTTCAGCTCAAGGCTCGACGAATTGCGACTGAGACGCAGGTGAACACTTACCCAACCAAGGAAAGCTACCACTAAGAGCGGAACAAGGTTGTTCGGTCAGCTAAGAGGGCGAAGTAGGATCAGGAGGGTTCGCTTACTGGTGACGTTCTCGGACAGATTGCGCAGGTACAGCACTGCTCGACCAGTGACACCACTTGTCAACATGAGTGTTGCCTACAGCAAGGATAAGGATCAAATTGGTCGACTCACTCGTCCCCACGTCCTCGGCATACTCATCGTATTCTTGCGTCAAACCCGTGACGAGTTTGAGCAGCGAGTGAAAAGGTCGGCACATCGACAGGGGGTACCACAGGATGACGAAGGAGGACGAGAGAAGTTGTATGTAGACGGCTTGGTTCGGCGACCGGAGACGAGCGAACAGACTACGATAGAAGACTCCGTAGACGAGGTAGTAGTAGTAACGGAAGACGAAGACGAGGGCGCGAGATCGCACTTTGCGTTGCAGGATAAAGTTGCTCGTTGCATTGAGGATCTGCACGGTCACGATCCAGGTCCAGACTGTCGAGCGCAATCTTCCTTCAACGTCAGTTTCGGTCCTGTTTTGACTATCAATCCACGCTCACCATATACGAGACCGTCGATGTTGCTATGAGGTAGCGTCGAGAGGTATATCGTCGCAAAGCCTTGACCAATGATCAGCGCGAAAAGCGAGATTGTCAGCGTCGTCAGGAACCACAGGAATCGCCTATACGACCTCGGCATCCTGGGGATGAGCTGCCGTTCCAAGAATGTCTTTTGGGCGACCGTCAGACTCCTCCGCCAAGTCTGTCTTCGGTCCGCACGAAGCTTGATGAAGCATGCCAGTGCCGGCAAAGTCATGCAGAAGAACGCAAGCGCGACCCAAGTCGTCTTGCGCTCCCAGTCCCACGAGTCTTGATCAGACGGCGGCCGATCGGAACCTTGACGAGAGCGCCGACCCAGGCCATCGAGATTCCAGTGATGGAGGAGAAAGCCAATGAGGAGCGACAGGCTCCAAAAGAAGAGGTAGGAGAAGGATCCACCAAGGGACGACGGCCACCAATTCAATCGATCTAGGGTGAGACCGCGAGAAGTTAGAGAGATCGGATGGGCGTTCGGAGCTATAGGGGCGAGGCGTCCTACAAAGGTCAAACAGTTTGGTCACAAATATCAACGCGACGGCGAGATAGATCCCATAGTCTTCAAGTCTCAAAAGTTATGCATAAGCGATCAAGTTACATCTGAGATGGAATGGATGGCGCACTCACAGACGAAGAGGAAAAAGTAGAAATTGGCGTCGACGGGGAGCTCTTCGGTGGGATCACCCCCTGGTGGGTCTATCGGAATCGACGGCGAGTCTTCACTATTCAAAGATGGGTCCTTCCATCCGGCGCTGCGTCCCTCAACCCTCAACCTCTCTTCTGTCGCGACATCTTTGTGAATACCAGGCTGCTCGACAAAGTGCAATCGCACCGAGGCTCTCTCCTCTCTCTGAATCTCTATTATCCCGCCGACGCCCACGCTCTGCCCAGCTGACCTCCCCATCCATCCGCCGAACGTCCAATCAAACGGCTTGTGAACGCTCGCAGAACCGTTCGATATCGGAGGCTGTTCCGGCCAGGGCAGATTCCACGGCGGCGTCTCCTTGTACGGGTCGCTCACAGGGAACGGCATCGCGCACCAGATCCAGACGATCAGACTCGGGAACAGCACGAGCACGGCCCATCTTTTGTACCAGTATTCGAGCCATGCCTCGACCCTACGTTGACTAGGCCGCAGCAAGAGCCAGGACGTCTCGTCGTGCTCCGGTGTTGAGGAATCAAAGAGACGGCCTCGCGATGGAGACGTTCCGGGCAGTGATAGCACCTTGGCACCGGGTCGCGGACGGCCCAGGAAATTCGGATCACTTCTTTCGGAAGGTGGTAGATCGGGCCGTCTGGCGGAGCTCCGTGCCGTTGGGGTCGATGCGGAAGGCAAGAGCGGGTCCGATTCGAGCGCCGAGCTTGGATGTGGAGCCCGGGACGTCGAAGCAAATCTTTTCGGGGGGATAGAGCTGGCTGGAGGCGGGGGTGAGGCGAAGCGAGTCGGTGGCCGAGGAGCAAGAGCAGCAATTAATCGGCCTTTACGCGTCGAGTGGTCCGGTTCTGCGCGGATCGAGTTGGACAGCTTGGAACGTTGCGCTATCGGCGATAGCGCTGGCGGGGGTGAGCGTGCGCGAGAGAGGGGCGATCCGGTCGTCGAAGTCGAGGCCAAAGGACCGCTCGGGAATCCATGGGACGTCGTCGGAGAGGGCAAGACGTGGGCATGAAAGCGCCCCGGGACATAGGAGGGCGTATCTGACGGGGATGGACCGAGGCTGACCATCAGTCACCGGTGACGGACAGGGCTCGAGCTGCGGACCGAACGGCGTGCATCGACGCGATCCATTCGTCGACCAAAGGCAAAGTCTAGATTGTTGTAACTCACCGTCCCACTGTTCGACCGCATCAGCTCCTTGCCGGAACGAAGTGAACATCGTGGTGTGTGCAACTTAGCCTCAATTCGCAGGCTCCGCCGAGCTGCTCGTGGCGAAGGGGGCGACGGCGATCAGTGAGCGGAGGTCGAACGCGACCGTGCAAAAGACTCACCCGGAAGAGGTGATCGCCTCGATGGCTCTCAGTGGCACGTGCCCTCGGCGCGCACCTTGTCCGAGGTCGCTCGCACAAAAAAAAGTGGGGTCAGCAACACCGAAAGGTGGTTGACCAAGCTCGGTGGATCCGCGGTTCGCTCAGCAAGCCCATTCTTCCCATCACACTGAGACATTCCATCCAGATGCAGGCTGTTAAAAAGGTGGCTACGTCATCGTTCGGGTGCAAAGGCTTACGGATGTGGAGGGGTGTAGTTTTGTATTGACACATTCGATTTGAGCAAAGATGATACTGTCGCGAGCCAAGGACGCGTAAACTAGAATGATGGAGTGGTGAGAAGTACGAAAAGAAGATTCGGAAGCGACACGAAAGAGCCTCCGCAGCGCGCCAACGTCCCGGACAAGCGACCTCTCGCGACCAAGACATGACACGGCGACGAGACCACAAGACAAGAACCAATGGCCGAGACAAGTTCAATACGGAGAGCGGGGGTAGAAAGGTCTGGTAGGACGGGACCGAGACGCAGTCCTGCCAAAGGGGTATTCTCTAGAGCGGGCGACTCCGGGAAAAACGGGACGACTGAACGGAGCAAGTGGGTCGAGTAAGCCACATTTAGGCGGCCGTCTGAGTAGGCTTCCTGATGACCATCAGGCGCTCTGTTGTCCGCAAACACAAGATGGGTGGACAAATAACAGCATCAGTGTGTGGTCCGAGGTGGAGGTGCACCAAGCACCTGACAAGATGCTACGAGAGGACACGGGGTGACTCACCGTGCTTGGCAAAGTAGTCAGTCTTGTACTCTCCGCTAGGTGTGGTGGAGTTCTTGACCGTCAGTTGCGCCTCGACGTGGACCAGAGCGCTACATTCAGAAGGGTAGAAGGTTAAGTCGTGGGTCAGTCCGAGGAACGGCTTTGGTCAGCGGGCGGCGCGTAAAAGACTGACCCCTTCTCGAGCGTCTCGAGTCGCTCAACGCCAGGGCCGTAGGCAAAGATGGTGTGCCATGACGTAGTAGGTGCGGGAGCAGCAGCTATGGTGGATGCATGTCGGTGAGGGGGGCGAGACAGCAGTCGTCAACGACAAGCGTTTTGCAAACGAGACGCGTCGAGGGTTCCCGTTGTCCTCGAAGGAGGCGGAAGACGCGTGGCTGCAGCAGACGAGCGCGGGACTAACCTCCTTCCGGGGCGGGCAACATGGGGTCGTTGGTGGCGACCTTGTAGATCAAAAAGTCCTTGCCGTTCTTCGTTTGCCTCTTCTCGGGGGCACCGCCGAGGCGACCGATGAGGGTGACTCGAGCCAGGTCGCGCGCCGAGACAGCGGATTGCGAGAAGGCCTACGATGGGGAACACACCAGGGAGTGGTCAGCACTACTCTGCTCTACAATCACTTTCAATGCGGAGGCAGGACATGTGAAGCCCGCGCATGCGGTGCTGGGTCTGCTTCGCATTTGACATGTGGGACCTCCCGCTCTGGAAGGGGCGCCCTGCGTCGCCTGCGCGGTGGACTAAACGGGGAACACCCTGCCAGGGTGGGGTGCTGACGAGACGAGGCAAGCCACATCAACTCACGCGGGTGGCAGAGGGACGAAGGGCTCCAATCATATTGGTGTGCTTTGAGGTGGTGGGCGGTGGTGGTGGCGGTGGAAGTGGTGGTAGGTGGTGGTGGGCAGGAAGGTGGGAGGAAGCAGAAGAGCTGGGCGAGAGCGGCATTCCCACCACGCGCGCGTTCGATGTTGATGTGTTAGGATATGTTTCACATTTGGCCTCGGCCCAGTTCACGGGCTGCGCGCGCACGGACCCCCCGCATTCAAAGGGAGTCGGGACGCTTCGAATCGCATGTCGACAGTCGTAGGTAGGGTCTCTCGCCTTTGTCCACGGGCAGCGGCATACATGCGGATCTAACGCCGAATTATTTATGAGCCTTTGCTCAATAATCCCGATATGTGGCATCATTTTACTTCACCATGTTGAAGCTAGGCTCCCCGAAGCCATGTGTGAAGGGCTGTCAACTCATCAAAACTGGTATACGTAGGGAGTGAAGTACAGGCAATACTATCAAGACTAGTTTCGCCTCACACTGAATCGAGAACGACAATCTTAGGAAGCTACACCCCGAGTCAGAGTTCTGCCAGTGAGAAATGTACTTACGTCAGAAGGCGCGGCCAGGCAATCAGCACCATCATGCCAATTCGAGCCAAGGTTGGTCGAAGGTCGATGATCGAGTGGAGCAATCAAAGACCTCAAGTCGAGCCCTATGCCAACAGCTTAGGTACGTAGGTAATCTCAAGTGGCAAACGCGGCACTTGTCGATCGGTCCTGGCACCTGCCGAGTCATCAGCTGGCGACGCGGGCCGAAGCTGAGGTCGAGAAGGAGTCGGAGTGGGTAGGCTCGCCAGAATTACAGAATTACAACTCCAAATCAGGATCGCTGCGGGCTATTCAGCGGAGGGGAGGCAAGTAGTACTTCAACTGAGGACAGCTAATCATTGCTAAGGTGGCATTCAGTCGCTTCTTACAGCGAATGTGTGCACGTAGACTCTTCTGCGGAGTGAAAGAGCCTCCATGCGCCAACTTTCAAACTCGCCCGCTCCGCGCTGGGGTTGCGGACGGCGCAGAAGGAGGCTGCAAGGAGCTGCAAGGTCGGGCACGTCCTCCCGCGTCCCGTGACCCGTTCCGTCGTCCGCTTTCTCGCTCCGCTTCCTCATCCTTCGCAACCAACAAGGCCTGGGTCTTTCAATCTCCTACCTCACCGGAAGAAATTTGCGCCTCACTTGACCTTGCCATGTCTACCTTCTTCGTGACTCGCGAAAGCCTGTACACCAGACTGTCGTCGTTCTCGGCAGCAGCAACAAGTGCCTCCTCACTCCGGAATCTACGCGCCGCGGTTCGCCGATCAGGCATCACCACGGGCCGCCGGTTCGCCATGCAAGCCTCCACATCAGTAAGGGCTTGCCCGCTACCCCAAACCATGCGTCTGGCAACCGTGGCGGTCTTGTCTCTCTCTGCTGTAAGTCTTGTATTCCCAGCTCCGACGGCAGGTGTAGACGGACGCACCGAAGTTGAATAGCGTCGGGACTTGGGACTCGGGAGCCGGCGCGGCCTGAGCTGGCGTGCTCGAAGCTCGTGACCCACTGCCGAGATGGCGAACGCCGAGAAACGCGCTCAGCTCGAGCTGACACATCTAACCCTTCGACCCTTGATAATCTCATAGGCATTATTATTGTCGAACCCGGACAGTTTCGATCATACCGCCGGTCCTAGGTCCGGACTCCAATACTACCCAGCTCACCACCACACCCAAGCCACGTCGAGCCATCGTTGCCTCGCCGTCGCAAGTCCCGCCGCCGTAGCGCCTGGGAGGAGATCCGCCCACTCGGCGACTACGTCGCTTCCCAAGGCGACGTCACCCAAGGGCCCTTCCAGTCCATACGGGAGCAACAAGGAATTAATGTTGGCCGAAAGTTTAGGCAAGACGCTCGCTTCGTCGTATAAGTCATCCTAAGAGTCGCTCGGAAGGATCGAATAGGAGGCCAGGCGCTCAGGCCTTTCGCTTCATGCAAGCTCGCTCGGAAGCGCTCTCGTGCCGGCTCGCGTCGTATACCATTCAGTTTCACGCGTTAAAATTGTGTACCCTTTTCAGTCACGACTAAGTGTACTTGGTTCCACCTTCAGTGCCTGTAACAATTTGTTTTGTCAGTTCCACCAACTTTGGGAGCCCAGACGCCAACACGAGCCCCGAAAGACTGCAGCCGGACTCGATGCCCGTGTAAGACTTTGCAACTACGATACACTGCGCACAATCAAAAGCACGGATTCCGATATGCCCCCAAGTGTTCAACCGAAAAATGAAACCAAAAACGACAGGGGTCCTCTTCCGCCTCCTTCCCACCAGAAGCGCCTCACGATCCGAAGCCAAGTGATACAGTAAGTAAAAAGAGGCTTCACCCCTTCGCGGAAAGGAGGGGAGTGACTGAAACCAGAACGAAATTGACAAACAAAAATTGGGGTTTGTTAATTCTCGTGGCGAGGGTTGAACTCGCGGCCTTCAAGTCACTTTGGTTTAAAAAGTGCATAAGCATGACGCTCTGCCACTAAGCTACACGAGATGCGCAGAGACCCATGCGTAGTCCCACATCTATATAAAGCCCAAAACACGATATTTGGAATGAAAAAAAAAAAAAAAAAATAAAAAAAAAAAAAAAAAAAAGGTTTTGAGGGGCCTCCACCGCGTCTTGTTGTGACCGAGCATAGACTTGGGGACTTCGCGGGTCAGGGTAGCTGCGCAGTCGCTCTCCTGTCTTTGTCTCGACCGAGTTGGGAAGTGGGTGCGGGGTGGGCCTCTTGTCGTTAGTACGCCAGTTCTTTTTCATTTTCTCTCTTTCTCTTCTCTCTCTCATTCGTCTCCTGGGGGGGAGCAACCGCTTGGCTGGGGCACTTGAATCCGAAGTATCGGATTGGTGGACTTGGCCCGTTTCTCGCATCTTGCGGGCGGTTTGTGTTATCATCGTCGACTTCCATCTAGTTTTTCCGTAGGCCAATCAGGGGGAACAGGACTTGGGGGCAATATGATGAACAGTTTCTACAAAAAAAAAAAAAGGACGACACCGATCACTACTTCTTCGGCTGCTTCGACTCGCGAAACGTCTGGATCGCGGCGAGGGGCGTGCTCTGCGACGCGCTCGGATGCGACACGATCGAGGACGCCGAGTACACGACGCTTCAACGACTCTTTGGCCTCCCCAAGCTCAAGGCCAAGCTCAGCGCACAGGAAGGCGCGGGCAGGACGATCGAGATCTTCACGGGGATGGTTTTGGAGATGATCAGCAGTGGGAGATGGAGGATGCAGAAGCACGGGACGAGGATGGAAAGCGTGGAGAGGAGGAGGGTGGTACTGGAGGAGAGGATGAAGTTGAGGGCGGGAGGAGCAAGAGGCAGGCGAGTGCAGTAGAGGCTAGGTTCGATTTCCCCCCACCCCATCCCACACTCACACACCCCACATCACACATCCTCTTACAAAAACTGTATACTAAATATATTTTCTTCATCTTTCTTTCTTTTATTACAGGTCTGCCTCCGTTGCTCATGGACCGGCTCGCGATTTGGGATTGACTCGACGGTGGCTCGCGCTCTCTGGCTTCGGGGTTCTGAGTGTAAGGGAGGGATCAGCAGACACAGGCAGAAAGTCGGCTTTGAGGGGCCAGGGACTGCTGAGGTGGAGGTTTTGAGGGGCCTCCACCGCGTCTTGTTGTGACCGAGCATAGACTTGGGATTTCGCGGGTCAGGGTAGCTGCGCAGTCGCTCTCCTGTCTTTGTCTCGACCGAGTTGGGAAGTGGGTGCGGGGTGGGCCTCTTGTCGTTAGTACGCCAGTTCTTTTTCATTTTCTCTCTCTCTCCTTCTCTCTCTCATTCGTCTCCTGGGGGGGAGCAACCGCTTGGCTGGGGCACTTGAATCCGAAGTATCGGATTGGTGGACTTGGCCCGTTTCTCGCATCTTGCGGGCGGTTTGTGTTATCATCGTCGACTTCCATCTAGTTTTTCCGTAGGCCAATCAGGGGGAACAGGAATTGGGGGCAATATGATGAACGGTTTCTACAAAAAAAAAAATCACACACACACACACACACACACACACACACACACACACACAAGTGAGTTTCTGTGGTGTAGAGTGAGTAGTTGACCTCCAAGCCCGTTAAGCTTTACAGGTCAACACAAACACGCGATGCCGGATCCGCCCGGCGCCGATGCGCCCCCGCCCGAGGACCTATTGGGTGGTAATGGCGCGAGTGATTCATCACTCAACACGCAAACGCGTGAAGCGGTCACTGGAGGAACCGCGAATCCTCCAGCTTGGTCGCCCGAGGCAACTCAGGTCCGGTTGGACCATGAGAAGCTGATGAAGAAGACCTTCCAAGTGCTCGGGATTGTTCCCTCCAGCAAGTCGACCCGCCGACTGATGGTCCTGATGCACGACGCCTCGACCCCGCCTTCGCAGGCGCCAGCGCTCGCACGAGCCGCCCAAAGAGCGGTGCGAAACGACGCAGCCCCGGCCTCCAATGTGATTCGAGTCATTATGGATGGTCCTGGATCACCCAGAGGTCCTGTACAGACCGCGCTGCGCAAGCACTTTGGATTGGCCGAGACGCCGTTCATGTTCGCGCGGCCCGAGGGCGTCGTGCTTGACCCCGAGGTCGAGAAGCTTTTCTCGAAATGCGTGAAGCTGAACCCGATTGTGACGAAAGCCACGAAGAGGTTCCCGATCGCTCGTCACATGTACGAGCTTGTATTCGAATCCGAGCAAGCTTGTCTTGAAGCCGCTTCAGCGGGCCCATTCCCCTACCACGGCAAGGAGATGGTTACCGAGCTCCCCAGCGCCTCTCCCCTTAACCACGTCGTGCAGGTGCGATTCACCTTGCCCTCCTCCTCCAGCGCGATCCCCGCTTCCGTGCTCCGAAAATCTCTCGATGATGCTATCACCCTTTCGTTCGGCCGCGCAGGTCGCACGCAAGGTTATACCCTGATGCAATTACAGCGGGGCCTCGCGGTCGATCCGAATGGCGATCCGATGGCCATGACCGAAGACGGGTTCCACTGCGCGTACCTTCGCTTACATGCTGATCTTTTCCAAGGCTCCATCGAGACGCAGAAGGCTGCGCTCAACGCCGCTTTGCCACAAGAGATCGAGATCCTGGGCGCCAAGTATGGCTTGCGACACGAATTCGAGACGCACTACTGCGCGGTGTGCGATCGCGCCGGACACCAGTGGGGCGCTTGCAGGAAGCCGGTTTCGACTCCGGCCACCGCCGCCCCTGTTCCGGGGGCCTCGACCTCGACTTCGACTTCGACCACCGGCTTCCGAGTTGCTGGAAAGAATGGGAAGCACGGTGGGCCTGCCGCATTGAACTCTCGTGTCTCTGGCGCGAACATGATCCAGCTGGGACCTCGTGCTAACCCCGCAGGTGCAGTAACCGCCAACAAGGACGACGCGAACGACGGCGACGACGAGTCGGTCGTTTCGACCGAACCGGAGGGCGGTGACACTGGGGAAGAGACGTCGACGCGTGCGACCCTGGGCTCAACAAAGGAGACGCAGACGACGACGGCGGCGCCCGTTTCGACCCCGACCTCTCCTTCGCCTTTGTCCGGTGGCACGTCGGGATCATCGGCAACCTCGACAACCTCGATAGCCTCGACGAGTCCTCGACGCCTTCGTTCGAGCTCGGCACCCGGCAACCGACGTGTCACCCGGGCAGGATCCGCCATGATCCTCGGTGCATCAGGGGGTGATGGCTCAGGGGGCAACAGTTCAGGGGGTCACAGGTCCGAGGTGACCGAATTCGAGGGGGGCGGCGCTGAACTGATTTAATCATGATTGAGTCACTCACCGTGTTGACGTTCAACGTCCGATCGATGAAGAACGCAGTCAACCAAGTCAAAATCATCCGTTATCTCAAAACCCTTCGGCCGGCCCCTGCGGCCATCCTCCTGCAAGAGCACCACCTCAGCTACAACGCGTCACGCGAAGGCTTCGAGAGTGCTTGGCCGGGGGCTTGTATTCGTTTCACTCCTCATGTCCTTACCCTCATACCCGATGGCTCACCTTTGGCGGGCCATCTCCTTTCCTCTACCCCGGTCGTCTTTGCAGGAGCTCCTCGTTTCGACGGTCGGATTCTGCGCTCGGTGTTTCGTCTTGAGGAGCTCGATGTCGAGATCATCAACATGTACGCGCCGGTGCAGGAGGACGATCGTCGCGACTTTTTCGGGCTTCTGCACTTCAACGCCCCGAGACCCAAGATTCTTCGGATCTTGGCCGGCGATCTCAACGATTGTCCGGATGTATCGGTCGACCGAGTGTCCATCACCGATCGCGCTTGGACTCCTGTATCGCACTGGCAGACCTTGCTGTCAAAGATCGCGTTCAAGGCACTCGACACGGTCCGACATGTCCATCCTTGCACCCCTGCATTCACTCGTCCTCACTACCGTGGTAGAGGGGAAGAGCGAAAGATTTGCTCGTGGTCGCGGATCGACTATATTCTTGTCCAATGCAGTTGGGCGAACCGGTTGTTGAGCGCTTCTACGCTCTTCGATGCGCCCTGTTCGGACCACAGACCTGTAGTTGCGACTTTCGCTTTGCCTACATCGAACGCTGATGCCGAACCCCCCCTTTCTCTTCCCTCCACGAGCGATTTCATTTCGAGGCTCAACCCAATGGTCTTTGACGATCAAGACTTTGTCGCATCGATTCCCGGGGTCGTCGACGAGGTCTATCAAAGGCTCGAGGGGACCGCTCCGCTCGGCGACGTCTATGACGCCGCTCTGCGGGCGGTTGCAGTCGCTGGCCATGCACGATACCGCTCGACTCGTGCCGACATGCGCCGACTGCGGGCCGAGAGCCAATCCGTCATGGAGGCTTTGGAGGCACGCGGTGAGCACATGAATGAGGCCGAGCGCGATGCGTATGCTCTTGCCAAGTCGCGGTTGGACCAGTTGGCGGTAAAGGAGGCTCAGTGGCTGCGCATTCGTGCGCATGTGCCGTCAGTCGACTCGAGGGAAGGTCAATCGGCAAGCATTCGCACGCGCCTCAACCGCCGGAGTCGCCAGACGAGCATCGTCTCGCTGGAGGATGTGGATGGCACCGAGACCGTTGACATGCAGGAGGCGCTGGGTATTGCTTCACGGCACGCGCAGTCGCTCTTCACGCCGGACCCAGCTCGTGGCGACCCGACGAACGCACGCCGGTCCCTGCTCGACCCTATTCGCGCAGCGAAATGCTACGATGACGACCGCTCGGACCCTACGTTCGGTCGTCGGCTGCCTCGTCAAGCGAGAGTGGCGCTTGACGAGCCCTTCACCCTCCTCGAGGTTGAAGCGGCGTTGAAGAAGACGGATTCGGGGCGATCACCGGGGCCCTCGGGCATTCCGTACGAGCTCTTCAAGGCGCTGCCAACCTACTTTGCTCCCAAGCTGTTGGACTTGTTCAACTCGATTTGGGAGGGCGGCAAAATGACGGCGTCCTTGGCAGAGGGGCTGGTGCGGCTCTTGCCCAAGAATAAACCGGGGGCCAATCTGAAATCACTGGGGGCATACCGACCGATCACATTGCGCGAGACGACCTACAAGGTCCTCAGCAAGGTCTTGGTGGCGCGACTCAATGGGGTGCTCGGCGAGCTTTTGCCGCCGGCGCAACACGGTTTCATGCCATCAAGACGTTCAGCGGACGCGGGAAGTCATCTCACTCTCCTTCTCGAAAAACTCAAGTCGCTAGGCACTGATGTTTTCCCCGAGGGCGCCCTCTTGTCTTTGGATCAGCAGAGCGCGTACGATCGGGTCGATCACGCCTGGATCTTCGAGGTCTTTGAGGCCTTTGGGTTCGGTGAGCGTTTCATCTCGCTGCTGCGCGCTCTCTACGATCCCGAGACTCTGGGGGTGCGCTACCTTGTCAATGGGTTCCCCACGGACTTGGTGCGGTTGCTGTGTGGTCTCGGTCAAGGGGATCCCCTCTCGTGCCCGGTTTGGAACATCACGTTCCAGCCCTTCCTCGACGCCCTCGTTCGGCGCGGGATCGCGCTCGACCTGCAGAAGGTGTGGCCAGGGGGGCCGCGTGCGCAGCTTACGCATCTGGCGTTTGCCGACGATGCTGTGGTGGTGGTGGAGTCACCGGCGGCATTGTCGAAGCTGCAAACGCTGTCGCAGACGTGGTACGAGGCTACCAACGGGAAGACCAACACGGACAAGACGCTGGTGCTACCACTCGGACCGAACTGGCTTCGGGACGAGACTGCGCAGGCGCTGCCAACGGTGCAGGAGGGGGAGAGCTTCAAGTGGTGCGGTTATGCCTTCTTTCGCCACGGTGACTCGAAACTGTTTTGGACCCATGTTCTTGACAGGATCAAGGCCAAGACCCGCGCCGCTCGAGACCGGACACTTTCGCCGAGTGGGAAGGTTTTCTATGCCAACGCTCACATCATCTCGACGGTCCTCCACGTGCTGTCCTTCGACATACCGCCTCAATGGTTCATTAAGGCGGCGGAGACGGCACTTACGGACTTTGTCTGGGGAGGAGCAGGGCGAAATACCGTCGCTCGCGATTTCGTGTTCCAGGCTCGGGAGGACGGTGGCTTGGGTTTGATTTCGATTGGCGACATCGTTCATTCGGTGGCGCTTCGATTTTGGGATGCTGTGGCGGGCTCGGACGAGGCGATCTGGGCGCCCCTAGCTCGCGAGAGCTGGAGGTCCCTCGTCGCTGCGACCCGCGATTTCAGTCCGTGGGGGTTCTTCAGCAGCACGGCTCGGGTCGAGAAGCTGTATCGCGACTCGACGCGCTGGGGGGCAGTCGTTGCAGCGGCCAGGGTCACAGTTCCAACCATCAAGTCCGAACTCCTTACGCTTCCCGAATTGCTCTCGCTTCCGCCTCGCCTCCCTTCACTCTATGCTGAAGGTGCCCAGCACGCATATGACGATGCGGACGCGGTGGCGAAGTTTGCGCAGATCGCGGACCTGTACTGGAGGGACGAAGGGAAGGGATGGGCTCTGGTTGGTCATCGACGCGGGTTCTGGCAGCACTCTAAGGAACCCGCCCTACAGCACGAGCACGTGTGGTCGCGCGTGGGTCAGTTGCTCAAGGCGAAAGCGTTGCTGCCCAAGACCGCGTTGCGACCTGCTCGGATACCTCTCAAGGAGGCTCCCCGTCCTCGGTGCTTCAACTTCTTTGGGTTCTCCCGACCTTTTACGATTCGCAAGCTTCGTCGGCTTGTGAACAAGGTGCGGTTCCCAGGGAGGGAGGACCGTGTCAAGCGTTTCCCTGATGGGACTTCTCAGAGCGATAGGAAGCGCTTCTGGAGATGGCTTCATGACCGGTTCGCGTCTGCTGTCGAGCAGGACACCCACTGGCGGCTCATGTACGACGTGACGCCGACGCGCAAGAGGCAGCATACTCAGGGTCATGCCTCTTCGCCGACGTGTCTGTTCTGCGGCAACGATGCAGCGGTCATCGAGACGGTGTCCCACTACTTTTTCGAGTGCGCGTACTCGACCAGCTTCTGGGGTGGGGTGCTACGCATTCTGCTTGACAAGCTCGGCATCGAGGATACCGACGTCGATCCGTCGACGTTCACTCCGGAGCAGCTGACTATGGGGCTCCCCCTTTTGCGGGGTCGTGGGAGAACGACCTCGAAATGGATGTGGGTTCGGCTGGCCTGCGCGATCGGCTTCCAGCGGCTGCACCTGCTCCGCTGGCGCGTTCATCAGCGGTTCGAGCTGGACAACGTCGTGGCCCCTCCCTCGCTTCCCAGTACGCTCAGAGCGTTCGAGCGAGATTTTCTCTCTCGAGCGGGTTTTGTGCCTGGGGTTCGAGATTGGGAGGTGTGATGACCGAGTTAAGTCCTTCCTTCCCATTTTCCTCCCCTCCTTTCCTCCCTTCCTTTTCGGTCAGAAGCTGACTGTCTTGAAACTTGTTGCGCAGTGGAAGGCTGCGCACCTCTCCCTCTCTCTACTTTGTGCAGTAGCGGTTTTCGTTCTTGGATGGATCGGCAAGCCGGGTCGATCGTCGTTGCGTTGGAGGCTTTGTGAAGTTCTCCCCTCTCTTTCCCCTTTCTCCCTTCCCTTCCTCTTCTCGTTCCTGTTGCTCGGTTGTTGACTACGCTTCAGCCACTTCTCCTTTTATTCCTAAGTCGTGTGTTGGATTCCGTCGAATGGATCGTTCGTTCGCGTTGGTCAAGATCTACGGCATGGATCGGGAAGAAAGGTCGCTCGTTTTTTTTGTCAATATCCTCGCGTCAAGGCGAGGCTCGTTTCGTTGTATTGGATCGTTTTCGCTCGGCTCCGACGGCTCAACAGCCAGCACTCGAGACTCAGCCAAGGGAGGACATCAGGCGCTGTCGGGGTGACGAGTAGCTGGGGCTTGGCTGCGGCCTGTCAGTCCCTGGGGACCTCTAGCTCTGGCTTCGACCCCCTCCCTTGGCCCCTCGGGTGTGTTCCCCTCCTCCTCCCCTCCTCTCTGTCTTAGTATTCCTGGTTCTCCGTGTTTCCAGTCGTGAATTTTTGTATATTCTCCCCTTTTCTTTCTCTAGGCGCTCTTGCCTGGTTTTCGAGTATCTTCGCTCCCGCTCTTGGGACGTGAAGCGGCAGCAGTACTCACCGCCCGTTGGAGTCCGCGTTAGGTGCTCGGCGGGTTTTGATCTGCGCAGCGCTCTTTGCGCGCAGGGGTTTGACTTTCACCCAATTGCTTGCCGTCGTTGCTTTATAACCTCTTTTAGCTCTTTTTCTAGCGGTCCCAGCCAACCCGAAGGATTGCAATTTATGAGCCCCAGTAATAAAAAAAAAAAAAAAAAACGATCGACACAAGAACACCCCCTTGGCGGCGGCGGTGGCGGCGGGACGACTCAACGTGCCTCCCCGGATCGGCACCAGCGCACCACTCGAGGCGATCATCCCCAAGCCCGTGGCCCGCTTCGCAATGGAGCAGCGCCTTCCGGACCCGGTGCTTCCACAACAGGCGAGCCAGTATACGCTGCTGAACATGGCTCGCCCCTACACAGTCCGTCGCATCCGCCGGGTCCTGAACGCGAAGGCATTTACCAACATGCTCGGGCTCAAGGGACCACCGCAGCCGGACGACCTCAGGAGCTTCTGGAAGGCAGTCAACTCGAAGGCACTGACGGCGAGGGAGAGGGAAGTTTGGTTCAAGCTGATCCTCCGCTTCACCCCGACGCGCAAACTCCAGCACGAGCAAAAGCACGACACTTCTCCCGCGTGCTTCGTCTGCGAAGCGCCGGTGGACGACACCGATCACTACTTCTTCGGCTGCTTCGACTCGCGAAACGTCTGGATCGCGGCGAGGGGCGTGCTCTGCGACGCGCTCGGATGCGACACGATCGAGGGCGCCGAGTACACGACGCTTCAACGACTCTTTGGCCTCCCCAAGCTCAAGGCCAAGCTCAGCGCACAGGAAGGCGCGGGCAGGACGATCGAGATCTTCACGGGGATGGTTTTGGAGATGATCAGCAGTGGGAGATGGAGGATGCAGAAGCACGGGACGAGGATGGAAAGCCTGGAGCGGAGGAGGGTGGTACTGGAGGAGAGGATGAAGTTGAGGGCGGGAGGAGCAAGAGGCAGGCGAGGGCAGTAGAGGCTAGGTTCGATTTCCCCCCACCCCACTCCACACGCACACACACCCACATCACACATCCTCTTACAAAAACTGTATACTAAATATATTTTCTTCATCTTTCTTTTATTACAGGTCTGCCTCCGTTGCTCATGGACCGGCTTGCGTTTTGGGATTGACTCGACGGTGGCTCGCGCTCTCTGGCTTCGGGGTTCTGAGTTTAAGGGAGGGATCAGCAGACACAGGCAGAAAGTCGGCTTTGAGGGGCCAGGGACTGCTGAGGTGGAGGTTTTGAGGGGCCTCCACCGCGTCTTGTTGTGACCGAGCATAGACTTGGGGACTTCGCGGGTCAGGGTAGCTGCGCAGTCGCTCTCCTGTCTTTGTCTCGACCGAGTTGGGAAGTGGGTGCGGGGTGGGCCTCTTGTCGTTAGTACGCCAGTTCTTTTTCATTTTCTCTCTTTCTCTTCTCTCTCTCATTCGTCTCCTGGGGGGGAGCAACCGCTTGGCTGGGGCACTTGAATCCGAAGTATCGGATTGGTGGACTTGGCCCGTTTCTCGCATCTTGCGGGCGGTTTGTGTTATCATCGTCGACTTCCATCTAGTTTTTCCGTAGGCCAATCAGGGGGAACAGGACTTGGGGGCAATATGATGAACAGTTTCTACAAAAAAAAAAAATTAAAAAATTGACCCCTATATTTTGTTGTGTCAGTGGGTCGCCAACTCTCCGCGACGCTCTGGCACTATCGGGGGCTAGTGGTGCCACCTTCAGAAAAAAGGGTATAGGCGGTGATTCTGAGGATATATCAATGACGAAAAGTTGGTATGTAACATATCGCCTTTATCGCGTTGCGAAGCATTTGGGCCTCCCTCAGCCAGTGCACTGGGGCTCAGATACCGGGACGCGGCCGCCTTCACGCAGAACGAGGGTCACGTCGAGCGGTTGTTACGCAACACCCCACTGTGAATTTATATTGTGGTGTCCGTCGGGTCAATCCAGCTACTGTCCAATCCTCGTGTTCAAATTATCACCACAACGGCATCTGTGGATGTTGTCGTGCTCATTTCGTAACCCCGAGCTAACGACACGGATAAACAAAGAGCACGAATTGTGGAACGATCGAATATCGGATAGCTACATTGTACTCGTACTAGAATTTTCTTTCTTTCACCAAACCTGGCACTTGTGCTTGTTGTTCATCCTGCTTCCGGCCTTGCACTGGAAAGCCTCGATGAATTCCTCGTTGTTCGAGAGCGGGCCGATGACTGTGATGGGCATCATAGTACCCACGGGGCCTCAGCTGAGGATCAGAATGAATAATATCATCGGTCTGGGGAGCTTACCTCGGTAATTCGTGGGCGAGTGGGGATCGGTGCGAACCCGCTTGACCGCCTCCGAGGGGTAGATGTTCCTGGCCCAACCTTGAGCATAAGCTGTGAAAGGAGGACCCGAGGTTTCAGCATCACACTCGAGCTCGTTCAAAAGGACCTCTCGCAGAACTCACCGATGAAGAACAACTGCTCCCTCGTGTACTTGACACCAGGCAACAACCAGTTCATCCCCTCGCCCTTCTTGGACTCGAATCGATCGCTCCAGGCTCGGAAGCTCTGACTGATTCCACCTGCGTCCGCCATGTCTTCACCGTTCGTCAGCTTGGAGTTGACGTAGGCTTTTCGTCCCTTGTCGTCCTGCACGTAGTACTGGGCGTATTGATCGAGCAAGCACTGTTGGAGCCCTTCGAAACGCACGACGGTCTCGTTCGTCCACCATTGGACCAGCTTGCCCTCCTTGTTGTACAATCGACCGGCTTGGTCGAAGGCGTGCGACAACTCGTGACCAGCGACTGATCCGAAAGCTCCAAAGGCCATGTATTCCGGCCTGTGCAATCCAAGCCAGAAAGATCGAGACAGTCAGAAGGCAGGTCTTGAGTCATCGACGTTGGCTTTTAGGACGACCACGTACCAATCCTTGCTAAAGTACGGCGCCTGCAAGATACCAGCTGGGAAAGCAATCTCGTTGGCGGGAGGCGAGTAATAGGCGTTCACCTCGGAGGGGATCATCTCCCATTCACCGTGATCGACCTGCTTGCCGAGCTTGACCCACAAGCGACGCTTTTCGGCGAGGCGCGAGCGAAGCACATTGCCGAAAAAGTCGGTGCGATTGATGGGCAAGTTCAAGTTGTAATAGCGCTCGATCGAATCGGGGTCCATCGTGTCGGGAGTCGTAGGGAAGCCAATCTGAAAGGAGAAGGAACTTGAGGGTTCAGCACATACAACGGGACCGGACTGGAATGGAGAAGAGTCTCCTTGGGTCAACACCAACCTTGTGCTTGATCGCATCCGCCTTCTCCTCGGCCCGCTTCCTCGTCGTCTCGTCGAGCCAGTCTAGCTCGGGCAAGCGATCCTTAAACGCTTGGATCGTCGCCACGATGATGTCCTCGGCGTATTCCTTGCTGTCGCCGGCGAACGCCTTTTGAGCATAGTAGCGCCCGATTAAAAAGCCGTAGTTCTCCAACAACGACGCCAGGCAAATGTCCCCGCGAGGCGACGAAGTGCCCTCGGCAATACCGCCGAGGTAGTTGGATAGCCAGTTGATCTCCTTGCGCACGGTTTGCTTGGGACCGACCAGATCGCCGTAGACCTGCGCGATCCTGAAGATGATGTACGCCTCGTAGACCTCGGAATCGACGTGCTTGATGAGCTTGGCAAGGTTTTCGAGGTACATAGGACTGGTGACGATGACCGGCTCGGGATAGCTAGGCCTCGGGGTGAAGCCGGCAAAGTAGTCTTTGAACGAGATCGAAGGGAAAAGAGCCTGCAGAGCGGTTGAATTGTAGGCATTGTACGTCTTGCTTGGGTCCTCGAGGTCTTCCTCGTTGAGGGAGATCTTGGCGATCTCTTTCTCCCAAGCCACGACTCCGGACGCGAGTTCCTTGGGGTTGACCGAAGTCTCGCCCCGAACGGCGTAGATACTCTTGAGCGTCGCCCGAATGATTTCTTCATAGACTTGCAACGTGTCCTCGTCCTTATAGTAGTCCTTGGAGGGCAGTCCGAGCCCGGCTTGCTGGACCCACGCCACGAGATGGCTGGGATCCTCGGCGACATCGCCTTGAAGGAAGAGCTGAAACAGCGTCTCGACACCTATCGGACGCAAAGGATCGCATTGTCAGTCAATCTATAATCCCAATTCCCCCGATTATTTGCTGCTCGGCCCCGTGCAAGGCTCACCTCGAGAGTGCAAATACATCAACGAGGCCGTCATTCGATCCTTCTTGGTCTTCTCGTCCCACTTGGGCTTCTTGAGCATCTCATCTTGGAACATAGAATCCTGGTCAATTTTGTCTGCCGAAGCTGACGACCCCCTCCAGGCACTAACGGCCTGTTCAACGAGGTCCATCAACGGGTCGAGGCCTTGACGATCGTGCAGATCCTCATCGAGGCACGAGGCCCAAAAGTCTTGCAGGTGGGCGATATTGCGCTGATCGGCTTCGTCCATCTTCTTGAGCGATGATTCCGACGTGGCCAAGACGTCCATGATGACGCGCTGTGATGTTTCGTGCAAAGGTCCTGCGAGCATCAGCGTCGCGCCGAATCTTCCGGGGTGATCTAGTGACATCTGTCCGTGCCCTCGGGGTGGTGCCAGCGAAGGCGGAGGACTGACCTTGTTTCGCACACCGATGTCCTGGGCCGAGCCAAAAAATCCTTGGCCATCGGGGATAGGGTGGGTATCGAGCCAGCCGCCGTCTGTGGCAGAGAGAGCCCACCCGTCGAGGTGAGCACCATCATTATCTCAGCCCGACGAGGTTCGGGACGCCGACGTACTCGAGAAGCGGTAGAAGTCATCGCACGGGTCGACGCTCTCGTCGAGTGCAGTCAGTACTGATGCAGCTACGGTGACACAGGTAGGGGTGAGGCAAACGTCCTTCTGTCGTTCGGTACCAGCGGGTGAAGAGATGGTGGATGGTGCAGAGCGAGCGCAGTAAGTAGGCCCATTTGCAGGAGGCCGATGCGGAGGTGGGGGTGGTCGGTGGTCGGCGGTAGGCGGCGGGCGGCGGCGGATCGTCGGCAAGAGCGAGAAGACGAGATGGAATGAAGTGGTGCTCGTCAGTCACCAGGTGGTTGGCGATCGAAAGCTTCCCATATTCTCGGATCTCACTGTCGGCCTTGGACTCACGTTCTTCTTGGGTTGTTTGGGTGGAGGCACGCCGGTCGAGGTCGGTGCGGGAACGGTGACGGTCGAGGTGACGGTCGGACGACCCTGGTCATGGTGCTTGTGCTTTTGGTGGTGGTGGTCCTTGGCCTTTTTGAGCGCGACAGCCTCACCCGCGAACAAGCCGGCAAAGGTGGCCGTCGTCAAGAGCAACACGATCGCCAACGCTGCCAGCAGCTTTTCGAGGCCGTTTAATCGCTTGGGTGACGACAGTGCCGCTTCGATGCGACCCCGCAGCGACGGAGAGGAGGACGGATCTTCACTTGTCCCAGCAGCCTCGTTTCCTAACAGAGGTGATCTTTCTACGTCGGCCATGGTGATGGCGAGTCGAGAAGCGATGGTGCGGGTGGAGGCGAGCGGAGCGGAGCAAGAGCAAGCGATCTCTGACACGGTGACCGACACCGTTGCCGACGGAAGCGTGCCGCAAAAAGCCGAGCCAAAAGTGTTTCCTGCGAGTCCGCGATGACAAACTCCGCAAGGTTGTTCGGGCAGCGAATCAGGTACAATAGCGCATGGTATTACAAGATCCCTGCGACTAACATCTAAAGAGAAAAAGAAAAGAAAACAATGTCGAAACACCAATGAGCCAGACGTGCCATGACCATCATCCGAACCCTGACCTTCAACGAGAAACTAATCCCGCGTCGGGCCAAAGACGGACGAGGCTTCACCAGAATGAGGGCACGCCAGCCGTCTGATGCATCAGGTCAAGGGCGAGGAAAGCCGGCCGAGGTCAACGATCCCCCTCCAGGACGGTTTCGGTCTTGGTCACGCTAAAAATTGAGTCGTGGTGGAGGTAGCACCAGATCCAGAGTGTGGTGATCAGTCAGGTTCGAGGGGAAGGAAAACGGGTCGAAGGAATCACACAGGAGGCGATTGGATAAAGGGGGCCATGTTCAGATGTTGTACGATGTGGAGATGTGATAGTGCATGCCCATCAGTGCTACGAACGCACGTCGAATTGCCGTGCAGCGGGTCGCGGTGGGCAGCAGGAAAAAAGACACAAGCGGCGTTCGGTGAGGGCACGCCAGCAGTACCACGCATCACTGTCGATGGGTAGCACCATGTAGTCAAGTTGTGTGGTCTGGGCCTGTGTTGAACGTCAAGGACGGCGAAGAAGGGGTGGTCGGGATTGGATCCAGAAACTGCGGATGGGACAAAGGAGCGAACACGCACGCCCGGGACCAGTCTCGCAACAGCGCGCATTGCGCATTTGCACAGCTTAGTATGGCTGCTTATCATGAAGGCTTATGGCCTCTTATGGCAGCTTATGGAGCCAGGAAACGTAATAAAGTATTGGAAAAATCTAGCTCGGATGCTTTAATAAAGAGCCGAGCCCACACACCACCCCACCCGCGGTTGCATGCCGGTGTAGTACTTGCACGAAGTTATGTTGAGCACGGCAACTTTTTGAGTATTTCAGAGCGACTATGTCTCACTTCAAACAAATTTACGAGCGTTGTAGAGCTTTGCGATGCGTACCCTGAAGGATTAGATTGAAGCAACGGGCCATGCAGTGGATCTAATCCTCTTATCAGGGTAGAGACCGTAAGCAGGAGACTTGAGCTTGAGTGAGGCGTTGACTGGCTTTGAGGCCTGCTTGAGGACTCGGCGTGTGGGGCGCATCCTGCTTCCCCGGCTTGTCTCCGTCCACCCTTCGCATCCATCACAGGTATATCAGCAGCATTGGTTCCACCTCCATCTTGATCAGGGCCATTTGCCATACGGCATCACCCGATCTTGTTGCATGTCATGCTGCACATCAAGAACCCCAAACGCTACAAGACCTCGATCCGCATACACGATCCTGATAACCCGCGACTATGGCGCCCTGCCGTCACAACGACGCATACCGACCTCCGATACAGCTTTAATGCTCCCACGACAAGACGTTTGATGCAGCAGGGCGATCGAGAACGGGCCGCAGTCAGACACAGGGATGCCGATGTAGGCCCTAGCGAGGCCACCCCGGAAACCTTGGCTGAGGCGGCCTCGGGCTCGTGTCCCGATAAAGATCACAACGATTACAAAGATCTCGATCAGCGTGATGCTGGGAGTTATCACGCGGGCTCCTCCGACTGTAAGTGGCCTCATTAGATGTACGTTTTAAAATTCCGTTCGAACCTCAGGTCTCGGCGCTCACATCCGTCCAACCTACCTTAGACACGAGCCGTCAGCCACTAGCCTTGTAGGTTCGAGCGTGTCGTTTTTTTCTTCTTCTCGTTCTCAGGGCTCTTGCTGAGATGTCACGGTATTTAACATCTGTTCGTGGTGTAGATCTTCTTCGACTGTTCGCCCCCTTCTCCACAAACAAGTGCCTCCTCGCCGCACTGTCCGAAGTTATGCCCTGAATACCTGGCTGGCGAACGCGAATTGGAGATGTGTGGTGCGCAAGCTGGTGGACGAATTCCTCATAGCAATAGCGGATGATCAAGAGTATACTCCGCTGCGAAGTGTGCCTCCGGGCTCGAACAAGGCGATGGATGTCAATTTGATCGACTTCTCGGGTGAGCCTAATTGATCGGGTTCCGCACATCAATGAATCCTTTGAAAAAGCTCTACGTTTTGCTAACCGACGTCGCCGTTTTGACATACCCAACAGCACAGCAAAGAAAGATCTCATTTGTGCCAAGTAAAAAAGGTGCAATCTCCGATCTCCTGGCAGCTGGATACATGCCTGCAACGCCGGCCGCACCACGATATGCTTTCTTCATTCCGTTTATCAAGAGCCACATGGCTTCTCTCTACGACACCAAGGCGACTCCGAATGTTGAATCGGATCTCCTAGATCCAAATCCCCGTGTGAGCACCATCACTCTGCATAGGAGATCGCAACATGAACACTTTCGAGGACGCTGACACGCGCGCCACGACCCTCGTTTTCTGCAGACGCGCATGTCGCCCCACTTGTCAAAACACTTCTCGGACGCACTGGCTGCCTTCCGACTCTTTGCGGCTTACGTCGACAGCGCGATCCCTCCAGCCAGGCAGTTTGCACTGAGGTGTCCTGCATGCCACCACAAGGTGAGCGACCTGATGCGGTGCTTGGCTTCCACCCCACTCATGTGCCTTTGCCGGACTTTCCAAACTTTAGATCCAAGAGGAGCCCCCACTGGAGTACACCGCCCAAGTCGCGATTGACGGCAATGCCTCGCAAAAGCGTCTGAAGACCAGATACTCTAAAGTTGGACAGCACATCCACCCCGACCAGCACACCTTTATGTCAAAGCTGTTCATCCCGCCGGAGATTGTCGACAAAAGCGATATCATCGCTGTAAGTCTGTGCTCGTCTACTGAGTTCAGAAGTGCTTTCATTTTTCTGACTGAGATGTCCTCATATGACTTTTTCTATCCGCTAACATTATCACCGCTTGGCCCTCGCAGACTCGTAATGGTTAAGTTCGTCGTATCGTTGCAATCAAGAAGAAGGCCGAAGGAGACACAGGCGCTTGCGCATCAGCCTCGCGGTCCGAGCAGGTGCGTCGGTTCTACGTGACGGTGCCCCTGTTTTTGGCGAAGCAAATTGACTTTGACGTGTATCCAGAGTGGTGGGGCCTCCTCAGGCTGGGACGAGACCGGAATCGTTGCTGCCGTATGTCGCCATGGGGTCGTATTGGCGGCATGCGATATAATCCAAAGCGGAGAGAGGTGAGCTCGGTGCGAGGCTGAAAGCCCCGCTCGGCTGTCCATTTGACCGCAATGCTTGGCTCGCTGGTGCAGTTCGAAATACCCGCTTGCCCTGATCCAACAAGTGCGCGAAGCATTCTCACCGGGCGATCGCCTGTTGATAGGCTATGACACTGGCTGTGTCCTCGCCAAGACGTTCGAGACAGCGGAGTCGATTGAGAAAGGCCAACGTGACCCCGACGCCTCAAGCGCTTCGGGACAAGCGGCTGCCAAACCGGCCGTGACTTTTTGCTGCGGAGTCTGGCAAGGATATACTCATAGCCACCCGTGCCAGGTAAGTATCGAGCTCTATGGAATTTGCGCATCATAATTTCGCCGGACTAACGCGAGTCCATCACTTCATTACTGTGCTTTCACAGCTACAATCACACCCACGCTTCATAGACGCCGCGGGACTCGAAGACTTTGAAGGCTGTGAACAGCTCTGGTCCTTCCTCGACGGCTTTGCCGGGTCAACGCGCCTAGCAACAAAGTACAATCGAAGGAGCACCCTTCATCACGCCATCATGTACTCAAACCATCGGGTCCTGATGCGTCTAGGTCAGTTAGTAGCTCTTCACTGCTCAGCCCCCCAAACTAAATGGCATTCGCGCCTTTGCCTTCAGATACTTGGCTGTCAGATCGATGGAAGTCCTCTTCGGCGGAAGCAATCGCCAGTTTTGAGGCAATCCGCTTGCTGGCTGAACAGTTTACCTCGGAAGACGCTTGTGTGGACGCGGGCCAAATGTGGCTTGAGCAAGAGCGTCAATACTTCATGCACAATGCCACGACTCCATCAAGCAAGCTCACTGCACGAGATTTGCGGGAGAGGGAGCTTTTGGAAGCGCTTGAGAACCGTGACAAGATGTTGGGAGGGCAGAGTTCCGGGTGAGTTGACCCCGGTTGAGCCTCTGAGTGATTTTTGACTGGCTCTAATTCCCCATTAACAACTCGACAGCATCCCTCGCTCCCGCGGAAGCATGGTCGCTTCAAGCATCGCCAACTACACGAGCGTGATCGCCGAGCTGATACAGGACGAGGTTCTGCAACTCACCGAAGAGGATCGCGAGAATATCAAACGGTTGGGCCTAGGCTGGCGTGGAGTCGAAGAGATCAGAGCGCGAGGAGTCGTCCAAAGGATCGAAGGACTGTTGGCCAAGCTCGAGCGTGACTTCTTGGCAATAGATCTCGAAGCTGAAGCTTTGAAAAATCGCAGTCACGGCTTCGGAACGAGTGAGTGGCTGGCTTGAATCTGGCTGCAGCTCTCCGATTTAATGCAAGCTGACCGAAACCCCTGACTTTGATCCGGGTCTGCAGACAACGATACGCGCAGCAGTGACAGCGCTCGAAAGCGCTACAATCGCGTTGCCGCGTCTCTCGCCGAGTACAACAAGCTTGCCGAGACCTGCAATCGCAGAATGTATACCGTTGAAGAAGTACGTTATGTACACGAGTCTTTACTTATCGTCACGCTCATTCTGTTTGTGTCCATCTGCAGATGAAACTCCTCACCAAAGACGGCAAGCCTCGAACTGGCTCGAACCTCGGTTGGGCGTCCTCCATCGCCAGAAGTGTGACAGCAGCGGTGTCGCGACGCGAGAGAGCTCTGGAAGAGCAGGCTCGATTACAGCTTGAGTACCAGTACGTTGCCTCCCTGTTACCTATCATACGTTTTTGACTGACTACTATTGATTCTTCCGACCCGGTAGACGAGTATGGGAGTGGGCCCACGAAAATCTCCAGTACTGGGAGAGCTTGGCTTCGGCCTTGGCTGAAGATCAACGCGTCGATTCACCTGATGAGGATGACCAGCGGCCCGCCTGGAAGAAGACTGCTCTCTCTGCGATTGCAGTCCAAAAGTGCCAGGAGATTGGTCAACTTATTCAGAGCTTGGCTTGCCTGCGAATGTCGAAGCGAACGGAAGGGTTGTGCCAGTTAGGAGACCTGTCCAAAATCCGTGCTCGGGGACCCATTCCGGATCTCGGTTCCGACCTCGCGATGCCGACTTTGGCATCCGACGACAATTCGGCCGACGACGAGGCTGACGACCCTGAGGGGATTACACGAACGCTTTCCGAGCATGCGGATGTGATACAGGGGGAAGCCGAGCTCGACACCGATCCCGACACCCATCTCAACGGAGCTGCCGGTGTTGACGACAACGACTTAGAGCTTGAGAACGACGAAGAAGGCGAAGATGAGCTTGAAGCGCGTTGGTGCGCGTTGGTGCGAGGATGACGATGAGGACGACTAAGAAGAGGGACGCCAAGAGAATCAGGAAGAAGAAGGAGACCAAGAGAATGAGGAAGGAGAGGAAGATGATGAGGACGAGTAGTGTGGAGATGAGGACCAAGAGTGATCGCGCAAGGAGTGCGGATTTAGGAACGTGCCATCTGGATTGACCTACTTCATATGGATCACATTTTGTAATTGAATACATGAGGATGTATTGCATCAGCTGAACACCGTGCTCATCAATGTTGTAGGCCTGTGAACCAGCCGATCCAAGGTGTTGGGTCAGAGAAAATAACCTTACAGAAACGGCGTCCGCTGCGCAGCATCCAGCTTGGGGTCGGACCTTCTCAGTACAGATGGAATGAGAGCAGCAAGACTCGAACGTCGCTGTACTCGGATTCTGATGATTCGTCCTTTCTGCGGCTTGAGGCGACTTTAATATTGCGCTGCATCGAGAAATGCACCTTTACTTCGTACCCGAGCCAAGCCCGGCTCAGCGCGGCACGGCACGGGAAAGTTCGGGTTGGAGAGATCAATCAAGCGCATAGAGAGCTGTTGTAATGCTACCAGTGAATTTTGTTTTGAAGAAGTATTATATACATAGGAGGAATGAATAAAATATTGTCTGCAGAAGAGGGTTGGAGATCCTCAGAATTGTAGGCGGGCGCACGGACTCTGACAACGCAATGAGCGCACCGAGCGACGTTAGGTTTTGAAGTTAGCCCTGGGATTGCAAGCTACGGTGGATTTGAAAGGCATTTGAGTCTGACATGACTGACCTCAAATTCTGTCCACAGAAAAATCCTGCGCAGCACTCGTCCTTGGACAGCACTTTTCAACAAGGTGCAAAGTCAATTTGCGCGGCCAACCACGCGGCTCCGACATGGTTGCCGTGTTTCTGTCGGGTTTTCCGTGACAGTGGCCCCAAAAACCGGTGAGGTAGGACTCTAAAAAAATTGCAATGCAGCAAAACCTATATTACGCATTGGAAGACCGAAGCACAGAGTACCACAAACAGAAACTGGAAGGGGTTAGTCTCTCCGATCACTCCACTCGTCGATTCGATTTAGCTTTCTCGAGTCTCAACTCGACCTTAAGGACCTACAACAGAAAAGCGCCAGAACAGGCCACCGAGCAACTTCAGCAGATCGATCTTTCTCGCGAACAGGTCCCACACTTTTATTTTCGCTACAGCCCACCCTCCCACCCGGTTCTGCCCGGTTCATCTTTCGGGCGACTGTGCAGGCCGGCCGCTGGCCGTCGGCCGCTTGACTGATCACCGGATCACCGGTGTGTTCTCGCCCCGAGATTACGCTAGTGGTCGCTAGCCCGCCGGTGCTGCTGGCGTGCACGTGGTCGAGTTCCCAAACTGGGTTTCAGACTTCTTCACCGCTTGATAGGGTCTGTTACAAAATGCAACCCTCGCTGTCAGTTCAAATGGGGAATTGGGGCAGATCCCAACCCGCCTGACGGCATGCCCCGTCCAGCAGCCTCGAAGGGGCGCATCGCCGTCGGCGGCACCGCGAGCGGATTCCGGCCCGAATCCGTAGGGCCAAACTCACATGTCGTCAAGCAAGTGGCAAGCATGTGCACACGCGAGATTTTAGGTTAGACTACCTAGCATCATCTGGGCATTCGATCTTTATCGATGTGGTTACCTATGTCGGCATGGCTCACAGTTTCGATGGGAAGATCCTCCGCTGCGCATCGACGTTGCCGGGCTGGCAGGCGGCGCTGTAACCGTTGCCGCGTTGACGCGTTGACGTCCGACTTGAAACTTTGAACTCCCCTCCTTTTGTTTCCCCACAACATCCTCACGAGGAGCCCCACGAACGCACTTGGTAGTCACTCATCTACCTACCTACGTCCTGTATTTCCCCACCTTGGTCCTCGCCCATCGCCGCCTCCAGAATACTCGAGCCGACTCTCACACTCGGCGCAAAATGGTTTCCGTTCCCAACCCCATCGGCCAGGGGCCAAAACCGGGCAAGATGGGCCTCGCCATGTAGGTTTATTCGATCACTCGCTGAATACAGGCGACTCACTGGAGGGACGAGTTATCATAACACCACAGGACTGTCTTTGCCGCTTTCGGTGGGTTTCTGTTTGGTTACGACACCGGCTACATCTCGGGCGTGAAGGAGATGCCTATTTTCGCCAAACTCCTCGGCGTCGTTAACACGAACCCCGCGACCATGGCCAAGGCGCCCTACGTTCTCACTTCCGGCACCAACGCCCTCATCACTTCGATCTTGTCGGCTGGGTAGGCTTATTTTGCTAGGACTACTGTTCCGACGAGTTCGATGCTCAATCTATCCCCTCTTACATGTAGTACTTTCGTCGGAGCTTTGCTCGCGTACCCCGCTGGTAATCTACCAGCAAAGCCACTAAAGCTACTACAGCTTCCGACAAATCCACTACTGTCCCACCACCAATGGCTGAGCCGACACCACCACCAGACACAACATCATCATCCGACGCCGCGGCCTTGGCCAACCTTCAGGCTGACTACGCCGCGCTTGTCGCCAAAATCACGCGACTGGAGGCTTCGCAATCGGCTGCCAGCGCGCCCGCCAAACAAGAAAAACCGACCGACGGCATGCCGTCCACCATCGTCGTCCCGGAAGCCTACATGCTCAAAGGCCGAGAGAACTTCGTCGAATGGGATGGCTTTCTCAACATGTTCCTTCCCGACGACGTCTACAACTACCTCACCGGGGGCAGAGATAACGTGAAATGGACCGACGCCTACTACGCACGCGGACAAGAGTACGCATCGCGGGTCCTCATCGCTTCCATCGATCCGATCTGCTCCTCGGACATCATTCCGATTCGCCAGATGAAAGGCACGGCACACGAGTGCTGGCTCGAACTAGCCAGTCGCTACCGCCCCAGCGACGCTCAAGCCGCCGCGACCCTCGTTGGCGAGTTCTGGAACCTTCCGCCGATCCCCACGACCGAATCGGGCTTCAATCAGTGAGCTGGTCATGTCCGCATCATTGTCAACTCAATGCGAAACCTGAACATCGATTTCGAACAAATCCTTACCGCACGCCTACTCCTCAACATGCCGCAACTTTACAACAATTGGAAATCTACCTTCAACCAGCGTCAGGCCGCGGCACCACGCTCCCAAAAATCGAAGACCTCATCTTCTCCCTTCGCCGTGAAGTGAGATCGATGGGCGAACACCCCATTAACGGCGCCACACCAGCATACATCGTGTCTCCCCAGCACTCTCAAAACCGATCCAATGCGAGGTCTCAGCGACCGAACGAAGCCTCCAGCCCCTGCCCCGTATGCGACGAAGGCAAACACTGGGCTGATCAATGCCCTGACACCGACCGTCGCCGCAAGTACTTCGAGCTCAAGTCGGCACTTCGAGACTTAAAACTCCAGAAGTCGACCACCTCCCCCTCAAACCACGAAAATGTCTCATCCTTCGTAGCCATCCCCGCCCCGGCACCTTACGTGACGGCGCCGCCTTCGTCCCAAGAACACGACGACTTCTTCATGTCGTTACACACCACAACTCCAAATGCCACTCAACAGACAGACTTCCTCCTTGATTCAGCCTCGCCTTTCCACATCGTCAACGACCGTTCCCTGTTTTCAGGCCAACTCAAGCCCTCTTCTCATCACATCGTAGGCATCGGTGGCCAGACGGCCGTCAAAGGCACTGGCTCAGTCGAACTCCGCACTGATCGGGGAGTTTTGGTCAAACTCAACGTCCACTTCGCGCCCAATGCTCCCGCCAACATCGTTTCCGTCTTCCAAATGGGTTCCAAAGGCGTCCGCACGTCTTTCACCAGAGGTCGAGCCGAACTCAGCACCGTCCAATCAGGTATCTTCGCAACGGCTACAGCCACGACGTCTAACCACTATCGTCTCAATGTGACCCTTGCGACAGCTGGCAAACTCACCGTCCAAAAATGGCACGCGTCCCAATCACCGCCACGCTCCAGCCGACTCAGTTCCTTCATCGCCTTTTCTCAACCATCAAAGTCAACCCCACCCCGCACCCGCACAGACTGGACCACCCCTAATCGCTTTCGACTCTTGCCTACCGATGTCTCGGCTTGACTGGCATGGAAGCACGGGGGGGTGTCAGAACCCAATCATACTGATTCTCTTCTAATTCTATTTACTTCTCATGCCACTATTCCACTCCTACTTTGCACTCCTTCTTTAGCCTATTACCCTCTACGCCGGATCCCAGCGCCTGATCGAGACTCGGTTGACACGTTGGCTTGGGTTGAAGTCGCGCGCCTCGCGGGCACTCGTCTCTCTTCCTTCTTCATCCATCTTCCATCCTCGATCTTGCGCTCGTACTCAACCCCTTGAGTCGGGATCCAGTCCTCCATACTTCTCACAGGTTATGAGCCCAACGAGCTACCAGCTGCTCCCTGGATCCCGACTCAAGGGGTTGCGTACGAGCGCAAGATCGAGGATGGAAGATGGATGAAGAAGGAAGAGAGACGAGTGCCCGCGAGGCGCGCGACTTCAACCCAAGCCAACGTGTCAACCGAGTCTCGATCAGGCGCTGGGATCCGGCGTAGAGGGTAATAGGCTAAAGAAGGAGTGCAAAGTAGGAGTGGAATAGTGGCATGAGAAGTAAATAGAATTAGAAGAGAATCAGTATGATTGGGTTCTGACACTGGTGAGTTCGTGCTCGGCGCTGCATGGACGCACCGTCGGCGCATCATCTGTCCCGATCCACTCATCGTTCGCTACTTCTTCAGGGGACTTTTTGGGACGTCGCTTCGGTATCATGGTCTTCCTCGGACTGTACGTCACCTCTTCTCGTGCTCTACACAGTGAGCGAGGATTAACAAAAGCTTGTTGATGTCATCTAGGTTCTGCATTGGTGTCGCTCTGCAGACCGCTGCCACAAGTGTCGGACCTTTCACTGTCGGGCGTGTCTTCGCTGTGGGTACTACTTCTGTTTTTCCATTGGCTCTAACCATCTGCGCTGACACACTTGGTTCTCGTCTTTGATCACACAGGGGATTGGAGTGGTAGGTCGCCAAATATACCCTGCTTTTGACGCAACACTCGCTGTAACGAGAGACGTTAATTATCATCTTGCAGGGCGGCACTTCTTGCCTCGTTCCTCTGTATCAATCCGAATGCGCGCCCAAATCAATTCGAGGTGGTATTGTCTGCTGCTACCAATGGCTGATCACGATCGGTCTCTTAATTGTGGGTCAGCTGTGCGCTCAGTATAGGTGTTTGTTGGAGAAATGCGGTGCTGATCCAGATGAGTACCCACAATCTCTCCAGGCCAGTATCGTAGTTGAACGCACCAAGAGCATCAACAGCGAGGCCGCCTACCGTATCCCAATCGGCCTGCAGTTCATCTGGGCCGCCATCCTAGGTGGTGGCTTGTTGGTCTTGCCCGAATCGCCTCGATGGCTCCTCATGAGGGGTAGGGAGGAAGAGGCGCAACGCGCCCTGGCGCGTGTGATGGGTACCGATATCGATTCCCTGGCCGTCAACGAAGAATTTGCCGAGATCGCGGCATCGCTCCACCATGAGCGATCCCTCGGTGGCTCGTCTTACATCGACTGCTTCCGCAACGGCGAGGGCAAGAACGGCTTGCGCACCTGGACCGGTATCGGTCTCCAGGCCCTCCAGCAGCTCACCGGCATCAACTTCATCTTCTACTACGGCACGGCCTTCTTCCAGAACTCCGGCATCGAGAACCCCTTCACCATTACGATCGCCACCAACGTCGTCAACGTCGGCATGACCGTTCCCGGTATCTTGCTGGTTGACCGGGTGGGACGTCGCAGCATGCTCCTCTACGGCGCCTTTGGCATGTGCGTGTGCCAGCTCATCGTCGCTACCATTGGTCTCGCCGTCTCCAAGGACAATTTGGCTGGTCAACGCGTCCTCATCGCTTTCGTCTGCATCAACATTGGCCACTTCGCCGCTACTTGGGGTCCTCTCGCATGGGGTGCGTTGCTTTCTTGCACTCTTGGCAGGGACTGTGAGCCTGCCTCTGGCTCGCGCTGACTGATCGTTCGCCCCTTCTGCGAATTTGTACAGTTGTCACGAGTGAACTGTACGCCCAACAAATCCGCGGCAAATGCATGTCCATGTCGACCGCTTCCAACTGGCTTTTGAACTTTGCCATCGTGAGTACAATGCTGACCAGAATCAATCGAGAGTGACTGACCGCCGCTTGATCCAACGTAGGGCTATGCAACGCCCTACTTGGTTGACACGGGTGCTGGCTCGGCTGGTCTCGGGTCCAACGTCTTCTGGATCTGGGGCGGATGCTGTGTCTTTTGCATCATCTTCACCTACTTCTGCATTTCTGAAATCAGGGTAAGACTACCGACACTTTTTAATTTCGTCTAGCCACCCCCTGTTTGAACTCCGGTGCTGACACTCGATTACATCCACACAGGGCCTCTCGCTCGAGCAAATCGACATCTTGTATCGCAACTCGACGCCCGTTAAGTCGAACGCGTTCAGGAAGCGCATCATCGCCGAGAACATGCACCATGACACCAAGGACGCTTACGTCATTACCAAGAACACGGGCACGGCCGAGCACAAGGAAGTCGAAGCCGGGATCATGAACGAGGTTTAAAGACAACTTTGAAAGGGCGTTCGGTGTTGGCCTCCAGCGGGCTCAGCTTTGCTCGTGTGTTATCTCCCTCGTGGATTTAGACGGGTATTAGATAGGTTTGACGTACTTGTAATTGCAATCTAGTCTATCTTGAAGTATCGAATGGCGCCAATGATTTTGACATTGCCGATGTAAGCAGCAACATGCATGTCTTGAAAGTCGTGATTGGTACTTTTCGTTTGCCCCGTTATCCAAGGGAGAGAGAGCCATTTTGACAGCGCCCCAAGTCGCCAAAACCGCTTTTGAGGATTTCGAGACGTCTTTACAGGCGTCCAAGGGTCGCCTCGTATCTTTGTGACAACACCAAAGGGGGTTTCAGTGGTATGGTCGATTATGTTGCAGGGTCAACGCGTTCTACACTACTGGCCTACCCAGTGTGCTTAAATGCATCTCCCGACTTTTCCAGAAGAATTCTAGGCTTGAACTCTGTGCACTTCTAATAGGCGGGCCAAGAAAAGGCAGTTGCACTTACGCGCGCTCGTTCTATTGAAAAATATTAAAAATATGCATTTGAAAAGTTTGTTTTTTAATGAAAATGGCCTCGGGCGAGATCGCTTCTCTCAGCAAGGTCCCGCGCGTCTTCAATGGAGCGAACAGGAGAGGTCCCTTCACTCATTCATCGCGCCGGCGCCGCCCCGCGCGTGAACGCGTGAATCGCCAATCTGACCGTTGAAATCCGCGGCTGGGGAGGAGGTCGACCTTCACTTCATCATCAAATCCGTACGCCAACGACCGGATTACTGCGTGATGGAGGCCCACCTGATCTGCTGCTGCATAAGAAGGAAGCTTGTGATCCCATCACTCTTCTCCTTCTTCTGCATCACAACCTCGAGCAAACCCTCTTGAGCATTGAAACCTTCTTTACTCACTACACTCGAAACTTCAACGTCGAGATGGCTCACTTCTCCCCCGTCGGCTCCATCCACTTTGCCCACCCCTCGGCCATGCCCAGCCTGATCCCTTCGACGAGCTCGCTCAGCCACAAGCTTCGCAAGAGCGCAACTTCGGCTCTCATTTCCATCCGATCCAAGTCTTCCTGCAACAACGAGACCAAGTCAATCAAAAAGAACTCCATCTCGAAACCTACTTTGGTCCACTCTTCGCAAGACTATCAAGTCGATGCCCACTCGCGACCCCTGAGCACGAGCTCGTTCGAATCGACCACGTCATCACTCCAACCTTTTTACCACCAATCGTGGATGTCCTGCCCAAGCGATGACTCCATCCTCTTTCAAGCCCAAGACGCCCCAAGCACCAGTGAAAAGACCGCTTTCGTCGTGAGGCAGATCGAATCGTTCGAAGAGGAGAGGAGGCAGGCAAAAGTCGCCGAGGTGGTGCGAAAGGACGCGTTGATGGACCAGGAATTGCGAAGGATGGGATTTTGAGGGAAACAAGGGTTCTTTTGTTGTAAATAGCTTTAAATTGTTGTGCATTAACCAAGTTGCTCAAACCCCGGATCCCAAAGTGCACCTCACTAAAATTGTTCGCGAGGGAATGCGGAAGACTCCCTTCGCTTCGGCACTTTCGACACATCATCCTCGATCATCGAGTACAACTTTCCGGAGTGAATCTGTGTAAGTAACCATTTGGCTGCTTGTATCACTGGTGAAGAGGCGCTATGTGGGCTGGGCCGATGTGAAGGATCAGATTCTGAGATCTTCTATACCACGTCGATCCTTCTTTATGATCGAAGACTTGGCTGCAGTCTAGCTTCATCATAGACCGTAAATCGAGGCAAGTACTCTCAATCGCCAGCCCTCGCAGTTGCGGGTTGCTGATAGCCTGATAAGCGGCACGCCCTTTGTTCCAGCGCATGGACAGGGGGCCAAAGCGTCAGCCGAGACCCCGGACCCGGGACACCTTCAAGTCCTCATCAACCCCCTCAATAGCTCACCGCCGGGCCCTTCACACGCTGATCATAAGTCTCCTGAAACGAAGAACATCATAGCGCAACCTTCACTTCCTCATCAAATCGTGTGCAGTGCTCTGATCACTACCTGAAGGATCTGTACCAAGGGTTTTCACCTTGCAGGATGCGCCCTCCCCTTCTTTTCTTCACAACTATCACTGGGGTCACTGAAAACACAGGAACCTCATTCTCCAACTCTTGTCCACTGTCTCATGGCGCAACACACTCCGGTTCCCTTCGGGCCCATCCAATTCGCTCACCCCTCCGCTATGCCCAGCCTGATTCCTTCGACGGGGTCGCTCGGCAATGTTCTCCGCAAACGTGCGGGCTCGTTCATCGGTTTCATCAAGACCAACGCGCATTCCCCCAAAAATGTTGCCAAAGGACGTCCCATCTCGAACCCGACCTTGGTCCAGTCCTCTCACGACCTCTTGCTCGCAATGCCATCGCGATCGCCACCGGCCGCCGGCGCCCCCTCGGAACTTCCCCCTTCGTACCGCCAATCCTGGCTATCCTTCTCAAGGGACGAGTCCACTTCCTCCGGCGCATCACAACACACTCATCTACCCCAAGAGACGGACGCCGATGACGACATCCTCTACATCACCCGAGTCGAGATAGGCGAGCAGCTCATCGCCGAGCGCAAAATTGTTGACCTGCTGGAGAAGGACCGCGTGATGGACCAGGAGTTCCGCCGACTTGGACTTTGAATCAAACATGAGCTGTACAAAGTTTCACCTGCGAGAGGTTATAGACGCAGTCAGACTTTGAACGTGTTCTAGTGCCAGTTTGCTTTTCGGTAGGCTCGGCGTGTTCCGACAGCGACAGGATGATGTCTCGGGTTTTCGTGAAGTTGGCGCTATGAGTAGAGTTTTTTTGTGTAATGGGTTCATTTATTTTATGGTACAAATATAAGGTGATGGCAGATCTGATTTGACTCTCAAGAGGTGGATTCAAGTACTGGCTTGAGCCTAGCAACTCACCGCGCCGTCACGAATTTCGAGCAGGCAGTCGACAACGTCATCAGACCGGACGCGGCACGCCGGCGACCCAGCCCCCAGCCAGCAAGAGCGGCAAAGCAAGCATCGGAACTCGTCTAGTCTCTCCTCCGCTTTTGACACTCGAGGTCGATGAGACCCAATCTGAGCTGTGTGAGGTATGGCCCGCGACCAACTGCAGTGAATGCGCTCGTTTGGCAAGGGCAGGCCTGAGCCTGACAGGCCATTGAAGTCGGAGGCCGCGCCAAACTAAGTTTTCGTACGACGTCGTCGTCTCCGCCGTCGTCTATAGGTATCACTTCCGTCAAGGCTTAAAATGCAAGCTGATCCTCCACTATGTACTCTGAGATGAACCTACTCATGAATCCGGTCCGTTATGGCAATCTCAAAGTCAAGTATGATGTCGAAGCGCAGAGGCTCACCGTCACGGGCACGTACGGCAAGAGCAACTGCGAGTGATGTCCAGAGAAAGTTCCAGCTTGTGATACTATCGAAAAGACTTCTTTCAACGGCCCTTTCTGTGCTCCCACAGAGCTTGTAGTCCGTAGCTTGTTTGGAAGGTGTGCTACCTTCGACGAAGTGTGCTGTCGTAAACAACTCTGCGCCTTTTCCCTCTAGGTCTTCCAATTGAAAGATAATATGGGATTGCAACGGTACAAGCGAGAAAAAAAGATTCAATTAGACTCAAGGAAGCGAGTGTAGACGAGTGTAGAGTCAGGCGTAGAGCTGGTGGTGAAAACGGCAAAAGGAAGTTCAGCACGAAAACTCATTGCCGCAGCCTCATTGGCAAGCGACTTACCACGTCCATGTCTGTGAAAGGCAAAGCCATCAAGAATCGGAAAGCGTCAAGAGCCATCCCCAAAGTCTGAATTTAGAGACTTATCAACCACTCACATCGACTGGCCATCTCCTCCACGAGTCCAGGTCCAATCGCGCTTGACGATCCCAAGCCATCTGTGGTATAACGGAGAGCCACCGACCGTCAGCAAGCTATTGCGGCGTCGTAAATCTTCACTTGTCCGCTCACAAAGCATGACCATCGAGCCCTCGCCGGGTTTATCCTGCGACTTGACCTCCTCCACCGCCTCCCTCAAGTCCGTCAATAGCTCATCCACGACTGGGACGGTCAACCTCGTACAAGCGATATGCAGCGCCGGTGGGCTCTGCAGAGCGTTCAAATGCCACCCCTTCTTGCTCATCACATCCCCGACTTCGTAAATCGACACCGTTTTGGACGAGAAGGCGACGACCGAGACCAAAGGGTCACCGAGGACGTAGAGGTCGTCCATCTCCGAGACGCCTTGGACGATGCGCTTGGCCGCGCCGACAATCTCGCGACACGATTCGGTGTATCCGTCGACACCCATCTTCATCATCGACGCCCACGCACCGGCGATGATGGCTCCCGGTCGAGAGCCGGCCATGGAAGGCGATGCGTCTTAGCAGCTCCGTCAGAGATAGGTCAGAACATCAGATCATCCCTTGTGTCTTTGGCGAGCAGAGAGTACTCACACGTTCCTCCTGCCCAGGCTCCCATGACGGAGTATTGATACCGTCTTAGCGCCTTGGATCGATACATGATAACCTGCGGAGTCAGAGCTCTTCATAAGCCTCTAAACCCATACTTTCTCCAAAACAGCGTAACTCACGGAGCTGCCCTTTGGTGCAAAGCCGTCTGCAGAACGAACATGAAACGAAGCGATTAGCAAATGTTTCAAACTAGGAAGTGTTCTGCGGGAATCTCACATTTGTGGGTGTCGCACGAAATGGACGTCACACCGGGTACGCGGAAATCGAACGGTTCGGCGGGGTAGCCGGCTCGTTCGAGGAAAGGTACGAGGAAAGAACCGAGGCAGCAGTCAACGTGGAGACCGAGCTGGTGCTTGATCGCGAGCTTCGAAAGGGCCGAGATGTCGTCGATGATGCCATCGGGAAAGTTTGGCTGCAAAAGCAAGTTCAGCCCATCAGAAGCTAGCCGGGAGTCTCGGCTCGGACAACACACGAACGCACCGCCGACCCGACCAACATGATCGTGTTGGGGTTGATGGCGCGCTTGACCATCCTGATGTTGACTTTCCGCGTTTCCGTGTCGACGGGGATGTGGTGGATCTTGATCTTGAAGTAGCTTGCGGCTTTGTCGAATGCGGCGTGGGCAGAAGCAGGCACGATCCTGTAGGCGCCGTGCGATACAACCATCGAATCAGTCCAGACGGGTCATCGATGTGCTTTAGTATACGCGCGGTGCCTTACATCTCGGGGCGGGTGATGCCGCGCTCAGCAGCGGCACGATCACGATAAGCCTTGCACGCCATGAGGATACTCTCAGTGCCTCCCGACGTAGTCGTTCCTGCGCCGCCGTTCTGATCGACGGCCGAGGTCGGCAGCGGTGAGTTGAACAACGATAGGCACATCGCGACGACCTCAGCGTCCATCTTGCGTACGCCTGGATTTCCAAGGACGGCCGAGTAAGCGAACGGGCCATCCCCCTGGTAAACAATCTAGACGAGGACTTGCCAGGGAAGACATCGGCATGCAGCGGGTTCGAGACCTCGAACCTGCCGAATGCCTCTCTCCAAATATCGCCCATCTCGACCGTGCCGTTGTACACCGCTCCGGAGACCCTTCCGTTCTCCCACTTGGTATTTGGAAGACTGCCATGCACTTCGAGGGTCTTGATGACCTCGTCTTTGCTCAGCCCCGTTGAGGGCAGGGCATGCTGAGGGAGTAGGTTGTCGTATTTGGGAGCGAGCTTCTTCTCGAGGTCGATCGTGACCGAGTCAAGTTCGCCTTGGACCTTGCGTCGGACCGAGGGGATCAGGTAGATCATGAGCTTGAAGCCGCGCTGTTGGGAGAGCACAACCGGGTCAAGGTCCATGTGGTGTTACTTCTGAACTCGTGGGCTGCCACCGACCTTGACTGTGGCCACATAGGTTTCATGCACCGTCGTTGCGACGCCGGTCGCTCGCAAGTGTCGCACCAAGCGAAGCACGTACAGTTGTACCACATACCTGTAGCGCGAGTCATGCGAAGCGATATCAACACCATCATCCTCTGAGACGATCCGTTGTACTGTCGTGCTTACCAAAACACGACCTGCACACATGATTCGCATCGTGTCATCCCCCACATGTCAGTGAGCCAGCACATGAAGATCGACTGCTGGTGTACACAACAACTGACCTGTTTGCTATTCTCAAGCGTGACCAGGCTCCGGATCAACGAGATGTAAGGGCTCAGATAGGGTGCTACGCGGCGGGTCGACATCGCTTTTGGCGGTGGTCGATGACGGTGGTCGATGGCGAAGAAATTAAAGGCGGAAACCTGAAGGCGAGCGCAGCCCGCTCCCTCTCCGGCCCTCTCCGGGTCCACGCAGCCCGAGGCCGAGCCGAGCTAAGTGCCGAGCTCGGGAAGAGTCTTCTTCCCGCGAAGGTCTCGAGAAGACCATGCACGCCGATCCCCATGAGGAAACAAAATTATAAGCCGACCATAAGATTTGGACAACAATCGAAGTTCCACGCTCATGGGGTATATTCTACAACTTCGATACCGATACCCGCCAGAACGATTTCCCAAGCTTCCTCCCTAGTGGTGATGGCGCTCGGACCCTTCACCCGCCGAACATCCATCGTCGAGCAGTCCGAGATACCCAAGCAGAGTCCGCTTTGGAAGCGCAATTTGTCCGTTGATATCTCCCATATATTGAGTCGTTGATCAACAGCAGACGACGCCAAGAGCGTAGGCGAAAGGAAGCAGATGCCTGAGTATGAATGTTTCAATTTCGGTTAGTCAAGTCGGGTGTTGTCTCCATGAACAAATGGTGGGATCGGGCGTACCTTGAATAGTCGAAGCATGAGCATCTTCTTTCGAGATTCTGTCCTCCGATCGGTGGGAGGTTTGACCCTCCGCGGAGACCTCGAAAAGATGTACATGCACAGCATTGTCGTCTCCACCCGTGGCGACGCGAATCGTCCGCGATTCGGCTGGATCACCAGAGGCTCTTTCGGTAAGCGCAAGCGCACAAACAAGGTTTCCCAATCGCATCGCGGTAAGACTTACCATCGTATGAGGTATCAAGTCCGTTAATTCCTGACTGATGGGCGTGGAACGAGTAGAGGGGCGATTCGAGCACTGATCCTCGGCCTGATGCATCCCTATCAGACACCAAGACTGTCTGTATCAGTTTCCTGCGATGTGGATCAGGTCTAGCGACCTCCACTCACCCTGCGATCGATCGAGCAATATCCCATACGGACAATCTGGTAAACACAAGACGCGGATCAGCACTGAGTCTTTCATCGTCTCCTCCCGACGTGAGTTCTCAAGGTGGTAAACTCACAGCCCGTCCGATCGTCCCGTGAAAAGCAGTTGCTTGCCGTCCACCTCAACTATCTTGGTCGTCAATACGCATTTGCCCTTCTCCCAGCTCTCGCAAATCTTCGCGAAGCGTTTCGTTCGAGTATCAAAGTGATGGACCTGATCGAAATAGCCGCGCCATACGTCAGCTTCCCTGTCCTTATCTAACCCTTAGACCCACCTTCACCGCAACGTAAAGTACCTTTAGCGACCCATCCGAATAACCACCAATCACAGCAAAGACCACCTTCTCCCGTCCAACCGCAACCCAACAATGATCCATGATCCTCGTCTCACTCTGATCCTCACCCCCCTCAACCTCCGCCTCACCCCACGCCAAGACCCTCACTTCCTCCCCTCCCCTCCCTTCAAAGCTGATCTTCCAAGCCCTCAAAAGTTCTTGTGAACCACTAGCGAGGAGGAAAAGCTCGCCTTCGGAAGTGGGGAGGAAGGTAACTGTTTTGACGGACGTAGGGAGAGACGTATCGGTGAAGATGGGGGAGATGGAACGATTCCCTTTCGGATCGGTCGTGAGGACTGAAAGAGTCAACGTCGAGTTTTCGGCTCCTGTGGCGAGTAAGGTCATGTCTTGCTGGTTTGGAGGGTGGTAAGAAGCGACCGAACGGATCTCACGTCCGTGATGCCCTCGAAGGACGATAGGCGGTGGTAATCGAGAGGATTTGCGAGGTGAGTTTTGGTAAAAGATCTGTGAAAATTGGGTCCAACCATTAGCCACCGGGGGCGGAAATCAAGGTGACGATGTCTTCCGACCTCACCTTTCCTCGATCTATTCGGTAGTAACTCGATTGTCCCGCATAGTTCAAAAGCGTCCCACTACTCCTACTCCTCGTAGCCAGGAATGTCTCGAGCTGCACAAGCACGAAGATAGCGGGTCAGCAGTCCGTCCACACTACGCAAAGTCCTCTTCTACTTACCTTGGACCCATTCACATCCACGATAACGACATCATTCTTCACGACCGTCAAATACTTGCCCTTTTCCAAGATCCCATCCACCGCACCCTTGACGATCATCGTTTCACTCAGAGCGAGTATATTCCACCCCCCCGTCCCACCGCCCAGGACCAACCGATGCAAGCTCCTGGAACCACTCCTCGAAACGGTCTCGACGTCCCATTCGTCACTCCCTTCGAGGCGAATGAGTTTGATTCCGTTGATAGCATCCGAGTGGAGTTGATTCCGAAACAGGATTTGACCTTCTTCGCCTTCCTTCATTCGAACGAGGACGAGCTCACCGGCCCTCGTGCCGAGGACGATGAGATCCTCCGACATGAAAGCGGCGGAAGCGATCCTTGATCTCGCGGATCCGATCGAGTTACCCTGAATAAGAATAGTAGGTATCGTTGAGAGCTGTTGTGGGGTTTTCGAGTTGTCGAGGGACCAGATTTGAATCGTGTTGGAGACTTGCTCAGCCACGACGAACTTCGACGGTGAGGTCGACGAGAGGTGAAGGAACGTAGGCGGGTGAAGAGGGAAAGTCACGCAGGCGATCGGCGTCAATTCATGGGAGAGGGTGATGATGGTACATTTACTAGAGTTGGAAAATATCCACACGTTCGTGGAGGTCGAAGAAGAGGTGATCCGAATTGAGGCGATCGACGCCTCGGTGTGGATGAGCTGTGGAGGCGAGGAAGGAGGCAGCGTTGTCGAGTAGACCAACCTGGAGGCAGATGGTCACAAAGCGTCAGTCGATCTCGAATTGATCATGGGAGAACACGGACTCGCCCGTCTCCCGTAAAGAACACCCCCACACAACCGAGCTCCTCCGACACGACGCCAGAGAAAGCCTTGATCACCCCTTTTACAGATTCGAACTCGAGTTCTGCTCGGATGGCCAAACTTGAGTTCCTTTCCTCCCAAATTGTTGACACCAAACTCCCGAAGCTCACCCTTTTCCTTCCTCTTCTCCCCCTCTTCGTCCCGAGCAACGGGCCAACACCTGACAGCGCCATCCGCTCCTCCCGAAAAGACGACAGTCGCACCAAGATCCTCCCCCACCGGCTCGATCGTACAATTCGTGACGGCCCACAAGCTACGTCCATCATGACCCTCCGAATGAACCTGTCTACATCTATACGTCCTCTTGACATAATCAAGAGACCATACTCTAACCGAAGCGTCCTATGAACAAGAATGTCGCCGCCATATCAGCTCTGATCGATGACCACGCCCCCACGAGTGATAGACGGCATCCCGACCCACTTCGGCGACGCTCATAAGGGTGTGCTCTTCGATCCATCGGGCCCTCCATACCCGACCTAGATGACCCCAGAGGACCTGTAAGGGCCGACTTGCTTCAGGTGCTTCGGCATCCCATATGCGCAATGTTCGATCGTCGGAACCGGTGAGGAGGTATCGACCCGATGGTGAAAAGGCGATGGTAAAGATGGAGCCCTGATGGAAACGAGATGACGAGATGAAGCCATCAACGACCGGGCGCACCGTGAGGGGCATACTCTGATACGAACGCGCACGAACCTGGTGTCCGACGAATTTCTTGATCGCTGCATTCTCCAGTGTGACCTCTTGTCCCTGGGATGCGTCGTCGTCAACGACCACACCTTTCAACCCCCACACCAAGACATCACCCAGAATACTACCACTCGCTATTCGTATGTCGGTCAAGGAGGTATAGGTCGAGCGGGACAAGTCCGAGGACCAGAGCAGAGGTCGAAGTGGGGCGTGATAGGTTCGGAGTCGATGGGGTGGAGGAACAGCAACGGATGTCGATGCACTCTGGGTAGATGTGGGAACCGAGAATACTTGAAGTGAATTGTGCGCCGTCACAAAGAGAACGTGATCGCCCTGTGGCGAGAACTGGTAAAGGTGAGCTTGGGGCGGAAGCAGTTAGGGGGTGTGGGGTAAGGGGGTCGAGGACGTACCCGGAGGAAAGCGCAGCTGAGGATCCAGTCATCAAGCTTGAAGTGGTGTCTGACATTCACTTGAATCGCTTGTCGTGAATTCAATCTGTGCGTAGTTTTCCCTCAAGAGGTGAGCTCGTGTACGCCAACCCGCTCCTCATCCGGCCAGGACTGACCCCTCCCCATCTCGGGCGAAGGCTTCGCAAGACGGGGGCGTAACGACGATCGAGACCCAAGCCGCCTCTTTACCGCCGGCCACGAGCACGTGCCATGTATACGACTCATCAGATGCTTCCTTGACAACAATATGGTGTATCCTGTCCCTCTGGAGTACGCAGCATCTATAGTCCGAGCTGGAAGAAGCTCGAGGTCCCAAGAGGTTGACGAGCAAGTCGGTGTGGCTGCCGGCGAGCAGAGTCGGATGGGGAACCGTCGCCAAGGTTGCGAGTGCGGTGATGGGGGCTGTGATGTGTCGCGATACAAGCGACATGGTTTGCGGGGGCCGCCCAAGAATCAGAATGATGGCCTGCTCCGAGCCAGCGCGGTGTGGTTCAATGCGCGAGGCACGGAGGATGAGCTGGATGAGCTGGATGAGCTGGATCGAGTGAAATAACGTGAAGTCCCTCCGCGAGACAGGCCAAAGACAGGCGCGTCGCGGCGCAGCTCAATCACGGCTCAGCATCCTCCCGCCGCCTACTCATCACCGAACCACCTCATCTTCATCGTCCCCTCGCCTCGCCTCGCCTCGCCTCGCCTCGCCTCCCGATCATGCCACCCAAAAAGCCCACACCCGCACCGGCTGCCGCGACCTCGACGTCGTCCAATGGCGCGCGAATCCCCGCCGGCACGACCATGTTGCCCATCTCCAAAGTCCACAAGATCATCAAAGCAGAGTCAGTGATAGAGCGTTCTGAACTCTGCTCTGTGCTCGTAATCGGATGACTGATGGGATGAACTGCTCTCCTTGAAAACCCCTCTTCTACCGCTTCCGGCGCGTCAATGTGACCTGTTCGTGTGTGCGACGCGTCGAGCATCCTACACGAACCGCTATCATGTCGCTTGGCTCATCAAAATGGATTCGAATTGGACCCGTGCATCACTTTGTGGCCCTCAACAGCAAGGACGTACGACTTTGCTCCAAAGAGGCCATATTCCTCATCTCCAAAACGACCGTCAGTTCAAGTGCTCATCGCTAGGAAGGGAAAAGCTACACCAGGACCACTCCAGCTGAACATTTTACACCCCTTGCTCTCTTAGGAATACATGCTGGGTAAAGTGACCCAGCAATCGTACACCCAGGCGAGGTCTCAGAAACGCGCCAAGACGGTCAAATACCAAGATCTCGGTTCGTTCCTTTCCCCATCAATTCCATTAACTTCCTCTATCATCCGGAACTCATTCCCAACTCAGTTTATCTCTAATGTTCCTTCCTACTCCTACCTCCCTTCATCGTATAATCAACCCGGGCTCTCCACAGCGACCGTAGCCCAACGTCCCGAATTCTTCTACCTCTCCGACGTCGTCCCCCACACTTTACCCCTCAAAAAAGCCTTGGCGATCCGACAAAAGATGCAAGAAGCTGCCGAAGGGGAAGGCGAGGAGGAAATTGAACCTGATACCGTATTGGGAGGGGGGAAGGCTGAGGAGGAGGGGGGAGAACACGTTCCGGAGGATGGAGAGGGGGAGAGTGGAGCGGCGAGTAGTCCGAATGCGGTTGAGGAGGAGGAGGAGGAGGAAGAAGGGTCAGAAGAGGGCGCGGGTATGGATGTGTATCGATGATTTGTTGGGTGAATGTTTGTAATCTATGTGGAACTACCGCTTAAAGGAACAGAGAGACAGGCATAGGCTCTCGGTCGGGGGACACCAGTAAGGAGCAACCGCCAGGGGCGATGTCCCACTCTCTCTCAGACGGTTGAAGCACTCTCACTGCTCCCACATCCATTGATGGATTCAATTCAATTCTCAATTGCAGGTGTACATAGAACGGTCAACCAAGTCATCGCAAAGCAGGATGACTCCGCACCGAGCCCCCCACCTTGGGCTCTTTTACTTGGCACGTTGACCGTAAGCCTTGGTCTGATATTCTCCATCGGAAACGATCACGTCCGAAGGGGTCTGCGCCTTGCCCGTTCTCCAGTTTTCCAAGATCTTCTTCGTTCCCGAAGCGTACCTAGACGACGAGAAACAGGAAACAAGTGGACAGGTCAACGATCCGGACCGAGATGCGGAGATGGTTTGCGCAGCACTCACCTCTCTTGGGCATCGAGCGTCGTTCCAGAGTAATGAGCGACCCTGTGAGGGTAACGTTTCTACTAATCAGTTTCCAATCCCTGATTTACCACTCGCACACGCGTCGTCGCGCTTACATTCCATTCCCGTTCCCACTGGGACCCTTCATCGTGCGCCAGGGGTGATCCTTGGGCGCGGGCTGTTGGTTCCACACGTCACCAGCGTATCCGGCAATGTGACCACTCTCGAGCGCCTCGGCGATGTCTTCGGCTACGCAAAGAGCTCCACGGGCCTATGAGAGTAGCTCAAGTATAGGAGATGATGTGTGAGCGGTTGTAGTCGTCGTGCGTCAACTGGGAGACGAGGGGCCATTGACTCACGGTGTTGACGATCCATGCGCCCTTCTTGAGGTAGGACAAAGTCTCCTTGCTGTGGAAGTTTTATGGATATCAGCTCATGAAAGGCGAGAAAATGTGCCCTACACGTCAACGATGACCCACTTGATGATCCCACGCGTCGTTTCGTGCAAGGGGCAGTTGACGGTCAAGATGTCGACCTGGCCCAAGAACTCCTTGAGGTCTTCGACGCGACGAGCGTTGACCTTCTTGGCCGCATCCTCGGGCAAGGCCTGGTAATCGTAGTAGATCAATTCCTTGGGGTCGAAAGCGACGAGACGTTCCAAGACACGGTAACCGATACGACCTGCGCCGAGGGTACCGATGACCTTGTTCTCGAGATCGTAGGCGTTCTTGGCGATCGCGGCGACGTTCCAATCACCGGCCATGATTTGCTCGTGCGCGGGGACAAAGTTGCGCACGAGCAAGAGGATGGACATGACCACATGTTCGGCGACCGAGACCACGTTGGAACCGGTCACTTCGAGCACAGAGATTTTGCGCTCGTTGGCGGCGTTGAGGTCAATGTGGTCCGAACCGACACCAGCAGTCACGCAGAGCTGTGTGTATCATCAGATGATAACCCCACGAGAATCAGGTTCCCCATTGCTTGAACTTCATGGATGGCTGTATCACACACACCTTGAGGTTCTTGGCCGTCTTGATGAGATCGGCGGTGAGGTATCCCGGGTGGAAAGGGGTCGTGCTGTCCGAAGATGACGGAAGTTCAGCCCCTGTCACACTTCGAACTATGCATGAAACATTTTGAGGTCTTACATCAGGACATCGGCATCCTTGATGTGCTTTTGGAAATCACTGTCGGCTCCCTCCTGTTAACATCCGAAACGAAACACGATCGAGAGGTGGTCAGCCCAGCTAGCGCGAAGAAAGAAGACCGCCTCCTCCCCCAACTTCGCTAGAAGCGCCTCGAATGATGACCCCACGAAATGACGGAAATGAACAGCACGTACCTTGGAAGAAGAGATGACGTATTCCCACCCTTGTTCCTTGCAGTAGTCGCGAAGTCCGAGGGCGTTCTCGGTCGTGCCGAGAAGTCGGGGTTGTTCCCTGGATCAGGCGAGGGTAGGTAGGGAGGGACGCGATTCGCGGCAAAAGAGTCGATCCGATGTGGGGAAGCGGGATCGGGAGTGTGGCGTAGCGTGATTCGGAGTAGGGGGCTATGTCATGTCAGGGATTGCATCTCAAGGGTGCAAAGACAGACAGTACTTGTGAAGACTCACCTGGCGTGCTCGCCACCGTCGTAGAGGATTGCCAAGACCTGTTAAAGCGAGCATTGGTGAGAGGCAGGAGAAAGTTGCAACGTGGTCATGTGGGGCGATCGAATGCGAGCCAGCGAGGCGGGGCGGCGGCTGTCAGCGGATCCAGCCATAGACGGGATGGGTAGTAAGCACTGTATCGTACCTTGACCATTTTGTTGAGATGTTTCAAAAGTGAAGTAAGCGAGTGAGTCGAAAAATGAGATCAGATGCAGAGCAGGAGAAGCAGAAGAGAACAGGCGGATAGTCGGGAGGTGGCCGACGACGTCTAGCAGCGTCTAGCTCGGGTTCGGTACTTTCTCAGGCAGCACCGAGCCTGCAGTTTAGGGCGCCGACGATCGAGCCGGCCCGTCGGTGTAGGGTTGGCCCTGCTCTCCTCGGTGCGTCATAGACCAGCACCGAGAGGTGGGGTAATTCCCTCTCTCCGGCTCACCATCGAAACCCCTCGCAGATTACACGCTATTTTTGCCCTTGACGAAAGCCCCTTTCTCTCTCCTGATCACGGCGGCGCCCCGCAAAACTGAGGTTCGGGCGAGTTGGCCCGAGGAAAGTGCTGTGACTGACCAAGGTCAAGCCAGCCTCTGTAAGAATTCGACCGTCAATGATCCTCCCTTCCACTAGCCCCTAAATGCCGAGAATTCGGGAGCTACCCTCGTCAAAGATGCCGCCCACAACACCTGAGCCGCGGGTGGTCCGTGCGCCCAACCGGACGGAGGAGTTTAGGAGACACCACTGTCTGAGAGCATCGATCTGTTGACCATTCAAACATGAAGTCAAATCTAACAACAGACTTCGTGTTAGACTACTGGGGCATCCACTGCCATGACTCGGTGACCTTTAAACAGTCAGGATGTCATTGAGGCCGAGGGATCCGAACAGGGCTCATTCGGGGATCCGAAACCTCCCTTTACAGGGTCTTCTCGTCGATCCGATCACGATAACTCGAGGCCCAAGACAAGGAACGAATCGGAAACGAAAGCGAATCCTGACTTGACGAATCTACCTATGTAGTAGGGACATTTGCCCCGACCCCATACGGGGACTCGCAGCACCTCCGACTCGCAGCACCTCCGACTCGCAGCACCTCCAAACTTAGGCTGTGTGACCGAAACTCACTCGGTGCGCAGTCCGGCCTGCGCAGTCACGTGACTCGGTCTTCCACCTCTCCTTCTCACCATGCCTCACATGTCTCAGCCGCAGTCTCATAGGCACAAGTTTTCTACATTTTTCTCGTACAAGCCCTTTTTCGACCACCCAGTGATTCCATTAATACCTCCTCGACCCACCTCGAGGTGGTGATCTCCCATAATCATCTCCGTCACCTCCTCCCCCGCCTGCGCCTCCGAACATCTCCATCTCCTTACGCCTCTCTTCCTCCTTGGGGTCCGGGTTCTCGATCCGTTCTTGCCTTTGCTCCCGTTGAAGTTCCCGTAAGAGTGATTTGGAAGGGTGTCGCAAATGCATAAAGTTGCAGAAACCGCCTGGGAAGAGGTGAGAAGAAAATGAAATCAGCACTCGAGCCCTCTAACGTGGCTCGGGTTTCTTTGCGCCGTATTTCTCACCTCGATCACAGTTGCCCAAATCGTTCTGCCGGCAGCACGCCTCCCTAAAGTCGGTGACGGGACTGAGTTCGGCAACGAGCGGTCTACCGGCGTACCACCTCGTGTTGAGCGCCTCGACCGCGGCTTGGGCCTCGTCCTCCCAGTCGAAGCGGGCGTAAACGTTACCGATCAGGTGGTCGCCGACGTTGTCGCAGACGTGCATCTCGAGCAGGTTGCCGTACTTGACGAATTCGCAGTAGACGTCCTCGTCTGTGGAAGGGAGTGGAATGCGAGGGGGGGGGATCGCGGACGATTAAGCATACGTGCTCGCCTGCATGCAAAAGAGGCCATCAACGCCAAGATGAACGTTCGTCTGTACTCACAAAACTTGTCAAAGAAGTCTTGGAGCTGCTCCTCGCTCAGGTCGGATTTAGGGTTGGGGTCGAGGGGTGCTGAACCCGGGGGCCTGAGATGCGGGTTGCTCGACGACCCCTGCGCAATGGCCGGGTTCTGATACATGTTGTAGACGACCATGGTCTGGGAGAATTGGGGCTTGATGTGTTTGCGCGAGCATCGTTCGCCGTGGCGGCATGCACCGATCTTGAGGTAGCTGGAAAGAGAGAGAAAGAGAGGTCGCGCACGAGTCAGCACATGACGGGGAGGAAGGAGAGCATAATCGGATGGCTGTAGCTCACAATGAACAGTTTACTTTGTCCTGCTCTGATCCGTCTGTAGTGGCAAGTGCGAGTGAGTAGGGGTCAAGCTTGGTCAGCGCGTGCACAAGGTGGTGGTCGGTGCAAAGAGCGGAGTGGCAGCGCAAGTGGTGCTTACAGATCGATGCGAGATGAGAAGCACCTCCTCCTCGGTAGCTGACAAGATGGAACGAGAGGCACAAGGTCAGTGTCGGTTCGTGAGGGAAGCCGATAGATGGGCCTGAGAACGTACGACATGGTTGTCGAGCGAGTGATCGAGGCTCGAAAGGACGTGTGAACGGGCAGCAGCAAGCGTTCGCTGATTCGCGTAGTGGCGTTGCGGTCGAGCAGTCAAGTCGCTGTTCCCTTTTTGTGCGAATGTGGCCGGAGGGTGAGGTGGTCGTTCGCGGTCAAGAGTCGAGGCCGTGCGAGGCGCCCGAGTCGACCTGACTGGTGCTGACTGGTGCGAGCTGGTGCGGCGACCGCGAACTAAAATATACCGCGGATTACAACTCGCGCGGGCGAGTCTAATCAGCTCCCTTACCCCTTGCCGCGGGCCAGCTCTCGGCTCACGATCTCACCTCATCGCGCGGGAACCCAGTCCACACCGGGATCATATACGCTGCTCGGTTCCAGCACGATGACGCTCACGAGGCAACGCATCGACGCACTGAACCTGCTCAAGCAGCTCGAGCACGAGCAAGAACTGGCCTCGATCCGTTCCAGCTCGACCGCACTGCAGGACCACCTCGCCTGGACCAAGGCCAATACGGTCAGTCCACACATCCCCGACTTGTTGAGATCCTACTCGACTCGCTGAAACATCACGGGCTCTCTTAGACGGTCAAGCATCTGCGACAGCTGCTGCAATCGCTGTCGCTGGCCGGTGACGAGCACGAGTACGCCGACGCCGACGCCGACACCGACACGTGAGCACTCTTGCTCCGCGATCCCAGCCACCGTGGATCCCATGCCCTGACGCATACCTTCTGCCCCGCAATCATGCGCAGACGAGACCTTGAACACCGATTAAACCTCGTGCAGAAAAGGCTCGCGTCAGATTCCAAGAGGGTCAGTAAACCCGTCCCCCGACCGCCGGCTTCCCGTGTCGGCGAGCTCATCGGCACGACGACGACCTTGTGCAGACGTCGAGGCCGTCGAGGCCGATCCCGCATCTTGACTTTTTGGCGCCTTCGGTACCCTTACCACCGCCACTCCCTTCGACCTCGATCGTACTGCCCCACCTGTCCAGTCAGGACCGTAGGGCCTCGATCGCCATCTCCTCGGCCAGTATCGCCGCCAGTCCTCGTCAGGCGCCCCCGGCCTTCCGTGACCCCTCCCCCTCCAACCCACCACCACAGCAGCAGCACCGCTCCCCTCCCCTACCCACACCAGCATCCTTCTCACCGCCCGTCCCTCAAGGTCTCACGCCACCCGCGCCCGCCTCTGCGCATCGGAGAAGAAGCTCCTCGATCGACGATTATTCACCCGACGATTACTCGCTCAAGAAACCGAGAAGTTACTCCGGATCGAGCGAGCGCTACAACGGAGCCCAGGACGAGCAACCACGATCCTACTCGCCGTATCAGCCACACGTCACGGAGGAACATCGATCGAGTTACGACGAGTCCTCGTTCGACACGCCGCCCATCTCACTCGCCCCACCTCGAGGTCACCTGTCGACCGCTTCGTTCGATTCACCCGTCGTACCACTACCCCGACCTACGATCCGCATCCAAGGCGAGGACCCCAACGAAGAGGACGAGGATGACGAATCGCGATTCGAAGCATTGCACCACCGATACCCTACACCACCGCCCGGTGAAGACGAGGACGAGATTGACGAGGAGAGTGGGATCGGTGCACCGGCACCGGCACCGGCACCGGTCAAGGGCAAGAAGGGTTCCGCACCCCCACTCAAGAAACCCATGACTTCGACATCACCTCCATCTTCCATCTCAACCGCCTCGTCTACCGTACGCCATCGATCGATCATCCCTTCAATGGCGCGCAAAAAGACGCCGGCCCAAGAACTTGGCCTCACTTCCGCATCGTCGATCACCGGCTCGAGCTTGGGAGCCTCGACGACCTCTTCGGATCTCTTATCACATCACCACGACCTCCAATCCGAACTCGTGAACGAACTGACCTCGCTCTCCTCGCGACTCAAGTCTTCAACGCAAACCTTTTCCGATAACTTGGAGAAAGATAAGGAGGTGATGGAGACGGCGAAGGACCATTTGGAGAAGAACGCGGACAAGATGAGTAAGGAGAGGGGGAGGTTGACCGCGGTCAAGAAGAAAACGAGGGGGACGACGTGTTGGACGATTGGGGTCGTCGCGGCTGTCGCCGCGGCTTGGGCGACCATGTTCTTCTTGATCAAGTTGACTTGATCAGCTAGGAGGACGACAAGTGGGGGGAAGTGGGAGAGACGAGTCCAGGCGGCGCGAGTATTCTTTAGTGTAGAATTTGCTTTGCAGTGCGACAATGATTCAAACTCTGAATAACTTCTTCCAGCTCCAGAAGAACCAATGCTCGAGCCATGTCGACTCACCAACTTGTCGCGATGCCAAACCGTGTTAAAACGGAAGTCGACAATGGTGTCTGATTTGCGAGCGCGGGGGTTTGGCCACCGTCCATTCATCTGCTGCTCGGCCCTTCACACCCACGACCACGCAAAAGGACGAACACCACAACAGCAAATTCCGTATTCAGTGGATCAACAACCACCGACCATGTCCAAGACTGGAGCGTATGGTAGCAGTACGGTCAAGGTTCGTCAATCGTAGCTCCAGCCTTACTCTCGAAGGGGTATCAATGGATGAGCTGACCATTCTTGTTCATACTCGTGATATAGGACACGGCATTCCGAGTATGTTCACTACGATGTACCCCAGAACTCGCGTACAGCCCGACTAGCATGCGATACCCGCTGGCTTCGATACGCGCATCAAGTCCAGCCGTCTACGATGGGTGGCACCTACTGATCCGAATCGTCCTGGTCGATCTTCTCACTCTGCAGAAAGAATGGAACGACGAGGAATATACCAACAAGGCAAAAGAAAAGGTAGGGCACGAGCCACAGCCGGTCATTGAAGGGGGGAAAGAGAGGGACGCTTTCCTACCCCGGGAACGAGGGGCCCACTGACGTGCTATGTGCTTTGTTCTACAGGACAAGGAGTTGCATGATCGAGCGGTCGAGAATGAAGAGTATCTGAAGCAGGGTAGGTCATTCCACTAGCTCGGCTGATGAAGCAACCCTCCGTCTATGATGCCGAATCGCTGACTCTCAATGCTTCGTCCTACTACAACACAGGCAAGAAGCCACCCCGACGAGCCAAAGAAGACCTCCCCAAACCGACTCAATTGATGCAAGCCCGTGATGCACCTTTGGAGCTAGACAAGAACCTCAACAAAACGATCATCATCAACGCCGGCGCGGGGCAAGGGGCCGGACAACCGGGTTTTCATTGCGATGTCTGTCGCCGCACGTTGAAGGACAGTGTTGCGTATTTGGATCATATCAACGGGAGGAGCCGTAAGTTCACAGGACGGTGTATCGTTTCGTTGTTTCTTTGGTCGCGTAACGAATAACTGATCCCTACGTTCTTGCAATCCAATCTCTCTTACGCGGATGTCGGAAACTCGATAGATCTTCGGAGGCTAGGCCAAACGACCAAAGTCAAGAAATCAACGCTCAACGACGTACGACAAAAGATCGCCGAGTTGCGCGCCAAGACGGCGCAAAGTGCCGAAAGCAAAAAGTATGACTTTGACCAACGGCTGAAAGAGATTCGCGAGTTGGAGAAGCGGAGCAAGGTCGAGGCCGCGGAGAAGAAGAGGTTGATGAAGCTCGAGGTTGAAAAAGAGAGGGAGAAGGAGAGGATGCAAGGTGTGGATCAGAATATGATGGCTGCCATGGGGTTTGCTGGGTTTGGGTGAGTGCCGCTGAGATGAGGCGAGATGGCATGCATGTGGACACGTCTGACTTTTTCGTGGAGACATGGTTTGACAGGACAACGGCCAAGTAACCCGGTCCTACCCATGTTGTGTTTTGTTACTCGCTTCCACTCTCTTTCGATACATGTTGTAACAATGACCTACCTCCCTGCATGACAAGGCGATATCTGCAAGCTTCTTTTCGGAAATACCCTTCTTGACTCGGCGCCGGCCTGAGCGCTTAGCTCCACCTCTCTACGGCATCACGCCCGCCCACATCCACTGAATCCTTTCAACCGGTGTAACTATAATTGACGTGGTGGCAAATAGTTTCCTAGCTCGGGGCCTTCGTGCAGCCTGTTTGGCCCACGGAAATCCCTCCCAGGTCTCACCAAAGATGTTATTTCCCCCTCCAAAAGCAAACTACGCAGCCAAATCGCTCTGACGGAAGGAGGATCGGCTTGGCCCGCTGAAGGCAAATTGTGCCTCGTGTGGATTTTCGGATATCGATTTGTGCACGGAGGGGGTGCGTAGGGTAGTAAAACTAAAGAGCAATGGATTGAGAGCTGTTCCGTGGGTACTACTTACCTGCACGGAACGGTCGACTGGTTAACGGCTGGAGAAGCGAGTTCAAAGGGAGCGCTGGCCTCGGAAGACGGACAGGAGTGATCGAGCTTCGTTCCGAAGATGGGGGCTTTTGTCTGCCCGAGGTGGCCGCACCAGGGTTTCTGACTTGGCAAGTATCCACAAAGGTTGGGGTACGGGAACCTGGGGAGCCGGGGGAGCCTGGGGCAACGGATGTAGCCCTGGAGGGAAGTTGACCGAGCAAAAAGTTTGATCGATCAACGAACGCCGTGGGCATCTGATGGGATCCATGGTGTTTGAATATTGTCCAAAGCTCACGCTCACCGTTCATCATTCGGTCAGGCCGCCGGCTGCTCTCTAATCAAGACCTTTCACCTGATCGTTCAATTTGGCAAATTGATGAACAAGCAGTGATGGGCGGACGCGCTTTCAAAAGCACGCTAATCAGATTGATCGTAGCCTCGCGAAAGATCGATCCCCCACGCTCCGCTTTTTATTTATCCCCGCTTTATGGGCGGGTTTGCCCATCCAAGTTTCCGGGGGAAAATAATGAGTTGGTATTCCCTACAGCGGTCGGTGTGAACATTTCACGCCCATGACACAGATACATGCGCGGGATGATCGATGATTCGATGGTTCGCAGGCCTCCTCGGAGGAGGGGCCGAGCTTCGTCCCGAGGTCGCCCGCGTTAATCGATTTGGGTCCTGCAGAAACTCAAAGCGAACCGAGGCACGCGGCATGGATTTCTCTCTGGCCGAGACCACCCGAGGTGTACCAAGACCAGAACAACGGTCCGGTCGTTGCCGGTCGGCGACTGGCCCAGCGGCCCAGCACCAGCAGCTGCATCAAAAGAAGATTTGGGAGCCGACGGTTTCGACGCCGCAAAAGTAGGCACCGAGAGAGAAGGTTCAAGAAAAAGGTGTCAGCTACCTATCAACAGGTCCTCTGATCGGGTGTCTTCAGTCATCGCCTGGAGAAGGCCAGAGGGAATGCTGCCGCCACCGCGAAGTTCCGGAGACCAATCTACCATAGGGTTAGGGGCCAGTAACCGATTTGTCGGGGCAATCGCAGGTGCCAATGACTAAGCTCAATTGTACGCCCAATTGCGCACCCCTGGCTGATCGCGCGTCGGAAAATTTCTAGGCTTCAGTAGCTATGCTGTTAACGAAGTTCATTAGAAATGAGAGAAGAAGAAGAAAAGAACAAAGAAAAGGGAGACAGGAGACAGGAGATAAAAAGGCAGGTATAACGCGGGGTTTCAGAGGGGTGAAGAAGGACTGAAAAGCATGCTGGACTGCGAGAAAATGCTGGTCAAAACGGTCTCCATGGGATTTGACGATGTGATGCGGGAGCACCATGCGGTGTAGCCTCCACCTTGGATTTGGTCTTCCGGCTTTCGAATTTCAAATCCGTGGCGCATGCGCATCTCGATACGTGCACTCAAAAACTACTAAAAAACGAAAAGGGTTCACGAGGGAGGCTCAATGTAGGAGTTGGATCTGGCTAGGCTAAACAAGGACAAGTCGCCTGCCACTTGGCACCGCCAACATAGAGTTCCGAAGTGAAACCAATTCAAAAGCAACAGAAAAATAAAAGGGGACCTTGTCGACCGGGGTGGAGATCGCTTGAAGACCGTGTGCAGCTGGAGGTTGATGCGTACACTAGAAGTAAGCTACCTGGTGCCACAGGATTAGGGTACCTGCTACTCACTGATGTTAAGGGTACCGTGAACCTCCTTCGATCCGAGCAGGGGAGATCGGTCGATTGGGGAACGCAGTGGAGGCTGCTTGTCTGGAGAGTGTAGGCGAGGATCGAATCGTCAGTCCCGCCTCGCCCGTCGTCAAGGGCCGGCGAGCACGATCGATCCATCGATCAATCATCAAGGGTCAAAGCAAAGACTCACGGGGTACGATCAAATGCAAGCGGTCTTGTGGACCAGGAACAACCTCGGTGACATGCCGTAGGCGCCATTCAACACTCGTCGACGAGTGGATAGGCTGATGGCAAGCCGTGACGCAGTGACAGACGGTAAGGTCCGAGTGGCAAGGTGGGAAGCGAGAGATCACGGTGAGAGGGGAGAGGGGAGGAGTGGGGTGGGGTAAGATGATGGAGGTGGGGTGGTGAAAGACGGACGCGAGACGGGTAAACACGAGTCAGTCCGACCCTACGCCACACGAACACGATCACAGCTAGGTGGTTACTCACACTTTTGACGGTGGGAGGGATCAAACGACAGACTCTACCACACCACAAAGGCTACCGTTTCGTATCCTCCTGAAAAGGGGGGCGATGTCGGTAAGATTAAGTGGTGCACAGAGTGTGGAGCGCGTCGACGAGGGAAGGAAGGAGGGGGAGGGAGGCTGGCGAAGGCCAATTGGGAGGGGTCAAAGACGAGTGAGGAGAGACGACCACCGATAAGACACGAGGTAAACGAGAGACGAGGTAGACGAGATGTGAGGTGGGATGGGATAGGGTGGGATCGGGTGAGGGGAGGTCAAGGTCAAGGTCAAGGTTAAGGTCAAGGTGGAATCGAGGTGGGGTGAAACGGGGGTCAGGTGAGACGAGAAGGGAGGGGAGGGTTAAGCAGTGTTGAATGAGGTTGAAATGAGGGGAGGGGGGGGGGGGGGAAGAGGTGAGGGGGAGGTGAGGGGGAGATCGCCACGATCGAGTCAGCATCACCGCTCGGGGCACAAACAAGCTCGTCGAGTCGCACCAGGCATCAACTCACAGGTAGAATGAGTCATCTCATCGATATGACGCCACGCTGTGAATTTAAGCTTTCGATCTTCTCCACCTCGGCCGAGGGCGGCCGAGAGCGCCGAAGATCTGAACGGAGAGGGGACCGTGCACCCGACATCGAGGCCAACGATCCATCCCTCGGAAAGACCGAATACCTTGTCGATCAAGCTCGATCAAGTCTCAGCAAGTACGTTGAGCTCCAGGGATCACCCCAGAGTTGAGATCGCCGCGATCGATACAGTGGTGGTCGCTCCTGTAGCTTGGTCCGAGTTGGGACGACCCCGATTCGACCTCGATGGCCGCCGCCTTGACCAGGCCACGATTGAGAGCAGAATGATGAATATGGGGTACAGGCTATTTTACGGTACATTCAGAAATATTCCGATATACACTCGATGCTCGCGATCTCTCGATCCCAAAAGGGATTTGTCGGCGGACCGGAAGCGCTGCGCCTCGAGCCTCGCGCGCCTTGCCAGCCATCGATCAGTCGATGTCGATTCTGGACTCGCATATTTTCGCCGGCCAATTGGATTTTGGACGGGGATCAACACCGCGCAGCATTACCTCTCAAGTGCGCTCCACATTTCCCTTGCTTCCGCATTCTCCTCTCTTACCCTCCGTCTCCACAACCAGTCTTGTCTGGAGAACTTCTTTGCTGGTTCCTTCCTTCGACCACACCCACCCTTTATAACTCGACCAGCTTAGCCCACGATGGTTGCTGTTCCCATGCCCGTCGCCGAAGGCCCGAGGCCTGCTGGCAAAGTCGCTGTCGCAATGTGGGTTTTTCCTATCCCGAAGCGGGCTGCGAGGCCTTCGCCTCGGAGTTCGCCTCGTGACCCTGCGAGATCTTGCTCGGCCCACCGCGGGCCACATCAAGAGAGATGTACTGACCCATACATGACCATGTCCCGCCCTGTAGGACCATCTTCGCCGCCTTTGGTGGTTTCCTGTACGGTTACGATACCGGATACATCTCTGGTGTCAAGGAAATGCCGGTTTTCGCTCGCCTCCTGGGTGTGCCAAACACGGACCCCGCCACCATGGCGACCGCCCCCTACGTTCTCACTTCGGCGACGAACGCCCTCATCACTTCCATCTTGTCCGCTGGGTGAGTTCGAATTTGGCTGTAAGATATGCGATGACTACTGCTCATGCGACGCCAAACTCTTCTGTTAACAGTACCTTCTTCGGTGCTTTGAGTGCCTACCCGGCCGGTAAGTCTTGCGAAAGAGAGGAAAAGAGGAGGCGTCCTTGCTTGTGCATGTCCTCTGACAGCGCTCACTCGCTACAGGTGACTTCCTCGGACGTCGTTTCGGTATCATTGCTTTCCTCGGCTTGTAAGTTGACCGAAATGACATGTTTGATACATGGATACCGACTAGAATGTTTCGTTGCGTCGTTATCCAGGTTCTGCATTGGTGTCGCCTTGCAAACGGCTGCTACGACCATCGGCCCCTTCGCCGTCGGCCGTGTTTTCGCTGTGAGTGAAGTGAAACACCCTCTTTTAGCTTCCATTCGGACATGTCAGCTGACGTTTGGACGATTTGTCAATGTAATCTCACAGGGTCTCGGTGTCGTAAGTCATGCTTGCACATTCAATGCCCCACTCACGGCAGCTTTTCCTGACTAGCGACTTTCGGCCGTCTCACAGGGTGGAAGTTCGTGCTTGGTTCCCCTTTACCAATCCGAGTGCGCCCCCAAGTCTATCCGAGGTGGTATCGTCAGTTGCTACCAGTGGATGATCACCATCGGTCTCTTGATCGTGAGTCGGCTCTTGCTTCTATTCTGCGCAGCGACCTCCACTCCGGGAAAAGATCGGTGCGTTAATCACATAAACGTGTGCAACCTTGACCCAACAGGCTAGTATCGTCGTTGAGCGCACCAAGAACATCAACAGCGAGGCCTCGTACCGCATCCCGATCGGGCTTCAATTCATCTGGGCCTTCATCCTCGGTGGTGGCTTGTTGATCTTGCCCGAGTCGCCCCGATGGCTCTTGATGAGGAACCGAGAGGAGGATGCCCAGCGCTCGCTCGCCCGCGTTCTCGGTACCGACATCGACTCAGCCGCCGTCAACGAAGAATTCGCCGAGATCGCGGCATCGCTCCACCATGAGCGATCCCTCGGTGGCTCGTCTTACATCGACTGCTTCCGCAACGGCGAGGGCAAGAACGGCTTGCGCACCTGGACCGGTATCGGTCTCCAGGCCCTCCAGCAGCTCACCGGCATCAACTTCATCTTCTACTACGGCACGGCCTTCTTCCAGAACTCCGGCATCGAGAACCCCTTCACCATTACGATCGCCACCAACGTCGTCAACGTCGGCATGACCGTTCCCGGTATCTTGTTGGTTGACCGAGCCGGTCGCCGCAACATGCTTCTCTACGGTGCCATCGGCATGTTCGTCTGCCAGTTCATCGTCGCTGCAGTCGGTATCTCGGTCTCCAAGGACAACTTGGCTGGTCAACGCGTCCTCATCGCTTTCGTCTGCATCTACATCGCCCATTTCGCCGCCACCTGGGGCCCTCTCGCCTGGGGTAGGTTTTTCCCTCCCGGTTCTTCTTCCACGGGTATCTTGAAAGGCCAATCTGACTCTCGTCCTCTTTGCATTTTGCCCCAGTTGTTACGAGTGAAATCTACCCTCAACAAATCCGCGGCAAGTGCATGTCCATGTCGACCGCTTCCAACTGGCTCTTGAACTTTGCCATCGTGAGTCCTGGTTCTTTCCCTCAGGGCAAGTCAATTCCGGATACTTTTTGCTGACCTTGCTTGCATCTTTCATCATCAGGCGTACTCCACGCCCTACTTGGTTGACAAGCGTCCCGGATCCGCTGGTCTCGCCTCGAACGTCTTCTGGATCTGGGGTGGATGCTGCGTTTTGTGCACAATCTTCACCTTCTTCTGCATTCCCGAAACCAGGGTAAGTGATCCATCTCCTCATGGTCGGAAATCCGCGTTCAGCGATCGAAATCTGACCGTGTCTGTTTCCCTCATTCAACAGGGTCTGTCGCTCGAGCAAGTCGACATCTTGTACCGCAACTCGACCCCTCTCAGGTCGAACGCGTTCAGGAAGCGCATCATCGCCGAGAACATCCACGACGACGACAAGGAGGCCTACGCCGCCCCCAAGAACACGGGCACCGTCGAGCACAAGGAGGAGGAGGCCGGCATGCGCCAGCTTTAAAGCGAGTGAATCGTGTCTACGTTTTTTCAATCCCCGACGCCCTTCGGTTCCTCTCTTCGCTTCGTGCCTCTTTGGTGTCTTAGAAAAACCCAAGCCAGTATCTTGTCGTCCAGTGAACTTTGTCTCCCTAATATAGCCTCGTTATTTATATTTTCGAGTGGTTGTGCAATTGCAATCCTCGTTTCTCCCCCACATCGTTCTGCTCCGGCCACGACCAAAAGCTCTAGTTGCGTCCAAGCCGGTCTAGACTAGGTACCAGATCTTCATCGGCAGATCAGGCCTCGGGAACAGCGGAAACATTGAACTAGTCTCTTAGGGCTGTGTACTGCAGAGCCTAGAAGACCCTCCTGAAGTCCTCACTTGCGACCCGCCGGGTGATTGGCATCACTAGAACTGCTGGTGCTTTTGGGAGATTCAAACTCGATTCTCGGTAGCGAGGTCTAAAACCGGGACAAAATCGAGCTTGAGCGGATCGCCTCGCCAAGCCGACGATGAGGCCAGATCGATCAGTGTTGCCGAGCCCCTGTGCCCGCTGTGAGCGTTCTGTTGCGCTATCTCGAGGATGACAGTGATCATGAATCCCGAGTCTATCATTATCCTCGAACGCCAGCCCTTAACAATGCAATGTTCCTTGGCTTACTCTAGGCAACACCCTCTTTCCCCTCTGGCGGCTGTGACTCGGAGAGGCGCACAGGTGGCCTCCTCACCTCCTATAGTCGGTCAAGGATCTCACGCGCGCCATCGTAAGCACTATCACGACTTAGCCTCGGACTCGGTACATCGTTCCGTTCGTTTGACTTCGTTCCTGATCAAGATCACACGATGATGGCCTAGGCGAGAATATTTCGAAGCTGGTAGAAACTGAGCCAGAACGTCGTCAGTCAATTGCAAAGGCAGAGGGAGCTAACAGCTCCTCGGCCCACGGCCAACAAATCGCTGGCAATCGCACTAAAGAGGCCTGAGCGCGCCCGAGGCCCGCTAAGCGCGGAGTGCAGCTGCCGCGCCACTTTGGTGCTTGGGCTGACTTCAGGTCCCGGCTCAGCGTTCGACTGCCCGACCTCCTTACCCCGCCCCATCGGCAGTCTGGACGACCTTTCGAGACGACTTGCCTGAGCCATACCCCTTGTAGCGGCTACGCCCGCTTTCCCCATGAACGATGGCGCCATCGGCGGCCCCACCGTCGACGCAGCGACCTAACGCCGGCGGCGGCGGCAGCAGCAGCAGTCGACGCCGTCAGTCAGCAGCGCGGCAGCAGCAGCAGCACCAACACGACGACGACGACGATCGGATAGGGCCCTACTTGATAGGCGAGGAGATTGGGCGTGGCTCGTTCGCGACCGTGTTCAAGGGCGAGCGCTATGTGAGTCGTTGTGGCCATGCTCGACTGCTCGCTGACTCGGGGTTCGTGGATCGGCGCGTCGGTGTCGTCGTCGTCGTCGTGTGTCGGCTCCGGGGGCGCGCACATGACTTGACTCGCGATCGGAACGAGGCGACCGACCGGACGACGGCCAGTTCGGGACCCGCCACGGATGATGCCATCGCCCCCACCCCTGTTGCCCTTCACGGGAATACACCTGCTGACACTCTAGTGATGGATCGAATTGGGTTCCACCGTCACTTAGGACAATCGAGCAGAAGTCGCCATCAAGTCCGTCATCCGGAGTAAACTCACCATCAAGCTGCTCGAGAACCTCGAGTCCGAGATCTCGATCCTCAAGGAGATCACCCATCGCAACGTCGTCGAGCTCAAGGATTGTCTCGTCAGTACAGCTCGCAACATCTCACATCATAGAAGCGTGGCCTGAAAACTGTTTTAATTCCTGCCTACAGAAAACCGAGACACACATCTATCTCATCATGGCCTTTTGCTCCGCCGGCGACCTTTCGGTCTACATCCGGAAGCGCGGCGAGGTCGTAGCCCTGAGTGCGTCCAATCAAGGTTTGCTCCCGGCACAGTCCCGCAGTCTCAAGGACTCGGAGCTACGTCGCGTCCTGTACCCTCACCCTAAAGAGGGCGGCCTCAATGAGACGATCGTGCGGTGCTTTCTCAGTCAGCTAGGTGAGAAAGGCTTTCGTTTGTTCTGTGCCGGCCTCGCTCCGTCTTGCTGATTGCATGGTACACTACAGTCGACGCACTACGATTCCTACGGTCAAAGAATGTCATTCATCGAGACATCAAACCTCAGGTGGGTGATCAGACGAGTTTCCAATGTGTCTCCGATTCGTCGGGCTGAGACTCTCGATCTCCGATCGCCCCATAGAATCTTCTACTCAAACCCGCCGATGCCGAAGATCTAGCCATGGGGCATCCTCCTGGGATTCCGGTGCTCAAAGTCGCCGACTTCGGCTTTGCCCGGTGGCTGCCTCAGCAAAGCTTGGCTGAAACGCTGTGCGGATCCCCGTGAGTCCTTTTCGGTTTCGTCGTTCCGGCCAGCATGAAGATGGAATGCTGAAACAACGCAACGGTGCTTATCTACGACAGTCTCTACATGGCGCCCGAGATCTTGCGATATGAAAAGTACGATGCGAAAGCGGACTTGTGGTCGGTCGGGGCCGTTCTGTACGAAATGTGTGTTGGCCGACCCCCTTTCCGCGCTCAGAACCACGTCGACTTGCTCCGCAAGATCGAGCGCGGCGAGGACAAGATCAAATTCCCCGATGAGCAGCGCGTCGAAGAAGGTAGCAACAAGACGCCGACGAAGGTTGCTCCCGATCTTAAGGCTTTGATCCGGCGACTACTCAAACGGAACCCACCTGAGCGCATGAGCTTCGAGGACTTTTTCCGAGAAGCGGCGATCGTAGGCACGAGCGGAACCGCGAGCAACCTAACGACCTACTCGATCGATCCTTCCGCACGGCGAGGCGTGGTCCCTGAGGTTCCGTCAGCAAGTTCGGCCGCCCAGTTCTCGACGGTGGCTCAGAGCGCGGTACCAGTGCCGCCTGCAATTTCGCCTTCACCGCCTCCGGCACGGAACCCTGTCTACGCCGATACTGAACCGCCACCCTTTGCTCGACGCCTAAGCTCGGTGACGCCACCCTTACGGCCAAGCACTTCCGGCACCATGGGTTCGGGACAACACAAGCGGGTGCCCTCGAGCTTTGTGGCAAAGTACGTCGTTGGAGGACCGAGCCAAGCCAATTCGGGGGCCACGACCGCGGTGGGTGATGACAACAGCAAGGCATCATCAACGACAACGACGACGAGGCTACAGGATGCCTCGCCCGTCGTTGTACCGTCGGCCATCCAGCGGTCTTCGGCAAGGAATGAAGCGAGCTCGACGAATGCGTCCATGACCGATTCAAACGATTCCATCGTTGGGCGCGACTTTGTCGTCGTAGACAAGCGCACGGTCGAGATCAACGCGCTCGCTGACGAACTTGCGACGCAACCGAAGCGGGAAGGCACCGTCGCTCGCCGACCATCTCGTGGATTTTTGTCTCGGCCACTCAGCTCTCTTGGCAACAACATCTCGCCATCCCCTCCTTCCCCCGTCACTCCTTATCCTCCAACTGCTCCGCCATCGACCGATCCAATTGCGACAGCGCATCCCAACGCGGCGACCCCCTTCGCCGTTCCGCAGCAACGTCCTGGCCCCACTCCCCATCCTTATTCCTTGTCGTCGTCACCCCGACCCCTCTCCTTCCTCTCGAGCTCGCCGCGTTCGCTGAGCCACCCCATTGAGCGCTTCCCCGGATCGCCCCTCGCCCTCGTCGGAAGCCCCACGGCTGCCATCGCCAAGGCCCTCAACATGGCCAGTTTAAAGCTCTTCGGATCGCCGACCGATGGCATCCTAGTACGACGAAGCTCGGCTCGGAAGCCTCTGCACCGCACAGCGCAGATAAGCGACCCCGAGGAGGAGCGTATCTTGGGAGTCCTTGAGGATATCGCACAAAAGGCGCTTGTGCTCTTCGACTTTGCCGACAGCAAGATCTTGCAGCTCCTTCCACCGACGCCTCAGACGTCGTCCTCGACCTCACTCGGTACCCCGAGTTATTTCAGCCATGTCGCAGCTCGAGAGCAACAAACTGCGGCGTCCAACTCGGCCATGAACCCATTCTCCGCGGTTCCGACTCCGACCTCACTTCCGATGCGACGCACCTCGTCTTCGTCTTCGTCGGAGCCACGACCGTTGGGTTTGGCGTCGTCGGCAAAGGCCGACGTGGTAGCAGCCGAAGCTTTGATGCTTTATCTCAAGTCGTTGGCTTTCCTTCACAAAGGGATCGAGCGCGCTCGGCTGTACTGGACGGTCCGATCTCCTGACCAAGCGCCAAGCAGTGACTTCAATGATGGTGAGCTCGATGCAGATTCTCGTTTCTGCCCGAATTATCGGTGCTTACTTCGTATCCCAACCGTACTCTCCACAGCCGTGCAATGGTTCCGCCAGCGCTTCAACGAGTGCTTCGACAAGGCGGACTTTGCAAAGTCGCGTTGTCAAGATGAGATCCCCGAGTCGGCGACTTACGCCGAGAAGCTCGTCTACGATCGTGCGCTCGAGATCTCTCGTGCGGCTGCGGTGCACGAACTTAAAGGCGAGAGCCCGACCGACTGTGAGACGGCGTACGAAACTGCTCTATGGATGCTTTACGCGATCCTTGACGAGACCATGTCGGGGAGCGCTCAAAGTGCGGTCGAGGACGAGGACCGCGCCGTTGTCAACAAGTTCGTGGCGAGCATCACGGCTCGGCTCCAAGCCTTGCGTCGCAAGATCGGCTGAACGATGGAAAATAAACCTTGGCCGCAAATGCTCTTTTCTCTTGTATCTTTGCTAGCTCTTTATCTTGGACCCGTTTTCGGAAGCAGACTCGCAGGCCCATTTCCAACCCCTTTCGCCCTGTGGCTCCTCGTTCTTCACTTATAGCTTTCAAGCCCTCTTTGGAGCGTCTTTCTTCCCCGTCCACACTAGTTTTACTGTGCCCTCTTTGCTCTCTCTATCGTCGAACTTCACCTTTCCCCCCATCGTTCATGCCATTCACCATTCCAACAGACGGTTCCCCTTTCCCCCATCCTTGCTCTTGTACCCATGCTCGCTTTCAGTGATGTCTCTCCCCACTTGTTCTGATTGTACAAACTTCGTTTTAGTTCTTTCTCTCTTTCTTTGCACGCTCGGTTCGATCGCAATTCTATTATCACTTCGCTTGTTCAACATGGGCTTGCTAACGGGGAGTCTAAAATCTTAAAGTGGAACTAACGGCAGGCGGGACTACTCGGCTTCATTGGCACGCTTTGCCAATCTGACACACTCGACTTCTTCATTCGTCTCGACGACCCAGGCCTCAATTTTGCTCCCTTCTAGTGTCAACTTCCTCCTGCCTTGCTCCTTTTCATTCCTTTCCCGATCCACTCCCCCTCTGGTGTTGCCAAGCTTCTCGATCCACTCGAAATGGCGCAACACGTCGGCGCGCAACCTCGCCGAATGCTCTCCTATCCCACCCGAAAATACGAGTGCGTCCATACCCTCGGAGGAAGCGAGCGAGGTGACGATGTAGGAACTGAGGAAGCCCAACAATCGATCGAGGTAGAGGTCGTACGTCAATCTGGCCCTCTTTTGCTCCTCCTCATCACCGGAACTCTTGCCACCGGAAGCTTCAACGTCCGATGGGAATGCCCGCGAAATGATGAGACCGAAATTCGACGTCCCCGTCAAGGCCTTGAAGCCCGAGTCTTTGTTGAGGACGTATTCGGCTTTGGAGATGTCGCGGCCGGACCATTGGACCGTGTTGGAGCAGTCTGGAGTGTGGTGGAAGATGAGGGACGGGTCGAGGGAACCGGCACGAGTGCCACCGGGTAAGCCTGTGTGTGGGAGGTACGTATCAGCTCCAAAATTTGGGGGACATGACGATTGAGCTCAAAGTACCAACCTTCGAGCGGGGTCAATCCCATAGTCGTATCCTGACTCTTGCCGCCTTGGATCAAGCAACAACTCGCTCCACTTCCGAGATGAGCAACGACGATGTTGAGCTTCTGGACAGGCTTGTCGAGCGCTTCACTCATTTGATCGACGATGTTAGCGTAACTCAGACCGTGGAAGCCGTAACGTTTGAGAGGTACGGGGGTCTTGTGCTTGGGTTCGGAGATGGCGTAGCGGGTGCGGTAGTCCGGGATCGACGTGTGGAAGAGCGTGTCGAAGCAGAGCACCGAGGTGGCCGAGGGGAGTTTTTCGAGGCATGTCTTGACGATCAACATTGCATGATGATTCTGATGGGGAAGTGATGGAAATCGTCAGTTCGCTTTGCCCGCCGTGGGACCCGGATCGCGGTTCAGTCTCTAGCGCCCCACATGAAGAGGTGCGAAGCTTGACACGGCGTCCATGCGATCGAGCGTCGCTTGTTCCTCCTTAGATCCGTGACGAACGACGATCGGTTCGGTAGCTGTTCCTCCATGCACGATGCGATGCGCGATCACACCAATCTTGTTCCCTTCGCTCTTGTTCGACTTGGAGTCTGATGATGGCCCCTCCCCCTCCCCCTCCGCGAGGACACGTGTGACTTCGCTCAGAATCGCTTCGAAAGTCGCCTCGTACGAAGTCGCCTCATCAAGTTTCTTCTCGAACGGGTTCCCCTTCCCTGAATCGTCGCTGTCCTTGTAGTGCCTGAACGAGAACGAGGGCGGACTGTCGCCTTGGACGTCCTTGGCCGAACCGGAGAGGATGACGCGCTCCGAAGCTGCGAACACCTTGAACTTGATCGAGGACGAGCCGCAGTTGACTGCGAGGGAGAGTGACATGATTGCGATTGTCGGTGCTGAGAGATGAGGACAGGGCTCGAGAGATTGGCGATTTGGGACCGAGCGCGCAGGACTTCGGGGCGGTGAGCGAGCAGAGATGCGTCGACGTCATTCTGCTCTTCTCCGCGAGCGCGTCGGAGCGTCAATTATTAGCACTCTGTTTTTGTGCCCAATTCAGCGAGCTTTTTTTTTGGTTTTTTTGAGATGATGATGATTCCATTTCAAAGCAGCGAGAATAGCAAGATCAGGGTTAGTATAGGAAGTTTGGGGGGAGGGGGCAGGTTTTTGACTGGTTCAACGAGGAGCGAGAGGACTACAAATCGGCCGGCGGACAACGGAACCGCTAAAGCCTTGATCCAACAGTTTGTGTTTTTGGGTGGGTACCATGAAAAAGAAAGTAGGGAAGAGGAACACTATCAACCTCGAGGTGGGTACTGGGGTTGGCCGTACGGTTGTTGTTGGTATTGGGGAGTACCTTGGTCGTACGACTGCTGCAGGGGCGGCGGTGGGGGAGGAGGCGGTTGCTGCGGCTGCTGAGGATATCCACCACCATCTGTAAAAAGAAACCCCGTGTGTTCTCTTTGCTTAGCCCTTCCATCCAGTCTTTCAAACATTGGCATGAAGTCAATGCGGCTCACATTGCTGTTGCTGCGGAGGCCCACCTGGTCCGCCTCCGTACCCACCACCGTATCCTCCTCGGGGACCATAACCCTGGTTCATCGGAGGACCATTACCAGGCGGTCCAGGTGGTCCACCACCACCAAAGCGAGGTCCAGAGCTAGGAGGATGCCTTTATAATGCGGGTTCGTGGTTAGCGTTCGTGTGGGTCAAGGCAAGGCGCTCGAGCAAACGTACCAGTTAGCAGGGATACGCCAAGGCGGAATCTTTTTCCCATTCTCGTCGCGAGGAATGCCATCATCGACAGGAACCGCCGCCGGTCCTCCGGGTTGAACGCCGGGTGCACCACCAGCAAGTGGCGGAGCAGCGGACGTCTCGCCGAGTTCGGCCATGAGAGACGCGTATTCGGAATCGAATTGCTGAGCTCGGCCGGCGTCGGGTCCGAAGCTCGGTGCGGGGCCTCCCGGTCCAGGGGGACCACCAAACCCGTTCCGTCGTTGGGTACAATCCCTGTATAGGGTGATCGTAGCCCAGAGTCAGCGCTGATCTCGAGTTCAGATCGACAATTGACGGAACTCACCTGGCCATGTGTCCGGCTGATGATTGAAAAGGTGTTCGTGACAAGAGACGCAGCAGCGAGCGCAATATAAAAATGCAGCGTGAGTTATGGCATGCTTCGAGAATAATTCCTTGCGCGCGAGTGGCAAACGCTGTAGATCGCCAACTAGCACAGCCAGGTCGGCAAGTTGAACGTACCTCCACCACACACTCGGCAGATGATGCCAGCAGTCCAGTTCTTTTGTTCGGGGCAATCATACTTGCGATGTCCAAGGCCTCCGCAGTTCCTGTAGCAAAGGTGCAACAGCCATGTCAGTGCATGGTGAGTAAGTCGATACGGGACTACTCACTGGCAGACTTGGTTCTCATCGTCACGAAGGGTACCGTTCAAGGACGCCAGTTCACGCAGTTGGTTCCTCTTGTGGTCGTTCTGACCTTCCGGAATGGAAGCAGCCTGTGGTGTACCAAGAGAGCGGAAAAGGGTCAGCTGGTCCGACGCGAGCATGGCCACACGTCGCCGACGAGAACTCACAGTCTCGATAACGGTGTTGATGAGCTTCACGCAAGCCTGAACCTTCTCCTCCGAGTCGGCCTGGATCAAACAATGTAGCTCTTCATTCTCATCATCATCCCGACCGCCCCCAGGACGACCCTTTCCATCCTTGACCGATCCTTTGCCTCGAATACTGATCTTGGCCCCACTCTCCCTTTCCATCTTTTTAAGCGAATTACCGCGCGGACCGACGAGCAAACCGAAAAAGTTGATCTCGGGGAAGGTCTTGACGGGGATGTAGACCTTCTCCTGGGGTCGACCGGCGTTTTGTCGTTTCGCGACGAGGTACTCGGTCGGCGGCTTGAACGCCGGATCGAGCTTCATCTGGCGGTCGACGAGGCGCATGCGCTCGTCCTCGAGCTTGCGTCGGTAGCGCACCTCTCGCGTGTTGGTACGACGTCCATGGCCGTCGTAGGTCGGCGGGGGCGATGGTGAACGCGCTCCGTCGGGGGGTACGACGTCGCCTGACCGCAGCTTGCGAGCAATTTCGTCGAGTCGGAGTTGGGCTGTGCGAGACGCGGGCGGGAGTCAGTCAGTGACAGTATGGACTACAGCTGCGCGGTCTGTAACGCACCTGCATAGCGTTCAAGTTCCTTCTCATTAACCGCACCGGCGATCGCAGTCGGCATCGGCCCTTCAACCTTGTCGGAACCCCAACGACTCTTGCGTTTCCTCTCGCCCGGAGGACCATCGGCAGCAGGGGGAGGAGGTGGGGGAGGTGCATCCGAGCCTGTGGGTGGACCCCAAGCCGATTGTCGGTCCGAAGGTGCGGGCATAGGGGGAGGAGGGACCGGTCGTGCACCACCGTAGTCTCCACCTCCTCCACCACCACCCCGGTGATCGAATCCAGCGCCTCCACCACCATTGGTCCATCCACCTCGATCGTTGGAGCCTCTATCATCTCGTCCAAAATCACCTCCTCCCCCTCCCCCTCCACCTCCTCCGTACCCGTACCCGTTCCCTCCTCCGTTGCCATATCCTCCTCCTCCCCCTGGCGGCCCAGCCTGCTGACCCTGACTAGCCTGAGGAGGGGAGCCACCTGCTCCTCCACCCCATCTTCGGGGAGCAGCAAGAGGTGCGTCGTTGGAACCCGTCTGGCGAGCGTTGCTGCGTTGCCACATGTTGATGATCAAGCCGGTCTTGCTATGCGAGAGCCTGACTTGGGTTGGGTGCAGGACGCGTCAGGTAAAGTCAGGGTCTCGAGGGCGTCTGGACTACGAAGCAAACAGTGTGTTCAGTCGGGCTATGGATCAACTGATGTGGGTCGATGTGACAGCCTGTGGAGGCGAGACAGTCGGCGGTCGTCAAGGAGCGGGAGAGAGACTGGCGCGGATGTGACTTGGGCAGCACGACGATCAAAATTGGGTCGGCGCCGCTCGGACCGCCTTCTCCGCGCTTCCCCACTGTGACTTCGGCGACTGAGACTCTGACTCGGACATCCTAGGTGGGGAGGCTTCTCTGATCCTGAACGTAGTTCGAACATACATCGGCATTACCATGCCTGCTCATCCCCTCTCGCTCGAGTCGCATACAGCCACGGCCCTCTGCCCAAGAGTCAAATCTTATAATCTGCACCAAAGTTGATCTCGCCCCCTCTCCAAGGTTCGATCGTCACACCAACTTCTCCCTTCGCTTTCCTCAACACGTATCGCTCCAAGTCATAGTTCGCGTACATGGCCTAGAATTCCCCACGTGAACGTACTCAGCGTCATCGAGTCTTTCTGATCTGCTCAAGCGTCGGAACGCCCCCGAATGTGATAACTTACCTCGGCCAACCTCATCGCTTCGACGTGTTTCGGTCCCGCAATCGCTCGCACAGCATGGGCCCTCGACATCCAAATACACGTTGCGAGGTTACTTCCCCGCGAATTGGGGACCCCGAACCAATAGGCCAATAAGCCGCCAGCCTGCAGAAGTGGATAGGGGTGACCAGAGTATGATTAGTCCCGGAATGGTCTGCATGTGCTCACAAAGGTATCAAGACTCACGGTCACTGCTTCTTCGTGAGCTTTACGATCGGCTTCGTACAAGTCTCTGGAGGGTGAATCCTTGGCTCGAGTCGATCTGAAAGCGACAATATACCTGCGCAAGTGAAGATTCCTCAGCTTTGGCCTTGCTTTGAGCTACCTCCTATCGGCCGCCGAGCGCAAGGGGTCAAATTTACCATTCCCTCTCCAAGTGTACAGGCAACTTGATTTCATCGAAATTGAACGCCTCATCATACGGCTCGTAAGCGTAGTCATCCGTCTTGGGCTGGAATGCATGCAGCGCATGGTGAAGGGCGATGGATGCCTCGTCGATGGAAGGGAGGTGCGAGCGCGTGTACCCCACCCTGGTGTTGGTCACGTCTCTCAGAGCGTTCTCCTCAGTCGCTGGAGGAAGAAGGGAAAGTAATGGAGGGAGGTAGAGCAGTTCGGCTGAAGGCGTTCGACGAAGGTCCGGGAACCCGGTTGGAACACGTGACCTTGAGGTCGAGGTCGAGCCACCTCGTTCGGCGCTCGTGCGAGCTTCAAGTTGACTACCCGAGATGGGGCAGCGAAGATCGGCGAAAGCGAATTCGGGCTCGGATGCGGTGTTTAAGGAGAAAGGGCAGCCTGTGGCTTCGATCCTGCAAGCTGGCGGGATGGTGCTCAACGCGAAGGTGCCCAAGTTGCTCAAAGTGTTTCCAGAGAAGTTCTCGCCGACCGGGAAGGAAGTCGAGGCCGCGGGGCATTGTTGTAATGTAGGGCCAGGCATCGGAGAGTTGGATGAGTAGTGGGTAGAGTACAGTCCAGGAAGCACTGGTCAAGTCAAGATCGTGGTACAGGGTGACTCTCAGGGTCGACCAGCCTATCGGGTTTCATTCTGCTCAGGCCGCCAAAATCGTCGCTGTCGCATCATCTCGCCATACCATTGCGCGATCTCTGGGCCAGCGATACCTGGCAGCTCAGCCAGCTGATCGAACGCACAGCTGTCAGCTGAGGGCGGCGGACGGGTGGAGCCGGGATGTCTCAGGGGTTCATAGAGCGAAATCTTGTAAGACAAGCTTGAAGCCGAGTTCTAGATGTTGCTGTAGTTGAGACGGAGTCTTGGTTCCGTGCCACCGCAGCCTGCATTGTGCCGAGCCCGAATCACGTGACTTGACTCGGAGATCTCTGGCGTCATTCGTCGAACGCGTCGGACTCATGCGAGACGGTGCAGGCGACGAATGGGGCTATCCTCGCTCGTCATTCGGTCATTGTCATCGCGACGACTTAATCCCTTGACTCGAAGCAACCGTTTCCGTCACGATAAGGTGGTCAAGAAGAGACGGTACCGCTCCGAGTTCAATATCCAGCTACTCAAAGTGAAACCGGTGGTCGGACCACCCCGACCATCCCGATTTTGCCACGGAGCAGGATGCGCCTGGATGCCTATGTACCTTGACAATGGCGAACTCCTTTGGGACCTTCATCGACAGAGGGGGATGCAAGAGATTTCTTGTGGACTCGAGCTCATCAACACTATCAATGGATGAGGCACTATCAGCGCAGACTTCCACTGCACTTGGAGCATGTCCCGGCGGTCGCGTCGCGCCCTGTCGAGCCAGCGTGCGCACCCCCACTTGGACTCGCACGCGCACTCGACCGGCAATTCGCAGTCGTCCTCCCCTCATCCTCATCCCTACCACTCCGCCGACCCCAACTACTTCCGCCATCCTCCAGCTTTTCTCGAGTATCTCGAGTATCTCGCTTATATCCGCCCTCTCACTCACCCTTCCGCCTCATACGTTTCACAATGGCTCCCTCTTCCCCACAGCCGACGAGCTTCACCTCCGCAACCGACCTCCTCTCGTCGTTCCAGTTCGAGCGGATCCTCTCTGAAGGTCAGCCGCACAAGTCACTGTAGACTCGGGACAGATCTACATCTCTGAGCTTTCACCGGACTCAACCATAGATCCCAAAGCCCATGTCGCCTTCTTGCTGGGTACGGCCATCCCTGAGAACACCCATGCCCGTCAACCGGCGATCGTCAAGGTGGAGAAGACGGCATTCGCACCCGATGAACTCCAACGGCTCGCGACCTCTTCAGCATGGGACAAGACAGACACTGTGGGTCAAGTTGGGCTGTTGACTGCCATCGGGGTCTGAACTCTCAACTGACAGTCTGCAGATCAAACTTGACCAACAGGTCACGTGCAACAGCATCTACGGCACCTTTTCGAGTTGGTTCGCACCTGGCCGAGCAAGCCCTGATGCCCAAATCACGTCGATCTGTCCTGCGTCCGAAAAGGTGAGACGATTTGGCGAATCAGTGCGACAAAATCACCGCTGAAGCAGGTATACCGCGCCCTTCTCCGAAGCACATCCGCAAGTACAGCCAACAGATGACCCGGATCGTGCGCGAGACACCCGAGCTGTACGAAGCCGTCGTGGAGCCCTACATCAACTCCTTGGATCCCAACCAGATTAGCTGGGTCTATAACATCCTCAATGGCACTTCCGAAGCCGAGCACGTGATCCTGCGCGACGAGGATCCGGAAACCGGCTTCGTCTTGACCCCTGATCTGTACGTTGTGGGGGCCCATCCGTCTGACGACCAAGAAACCTGGCGACTGACACCCGTGTCGCATGGGCGCAGGAAATGGGACAAGAAGACGAGCACATCGCTGTACCTGCTCGTGCTCGTTCAGACAAGAGCGATCCGGTCGCTACGTGACCTGAGACCCCACCATCTCCCACTCTTGACCAAGATCCGGCGCGAATGCGAAAGGGTTGCTATGGAGAGGTACGGCATCGACGAGGGTGAACTGCGATTCTTTATCCACTATCAACCGACTTATTGTGAGTGGAACGTACCGATCGGTCCATGCTATATCGAGACTGACCGATCACTCGGCCCACAGATCATTTCCACATTCACGTCGTATGTCGGGGCAAAAGTTCGCCAAGCAGTTGGAAGCACAAAGCTCACCTTTCCTCTCTCCCTCTTCGTCCTACAGACCCACGTCAGCTACCTCGGCTTCTCCGGCATCACTGTCGGCCAAGCCCACCTCTTGGACGACGTCATTGACCTGCTCACACTTGAGGTCTCGCTCCCCACACCACCGAAGAATAGCCACTACGCCTCGCGCACCTTCATTTACGCTCTCGGGACCGAACACGCTCTTTACTCGCAATTAAGGGACGCGATCGCTGCTGCTCCTGTTCAGGCTGCTGATGACCAACGTCCTCAACTTGAACGAGGGACGTCGAACTTGCAAGCTGTGCATTTCGCCGCGGCGGCGGCAGGCGTCGTTTCGTGATTGATCTTGCCATACGTTCAGCGACGAATTTAAGCAATGTGGAAGTACTTACTCACACTCGATGGCAAGTGTGGATCATATGATAGAACAAGAGTGATTAGATAACGCGTAATCGAGAATCGATATGGATCAATTCTTGGGAGGAATGAATGATCTCTGTCTTCGTCTTTACACGAGGGATGAAGAGAAGACGCCCAAGAGAAAAAAAAACGTGCGACGAGACAGTGTCCATACGTCATTTTTTTTAAAGGAATGAATGGGATTTTTGTTCGTCGTTACACGAGGGATGAAGAGGAGACGCCCAAAACAACGTGCGACGAGACGTATATAGCAGTTGATGAACGAAAACGAACGATGACGAAACCCAGCACAAGGAAACCAGCGGAAGACGAAGACTACATCGAGACCCCAAGATCAAGCCAACTCTTGCGTCTCGCGCTTCTCGAAAGAATCATGACGATCCGTCGCTGTCGCTGTCGTCTCAGTCTCGTGCAAGTGCCCGATTAGAGGCCCGTCACGACCGTGTTTGAGGACGTAGCGCGCTTCAGCGAGGACGAGCGCGGTCGTGATCAAGGTGGCGCCGAAGGCGATCCAGCCAACGATGATTTGCGACTTCAAGGGCTTGTTGGTCTTGTCTAAGAGCGGAGAAGAAAGGGTTGGCGCAGGGAGTGAGCAAAATGGCTTTGGGAAAGAGAGGGCCGTCGCTGAGCAAAACTTACAGCGAAGATCAATTTTGCCGAGAGCGACAATTTGGGCGAGCACGGCGGCGGGAACACCCGTCTTGGTGATGACACCAGCTTTGGTTTGCCAGATGTACTAGTAGCGAAGCGGCAAAGGAAGAAGTTTAGTCCCGTAATTCTAAGGGACGCGATTCGGCTCGTCGCTTTTCAAAAAACGAATTATTCGTTCACTTACAGTGGCGGGGATGAGGGTACCGATCCAGCAGAGGCACGAAAAGCCAAAGAGCACCTCCTTCAGTCGGACACTCGAGAGCGTTTCAGGCTTGTTGCGCCGGAACAGGGCCATGGCGAGAACGAAGGTGCACAACAAAGAGGCCAGACCCTGTGTGCGAGACGGACAAGAGTCGACAATGGTCAGTCACTTGTGCTGCTCCCGCGCGCGCCCGTGTTTCGGAGATGCTGGCTCAACTCACGGATGCCTGAGATCGGAAAATCGTCATTTCAGACGACAAAATAAAAAATGGAATCACATGATTTCAGTGTACAGACTCGTGAGTGTCCTCGGCCAAGCTGCTACCCCGCGACTGCGACAAGGTGGGGAGCCGGGGGAGGGGGCGGCTTTCGATTTCTCGACGTGAATAACCAACTCACGGCGGCTACGGATCCACCGGCGGCGAACGCATTTTGGATGTGCAAGGTTGCACCATTAAGCTTTTCACGGACATCATGCTTCTGTTGATAGCCTCTATTGACGTGTAGAAGAAGGAAAGGAGTGTCAGGGAGGTGCCATGCACACGGGAGAAGCATTTTTGGCGGACCACAGGCAGGCAGATCGAGCGAGTGACGCGCTGCTCCGCCGGCCCCGAGGTCGCCACCGCCACTTCTTGCACTCGCTCCTCGATTCCGCGGTGTACCAAGAGGAATTCGACGTACGTGACAAGACCCCAAATAGCTGCCAGATACAATAACGACGGTTGAAAATGAGAGGGAGCGCCATTAATAAAGTTGCGAAGGATAGCCCGCCCTGACGCGCCCTCTCCCCGATTCAGATGAATGAAACGAAACTCACCCAGAGCAGCCGTAGCGGTGCACAGCGCCGAGGTGATGTTGAAAAAGACGATTCTGCAGGGGGCGAATACGATCCATTCCAGAAGAGTGATGGCGAGATGGAATACGGGTTGTCGATATGGGTGTGATGCGAAGCGTTTGGGCCACAGGAGGTTCAGCCAATCGTTAGTCAAGTGACCGTTCACGCCCGATTCGACACCCGAAGGCAGCGTGCGGTTGGCTCGGCGAGACATCGCCAAGCTGAAGCGAATCCGCACTGCTAGAGGTGACATCTAAACTTACCGTTGCCAGCGGAGGTAAGTCATGGGGATGAAGTTGATTTTGGATAGAGTAGGAGTATGTAGGGGTGAGGTGTGTAGGTGTGTAGAAACAACAAGACGGGCGAGGGACAAGATTGGGTAGTGAGACAGAGGGGAAAAAGCGGAGGAGAGGAGAGGAAGCGAAAAAGCCCCAACTTTGTCCATCGAAAGCTGGGGAGAGCGCTGGGCGCTGGGGGAGGAGCGGAGTGGCGTTTTCGAGCAAGCGGTGGTCACTGGTGAGCGAATCCAAGCGCGTGGATTGTCCCAGCGTGGCGTTAGGCCGAGCTTGCGTGCCTGAGCGCCTGGGCGTGCACCATGCTTGTTGGCTCGGCCAAGCGAAGGGGAGCGGTTTGGCGGCGGCAGAAGACACCCACCATCAAGGAAAAAACCCTCACGAGTCCTTGCCAACGGGGTCCAGCTGGCTCCTTTCCTCGGTCTCTGCCGCCGCGTGTCAGTGCCAAGGCCGATTCGGCCGCGAGCACGGTTCGTTCGTTAGAACTCCTCTCGCGGTTCTGCGCCGCTCTCTCCGCCTTTCCTCGGGAAGGTGCTCCTTTCACATATGTCGTCCGGGAGACTTTCCCGCGGCAACAAAACCCTATTAAGGTATGCAAGATCGACGATCGCATTCGGTTTAGCGGTGTCGTGACTCGTCGGGCGGTGCAGCGGGCGCGCCCGTCCGTGCAGATCGGCCAACGCCTGGAACTTTTTCGCTCTGACTTGCAAGGTGAGGCTTTCGGCTCGGCTCTAGGCAACCAACTGCTGCCGAGACCGAAGGGGCCAAAATGTTTCACATGCAAAGACAAAGCTTGGCTTAGCTCAAAATTTTGGGGCTCATGATTGGTCGGGACGGTCGTCTAGGTACCAAGACTGATGATTATCTCTGCACGGGGAGGTGCTTCGACACGACCTTGTCGTATTGCCCGATCCGATGTGCCATCCGTGCATGTAAGGCCGCCGTCTCGCTCCGACCTCAACGTCACCCTTCCAATTTCGGATCCGCGCGCAAGATGGCCTTACGCCCGGATAGCTCTCGTTTTCTCTCTTAGCCTTTTCCCTCATCGTTAACTGGACTCAACCCCTCGCCTAGTTACCAATTCACCTCGTACACATCTCATTTATCGACCGTAGTTGCATATCTCCTGCAACTAAACTAAACTCAAGCGTTTCACCGTCTTTTCTTCGTCGTTCGTCGACTTCGCCCTGTGATCGCCGCTTCGCAATTTCGAATTGCGTCTGGCCCTCACATTCTTTTTTGGCGGTGAAACGCTTGAGTTTAATTGCAGGGGATATGCAACTACGGTCGATAAATGAGATGTGTACGAGGTGAATTGGTAACTAGGCGAGGGGTTGAGTCCAGTTAACGATGAGGGAAAAGGCTAAGAGAGAAAACGAGAGCTATCCGGGCGTAAGGCCATCTTGCGCGCGGATCCGAAATTGGAAGGGTGACGTTGAGGTCGGAGCGAGACGGCGGCCTTACATCCACCCCGGCCGAGTGAGGTGACGATTTTGAGGCGCCGAACGAAAAATCCGAAGTGTTGAAGAGACAGGGGGCGAAAGACGAAGAAAAAGAGAGGCGAGAAATGAGCGTTCCGAGAACGAGCATCGCGAAAGTCACGACTTGCTTTTATGGGGCTGTTCTGTAAGGCATCCCCTTACAGTGCACCCTTGGCCTCTGGCGGTCTGCGGGGCCACGCGGCACTGGTGTAGGGTATGCGCCTCTGATGTGCATAAAATACAATCTGTCGTTCTTGACCGCTAGGCTAAAAGCAAGTCGTAACTAGAACTCGACAGTTCTAGCTACTCAGAGGCTACTTATGGGTCTGTTTCTGTAAGGCATCCCCTTACAACTGGAGCCCGAGCAGCCCCGGTCCCCCTATACTTGAAACAGGGGCGTGCACTGCAAGTTTGGGTCTTCGGAGACTTAAAAATTTAACGGCTAGTTCCCAGACCAGGCTTTAGGTCGCCGCTCCGAATCACTGCCAGAACGATTCCAAGTTGTCGATTTGACGACTCGCCATATTCACCAGCTGCCGCATGCTAAGGACTGCTGTAGGTAGGCCCGGCACAAGGTGCGGACCACTTGCTCGCCCAATCGATGACTCCCATCTCCGGGTTTTTGCAAGACCTTCACGCGTATGATCAATTAATCGTGCTTTTCAGATCATGGGCCAAGCGCTAGCTCGCATGCCTTTGTTGTTCTCGCGCAGACGAACAAATGCCGATCACGTCGTCGTCGTCGTCGTCGTCGTCGTCGTCGTCGATCGCGTCGGATTGTGAAACGCTAGATTGGGTTGCAACTACTCGCCTCTGTAGATACCTAAATGATCGGGTGTTGGTGTCCGGATACCGATTTGCACTTGGAATCAAGCCGTGAGGCCCCATCTACCTTTTGATGAACGAGAGGTCGGCTAGGCCGTTCTCTGAGAGCTGCCGAGCTCTCGTGCCGGTAGGAGGATCAGACTAGGCGGTCGGCCTCCACGAGCCGATCGCTGCCTCGACTCTCAGCTCGGAAGCTAGTTCCTTCATCAATCGAGCAAGTGCATATAGGCAATAGGCAAAGTCTTGAATTCCATCAAGGTCTTCTCTGTGGTATGGTAACACCCTTGCATGTACCCGATCAAGCCACGACCGTATCCTCCACTGCAGCTGCGACATCCCCCTTTAATTCGGCCGAGGTCATCGTCGCGCCAACTCCGAGACTGGCCAACGCGTCCAGTTCGCCCTTCTTGATGATCTTGGGAGTCTTTACGATGGTGCCGATGGTCGTGTACCCGACGCGTGGCGGGGAAGTCTTGTCGATGATCTCGGTCGTGACGGGGAGTTTGGCTGCGGCGAGCTTCATGACTGCGTTAGGCGACGAGAGATCGGTGGTCAATTTCGCGGAAGCAGATTGACCGATCCCTATCCTTTTCAACGTACCAGCATGTGCAATCTCGGGCCTGAGATTGGGTCCACCGACTTCAAAGATGACACGCCCGACGCCAGCTCTAGTCGTACCGGACCGAGGAATAGATAATATGAGCACCGAGTTGAAAAGCGGGTCATTCAAAGGTCAAAGGAAGGAAATGCTCAACTGACCGACATGCCCAGAATTCGAACGTTCCTTTACCCTTCCCCATACGTGTCTCATTACCCTGTTGAATGGAGAGTTGCATACACTGTGTCAGCCCGCCTGCAGCTCTACTCGTCGAACTCTTGACTATGTTCGCAATACGCTTGGAGGCTGACCTTGATGCAAACGGGGATATCCGGGAAAACTCTCAAGTATCTAAAGAGACGAAAACAGCCATGTCAGTTTCTCTGTACGCAGTTAAGTCCCCCGGTCTGGCATCATCGGCGCGCAGACTGACACCTTGCTTCCCCTGACGGTCTTGAGTCCCCTCTTCAACGCGGCCTCGGCGGTCTCGAGGTGCTTGGCACTCAGTCGACAAGGTTCGTTGACGCGCAGACCAAAGTCGCCCCATTCGAGGGTGGTCGCTTTGGTCGAGCCACCGAGGGCGATGGGCAGTCGTCCCTTGTGCGCCTTGCGGTACTTTGTCCGTCGGGGCATGAGCGCCTTGTGACGTGCTTGCATGCGTGGTTGGAAGAGGGGGAGTGGGTGGGCGTGGGAGGACGAGGAGGGGGAGGAAGACAGAGACGATGATGAGGCGAGGGACAGCGATGAGCTGGACAAGAGCATCATTGCTCGTGAAGTCGACGAGGACGAGGACGATGTCGCAGCGGGGCCGAGTGTCATCCTCGACAGGTTCGCCATGAGTGTTGTAGGGCGAAGGAAGGACGCCATCCCGTCGAGTGGATTGAAGGGGTGGTAATCTTAGACGGTGGGTGTAGGGAGGAAGCGAGGGGAGCTCAGAGCGAGCCGGAGGCAAATCCAGGCGAGCCTGAGCCAAGGGGGGACCGAGGGGGAGCGTCACGCCAACGCGGGTCTACGCGGGTCGCGCACGGACCGCCTGTGCGCGATTTCGCACTGCACCGGCGCCGCTCACGCTCTCCATCAACCCGAGTCGCAGCACCGTCTTGGCTCGGCTTCAATCCACGCTCTCCTCTCGTCCTGCGGCATGCGATAGCGCCCTTCCTCAGCACCACGTCCTTCTCGCTCATAGAGGCTGGTGCGAGACAAAGATGGAGGCAGAAGGGGTCGTGCTCGAGCACGCGCCCGCGAAATCGGCGCTCAAGGACGTGGCCTATGGATCCGTAAGCGACAGCTCCGCACATCCACGGCGACTCGCTCTATAGCTGATACACGCCGTCGTCCCTCAGGCCGCAGGTATTGTCTCCAAGCTGTTCGAACATCCCTTTGATCTCGTCAAGGTACGCGGGCTGAGGGTTCCGCATCGAAGCTGCTCAAGCTGACGTACCGCTGTGCTCGACACTCCCATCAGGTCCGATTGCAATCACAACCTTTCGATCAGCCACTCAAGTTCAACGGACCATGGGACTGCATAATTCAAACCTTGAAAAAGGAAGGCCTGCTCGGCTTATGGAGGGTCAGTCTACGGCGCACTCTGCACGCTTAAGTTCCACTGCCCTCCTCGGCACTCTTCGGCTGACCTTAAGCGATCCGTCTCCTCCGTCGGCTCACCACCGTGTGACACGTCAACTTTTTCGGCTGCAACTTCGGTCGGCCGACAAAGGGTGTATCAATGCCAGTCGGAGGCGCCATGGCCGAAAACGCGACCCTGTTCGTCGTCTACAACCAAACCCAGGCCTTCCTTCGTCGTCTGTCCCCACCTCCCTCAGCGCCCCTCGACCCCTCCGCCGCGCCCGTGCTCAATTTCTCCCATCTCGCCATCTCCGCCGCCGCCGCAGGGGCATGCGCCTCCTTCGTGCTGACCCCGGTCGAGCTCGTCAAATGCAAGATGCAAGTCCAAGGCTCGTTGCAACCTTCCTCCGTGCCCCAACGAGGCCCCGTCTCCATCTTCCGTTCCATTCTCAAAGTCGACGGTATCAGGGGACTCTGGCTCGGTCAAACGGGGACCCTGATTCGTGAAACCGGTGGATCGGTCGCCTGGTTCTCCGCCTTCGAATTCTGTTCGTCCCAACTCATTGAACGAAGGCATCGAGCAGGTCAAGTGTCCAAGACGGGTGCACGAGTGACCAAAGCCGATTTATCCGCATTCGAACTCATGGCTTCAGGAGCGGCCGCGGGTGTATCGTACAACTGTGTTCTCTTCCCAGCGGATTGTATCAAGTCGACGATTCAAGTTGAGGATGAGATGAAGGGGGGCAGGATGGTTGGGGAGAAGAGGAGGTCCTTTCTGCAAGTTGGGAAGGATATCTATAGAGCGAGGGGGATCAAAGGGTTGTATCAGGGGTGTGGGTTGACTGCGTTGAGGGCAGCACCGAGCTCGGCTTTGATTTTTTACATGTACGTTGTTCTGCGTTTCGTTTTCTGGGGGCGGTGAGGGCAGGAGTACGATGCTAATTGTCATCTTCTTTGACGCTCGAAACGCACCCCCACAGCTATAGTCGGTTAGAGAGCATGTTTGGTTGAGGCCGCAAGAGTAGCGGCGTATCTTAGACGTAGAAAGTTTTTGTTAGGTTTATGTACCAAGATTGTGCAACAGAAGGACAAGTACTCAGGTTCAGGTATAACGATAAAGGGGTTTGCGCTCGCTCGCCAATGTTGAGCCTACTAGGCCTGTCCGCCGGATATTTTGTTTGGTTCGATCCGAATAACAATACCGAGGCCTGTCGAACTTCTGGAAACGTATTTTGCTTCGGATAATTAAATATGTACTCTGGAGCTGGAGTAGGACACTATGCGAGGGGCAACAAAAGTTTGGGGGGGTTTCCGGCTGTTCCCCGTCAATCGGCCGAGATCTGTCTCGGAGACGTCTATCGAAAACAGCCTGCGAGCCACGCGCTATCGGGATCGTCGCGCGCAGTATCTCACCTTCTCGCTTCAACAAGGCTTCAACTCCAAGCTTAACAAACGAGTATCCAATATCTGGATTTCATCCCAGACCGACCATGTCTAATCTCACAGGGGTCGTCGCATGCATCGACTTTGCGCAACTAGGGCACTCGCCCGCTCTGCTCGCTGCGGCGCTCAAAGAAGCGATGGGCAAGACGGGGTTCATCTTCATCAAGAACCACGGGCTGGAGCAAAAGGTCAAGAAGATGTTTGACATTTCTGGTGAGCGAGAGAAGGGAGTTGGGATACAGAGATGTTCGGTCTGCGGGGCTTCTGCGCGAATCGAAGGGGGAATGCGCTCAGCTGATACGACTTGTGGGGTGCTCGTTTCGTAGAGACCTTCTTCCGGGAGGAGACGATGGAGGAGAAGCAAAGAACGTCTTATCAAAACAATCGGGGGTATACACGGGTGTCCCAAGAAACGTACGTCCAAACTTTTTCTTGCTACCCTCCTTTCCTCAAGGTGGGCCTCACTAGAGCTCCGATCCAACAGCCTAACGATGTTGACCGCGTCTCCACAGTCTCGACCCCACCAAACCCGATTTAGACATGAAAGAAGGCTTCAACCTCGCCTACGTATCCCTGACCGACCCACCCCACCCAGTCCAACCCATCCCCTCCCTCCTCCAACCCCATCTCACCTCCCTCGCCGAATTTGAACAAAGCTGTTTCGAGTTCTGTCAAACCCTTCTCCGAGCATTCGCTGTCTTGCTAGACTTGAACAATGATTTCTTCACGAGGGAACTTCAGCATAATGAGGAGTCGGGCTCGATCTTGAGGTTTTTGCATTATCCCAAAGTCGAGAAGGGGCAAAGTGTTCACCGAACAGAGCTGGGGCTCATAGGTCTGTTCATGATCAAAGGCTCCGCGTACTCGTTCTCTTGTGCTGATCCTCATCCTTCATCCACAGTGACTACGGTTCCCTTACTCTCCTCTTTCAACGTTCTTCAGGAGGCGAGGGATTGCAAATCCTTCCCTCTACCGAACCCCTCGATTCCCCCAACTGGCAAAACGTCGGCCTCGTCGAAGACGCTCTACTCGTGAACATCGGTGACGCACTCGAACTATGGTCGGGGGCTATCCTTAAATCGACTTTACATAGGGTGGTCTTACCTCCGAGGGATGAGGAGGTTGATGCGGTGCAGGAGAGGTTCAGTATCGCTTGGTTCAACCAACCGAAACCGAGCGCGAGTTTGAAGACGGTCGTGCCCGTTTCTCAGATCTCGGAAAGTGAGTCGGTCTTGGAATGCACGGGTGATAGGACCATGGTCGCTGATGAGGACTTGACAATTTACATTAGATGATCTATCGAGAATGGAGAGGAAAGGTGTTGTCGCGGGAAGTGATATCACGGCAGCACAGCATCTTCAGGCGAGGTTGGCGAGCACTTATAAGTTGAAGTAGGGTGCTACAAAGGGAAGTATAGACTAGTATTTGTTGCGATCAGTAAGAAAATGAGACACGTAGAACGTTTTAACGAGTTATTGAGACCGCTCAATCATCATACATCTCGGAACTGGTGTCTTCCCAGAACGACCAGCTCTCCCGTTCCTCGCCCCCGCCCCCCTGATACGCGAGACCTTTCTCCTCGTCTTCGATCATGCGCTGTAGCAAAAAATCGTCTTCATCTGGCTCACTCGTCCCCATCGTCAAGTGCTCAGTGATCGTCGTGGCCGCGAACCCAGTCCTCACCGTCGAGTTCGAGTCGCCTGCCGTCGTGCTTCTCGTGTCCCTTCCGGTTCCTAGGGAACGATCGGCTGCGTCATTCATCTCCTCATCCTGATCCCCCTCGCGAATGGCTTCCACACTTGTCCCGTTCTCCTGTGCGTCCGTTTCATCCAAAGCTTCCCCTTCCAGTATCAGCATCGGCGGAGCACTCGAAGCTCTAAGAAAGATCTCTGCCGACGGAGGACCTTCAAGTCCTTTCTCCTGAATCGTGAAAAGTGCTGGTTCGGTCCTAGCCTCTCGTGAGTTTTGAGGTGGGAGCGGAGGAGTCCCAAAGCGTTCTTCCCGGTACAGTCCGGTTGTGGGTGTCTTGAACGACTTGGGAGTAAGTTGCTGAGGATTTCGTTCCGCCGCCAAGGAGGTGTTCGGAGTGGAAGTGAGGGGTCTCATTTCTTCTATTTCGAGTATTGAGTTCGTTCGAACTTGTTCGCTTGCCATGCGAGCGAGCGCCGCGGCGTATCGATCGTTCGAGGTCGCGGTTCGGTCGATCGGCTGCTGCGGAGGCAGATAACGGTCGGTGAGCACTTTCACGACGATCGCCAGACGAATAAGTGACGGGCGATCTTACCTGTGGTGGTATCAAAGATGCATCATTGAAATTCGGCCTCGTCCAAAACTCGGTCCCAACTTCCGAATCAGACGACTCGGCGAACAAACTAGGCGTACGACGATCGCGATCGGACGAGGAAGAATGCAGTATCGACTCATAAGGCGTGATGGCATCTTCTTGATCCCAGGGATGGTGAGCAAGGTCATGATTGAGTTGATTCAGGTTCTCCAGGGGTGATCGGGGGTGGAATGGTTGGGAATTGTCGCGGGTAGGACTTGAGAATAACGACTGCGCACGAGGGATCGGGGGCGGAGTATAGGGTGGTCGATCGTCTTCTGGTCTGTTCGTGGGAAGTTGGAGTTTGTCGGGGAACCAGTGCAGATGATTTGGGTATGCTGGCCCGTGGTTGGGTGGGAAAAAGTCCATGCGTGTCGGCGAGACGCGAGCGAGTTGGGCTTCGAAGAACGGTCGAGAAGGCGTCGGTGGACCACCGAGTTGGACGGGGTTGTGGAGGTCCGCTGGAAGGGAGTAAGGAGTGGGTGGAAGTTCCATAGGGCGATGGCTGTTTGCTGCAGGGTAGTCGCTCATGGATTGATCGAAGGCAGGTGCTGGCCGTGCCGTTCGGTCATGCGGGTGCGGTGGTTGCGGAGGAGCTGGCAGACTGTCGGCTTCGGAGAGGATCGACGCAAGCCAATCTGGCGGTGGTGAATTCCTCCCAGGATGACCATTGCGAAGGTATGTCGACTCCGAATCGACGGCATGGGTAGCGCCGCGGGCCAGACTCCCGCTCGGACGTGCTGACGAAGTTCGCGGTCCGAGATGGAGCAGTTGAGGTGACGCTGACTCGAACAACTCCTCGAGTCGACGTGGTGCTGCGGTCAGTCTCTGTCTCTTGGATTGTGGACCACCACGAGGATCAATCTCGGCTGGCTGCCCGACCACGCCACCCTTGAAGGTCGGTGGCGCATGATCCTTGGCCGCTCTGGACCGCTTGATCCACTTTGTCGTCGCCCCTAGACTCTTGCCGCCTCCATCTCGCTCGTCGGAAAAAGCCAAATCTTTCATTTTGGCTTGTAATCGATCGTTGCGCATATTTTGGGAGGTCGAAGGGATGAAGGTCGGCGCGCCGAGTCCGCTCGAGCGGGAAGAAGGCTCGGTGGAATCGCTCGTGCGACGGTGCGACGCGGCGGAAGAGGAGGTGTCGTGGTCGGTGGCGGCGTCCTCTTCGGAGGTGTGCCAACGTCTCGACGAGTGCGCACTCTTTGACATTGGATCGAAATGGCGAAGAGGTTTGCGGGAGATCAAAAAGCTCGCCACCAGAAGAGGCCCAAGCGCGCGGGCTCTCCGACCCGCTCGCTCAGCAGGGGCAGGGGCAGGGGCAGGGGCAGGGGCCTCCTCTCTCGGCTGCTGTCACTGCCTCCTCCTGCCTCCTGTAGGTCTGTGCACGACGCGCCGCAGCGACCACGCGACTGCGAGGCGTCACCCACCTCTCACGCCCAGTCTCTTGCTCAAACTACTCGCCTTCCATCACCCAGTCGCAGCCAGCTCGGTCCCACGCTCAAGATGCGAGAGTTGATTACAGTCTCCGTCGGTAAGTCCACCCACTGCACGCGCGCTCGGGCTCTCCTTTCGACAAGCGCCTAGTACGTCACCCCACGTCACGCCGCTGACCACCTACCCGTGCACGCTCTACTCCAGGTCAAGCAGGCTGTCAGGTATCCGAAGCGTTCTGGGACCGAATACTCCGCGAGCATGGGCTTGATGAGAACGGGGTGAGCGCCTCGTGCTCGCAGTACTCGCAGTTTTGACGCTGCCCGCAGCCGGCGGTCACCGGTCAGGCCTGGACGCTGGGGAGCTGATGCGCTGACGACCGAACACGGCGACCACTACGCTATCACCAGATGATCGTTGCGGGCACAGAAGACATGCAGCGTGGCAGAACAGATGTCTTCTTCTCCGAGGCCAGTAAGACGTTCCCACCTCCGTTCCTGACTCTGCGTCTCCGAGATTGATGGCTTTCTTCGTCTGGCTGCTTCACAGCGGATCGGAAATACGTGCCGAGGTCGCTCATCATCGATCTCGAGCCCGGAACGTCGGACGTGATCAAGGGAGGACCAGTGAGTAGGATCGTCGTCCGATGTCCAAGCAGTACTTGCACTGATCGGGGATGGTGTCCAACTTTCACAGCTCGGGAATCTGTTTGGCCCGTGAGTGCATTTCGACGAGGCGAGGCGAGGTGAGGTATGACGTCCGGGACTCTGATCTTTCAAATCGGATACGTCCCGGAACAGGAAATCCTACATCAATGGTTTGGCGGGTGCCGGTAACAACTTTGCCAAAGGCTTCTACACCGAAGGAGCCGAGTTGGTCGATCAAATCACCGACGAGCTGCGTCGACAAGCCGAGACCACCGATCTGCTTCAAGGTTTCCAGTTGGTGCACTCGATCGGGGGTGGTTCGGGTTCGGGCTTGGGCTGTCTGATCGCCTCCAAGATGAGGGAGGAATACCCCGATCGCATCCTGGCGACCTACTCGGTCCTGCCCTCACCCAAGGTATCTGAAACGGTCGTCGAGCCCTACAACGCCGTGCTCGCTTTCCACCAACTCGTCGAGCATGCGGACCTTACCTTCGCGCTCGACAACGAAGCTTTGTACGAGATCATGCAAAAAGTTCTGCGCAAGACCGACCCGGGCTACGCGGATCTGAACTCGTTGATCGGCAAAGTCATGAGTGGATTGACGACCCCTTTCCGATTCCCGGGTCAATTGAACGCCGATCTGCGCAAATTGGCAACCAACATGGTCCCCTTCCCTCGACTCCACTTCATGTTGACCGGATTCGCTCCCATCACTTCTGTGGGCGCGCAGGCGTATCGCAAGTGGAGCGTCGCCGAACTGACGCAGCAATTGTTCGCGCCGACGAACATGATGGCCGCGACGGACCCGAGGGGTGGTAGGTACTTGACCGCGGCGTGCTACTTCCGTGGTCGTAGTGTCTCGTCTCGCGATGTGGATGATGCGATGCTCGCCGTCCAACAGCGCAACTCGGATTTCTTCGTCGGTCAGTTCGAGACCACTATCTTCGAACGAGTCCTCGCCTTGATACAGCCACTCGCTTTCGCTCCGTCTAATCCAACTGGCTCATATTCACCACAGAATGGATCCCCAACGCCGTCATGACCGCCCTATGCTCTGTACCTCCTCCCGAGCAGTACCCAATGTCCGGTACCTTTATCGGCAACTCGACGGCGATCCAAGACCTGTTCCGCCGTACGCATGACCTGTTCGCGTCCATGTTCAAACGTCGCGCGTTCTTGCATTGGTACACTGGCGAAGGGATGGAAGAGTTGGAGTTTTCAGAGGCGGAATCCAGTAAGTCTGTCCCCTGAGTAGTACGAGGGATAGGGCCAGGCTCAGGGCGTTCGATGCAAGAAGTTGATTCGTCTGGGAGTCTTTGCAGATATGATCGACCTCATTGGCGAGTATCAACAATACCAAGAAGCCGATGTTGATGAGGAGGAAGGAGCCTACGAAGAGGAAGAGGAGTGAGGTGCCATCTCCGAGTCCGGCGGCGGTTTGCGGGTCGTGCTTGGGCCATTCGCTCTTTCAGTAAATAGAACCCTTGCAGAGTCGGTCGAAAGTTTTTATCCGAATGTTCTCTGTGGGTTCTGAAATTTTCATGATGCCAATACCACTGAATTTTTCCCGTTCCCCACTACTTTGCCTGTGATGATGTGCCGATTTGCAAATCGGTCAATGATCAAGTTCGGCAGAGTTCGGCCGAGTTGGGTCGAGTTGGGTCACGAGCTGTCACGAGTTTGTTCGCTCGAGTGCGTCGTCTTGCGTCGTCGCCTTTGTCCTGACCCGCCGGTCATCTGTGGCGCCCCTGCTCTACGTAGCAAACCCAACGACCTCCTGTCGTGGTGCCACGCCGAGTCGAGTAGTCGAGAGCTGAGCTCTGTCACCCCATTGTCGATCACGTCCCGACCTGGTTCATCGGCATTTGAAGCGTGGTACGACCAAGTGGTCTCGCCCGTCGATTCCGAGACTCGATCAACCTCGATCCGACCTCAGGCCTTCGCTTCGCGTATTGCAGGCCACGGCACCCTCGACCATTTGCATTCTGCACCTTGTTTTACTTTAGTCACTTCGGTTTACTTCACGCTCAGCTCAAGGCTAACGGCCACCCTCGACAGAGCTTACGAGGCTGCTCGTAGCTACTCGATCAACTTCGCACGGACCACTCTCAAACACTGCATCACACGCATCCGCTACAATCCGTCTTGCACGACGTGACACCGCCTACAAAAGTTCAAGCATGGATTCCGATCGACGAAGACCACAAGCCTCGACCTCTTCCTCCTTCCCGCCAGCCTCAGGCTCATCCAACTCGTCGAGCCACCCGAATGCTGCTCGACCCAGCCTCGTCCCGGGTTCGTCGACGTCGCGACAGACCATGTCGTTCGGGTTCGAGTCGTCGACCCTTTCGCATAGTGCGAGTACGGGCAGTTTGGATAGTGTGAATGGGAGGAGGAGTACGCCCAATTCACCGAGCAAGAAGAAGGTCTATGGTGATCGGTCAGTCTCCTTGGGGAGGAGGGCTCGCTACATGCGGGTGTGTGGCGCGGTAAAGGGGAGCGATGCTGATGTTGGGTTGGATTGTGTACAATTAGGTTCATTCCAAATCGGGATGGCATGGATCTGCAAACGAGCTTCTCGCTCATCCAATCGGCTTCGAGTAGTCCTTTGAAAGGGAAACGAAAAACGACCGTCACCGACCATGACCATCTTCAAGGTGAGTGCGCCGAGGGTAATGACGATTGCAATTCACTCAACCTTGGCACACTTTGTAAATCTTAGACGATGCCAACAAGACCTTTTCGGCTCTTCTCAAGTCCGAACTCTTTGGGCCCGACTCGGTCGATTCTTCCTCTCTGCGCAATTCGCCGTCGTCCCGGACTCGATCCGTCTCCCACAACTCGATCACTACTTCACCCTCATCCCCCTCTTCCGGGAAGAAACTCTTCTCGTTCACTTCACCATCAAGGAAACGAGTCACGACGGCCGAAAGGGAAAGGGTCATCGGTCTCGACTCGCCGACCCACGAACGGTACAGCGTCAGCCCTGTGAGGTACGAGTCGCAAAAGTTGTTGTTGTCGCCCAAGAAGCAACAGAGGGCGATGAGTCGAGTCCCTTTCAAAGTACTGGATGCACCTGAACTGGCAGTGAGTAAGAATACAACAGTGTGACGAGAGCTGCCGAGCATCTGACTCTCCTCCCAACTGCCACAGGATGATTACTACCTCAACCTGATCGATTGGAGCGCCCACAACGTCCTGGCCGTCGGACTCGGATCGAGCATCTACACCTGGTCGGCGCACACGTCCGAAGTGAAGAAGCTTTGCGACCTCTCGGAGAACGCCGTACCAGACTCGATCACCTCCCTCGCCTGGGTTCAAAGAGGTCACCAACTCGCCGTCGGAACCAAGAATGGTTCCGTCCAAATCTGGGACGCGCAAGAAGAACGCGTCATTCGAAAAATGTCCGGTCATACCGGACGCGTCGGAGCTCTCTCATGGAACGACGCGATCTTGAGTTCGGGTAGTCATGATCGGTCGATCTTGCATCGCGATGTGAGGGTGCATGAACATTGGGTCGGAAAATTGACGGCGCATCGGCAGGAGGTGTGTGGACTCAAGTGGAACGATGCGGGCGATCAGTTAGCCAGTGGGGGGAATGATAATCGGTTGTTTGTGTATGAGAAGATGAATGAGGTGAGTCTGGCGGAGGAGAATGTACGGGGCGAAGGTTTGGAGGCTGAGCTGGGGAGAGGTATTCTTTACAGGCGCCGACCCATCGATTTACAGAACATGTCGCGGCGATCAAAGCGATCGCGTGGTCGCCTCATCAGCATGGGGTGTTAGCGTCCGGTGGAGGAACGGCTGGTGAGTGGGTTCGATATCGAGCTCTTTGTGGCCCTCACAGCTGAACAGACGTGGGCACGTTTCATGTAGATATGAAACTGCGCTTCTGGAACACCTCGACGGGAACCCTGTTGAACGAGATCGATACCGGCAGTCAGGTGCGTCGTACAGGATACCGTGGTCCTTGCGCAAAAGTGACTTACCACCGCGTTGCATGGGACGATGTACAGATTTGTAATCTTCTATGGTCCAAGAACTCGAACGAACTCGTATCGACGCATGGCTTCTCGGCGGGGCAGGCGCAGAACCAAGGTGCGTCGGTCGTCCATGTCCTAAAAGTTCTGAGGGGCGCGATCTGATCCTTGAGGTGTACGCCAATTCTACACAGTCGTGATTTGGAGGTACCCGTCGATGACGCAAGTCGCGACGTTGCAAGGGCATACGTATCGGGTGCTTTACCTCGCCGCTTCGCCCGATGGGCAGGTGATCGTCACTGGAGCCGGGGATGAGGTCAGTCCTGGTGAAATGGGGAGATCATCGAAGGCTCCGGTACTGATGCAATGCTTATCGATTCGCAGACTTTGCGTTTCTGGCAAACGTTCCCCAAGAGCAAGAGCGAGCGTCGAGGGGAGGTGTCGATGCTTAATCCATTTTCGTCGATTCGGTAGGAAGACCTTCTTATAGAGAAGTGTATTTAGGAAAGTGGTTGGTGGAGATTTTTTTCCCCTCGTTTTACCGTTCTTTTTGTACGCTCGCGACTTTTTTTTTTTTTTGTTTGCTCGTGCATGTTGCTTTGTAGTCTTCTCCGCCTCCCTTCATCTTATAGATCCTTGTAACCTTCGAAGCGCGCATGTTGTTCCCTCAAAAACTCGGCATCGCATTACACCGTGCTGTTGATACAACAAGTCATTGACAGCCTTTCTAAACAGGAAACCAAGAATAACCCAAACGCATCGATCTACTCCTGCCTTGTCTCAATGCGTCGATTGAAGAAGAGCGGTCTCGCCTTGACCGGGGGCGAGTCCATGAGGAAGGATCGCGTGTCCGTCGACACCGGAGGGGAAATGAGGTGCCAGGATCGGGGGTTCGGTCCGTGTTGTCTACAGAAACAAGATCAGACGAAAAAGAAAAGAAAAAACGAAACGATTGGGTCAGACCACTACGGGCGTTCACTACGCGATCGTAGCGCAGTGCTGTACCTCATGGTTCCCCACGCTACCGTTCAACATGACGGTCTGGAATTGGGTCCACAACGCGTGGACGGGTTCGAAGCCGCTGCTGACGGAGGCGACGGTCTCGATGCTGCGGTTCAGGGCATTGGCGGAAGTGACGCATTTGGCTAGGTTCTAGAGGAGAGGATGAGAGGATCGGGTGCGGGATCGGGTGCGGGTGCGGGTGCGGGCTTGAAGTGGAGGTCAGATGAGGCAGGGTGAGGCAGGGTGAGGGCGCGACGCGACGCGATGCGAACGCGCGCTGGTGTATGGGGATGTGTGAGACGGATGACTTGCCTCGGCTATTTCGGCGATCAGGCGCGATCTTTCCCGTTCGAAATGAGGGGACGATTCGGTCATCGTGGCAGCGTTCGGGGTGGGGTGTGCGAGCTAAGCGTAGACGACGGAGGCGAGTCTGAGCGGAAGTGGCTGGGCCGAGGAGGTCAAAGCGCGACAGACACCCGATCGGTCAGGCGCGGTCGTCTTGGACTGAGCTGGACAACCGAGCTGAGCTAGCGCTGAGCTGTGCTTCCCAGCCCTCATCGTGCTTGACAACTCATCCGAATATGGCCAAAAGGATCATCGCTACCACCCCTTCCGCACCGGACGAGCCGAGTCGTCCCAAACGAATGCGACCGATGCCCTTGTACGAGGCTTCGTCCCAGTTCAGGTTAGTTAGTCCCGGCCTCGACTCCCCCTCTGGAAGGTGACTGACCAGCTGGGGTATCTTCGATGTGATAGGCATTGGAGATTCTCTGCTTCGCGATTGGATCGGTTACGACACGAGTTGAATGCCGAGGCTGTCAAGGTTGTTGCGGCAAAGGTCGAACAGGAGCAAGTCAGTCAGCACTTCACTTCCCCCACTTGCTTGTTCCTTCGCTCCCTAAGCACTCATGCTCAGCATACCCCGTCTCATCCAGGCCCAAGTCCAAGCATCAACCAGCACCGAAACGCCAGATATCGAAACTCCGCCCGTCCCGCCTGCCGAACACAACTACCTCTCCGCGTCGGACGAGCTCGCCCTGGTGACGTACTACCTCGTTCAAATACCCGGCCTGTGTCGGGCCTTCCATTTGCCCGAGATCGTCCAAGCGACGGCTCAGTCGTACCTCAAGAGGTTTTACCTCAGCAATACGTGTATGGATTATCATCCCAAGCATGTCATGTACGTCCAACCCCAACTACGATCTAGGCGTAGAGGGTTGGGAGTGGGGGGAAGAATTCTCCTTCCCCCGAGCCACGCCTGTCGCCTGTCGCCTGACCATCATCTTCCCTTCATCTCACACAGGCTCACCTGCGTCTTCCTGGCCTGCAAAACGGAAAATCACATGCTCTCAATTGACGGCTTTGCGTCCAAACTCAAAGAAACACCCGCTTCGATCCTCGACCTCGAATTTCTCGTCTCCCAATCGCTCAAATTCGAATACAAGGTCCATCACGCCTTCACCGCTGTTCAAGGGCTCGGTTTGGATCTTCAGGTCGGTTAAAAGGCAGCCGAACCAACTGAGTAAAGAGAGAGAGCTGACCAACTTTGTCGAACTTGCATGTCCCCCCACCTAGACGACCCCAGCACCCCTTGAATCCATTTCAACCCTCTACGACCCCGCGCTCAAACACGCCCGTACGGCGCGTTTAACGGACCTCGAATTCCTCTACTCGCCTTCCCAAATCGCTCTTTCCTGCGTGCGTCTGATCGATCCTCTCGCAGTCGAAACTTGGCTCGACGCCAAATTCGACCTCGTTTCGAAAAAATCAACCACTCCTGAAGATGAAGAGGGTGATTCCGATCGAGCGGAATTGGATAAAAGGGGTTTGTTGAAGCAGTTGGATCGGATAGGAGAGGTCATCAAGGATGTGGATGAGAATGGCGCGGTGGATAAGGAGAAAGTTAAGCAGATTGATCGTAGGTTGAAGGGGGCCAGTAATCCGGAGAAGGATCCTAAATCCATCTTGTGAGTCCAGTCTAGGCGCAGCCAGGAGGACCTCGAGGTTGGGGGTGGCAACTAATGTCTTTCTGAGCGTCGACGGTCGGGCGTGCAGGTACAAGCAAAAGCAAGAGGGAATGGCCCGAGCGAGGGAGGAGAAATCCAAGGCCAAGTCGGCCGCACGACCTCCAAACGACGACTCGAGTGTCTTTGACTAGGGACCCCCAACATGTAGCTATTCTGCACTCATCCATCTCACTGTAACGCATGCGCAATCCCTACGAAGTTCTCGTCTCAAACAACGTAATCGCGGTCTCGACGCTTTCCCTAACCGGCAACAACGCACTTTCGACCCTAGCTCTCACCTCACTCCCTTCTTCCAACCCTTGCACCACAACCCTAATCCTCTCCAACGTTCGATCCAACCCATTCTTCATCCTTTCCGCCCTCGCCGCCTTCTGCACCGGCGTACTGGACGCGAGAGCGCTGATGTCCCCCGGTTTGGGGGGCAAGACCGCGGACCAGAATTGGCGCAGGAATTCGTTCGCACTGGCTGCGATCGTCGTGCATTGATCGAGGGTCGAGCGGGGTATCCCTCCTGAACTGGAGGTCGATTCGCGCGAGTTGCGTTCGACTTTGAGGAGAATGGATTGGGTCATGTCGTCCATTGAGGCGTTGATGGCTGCAGGGTCGAGGTGAAACTGTGATTCGAGGGAGAGATTAGTCACCTCGGATGAGCAGCCAAAAAAAGGAAAGAGACTCTAGCTGACCTCGGACAAGTGAGGTTCCCACACCTCCATCTCCTGCTTGACCCTCCTCACAATTTGCCCCATCTCCAACTCGTTCATCTTCATCTTTGCATCCCCCTCCTCGTCCAATTCCGAAGCCGACGTCGCTGCCGTCAATTTGTTGCGTTGTTGACTTAGGTTCAGTTCGATGCGGTCCGAGGCTGCGTGGTCTATTAGGTCGTCGAGAAGGATGTCGTCATAATAGTTGCGGTCCTGGGAGAAGAATCGAAGGGGATTTATTCAGTCAAAGCTTGAGAGGTCGGTGTGAATGAGGCCAACTGACCCCTGCATTCCCAGGATCGAAACTGATTCGTGACCGATCGACCGAGTTACCTCTGAGTTCAGAAGTACACTCATCAGCTCTGATTTCATTTCGACAATTGTCCCAATACTCCCGGATGCTCACAAGGACTGATTGAGTAACCTTTCCGAATGCTCATTGAACCTTCGCATGAGAGGAAGTGCAGCGCGTTCTCGCCCTGCTCGCATCGTCACATCGGGTTGGATGTCGACCTGTGTAAAACATTGAGGACGAGTTAGACTTTTGTGCACCAAGTTCGGCGTGCGGATTTACCTCGTGTTGATCTTCTTCGGTGGCAGCGAGATCCAGTAGACGATAGATGTCATGATGCTGCAAGTTCTTGGGCTCGAGATCTAGTGCCCGGATTTAGCCACAACGCCTTGGCAATGCAATTCATAGTTTGGACGTTGATCTCTGGACTAACCGTCATCTTCTTCACCAAGGTACTTGTCAAAGATGGCGTCATCCTTGACTGAAGCGACGGCGCTACGGTTTGTTGTTCGATTCCGGTTGAAGAGCTTCGATTGAAAGTAGCGTGTCCAAAACTCTTGGTCGTTGAGCTGTTCATCAAGGGGGGCCGATCGTCAGCCCGACAGGATTTTGGGAATCAACGAAAAGATCAAAATACCACTCAACCGGTACGGGAACGTTTTCGTTGTAAGCCTTGAGCACCATCGGGCATTCCGCAAAGATGTCGGCGATCTGGGTCGGCGTGATCTTGACCGTCACCTCGCCCGACTCGCTCGTTTCGGGTCTCAGATCGACCATCGCTGCACTCTTGCCTCGGAGTTGGGCCTCCCCCGCTCGTGCTTGCTCCAAGAGGGCCTCCCGACCTTCCCAAAATTCGGCTTCGGCTATCTGGCCAGACATGACGAGTTCTCGATGGAGGGTCATGAGGTTCGGATGGGCCTGGAGCACGAGTTTCCTCAGTCGAAAATCGGCTGCGGCCGAAGAGTTTACCGCTGTGGCTGCTGCGGTCTTGCCAGCTCGATTCGACAACGTCGAGTTCGTCGTAAGATCAATCACCTCCCGCTCTTTACCTTTCCCCTTGGGTTCGTTCGAAGAGGATGTTGCGCCGTCGACGGGTGCAAGCGCGGCGTTCGCTTCGAGCTCGCGGTTGTTGGCGATGATATGGGTCAGTTGCTTCTTGAAGTGTTCGCGATCGGAGATGGCGGATGCACCAGCGGTGAAGTGGAACGAGTAGGCTGCTTCATCGGCTTTGTCTAAAGGGGAGAGGGTGATGTGGCGGGGGAGGGCAGCGAGTGGGTGCAAGGTTGCTCGGAGCTGGACTTTGGAAGCGCCTTCCTTGGAGGCGAAGAGGGCTGCGGAACGTGTAGGGACGAGAAAAAAGTCAGCTGATGTGTGACAAGATCTCTGGTTCAGATTGACGCTCGTACGGACCCAGTAGTCGGGCGGTGGTGATGGCCAATCGAGGTTGCGAGCTCGACGTCGATCCGAACGTGAGCAGCTCCGGTGTCAACGTCAGCACGCCCGCATCCTTCTTGTAGGCGACTTGGGCCGAGCACAGCACCGTTGAGCTCGCGCCTGTGCTCGTGCTGGACATCGCGTCGCAGCTGAGGCCGGGTCTAGGTCGGGGTCTAGGTCGGGGTGGGGGTGAAGTGGGGGAGGCAGAGCCGGGTGAAGCGTGCACGGTCGAACGCGCGAACGCGAGCCTCGGGAGTCGGGACATCGATGACGACGACGGTTTCCCTTTGCGCTAATGCGCTAATCAACGAGGTTAATGATCAAGATTAGAAACACGCCCTAAAGAAGCCCGCCACGCCTCACCGCGCGACTACCGCGCGTGCAATTTTGAACCGCCACGCAAGGCCACGCCGCGCCACGCCTCACGTTCAGCACGTCGTCGACCTTTCTGCCTCCCATTCAACGCCGAGCCGCCGACGCTGCGAGTGCGTCGTGTGAGTGTGTGTGTCGTGTGTCGTCGTCGAGGGGCCACAGCAGCCACGTGGCTCTACCATCCACCCACTACCTCGAGTCGTATTCGTTCATCGCTCGCACCACGACGTACAGCTCGCTCTTGGCGCTTCCCCACACAGCCTGCCAGCCAGCCCGTCGTCGACCAGCTCAGGTCTCAGGATCTCAGCGCTCTCAGCTGCAGCTGGCAGGGGCGGCCAGCGGGAGCAGTCAGCGCCTCAGCGCCTGAGCGCCTCAGCGCCTGAGCGCCTCAGCCGCGCTCAGCGGACACGGCACCTTCGACGAACTAGCCGACCGAGACACAGCAGACGACGACGACGACGACGCGGCAATGCCGGTCAGTAGCGGTCACAGCCACAATCATAGCCACTCGTACCACGACGACCCTTTCAACTCGTCTGCGTACCCGAGCCCAAACGCGCAGCACCAGCAGCACCAGCAGCACCAGCAGCACCAGCACTCGTTCGTGTCGATCCCCGTCCAGGCGAGCTCGTCGCAGGGCGTGAATCACTCGTTGTCGCCGTCGTCATCCGTCACTTCGTCGCTCGGCATATTGCCGCAACACTACGGATCGCATTCGGCAGCGTCCTCGGTCCATCTGGCCACGACCCCTTCATCGACCCAGACTTATCGTTACTCGACCTCGGTCGAAGCCGGCGATTATCGTCCGCCGATCGGATCCCTCTCCGCCCACCATCACGACCCCGCCGCGGCGAGCACCACCTCCTCGCACCACCTCGGCCACCGCAGTTCAAAGAGCGTCACCCGTCAGCCTTCGTCCGGTCACGCCCACCCGCCGAGCTCACATTCCCATAGTCTCCCCCACGCCGCGCACAATCACCCCAAGAGCATGTCCATCAGCGGACTGCCCTCGCATGCGCTCCTCCACGCCGGCAGCTCCTCGTCCGCCTCGGCCCTGAGCCCGGCCACGACGAACAGGACCCCTTCGATCCATCGCACGAGCACTTACTCTCCATCGTCGTCGTCGTCTTCCCACGACGTCGCCATGGCCCCTCCCCCCCTCACTGCGGTAAACTCGGCTGCGTCGACCTCGTCATCGTCGTCGTCGTCCGCTTCATCGTTCTGGTCACGACCCAGCAACGCAGCCCCCTCGTCATTGTCCTCGGCGACGACCACCGGCGCGTCCCACTCGCAACACTACCGCGCCTCCCCTTCACTGTCGTCGGCACAAGCCCTCATCGGATCCGGAGCAGGTTCTTCTCTACCTCCGCCCCATGTCGCCCTCAACGGCAGCAGTCTCATGAGGAGGGGCTCGAGTTACGACGGCACCCCAACGCGTTCAGCGACCATGTACAACCTCGCCGCAGCCACCTCCCCGACCATCACCCCGCGGTTGCAGACCTCGGGACTGGTACCCAACCCATACTCGTCGGCTCGATCACGGGCCGGTTCAGGTTCCGGATCGGGATCGTATTCGCCCATGGGGGGCGTGCAGCAGACGGGCCAGACCTCGCCCATCCAAACCACCCCACTTGGGCCGAACCAGCTCTCCTCGTTCGGCGGCAGCAGCGGCGGCGGCCACGGCTCGTCTCAATCCATCAGTAGTGCCCATCCCAACGCTTCCCGCATCACCAGCGAACACATGCGTGATTCTTCTTATTCGCCCTCGCAGTACTCGACCGAAGCGGTTTCGGCGGCATCATCGTCGGCGCTCTTCCCCAACTCGCCACTCATGGGCAATGCGAATGCTTCGTCATTCTATGCGACCCACATCCCTGCGGCCACCTCTTCCACGTCTCTACCCATCGGAGTCCCCGTTCCTCCGCGACCGGCGTCCCACTCGCCTCAACCGCCTCATCCGCCGCTCACCCCGTCCCATCAGCCTCAGGCGCAGCAGTACTACCAATCTCAGCACTACTATGACTCCAACATGGCCGCCGCAGGAAAGGGCAAGTCGATCGATGCGTCGTCGAGACAAGTGTCTGGGTATGTCGCGTCGTCGGCGTCGTCTTCGTCGTCGGCGCCCGCGGTCAACCCCGCGGCGATGTACTATGCTGGTCATGACTTTCGCTCGAGTGCGGCCACCGCTCCTCCGGCGGTTAGTGCGGAGCGCGTAGGTCGAGGCTTGAGAAGGGTCCGGGACCCAAAGGAGATCAAGCGGACGATCAATCAGCAACCGGCTGGGCGGAGAGCCGATCCGGCGGGGGGTTTCGTATCGGTGAGTGAACGAACGTGGAAACGCCGATGAGCGACGGGTCAAAATTGAACTCACGAGCTCACTTTCTTTCCTCTGTTGATCTCACAGCCACTGAAGGCGTTGACGCTGCACCTACCTCAAACGTATCATCTCGTGAACCCGGCGTTCCGATACGAGACGTCGTTGAACCCACGGCGGGTGTTGACCAAGCCGAGCAAACCTGCGATGAACGATGGGTTCGACAATGAAGATAGTGACTACATCTTATACGTCAACGACGTACTGGGGCCAGAGGACAAGGACAGGTCAGTCCTCCCCGCGGATCTGCTGAGCCTGCGACCACGCGACTGACGCAACTTCTTTTCTGGCGATGCAGATATCTCATCCTCGATGTGCTCGGACAAGGCACGTTTGGACAGGTGGTCAAATGCCAGAACATGAAGACGCACGAGATCGTGGCCGTCAAGGTCGTGAAGAACAAACCTGCCTACTTCCAACAATCAATGATGGAGGTGACGATCCTCGAACTGATCAACAACCAATGGGACAAGGACGACGAGCACCATATGCTGCGGCTCAAGGACACCTTCATCCACCACTCGCATCTGTGCCTCGTCTTTGAGCTGTTGTCGAACAACTTGTACGAGCTGATCAAGCAGAATTCGTTCCGCGGGTTGAGTACGTCGCTCGTGCGGGTGTTCACGGCCCAGCTGCTCGATGCGTTGACGGTCCTGCACGAGGCCAAGATCATTCATTGCGATCTCAAGCCGGAGAATATCTTGCTCAAATCGTAAGCCCTACTTGCCATACTTTTCTGGTGGCAAAACTTTAGCTCATCGCGCCATCTCTCTACAGCTTGCAATCACCCACGATCAAGGTTATTGACTTTGGTTCGGCCTGTCACGAGAAGCAGACGGTGTACACCTACATCCAATCGCGGTTCTATCGAAGTCCCGAAGTCATCCTTTCACTACCCTATTCGGCCTCGATCGATATGTGGTCGCTGGGGTGCATCTGCGTCGAGCTCTTCCTCGGGTTGCCACTGTTCCCGGGCACGAGCGAATTCAATCAGATTACGAGGATCGTAGAGATGCTAGGGTACGTAGTTTCCGTTTTCTTGGCAGACTCACGTTGTATTGATCTTTCACACGCCTTGTGCTTCCATTCAATAGGATGCCGCCGAACCACATGCTCGACAAGGGCAAGCAGACGATGCACTTCTTCGATCAGTACGCGGACGAGTACGGCCAACGACGCTGGCGGCTCAAGACACTGGAACGATATTCGCAAGAGAACAAGGTGCAGGAGCAACCGAGCAAGCGATACTTTGCGAAATCGACGCTCCCGGAGATCATCCAGCAGTACCCGATCGTGCGCAAGGGGCTCAAGGAGGCCGACGCGGAGAAGGAGAGGAAGAACCGGCTCGCGTTCATCGATTTCGTCAAGGGGCTGCTGAACCTCGATCCGGAGCAACGGTGGACACCGCAGCAAGCTCGTTTGCACCCTTTTGTCCTTGGGGAGCCGTTCTTGCAGCCTTTCGTGCCGCCTCCTCACATCAAGGGAGGAGCTTTCGTCAAGTCGCCTGCGATTGGGTCCTCTTCGTCTTCGTCGGCGTCTGCCGATGCGAAGCGCTATGGCGGCCTACCTGCAGCGACGCCGCGCACGACACAGGGGCGCACCTACGACGCGAAGGCGTACGGCCAGCATCTGCAGCAGCAACAGAACTACACGATCCAGGCTCAACAGGTGGCACAACGAGCCGCCGCGATCCCGACGAACCCGTACGCCGTCGATATGCAAGCGCAAGCTGCGGCCGTCGCGCGGCAGCAATCGCAATACCAACAGCAGCAGCATCAGCAGCAGTCGATGGCACTGGCGCAGCAGCAACAGCAGCAGCAACAACAACAACATATGCAGGTAACAGGTGGTTACGGGCCGGCAGGGGCATCGTCGTTCAGCTATGCCTCACCGCAGAACACGACCGTTGCGAACCCTCCGGCGGCGCATCACTACACGTCGACGCGAGGCAGGTCGAACACGGGAGGGACGCAGGAATTGCCCCCGGCGTTGCAGAAGGTCGGGCAGACGCTGGGTGTGTCGGCCGGGACGGGTCAGAGTGTTACCCCTGTGTAGGTGATCAGTCTCGACACGGAACTACTTTGTCGGACCTGACTAACGCGACCGCTCTTCTTTTCGTTCAGGCTTCGACGAGACGATCAGTGGCAAGCGTGGGAGAGGATATCGACGGACGGGCAGGGCGTGCAACGGCGCATCTCGGTCTCTTCGAGACATCCCCATCTCAACCTTCTTCAGGAGCAGGTGATTTTTGACGATGCCTCATTGCTCAGCGATATTCTGCGAACCGATTGCTGACGGCTAGGTTGTGCTTTGATTGTCAGGCCGAGAATGGGCTCAACAGCTGGGCCTCACCGATGCGAGCCAAGCCGACGCATGGATCGCAAGCCTCGTTCTCGGGCTACTACGCCTCGCCTCAGCAACCACAGCCACCGTCCTTCTCGGTCGTGGTCGACAATCGAGGACCGCCCGTCGACCTACCCGGCATCGCCGCACCGCCATTGGCGTATTCGACCGCTGGGAGCTCGAATCGCTACGCACCTTACTCGACTGGACCTCCCAATCCCGGCGCTGGTGGAGGGTACGATCTCGCCTTCGATGCGTTCGGCGGAGCGAGTGCAAATCCTGCGCTGGACGGACTGGGCGTCTATCAACCGATGCAGCCCTATCAACAGGCGAATGCCCGAGGGATGGCTGGTGCAGGCGCGGTCGCGGGTGATGGGAGCGTGTTGCCGACGACGATGCAGCAATCGTTGTATTCGGCGCATCTGCCGTTCTCACCGGGGCATCAGGCGGGACAATCGAATCAAAGTAAAGCCAAGCAGTGGTGAGGGAGCTCTGTTTTTTGGGGGGAATGTTGTCGTAGGGGACATCAGACCCTCTTTCCCCCTCCTCCCCCACATCTCTGTCCTCTCCTATGTTCCTTTCCAACGCAGCATGACCATCCCATCCCTTTTCCCACTTTCTGTGACACCAACGCGTGGGGGGTCTTCATTTTTTTCCCTGTGCAATAACGAACCATCTCTCTCTCTCTCTCTCCCTCTCTCTCTTCCTCCCGAACGATTTGATGTGGGAGACGCCTTCGGTCTTGTGCGGGTCGAGTTTGAGCCGCGGCTCGGGCTCCGACACTCGAGCAAGGACGTAGTTCGAAAACGCTTGCCAGATGGGAGAGTTGCGATGTCGCGAATTTGACGTGGTGAAAGGTGATCGTTTTTTCACACATGTCAAAAACCAAAGAGGTGGTAAGTGTTTGATATATTACTCAGAGTGACCCCAGCGGATTCAAGATCGATCATGGCCGATCAATTCTAGCAGGACTCGGGAGGCGGCTGCAAAAGCTGTGCGAGAGTGCAGAACTATCTCCCGAAGCGCTTCTTCTTTCGTAGAGTAGGTCACGTGAGAATTTCGGGTATTAAAAGTTGCCCTTACACCCTGTTCTCGGGAGTTTCAATAAATCGTCGTCGGCGGCGGCGGCGCTCGGGTTCGGTAATCAGTTTCCACCGGCCGAGCCGAGTGTGTGCGCCGCGATGGCCACGCGCATGCACACACGGCGGAAAGCGGGCAGCCGTCGCCTGCCGTCGCAGGCCGCCGCGGGCGTCGTGGGCGGCAGCATTGCGGAGCGGCAGCTTTGGCTTCTAACCCTGCTTCTCCCCGAGAGCGAGCCCAACTCCCTCGTCCCCGTTCCGTAGGTCCCTCAAGTCCAACTTCAAGCGGCCCGAACAACCATTCAACGTACAAGAATTCAACATGGCCATCCCAATCGGTCAAGTCGCTGCAGCCCTGTTGGTGATCCTCGTCGCGGCGTGGTTCTTCTCGTCCCAATCCTCGGGCGCCGGCGCAAGCTCGTCCTCGATCGACAAGGCCGGCCTCAGCAACGGCGGCGCGAGTCATGCCGCTTCGGGTGACGAAGAGTCCTCAGGGCGTGATTTCGTCGCGGCGATGAAGAAGGCGGTGAGTCATGCGGTTCGGCTCGCATTCGCATTCGCATTCGTGGTCGTGGGGACATGTCGTGCGCTGTCGATGAATTCCGGGATTGGCGAACTGAGCGCTGCGATGTGATGGTCGTGGTCCGCGTGCGGGCCGTCGTTTTGCCGCCGCGTGAGCCGCGGGCCTTCCGGAAGGCTGTCAGGCCTCATTCCTCGTCATCCAATCCTCTGAGAACAAATGGAGTTCATTGGCTCAAGTAGGACATCTCTAGCGACACCCAATACCATGATCTCCCGATGATGACAACACGACGCTGACGAGTCGTTTCCTCCTTCGCCGGCGCTTTTTCACACCTTTGCCCACTGCGGCCGTCGCTGCCCTTCCCGGTCTACAGAAGAAGAAGATTGTCATCTTTTATGGATCCCAAACCGGTACAGCGGAAGACTATGCCACCCGTATCGCCAAGGAGGCCAAGTCGCGCTACGGCCTGTCCTCGCTCGTCTGTGATCCTGAAGAGTGAGTTACCCTTCCGGCGATTCCGGCGATCGAAGCGCTTTGATCGCACACGACCGCGTCCATATCGGGACTGATCGCGAGGTTTTTCAATGGCAGATACGATTTCGAGACGTTGGACCAAGTCCCGGAGGATGCGCTCGTCGTCTTCTGCGTCGCGACCTACGGCGAGGGTGAACCGACCGATAACGCGGTCGGCCTCATGGACTTCCTCAAGGCGGACACGATCGAGCTCTCCAAGGGTGGGGACTCGCTCGAGAACCTCAACTATGTCGTCTTTGCTCGTGAGTTATTTGGCACCGTTTCGTCCGCCGGCGTTGGGAGTAACCCGATGGCCGCAGCGGAATCAGCGCTGGGGGCCATCTCACATGCGCAATACCCATGCTGATGCTCTCACGTTCGCCTCACAGTTGGTAACAGCACCTATGAACACTTTTGCGCCATCGGTCGTCAAATCGACGAGCGTCTTAGCAAGCTCGGCGCCAAGCGTGTCGGCGAGCTCGGAGAAGGTGACGACGACAAAAACATGGAAGAGGACTACCTCAGCTGGAAGGACGGGATGTGGGAAGCGGTGCAGAAGCAGCTCGGCTGGGAGGAGGGGGCCGGCGGTGATGTCGCCGATTTCGAGGTGACGGAAAAGTCCGACGTCGACGAGGCCAAGGTCTTCTTGGGCGAGTTGTCGCAGCGCGCCTTGACGGGCACCCGAGGCGTCTTTGATGCCAAGAACCCTTACGCCGCACCGATCCTCAAGGCCAAGGAGTTGTTCGAGGACGGCGACCGCAACTGCGTTCATGCCGAGTTCGACATCTCCGACTCGGGCGTGCGATACCAGACCGGTGACCACGTTGGTGTTTGGCCCCTCAACCCCGATGCCGAGGTCGAACGCTGGCTCCGCATCTTGGGTCTCTCGGACAAGCGCGACCAGGTCATCGACGTCAAGTCGCTCGACCCGGCTTTGGCTAAAGTCCCCTTCCCCGTTCCGACGACGTACGACACCGTCCTTCGTCACTACGTCGATGTCTCCGGCCTCGCTTCTCGGCAGACCGTCGGCTCCTTCGCCAAGTACGCCCCAACTGAGGATGCCCGGCGATTGCTCGAGCAGCTCGGTTCGGACAAGGTCTTGTACCAGGCCAAGGTCGGTGCCCCTTGCTACAAGACGTCGCAGGTCTTGCTCCTTGCCGCTGGTGACTCGCTCACGGCCGACCCGGCCTCGGCGAACTACAAGCAATGGTCCATCCCTTTCGATCGCGTCATCTCCAGCATCCCCCGTCTGCAGCCTCGTTACTACTCGATCTCATCGTCCCCAAAACTCTACCCCACTGCGATCCACATCACCGCTGTTGTGCTTAAGTACCAGGCCGTCAAAGGCGACCCTGCGTACTCGTACGGTGTCGGCACGAACTACATTCTCAACCTCAAGGCCGCGCACACGGGTGGTGCCCGAACGTCTCGCGAGGAGGGTGCACCCGTCTACAAGATCGAGGGTCCGCGTGGCAAGTACAAGAAGGGCTCGACGTTCTGCGCTCCGATCCACGTACGCCGCTCCAACTTCCGCTTGCCGACGTCACCCAAGATTCCCGTCGTCATGGTCGGACCTGGTACGGGTGTCGCTCCCTTCCGAGCCTTCATTCAAGAACGTGTTGCGCTCGCTCGGAAGGCCAAGGAGAAGGATGGTGCCGACGCGCTCAAGGACTGGGGTACGATCGACCTCTTTTATGGGTGCCGTCGCTCGGATTGGGATTTCCTGTACAAGGACGAATGGAAAGCGTACGAACAAGAACTGGACGGCAAGTTCCGTATGCACGTCGCGCTTTCGCGCGAGCCGAATCAACCCAAGGTTTACGTGCAGCAGTTGATCAAGGATTTGGGGGATCATATTGGAGATTCGCTCGTTGCTAAGAAGGGTTACGCTTACATCTGGTCAGTCTTTGCTTGAGATCAGTCCAAAGGGGTGCGTCATGAACTGATTGTGGGTTGTGCTCTCTTCTTTACAGCGGTGACGCCAAGCACATGGCGCGCGAGGTCGAGTCCATCTTCGAGGACATCCTTGGGAAGGCCAAGGGAGGCAGCAAGGCCGAGGGAGTGAAGGAGCTCAAGTTGCTCAAGGACCGAAACCGTCTTTTGCTCGATGTGAGTATCTCAGTGAAAGTTTTGCGCCTTGTTCCGAGTCCGGGGAGGCTGATCCGCTTTCTGCGTTCCAGGTTTGGTCATGAACGTCACCTCTTTATTTGGGAAATGCCCTGTCGTACATGACGTCCAAGGGCGATGTCCATCTCTTGCCTTTACACGCATAGACATACTTACGTCATATTCAAACAATCTTTTCATGGCCTGTAAGCCGAGGTGTAGTCGACCGAGAATAAACCAAAAGCACAAAAGCAAAGCAAAGCATTTTCAGCATCAGTGCCGTCGGAGCGAGATCTTCAAGGATCCCGAGCGCCTTTCCCCCCGGGATAAAAGTCTTCCTATTCGGCGACGAGAGAGATTGTGCACCCAGATTACAAAACATATGACTTGCTGCAGTAATACGTCCGTTTGTCTGGGAAATCTTGAGCTGATTTGGTTCAGACTGTTTCGGAGAAAGGTTCGGTCGCAGCTCGTCGGCTCGATCGTCGTCGATCTTGCTCTTCCCTTACCTCCTTCCGTTACGTCGTGCTGCAGCATCGCAGCTCAGACCCAAGCTACGATGCTTGCGGTACCAAATCGGATGCTACCACCATCTGGGGCAGCGTTCTTGATTGTAAATGCTCTACTTCTCTCTGCAAGACGGCGGACGTTCAGCAGCCCATCGTTTCGTCGATCGACGTCATCGGCCTCATCATCGTCCTCGTCTGCCTCCTCCTCATCATCAGCAGAGTGCAACACGACATTCAGTACATCCTCTATCCCACCCTTGATCGGCAGTGCACCCCAACTGCAACGCCACCTCGTAATCCGCACCAACCACGCCGCTTCGACCTGGCCTTCGCACCTCGAATCGACCTCGGCCTTGTACAAACATTTGGGCCAGCGATGGGCCAAGCATCCTGAATTGAGCAAGTTGGGCTTTGGGATGAGTGATGCGGGGTTGAGGAATGAGAGAGCCGTTAGAGACAAAGGAGGGAACTGGGATCCTTTGACTAATCGATTCGAACAACCGAAGGCTTCGGGATCGGAGGAGTGAGTTTTGATGATCGCGGAGTGGAGGGGATCACGAGCTGAAAGGATTTGAACTTGTTGCACAGGGCCTATTCGGCGACGCTGTACCCTGATTTTATACAAGTACCCGATATTTCCATCTCGTCGATCGAGACATTCGAGAACCTATTCCTTTCCCTAGATCCCATTCCGACGAACTCCGCCGTCTCGGAAACAACGGCCGCTCCACTCAGAACGGACATCTACGTCTGCACGCATGGGACTCGGGATTGTCGGTGTGGGGATATTGGAGAACCCCTGTATCAAAAATTGGTCGAGCGGGCTCAGCGAAGAGATTTGGGCCCGGATCGAGTTGGGATAAATAGGATCGCTCATGGTGGGTCGACAAAACTTTGCTATTTCTGTATCTCAGCCGGGCACTGACTGAAGTGCAATCGCCTGTGGTCCTTTACAGTCGGTGGACACAAGTGGGCTGGGAATGCACTTGTGTATCGACAAGGGGGTGAATGCGATTGGTGAGTCCATGTGCCGGACCTCTCTACTGTTGCTTCGACGACTGATGGCCCATTCGAATCCAAAACCCGAAAGGCTCGGATTGCTGAGGGATACGGACGCAGACGAGGTACTGGACTTTGCACTACGACCCAGTCCCATCACACCTTGGTGGACCCGCTGGCGGGGCCGACTCGGAATTAGTTCGGACGAAGCTAGATCAATGTACCAAGATGCGACCGCGCCAGGTGCGACGGCCGAGGCGAGGAAGAAGAGGAAGGAGAGTGTGCGGGACGCGTTGGGCGATCCGGTGCAGTTGAGTTTCTTGAGTTGGGATAAGGTCGATCGGTATGATGTGACAGCTTATGAGGGAGAATCGGTGATGGTCAGTCCTTTCAAAAAGGTTTCTGAACTGAATGGATCGTGTGATAGCAGAGAATTGATTGCACTGTCGTTCTGATCGACACAGGAGGCAGCAAAACGCAACGACCTCCCGGCGATCCTTGCGACCTGCGGTGGGTTCTGCGAATGCGCAACATGTCATATACATGTCGATGTCGAACCGGAGCAAGTTGGTTGGTCCGAGATGAAGGACGAAGAGGACGAACAGCTCGATTTTGCTATGGACCGCAAGCCGGACTCAAGGTGAGGGGGTCCCAATTTTGTGCACCAGTAGCTGCTCACTCATTGACTTCTGCTTCATTGGCGACCGTATTCTCACAGGCTTGGCTGTCAATTGCGCGTTACCAAAGCGTTGGGCGAGTGGGTACAAGGTGGGGGTAGGATCACGCTGCCGCGATATTAACTGACCCCGAGAGACCGTAAGGGATAGAGCAAGAGTACACTGCAAACAACCTAGACTGCACTGCAAACATTTCAAGGGTTCTAAATTCACAATCAAGCCTCAGTCTTGGCTTCCCACCCTTCATGATACTGGGGTGATTGTTCGGGGAGGACCTTGTGCAAGGGCACAGCTGCCCAGAAGAGGACGGCGAGCGCGACAGGGGCGAATTCGAGGAGTCCGAAAAGCCATTCGTTCGAGCTGGCGTATCCGAAGATGCCTTCTGCTGTTTCGGCGAGACGATAGACCTGTGAGGTGTGAGAAAGAAAATTGTAAGTTTCAGAGAATATCGGGCCGAATCGAAGTGTCCAGCAAGTCGTGGGTTTTACAGTTCGTGTAAGAACGAGGAACGAGGTGATGCTCAGGATAGCGAGGAACGTCTTCCTCAGTGATCTCGGCGACATCTTGCTAGCCCTAACAGCGACCGTGATGAGAAGGTAATAGAAGCACAAAAAGGACGCGCATTGTAACGCCAGACCACTGAGAAGGATGTCGTTCGCTTGTTGAGGGGTGATGCTGCTTGGATCGCCTCTCGTGCGCGAAGATTCGGCAACTCCGATGAGGGCTGCGCCGGCGATCTGGATGATGGTCGTGATGGTGTCGGCGATGACGAAGACTAACGAAGACAAAGGTTTAGCTCTGTAATGATGCGACCTCGATGCATCTAAAAATCTCACTGATGACCAATTTTTTGCCTCCAAAGGGCAACAATGTCCGAGACTCGTTCGGAGGTAGACGGCCAAGAGCGTTCGATAGTGCCAGGTACTAACGGTTATAAAATCATGCGTGAGAACTTGACCTTGAAAAGGAGATTACCAAGGGGATTGAGTCAGAACTTACAAAGGTACCGCTGAAAAAGCACGGCGCGACAACGATGAGAAAATATTGCGCCACGAAGTACGATACGATGAATGGGTTCTTGTGCGATAAGATGCGCACAACGTATCTGTGAGAAGTTTAACATATCAGATGTTCATTAAGAGTTTTCAATCATCAAGCCAGGGCCCGGTTGCAGAATGGCAAGTCTTGCTTCAAGCTCGAAGTTGCAAGAGAAATGAAAAGACTGACCCGCCGACTTCCATAGCACAGCCGCACACAATGAGGATCTGAAACGTTCTTGTCCCACGTGATATCATCAAATATGAAAAGTGAACGATGAAGGAGAGGCCAAATATGACGGTTGCCACGTAGGCGAAGATGTTGGACGGTCGGTAGCCGTAGATTGAGATGCGCGCCTCGCCGTCGGGTGGGTTGGGATTGGAGTTGACGGGGCCTCGGTAGCCGGGCGGGAGGTAGCCTGACATGTTGGATTGGTTTATGAGATGGGGGTGCGACGAGTGGGAGGTAAGGCTGAGGCGCTGGCGATTGGGAACGGCGGTCGTGAGATGAAGTTCCGCGGAGAAATGAGACCCCTGGTTGAAGTTGGCGAGCCTGGTCTGATGTGAGGGTTGTACGAGGTGGACAGCAGCCGGAAGACTTTGAAGTGGTGATGTTGTGAAGTGAAAAAAATGATGTAGTGGGTAGGTACCTGAGAAAGGGAGCAGACCCTCTGTCGACTGAGGGTCTTGATTCGACAGCCCTTCAAAAGCCTGCAAAAGCTTCAACGCAGCCCATGCCAAGCCCAGTTCAAAGCCTACGTCAGAGCGCGGGCTTCGGGATCCCGCAGCGCCGCGACGATCGGGCGGCTTGGGCTCGCCTGCGCTTGCTGATCCCGGAAGCCTGCTCGGCCCCCTCCCACCCACCACCTTTCGTTTCCGCGGAGGACGAGGCGAGGCCGGGTCATTGGTTCTAGTCTCAGCATGGTAGTAAGTGGTATAAGTGGTATCTGGGCCAATACGTATTTCTTTGGTCATTGCAATAGTGCCCCCCTCTCATCCTTCGCTGAGAGTGGACTTGAGCGTCGAACTTAGTTTGTGACGGAATCCTAGTAGTAGCGATCCGAAATACGTCACGGTGCCGGCGATTACGAGCTGGATTTGTAAGAACCAGGTATTAGTGGCGTGGGCGACCTTTGATGTCGAAGGAACAATAACCACATGCTTCGTTGGTAGCCGTTGAAAGCTCAGCATCGCAGGAGTAAGCGACTCGGGTTGGCTGCATGCAGTGCCGCGATCTGGACCCACCCGTGCAGCCCGAATACCGCTGCGGCTTGAGCTTGGTTGGGATGTCTCAGTAGGTGACGGTCAGTTTAGGGTGAAAGTAACCACGCTTACGCATACCTCGAGCCCTAAGCCGAGACTGCGGGATAGTGTTGCTTCGAAGCGGCCAAAGTGAAGCATTTCCGGACCTACTAGCTATAGTGGGGCGCCACGCTCCTCACATGCAGTGGCCGCTTCCACTGCTGCAGTGTCCTTGTATTCAGCAGCTGATCATAGGTGGTCCCAGCGGGAGCGTAAGGCTGACTCAAAGTATACTATGGGCGTTGAAACGAAATCATGATTGTGATCGGCACGATGCACTTGCCAAACCCAATCATCGCCGCTCAGTGTGAAAGCTGCTTTCCGCAGAGTGGACGTGGTCTGTGCGAGAAACTTGGATCCCGGCGAAGTCATTTGCCGTCAACCCAAGCCTCGCGCTAGCCTGTTCTCCCTCTCGCGGACTACACCACCTGACACTCCGCACCGACCCATCCCTCACCACCCCCACCCTCCCACCTCGCAAGCCACCATGTCGGACGTCGATGACCCATCGCCTATCCCTCTGACAGAGCTGATCAGCCCGGACTTTACGGCGAGGGCCACACCCCCGGCTCGGTTGACGTCGATGGCGAGCCCGTTCGCCTTCACCTCGATCGAACCAGCGCACTTGCTCGAGGACAAGGCGACGCAGGTGCAACGGGCCCAGGTCAGGGAGCAGAAGTCCAAGCAGGAGATGCAGAGCGACTCGCGCGACCTCTTCTTGAACCATAGGGTACGTCGTACGCGAGCGTAGCTGCTGCAATATGGGTAGCGGCAGGCGGGGCTAGAGCTGCTTTGGCTCCACGGTGGGACCTATCAGCTTAACACGCCGTGCTGAACTATTGCATGATCCTTTTGGTAGGCCCATATCCGTGAAGACCCCATCGAGGTCAGTCTGGGAGAATTCTCGCCGGGTCTGGCAGCGTGCGGGGCTCCAGCATATCCGCCTTGGCCCCGGGATTTCCGACTCGACGTCAGAGAAGCCGTATGAGGTCCTCAACTCATGCTCTGAGATTTCGTTATTCAGGTCGCGAAGCAATTGTCCATGTGGGCGAGTGGAACAGGATGGCGAGCTTATACGGGTCAGTGAAGACCTCAAAGTACTTTGGTGCGAATCGGCAACAACGTGCTGACCTCATCCCGACCCCTGTGATCGTCCAGATTATATCGGAGCTCGTGTCATGTACGACGGCTACTCCAAAGCAACCCTTCGAGCTATCACCATGGCTCCTCAAGGTCGGGTCCATTAGTGGTCGAGCAGGTTTTGTCTCCCTCAATGCGCTCGCTGATGTCTGGACACTCTTTGTACCACATCCCATCTACAGTGCGAAAAAAGATCAAGCAACTCGCACTTGAGCGCCTTGAAAGCCTTGACCTCCCGCCCGAGGCGAACCGGGAAAAGAAGCTGGCTCAGCTCGAAAAGCAATTGACCGAAGTCTCGCTGCAGTATGCCGACGGAATGGTCGCAAAGATGGACAGCTTGCGCTTCCTCAGATTCTTCGGCGCCACGGTCAACAATGTCCTCGTCCGCATGTACAACCAGGGCATTCACATAAACCTCCCAGAGTATGCCGCGTTCCGCGAAGTCGCTGTGCAGGCGGCCAAGAACAAGCAGTCGCTCTTGCTGCTCCCCTGCCACAAATCCCATATCGACTATCTCACCATCTCTTGGCTCTTCTATCGTTGTGGACTGTCCCTGCCTCACATCGTCGCCGGCGAGAATCTCAACATGCCCGTCGTTGGCCCCATGCTTCAAAAGTGCGGCGCCTTCTACATCCGCCGTAGCTTTGGCGACGACGCTTTATACCCCGTCATCATCAAGGAGTACATCGAGCATCTGATGGAGAACGGTATGAACATGGAATGGTGAGAGGTGTACTCCCTTTTCAGGTTGGCCCTTCGGAAGCTGACCTGAGAAGTGTTCTTCTGTGTCACAGCTTCATCGAAGGATCGCGTTCTCGAACGGGAAAGCTCTTGCCGCCCAAGCTCGGCATCCTGAAATACGTCGTCGAGGGCCTCCTAGCCGGGCGCACGAGCGATGTCTTGATCTGCCCAATTTCGCTCCAGTACGACAAGGTCATTGAGACGGAGACCTACATCAACGAATTACTCGGCAATCCCAAGGAGAAGGAGACGCTCACCGGCCTCTTGCTCAACACGCGCGTGGTCCAGCTTCAACTCGGGAGGATCGATGTGCGCTTCCAGAAACCGTTTTCTCTTAACGGGTGGATAGAGGATCAGAACCAGCGTCGTAGGAGCCAGCGCGAGCCGGGGGCTCCCGTCGATGCCAAAAAGGAGCAGGCGGTGCTGTTGCGGGCGCTCGGGTACCAAGTGCTGAGTGATATCAACAAAGTTGCTGTCATCATGCCTGCTGCACTCGTCGGGACGTGCATGCTGACTATTCGTGGACGGGTAAGACCGCGGGCGGCCTGCTGGGACCCGGTGTTGACATGGCACTGACGAGACTCCTTTTATATTCGACAGGGTGTTGGTAAGAAGGAGCTCCTAGCCCGTGTCGGATGGCTGATCCAAGCCATCGAGGTACGAGGTGGTCGAGTCGCCGATTTTGCCGGGATGGACCTCGAAATTGTCGTCGATCGAGCTCTGATCGTCCTCAAGGATCTCATCGGCGAGCACAAGGATCTGATTGAGCCCACGTTCTACATCACCAAGCGCTTTGAGCTCTCCTTCTACCGCAACCAAACGATGCACCTCTTTGTCTCGGAGAGCATGTTTTGCGCCTCGTTGTACACGCGAGTCAAGGCCGGTGGAGCGGCACCTTCGCAGCGGATGGCGAAAAAGGAGATCATGCCCGAGTTGCACTTTTTGTCGAGGTTATTGCAGAACGAGTTTGTGTATGGCATCGAGGGTCTCGAGTCGAACGCGGCGAATACGATCAACTCGCTGGCGGTGAGAGAAGATTAAAGCTCTGCGAAGATCTTGGAAGAGTTTACTGATATACGCTCACTGGTCCTTGCCAAGCAGAAGGACGAAGTGATCCTCGTTGAGGACGATATGATCGGTCTTTCCCCCAAGGAACGCGCTTCAGGTCGCAACAACTTTGGTGAGTCGGCGTCGAGAGTCAACTCGCATTATAGACGTGGTATTGATGTGATCGCTATGCTGCAGATTTCTTTAACTTCCTCCTGTGGCCCTACATCGAGACCTATTGGCTCGCCGCCGTTTCCCTGTTTGCGCTTACGCCTGTGGGGCCGCCTCCCGAGTCGTCAGCGACTCTTGCTTGGGTATCAGAGAAGGCGTTCCACAAGAGCGCTCAACTGCTTGGCAAAAATGGCCACTACCAAGGCGATATCTCGTATTTGGAAGCCGTCAACCAAGGTACGCATATAAGACTCGCTGCGCATTCTTAGAAGCACCCCGCTTGTATTGACGCATCTGTGACTGTGACAGCAACGCTCGCGAACGCATTCATGCGAATGGTGGAGCTCGGGGTGATCCTGACTCGACGATCAACAACACTGAAGGGCTCGCCGCCATTGATGGCGTTGCACCCGAAGTGGGTCCCGAGTCGAATGGCTTCGGGTGAGATTGCACCTCAGGGAAGGTTGTGGGACTTCGTTTCCCACCTTGGGACATTCCGACGAGTGAGCTTACATGTCGGCCCTGATGATGTTTGAATCATCACTGATGGAGTTCTTTCCTCTGTCCTTCTTTTACTGCTTCACAGGAAGGCAAGAATCGCCGCGACAACGCGACCGTTTCGAAGCGGGTGTTTGAGCACTGTCAAGCGATCGCGCCTCAGGTGCTCGAGTGGACTTCGTTCGATGGCGCGTCCAAGGCCGAGAATGACTTTTGGCAGGTCAAGCCTAATTTATAAGGAGGGGGGGGGGGGGGGGGGGGGGAATGGTATATGTGCAAAATGCAGGGAACATGAGTGTTGTGACTGTTCGCTGGGAAGCGGGAAGCGGGAAGCGGGAAGCGGGAAGCGGGAAGCGGGTGTAGTTTCAGGGATGCGAGGACTGGGGTTGTGCCAGGAAAATCTCTTAATTTCCGATTACTTCCCGATCATTTTGCTGTTCAGGTACCCGGATGCTTGACGACATAGGATGTAATACGACATAATTGTGGTGGTAGCTGTGTCGAGTAGTTTATTTGGGTCGCTTGGGGTAGCTTGTACTGCGGGTGTCGTGACTGGCAGTTGCAACTTGCGGTGGGTGGAACGTGCCCCCAGCCTTGGTCGTGACTGAGGCCGAGGTGCGGCGGTCGGGCGCGGTCGGCTTGAGCGACTGTGATCGAATCGACCAGCCGCAGCCGAGCGGGAGTTGGCTCTGCATCGCTCCATCTCCTCTGACTCGACCCTTCGGTGCAACAGGAACACACATCCGCCAGTTCAAGACGACCGCCACCCACCACCTGGCACCGACCGCAAGCACGCCCCACCAAGGTCAAATTGGCTCAAGTCCCACGAAGTCGCCTGGAAAGAGCTGATCCCCGCGGAAGATCGTCGTTCCTCTACGCACCACCTCAACCTCGCACGACGATCCACACTATTCTTGGCACTTCGACGTACGAACCAGGCAACCGATCTACGCTTGACTTGGTGTGCTCTTCGGCTCTCCTTCACCCCCTCTCATCAATCCCCCGGCCCGCCTCGACCTCGTCTTGACCTTCTGCGAGCATGACGACACGACGGCTGGCGACCCGATCGCAAGCTACCATTGGCGCCCCTTTCAGCGTGACCCGACTGGCCCTCGTCGGAGCCAGTGCCCTGACTCGTTTCACGCGGGCCTATGCGGCACCCGTGCTTGGTGCAGCGGCGAGTGTAGCCGCGAATGATTACGATACCTTTACGATCAAGGGGCATGAGAAGGTCGAAGTTGGCAGCACCGGTCCGTTTACGGAGCCCTCCTTTTTTCTTTTTTTTTTCTTTTTCCCGGAGACCGCTCGTCCTCTGAGTTTTCCCGGATTGTTGTAGGCTGACTTGGGGGAATGATCTGATTGAAACAGCCTTCTACTACAAGCTCGTGATCGCTTTTGTGCTCGTTGGACTCGGAGCATGCTTCGCAGGCTTGACCCTCGGCCTGCTCTCTCAGGATTCGGTCAATTTGCAAGGTCAGTTTTTCCAAAGCGAAGTCGCTGCGACCGGGTTACACGTATAAATTCAACGTTATCCCCTACGTTCTCGCGCACAGTCTTGTCGACCGCGGGTGAAGAACAGGAACGTAAAGATGCGGCCAAGGTGCTCAAGTTGTTGGAAAGGGGCAAGCACTGGGTCTTGGTCGTGCTTCTGCTCTCCAACGTCATCGTCAACGAGGTCAGTCCAACCGGTCAAGCAAGCCTTGTCGACGTCCCCATCACTGATCGGACCTTGCCCTCGTTCTCCCACTTTGCAACAGTCGTTGCGTGCGTCATTGGTCGATCAGTCAGCCTTCCTCGCGCATTGTGATGTTCGCTAATCCCCGATCTCGGCGCATCTTTGCTCCATAGCCATCTTCCTCGATTCCGTCATCGGAGGCGGTGTCGGAGCCGTCGTCATTTCCACTGGGCTGATCGTCATCTTTGGTGAAATCATCCCCCAAGCCGTTTGCGCCAGGTACGGATTGCGGATAGGAGCGATAGCCGCCCCAGCCGTCTTGGCCCTCGTGAGTTGCTTTATGTCTTGCCATTTGTAGATCAGGAGCACTCAATTACTTCATCTGATCGTTAGATGTACCTCGAGTACCCCATCGCGTATCCCATCGCCAAATTGCTCGACTACCTGCTCGGTGAGAGCCACGGGACGCTATACAAAAAGGCCGAGCTCAAAACTTTTGTGGCTCTGCATCGTCGCATCGGCGGCGAGTCGCTCAACGAGGACGAGGTGACCATCATCTCGTCGGTGCTAGAACTCTCGGCCAAGCCCGTGTCGCAGATCATGACCAACCTCGAAGACACCTACTCGCTGCCCTCGGACGCGATTCTTGATCAAGAAACCGTCGACGAGATCCTGGCGCTCGGTCACTCGCGCATTCCTGTGCACACCCCCGAGGACCCGACCGATTTCATCGGCATGATCATCGTCAAGAAGCTCATCTCGTACGACCCTTCGCAAGCGATGCCCGTCAGCACGTTCCCGCTGTCGGTCCTGCCCGAGACGAGTCCCGAATCGACGTGCCTCGACGCGCTCAACTACTTCCAGCAAGGGCGATCGCACATCTTGCTCGTGTCGAGTACGCCGGGAACGCCGGGTGGTGCGCAGGGCGTGGTAACACTCGAGGATGTGATTGAGGAGATGATTGGCGAGGAAATCGTCGACGAGACGGATCTGTACGTCGACCTCAACAACAAGATCAAGGTCGTGCGCGGACCAGCGAAGCGAGTCGCGACGGGCAAGGCTTTGGCGCCGTTGATCGCGGGCGTGATCGAGCGTCGGCACGCACGCCGCCAGAACACGAGCACGAATCTGAACTATGGCACGAACGAGTCGACGCCGAACGGCGCGTCGCCGAAACCGCCGCATCCGAAGCCGAACCCTGCGCAAACCGCGTTCGACAAGGTCAAGTTGCGCAACGGCAAGCTGCCCGACCGAAGGCAGCGAATCCTCGATGGCGCTTCGCCGAGCTTGCATGCCGAACGAAGTGGGAGCCCTTCTTCGATGAGTGGATTGGATGATGAGACGTCGACGTTGGGAGAGAGGAAACCTTTGCTCGGTAGGAATCAGACGACCGCGAATTGAGGTGGACCGAGGGGAGGGGTTGGATTTTCCTGCGCCGAGGGAATACGTTGGAGTCGAGTCGTGTTGTGCAGTTTGTGTTCAAAGTGACAGACTATGGAGGTCTTGAAGAAAAGAATGTCCAATTTTTGCATGCATTTATGAACCCCCCGGCTGTGTAGCAAGTGTACAATCTTTCGTTTCGTGATCATCATGCCGCGTGAAAAGGGGCAACCGCCGACCGAGTCTCGGCCAAAGCGTGCGTCCGGCTTCCCGAGTCGCCGAAGCTCGAGCTGATCCGAACCAGTCCGAACCGCGGTCCCGCGTTTCTGTCTCCGAGTCGCCTGTCCGACTCGTCTCGCAGATCGAGTGCAGTCCCCTCCACCCCTCCAAGCATGTCGTTCGCCGCTCTGGCCGGTGGTGCCGAATGTGGGCCGGTGAACCCCTTGTCGCAACTTTCCAAGCTGTACGGTCAGGATCGCGGGGTGCAGCAGGTCAGTCGTCGCACGCCGCACGCCGCACGCCGAAGCGTAGAGGCGATGTTCGCATCGCGGCTTGGCTGACTCAGCTCTGTCTTCGCGGCGGTTGTTTGTGCTGCGACTCAATAGGATCATTCCAATCCTCAAGCTGCTTCATCTTCTTCGGTGAGTGTCATAGTCATGAGTCCAGACAGTCCAGCCTTGGTTGACGACCGCACTGACTGACTGACCGACATCCCCCACCTTCGGCGATCGTGCAGGCTTTCCGTCGCGGAGGCCCATCGTCATCGTCTTCCCAACCACTAGCAGATGAAGCGAACCAATTCTTCCAACAACAACGAGGTGGCGGACCGCATGCGTTCGATCTCTCGCCTCTCAACCGAGCCCTGACGCCACATAACCCAACCCCCGGCTCGATCAATGCAGCCGCCGCACCACCACCCTGGGCCCAAGCCTTTTCCCAACAAATGCACCTTCCCTCAAATGTCTCGAACCAATCTGAGATGGAGAACGAGGCGTTCAGAAGGGCGTTCCAACCTCAAGGACCGAGCATGATGGGTGGCGCAGGCGGTCCGGGGGGAGCCCAACTCGAATGGACCAATGACTTTCGTCAACATCGAGCCAGTCCTCTTGCCGCATCCCAACAACAACAAGTACCCAGTTCGGCTATGTCGATCGAGGCGCAGCAGTCGGGGCGGATGGGGTATTCGACGGGCCAGCAGAGGCTCTTTGGCGCTGGTTTCGGCGCACCGGCTTTGGCCATGTCGGGGGCTTCGACGATGTACCAGCCTTCGATGCAGCAGCACAATGACGTGCAACATGCTTCGGCTCAGCGGGATATGGCCGTTTCGACCCAGGGTGAGTTCCCATGGCTTAATTTTGCACCATTTGCGAACTCGGGCTGACGCTGAATGTAATCTGGACCGTACAGGGTGGGAGGACGCTTTCAAAGCCCAAGAAGCCGAAGTGACGACCAACACATCCAAATTGATCCACGAATCGTACCAGCCCATCTCGGAATACGAACAGCGATCTTCCTCGCCGATCTTGTCGCAGGACCAAGCGCGCGACGCGCTCGCCGAAACCGCCGGTCGGCTACTCGATACCGTTCGCTCGAGCGAGCAAAACCGTCATTCGAATCAAGTGGTCGACAAGGCCGACGATGCCGCGGCGCGTAATGCCAAGTTCGCGAACTCGACCTTTCTCGACTTGATGCGCAAGTTGAGGGATGGCGAGGTCGCCGTCGAAGGGGACAAGGTCGTCGAGCAGATCGAACCCAAGTATTCGACCGCGGAGAAGGGGAAAGAACGAGCTGCGGATTCGGCCTCGTCGTCATGGGCGCACCAGTTTGGACGAGAAGAGGAAGGGAGGATCGGAGGTGCTGCACCGATGACGGCGGCGTTTGGGTTGTCGGCCGATGGGGTGGGAGCAAGACCTTCGGCGGCGGCCGAATTTGCTCAAGCGAATCAACAATTCTCGGAACGACAGGCGAGAAACGCGCAGCTTTCTCGCGAGTTGGGCCAAGATTATCAGACCATCGCGGGGTTGTGGGATGACGAGGATCAGGTCAGATCGGGGCGCGAACAAGCCGCGGCCGAACGCGCCAAGTGGCAGTTTCAAGGCGATGGGGGAGGGATTGCGGCTGAGCACGAGATGATGGGGGATGAGGCGACGACGGCGGAACGGACGCGCGAGCAGATGTACATGGACACCTCGGTGCCTCTAGCAAGTTCGAATTGGGAAGAAGAGATGAACGATCCGTCGATGATCGTCGGAGGACACGCGATGAAGACCGCTCGGCCGCCGCAGGAACTGTCGGCGCAACAACGGGAATGGGATATGCTGCAAGAGGACTGGGATGCGTTCGACGTTTCGGCCGCGGGCCTGAAACCGGCAGCTTCGACGTCGGCTTCGATTGGCGGGTACACGTTCCACCAGAACAACCCGTACATCAATTCAACCCGACACCACTCGATGCACGGCGCGTACGGGTCGTCAAACTATGATACGATCCTGCAGAAGGAAGCGGCGGTACAACAACGACCGCATGATCCTCAGGCTTGGCTCGCGTTGGGGATCAAGCAGCAGGAGAACGAACGAGAGGAGATGGCGATCCAAGCTTTGCGACAGGCGTTGTCGATCGATCCTGAATTGGGGGAGGCCCACCTTGCTCTCGCGGTATCGTACACGAACGAAAACGAACGACCCCTCGCTTACGAAGCTGTCGATAAATGGGTCGATACGTTGGGGCAAACTAGGTACAAGCAAGAGGTCGATGCCTATCGGGATTTATTCGGCATCTTACCGGAACAACAACACATCCGTCACGAATACCTTACGAACCTCTTGATTCGTTTGGCGCAATCGAGGGAAAGTGACGACGTCGATGCCGAAGTGCAGATCGGGTTGGGGGTGCTCTTCAACGCGAGTGAGGAATACGAGAAGGCGAGCGATTGCTTTGAATCGGCTCTTTCGGTATGGCCCAATGATCCGTTGTTGTTCAATCGCCTTGGCGCGACATTTGCCAATTCGGGCAAGACGGATTTGGCGATCCAGTATTACGTCGAGGCGTTGGAGATTCAACCCAACTATGTGCGCGCGAGATTCAACCTCGCCGTCGCAAATATGAACCTTCATGTGAGTTATCGGGAACTGGGTCGAGGACTTATGCGAAAGAAGGCTTTCGAGCTGAGTTCTGGTCACTTGAATCTGCAGCAATACGAGGAAGCGGTGCATCATCTCTTGACCTCGCTTTCGATCCAAGAGGCGGATGCCCAGCTGGAAAGTGAGTCCGGGGAGGAAATGTTACTCGACAGCGGTGGATTCGCAAAGCTGACCGCCTGTCTTATCTCCTCACAGCCGGTGACGCATCTCTCCCCGCCAACGGATCCAACGGCGTCACTTCGCAAACCCTCTGGGACTCGCTCAACATCGCCCTCTTGCAAATGAACCGTTCCGACCTCGCGACCCTGACCGCCGCGCGCGATTTAGCGGGCCTCACCTCGGCGCTCAACATCATGTGAAGCCAGAAGTGGGAAAACGAGCCCGCATCCAGGTTCCAAGGAGGTGTCACGATCCCTGGACCGGTTCTTCCCGCCGATGTTCAGATCAAGGGTGGTAGTGGTTTGTATCAGAGTTGTAGGATGTTTGGTTTGGACCTCTAATAAAAGTGCAATGATCGCCTCGCTCTCGGAAAATGATAATGTTTCAATCTTGCGCTTTGCATTGCTCTAATTCGTACAACAAACATACTTCCGAAAGAAGATAAACCAAAGTGAACCTCAACGAGAGCTCTCTAGATCCTTCTCCCCGCCTTTGGACGCCACCACCTCTACATCCACATTCTTCTCCCCCGCCAAGGCCACCGCATCTCTCCTATCAATCCTCCTCTTCCAAGCGCGCAGGATTACAACCAACCCCTGCCCCAACGCTACTTGACTTCCTTGATAAAGCACCAAAGGTAGCTTGACCAAACTCTGATGCTCCGCCGATTCAGCCCCATACAAAATCGAAGCGATCGGACCACCTAAGGAGACGCCTTTAGCTGAACCGAGGAATATAAGCGCTATGGTTGTCGAGGGGTCAAAGAGGGTTTCGTGAGGGGAGGAGGTGGAGAAGGTTGGGAGAAAGCGCGATTTGGTGGAGTGTGTGAGGTGTAGGAATGGGGTGTGCCTTGCTAAGAGCATGAGAAGGAGGGCGTGGAGTGCGAAGAGGCCGACTGAGTGGGGTTGAGGGCACGGTCCTTGTCAGTTCGCCGTTTCAAGGAAAGGGACACTTACGAAAGATCGGTATCGACTCACTATCGACCAAGACGATGAAGGCTACTGTACCGCCCGTAATCTTAGTGAAAACGTTCTCGTAGAACGCCCCCGAGAATGTGGACCAGATGACACCCAGCAAACATAAGGATGATAATTTGGCGAGGTGACAATGGGCCCGGATCCACTGGACTTGGTGGGTAAAAGTGGATTGGAGCACTTCACCGACGACGAGGGGGATGAAGACGGTGAACCCGAGCTGTGTTCGGATGAACATCTTCAGCCTTCACGGAACGAACTGGAACGATGCTGAAGATGCTCACCTGCTTCAAAACCTTCAGATAAATATCCGCCGTCCCGCCCGAGCCCGAAGCCCTGGGTGCCCCAAAAGCCCAAGGCCCACTCATGAAAGCGCTCAGCAAAGCCGGTGTGAGGAAGACGCCGATGGTGTTGCCAAAGATGACCTCGATCGTCGCGGCGGATTCGTCGCCTCCTGCTTGACCGGTCATCACGACGTTACTTGCCTGGAAATGGGGGAAGCGGGATCGAGCGAAGAATTAGAGCCAAATCTCACGCCGCGCTGTGAGAGTGCTTCAGTGATACTTACGACCGTAGTCGGCACGCACCCCATGACGACCATTCCCACCAAAGCCCACTCGTTTATTCTTGTGTAAGTTGGGTCCGCGGCTCGCACAATATTCACGATCGCGTAAACTACGGTCGGGAAGAAGAGGAAGCTGTAGGCTTGAGTGACGAGGTGGAGCTTGTAGTCGCGCGATCGCTTGACAATGTTATGCAAGGGGAGGGAGAGGCCGGATACAAAGAAAATGATCGCGACGAGGAGGTACTGTGGTGCAGCGGGATGCGAGAAGCTGGACTTTGATCAGATCTCGCCACGATGAAAATTTGAGCCCTGGAGCATGTGGTCATGGACTCACGTTCACGGACCACTGAGCGTGGACGATACCCCCTTCTCTCCCCACGTTCGGAAACGACTGAAATAAAATGAAAAGAGGATGTGATCAGCTCCCAGACGTGCGCGGGCATGCTCGGCAAGCAGCTCGCCGAGTGAAGTAGGTGAAGTTGACTCACGTGAGCAAGCGCGATCACGACCCCGATCCCGATCAGAAACCACTGGTGCAGCATCGTCTGCCCAATCCAGACCACTGCAATCCGAAGCCTTTCCTTTATTGATGGCGGGCTAATTGGTGGCTCGGCCAAAGTCGCTGTATCACCGGAATCGCACGTCCCGGTCCCGGTCCCGGTCCCGGTCCCGGTCCGTTCGCCGACTCGGACCTGAGATTGCGAAGGCGACGATTCGAGCGAAGAACCAGTGGGGCGACTGGTTATTTGGGCTGTCATCGCAGCAGCATCAGGTTTGGAGGAGGTGTCTTGCATCAACGGTGGTTCCAGTGGTGTGGCCTGTGTCATGATGGCGTTGATGGAAGCCACGAGAGAGAGGGAGACAGCCCGGTCGGATCCAGTTCGACCAGCCGGAACGATTCGGAAGCTGAGCGCCACACTCGTCTCGGCGATCGGTGTGGCTCCACATTCAAATCGGGCAACCTCGAGAGGAGGCACTGCCGTCATGCCCACGCACCGCAGCGCAAGCACTGCCCTCATGTAATGCAATGCAACACCTAGTCTTACGACACAACGTTATCATCGTATGACATGGCATGGCTTGCATTCATAAACTAGACGAATAGGTACCGCAGATCAGGAGGACAAGTCTAGGTGCACAGGCTTGAAAGAGAAGAAAACTGCCGAGTTACGACTGGTCGGGAAACAAACGACACTGGGCGACAGCGACAGAGAGAGCGCGCAGACAAAAGTTACACGAGGGCGCCCCAAGCCCCAAGAGCGGCAAAGAGCAAGAAGAGCAAGACGATCAAGGTAATGTACGAGATGGCTGGGATACCGACGTGGCGAACACGTAGGATCCACATCATCGAAAGGAGGATGTGCACGACCACGACCGCGCCAAAGGTCGGCCACATGGGGATCGCGATCAATGTCGGCGCCGAGGTTCGGAAGGGGAGCGAGAGCACTAACGCCGCCACGAGTGAGAGCAAGATACTGTAGAAAGACTCCGTCGTCAGTTGACGAAAGCTCCACGGCTTCTGAACGATAGCACTCACGAGTCGACTCTCCAGACCACGACCACCGCAACCGGAATCTCGTAAAGCGGCACACCGAGCTGCGCCTCGAGCTCTTCTCTCTCCAGGGCCCGGATCCTCGCATCCAAGTCGGCATCACTCGTCTCCCTGTCCAATCGTGCCTCAACCGCTCGGTCGAAAGCGGAGGTGTTGGCGACTGTACGATCGTGTGACTTGTCCATTCCGTTCGCACCTGCAGCGTTGGTGAGAGATCCCGTACCGTACTCGGTCGTAGTCGAGTGTCCAAGCAGTGGCTCAACGGAGTCACCCCCTGCGGCTTCTTCGTCCGTGTCTTCCCCGAGAACATCATCATACAACCGCATCCGTCGCCAAAAGTCCCGCGTGCCCTGCAAACGTCACAGACAAAAAAGGTATTGATTGATAAGCAGTCAGCGACTTTTGCGTCCATGGGTGTGGTGAGACACCCCGACCTCGACTGACCCAGATGATCTCAACCAGTGCCCACCCCATAGCGAACCACAGTGCCGAAAAGAATAGAACGTCCAACGGAGGCAAAGGGGGTCTCGTCGGCTCGTGAGGGTAGCGATGGCCCCTTCTCGGCGGTGAAGGCGGCTGAGGCATCCCTCCCTGGGGTGTGACGACCTCGGGATCTGGCAGCAAGGCCACGACGAGGATGATGGCGCCCAACCTCAGCAGTTCTTGCAGCACGACGTGGACCGAGGTGGGCAGAACGAGACCGGTCCCCGGCGTCGGTACCCCATCCGGATCCTTACTCTCCCACGTCAAGAGCTCGAACACGACTTGTTTGAACGCTTCGCCAGCGAGCCAAGCCGAAGCACCGATGATGAGCTCGGCGAACCTTATCTCGTGCTTCCACCATGCGAGCAGGACGAAAGCCAAAGTAACGAGCACGCCCGAGACAGCGAACTGGATGTAGTGCGCTCGTTGAAACGCTCGGCGCGTCGGGCATGCCTCGCAAATGGACGACTCGGACGAACCGGACCCTTCGCATGAGCCGCTTTCGGCCGATTCATGGGATGCGTTCGACGATGATACGGAATGCGAACGTGTTCGTACGAGGACCGTCGAAGCGAGCTGAGGCTGAACCAGAGGCTGAGGTGGGGCCGCTGCGAACCGGGGCGGAGAATGAGGTGCGGCACTGTTGTGAGTCGAAACAACGGCCGACGCGTGGGTAGATGAGCTCGACTCCATAGCACGAGGTGCAGGGTGAACAGATACGTGGACGGGTGCGGGTGCGGGTGCGAGTGCGAATACCGCGGGTGCGCCAAGTGCGGTGGCTTCGGGCAGATGGGTAGACGAGGCAGCCGCCGGCGGGGGAGGTGACATGGCTCGTGCTCCAGGTACGAACGTGAATGCGGCAGCATGCGGATTGAGAGACGAGTGACCTCCATTCGCTCGGGGACTGGTCGCTCGCAACAGCGGCGAGCGTTCATTCGAGCCTACGGTAGCCATCGTGTCGTCGTCGTCGGCTGCGAAACGTCCGACGGAGAGTTCGAAGCGTGCTTGCGGAGGCGGTCCACGGAACGCAGTTCTTGTCGAGGTTGATACAGGTCACGCTTGAAGAGAGTAGAATCCAATCGTGCCCAAGCAGTCTAGGCGTCGTTTGAGCACTGCTGGTGAGAGCAAGAGGCACGTCGCGTGAGTGCTTGCCGAGTTCCGTCGGAAGGAAAACGAGCGCCGCTAGCGCCGACCCCAAATGCTGACTGTTGGAAACCCTCCTTCGCTGATTACGAAACCGCGATCGTCGTGCGTTTGTCACGCCATCTGATTGTTTACTTTTCGCGGGGGCCAATGTTGAGTTTCGGACCGAGTCGAGAAAGGCAGCGTTCATTAGGTGATGTCCGTTTATAGGTCTCGTAGCCTTGGATATTGAACGGCCAAGTTGAGAAAGCTCCTCCGAGTCGCGGACGGGTCTGCACGAGTGTACGGCATGATGCCGGGTTCTTTACGGCCGACCTTGTCGATAAACCAAAACATTGGCCTACTTGATCAAGGTAGGGTTCCCAGTAGGCAAAATGTGACTGCATCGGATCACCACAGACCGAAGGAGAAGGCACGCCGCGCGTGCGCCATTCGCGCGGGCCTTATTGGGCTTCAGCAGTTGACAGGGGTTGGGCGGAACGGATTCATAGTCGAAAAGCACCGAAAAGTGTTATCGAGGAGGGAGTTCAATTTAGGGAAAAATTAGCTTGCAGTTTTGCCACGATTGCGCGGAAACGGGCTCCAATGTACTCCACAAGCACCGGCGCCTGCCTCGATGCGGCCGTCACATATCGGACAACAGAGCCTGGGTTTCAGGGGTCCCTCATTCTCAAACAAGCTGGAATCTCGGTATGCACGTTCTCGTCTCACTGGACCCAACTAAAAGGCTAACAAGCACCGAGGCCGGCGACCCGATCGTTCACTGCTGTCAAGCAAGAGCCTCTAGTAACCGTTTCCTGACACGATGTCTCAATGATCCATGCTTTAGAAAGCTTGAGGCGCGGCCACTCTGCCGGAGGGCGCCGCAGCCCGTCGGTGAATAAGCTTATCTTTCGGGCAGAGGAGGTGACGTGCTACCGCAAGAAAGCTAATGACAAGATGTGAGACTTTCAGGAGCCCGACATTTGTGAGATTGGCGGCCGATAAGGGGTGACTGAGACCGATGAGACAGATGTGGTGAGCCGGGTGTGGAAGTGAGTCAGTTTCACCGACGAAACAGTTTTCAGGTTCCCTCGCGCCGCCCGCCGCACGTCCGTTCGGCCAATTGGCCGCGCCGGGCATGTCTAACCTCACTTTAGAGGATGAGACTGAGACAGGCGTACTCCACACACGCAGGTGAAGCAAGGACTTTGTCTCGACTCTTTGTCGCAGACGAAGTCGTGGCATTATCCATGCGAGAAGTGGAAGATGTGTCGAGCAACATAGATGGAGAAGTGGATTACGTCTAGAAAATATGCCGGCGGGCCTGAACGCACTTGCGTCCACGCCAGAGCGAGTCGACGCGGACAGGAGTCGAGTGGTTCCGACGGACTCGGGCTTCTCCGGCGCTGCGGCAATGGTCGTGGTCTTCAATGTATCGGTGCTTGCACAACATTCCTAAGGTAATGCCGACAAGCCCATCTGTTTGAGATCGGAAGATACTGGAGTGTGAAATACAGCACTGACCATTACTTTGGCTGTCGAGACCCTTCTCTCGGACAGGTCAGGCGTGCACAATCTGGCTTGCTCAGCTGTTCTATCGAGGCTACAATTCGCTTAGGCACAGGCTCTCTGTAGCGAGTACGTAAAGCGCAAGTTCTGCTCTCGTAACCATGGTTTGTACTCATGCACTCGCCGCGGCAATTTGATCTCACTTCGCCTCGGATGCTTTGGTCTAATGCCGACATAAGTCTGCCCATCTGGCACCTGAATGACGGCATTCGCGTAGAACCTTGACTTCAATACTTACATGGTAAGTTTTGCCACAATCTTAGCTGCACCGATTAAAAGATCATTGACCGCTGCCAATGGAAACCGATCACCTCGGATCTGCAAACCGAGCGCAACGCGACGTCGCCGACCTACAGGTGCCGCGAAACCTGCCGGCCCTGGCGTGCCGCGGCGATACTCCAGCAGGCGGTTGAGCTAGCAATTGGAGGCGGGCAGACCCTAAGTTGCGAACTGTCTCGCGTGAGCCGAGACGGAGTAGTTGTCCAGTACTACATTGATCCTAATTCTGCTACATGGCACAGGGCACAGAAGGCACCACTGGAACCAAGGTCAGATATTGTAGAGAGCCCAGATCCACTGAGGGACCGTCGTTCGTGGAGGCTGGGCCTGAAAATCAATGGAAAAGTCGGCTATTGCTGATGCATGTTATTCCTAGTAAGAAACTGAGTGTTTCACGTTCGTTTCCAGCTTTAACCACTCATTCGGATGGTCAAATTCGTCGGGATCCAAATTATCCGCAGCTGCCGCGCGCGTTCCGCTTCCTCAAGTCCTTGGGAAGCGTTCCAATTCCTCGTCTTCTTCTTCGTTGCGACCGTTGCCAGGGTTTCTTCGTTCGTAATTGTCGCTCACTGCGCGCCTCGATGCTGAGAAGCTACGGAAAGTCGCTGAGTCGCACATTGACGTGGTCTAGGGAAGGCGAGGTTGCGGTCCCTTCGATTAAGTTTCAAAATATGGCGTCACGGCGCCCACAGCGACTGTATGACCCGATGGGATCAGGGGATCGAGTGATAGTTGCAGTCGTAGGGATTGTAGTCGTAAAGATAAGCTCCTCGTACGACGATAGCGTAGTGTGATTCAATCGGCGATGGCTAGCTTCGGAGGTAGGGCCAGCAAAGTGGGGTGGTATATGGCCAGTGGGGTCGCATTGGCGTCGAGCCGATTGCAGCAAGGGCTCTCAGGTCATGGATGACAATCTGAGATGGAATGAGTGAAGCTGAGGCGAGCTGAGGCGAGGTTGAGCTGAATGAGGGGGAAGGAAGAGGTATAGCGCGAGCGCGCGGAGCGGCATGATGTCAACGCGCCCGAAGCTTGACATGCCCGGAAAGGCAAACGCGAGGGAGGGCCAAGGTCCAGGCCGGCCTAGAGCGCGTCCCTTCTCGGGCCATTGAACTCATGGTTCACATCAAGGGATTTCGCATAGTTTAGTGCGTGCTACGGCGACCCCGACTGGCCATGACAATCCGAGGTCTACAAGCAATCCTACTTTTCATCGAAGGCCGCCGGCTACCAATAGAGGCCAGGGCCGGATCCGCAGTGATGAAAAATTGCCTTGTCGAGTTAGCTCGATTTTCTGAGAATGGCTGGTGCGCGCGCGGGCGCGAGGCCGTGGACTCCGATCTAGTAGGGTGGTTTGTAAACCGTCCCATCGAAGTAGTGTCTTGCATGTTTCATTTTCACACCAGCCTACTACAGCTACGCCTGTCCGTCCCTCTCTTTCTCTCTCCTTGCGAGACTTGAACACTTCCGGGCCCAATCGATCCTCCGCCTCAACGCCGCCGACCCCTTTGTTGGCAAGACATAACGCCCTGGGTCCTTATCGCCGGCGGTCTCTAACCGTAATTGAAAAATCAATTGAGCAAGCGCGCGCGTCCGCGGCGGAAGAGCGAATCGCGATCGGTCGCACCGCTGGCGGCCCCGTCTCAAGTTTGTGTCTCAGTCTCAGTCCGAGTCTGGTCCAACCTCGTCAACGGCCGCTCGTGTGCCAACTTGCCCACTTACGCGCTTTCGCTTTCGTCCTCGCACGCTCTCTTTCTCGTCTCTTGGGTTGCACATCGTTTCAAGTGAGCGGTCCAGCTCGCAACCCAACAGTGACGATGGACATCAACGACCAGTTCGGCGGGGATGCGGCGGCCGCAGAGGCGGCGTTCGTCGACGGGACTCATCCAGCGTTGGTTGGCAACGGTGCATCGGCGGGGGCCAATTCAGCGAGGCAGCAACACCGACGGCACGACTCGGGTTCGTCCGCCGCCTCGAGCTCGTCGACCACTCCCCGTCGAGCATTACCAAGGAGTCCGACCTCCCCCTCGACGGCTCAAGACTCGAACAACGCCGTCCACGCCCCTCGATGGAGTAATGCTGCGAATGGCGCCGCGAGTCAGACGGGCCCCAAGGGTGTGCTCGCGGACTGGCACGCGTTGAACGAGGCTGGCGTCAGTGCGACATCCAACACGGGACCCAAGGGCGTCTTGAAGGACTACAAGAGCTCGCAACAACAACAGCAACACCAACATCAACAGATCGGACTGCACAACCGCCCACCGTCCCCTACGGCGCGGATGATGGCCGCGGCGTATTCACTTGACTTGGACGGTCACGACTCTGCGGGAGGCGAGCACGACGAGCGCTTGCTGGTCGGCGACGAAGCCGCACGGGAGCTGTACAGGCGGCAGAGGATCACGGAGCTTATGGGTAGCGGGGAAAGGAAGGAGACGAAGCAGAAGAGAAAGTTTGGGCACCTGCGGGAGATTGGGTTCGAGCAATTCGTCGCCGCGGTCGAGGATGAGGCCGACGACGTCGCGGTCGTCGTTCATCTGTACGAGCCAGTGAGTGCCACTGCGTGTCGATTACCGAGCCGAGCGACGGATTGTTGATGTTAACCACCACTTGTGAGCCACCGCAGGATATCGAGGCATGCACGCAACTGAATACGCACCTCTCGTCGATCGCTCGGTCGTATCCGCGGACCAAGTTCCTGCGCGCGCTCGCCACGGATCTCGATTTCGCCGCCGACGCCGAGGAGCACACTCTGCCGACGGTGTTGGTGTATCGAGGGGGCGAGCTGGAGACGAGCTTGATCCGGTTCGACCAAGAATGGGATCAGGGGACACGGAGTGACATCATCCAGCTACTCACCAAGTCCGTCTCTGGGTCCCGGTCTTTGACGCGACCTCGCGTGCAGTCCTTCTTGCTTACCCTCGATGCTTTCTTCCTTGCCCTTCTCTTGCAGCTGCGATGCCATCTCCGGATCACCCATCATGCGGTCTCGCTTTGACCGCTTCACCGACGAGGATGAATGAGAGCACCGTGGTTCTTATTCTGCAGCACCGTCTATTTTCTCTTCCATACGGGTATCAGCTATCAGCCATCAGTACATAACAATATCCCTCGCATCTATTATTATTTTGTTTGTTAGCAAAATCACTGCAGCAATTGTATCGCATTCATACCCCCTCCCCCCTCCCCCTCCCCCCTGTTTGTCTATGTGGGAAGAGTCGGTGCATGGTCGACGAGTTCAAGGACAGTGCAGGACAATGCTGTGCGCACTGATCGGTTTGTCTCGTTACCCCACCCCACCCGGTCCCAGCCGTCTCACCCGCGTACGGTTCCAGTGCAAGTGTCCATAATCGCATCCACTCGAGTGCTTCGTCATCTCGACCCAAGTGACGTGCTATATCGTACGTTGCCCGCGTCAACGAGTGGTAGCCTAGCCCACGACACACCCTCGGCACTCGGCACTCGGCACTCGGCAGTTGACTGCTCGCACTCGGACGCCACCAGCTCCGCCCCCGTCCCGGGATGGACCCCTTGACGACCGGTTCGCCCAGCGCACTTTCACCTGTACCTGCAGCTGAGCCAACACCTGCGCCTGTATCTACAACCGAGACGACACCTGCAGCGGTCGTGCTGTCCCCATCGACGACACCGGTGCCGACCGCGTCCAAGTCGAGTGATCGAACACCGTCACCGCTCTCGGCTGCTGCGACGTCCATCATCGGCACTTCCGACACGACCGACATCTCAACTTCACCTCTTGCATCTTCTGCTGCACCCCCCACGCACTCCCTCGGCTCTGGCGCACCGGTAGCAGCTGTCTCGGACCCGGAGAACATCACCGCGCCCGCGCCGCAGTCATCGTCGAACGGACTGGTGCTCCCTCCCGCGCCACATCGACGACCGCGACGACGGGATGCGCCCCCGCTCAAGGGGATCCTCAAACCGCCAACTGCCCCGTCCAAGACGTTCTCGTTTCGAAGGGATATCCTCCAGTCGTTCAACTCGAGATTGGCCTACGCGACCAGTCTCAGCGCCAATACCACCGCCGCTGCCGCCGCTGCTGCTGCTGCTGCTGCTGCTGCCTCCTCGTCAGCTTCGTCTCAGGACCGGCAAGGCCATTCGGACGGCAGCACATCAGCTTCGATTGTGCCCGCTGCGGTGGCTTTAGGGAACGGCGTCGAGGCGTTCAAGAATGTTGTCACGGCAGCCGCAGGGACGGGACAGGGCGCTGCCGCCGCCGCGGGTGGCTTCTTTGGCTCGGCGTTTAAGAGGTTCAGCACCGGCGTGAGCAACGTCGCGGCGGGTGGGCATGCAGCTCCGTTGCAACGCGATTTGACCGACGATCCACCGACACCACCCCACCGCGACGAGCGGTATGCCCCTGTTCTCGGAGCCGACATAGCAAGCTCGGTCCTGCATCTCCCAACCGAGTCCGCGACCCTGGATCCTGTCTCCCAAACCGAGCACAAATTATCACACGGTGGTCCGGCACCCCACACCCCAGCTCGTGCAAATGCCACCTCCAGTACAGCCGCCACGTCCCCGTATGCGACCGTACACGCCTCGGCTCATGCCTCGTCCTCGACCTCTCCCCCGACCCCACCGGCTCCCCCGCCCCTCGCGGTCGAGGAGTTGAAGCGGGTCCGGTTCCGCATGGCAACCCTCAAGGTCGTATACCCTATTAATGGACCTAACGGCCCGATAGCACCTTATGAAGAATCTCGGACGAGGAAAAGGTCAGTCAAAGGGGATCGATGGACTCGTTAGGCAGCTGATCGTAGAACAAAGTGGGGCGGTCTCGAAAGCTAAACCCGATTGCGACGACTCCGCAGAATCAATTTCGCGCATCGCGCATCGCAGCAATTGAAAGCGTCTGAAGGGGGCGATGCCAAGGGTTGGACAGGGGAAGCGCTCGGCAAGTTGTACGCCGAATGTTGTCGCACGAGGGAGGAGAGGCCCAACGAGAGGCTCAGGCGGATCTTTGTGGTGCGTAGGCTGCTGGAACCGTACCTCGTGGGGTGTGAACTCGCTGACAAGCATCTCATTGAAAAGGACCACCCCGCGGCGCCTCCTCGAGTGTTGGATCTGACAAACGAACCACTGACGCATGGAGCCGTCGAAGCGCTGTCGGATCTGCTGAGCGTCGATTTTGGGCTCAAGAAGTTGGTCCTGGAGAACTGTGGGATAGACAACGATGTACGTACCTTAACGACAGGTGTTCATCTGTCGAGGCGAACACCTGGATTGAGTTTTGTATGACCAACCTTCCACAGAGCATCCGGCCTCTCGTCCACGCTCTGCTCGTCTCGGGCTCTATCCCCACCATCAGTCTCGCCAACAACCGTCGGATACGCAACAAGGGCTGGAAATACCTCGCCATCTTTATGCGCAAGGCTAGCTTCTTGCGCTATATCGACCTATCCGAGAACGTCGTCGATCGCAAGACGACCGAGTTTATCGTGCAGTCCTTGGTACCCCATACGATTGCGTCAATGCCTTCTGTCCCCGTCAATGGGCTCGATTCCGGCCCCCCGGTCAACGGTCACGAGCCGAATCCGGAGGGGGGTGTTCGGGGGAGGATAAGGACTTGCCCGACCAGCCACCAAGAGAGACGGAAACCGAGCCTGAGGCCGAAAAGGAGGAACACGAGGAAGCGGGCGATGAGGAAGGGGAACTCGACGACGAACTGCAACCGACGTTCTCGGTTGCACCGTTATTGAAGGAGGATCCGACGAATCGGGCGGGGTCGGTCGTTTCGATGCGATTGGAGAACTGTGGGCTTAAAGGGGCGACGTTGGAGGCCTTGGGTGAGTGTATGCGAGCGATGGTCGCTAAATTGTGGTCTGAGCTGAGCATGACGACTCTTCTCCTTTGAAGCCCATGGAATCCGCTCATCGACACTCAAGCACCTTTCAATTCGCCGCAATCGGATACAACCTCTCGGCGGCGTCGCACTGGCCATCATGATTCGCGACTATCCCATCGCCGCCGACCACCATTCTGAACAGGACCAGAATTCGCCATCCATGCTCTCCTCTCCGACGATCACCAATCCGCTGAGCTTGTTCGAAGGCGGCAACTCGGTCACGGCGCGACTGGCGCTGCGCGAACCCTTCACAAAACGAACACCGCCCTCGAATGCGCCCTCGAATGGAGTTGCTACTGCCCCTGCGTCGTCGACGACCGAACCCGAAGGCTTTGGACGCGTGATCACCAATGGGCACGGTCCCTCCGAGGCGACGCTCAAGTTGCGGAGACAGATAGAGGAGCTGCCCCGTATGGGCTCGCTGTTGACCCTCGACGTCAAAAACAACGATCTGCGCCACGGGGTGACGTACGTCGCCCAGGTGCTCAAGCGCAATCGTACACTCAAGGTGCTGAACCTGAGCGAGAACAAGATCGATATGCAAGGGCTGGTCGCAATTGCGGAAGCACTGGTACGTTTACTCTGGAGCATGCAGCGCAGGAGGTGTGCTGATCTGTGTTGGTGATGCGATAGAAATACAACAATACGCTCGAGACGCTAGACCTGAGCTACAACCCCTGTTGTGGACCTAGTCTCGAAGGGGTACGTCGTCGGGTCCAGCCCGCGCAAGCTGATTTGCACGAACGTAGACGATTGACCGTTTTTGGTTCGCAGATTACCTCCCTTCGGACGGCCATCACCATCAACTCGAATCTGAAACGGGTCTTTCTCAACCATACCGACCTCACCTCGGAGGGAGCGATCGCACTCAGTGAATTCCTCCCCGAGGCGCGATCGCTCATCCACCTCGATCTGACGGGCAACAATAGCATCGACATCGCCGGCGTCATGGCCCTGTCGGTGTCGGTCAAGATGAACACGACCTTACGATGCCTTGACCTCAACATCCCGCCGAACGACCCCGACTTTGCTCGATTGTCGCAGGACATCCTCCAGTGCTGTATTCGCAATACCGAACAGGCGCAGGAGGAAGCCGCTTCGGGGGGCAAGACGATCACGATCGCGGCGCCGATCTTGAAGTCGGCCGTGGCGAGGGACCTCAAGGAACGCCAGGAGGCGCAGCAACGCCAAGAACGACGCCGGGAGATGCAGGCACGATCCAAGGACGAGATCGTGCAGGCCGCTGAGGGGGTGAGGGACGTCCTGGCGGATATGTTGGCCGTCGATGAAGAGTTGGCCAGGACGGGGGTGATCGTACAACCTGCAGAGGTCGTGCGGGACTCGCTCGTGCAAGCTCAACTCGCTGAGGCGCAGTTGGCCGAGGCGATCGCGGCAACGAGACCCGGTGATCAGAAAGGTCAGTTCGAGTGTCCGAGACGCTGATCGGTCTGCCGAACTGACGAATTGTACCTGTAGACCGCGCCGTGCTTCTCGGAGACGCCTTGTCCGCCCTGCTCGATCGGGCCAAAGCATTGTACGAACCCAAGGTCGCTCCCCCCACTTCTCAGGCTACACCCACAGGTACCGTCGAGGCCGAGTCAACTAACTTTGTACTCGACGATTCCGATTCCGAGGATGACGATCCGGCGCCCGCGACCTCCAATCCCGAGACAGGGGAAGCTACCTCAAAGGCGACCAACGTTGCCGCCCCGAATGGAGATGTCGTAAACGAGGACGACAATGAAATGTCGATCAAAACGCCGCTCGAATTCCAATCGCGTTCGCTGACGCTCGAAGAAGGCGAGATCTTTCGCAAGGGTTCCGCTCTGGGAACGGGTCAAGTCGACGACGACGACGACGAATTGGACCACGTTAGTGGGGAAGAGTTGAAGAAGGAGATCATGGAAGCGACGGTCGAGAGGCCCTCTCGGGGAAGCTTCGAGGAGCGACCTAGTGTATAGAGTGTGCATGTGTACATAGATGTCGCAGTAAGATGCATGGACGTATCACCTTCTTTTTCCTTCTTTCTTTGCAAGTCGTGCTCTGAGTGTACAATCAGGGTTTTTTCCCCCCTTTTACGCCGTCGAACACTCTGGGCAATGACCAGCACTTACTGATGACGAACCTTGGCTGATCTCGACGCGAGAGAAACCCCTTCATGTCATTAAAAAAACTGATTGCAAGCAGATCAATAAAGCACGATTACTGGCACACATCGTTTGGGGACACAAGCGCTGAACAGAAAAACTAAAATAGCAGCTGAGGTGGGACATTCACCTCGTCAAAACAATACACAACACTCCTCCTCATAACCCAGCCTTGTGGTTCCTGATGCGCCCATGTCGTATCAAGGCGTCCTTGCGCGAAAATGATCCACCGCACTGCTTGCAGATCCAATCGTGCTTTTTGCCCGCTTTCCCGCCCTCGCCATGGATTGTCTCGCGATGCCGAGCCAAGTCGTACGGTCTTCGGAAGACGACGCCGCAGATCGAACCGTCCGACATCTTGTGCGAGCAAGCGAGCGACGAGCTCGAGGTTGCGGTCGTCGAAGCCGCCGAGGGAACCCGAGCGGAGGGGACACGACGCCGACGCTTATGCGGTGCTGCGCTCGCGCGGCCTCGCTTCGTCGGTGCCCGAGGGGGTTTCTTGGTCGAACCGTCGGAATCTTGGGACGAGGCATCGTCGACGGACTCGTCGTCATCGTCGTCACCCTCGGCGTCCTCCATGTCGTCCTCCTCGGCAGCAAGACTCCGACTTCGCTTTTGTTGCGCCGAAATGGATCGGCGACCGTTGCCGGACGCGCGAGCATCATTAACAGTGTCCGATTCCCCGAGTGCGTCCGCGGCACCGTCGCCTCCGACAGGGGCCGGCTGCAATGTCTCGAGGGTCCTCTGCGACGAGCTTCGCATCGGGTGGGGCGGAGGTTTGGCCCAGGCCAGGGCCGGAGCCGGTATCGAAGAGGTCGCTTCGTTCGTCAGAGCACTCGGGGGTGGGGGCGGTGTGGACGAGACCGACGCGGTTCCGAGCGATACGAGTCGGTCCGTCAGCGTCGAGGTCGAATGAAGCGTCTCGTCGATCGTGGCCCTGACAGCTTCCGGGACGGTGCCGGGTTTGTCCTGGCCGATGGACGCCTCGTCGTCGTCAAAGTGGCCCACGACCTCATGATCGCTCCCACCCGTCGATCGTGCGTACACGCTGGGCAGGCTGTGGCGGTCGTCCTCGTCGCTGTCGAACAGTTCGGCCGCGGCGGATCGGGCGGGTTGCTTGCCGGCGATGGTACCGGTACCGAATTCGCCAGCTCTCTTCGACAGTTGGGGAAATTTGTCGCCCTCGGCATCACCGTCGCCGTCGCCGTCGCCGTCGCTACTCTCCCGCTCGTAATCGTCGGCGGCATCGTTCGACTCGTGCCCGGCCTGGCGCTCGGCCCAGCTGACGGCATTTTGGGGTACGGCAAAGGGGTGAGGCTTGCGTGGGAACAGCGCAAAGCCTGAATTATGCCGCGGCGAGGTGGAAGGAAGACTGGCGACGTTCGGTGGGGACGTATGCGGCGAGGTGGGAGCGCCTTCGGCGGACCCGGTAACTGGGCTCGATGCCGGCCGGGGCACCGACGACGCGACGGTAGGCAGGGGGGCAAACAGCGAGGCCCCGACCCCGAGCCCAAAGGACGACGAGATGTTGTTCCCGAGGCGGGAGTTGGCGTGGAGACGGTGATCGACGTCCTCGTAGTCAAGAAAGGCCTCCTGCGGCGAGACGGTCTTGCGAGCCATCTCGTCGTCGCGCGCACTGGAGAGCGGTTTCGACATGAGCCGGGTCCCCCGATGGGGCGAGAGATCGTTCATGGTCATGATCTGGTTCGGCGGCGCAATGTCGTGTATTGAAGGACCGCCCGAGAGAGCGAGGGCGCGCAATGGCCCCTTGATCGAGTCGAGATCGACGCCGTTAAGATCGCGCTTGACGCGGTCGAGCAGGTCCTGTTGCTCGTGCAAAGACAGAGGGTGGTCGACGGAGGGGGCATAAAACGAGCTCTGCCCTGCTTCCTCGGTCGGACTGGGGGTGAAAGTCGAAGCCGATCCCAGTTGGGAGAAGGTGTATGGCAGCGTGCCTACGGGTGCGAAGCCTGGCAGCTGCGGATGCAGCGACGACGATGACGACGAGGGCGCCGCGGTGACAGAGGCCGCGGCAGCGGCGAGGAGAGGTTGGGCGTTGGGGGCGTACACGGAAGATACGAACGATCCTTGCTCGCTCCACTCCTGGGTGCGGCGCCGTCTCGGTTTGGGGATCTCGCCGAGTGGTGGAACCGAAGCCGAGCGAAAGTCGTTGCGCGCCAGCGAGTCGGGCGCTGCCGGCGGCTGCTGGGGAGGAGCCATGACGGCGACGGCTTGGGCCCCAGCGACGGCGGGGTGGACAAAGCTCGAGAGGGGGCCAGGGCCAGGGCCGGGGCGACTCGACGACGACGATGTCGAAGACGGCGGCGGGGGAACGAGGAACGTATTAGGCGGTGAGAAGGAGGAAGGCGAATCCGGTATCAGATCTGGTACAGGTGGCCAGTCCGCGGATGACGACGAAGCAGGTGGGCTGCCGCCGAGTACCGTAACCTGAGCACGATCTCGAGCACGGCCACTGCTAGCCGAGCTGGGCGCGGCAGGGCGAAGTCCGTCGAGGATCGGATACGCGCCGCCGAGGCTCCCGCCGTTTGTTGAACGGACGTAATCAAAGTCGAAGTCGAACGGCGGCGGCGCGGGCAGCAGGGGTGGGTTGGGGTGCGCCGGCAGTTGTATCGGAGTCGGTTTCGCGTAGACGTACTGGGATGCGTCGTACTGCTGCAGCTGCGGGTTGTTGTTCTGGTAGAAGTCTCGGAGATGGGGCTGCATGCCGTGGGTCGGTCTAGCAGGGTAAAAACTACCCTGGCCAATGCGTGTCGCGAGCGATCTCTGGGACTGCACGCTCGGGCCTGCTCGGGCTGCCGTCGGCGTTTAGTGTCCGCGAGCTACGGTGGTCCGACTATCTCGGCCGTCGAATGCTGGGTCCAGTCGAGTCGAGTCGAGTTCACGGTGCAACAGGCATACCAGCTTGGAATTTCCTGACAATTTGCAGACCTAAAGACACCTAGAGCAGTCGCCGCAGATAACCCAAAATCAGCCCGGGTGTTCAAACCGAGAAACGAGTCCAATCTCCCTCCAACGTCATCGACGACGACCACGGCCACGACGACGACGACGGATCCGAGGTTCTGCACCCACTCAGCTGGCCGACACCTGCCTGACGCATGCAACGCAAAGGTCAACTCACCTCGCACGGACGAAGTAGAAGCAAGACACGACGCGATGAGAAGAAGGTGGACGGGGAGAATGCTGACAGAGACGGAGCCCAAAGATGATCCGAGGCCGACCTCGCGCCCGTCGCTGGTAAGGTGGTCAGGTGGGACGTCTATCGAATTGCAATATCCTGATTAGTACTTGCTTGCATTTCCGGACTATACGAAACTCTGGGCTTTATCGAGCGACCGAGTGCACGAGCCGTGACTTGGACCTCTTGTTGAATCAATCTTCGAGATCTACTCAAACACTGCAACAAGTTGGCTTTAACGTACCCTCCATTCGCGGCTGTGGGCTGGTAAGAGCTTGAGATCAGCTGTCGGAGACTGGCGGGGCTGCTTACCTCTGTCGACGCATACACCTAGCCCTGCGGCCGGGCCTCGTCTCTCGCCGGTCGCCCGGGCCGGCATTCCCTGAAAATTCGTGGCTGCAGGACCGAGAATTCGATCAAGACAATACAAGGTTTCTTGATTGCACGATCAGGTCCTAAATTTCTCACAGCAGGTCATCAGGCACGAGTCTAAAAAACGTTCATCTGGCTGCCCCAGGCGGTGACTGCTGCGCCAGGCCGCGAGAGGCCTTGCCGAGGATTAACCGGTGGTATCCAGCGCGGCAGCGGCGCCACCTCGTAGCTTCTCTCTTTGTTCACCCTACCTTGGACTCGCCAGGTGATTGCCGTTCAAACGCAGCCCTTGGGAACATCGGCCGAGGCGAGCGGGTATCTCCACTTGCAAGTGGAGTGTTTCGACTAGAAGCCCAGATCGCCAGCCACCCGACTAGCCTCGACTCGGAGCAACTCGAGTTGTGCCCCGGAATCGGCGTGTCGTGGACTTTCGTGGAGGTGCGCCAGCTTGAGTTAGGCGACGGATGCAACGGGACCCTGTACATCAGCCCGCCCACTACGCAGCGACCTTGGATCGAGTTTCCACCCTTGGGATCCGATTTATTTGCGCCATTACCCAACTACCTCGCCCTCGTGTACCCTGTCTTGCTCGTCCCTGATTCACTCAACCTGAGACTCGAAGCGCCTTGTCCTCGTAGCGAATCGGTGCGATCGAACGGCCTCTTCGTTAAGCGGCTCGAACTTAATTCGACTCTGTGCCCAGTTGGCGCTATACAGGTTCAGGGAGATTGAGGTAGAAAAGTCTTCTACAAGCCATGACGGCTCTAGCGCTGACGGTCGACAAGGCGATCGCGGTCCAACTCGCTCCGCAACCCATCACCGACTCGCGCTTGGCGATCCGGCCTTCCACCGAATTGACCGTCGACACGATGCGCAATTCGATCAACATGGGGAGCAACAACAGCAATGGCACCGAAAACAAAAGCAGCAATGGCAACATTAACAACAGCAGCAGCAGCGGCGGCAACGGCAACGGCAGTCATCTTTCTTCCAGTCCACCAAGGTCGGCGTTCAAGCCCAAGGAGCTCGCGCTCGTCAGCAATGGCCTTGCCGCCTCGCCGCTTCGAAAGGATGGCTCGATCCCGATTCCAGCTGCTGCCAATGGTACCCGAGCTCGGACCACTTCGGCATCGCTGCAACCCCTTGAAGATCCCCGATCAGCCGATTCGACCACTTCGAACCACACACATCTGAACGGCATGACTCGTGCGGAAGTGCCTGCATCACCGACATCGGGGTTGGCTCCGAGCCTCTATCCAACCGACCTCGGACCCGGCAATCCGAATCCTCGCGTCAACGGCCACGCACCGACCCCGGGACCTTCGACACCTCCCAAAATCCGCAAGTCGTCATTGGCAGCTGCTCAAAACTCGGCTGTTCCGGAAACTGCCTCGAGCTCATTGCCCCTCTCCACCGGAGCTCCTCCCGTGGCCTCCTCGTCGGCGGCACCCCTTTTGGCACCGTATGATCTCCCTCGACCTCAACGAAATTCGCAATCGTCGGCCAAGCCGTCCACGACGACGTCCGAGCTGGACCCCACAGCGGCACTGATCCAAAGCCTCTATGCCCGCCTCGACGTGCAAGGTGTGCCCGGTGACGGATGGGACGAGGGTCTTGAGAGGACTCGGGATGGGCTCATCAATCGAGAGGTCTGTGAAGAGACGGCGACGACGATTTCGTCGAACAAAAAGGGCAAGCAAGTCCTGTCGGCGCAAGGTGCAGAAGAGGAAGAGGATCGGGTGTTGAAACGCGTCGACCGGTCAGTCGGGTGTTAAGACACTGTGCGCACTATTTCCCGCATACTAAAACCGAAGCGACCCCCACAGATATGGCTTCTTTTCCTCGTGCCACCCCGCAGCTCTAGCAAGTCAACACAATCGACTCGCAACCCTCGCTACTTCCGCCTTCACCACACTCCCCTTTGGTAAACGCCTCTCGCAAAATCGATCGAAAGCGAACCGACCGACGCCAGCAACGATCAATGGCCGCCATTCGTTACCCTCCCCTGCGCCCGGCGATGTCGTCATGGACGCCGAAGCGGTCGCCCTCGAGACGCGGCGGATCGACAAGTGGGCGAAGATGTTGCGCATCTCCAAAAAAGACCGGGGTAAGAACGCAATCGAGTGGGATCTCGCACCCGGGTGGTGGGACGGGCGCGAGGAAGGAAAGGGCAAATACCGCATATTTCAGCGCCGTGTCTTCAAAGGGGTTCCTGACCGGTGGAGGCGAGCGGTGTGGGGCTTGGAAATGGAACAAAGAGCGCAGGAGGAGCAGCGCAAGGGTCGGAGCGAGGTCAAGTCGTTGGAGCAGCTCAAACGCGATTACAGCACGTGGCTCGACCAACCCTCGGCGCAGGACGTGCAAATCGACCTCGACGTCCCACGGACGATCTCGGGCCACGTCATGTTCCACACGCGCTACGGTCAAGGTCAGAGGGCGCTCTTCCACGTGCTACACGCTTTCGGTCTCAACTGCGACGACATTGGAGGCTATTGTCAGGGCATGGGCCCGATCGCGGCGACGCTGCTGTGCTACTTTGAGCCGGAGCAGGCGTACGCAGCGCTCGTGCGACTGTTTGACCAGTATCATCTGAGGCGCATGTTTGCTCCTGGGTTCACGGGACTTATGGAGACGTTTTACGTGCAAGAACGAATGGTCGAATGGCTGATGCCGGGGGTGCACAAGGCCTTTGTAAGTTTCTCTTCCCCTACCTTCCTGTTCCCGAGGGGTGTCAAACTGACATTTGCAGGGTCCACTTCACCAGACCGAACATATGATATCGACCTCGGCGTACGCGACGAAATGGTACATCACCTTGTTTGCCAACTCGGTACCCTTTGCGACGCAACTGCGGTTGTGGGACGGGCTCTTGCTCGAAGGAGCGGATTTCTTGATCATCGTCGCGGTAGCGATCATTTGGGCTTTCAGGGGTGAGTGTCTGTATGCGTCATTAGTAGACGCCATGTTCAAAAGAGAGAATAAAGCTGAGCTTTCACCTCCTTCTTTCCTAGACTCATTCACCACGCCCTCGGCTTCGTTCGAATCGATTGTATCGACGCTCTCGTCCTACTTTTTCGTCGAGTCGGACGACGGATTGCTGCGGTGGATCCGCAAGACGTTGCGTTTGAAGGGCGTGAGACAAAGGATGTGCGACTGGAGGATCGAGTGGCAAGGGTTCGTCGAAGATGGATCCGCGGATCGGAGGGTGACGTGAGCTGCTGGGGTCGGAGGCGCACGTCCCGTCGCAAGGAGTCGTCCAGCTCGGTAACCTCCGAGACGATAAACATGCTTTCGCAGTTTTGTGAAAATAAACCTGTTGGAATTGGAATTTACATACCTAACGATGTTCTCAACCCCCCCCGCCCCCCAATGAACTCTTGCTCTCCGCCCTGAGGTCGACCTGGGATGATTACGAATTGGGGCAGTGCGCACCCTGGAAAGGCGGGCGGTCCGGATCTGTCCGGATGTCCGATCGTGTCTCGTACGCCGTGGGCGTTCTGCACCGGTGTCACGGAACTGCTTTCACACCGCATTTCGCCTCCCTCGCCTCATTCCGACTCGAAGGAGAGACGGTCCTCCGACTCTACTCCTGATCTCGACTGCCTGATTCTCGTGCGTCCACCCGTTGCGACTCGGTGTCTCTGCTTCTCGCGGTCAGACAGGTCTCCCGCCCCGAGGGCAGCTGGCAGGTCTCACCGCCTCAGTCTCGACTGTGCGCTCGGGTGACGCGGTGACGTTCGATCGGCGGTGATCGACTGGCCCGCCTGATCACCACCGTACACCTCTCGACCCCACAAGGCAGCGAATTCGTCCAGGCGTTCAGCCGATCTTTTCGATTGAACAGCAAGGACCCATAGCTATCGCCCTCGTCGACTCGGATCGGATGTCGACAAGTACCTCGTCTCTCGCGGCGACGGCGAGCGCGGCGGCTTCTACGACTAAACCGGCCAGTTACAAGGTAGGCACACGCAAGCAAAGAGTCTAGGGGAAGGGTCATTGTGCACCTTTCGCTCGGAATGGCCGATGGCTAGCCTGGGAGGAAGTTTCTTGGCGTGACATAGCGCGTCACGACTCTCGAGCATCACCGAGCCGAACGTGGCGGGAGCTGAGGCGACAGTGACAACAGCCGACCGGACAGGAGGTAGCGCCTGGTAGCGACCGACACCGAGGCCGAGGCCGCACCTAATCAGTGCACGGGGAATACTGATAAGGCTACATTGTTCCGACTCAGATCATCGGTATTTGCTTGGCCGTCGGCAGTGGACTGTTCATCGGAACCAGTCAGTATTGCCCACTGCCTCCCCGCCGCATGCTTCAATGTCTGAGGCAGCGTCTCGACAACTGACCCTTGGTGGTTCTTTGTACCTAGGCTTTGTCGTCAAGAAAAAGGTACGACCGAGCACAGCAGCTCGGGATGTCGAGGAGCGGCACTCACGCTTCGTTTACCGTGCTCGGCCGTGCAGGGTCTTCTGGCTTCGCAACAAAAGTCGGGCAATGTGGCCGGAGAGGGGCACGCCTACCTCAAGAGTTGGCTATGGTGGACGGGGATGATACTCAGTCAGTGCGAACGGTTCTATCGCAGCCGTGCCCACGCCCTCTGACGGTCCTCCTTCCTCCGCGAGTGGGCAGTGATTCTCGGCGAAGTGCTCAACTTTGTCGCCTACGCCTTCACGGAAGCCGTGCTCGTAACCCCACTCGGCGCACTTTCCGTCGTCATCTGTGCGATCCTGTCGTCCATCTTCCTCAAGGAAAGGCTCACCTTCTTTGGCAAGATCGGCTGCGTTTTGGCGATCCTCGGCGCGACGATCGTCGCTCTCAACGGACCCAAGGATTCCTCGGCGACGACGATTCCCGTCTTTCAAAAACTGTTCCTTGCCCCCGGGTTCTTGGTTTTCGGTAGTCTCGTCATCGTGGGTCCCTACTGATGTTCCGCCGTAATCGTTTGAGTTGTCGTTGACGCCTGTGCGTCGCCTGTGCACAGCTCGTCTCCTTAGGCCTCATCTTTTTCGTCGCCCCCAAATACGGCAAGACGCACATGCTCGTCTACATCACTATCTGCTCACTCATCGGCGGTCTTTCCGTCGCGTGCACGTCGGGGCTCGGCGCTTCCATCTTAACCTCGATCCGGGGCGACAACCAGTTCAAGCACTGGTTCATCTACTTCCTCCTCGGCTTTGTCATCATCACGCTCTTGACCGAGATCAACTACCTCAATGTTTGTTCGAGTACTAATCACGGACCCGGCTGCATTGGAATGAAAGCTGACCCGTCGCTTCTGCGCTTTGGATTTTGCAGAAAGCTCTCGAGCTCTACAATACGGCGTAAGTTAAGACGGCGGTTCGGTTCGGAATCTGGACCTACTGATACTGATCTCTCATACGGTTTGCTTCGACAGGATGGTCACGCCCACTTACTACGTCCTATTCACGGGTTGCACCTTGATCACGGCGTCGATTCTCAACCAGGGCTTTGAGGCGTCGCCGGTTGATATCGTGACTGTCGTCATGGGATTCCTCGTCATTTGCTGCGGTGCGTTCAAGTAACAAACGCTTTAATCTTGCGATCTGTCCCCTGAGCATGCTTCGATACACATCCCCAGGGATCATCTTGCTGCAACTGTCCAAAGTTGACCCCGTGGACGTCGCGGAAAAGCTCGATCGCCGATCGACAATCCTCTTCACCGGTGGTCGGAGTCGCGCCAACACGATGCAAGAAAAGGTGCTTGAAATGGAGGAGCCGGGGATGGATGCCTTGCGAGGCTCGTTCGGAGCGTTCGGTTCGATCCACCGCGCCGTGAGTGCGAGGAGGTCGATGCGACGCGAGCCGGGCTTTGATCCGAACGAAGTGAGGCGACGACACGGCGCGCCGGGGGCGATGGGAAGTGGTCCACAACAGTCCGTGCCGATGCGGTCTTATCAATTGTACGATGCACCCATGCCTTCGGACGCTCTGGACAAGATCTCGCTGCACAGTGGCGGTCAGCCTTCGCCGAGCGCGCCCTTTGCTCAGACGGAGCGCGATCGTTCCCCTTCCATCACGTTCTCGCCGGCCGACAACGTGCACCGATGTGAGTTGCCTCGAGGATGACCTTCTGTAGAGAGGCACAGTGCTGATCCTTGATGAGACCTGAACTCGCAGACGCTCGCGACCCTCGCTCGAAGCAAGGCGTGTCTCACGACGAAGTGACCCTGCAACCGCATGCACACGAGCACCACGGGCCCGTGGACGCTCCCTCTTCAGCCGACATTGGCACCTCGTCTTTCCTTGGTGCCAGCGCTCCGCGCACGCCCTCTCCTTCTTCGATCGATCGAATCCGACATGGCTCCTACCCTCTCCCGAGTTCTACCAGCGTCAGCCCGTACCCACCCCGCCTCGAACCCCCACAACTCGACGCGCCGGAACAGCTCATCTCCCCCGCTTCCAAGAGTCGTTTCGGGATCTCGATGCCCTTCATTCACCACGACTCATCCTCCTCGAAGGTTCACGAGAACAATGCGAATCGCTCGAGGGCCGGGACTTTGACGTCGCACCGCTCGTTCGAAGCACCCCATGGACCTAAAGATCTCGACCAGGCCGAGTCCAAGAGCTTGGTCAACCATGCTCGAACGGACTCGAAAGCCGATAGTGAAAGTGATGGCGAAGACGGGTTCGGCGAGAGTATCGAACGTATCGATACGCGGGATCAATTGTAGGAGACGGTCTCCCTGTGCTCTTTGGATTCTAAAGCAGGCGGAGACGACAATTTTCCGGGTTTCCTTTTTAGATGCACTGTAGCGACTAGGGCTGTTAGAGCAACTTGTATTTCGTGTCGCCATTATGCAAAAATGACGAAAATGACTTTTACCTTTTAAATCGAGGTCCTATGATCAAGGCTCGGCGCTCTTTTCATACCCGTAACCCCGAGCGATCCCTCCCTCCCGACCCTGTTCAATCACGGCCGGCGCGTCCATCCCGTAGCGAGGTTCGAGACCTCGGTAGGTACGGTTGGACAAAAAGTCGCCTGTAGGAGGAGATTGATTCAGCTTTCGGTCGGGTTGAAAGATCTCATCCATTCCCACGTACCAGCTGCACTACCGAGGACCTGGGCGACGGCGGATGAGGTGTTGCGGATCGACAAGGCCGAAGCCTGAGCGGTCAAGTCGTCGGCGTCTGTGTGCAATAAGACCATGATCTTTAGCACCGATCGATACGACCGCTACCAAAAAGACCGTGAAAGACCCACTTGTGACCCCCTTGGTGGCGTATCGTTTAGGATGGCGATACTTACCCGTGGTGCTTGAAAACACCGGCCCTTCCTCATCCTCCTCATCCTTTGCCGGATCGACAAAATCCTGCCCAAAGTCCGATGTGGCCAACAAAGTCTCGAAATCAAGCACGTACTCGCCCGTCCAATTCTTGGACGTCAGCGCCAACTCCAATTCGAACGGCGTCACGATCGGTCGTAAGAATTCTTTCGAATCGATCAAGGTGTTTTCGGGACAGGCGACGAGGACGAAGCACTCCACTTCCATGAAATTGGCCAGTTTAGCGGGGTTCAGTTTGCCGACGGCGACGGTATAGGATTTCTTTTGGTGCGACGCGATCAATTCGCGCAGGTGTTTGATCAGAGGGAGGTACGAAGCTGTGTGAAGGGCAAGCAAGTTTGAGCTACGTCACTCCCCGTGTCCGATCAGAAGCTCGAAGGGTATCACTCACCGACTCCGAGGGTACCGATGAGTATCCCAATCACGTCGGAGTCCTTGGCCTTTTCGACGGTGGCGTACCGCCTCATCAACATCCGATTTGTCTTGCTGGACTCGAGCCGCGCTTCCTTCGTCCGCGGATCATAGGACCATACCTATAGGAACCCCCCCGCGTCAACAACGAGGCTTTTTCAAACCGCGGAACTCTCAAACGTACTGGACATTTCCCATGAGTCATCAAGATGTTGTTGAGTGCCAAGCTCTCCCCTCCAATATAAAAGATTGCGCAATCGTCGATCGTCGTCCCCTCGGGCAACTCGTACGCGATCCGCGGCGGTGTCGGTCGTATGGGCATCGTTTCGGAAGGTACGAGTCCTTCTGGTGTCGGTGCTGGAGCGACATTGGAGACTCCATCGGGTGGAGTCGTGTCGTCACCATCGTTCTCGACCGGTTCGTCTTGCGTAGTCGCCCGGGTCGGTGCCGAGGCAGAGGCGGCCTCGTCTTCCGATTGCACAGATGATTTGCCCTTCTTGTTGACCCTGTTGGTGCGCCTGTCTATCCGGGCCATCGATAATGGCAAGTTTACCAGAGGCTCGAGTTGATCAAAGATGAGATCTACAAGTCGGAAAAAATAGTCAGCCCCACGGAACTCTGCGCGTCATCGCCAGTGCACGAAGCAGTCTCTGGGTACGCACGAGCTTTGTAGGCATAGGCCACGTCGTACATGAGCACGATGGCTCTGCGATCCTGGTCGAGTGATTCCTTGGAGGTCGAGGCGAGGGAGTTGGCAGCGTGGGAAGGATCGACCGGACGTTTGGTGAGGACGTAATTGACGGGCAGTCGGAGCGTTCTGGTGGTGGTCGCGGGGTGTCAGTAGGTCTGAAGCGATCCAAATCTCTCTTGGGGTCTAATCAACTCACGGACTGAGACATGTATGGCCGTAGTGCACGATCAAGTCGGCGTCGACGTGCTGCGCGGCGACCTCATCGACGCAGCAGCTGGTGAGTCGGTCGTTGTTTGATCAGTCTAGCTCCTTCCAGAACGGTGAAGACTGCACGCGCGTCCTTACCTGCCATAGGTGGTGTCGGCCAAGACGTAGAGCTCGATGTGGGCCTCGAGGCGAGCGCGGAGGAGATGGTAGATCTGCACCGAATCGTGCAGCAGCTCGTCCGGAAATTGCAGAGCGATCTGTGGGTGGAAGATGCACTTAGCTTGCAGTACAGATGCGGATTGCGGTGAGCTGCTCACCCTCTGGTAGGCGCCGTCGACGATCTGGTGCACGGTGGTCTCGACCTCGTAGGCGTCCGACAGCGACTCGAACTCGGAAGCGAACTGCTCCGGTTCGACGTCGATCGTGTGGGTGATGGCATCCTCGCCCGAGTTGGCGACCGGTGGAGGAGCGCTTTGGTGCTCCGACATGGCCGGCTCTGTAGACGAGCTTGACGAGGTCGGCGCGGTCGGGTGGGGGGTGGGGGAGAGCCAGCCTGCCAGCTGAGGGAGCGCCGTCTGCAAAGTTCTGCGAAGGGACGCCGAGCCGAACCAAAGGGGTCCGAGCGCAAGCGAATACCCAGGATTTACTAGGAACTAGGTACCGGCAGAGCTTTGGAGCCAGTCTCAAAAACAGCTAACCAATGTTGCAAAGAACAACTCATGCAAGGTACAGCATAATGCAGCGCATGTCGAGGTTGCCTTTTGTGGACCGCGATGAGTCACGTCGTCATCGGTCCGCTGAGGCTACTATCTCCGAAACCTTGGGCGGGGCCCACTCGCTTTCCCTCATGCGCCCTCTCCCAGCTCTCGTTTCGAATCCACCATTCTCGCCGTACTTTCTCGCACTTCACGCCGTAGCCTGACCTGTGAGTTCATCGTCAGCCCTCGCAGTGTAGACCCGGCCTACTTGGTCGACGTGCCGGCGCCGGAGGCCGTGAGCCCCTCCCGTGTCCGAGGACGATCTGAGCTGACCTCGAATCCCTCTGTGGCGTCTCGCGATATTCGCCATTACGTACCCTCATAGCCATGGCCGCCACGATGCCCCTCACTCTAGCTCAAGCCATCACCCCCTCTCGAGAAGCATGCAACGCGCTCAAAGCCAAGAGCAACCCTTCGCGCAGTACCCGCATCATGGGCAAATCATCTCACAGCCGCACCGATGACGACAACTCCTCCTGTTCGGACTTCGTTTCCCCTCCTCCGCGGAACTCGACCGAACAAAGGGAATGGGACCGCATGTCGACACGTATGAGCATGTTCCACACCCACTTCCGACAAACTTTTGCGCGCGTGTGGCAGATGAGCGAAAAGGTTTCGCCGGACGAGTTGCAAGACTTTCTTGATTGCGCCGAAGAATTCGTGAGATCACTCCTTTTTCTCGGCGATCCAGCTGGCTCGACTGCGATATTCATTTCAGTTCTATCCGTGCAGGTTCACCATCTCGAAGGCCATCATGGTATCGAAGAACGCTACATCTTTCCTGTGCTCGCGAAGAAGATGCCCGAGTTCCGAGTCAGTCTCCTTTCTGATCGAGGGATGGTGCGATAATCCATGCTCACCTCTCGCATGGTTTTGCCTTATTACAGGAAGAACACCTCGATGAGCATGAGCAGATCCACGCCGGTATGGACCGCTACCAGGACTACATCCGCGCAGCCAGAGCTACACCCACTGCATTCAGTCCCGAAAAATTGCGCGAGGTCAGTCCCGCAGAACTTCGAGACTCAAGACAATGCACGTACTGAATTATGTCTCATCACCGTCATAGATCATGGGCTCGATGGGGCCGATCCTATTTTACCACCTCGATGCCGAGGTCGAGACTTTGAAGGCCGACAACCTGAGACGATGTGAGCTGTCCCCCTCTATCTCTACTCTGCCACAACGACGTATTCCTAATCTCGTCTCGGTTCATAGATTATACGCTTGACGAAGTACGACGTCTACCCATGTGATCTCGATAGCTCTGAACCGTTCCGTTGCCTTGGGTAGAAGCAGCCACACGACATAGCAGTTAGCAAAACTTGTCGCTTGTTACAGCATGGCATGTATATACTTCCACAATATAAATAAAATAATTATGTACTAGTGAGCTACACCTCCAAGTCCGTTCCATCGCCATCTCCTTCCTCTTCTATCACCTTGCCCGGAATGACCCCGACGTGATCGTACGCCGTCGACGAGAGTTCGCCAGCCTCTTCGACGCCGACCGAGTGCGCATCGTACGCCAAATTCTCCTGCGACAAGACAGCTCTTAGCTGACCATGCTCGTCCTGCACGTAGACCGGTTGCGGAGCCGCGAGGTAGTAGTTGCCATCCTCGGCGAGATCGTACTGCTGGCCCCCGTCGGCGACGGGGAGGAACGCCTCTTCCTCTTCGAGAGGGGACCTCATGAGGTGCTGTTGCTTGCGAGGTCGAGGTCGCTGACCGGATGAGGAAGTGGTGGACGTCGTAGAGGTAGACGGGTTCGAGCGATGTCGGGATCGTTTCGTTTCGGGCGGGTGGAGGTTAATTGGGGCGGCGAGGTAGGTCGAGGCTAGGCGCGGGCTCGCGGCGGGGTGGGAATGCGAGCGTGACGAATTAGATCCGTTCGAAGACGCTGGTGCACGCCCTTCGTAGTAGTAAGCGCCACCATTCCCCTCGGTAGCAGCAGCAGCTTCGGCTCGGGCAGCCCGTCGTTGTCGCCGAACTTCTTTGCGAGCTTGACGTTCTGCTTCGTCGTGGTCGTCCCGGTACGAATCGTCGCCGTGTTCTCCGACGACACTCAAGGCGCTCGCGTCCTGGCCTCGGTGACCACTCGAAAGCTGAGCAGGGTAGTCGGGGAGATACGAGTCGGCCGAGGACGAATGGGAGCTCGACTGGTAATGCCTCTGCCTTCCCGATCGCGGGGTTCGCTCGTCTGTAGGCTCGAGGTCGACCCGGACGGCGGGTGAGAGCAGCTCGTCCGGGTCGGCGACGACGCCCTGGTCAAAGTCCTGTACGCTCAGTCCAAGTTCACGAGCGCGTCGTCGTGCCCTCCGTCTTTCGCGTCGAGCGTCGCGTTCTTCGGGTGTCTCGTCGTTGTACCTCCCGCGTTCGTCGCTGAGGTTCGTTGCTGTTGATTTGGTCGGCGATAAGGGTGCATCGATCGGCGGGTCGACAATCTCTTCCCTGATCTCGAACGCGTCCCCGTCCCCTTCCCCTTCCATCAACGTTGTGTTACCTTCCTCGCCCGCCCGTGAGGGGGCGAGCAACCCTCCCATCGCTTCAAACCTTCCGTTCTCGTCCTCATCCTCGTCGTCGGGCAGTCGTATCCGGCCTGGACCGGACCCTCTCCACCAACTCTTCAACAGTGTCCATCGCGACAGGCCCGAGCCCCACGATATCCCCGACCCAGAAATATCACCCCCTACACCGCGTCTTGTGCGAGTCGTCCTCGAACCCGATCTCGATCCCGAAACATCGTCCGTATCGTCCGTATCGCCAGCATCATGATTGCGCCCGCGGGTATTGAACTCGTTCTGATCGTGCAACGACAAGAGGTCGGCCTCGCGTCTTGAATCCCTCTCTTCCTCGTCCTCCCAATCCCTTACGAGGAAGTCGTTCCTCGACATTCGACCCCGTTCAAAAGGTTCGACAGCGCGACCCGTCGGCGGGACGCTTGAACGAGGCGTCGATGAGGATGAAGTGGGGGTATCGTACCATCGTCGATCGCTCTCTACGACGCCTTGGTTACGGAGCCCTCCTTCCGAATTGACCAACCGACACGTGGGGAAACAACATGTCATGGCTCGGAGACCATCGCAGGCCGAGAAGCTCGCGTCCATGGGGTCAGCTCGCAATACGAAACGTTCCCTCGGGGAGTCGTTCAACGAGAATTGGAAGGCGGGTTAGCGACAACGCGTTGGGTGGTGTCTACTGGTCGGAGGCAGTACGACGGGTCAGCAACAATAAAAGACACGTTAATGAAGCCTTTTTTTTGAGTTTGGACTGACCAAGGAACGCGTCAATTGACCCCTCGTGAATCTGGGTTTCAACCGTTGGATGGGTGTGGCTCGAGGCCAAGCAACTGCCCGACTCCGTCGCCAGCGCGTGAAAGCCGTTTCCACGAATTCGGCACAGTTCGGCACGGGGCATCGGCCAAAGCTCCGATATCCGGTGCCGGCAGATTCCACTGTACGAAAATGGTCAGGTGAAATGAAGTTGCACGACACCGATGCTCCTGAATGGTTCTGAAAAATTTCCACTGAACTGAACTCGGGGATCTCACAGATTGGATGCTCTCTACGAGCATTAGTAGTTCCATTGTGGCCGTGCGCCTAAGCTCGGACCAACTCAAGGGCCAACTCCCGCTGTCGCGTCGTCTAAAGAACACAAGCCGCCCCCTTGCGTTCGCTCGGCGGGCGAAAATTATCCCAGACAGGTTTTGCGAGACTTGTAGTGCAAGATCCAATGAAGAATGGCGCATTTAAGAGTCGGGCTTGAGCCAACAAGAGGCAGGACTGATATAAACTGTAGCCTACCCTAAGACCCCAGCCCAACGAGGTGTGGCACCAATGTTTCGGTCAAAATTCAGGCAGCTCATTCCCTGCAGAGAGAGAGGGGGGGCAGGAAAAGGTCGACCGTGTCCAAAATGGCGCGGCTGGTCGAAACGACGCCCCCGAGCTCGCCCACGGTTCCGCTCATTCTCCCTTCGTCGAACCACGCCTATACAAACGTAGTGTAAGCCCTCACCACCCCGTTATCGAAGACCTGGTTTCATTCCAAAAGACAACGATTACGACACGACCTCTACGAATATACCGGCTTCGACGGGACGGCGGGCGGGAAGGATGCTGTGGGCCCATCGCTGGGCTGAGAGCTGGAACTGGAGCTGGCCATGGGTGGGCCAGAGTGCGGGCCCACTCCGCAGACTTTTTGTTGGCGCGTGACCAGGGCCCGCGACTGGCCCTTGCGACGGTCGAAATGGGGGGGAACCTATCGACCTGGATTGAATGGTCGGGATGGGAGGTGGAATTGAGGTCCCTGGGAGGGGTGGGGACGGGGACGGACTACGGCTTGCGAGGGTGTTGCTGCGGCGGGTTCGTCGTCGCAGCCACGACCGGCCACGAGGGAGGCGCGACTTGGCTGGCGTCGCGAGGAATGCATGCTTACGGCTGGGCCGAGCACGGCCACGAATCGACACGCACACACACGACCACGCTTCAGCTCCCGCTTCACCATCCGTCTTGCTGACCATCGTTGATTCTCTGAATTCCCAACAGTGAGATGCCTTCCAACAAGTCGTTCCGAACCAAGGTCGTGTTGGCCAAAGCCGGCAAAGTGAACCGGTGCGTCCTTGCATGCGTTTTCATCTTATGTACTGCAACGATTCATTCGCTGGCTGACCAGGTCCATGTATCCCCGTTCTCAATCAGACCCATCCCCCAATGGTTCCGTCTCAAGGCTGACACCAAGCTGCAGTACAACGGTCCGTGAATCCGCCTCCCCCGCCTGTGATGCGACCCTGCCAGCACCCGTGACTGACAGTTGAGCTCCCCTCTTCTTGTCCCACAGCCAAGCGCCGCCACTGGCGCAGGACAAAGCTCAACCTCTAAACGGATCGCTTCTTTCTTCTTCACTCCTACGATTGGACGAGCAACCCTCGGAAAGCAAACTTTACGAACGGCGATTCTATGGATCGTCGAATGATGGTGTGCATGGGTGGTCGATTGGACGAGGTGGTGGTGGAAAAAGGGACGGTTTTTGGATAGAGGGATGAGGGAGCTTTTCTTGTACCGAGACGAAGTACTGCAAAACGAAAACCAGCACCATCGTTCCAGCTATGCCACTGTGGTCCGGCTCGGTGTGAGGACGGAGGTCTCTCGGCAAGAAGCGGTATCGTCAAAGTGGAGAGAGGCTGGGTGCTACACTATGAATGACAATTGTCTGCTGCTGCGAGCTGCATAGGTGGGGGGAAAGAACTACTTTTACAACCGGCGGAGCACGTGATGATCGATCCTACTGTTGTGCTTTGGCCTGCTGTTCCCTCTTTTCAATCTGCTTGGCCTTTTGTCGTTCCATCGTCGGTTCAACACCGGCTTCGAACGCCTCGGGGAACTCGAGTCCGACCATTCGCGCCGACTTGTGTGCCTTTTCGTCCTCGGTCATACCCGAAGATGGGTTGTACCGTTCGACGAGCGCCTGGAGGGGGTCAGGGGAGCGCAGAAGCCGCAGCAGAGGCAGAAGCAGCGTCAGCATCAGCGTACCAGTTGAAAGGATAGCGCACCTCCCGGAAGAACCTAAATTGCGCCCTCCATGTACATACCTTGTGGGACCGATGGGCTTGGAGAAAGATGACCATGTCCTCGACCTGTCGCTCAAAAGCCTTGGCCTCTTTCGAACCCCGGCTCAGCGACTTGGCTTCGTCAAAGATGAGACGCAGGTGTTGTGGGATCGACGCTGATCGTTCGACGCGCGGGTGAATAGACTGAAAATCCGATTGGAAGATGACGCAGTAGTGGTGAAACATGCCGGTCGGAGCTCAATCGGGTCAATTCAAACCGTTGGAAGAGCCGAGTCTAGGCCGAGAGGAACTGACGTTGGCTACGAATTGGCGTAGTGTGGCGCGGTACATTCGCGGTAAAGTCGCCATCGTGACTGAGCTCGATCGTGGTGGTGGCTACGGGGTAGTTGCGGGACAAGAGACGAGGGAGGCGCAGGGAAACGATCTCGGGAATTGGTGAAAGATGGTGATCGGACGGTGATCGGCGGCGCTTGCGAACTTGGAACTTGTCCCAAGCGCACGCTCCACTCTTGGCCTCTTCCATCTTTCTCACGCGACTCGACCCTACGTGAGCTCTCCAAAAATGGCGACACTCTTGCCCCGACTGGGTCGAACACTCCTCTCGGGTCCGACTCGTCGCACGCTGAGCACAAGCCCGCGAGTGTGGAACGCAACCCCGGAATGGGAACAGCTCGTCGGCGGCAGGCAAGGCATCGAGCGACAGCGCCAAAGCTTCCAGGCCAAGTACCGCGAAGCGCTCGAGAAGAAGGCCCAGCAGGAAGGTATCACCGTGGAGGAACTGAAGAAGCGGAAAGCAGCGTCGCTCTCCGCCGATCAGGAGGAGGCTAGGTTGACAAAGTTGGCCGCTGCCGAGGCATCGGCATCGGCGTCGACATCGGCATCGACATCGGCATCCACAACATCCACAACACCGAGTACGAGACCAACGAAAGTGAAACCTGCACCGGTCAAGTCGTCGTCCGAGAGCCCGGTCAAGGTGCGTCAGCAGAACCTTCCCTCCGCTCCTTCTCCGCATTTGACGTCACTGACACCACCGTTTGCCCCGATCCCACCCACAGCCCCTGAGCGACATCATGAACCTGTCCAAAGCCGCAACCTTAAACTCGACCGCCGTCTCGCAACTATGGACGACGTACCATCAGGCCAAAGGTTATCTCTCCGCCGCTGTGCCCGTCGAGACGTATGAGCGCATGATCAAGCTCGCCAAGCGGTACCCGTTATTCGTCCTGCCGCTCGCCCGGGACGTCAGCGTCGGCAAGACCGAGGCCGACAAGGCGACCGCGACCGAAATGCACTTGATGGTCAGTTCATTCGCCTCGGATAATGAAGCCCAGAGCTGGCCCTGAGCCCGGACCCCCCTGCGATGAACAGGAATGGGCCCTGCTCCCCCCACCGACGACGGCGCACACGCCCGTCCCTTCGCCTTCGACCGTACTCTTCACCCCGCTCGCCGAATACAAGGCTCGGCAGGCGTACGCGCAACCGTACCTCATCCTGACGCACTACACCGACCTCGCTGAATCGCACAAGGTCGTGCTCATGCGCGGCGAGATCACGACCAACGTCGCGCTCGACCCGACCGCGGCGCAGATCCTGACCGTGCGCATGCAACTCTTTTACAACAACTCGCTGCACGGCGACGGCCCCAAGGATACGGACCTCGATCGCGAGCGGCTCCAGGTGCTCAAGACGTTCCACGAGACGCCGAACGAGTTTGATGTCGAGGCCTTGATTCGACTCGCCGAGATCGCAAAGCTGTGATGCAATGTCAGAGGTTCTCTCCCTTGGCGAGACAAACTATGTGAAGATGTACCAGTCCAAGAATATACGGCTCAAAGAGGACTGACAGCTTCCGATCCATGTCACGGTGCCGACCCTCCAACTTGAGCCAACAACGCCAGTCACTTCCATCCATGCATGCATGACACAATCAAAGTACCCAGTGGTCTTGTGTCTCCAGATGTCCATGCGTGTCCGGATCCGCTTGTTTGTTGGCCATGTCTGACCCCTGTCTTTGCGTAAGGGGCTCGGCGGCTGTTGGGCCCGCCTCGTGGGGTGGTCGGGAATCCTTACCGTTGAGATTCCCTTTACGTGCTACTTGATCTGATCTGCTACACTGTCCTGTCTGGTCTGAGACAGAAATGGGAGGTGAGAGGTACTGATTAGAAAAGACGTTTAACGTCTGATTCGGCCAAGCTGAAACTTGAAGCTCGCGCTTGAGTTGACCTTGCGATTCTTAAGGTCGAGCACGGTGGTCTAAAGATCTTTAGGCTCAGTAACAGATCTTATTGGTATCTTATTGAGCTTACAGTGTGCTACGTCCAGCGACAATCCTATTGGAAGCAGTTTTGCCGCATTTCCATGATTGGAGTTTCGTGGTGCGCCCACGGAAATCTCGAATTCTCATAAGCCTTGCAGCATGTGTGGTACCATGTTCTTATTGCGGGTTCTACAGATTGTCATTGTACTTGTCCTGCAATATCAAAATACTACAATTTCGTCATGTGTTCACCAAATATCAAGTGGACGCACAGGTGTGCACATGTGTTGCGGCTGCTCAAGGCGCCCAGTTCCCCCGCCTTTCCTTCCTTCGTGCCAGGTCGGCCTGTCCAAGGCAAGCCTTTGTAGCTGGCGATGGCGACTATGTTTTCTAATACCACGATAGTTCCTCTGTTGACTCGCTCCAAAGGCCAAACGTGACACGGTCATTGCCGCGTGCAGTGGTTTGAGCCCGATCACTCGTCCAAGCTGAACGAAACCCCTAGGATGGCCTTGATCGACGCCGGACCATGGACCTCACCGTCGCGTCCCAGAGTTCCGAATTCGAGGTCTTGTTGATCGGGGTGGGTTTCACGTGGAGCTAAGATGTGGGTGACGGTCGTCACTCAAGATAGCTTCTTCTTGTTTTCGATCCGCTCCGGCTCGTCCGAATAATGAACACCGCGCAGAGGGGACAACCGATACCCGCGGCGCTCCGGTCACACGGGCAATCGTATACCCGGAGCGATTGGGCAAGATCCTTCAAACTGGGTCAGTACAATGTCGGTTATATGACATCATTGTAACTCACCACCGAAACAATTTACTGCCTGTAACAGTAAGTATTGCTTGCAGTCATTGCTGGGCTGAACTCGCCGTGACTAGTCATCGTCGCGGTCATCGTCGCAGTCATTGTCGCAAGCCCCCGGCGGTCCACGACTAAAACGATGTTGCCATGTTCGCAGTCTTTTGCCACAAATCGGAGGAGGATTCGACTATCTCACTGCTGTGCAGACCCTGCCAGTGAGTCGCTTGGGCAGTGTGGTGCTTTGAGCTCGATTCCGTGGGTCCGACGGAGTTTGAGGTGCCGCTGAATTCGGGGGCGGTACCGGTGCCGGGGGGTGCGCTTGCGCTAACTCGCGCGCGCCATATTGAGTTGGCGCATGGTCTTTTCTGCTTTTGCTGCAAGAGTTTGACGCCGAGGACTCAAGCGCGCGCGACCTCTACCCTCCTTGCAGTAAGCCGTGCCCGCACGCCTGCCCCTCTTGCAATAAGCCGTGCCCCGCACGCCTGCCCTTCCTGCAGTAAGCCGCGCCCCGCACGCCTGCCTCGAGCCTTGGTCTGTAAGCCGCACTTGCGCAAGAGTTTACCAAGCCCGCTCCTGCCGCACCTTTCAGTTCCCACTGCTTGCCGTTGCCGTACCAGTATCGCTGTGTACCTCTGCCACCTCCTGCCAAGGTCAGTGGCCTTCCTTGAACTCTTCCTGCCGCCATTTGGCTGACAGGTTCAGAGCTTCTCACAGGACCCCCCCAGCGATACCGTACAGCTTCCGCCTTCCAGTCTTCTGCCTTACCAGTTGACGACGAACAGCTGCCACTGTGTACGCCTCTCTTTTTTTTCTTTTCAACACTCCTTGTTGGATGGTTGACTGACGCTCCATACTTTGTATGCAGCCGTCCGCCTGCACCTGCCAGTGCTGCGCCTCTTTCGTGTTCGACTGCGTCTCGCTCAAAGAGCCGAGGTACATCACCCACCTTCAGGCTCTACCTTAGGGTACTCCTGCTCTCGACTGTCCTTGTTGGACACGTTGACTGACTTGGCTACACTGCTACACAGACCCACCCTCGACGTGCCAGCGTCCGAGGTCTGTTTTCCCTTTGCCTGCACCTGCCAGTGCTGCGCCTCTCCCGTTCGCCTGCGTCTCGCTCAAAGAGCCGAGGTACATCACCCCCCTTCAGGCTCCACCTTAGGGTACTCCTGCTTTCGACTGTCCTTGTTGGACACGTTGACTGACTTGGCTACCTTGCTACACAGACCCACCCTCGACGTGCCAGCGTCTGAGGTCTGTTTCCTTTGCTGTCTTCTTGTCTCCAAGCGACACGCTTTACAAGCATAGTCGTTCTATCTTCGTCTCCTCCCACCCACCCTACAAAATAAATAAATACAAAAACAGCCTTGTGTTCTTTCCTTTACTTTCTTATCTATGGTCTCTCGTGGGTAGATTTTCAACCCATCCCGTTTGTTACGGGATGCCTGGTTCTTATGCTGCAAATCCGACTCCATCCCAGCTATTTCGGTTCGCATTGCGCTCTTACGATGGAGTCGAATTGAGTTAGCGCACTTGAGTTGGCGCAGTCGAGCGCCCGAGTTAGCGCACTTGAGTTAGCGCACCGCGCGCGTGAGTTGGCGCACCGAGTTGGCGCAATCAGGCGCGCCGCACGCGGCCATCCCCTTGTCTTCATGCTGCAACGTGCCATATCCTACGGTGCAACTGCTGTCACGCTTCTTTCGGAAACGAAGCGCCGATAACACGGACGACAAAATCGTCGGCACCTCGGCTACGACAGCATCGACAGCGTGCCAGAACGAGATCGGCCCCTGTGTCGACACTCTACACAGCGCGAACACCGCGAGCCAAGTCCAGGCCGCGAAGCGCCGCTTCGATGAGCTTTCAATACATAATGATGGACAGAATACAGGATCGACTGCAATTGATCAGTCGACCAAGAAGCCATCGTGTTGCGAGGTCGACCCCGTAGCTTAGTCCCTGCGCCCGCGGCGACCAGGCCTCAGGGTCGTCCGAGGAAGACGGAGGAGAAGAAGAAGGAGGCGGCCATAGCCAAGTCCGAGAGAGCAGCACAGCAAGCTGCCGAAAGAGAACTTGATGATGAACGTGCAAGACAACTCAAAGAAGCGGAGCGAGCTAGGCTAGAGGCCGAGCGAGCGCCTCAACGCCAACTCATATTAGACGAGCAGAGTCAGCGGATGCAGGTCAGTTGTGAAAGCCCGATTTGCGATAGATCAGTGGGATCATGAGTGTCAAAACCTGTCAGGCATGTGGCATTGACGTCAGAAATGAAACGTGCCGCATCCTTCCATACAGTTTCCCCCTGCAAAAGTGTACACTGAGCCGGGCTACATTCCCGTCGCCCGTATTCCTTCTGACTAATGCATGTCCGTGGCTCCTAATCTTAGACTCAAACAACTCTCAACTTTGCACCGGCAACAACTTCACCCCAAACTCCGTTTCCAGACGGCTCGTCTGCCATACCTTCCGCATCCGATGCCTCAGTCTCGACCAACTCCACGTCGCGCTCGATTCCGACGTCGGTCGGATCGGCATTGCCCGACAATTCAGACTCTTTCAACAGTCTCGAAGGAGGCATCCACCGGAACCTTCGCCAACGATTTCCAAAGTCTGGTGTTTCTCCGTGCCATGCCAATGCGTGCTTGGCTGACTACGTGCTAGTGCACAATCTCACGGTCAGTCCAACTCCACCATCGCGATTCGAAGAAGCGGCAACCATTCTCACCCATTATCCCTTGTGTTCGCAGGTTGGGACGTTCAATCGTACCGGAAAACCATTCGTGGGGCACTACGACCTCTGGCTCACTGTGGAATTACATCGTCTGAGGCGCAAGACCTCGGCATTTCTCCCATGGCACTCAACCACTGTGTCAGATATAGTCAACCCGCTGCTCTACACCACCGAAACATTCGGCATCGTACCTGTTGTTCAGTCGCCAACAGCGCAAATGCGCTTTTTGATCGAGCCCTATCACGTCGAGCGCGGGACTCTGCGTTTGGAGCCCGTCAAGTGGTCGCCATGGAGCTTGCTGCAGAACAATACGCCGGCGATACAGCATATGCAAAGCCGGCTGCCAACCGATCGCAAGCTTCGCCACGACTGGCTAGCGGAACGTCAGGGTACTCGATTCGCTGTATTGCATGTCCATACACCCAGCGAACGAGCGCTATACAGATATCTCTCAAGCAAGGTACGACTGGGAACTCCTCAATCTTCGGATACTCGAGATTACCGAGCTTTGGAACAAGTATGCCAACGGAATAGACATTTTTTACAAAGTATGTCGCGTCTGTGTCACACTGAATGGTGATGTTGAGCTGAAGCGCAATTCTCACACAGATGCCAGAGCACATCAATACATGGGCATCGAGATGGTCGTCGCTGGCAAATGTTCAAGCCACAATGAACATGGTTGGGAACGACGTCAGAGTGATTCAAGCTTTGCTTACCGACCCCTCCCGCGGTCGTGATGTCAGCGTGCTAGCGGCTGAGCCATTACTCGGTCACAAACCGCCAGTCTTGGGGAGGCTTACGGAGGTAGAAGTCGATGCCTCGGATCCTCCAACGTCATCCATCCGCCCCTTATTGCAACTGCCTCGAGCGACGCTGGTTCAAGCGCGGGCTTGGGCACGAGCAGCGCTTTGACGCGCGCGGGTACCACAAAAGGGGCAAGGCACTGTCGATTCTGTGGCCAAACTACTTGTCGACGCAAGGGGTCAAAACTAAGCGATGACGGATCAATGACTGGGTGTGACGGGGCGTGCTTGGACTGCGGGAAGCCTTTCGGGCTAACAGACGAGATGGATTCGAACGACCCACAATCACGAAGGTTCTGTAGAGGACTGACAAGGGCTGAGATGAATGGCCGAGCTCGGCATCAAAAGGCACAACTTTGTAGCTGCATAACACCTGGGTAATATGATGTATGCTGTCAAAATGACATGTTCCGTACCACTTCCTCTCTTTCTCCTTTTTCACCTCCCCCTCCCTCTTCTTCTTCTTTCTCCTTCTTTCTCTTCCCCTCCCTCTTCCTTTCCCCCCCTTTTTTTTCTTTCCCCCCCCCCTTCCTTTTTTCCCTTCCTTTCTTTTTTTTTCCTTTTTTTTTTCTTTTCCTCTCCTCCCATCCACCCCCCGACATGGGTACGGGCCCTGAATTCGGCCGTTTTCGTTGATCGTTGATCTGCTCCTGACAGTGCCGCGGGTGCGCCTGCGACCCCAGCCGAGGCCGAGGCCACGACTGTACACAATGATGGCGACAGTGGGCCTCTCCACAAACCTCAAGAAGCGGACGGACTCTCGACTGAAGGACGAGGCCGAAGGGCTTGTGCAGCTGTCGCACGCCTTCGACGCCTATATCAGGTCAGATGACGGCGATCTAGACGAGCTGGCGGCGCCGGTGGCATGGCCGAGCGGCGAGGAGCTCAGCGAGTGGGGTACCGAAGATGGGTTCAAAACCTTTGTGGCTGACGTTGTACGCGGGGTAAGATCTGCGCCAACGACGTGCTTTCTCTTCGATTCCGGCAGCTCACAGCTGATCTTACGACATTTCGACACTTTAGCTCGTCACCGACGCCAAAGTCGTGGTCTGTGGAAATTCGCAATTTCCCGTTCCGACCTCCCCGGGACAAGCGGCCGCGACACATGTCCGCACATGTGCCCTCGGGACAAGTCCCATCCGCGGACAACTGCCCGGATGTCGTCTTCCTCTTGCCCCATGCAGCGACGGCAGAGAAGATGGAGGCTTGGGGCATGACGAAGAACGAGATCGAGGAGATCGAGGCAGGGGCCAAGCTGGTCGATCTGCGTATGTTGAACGAGGTTTACGCGTTCGTCGAGTTGAAGAACTCTCGGAAATGGGATGCAGCCGAAAATCAGAGCTTCAGACATCTCTACCGGATGACGTCAACCGACCCAATTCGACGATGGGTGGTTTGGGCGACCATGTGCGGGACCGAGCTGCGGGTGTACGCCCATACACCAGCCGGTATTATTGCAACAAAGCCGATCGATTGCGACGTGCCGAGCGGGTTGCGCTGCCTGAAACGTACCTTGCTGCGCTTCCTCAAAGGCGACCTCTCTTCGTGGCACGGCGTCGTCTCCCCTGCTCCAATCTCCTTCCCACTGGTTATTCTCCCGACTGCAACTTTCACCCGCTTGCCTGTTCTTCCGAGCAACCTTCAAGTTCTGAAACGCATCTACGTCGATCCGGCGATGTTTGGACCGCGTCCAGCAAAGTTCAGTACCCGACTGGCCGACGGCCCCGACGACATTGCCCTCGTTTCGGCCGACGAAGAACGTCTTCTGGTGATCGATCATACCGATGTCGACGCCGTGATCCGAGATCGCCGGATCCAGGAACTTATCGAAGCAGTACGATCGGACGCATCGCCGGCAGGTCTTCAGACACCTCTACCGCTCGGCCATGCCAACGGTGCCGTCGCCGTCGGCTCGTCGAGATCGCCAGAATCTTGATACAGGCGTCAAAGGCATGCGACAGCTGCACAAGCCCTTAGACCTCGTCCCTCAGTCGAGAGTCCGTGCGCCTCTTAAGGTTGTTGAAAGGCCCACTGCCGCCATCATTGTGTACAGTCGGGGCCTCGCCGCCTCGGCTCGCCGGCGCGCCGGCGGCACAGTCAGGAGTGTCAGGAGCAGGTCAACGACAACGGCCGGATTCAGCGGCGCCTCAAACTCCGAACCAGGGAACCTCGCAGATCAAAGGTTACACTCCCTGAGCGACTCACTGGTAGGGTCTGTACAGCAGTGAGATAGTCGAATCTTTTCGATTTGTGGCCAAAAACTGCGAACATGGAGTAACATCGTTAGTCCGAGTCGACTGGGGGTCTGTGACGAGTCGACCGCGACGATGACCGCAACGTTACGAACGTTACGATGACCACGACGATGTCCGCGACGATGACCGCGACGATGACCGCGACGTTGACCGCAACGATGACCGCGACGATAAGGCGAGTTCAGCAACTACTGAAAGCAATACTTACTTTTACAGGCACAGAGTTCGACTGGGCACGAGCCCAAAAGGTAGATTGGGATCGAGCGAGCAGACCCTCTAACTTACCATCCAATATGTGGATGCAGTGGGTAGATCGAGGCTCGGTCTACTCCGCGGGATATGCCGCTCTTGATCTTGGCGAGTCGAAGACGGTACAGCGCATCGACGCACTAGAAGGGTGTGAAGGAGACCGAACCAGAACTTGGCTGCGGCTTGACGCTTAAAGCTTAACAGCTTTAAGATTGAACACCCACATGAGGCACACATACGCTGCAGGCACGCGTGCCGGCGCGCGCGATCAGCGCTCAAGCGCTCAGCGGCCTGCAGGCTGTGCTCAGCTGGGTCCGTCCGCGAAATTCAGCGGATCTACGTTCGCGCCGAACCCAACATCATAGCTCGGAGAAGCGATTAGACTGAAAATGGTCTGGGTGACCCGATGAAATTGACTCGCTACTCACTTTGCGTGCCTGCTGCGAATAGCACATCACCGCACAACTTCATCTGACGCGGCGCCCTCGCTGAGAGCTTGAATAGGCTGTCGGCTGCGGGAGGCGTTTCAGTACGACACGCGTGCCGACCGGTCGGTCGACTTATCTTTTCAAAACATGCGATGGGAAGTTGAACAACCTCCCCATTTCAGGTCAGCCCATTCGTGCTCTTGTCAATTGTAGAGCAGTCAGCGTGATTCTGCGTGAACATCATGATGGCAGTGCACGGGCCACCGCCGCTGCTGCTCTGCCTGAAGAGGTGTGGCGCTGCAACAAGTTGGTTCCGCCGATGGGTTGCACTCGCCGCATAACGACGGCGGGAATATATTGAGTGGAGATTCTCGAGCCGTAAATCCGTTCGTCGCAGCAGCCGCGCTGGGGGTGGACTACCACGAGCAGCTGAACATGATCGGCCGATGCGGCGGCCTGCGAAAATTCGCCGCGGTGGTGCCCCACGTACATTGGAGGATTGGACAGTCCATCCGTCCCATCGCTCTCACGGTGGACGGGCGCACAGCGCGAGGACTGGCCGGTTTGGAGAAAAAAAGAGGGGACACCCACCTCACTGGTCAATATGGAACAGAGACGTGGTAATCGATCAACACCCATGCCAACGATCATGATATTCGTCGGGGGAGACATCACGGTGAAGGATGCGGAGATGATAGAGACTGCGCAGGCCTGCAGCAGACGTTCGCATGCCCGCATGGTCAGTCCATCCTACGTTCGTGACCCTTCGGAGATACGAAGAAAGTTCCTTGAGCTACACCGAGTATGGCTTTCGTCAACGCCTTGGTCGAATCGGCGACAGAGATCGGCGTATACGCGCTAGCCCGTCTCAGGTCATGTGACTCAAACTGACTCGAACGTCTGCACTCATCCGCCCTCCGCCGGTTCCGGGCCTCATCAGAAATTCAAAGAATCCGGGATGGCAACGAAGGGCCCGGGGCGAGCCTGACTGATAATCACTTCAACCCGACACGACGACTCCTCTTCTCAGCTTTAAATTGCGGGAGTCGGCCACGGCTCATGCAGTCTGACAGTCGGGTGGCGGTGCTTGAGACGTCGGAGCCTCAGGGAGGACCGCTGAGTCGATGACGGAGGACCACTGAGTCGCTGACACTACAGTGTCCCTTCGTCGAGCAACCGGTACGCGCTCCAGTAGACCGGTGGCTATAGCCTAAAGATCGGCAAGATCGCATAACTTTGCTTCCTTAACTTGAAATTCCGATCGGATCAAAGCGCCGAATTAGAGCACACGCAAGCGGCGCCCCACCCATTTTTTTATTTTATTTGTACACCCAGGCCTCAGTAGTGATATTATGCTGCTGTCGAAATCTATTCGAAAGTTCAAGAGATGAATCGCAAATGAATTACGACGCGGCGGCCGGAGGCCCGTCCTCCTTCCCCCACCGTCCCCATCGCCCTTCGTACTAGCGAGTGTGTGTGGTCGAGCTGTTGCTGTTCACTCCATCGAGTTCTTTCGACCTCGTCAACACGACTTCGTACCTGCTTCGACTGACCTGCGTCGCTTCTCGACTCGCCTCCTCCAGCACCCAGTGCACCAGTGCCAGTGCCAGTGCCAGTGCCAGTGCCAGTGCCAACTCCGAATCCGGCGGTGTCCGACTGGCAGCTACCAGCCTCCTCCAGGCTCCGACGCCGACCGCAGTGATCCACCGGTCGCCCTACACCCTCTACTCGACCCTTGTGGCGGCTTCAAAGACACAGGCGACGTGCAAGATGGCTCCCACGCACATCTTCCACCCTCTAGCAAACCCTGGGCCAGCGGAAGGCCACGACAATGGGCTCGCGCTGACGGCGCTGTTTCGCGAGTCCGGGCCGGGTACGACGATCCTCTTGCTGCCGGCGACGACGTACCCGCTTTACTCGACGGTCGACTTTATCCACCCTCGCACAACGCTCGCGACGTTGGGCTACCCCGAATTTCAGACGGGGCAACAGGCCGTACTCGAAACCCGCAGCGAAAAGGAGGCCGGCGCGATCAACATGTACAACAAGGCCGAGACGAGTTTGAAGCGCGTCCACCTGCGCGGCTGCCGAGGCTGGGGCAGGGGCGTGCCCACGGACGAAGAAAAGGAAAAGTGGAAGAAGGAGGGTCGACTCGGGTGGATCGAAGGTGGTGGAGCCATGGTGTGGATGGGGGGGCCCGACAGTCACGATTCCATCGTCGAAGGTGAGCGAGCTAACGCCGAGCGCCGAGCAAACTCGCTGAGCAGCCCAGCCGATTTTTTTGCTCCGAACTTCTACACTCCGCACAAGGTTGCCGCCTCGAGGATCCTCGTGGTTGGACCGCGGTAAGCCTTTATCAGCAGAGACTCGTTTTACTCTGGTGCACAACTATAACCGAACTCTGCTTTTCCCCATCGGCCACTAGGTCCACCTTTGCGATTGGGCACTGCGCGCCAAGTTGCTCAACAACATTGTCGGTCCCTGCGGCCAGGAAGGTGAGAATCGAGTATGTCCGAGCTCTTTCCGATTATTTGACTTTAACAAGTTGTCGTTCATATTCAGCCCCCGCGGGCCCCTGGGCCGATGGTCTGAGCGTCGCCGGCAAAGATTCTGTCGTTGTGAGTTGCGTGGGCGACTGGGCGACCCTTGATCAAGTCTCGCATGCACTAACCTGGACCCGTTTGTTCTCCTCAGTCGGGCAACACCATTGTAAGTACCATCTATGGCTCATTCACTATCCACACAGCTCATCAGTTCTTGACTGCGTTCCGGCCACAGATCGACGCGACGGATGGAGCGATCGTCGTCTTTTGCGCCCCTGGCTCGACCATTTCGGACAACACCATCATCGCGCGTACGCGTGACCTGCTCGGAGCGATCAACATGTACGTTCTGCTTCTCGCGTGGCGGTGGAAATGCCGGCACACGTCTCCTGACACTTTAAACACAGGGTTGACGATTTTCCGTACAACCGCGACTTTTCCAACACGCGCGTTGTCGGCAACACGATCCGCACCGAGGGGGCCTACATCCGCCTCGCGATTGGGTGCGGGCCGACGTGCTGGTCCCCCTGGCAGACCTTTCACCAAATCAACTACGGCGGCTACGTGCAAAATAACTACCTGGGACCGGGGAGGATGGGGTACGGCGTTGCGCTCTCGGGGACCAAAGACTGGACCGTGCTCGGCAACGTCGTGCTGCCCGACACCAAGTTCGTCGGCGACGTCGCGAAGGCGTCGGGGAACGCACCGCCATGCTCCTTTCTCGTGCAGTGGGAAGACCGCGAGCGCACGATCAACAGCGACCTCCAGGACGGGTTTCTCCACGGCGAGGCCGTATACCTCATCGGGATTGAGGACGGCGCAAGCGAATTTTATAAGTTCGAGGGCGGCCAAGTCCGGCTCGACGCCGAAGGGGTCAGCGCGATGGGTGAAGGCGGGATTGTCGTCAAGGGTGGTCGGCTGGAGCTTCAACCCGGGGGTGAGCTGGTGATCCGAAAGACAACAGAGGGTCACGAACATGAAGGCAAGGTCGGGCACGGGGCGGTTCTTTGGAGCAGCGGAGCCCCCTCGTCGCCGCACCACGACCCCGTCCTCTCCTTCGACCTCGACGGCGTGTTCTCCGTGCGAGGCGAGGGCGGCCACGGCGACGTCGTGTGGAACCCGACGTCGTATCTTCAAGCGCACCTCGACAGACTCGCTTCGTTGCCGCCGCTCAAGACGAAACCAGCCCGAGCGACCCCTGCGGATCCAAATGTCCCCGATCCCAACAAATGGGCCGGCCACCCTTCGTTCGTGCTCCGCGGCCATCAGCCCTTCCTCCAGGTGCGCACTAAGGACGACAACGTCCTCTTCTCAACGTCGTATGAGTACGAGACCACCGAAAATTGGTCCATGCAGGACGGCAAGTGGATCGCCGTTGCCCCACCCCACCTCCGCGGCGTGCAACCCTCTTCCGATGCCGCCTCGGCTTCAGAGGGCACCTGCGCGGGACCGCCGGCGATCCCACCCCGCCCCGAGCAAACGTCGACGGCCCACGGTCACCACCCCTTCCGGGCCTTCGTCAAGGACCTCGCTTCCGATCTCGTGCAGGCGACTCACTCGGGTTCGAACCCGAACGTGCACCCCGCTGGGCGTCCAGCGATCCCACCCCGTCCCGATGCGATCACGTTGACCAAACCCGACGGTCCCGTCAAGCCCCTGTTCTTGTTCCTCAACCCCGTCACGGCGCAGCTCACGCTGCACTCGTCCTCTTCCCCCGCGCATCCCGAGCCGGAGCACATTCACTGGGTCGCGCCTCAGAACCCCGTCGAAGGCGGAATCGACATGTGTTGGGTCGGCTTCCAGTACGATGGCAACCTCGTCATTTGTAAGTTTGTAAAGGGACGCCCTGGACCATTTTTGCACTCGTACTGACAGTGTCTGAATTATCGCTTTGTGAATACAGATGCGAAGCGAGGCGAGGACGTGTCGGTCCCTTGGGCCTCGGGCACGAATGCAGACAAGATGGTGCTCCGAGGCCACGGCGACCCCAACGGACCCGCGCTCGAGTTGCTCGACAAGCAAGGTATGATGATCTGGACCAGTCGGTCGTAGACTTCAGGTTAGGAGAGAGTTCCGGTTCTTTGATTGTTACAACAAGTTGGACTACACATACTGTAAATCACACCAACATGCACACATACATACACCCTGCCTTGTTCCTCTTGTCGATAAGAAAAGCATTGCGCCTACGCCTGCTGCTTCTGCTGCTGCTGCCCCTCCCGAGCTTGACCCGTCGCTTTTCGGGCCGCGGCGGCTGCGGCTCGTCTTTGCTCGTCTTCCTCTTGCTGGATCCGATGGTGCTCCGCCTCTTGCTCCCTTATCCTATGCTCCGCCGCGAGTTGCCCTTCCTTCTCCCGCAACGTATGCTCGTACAACTGGATCGCGGCCGGCAGGTGCTTCTTCAAGTTGTCGAGCCGCTGTTCGCTACTAGGGTGCGTGCGCAGCAGCGCGATATGATCGACGATCTTGCCGTGTTCGCCACGTTCCTGGACGTCTTGTTCGACCTCGTTCAAGATCTCCCACAGTGTGATCGAAGCGCGAGGATCAAAGCCTGCTCGGGCCATCAGTTCCAACCCGAGCTCGTCGGCTTCGGTTTCGAGCTTGCGCGAGTACGCCCGTTGGCCGACCTTGCGATCAACGAAAGTGAAGAATGCCGAGAGGGCGTCGCCGACCATGGGGAAGGAGAGTGTCAAGGCCCAGGCCGTGCCGCGCAAGACGTCAAACACGACCCCGCTACGTTCCCGTGGACTTGAGAATCAGCTCCATGCCGCGCCTCGCGGTAGGTCAATGCTGCCGGCCCACTCACGAGAGGGCGAGAAAGCCAAGTTCTTCGACCGAATGCCGCTCGGTCAAATGGACACACTCGTGGGCAAGTACCTGTACAACCGCCAACCCATCAATGGTCCTTCCCAGCATGTACGCCATTTAAGATCGTGGTACGTACCGCCGCGAGCAAATTCTCATCGTCCTCAACGAGCGACAGCAGCCCGCTGTATACGAAGAAATCTTTGGACGACAAGACAAAGGCGTTGATTTTGGGCAAATCAACTGTAGGGCAGAACAGTATGTCATCAATACCCGTTACCGTGCCATCGGAAACCAGATAACTCACTGCAATATAAATCCCACGTCCCCTTCTTCATCTTCTTCTCCGGATTCGACGTCTGGAAGAATTGGCAAGCGGGTTTAGCGGGCTGCGATTGAAAGACCCGCTCCGAGACTACGCGAGTACCTCGGGAATCCAAGGCATGTTGGCGACTTCTATCCTCGCACTGGGTACGATCTTGGACCTCTTTGACTCCTGGCTGCCGACCTTGGACCCCATCTCCTCTTGAAGGTATTGCGCAAACGACAAAGGGGCGTCGTCGTTAAGGGTTTGGACGAGGCGCTCGATCACTCTCCGCACAGGCTCGACACGCGGGTCTTCGGGTGGCATGAGCACGCATTGGTCGTTGGAGATCGTTTCCTCAAAGCTGGTAAGTGAAGAACACAGCTTAGCACCGCTTCTTCGAAGGAGGTCGAGGTTGCCGAGGGCAAGATCTTCACGCACCGAGTGTTGGACCAGGCCAATTCTTCTCTTTCGCTCATCAAGAGCAATCGCCACCTCGCCGTTTTGTCGCTATGGTTCAACCCCAGCGCGAGTACGAGACATGTTGCAACCAACGGGATCTGTAGCGGGGGGGACGAATGGTGCCGAGCGCGCGTGTGTGAAATCAGGGGGGCCGTACTACCTCGGGGACTGCTGACTCCGCGACTGCATCAATTTCATAGGGAACTGACCCCGCCTAACCGCCATGCTCCTTTGGGGAATCGCTTAAACATCCCCCAGCGCCACGCCACGGGGAGAAAGATGAGCGACACTCGCACGACCGTCAACAGGGCACTGTGGGGTAGTGGAGGCAGGCAGAGCGCAGATTCTTTGGGTCAGCCGAACTCTCCGAAACGAGGAGAACACGAGTAGTAAGGGCTGACGATTTGAAAGCAGGAACTGAGACAAAGAGTACGTCACGGTGCGGTCGAGTCGTATGGAAACCCCTGAGTTGCTGGGTTGTCCGCAACGCCGAGACAGGGGGGCGAGCTGAGTGTATGCGCTGGGCTAGACCGGATGGAAGCAGCGGCAAAGGCAGTGGGCGAGTCCACTTTCGTCTGTATATTGTTATCGAAGGATGGTAGGTCCTCGTTTGTGTGGTGGACGAGCCGAGGCTGGATGCGAAGCGGAAAGCGGTCAAAGTGGGGAACCCCGGACATCCGGCTTGCAGGTGTGACGGCGACCAGTTGCCGAACCCGATCGTCCACAGCGAACGAGGGCCAGGTCGCAGCATATTGCACCACGACAGAGCTGAACCCAATGGATCGACTGACAACACTCCGCGAGGCACTGCAGCAGTGTATCCGAGGCGCGGTGGTGACGTGAACGAGAGCGAGCGAGCGAGATAAAGAGAGGGCGGTCAGGAAGCGCACACTCAAGTGGTATCCGTCCCGGGTGATCGAGCGGCGTGGCCGAGAATCGTGTCAATAAGAGCTAACGATCAAGTGAGTGCGTGAGAGCCAATTTTAATGCCAAAGCTTCCCATCGTTTACGCAAAGAAAGGGAAAATAAGACCCAAAGATAGAATGAGGACGTAAAGCAGAGAAGGGGTAAAAGAGTGGGCAGACGAGTGCTTTTCTAGGCGGCTGCTCGCATCGCTCGTCGCTGCTTTCCGGTCTGCGCGACGAAACCGGTCTTGATGGACTGCACCGATCGTTCCGAGTTACACGACTCGCACTTGATGAAGAAGAGTCGTTCGCGCTTGGTCAAGACCGTGTCGGGCGACTTGCATGTCTTGCACGTCACGTATTCGAGGATGTACCGACGCAGGACATTCTCGATTTGCTCTGTGCGCCGAGCGAACAAAAAAAGGTATGAATGAGTACGAGTCATCATTCTTGCGAACTTACCAGCGCATCCAGAGAAAGCACTCACTCTGCTGGAAGCGTCCTTTGATGACCAATCGCCCTGCACCGTCGACGGAACCGTTCGTACCCAATTCGGCAAACAGGAACTGGATCACGTGCTCGGGCTGACGGTGCATGCGCTTGCAAATGTCGGCGACGTTGGCAAAGATGGATCGCTTGTTGCCTTCTCGGAACAGTTGCGGCGGCGGGATCGTGTACTTTTTCTTGCCCGCCGCTCCCGACAGCGAAGGGTGTGAGGCGTACAGCAGTTGGTAGAATCGACCGAGGAGCTGGCGGTGGGTAAAGATGGGTCAGGCACAAGCTTCAGTCAGTGCACGCGAACACCAAAGGCAGATCCGCATTCGGAATAGCCCTCACCTCGGTGTAGGTGTAGTCACGATCCTCCTTGAGCCATGCCTTTGCAACGGCCGCGGCTTCGGCCTTGGACTGGGGCGCATCGTCTCCCCCCTCTCCGGCGCCGAACGGGTCGTCACCTTCCGGTACGGGCTCATCGTCGTCGTCGTCACCGTCGATCTCCTCGCCGTCGCTGCCCAACGGCGTCGACGTCTTGCTCGAGTCCTTGAGGATCGATTTTTTGGGTGCGGGCGCGACTTCCTCTGCGGCCTCAGTCTCGGCCAGCTCCTTCTCGAACGCCTCGAGGTCAAAGTTGGCCTTCTTGGTGCCCTTCTTCTTCTTCTTCTTCAAATCCGCAAACTCGTCCAGCCCGTCGCCGCCCGAGACAGCCGACGACGACGTGGCGGCGTCTTCCTCGGCGGTGGGTTCCTCGATGATCTCGTTGCCGAGAGCGTCGACCTTGCGAGCGGTCGGGCCCGAGGCGGTGGGGGCGTCGTCCTCGTCGTCCGAGGCGATTCGCACCGACTTCTTCTTCTTCTTCTTCTTAAGGTCGGAGAAGTCGAGCTCGCCCGCATCGGCGACGTCTGCAGCGGGGCCCGGTGTCGGTTCGTTGTCGACGACGGGGGAGGGGACAGCAGCGGCAGCAGGCTCTTCGGCGGGAGCTGCCGAAGCGGTGGGGGCATCGAGTTCGAGCTCGTCAAAGTTGACCTTCTTGGAGGACTTTTTCTTCTTCTTCATGCCGGCAAAGAGATCGTCGGTCGTGTTGGACGGGTCTGCCATGATGGGCGACGTGCGGATTGAAAGAAAGTTGAGGATTGACCAGAGCTGAGGGGCCTGCGGAGGGTCAGAAAAGGAAAGGAAGCGAGATGCAACACATGAATCAGCAGTTGACAACGAGCAGGGGTCACGCCATGGGTTGGTGTTGTCGAGTCGGGCTATCGAGGAGGTGGCATCGCACGCAAAACGTCACGCGAGCTTGGTGATCGTCGACCCAAGTGACGGCAGTGCTGTGTGGGGAAGCATCCCGCTCGATCCTCGTTCCATCCAGGCAGGAGTGTAGTTGTGCTGTAGTTGAACGCGATTCGGGACGGGCCGCTGCGTCATACGAGACGCGGTGACGATCGCACCCAAGCACCACGAATCGTCGAGGGGGCGAAGTGCGCGACCCTCATGCACAAAGAGCGCGTTGTCGTTCGATCGAGAGGGGGCTAAGCTTACCTCGCAGGTGTCGCGTAGTTGAAGCGCGGGTAGGTTCGCTGTCGGTGGGTGGGCAGAGAAAGAGGTGAGCCTGAGCGAGCAGCAGCCACACTGCACACTGCCAGTGGCGCGGGCCTTTTTCGAGTCATGCGGGAGCTCGCGCACGGACCTCTACGCCGCGCCGTGCCAAGTTCGCACTCGCTTCCAAGGCGGCCTTATCGCTTTGGTCATCATTCCTGCCGCTTCCCGGCCAGCACCCCTCATCTCGTAACGGAGTTGGTGGACATGTCGTCTGAGCCAGTGATCGGAGACCAGGTCGTAGCCCCTAGTGCAGGAGCAGGGACGATCGTCAAGGAGCTCGCCGCCGGCACTATCGCAGGTTGGGCCCGTGAGTCTTGTGACTCTTGTCAGCCGTGCAACAGCAGCCAGTACAGCACCTCTCTTTGCTTCTCCGGGATCAGTCGATAGAGCTGAAATGAATGCTTCGCGGGTGATCAGAGGTCATGACGGGTCAACCTGTGTGTTTACGTCCCCATCTCCCTCGCGTACTCGGCGCGAGCGAATGCCGATAGGCGGCTCACAGCCTTCTCGCTTCACTTTCCTAGTTCGACATTGTCAAAGTGCGATTGCAGTCCGGCACGCAGTACTCGGGTGCTTTGGAATGTGCCACTCGGATCCTCAAAGATGAGGGTGCCCTCGCGTTCTACAAAGGTGAGGAACACATTGGCGGACTCCCGAGTCGAAACCGAGCTGAATTTGCACTCGGTCCCTTCTTCCCGTCGACCTATGTCCACAGGCACATCGATGCCATTGGTTGGTATCGGTGCGTGTGTTTCACTTCAGTTCGCGTGTCTACAGGCCGGGAAACGATTCTTTGCGTACGTTCTCACTGCATGAGTCCGCGCCGAGCGGCGGACTGGCCCTTGCTGCCTGTTCGGCGGCCGCGTCAACTTTGCGCTCTGCTCTGACAAATCGCGCAACTTTCCACAAAAGCTCACAAAACGTCGGCAAAGTCAACCTGAGCCTGTCGCTCGGACAACTGTACTTGGCCGGCGCGTTTGCAGGAGTCGGCAACTCGATCGCTTCGACGCCGGTCGAACACATCCGTATCCGGTTGCAGACACAGACGACCGCGCTGTACTCGGGCCCCGTTGATGCAATCAGCAAGATCTACCGAACTGACGGGTGAGTACAAATCAGAATACTGCGCGTGTACGCCGTTTGTATTGAAGCGGGGCACTTGGGATAGTATCCGAGGGATCTACAAGGGCCAGGGTATCACTTTGCTGCGCGAGTTCCACGGATACGGCGCCTACTTCCTCGGCTACGAGGCTTTCGTTGAGTACCAACTGCGGTCCAAGAACTTGACCCGCAAGGAGCTGCCGATGGCGAGCGCCGCACTCGGGGGTGTGGCTGCGGGTTACGCGATGTGGTTCACGTAGGTATTCTTTTTTGAGAACTTTAGTGCCTTGAAGGCACACGATCCTCTAATGCGTGCGACACATCCCTTCCCTGCAGGACCTACCCCATCGATGTCATCAAGTCGCGCATCCAGACAGATGGCTTTGCCTCTCAAGCCGGGACAGCTGCGAAGAAGTACAACGGGTCATGGGATTGCGCGAAGCAGCTTTACAGGGAAGCGGGGCTCAAGGCATTCACCAAGGGCTTGACACCGACATTGATTCGGTAAGTCCGCTCCAACAATTCTGCCTTTTATTTCCGAAGGGTCGAGCTAAACTCACCCGAATGTCTCTGGCAGTTCCCCCGTCGTCAATGGTCAGCCCCTGTTTCTCTGGTCGGATCATCGCTCGCGAGAGCACACACATCTGACGCCGGCCGACCCTTGCACTTTTTTACAGGCGTCACTTTTTTGGTGTTCGAGCAAGTCATGCAGGTTATTGGATAGAGGAGGTGCTGGGCGGTGTGGCGAGGTGGGGCTCGCCGAGCCATGATATCGTCTGATTTATGAGGGGTCAGGGAAGAGGATGCTCGTAGGGGTACTTCCTCCGTCCCCTACCAGGGGCACAAGGACATCCGACCAAACCGTGCCCCTGTTGACCAATTCCAAACGACGGACCGAGCTCATCACCCCGAAGAAGCGAATTGCAGCTGGCCGTCCGGAGTCCCGTCTTCCACCCGTCCACGCTCGGCCGAGCCTTACCGTTGCGGGTCGCGGTCGCGACTCTCCTCGGGCCGTTGCGACTCGTCTAGAATCATGGCCTCGAATCACGCCGTGGGAGGTACACAGGTGGTTTATGATGATGCACCTAATCTGTGCCTCGATTCGCCGTCAATGCGAGTGCCTGGGTCATCCTCGGCAAGCGATGGCGGCCACACGGTGACGGAAGTGGCGGCGGCCGGTACCGTACCGGTCGACGACGACAACGACCCTAGGGTCGATCAAATCGCAACATCCATAACTCTCGCACCAAACCCAATCGATGACTATACAATATGGAGCAAAAACATCGTTCGGTTGATCTGCATCACCGTCGCCTTTGCCGGTCTCTTCTCTCCGCTCTCGTCCAACAGCTACTTCCCCGCGCTGTCAACGATCGCCGCGTCGCTTCAGGTGTCCATCAGCAAGGTCAATCTGACCGTGACGATGTTCATGATCTTTCAAGGTCTTAGCCCTACACTGTGGGCCGCAGTAGGGGACGTTATGGGAAGGAGACCTGTGTACATCGCAACCACAACCCTGTGAGTCGCGTGTGAGAAGTAATGGAGCAAATCTTCGGCGTCTTCTCCCGACTCAAGGCGCGGGGTAGCTAGCTCACCTCGCTCCACACATCTCCCCGTTCGGTCTTGCGCAGCTATCTCTGTTCCAATATCGGTCTCAGCTTTACCTATCACTACTGGCTGCTGCTCCTCTTGCGTTGCGTGCAGTCGACGGGGTCCGCGTCGGTGGTCGCCCTCGGCTCCGGCACGATCGGGGATTTGATTCCTCCTGCCCGGCGGGGTGGGTGGATGTCGATCTACAACGTCTTCACCATGATCGGACCTGCGATTGGTCCCGTCATCGGCGGCCTGCTCGCCAACTCGTTCGACTGGCTCGCCATTTTTTACTTTCTTGCCGTGTTCAGCGCCATCGTCCTCGTCTTGCTCATCGTCGTGCTCCCCGAGACGTTGCGCTCGCTCGTGGGCAACGGCTCGATACCGGCGCGTGGCATCAACAGGTCATGGCTTTCAATGATGCATGAGCGAAAAATGCAAGCCAGTACGAATGACTCCTCCTCGACCCTTGATCACAATGCGGCGCGGACGCAAGCCAAACCCAAAACCTGGCGTGACATTGACCTTCTCGCGTCGGTTAAAATCATCGCCAACATCGACGTCTTGTGCCTGCTTACCTTCAACTCGATCGTGTACGGGGTTTTTTACATGGTCATCACCAGTACTTCGACCATATTTGAGCTCAACTATGGGCTCTCGGAAGCACAAATTGGGGTGAGTCAGGTCATCATCGTCTACGATCACGGCCGAGCTCGGCGTTTTCAGGTGCAAACGTTGAGTCCCAGCTTCTTTCCGTCGTGCTCAGTTGTGCTATCTGGCGAACGGATGTAAGTCACATTTCAACCTTTATCACGGGTCTGAACGGTTTAACCGAGTCAAACTCTCACAGGCGGGATGATTGCCGGAGCGGTGATCAACGGTCCGGCTTTGAATCGAGCATACGCCGCGACAAAGCGTACCCACGACGAGCGGCTACGGGCCAGTGGCATCAAGGTGCCCGACGTCATCGAGCGAAGCGATCTTGGCGACTTCCCCATCGAACGTGCGCGTTTAAAATCGCTTCCCGGATCGGTCGCGATTTTCGTCGTCTGCTCGATCTCTTACGGCTGGTCCCTCCAGCGGATCTGGCCCCTCGCCGTGCCCCTAGTCCTACAATTCTTCATCGGGACGGCCGCAATGATCCAATTCAACGCCATCACGACGCTCCTCGTCGACCTGTACCCTTTGGCCTCGGCTTCGACCACGGCAGCGAATAATCTGATCCGGTGCCTCGTCGGCGCCGCCGCCACGGCGATCGTTGACCCTTTGATTCAAGCGATCGGTTCGGGCTGGGCCTTCACCGCGGCGGGATTGCTGATCGTTTCAGTGACTCCTCTTTTGTGGATCGAATGGGAATACGGTCAGCGTTTCCGCTCGAGACGACGCGTACGATTGAATGACAAGATTATGGCTCGCGAAGAGCAGAAGAGGAAGGAGGAGGAGGAAGGAAAAGCGGAACCGTGAGCGCTCGCTTCGCGCAATGCATGTAAAGAAAGTCTAGCCTGTCGCATACTCGCATACTGCACCTGGTGGAACTGTATCCTTGGACGGCCGCGACACATGTCCGCACATGTGCGGACACTTGATTATAGGTCAATACATGACGATATCGTATCTTTTCAATGTCGTAGTACAAATATATAAGTATTCCTAGGTTGAACCTGCAAGAAGAACATGATACGATATGTGCTGCAAGACTTATGATGATTTCAAATTCTCATGTGCGGACCGCAGCCTCATGTGCGGACATGTCTCGGTCAAGTGTCCGCACATGGCGGTCTGCGGTCCGCACTTGGCCCAGCAAAGTGCGGACCCATCTGGCCAAGTGCGGACCCATCCGGCCGCACTCCGAGTCCGCCTGAGAATCTCAAGCAGTTGAGGCAAAGAAGAGACATACTTGCTACTCTGTTGACTTCATGTTGTATAGGGACCTTGCTAACTAGACTTTTAGAGTTGAAGTGGATCATGAAAATGTCTCTAAAGTTGTATCATTGGCAGGAGCGCCCACTACTACAAAGCTGGCCCAGAAGATCACAACGCTGCAAATTTTGAGACAGACCTATCACGCTTAGTGGTTTTTAGCATTGCTACATCAAAGGTTCTCTAACTCACCGATTTGAAGCCCTCGAACAAGACGGAAGCGTCTTGCATCTTCCAAACCCCTTTTCCCTCATCAAAGGACCCGTCCAGAGGCATTGTCGACACTTTAGAGGGAAGGTCGGCGAGAGCCTCGGAGTCGTAGTATAGGCCCCACAGCTCGTGCCATTGCTGGTCCAGCAGCGCATTGAACGAAGGTAGCAAGTCATATGATTCATGTTCTAGCTCGTAGAACAACATAGTCACCAATCCGTTGGTGGTCCTGTTGCCGGTTGGATAAGCGAGATGACCGCGCATTGCGTCGAAGTGGTAGCGAGCCGCCTCTTCCCCGTAACCGACGATTGCATCCGTAGCGAAATGCTCACCGCTGAGAATGTGGCGCACCTCTGAACGAAGAGACCAGACGAGCTCCGTCTGGCCCGAGACAGCTAAGCGAAGCTCACGCGGGGGTTGCTCGTGGCGAGGATACTGGTTGTTGATGTTGAATACAAGCACACGAGGAAGCGAGGTGATCAAAACGATCTGCGTGTAAGAGCGTCCGATGCAATCGCTCTTGTGATAACGACGCCCAGTATTTTGTTTCTCTACGTCCGCCATTGCTGATTGCCCAACAAGTGAGCCAAATACCTCCGACAGAGTTGGCTCGCTAAGGTTTAGGCTCGATAGTAGGACGGGCCAGTCGACGATGAAGTGTCGTCTTGGCAAGATCTCAATTTGTACGCACTGACAAGCCGAGCAATAACCGGCTCGCTGAAAGTGGGTTTCGATCTGAACTCGGGCCGACGAAGTTGGCAAGTGATCCCGCGGTATTGGTATTGGTATGTGGTCGACCGTAAAGGTGTAAAGCGACACGAGCCAGCTCTGCGGACAACAAGAGCGATCAGTCCAATGCGGATTTATTCCACGCAAAAGAATCTTGATCGACTGACCGATGGGTTGCTGTATTCCCCTCGCTTGAGCGGAGTTGTATAATCACTCTTACGTTCATTTGATAAGACGATCACCAAGCTGATAATCCGCTCGCGCAGCTCGAAGTACGCATCGGATGCATCCTTTACGGGTTTCGAATCATAGTCGTAGGCTTAGCTGCGTGTATTCGCGAATGAGGCTCCAGATCTCGAGGGCCAGTGTCCGACCTTGAAGTGCGAATGTCTCCTCCATTTCCAGCTTGGCACACATGGAGGGGTTGGTGGTAAAGAGGCAGTCCATGTGCATTAGCCACTCTTTCAGCCCGGTGGCGACCGAGAGCAAGCCAACCAAGGCCGAATCAAGCCAGCAGGAATGGTTGTGCCATGGACCTTGGACAATGCCAGTCCGTTTGCTGCACTGCTGCTCGGATCGAAGCCAAAAGTCTTCGTGGAGTGTGGCAATCGTGCTGCTTTGGAGTTCGAGGGGCGTCGAGCTCGACACTGCCTTCGGCGGAGATAATCCCAAGCTTGCTTGAGATGTGGATAAGGACTTGGAGTCGGCAGCTTTGGGTGGCGCGAATGCCGAATTTGGCACAGGCTGGACATATGCCACCGCTAATTCTGACTCTGGCTTCCCTAATAAGGCGGCGATCATCCGTTTCCGAGGTACACGGTAGTTCTTGCCAGACGATTGGGGCTTTTCCAATAGCGCAAGAACTGGGAGGCAAGAGAGATACCGCTTTGAGTCGGGTAGGTTTTACCTGGCAGATCCGCGCTTGAGCAGTCAAATACGTACATCTCGACCTCTCTTCCGTCCACTCGTTGAGCGCCCTCACTGAAAGAGGAGTCGGTCGTATTGATCGCGCCGCGCCGCTCGATGGGCGGCCCGAAGATTTGGCACTTCCTTCGGTTTTGTGGAGCGGTCAGCCGGGCGCCCCGTCGTGCTGCACGATTCGACATGACCGGATAAGCTCCGCTGCCTTGATTGCGTCAATTGAAGAGCAAATAAATCGTCGTCCGAATCGTCTAATCAAAGCAGGAGTCGTCTGAAGATTTGCATTGGAAGGAGTTCGTCAGCGATCTGCAGGCAAGTCATAGGTGAATCACTCTATGATTGTCCTGCATACCTTGCAGAGCAATCCCGAGCTCGTCAGCAACCTCGTTGAGCACATGCTGAAGATAAACAAAACGACATGCTTTTGCTGTGAAGTTGATGGGGACAGAGGGCGTCATTCGCACCGCCGCGCCCGCCACTAAGTGGCCGGAGGGAGATCGTGCATCGACGGTCGAAACTGAGCAAGTGGAGCACGCCACACCGTGATATCAGCGATGTTCAGAGTAATGTACAGATGTTGGGTCGGGAATTTGAAGACGTACCATCAATTCTCAGAGCAATCGATTCAGGAAAATCACGAGTGGTACTGAGGGATGCCAAAGTCCGAGACGCGCCTTCTTGCGGAAGAGCCGCCGATTGAGTGTTCAGGAGCGAGAGGTTCGGTGTTAAAGGCAATAACGACATCATCCTCTGCGGCAGCGGTGCACCCAGATCGGTGTTGGAAGTGATACCTTTGAGATCGAGCGTGTTCATTATTGAAGACAAAACAGGAGATGTAGAGGTGCAAAACGGGAACGCGTTGGACTGGAAATAGTAACCGCATCGTCTTAATGATCGTGGCCACCGTCTTGGCCGACTTCGCTCTTGTTCACACTACGGCTTAGATCAAAGTTGATACTGTGTGGCAGGTGGTGTTGTCCCTGCATTGCGAAGGTAGAGGATGAAGGTGGGGCCGGCACCGCGCCCGTCGACATGGCCGCGAGATGGTCGCCAGCCTCAGCAGCAGATGTGTTGTCATGATCCGCAGCTAGCCGACCCGCGAGCGGCTCGTCAAGTTCGATGGAGGCTTCTGATATGGGTGTCAAAGTCGGGTGATGCTCGAAGCTCGGTTGCGTGCGTGCTGGCTTGGCGTACGGTGTCTTCGGCGTGTTGCGAGTTGCTGAACGTGTCTGGGGCCGGCCGTCAACCGCAATTCGGCGACTTCGCAACTCCATTGACCTGAAAAATTGATCCGACTTGGCCGCGCTGAAGCTTCCGAAGTCCGACTCCTCGTGGAAGATAGCGAGACGACTGCCACGCCAAACAACTGCTACAGTAAGTCGGGTCTGAAACGTGCGGCGGCGCGGTCCTGACTGATACGCGTCGAACAATTAAGTGGTCACGACGCGACTTGACGCGTTCATTTACCGAGAGGCGGAGCTCCTCCAACCGTGCCGATCGGCTACCGGCGCCTGCTATCTTGAGCATATAGCCTTGAGAAGAGTGATGTGCTGTGTCGTGTTTGATAGCACGTGACTTTCTAGCCGCAGGAGCGTCCACAATCCATCCTCGATGTTGATACCATCTTCAGGGAGTAACAGGCTAATCGATCAAAATTTGCATAAGTGCGACTTGGCGGCTGATTGTGACCGGATGGGTCCGCACTTTGCTGGGCCATGTGCGGACCGCAGACCGCCATGTGCGGACATTTTTGACCGATCGATCACATGTCCGCACATGAGAATTTCAAATTATCATAAGTCTTGCAGCACATATCGTATCATGTTCTTCTTGCAGGTTCAACCTAGGAACACTTATCTATGTGTCCTACGACATTGAAACGATACCATTTCGTCATCTACATCTACATAAAAGAATGCACGACTTAAATAAGGTTCTCAGCCGCGCGCGCACGCGCGCCGATCTTCCCCCCCCCCACGGTCCGGGAGGTGCGGGCGGAGCTCGCAACGACCTCCATTTACGCAGGGAGGTGGGCGCGGAGCGCCCCCCGAGCCCTAGTTGACCTATAATCAAGTGTCCGCACATGTGCGGACATTTGTACAACCTCGCTAGCTCTTCCTCGGATGTGATCGAAACCAAAAGATCCGCAGATCTCCGGAAGAGAGAGCGAGAGAGCGAGCCCAGGCACCCGAAATCGCACATGCGAGCGGCGGACGACTGGCGAATGCCGCACACGGCAGAAGCGCGCAGAACAGGCAGAACAGTCCTCTATCGCATCTAGCCTGTTTTGCGATTAGCATCCATTCAATCCTCGATCTACCTGAACCCAAGGGTTCTCCCATCCCATCAGTATTTCGGTTCACCACCCTCCCATGTTTTGTTATATCTATGTTGCAGCAGTACCTGATCTCGTAGCTACCTGCACACCTGCTTTCACGATCATGCAATCCGTTAACCATCGAACGCAGAAAAGTGTTTCAGCCCGACCGCCCAACCCGGGCGCCCACCGGCCCACACGCCGTGTAGGTCTAGAATACTCCCCGGACCCCGCAGTTTTTTTGAGTAGGTAGGTTGAGATCGCTTGGAATGTGACCATCCTTGACTACCGGCCAAGTTGGAACCGGTAGGAACCTTAGGATAGGCAGAGGTGACCATCACATTTCGGGTTGGCCACACTGAAATTCGGGCGTCAAACGGAGTGTGGAGGCCAAGCAGAAAGGCTTTGCCATGAACCTTCGGATCGAGCAGCACCCCTAGATCCTTGTCCGAAGAAACCACCGCCGCACTCAACGCTGCTGCGCAGTGCAGCAGGGAGACAGTTACCTACATAATGCGACCCTTGGACAGCTCTCAGAAGATCAGACGAGGCTCTACTAACCACCTTCGCCGCCCAAGTCTAACCGCAAGCAAGCATTCACGAAAAAATGCGCCGCGCCTAATATGTAAACGTACCATGAAGCCTTTTCTGAAAACCCGTTATTAGGAACGTAGCAACCGTTCCCGATCAACTGCCTGTATGGGTTTGTACCCATCCAGGTACGAATGATGGGTAGAGGACTTCATGCTTGGCGCGACGGCGGGGGTACTATAACTTGGAACTTGACAGCGTCAACTACTCACTGCCAGCGGCGAGCACGCGGATCCTAAATAAAGGCGGCTGGATTTGTCGCGCCTTCCGCTTTCGGTCTGGTCGAAGCCGCGCGGAGCCGCTTATCGTTACGGTTGTGCGCGGTTGTGGCAATTATTCGCATCTTCATTCGCATCTTCTCCCATCTTCGGCATCACTCCCTCTCACTCTACCGGGGGTTCGGAAAGCAGGGTTCTTCTGGATCACCTGTCTTCCCGCCCAAGGGTTTAGGGAACCCCTCTGCGTTCCGGACGCGGACGATCACTGTCGTTCCATGGAGGCCCTGTTGTAGAACTTTGCGTGTGAGTCCGACTGCGGGCCCGAAATAGTTGGCTCGCGATCGGAAGTTTCGCCTGCCAGCACTTCCGCTTCGGTGGCCGATTTCGCACGCCCACAAATGCCCCCTTTGAAGCTCAGGAACTGTATCACGCCACGATCCTCCGCTGGATCGTGGAATAGCGCCAAAACCTGAAAGCCAATTGTACCACACGCCCATGGCGCGTCAGTGGTAATCCTCCCTACCGATCCGGGGATGGATTCGTTCAGCGCGCTCGCGTCTTCTCGCTCCAGCAGGGGTAAGATCTCGGCGAGGGCCCAGCGTTGGCCGCCAAGCTCTGGATGTGATCCATTATCCCCTTCGATCGTGGGCGTCCCTTCTCTTTCTTTTCCCATACTCTGCTCAAAGCACCTTCCCGCTCATTCCAGCACTTCGCCCCCTCGACCAGTTCGAATCGAGTTTTCTTCGACTCGACCCGACTGACAGCTCTTAGCCTCGCTCTTCGCCCATCAACCCCCTCTGTCTCTCCCTCAACGACCGCGACATGCTGCTCTTGAACCTCTTATCCGCAGTTGTCCTCGCGGCGCCGACCTTTGCCGCTGCCCTTCCCAGTACGTTCCTCGGCCGTGTGTCGGCTTATTGTAGTCTTTCATAGGTATCATGAGGGGTGGCTGCAGTAACTAACTGACTTCTGCCCTGCTCTAACTGCGCACGCCGCCTCTGCAGACGCGTTCTCGTCCGGCGCACAGCCCTACACCCTCGATAAGCGCGAGCTCCAACGCCAGGCCGCCGTCCGTATTGCCTTGGCCAAGTCCAGGGCCAAGCGATCCGCTCGCAGGAACGCAGGTGGCCTTTCCGAGCTTGCGGAGGATGATCTCGCCAGGCGCAACATCGAGGAGGCATACTCTGCTCTCGGCGTCCATCGCCGCAGCTTCGAGACTTCCGCGTCAACCCTGTCCAAGCGCCGTCTCCCGAGGATGAGGTGCTTCCCCAACCGAGGTTCGTTGTCTTCCCTTCTTCTTTTGCACTTTGGTCGGCTCGCCAAGTGCCTGCACTGACCTGCAGAGTGCTCGGCGTACGTTGTCATTCACAGTCGGCGGTCAGGCCAACGCCGATGAGTTCTGCCGCGCATTCTACGTTGGCAAAGTGGCCTACCCGTCCATCGCTACGGCCTCGTGCGACCAGGTCTGCACCATTTCCTGTCCTTCCGGCTACACGCAACAGAGCAACGACCGTAACGTGTTTTGCATCAGGAACGTCGACCAATGCAACAACGTCACGTGCCCCCAAGACCCGAACGGTCTCAGCGGTTGCTCCAACGGCGCCTGCACCCTCACTTGCCTCACTCGTGGCTACACCAAGAGCCGATCGGGAACTTCGTGCCTCAGCTTTGGCTCTGATCCCAACAACTGCGGACGCGTGAGTAGAACTTTCCCTCCTCGGCCGTGCTCCGCGGAGTTCAGCTCAGCGCGACAGGCCGTTCAAACCATTCCTGACCCATACGGTGCATCCTTTGTATTTACTTTCATCTTGCAGGAAGGGGTTGTGTGCCCTCGCTCTTACAACGGCTTCTTCCCCCCGGGTTGCAGCAACGGACAGTGCAGTCTCAGTACGTTGCCTTCGCGGCCGGAATATCTTGCTCCGATTGGGCAAGATGGCTGACCACGACGAATCTTTTCCCCCTGTACTCTCCGCAGCGTGCCCACGAGGCTCCTCGCCTGGAACGGTCAACAACCAACCCACTTGCGTTTGAAAGGCCGAAAAGGCGCTATAGATTCTTTTCCCCTCGACTTGTAGCCTACACATACACGAGCACTGATGCTCCCCCATCATGGACATTTCCCACCCTTGTTTACTCCGCTGTACATATACTCGCGAGGCTTCCCGTCTCGATCCGTTCCGCTTCGTCACTTCAAGTTGGGCTTGCCCTCAGACCTCCGACCTCCGACCTCTATAATCTGCCACCTACTTGTATCATTATTCTTTGATCCTCAAGATTTAGACGTACTCGGCTTCGTATTTCACCACGCTGCAGTTGGTTAGCTTCGTAGTCACTACATTGCTTTTGCAAATCATACTCGAAGCTCCTGCACAAATCCGCTCTCTGTCTCACCGACTCGGAAATTCCTGCAGCGAAGAAGCAACGTCTTGGAAAGCCAACTTCGCTAGGCAAGCTTTTGCGCTTGTCTCTTCACAACTCTCGGTGGTCTTGGTTGGCAGCGGAATCTGCTAGCTGCCGGCTCACTTTGACCCAGCGCCCGGGTGGCACGGTCCGAGACGGTCCGTGCGAGGCAGTCACACGCCGTTGGCAAGTTGAATCGCGTGGCCTTTCTCTCACCCGGCGCAGCCTACGCGGGCATCAATGACGGTGGATACTTCGAAGGACGACATACAATTCGTCCTCGACGAGGTACGTAGCTCGGAGCCTCCTTCCTCGGGCTGAGCTCTGCCGTTGTTCCCCGCCCACTGCCATTAGTCCTCGACTGCATGGTGAGTTGATTGTGGCCGCTGACGAGCTTGCCTCGTTCCTGGCGCAGGAGAACGCTTCCGTCGATTCATTACCGACGGAACAACTGCTGCACGGCTCGGACGACGCCGATCACGAGCTTGGTTCGACCGAGGCATCGCACTACGATGAGAAGCTGCCCGAGCCGGTGACGTCGCGCGGGGCGAGTGGCAGGTCGCGGATCATCGTTCCGACACGTGCAGACATTGCGGCCCGGGTCTTGAACCCACGTCCTGGCCAGGGAGCATCGAGGTGGCTTATCGTCGTTGCGGGACTACTCTCGTTGCTCTTGATCGCGTGGACCACGACCGCGCTCCTCACGCTCGGCACTCGTTTCGGGCACTCGGGCCCCAAGATGAACGTCATCCTCATGATCTCCGACGGTATGGGTCCAGCGTCGGCGTCGATGGCTCGCACATACCTGCAACATCTATCGAATGCTATCGTCACGTCGTCATCGTCCAGTGCTGCGCCGTCGAACGCGCTCAACACCTCGATCTGGGCCGCCCTCGCCGCCGGGTTCAAAACCCCACGATACGGCATGACGCCGCTCGACGAGATCCTCGTTGGTTCCTCTCGCACGCGGTCATCCTCATCGCTCGTCACGGACTCGGCCGCTGGAGCGACCGCTTTTGCGTGCGCGATCAAGACGTACAACGGAGCGATTGGCGTCGAGCCGAGCCAACAGGAGCCGTGTGGCACCGTCCTCGAAGCAGCCAAGCGCCAGGGCTTCGCCACGGGCCTCGTCACGACCTCTCGCATCACCCACGCGACCCCGGCTTCGTTTTACGCCCACGTCGTCGACCGGGATCTCGAGAGCGAGATCGCGTCCTTCTTGGTCGGCAAAGGCCCCCAGGGACAGGTCGTTGACATCGCGCTTGGAGGAGGGATGTGCTTCATGAGGCCCAACTCGACCGGTGCAGCGTCCTGTCGGACCGATGACCAGGACATGCTGGCAGTGGCGCAGCAGAATGGCTATACGGTCTTGGACGGGATCAAGGCGTTGCGGAATTGGCATGACGAGAGCAACCACGATGGCAGCCCCGTGCTCGGCCTCTTTTCGCACGATGTGAGTAGCCATGTTTGGCCGGGGCGGCGACAGACAACAGCTGATCAGGTGCGGGATTTTGTTTGCAGCATATGGAGTACGAGATCGATCGGCAGCAGATCGACGTACTCGCAGACGAACAGCCGAGCCTTAAAGAAATGTAAGCGCGCCGCGAGTCCGCATCCCGGTGACCTCGCGCTAACACTACTTAACGAGGCCTCTTTCGCCGCAGGACGACGCATGCTTTGCGTTATCTCGCGAACCAGGACACCAAAGGGTTCTTCCTGATGATCGAGGGTGCGCGCATCGACATGGCCGCCCACAACAATGATCCGGTCGGCCACGTCTCGGACATGCTCGCTTACCTCGAGACGGTCCAATTCGTGAAGGAGTGGGTCAAGCAAGCCAACGACGATACTCCGACCTTGCTGATCTCGATCTCGGACCACGAGACGGGTGGGCTGGCTTTGGCGCGGCAGTTGGGCACGGCTTACCCCGAGGTACGAGCAGTGCTACGTGGCTCGAGACCGCACCCAACCCCGAGTCTCCATTGCTAACGGGACTCGTTTGGCCCCTCGCACAGTACGCTTGGTACCCCGATGCTCTCACGAACGCGACCCACTCGTCGTCCTACCTGGGATCCCTCCTGGCCAAGACGGCGTCTCCGACCCGACAGTTCGTGCGCGAATTGTTGGAGCAAGTCGGCGTCTCGGATGCGACCGAAGACGAAGTTGCGGCCGTGTACGCCGTTCGAACCGATGCGTATCGGGCGAATCGACTCCTGGCCGATGCGATCAGTCGCAGGGCCCAGGTCGGCTGGAGTACGGCGGGCCATTCGGGCGTCGACGTGAATCTGTACGCGTACGGTCACAACGCCAGTGGAATCGCCGGTAACCACGAGAACACCCACATTGGGGACCATATCGCCCATGTGATGGGCTTGAACCTCGAAGTTGTGACGCTCGAGCTCCGGAGGTGAGTGGACCCGATCGGGTGTGGGCCATGCTTGCGCCATAATCTACAGCTGACTCGCTCCTTCTCCGACCCATCTCAAAAGGAACGCCGACCGCTGGCACTCGACCTCGCTCGGCCAGTCTCCAACTCGCCGGACCGAAGTTGGTCACTACCACGGCGATTTCTGAAAGAGTAGTCGTCGTCCTTGTCTCGCTGTATTTATAGTAATCCCGGACCTAGGTGCAAACAGTCTTCCCACTCCCGTTTACTTATTGTTGTAGCCCCCCTCTCCCTCTCACTAGTCGCTCGCATTTTGTCTTGACTTCATTTTGATCATTTTGAATTCAATCGTTCGTTCCCTCCCACCAAGTGTCCAAGGATAGAGGTTGTACAAATGTCCGCACATGTGCGGACACTTGATTATAGGTCAACTAGGGCTCGGGGGGCGCTCCGCGCCCACCTCCCTGCGTAAATGGAGGTCGTTGCGAGCTCCGCCCGCACCTCCCGGACCGTGGGGGGGGGGGGGAAGATCGGCGCGCGTGCGCGCGCGGCTGAGAACCTTATTTAAGTCGTGCATTCTTTTATGTAGATGTAGATGACGAAATGGTATCGTTTCAATGTCGTAGGACACATAGATAAGTGTTCCTAGGTTGAACCTGCAAGAAGAACATGATACGATATGTGCTGCAAGACTTATGATAATTTGAAATTCTCATGTGCGGACATGTGATCGATCGGTCAAAAATGTCCGCACATGGCGGTCTGCGGTCCGCACATGGCCCAGCAAAGTGCGGACCCATCCGGTCACAATCAGCCGCCAAGTCGCACTTATGCAAATTTTGATCGATTAGCCTGTTACTCCCTGAAGATGGTATCAACATCGAGGATGGATTGTGGACGCTCCTGCGGCTAGAAAGTCACGTGCTATCAAACACGACACAGCACATCACTCTTCTCAAGGCTATATGCTCAAGATAGCAGGCGCCGGTAGCCGATCGGCACGGTTGGAGGAGCTCCGCCTCTCGGTAAATGAACGCGTCAAGTCGCGTCGTGACCACTTAATTGTTCGACGCGTATCAGTCAGGACCGCGCCGCCGCACGTTTCAGACCCGACTTACTGTAGCAGTTGTTTGGCGTGGCAGTCGTCTCGCTATCTTCCACGAGGAGTCGGACTTCGGAAGCTTCAGCGCGGCCAAGTCGGATCAATTTTTCAGGTCAATGGAGTTGCGAAGTCGCCGAATTGCGGTTGACGGCCGGCCCCAGACACGTTCAGCAACTCGCAACACGCCGAAGACACCGTACGCCAAGCCAGCACGCACGCAACCGAGCTTCGAGCATCACCCGACTTTGACACCCATATCAGAAGCCTCCATCGAACTTGACGAGCCGCTCGCGGGTCGGCTAGCTGCGGATCATGACAACACATCTGCTGCTGAGGCTGGCGACCATCTCGCGGCCATGTCGACGGGCGCGGTGCCGGCCCCACCTTCATCCTCTACCTTCGCAATGCAGGGACAACACCACCTGCCACACAGTATCAACTTTGATCTAAGCCGTAGTGTGAACAAGAGCGAAGTCGGCCAAGACGGTGGCCACGATCATTAAGACGATGCGGTTACTATTTCCAGTCCAACGCGTTCCCGTTTTGCACCTCTACATCTCCTGTTTTGTCTTCAATAATGAACACGCTCGATCTCAAAGGTATCACTTCCAACACCGATCTGGGTGCACCGCTGCCGCAGAGGATGATGTCGTTATTGCCTTTAACACCGAACCTCTCGCTCCTGAACACTCAATCGGCGGCTCTTCCGCAAGAAGGCGCGTCTCGGACTTTGGCATCCCTCAGTACCACTCGTGATTTTCCTGAATCGATTGCTCTGAGAATTGATGGTACGTCTTCAAATTCCCGACCCAACATCTGTACATTACTCTGAACATCGCTGATATCACGGTGTGGCGTGCTCCACTTGCTCAGTTTCGACCGTCGATGCACGATCTCCCTCCGGCCACTTAGTGGCGGGCGCGGCGGTGCGAATGACGCCCTCTGTCCCCATCAACTTCACAGCAAAAGCATGTCGTTTTGTTTATCTTCAGCATGTGCTCAACGAGGTTGCTGACGAGCTCGGGATTGCTCTGCAAGGTATGCAGGACAATCATAGAGTGATTCACCTATGACTTGCCTGCAGATCGCTGACGAACTCCTTCCAATGCAAATCTTCAGACGACTCCTGCTTTGATTAGACGATTCGGACGACGATTTATTTGCTCTTCAATTGACGCAATCAAGGCAGCGGAGCTTATCCGGTCATGTCGAATCGTGCAGCACGACGGGGCGCCCGGCTGACCGCTCCACAAAACCGAAGGAAGTGCCAAATCTTCGGGCCGCCCATCGAGCGGCGCGGCGCGATCAATACGACCGACTCCTCTTTCAGTGAGGGCGCTCAACGAGTGGACGGAAGAGAGGTCGAGATGTACGTATTTGACTGCTCAAGCGCGGATCTGCCAGGTAAAACCTACCCGACTCAAAGCGGTATCTCTCTTGCCTCCCAGTTCTTGCGCTATTGGAAAAGCCCCAATCGTCTGGCAAGAACTACCGTGTACCTCGGAAACGGATGATCGCCGCCTTATTAGGGAAGCCAGAGTCAGAATTAGCGGTGGCATATGTCCAGCCTGTGCCAAATTCGGCATTCGCGCCACCCAAAGCTGCCGACTCCAAGTCCTTGTCCACATCTCAAGCAAGCTTGGGATTATCTCCGCCGAAGGCAGTGTCGAGCTCGACGCCCCTCGAACTCCAAAGCAGCACGATTGCCACACTCCACGAAGACTTTTGGCTTCGATCCGAGCAGCAGTGCAGCAAACGGACTGGCATTGTCCAAGGTCCATGGCACAACCATTCCTGCTGGCTTGATTCGGCCTTGGTTGGCTTGCTCTCGGTCGCCACCGGGCTGAAAGAGTGGCTAATGCACATGGACTGCCTCTTTACCACCAACCCCTCCATGTGTGCCAAGCTGGAAATGGAGGAGACATTCGCACTTCAAGGTCGGACACTGGCCCTCGAGATCTGGAGCCTCATTCGCGAGTACACGCAGCTAGCCTACGACTATGATTCGAAACCCGTAAAGGATGCATCCGATGCGTACTTCGAGCTGCGCGAGCGGATTATCAGCTTGGTGATCGTCTTATCAAAGGAACGTAAGAGTGATTATACAACTCCGCTCAAGCGAGGGGAATACAGCAACCCATCGGTCAGTCGATCAAGATTCTTTTGCGTGGAATAAATCCGCATTGGACTGATCGCTCTTGTTGTCCGCAGAGCTGGCTCGTGTCGCTTTACACCTTTACGGTCGGCTACATACCGATGCCAATACCGCGGGATCACTTGCCAACCTCGTCGACCCGAGTTCAGATCGAAACCCACTTTCAGCGAGCCGGTTATTGCTCGGCTTGTCAGTGCGTACAAATTGAGATCTTGCCGAGACGACATTTCATCGTCGACTGGCGCGTCCTACTATCGAGTCTAAACCTTAGCGAGACAACTCTGTCGGAGGTGTTTGGCTCACTTGTTGGGCAACCAGCAATGGCGGACGTAGAGAAACAAAATACTGGGCGTCGTTATCACAAGAGCGATTGCATCGGACGCTCTTACACGCAGATCGTTTTGATCACCTCGCTTCCTCGTGTGCTTGTATTCAACATCAACAACCAGTATCCTCGCCACGAGCAACCCCCGCGTGAGCTTCGCTTAGCTGTCTCGGGCCAGACGGAGCTCGTCTGGTCTCTTCGTTCAGAGGTGCGCCACATTCTCAGCGGTGAGCATTTCGCTACGGATGCAATCGTCGGTTACGGGGAAGAGGCGGCTCGCTACCACTTCGACGCAATGCGCGGTCATCTCGCTTATCCAACCGGCAACAGGACCACCAACGGATTGGTGACTATGTTGTTCTACGAGCTAGAACATGAATCATATGACTTGCTACCTTCGTTCGATGCGCTGCTGGACCAGCAATGGCACGAGCTGTGGGGCCTATACTACGACTCCGAGGCTCTCACCGACCTTCCCTCTAAAGTGTCGACAATGCCTATGGACGGGTCCTTCGATGAGGAAAAAGGGGTCTGGAAGATGCAAGACGCTTCCGTTTTGTTCGAGGGCTTCAAATCGGTGAGTTAGAGAAACTTTGATGTACCAATGCTAAAAACCACTAAGCGTGACAGGTCTTTCTCAAAACTTTACAGCGTTGTGATCTTCTGGGCCAGCTTTGTAGTAGTGGGCGCTCCTGCCAATGATACAACTTTAGAGACATTTTCATGATCCACTTCAACTCTAAAAGTCTAGTTAGCAAGGTCCCTATACAACATGAAGTCAACAGAGTAGCAAGTATGTCTCTTCTTTGCCTCAACTGCTTGAGATTCTCAGGCGGACTCCATATCGTATCATGTTCTTCTTGCAGGTTCAACCTAGGAATACTTATATATCTGTCCTACGACATTGAAACGATACCATTTCGTCATGTATTGACCTATAATCAAGTGTCCGCACATGTGCGGACATGTGTCGCGGCCGAGAGCTAGCCAGATGGTACCTGCCAAGAGGATCCATCTCGTACGAGCGTCGACTCCGCCTATTACCTGTCGGGTCCGAAACACGTCATTATCACCTAGCTCCGACATGTCCCCCCAAGGCTTATCGAGCCTGCCGGTAATCGACATCTCGTCCTTTCTTGAGGTCGGTGTGGTTGCAGGAGACTCTCACCCCTCCGCGGCATCGGACCCGGACCGCACATCCCGGCAAAGTGCGGTAGCTGCGTCAATCCACGCCGCTTGTCGAGACTATGGCTTCTTCTACGTTACCGGCTTCGACTCGGTGATCAGTCGCGAAGAAAGACAAAGCTCGCTCGCAGTCGCACGCCAGTTCTTTGATCTGCCAGAGCCAATTAAGCAACGCGTGCGGATCGACAAGGGCGGCGACGGCGCGAGAGGGTGGCAGAAGCTGGGCGAGAACGTCACGCAGTACCAAGGTTAGTCATACAAGCCACTACCGTGTGGCTTCGGTGGTCTTTCTGGCCCATGTACTGCGCCTCGGTCGGCGTAGCGCGGGGTCCGACGGAGCAGCTGCGCGGGCTGTGACCGCGTGACCCCCACATACTATTAGCGGTGCAGCCCGGGCCCTAAACGCCGCAACCTGACTCTTGCCATTCTCCTCGTTCAACACTAGCTGATCACCACGAGGGGTACGATCTCTGTGAGTCTGGCGTCCTCCACGTTCTAGGATTCACCTTTTGACCGCAAGTTACGTTTCTGTTTCAGATCGGCCAGTCAAGAATCCTGATGCGACCAAGCTGCTGCACGGCCACAACCCGTGGCCGGTCGAGCCCGCCAACTTCCGTCCCACGCTTGAAAGGTGGATCGAAAAATGTCAGATCATCGGTATGGCCTTGATGCAAGCCACCGCACTTGGACTGGGCATGGCCCTCGATAGCGACGAGTGGAAGCACCTCCGAGCGTCCGTGGACGAGAGTTTCTGGGTGATGAGGTGAGAGCGGCGGCCGGAGACGTCGTGGGGATGTTCTAAGGACCACGGGGGACGGGTGCCCGGTCACGGGAGTGGCGGCGGTCACGGTGATGTTCCCCTCGGACGTACTCCCCTTGTCGCTCCAGAGCCGCAGAAACGATAGATCCGTCTCGTCCATCAGTGGAACTGCGACCGCGGGCGAACGAAGGGAGGATTCGAAGAGTTTGAGTCGGGTGGGGCCATGGGGCCTTGGCGCGTTGGGGCCAACGAGCTGGGGATGAGAGTGAGAATTGGAATTCCAGCTATATATAGTCTACAAAAAGAGACGACCCTTATTATATCGGGGGAGAGGACGAGAAAGCGGACTAAAGCGGACGCGTTGAAAATTATAGGCCAAATTGAAGTATGCCGGCAGATGCCCGCCTCTGCAGCTGGCAGCGCTCGGCAGCGCTCGTTCCTCTTTGCTCCTGCGCTTTTGGAAATTGGCACCTCTCGACGCAATGCAGCCGCAGGCCCGGTCCCACGCATCGACCTCCGGCTCGGGCACCTCACCGGCCCAGGCAAGGGAAGCTGGGCGAAACGGCGCCCCGGCTGTGCGTGCTCGCTCTGTAGCGAATGTGGGTGGGGGGTCGGCGGCGGGCGCGGCATCGGCATCGGCATTGACATCGTCCGTGAACGAGGGCGGTCGAGTCGTGCAACGCAAGTCGCTGAATGCAATTCTGGTCAATACGTGCCAGGTCAGTCTCGTGTACGGCTTCTCATCTGCGCGCCGTTAGGCTGATCGCTCTCTCGTGGAACGACGTCATCGCTGACCCACGTCTTTGATATTCGAACCCCCGTCCATCCCCCCACAGAAAGGCAACCCGGTCGTCACCAATATCCGCAACACCCCGTGGGAGTATGGAGATATCAAGGCCGACTACCAGGTCGGCGCAACAACGGGAGTGCTGTATCTCTCGTACGTCTGTCACCTCATCGGCGGCGTCTCGTGCCGTCGTCGATCGTGGCCTACATCACATGGCTTCTTACTAGAGGATCTCCCCGAGTTTCAGTGCGATCCATCACAGAGCTGAGAGCTGTGAGCTGATTGGGGGTATTTGCTTTGTTGACAGACTTCGATATCATCTTCTGCACCCCGAATACATACACCAACGGATAAAGGGTCTCGCTCAAAGCTACTCGCTCCGTCTCGTACTCATGCTCTGCGACGTCGACAATCACCAAGCCGCCACCAAGGAGCTCACCAAAATATGCATCGTCAATAACCTGACTGTGATCGTGGCATGGTCGTGAGCCTCTCTGCCCTCTGATTGCCTCGCGACGTGCTCCGGCCCGCGCCCGGTCGTTCGCGCAAGTCCCGAGTCTAGGTGGAGCCAAGCTGACGCCCCCAATGTGCGATGATCTGCCCATCCCATGTCGGCAGCACCCAAGAATGTTCACGCTACCTAGAGCTATACAAGCAGTTTGAGCGCAAGGCACCCGATCTGATCAAGGAGCGGGTCGATGACAGCTACATGTCTCATCTGACCTCGGCACTGACTTCGGTCAAAGGCGTGAACAAGACCGATGTGACGACGCTCGCGTCGAATTGTTTGGTAAGCTCCTAGCCGAAGAGTTCCCACACGCCTATCCTGCTATTTTTGATGCTGATGCGCGGCTTGATGGTCGTGGGCAGACTTTTCGCAACATCGTCACGGCCTCGCCCGACGCGCTCGGGGCTCTACCCGGTCTCGGCGACAAGAAGGTTCGGCGACTGCGAGACGCGTTCGAGGGATCTTTTGTCGTCACCAAGAAGAAGAGGGTAGACCTGATGGAGAAGAAGAGCATCGCCGATCGCATGGCCGAGAAGGGGCACGCTTTGAACTGAAGGAGGCAACGAGGCCGAGGACGAGGACGAGCGTTGTGGCTGGCACAACGTCTGCCAAGCTTTTCAATCACAACGATTTCCTATTTCGCTTGCATCGTCTGTAATTTACATATCCTTTCTAACTATGTTGTAACAACAACAATGCGCTCATCCTCGCACAATCGATTGAACGATCGAGGCCTGCCGCTACTCACGTGATTTGCCTCCATGTGCGCGCGAGGTGGAACGCGACGAACAGACAAGTGACTCTGTCTCCCTCTTGCCTCGCCCTGAGCGAACTCGATGGAGCCAGATCGACAAGACGCATCGACGAGTAAGCTACCCAAAAGTCTCGCACGCCCAGGTGCCGCTCGACACTGCTTGTTGTTGACCGCTCCTTTTGTTTCTATTTGTTTCTCCACCGTGCACAGGTCAAGTCCCGCTCCACGCTGGCGCTGCAGGACCGCCGCGGCGCAAAAAGTCGAAGTGGGACGACGACGATCCAGAGGAGGATGCTCGAACGTTGCAACAGGCACGCGAGAAGAAACGGCTCAAGAAGCTCGAGCTCGAGGCCAAGCTCGCTCGCGAGAAGCAGCGATCGTCCCAGCAGGACGGTGGAAAGGGTGGTCTGTCGATCGCACCTCTGAGCGTCAGGGGCGCTGCGATCGCTGCTTCTGGGAGTGGGAGTGTGGGGAATGGCAAAGGTGCGGATCCAACCAGCAGGAATGGCTCTGAGGCCAGGACGAGGGAGGCAACCCCGGCCGCAGCGGGCGGCGAACGACCTTCGCTGGCGACAGTGATCAAGACGAGGCGACCACGGGGCAGAGCAGCGCATCCACCACTGCAGAGTTGTCGATCTGTCTATTGCTACGAGGTGAGTACTCTTATGAACAATCTGCAGCCCGAGAGCGCTTCTGACGTTGCAATCACTGCGTCTCTCCTCGCATCAGCGGCTGAACGAGATCGAGGAAGGTAGCTACGGTATCGTCTTTCGCGCTCGATGCAAGACAACGGGCGACATCGTCGCGCTCAAGAAGCTCAAGATGGACAAGGAGAAAAACGGATTCCCCATCACCAGCCTGCGTGAGATCCAAACGCTCATGACCGCCGCCCACGAGTACATCGTACGCGTGAGGGAAGTGGTCGTCGGCGATACTTTGACCCAGTCAGTCTCGTTCTTGCTCATCTTTGGTGGATGACGCTCGCACTAAACTACTCGTTTTATGTGTTTAGAGTCTTTATCGTGATGGACTTTGTCGAACACGATCTCAAGACGCTTCTGGCGACCATGTCGACCCCGTTCTTGGCATCCGAGATCAAAACACTCCTGCTGCAACTCTTGTCCGCCATCGCGCTCTGCCACGACAACTGGATCATCCACCGCGACCTCAAGACGAGCAACCTCCTCATGAACAATAGAGGCCAGATCAAAGTCGCCGACTTTGGCCTTGCGAGAACATACGGCGATCCCTTGGGGGACATGACCCAGCTGGTAGTGACGCTCTGGTATCGGTAAGCTTGCATTGAGATGCGGTCGATCGGCGCATATACTGACCGAGAAGGGACCTGATGCAGTGCTCCGGAATTGCTCTTCGGCGCGACAGAATACACGACTGCGGTCGACATGTGGTCGATTGGATGCATCTTTGGCGAGCTGATTCTGAAGGAGCCGCTTTTGCCGGGCAAGGGAGAGATCGATCAAGTGGCCAAAGTAAGCCGGAATCCGCGGGATCGGGGCAATTTGTCACATTGGGTCAGTTTCTTACGCACCATCGGAGTCGCAGATCTTCAAGCTACTGGGCCGACCTACGGATGAGATGTGGCCTGGCTTCACGAAGCTGCCGAATGCCAAAAACTTCAATCTAGCCGCGGCCCAACCGTCAGTCTCGCCTGGAAGATTTCTTCTCCTGTTGTCAACTAGAAATCAACGCAATGACACCGTTCCACTTTGCAGATACTCGAATCTGAGACAGACGTTCAAGTATACGACTGCGCACGGCCTCGACCTCATGTCGCGCTTGCTCGCCTACGACCCCGAGAAACGCATCTCGGCCGAGGAGGCGCTTCGACATCCCTACTTTAGCGAGAGCCCCCTACCGAAGCATAGCGATTTGTTCGCTTCGTTCCCGAGCGTCGCAAATGGGGAAAAGTGAGTGGATTGGTGGCCTAGGAACGCAAAGGCTGGAGTGAGTAACGTGGGGTCTGACCGTTCCCCCTCCGCTCTTCAACGGTCTACAGAAAACAGATGTTCGCTTCGCCTTCTGCTCCTTTGAGGGCCGCCGAGTGAGTAGCCGCAAAACACAATTGCTTCAGCAAGTTCTGACCACTCGCTGACGGAACGTACCGGTTGCGCAGCCAATACGATTTCGTTTAGGCCCATCGTCAGGGCTGCTTGGGTTTGGGTTCGGAGGCATGATGTTGTAATCAAAGTAAGAGGGTGTCTTCTCCCGAAGATATCATGCCCGAGTCCCGCCAGGGTCGTAGGAATACAGCGAGTATCTTATTGTGTCATGCAGGCCGAACAGACTATATCCCCTCGCGGGCATAGCTTACGGGTCTCAACAGATTCTGGTTACACAAGCGCAACGTACAAAGCTATGTAAATAGGATGCTCGGCGCGGACTACTCAACTGGGAGGGGTGAACGAGAACACAGAGCCCAGAACATCGCCTAGCTTGGCCAGCTTCGAATTGCGACCGACGAACATGCTCGCCGCCGAGAAGCCGGCCCCACCACCACTGACCATCGTCAAAGATCTCCCTCGTGAAACTCTCCCTAAAGCTTTGAACACGCCTTCGACCTCTTCGTCCGAATCAATCATGACAGCTTCGTCGTGGTTAGTCCCCATCGCCGCAGCAATTTGCTCCCCTTCCGACTCGTCGAGGTACTCGCCGACCATCTGCACCGCACCCTTTTTGGACGATCCTTCGCGATTCTTCTTCTCCTTGCCTTCTCCCGATCCCTTCTTCTTCTTCTTTTTGGGGTTGGCGACGGCGACCGCAACGACCTCGGGTTCCCCTGTTGCGCTTGTCCCTGTTGCTGCCTCGACGCTGCCCTCTGCACCTGGCCCGACGCGCGCTTGTACCGATTTATCGTTTTTAAAGTTGGGCTTGTTCGCTCTTTGCCACTCGTGGAGAAGGACATCGTAGGGTTGTGATCGATGCGGCACCGAACGCTTGGCGCCCATCGAGTGGGTCTTGCACGTGAGTGAGCGCAGGCACTGCAGGCCCTTGTCGTTGATGACACCGCATTGCCTATCGACGTCCACGGGTCCGCCTGTGAGGGTGTGTACGATTGTTTGATCAGCATCTTGGGAGCTTGTTGATCAGGATGCGGACCCGTACTAACCTGCACGAGAGGCTTTGGCCTTCGCGGCGGCGGCAGCGGCGGCGGCGGTACTTGCTCCGCTGTTGTTGCTGCTTGGCCCCGCCGAAGGCGATCTTGCCTCGTTACCCTTGAGCACAAAGGACGTCTTCTTCTTCGGGTTGGGTGCTGCCGATTTCGGATCCTCGGGGGTCGTCGAGCCCGAAGGGCCGACACCACCGGCGGATCCACCACCTAGCACGATGACGAGCCCGCCTGCCTTGGGCTTCTTCGCAGATGATGACGACGAGGGGGTAGGTGCATCTGTGACCAAGGCAAAAAAGTATCCCCAGGTTAGTTTCTTGGGAGAAAGGGGAGATCTCAGGAGTCAAGTGGGGGAGAAGGACTGCTCCAAGTCACGTGTAGACTGACCTTCGGCGGCTCGTTTCATGGTTTCGCGACGTCGGATCTCGGCACAGTTGACTGCGGGGAAGATGTTGGTGTGAAGTCACAGGTCAGTCTCGGAAGGGCGGCACCGTGGAAGAGGAGGTAGTGCGTCGGGTCAACCGCCACGGACGACCTCGAATGGGTCGCGTGACACGTGACGCGTTGATGCGACCCCGTGGCTCTGCATTGGGACGACGATGGGCGAGCAGCAACGTACCCTTGTGGTGTTCGAGTGCGCCTTGAAGTATGGGCTTGGCACAGTCGGGGCAGGCGATGATGTTGTTCGCGTCGAGGAGCGGCAGCAACTGCGCGGAGAGCTGGGTCGTGTCGCCGTTCGAGCTGGGGTCAGCCCGTAGGGCTGCTCGACGGTGAAGGGGGTGTATCACGGTGTCAGCGAGTGGATTCTCGCACCCGAGGATGGTGCGTGGTCTCTCCCACTGACCTTGTCGGATCTTGGCCCACTGATCTCCCTGATCGGGGTCGGCCGCACCGGTGTCGTCAGGGGCTACGTTCTGTTGCGAATCGCGACCTGCACCCGCGGCGGCGACGCCGTTACTCTTGATCGGCTTGCTGTTGGAGTTGTTGTCGTGGAGGTGGGAGGCTGAGGCCGAGGCGCGTACTTCGCCAATGTCTCGTAGTTTGAGTTTCATGCACAGCACGAAATGCGGCCACGGGCGGCTGTCGGCGCGGGCTTGACTGGACCTACCTGCCCGACTCGTAGAGTGCGGAGGTCAACCGAGTGCAGAAGGCAAGGTCAGAAATGGCGTCAGGACGATCGAGACGACTCGGCGGCCGATCTAATGATCGATCCGCGATTTCTAAGGAGTGATTTGGGTGGGAGTAATGCGTTGCGCTAATTATCCTGCGCGCGCGCATGGATGTCTCAGGGATCTCAGGTGCCGAATGGGGCGGTCGGTGGTCAGTCCGGTGCTGGGCTTGCTTGACGTTGTGCCCGTGCCATTCGGTCCGAGCTACAGCCCTACAGAGCCGCCATCGCATCGCCGTTCCCGGGGTAGTCGGTCCGTGCGTGCCAGTCTCGGTCGTCAAGTAGCCATGTAAGTGCGCCCCCTCGATCCTGTCCCGGGAGGGCGCTGCCTCTCCGTCACTGCACTCGGATCGTGGTGGATCGGTGGTGTTCCGCCCGACGCCCGCGCTGACCGACGACCGCGTGCTGACGCCGGTATGGTATGGGTATGATGCCACATCGACCACAGGAACAAGACGGTCGCATTGGCTACCAAGCCCAAGAGGGCCGCTCCTAAAGCCAAGGTCAGCTACACCTCCACCTGCACTCGCCGCCCGGCCATCTATCCTTTCTGGCCCATGCGCCCGTGGACCGTGTGGAACGGAGCGCATCTCGTCGATCACAGGCTGAGCAAGTCCATCTTGCGAAGTACGATGGCCTTCCCGTGCCGGTCTACTTGGCCCGGAATGAGTCCTCGCCCTATTCTGGAACCGTACCAGCCGTAGGACCCATCTCAGGACGTTTGGCTCGACCGGGACCGGGACCGGGATCAACCCCGCCCCCTCGCCCCGGCGCTGGGCCTTGGCCTTGGGACTCGGCGTCATGTTTCCCCTTCACCTGCTCGCTGTGGACCTTAGCGCTTGAGCTGCTGACCCATCTGGAGCGCCGCTTTCTTCTCTCTCTCATCTCCAACAGTACATCGACCCGATCGTCCAGTCGACTTTCAACCAGGATGGCTCGATCCAAGAGATTGTCCGGGCACTCTCGACTCGACTCCGCGACTCCAACACGACCGTAAGTATACGCTCCAGCTGGTCGAGCATTGTGCAACCACATTACTCCAGAGACACTCACACTAGATCCCCTTGGCTTGCAGGTCGCCTTCAAGGCGCTGCTCGTGCTGCACCAGATGCTACGGTCCGGAGCGCTCGAACCGACGTTCTCCTACCTCGCCTCGTCCTCGGTCACATCCCAGCTCTCGTCCCACGAAGCGCCCAACATCTCGGCGTACGGCCAGTACCTTGCTTGCCGAATCAAATCTTATGCGAACCTCAAGCGGGACGTCATCCGCGACAAAGCCGATCGTCGCTCCATGAGCCGGCTTCGGACCCTGACCGTCGAGGGGGGGTTATTGAGAGAGACGAGAGAGGTCCAGCGCATGATTGCCACCTTGGTCGAAAGCAAGGTGAGTCAAGTTCGAAGAGACTCTGTACGAATATCGCTGATCTCGAGATGCTCTGCTGCAGTTTTACGCCGACGACATCGACGACGAAGTTTCGATGACTGCGCTGCGCTTCCTCGTCAAGGATCTGCTCGTGCTCTTCACCGCCGTCAACGAAGGCGTCATCAATGTTCTCGGTGCGTGAACACAGCTTTAGGTCGTTTATTGCACTCACCTGACGTTGATAATGATTGCGTTGAGCAGAACATTACTTTGAGATGAGTCATGTCGACGCCACGACTGCGCTCAAGATCTACAAGACCTTCTGCCGAGACACCGAAAAGGTTGTCGCATACCTTGGGATCGCCAAGAAGCTGCAGCACGTCACCAACATCCCCATTCCCAATCTCAAGCATGTGCGTGTGGGATGTTTTGGCTTCGAAGATGAGCAGAAATCCAGAGACTGACTCGCACACCCCCACGCCTCCATACCAGGCCCCAGTGTCGCTAGTCTCGTCCCTGGAGGAGTACCTCAACGACCCCAACTTTGAGCACAACCGAGAAGAGTACAAGGAGAACAAGCGGATAGCTGATGGTAAACCTAGATGTGGGTTCTCCCTCGGATTTGCCGACTAGAAGAGCTCAATGCTGACGAGGCCGATTGTGCCCTTTCCAGCTTCGTCCAAAGCGCCTGCGACGTCAGCACCATCCGCCGCCACCGCATCCACGTCCGCAGCCGCACCCTCTGCTTCCACTTCGTCTGCAACACCGTCATCGACCGAGGCACCAAAAGCTCCCACGTCCTTCACCGACTTTTTCGAGTCGATCGAGCAATCGCAAACGGCCATGTTCGACCCTTCGACGGGCTCACCGACGCTCAGCTATTTCCAGCAACAGGCCGTATTCAACCCCTTCGTGCAGAATCAAATGACGGGCATGCAATCGCCCTTCGGCATGGTCCAACCGCAGGTGACGGGCTTTGCCGCGCCGAACCCTTTCATGCAACCTCAGATAACGGGTCTCGTGCACCCTCAAATGACGGGCTACGTCCAGCCGCAGATGACGGGCATGGCGCCAAATCCGTTCCGACAGAGCATGATGCCGACAGGACAATCGCCATTTGGAGCGTTCGCCGGTGGACAGCCCCAACCTCAAATAATGCAGCAGCAAGCAACGGGCATGCCCTTCACAGCCCAGGGTGGATCGGGATTCCTTCAACCGCAAGCGACAGGCGCTGGTCCCTTTGCCAACGGGACTCGACCCATGAGTGTCATCACGTCGCAGGCAACCGGCAGTCCGTTTGGTAACACGACCCAGCCCGCATCGCCCTTCATGTCGCAAGCCCCGGTGACCGCTTCGTCCCCGTTTGCTCCTCCACAACGAGTGGCTTCGCCTTTCGGCAACGGCGTGTCCTCGCCGTTCAACTCAACCTCCTCGGCACCCGCCACGGCGCCTCTGCAGGCTCAGAAAACAGGAGCCCGGAATCCGTTCGCCCCCGCACCGGGCTCCGTCCCTTCGCCTAAACAGCCCCCAGGTCCGAGCATGAATCAGCTAGCGTACAATGCCTTTAATCAGTCGCAGCAAGCCCAGGCCCAACAGCAGCAGCAACAGCAACAGCAGCAACATCAGCCACAAGCACAGCAAAATCAACAGAGCGGGTTCGCCAATGGTACAAATGGTTCGGCCTTCCAATCATCGCAACCTACGGGCTCATTTTCGACTGTATTCGGCAACGCGCCATCAAACCCGACACCTTCGGCCCTGATCCCGGTCAAGACGGGCATGATGGGCAATATTGCTTCCGAGTTCGCCTCTTCTTCCTCACCCTTCGGCGCTTCGAGCGGCCAAAATGCGTCCGGAAGCACGTCAACCACCCAATTCTCTTCCTCGTCTAACTTCAGCCCCATCTCGACTTCTAACCCGACACCGTTCTCGACCTTTCCTTCCACTTCGGGTCTTCAATCCCCTTCTTCACCTCTGACCTCGCAGCCCACCGGCTTCGGAGGCTCAACGATGCGCGCCTTCCAACCCACTTCGACCTTTGGCAACGACCTCGCCAAAGAATTTAGCGGGGCCTCATCGACACCTTTCCAATCCCAATCCCAGACCGGGAATATTTCCTCCAACTTCTCGACGTCGAATCAGAACCAGAATCAATTCGGAACGAACTCGACCGGTCGTGCCTCCCCTTTCGGCACCTCGAACTCTTCTTCTTCTGCAATGGCCCCGATCCAAACCCAATCGACGGGCTTCAACCCCTTCCGGGGATCGACACTACCGCCACTCAACTCGCCCTTATCGGCGCAGAGGACAGGGTTCCAACCCTCGAGCGCGTTCGGAGCGAGTCTCGTGGCGGAGAACCAAGGGCAGGGGCAGGGGCACGGTCAACAAGCTGGTGGTTCATCGACGAATGCTTCGTATAATCTAATCTAAAAGTCCAGCAGGCGTTTAAGATATTCAGTAGTAGTGCGGGGGGGATTTTTTTTTTTCTTGCTGTTGCGGAGAGCTTCGAGACACCAAGTTGTGTTGCGAAGGGTGCAAAATATATACTCATGATCTCATTGCGACTGTAAGGAGATACAACAAGTGGATGTAGACAATTATTGACTGGACTGTATATGCTCCGTCCCACCGTCCCCATTCGACATGATCACGTCGAGCGTCGCCGCCGTCGGTCTGAGATCGCTCATCATCCCATTCGGGACCGAGGACCCGTTCACTTCGTGAGCTACCCCGACCGCCTCTTTGGCGTTCAAACTACCCGTATCGACGAGGAACTCGAAAACCCTTTCAACTTTTTCCCCCCACTCGTCCTCGACCTCGATCCCGTTCTGCATCGTCACGTCCTCCTCCTCCCCTTCGACGACGGCCATCGATCCGTCCTCGCCCATGACAAAGCTCGAAGGAAGTTTCGGCTTCTTGACGATGAAGTCCCTCGCTTCGCGACTGGTCATTTGCGCGCCTCTCCGAGCCCGCTCCCTCAACAAGGTCTCTTTGAGGAACAAGTAGGGTTTGGGAAGGATTCTCAAGGTCGAACAGAGTTGTTGTTCCAAAACGGTCAAGAGGTGTAAGGAGGAGGCACTGGCGAGTGTCAAAGCGGGAGGCGTCGATGTCGGAGGACGGGAGGGTGCGCCACTGATGGCGGGTTTGAAGACGGTCGGTGTGGCGGACAGTATCCCATTCCTCGATCGACTCAAATGACCCAAAGGATCCCGGTAACCCAACCTCGCCGCCCGTTGCGCTTTCGCATGCTCGTATCGTTCGCCATCCGCGATCGAGGTGACGCCCATGCGGCGGTATTCCTGAAGTTCAGAGATGCGCTTGCGAAGGGCCGCTTCGTGCAAGAGTCCGTCGACGAAGGTTTCGTGGTCCAGAGCGGTTTGGATTTTAGCATAGGGTTTGGCGCGCAGGATCAAGTCACGTTCTTCTTTGGTCCGTTTGCGTTCGTTGACGACGATCTACGAAAACGGTCACAAATTTATGATTAGCCAATGGTATGTTGATTATGATGTTCCCTGTGGGTGGCACCGACTCGCCTGCTTGTAATTGATCAAGCCACGATCGGCAATGAGCTCCTTGGCGGCCATGCGCTTGTCGTACCGCTCGTTGAACATGTCCAATAAAGTCAACTTGAGCTCGAGGTCCTCCTGCGCCTCGTCGCCGGGTGCTTGGCCCATCGGGGGTGTTTCGTCGACTTTGGTCGTCTTGTCGGCTGTGGAAGCGGGTTCTTCGGTTTCTACTTCGGCTTCTGGCTCTGCTTCTTCATCGACGGCCTCCTCGGTCGTTTCCCCTTTGATGAGCTTGGGCTCTTCGTCTGCATGTGCTGCGGTCTCTTCGACGACTCTTGCTTCTGACCCTGCTTCGTCCTCTTTGTCCTTTTCTTTTCCCTCCGTCCCTGTAGCTTCCTTGTCTTCTACAACAGGTACCTCTCTCCCACCTTGCGCACCTTCGGTTCCCTGTACCTCCTCCAAACTCGCCGGTTGGGCCGCTCCCCCGAACGCATAGACCTTGCCGAATTCCAAATCCTTGATCAACACCTCGGCCTCGTTCTCGTACTCGGTCTCGAACTCCAAACGACCGGGCATGAATCCGCCGATCTCGTGGCAGGTCGGGGCCGAAGCCATGGGTTTCGGTGGGGGTAGGGCTGAGGTTGAGGGGAGCGTTTTCGTTCGTTTCAGGTTAGTGGGGAGGAGGCTTGTGAGAATGGGGCCTGGATGAGCTAGGACTTGGGGGGTGACTTACGAACAGGTCGGGATTGCAATTCTTGCAACCTCGCCTTTTTCCTCTTTTGAAACGCTTCTTGATCGTCGGAAAAGTCAGAGGCGATGGTCTGGGGGTTCCGAGCGACATTCGTCAGGGTCGGTATCGGATTCGTGCTCGAGAGAGATGAGTTGTGCACAGCTCACGGGCAAAGGGTACTCGGTTGACCAAACATAAGTGTGCAAGTAGTGTTGTTCGCATTCCTCCTTGGTGCGCCCTCCGACATGTTCGGCCATGTCGGCCCAGTTTCCGAGGCCGTACATCTCGGCGCCTTCGATCAGGAGCAGTTCCTCGTCGGCGCCCCAGTCGTTGGTGAAGATGGGGAACGCATGGGACGAGATGATGCGGTACGCGTGGTGCGATCGATGCGGTCCGACTGATTTGCCCGACAGAAAGCACTGCGGGGTGTGAGATGTGCAGGTCAGCGTCGCGTTCGGTGTTTGGTGCTCGACGGGCGAAACGGGTGAAACGGGTGACACGGGGCAGTCTACGTCGCGGCGACCTACGGGCACACACAGATCAAAGTCGGGACAGGTCAGACGTTCCGAGGTCGACGTGAGCGTCTCGGCGCATCGTACATGGACCGAGTGGGTGATGTCGGCCGAACACGAGTCGCACGAGGCCTTCATGCCGCTCTCGAGCGCTGGGATCGACGCGACCGCATCCGGACCGCCCGTGTCCCGAGGCTTTTGCTTGCGTTTGGTCACTGTCATCGCTCGGTCAGCGTCAGCGTCAGCGTCAGCGTCAGCGTGCGACGGTCACTCTCGGTCGTAGTCGGTCCGGATGCGGCCAGGTCGGCAATCTCGATCGGAATAATCGGTTCAGAACAAGCGCGTGCTAGCGGGTGCCAGCGGGTGTGGGGTGAGATTTGAGAAGTGGAGAGGCCACGCAGGCGCGCACGAGCAAGCGTGGCAGGACCCGGTCATCAGAGTGTCATCAGAGGTCATCAGCGCATCAGCGGTCATCGTTTGCTCTCTCAGACTCTCACCCCGCCCTATCTCGCTCGCGCTGTACTCGACATGCGCATGGTCGGTCTATTGCGTGTGAATTTCTCTTTCCCACTGGGCCTGACCTGACCTGACCTCCCCCCCCCCCTCTGCCTCGGTACCTGCAGCTCGACAAGGACGTGTCCGACTCGACCGCGAATGACGATACACCGGTCACGCTCGAGGACCAGACCCGCATCAACCAGTTCTCCCAACTGAACGCCCACTACGACGAGTTGACCGAGCGCCTCGAGCTCGTCCAAAAGGAACTCGAGGACGTCGAGGAGCTCGAACCCGAGTTGGAACTGATGGATGACGACGACGAGGTCATGTGAGCCGCAACACGCGCGGCGTACGCTTACTTGCGGTTTGCCTCGACTGATCCTGTGCTACCCTACCCTGCAGGTACAAGCTCGATTCGTCGTTTCTGCGGTTGCCGGCATCCGAGGTGCTGACGCTGCTGCAGAGCTCGCTCGAAAAACTCAACGCCGAGGCGGCGACACTGCGAAGCGAGAGGGAAGAATGCGATCAGGGCATGACCAAACTCAAGGGGTTGCTCTACGCCAAGTTCGGCAGTCAGTACACTCACTCGGCAGGGCCAGACCGCTTGCAGAGAGTGGGATCGAACTGACCTTCACCTCGTCCCCTTCTGCGCGCAGACTCGATCAATCTCGAACGAGGCGATTGATACCCCCCCGGGGCAGGGGACTGTTGGAAAGGGATCGTACCGTAATTCCGCATTTTTGTATTTGTAATTCATGAACAATGCATCCCTCCGTCTTGCCGAGCCAAGCCGCCCCGCCGAGCTAAACACTGCCGGCTCGACTCGGAGCCTGCCCGAGCTGGGCCAGGCTACTGCCAGGCTGGGCCCCACTTGACCCGCTCTTTGCTGCTCTTTGCTCGCCGCCGCGCCCGCACCTTTTTCCGTTTCTCCCTTCTGGCACCGATTCCCACCTCACCATCACCTGGGCCCTTCACCGCACTCGAAAGTCAACACCGTGGCGACAGTGAACCTCAAATCGCGTCGTGGTCTGTTGCTGCTCCCCACTGTCGTTTCGGTGTCAGCTCACCGCTCCCCACCGTTGCCCTTCGTCGCTCTTGGTCGTCATCGTCATCGTCATCGTCAGCGTCAGCGTCATCGTCATCGGCTCCAGCTCGGTCTCTTTCGCCGCCACATGTCGACGTTCGCCCACCTCCCCTGGGACATTCAACAATTCCTCGCCGCACCCGTACCGACGACCGAGTCCACCCCCTCCCCACCAACCGTCCCCTGCTCCCGTGTGCTCTCCTTCTACCAAAACGACCTCCCCGCCCTCCCCAGTCGATACCACCTCGACGACCTTCACACCCACCTCTCCCACAACTACTCACAACTCGAATCGAACCATTCCTTCATCCAATGGTGGTTCCCACTCCGAACACCCGGTGTGAACGCTCAAGCACCTTTACTCACCTCGAACCCCAACGAACTCATCGCTTTGAGGACCGATCCGGAGGTGCAACGTCGTTTCAGGAACAGTTACGAGATCATGTTGGATTTTTATGGGTTCGCATTGGACGACTTCGATTCGGGAAGGATCAAGAGAACTGAACACTATGAAGCGAGGTATCGTAATCTGGTAAAGAACAGTCATAATTGGTTACGCCTATCGAGGATCCTCAAAAGTTGTGCAGAGGTACGTGGCATTCCCCGACCTTGAAAGAAGTGTCGCGCAGGCAAAAGAAAAGAAAAAACCCGTTTTCTTAAAACCCACTCGTTCCTCCTGCTCCTCCTGAACCCAACACCAGTTTGGCCTCGAATACCTCAACGCAGCTCTACTCCTCTTCATCCTCGTCGAACAAAACCCGTCCTCCCCGAACGGACTCTTGAGCGACCGAAGCTTGATCCGATCGATGGACCAATACTGGAGGTATTGCATTCGCAATGAAGAGGAAAGGGAATGGGTTGTCAGGGTGATCGATGAGGTTCGAAGAGGGGAGAGGGAATGGACGCAGACGGAGTACGAGCAGGCGATTTGGAGGAGGAAGGTGACGGGTAGTTTCAGGGAGGACGTACAAGCGAATTGAAAACACCGATCACTTGGTTTCATCAGACAGGGAAAAAAAGACATTGCAATGCGAAGAGGTTTTGGATCAGACTCTCAGATCATACAAAAATAAACTTCTAGACGTTCGAACTCAACAAGACGAAAAACCAACCCACAAAAAGCAAACTGATCACCATCGCAGCACTGGAAAACTCGTCGCCACACCAGCCATCGATACCCCCACTGCGGCCTCAAGGTAGCTGAGTCCAATTCAAAGGCCAGCCCGGATCCGGTACGCCGACCATCCATTCTCCTGCCGGACCACCGAACCAATCCGCGTTCGCATTCGTCGACGACGTCGGCGTCATCCCTTCGCCCGCTGCACCCCCCGTCCCGTTCCACTCGGGCCAAATCACGTCCTTCTCCCCTGGTAACAAGGCCCCTGCACCTGGAGGGGGCTTGGACAAGGACGTCATCGAGGCCGAAAGGGCTTGTTGTTGCGCTGTGAGGTTCGAAGGGGATGGTGATGGGAGAGATGTGGGAAGTGGCGGAGGAGGCATCGAGAATGCGGTATCCGGTCGAGCGAAGGTGACCCCGGGTAATGTCGGAGGGTAGTGGCCCGAATTGTAGATCGATGTCCGGAGTTGGATCGGTCCCGAGGTTTGGGGTGACTCGGGCTTAGGGAAGCGGAGGTCGTGGAAGTTCGAGCTTGGGCTCTCGTCGAACGCTGTAGGGTTGTTGACGTCGGCCGAAGGAGAAGGGGAATAGACAGACGCAATGTATTGATCCTTCGCGATGCTGAAGGTTCAATCGTGTAGAAAAATGAGGATGTATTGGTGTGGCTCTCACTGTCATCTTCGTCGAAAAACATACCGAAGCAAATTCGTGAAGCGAACTCCTCCAGCGCACTGCGACTGCCGTTCAATGAGGTCATTCACATCCTTGACGATCTCCTCGGGGCTGATTGACGCTTCGGGATAGACCTTGGCCAACTTGAGCAACAACATCGCCGCGAACGAGAGGTCGACCCTCATCAAGTAACCCGAGTACTTGAGCGAAGCCGCGTACGCCGGCGAGTGCAACACGGTGCGGATCATGGTCCGCGCAGAGATGAGCGCTTGATGACCGACGTCGATTAGTTCGGGCGAGCCGTTTGGGCTCAGGAGGCGTTGACCTAGAATGTTGGCGGGCAGGAAAAAGTAGGCTTCTTGGAGGTGGCGCATGTGCGATCGCCGCCGCCAGGTTAGGGGTGAGGGCTCATGCACCGCTATGGAACCGAGGAGTTCACAATTTAGTGATGTGCGTCGATTCATAGGAATCTGATGCAGGCTTACCTAGCAATGTATCATAATCGGCATGCCATCTCGTCAAAGCCTCCCGGGTCTCTTTGATGTACGCCAAGTGTTTGAAGACGTCTTGTTCACGCGCGAGCATTCGACCCGTCTCCATGATGCCGCGTTCGATGAAAGTGAGTTTCAGATTGGCCACGGTCCGAAGGTCTGCACAGGAACAAAATTCATCTTCTCGGTTAAGGGCATTGCTTGTCGCTCCGAGCGTCCCCCCGTACCGTTCTTTATGGAGAAGGGCATTTGCAACAATCGATCGGCATTGCCGCGGAGTACATCAACGTCTTGTTGACGAAGTATGATCATACGATCCGTACATCGACTATGTCTGAAGGAGAAAGTACGCAGATTGTGAGTATCCAACTCCCCGCACCCACCCCCCGTTTCTTCCTCGAGCGTCTCGGATCAATTTACTTGAACTCGAGAAACACGCAATACAGCCACGTCCTCAACTGCATCGTCAACTGCCTCGCTCGCTCGTCCTTGAGATCCCACCCTCGCGCGTCAATTTGAGCAAATGTCGTATCCAACCGTGCGGACAGAGCCAGGCGCAACGCGAACCCGGAAAGAATGTACGGTTCATCGTGCCAACATGCCATGATGAGCAACGCCTGGATGCATTCGACCGGTGGGGACGGGTCAAAGATGAAACCCCTGACGGTCTCTCGCACGTGTTCGGCAACTTGCAACAGTTGCTTCGAGGCGGCCGCGTTTCCTTCCTGTGCGCGCAATCCCGTGTAAATGATGACGTCGAAAAGGAAATGGTGCTGGCGCAGGGTGAAGAAGGTGTCGTGGTCCGGGTCGAGGATCGCACAGAACGGATGCAGCTCCTTATGATGAAACAGAACTAAGGCCCTCGCCTCTCGATCACTGACATAACCCTTGGCGACAACGTCGTGTTGCGGTCCCGAGGCTTCGCTTGTGATCCCACCGATGTCCGAATGTCGACTGCGCTTCTTGGGTCGGTGCGACGCCCCTTCCTCGCCGTCTGGGCCCGGGTTGCTCTGGTTCCCTTGACCTTCGCTCTGACCTTCCGTCTGCCCTTCCTTCCTCGTCTCTCGGTCCTCACCCGAGTTCAATTGATCGGCCGCATCGGCGAGGGCCTGGATCGGGGCGTGCAACCGAGAGGCGAAGCGATCGATGTTTTGGTTCGGCTGAGGGTCGACCGCGACGGATGCGAGGGCCTCGAGCCGACTCGAAGCGTTCGGATTCGGACTCGCGGTCATTGCTTTGGGGCTGGGGTCGCTATGCAGGCTCGGTGCCTGCGGCGGTATGGAGGCTAGACCGTGGTGGGAGAAACCTGGAAGGGTGGGGGCCGAGTGGGAAGGGGCGTGCAGATGGGACAGCGCCAATGCCGGAGGTGTCTGGGCTGGGTGAGTTGAGGGACTGTTGCCACTTTTGAGCCATGTCAAGATCTCGGATAACGTGCCTGCGCGATAGAGTCCCAAAACATCATGAGGACCTCTCGCTGCCGAAATTGCGCCTCGAGATACCGACGGGAGATGCCGACGTACTCGAGACCTGGCCGACGCTCTGGACGAGGGTATCCATCCTTCTCTCTTGGGTCGATACGGTTGCTTCGATCGCCGACAGTCGGTTCAGTCCACTGTTGTCGACCGAGATGAGTACGGATCAGCACCTGCATCGGCGAGGAGACACTGGGTGCGCTGAGAACGGATCCCTGGGTGATCATCTCGCCCGACTCCGGACGGGGAAGTGTCGAATCACCCCGAGTCGAGTCGGATCCGCGGCCCAGACGACTCCCTATCTTTGACCGTTTGCTCCTAGAAGACTCACGCATCGTCGACGATCGAGCTCGCCGGTCGATCAAAGGTGCAGACCAGGCCCGACGCCTCGCAGCGCTTACAGCCATTCTTGTCCGTTTCGGAGGGGTGGCACGTCTTTTTCAGCCGACGACACGTCACACCTGGGGTAAAGTGAGCCATCAACTGATCAGTAGCTCGTCTCTGGCCACAGTCACACTCGCCGTAGCTCGTGCTCCGCAATCGTCTGGCGGCGACCGAGCGCGGATCCGGGCATAGCGACGGGGAGACTCACACGCTCGTGCACCACGCTTGGCGGGCTGTCGACACACGCCAGACGAGTGGAACGCCGCTCCTTCGTCCTCGTCCATCGTGTCCGAGCTCGACCTCTAGGTACGAGGGGCAGGAGATCGAATCTGGTGGCGAGCCCCGGTGACGGGTGAAAGCCACAATCGAGCGGCGTCGCAAGTCCGACAGAGTCCGACCGCCACTTTGGAACTTTTATTACGTGGGGCACGCGCCTATCTTAGTACGCCCACTCCGAGAACCACGAGCCAAGCAAAGCGGCCAAAGCGGTCCGCTCATCCGCTCGCCGCCTTTCCAAGGCTCTGGCTGGCGAGGGGCCTACCAGCTATTTAAGCGTATGCCAGGTCGCCGTCTGACGGAACTCACGGCCTGGAACATCATAGGTGGCTAGCAAGTTTTCCATTTCACATGGCAGCTTCCAGTTCCACTGTACCGGGCAACACGGTTTTTTCCCACGGGAGCCCTTGCTCCTCTTTCACCTTTGAGAAAATCTTCACTCCGTCGGATCAGACCATCTCAAAGCGCGGCCTTGTGCTTTCCACCTGGCACAGTGCCCTGGTCCGGTTTCTCCTGGCTTCAAAGCTGGATGTTGTGCGAGATGAGCTCAATCCAGTACCCATCCGGGTCGAGGATGAAGGCGATGTTCTTCATCTTGCCGTCCTCGGGGCGCTTCTTGAAGGGTACGCCGAGCTCGGTCAAACGCGCCACTTCGTCCTCGAGCGAGTCGGCGGTGTAGCAGATGTGGCCAAAGCCGCGTCCGGGGTCAGAGTTGCCGTTCGCGTAGCCCTTGAACTCGGGGTCACTACATATGAGAAGGTCTCATCGTCAGAACGCTCGGGAGCCATCTGGAAGTGGGGCCCAAAAACTCACGATTCCGTTCTGGCCCGACAGAATGTGCCCGCGGTGGTTGACGCAAGGTCAGCTTCGTCTTTTATCTGAGCAATAAAGTTGACAAAGTGGTACACACTCACCCCCAGTTGTGGCACAATTCGAGGATACCCTCGCGGCCAAATTTGCTCTTGGACTTTTCCTCCTTGCTCATCTTGGAGTAATCAACGCCGTCTTGAGGGAACGCGAGGAACTAGAGTGTGTAGGAAGAGAAAATAAACAAGTTAGACTGGCTTCCTGAAGCTTTGGATTGCATGAGATGCGATGGGGCCCCTCACGTAGTTGGTAAAGTCTCCGCCAGGGTGCTCGGCGAGCAACTCCATGCCCAAGATTTCGGTGTAGAACTTGAGCGAGACCTGTACGTGACAACTCTTTACGTCAGCTCGACAAGGTGCTGGTGCAACAGGACTTGATCACCCACCTTGGGGTCGCGGACTGAGGTCGAGGAAGGTCATATCAAGCGGATCGTCGCGTGGGCGTGGGTGAGCTACACCGTCAAGTCTACTTCACTCTCGTCAGTTTTGGCTTACTGCGGAACATGGTGTGATCTGTAACAGAGCAAAAATGTAGGGGTCAGCGATGCAGCACCTCGCAGGCTGAAGATGTGGGTCTCGTGCTGCCGCTCTGCAGGATGACGTTCCAGTTCGATGCCCCACATCCGATCGTCAACCCCCTCCCCGGCCCCTGAACCGGAAAGACGCAGGTAGAAATAGCAAGACACCACACTCCCTCAGGCAACTTACTGAGTCGACGGGTAGGCATTTCGGAAGAGGCTGTGGTGTGGAAGGACCGGGTGACTTGACGGGTAGGAGCTGCGAGCGAGTGAAGCAACGATCGAAGCATTCGGCAGGAAGGCAACGAGCTGAGCCCGCGGCGCCCGGCTATTTATAAGCTTTTAAGGCCGACGAATCCCCGACCTCAGTGCGTCCCAAATGATCAGGTATACACCTGCAAAGTTTGCAATCACAGCAGAATCAACGGGATGCTATTAAGAAGTACTACAATTATATTGTAAACTGCCTTCCAAACTGTCCATGTCATGCAATGTACAGTGATGCAAAACAAATGTCCGTTTACTGCGCTGCCAGAGGTAGATTAATCGTGATGGACAGGGTCCTAGTCACTGAATTGGAAGGCGGCACTGAGGAACGAGTCATAGCTTGACTCGAGCCCAGGATCGGCGTTCAGTCGTAGGGCCCTGTGAAGGATGTAGTTGTTTATATCAGCATGGGAGCTGGTGGGATTGCTGAGAGTGCAACTCACCGAAGTAAAATTCGGGCCGGTTGACCCGTGGCGAGCTGCTTCGGCAGGCTGCTAGCCCCTAATGAATCAAGAGTGGCCGGCGGGATCCCACCATTGAAGCTGATTTGCCGGTCATTGGTTGGCAAATGGTCCCGATCGAGGAGGTCGGTCGTATATATCCGACCCAGAGTGGAGGTTGCGTCGAAAGGTCGTCTATCCTGAGAGGGTTGCTGAGAGGAGCCTGAAAGCCTGGTCGCGGACGCTGGTGATCGTCGTCCGGGAATGGTCGGACGTTGAGTCGTGTTGGCAGAAACGAGGTCAACATAAAGCGCCCGAGTTGGAACTGAGGAGTAGAAGGTTGTTGGGGTCATCTGAAAGGACTGAAAACACAGGAGCTTAGACTCACGAAGCAGCCGATAGACGATCGTCAGCCCATCCGATCGCTTGCAAGTCGTGACATTCGATCCTTGGCCCCGCCCCAACACAAGAGCATTCGACGAAGGATATCCTACAGACACGAAGGGGTACCTCAAACCCTCCGAGCCATATCGCGAAGTGCTGGCCAAACTAGTGCTAAGCACGGGTGCGTCGGCCAACTTAGCCGCGAGACCAAAATAAGGCACTTGGAAACGTTGCTGAGATGGGTCGTCACCTTGGATCGAGATCGTTCCGCTGTAGAAGGGAAAGTGGTTGCTGTAGAGCGAGCTGGAGGTGATGGTGACTTGGAAAGATGCGGACCCGGCAGCAGGCACGGTGAGCTTCGTCGGGCTGAAAGAGACTTGCGCCGACTTGACCAAGCATGGAGGCGAGGCAGGAATCAAGCTGTCGGAACTGACGCTCTGTGGAACATCAGAAGTGTGTTTGACGAAGTTGCTCTCCTCCCCAAAGTTTAAAAACGCTGAATAATTACTTCATTGAAGAGTGCCAAAGTTTCTGCCGGTAGGTTCTTGAAGACGTACGTCACCGCCCGTAAATTGTGATTCGTGAGCTTGATCGATCTCGTCCGTTCATGGCTGGAGAAGTCGTTCATAGCCAGAAAGTAAGGCTCGACCAGCGTTTTTGCGTCGAATACGTGTGGTGCCGAGACAAGACCGCCTCCTTGGACGAGCACCGAAGCTGGTCGACCATCGCCCTTCGTGCTGCCACCCATCACGGACTTGGCGGTCGTCGCGAGCAGCGCTCTGAGCTGGTCCGAGCTGAGCCCCTTTTTCGACGGGGAGGAGAGCAAGAGCGCTGTTACACCGGCGACGAAAGGAATGCTCATGCTTGTTCCCGAAATGATACCGATCGACCCCATGCTCATGGGGAGGGTGGAAAGGATCGATCCACCAGGAGCGACGATGTGGGTTCCGGGACTGGCGAGCGAATTGGAAGGGCCGTGGGACGAGTAGGCCGAGATGAGGCCCCCTGTGCTAGGGTTTGGAAGTGGCGCGAGCGGCATGCGCGTTCGGAAGTTGACACGAAGACTCGGATCGGTCTTGTAGTACGAGAGCAAGCGTAGACCATCGTCCTTGGACATGCCAAGAAAATACGTCCCTTGGTCAATTCCAGGAACGTAGAACGATGCGGCTGCCACGGGGCGGTTTGCAATGTCGTGGACGATGACGTAGCGGGCGTTGCGAGCAGTTAGATGAATTTGTAACGATGTCAAATCACATTGCGGTGTCAACTGCACCACGGTGATCTTTTTAGATAGATCTTGAATGGTCGCGGGAAGAGAGGCGCACGCGGGGTTGTTCAGGTCAAGCTTTTCACTCTGCGTCACGAAGTAGAGCGGCATCGAGTCGTTGAGCATGATTGGCAATACAGAGAGGTACCCCACCGGTTTGAGGCTCGAATCGTCGAAACTGAGGGGGAAGACGCGGGCGAACGCAGTGACATCGACCGATCCCACCGAGAGAACGCTCGAGACGATCGCGGGATCTTGTGCCGAGAACAAGCCGGCGGCCCCACTATTGCCGCTCGAAGCGAGAAAGATGATCCCTTTGGCAGAGAGACCGTTCATCACCGTCCTTGGAGGGTAGTCATCTCCCCAGTCCGAGTTGCCGGCCTCAAAACTCATACTACCAGTTGGATCACGTCAGCATTTGCTCAGACGCGAAACTACCCCAGGTGCAGGTGAATACTCACGAAATGACCTGGCACCCGTCTGCTTCAGCTCGTAGCATAGCCTGAACGAGAGTATCGTCTTGTCCGCCCTGTTGGCGGCAAGCGAAAATCCTGATGGCATGTGAATGGCGCTTCAGATCTGAACGACTATTGCGTCGAGCGCGGAAAGGCTCATTCTCACCTGTACAGGCCAAGCGTAGCTTCGGGCGCGACACCGAGAAAGCCGTACGGATTCTCGTTGGCTCCGATGATACCCAAGATGTGCGTCGCGTGCTTGTCGCATTCGGTGTATGGGTCATTGCTGGGGCTTTGGCCGTCATCACCGACAAAGTCATAGCCGGTCGTCAACTTGTAGCCGGGACCAAAACCCCCTCCGAGAATCGGGTTCTTGTAGTCGGCCCCTGTACGAAGAATGCCCGATCAGCTCTCTATGAATGATTTCCGAAATACGAGGTGAAGTGTGAATCGTGCGCTCACCAGTATCGATTACGCAGACATGGGTCCCTGAACCACGGGACAGACGATCAGAATTTGTAACAACTCCCGCGGATCAAAGCGCAACGGACCACTCACCTTTACCCTTTACCCCTCGTCTATGCAAGTCATCAACACCACTCATGGCATGAGGAGCAAATACAGCTGTGCTTTTATTTGCGAACCCAATGACCGGCTTTTTCAAGCGTTCGATCGGATTTTAACGTTTCAGCAGAGTCTTCAGCGGTGCAGGCATCGAGTGCTCGGGATGAGGTATCTTCCCAACAGGGATGACATGCTACATCCCACAAAACGAAGACAGAATATCAACATATTTTTCATACGAGTCCAAACGAAAGGATGCTGACCTTGACCCCTCGAGTAGCTCCTAACTCCTCGGCCGTAACCTTCCCCTTGAAGACGACGCTCAATCCACTCTGAGCGAAGTTGGTGAACGACCTCTACGCCCGTGGGCATCTTGGAAATGATGCGGTCCAACGAGGCGGTGCACGTCGACTGGTTTCGTCATGTGCATCAGCCAAGAGAGGAGTCAGTCTCACGCCCCCGCTTTTTCCTTTTTTTTTTGTCCTTCCCGTGTCCGGTGACCTAACGAAAACAGCGCGCCCGGGCCGGTCTGAAAGACACCGAAAGGGGCTACCGGCTGTCACGTGCCCCAAACGAGTCACTTCCCAGAGACCTTTGGGAAGTTGAGTGAAAGGCCGAGCAAGTGCCCAAACACTGACCAATTGAACATCAAAAGACGAGTTCGAGGATGCACGTCCTGCTTGGGGTGGAGGGTGTGCGACGATGAAGTATCGATTAGGTGTTGCTCCCGATCCGTCTGCAGCCTCGGATTCTTGAGACGAGTCCGCGGTGACAGCGTCAGCGGCGCGTGCGAGACCGAGAGCCCGGGCCTGCGAGCAGAAATTTGCTAGACTGGCCAGAGGATGACGACAGTCGGGACAAAAGATCGCATGCGTGCAAGACACGTAGGGTGATGACGAGGGGAAAGGACAGTGGATGAAGGGGGAAATGACCTTGCGGAGGGGTAGCGTATGGTATCGGAAAAGCTGCCTACGGGTCTGACGGGCGCCGGGTACTAGATCAACATGGAGGTCAAGCGAAGTCGCGACGCGTTGCGACGCCTCGGCGAAGGTTGCCGACTGGCTCTCGAAGCTCGCTAAATTCTAGTCAAAGCCTCGGGATACACGGCAACGGATGTTCTCAAGAATCAATCAGGCTCCGAAAAGCTCCGAGAGTCAAGAAGCGAGGGGCAGGTAGATGGATCTTACTGCAAATGTCCTTATGAAGCGTGGTCGCCGTCAATTTAAGCGGCGAAAGTTTTTCCTGCGAGCTCGCTCGCTTGTGATCTTCGCCATGCCTTAGATGTAAGCTCTATGTGTGGCAACATTCTGCGCTCCTTCGCACGATATCCTCGATGCGGCGCGAAAATAGTAGTACAACATTCTTCCCTTTCCCTTTCTCGCTTGCTACAGATCTTCGCCTTAAGCGGGACTTCACCTCCTCTCCCGAGCTCGCGCTATCTTTTCTTCCAAGAGTTGTCGCTCCCTCCTGACGTCATCGTCGCGCCCCGTATCCGGCGGAAGCTGTTGTAGTTTGACCATCAACAGTCTCTCGTATTCCTCCTGATCCAGTTTCTTGACCGGGCTCCATCGGGCCAAAGTCGTTTGGAAGGATGTCCAGGCCGAACTGAACAGGCGATCGGATCGCGCGGCAAAGGTTTCCGTCTTGGGGTCCCGAGCGGTCGAAGAGTTGGGGTACTGCGCGTAATAGTCGTTCCTGTCGGGTGATGTTTGGTGGACTGAAGCCGTTGTCGTTGACGAGGGTGTCGCGGGTGTCGCGGGCACGGCTGGTGATGTTGTAAGGGCTGGGGTCGATCGTCGCTCGGACAATACTGAAGCCATCTCCTCGTCGACTAGTCGGGCCCTCTCTCTCAGCTCTGATCTGAGGACCGCTCTGATCCTCAACAATTCGACCTCGTTGAACACGGACTGGAGAGTCGTACATCCCAAACTCAGCGTGACTCCAGCCCGGACGGAAGCTCGACTCGTAGCCCTCATCACGTAAGAGAAGAAGGAACCGGCCGTGAAGCCAGCGAGTGAGGTGGGTAGAAGGTTGTAGAAGTGAGGATTCCACGACGCGGAGGCGTCTGGGTCGAGTGGGTCAGGGTGCAGTTGGTTCACGGTCAAGATTGGAATGATGGCATATTCCCGTAGAGCTGTGGGAGCAAGTAGAGGATGTCCAAATGAGACCGTCGCACGAGTAATGGGGTCCCTTATGCGTTCGCGGAACTGACTAAAGAAGGAGAACGAGAACATGCCCGTGTTGATGGCGGTGGTAAATGCGGCTGGTAGAGCGGGCAGATTCCGAACGACACCTATCGTAGACCCTGTAACTCCTCCCAACAGAGCTGTAGGTCGATCCCGATGCTGCATCAGCTTTCTGAAGGTAAGGGTCAGTGGGGGCCACTCGCTCAGTGACTGACCGAAGGTGGTGGTGCCTTTGATAACATTCCACGGAGCTGTGGTTATCGTATATTCCATTAGTGTTTTGGGGGGTGCTGGAGTTGCGGATGAGCTTGAAGCGACGGCTGGATCCGAGGAAGCCATTCGTAAAGACAGCCCCGACTGCGACAGTTGCGAAGTAAAGAGCTAGTTTGGGCGTGTGATGCTCTCTAGAGGTAGTGTAGACGTGTTCTCGGCTCAGGTTCGTCCCAAAAGTATGGCCTGAAGCTAGAACAGGCGTGGATGGGAGAAGGGCCAGGTGCAGGTCAAAGTGAGAGCTCAACAGCTCTGAGCTGATCTGACGGAAGTTCCGCACAGTCCCGGCCGCGCAGAACCAGAATAGAATGCTCCGCAATGGCCGCATGACGAGCACGATGATGAGCGGAACGTCCCCCGTGTGGTTCGCTCTCTTCCCGTCTAATCTCCGCAATCACAGCTTCAGAACGGAACGTCATGCTTCCCTTTGCACAAGTTGGAGGCCACGCCTCAACCATCACCTCCACCGGATCCATCATCAACAAGCCTTCCTCGGCGCGCGAGAAGGCGTTCTACACCCAGCTCGCTCCCTCGCTCCTGCCCGGGTTCATTGGTGAATGGACACCCGAATTCTATGGTACCCTGTCGCTGCAGGGTCAGATGGGTCAGGATGGACAGATCACACCTGCTACTGAGGGCGAACTGGGTACGAAGCCCAAAGAGGTAAGTGGGCTACGCAAGTTGGAAGGCTCGTAGAGAGACGAGTGACAACGACGAGGTGCATGTGGGGGGGGAAGGGGGTTCAGACACTGCTCCCGACGAAACCCGTTCCACTGACCTCTGAGCCTCGTCGGCACCCATGTTGCACTGATTCCTTGCGATAGATGCTCGTATTAGAAAACATAATCTATCGATTCCTCAGACCCAATGTCCTCGACATCAAACTCGGCACCCAGCTCTACGACGAGGACGCGAGCGAGGAGAAGAAGCTCAGGATGGACGAAGCCGCCAAGGCCACAACAAGTGCCGAGACCGGGGTCAGGTTGACTGGATTCCAAGTCAGTCCCTTCAAAAATGACCTCATGAATTGTCGAGGTGTCGCTTGTACGTCTACGTTCTGACCACTCGCTCGGCACTACTCCTCGGCGCACCCAATGCTCGACACCGCCAGGTCTGGGATGACGCTTCCAAAGCCTACGTCGTCACACCCAAAGACTTTGGCAAAGCCATCACCGTCCCCGAACTCTCAAGTGGCATTGCGCGCTTCTTCTATCCACCCCTTGGGGCGGCCTACACACCACCGACTCCCGTCGTCTCGACCCACGCCGCCGCTGCGCCGAGGGCAGCCATCGTCCCGACGCCTCTGCCGCTCGAGTTGCTGGTGCCCGTCTTGAACGGCGTGCTAGCGAGGCTACAAGAGCTACTGCGTATTTTGGATGTCACGGAGATTAGGATAAGAGGAGGATCGTTGCTGTTGGTCATCGAGGGTGATGCGAAGGCCTTACGGGAAGCGGGCACGCGATCGGAAGGAAGGTCCCCGTCGGCCCGCCCTTCAAAGCAGGACAGAGGGCGTGAAGGCGATGTTGGCGACACGGAGGAAGAAGAGGACGAAAGCGAGACGGAAAGTGTTTCGACCACCGATGGGGAAGGAAACGCCAAGGCACACACTCGGCTACCTTGGGACTTGCGACTAATTGACTTTGCGCACGTGAGGGCTGCACCGGGGGAAGGCAAAGATGAAGGATTCCTCAAAGGGATCAAGACAACGGTGAGGTTGATCGAAGATCTGAAAGATCGGTTGGAGATGGAGATGGAAGAGACTACAACTCGGGACATATTGTAGAACACCCGAATGGGATCGGAATTTGAACCCACCCGCATGCGCGCCGTGCACGGTCAAAGCTGCCCAATCGGCACATGGCGACGCGGCGATGGGTCGAACGACAATTAATTCTAGTTTCCACTGCGGTTCGTTGAGGCCAGCGTAAAACCTACCTAAGTCTTGTTCAGCCAGCATGAGACGCACTTTCCTGAATATTGCAAGTAGGTAGGGACCACAGAAACCCCATTCCCCAGCTTTTCACGAGCAATCTGCAAAGCAAACCACCTCCTGAGTCTCGTGCGGCAGAAACTCAGGTCCGCCGGCTCGTAGCCAACCGCGGCCGGTGGGCGAGCTCATCGATCACCTGTTCAGGAGCTTAGGACTCATGCTGAATTTGACCCGTGTACACGTCAATCTTCAGACACTGTAAAATTCGCCATATTCACCTCGAAGTAGGTGCCCCGGAATGGCTTTGATCAAAAGCCACTTTATTGATGAACCTGGGTCGCTGGCGAGCCGCTTTGGGGAACGATGTGTCCATCCCAGTCTCGACTCTCGAACCCGAGCCGAGCGAGGTGATGTGCCTGGGGTCGCTGACCGCCTCATACCAATGAAGCTGGCGAAAGTGTCAGAGATACCCAGGTACTCTCTCGTCTGTTGATGTTTTTCTACACTTCTTTTGAACTCCTTACGTACTGCGCTGTCATAGCAGCACTTGTAGTGATCTGAAACCAAGCGGCCCTCGGCAATCAACCGTGTCGAACTTGATAGCTTGGATCAAGTGAAAATCATCTTCAGTCTCGATTCAATTCCGTCCCGCCGCGCGCCTGTCGACCCTTCGGAGATCGGCAGTACCTCTCTCACGGCCGCCGCCGACTCTACTTACTTCAACTTGCGGCCAAGCTTGCTATTTGGTGGTGCGCTACACCTTGGGTGGATCTTGGGTGGGTCTTTTCCTATCCATCACGTGGAAGGAGCCGAAGTATCTCGCGACACGATCATAGCCACATCTACTCCAATGAACCCGTTCGAACGTCAGTCACTGCACTCGCAAACCCGTGATTAACTCCGGCCTGCCTAATTGAACTCTCCCCTTGCCTGCTCTGGTGTGCCCTGCCGCAGTCGCGCCCTCCTTCGCAGCTTCGCGCCAGCTTGAGCTCTCACATCTCACCCGCACCACCTACCAAAATCTCACGCTCCACCATGTCGATGAAGTCAGCGTTCCGGATATCGAAAAAGACGATGGCGCTCAACAAGAAGTTGGCGGACCTTCACCATTCGCCCGCGGCTCGCGCGTTGCCCCCGACGATCGAGTCGCTCGCGTTGAGGTACAAGGGCATCAAGGGGAATGCGACACTATCGTAAGCCGTGCCATTTCCCACCGTTTCTGGCTCTCTATGCGGTCGAACTAATACCGACCGCTCTGGTACCTTAGTCACTGGGCTCGAGAGGAATTGCCCGGGTTGAAGTGGGCCAACCCTGAATTGAAGATCATCATCGAGGAACCCCTCACACCAGGAAGCACACCCGCCAATTTGCAGTCACCGGGGATTACCATCAACCTCAGTCAGTGGCTCACCTCTCCTCATCCTCAACTATTAAAATTGACTGGGAGCTCGGCGCTGAAACCACCGCGCTTCCTTCTTTCTTCGGAACAGCCGATTCTGCAGAGCCCGTATTCTATCCCGTACCTTCGACCGTTCGGTCACAGAACGTCACACCCGAGTTTTTGCGGATCCTGACTGAACCCGAAGCACTCGCAAAACTGAGAGGCAAGCAGACAAAAGCCCCGACTCTGGAAGCCCAACCGAGTACTTCGACGCCCGGGGAGGCGACGACTTGATTTCACGGGCGGGAAGGATGGAGTGATCATACGAGAAACGATGTACGAAAGTAGTCAGCATGCAAGTGTAACAATCGATCAAGACCTCAGAAGAACTCAGCGGATCGTCCATAAGATTTTTGCAGGATGCGGAGGAGATGGAGAGGAAAGCTGCAAGCGTGATCACAGATGTTAAGTCGGAGAGTGCGCTGCTACTGGGGCATCGCATGGTATCACTTCAAATTGAGTCCGAGCTCGGGAGACCTCCAAGTTTCAAAAAGCACGAAGCTGCCTCAACCTCTCTCTCGACTCGATCAGTGTGTGCGAGGAATGCAGTACTACATTACAAAAAGGAAGGGCAGGCGATATTAAACAAGATCCTTTACACTCCAGATTGCTTTCTCTCATGCAGAGAGCTCGACGAGGTTATCAGCGACGTCGAACTTAGCCCCCGTGGCCTTGCGCACATCCTCGACCGTGACACCCGGTTGCAGTTCGGACAGGACCATCTTCTTGTTGACGCGATCGATGTCGAATACGCACAGGTCGGTGATGATCTGCGACACGCAGTTGACACCGGTCAAAGGTAAGGTGCACGTATCGAGAATCTTGTGCTTGCCACCCTTGGCAACGTGGTCCATCACAACGACGACCTTGGTCTTTTCCGGGTTCGAAACGAGATCCATCGCGCCACCAGGTCCTTTAACCATCTTGCCCGGGATCATATAGTTGGCCAAATCACCACTCGCCGAGACTTGCATCGCACCGAGCATCGAGACATCAACGTGACCACCACGGATCATGGCGAATGATTCAGTCGAGTCGAACGTCGAAGCACCGGGCAAAAGCGTGACGGTCTCCTTGCCGGCGTTGATGATGTCGGCGTCGACCTGCTCCTTGGTCGGGTAGGGGCCCATGCCGAGGATACCGTTTTCGGATTGCATGTGAATGACCGTCCCCGGCTCGAGGAACGAAGGCGCGAGCGTCGGCATCCCAATACCGAGGTTGACGTACATGCCCTCCTTCAACTCCTTGGCCGCTCGCTTCGCGATCCTTTCGCGGCGGAGCTGACCGGCATCTTTGCCTGAATTGGCATCGTCGTCGCTCTTGCGCAAAACTTCGATCTCGACCTGCTTCGGTGTTGTAGACTGAACGACGCGGTTGACGAAGACACCGGGGACATGAATGTTGTTGGGGTCCAACGAGCCGATGGGGACGATCTCCTCGGCCTCGACGATTGTGACCTTGGCCGATCGAGCCATGGCACCCGAGAAGTTTTGTGCGGCGTATCGGAACACGCAGTTGCCGTACTCGTCGGCCTTCCAGACCTTGATGAAGGCGTAGTCACCCTTGATCGCCTCCTCCATGATGTAGCCTTTGCCGTCGAACTCTCTCACTTCCCTCGGCTTGCCGGGAATGTCGACCTCTTGCTTGCCTCCCTCCTTGTATCGGATCGGGATCTCACCCGTCTGCACAGCAGTTCTGTAACCGGCGGGGGTGTAGAAGGCGGGGATACCGGCTCCACCGGCTCGACATCTTTCGGCGAGCGATCCCTGAGGGGTGAGCTCGAGCGATATTTTTCCGTTAAGGTAGAGACCCTCAAAGTGCTGTTTGGTTATGAATTCAAAAGGTCGGGTCAGAATTTTGCACTCATAACCATAGCGTCTAGATGTTCACTGACCTTGTTGGCTCCAAGGTAAGACGAGATCATGCGGTCGATTTGGCCCGAGTGCAAGAGGATACCTGATGAGAGAGCAATTCGAAAGATGAACAGTCAGCGCATAGAGGGGTGTCATGCGGGAAAGGTACTCACCGAGACCGAGCTTATCAACCCCGGCATTGTTGGAGACGCAAGTGAGGTTCTTGACCTCGGGTCGCTTGGAGAGAGCTCTGATGAGCGTGTCTAAAGGAAGCGGGAGTGGGCGAGGAATGAGCCATTTTGTCCGGAAATGGCCATAGTCGGGGTATCGGGACCCTCAATGAGCACTCACCAGCAGTTCCGCATAATCCGAAACCTGCAGGAAGGATGAGGATTCCCGAGGTCAGCTCGATGCCATCGTAGCGGCAATCTAGGGAGTTCGGCTGGCGCGGGACATCGTTCAGCCCGACGGCGAGGTCATCGGCGCAAGCTGTGGCTGGTGCTGCAGCCCCATGCACCCGCACCATGCGATCTCCCCCGCACGTTAGATTGATACGATATCAATCTTTACATTGGCCGACATCAAGCCGAGCCTAGGCCTCTTCCGAGCCACGTAAGGGTGTGCCGCGGCCCGGCCCATCCCGAGTCGCTGGAACTCGGCGGGAGGCGGGTACTGACCTCCGGACAAGAGGATCGAGTCTCCCTTGACATCGGCGACAGCCTCCTCTGCTGAGCGCCAGATCTTGCTGACGGAGCTCTTGGCCGAGGTAGGAGCGACGGAGAGCACGCGAGGCGAGACCGAGAATGCTCGAGCGAGCGGCTAAAGATTTGGTGGGGAGGCAGGGACATCGGTGGTCAGCCGGCAAGTCCGAATGCACGTAGGGAAGGTTCGACGACTGACTCGGGAAGCACGGAGCGAGGATCGGCAGGGGAGCAGGCTCATCATCTTTTGGAGATGTTTTTGGGGTGAGGATTGAGTGGGTTAGCGGTAGGGTGCAAAGGGAAAGCGAAAAACGAAGGAGAGCACCACCCGAGCCTTCTCCGCGCCGGAGCTCCGGCACTGATCTGCACTGAACCGGCGAGACGAGGCCGCGGCAACCGCTTTGTTGAGCGCGGCAAATCGCCCGCGCTCGGAGAAACGTACAGCGCGCCCACCTGACCGTGCAAGAAGTTGGCTGAGCACTCTCATGATCGCGGAATATATACAAAGGAATGTCTAATGATTTCACCAAGTAGAAAGAAGTGTTGCTAGTGCCGCCCTCTGATCCATTCAATCTTTCTTGCACGCGCCCTCAAAGTCGATATACAACTCCTGACGCGCCTTGACATACTCAGCCCATTCGTCGAGCGGGCACGACCCTCCGCGGCCATGATGGCACGCCGGCACCTTCTGAGGGGCACCATTGACGAGAATGCGCATGTAGTCCGCCTCATCGCCCTTGCAGCTCAACCTCTCGAGAGCGATGTGGCCCAAGAACGGCAGCAGGCTGAAGACAGGGGCGAGCCAGAGATAAAACGATCAGCCCGAGTCAGTCTTTGCCAAGCACTTGGTTCTCCGGTGAGAGATGCACTCACTGAGAGGTATGCCATGCTCGATCGTGGTCAAGTCGATGCGGATTGATCGTCGTCGTGTTCCACAATCCGAGGGCAACGAGAACGACGGGCGGCTCTTCCCGATGGGAGAAGTAAGGGAACAGGAGCTGGGTGTGCTCCTCATCTGGCGGTGCTGAAGGCGGCGGGAGCTTGGAGCCGGAAGTAAGATGGGGATGCGGCCCTTGGAAAGCCGCAATAAGGTTGTGGGTCGAGACGTTGACCCAGGGCATGCCAAGATGAGGCGCGAACCTAGCGCCGTAGCCGACCTGGTAGTGGTACTTGATGTCGTTCCAGTAGCCAAACGAGCGAAACTCGTACTCGGTGAATAGTTCGGACGAACAGAAGCGAGAGGAGCGGCTCTTGAGGATCTACACAGCTCGAACAGGGGTGCTGGGGAGAATCAGATCTTGCCGGACACGCTGTCTTCCAGGGACTTTGCGCTGGACTCACGACCGATTCGTAGCCGCAAAGCATTTGCAAACCGATGATGTCGTTCAACTCAAAGCCAACTTCGGGCGCCCACTCCTGCAGTCGCTTCAAAGGCTCGGGACCATAATTTTCGAGCCAGATTTGAGCTTCAGGCTTCCCAACCTCCTTGGTAAATGCTGTGCAGATTTTCTGCGGAAGCGCAAAAAAACACAATCAGCCTCAGAGTCCCATCCGCAATGCTTGCATACGTCTCTCATTGCTCACATGCGGTGTCAAGCTGCTGGCCCAATCGGGGGACTTGTTGGGGACCTTGACGAGCGAAACGAATTTGCCGTCCCCCTCTCCGTCGTCTCCTTCCTGGTGGTTTGGGAAAGCGCCGCGGATCCAGGCCTTAGACGATTCGATGTCTCGCTCCGAACTCGCAGTGAAAATCTGTTGCCGAGCGAGCGGGCCGGTCAGTGGGCGGAGTTCCTTCACGAGCCAAGCTAGAGCTCACTTTGAAAGGCTCTTCGACCTTGTCCTTCCCCTTCTTGCCTTTACCACCCGAAGTTTTCTTTTTCCCATAGTGCTTGGGTGGCATCAAGGGGCCATAGAGATATCGCATCCTCTTTCCCAAATCAAAAGCATCCTTCCTCCCCGGCTCCGTCAGCATCTCCACCTGATCTTCCTCAATCGGGACCTTCCATTTCCCGAGAAACCTCAGCGGATTCTTGTAGTCTAAAGCTCGCAGCGACTTGCGCGCGGCGTAGATCTTGTCGACGGTAGGTTTCATGAAGTCATCCCATTCGTCATCGTTGGCGTAGATTGCCGAATGGCGGATCAAGAATGCCGCGGCTGAGACTTTGCAGCCTTCGGGGGGCTCGAGGTTGGCTCCCGGGGCGTCGTGGTAGGGCGAGATGCCGCTCATGTCTGTTCCGGGCTCAATGTATCAACTTTGTGGGTTCCTCGACTCCATGGGAATGGAGATAGATCTTATAGACTCACGCTCAAGAGGATTGAAAGGCTGGGGACGACCATGATGCTCGCTGAAACGGAACTGCGATCCGGGCGCCGTCGAGTCCATGTTCATTGCGCGCGCGCCATTTACGATCGACGCCTGGACGGACATCGAGAGCAGGACCAACAGCCTTGCCACGATCAGTGCCATACCTGAGCGAGTGAACATATCTATGTCTGAGCTTGACTGAACGCGGTGCAGTGCAGGCTGCAGAAAGAAGAAGAGCAAGAGTTGCGCAACCGCGTTCGGTACTCCGAAGTCGATGACGCGCGCTCCGCCCAAGAGAGCGAGCGATCGGGCCGGATAGTAATCGGCATCGAATCTCGGGATGGGTGCCACACAAGGAGCATCCAACGTTGCACTGAACCGTTCCCACACAAATCACAGATTTAGCTAGAAAACGAGGCCGGCTGACTACATGTATCTACATGTACTTGAAAGATTGCACCACTGAAAACACCTCCATCAAATAAGGTCCTCTGGCGCCCGCGCGCGCCGATATTTTATCTCCTCCCCACGGTGACACGGTGATTGGGTGCGAGATGCTCAAAAACAGGGCCATGATGGGTCTCAAGACGGGTGAAAAGGGCAGGATTTACGTTGCCAACTTGGGCTGGATTGAGAAAAGCTGACGTGGTGACGAACACGCTCGACAACGTCGCCGCTCATTGGTACCGCGCGCCTCTGACTGCGAACCTTTGCCGACTCACATGTGGCGCCCAACTCCCTGCGTCCCGCAGCGCTCCACAGCCTGTTCACTCCTCTCTGTCGCATTGCATTTGGCCGGCGAACTTGCCCTAGCCGAAACTAAAGCAAAGGGGACAGCTTCTCGATGCGACCCCACAAAAAAAGCAGAAACGAAACCATGGGACATAAAGCCCGCCACTCCTTCCCTTTTTCTCATTCCATTCCATTCATCCATTGTTGTTGCCAACGCGTCCGCCTTGACGAGCTCAGTCGGGGCTCTGGAGCGCAAGAGACATCATGAGTCAGCGCTGGAACGCTCCGGCCGTGCGCGCCCTGGAGTGAAGTGGAGGCTCACATTGCATCGATGGTTGCAGGAATCTTGAAGGGAAAAAGGGTTGAGGTCGTGGGAGACCTGGTGAGCCGATTGACGTTTTATCGTCCGCCGCTTGTGGGCCTGTGAGGGGCAGAAAGGGTCGAGACGATACCGTCACACAGGCGGTCCGAGTCAGCGCACGCGATGACGTAATACGTCGCACGGGGTAGATCGGAATTGTGTGGGATGGGTCGGATGTGTACTTACTCAGCATCACCGCTCGCTTGGAACCTTGGCCCAACCATTGGAGGAGCCCGATAGTTTTGCAGCGCCGGTATCCTCGCCGGAGTTTGGTGAGGAAAGAGAGAGAGAGAGAGAGAGAGATCTGGCCAGCGCTCGGGAGGTCATTCTCGAATGCTCCCGCGCACGGACCCATTCCGAACGCGATGCCATCCTCCCGAGTTCCGAGGCATGACAGACGGACATCACACCAAGCAACGGGTGATTTATTTTATCGTCGGTTAAAATCTTCTTCTCCGTGCCCAGGACCCTGCTTTTCTAGGCTATACTGCAGTTCGGCGAGTCGGCTCAATTCGAATTCTGCCGGTTCGGCCATGAGATGTCCGCACAAGCTGTCGGAACAGTTCGGTCTATTGATAATGATGTTCATCGAGCTTATCAAGCAAATCTCACGGCTTCCCATTTCGTCCGTCCGAGTGACCCATCGGCCTCGGCGTGATCAAGCGCAGCCCGAACAAAGAAAGACCTCCTCTCCCATTGGGGTCGGCGCGCTCAGACTCGGAACCCGGAAGAAAAAAATGTTCCTAGGGCCTTGTCGAACCGCGCAATGTCTGCTCTGGTAGAATTCAATAATTTAGCCGTTGAAAGGGTATCGTCGTACATCGATGCACCGCCGTGCACAGGCAGCTGACGGTGCCCCTCCTCCTCGGAGGTGCGCGGGTCGAGCCGCGGGCGAGTTTCAGGGGCGCTGACTGCGCGCACGCCCTAGCCGCATCCTCATGTCCCTTGAGGGCGTCCAAGTTGGAGCTTGGACACTGCGATCCCCTGCTCTGACCTTTTCCATCCCTCACCCACGGCAGTCAGTACCATGTCGTCTGGTGCACCCGACTTTGATGCCGCCGAGTTTGCACAGTCCGATATGCGACTACTCATATCGGACGTCGAGTACAAGCTCACGCTGGTCCCAAAGGGGCACCCAGACTAGCAGCGGGCCACGGCGCCCACGCTCGAGACCCGCATCCCCTTTGTGGACGAGACCGGTGCCGCTCTCGACCCGGGTCGTTGAAAGGCACGCTGTCTCGGACAGCGGAGCCTCACTGGTGACCGAAGATGACAGGTGCAAGTTATATGGATTACAACTAGCTTCTGGTGTCAGCTCGATGAGATACGATAGTGCTGAGATAGGGAACACCAGTACTCACCTAGCTTCTGGTGTCAGCTCGATGAAGAGAGAGCTGAAGAAGCTAGGCGCGCGCAAGCTCTATTTCTAATGCCTGTGGCCCGTCGTAAGGCCTTGCCTTACACTCTCCCCTCCTTGACACAAAGCTCCCCTCTGAAAAAACACTCTCATTCCTCGTTCCGATGTTCCCAACGGTCCAATGCCTCCGTGTCCTCCAGTGCCTCGGCAGGCTCCCATGAATCGCTATCCGACGGCCATGAAACCCAAGAGACCAAATATTGAGTCTTCCCCGCTCGGACCCTTTCATCGACGATGTCCTCGATGACCCACTCGGGTTCTCCACCTACGTCCACCGGTCCCGGGCGCGCGGGTTCTCGGCTTGGGAACAATTCCGAATCATTTGAGCGGTAGGCCTTGAGCTTGCCCGTGTGGAAGAACGGTACCGCGGAATCGTCCTTGTTGAGTTGCAAGGTGTACGTGGAGATCCCTGGCTGCGCCGCAACAATGCGATAAGGGCCGTCGAAACGGTCCATGAGCTTGGCTGCGCGGCGCTTGCGGGTGTGAAGTCGCTTCCTGCGGTCACTTGAGTCGAGCAGCACAAGGTCCCCGACGGCCCATGAAGGTTCATCCGCGCGGTCCTTGTTGGCTTGGGCGGCTTGACGAACTTTGGACACAGCGAGTTGGTCTCGTGCCTCCTCGCATGACTGGAAGCGAAGTGCGAGCAGCTCCTCAACCGATGGGAGCTCCTCGTCGCCCTCAATAGGGGCAAGCGGGGCGAGGGTGGGTGTGTACCCCAGGACAAGCTCAAACGGGGTCTTCCCCGTCGAAACGTTGACCGATGAGTTGATGGCATACTCACAAGCGGTGAGACATTCAACCCAATTGGATTGTTCCCTGTTGACAAGCGAGCGTAGGATCTGGAATGCGGTCTTGTTCGTCTTCTCGCTGCGCCCGTCAGTCTCGGGGTGGAACGCCGAGGAAAGTTGCAGCTTGATGTTCAGACGCTTGTGCAGGGCGGACCAGAACTTGCTCGTGAACAACTTGTCACGATCCGAGACAATGCGTTGAGGCAGGCCAAAAAAACGATGCCACCCCTCATGAAAGCGGTTGGCAACATCCACCGCTGTGTCGGCTTCGCGCGCAGGGATGAGGCGGACATATCCCGACAGTCGATCGGTGATCGTCAAGACACGGTCGAACCCCTTGTTTGTTGGCAACGGTCCGACAAAGTCAACGGCGATGTCCGTCATGGGGCGCACTGGAACGGGAAGAGAGTGAAGCTTGCCCGCGACGCGAGTGGTACGGGCCTTGGTTCGTTGACATGAGTCACATTGTTGCACGTATTGCTTGACGTGGCGGGACATGTTCGGCCAAAAGTACGTCTGTATAACAGTCTGGTACGTTTTTACATCACCTAGGTGCCCCAGCGCGTCATGAGCATCGTGAAGGATGGACTCACGGAGCGGGGCTAGTAGTGGAATGACAAGCCGGCCCCGTAAATACAGCAATGCGTCAATAATCTTGAACTCCGATGCGACCGACGCGATGTTGTTCAGGGCTTGCTGGCAGAATGCGTCGGTTTTGTACGCGTCGACAATTTGCTGCTTGACGACATCCGAGAGCGAGACTTGCGAAATGTTGGCCACAATGACGGGAAGTGGCTCGGGAAAAGAGTACCTGCTCATCGCGTCGGCTACAATGTTCTCCCTGCCCGGGAGATACTGGAGGTCGTAATCGAATTCGGCCAAGGTGTCAAGCCAGCGCGCCTGGCGTCGCGAGATGACCGTGCGCTGCGTCTGAAAGTGCTCAAGTGTGGAATGGTCGGTAAGGATGTGAAAATGGCCACCCAGGAGATCAATGCGCCATTCCTTGAGAGCCTCGACAATAGCTAGGAGTTCCTGCTCGTGCGTAGGGTAGTTGCGTTCAGCTGGGATGTATTGACGCGACCAGTAGGCAATGGGGTGTGCGGTCTTCCAATGCGAGCCCTGCAGGAGCACACCTCCGATACCTTGAAGACTGGCGTCGGTCATCACCCAAAATGGCATGGCATCGGCAGAGTGGTCGGGCGGGCGTAGGCAGTCAAGGGAGACGACAATGGACTTGATGGCTTCGAAGTGACGGACCGTTGGAGTTGTCCAGAGGTTGCCGATGGATGTCAGCCCTTTGATTGTCAACGGGGTCAGCGCAGCGGTATGCTCGGCAAGGCCCGGAATGAACCTGCGGAGGTACTGCACCAAACCGAGAAACCCCTTCAATTCCGTGACGGTCGCTGGGAGATGCCAGTCGTGGATGCGCTTGATCTTCTTGGGGTCGGCGTGTACGCCGGAGCGGTTGATGATGTGGCCAAGAAACTCACACTCCGAGGTGGCGAGGTTGGTCTTTGATGGCGAGCAGTAGAGTTCGGCTCGGCGCAGGGCGTCCAGAACTTGGCAAACACGGGCCTCGTGCTCCTCCAGCGTATCGGCGAAGATGGTGATGTCGTCAAGGTAGACGAAGCAGATGGTGTCGAGTAATCCGTGCAGGGCGTCGTTGATGTGGCGCTGGTGGGTGGCGGGCGCGTTGCAGAGTCCCATGGGCATGACCGTCCATTCGTACAAACCCCAGGGTGTCGAAACCGCGGTCTTTGCTATATCCTCTTCCGCCATCTTGGTCTGAAAGAAGGAGTTGGTCATGTCAATCTTGGCCCAGAACTTGGAGCACGTCGACAGGATGTCATCGGCCAGGGGCAAGGGTGTGCGGTCCTTGATGGTGTGCCGATTGAGGTGGCGGTAGTCGTTCACCCATCGCGGTGCAATGGTCGGGTCCACATCCGAGCCCTTCTTGGGGATGATGAACGCCGGTGACGCGTACGGCGAACGTGAGGGGCGAAGACGGCCACTTGCGAGGTGCTTTTGAAGCAGCAGGTACCATGCCTGGCGATGGCGTTTGGCGACCGGATAGCCGCGCAGGTTGATCACAGTGCGCGGGTTGTCAAGCTCGATATGGTGTCGCACCGGGGATTGATAGGTGGCAACCGGTGGAATGTCGTCAGGGAAGCGATCAGCGTAAACCGCGCGCAGGCGCTGGTCGAGCGCGGCAAGGCGGAGCTGTTCGTCTTCGTTGACGGGCGCGATAGCGGCCACGGGCGACGTGCCGCGCGGCTGGGACGATAGTTCAAGCAGGTCAATTGGCTCCTCCGGGTTATTCTTACACGTGAGGTGGGGGTGGGGGAAATGACCTAGGTCAATCTTGTGCGTGTAGATGAAGTTGCCTCCCAGAATAAGCTCGAGGTCCCTCCCAAGGGGCGCCACTTCGGCGTACGTGGGGCCCGCCGCCCAACGTCCATTAGCCAGTTCGACCGGAACTCGCACAAAATGCGTGCAGGTGAAGACGGTGGGAACTTGGTTCTGCATTGCAAGAGTGTACTTCGTGTGCTGTTCCAAGGCCCGTTTTTCCAATCCCAATCGCTGAACGAAGTCCTCACTGAGGAACGTTTGAGGCGACCCCGAATCTACGAGGGCCGAGGCAGTGAGGGTACCATGAGCACCACGCAGAGAGACGGGTAAAGGCGGGAACGAGCGAGGGGCGTACGAGTAATCATCGTCTTCCGAGTCACTGTTGAGGCCAGCAAACGTGGTTGAATCACCCGTTTCTTGGAACGTCTGGATGGCCGCCACCATACCAGGACGAGTGCGAGCGGCGGGAGCGGTCGACAGGGGAGTCGACGAGGTGGCGGGCGCTCCGGGAGCAGGGACATATCGAGGGCAGTTGCTCGACATGTGATCCGCATTAAGGGCGCGGCAGCGATAGCACCCATGGTTCGCGTCTAGGTAGGCGCGCTCCTCGGCGGTGAGCCGGGGACGGGGTCCCCCGAGGCTGGGGCGGTGGTGGGGACTGGTCACATCGTCGCCGTTGCGAAGGCCGTCGGTCGTGTGTTCGGCCGCTGTTGTAGGAGTGCGGCGACTTGGGTCGCAATGGCCGCTCGGCGTTGCGCGATGACGCCCCACTCTTCGCGTCCAATCCGTTCGAATACTTGATAATCGAACTCCCCGGGTTGCTCCGCCGGTGCATCGCTGTAGACGTCGGTTTCCGAGACCACAGCTGGGGCGGGAGCATCGAGAGCGAGTCTCTCGAGTGAGATCGGACCATCCAGCTAGCGACGAGACAACATGCGTGCGGAGGAGTCGGCACAGCTCGGGATCGGTGCCGAGGAGAACAAGCTTGGCGAGTTCCTGATCCGAGACGACCTGGAACCCAATCTCCATCTGGAGGACGCGCATTCGATCGGAGAAGTCCTGGAACGCGTGTACATCGTGACCCGTCACTTGGCGTTGCCGGTGCAACACCTCGAGTTGCGTCCAGACGAAATCGGCGGGCACGGCGCGGCGGATCAACTCCGACTTGAATTGGGCGTACGGTTTAGCAAGGTGTTTGCTCAACCCTTGAGAGAACCAGGTTTTGAGCGCCAGGACTTGCAACCCCATACCAGCGCCTTCGATCTTGTCGTGGTCGGAAGTGACGGGTACACGGGCCACGCGCCGGTTGTAGTAATCCAGGCGCATGAAGTATTCCCGAAGAGCCTCCATCGAAGTTTGATGCAGCTGAGGTGGGTCGCTGGCTTTGTATACGTGCGTGGGCGGGACAGGAGTGGACATGGCGGGCGTGCTGGGCTGGGCTGGGGGGGGGGGGCGCGTGTGAATTTTTGTGTCAATTGCGTCTTCTTGCGGAGGCGGAGTGCGTGTGGGCTTGTGCGGAGGCGGGGCGTGTGCGGGCGTGGCTGGTGCGGGCGTGCTGGGCTGGGCTGGGGTGGGACGCTGGGCTGCTAGTGCTGCAGGGTCGTCTTGATTTGAACGATCCTGGCTAGTCGATTGGTTCGATGGTTCGAGTACGGCCGGACCTGATGAGCGTAGGCCGTATCGTTGGGGTACCAATGAACTCGACGTTGTCAAAAAAAAAGTGAAAGGCACGCTGTCTCGGACAGCGGAGCCTCACTGGTGACCGAAAATGACAGGTGCAAGTTATATGGATTACAACTAGCTTCTGGTGTCAGCTCGATGAGATACGATAGTGCTGAGATAGGGAACACCAGTACTCACCTAGCTTCTGGTGTCAGCTCGATGAAGAGAGAGCTGAAGAAGCTAGGCGCGCGCAAGCTCTATTTCTAATGCCTGTGGCCCGTCGTAAGGCCTTGCCTTACAGTCGTCTACGCTGTCATACCAATGACGGCATCCCTCCCACTTCCGCCATGGGTATCCCCAGTACGTCTTCCCTTCCACCTCCCACTCCTGCTCTGAACACGAGGCTCGTCCAGCCGGACGAGGGCTCGGTCCACGCCATGACGACGCTTGTGTATCGCAAGACGTTGGACCCAGTCGCAGTCTATTACAAGATCGGGAAGAAGACTTGTGTCTTTCTTCCCGATATCTTACAGGCTCAGACGCAATTCGTGATCGGAGGTGCCGAGGAGTACCCCAGGTGGCTGCAGCTTGGCGACTTGCAACCTGGGGCGCCGCTGGAGCAAGCCGTCGCCGCTCTCGGCAAGGCCCAGGAAGAGGGAAGGGGGAAGGGGTGGGGAGCCGCTGGGGCGAGGCGATCGCTGCGCAGTGGCAACAGCGCGCAGAACGTGGATGTAGAAAGTGAGTTGAAGCTCTCCCGGGCTTCTTGCACTGCACTCTGTATTTGGTCCGGAGACTAACGAAGTTCCACTCGGTTAAACCTGCAGTGGCCCATACCTCCGACCCGGGCCCCTCGCACACCCTCGACCCTAGTGCTCTTCCCTTCCTTGCTCCCTCGCATTCATCCACCCCTATCGACCCAGGTCCCTCACAACCTCTTCGACAGCATGCTCAGCCTACCCCATCTCGCTCGTCGGCCGCGGATGATCACCGGGTTCGACGTCCGATCGACGACGACTCTGACGCAATCGAGCTCGCTTCCGATGACGATGCGATGGGTGGCAAGGGGAACGGCAAACCCAAGGGCAAAGGAAAGGAGCAGGAAAGGATGGATTCAAACGGAAAGGGAAAAGCGAAAGCTGCGCCACCGCCGATCAAGAGGCAAAGGGGAGGATGAGCTTTGCTCGCATTGCCTCGAAGCTCCCAACTAGCCTGTCGCTCGAAGGCGAGCTTGCACGCGGTTATTTTGGTATGTAATTTTTTTTTCTGATGCTCGCCTTTTGTATGGGTTTTCATCTTGCCCGCCACCACAGCCTTCCGACTGATCTGACTTTTGTCTCACACCAAAACGCAGTCGTCGATCAGCCCGCGCTGTCAGGCTTGGATGTTCGCTTCTCTGGATAATTACGGGGGTTGGTGTGTCTCGGGCATTCTTGTGAGGTGCAATGGGGTATCGGTTTGACCTTGAGTCCAAGCGGGGCAGATTTTGAGAGTGTGAAATGTGAGACACCTTCATGTGTCACACAGGTTACGGTATAGCTTGTCCTCGCTCAGAACCCCTCGCTCGCTCGCTCGTCGAATTGACTGCGCCAAAAGTATCACGAATGTGTTGGTTTTCTACCAGAACTGCAAGAGTGGGAAGTCATTCTGTCATTTCATATCATGAGACATGGTGTCAAACGAAAGTCAACGAGTGTCGTCCGCGAACTGGCGCTCGGTCGAGCTCGGAGCAACGGGGCGGGGTGAAGAGGGAGGTGACGGTGACGTGGAGCGTCAAGCATTTGGCCATGGTACAGCTCGTGGGCAAGGAACGCTCAAACAAGGAAGTGGGAAGGAGGCTGCAAGTACTGCCTGGGCTAAGGCGGCCGAGGTCCGACAAAATCCTAAGTCCGAGTGGGTTACACTGGACCAACAAGCCCGGCCACCGCATTCGAAGTTGAGGAGCGCGGCCCGACGGAGGGCCCCCAACGCCGGACCCCCACCTTGTTTCAGCTTTCGACCATCTGCCAGCGGCTCCACCATCTCCTGAATCACGCATCCTCGGATCAACAAGCCCAGTTTGCCGGGTATGTTGCATCTCGTTTCATGTGCAGTGTGGTCTCCGAGTCACGACGTCGCACCAGCCTGGTGCCGCCACCGGCGCTGTTGACGAGGGGGGCGGGGGGCTGTTTGAATTGATGCAGTGCGCTGATGTCCGTCCCTCGTCGTTTCCCCCTTTTCCCATTTCCCATCACCCTTTCCCAGCACTCATCTACTATCATCCCTCGTTTCCCTTTTTTCCCAGCACCCATCTATCATCATCCCACCCAGTCGCGTCTCGTCATGGGCATCGACAATGGAGCGCCGTTCCTGCGCCAATCAATCGCCAAGGAGCCTCGCAGCCTCGTGGGCACGGCCACCGACCCGGCTCGACTCCTGCCGGCCATTGATGGTGACAAACCCAAAGGTAGCTTGTGAACTTTTTGCACCGCGTGGTTTCACTCGAACAAATCAAAGAGCTTACCTACTTTGCGCCTCTCGGTTGCTTTCACCACGGCTCTTAGTTCTCCTCATCGATGCGTCCACCGCGTTTCGCGACCTCTGGATCTCGATTGTCGGCAGGAAGCACCGTGGCCGTTCGTTCATCGACATCGTGATCGCAAGGCTCAAGGTTCTAAAAGAAGAACAATCGTCTCTACAAGTCGTCGTCATCCTCGACAATGCGAAATGGCGGCCCAAGCTCAAGGAGGCGACGGCTAAAGAGCGTGCCGAACGATCGACGATCGCGCCGGACAATGTCGACGTCCGCTTCGGCGACTTTCGCACAAAGCCGATCTGCTTGTCCTCGGAAGAGGTACAGGTACTCCAAGAACGTCTACCCCAACCTTCGGCGCCCAACGTCAACTCGGATCAGATCCATGTGTGGCGAGTTGGCTCGGGCATAACTTTCGTCATGGCTCGCACTGAAGCGGACACCTACATGTGCGCATCGGCGCGACGTGGCCACATCATCGACGTGCGTCTCGACCCCCAATCCACTGTTCTCTGGTCAGGGGACACCGATTGGATCTACGGCCTCCCTGCGTGCTTCTGTCGCTGGCGAATCTACGAGGAGCGAACACCGTTGAAACTCGCCGAGGAGCTGAAGGATGTTTCGCTCGACACCCTCTCCGTAGATGAGTCCTTCGTAGCGCAAGCCGGCGGTACGAGGACCAAGAGGAAGATCTTTTTACTCGTGGACCTTTTGGAGCTGAAGCAGTGGGGCACAGACAAGGCGCTGGTCATGGCGGGGATCGTCGCAGGAGGCGATTACCTCAGCGGTGGGCTCCCTGGCATCGGACTCCACCAGGCGTTCGAAAAATACAAGTTTTGCCTCTCGTTCGAATTCTGGCAAGCTCCTCTCGAGACGATCCACAAAGCCTTCAAAGGCTACCTCGAGAACGAAGCGCGTCGAGGGTATCCAACGTGCTCGGAACGAGATGGCCGCGATCTATGCGCTCGTGGCGAACGACACCGCCGAGCGTTTCGACCGGCTCAAGGCAAAGAAGGCATCTCCCACCACACGCAACATCCCCCTCCGTGGCTTCAGGACGCCTTGGGGCGCACCCCTTCCTAGAGCGACGACGTTTCCACCTCAAGCTCCGGTTACACCCCCGCAGAGGACTCGACCCTTGTTCTCCACCACCTCCGCAACCCCACCCGCCAGCTGGCTGCTTTCTCCACCCCCGATACCCCTAGCACCCACTCTCGCCGCCTTGACGACCGTCGTCACCGCTTCGGGTGTCATCGCCGGACCTGCCACTCTCGCTGCACCTCCACTTCCCTCCGCGCAGCCACCCTCCCTCGCAGCGGCCAAGCTCTTCCTCAAGCAGCCCCGCAAGAAGATGACTACGCTGCGTTCGCAAGCATGGCAGGCTTTGGGTGCGCGCCCTGACCTTCGCAAGGAGTACCTCAAGGTGGTCACGAAGGTGAGGCACTGCCGGGAGAAGCTGGGCGCCCAAGTCGCTCGAGTACGGAGTCCTCTGTACCAATCCATCATGGGATACCATGCATGGAGGTACATCGACACCACGAGGATGGAGACCGGTCCGTTGCTCAATCGAAGCAAGTCCAAGCCGGAAGGCGAGCGCAGACCGCAGCGACCCGCACCTCCTTTGTTGGATTCGTCGAGTGCGAGTGATCTCGATGTCGACGATCACGATCTCGGCTCGGAGGATCGGGCTTCGGGCATGGGCGGCGGCACCTTGGACGAGGAGGAGGACGAGGTTGATGGCGATGATGGCGATGATGATGATGATGGGCAAGAGGACGAGTTCGGGGAGGACGAGTACGGGGAGGATGAGATCGGGGAGAATGAGTTCGACGAGGGGGAGCCGATGCCAGATCCCATCACTGCTCCTCATGACGACGACTTCCAGGATGTGGGCGAATCCGAGGACGAGGGCGAGGGAGGGAGTCAACAGGGTCAAGGCACGCCGGCGGGCAAGGAGTATCATGCTCCTGTTCGACACCGAGGGTTGCGGGCGAGCGTGCGCGAGATTCTTCCGCCCCTATCACCCGACCAACCGGACGAGAACAATACTCGGTTCAAGGACGTTTTCTCCTCGCTTATGCGACTACAAACGCTCGCGCGAGAGCTCGAGTTCAAAGAGTTGGTGTGTTGGGAATGAGGGTTAGGAACCGCGCGTTCTTTGGTAATCTGTTTAGAAGCGCTCGTCTGTTTAGTGAAGCCTGGCGATGCGCAACCAACTCAAAGTCCTGAACGCAGTCCTGCTCGACTACCTCAACGGATGGACCCAGAGGGACTGGCACGAGATCGCGTCGAGCGACTCGGCCCTGGTGACGAGGATGCGTGCCGTTATTCATGCGCTCCAGCCCCATGATTCCCTCACGTTATCTCGTGTCTCAAAGAAACCGGGGCAACTCACGGCGACCGTCTCAGTCGACCTCGCAACGATGACCCCGGCGGAGTATGGTCGGCACGTCGAACAGTTCGAGGGAGCGGCCAATGATGATGGTTCTCTCCTGTACAACGCGGTGAGTCGATTAGTCTGCGAGTTCAGAGAGAGAGATCCGCCAACTTGAAGATGGAGGAGTTGACTCGTCGACTCGGAATCACTTATTTTGCGGCGGTGATGTAGGCTTCAGGGTTGCTGGCCTCGGCCGTCAAGGAACTTCGAGCGAAAGGAGTCTTCCTCCCCCGCTACAAGCTCGACTCGGAATACTACCGACACGTGGCCAAGCGTTATGCGAAGGCTATCCTTGGATGGAAAGATCGAGGTGATTACGTACTCGCCACCTACGCCCGGCACATGTTCGAGTCTCGTGACATCGAATCGGCGCTTTCGCCGCTCGACCCGGACGACGAGTTCCGTCAGCCCAAGGGGCGCAAGCGACTGCTCGACTGTCTCGTCACCGCGCTCTCGGAGGTCCCATTTCCCTGGCGCTCCCATCGAGCGGACCTCGAGGCGTTGGTGGCCGGGATCGCCAAAGACCAGTCTGATCCCGACCACGAACACCTCTGCGCGGTCATGCGAGCGTGCTTGCAAGAGGCTTGCGGAAGTCGAGACCAGCGGATGCGATGGGGATTTGGACGAGATCAAGCTTCCGTCACTCGTCTGCTCGGCGCCAAGCTCTCCGATTTTGGACCCGGCGGCAAGCTCAAAAACCCGATCGCGCTCCTGCCCGTCTACCACCATCTTCTCCTCGAATCCGGACATGGCAGGGGCATCGTACCCGTGAGTCCGACATTCGACAGCTGGCACTCTGTCACCCCAGCCGGTGTAGCGATTGAGTGCTGACCTTGACTGCGTTGGGGAATCTGTTTGTTGTTCGGACAGAGTTTTGTGAACTGTTCGCCGGGGTATCTCGGCGCGATCCTCACGTACCCCGTCTCGCTCGTCCGAACGCAGCTCGACTGGTTGAACAAGCTTGTTGCTGCGTCTGTCGTCAATGACGTATCGGAGCCCGCGGGTAACGCCGCAAGTCCGACTCACTTCCCCGTCCTTCGAGCGTTGCTAGGAAGAGGGTTCAACCTGATCTTCACCACATCTAAGGACGAGAAGACGATGCACGTCAAACCGGAGTGGGCTCGTGACGCAGTGGCCGGCGTCAAGGCGCTGCAGCACCTCTGTTTCGGCCGACCCCTGGCTGGCTCGGACCCGTCGACCCCGACCGTCCCACCTGAGCTATCCGAGGAGAGGCTTCTCGAGTCGGACGCGTTCGCTGCCTTTGGTCCTCGCCTCGTCGACATCCTCTTCGACACAGACAGGATTCTCGACAAGGACGAAATACCGGCGGGGTCGTTCACAACGAACGGACACCGAGTTCGTCTACGAGTCTTGAACGTGTCGAGCGTGGCATCAACAGAGCGTAACAAGTCCTGGTACAACAATACCGACGTCTCAATCGGCTCCGCGCTCGACCGGACGGTGGCCAAAGCCCGGCTGTGGCTCCGCTTCCAAACAAAAGGCAAGAAGGGCCCGCGAGTGGTCAAGCACGACTTGGAGCACTATGTCGACGGCATCAAGCACGTGTTCCGCTTATCGTATGCTCGACCGGGATCCGCCGAGAAGCCGAGCCGAATTGACGAGTTGGAACGCAAACTCCGAGAACGCGCGGTGGCGGCCGCTCCCATCCCTCTCGATCCCGAGCGCCAAGCTCTCATTGAGCGCGAAGCCGTGCGAGTCGAGTACGTGTCCTGGAAGCGATTCCGAGATGTACCCATCGTCGGCGGTCGCATCTGCATCCCGTCGATCCACAACCCCGAGGCACGTCGAGCGGTATTGGGAAGGCTCCAAGAGCACTCGAACAAGAAATTTGGCACCCAGGTGAGTCGAGTTTGCTCCTATGTTCCGTGCGTCGGACGGAAGTCGGCAGGGTAGCATTTTGGCTGATGAATTCGCCTTTGTCCGTCGTCGATTGGGATATGTTTGATTCCGCAGCACGCCGTAGCCACGGAGGACCTCATTGCGGTGTTTGAACAACGTGGCGACCTCTTCCGTGACCTCTGGCGTGCTTTCGAGGATTCGATCGTCATTTCGATCGATCTCGGTCACGCTCGGCCGGTCACTGCCGTCGCTCGTGTTTTCACGCACGACGAGACGGCGGCCTTGGAGACGTTCCGGTTCGGCAAAGAGGGGCTTGGAGCTATCGCAGCGGAAGGCAATCGCAAAGGTGCCTGTCAACGCGCGAACAAGACCCATCGTATCAACTTTCAGGAACTGAGGCCGAGGAACGAAGTGCGTAAGTACGAGAGCCGATGATGATAGTAAAGATAGTTGGAGAAGGAAGATAAGCGCTAAGGGAGCGCGCGCAAGGCAGGCTCGAGACGCGCGGGGCGACTAATATCAACAACTAGTAACTAATCATAATCGGGAATACCAGTGGGATGAAACAGCAATATATTGACATCAACGAGGCCTTGCGTGCCAACAAGCTCGAGTGGTCCCCGCTTGCGGCAAAACTTGGGTTTCCCCTTCGACACACGCACGACGCGATTTCGGTTTCAAGTACGCAACCAGAGGCGAATCTCACGGTTATGTACCAACAAGCCGAACAAATGGCCAAAGTGTTTGGTCTCGAGTGCATGGGTGAGTTTGCGCTGGTAAAGTTTCTCCTTGCAATCCAAGAAAATCGGCTCGGGTGCTCGAGCTGGGTGGACTCTGCTGACACCTACGCTATACGACACCTGGCAGCCGCGGCTCGTCGACCCAACCACCTCGTCCCATCTCCACCGACCCATCCCGAGACAACCACCTACAATCACCTGCTCTCAAAAGGCTCGCGACCCGCCTTCCTCGTAGTCGGAAATGGGTTCACAAGCCCTGGTCCCAATCCGTCGGGCGTCTCCTACGCCCACAGTTGCATCAAGATCATCTTTCGCTGCCTGCAGGCGCTTGGACTGGAGAGCATGTACTTCTGTACCGTCAGCGAGTATTTGACGTCCAAGCTCTGCTGGCATTCGGACTGTAGGGACACGGATGGAACGCGGAACTGGTGAGTCTGCCATGATTGAGACCTCTTGATCACTTGCCGAGTCGTTTCTACCGCGTTCGGCCCTCAGCTCGGGTCACTGACACTCGCGCCGTGTTGTGATTGGCCTCCGCAGGGTCGGTCTTGGCCAAAAATCGAACGGATCCACCTGTTTCCGCGTTTCCCTAGGCGGTGGGACCTGCGTCCATATGCCTGCCGACCGGGACATCATGGGAGCGGGGAACTGCCTGAATGCGTTCGAGCATGAGATCCTATGGGGCCGGCACCCCTTCTTCCGGTCGGCTCCCGCCGCTGTGCAAGCATCGCAGGACCAGCAGTAAAGTCTTCAATGGGGAGTATATGATAGCAGCAATTAGCTTGTAATGTTCTGTGAAAGAGTAAGAGATAGAGCCGCGCCAGTCGTGGCCTCCGGAGACTCAAGTTTGTGGAGAATCTCGTGATTCTGCCACTCAATAGAAGACATTCATTAGACCAAGTCCACAAGAGAAACCAGTTGGGCGACGCTCGATGCATTGCCTCGCTATCGCACCTCACTGGCGCTGGTGCCTCCCTTCCACCTCGGGCAGACATAAAAAGTAGCACGCACACATAACCGCTCTAATCGCTCGTCACTCGGGTCTAGTCGAAGTGGCGGATTGGATCGAGAGGCGACATACCGGATAAGGGATGTGCACTGTAGAATTGACCAACATCACCGTGTTGCTGTAGCACAAATAGCACAAATATACGACTGTCGTTACCAACCTTAGTCTCGGCGTCCGCGCGGGCCACCCGCGGCTAGTGCCGATCCGGTCGTACCAAATCCGACGTCACACCGCGCAACGAGCGATTTTGGGGTCGTCTGGCGGGTGGATGTGAGGGCTGGGTGCTAGTATTTAGTCAGACTTTTTCGAGCACTCCGATGATTTGGTAATCGTATTTTCGGTCAAGTTCCATCGCACCGAGCAACGAGTCCCCCCGGGGTCCGCTTACTCATCAGAGTTCGGAGAGCGAGGCGGTTCCCTTCGTCCCCAACTTTTTCTTTTCTTCCCTCCTGCTTCCTTCCGCACCTCTCTTCTTCCTGATCATATCAGCCAAGTTGAAATCATCTGCTCACTCATCGAGTACCTCAGCACCCAACCAGTCACTCCCCTTTCACAAGTCAAAAAGAAGCCATCATGGTTCGCAACGAGCAGCTCATCTTCGCGACGACCCCGACCGAGTACCCCATTCCGGGCGAGGTGAGTACGATGCCCTTAGCGGAGCTACGTGGATCTCGAGTCTCCGCTATGGTTTTCATGATGGTCATACTTGGTCGACTGCAAGTAGTGTGGTCGCACTTGGTGTCCAAAGGTCGGTCCGAGAATTGACGGTCACGTCATAAGTCCGAGCGCAGCGTCGGCGTTTATTAGTAATCAGCACGTCACTACCTCCACCTTGGCACTTAGCGATGAAGCTGTTCCATCGGGAACACTACCACCAACACAGAACCTAGGAATCCCTAGATTGGGAAACTTACTGATAATCACGACTTATCCTTTTCACCTCGATTTGATGTAGACGTTGCGTAAGGAAACCTCAGACTTTGACGCCACTCAATCCGCGCCGTCAGGAGGTCTGGTCACCAAGACCGTCTGTCTTTCGCTCGATCCTTACCTCCGTGGCCGACTGAGGGATGGCGGTGACTCCTACGTCCCCGCTTTCGAGAAGGGCAAGCCAATCGAGAACTTTGGTATCAGCGAGATCCTCTCCTCGTCGGCCGAAGGGCTCAAGAAAGGCGATCGAGTTTACGGATCGACTCGTTTCGCCGAATACAACATCTTCACCGCGGACCAGGTCAAGGGTTTGAAGGTGATTAAGAACGACGAGAAACTACCCTGGACGACTTGGGTCGGTGCGGCCGGAATGCCTGGACAGACGGCTTGGTGGGCATTGAAGCACATTGGTCAGCCCAAGAGAGGTGAAACAATTTTTGTTAGTGGCGCGAGTGGCGCCGTCGGACAGTGAGTCATGGTCGCCTTTTATTTCTCTTCCCTGATTCCCTTGGCTTCATGAACTGAACGCACCCAATCTATCAGATTGGTGATCACGTTGGCGCATTCGGCTGGTCTCAAGGTCATCGCTTCGGCCGGCTCCGATAAAAAGGTCGACTTCCTCAAATCCCATCTCAACGTCGAAGTCGCTTTTAACTACAAGACCGAATCGACACTCGAGATCCTCAAGAAGAACCCCTTTCAAATCTACTGGGACAACATTGGAGGCGAGACGCTCGAGAATGTCTTGGCGACGATCGAGCGCAAGGGCCGCGTCATCGCTTGTGGCGCGGCGTCGCAGTACAACACGCGTACGCCTTACGGAATCAAGAACTCGTTCCAGATCACGGCCAAGTCGTTGAAGGTCCAGGGATTCATCATTTTGACTGAGGATATCACGGGCTTCTACGATGTGGTTCCTAAGTTGATCGCTGGGGGCAAGGTTCCCGAACCCAAGGAGCACCACGTCAAGGGGTTGGACCAGGGTGAGGCGTTCACGGCCTTGTTGAAGGGTGACAGCACGGGCAAGGTTGTCTACATCTTTGAGTAGACGTCGCGCGTTTACATTTTGCTCGCTTGAGCTTGTTCTTCGACCCTTCGCAAACAGATTAGATATAGCATCGCACCGCAATCAGACTATTTCGTCCTCTCTTGAAGGTCTGAAATCCTGAAATCCCAACTTATTTTTAGATTCGAACCGATGTTATGAGGTGACTGCGAGCAAGCAGGATGTAACGGTCGCGTCAGACTGGGTTAAAACGAGACAAAGATAGGAGCTCAAGTCGCTGGCGTGGACTTAACGATAAAGGTGTGGAACGAGGCCAAGGAGGGACAGCCCCTTTAGAGAAGTGAAGAATGACGCGGACAAACCATACACTTTTACTTCCTTGCCGACAGATCTACGATCTCCTTCAGTGGCAGCACCAGGCTGTGCTTCCTACCCAAGGGCTTGCGCAGGACCTCATTCGCCCATTCGGTCGTCTCAATCTCGTTGCCGAAAAAGTCGACAGCTTCCCTGACAGCTTCACAGAGGATGACATGGCCCAAGACCCACAGGTGTTCCAAAAAAGAATATTCTTGATGTCAGACGAGATGCTACGAATCCTCATTTCGACGACCCCATTCTCCATAATGACGCCTTTTACATCTGACCGACTTCGACATATTTTCACTCAAACAGGCCAACCATCCTTTCACAGCTCTCGATAAGGGATTGACCCGTTGCAGACGAGATGCACAGGACGCGTGGCGTTGCAGTGCTCCGCCGGGATGAGACTAAACAACTCACTGGTCCGCTTCGGTCGTTCCGGTGAGTCGCAAATCGCCGCACCGCCAGGGGCACCTTCAGGGCGTCTACACTTCCCGGGGCCATAGATGATAAATCCTTCGCTCTAATTTCCAAGTGCTCCCTCTTCGGCCTCCTCTTCCTCTAGTGTTCGGATCCTCAGCGTGATCGACTCGGGACTGCACTTGACGATTTCGACCCTGATGGTGAAAAGAAAACATTGACGATGGGTGGCTCGAAGGTCAGTCAGCCTACACCCTCGCAGTTCGAAGCACTGTAAAGATAGCTCACCTCTCCAAGTCAACTGTTCGATAGGTCGCATCAGTCGCCCGGATCCTCTCGCGGGTCTGACCGGTGCACACGGCCAGAGTCTGGCAGCCCGCTGCCAAACCGCTCGCTAAGCCCGACGGGGCATCTTCAAAAACCAAGACCGTCTTGGGGTCGAACGGGGCACCCGATAGTTTCTCCAATTCTGAACCTCGAAAATCGGAACGAACCGTCAGTGCCCGATCAGGTTGCCAGTAACCCGGTCTCGCCAATGAGCACCGAGTGAGTCTCCGAGGATAATTGCCTTTGATTCCCTGCAAGTAAGGCTCCGGGTGCGGTTTCCCGTTGGTGACGTTGTCGGCAGTGACGATAAAAGGTAAATCAGGCGCATCGGCCTTGATCTTGCCCGTTTGCAAAGCGCTAGAAGCGTAAACGATCGTTGCTAGAAGAGAGAGACATGCTCAAGAATCAGTCATATGCTCGCGACCCGAAGTAAAACACCCTCCAACGTACCTGATGTGACGATCCCCCATCTCGCTCCGCCCTTGATCAAATCCTTGATCATCCGATGGACACCCGGTAATTCATAAATCCCCCTCTCGCCGCGTTCAGCCAACATCCTCCCATTTGAAGCAATCAAGCCCTCGATCCTGAACACCTCTTGGTCCAATTCGTCTTCGCTCATTTCGGATCCAGGCTTGGGTACGGTCTGCCATCGTTTGATGGTGTCTCGCGTGCGAACGCCATGGGAATGCGAGAGGAAATAGGCTGGTTCATGACCATTTGCTCGGGCCCATTCAGTCATGGTCAATTCGACGGCCGCGGTCGAATCGACGAGCGTCCCTGATGAGACAAGAGCGAAGAGGAGCGAGTGTTTCAGCTGACTGGCCGAGTTTCGATCGTTGGATAGTGAGCCTCTACTTCTCGCCTCGTCCAGACCACGCTCGAATCGTGAGGAGCTGGAACTTGCGAAGCTCGACAGGGGACTTGTCGTGCGATCAACTAGTTACCCGCGAAAGAGCTCGCTCGACTGACCATCCATGTCTGACAGGATCCCAGAGACGGTGATTTCGACCATGGTCGTCTACGGAAGCGCGGAAAAAGATCCGAGGGGTATAGGAGACAACGTGTATAAGCCACGAGGAAGAGCAGCGCTCAGCGCTCATCCATACGCGGGAAACTTGTTCGGCTACTCTCGGCAGCTCTCGGCAGCGCCGTCGGCAGCACCGAGTCGAGATCCCCGAGCGAGGCCCGCGAGGCCGAGACATTGCACAATTCGAAACCAGATGGGTTTTGCCGAAGCCTGCGGTGGCGCCGTGTATTCAAACGAACAGACCAAGAAACTCTTCCCCTCCACGACCAGGGGTAACATCTTCACAGCTCGGCGTGAGAAAAGCATACTCAGGTAGAGGAGAGCTGGACGGGACACTTCGGCGAATCAATAAAGCGGTGCTCTCCTCCAAATCGCCCACCGCCCGACTACCAGGGTTAATTTATGCGAACCTCCCTCCTCTCCGAAAGTAAGGACTGCGTGGGTTCAACATGATATGTTACATGCTCCTGCGGTGTAAATCGAAAACAGAAACTCGTTCGAGAGATGCTAAACCATCTTCACCTAACCGTCAGCGGCCACCTCAGTGATCATCTTCATTGATCGTCCCCATCGATGCGCTTCAAGGGGTCAGGGGAGCGACGGCATCGTCGACGTAATTGTAAGCCTCGTAAGAGTAGATCAAGCCAAAGATGAGGAAGAGCGTAGCGCCTCCGAGGGTGACTGTCAAAAGTTGACCGAGAAGAGATTGATCAGTGTCGTATACGAGGACGTAGAACCGAGTTAGCACCAGTGAACGTACCATGCTTGATGGAAATGTGTTGGGAGATCCATCGGCCTCCAAGAACAGCGAGAAGGGTACAGAACGAGTGGCCAAGGGTCGTGCCGAAAGTGACGAGCCAGACGTTCTGAAGACGAAGTGAGATTAGGAATCCAGGGACACCCTTCTGATGCGGGGGATTAAAACTCACATGAGCAGCAGCCAGTGCGATGGTCGTAATCTGACTTCGATCACCCCATTCAGCAAGGAAGGTGAGGATGAAGGCTTGCACAAAGATGGGGGAGAAGAAGAGGCCGAAAAGGTTCTTGACGCCCTCGGTCAAGGTCGACACGGCATCCTTCTTGCTCGGCAGGCTGAAGCTCGACCGCCGTTTCGAGCTCGTTACGGGTCGTGGAAGCCCAGCAGCGGGGGACGAAGCGGCGGATCTGGTCTCTTCGAGGTCGACCATCTGGTACGCCGCTTTCCGCCCTGCGTTCCCACTCGCGGCTTCCTCCTCGGCTTCCTCGACCTCTTTCTGCACCTCCTTCATCTCCTCTTCCATTTTTTGTCGTCCCGCATCACCAGCCTCCATCTCCAAGCCCTCTTGCATCATCCTCGCGCCAAAGACGAAGAAGAGCAGAGCAGCGGCAATGGTCGTGTACCGTTTCGGCAGCAAGGTCGGCACGATTTGCCCCAACAGGGACGAGAGCAACGACATGACCGCGAGGGCGGCGAGCGCACCGGCGAAGATGGTGACTCGGGGATGTCGCATCGACAAGATGGCGGCACTGTTGTGCGCGATCTCGAGTTGAACGACCATGGCGTGGCACGCGGGTAGACACGAGTCGCGAGAGAGGGGCCGAGAGAATAGAATCAGTCACGTGCATTCGTTGGGAAGAGGTTCAGCTGTTTTTTTTTTGGAAGGGGACTAACATGAGGAAAGTCTTGTCGCCAATCTCGGATACGACAATCACGGCTGAAGTCGGGTGTATCATCGTATGCAAACGGCGCGGCGAAGGCAGACGAGATGGAGGTGGTCCGACGCGACGAGCAGCCGGAGAAGCGCGAACGTGTCCACACGCGGTCGATGGCAGCGCAACAGGGAGAAAGGGAGATCGATCGAGCGTGTCAGCGGACCTGGATCAAGTAGCACAACCGAGTAGACTCACCAATAGCCCTGTCCAGCCCAGCCAGGGAAGGGATACCTTCAAACTCGAACATGACGCGAGTGGTGCGTGGTGCAAGGCGAAAGCCAAGCGCTGGACGACACGCCCCCAGCAGGCAGTGAGTGGCGCTGTCAGGCGAGGTCTGGCGAGGTCAGGCGCGCCGCAGCACTGCGACAGGGCAGGACAGGGCTTGCGAAAGGCACAGAGACACGTTTGGCGCGTTCGAGAAGGGTTAAGAACTGGATGGGGGCACCCTAGGAGCGCAAGTTCAATACTATCGGGTTCAGAAACCACTCAAAACACTCGTTCTAACAGCAGTAGTAGAGGAACGATATAAATTGCATACAACCCTTCACGTCAGGCGGCATCATGTCAATTTGGCCGAGATATCTCCTTTCTCCCCGCGCTCGGCACTCCATTCACCAGATCTACCCCGACCGACAAAAGCGCTTCCACGGCCCAAGCACTACGACAGGTAACAACAACAGCTCCAATCAGCAAAACTCGGACAGCCTCGAAAGTTCACATGTTGGGCTCACGGGTACTTGTCCTTGGTCTTGAAGAAGCGCGCGAAAAAGTCGATCAGGTACTGCGGAAATCGATCTTCGAGGATCGCTTCCCGAGCTCGGTGCATCAACGTGGACTGACAGAGAATAGCCTCTCATCAGCACATAATAATAACCCAGCACAATGGCGTCTGACTCACTTGATAAGTCAAATTATGTAATGTTAGCGCATGGGCGCCGACCGTCTCTCTTCCAGCAATCATCGAGAGCGCCGCTTTGGTCATCCCGTTGCCCTTGTCGCAGGTTGGACATGTGCATTCCGGGTCGATAACGGAAAAGTCGGTCGCGTTCACTTGTCGCTTGACGTCGACTGGGCCGTCAAAAGTGAGTGCCACACCGAAACGCTGGGAGCCGGAAATCACGCGGATTAGTGTTTCCATTCATTGAAGCGGAGAGCAGGAGCGTAGATGTGCTCACAGCTGTTCGAGTGGGAAAGACACAGTCGGCCATATCGACGCCTAGTGCAGCGCATACCAGTAGGTCTGTGCTGATGACAAGTGGGAACGACGTAAGCAACCTGGAATCCAAGATCGCGTTCCACGCTAAATTATCGAGTGAGACTTATTCCCCATAACCAATCCCCATGCAGTCTGCTCGGACGAGGCCAAATGCGGCGTGCATCAGCAAGCGTCAATCTGTTGAAACAGGTTCTGCCAACCTCAAACCACTGTGGACTCACATCTCGGCTTCTGTTCCGGTAGTGCCGCAGCGCACTGCGCGACGATCCTCCAGAACTGAGTCTTCTCCTCTCCACCCGACAGACCGCCAATCGCGTATCCCGGAAGTTTTTCCTGTCGTTCGGGCGAGAGCATCGCATCTAGGCATTTCTGACGCAACTCGGGATCAAGACCACCTGTGATGGAGAGAGCACCGGGGGAGGGGGACTCATCAGCCTTCGAGCCCTGTTCGAGGCAATGCGAGAGTGTGTGTTTGAGGCTGACCTTGAATGATGGCGAACAAATTCTGCTTCGTTCTTCGTCCCGATCGCTCGTGCTCGGCGATACATCGATCTAGCCCTGTTCCAAGGAGCATACATCAGCCTTACTGTGAGCTCACGCGACCGAAGCTAAATATCACGAACATCGAACAGATCTCCACATGGCCTCTTCCATCCTCGCACCTGTCGTCAACGTCGCGACGACATCATCCAGTTGCCTGTCGCGTGTCCGACAAAAGTCAGCACCGCCATCAAGCAAGGATCGTACTTTTTTATCCACTCCTCACATCATGATATCCGTCCCTATTGAGTGTTGGATCTGCATACTCCGTTCCGGCGTGAGCAGCGATGACTTTGTCCTGTGCCACAAACAGTAGCCACATGAGCCTCTCATCGCTCCTAGTATATTCACTCTTGGGGTCGAATTTTGTCACGACTGACGGATCATAAGGATTTGCGAACACCACGCCTTCTTCCTCGACTTTTGAAAGCTTGACTCTGCAATGGAAATTGAACCAGGCGATCAGGGGAGTCGGAGGTTTTGGTCAGCTCAAAATCGTGCCGAGCAAAACTGCCGAGGTTGTCGGAATCCACGACGGAGTGGTCTTTCTCATGCGCGAACGAGTAGAACAACCACTCACAGGCTGACCATCTGTGGAGAGAGGCCATCCGAAACGAACCATGTGGATCAGCTCTGACCCTTCACCTAAATCGCCGGTCTCCTCAACTCCACCCGAGCAGAGACCCATGGCCGAATCACCCCCAAGAGAAGCTCACCTGAAACCCTCCCGAATCACTCAACAAATTCCGATCCCAACCCTGATAGGTGTGACTCCCCCCGACCAGATCCAATATCTCCGGTGTCGGCCTTTGACTGAGATGGTACGTGTTGTTGAGCATCAACGTCAACGGAGGATCGAGCGCCATCAGTTGAGCCGGGGTCACGCCTTTCATCGAGGCTTGCGTTGCGACGGGCATGAACGTTGGGAGCAGCTGGATGTGAGAGAGGGAACATCAAGTCATTTTGTTGTGTAAGTGTAAGTTGGCGTTGGCGTTGCTGAATTGTGCCCTTTCGAGACCGAAGTGTTAGCTCCCGTTCCCACACTCACCGTCGCTCCATGAGGCAAGGTCATGCGCGAAACCCGAGCTCGTGTGGTTGAACATCGCGCCAAGATCTCAAAGTGAAGAGCCGGGGAAGCAGAAGCGGGGTTCAGCATCGCTTCCGGTGCTATCCCTTCGGTCATGCGGATTCGCCGGAAGGTGGGGACGAAGTTGAAGCTGAGCTCGGCAACTTCGCACCGGGCGCGGCGCGTCAAAGCAAAGACTCCCCAAGTGTTCAGAGTGGTCTCGGCCGAGATGTGGCCATAAATACTCGTAGTACACGATGTCAGGACAGCCATCTCAACTTTCCATGCAATTTTTGGGACTGGCAAAGAGTTCACACCTCCAGGAACCCGGAAAGAACGTGCACTGTTGTTTCAAAGAGCATCGTCTACGGGCAAGACCCACAAACGGCAAGGGTCTGCTTTTCTAAAGCAGAAAAACAAAACAGATCCCCAACTTCCTCTTTTTCTCTTCCTTTCTCCTCCCCGCCACATATCTTCTTCTTTTGTTGTTGCTTCCTTCGCCTACTTCTCCACAAATACCCCGCGAACCATGTACATCCTATCGAAACGACCCGTTTACAGAGCTGTCGGGAGGCAGAAGCGATTAAGCGCGGTCAGCAATCGGATCGACGTGAACCATCAAGAGAGAAGCCATAGTGCAACATGATAACGTACCCGAAGCACCAGTGATGATATCGACAAGTTCGTTCGTGATGGCGGCTTGACGCATTCGGTTGAACTGCATCCGGAGCTTGGCAATCATCTCCTCTGTGAGTCGTTCGAGTTGCGGTTCAAAGGTCAACAAGCCGCATCCCGGAATCTTCTCACATCATCAACACCACGTACCGGCGTTCTTGGAGGCGTTCTCCATGGCATTGCGACGGGCCGAAATCTGCAACGAGCCAAATGCCATCAGTTTCGAATGCTCCTCAACCCAGCATCCGCTTTCCCAGTGTGCCATCCCTCGGGTCGCATACGTCGCCAACTCACCTCGGCAGCGAAACCCTCAACGAGACCAGCGTAGATGGCGTTGGCCATAGCGAACGACGACAGGTCACCACCGAGCTCGTCACTCTCGACTTCGTAAGCCGAGAAGGCGGGCGAGAGCGACAAGGCCTTGTTGGAGTAGATCTCGATGAAGGCGGCCTCGTACGAGATGACGGTCAAGAACTTGTTGTACACGATCTTGATCTGTGGGAAGCAATACAATACCCGCGATTAGTCCCCGTCCGTAACCGACGTTCCCCCGACTCGAGAAGGACGCACCTTGTCGAACTCGAGGTGCTCTGACTCGATCTTGTCAGCGATGGCGAGCGCATCGGCAAAGGTGGGGACGGCCTTGCCGATCTGCGAAAAGGAGAGGGCCATCTCGTGGCTGTGGGTGCCACGGGCGAGCTGCTGCTTGGGCTTCTCACCGAGCGCGACGATGGTGACCTCCTTGCCGGCACCTTCGCCGGTCTCGATGTCGCGCTTGGTCGCCTTGGCGATCGACGAGTGGATTCCACCGCACAGACCACGGTCAGACGAGACGGCGATGTAGAGGATCTTCTCGACCTTGGCCTCGGACTTTGCGGCCTCGGACTGCTCGAAGACGGCGTTGTTGGCTTGACCGTAGGCCTTGGCGAGGCGCATCGAGTTCTGGGCACGCGCCAATCGAGACGCGGCAACCACTGTGGGAGACAAGGTGGATTACACAGGTGAGTCCAAACGGATCATAGAGCGTGCGACACTATGCCAATACGGATGGGATAGGGGTAAAGCGGCAGTAGGTGGGTTGCGGGTATATGGGTGGGATGCGGGATGCGGGATGCGGGATGCGGAGGCGGGCGGCGGGGCGTGTGTGGTGTACGACGATGACGATACGTACTCTTCATCGACTTTGTGATCTTGCCTGTAGAGAGTACAAGCCGTGATCATGGTCAGTGGCACGATCGACCGTGACAGACGACGAGGGAACGTACCAATGTTACCGACCGACTTGATACGACTCTCGAGCTCGCGCAGGGTGGCCATCTGCGTCGGCGTGCTGCTGAAGGACCGAGCCCCGGCCGGCGCGGCGACTCGAACGGCGGTGCGAGCGGCGAACATGGTGACACAGGCGGATCTGAGCCGTCACAACGACGGTCACAACAAGCCAGCAAAGCGTCAGTACATCGTCGAGGGTGCACTCGGGTCATGTCGTCGGTACACGGAGCGAGGCTGGGTCCAGTCCGGATGCTCCCGTCGCCCCGTCGCCCCCGTCGCCCCCGTCGCCCCCGTCCCTCCTGAGCCACACTCGCTCCGCATCCGCCCGGGTGTCGCACAGCAGCCTCGTAGGGAGCCAAAGAGGATTCCCGATCCAAAGGCAAGGTCGAATACGCACAGAGGTCGCGGCGATCGTCGGTCGACTTACAGGTTGGGCGTGGTTGGGTGGGAACGGGCGGGAACGAGCGCGCACCCGTAAGGCGCCGCACCAGGCCATTCCAAACTCGCGTATTAGCTCGTATTAGGCTCCCTCAAACAGAGCAGCAGCTCCCAAGTAGGTAATTTCGCAGTTTTAATGCCCCGGCATGACAACGCTGGTGTCTCCATGTCACCAGTACCTCCGGATGACGGGGAGCATGGAAGTGGTGAAATCCATATTGTACTCACCGAGCGAATCGCGGTGGGCTTGAGCTGAAAACCCCTGTCCAGCTGCCCATCGCCGCTTCCGTGCTTGCATACGTGCAAAGAAGCTGCGAGTCACTGTACTAAATCACGTCGGTGAATCGTCTGATCCCGTTACAACGCATAGCTTTTCTTTTGCGGTACAGTCTTACATTTCAGAAATCGTCAGGCTCAATTCGTACAGAACATGGGGTTGGGGTTGCTCGCAAAACATGCGTGCGAGCAATGGTGTCTAGAGAGCTATACGAGGGAGAGTTCAGAACACGAGTCGCCTTGGAAAAACAGACATAGAGAGAATTACGCTTCCGGTCTACCACACAAAGTCGGCCGGAGTGTCGAGCGCCCAGGTGAACTTGTCGACGAGCGTCTTGGAGAAGACCTTGTTGAGCGGCACATCGTGTTTCTTGCACCACGCAATCCTACAAAGCGAGCAACATCACTTTCGTCAGAAGTCGCAAGCGACCCATTCAAGACATCGAAGTGACTCACGTGATACGACTGTCGATATAATTGATCTTAGACGTTCCGAGCGAAACCTCCTTGCCCTCATCACGATCCGTCGCCGCGGTCTTGGCGACCAAGATTCTCTCGTCCATCTTCTCAATCTGCGCGATCAACTTTTCGTCGCTGTACCTGGTCTCCTTCCACCCCTTCTTGCGCTCCGCCTTGAGCGTCTTCTCGAGCTCGTCCGCGGCCTCGAGCCGTTGCTTGAGCTCAGAAGCGGGCAGCGGCTTCTCGTCGGCTTCGGCGCGCTTGAGGTTATCCTTCTCGAATCGCTTCTTGATCTTTTCGCGCTCAAGAACGACCAGTTGCTCCTCGTGCGAGATGATCCAGTCGTCTTCGATGTCCGACTCGTCCTCCTTGTATTGTCTAGTCGATGGGCAAAATACCAGATGGTCAATTTGGTTTGTGCGGGTGAGGAGGATTGCCACCGCCAGCTTGACTCACTTGTATTTCTTCTTCTCAGGCGAGTTGAGTAAAGCGCAACGCAGCTTTCTACGTTGATACTTGAGCGCGCGTATCTGCGGCAGAACAACGGTGCAATCAGTCTCGGAACATCGATATGGTTACATCGTTAAGCACCAACGGACCTTGTCGGTCATCCTGTCCATCATTTGGCCATGCCCCTTGCTGACACTCCTTTGATGGTTGCAAAGCACGGCGACGAGTCGGTTCGCTCGGTTGTAAGCGAGGATCTTGTCCGCTATCGAGCCGTCAGCGGGGGTGTCCTTGAGCTGCTCTTGGAACGTGTACGACGCGTTGTAGGTACGGAAGACCTTGGCCGTTAGACCGTCCATGTACGAGTTGAGGTACTTGTTCACGGTACTCGTCTGTGCACGCTCAAATAAGCACTTAGTTGATCGCAACATGGACGTATTGCTCATGTCCAAGTGCACTCACACTCAGTCGGTCGAACAGCAAGTCGCCAATGGTCTTGGGCTCCTTTTTGAAGATTTTGAGGTTCTTGAAGACCTGCTCGTCGACCTCAACCTCGTTGACGTAGCGGATCGAATCCTTACCGAGGAAGTCGAACGTGACCTTGGTCGGCGGCGTCAAGGTGACATGTTCGAAACGCAGCGAGCAGCACCCGACCGTGTCCGCTTCATCCTCGCCTTTCTCGTTTCCGTTACGCAGCGCGAAGCGATCGATGAGGTAGATCGCTGTCGCACGTTGGCGAACGACCATCTCCTTGTCCTTGAGATCGGCGGTGTAGTCGCGACGGATGCGGGCGACGTGGTCCTTCAACGCGCGGGCCTTTTCGAACTTTTTCAAATCGGATTGACCCTTCAACGATGAGCCGGCAGCGAGGAAGACGTACCTACGGTATGAGGAAGTCGGAGATTAGCAACCAGTCGAGATGAAGTGCACCAACACACTCGAAAAAACTCACTTGACATTGCCGTTGACGTTTTCCTTCCACGTCGCAAGCCATGTGACCGTGTCGTCGTGCACGACACTCTTCCAGTTGTGGCCTGCGGGGGGCGTGGGGACCTTGGCAACCTTGCCAATGTTGATCGTGATTTGCTCGGGACGGACACGGGTCTGCTCAAACAAGCACATACTCGGTTAGTTCTCTTGCTCACCTTTACCGAGTGATGCCGCGATAGGTTGCTCACCTTGAGCAAACCCGTCTTGGGGTGCTCGCCACGACCACGGAACAACGCAGGGGGTTCGATGCGGAAGTTGCCGACCTTCTCCTTGCGCCCGTCGAGCAGGCACGTCTTGTACGGTTCTTCCGTAATATCTCGAATCGCCTTGGCTTCCTTCTTCTGCGTAGCCGTCATCTCCTTCTTCTTGGCCTTCTCCGTCTCGAGGTGGGCAAAGATGGGCGTAAAATCACACTTTTCGAACGTGGTGATCTTGGTTCCGTCCCGGGGGGGAAAAGCTTTGAGCACACCGAGCCAGCTGTCGAAGAAGTTTTTGACGAAGACCGGGTTCTTGACGTAGTCGGTCTCGAGGATCGCAGCAAAAAAGGACGCGACCTCCTCGGCCTCTGGTGGCAGATCGACGGGTTTGCCCTCGTACTTCATCTTGACCCCGTGGGGCTCGTATTCGGGCGGGAACATGACACCGTTGTGCTCGAGCGTTTTCCACTTGGTCGTACCGTCGTTCGACTGGTCCTCCCACCACTTGTAGGCCCCCTCCTCGCCGTCGCCGTTCTCAGTCTTGACGTCTTCGTCGTCGTCGTGCTTGCCCTTGCCTTTGCCTTTGCCCTTATTGAGGGCGAGCTTGGCAGGCGTGACCGACTCCTCTTTCTTGGGCTTCTTATCGACCTTGCTCGCGGCGGATCCCTTCTGAACGGGCGTCGCCTTCTTGCTTGTCGGGACGGACTTTGTCGCTTTCTTGGCAGGGGCTTTCTTGGTCTTTTTCGACAGCGGTTCTTGGTCGGAGTCTTCCTCATCGTCATCCTTCTCCTCGTCGTCCGAAGCATCGTTCTTGCGCTTGGACGCTTTCGCCTTGGACGAGCTAGCCCGGGGTGCGGCGGCTTTCTTGGTGGTGGCCGGCTTGGCTTTGGCCTTTGCCTTGGTGGCCAGAGGCTTTTCGTCCTCGGACGAATCGTCGTCGTCGGCTTCTTCCCTGTCGACGCGCTTGGACAACTTTTCGACCTGCCTGGCGACCATGGCCTCTTTGGCGACGTGCTTCTTGACCTGGGTCTTGAGCGCGGCTTGATCCGAATCGGAGTCCGAGTCGGACTGGTAGCCGTTGTTGATCTTTTTCGTCGTCGTCGTCGTCGTCGTCGGCTGCTTCTTTTGTTTGAACGCGAGAGGTGCGTCATCTTCGTCTTCGTCTTCGTCGTCGTCGTCGCCGTCGTCGTCGCCGTCGTCGTCGTCCGAATCGCCGGTCGTGAAGATGGAAATCTTCTTGTCCTGGTTCGTCGACGAATCGGCATTGGCAGCGGCGGCGGCGGCGAACAAGAGGTCACTCATGGTCGCGGTCGAAGCGGATGCGCTCGTCCTTGTGCCATCCTTCATCTCGACGATGGGTGCCGGGGCCGCGGGTGCGGAGGAGCCGTTGCCAATGGCGGCATGGTGGCCGTTGGATGAAAGTTCGGGTCTGGGACGTTTGGTCTGTGAAAATGATGGGAGGGATGGTGGCGGTGGTGGTAGGGCGTGGTGGGCGAAGCGAGAACATCAGTATACAGTACAGTTGCGTGTAACGGAGCGTCAAGGTGTGGACCCGAAGATGGGTCCCGAGTTGAGTGGACTGGGCATTCGACGGCAACGGTGCCGGCGACGACGGGACTTGGGCGCCAAAAAAGCGAACCGGACTCGGCGTGTCGTGCGCCGTGTCCAAAGGCGATGGGGCGGCGACGCTCTCCAGTCACATTGACGCGTTGCGATGGCCACCCAAGCTCGGGCAAGAGTAGCGAGGGTGGCAGACAGGTCGGACAGAGTACAGGTGAGGTGCACATTCGCGGAACTGGTCCCTGACAAGCATCACGATAACTGTATTCATCGCGGTCGTGCTCGAAGGCTGCTCGTGTCGACCGTCGACGTCGAGATGGCGCCCGAGTGCCAGAGTCGCAAGTGGTCGGCGGCGGGCGAGCGACGACTCGACGACTCGACAAGCGACAAGCGACAAAGGGCGAAGGTGGCAGAGCATGGCAAGCGAAGCGGAACGATGCACGTACCAAAGGCACATCATCCTCATCGCCACTCTCATCGGACGAGCTCTCTTGGATGACACGCTTCTTGTACTTGGGGGCAGCAGCGGCGTCCGTCATGGTGTCGTCGCTCGAGCACGCGGAGGCAGTGGCAGCATGCGACTTTGAAAGAGAGCACAACGGACGGGCAAAGTCCAGAGTGCAAACGCCCAAAGTCAAATCCGGGCCTGTCCAGGCCTGTCCGGGCTAGTGCTGCACAAGTCATGCGCGCCGGTATTACGCGCGCCGGTCTGCGCCGGTCGGGTTACAAGCGGGGTGCTAATGGCCAATTGAGTCGAGTAAGCGCTTGCACTAGCCTGCACTCGAGCAGAACGGCACTGGGAGATTCGGACCTAATATCGCCCTGCTCATCGTCGTCGCACTCGTCAATCACTCACACAACAGTCAGTCCAGGGTACACATCACTTTGAATTGCCGGATCATGAACGGACTACTGACCCACTGCCTACTGAGCCCACAGTGTCTGGCCCAGCCTACCGAGGTCCGCCAACTTCTTGTCTCCAGTCACCCGAAGCTCATGCAACGCCAACAAACTCAAGGCCAAGGTCCTAACATCAACCTTCTCCTCTTCTCCCTCCACAGACCCCTGGGCAAAGCGTGAAGCATGGCGAAAGGTGAGCCAATCATACCCGCTCGCCTCGGCTCAGTCGTTCGCGCACGTCCCCAGATGCTAATCCTCCTTAACATACCTCGCGCAGTCGCCCATCTTCTCCAACAGGGCAATGTGAATATGAAGAATCAACCTCATTCGGGTTCGCCGTCTTCAAGAATGCTGACCCCTTCTCTTTCTCACCCCTCTCCTCGCCAACTCTGACCACCCAACGCTCCATCGCGGACCTCGCTCCATACCATCGAACCTCGTCATTTCCAACTCGCTCCAACCGAACCAGGTTCCGAAACCTCTTCCCCGGCTTTGGAATTGCCGTCGTCGCCTTCACAGGCTACGTCATCTACGACGAGACCGTCAAGGCCGCCAAGGCCAAAGTCGACGCTTCGAGGCAGGGCGTAGAGGGGACACATTGAGGACAGGGACGGGTGGGTGAAGGGGTGAGAGAGAATGTCTCGTAGAACATGGGTTTGGGTAAGAGGAAAGAGTGTGCTACATACGATTCGATACGTACGTTCGAAAGCGCCTCGGTAGGAGGGCAGAGAATCGAGCCTGGGACCAAAACCGTCGTGCGGTCTGACATGGGTTGGCTACGCACCTTCGAAATGCTGATGGTTTGGACATCACCTGGGTCGGAGAGGCAAGCGAGCTAGGCCCTCGGCCACGATGCGGCGAAGGCTCGGACCATGGGCCAGGTGGTACCTCTCGACTCTCTTCGATCCTCAATGAGCAAGTGCGGCATCAAGAAAGTGGCTATTGCATTACAGGAAGTATAAGCCACGACAAGTACAGTCTGGGCGTCATTAACGACAAGGTCGCATGCACGTACAGTGCACAATAAGTCGTCAGGAAAAGTCGGTAAAAAGTCGTTCATGTGGGAAACGGACTGGAACGGGATCAAATGAGGAAAGCAACGCCAATGACCAACGCGACGGAATAGAGCCACATGTTCAATACTCCTTGAGCATGCCCTGCGGCCAAAGCCGATCGAGTGGTTGTACCGGCCGCAGGAATAGCCGTCGCCCTCGACGTCGTTCCTGTGTTCGCGCTGACTGCGCTCGCAGTCGAGGCATACGGTTGCGGCGGTCGAAGTCATGCTTTGTCAATTGATCGTAAAACAGGAGTCTGAGGCTGAGCTTGAGGATTGGACGACGAAGATACGTCTCCCAGAGCGATGGCGGCGATCTCGCAAGCACCACACGATTGGGCCGAAAACTCGTCCGTATCCAAGCTCCTCCTCTCCGTCCCCGCTGTTGGTGTCAGATTGAATACTCGAGTCGTTTGCACTAGAGATGAAGTCTGCATCGCTATGCTCATGGTTGAAGAGCATCCAAAGCCGCGTCGGAGCTTGGTCGATCTGGAGCGATTCCTCGGGGTCAACGTCCTCGACTTGACGCTCGGGTTTAATGGAATCAAAAGCCGGATCGTGTTCTACCTCCATTCGATTGTCTTCCATGTGAACCCCGCCTTCTCCGCCGAAGCCGTGGTTTAGGATCTCGTCGAAATCAGCGGCACCGGCGCATTGGAGGAGCCGATGTCCCCGCTGCGGTTGAGGCCTCGGGACGGGATCGGGAACTCGTTCTGATCGCGGCAGCGTCGATAGGACCAATTCGAGAGGGGTCGGTGCTGAGGGTCGTACTGGTGCATAAAACAAAAGATTGACGCCATTCTCTGTGGGCAAGCAACGTCAGTAGCGTATTGGTTAGGGCAGGCTCTTCGGAGATTGGGTGCAAGCGCGGTCCGAGCGGGATAAACCTACCTGGCATGATGTCGCCGCCGTCGGCGCGAGCAGCAGTGGACCTTCTCAGAAACTTACGAAAGAGGGGCGGAACTTTGCTGGCTGCCCCGCTTCGAGTAGGCTGGTAGGGAAGCGGGCAACAACTCTCTGCGAGGGTTTCTCTAGCCCGATCCCGAGTATGCAGAAGTGAGCTGAGAACTGAGCGCTGAGCTCAACTGAGTCCGGCAAGGCGGGCGTCGTGACCCGGGGTCTCTGCAGCACAAGGCGCTGCGCAACCCTGCGCCCACTGCAGCTTCTAGCGCTGTGGCCGCGCACTTGATCGTGCAGTGGCGAGTGGCACTCTCTCCTCTCGAACTCGCTATGTTCGGTCACTGTTCGGCTCGTTCTTCGGTCTTCGGTCTTCTTGCACCAACTACGATGACCAGCAAGCTCAAACAGAAGAAGTTGCGGGTCCCACCTGCCTGGCGCCTTGAGGATGGCCAATCGGCTGCGGTTTACTGGGAGAGGATGGCCGCGATGTTCCGACCCAAGGGGCGACTCGATGACCGAGCCATACTTCTCCCGCACGCCGTCGAGCTGCTCTGGCGCAAGGAATGGATTCTGAGGCCGGAAGCCAGGTGGACAAAGCAGAGGCTTTACGAAGATCTGGTCCCTTCGCCTCAGAATTGCCATGATTTGATGCTGCCGAAACTAGTAAGTCGCGGGCACAGCGCTGGCGCGATGTCAATTTTCGAGTCGACACCTGCAGCTGCTGGGTTTGGCTCTTGCGTACTGCAGCTGACTCCAAGGGAATGCGCTCATTTAAATGCAGGGTGCCACCAAGCTTTCTTCCGAATCAATCTATGAAGATGATTCCTACCCAACCGTTGAATACTCTGACCACTATGATATCGTCGGACGACTCGGACGCCTCCGAATCGTCGATCGAGGCCGTCAAGAGGCTGGCGGCGGGGCCCGTTCGGAACGGTCGCACTAGGGTTTGTCGAAGAGGAAGCCAAGCAAAAACAAGCATCGTATGTGCAGACGAAGAAGGGAGGGATATAGTGAGTATCTGATGGTATAATGCCTACGAGCGGAAACCCACTGCAGGTCGCAAAGATACCCTTCGCACGCCTCCCGTCACCACAAAAAGTCCGCCGAGCTTCGAACGATGCGATCGACACGTCCAAGATCAAGCGCAAAAAGACCTCTGGCAAGAAGAGGCACAACAAGAAGCAATTCGAAAGCTCTGACGAACCAACCCTCGAGTCAAGATGAGTCCGAGTCAATCCAAGACGAACCCCTCGGCGGCTCCGTGGTCGCAGCCATTTTGACAAGGTCTCAATCGGTGAGCCCACTCAGAGCTTCATCCTCGTCCCTGCCGCCTCAGACATGGTCTTTAGTTTTCCAGAAGGCCGGATCATGCTCATGTAATCGCGCTCCCATCGCTTACAGACCGCCGTGAAACCTTGCTCTACTCTCTGTTCAAACTTCACATCTCGACCGAAGACGAAACATACGTTGATTGGGCGACTCGCTGTGGGAAAAGGTCTGGATGGCTTTATTCACTTCAGGACCATCACAGCTAGAAACACCACCGAGGTATGCACCCATCGACCGGACATTGAGTCACGAGGCCGAGCATCGAATCAAGTGGCTACCCTAGTCTTGCCCAGATGGCAATTCGCAAAAGGATCAGAGACATGAAGAAGCATGTCGTTCTGCAACTACGAAAAATTCGACACCTCTCGCTCGAGAGTACCTAGCTTCCGATACCGGAAAGAATACCTACAACGCTTCGCCGCAAATTGAGTTCTTTTGCAGGAGGTCGAGGTGGGTTCTTCCCCTTGGCACGCGCTTTGCCGCTGGAACAACGCGCAGAGCGCAGCAGCAGCGAATCCGGTCAATTCATGATCTGCGGCTCACAAGCGTTGTAGGTATTCTTTCCGGTATCGGAAGCTAGGTACTCTCGAGCGAGAGGTGTCGAATTTTTCGTAGTTGCAGAACGACATGCTTCTTCATGTCTCTGATCCTTTTGCGAATTGCCATCTGGGCAAGACTAGGGTAGCCACTTGATTCGATGCTCGGCCTCGTGACTCAATGTCCGGTCGATGGGTGCATACCTCGGTGGTGTTTCTAGCTGTGATGGTCCTGAAGTGAATAAAGCCATCCAGACCTTTTCCCACAGCGAGTCGCCCAATCAACGTATGTTTCGTCTTCGGTCGAGATGTGAAGTTTGAACAGAGAGTAGAGCAAGGTTTCACGGCGGTCTGTAAGCGATGGGAGCGCGATTACATGAGCATGATCCGGCCTTCTGGAAAACTAAAGACCATGTCTGAGGCGGCAGGGACGAGGATGAAGCTCTGAGTGGGCTCACCGATTGAGACCTTGTCAAAATGGCTGCGACCACGGAGCCGCCGAGGGGTTCGTCTTGGATTGACTCGGACTCATCTTGACTCGAGGGTTGGTTCGTCAGAGCTTTCGAATTGCTTCTTGTTGTGTTTCTGCTCTGACCAAGAGGATACCTGTGCAAGCGCCCCGTGCGCTCCGAATGGAGAACATCGCGAACGACGACGGCGATGACGATGCTGACGGCGATGCACAAAAAGTCCGCAGAATGGTGACGACCTCGATCAAAGACCGGTCAGTATGCCGTATAACGAGTTATTACGCAGGAGGGCCAGAAATTTATCATTAATTGGACCAATTTCCCTTTCCTCCCCAAAAAACAGCGTAGAAGGGGTTCGTCCCATGGGTCGTCTTGACGGGAAGCAAATCCGTGCGCTCGGAAGTCACATTCGCGGCGACCGATCTTGCCAAGCGACCCATGGACTCGAGGTCGCCGCTGCTCTTCGAAAGTCTTTGGGCGTCGGATTTCCAGCGTGGTATTGGAGAAAAAACTGATCGCATCTTGTACCACTCGGAAGTACGCCATGACGATCGGATCCGAGCTCGACTGGTCACCATGCGCGTCGGCGATTTTGTCGTTCTTGGTGCTCCACCGGTTTCAAGTGACCGTGTCGTACTCGTGAAAATTGAAGCAATTCTCAGCGTCGGACAAGACAAAAAGTTTGAAGAATTTACATTGCTCCTCGTCACCTGGATGAACGAGAGTCAGACGCGTAAATTAGGCTATCTTGCAAATTCCGTGCGAGGACTTCGGAGCGACCGAGAGTCATCGGGCTCGATGCCATCTCGAGCGAGCAAGGTGTGCCGTGCCAAGTCTGAGGGATTAAACTGAGGGTGCGCAAGGGTTGGCGACTGAGCTCTGGACGACGCGATGGGCACCCCCGAAGAAATCAAACATCAAAAAGTTGGGGGAAGGGGATCGGATGGTCGAGCCTGCGGTCGGAGGGGTCCTGGATGCTTCGATCAGCAAAATCCAGTTCCGAAAGCTTGGGTCGATGGTCGATCCGGAGGACCAAGCTCAAACCCGCCTCTCGGTTTATCGAGACGAACAGACGACACTGCAACGCTACAAGCAGTATGGACTCACGACTCGGATCCAACCCAGCGGGGATCAAATTTCCTGTAGCAGCAACATGATATTCGGCGGGTTAGCGGGTGAGCCTTTAGAGAGATCGTCGAAGATTCTATTTCGCGGTGACTGACTGCAATGCCAGATGCTAAAGCTCTGACCTCGGCGTCCGCGGAGATCCCCGTGCCCTCATCTTTGCCTACACCGATCGTGTACTTAAC